GGAAGTTCAATTCATGATTTCGTTTCGAATCAAATTGGCAAGAATCCAACATTTTCATGACGCCGGTTGTGGGAAAAAAGCTAGCAGTGAAGATCGGTTGACCCAATTGGCGAGGGCTGGTTCTGCTGGCTTACAGTAGACAGACGTCTTGTCAGCTGAGACATAGTTAAAAGGATGGCTTGATCCGCACCAGAGCTAAACCGCGACTTCCAAACATGGGGCCTTGGACCATCCACGAGCCCTCGTAAAGGGTAACTTAAGGCTCTTGAGTCGACGCGAGATTGCAGGAAGTGTTCCGGGATTGTCTGGAAGGATATCCGAAGGAACCATTCATTGCTTCCAAAGGATCAAGGGAATTGAAATCAGCAAAGAGGAGGCAGTGCAGGTTTTTGGGACTTGTCATTGGGCTGTCATCATCGGGTTGAACCGAGGGAGTTTGAGTGTCGTTGTCCTTTGATTTCTTAACGGGCAATTTAGTTGGACGTCCTGATAGGATCGACAAAGGCAACCAACCTTGACTCCACCGGGCATTTTGCGAACTGGGTGTGGTGTCGGGTAATACGAAATACATTTGTGACTTCGTGAATCGATCCCTGCAAACAAAAGACAGAGGGCCCCCGGTGAACAATTAGGCGGAGTCATCTGGCCTGGTTTCCTGGGACAAGGTTAAGCCCTAACTGGAACGATACTATGTCCATTTGGATGATGCCGAAACCGATCCGTGCGATGCCGTGCGTCCATCCTGGACTAGATCCATGCAATGCTGCCCCAAGCTGGGGTTGCCGGAGGTGTGCGACGGTAAGCCTCCGGGGCTCGCTAGGCATCGTAAAAGACCACTCTGAATGGCCAAATCTCTGATCCCTTTGTTGAGTCATTTGCGAGCAATGTTGTTCCATTTCACACGACTTTGCGTCAGAACAGCGAACAATCCAGGGCTTTCTGAGAACGTGGACGGTGGAGCGGGTGAGCTTGGAATACATATTCATGTGGATCCCCTGGCTTGGGCCTTTGGTCCCTGGGGGTACTTATCCTCAAAGTGTAACTTTGTATGACCTGCCATCTCGATTGGTGGTCTCAGGTTCAGCGGGGCCGGCAACCCTTTGGGGTGGCCTCGAAGGCTTCGTTTGAAATCTTTACGTTGGCTCAAAGGTGGCCAATATTCCGTTTTTCTTTCTGATGGGGGATTCGTTGATGACGCGACGCCAGGATCGACCCAGGGGACGGAGACCGGGCCCCGCTTCCTTGCACCGCCGTGCACGTTTTGACACCAAGCCCTTCTCGATCCGGGTGGTGAAGCGAGCAACAATTTGCCCAATGCCCTGTTCGATCGTCATTCGACTCTTCTCGTTAAAAAGCCAATGTCACGCCGGTGATTGACGTCTATCTCCAACCGAAGTGAATGTGATGCCTCTGAGCGTTAAAAGGTTGGGATGAGACTGCGGAGGTGACAAAAGCAGGCCATCCTGTGTGAGCAGTTTTACATAGCGCGGCGGCCGGTAAGCCGCGACGGCGTCTGGCTGTGGGATGGTTATGTTCGTATCACGCCAATTTCACATCGGTGTTTTTTTTTTTTTTGAAACTCAGACATGAAAGCCTGGAGAGCATCGTAGCGAGGTATTGTGGCGCGCGTCTGGGCCTGCAAGCCACTGGCCTTGGTGTCACTTGCAGTGTGGCAGGTCGGGGCTCATCACTAAATGCGTAGGGCTTGTCTCTGAACGTGTTTCTTGTCTCGCCTGAAGCTAAATCTAGAGAGTGTAACCATCACTCCATCATCATTGATGACCAACCAGCCAAGTAGAGCAAGCAAAAATTTGCCCGGAGCACCTTCACCAGAGCTCAGGCCGGTAGCAATTTATGCTCCAAATCACCGATCCGGGTGGACAGGACTTACAAGGCAGGCGGTACGACGCCGTCAATTGACTGCTTTTGTGCGCATCGGGTGTGCATCTCGTGGACGCCTACTCAGCGATGGCAATTGATTTCAAAGAGCGGGATGGATTTTGGAAAAAAGGGATTTGACTAGCATCCGAGGACGGATTGTAGGCGGGTCTGGAGTTTGATTCGAGTGACTGGGAATCCGGTCAACGCGACTTTGGACAAGCCTAGAGATGAGATCTACGCTTATGTGGGCGGATGAAAGTTGAACTCTGAAGTGGGCAGTGGGCACGAGGGTGGTGAAAGTGACGGGGTCAACGAGTTTGAGACTGCGCCATTGGAGTGGAATACTCCGTGCTTGGCGCCAGGGGGAAGCCGATTACCAAAAAAGGTAGATGGGCAGGATATTGATGGGCACCTCGGGTTGACGCGGTTATGGCTCTGGTGGTTTCGGTGGTGTCGTGTGGTCGCAGCTGAAATGCGCCCAAACGTGTACGGACTATGGTAGAGGCTGACAAGTGCCAGGGTTGTGACAGACAGGGTAGTCGGACGATGGATTGAGAAAGCAAAGAGAGGACCCACAGAGTTGCGAGGAATTAGAGTCAGGACTCAGGATGCAGATGCAGGTCCAAAAAAACTTAAGGGGACGTAAGAAAGACGGGCGCGGTTCAAGGCCCCGATGGGTGGGATGGAGGGCCGAGGACAATGGCTAGGGAGGCGGGTATCTCGCCCAAAGGATCGCTGAAAGTGCATTGCTGCAGGCCAGCGCCAGCAATATGGAGGAGCCTAATGATAGTTGATGCAAAAAAAGTTGACAAGTGGTTTTATGACCCTGACTCGCTTGCAAAAGCTAACAAAGTAGAAACTCCTGCTGGCACCCCTCATGACCAACCACGGCTTGTCCTTTGGCAGCTCACTAGCACGCTAACCATGGGTACTAGTGGATGTTAGCAAGGACATTTTCTCAGCAGGGAGTTTGAGCAGTTCGTCATTTTTACTGCATGATGCACAAATGTGGCTTTTTTATTTTCCTTTTCCTGTTTCCCCTGCTAGAACAATCTCCTACTCGATGCCCAAGCCCGGACCCATGTTTGCTCCACTTCCCATTCCCCATCTCCCATCTTTCCATTTTTTTTGCTTTGTCCTCCCTGTCCATGCGAGTGTGGTAAACTAAGTTTTTCCCACTTTTCTCCCACTCTTTCTTCATTTACCATATCCCTGTCATTGCTCATGCATGCATGCATGCATGCATCTCGAACCCTCTGCTCAAAGGACCCGGCGCCCGCTTTGTCGTCGATGGATTTATACCGGTTCCACTCCACATGGCCGCCAGCCGTTTTGGACTGTTGCTTCTTTTCGTTTCTTCGTCTTCCAGCCAAATTCCGTTTCGCATGGTGAGTGCCCCACCCCCCTGGTCCGTTGACTCTTTGTTCTAGTCCCAGTAACCCTCCATCCACCCGATGGCGATGTCCCATGGCCATGGCGGCTAAGTTGGCCAACTGCCTAGCCCAGGCTGACTCTGGTCTAGCGACAATCTGTCTCTCTGCCTCAGTCACTTGTCGATCAACTTCTGAGATGCCCTATTGACTTACGACTGCTACCGGTCCAGGGCTCCGTTACGAGGTCCTAGCCTCCTCAGGCTCATTTCTCGTCTTTACTCCCTATCGATACCCTGACTCGACGTGGCTATCCTATCCTCGATCCTCGCTGCGCTCACCTTTCCCATCGTCTTGTTCCCTAGTTCGATCATAGCCCTCCGACCCACTACCCTCAACCTCGTCCTCGTCCTTATTCTCCCCTTTTGTCATCTTGAGGCGCGTCAATGCAAAACCTTGTTATAAGCCCGGCCACCTCCTCTACTACTACACACCGTATTGATCATACATCGCGATATCCCGTTTCATTCACTGTCATCCGCTAATCATTTTTCGACGTTGACGCCTCTCGGGTCTTGAACATCTCTCCGCCTCCACCTTTGCCCTTCCACCTCCCTGGTACGTACCTCCGCCTCTCCGGTGACGACTGCTCCCATACTTCGTACTTCGACTGAAGGGCCCCATTGGGATTGGTCCTGCATAGGATTTTTGAAAAGTCATACTCCCTACAAGCTAGCCGACCTGCACCACAGGCCCTGGCTCAACGCTTGAATCCTCTCGGGCGCCTCGTGCTAAAACAGTTACGAGCAGGCTTCTTTGACAATCTTAACCTCTCTTTTGATACAATTCACACACTCTGACAGGCCACAGCTTTGGATCCAGGCTGCAGTTGGCGCCAAAACATTCCGCCCCTCGTTCCGTCACTTGATCCAATCCACATCTTTTTTTGCGTGTCTTGACAATTCCCCATCCAGCACGATCCACCTCCCACTTCGGATCACTGCCCTGCACTCTCTCCCCTTGCCGCTCTGGATTCCCTGGCTGAGAGGTTTGACCTTTTGCCCCAGGTATTCTTCACGGAAATTCGCGCGCTGCTGGGGCTGACCGCTACCGGCCTGCCGTTCACTTCTAACTTTTTCATCCCTAGTTCCCCACATAAGACACTCTGGCAGCCGCCCTTTTTTGACGTATCTCGCTTGCTCGCTTCTACGTCCATTCCAAAACTGTACCAACCTGTCGATCGTGCCGAATCATACCGATCCCTAGGCTGGTACCTATTCTATGTCTTGTCATGCTTTTTGACTTCACTTTCGACCCTGGTGCTGGGTCATTGTCCACCTGGTCAAGCCCTAGTCCACCACACTTATATTCCCTAACTATACTACTTCCTACTGCTACGTCTCGCCGCAAGTCTCATGCCAGGTTAATCTCATCTTTGTTCCCCTTAGCTGGCATCTACTAGCCCGGCTCGACCCCATTACCTTTTCTTGTGGAGGGAGTAGATATGGATTCGGACTCCCATCCAGCTGGCCTTTTCCTCTGCTAATTCATCAACAACCCTTTCCAACCATGTATTTCTCTCAGCCTTGGAACCCTTCTTTCCAAGAAGCGATGTACAACCCCATGTCCTCCGTGCCATCAGCCAACGTATCTTCCCACTTCGTTCGTCCCAACAAAGTCGTCAAATCTAGCAGTCGGAATAACAGTCCACGAACGTTGGGGAGGAGGAGGACCACCACATCGGCCACGATGTCATCTCGGACCAGGTCTCTAGTTGATCACCTTCGTTCCAGGACTCAACAATGGCAAACCCCAGAAGGCCTTCGCTCACGACCTGTTAGTTGGCATCCCAACTCCTTCGACGGCCTCAATACCCCCGTCAACCCGTCTGTTAATGGACAGGATTTGTCGGCCTGGAATTTCTCCACCGCCCAAGTCAATGGCCTTGTCACTCCTATATCTTATCCCGTGATGAATGAACCTCAGATTCAAGAACTCATCACCCCCCTCGACGAGCTTCCCGGCCAGGACATGACCTTTGCACGCGAAAGTCACCGCCACGACGAACGGACCTGGCTGGACCAGGGTCAACCCAGGGTGGACTCATCATATCCTTTCAATATGTTTTATCAACAACCTTTCGTTCAACCTTCCTGGCAATTCGCCCCTCGGCACATAACGACGAATGTTCAAACGGCACCGGCTTCCCCAGATTGTGTACCGGTACAGAACATCGGTTTCGACACGCTGCGCCTCGACAACGATGACCTCAGCCCCAAAGAAGATGACTCTGAAGAATTAGTGGGTATGGGTCTATACGATTCGCCGGCTGAAGTTCAATCGTCTTCACTATTGTTCGGTGGCATTTCTCAGCAGGGAAGGAAGTCCTTGAAACTCGAGGAGTCTTTCGAGCCCGTGGGACGTGAAGAGGACGCGGACGACGAGGATGACGCGCCGGAGCAAGAAAATGTGGAGGACGACAATGTCTCCGGGGTGCCAGTGGATTCCTCGGGCAACGTCGATTATGGCCCTCAATCTATTGCCAGCCATTTAATGCAGCCGGAGGCGGATTCGATTGCTTCCAAATACCTGGCTACTCTGAGGCAACTGAACAGTGCATATTATCCTGCGGGATACCCTGATTACGACTGGATTTAAGTCACGATGTGATGAATTCCGGCGGTCATTGGCTTCCAACTTTTTTTTTTTTTTTTTTCACACAAATTCACGACTTGTTTTTGTAGCGATGATACCCCTTTGAACGACCAGACCAGAGTTGACCAGATAGCCACTTTAGATATTTAGATCTTCGAGCAATGATGTATTAGTTATTGAACCCCACGACGTCGAGCGGCCCCTAGATCTTCAACTTCATGTGGAGAAATGTGCTCGATTCCCAGCCAATGACCATCCGATGCTCAAAACTCTCTGTCATCTCGGTTTGGACATCGCCCGAATTCATTCTCATCCAATGAATATCGCTCCTCGGACGATAAACTGCTCTTACCGCCCCCTTCGTTCCAGACACGTTTCGCCCGAATGACCTATTTTGTTCGACGTCCGATGAGTTTCGGCTGGCCCAGACTTTCGTTGGAGTTAGGGTCAACTCCACGATGATCTTGCAATTTCCACCATGGAGACACGACTCCGAACTGGCCATGGTCCGAGACTGGTTTTTCCCCAAGCATGCGAAACAAGACGCATTTTCAGGCCCACCGTCGGACATGCGCCAACGAGCTATTGATAAGGTCAACCTCTGGCTCTTCAAGGCCGGCCAACTCCCACCCGCGCTCCTGGCGACCGCGAGTCTGACCGAAGCATTACTTCACGATGAACCAGAGAGGCAATCACGAGGCATATCTGAGTCGGCCATGCAAAGCATTTATGCAATGGCCTTTGCTAGGTTTGTCAATGGCTTTGTCGACCGGGATGCTGTCCGTGCACATGCGGCGGAATTGGCTCCAGATGATATCGAAGAGGAGGATGTGACCACGTCAACATCCAGGGGAGAAAGCTCAATGTATGCTCATGCCGCTACCATCGGTATGCCTCAGAAATTTGTGGATCTACGGCATCAGGTCACACATGGTGACATTCCTAATCTGATGCACTTGAAGGCAATGACTTTGCAAGCGCTGGAGTGGTTGTGGGAGCGATGGTGGGTGAAAAATGCCACGGGCGATCCAGGGCCCGCCATCAGGGAGCTGGAAGGACGCAAACGAATTGCACAAGAGGCAAGAGACGCTAGAAATCCCATCGATATGCATCCTCAAGATACAGGTGACTTGCTACAGATTCGTAGTGAAAACCTCGTTAGTGAGTCCTTCCTGCTTTAACATACCGCGAAAACGAAAATGCGAAGCTGTGGAGCAAAACTGGAAAGTATGATGTTTCTTGTTGTACCTGAACAAATAATTCCTATTATATAGTATGATAATCAATGCTCTGGTGGGCTTATTGAAGAAGGCTGTTGGCCGTCAAGTCGGTTAAGAAACCGCCAAGCATGAACGCAGGCCTGCCAATGAGGTTGATTCACGAGCAACGTTTGCCTCTCCCTTTCATTGTTTGCTCGTCATCTGAGCAGCCTGCCAGTGGCTACGACCGTGAAATTGATTTCACACTCCTTCAAAATCCTCAATAAATAAGCCCCAACGTTATTTTGCTCGTGTTAGACCATATGCCAGGCTCTCCGATCGTGACCCAGGTCTCCCGCCGACGCGTTCCCTTTCTTCGACATGAGCAGCCTCCTGGTTAGGGACAAGAGCCCGTTATATGAGATTCCTTCACAAAGGACTTCCTATCCCATCGAAACCAAAATCATTTCGACTCTTGCCCTTCTCGTCCTAGGATATTATGTTCTCTCATTCTTTGATGCCTGGCCATCTACCATCAGACGATCCCTCTACGAATCATTTGTCTACCTCATTCCCTCACCGCTCATCTACGCCATGCAATATGGGATGATTCGACTGGGCCGTTTGGCTCCTGAAGAAGCAAAATTCACCAAAGCCCGTTATGGGGATATGCTTGCAAAACAAGAGGCCCTCCGTCGAATGTGTGGACAACCGCCGATCCCGATCGCACTGCGAAAGATCAGCGGCATTCCGGGGGTAGGAGGATACATATCACTGGGAAATGACGTTGGTCCTCCTGGATTGGGTAATTGGGACAACTCTTGCTATCAAAACAGCGTCCTGCAGGGACTGGCCTCCTTACCCGCGTTTATGGAATTTATGGAAAGCAGCTTGGAATTATGTGACAAATACGATGTTCCAGCGGCAACGCATCGAGCCCTGGTGGATTTTCTCCAAAAACTTGCCGATTCAGGTTGTCGCAAGAATGTCTTGTGGACGCCTACTGTTCTCAAATCAATGGATAGTTGGCAGCAGCAAGACGCTCAAGAATACTTCTCAAAAGTCATGGACGCTGTGGAGAAGGAAGCGAATGCATATGCCAAAGTCATGAAACGCTCCAAAACTACCGGTCTAGAGTGTCTAGGCGCCGCCCGAATACACAAATCTCAGCAAGAGACAAGCAGTCCCTTGGAAGATCCCCATATTTCGCAGACTTCTCAAGCCAAAGAAGAAGCCGCCGCCAATCTTCTACCCCTTGGAATGCCAAATCCCATCGACGGTCTGACCGCACAGATTCTCGAATGTGAGACTTGCAAGTTCACCGAAGGGTTGTCTCTGACACAATTCAACTGCCTGACTCTAAACATGGGTCTACGGGGCCCATCGGATGTCGAGGACTTGCTCCACGAATATACTGCTCCAGAGGAGGTAGAAGGCGTTGAGTGTGAAAATTGTACAGAGCTGGCTTACGCTGAAACCGAAGGGTCGAATGGCAAAGTGGGAAAGTCCAAGGAAACAGACGAGATGTCAAAGCAACGAAGAAAACCAGTCTTGCGGACAAAGGCGAAGCAGATAACAGTAGGAAGACTGCCGACGGACTTGGTTCTTCACATTAATCGAAGCATTTTTGATGAATATGGAAACCAACAAAAAAACACAGCCCCAGTGAGAGTCCCTCGTACATTGAGGTTCTTGCGTCGGTGGTGTGCTCCTCTTGACGAGAACGATGATCATGTTGAAGCATTGTATGAGTTGAAATGTTTGGTCACGCATTTCGGTCGACACGATAATGGCCACTACGTTGCGCTTGGAAAACGTGGCAAAGATTGGTATTCTTTCAACGACGAGATTGTCACCAAACTCACCGAAGAAGAAGTTCTGAGTCGAGGAAATGGCTTCATGTTATTTTACGAATCCATCCCCTTCCGACCGCATTCGGAGGCCGCAGCAGAGAGGGTGTCGATTGTTGCGGAACATAACGAGAATCCCCGAAGCGCGGAAGAAGAAGCATGCCAGGATCTAACGGACGTCCTGCCCGAATCTTCAAAGAGTGACTTGGACTCTAGTCCACGACGCTCGTCGACCCTCACACCATCATCCCCCGAGTCACCTCAGACACCTTCCTGGCCTTCGGAATCAAGTTCTCCAGTTGAGCCACCGCTAATCGGTGGCGAGCTGCATAAAGAAATTCCTTTCCTGCCCATGAGGACGGCCAGTGATGTTACCAGCCGTACAGAAGAACAGCACCCAACAGATGCTCCTATAGTGTCCGCTCTATAACCAGATTGCCGCAGCTATGGATTAATGACTGATGGCGAAAGCCTAAAAATGATACCCAAAGCTTTTTTGCTGTTCAGATTGTTCAATGAGAAGCATTCAGGCGGCGGTCAAATAAATAGCGTCACACAGCGTATAAGCATGACATGACTGTTTTACAACTTGTCTATCTTGAAGATTTTAGAACCTGTTTGCGCGTCCCACTCCATTCAGATTACTCAAAATCCCTTTGTCCAGCTTATATGCCGTTTTCCGAATTGGGACTTGGTGAGTCATGCAGGCAAGCTCCGCATTGGTTGCATCCTATGCTTACATACTCTCTCCGTCAACTACAAATCGTCGTCATTGGGGGCGGGTGCACCAGATCTGCTTCGACTGCAACCCTCGCTCAAGGACAAACGGTACACCTCCTCATAACGTCTTATGGTCAAGGCTATTGAAGGTTACCCTTTGTAAAATTCCTCAACTTGTCACTTTTTCATCCTAGAATTTTGTGGCGGTGCAAATATGTCGACGCCGCATGGTGCCCCTCACCTAAGCAGGAGGATCAGCGAGTGTTTGCCAGATCATGTATGTATGGATTGAACAGCAAAGCCTCATAGTTCAAGACTGACAATCGTCAAGGACCATGGTGATTCCAGCAGCGAAGATGAACACAACCGCAAGATCGAAGTGAGTCCGCCAACGTCCTGAGTTCAACGCAGACTGACAGGAAAAACCTGGCCACTAGGTCGTTTTCGACTCCGACAGTGTACGCCGCCGCAAATCTTCTGTCGTCCTTTCCGAGACACCCAAGGTGGAGAAACCGGTAAGGCATCATGCGCCTCGCACCAAATCGCAGTGCCTAGTCCACAAGATGGTAGAGAATACCTCCCTAGGTCAACAGCCCCAAGTTGAATCGAAGCTGGAACAAATCGATGAGGTTGATCGGGGCATGCAGTCAGAAGCCAATGGAGATGCCTCGGGAAGAGATGAGATACGGGCGACGCAGTCTCGCTTGCTTACGAAGAAGCAGTTGAGTGATATGGCCATGAGTGTAAGATCGTTAGCAAAGAGACTGAGGAATTTAAAAGTGAAGCTAAAGATTCGAGCCATCTTCCTCCTCACCAAAGTATATGACAAGACTTTGATTGCAAAGACAAGAGAGGTGGCTCGGTGGCTGTTGTCCAAAGATCGATCCGTGCCTTACATCGTCTATGTGCAAGATACGATGAAGGACAATGAGATTTTCGATGCCCAGGGGTTGATCGCTGAGGATCCCTCGTACGCCGAGCGCTTGAAATATTGGGATACCGAATTGGCCCGGAAGCATCCTCACACATTCGATTTCGTGGTCACTTTGGGTGGCGATGGGACAGTACTTTATGCGAGTTGGCTCTTTCAGAGGGTTGTGCCCCCGGTACTGTCCTTTGCCCTGGGTTCCTTGGGGTTTTTGACAAAATTCGACTTCGATGGCTACCAACATATTCTGTCACAGGCCCTCAAGGATGGTGTCACGATAAGTCTTCGATTACGACTCGAGGGCACTGTCATGCGGTCTCACAAACGAGATGATGATGCCGAGCATCGAGATATTGTGGAGGAGCTCATCGGCGAGGAAGCGGACGATCGAAACACACATAAACCAGACCGGACTTTCGAAATTCTCAACGATGTCGTGGTTGATCGTGGGCCCAATCCGACAATGTCAACCACTGAACTCTTTGGAGACGAAGAACATTTGACAACAGTTCAAGCTGATGGGGTCTGTGTCGCCACTCCAACTGGCTCCACGGCTTATAATCTCGCAGCGGGCGGATCATTATGCCACCCTGAGAATCCTGTCATTCTTGTCACGGCAATCTGTGCACATACCCTTTCATTCCGACCCATTATTCTTCCGGATACTATGGTGCTTCGACTTGGTGTCCCTTACGATGCGAGAGCCAACTCGTGGGCCAGTTTTGATGGAAGGGAAAGGTAAGTCACAATACTCTCATTTCTGGGATGTTTAACCTGACTGGCGTAGAATTGAATTGTTTCCTGGGGATTATGTCACAATTTCGGCGTCAAGATATCCGTTCGCAAATGTGATGCCGCCAGGGCGACGAAGCGAGGAATGGGTCAAGAGTATCTCGAGAACACTACAATGGAACTCAAGGCAACGACAAAAGGGGTTTCATGAATGGGCTGGGGATAAGGTGGAGGAAGTGAGTTGAAGAAAGAGACTCCAATACAGGAAGAAGCGGCGGACAGGCCGGATCCCAAGAACTGAGTGATAGAGCTCGTAGAAAACAGATTGATGACAAGCATATTGAATCAGTTTAAGAGAATTAAAGAGCAGGAAGCTCGTCTCCAACGAAGCATAGCATACCATCGTGACCGACCACGACCTGTCAACGATTAATGGCGCAAGGCTGAAGTTCCTACCTAAAAGGAACCTCGGTGAACCTTGGTAAATTATCTGTGCCCACTTTGCTCTGGACTTTTTTTGACGCTTTTGTCTTCCTTCATCCCTCGACTACTATTCGGACCCCCCAACCCTCCGCATCGGATCTTACTCTGTTTAAGCATGGCTGCCCCTCCTCCAGGCTTGACCATGGGCTCATATCCACCTTCTCACACATCCTCGCCGTCCCGTCATCTCTCTCAATACTCAACCTCCAGCAGCACCATTGTAGGCGGCACCTCAACTCCAACCAGTACTGCGACCTCTACCCTTCGGTACCCGTCGACCCGCAAGACCATCTACGATCGTAACCTCAATCGCTCTCGAAATGCCGAACTCTCCCGCGCCAGTTTCGCATACCTCTTCATGGAAATGGTCTCGTACGCTCACCGCCGAGTCAAGGGCATTCAGGACTTTGAAAAGAGATTGAATGAACAAGGATACCCTCTTGGTCTCAAGTTGCTGGACCTATTGCTCTATCGTGCCAGTCCCGCGGGCAGTTCCAGCTCAAGTTCATCAACGAGCAGTTCAAGCGGAACAGGTGCCACTCGCCCACTGCGGTTACTCCCGCTGCTCACGCTGCTTACTACGAAATTGTACCCGTTGCTGTTTTCACGACCGGCAGACTCGCTGGAACAGTCGACGACCAATCCGGGCGAATATATGATCATCGACAACACACCGTTGACGAATCAGTATATTTCGGTGCCTAAAGAAATGAACCAACTCAGTGTGGCGGCCTATATTGCAGGAATCATAGAGGGAATTTGTGATGGCGCTGGCTTCGAGTGTAAAGCCTCGGCGCATAACACGGGGACCGATATGTGGCCGAACCGAACGGTTTTCTTGATCAAGTTCGAGGACTATGTTCTCGAGCGGGAGAAGGAGTTAGAGAGACAAGGGATTAAGGGATGACAATGATTGGATCGAGACTGTTGCGAAAAACCAAACAAGCGAATCTTAGCATCCGCGCTGGAGGAACCCGAGATGGGTTTGAAGATAGTCAGGGATGAGTTTCTCTGCTATCTACGTGCTAACAGCAAGCAAAGGCTCAGGGTCGATGGATTTCAACCAAAGTTTCCGCGCTTGGCCCCTGGAGACTTGATCGAGCTTACTAGTATGGTAACGGTCCTTGTCGTTTCGACCATACGCTGAGCTTACTCCCTTTGCGTCGAAGGTCGCTATACTCAATAATCTGCCCAATCCTGTTTTTTCTGATGGATTTGGCATATCTATGCCGGTGTTCAGCTGGCCGTCTGAATGACGATGTTTGCTCTACGCCGGGGAAAGTCTGTGCGGCTAACGGAATGTTGTTGTCAAGCTCTGCGACGGTGATGCTAGACGATGCATCCCGCTAACCCTGGGGCTGGCCAAGAGGGGGTGTCTCCGGCCTGATTGGGTCGAAATCAAGTCGGTTACCCCGAGGCTGATCTGGGGTTGGTGTTTTAGGCTTAGTCGGATCCGGCTTTGCGATGCCGAAGTCGTGAGATTTAACATCGCACCCATTGTCTCCCAAAATCGCGCTCGTATCATTGACGCTGAGGAACTCTTGCGACTGATCCAAAGGAGGCGTCTGTGGTGGCCGAGGCTCTACCTGGGTAGGTGTGATGACGAAGCTGAAGGAGGTTCGGGTTTGAACGAACATTCCTGCAATGACTAAGGTCAGGATTGGTCTTTGCAAAATGCCAAAATGCAGTGATACCTTTTTCAAGGAGCTTGCCTGATACAACCGTCTTCGTTCTCGGTTCTGATCCCGATGTATTTGATATATCGGGGCGTCTGGAGGTTTTTGATCGATCTTAGAGGTGTTGTCTTGCTAGAGTATGGAAAGAAGGAAAGATCTTCCAACCCGGCAGAGAAGTCCATGTTCTTATGCCTCTCAGATGGTGCAAACGAGCGGCGTTTGCATTGAGAGCAGCTCTGCGATGAATCTCTGCGTTCGATGCTCCGGTACCGTTGACAATAATCCTGCTCCGTGTGAGAGGAACACTGTCATCAAACTGCCATGAAATGGGTGTCCGCATGGCGTCCGAACACCCTGGTGAACGTCTCGTGATGCAGGATATCAAGACTATTCCAGCTAGTGCCAGTCACCGCACAGTTCAACAGTGGAGGTAGTACCATTTGACATGGCAAGACATCGTGAGACTTTCAAATGGGTATGAAATGCCAGTGCCCCCCGGATATGGTTGGATTGGGTGATATAGTTCCTTGTGGCGGGAAAAGACGGCAGCGGATTCCGTTTTCTTCGGGTCTTCGAGACTGGGGACTTATATCTTGAACATTGGCGGCATTAGTTTTCCTCTCCTCTTTCACTCCATCTCCCATGCTTGGGCCCCAAAGCCACCTTCGATCAGCAACAAGGTCATTGTAGGGCATCCCACATGCTGTAACCATTCTGGCGGATGATGGACTACATCGAGGGAAAAATTTTGGGCTTGAAGAAAGATAGGCATAAAGGGACGAGCGAATGTGGAAAAAATTTACTGGCAATGTGAGAATCAAGACTTTCGCCGAGAACTAAGGGGGTACATTGAGTTGGATGTGGCCCTGAGCAATCCCTACCTTGATATTGGTCGGTCCTTATCTCCCGGGAATGGCATACACCTAGATGGAATCGACATTAATGAACTCTCGCAAGAGATGTCATTGAAGCTGCCCGCTCGCCCAAGTCAAGTTCAGTTTCATAGCACTCTTCAGAGACATACCATGCTATCATGTTTTCATATCCGAATACTTTTGATCTTTTCTGCTCTCCCTTTCTTCTTTCCTACATAAGCTAAGTCGAGCCGAAAGAAGACGCAAGGCCTGGTCATTTAGGGATGCAGCCTCAGTATGACTTAACCCCATGGTGTCTTTCGCCCTCTCGATCACGATCACGATCTCTGGCATGATACTCATCTCGAGATTCCCAATCCGTTTTCCGTCTGCGCGGAGACCGCGACCGAGTCCGTGAGCGCGAGTAGAATCGTTTCCTCCTATCACGGTCACGATCCCGATTCCTTTCATATTCACTATCTCGATATGAATCCCTCTCTCTGTCTCTGACTCTATCCCTATTCCTATCTTGTCTCGGGGCAACAGCGCTCGCATTGGCGCCTGTTGGTCCACTTGCGCCCCCTCCCCTTTGGTCATCAGGGAGGAATCTCTCGTCGAGACCTCTTGTATCAAAATTCGAAGCAGCGCCATCCTGGCCATTCCCAAAGCCGCCAGCACCACCACTGCCACGCCACCTCTTCACATCCTCGCCGAATCGTCCAGTGTCTTCGCCCTTGAGATCTCTGTGCCTTGTCCTGCCTTTCTTACCTAGTTTTGTCATGTCCCGCAGCTGCATGTACTCCGGCAATGTAGATTTGTCGAGGACGTCGTCTTCAAAGCGTGCCCCCATAATGTTCCGCCGCTTGAGATGGTCCGCGGTCTCGTCGCCTTGAAAGAACGCGCCACTATGGTGGTAGCGAGCAAGGAACTGGGCCTCAGTCCGGTTATCCTCGTGGTCCCGCCGTTGTTTGTCGATGAACTCTTTGTCTTCTTTCTCGCGCTCCTCAGCCGTCAGGTTGCGACGCCGCTCAATCTCTTCGAGTTCCTTCTCCCGGGCAATCAAGGCTTCGCGGTCGCGCTTCAACCGCTTCAACTCCCGCACTTTCCAAGCTGCATATTCGGCTTCTGGGTCCAGGCCGTCGGTATCATCGACCATGGACTCGGGTAGGATTTCATCGTCATCATCCCATGCTTTCTTTCCCTGAGCACGTGCCAGGGCGTCGCGTTCCAGTTTATCTTTGATCATAAGGTCTGTTTGGGCGAGGCGGCGGGATTGCCTGTCACTTTCGGGGTCGGCGCTAGAGCTCATAGGGGCCCCATTTACAGAGTCTGCGGAGGTGTTTGCGGATGATTGTTTGCGGTCTGATTTTTTGATGAACGTCGGACGTTGGAACTTTCGCTGCGGTTCTTCGTCTTCGGACGAACTCTCTTCTTCCTCTTCTGTTGATTCGTCCTCTTCTTCAGATTCTGCACTTGTTTCTCCTCGCTTGATGGGCGGTGGTATTGAAGCAGTGGATGAGTGCTTTATTGGCTGTTGTGGTGATTTGGGGGACGCGTCTTCATCTCCATCTCCATCTTCTAGCTCCGTCACAAATCCCTCTTCGTCGTCATCTTCACTTTCCTCTTCTACTGCAGCTTGAGGTCTTATAGGTTGTGGTCTCGCTGGTTGAGGCTTTCGTTGTTGTGTTTGTTGCTGTTCCTCCACGGATTCTTCTTCCTCGTCAGATGATTCTTGCTCCGCAACTGGTTTTCCTGGACGATACCTTGCAACGGGTTTGGCTGGGTTTGCGGTCATCCGCTTTGCGGGATTAGGCATGGGGAGCGGCATTTTCTTGGTTTGAAATATCCAGATTTCATGAGATCATGAGAATGCGTCTAGGATTCAGAAGGCCGTAATGGCGAGGCATGCCTTATTCGAACTCAGGTTGGAATTGATCTATGACCAATGCTCGGAAAAGTTGAGGTTGCGCAGACGTTGACTACGGCGGAGCAAAATGACATGCACCGAATCTTCCTCTCCCAATTCTTTGCATAGAGACAAGCGTATTCATATGAATGAGATATTGAGGTGATCGTCGTTGATCAGCTGCAATGCAAATTCGTCAACACGGGACAATTTTCCTCGTGTACTCGTCCTTGGACAATGCCATTCAAGGCGAACTCTAGTAGACTGAGAAGCCCCGAGTGTGGCCCCTTTGCTAATGTGATAAGCGATGGGTTGAAATGTGAGCCCTCCCAAATCATGCTACTACTCTTTATTCTTCTCAGGTACCATGCTTGTTGGCCCAAGTATTTTATCCAAAAGTCTCCTTGCATCAAGCTTCTTGCACTTCATTCTCTGTTCAAGATTATCTGTTGCCCAACAGAATCTGAAGATGTTATCTTTCTGATCTCGCATCAATGGCGTCCGGGACCTCGTCTCTTATGCAACTGCCAATGAAGAAAATTTAGATGACATATTCTACCCTATGGGTAACGCTGCAAGGGACATATCATATACACTGAAAGATCGTTACATGGCAACTCTATCATAGTGGGGAGATATTGAACAGTTACTGGACATATGGGATAACAAATAAGCTTATGAATGCAACGGAGAAGACAATGGCATATTGTGGACCTTTCTATCTTTACGGAACAACAAGGAACCAAGTTGAAAGTCCTTCACTTTTCACAGATTGGCCTTCCACCAAATCGGTAAGATACAATTCAACTCCGACTAGCGGAGATGACCAAAGAAGATGGACCAGTGCTTTTGATACTGGGTCCAGAATCGCTGCTAGATCATAAGGGTGTCTTAGATGGAGAAAGATGCCTCAAAACGGAACCAGCAAAGCACGACCAAAGGCGAAGCTTTGAGCTGATCATTACGTTACTTGTTCCTGGCAGCGCTCTGATATTTGTCAACTATGTCCAAACTTCAAGCCCTATACATGGCCAGTGATTACGAAGGATGAATTTATACCATCAGGCGTCAATGGATATTTGCTATCACGGTGTCTTTGGATATGTGATGTTCAAGAGGCAGGGATCGCTCCTCAATATATATGTTTATAAGAGTCAAACTCACGGCGTAATACCTTCCCTCGTATTTCTAGCTAACTCGTTCTAGGTCTCCTATCCAGGTCAGAGGGGTCCAAGGCGGTGTGGCTTGAGAGTTCCGAAACCAGCCTCAGCACTTTTTCAGTCAACATGTAAAACTTCTGCAATCCTGACCCTTTGGGACCCATTGCTCCTCCTCTTCGACTGGCCTCTACCAGCACCCCACAAAATGGCTGTGGAGGTCGTAAATGTTCCCATGATCCTCAATGGATCGACAGATCCTGAAAAGGCTGCTACCGACCTCGCCTCTGGTGTGAGTCAGGTAAGGCTCGACGAAGAACCTGCTCAACCCAAGGCCGAGCCTCCGGCGGAATCGGGGGCTGAAGAAGAGATTCCACCCGCTGCCCCAGCTGCCACGATGGCAAGCGAAACGGAAAACCTGCCTGCGCCTTCTTCATCAAATCCATCGAAGCTACCACGCACCTCAGCCGATGGCCTCATCAAGAAACCTCTCGCAGAACCTCTCGAGACTTCCAAGCCAGTTCCAAGGCCGGCCTTGTCTACAGATCAAGAGGCAAAATATGCAACACTGCTCAAGAATGTGTCTGCGTGGACGGAAATTCCAGAGAGCTCTGCTAGAGGATCCAAAACCACACCTCTAACCGAATCCGAGCAGATGTTTATGACAAGAGAATGTCTATTACGCTATTTAAGAGCTACCAACTGGAATGTGGCTCAAGCAGAAACAAGATTGAAGAATACACTGGTTTGGCGGCGCGAATACGGATTGGAGAAACACACCAAGGACTACATCTCTATTGAAAATGCCACGGGCAAGCAAGTGATCTTGGGTTGGGATAACCATGGACGAACATGCCTGTATTTGCGACCCTCGAAGCAGAATACGGAACGAAGTGATCGCCAAATCCAGCACCTCGTGTTTATGCTGGAGCGGACCATTGATTTGATGCCTCCGGGACAAGAGACCTTGGCTTTACTCATCAACTTTGCGGAGACCAAGTCTGGACAAGGTGCGACACTGTCTCAGGGAAAGCAGACCTTGAATATTTTGCAGAATCATTATCCCGAGCGTCTCGGACGTGCTCTCGTGACCAATGTTCCGTTTTACATCTGGGGCTTTTTCAAATTGATCACACCATTCATTGATCCATTGACGCGGGAGAAGATCAAATTCAACGAAGATATGGGCTTACACGTGCCGCGGGAGCAGTTATTGAAAGAGAGCGGTGGTTATGTCGAGTTTGAGTATTCTCATGAAGAGTACTGGCCAGCACTCAATGATCTGTGTGAACTAAGGAGGTCGGAGTATCGCAGCAGATGGGAGCAAGGAGGAAAGAAGATCGGCGAGTATGAAGGTTATCTCAAGGGAGGCGAGGAGAGGAGTCTGGCTGAGTGCGAGAAGGCAGTGGTAGAGGCATCAACATGAGCCTGGCTACGGTGGGAGTGGGGGGACTGCGAATGTCATGAATAACCGTACAGTGTTGGGTTACTGTTCAGAGGCCACGGATGTTAGAGCGTAGCGTAAACAGAAAGAGCATTCTCAGGAATAGATATTAATCAGTCCAACAGGTGAATTGTATAAGTTTCTTGTTGAGATGAGTGAAAGGACAATCACATGTCAGCGCAACTCCCGTCTGCGCCAATGGTCAGCGCAAGCGAAAAAACAGCCCACTCAACCCCAGCCCCCATGAACCGCGCCAATCCCTCATGCCATATCCCATTCTCCATTCCTCTGATCAGAAACCCTGAGGAGAATCCCTAAACGACAGGAAAGACAGTTTGCTTTTGCACTGCCAGTCTTGCATAGGATCCAGCGACCATCTTCCTTTAGCCCCCAATCTTTTCTGTCCCTCGAGTTCTGGTTGCCCGCCTTCTCCACAATTCTGACTTGCCATCGATCCTATCTTTAGCGAAACGCACACGCAACGCACACTCAACTGCGTACCAAAGAGTTTATTCTCAAGGGGAAAAGATGCCGTTTGATCGGTCGCCATGGCAGAAAGCGATGAGGTGAATCAGATGTCCACCGGCCAACCTACTCCTGCGGATCATCCTCATCCGCCGGTTGCAGCCCACATTCATCATCATGGTCACGAGGGCACCTTTGTCCGTCCATCAGACTTGCTTCGTCCAAGAGCCACATCTCGACCAATCGCCCCTGCGAAACCTGATCGACCCATCGATAGAGATGAAAGAGCCGGCTTGGTAAGGACATAACTCTCCACAATACGTGGGATGGTCAAGACTGATTTTTCCGGATAGAAAGCTATACGGGATTTCCTGAGAGTGCGTAACTGTTATGAAGTCCTACCTCTCAGCTTCAGACTTATTGAGCTTGATGTCGGTCTCACGGTCAAAGAGAGCCTCAACATTCTGGTTCAGTGTGGTATGTGACAGAATGACGGTGTTGAAAGGAATGTGTTGACGATGGACACAGGTATCGTCTCTGCGCCGCTATGGGATTCGACCACTTCGACCTATGCCGGTTTGCTCACCGTCAACGACTACCTCAACGTCGTCAGATACTATAATCTACATGCCGACCAGCTGAAGGACGTTGATAACCTATTACTCAGCGACTTGAAAGGTGAGGATAGTCGAACAAAATCAGAAGCAAATATGACGCTGATACGTTGAAAGATGTCGAGAAAGTCCTTAACGTCAAACCTCCGGAGACCGTGTCGGCTTCACCGGAAGCCATCCTATATGATGCTCTGCGGAAACAACTAGTGTCCCGAGCTCGTCGAATTCCTTTGGTCTCATATGATAGCGACACCCAGAGAACCATGATCACTAGCGTTATCACCCAATACAGAATTCTCAAATTCATCGCGATGAATGTCAAGGAAACCGACATGCTCAGAAAACCGCTAGAAATTATCAGACTTGGTACCTACGGGAACATCGTCCGTTGTAGTATGGATACAACGGTCTTGGATGTAATAGACGAAATGGTGACCAAAAATATATCAAGCGTTCCGGTGGTGACGACGGAAGGTGGGTAAGACTTATTCGCGGGGCGCCATGAAAGTACTGACTTCGTCCCAGGTGTCCTTCTGAATGTTTTCGAAGCTGTCGATGTAATCGAAATTCTCAAGACTGGAGACTATGGAAATCTCACTTGGACGGTCGGCAAAGCTCTTTCCGCCCGGTCACCAAATCATCCTGGGATATACTGCTGCTCGTTAGAAGACGGGCTTGACACAATCTTCGAGACGATCAAGAAATCACGAGTCCATCGGTTGATGGTGGTAGATGAGAACAATTATCTCAAGGGTGTTTTGTCACTCAGCGACATTCTACAGTACCTATTGGTCGAAGGTCAAGAGGAATGAACTACACATTTAATGAATGATGACTTCAGACTTCCCAGGAAGCTGGGCCGCATTAGCCCGGCGTTCCAAGGACCATCTGTCTGGGCGTTCTGGTTGGACGGTAAGCGGGTTGCTATCTCACGGTGGGAAACGGAAATCAGAACAATGAATAGAGAGAAAGTGCTGGACATAATTGAACAGATACCAAACATCACATTTGCAGGAAAATATCAAGATATGAATCAATGGCGGGCACAACCAAAAGCCAACGTCAGTTTCGAAATTCAAACTGTCATCATTTTACCCTCTGACAACTGAACCATGAGCCTACTACAAGGCCGCATTCAAGCCTAAGGATTGGGTGTACGCCCCCAAACGCAGAGGAAGGGCTTGGAGCGCCAAGGCGTGAGCCTCGACGCGCTAGAAACCCCCCCACATTTCGCTCGCCGGACGCGTGATTTTCACTGCAACGCGTCAAACCCATTTTCAATCCTACAATGCTCTTCCAACTCTAAGCGTTCGCCATGACAGACATGAAAGAAAACCTCAATGCAGTCTTCGACCCCGCGGGCCGGGGGCTGTCCCCCGACATCCTGGGTGTTTTGGAGTCCACGCTGCGCCTGCACTCGATGACCGCGGACGAGCTATTTATCAAGTGGGAGGTGTATTGTTTGAAGATGGGCAGCGAGGAGACGAAACTTGACCTGGAAACGGCACGTCTTTTTGCAAAGGATGTCCAGGATGGTGTGGAGCGAGGGATCGCGAAGAGTGGTCCCAAGTCCGAGAGAAAGAGTGTAGTCCACGCTACACCCAGGGCTAGCGGCAACGGTGACGTTTTCGGGATGTATGTTCTCCCTCGTGAGGCCCTCAGCGAGTCTGCAGGGAAACATGAGTAGCTAGAACTGACGAAAAAATAGGCTCGACGAACTCACGCCAAATGCACTTCCGCGACGAAATGGGAGTGTAAAGAGGAAAGCTGACTTCGACTCTCCCATGCCGAGAAAGCTCAGCCGACCTGAGACTACGAGCGAAACACCCGGAAAAGGAGGAAAGCTGGACGGATTTCCGTACGGCCAAAGTTCTCTTCCCCGACCAGCATCCGTAGCTAACGAATGTTGCAGAGGAATCCCATTTTCCGAAAGGCAGAACGCAGGTCAAATCGTCGAGACGTTGAACGACCATCTCCCCTCTGCCGACGCGCCTCTCGCACCATTCTCAGAAGCCCGACTTCGCTTGATCTCCGGAACCGAGTATAAGAAATTTGCATATAAGCCTATGGCGATGCGGCTGTCAGATTCCTCAGAGGTTCTGGACGAACGAATTGATGACTTTTTAGCGCTGGTCCAAAAATACCATAATCTTGATGACTCCGCGTTTGGCAATGCCGCTGCACAAAGTACCAGTGAGATTATTGCCGTTGGAAGAATCGCATCCGATACTGCAGAGGGAAAACTAAACTCTGCTTCTCTGGTCTTGGAGATGTCAAGACGGATGGGTGCCGGACTGCGGATCCCTTTGAAAGTCGACACTTTGCTATCATACCAATTCTTCCCTAGTCAAGTGGTTGCTTTGCGTGGCACCAACGCCTCTGGTCTCTACTTCACAGTCAAAGAGGTTCTTTCAGTTCCACAGCTTCCCATGCCTTCATCTGTTCCCAGTGACGTAATGGCAATTAATGAGAAGCTTGAAACCTCAGACGATTCCACTTCAACGCCACTGAACATCATGATAGCTTCTGGACCATACACGGCCGACGACAATCTCGACTTCGAACCTTTCCAAACTATCTGTGAGAAAGCCTCAGAACACATGGCTGATGCCCTCATTCTGAGTGGTCCCTTTCTCGATATCGAACACCCCATGCTGGCCTCCGGAGACTTCAACCTGCCGGAAGTGCGAGGATTAGACCAAGATGCGAGCATGGCAGCATTATTCCGCCTTTGGATCTCCGCTCCTCTCCAACGTCTCTGCACAGCAGTTCCCAGCATCTCCGTCCTCATTGTCCCCAGTGTGCGCGACGCAATCAGCAAACATGTCAGTTGGCCACAAGAACGACTTGCAAAGAAAGATCTTGCCCTGCCCAAACAGGTCGTCATGCTTCCAAACCCATGCTTCATCACCCTGAACGAAGTGGTATTTGGTATCTCCTCACAAGACATCTTATACGAACTCAGTCGGGAGCAGCTGTCCCATGGCACCGTATCGGATCTCTTGACCAGATTACCCGGATATCTGATCGAGCAGAGGCATTTCTTCCCTCTCTTCCCGCCCATGTCTAGGGATAGATTGACCAGTAATGGCGCCGTAAAAGCCACGGGTGCCTGCTTGGATATGGGATATTACAAACTTGGTGAATTCTTGCAAGTCAAGCCCGATGTGCTTGTCTTGCCGAGTATGTTGACGCCTTCTGTCAAGGTAAGTTCGAACCGGAAGATTCAATTTCGAATCAAAATGCGTTACTGACCTGGAGTTTAGGTCGTAGACAGCGTCATGGTGATCAACCCAGGCCAATTATCCAAACGGAAAGCTGCAGGAACTTTTTCTCAAATCTCTCTGCAACCGCGAATATTGACCGAGGAGGAGAAAGGAGCCCGGAATGTCCCGAATAAGGTGTTTGAGCGCGCAAGAGTCGATATCGTAAGGATATAGATGCCGTCGATGAAGTTGTTCGGCCATCTTTTCAATGTTGCATGTCGTGTGCGCTCGTTGGATGCTGTAGGACAATTGTATCATCTCATTAATGGTTTCATGAACCATGAAAACTACTACTTCGTCGTCGTCGTCGTCTTCTCCTCCCTGTTTGCCTTCTCTTCATCGTAAAAGTAACAGTGGTGTGCGTTTCCCTTCTCTCATGGCCCTGGGCCTCTGACCGATCCCATTCGCCCTCACATCTGCCACGAGTCCTTCGAGCCCCAGATCTCTCCAGACCGGCTCCCTCTGCACGCCTGCATTACTTGCCTCACCACCTGGTTCAGCTGAGCCCGTCACACCACCGCTCCCGCCTACGCCGCCCACGGGGACGGCGCTGATTTGTCCTCCCGCTCCTCCTCCAGTGTCCGTCTGATGCTGGCCAAGTGCCCGGTTGATCCCAAACGCCGCATGCATGTCTGGCACCACGTCATCTTCGTCCTCTGGGTTCAGCGGCATTAGGTGTGGAGGTAGCGCGATCTCCTCGAATGGTAAGAAGTGGCCGGGTAGTTGTGTCATGGAGCTATCGCCGATGCCGGTTCCAACGCCGCCTGTCGTGGAGGATGGTTGTCCGCCCGCTACGTTGGAGGGTTGTTGTCCTTGGTGCTGATGGTTCGAGGCATTTGGAGGCCCAATGAAGGGAGTGGAGGATGGTGGGCGGCAGAATTCTTCGAAGACGTCCGCGAGGCGCGAGGAACGTAGGTGGATATATGTTGCGGAGGAGTCACGGGACTGGATTGGGTTTGCGATGGCGGTTAGTGTTAGGGCTCTTGACAGAGAGCGGAATAAGAGGACAAGGGAGAGCCCACCATTTTGAGAATGAGTAAGAATAGGAGCCCGAACAAGGATCCGGAACTGGATGGGTAGAGATCAATGAGAAAGACGGGGATGAGTAAAAGTATATAGGACAAACTTGTTGAATATTGTGCTAGCGCCGCTTATGCAAAGTACCCGGTGCGTGTCCGAGTGTGTGCCTGGATGCCAAACCTAGTGCCCTGGACTATGTAGGATCATCAATCGCGCTCGCTTTCCTAGATAGTATTTTCGGACGGAGCGAATTGGTGTTCTCAATACTTGGAAGTTGACGAAAGGGTTTCAGAAGTACGAGGTCTACGGGTCTTGACTAAATCACGGGTAAACTTTGATCAAGACCACGTTGTCCCGGCCTTTCGAAGCTTGAAGATATGTCGGACAAAAAGGGTATCCCCTCTGGCTATGTGGACATGCATCTTCCAAACAAAGTGGCATATATACTCAGCCCAAAACTTTCCAATTTACAGCATTGATGCTTCCCTGCATGCTCGTGGTACATTTTCAAGATATCGTTTTTCCTTTCCCGACAATCTTCGGTCCATCAACAAGACTCGTCTTGCCATATCTCGTGAAATATTTCCTCCAGTCATGTTCTTCCTTGAAACCGAGCATGTCTCTGATTTTCCGATTACTAATCGGCGCTTCATACTGGGCCGTCACCCTCGTATGCGGAATATGCGGGTACCATTTCTTCAGAAAGTCAGCTGTCTCTGCGGTGTTGGTGATGGTGTCGTTCACAGCATTGAAGATCTGAAATCCCAGCCCAGACACCTCGAGCCCACGATGACACATTTGGCCTAGGTCCCTGGCGTCGGTGTATGACCAGCCGTGCTGGAACCACTTCTCAGGCTCGTGGACGTAACCCCAGAACATGTCGGTGTCGTATTCGTCTGGTTCAAAGACACGGCCGATGCGTAGGCAGTAAATGTCCACGCCGAATCGGGCGGCGTAGCTTCGAGCGACTCGTTCACCACATATCTTCGATAGCGCATACGGGTCCGTCGGATTCGAGTCCATGTCCTCTGTGACTGGGAATGCCGGGTATTCTATGTTCCCCTGCCCAAACGACACGCCGTAGGTCGTGATGCTGCTTGCGATAATGATTTTCTTGATCCCCAATTTGCACGCCGCTTCAATTACATTGTGCGTGCCCATGACGTTGGTCCTGAACGTCTCGCCGTCCGACACAATCATCGGCTGCGGGACGCCAGCGAAATGGACCACCGCATCGGGAATCCTCGGCGGTACAGAGGGAAAGGGTTCCCCGAGGCGCATATGTGTGTTCAAGCAGCTGAAGACCTGACCGCTGTCGGTGATGTCGCATTTCAGGGTATGAATGTCCAAGTCTGCTGGTCTGGTAAGGTCGATATTGATGACTTCATGCCCATACCTGAGCAGCTCTTGAACAACATGCCCTCCGACTTTGCCGCTTCCCCCCGTAAACGCAACTCGTTTGCCAGACATATTATAGCCATCAACTTTTTGAAGCTGTTGTAATTAGCAATCGAAGTTTACCGGCATTATGGCGATGTAGAACTTTGCAGCGTCCAATAGGCGTTTTGGCATGTTATGAAGTTGGCGAAAAATACAAGCCCTGGGATGGCTTTCGGGTTAGCGCGTTCAAGTCGCGACCTTAAATTTCTCAAAAATTATGGTCCTATTCCTTTCGAGTCTTGAATTGACAAAATTTCCGGGAAGCTATCGATATTGCAGAAGGAGTCTGATGGATTAGTGTTGATGTTTGGTTCAGAACCGTTACTAGCAGACTTGTGGCCTCTACCGCTAAGCCGCAAACGGAAAGACTGGTTAGATTGCACGTCTCTCCAAATTTTCCATTCTCTGGGGCCCAGATGATGTGGCCCAGATGATGTCAGCCAAAGTTCCAAGAAGAGTTTTGGTCGAGGACACTGTCTGTGTTCATCTGAAAACATGCCCACCTGCCTTAAAATTTCTTCCATCGACCGAGGCGGTCATGCTGTCGCTGGACTAGGTCATGGTCTGCAGTAAGCACCTCTATCAGAAACCCGGCCATCTCAAAATCTCAGTCAAATTGGCAAATGCTTAGAGAATCATGGAGTGTTCAAGCCTGCCGGAAAAGCGGCATGTCCTCTGCGCAACCTGATAAATTCTTTTTTCGTTTCGTGTTTGTGGCCAGCCGATGACAACAATTTCCAGGCAGACAAATGCATCATTTCCAACCATGTCCCATATTGAAAAGCATTCAGGTTTCTGCAATTTGTCAGTGGGCCTAGGACACATACCATGAAGTCTTTGGGCCAATTATTAAATCTTTTTCGCTTTCATGCCGCGACTTTGTCGTCCTACCTGCCGACTATCTCATATGTCTGCCGCCGAAACATCAATAAATTGGCATCATCAAGGTTTCAATACGTCCACAGTTGTATAATAGGGCAATTCTAGACTGTATCTTGATACCTAGAAAAGAGATTCGATGACCAAATATAGAATAGTTGCAGGTAATTCATGAGGGCTGTAGCCTTGTCCAAGCAGCCAATCAAAATAGAGTTTGTCTGAATCACGTGATATATAAAAAAATTCACGTGAACTTCAATTCTTGGCATCTCTATCCCACATTCTCAGTTCCGCCCCGAACTTTTCAACTGCGCAATCGCGGCTTGACCTCAACACGCAGACACCAACTCAACTTCCAAGTCCCGCGCTCTATAGAAGGTCAGTATTCCCTTCAACCTCATTGTCGTTTTACAATCCTGACCTTTCATTTATTTTTCGCAGCCACTTCCTGCCTACTTTGCACGACACGATAAGACGGTCAAAAACTTTTACAATCATGTCCCACGAGAGCGTTTGGTATACTCGGCCCCGAACTTTCGGCAAGGGTTCTCGCGCCTGGTAAGTTTTACACACCTCGGAATAAGACATGTTTGCCTTTATCAGACGGAATTGGCCCTAGTCCAAAGATTGCGATGTAAAGAAAGAACAAGCAGACATGGGGTTGGAAGAGGAAACAAGAGAATATCCTGCAGGACTCTTTTTCCCCCAACGAGGGACACATCATTTGGACGCTAGGGATCGGGCGGCAAAAAGAAGAGATGGAAATGACAATCGTACACGCCAAAGAACACATAGCTAACATTTATTTCTGTACAGCCGCGTCTGCACACATAAAGCCGGTTTGATCCGCAAGTACGGTCTGAATATCTGCCGTCAGTGCTTCCGGGAGAAGAGCCAGGATATTGGGTTCCTCAAGGTATGAAGCCGCCCCGAGAATTTAATTTGTTTTGTGTGCATCCCCCCCCTTTAAAAAAAAAAAAAAAAAAAAAAAAAAATTGAGATGAAAATCAAATGGGGTGGTGTGTTCAACCATGCTGGGGAGCGATTCGGAGTGGACGGGGCGAGTAGAACCGATGAGGGTGCAGGATGAGAGACTGACAGGATATGTTTTGCAGCACCGATAAACGGATTTCTCCGAACAAAGGTACTAGATATCAGATGAGTAGTTACGAACGAGGAGAGGGCCAGCGAAGAAGAGAAATGGAGATGAACCAGGGAAATTGAGATAGAGTCAATTCTCTTCAGTGGGTGGGGGAAGTAGTGGCAGACGAGAGTGCGTCCTGCGAAGACATGAAGAACGCAATGAGGGTGGTACCGGATCTACACCGTCACAACGAGAGAGCGAGCCGTCATACCTCTGCCTCTGACGACCGCGATTGATAGAAGGGCCTGGCGCATGTGCTTTTGTTTCCAGCATTGAAAAAAGAAAAAAAAAAAAAAAAAAAATCGCGGGATATGCCACGGTATGCTCTATCAGACCGCTTCGACTCGCATCCTTTACGCTGAGTAGACAAATTACCACAAATATAACTACTTTCAATTTTCATCTTCAGTGATTCCCAGATAACTGCCTTATGGGTTCATTGTTCTTGCGATGTCAGAGCAGGTCCATATATGTACGTTATGGTTTCGATGGATATTATCGTTCTCGTGGACGACGATCGAGGTCCAGCTGACGAGCCTGACTCTCGGATGTCATCACACTTAGACCTATGCTATGACATATAGTATCATGTCTGCCTCCCTGAAAACGATAGGCAAACTACAGAGCGCGCCGTCCAAGCCTATCCGCCGACATATCATGCCAGAGCCTGATCATCACCGTGGACGCCATTAACGGCCGGGACTGCACCAGGCGGCAGACTACCCAACTCACAAATGACCAGATCCAGAAACTCGGACGGCGTGACATCGTACATGAGATTCAAGAGGAATAGACCCGGCTGACCCCTCCAGCCTTCCAGTCCTGTATTCGAGTTGTTGCTGCTCTTGTCATCGCCGTCATCGTCATCTTTGTCTTTTGGATTAGGCTTTTTGGTGCTACCCTTTAGCGCGGCTGCCGGTGGGGAATTCGTCGAGGATAGAATGTCAGGTTGAGCAGACTCGACCAGAGCATCTGCCTCGCCTACTTCGTTCATGATGATACTATCCAACGCGGCTTTCGCGGTGAACTTGACCGTCTCACAAAGCACCACGACGGGAACGTTGCGTGTTTTATTCTTCAAAGATTCCTTCGCCATCATGGCGACCATTGCGGAACCAGCGCGTGACAAAAGTTTGCCATTCCCCAACATAGCCGACGCACCTAGAAAGCACTTGGTCACAGATTCCAGGTCCACCACGTCCGCGATTGCGCTAAGTAAGGCGTACTGGACTTTCAAGCCGGCACGGATGAGACTTCTCGCCTGGTTTTTGCCTTCAAACATCGGCCGCGAATCAACGACGATGACTTTGAACTTCTTGCCCTGACGGTGTGCGGTGATGAGGGTTTTCTCTACGATGCTGCTCTTCGCGTAGGTGAGAATAACGTCGCCATCGACAATGCGATCGCTTGCTGTACGTGCGATAACTTCGTCGGCCAATGTGATTCGTTCACGAATAAATAAGTCGATAGCCTGACAGAGACTTTGTTTTGCTTCACTGTCGGTGGCCTCCACTGGTTGTGTCGAGATGAGATTCTTGAGCCATCGAATGCTGTTCCCTTGACTCATGCTCAGCGGCCTCGCGTTGCGGAGATAGGCAATTTGGTGGTTCAGGTGAGTAAGAAGATGTCTGGAGAGGGCGACTCCCGGGGGTGTCGTGTACGTGTGAATGACTTTCTTGAAGGCGAGTAATGTTGCGACACATCGAGCATTTCCTCCGCATATGACATAGTCTCGGAGTTGTAGACCGAGAGCCAATACGGCGGGATGGATTTCACGTCCGGATCCTGAAAGAGTGGCTTTCTGTTCTTTCGGGTATAAATGTGAGAACATGGTGACGCGCTTGAGATCAGGTCGCTTCTCTTTCTCAGGAACTGTCGACGTTTGCGGTTGCTGTTGTTGTTGCACACCTCCACGTATGGGCAGAGCCTTTCCGCCAGCCGACGGAGTCCTCTTGTGATGCGAAACGGTATCACTTTCTCTTTTCGTCGTCGATGGTCTCCTCTGCGTCTCCGGTTTCGTTGCTGAACCACCCAGAACACCGTCCTGAGCCTGTGTTGGTGCCTGTGCTCCCCTCTCGGCGACCTTTTCTGCTCTCCTTGCCGCTTTTTCGGCAGCCTTCTGCTTTTTCAATTGCGCGCCTGTCAGTTTCACTCCGGCTCCTGCTTCTGCGACGTTCTGTTTTGTTGTTGTTCGAGGCGCGGAGTCCGGTCGAGGTTTCGATTTCCTCGCATCTTTCGTCTGCTCATTTCCATTCACGGTGGGAATTTGAGAAGTCTGGGCGTCCCCGTTGGCGCGTGTGCTTTCTCCAGGAGGAGGCATGGTGAAGGACGCGGCTGTAGGGTTGAGAGGGGTACTCCCACCAACATCGTTTGATTTTGAGTCACCCATGTCAGGCAGGCTGCCTAGTCGGGAGTTGCCAAATCGATCAGAACAAAGATAGAGAGAAGGGAGAGGTCCAAAGTATTTACTTCTCTTGAACGTAGCCCGTGTGAGCATTAGCTAGCTTGAATCATCACGTTTAGAACGGCGGCTTCTTCGAATCTGAAAGATGCAAACAGTGGGAACCTTTTTTGAATTGGAGAGTCACACCCAGGCGCTGGGCATCATACCATCCCCATCCTTCTGCCAAGAACAAGTTCAAAAGCAGCGTCAAATTTAATCCTCTTTGGGATGAGTCTGACGAGGCTGAGATTGCTCAATTGTTCTTCAGCCACCTAACGTGCCAAACATCAGAGTCTCAGGTAAGGCAAGATGGATTCCCGGAATCAAGAAACCATCTCCCTGGAAGGATGAAAACACGATTTGATAGCTCGGAGATTCGAAGATATCAAAATGGCTGCTGAGGGAATGCACATATCCACATATCCGTCAGGCCCACGGCGACACATCCGAGTCAAACCAGACATTGAGCTTATGAAAATCAGCCGATGGGGCCGTGAATATCTGGAAATGACTGACCGGGCCGGTGTTCCCCCTGAAATGTCTGGTATTGTTGTGCGCACATTGGAAGTAACTTCTCGAGATATCTGTTGCCATGGTCCAAGGCCAGAAAGTGGTTTGGAAGAGAAGGTAAGCTATGGAACGACTTGATCAAGCCCTTGAAGAACGCAAACAACAGTCTTAAGGAAGTGGGTCCATTCCTTCGGCCAGCAAGCAGAAACAAACAACCTCTGAGAAACAGGCAACGGCAGTGAACAATCCTTCCTCGGATCGAGCACCACATGACGATAGCAATGATGACATAGTCGAACTCATTGAGACACATGGTGATGATTGGGACCATAATCATGATGACTCAGCTGAAGTCATTATCCCAGGCTACCCCTGGGCGAAGATGGGGACGCTCACGAGTTACAAGGAGAGCTCCAGGCGAATCAATATCATAACTCCAAGCGATTTGAGTGATTCCGCTATCCCAAGACATTGGAGACGACGCTGAGCTCGGAGTCTGAGCTCGGAAGATGACGACATCTATCTCAGCGACGACAATCAGAACTTGCGCAGAGGTCCAGAAGGTCGTCCTCGTCATTGGTACGCTCATCAAATCCAGTATTCGAATGGGTTGAACCGATCGTTAACATATAATTAGAACAAGTGCTACACTCCCTCCTCCCGAGAGGCTCGTCATGATATTGTTTTCGGTGTTCTGGAAACCCTGTTGGAACTTGAGGAGACTGATGTCGAGTATCGCTCTCTCCTGACAGAAAAGAGCAACACTGCCGTAAATGACTTGAATTGTGTCCCATTTTAGTCATTCGGTCTAGAGCAGTTACAAACATTATCAATTCTCTGTTTCGCCTCTTGCCATCGATTCAGCGAGTTTGGGATGTTCATTATGAGCGTACGATCTCTGATAGAGTTGAAAGCTCGAGTTTTACTAGAGACAGAGAACTACGGAGCCTAACCAAAAGGATTGAAATCCCACCAAAATAGGCTTCCTCCCTTAGTCAAACATCCACCTATGCTTAAATTCTCAAATGAACCTTCGAAGGAGGTTAGCACATTGAAGCTACTCCCTTAGAGCACGCTATAGGGAATTGCATCCCGGCACAGAAAGTTGACTCGAAAGCTGACGATAAAGATTTCGATGTCCAGATAAAGGAAATCAAGGATTGGGAGAATGAGAAAAGATGAAGCAAGATAAACAACAAGAGCTTCAGCAGCAGTTCAACCGATGAAGAAAGAGAGAAACAGAGAAAGGTTGTTGAGACTCTGGCTGTCTCAGCACCGTTTTCGATATGTCAAACGTCCCTAATTGCCACTATCGAGTATTTCTCAAACAAGCTTTGTTTACAACATCTGGGAAGCCTGGCAAGTCAATGGACACGAAGATTAATCCAGGGGGCAAAATCAGAGGCTGATGCTCAGGAGGCATTAGGGAAAGCTAACCAGGAGTTGGACGAGATGATGTAGGTGCTAATCTTCAGGCAGGTCATAATAATGACATTGAAGCATACGATAGATACCAGTTACTCTGAACAGATTGTAGAGTTGGTATATTCGAGGATACGCGATGGGCAATGATTTGTGTGCCGGAAATCCATTTGTAGTCATCTATAGTCACCTTCCGCGGCATGGTGCGATGAAGTTTTCGTGCTCAAATGCGCAATGCACGGAGTGATCCTCCTGTGTCATATAAAAGGTATCCGGTCCTTCACCGGCTGACATCGCTTCCATTGTCATCTCAATTTGCAAATCTCCATCCTTGTACCACTTCCAGTCCTCGAAACAGATGATTTCTTGAGTCAATTCGTCGCCATAATCGGCTGGAGACAACTAAGCACGGCTGATGAGAACCAGCTTCCATCCCAGTTCCCGGGCTTCTGCAGGTGACCTTCCGCACTTTTGGCTTTAGAAGATGCTGCTTCGGTGTTTTTTCTCCGTAAGGGAAGGAAATCTGGATGAACGGAAAGCTAGAAGGTTGATCATGATTTCAACTGTAAATCTTTCGCACGTGGCTTCGTATGATGGAACTGGCGCGAGTGCGTGAGAGTAAGTAGCCGCTTCTTCAGAGTCATCAGAAAGAATGGAACTGGTTGATATAACTGTGTTTTAATCATTGTGAAGAACAAAAGTTGATATCAGGGAGGACGCTCCGACTCATTGTCAAAGGACGCACAGCCTTTTCAGGATTGCTGGCATCGACCGTGGTCTATCGCCTCAAGCGTCAGCTTGTACGAGGACGACTCCAGAGTATGGGGGAAAGGCACGCCCTATCATGACTTATTAGCACTCACTCTCTAAGACATTAGCTGTTACTCGGTCTCTCATTGATTGATTGCATTGCCTAACAAGCTGCATAAGCGGATCATGCTCCCCAGATGAAGAGACACGGGGCATCGGCTGCAACCAGTCCAGCAGCAGCCGCAATCAATCCAATAACTGATTCATTTCCTGCTAGGGATAAAATGGTTGCTGAAATCGTGCGACTTGAGGAAGAGGCTCCAAAGTTACAAGAGGCGGCCAAGCATCGGACATCGCATTGAGTGGGCTCGAAAAGCCAAAGACGAATTTATTGCAGCCAAGGACAAACTGAGAGCTGCAAACGACGCCCTAGAGAAATTGTACAGTGAGCACGAAAATACTTCTTTCCGTCCTTCACTCTCAAGCGACTCTCCCGAAACCTTCCAAATTTCCAAGCTCCTCACAGTTCAGAGTTGGTCTACCAACATTTTAGCAACCAGAGAGGGAATCTCACCATGAAATTGTCAACCGAAAGTCCACGCAAAGAGTTTCGTGATATGGACAACCCCAAGTTTGGCAATGAATCGGTGGTACATGCGATACAGGACGCCACCAGTGCTTGGGCCAAGGAGATGGCACTTGAAGATTTGTTACATGAGACGACTTTCCAGCAAGCTTTTCTGGAGCGAGCTCAGCTGGCCCTTCTCGTTGCGATGTCATTCCCAGCGCATGTATACTGTTTTGAAGGGCAATTCTTTCCAAAAGCCGTTGATGTGGTGTATTACAACGAGGCATTGGCGACCCCAGCGGAAGGACAGCCACCCATCTTGGATCCAGATGTTCTGTTGTCGCCATATCTTCGGTTTGACCCAGGTTATCAGATACCGCAAAGGTCAAGAAGATCTTTAGCGCTAGGTTCAGGCTTCTCAAGAGGTGTGACGGATGCAAATGCTGTCGTCGCATTGGGTGTGGCCCTTTGCGAGATCGGCGCATGGAAGGCAGTTTCGCGAAACATCTTTAAGGAGATGACAAAAATGGCCGAGGGTTCCCTCAATGAAGTGTCGCAGCAAGCCGGTCAGATTTCCTGCAATATCAGCCGGAAATGTCTGAAGTGGGCGGCTCCTTCGCTCAACATCAACTCTCAGACGACAAAAGAATTGGAAAATATTGTTGCACGCTCCATCGAGTCTCAGAGAACATAATATATATCACATACAGTTGCTGACTCGTGAGCACGTAGAGACATCTGATCTGCAGCATCGGGCCGTTTATATGTACATCGGAGAACTTGAGATTAATTGAGAGCCAGCCATAATCCACAACTTGAACGATGTACCGTAGACCTTTGATGGTAGACTGATAAGACACGAGATAAGAGTTGCTCAGCTCGTAGTACCTCCAAAAAGGCTTGTCTATACAATCCGTGATAATCGAGATTGAAGAGTTCTCGACCGCCGAGATAGTGATCCACTGGCTATCCTGCTAGGTTTCGGGGTTGAGAACATTCGCTATGAGTTACTTAGTAAGGACGAGGGCGAGGCTAGAAGCGGGTCCGTTAATCAAGGGCTTGAATAGCCTGGATCAGGAAATCGTCGACCCACTGATACCCACTACCCACATACCGTAGGTATCAATGAATTCTCGGATCCCGAGATAAGGTAAGATACTGCCCCGCTTTTGCGTCCGGTGGCTTCGTGATAGGTGCCGAATTCGAATGCGTCTATTTCCAGCCAGCCGGTGGACCATCAGGGAAAATCCGCCAAAGGTCTGCAGATCTCAGAACGGAGATGTCCAGAACCAGCGCGCTGTCTTTTAACCGCGATGGTCTTGAAGTAAACAGCCACGTCGCCCCTGTGCAGAACGAGTTCACACGCCAGTCTTGCAGTTTCTGCTTGCTGGAGACGACACAAGTGCAGAAGTACACCAACAAGAGCGGACTTGACTTGACTTTCCAAATATCGCGCTCATGGAATCAACACCGCATGCATCGTGGCAGAGGATAGCACTAGAGGCGCAAGTCTTACGGGACAAGGCGATCCCTTCCAACTGGCTTCTGAGTTCTCCACCGCGCGAGAACGTGCTAAACGTCACGAAAGTGCCGTATACCTGCGGTATCATGACGGAGAAAGAGCTTGAGCTGACAGATAAAGATGCAACGGAATTGTTGGCGATGCTCAAAGACGGCCGGCTGAAAAGCTACGACGTCACACTCGCCTTCTGCAAACGGGCGGCAATCGCACATCAGTTGGTAAGGGGCTTGAAAGCGTCTCGCAAGGCCGAGATCTAGATGGCTGATTGCCGGTTTGTTGTAGGTAAACTGCATGACCGAAATGTGGTTTGAAGAGGCCCTCGACCGGGCCAGAGAGCTCGACCAGATCTTCGCTCTGAGCGGCCCGGTAGGCGCGTACCACGGCCTTCCGTTCTCGATCAAGAACACCTTTGCTGTCAAAGGTCGGAGGTCATCGGGAGGCTATGTGGCCTGGTATGACAACATTGCCGGGGAAGATGCTCCGGTGGTCAAGATCATTCGGGACCAAGGTGCTGTGTTTTTCTGCAAGACCACCAATCCACAGACAGCCATGCATCTAGAGACCGAATCAAATCGTAAGTCTTGACGAATCCACGACCGAACACCCCCCCGACCAAAAAAGGGCGACCCTGTTGCTGACTTCTCGGCGTTTTATCAAAAGTATATGGTCGCACCTTGAACCCTTTCAACAGGATGCTCACTCCTGGAGGCTCCTCCGGGGGGGAAGGGGCTTTGGTCGCCATGGGTGGTTCACCGATTGGACTGGGTGGCGACGGGGGTGGCTCTATTCGATCTCCTGCTGCAAACAACGGTCTATTTGGAATGAAGGCGACCTCTGACAGGATCCCGTACCTCAGATCCGCCGCTATCATGCGAGGGTGCAAGTCGTTTCCGACCGTTGCTGGCCCGATTTGTAAATCTGCTCGAGACGGGGAGTACTTTATGAAGACTGTCCTGGAGACTGCACCCTGGGTCAGAGAACCATCTGTCGTGCCAATACCGTGGCGACAGATGTCGATGCCCGAAAAAATCACAATTGGTCTGTACATTGATGACGGTTCGGTGATGCCTCACCCGCCTATCACGCACGCGCTCAAAGCATTGAAAACCAAGCTCGAGGAGGACCCCAAGTTCGAGGTGGTCGAGTGGACACCCTACCAACACGATGTGGGATATGACCTGATTCGACAATTGTATTGGGAGGACGGTGGCGTCGAGACCATGGAGGTAATGACACGCTCAGGCGAGCCGGTTCTTCCATTGACCAAATGGGTGATGAAAGAGAGCCATGTGAGGCCGCGAACTTTGAAAGAAAGCTGGGAACTGAACTATCGGCGTGAAACCTTCCAGAGTATGGCCCTGTCTCGGGCGTTATCAAATTATCACATCGCTAATCAAGTCCTTCCAGAAGAGTATTTGACGAATTGGCTTTCGGCACCCAAAGTTCCAGACTTCCTGGTGGGCCCCGTAGGGCCCTCGGTGGCACCCAAACATGAGACTGCGCGGTACTGGGGCTACACAGCCATTTTCAACCTTCTTGACTACCCAGCCGCGGCTTTTCCAACCGGCTTGACCGCTTCAGCTGAGACACATGTTGTTGACACTGCCTATGTGCCAAGGGACAACGAATTTGATGAATATAATTGGAAACAGTACGAGCCTTCTGCATACGAGGGAGCGCCGATATCGCTGCAGGTTGTGGGACGCAAATGGGATTGCGAAAGGGTCTTGAAGGTTGCTGGCATGATCAGCGAGCTTTGCATGTTATCTGTAGGCAAGTCGAAGAAGTAGATAGTTTGTCATCCTACGGGCTAGTCCCAACTAGGCATAATTAGAGAATGATTGCTTGGTGCTTGTACCTCAGGCGATGATGAATTTCATCCTTTACAGACCATCACCGTCACGTAGTTTCCAGTAATTAATACTAGTGGGTCTCGGCAAGGCTGAGATCTTGTACCAGTCTAATCCTTAGATATCTTCGGCCGAAGACCATTTCATGACTCTAGAATCAAACGCGGTCAAAATAAATTTATTCATACCCGTTTGTACACTTTGAGCCAGGGTAGGCACCTTGTGTGGCCATTTAACTCCCTCACATACCCACCCATTGAAACCTCAAACACCTCGCTACCTACCAAATCATCCATGGTCGTCAATCTCCCCTGTTGAACACGTCCAATGCTTGCCCAGCCTATCGATGAGATTAACCAAAGTCACAGTCATGCTGCAACACCGATACCAAACATCCGGTGATCAGCAGCAACTTTCTTCTTGAACATTCCCAGGTCTGAGATCAATGCTTCCATCTCCGCTTGCATTTCCGCGACTTCATCATCACAATCAGACTCGGTATCGACCTCATCACTCGAAGCAGTATCGTCTTCATAGACCATATCCGGCGTCGGCACTCTGGACCTCTCACTTGCTGACTCGGCTTCGTCCTTGTTGATAATGATCGGATTCTTGAGCTCCTCGAGAACAAGCTTCAAATGGATACTCAAAGCTGCCTTCTCTTCCTCGAGTTGTCGGACCTTGGATTCTGAAATGGCCAGCTTTTCTTCCATGATTTGCAACATGTTTTCATATTTGGTGGTGAATTCACGGATCCTCTCAGATTGAGCATCGGCCGTTTCTTGAACGGCTTTCATGACCGAGGCACTCCCATTCTGTTGTTGCTGGCTTAGTGTCCACCGCAATGCACGAATGGTCTCTTGCATCTCAGAGATCTGTGCATCCTTCTCTGCCGATGAAACATGGTCCTGGTTGACGATAGCTTTGGTGCGAATATGTTTGGCCTGATCTGCATATCGCAGGGTCGACAACGTTTCGTCATAATCCGAAGGTGCAATACAAGCAATCATCGCAGTCTTGGAGTTTCCACCAAGTGAGTCCTTCAGCAACCAGGTAAGAATCGAGTCGCGGTAAGGAACAACATCGCGGTTTGTTCGTTTGGAGCTATGGACTCGAGCATGTTTGGGATCAGCAGCAAGTGCTGCAATGACCCTCCCAAGAGTGGTGAGAGACTTGTTGATATTACCACCTTCTCGGAGTCTCTGTCCCGTGGCCTCTGTCGCTTTGGCACGTTCAGAACCGGCCAAATCGACAAGACGGATTCGTGCCAGTCTTTCAGTTGTCTCATCTGTTCGATAGTCGTGATGAATCTGCTTCAACATAATCGTGAAGACCGCGTGGGAGCGTGAGGAGGTATCATTCATCTTGGTGGATGCTGTGGTTCTGGACATGTCGCCCAGACGCATATACTTCAAGATTTCGGCGTAATTCCTGACTTGAATCTCAGTCAGATCTTTGACATAGGGGCCTTCAGTAGGAGATTCCCGGATCTTGAGATATTGCGGGGGATCGGTTCGTGGTTGAAACAGATCGCGGACATGCTCGTTGTAAACTTCGAAGTATGAGACTCGGACGCTGTAACTGATGTTGGCGCTCTCATTCGACTCGATTCGCTGGAACAAATCTTCGCAGGTCCGTGGGATCAACCCTGGTTGTTCGGGGGTGCCCATCATGGTGTAGCTTTTGCCCGAACCAGTCTGACCGTAAGCAAATATGCAGGTGTGGTAGCCTTCGAAATTGTGGTCTAGAAACTCCTCTCCCAAGCAATTGTACACATCCTCTTGCGTGGCATAGTGCTCATCTTCCGTGTTGTGTGACCAAAATGAGTTGTCAAAAGTGAACGTCTTCTCTTCTAAAACCTTTCTCGTCTGTGCTCGGGCATTTGCTGGATCGGTCGAAGGTGGTACCAGGAGTTTTGTGGATTGAGTATCGGGGTTCATTTCGATCAGGCATTGTGCTCCTCTATCGATTTCTGCAACGAGCTGGTTAGTCGGACCTGAAACGTCCAGAACTGGCGAAATCATCACCTCGGGGAAGAAAGCCTCTGACTCTGACCACGACTTTCACATTTCCTCCAGGATTCAGATTGCTACTGGACGGTGTCATGGGGACATTGACCGGTGTTTTAGATCTGAGAGATGGACTGGACGCGGTGGAAGGAGTGGGAGTCATTGATCGGCCATCGTTGGTGATGGGCCGGGTCAACGGTACCATGACTGCAGTCTGGTCCAGGGGTTGTATACTCTCTTCGTTCACGGTACGGTATTGAGTATGAAGAGGGACATGCATGAAATAAAGGTGATGAGCAATCGATTTGGTCCGATAAGCGACCAGCTGGTGGTCCACTCTGGCTGGGAGGTTGGGAAGACCAAAAATGGAGGGGGGGGAATTGTTTTGGGTTAGATCCAAACAATGATTCCTCCGCTTCTGATTGGTTAGGATTAACCTGGCCTTCTTCCACGGCACATTATCAGCATCATCTTTTGTAATGTGGAACAAAATGAAACTCGTCCAGTGCCATCAGAGTTAAAGGAAAAAAAAAAAAAAAAAAAAAAAATTTTCCTGGTCCTCGTCATGCACCCAGGAAGTCATAAACGTCGTCAACCCAGTTCCTCAATCTTCCTCTTCGCGCCTCTCGACACGGTCTCTCCTTTCAGTCGCGCCAACACGTCTTCAGATCCTCCTGCATTGGACTGTTCGTTCTCATCAATAGCATTGTCGGCATCTCCCTCTTCTTCCGTGCTCGAATCATTAACCCTCACGTGGTCTCGTTTTCCCCTCTTCTGCTCACTCAGCACGCCTAAACTCAGATTCATCTCGATATACGTTTCCTGGTTGTCGGAAACGTGGTCGATTCTCTGATCTTGTAGGCCGGCTGCATTCTCGAGTTCGGCATTTGCTTGCTGAAGCTGTGGAAGGAAGTTTTGCAGGCGAGACTTGAGATTCGATCCCTCATTTCCGGTGAAGGTTGTAGACAGCGTAGAAGGAGCCGAAACCCTGGGGCCCTTTATCCAAACATTATCATGCTTTTCATCGGACTCTTCCGCCTCGGATATCTCGTCATCATCGGTTTCTGAAGATTCCGAGGATGATGTTGTTTCTTCTTCGTCGGTGGTGTCATCCACATCTCTCCCGTCTCCATATCTCGTTTGATGGGTCATCCGCATGCGCTGTTGAGCTCTCCAAGGTGGAGAATACCCTGATGAAGACGATGCGGGTGAAGAGTCGGCTTCTTCTTCGTTGATACCATTTTCACGGAAAGCGTCATCATGATCCTGGTTCAATAGCCGGTTTCTGGCGATCTCGGGGTGCTTCGAGCCAGTGTTTCTGCGCTTTGTAGGTGGCTCATCTTCTTGACCAGACATGTTCCTCCCGAATGACACAACTGTAGTCCCATTCGCTAGTAAAACGCCGTTTGGATGAAGTTGCTTCAAGTTATCGTCGGCTCCTTAGAAATGTTGCTTTTCTTTTTGTCTGGCGAGAAATTCGCCGGGGCTTGGCAGAATAAAAACTTGGGGGTCTTCGAGTCTATTGGCTTTTCATAATGTTGTGGCTCTTCTCTATCGAAACAATTTTCGCCAAACCGAAAATGTCATTATCAACTATCATTCCTGAAGCATCTGATCTTCTCCAGACGGTAGAAGATTGAAATAGGCGACTTGAATCAAGCTCATCACCGTAAGGATTTTCGTAGATTTGGGGGTCAGATTGCGAATGACTCACAGTTCACGCTTACATTCTTTTGCAATGTCCCGCACCGACGGGCTAGAAAAGATTCTTTGATTCAGATTGGCGCCTTTGGACATCTGCCACTTCATAGCATCGACGCGGTGGCATCTAATTGCCTCGATTGTTGGAGTCCATCCATCCAAGGTCGCGGCGTTTATATCACTTCCTGCCTCCGAGAGGACCTCCAGTGTAGCGACCGATCTGCCTCCAGGGGCATGGGAGAAGGGAGTCGACTTGGAAAGGTTCTGCGCATGAATGGAAGCGCCTGCTTCTTACAACCGTCTGGCGATGCCCAGATGTTGCGGCAAGGTGAAGAGCTGTCTCACCCCAACGGGTAAGAACCTCCACGTCTCTTCAACCCTGAACCCCTATCCTTCCGCCCCGAACGCTGGCTTCACACCTCCCAAAACGGGGACGAGCCATCCTCGGACAAAATCAAATAAATGGAAAGAAACAATAACCTGACCTTGGGACATGACAAGGACCAGTGTCTGGGCAAGAACATAGCCTTTCTCGAGTTGAATAAGATCCTCATTGAATTACTGAGACGGTTTGAGTTTACGGTCATCCACCCAGAAAAGTTATGGGAGACGATTTGTTATGGTATTCATTTGCAGAAGGGGTTGTGAGTCACCGTGCGATTGAGAAAGCAACGAGAGACGAGACATGGAAGAGAGAAGGCAATATAAACATGGAATATTTTAGGTCCTGGGGCGATATGCTACCAATAGGTCAGATACCTACGCTTTCGGTTGAGATGGAGGAGCTTTCGATGCGGACTCTCTCGTTTTTGTGCTAGGTTAGAAGACAATCATGCACGCCTCTGGACCTGGTATCGTAATAGCCGCCTAACCTGCGTGCGAGAACCTTCCCAGCAAGGTACTCACCGCATATCTGTCTATCCCACCCAGCGGGCGTTTCTTCCATCCCCGTTTCTTGTCTCCCATCGCGCAACCTGAAGCGCCAATTCATGCATTTACTTTTGCGTTCCCCGGACTTGAATCTAGAGATAGCTTGGCGCTTGCGGAAGCTTTTAGGAGGGGGACAAACAAACATTTGCGGGCCTATGAATCCATCTCGGCGCGTAAATCCAGCCTGGTGCGCCCAATGCAGCCATTCAAAACCACAAACGTCCGGCGCGTACAGCGGAAATGATGACCCTCATGTTTCATCCAGCGAGCAGTCACGTTTTCCCCCCCCTCTTGCCACGGGCGCCTAAGTATTCCGTTGGTCGGCTATGCAGGCTATGCAAGGAAGATGACGACTACCGAGCCTGAAGGCCTGGTCGGGTAATAGGTCACGGTTTGAGAATAAAAGCGGAATTTGAGATTGGAGATGAAGCACATATTTGAAGAAGAGGCGAGAGGAAGCCAGCCGGTGCCTGCGGATTTTTCTTTCCATGAAAATTCCTCCGTTTTAGACATTACGGGTCGAACTTAGCACAAGTCAACTCAGGTCAATTTCAGCTCGGCTCATTGAGCGTGCGTGGTTGGTCTTCGACGAGAGTTCAATCTAGAATCATGTCTTCCACGGCGACGACCACGAAGGCTCCAGCTCTAGACACAAATTCAGATGCCACCACCGTGGATACTCGACCATCTCTCCCACGTCGGTCATCGTCCCTGCATAAAATGGTTATTGCAAAACTCCGACCTCTCCCGTTCCAATACCTTTGGTCGGTTTGGCACTCCAAACCCGGTGACCGGAATGAGTACTTGTTGACAATGCTTGTGGACCATGTGGCGGATATCGGAGCATTTTACCGTATTTTTAACAATGTGCCATGGAACGGAGTCAAACAAAGAGACAGTATTCATATCTTTCGGTCTGGAGTGAAGCCACTTTGGGAAGACCCAGAAAATCGGCAAGGTGGACGTTGGCTCATTCGAGTACGTCCCGAATACGGTCGAGACGTAAGAGTATGGGAAGAGATCTGCCTGTTGTGTTGCGGCGGAGAGTTGCAAGCAGCTATTGCCCAAGGTGGGTGGTCCCAATCCTGTCAAGATTCTCCCAGCTGATCATCTCAGAACGAGATCATGTTCTAGGCATGTCGTTTTCACCTAGATTGTATTTCACCCATATTTCCATATGGACAAAGAAAGGGGATAACTTGCGGAGTATCATGTTGTTGGAGCGCGCCATTCTGGGAGGATTGTCGCCAGATCTGAGGCCGAAGTCGAACATTGAATTCAACTATAGAAAACATTCAGAGAAGATTGGTTTCAACCTTCAAAGTCGACAGAATCAGCTGCCGCTCATACCTTCAACTGGATTGATGAATCGACCAATGACTGTACGAGCATTGACAGCAAGCTGAGAAATGTTGATTTCAATCAAGTCATCTTCCTGGAACATATCGATCAATCGGAACATGATCTCGGTCTCGACGAGCATCGCTTCTGTCTCGATCACGTCGACTGTCTCTCCGATCATCCCGTCTGCCATCCCGTCGATCATCACGACGATCATCACGGCGGTCATCTCTGCGTTCTTCTCGACGTCGTGGACTTCGGTCTCTTCTGTCTCGGTCTCGGTCTCTTGAATGATCTCTATCTCGTTCTCGGCTTCGATCGCGTTCACGTTCTCGATATCTATCTCGGTCCCGGTCCCGGTCTCGATCTCTTGAACGATCTCTCTCTCGTTCTCGACTTCGATCGCGTTCGCGTTCACGTTCTCGATATCGGTCTCGGTCTCGGTCTCGGTCTTTTGAACGATCTCTATCTCGTTCTCGGCTCCGGTCGCGTTCACGTCCACGTTCTCGATATCGGTCTCGGTCGCGATCCCGATCCCGGTCTCTGTCCCTGTCTCGATCCCTATCTCTATCACGATCACGATCTCGTCGATCATAGTCCCGATCATGATCTCTGTCCCGGTCGCGATCCCGGTCACGATCTTTATCGCTTCGATGACTGTCGTATTTTCTTCTTGAATCTCGATCACGATCTCGGTCTCGTTCTCTTTCCAATTCCCTGGCTCTGCGTCTCTCCCTGTCACGTTCACGCTCCTCTTCAGTCCGATGAATTCCACCTCCAGGAACATAGCGGTCGATATTCAACGGTGAAGCAGAGCGAGGTCTTCTTTCTCGGGTTGTGTGTTTTTCTCGAACAGGGGATGGAGAGTCTCGTTGACTTCGAGCTTCGCCTTCTTCGCGGTCTCTACTTGGAGATCGACGGCGAGGAGTATCAGTCTTCTCCCTTTCCTGAATGGATCCTCGTCTGTCACGAGACCGGCTACGGCGATCGTGGTCACGTCTGTAGCTGTCGCGCGATCTTTCTCGTTTTCTGGAGTATCGATCTGATCCAGCATATCTTCGAGAGCTGTCATGTACTTCGGACTTTTCAAAATCATACTCCGGTCTCTGTTTGGATTTCTCAGCCATTTGTTTGCCTTCACTCAAGAGAAGTTCCAGCGCCGTGGCTTCGAGGTCCTTTTCGTCAGTCTGGGCATCTCGGGCGTGTGTAGGTTCTTCCCGGGAATCTCTTCGATCAACGCTTCTCCGTCGTTCACGATCGCGATCTCGGTCTCTCTCCCTCTCCCGGTCGCGACCACGATCACGATCACGTTCCCGATCGTGATCCCTCTCTCTTTCTCGCTCCTTTTCGTACCGAGCATATCTCTCCTGTCGCTCCTCTTCGCGCTTTCTGTGTCTTTCTTCCCTTGCTTTGATTCTCTCAGCTTCCCGCTTCTCTTCCTCCTCACGTCTTTTGGCTCGGGCAGCTTTTCTCTCTTCCTCCTCAGCCTCACGTTTCTTTCTCTCCTCCTCTTCACGTTTAGCCTCCTCCTTCTTGCGCTTCCTCTCCTCTTCTTGCTTGATCTTCGCCTTCAGTTCCGCCGTCTCACGAAGCAGCTGCTCCATGCGGGCTCTGTTCCGCTCTCTCTCAGCAGCTCGATTCTCTGTCTCTGCTTTGTATTGTTCATCGGTCTTACTCCCCCGCTGCTCCTCCTCGGCGGCCACTTCGTCTCCCACCTCTTGTCTGCGAATTTCACGCACTGCATCGAGTACTGTGCCCAGATGTTTTGCAATTTCTGTATCAATTCGTGATTCCACATCTTGATAGATACCACTTCTGTCGACCGCACCCTGGATCAATGTTGCTGCTTTGCCCCGTTCCCGGGTTAGTAGATTGGGGTCTTTCTCGATCTCGGCTTCGGCGATGGCATGAATTTGATCTGTGAGCGCAGTTTTCGCGTCGGAGGTGTTGTATGATGCCCAAACTTGTTTCCGTAAACTATCATAGCCGCCTTGCTTCTTAAACTTGAGGAGAAGCGCATCAATAGCTAATCGTTTGTCTTTGACAAGGGGAAGATCAGAGATCTTGAAGCGTGTGCGTAATGAAAAAGGTACTCCGGAATTAGTTGCTGGCGCATCAGCCATTACCGTGTCAGCCATGACTACGGCGGTTGATTCATCACCAATAATGGGAAGATGATTAGCGACAAGGTCGCAGTTAGTACTTCGCGTTGGTTTGGGAAAGAGAACCTGCAAGACTCGAGGGCGATAATCGGGCCTTGGCATTCGACTTGGGGAGACGGGTCACGTGCCATCCCTTTCTCTTAGCTAGAATCTCAGAAGCCGTTCCTTTTTATCTAAATTCATTCCTCCTTCTACCCACATGTGTCAGTAATGTTGGCAGCATTTTCTCATCCCAATCCTCTAAATATGCACCTGAATGGCTCAACTTGACTTACAGTGTGCCTAAGCAACCCATAGCGGAAAGACCTTACGTTTGAGTGGATCACCGAAAGGCAATCTTGGTCTCTCGTGTGTTTAGGTATCCATCAATAAAATCATACGTCCTTTTAATATCAGCAGAACCTCCAGACCGTCCATGTCCAGCCCAGTCCTGCAGGGAGTTTACCACCATAGTTGAACAACCGACGCTGCAAGAAAATACGAGCGAACGTGGCTGATGGCAGTGAGTCGTTATCAAGATTGATTTGCTGCGAGGTTCAGAATGCCTTGTTCGGATTGCGCACAGCGTCAAGCGCTTTGAACACAGGATGATTCTTCAGACCTGTCCAGATACTGGGCAGGATCTTTCGCAGATTGTTAGCCCTTAAGGAACCATATTCTAACTCCATTAGCCTTTCGACTATATTTAAGATCTGCTCGACTCAGTGATCCTTGTACGGAGTAAACTTTTGGAGATGTTGAGTTAAGTTCCCTACTTGCCTTGACTTTTCTCTAATATCGTGCCGAGCTAGGTGGAGTGCTTGCAGCACTAGGAGCGGTTCCGCCACCGACCTCAAAGACGTCTGCAAGGTAGAATGTCCAAACTAATGCCGCCTCTGTCAGATTCTGCGTGGTTGATATCTCTCTGCGAGACTGAGGTATGACTTGGAGCCAGCAATCCGAGTCCAGAGTCACTCTAGGAAGCATCTATCAATAGAAATAGCTTATCATCCAGCAGCACCATGACCAGTTCCCATGCCAAAGCTCTCCTGAATTCTGCCGTTGAAAACGCCAATCTTCTCTATTCTGACGACTTCGATCTCGGTCCCCATGCGATGCGAGACCAATTCTTTGAACGTATCGAAATTCTCTCACAATCGGGCGCTGTCAAACGTTTTCTCCAATTCGTCCGGGGGAAACCCCTGCTGCAGGAGCGAGGTAGACAAAGGTGTGCCAGTCCACTATCAAAAGACTAATGTCGGCCGTCATTGTGGAATTGACAATGCATCTCCTCCGCCTTTGCCAATCAAAATGTACGGGAAATACCAATCGAAGCAGTGATATCCAGGAAGCATCAAGATCCCGAGAAGAGTTACTGAAGTCAAGAACGCAAATGTTGACTTTCAGCACCTCTTTGATCTTTCTCGCTTGGAGAATGGCCTCCCCCATTGAACATGTCACTGTTCTGCCAATGGGGATCTAGGTGGAAATGGAATAACTTCCGCGCCTCTGAAGGAACCGATAACCATAGTCTGCGCCCGATGAAAATGCTTCTGAGGAGACTCAACATCAATGGTAATACCTGACTCTTAGCATGATCACAGTTGAAGTGTAAGAATCAGCGCTTACCTCCAATAACTCCGAGAGGCATGCCAATCCATGTCATCTGGTCCCGTCAATCTGTTGGACATTGAGTGGTCAGGGCTCCTTTCAATGTCAACAGCAAAAGTCATATTTTCGCGGCTCCTGCTCACGGTCTATCCAAGAAGCTGCTGGCCGTTGACCTCCAACCTGTGAGGCTGCTCCTATGTGCATTTGAACTCGACCAATTTTGCTACATAAAGCGCGCGATCTTGAATCTTCCTCCTCCGCCTTGAAGAAGTGGCCAACGTGGCCTTGGCTTGCCCATCCTAGCGGAGTCGATTGCATGCCCTTTCCCTTTTAGAACCATAGGGAAGACCCTATAGCCGAACTGCACCTTCCAGATCCTGGGGTCCATTTCCAGGCTTCCGGTGGCCGGTTTATCTTCTTTTATGAAAGACCCTGGTCAGCAGGTTCTCGAGAATCCGACCATAATGTGACTCCGGGCTCCGGCCCTCGATATCGGTATCACTCAATGGAGCGACCGGCGCCAGGGTCAACGTCCGCCTCTTGAGATGTGGAAGATGCATAACCTCCCAACGCCGCGAAGCGCATCAGCTTCAACCTGGGAATTATGGCTGACCGACAAGAGAACAACAGAAGCGCGTTCCCTCAAGGAACAAAAGATGTCCGTCTCATCCGTTTGGGCCAGCGGAATCGGCCCAAGGTTCCCTGAGTTCTGGTCAAAGACGAGCCGTCGAAAACACATCGTCACGACCTCATCATGCTGATGGTGGCGAGGTCTTGCGATGGTCGGTGAATAGTTCAACTCCGAAGTTGGAAATTCTTAACGTCGCTCACTTAGCTTTGACTTTTTTTTGGACTGCGGCAATTTTACAGAACGTACCGACCTGTACTGCCAATGCTTAGTCCACAATGATGTGGACGGATGCCAACAATAGGGAACAAAGATTGACCTCGTCGATGCCGTTTAGTACTCTGCTATACGCCCCAGAGCGAAATGCTCAAGTCCAACTCATGGGAGATAGTTGCACGAATGCGAACTACGTTCCTACCTAGAACGCGTGTCTTTGAGGAACGATAAGTGACGAAAGGCTTTATGTCCTGAGGAGCGACATGAAGAAGGTGCCCCTTGAGAGAGCCTTGCGGAACGCCATACCCGAGAGAGCTGACGGTGTAAAGTCACAATACTAGGGGAGGGGATGGGGGAGCTGAAGTGTGATAAGTGGCGACGCCAAGGCCTGTTTGACCCCTTGTCGAAATGGGAGCCCTGCTCCCACGTTTAGGGACGTTAAGTCGAAAGGCTGACTTTGTCGAGCTGAGCCAATATCCTGTGATGCAGTTTGCTGCACCGGCGCAGTGGTGGAAGCTTTCCCCCCTACGAGCAAACCAACTAAGATCGGCATCCACGATCCCAGTCTTGGGTTCCCGCAGCGAAGAGATTATCATGTTCAGAGACGAATGTTGCGTGCTGGCCGTTGCTTTAACATACTATACATAGCAGCAGTGTATTGCACGCTAGCGTCTCGCCGGTCGCACCACGTAATAGTCCTGCCAATCTGTTGGCTGATATTTTCTCATCAACAGCTCTGAATCGCACACGTAAGAGATTAGGCTCGCCGATCAGTGGCCAGATCTTTAAATCATGCAGACTAACCCAAGTCTTAAGCAACAGGGAACTAACGTTTGATGCTTGCACACTGTTGAACCCTCACGAGCGAGAGAGCTCATCTCCTGGCACTTCGTAGATTGTATGTGCCGGGTCTCCCAAAGGAGCGCCCCCAAGATCCGTTCATTTATCACCCGGTTGAATGAGGATAGTGATCACTAAGAATGGGTAGCACTGGTCGGGACACGAACACGCACGGCCCGGCTCTGGGCAAACCGGGGCTCTTTGCTACATGCTTTAGGGATGTTGAAATGTTTACAATCTTGCAGCTCACGTTTACTGCCGTCATGTTGGCCGTGGTCAAACACAAGGCCACATTCCTTGCACCTCTGTAGTAAGTGTTTCTCACAACAATAGCCAAGACTCTCATTGGCGAGGTAGTATTTGCATATCCCCCCGCGGCCCTGTAAGAGAATGGTCCTCTTTGAGGGCTTCAATGGAAGATGAGATCAAGGGCCAAACCACTGGAATAAGGAGATGTCCAATTTGATGGTAACAAGATCGCAGTCATAGTGCTGCATGCCCCGTATAATGTACGTTGTTCAATTCAGGAAGTGAAGAAGAAATCCACGGATGGCTGTTCTATTGCCCAACAGCTAGTCTCCATGATAGCGTGCCAAAAATGTTCAAGTTCGTGATCATAACAAGGCTGAGGAAAATTTTTGGAAATACCAAAGGAAGTGAACCCCCTTTTCACATGGTATACGGCAGAGATAACCGTCCCCCCAGTTGTGGCGGTTTCGCCATCCAGGGACTCTGAGGACCCCAAACTGAAACCTATTCGTCTCAGCGGGCGCCTTATTATGGCATTACAGTACGAGGATGGAGGTGCAGCCGGTTTCGAACGTCTTTCAACTCCGGAGGCATCAAATTTGACTCTGTCCCATGTTCTCTTTGCTTCGTGCCGAGGCGGTGGCCTTGACGGAGTAAGGTTTGGAGCTCAGATAAATCACTTTGACAATTTGGCATGATTTGTGACAGGCTCAATCTCGTGATTCGGGCAGCTCGATTGAGCAGAGAATCAGAGAAGTGTGTAGAGCCAAGGCTTCCCACCGACAGATGCATTTCAGTATTGCTTCTACAGTCCCCAGCCAACCGGCGCAATACTGCCATATCACTTGGCGCAAATCTAAGAGCCATTGGTGACTTACAAAGTATTTGAATATCTTACCCGATGAAAGATGACAGGAAAAATCGCAAGGCTGGCCCCCCCGAAAAGAGTTCCCGGCATAAATTACTGCGGAGCATCACCCAACATATGCATTTAGTCTTTCGACCTGAATGATCCACCGCTGAAACCTTCCGGCCTTGGCACGGCGAGGCAGAGGGAGATTGATCCATGCAGAGCTCGAGGCCCAATCTCCAACCCTTCACGTCGCGAACAACAATTCCCACTCACCTATTCGGCGTAATATTCCTTCTCCAGTACTCGCGGCAGCTCTACGTTTACTAGAATCGTCCACCAAAGTCCACGGTGCGCCGAGGGCGCCAGTCCAACAATCAAGATGGTTCACAAGATCCTCTTCTGGGCCGGGTTCGGTAAGGACGTTTATCAACATTTCTCCCAATGCATGAGAGGTGTCGATTGAGTGGGGCTCTAACATCTCCATAGGCATTGCTACACGATTCGTACAATTGGGAATCGAAATGAGACCGTTCTTCCAACGCGGCGCGTTATGGGTGTATCCGCTCTTCGCAGGCATTGGAGGATCATTCGGATACTGGTTGAAAGGCGTGGAGGATCGGCAAGTGAAAATGTTGCAGCAACGGAAAGAGATCATAATAGAGAAGCGAAGACGGAGGGCCGAGCGAGAAGCTGCTGAAGGTCAAACCGAAACTGCCAGCATGTTGGCGTCGACGAGTTAACTACGCTGGAGAAAAGAACAAATTAAAACAATACCACTGGTCGAATTGAAAAAGAGCTAGGAATACTCTTTGGAGGTCACAGCAAGGAGCCGCTATCATCCACCGTTGTATAAAGACACGACTGTATGAAATGCATACACATAGCATGCTTCAAAGATCCAATTCCTGGCGGTGGGGACAGAGTTGGACGCAAGACCGACGTTCCGGGTACTCGACCATTAGAGCAAAAGAAGAAGCAAAATCAAAATCAGGAAACATCCCCATATCTGACCCTTCCCTTCCCTTTGCCTTGCTTTCTCTTTTTTGTCAAGGGGGCTCCTCCGGATACGACTCCACGCCGTCTGGAATCGGGACAATCGCCCTCTTCGTCCAAATATGCGTGGCAGAGTCCAACAGATCCTTATCCAGCGCATCCAAACACCCGCCCTTCACCGCGACATAGTCCTTGCCTCCATGCATGACGCGCGTCCCACATTTCTTGCAAAAGTAGCATTTCTTCTCGCGGCCCGAAGTCGTATTGCTGTGCGTGTAGACCCCGATGTCCGTGACGGTCGAGGGGATCTCGAAGGCCGGAAAAATGGCCGAAATACCAAACGCGGAGGCACTTTGACGACGGCATTCGAGACAGTGGCAGAAGTACATTTTCAAGGGTTTTGGGGTGGGAGTGGTGAAGCGGACAGAGCCGCATTGACATTGCCCTTCCATCGTGATTTAAGTAACCTTGTAGATTGATAGACAAGGTTATCTCGAGTCAATGAACGGGGTTTTGGATGAACGATTGTGGAGACGTGGGATATAAACCGCCATCCAATTATTTCAAGGAGAACTACATATTCAAAGCCGTATCGGAGCGAATACCGATAGCCAGCAGAAAACGACCCTGCCAGGCAACCGTGGCCAAGTACTCCCATTATTCGTGGTCTTGACCGCTACTGTTGCGTTGAAGTACTCGAGCGCTGCTAAGTCAAAGTGTCCGTTGATGTGGCTTTTCTTGTTCACCGGCAAGCTGTAAGAAGCAAGAAGAAAGAAACCAACCGTGTGGTCTACACCATGCCAAAGAGCTATGCACACAGACCACCTACTTTCATTGTCTAGTCTCCATCGAATCTGCCCCTTGCGTACCTTTTCCTGGGTCTCAAGATCACGCCTATAGGAGCTCAATCGAGACGGCCAAGGAGCGCTCCGATGTAGCAGATCGAGTCTCGTCCGATATCACACCTGGAGCGGCTCGCACCAGAAATTCTCAATGACGAGCACAATCGACGAGATCAAGCGTCTCAGGAACTTTTGACAGAGGCGCAACGCGGATGAATGATGGGACTGGCGGAAATTCATGTCCTGGACTTGCAAATGATAAGCTACAACCATCTGCCTGATGATGATGGGAAACCTGTCGTAGGATATGGGTTAACGGTCGCCATTACCAGAGCAGTCTCCCATAAGCATATGCAGGTTCAGCATCGGGAATTGCATTCACCAGAGCTATACCAGACCTGTCGAGTCTATTCTGTGTACGTTCGAAATGTCGTTCACCCTCATTGTATATCTGACGGAGGCGATCGACCCAACCATTACCACGAGATAACGGAGCAACCAGTGCCTGCATCGTACTCGTCAGTCCCAGAAACTCTACTAGATCGAGTGAGAAGCAAGTTTAGCTGAGTATTTGGTGGCCAAAGGTCCGAACTGCTTGGCTACGTGATATCGTAGCTCAAACGCCGAGTCGTCCTCAGAACCTCCTTTCAATATCGAATTAGGGAATCCAGTGACTATACTCCTGATCTCAATCGCATAAAAGACTCCCCCCATCATACTGTTCAACCCAAGCACTATCCGTCCAATAACCATGATCATGGATGAAGTGTAACTCCAGGCGATGAGCGCAACAAACATATACTCTCACTTTTCGTTGTCACGATATATTCGCAGCAGGTCACCAGCACATGTTAGGATCCAAAACGCCCGCACCCGACGCATTTTGTGAACATCGTCAGGGGCTCCATGGACCAAGTCAAAATACAGAGGCGCCACCGGGTGTTTCCGTGGAGTCTTCCACACGATGAACCCATAGACGCAAGCGAAAAGCAGGATGGAAAGTGCATGGTCTGGGTCAGATCAAGAGGCACATTGCTGAAAACATGCCGGTTTGAGTGGCGGCGTATGAACCTGCAACAAGGTTTTCTGGCAAATGACATGAACGCTGCTACGAAAGTTGCTGCCGCCCATTGGAGATGTATGCCTAGTCGAACACCAAGCCCGTAGAAGTCGGCATTGCCTTTGAAGCCCTCGTCGGTCTCACGCGCACGACCGGTTTGCATATCTTGTTCCAAGTATCCACCACCCATGACAGCTGATATGACCCAGAACGCACTCAGCCATGACGGCGAAAAGAAATAGATTTGCAAAACAGAAATTATCGATTGTGTCTCTTCGTCCTTGTGGAAAGATTGTGACGACCTTGAAGTCGTAATGGATTGCGAGTGTTCTCGAAGAAGTGGAGGCATATATACCGGACTGGGCTGTTGCTGTTGCTCTGAATTTGAATTTGAATTTGGCCCTTGTGCTCTCTGCCGCTGCCGGCTTCGATGCGAAGACAAAGACGAGTCCCGTCATCTTCATCGGACATGGGTATCATCGTGTACAGCACAAGCCAGGGTCACGTGTCCTGGCTACGACAATTATTAGAGAGTCATGGTCGTTTTGCATGCGACGAACTCGAACTCGAAAAGCAAAAGGTGTAAGACATCTGAGTGATTTTCTCGCTGTTGAATGAAATTTCCACTGAGACCCTGCATTTGGCTTGGACTAACTTACCGTAAGTCGCGAAGCAGATTCAAATTTGCCCAATCTGCAGCGTCACGCAGACGATCTCGTACCACCAGCACCGAGAGTGGCCTCACTGGCCGAAGGAGGCCAGGTTGAGGCTGTGGAACAGCGTACATTGTGCAGGCTCATCAGACTGGCCCTACTTTCGACATAAGAACCGATGTCAAATTCGCGACCATGTGCGAAGAAAGACACACCAGGATCGGGCCTTGAAATGGTGGCTTCTCCACACCTTGGCCAAAGTCTCGAAAGAACTGCCGCCAAGCTTGATAAGTCTCGTTAATTACCTTTTTGATGGTGTCGAGGCTAGGATCTGCTTGAACGTCTCATCTTCGGACTTTGATCGGCCTAATCGAGTATTTTCATACCTTCTTCTCCCCTAGGGCTTCCATCTTCACGCCCAGCATCGACCAGCTCTTGCGAGAAGACCTAGAATCGTCACAATTTGATTGTCCATCATGATGTATGCCCTTCAGTTTCGGTAATGCGGTGATGGGTTCTCCCTGTTCGTACATGTATCATTCAACCAGTCCTCTCACACGGCGTCACTCCTCCTCTCAACTCTTTCGGGACAATTCAGACGAGTGCCGTCTTAGATCGTCAGCTTGTCGTTTCAACTCTCGAGAAAGTCTCCGTGCCAAATCGATATTTTCCTCCAAAGTGTGATGGCGCACTAAAATATCCTGCTCCTCCTCTTCCTCAGGTGTGGGGTCTTCGCCTCTTGATACTCGACTGAGACTCTCTTCCAGCGTATAACGGCGATATATCCCCGAGTCACTTCGATTCTGGATCGGCGGTGGAACCGCGAGCTCACTCAGGCCTTCATTTGGATCATGGAATGAGGGTTTCCTTTTTGGCGAGATCTGTGGGGATGCCGATCCCTTCACGGATTTCTTCAATGGCCAGAATCCGAAACACATGGCTTCGGCAATATTTTATCGAGTCTCTTTCTCGATTCAAGGTATGGATTGATTATCCCAGCGTTGAATGTAACTTTCCATTCCCCTCCGCGGGCCGGTGAGTTCCTGTCGATCAAATATTCCCACCCGGAACCGTATCCGTGATAGCCGTGCTATCCTATCCTGAAGGCAAAAAAAAAAGGAATCTTTGAGAAATACCAGTGGCGTGATTTATTTTGCATCCTCAGCAGGACAATTTCATCAGAAGAACATGGCATGACGTCAAAATCATGACATGGTCATGAGAAGGGTGAATATCGTCTTGTGCAACATGGATTCAAGGACGTTTCGTTGAAGAGTATATTGTGGCCGTCACCAGGCCAGTTTTCAGACCTTGGGCTGCCAGTGGATGATTCTGATGACGCAAACCATACCATTTCCTCTACCGTCTCAATCGCATTCCATCATGTCCAAATATATCAGTTCTGTGCGCGCAGCCCAACGTCTGGACTCTCGCGGCAAACCAACTGTTCAAGTCCATATCACGACCCCGAGCGGCACATTTTCAGCTTTAGTTCCATCCGGAGCATCCAAAGGTGATTACGAGGCCGTCGAGCTACGAGATGGAGACAAAACGTTCTTCCAGGGCAACGGTGTCGCCAAAGCCGTGCACAATGTCGAGCAGGTCCTCGGTCCGGCTTTGATGAAAGAGAATTTCAACCCGGCGACCGATTTAAAGAAGATCGATGAGTTCATGTGCAGACTAGACGGGTCAGACGACAAAGGCAACCTAGGAGCAAATGCGATCTTAGGGATCAGTATGGCATGTGCCAGAGCAGGGGCAGCGGCAAAGGTAAGATTTGAAACGACCGTGAGCACTCTCAGTTCGGTGTTGAGTCTTGCTGGAAAACCGTAACTCCTCATATGTCTCCTGTATTAGGGAATACCACTCTACGAATTCCTCGCCATCGAAGCCGACCTTGACACTTCCACCTTCATTCTCCCAGTGCCATTCTTCAACGTGCTCAACGGCGGCGTCCACTCTGGAAATCGTATGGCATTTCAAGAATTCATGATCGCCCCCGTCGGCGCCTCGTCCACGGCCCACGCCGTCCAAATGGGCGCCGAAGTCTACTCACACCTCAAGACCACGATAGTTCAACACTTCGGCCCCTCCGCCGTCGGCATCGGTGACGAAGGAGGATTTGCGCCCCCCATCTCGGAGCCGCACGAAGCTCTGGACCTGCTCGTCTCTGCCATCTCCAGCGCAGGCTATACGGACAAAATTAAAATCGGCATCGATCCCGCGAGCAGCGAATTCTTCATCTCCGACAAGGACCGCTACAATCTCGGGATGAAATGGGAAAGGGATTCGCTCTTAGCTCGCGACGACATGGCCGGCCTTTACCGCACCTTGTTGAGGAAATACCCCATCGTCCTGCTCGAAGATCCATTTGCCCAGGACGACTGGCCATCCTGGACGGCGTTCAATAAAGACTGCGGAGACCAAGTTGAGCTTGTCGGCGACGATTTATTGGCCACCAACGTCAAACGCATCAACCTAGCCCACGACAAGCGCGCATGCAACGCCTTGCTATTAAAGATCAACCAAATCGGCACGATCAGCGAGGCTATCGCGGCAGCCAAACGTGCGTACGAACTCGGCTGGCACGTCTTTGTCAGTCATCGCAGCGGTGAGACCACGGATGATTTTATCGCTGATCTGACGGTTGCGCTGGGCACTGGCCATCTTAAGAGTGGAAGTCCCTGCCGAGGCGAGAGGGTGGCCAAGTATAATCGCCTGATGGATATTGAAGATGAGATCCAAGAGAGGGAGAGAGAAGGGAAGAAGGCGGTCTATGCCGGGGAGCAATTTCAGACCGAGGGCCGAGAGAAAGCTAGATCGTAGCAAGCGGTGAATAGAAAATGATATCGAAGAACGCTAGGGTCGTGATTGTCGCTCCCTCCTGCTCACTCACATCGCCCGCATGGAACCAAGCAGATACTAATCGCAAGGAATCCGCTTTCCGCAGCGGCAAGATTTTACATCCCTTGATCTGCTAGGCTGGGGAATGTGCTAATCACATTCGGTTTACATTACATGTACCATCATAAAAAGGCCGAAAAGCAATCCGTTGTACGGACCTTGTAAACATGGTCGAATTGAAAGTAGTAGAGAGGTATATGCAAGGTTCAATGCCAGCTCAACCCCAGGCGTCCGTCCCATGGCTGCAGTCATGTCCCTCCGGTAAATTCGAATCTCTGACAAAATTGTACAGGTCTCGAAATCTGAATGGGTAAAACATACATATAGATACAAAGCCTTTCAGTCTCGGGACCATCGTCAAACGCCCACTTTTTGATATGTTGCTATTGGAATTCGTCACCTCGAATTATTTCAGGACTCTCGTGATTAGACCGGTTGCCACGGTCCTTCCACCTTCTCGGATGTTGAATCGTTCGCCGGGTTCCATGCAAAGTAGGTGCTGAGTTTTGACGACCAATTCAACGTTATCACCGGGTAGGATCATTCTGCTGGTATCTTCGGTTCCTTCAGGCCACGCCAAAGAGGCTGATTCATCGGCTGTTCGAAGATAAAATTGGGGTTTGTAGTTGACGGTGAATCCGGCCTTTCTTCCCCCTTCTTCTTCGGTCAAAACATACATTGACACCAGAGCCTCTTGATGAGCCTTGGCCGTTCCCGGTACCGCGACAACCATTCCCCGTTTGATATCTTCACGCTTGACCCCACGCAAGAGAAGGCCAGAGCTATCACCAGCTCTAGACTCGTCACAAGACTTCTTGAAGGTTTCGATATCTGTAACTCTGGTCTTGATCGGCTGCTCATTGAGACCAACGATCTCGACATCGGAATCTTTCTTCAAAATACCTCGCTTTACACGACCGGAAGCGACAGTGCCTCGACCGGCAATGGAGAAGACTTCCTCAATTGACATCAAGAACGGCTTTTCCGTGTCTCGTTCCGGAGTCGGGATCCAGGTGTCGATAGCATTAAGAAGGCCGTCAATCTTGTCCACGCCAATTTCGGGTTTCGTGCCTTCAAGTGCGCATAGAGCGGAACCAAAGATGATAGGCGTTTGCTCTCCCTCGAAACCGTAATGGCTTAGAAGTTCTCGCATCTCCATTTCCACGAGTTCCAACATTTCAGGGTCTTCAACGGTATCGACCTTGTTGACAAAGACGACGATTCGTTGGATACCGACTTGACGTGCCAGAAGCAAATGTTCTCGGGTTTGGGGCCTGAATGGAGTCAGTCCGGTCATGTGCGCAACCCTCAATAAGGATATATTTACATTTGTCCATCACTTGCAGCAACGACCACGACAGCACCGTCCATGAGGGCCGCTCCCGTAATCATGTTCTTGATGTAATCAGCGTGACCCGGACAATCGACATGAGCATAGTGGCGTGCATCGGTCTGGTATTCGATATGTGCCGCTGAGATGGTGATCCCACGTTTCCGCTCTTCCGGAGCTTTGTCGATGGCTCCATATTCTAGGAAGGATGCAAGGCCTTTCTCTGCTTGTCGTTTTGTAATAGCGGCGGTGAGGGTAGTCTAGAAGGGTAAGCCCAGGATTCCCATGGTGAACGGACTGAATTTACCTTGCCGTGATCGACGTGGCCGATTGTACCTGGGGGGGGAAAAAAATGAGAATGATGTGAATACAATGGGACAACCCGTACTCACCGACATTTACGTGCGGCTTGTTTCGCTCGAATACGGCAGCATAGGTTCTGGCGCCGAATCTGTCATGACCAAAGACCTTGTTGACAGGATTAACACCTCGAGCAGGAGTGACAATGTGCCGTGAAGTTCGGAGGAGGGAGGTAACCGAGCGAGAGAAAGCCATAGCGACGCCGTAAGAAGACAGTTAATGAAGTAGAATGAAAACCCCGAACACTGCGACAAGTAGGACGCAGATGGTACGGGTATGAGATGGTTGGACAAAATCAATTATCATCGATGACTTGGGAGCGCAGGGAACTTTTTTGCTGTAGAAATCGTGGAGCTCCCATTGGCCAATGACCATCAAGCTTTGTATTATGTAAGCGTATATAGCTCTGCTTTCTTGTGCCACAGATTTCATCCTTCTTTCAGGATGAGCTCTGTGTCTTCAAGCCGGTCGTCGATCCTCTCTCGGCATCTGAAATGATTCTCTTCAAAGCGTAATGGTTGATTTCCCCTGTGCCGCCTTCGTCATCTCTACGACATCAGTCCACCTCCACCAAAACCACCAGACAGACAATGTAAATACCGTCAAAGGTCCAGCCGTGGCGAAAAATATCCATATTTTCTTCGATGCCTCAAAATTCCCAGCGGGGTTCATTTCGAAGAATGCCATGCCAAAGAATCCGGCAATAAATGTGGGTGGGAGGAATATCACGGTGAGAATCGCGATCACCTTCATGACAGCACTGTCGTCTTTCATTGCTTCCTTCAGATAATTCAACGAATCTCCCACATTGCTGTCCGTCATGATTCGGGGCGATATTTCCAGAATTCTCTGACGGGCGGTCAACATGTTTTCGCTAACCATATGAAGCATTTCAGCGCTAGCATAAAGAGACTCGCAATCTTGGGATACCTTATGCAATTTGTTTGTGACGTTGCGGAGACTCGCTCGGTCGAATGGCTGGTCAGCATTAGTGTCCACGACATCCAACTGGTCATACAGTCTGAGTCTAAGGTCTCGGATCACTGATTCGGCTTCTCGCAACGACTCATGACAGAGGATGCGGTTGACGAAATAGGGATCACGCAGCGGGCCTTGAAAAGAAGCATTGCCGTCATAATCCAGGAACCAATCTCGAAGTCTTCTCTTGGCCCTCTCAACAAATGGTTCATGTTTGCCGCTGATGACAATGTAAGTGGTACAGGAGAGGCTGATATCCCGACACAGGTACACCGAACACGGCTGCTGTCTGCTATGGATTCGCCAACGAGGATATTGACGCACAAATTTCATGCCGGACCAATTTTCCCTCCGTATCAGTCTGGTGAATATCCAATGGAGCCCAATAATCTGGTTTGGCCAACATGAACTGGCAAAAATGTGGATTGACATTGAAAGTCTTCAGCATGTCGAGAACGATATTTTTCTCCATCATCAGCTTACAGCCATAAGTTGTTTGTTTGTCGTCTTGAAGCTACAGAAAATTATCCGAAGTTGGACTTCTTTGCTATCCGAATATGCCCGAGTGTATCTCAGATAATTCGAGAATTCCAGGTCATGCAAGGTACGCCATTTTGCTTCACCATTGCGTGGAAGTTCAAAGAGGAGACACTCCGATTCTTTGGCAAAATTTTCGTCATTCAAAAAGAGACCTTGACAAAGAGCTGGCGCGGTCAGAGATGGAGCAAATTGATGGTACCTTGGCTGGATATGTCGCCTGATCGAATTTGCCCTCCGATATTGATTGGTAGAATGTAGCTTTCCGCTCGACAAAAGGTTCGGGGGCGGCTGGGAAGAGCGGCACTGTTTGATTTCGGTTTGATCGTTTGGTAGCCATTAGTGGCCTGAGTATATTGTAATGTCAATTTTATAGACCTTTTGATTCAGTCGGCATGCTCCTTAATAATTTAACCACTTGACCACCCAGGAGTGATAAGTGGTCTTGGTGGGTGAATTCACTGGCAAGCCAGATCTCGGAATCTTACCGTGGGCTCCGCCACTTGGCCTCAGATGGACACAGAAGCAGTTCCAGCGCTACCGAGCTTTATTCATCTTCTTTCTAGACATGAACCGATGAGGAAAGCTATGAGCACAGGAGATAAATTGACAAATGGCTGATGCCCCATCTGCTTGAGGAGCAGTTTCGGAGGGGGAAAAACGAAAAAAAAAAAAAAAAAAAGAAATAACCAAGTTGGCCCCGGGCTGTTCAGTTGCCTGGCTGCCTTGCAGTCTGCATGAATTGTTTCACCAAATCTCATCGAAAGCCTTCCGCACAATGCACTAAACAAGAAACCGAGGAGGATCTTGCGAACAGAGCCAGCTTGCTTCGCGCCGCCTAAAACAAGGACCTCTCAACAGAATGGGAGAGCCAACTCACAAGCTGGATGGCCAATCCCTGATATCAACGAACCTTTCCACGCTAGCTTCCGACCTTGACTCCCTGTCACTGTCCCGATTCGATGATTTGGTGTCCAGGGGAGAGCTCATTTACGAGCCTTCCACGGCCGAGACTGCAGAAGACCAAGGGTTCAAGGTAGGGTGGCTTGCTGGGATGCGAACCAGCTCAGACTAAATGCCACCAATCAGGAATACCGAGCAATAAACTGACAGAGAGCCTTGTATTTCATAGTTCGAGTTCCGCCTGGTTCCTCACCTCCGACGCAAGCCTATCACACCGTCTGACGCCCCAGAGCGAAAAACAGGACAAGGCAGTAATCCATTTCTCAACCCAGATCCAAATTTTGTCATTTCATCCGTCGGATCATCTCATCTACTGATCTTGAATAAGTATTCTGTCTATCGACCCAGCCTGCTGCTTATCACGCGGTATTTTGCTCCCCAAACCGATGGCCTCGACAGAAGTAACCTGGCGGCCGCGTGGGCAGTGTTGCAGGGCTACAAACAGAGATATATGATGGTCTACAATTGTGGCTTCGAATCCGGATCTAGTCAAGGGCATAAACACATGCAGCTTTGGCTCTACCCAGACGAACAGGAACTGGGGTTTGAACTGTTTCCGAACAAGGCTGAATCGGAGATCAATGTCACCAGCGGCATACCGAAAGTCCCACACAGACACTTTGTACTTCGACTTCCACCGAACACCGACGAAGATATCCTGGTTCAAGCCTACAGCAAGCTTCTGAAAGAGGTCCAACGCAGTCACCGTGAGGCTGATGGAGGTACAGCATACAATGTAATCTTGGTGAAAGAATGGATGTGTCTGATCCCAAGACGACACAGTGGACTTGAGAAAGGAGCAGGCGCCAATGCTGCCGCAGTCCTTGGGCTTGTATGGGTGTCCAGTAAAGCCACAAAAGATGTGTGGACATCCATTGGACCGGCGGAGTATTTCAAATATCTTGGGATTCCTGAATGAGGATTCTCACACTCACACACACCCCATATGTGATAGACCCGAATATAGATGGCATAGATTAAAACCCCGGTGCCTAAAGTGGACTGTTTCTAAATGAAGCTGTTCAGGAGTGGTACTCTCCGTTATGGCTATCCTATTCTCCTGCAGAATCCCCCTATTGGGACTAGCGCTGCCCTAAACAGTTTCCTTGACGACATCTTCATACCAGTCCTGTGTAACTCTTGACATTGTATCTCAGTGACATTTCCCAACCGCTTCTAATCTCCAGCTTTGAACTGTAGTAGAATGAAGTGACCCGAATGCCTTCGGCGCTTATTCCATGGCGACTATCTTCGGGGGCGATTCCTCGAGTGTTAACCTTCATAATATCGGTGGATAAGCGAGCCGTAGGCTACCGCTATGTTGGGGCAACCCTGCCGAACACCCTCATTTGAGCTCTCTCGACTTCATTGTGCTGTCGTGCTTGTCGTCGTGTTGTTGGTGCAGGACACGCAACCCCTGAGCTGCCGACACGTCCTCTTCCGCCGTCGTCTTGGTTTCCCCATCAAAACAGGTACTCACACCGGACACTGCGTGGAGGTGCGAATCCATTGGCCAGTAACCAGCGCCCTGCGTTCCCACAGAGGGCAGGGCTTCAAGTATGAATCCCCAAGGCTAAGGATTCTATAAGAGGAAAGTCAGCCGAACTGAATCCTCAACTCTCGGCGCAAAATCCCAGGCATGTCGACTTCCTTGCACCCAATCCGAACAACATTTCAGCGGGAGAATATGGGCAAAGGTTAGATCGCTTCCTATCGCTCGCTTCAGCACGCTGACGAGCACGTCTAGGAACTGATAAACTCTACGTACGACCATCTTCACACCCGTCTACATTTGAAACTAACAATCACAGATCACTCATTCCGAATGGGCTTCCTCCGATGCCTACTCAGCCTCAGCAGGCGCAGGCGTACACGCTGACACAAGTGGCCATGCGGCGTTCAAGAGATTACCATTCAGCTTCTGCGCCCTGAGTCTACAACCATTCCATACCCCCGTCTGTTCTGCCGAAGGAACCATTTTCGACCATGAAAACATCATACGATGGCTTCTGAAGCACGATACGAACCCGACGAATGGAAAACCGTTAAAACAGCAGGACTTGATCAAGTTGAATTTCGCAAAGAATGACAGCGGAGAATATGTTGATCCCGTCACGTTCAAGGCCTTTACGGACAACACCCACATCGTCGCAATCAGACATGGTGGATCGGCCAATGTTTTTGCCTATGATACTGTTGAGCGATTGAATATCAAAGCCAAGATGTGGCGAGATCTAGTGTCGGACGAGGAATTCTCGAGAAAAGACCTAATCACCCTGCAGGACCCGCAGGACCTGGCATCGCGTAACCTTGGCTCGTTCAAGTACCTCAAAGACGGCGAAGATTCGGGTATCCCCAAAGAAGAAGCGTCTATAAATTCTGCTTCGTTGGGCAGCGCTGCCGACTTAAAGATCATCAAGGCAAAAGAAATCGTGGCAAAAGCGCGAGCTGACAGAGCGAACGCTCAATCCATTACCAAAAAGGAGAAATCCCAAACATCCAATCCGGTCGGCAAAGCGTCAGCCACCACAACCAGCTCGAAACCCACGCCATACAATGCAACTCGACACACAACAGGTCTAGCCGCGGCATCTCTGACCTCGACCGGACTAACGCCCCACACCTCAGCAGCGCTTGCATTAATGTCTGATGAAGAATACCTCCTGAGACGCGGCCGAGTCAAGGAAAAAGGCTACGTCCGCCTCTCAACGACGGTCGGCGACTTAAATCTCGAGCTCTGCCCCGAATACGCTCCCAAAGCAGTATGGAACTTCGTCCGACTCGCGCAAAAAGGCTACTACCGCGGAATCACCTTCCACCGAAACATTCGCAATTTCATGATACAGACCGGTGACCCAACCGGCACCGGACGTGGCGGAACCAGCATCTGGGGTCAAAACTTCGAGGACGAAATCGAAGGACCCCTCAAACACGACAAGCGAGGCATTGTCTCCATGGCGAACAAAGGCAAAAATACAAATAGTAGCCAGTTCTTCATCACATACCGGGCCGTATCGCACTTGGACCGCAAACACACCATCTTTGGCCAAATAGTCGAGGACGATGATGAGAGTGTGGCGGTACTGAAAAAGCTGGAAGACATACCCGTGGACAGCCATGATCGACCGACAACCGAGATCAAGATCATCGAGGCTGTCGTCTTTATCGATCCATTCGAGGAATTTTGGAAGAAGAAAAATGAGGCAGAGCAGGTGAAGGAGGAGAAAGAGAGGAATTTTTCAGATAATCGGACGACCTGGACGGGGAAGAGGATTCGGAATGATGGTACAGTCGACGCAGAGACGGGTAGTGAGGTTGGCAGGTATTTGAAAGCGAATATGGCCAAGACCAAAACCGCGACAGACGAAGGGGATGACGATGAGATTGTCGAGTTTCTCGATGGGCCGGAGGAGCCGGTACGGAAGAAAGCAAAAGGTGGTGGTGGGTTTGGGAATTTCGATGGATGGTAGAGGTTGTGGTGGTCTCAGGCACAATCTGGCCATGATTTGTCGTGTTGATTCCCAGCTTTGTACCAAAAATGAAGATATCACGCCCTGCCTAGCATAGACACCAAAAACTCCACGCCTTCATTCGAGCCCGTCCACGTCCAAACGGTTGATGTACTTGAAGGCGGCATTAAATCCAATATTGTCCCCCATTGTGCCATTCCATTGCGATCCCCGCCAACCAGTTCATTCTTGGGCAGCCATTTCATCTCCATTATCTCCATGAGACCGTTCATCCTGCTCACTGTTTCCGTGCCGTTCAAGCGCCCTCATAAATCTAATTCTTTATTCTGGAAAAAGTTCATCCTCTCCCCAAACACGCGATCCGAGGACAACCATAAATGTGAGAGCCCGGTCCCAAAAAGAAATCCAGAAGCATGGCTCATAAATCAAGCATCACAACCATCAAGGGCCTGCCCTTCTGCTTTCTATTCACTCGATCTCGGTCTCGATTTCGTCCAGGATCTCGCTTCCTTCTCATTTGGTCATATTCTTCCTCGTCCACTTCCTCACTCATTCGAGCATTTTCTCTCCTTACCCTTTATTCCTTCGTTCACTCGCTCCCTTTTCTTTTTCTTTTTCCTTCTCGCACCACTCTCCCCCGGGGTCCCCTCCAATCCAACCCCTTTCTTTTCCCTTTGCTTTTCTTCTCCTTTTTCTTTCGTGGCGTTTTGTTCAAGCGGGCGGATACCCCAATTCCTTCATCCGGGCAATCCACCTCTCCTTGAAATTCGCATGTGCGGTCCGATGACTCTTATCTGTACTCGCCTTAATATACCAGCTCAGAAACACATTGCATTTCAATTCGTTGGTTTCCAGGAAATGGATCACTCCTACACCACGCTCTGTTCCCGTCGCACCCCCAATGTTATTTTCAACATCCACATTCGCACCGCTTCCCTCGGCGCCGGTAATGTTAGTAGCATAGCTGCCACCCATTCCGGCGCCTCCTTCTGGTCCCGTCGCCTGGGCAATTTGCACGGTGAACCGTCCATAAATAGTCACTCCACTCCCCGGATTTGTGAGCGCTTCCATTCCATCCTTGGTCGGACGTATCGCAGAATAATATCTCAGTTCCGTACTATACCCGAAGAGCAAGGGCAATTTATCCATGATTTCGTACTGTGTGAATCTCCCGGTCGCGTATTGCGCAGACAAGTCCACACCGAAATCCGCGGCAAGGCTCTGATAATCGACGGCCTTGGCGTGGGATGGGCCGATGGTATTGACGGACTGGACGAGGGGGTTGAGGCGGGCCATCAGGTTGGCATCAGAGCACATTTCCAGCGCGATACGGTAACCGGTGTAGAGGACGTCGCTGGGAGTTTTGCCCTCAGGGACCGGGGGGAGAACCAGGTCGGTGATCCATCCGGATTTGAATGTTGTTTGCAGAAGAGACATTGTGACTATTGACTGGCTGTCGAGAAAAGGGGCCGGGAGGGGGAGATGGGGTGGAGGAAGAAGGAAGAGTCTCGAGGAGGAGCGTGTTTGACGAGAAAAGAGAAATGAATCAAGGAGCGGTGTTGACCCGATCCTGCCGTCGAGAGTTCAGCCTTCACCACCGAGTGCCAGTGGTGGCCGCAATCAGAAGGAAAGCCAGACGAAGATCCCGTGTCTTTTCTTCCAGGACATACAGACGTCTTATGCCGTGTCTCTTCAACAAGTTCCTCGCCAGGAATCTCGAGATGTAATTCACTGAAGACCAAATCTTCAGATACCAGTATCTTCCTTTCAGCAAAGAAAGAAGAGTTCGTAGATTCGTCCGGTCTCGCGAGATCCCCCAAATCCCAATTCAAGAAGCGAGATTTTGAGTTTCGATAGATGTTCCGCCGGCCGAACGAGAGAGCGGCCCGCAAAGCACAGCACCGCCACCCGGATGACCGTCGAAGCGGGCACGGGTAATGCACTGAATTGGGTGAGACAACACGAGTGTTTTACAAGTATCCTGTGCTTCGTGCCTCTTTCGGTGAAATTCCACCCAAGACACTTTATTTGAAAGGAAAAGCCGGCGTGGGAAAAATGTGAGGGTAAATAAAGGCGTCGAAGGAGCTGAGGGTAAAATTAGCTCGCTCGATAATTCCCCAACTTGAAACTTCGTGTCCTTACTGCATCTGCAGAGTCGGGGGAGAGGGGCGGGGCGCATGAGGATGGGAATAGTTCAAGCATGCAGGGTGGGATGTCGGCATGCAGTGCTTATGTTTTTCTGACCACGGTTGAACCGGGGCCATTCGAGAGATGGAAGTGGACAAGTTAGATGCACGAGCAGTTTCGAACTTGGCCCCCGTTGACCATAACTGCATTGGGGCTCTTTGCGTACCAAGATACTAGAGACTGGAGAGGTTTAAAGACATCGCTAAAAGTCTTGTTTATTTTTATTCATGGGCCAAGTCATACAACCACAGATATGCATTTCCCCCGATCAAGTAAAAGTATAAAATCCCCCAAGAGACCAAGCTTGAACCTCATGTTCGTGCTGTTTTGATGTTCCGGTCAAATCATCAAATATTCATCTTTTGTTTCCCGTCATTCGCTTGAACGCAGCAGAAATACTAAAAAGCAAACACTCAGCCTTGTGGTCCCAACGCAAACTTGACCGGCACCACCCAATCACTCCCAAAATCAACCCCGTGTTTTCGTCTGGATCCATGTTTTTGCCACGCCGCTGCTGAAATCCCAATGTCTGCAACCCACACTTGCCAGGGAGTTTCCATTGCATCCATCGCCATGGCATGGAGCAATCCCCTTTTCGGCGCCCCCAAGCTGATGACATGTTTGCTGGCCATGACCAAAGCCTGACCATCCACCTCTGTCAACAACCCTGAAGTGGCGGACAACCCACTGGGGATATCAATGGACAAGACCAGAGAATTTCGATTGGCCCATCGAATCATCTCCAACACGGTGGCTTGGTCGTCAGTTCGTAATTCTTCGAATGTCACATGCATGCCGAGCAATGCGTCCACCACCACATCGGGAGAAGGTCCTCCTCCTCCTGATGATTTCGACTGATATTCGTCCCATCGGTCCACATAACCGTGTCCCTTTTTGTAGATTCCCAGTTGCTTGCGCATCACCTCAAGAAGGAGCTCTTCCCGTTCCCCTCCCAGAATAACAATGGTAACCCTTAACCGTCGGTTGCGTAAATGCCGGGCTGCGGCAACGGCTCGAGCACCGGATTTGTGATTGCCAACCAGGAAAAGTACATTTCTGACTTCAGGAATTTTGAGAACCGCCATCGCGATACTTCGGCCAGCATTTTCCGAAAGCATATCTTCCGTCAGTCCCAGTTCAGAAATGCACAGTTGTTCAATCTCCAACATTTGTAGTGGTGATAAACAATGACAAGGTTTATTGTTTTGAAGTTTGAAAGAGGCTCGATTTCCCGACACGGATTCATTAAGTGGTGATGCCGTTTGCATTCGGGTTAGCGGTCGCGGCGATTCTGTTCGATCGATATGCCCGGGAATGATACTTCCTTTTCGCGATGCCAGAGGTCGTCGAGAACCGGCTCGTCGCGATCCTCTTCCACTGCTATAATGTCCCCCCCTCAATTCATCCTCGGTCTCGCCCGCTTCACTTTTCCACCTGTCCTTGTCCTTTCCATCGACCGGATCAAGAACATTCTCGGTAAAATGAAGATTGCGTCCACCGTTAGTCCCTGGCCGTGCTTTTCGATTCAAACTGACCAGTCGATCGGAATCAGCGGTGGTGTCTGCTTGCCGAATATCATCAAAGATGCGTCGCTTGTCGAATTTGGACAAATTGGTTTCAAAGTCAAAATCCCCCATGTCTTGAATGTCTGTGGCATCTTCGGTCGCCCATCCATTCACATCGTCAGCAGCTTTTCGGCCTCTCTGGCCCCTTTTCTTGTTTGGTCGTGGAACCTCTTCGATCAATGGTGTCTGACGCCATCCTTTCCCCTTTCCCGACTTCTTTTGAGTTTTCAACGGCCCATGGTTGACATCTTTCATGTCAATGATTCCAGGTCCGGTCTGTGACGGCGTATCCCGAGTCCGAGGCTCATTGTTCTTTTCCTCCGCCACATGGTTTCCCAGACGTAATGCGTCAAATGGTTCGGTCAGAGTCGCACTGGCCGAGGTGCTGGGCATTTCCGACTTCTTCGGAACGGCCGTGGCAATGCTAGAAACAGAACTGCTTCCCAGAGTTCCATTTCTCGGCCATCGCGTTGAAGGACTGCTTACGGCGCCGTCGGCTATCATAATAGGAGACACGGGTTGAACCTGGTGGATCGGAGGAGGGGCATCTTTGGCAGAAGGTTTGGTGTAACTGATGATAGCGGGGTCAACAAACGCCGCTGTGTTCTGTTGTGATGGAGGAATCGTAGGATAAGGGCCAGGATCAGGCTGTGCGACCGCCACGGGTGTAGGTAATTCCTCCTCTTCGACAGCAGATGCTTGAGTGGGCGAGACTTCGAGATCAGCGATGGCGGAGGAATCAACGGCGTAAGAAGAGAGTCGCTGGCCATTCCACAAGAGTAATACTGGACTTGATCAGTGTCAAGTTTCCAACAAAAGAAAAACAAACATACCATTCTCGAGGAACAGTTTCTGGTTTACGACGTTGGCCACCACACCCTGGATCTGAGCATTGCGCGGGTTCTGCAGAGTGACCAATATGGTGTAGCCGATGAACTCAGATGCCATGACGAGAAAGGATAAGAGTTATCCTTCTATAGAGTCATGATGATTGAGAACTGAGCCAAAAGGTGATGTAGAAGGAGCACAACCAAAATAACGACCTTTGTCCACAATTCCTATTTCATATTTCAGGGCCGACGGATGTTTCCAATTTCCGTCCACCTCTCACACAAAACCTCCACATACAAAAAATATGCATTTGTTTCACCCGTCAGAACTCCATCTCCTTATTTTCTACTGACTAGATTGTATCATTCACGGACATCTTTACTAAGCATCGTCTGCTGGTTCCGGACCACTTCGGTCACAACTATGCGGTACTACTCGCCTTCATGAGCTGCGACTCTGCTTCTAGTATCTCTTCGTAGGAGATGTCGTGACTGAACTCTTCTTCCTCTTCGTCTTCAGCTTTCAATTTGGAGGCGGCCGGCTGCTGTTCCAGTGTCGCATGGCCTGACAATTTGGAGTAAAAGTGGAGGACTTTCTGGTGAACCATGACTTTTCGTTCGTCAAATCGAAGCACTTGCAGTCCTTCTTTGGTTCGTGCCCGACTCAATGCCACATACGCTTGCCCCTTTTCGAAAACCTTCCCCAGATCCACCTTCACTCGGCTCAGAGTCTGACCCTGAGCTTTGTGAATCGACAGTGCCCATGCTAGGATGAGTGGGACTTGGACTCGTTTGGCCAGCACTTCGCCCTGTTGAGATTCGGTTTTCCATTCATCTGGTGAGCAAAGCATACTACGAGATGTGCCATCTGGAAGATTAAATCGAACCATGGGCCAGAGTCTCGTAGATGCTGCCGTGGTGCCTGAATTTTTCAAACGGGCAGCTTGGATCTTTTGACGAACAGCCGCTTTGTCTTCTTCATTCTCGCCATTATCGGGTCCTAGGGCCAGAAGGAATGCAGGCTCATCTTCTTTATAGGCAAAGAACGTGCCTTCATCCATGAAAGATTGAACAATTCCCAAAGAGCCATTGACTAGTTGGCCGTCTATATTTTTGATCAACATCACCTGGGCGCCTTTCTTGAGCTCGAGAATTTCAGGGGCGATAAAATTGTTGAGAAGATTCTTTCGTGTATGGGGATCTGCATTCCCCGAATCAATAGCATTAAAGGTCATGATTTGGCCCGACAATTTGCGCATTCGATTCTGGTTCGCATTTTCAACTTCCTCGCGACGAGGATATCTGTATATAATCAGTGAATGCGGAGGGGAAACGATACCACACGTACAATTCAGTGGCCTCAATTTCATCACGGAAATCGAGAGGTCTGGATAGAGCTTTGAACTCTCGGATGGTCGCCGCACTCATCTTTCCCAATCGCATTTCGTTGAGCATCCGGGCAAACTGTTCATCCTTTTGTCGAAACACGTGGGTTAAGAGGATGGTGTGTTGAATACAAGTGTCCCAGGTCATTGCATCAAAAACAAATTTGGCCGTCGCATTCTTCTCCGGCACGGGGGGCAGTTGGAAGAAGTCTCCAGTGACCACCAGCTGAATACCACCAAAGGGACGACCGTTGTTCCGAATCGTTCGGGCGATTTGCTCAAGTTTATCAAAGAGTTGGCCATCCACCATCGAAATCTCATCAATGATCAGGACTTTCGTACGAAGCCATCTTTGTCGAGATTTCTGGTTTCGCTTGATCTTTTTGACGAGTTCGGGAGCAGGCTCTTTTCCAAGTCCAATACCTGACCAGCTATGAAGTGTTTGGCCCTCCAAGATGCACGATGCTAAACCGGTCGATGCCGTAATGGCGATGCGATCAAGCTCGTGTCGGTATCGATGTCGCAGTTGAGCGATGATAGACCTCATCAGGACCGATTTTCCTGTTCCGGCCGAGCCCGTGAAGAAGACACTTTTTCCTTCTTCCATGACCGCTTTCATCACGGCTTTTTGTTCATCGCTGAGAAAAGGCTCCGGCACTCTCTCCGTGGTGGAATCCTGAGCTCCAACCGGTGTCGCAGGCGGTGGAATGGACCGATTAGACGCCGAGCGTGACATGGGGGTATTCGGTCGTTGACGTATCGACGATGACTTTTGTAGCATTTCCGACATCACCGAAGACGCCCGATCTCGACTCTTGACGGATTCATACTGCTTGGGGGCAGCAAATTTGTCAAATATACCTGAGCGTCCTGAATCGTTGACGCCCAAACTCGTGTTCTGTGCCGTTGAAGACGAGAACGAACCCGGAAAGACCCGTTTCTTGTTTGGTCGGACAGGTCCCGGAGATGGTATTTCTGGTGGTGGTATTCTTGTGTTCGGCTTTTCATGATGCCATTCGGGTGATGAAGACCATGGCGCAGGAGCCGACGACGGTGGGGATCCCCGTGGCAGCGGCGGCAGGGAAGGATATGGAATGGAGCCTGGACCGTCGAGGAAAGGGTATTTAATATCGGAGGAGGCTTGCTCGGGAGAATTGGTGGTTAGATCCACAAGAGCAGGAGGACTGTTTTCATCAAACGATGTTTGCTGATGCAACGAGCCCAGGTTGTTCGAAGTGCTCATGCTTCGATCGAATGTTCTTTTCAGACTATTCGGGGTCGTATCGCGAGAGATGTTGGCGGCGCCGGAATTTAACCGCCGAGAAGATTGGGTTTTCTCGTTTGGTCCTGTTGAGGCGCGTTGATCGTTGGCTCCATGATACATGACGGCATTGACAAAGGATTTGGGAGATCTCAGAGCGCCGATTGAAGAGCGCAAGGGGAGATGGGGAGAATGGGGGTGCATGAAAGGTAAACACGATGGTCAAAAGGGAGGATCAGATTCCTGGAAGCCGAGGATGCTGGTGTTTGTTCGTACAAACTTCTCATCGCGATGGTGACCCGAGCGAAAGTGGAAAATTGCTGGTTTGGACGGACGCGTGAGGAAAATTATGTGATGGGCGAAGTCGCGCCCGCCGCGTCCAGCTCAAAGTGGGACCCCCTGATCCTGGTGGCCCTGCGTGCTGCCTGGCCACAAGTGGAGAAAATTCATCACCGTGCCTCATGCAAGGCTATGCCCAGTGCCCCCAGATCGTCAATTCGTATTTCCCCATGCCAGCACAAAGCATGGCTGCGTCGAATAAGTTCATCACTTTTTACCTGGATATTCCGTTGATCAGATTGCTGATTTACGACACCTACAATGTCAGGGACTTTTTCCAACATCCATGTGCTCAATATCCACCATCTACTACTGCTCTCCCCGATTCCATAATTACCCCGTAGCTTGGATAGTAACGCTCATGGCATAATCAGTCTGTTCTTTCGCACTCCAACAAATAATGCTCCCCATGCTGATACAAATTATGCCTGGTATCCAGGATAGTTGTTACCAAATGACGGCGGCGGTGGCTGTTGATAAATTCCGCCTGGTGCATTCTGTCCACGTCCATATCCTCCGGCTGATGGTGGAACCTGACCGAATGCCGACTGAGGGGACTGGGTGTAAGGACTGGGGAGATGGTTTGGATCCCAGGCACCTCGTCCACCAGGACTCGGACCTAAACAATGATTAACTATATGATCTGGATCGTGATGTGGCAAGACATACCCTGCGGCGTCATGGGTGCTGGGCCGCCGTATTGTGGGAAATATGGCGAGGCTGGATTGTAACCACCAGGCGTCGTGGCCGAACCAATCGAGGTTTGTGGCGAGTAGGTATCGAATTGACCAGTCGGTGGACGATCTTTGCCCCACTGCTTCTCGTTTAGAATTCCCCCTTCATGCATGAATGCCAACACTTACGGAGCATTTCAATGGCCTTCCATTGACATTGTAACCAGATAGTTGACAAATTGCCATTGCGGCGTTCTCGTGTGTGTCCATCTTAATGAACGCGAAACCCCGATCCGATTGGAAGCGAGTCTCAACGACATATCCAAAGTTTTGGAAGAGAGGGACCAGATCAGCCTGCGTCGTGTATGGCGTGAGATTACCGACGTAGCATGTGGTTTGCCAGGTAGGAGTTTGGTTCACAACCATTTCATAGGACTGGACGCCTTGAGTGGGAAAATGATGATGTCCGAATGGCGTGGTAGGAGTCATGCCCATTGCTGCCATGGCCTGTTGTTGAGAGATGGACGGTTGGCCCTTTTGATTTGCCCAGTTGCAACGAATCGCTCGACTGCCCAACCATTCCCCGTCCATCGAAGAGAGGGCCTTTTCCGCATCAGGTCTTTCACGGAATGCCACAAATCCATATCCACGAGATCTACCGGTCTTCATGTCCCACATCACTCGTGCCTCGGAAACAGAACCAAAAGCTGAAAAAGCTTGCAGCAGAACCTCGTCATTGACTTCGTTACTCAAATCTCCAACGAAAATATGAAAATGATTTGAAGTGTCCTCTTTGTTCGCAGTGTTGGATTGATATGCCCAGTTGACACGAATCTCGGCTTGATGGACTCGACGGCCGTTTAAAGTTGTCATGGCCCGTTCAGCGGCACCCGGATCATCGTACTCTACAAACCCATAATTGAAGCCTTTAGAGTTGAACTAATACCTCTGTTAGCACCAGCAACCCACACGGGGGAAAAAAATCTTGCCACTCACATTCTTATCGGGAATTATCTTGACACTGACCACATGTCCAGTAGTCTCAAAGATCTGTTTAAGGACATCTTCGGTCACTCGAGGATCGAGACCACCCACATAAAGTGCTCTCTTATTCGGCTCCGGCGCAGCTCTTCGGACGACTCCTCCCGAGGAAGGCGACAAAGCCGTTCCAGGAGTGACAGGACTGGGAACGGGGTTGTTGTTCTGTGGAATCACCACTGGAGGTAATGCCGGAGGTCCCATGCTTGTGCTAGTGTGGCCATTGCTCCCTGGTGGGCCATCGTAACCGGGGGCGCCAGCCGTGGAAGGTGGCGGCGGCAAAGTAGAAGGAGGGATGTTTTCCGTCATATTGATCAAAACAACTTTTTGGACAACTCAGAGGACAAGAGACAAAAGCGCGCAGAGAGCACTCGGATTGGCAAGGTATGAGATGGTGGGTAACAGCTCAGGTAGGTATTTGGACTTTTATATGATATTGCGGGGAGGACAGGTGATGAGAGTGGGTCGTAAAGAAGGAAATTTCGCTTGAAAAGTCGAGACAATTCGCTATCAAGATGACAAGCCAACCCAGCAGAGGAGCGCCAAATGTCGACGAAGGAGAAAGATGATGATGACAACGCAAGACTCGGAAGGAGAAGGAGGAGCGCGAGGTAGTAATAGGGCGGGTCGAAAAAAAGGTCGCGCCGAGAGGGAGTGCTTTGAACGAGACAGCGCAGTCGGCGATTGTCGTTGTCGTGACAAACGTAGCTGAGATTTGATGTGAGAGAGAGAGCAGAGGAGAGCAAACCAGCGCAGAGCAGAGCAGAGCAGCACACTATAGTGATGAACTGAGAGACGAAAGGAAAAGGAGAGATAAGAAATCGCTCGAATTCTTTTCCCAACGCCCAACTTGCAATGCACGAATTCCAAGCGACACGACGGAGATGGAGAAAAAAGAAGAACGACGAATGCGAACGGAACAAAGATGCGCAGAGATGGTGAGTAAAAAGGTGGTGAGGTGTGGAAAAGTAGAGAGGAGAATAGTAGAGTGACTTAAGACTTGGTAGTGGGAGGAGGAGCAAGCCCCCCCAGCTCAGGGAAATTATTTAATTGGCAGTTTGGAGAAGCGTGGCTGAGGAAACAAAGTGCTCTTCACTCAGGCGCCAGCACATGTATCATACTTTATACATATACGCGATCCAAGGTCAACCGCCGACAAAGGTCGCAGTCGACGGATATCGGTGCGAGTTGTGGGTTCGGGGCTGCCTAGGCGCCTAGCCTCAAGCATCAAAGGATGCCTGAAAGCCGTTAGCTCCCTCCTCCCAAGCAAAGCCTGCGTCCTGAGGCCATCATATCCTACGCCTGAAGAAAGTCTTGCAGCCTGCCCCCCTACCTTTCTCGACCCACAACTACTCCATACAACAACCTCTCCCATTGAAAACTTGACAGCGCCATTGTCAGTCAAATCACCATTGTTGTCTCCTTCTTGCGCCTCGAACTATGACCTGACTCCTTTCTTCCTGGATGACTCTGTTATTAACGATTCCGCTTTGCTCGCTCAGTCCGACCTCATCCTTAACCTCCTTGCGAATGCCATTCTTATCATGGCCACGACCAAACCTCCCCACGATCCGGTGAAAACGGTGGAGGGAATGTTTAATGGCTCCGTCACCCGCATCGCCTATGCCATGAAAGATCCCTTGAACTATGCGCAATCTACAAAAGCTATTCTTGTCGAAACCGCGAAGAAGTTCCAAGATGCGCTCGATGACTGTGAATTTCAGATTCTCGATGCCAAATGGTATCTTGAACATCAACTCGCCTTGAACAAAGCGCGCCGAGAGGCCAAGGCAAGGGAGGACAATGCAGCAAGTGCGAAAAGAAAACGTGAAGAAATCAAAGATGCGCAGGAAAAAGCGAAAGAAAGCGAGAGAGAAAATGCGTCGAAACGCGTCAAAACAGTGGAGTCCGAAGACCCATCCCAGTTACCACCCAACTCAAATACCTCTTCGCAACAACAGTCTGTCACCGCTCCTAATGCTGCAGCGAACGCAGCCCCGACACCTGCAGAGAAGCCGGCCGCTCCAAATCCATCAGACAAACCGAACGTATCTGTGACAATCGACCACAAGCCATCTCAACCTCCAGCTCCGGCCTCTAAGCCACGAGACAAGCCACCTGAGGACGGGAAAGTTCCAGAAAGCACGTCGATGCAAAATTCCCGAGATGACTGGCCCAAAGCCACTCCGCAAGATACGCCAGCGACCGGAAATGAAGATTTCAATTTTGTATCAATGTTTGGCGAACCATCGGGTGATGTGATGGATGGTGGAGGCAATGATATGCACTTTGACCTCAATCTAGGCGAAGGCTTTGACGCCGATGGCACCACCAACCTGAATGCTCAAGATTCCTCTTTGAACTCATTACTTCCCGGTCTGGAGCCATATGCGAGTCAAGCCGGGGACGAGAGCTTCAACCTGGGTGGCACTACAAATAATGGGACAGCCGGTGATGGAGCTGGCGCCGCTGCAGGAGGAACCACCGAAAACAACAACGCTCAGCGGCCGACCGACGATTTCAGTTTGCCAGCTCTGGGACCGAATGAATTCGATGATTTCCTCAACGCCAACGACATGAATTTCGACGAAACACTCAATCTGGACGATGGTAGCATGATGAATATGGAAAATATGGACGTTGATTTTGACAGTATGTTCAAATAATCACATGAATGTTGACAGAGCTGAGCCGGGCACGGTATGGATGAACAAAAGATTTGCGAAGCCCAGGACGGCGACATTACATTGGCGGAGTTTTATCCACATCTTGGTATCAACTTCGAACACGGGATATGGATCACCAGTCCATTTGAACTTTGTGCAACATGTTTTTCGACATCTCACGATGTGCTACTTGGATCAGCTTCATTTCGCATCTATCTGGGTTCAAGAGCATATAGTGACAATGGGCTTTCACCTCTTTCGGTTCGGTCTATGTCACAGTAGCAGCGAGAGTGTTTGGCTAGGTTGCCGGGTCTAATCCTGTGATTTTGTCAGTATAGTGCGTTTTGACTTTATGTTTCTTTCTATTCTTGAGATACCCATGGACTAGGAACTAGGTTCAAGGCTTTTTGTTTCCCCCTCCACGGGACCAGTGTTGGTATGATATGGTGTTGTATGCAGCGCAATACGCGAAATGTACAAAAGATTCACACTTTTGGCTGAAAAGAAAAGCAATGCAGGGCTCGAGGTTTAAAATTTGGAACCGACAGCTGGTCCAAATGAAAATGCAGAATTTACCTTTTTTCCAAAATTGAATTTTCTGCTTGCTATCCTTGCTCTCTGTATCGGTATGATTAATGGATGATTGTCCAATGTTTATGTGGACATCAGTCTTACCCACACAAAAACTCCATTCATCTGGTACAAACAAACACTCAAAGTCAGAAAAAGTCTCTACTAGACTTTCTTTCAATCAGCCTTCCCTTTACGGTCAGCTTGATTCAACTTGTCAAACGAGCTTGTTGTGGGATGGAGAAGTCGACTTCGCCGACCAACTCCTTCACCTTAGCAAGCACCTGCGTCATCTCTAGCATGACGAGGATACTGGCGATTTCGAGGACCGCGAAGGCCGCGTAGCAAGGCTCCTGGACGTGCTTGATGGAGAGGATGCCCGGGTCGACCGCCGCGAGTTGGGCTGCGATGTCGATGGGGAGTGGAACCCGGACATACGGTGGCAAGGGCTGAGAGTTGGTGATACTCGCGGAAACCAGGCACAGCGTCGAGGTCAGCTCGTCGTCGGTGACGCGTGATTGGGCTGTCACCTGTCGGAAGTCGCGAATCCACGGGCTTTCCTCGCTGTCTGGGCTCGCGGTGAATGGCTGGGACGACTAGCTAGTGAGTGCCATGTAGTTGAAGAGGTTTTGCATGTGCACGACGAGTTCATCGTAGGTCTGTTTGGGGAATTTACCGCCGAAAGTGGGCTCATATTTGGTGAAGTCCGAGTGTTCGCGGAGCCGGTTCATCATAACGGTGATCTTGTCGAAGACCTTGAGGCGGGCTTTGTCCAGTTTCCGCACGGGGCAGGATTTGTCGTGGAGCTTGGCGGAGAGGCCGTGTCGGAGCTTGGTTTCCACGGTCGAATGCGTGATGGAATAGTAGTTGGCCATGAGGTAGAGGGTGGCGCCTAGGTCTTTGCGGAGTGTCGCGTGCGTGGTGACAGGGTAGGGGAAGTAAGTCCAGATGAAGGCCACGGCGATGCCGGCCAGGACTGAAACGAGTCGGTATGGCGCTAGGAGGTAGATGGAGTAGTATTGTTGTCCATTTGTTTCGAGGGTGCGAGTGCCGACCTTGTTGTCTTGAAGCTCATATCCCAAGATCAGAATAGTCGTCACTATCGATATAACCGCGGTGATGAGATGCTTGGGATTCTTAAGCACCACATACAATGCACAGACGAAGAGAATGCCCGCAAGGGGTATGACGGCGGCTGGCTTTTGATCCGCCATATACCAAATGGTAATAGAAGCAACAGTTGCCACAGCCGTGCCGAAGACTCGGGCCAAAAATCCCTGAACACCGGCTCCAGCATGGGCGCCCATACTGATGGCCACTACTGCTCGAAACCCAAAGGCGGATGCATCAGAGCCCAGATATTGCGGGATCAACCGGAAATGGTCGGTGGCGCGTTCATACCAATTTGACGGTGGTAAATGTTCCGGATCCTTTTTGGGAGAGAGCGAGTCTCCTAACCAGACAATAATTCCTGTAGCCTCACCATCGGGAAAACTTTGGTCGGAATCTGCTCGCATAAAGGCATTCTCAATCAATTTTCTGATTCGCCTCCAACCCGGGAAGATCAGTCTGTTTCTGCTCATTGTTCCGTCCTGAACCTTGGAATCGGCAAAGGCCGCCATGTTCAAGGTTGATTGGCAGATGGAGCGTAGCAAGTACTCGAGGTACAGGATCAGGTACAATTGTTAGTGATTTTGCTTTTGTCGAACCGTATCGTCCATAGAAGCCGAATCGCCGAATCGGTACTGAGCAGACGGATCTTCCCAGAATTTCGTCGGAACTTCGATGCCTTTCCTTTCGCACCACTTTCGCATCGTCTCCTCGCGATGTTCCTGAAATATTCTGATCTGCTCTCTTAAATGCCCCGTGAATTGGGGGTCACCGGGGGCTGGTGAATCACCTCCGTTTTTCTCAACGTCCTGGTCGAGAGTCTCGGGTTTAGGGATCAGCTCCAGCACGTAGGCAATGTGACTCAAACCATCGATCAAGCTTGATTAACCCTGTGAAAAGGGATGCGAGACCTGGCAACAACTTCGTGCCATTCATCTGCTTCGAGTTTTCTGACGGAGTCAATAATTTCCGCGTCACCGACTAGGTTTTCTCCCTTAGCCTTATGGTGTCGAACTGATTGCAGAATATCGATCAAGGTGGAGAGTCCAGCCACGGGAAGGACTATGCGCTGCAAATGGGTCCAAATTTGGGAGAAATCTTCTGCTTGCAGCTTTCCCCAACCAATCTCTTTCTGAGCAAAAGAAATTTCAATTTTCAGCTGACCAAACAATTGAGACGCTTGTTGAATTGTCACCTTCAACTTCGTGGCCGCTTCCTCGGCCTTTTGCATCGCTTGGGGATTTTTCTCCAGCGGTATGGGTTTGCCATTTCCGTCTAACAAGCCCGCACTTCCAGTTTGAGAAGTCGTAATATCGTGCAGATAAGCGGTGTGTATTGAAAGAGATGTCTTCAATAGATTCATAATGCCGGCCATCTGTGTGTACGAGGTCATCCGAGAAGAGACTGGAATGATGAAAAGGGTAACGCCCGTCGCCAAGGCATATCCAGTAAGAAACACTTTGAGCATTCTGCTGACAAAATTCATCCCTGCCGTCATGTTGGGAAAGGTTGGCGCATAGGTTGAAGCGACAATGATAAAGATGATGTACTGGATCGAGGCGATGAATAATTTGGGCCGCGCCGCTCGAACGGTATTCGCCAAATACAAATTAAAGAACAACCAGGTACATGCCGAGACGCTGGCCGCTGCGTTGTATTGCAGGGATGGGGTGCTTCCAGATGAGCCGGTCGTGGTGGAGCTAGAGGCTGAGGTCGTCGATTGACGAGCAGAAACAGCGCACCGAATGGACAAAAGTGACATGGCCGCGGCCAAGCATATCGAGATGAGATCGACAAATAGAGACTGGAAGAACTTTGCTCGTGGAAGAATTGGCAAGGACAAAAACGATATGATGGCGATCAGATATCCCAAGGTCGAATATTGTCTTGCCCAAGAGTCACTCTGATACCTGATATCATGAGCACCTGCCAAAGAGACGTGGGTACAACTTACGCCGCAAGTGCAATAGCTGGGGGGATTCCTCCCCTATCTCGATTTAGTTTGAATCATAGGGCAATCGCATATGCTTACTTGAGCATCATCAAGAACGTGCTGAGATCAAGATTGAGCTTGCCGCGCAGCCTCTGGGCGATTCCGGGCACTGGCTCAGGCGATTCTTCTGGGTTGGAATCATCTTGATTGTGGTCCCACGCCAGCCTTATCTACCTCCGCCTTGATTTCTTTGGCAGCAGGTCCTGTATCGGTTTCCAACATTGTTGAAAATTTGACAAAGATACTGTTGAAGGCACAACAACGTCGGCTGGTAGAGTGAGAGGAGAGATCCTTTTCAGAATATGGGAATGGGAACCTTAGTCAGCAGCATTAAGGCATATTAACGGCACAAAAGAGGGATTCCCGGGCCAGTACAAATGGGTATCACTCAGGGTGTCGGGTACAGACGTTTTCAATTGCGGCTTCACCTTTACACACACTCAATAATATTTGGGCCCAATCAACAGTGACATTGCCTCCCAAAAGCGGTGGCAGAAAACACTAACAGCGGCAACACCATTTTCCAACTTGTCCAACCCAAAGAAGCTAGCCGCTTTGTGGAGGCTAGGAAGCCATCAATCAAGAATGGCCACCACTGAAATAGGTGGATGCATTCAGGTAATTACCAACCCATTTTCCACTCTTATTCGAATTTGCTATTGTACATGAGCCCAAATCATCCCAAAGGGGATTGAGGGCTCTACAAACGGCAATCCCACGGGAGCTGGCAGGCGCTACGAGCTGCAATAATCGTGCATGATTTTGCAAGGCGGACCTCTACAGAAGCCACTCCGTTCACACAAAACAGCAAAGGCATTGTTTTTGGTGGCAGTCAACGACGAGTTGAAGTCGAATCTATTCCGAAGGCTTACCCTCCGCCCTGTTTGCGCCGTGAGGAGCATCTGGGATGAGCTCTGCCTTTGATCTTGGGCTCCTCAGCTTGAGCTTGGGCTCACCCATGAGGGATCCCCCGGACTGGCCTGTTGGCAGTCCACATTGGGACTAGCCTAGTCACGTGCACCGCAGCCTTCGTGGCCTTTTTGTAGCTTGCGCCTCGCTCAGATGGATTCAATCAATCAATCTTCTCTCGGCCCAACATGGCCGTAGTTTCCGGGGCTGTCAAAGCCGATCGGGAAGCCGTCGAATGAAATTGGTATTGACTTTGGTTCGCCCAAAAAGGTAGGTAGAGATGGCCGGCTGCGAGGTAAGGCACTCATCGGCCTGAACCGGGCTCGGGCATTCCACTCTTACCATGTTGAGGCTTCGCCTTCTTCCTGAAGTCTACTTGGTAATTGAATGTGTTTTTATTGTCCCGAAACTCCCAGCTGTTGGTATTATATTGAACGCAGAAGAATAGAGTTTTATTCTCAAGGTTAACTTGGTCCGTAAGCCTGATACTGAAGTTAAAACGGTTAAGGCCATCCTGATTGCGCTGGACGAACCAGTTCGCCAGATTTCTTTCGGATCATGGGAAGACGCTCGAGGAGGTGACCGTCACTATCACCATCATCGATATCCTGTCTAATTTGAACTGGAAGCGTTTGAACCTCAGGAGGCTCAAAGACAATCCTCGAATCGGTGAATGATTGAGAATAGGACATCTCGTGCGCTTCTTGTGATAATGGGGGTTGAGATAGCTCAGAGGATTGAAATTGAGTCTGGTCGTCGACTTGAACATTGAGGCAAGTTTGGTTCTGTTCGGCCGGACGGCCATCATACCCCGATTAGGTGAGCTGGCTTTCCCATTGTTCTTTGGAACTGATGGCTGCGTGTAACGCCTTCAAGTTCTCTGACTCCTCGTCATCACTAGAGTTGTGGGAGGATTCGGGAGGCGAGATTGTCATTTCTGTGGGCATCAATGAAGGTCTCACAGGCGGAGGTGGCCCAGGACAGCGAAGTAACAAGTCAGCATTGTGGGAGAGCTCGTGCCTCCTTAGGTGCTCCTCCCGAGAGAACACCTTGAGGCAGCCCTCAACGTCACATACATACTGTGACGGCAATCAGGAGGGAAGCCGGTCACTGAAGTCTCCATAAACCACCGCTCGACCAACATTCTTCCTCAGATTACCATGTCACGAGCGGCTTTTTCAAGTTGTGTGCTTTGCACGTCGAAGTTGGTCCGCGTGATTCTGCGTGGAAAGAAACAGGAACGAACTCAGAGACGCTGTATTCATATCTTAGGGTTCATCTATCCCATTCAATGAGGCCAATTTTCACATATGTGCTCCCAATTCCTTTAGCCCCCTCTTCCACCTCCCCATCCCACAAAGTCCTGTTTCCTACCATGTTTCATCAGCGACGGAAGCAACATGTCCAATTCTCCCACAACCAGCCAAAAGATAAGGTCCGAAACACAGTCATTTCGAGTCGTTCCTGAAGATGAGATATCCATTCAAACAGTATCACAACGACACCACGCTTGCTGAAATGCATTCACATAATCGAGAAGATGCAAAACGCCCGTCACACTGTGAAGTCGATCCATTTTCGTGTATTTCGTGGTTCGTTGGTTAATGGACATAAAATCTTGGTGCACATCGCGGTCCGACTCGTTGTGCTCAACACAAGGGAATTCGTTTCGTTTGAAAAGATGATTCCTCCACGGAGTCTGGTCCAGGAGTGTTGCCGTTCATTAACGTCTCCACCCGGGCGGTGGTGGGGGCCGACCTCCTCTATAAACCACCTCGCGCTCGACATACCTCTCCTCCTGTCGGTCCCAATCTTGGCGAGGGCGAAGGGGTGGAGGTTCAATGGTAAGTGGCTGTGGTTTATCCACGACAGGGGAGGGCAAAACTCGGTTCTCCCACCCAAGCTCTTTGATTTGCTTGCGCCGCTCTTTGCGGATATCTTCGGAAAGCCCGACGAGGCGAGCAACATCTTCCTATTCGGTCGTTAGTAGCTTCTCCCGACTTGCAGGGGAGGTTGCCGCTTACGTATCGTAGATAGCCAATAATATAGTAGAAGTCATCAGTCTCCTCATATTCGTAGCCAATTTCTTGAATCGCTTCCTTCACAACCAAATCCTTTGTGATCTCAGTCCATAGGCCTTCTTTCGGATCACGCTCTTTGCCATACCGCCGTCCAATCTCTCCATTCGAAGCGGGAAGGGGAGCAGGGGGCGACAGAGGCGCAGGTAAGGGGGCAGGAGCTGGAAGAGGACTGGCGACTTCACTTCCACAACCTTCATCACTGACTCTATCAGGTATAAATTTGCTCCTCCGTACGCCATTATACCTCTGCCAGCTTATTTCTTGACTCACGCCTCCGGCTCCGTCCATTCGGACGCGGTTTGTGCCCGAAGGAACGTCAACTATTGCCCAATCTCGAGTCGCTCCGTGGTAGCCTTCCCCGATGTAGGATTGTTCGAGAGTGCGGTTATCGTAGTATTCGGTCTCTTCCTGCACGTCCCGGTCGTAGCCGCGATAGGGATCGCGACGAGGTGCTGGAGGGTCATAGGATGCATCACGAGGAGGAGGTGGAAGAGGAGCTACATGGCCACTTGGCCCTTCATTGCGATCGATGATAATGTCTTCGTTTTCGGTGCGGCCATTCCGGGTTTGCGTCCTGCTGACCTGGATTCGTTCCTCCGACCGAGCTCGAGGAGGGGGAGGGGCCACTGAGAGAGGTAGACTTGGTGCCGATGGCGGTCGAGAGGTTGGGCGAGGTCTCGTGGGAATAGAGAGTTCGAACCCATGATCGTTCCCACTCAAGTCGACGGTCTCAGGAATGTCATCGGCGTCAACCTCCTCTTTCGACTGTTGGTCGTGATTGTCGCGCTTATTCTCATTTAATGATTGCCCTATTGTCGAAGACGTTGAGGGAGGAGATGAGTTTGGCTCTATGGAAATCTCCTCTGAGTGTTCCGGATCGAGAAAGACGCCTCTAGACCATGAATTCAGAGCGAATATCCCTTCGTCGGAAGAGGCACTATCCTCTTCATCCAATTCTTCCATTGGGACGAGAGATGCTTGTGGCTGGTTGGAATTTTCTTCACCTTCATTGTCAGTTCTCGGGAGGGCAAACAGGGCTAGTTCTTCTAAATGACGACCTAGGTGTCTTTCAAGCAAGACAACTGGTACATCAGCTCCACAGCGTAGTGGGCAGCCTTCGGGTTTACCTGGGTTGACAGATGGAATATGTTTTGTCCGTAAGTGTTGAAACCATTCGCGTCGACTGTCGTAAAGTCTGTTCGGAGCTGAGCAATCATGGAAGACACAAACATAGGGCATCAAATCCTTGAAGACATGCCGGGTCCACGATCGCCTATTCGAGACTGTGATGATGAAGAAACAGTATGGGCACTTGAAGGGCTGCCCACCGGCTGAATCCCTCGGTGGGTGTGGAACAGTAATCTTGTCGCTGCTCTCCCAAAGACTAGGAGCATAGGAGGTCTGAGAAGCCCCTGAGTTTGACGCGGTCTCCTCAAAGTCAATATGAGATTCTTGGAAATCGGTCGCAATAGTTTCTGACAGGTGATGCTCGTCCCCGTCGTCCCAAGCACTTCGGTCATTTCTATCATCAACTGTACGCTCGATGCCTTTTCCGAGCTTGGCATGATGCCTTTCTCGATATTTGAGTGCGGCCCTCCTTCGTGATATGGCGGCCCCTAGCCGATCAACAATGATACTGTCGGCGTTGGGATGCTTGTTGACTACATGGTTGCGATCAAAAGGTTCAAAGATGACTGCATCTAGCTTCTTGATTCCCAGGAGCCTGTCGTGACTGGCGGGCCTGCGGATGGTCATGCTCAATTGGAACAGACAATCAATGGTATTGACCAGACCACGGTATATCTGTTGAAGCTCTGTCTCCTCTTCATCATCGACTAACATGTTCTCATGTTCTTCCTCGCCTTCGGTGAGGAACTCATTAGCATCTTCGAGTGTTCGCCGAAGCCGCTCAAGGAGCTTGATCGTTTGGGCCCTAATATGGGATGCATCTCTCAGCCGATAATCCAGCGACGAATGTCCTGTTTGATGAGCGCCGATGTTCGCGGCCCAGATTCGCAACCTTCCGAGTTCATCAACCCATGAATCTGTGTGGACCTCATCCGCATATGTAGCCAACTTGGGGCGAGTCATCAGGCCGTTGAAACATTTGAGACAATCAACAAGCACGGATGAGATGGACGATGTCATAGTGAAGGTAATTGAGCCCAACTCTTGGTGATCAGTCTAGATAACCTGGCCAAATATGAACATCCCACAAGAGGAACGCCCGCGTCGTCTTGAACTAGGTAAGTGGTGAAATTCTCAGTTAAGTGTCAAGGGCTGTAGCGACTTGAAGGATCCCGTCGCGCCTCCTCATTTGACCGGTTTCAATGGGAGGTAGAAAGCAATCATATTTTAGTGTCGTCCGCGGCGATAATGGTCGTTGAAATCTGATCAAGCTGAATAGAAGCGATGAAGTCCTCATCAGGTTTTTTTCACTCGATTTGGCCTGGTGTTGATAGAGCGGGATGGCCTTCAGCCGCACTAGCGCCAGCCCGCCTCGGGACTCTTTGCTGCTCCTGCTGAGCTGGTTGTCGAAGGTGCCTCCTCGTCCACCTGGCACAGCGGTAGTCACGATGGTGACAGGAGTTGAGACAGCGGGCATTGTCCTTGCGGTCCTTCCCTTGGTTGTAAACCAGCTCGATGCATACGTGCAAGGTATCGAAGCTTTGAAGGGCTTTCGGACGAGGCGATACCGCCGCCAGTTCGAAGAGTACTCGACAAGACTGGGAACTCAACATGCCATCTTGCTAAATACTTTGGAACAGTCTCTCGAAGGCCTCGTCGACTACGAAGATGAGATATCAGAACTCATCAGCAACCCACGAGGGCCACTTTGGAAAGATTCGTGCTTCCAGAAGAAGCTGGTTCGGAAGCTCGACCGAAACTACGGCGCCTTCACCAGAACCATGACCGAGCTTTCAACCTTGCTGGAGACTCTGTCAAAGAAACTGGGGCTTGAATCTGCGGATCCATTAAAGGTAGGTTGTTGCTTAGATCAGCGGGTGTTCGGCCATGTGTGGTTCACGTCTTGAAAGGTCCTGACCATTCCCTTGGTGATTGTTATCTCGTTGACTTAGCATGCTGACTTCCGGTCTTTCAATCATCAGATATCCTGGGATGACGCCAGTGCTGTCGATCGAGAGATCAAGAAGTTCAGAGACATCTTCTCCAAGTCTGTCTATGCGGATTTGCTCAACAAGATCGACAGCGCCAATGCCTCACTCAAAACTCTCCTAGAGCAGTCGGACTATCGTCAGGAGAGCCGGCGCAAGCATCGGATATCCAAAAAGCCACTTTTGAAGTACAGAGCAGTTAGAAAGCACGCCGGTAATCTGTACAATGCGGTGGTCCGCGGTAAATATTGGAAATGCCCATGCAAAAATTCACACTGTGTACACCTTCGAATGGAGCCGCACGCCCTCGACACCAACGATGATCACGACTTGAGTCTGAGTATACCTAGGCTTCGGATAGCGTTCTCCACGACAATAGCTGACTCAAAGGCGATGACACCGTGGCACTGGGAAGAAGTCGAAACTGTACCAGTTCTGCTCGACGCACCCTCTGCAACACAGAAGGGAGTTTCGAGTTCTCATCGTGCCGTCTGTCAACGGTCAGCGGATGACAGAAAGGTTCAGTTTGCGACTACGAACGTAACGACAACGCTGCAGAGTCTTCCTTGGCCCGAGGTCCACGATGTCCCACCAGAACTTCCCATATCCGATTTTTGCTCGCTACTACTTAGTGCCACAGGCAAGCTGAGGAGTTATCTCGGCTCAATCTCGGATGAAAGCGATAGCAGTTGCCGGTACAGCTTCTATTTGATGGAGAAGCACGAGAATAGCGTCGAAACACTGTCACTAGAGGACCTGCTGAGCTCCTCATTGCATCCCGTTGGATCGCATGCCGCTCGCCTAGCCTTCTTATTTACCAGACGCGACCGGTTGTTTCTAGCAGCAACCCTCGCGTCCAGCGTCCTTCAATTCCATGGAAGCTGGCTGAAGAGTTGTTGGCGAAGCCGAGACATTCTGTTTCCAAAGCCCAATGGGAGTAGCAAATCCTTCGTTGATCATCCCTATCTCTCTGGGCATGAGGTAAGCAAACCGACGACAGCAGAGCCGGCCACCAGGACGATGGCCAACGCGCTCATCCGGAGCGAAGTACTGTTCCCGCTGGGACTGGTCCTAGTTGAGCTATCTTTGTGCCAGTCCATCTCAGCCTTACGGATGCCAGAAGACGAAGACACCGTAGAAGCAATTGCCAACTTCAAGACCGCCTCTCGAGTACTCGACCAGGTCTACTCTGAGAGTGGCTTCCGCTATGGTGATGTGGTGAACAAATGCCTTTTCTGGTCGGAGATCAGAAACTCAACAGCGGATGACGAAGAATTTCAACTTCTCGTCTTTCAAAATATTGTATCGCCGCTGGTCGAAGATCTAAGAGATTTTGAAGGAAAGGCTCGTATTCGTTGAAAAATCGTTTCATCTATCGATCGAATTCCGATCCCGTTGGGGATACTCTATCACCGGACGTTTTCGTAGGCCGTTAGGGACATCGTCAAAGGTCGAAATTATTGTTCCAACCCAATTTATCATACAGTATATCGTGCGAACAGACGCAGTTCGGAGTCGTGGTCACTCTCGGAGTGCCGGAGCTGCGAAAACTTTGTTCTGTAGAAGCCCTCTCCGGCGGTGCAAGAGAGCCTTATCCCTTGTTCAGCCTGTTTTTGAGTCCGGAGCTCGGAGTACCCACGGAGTATGGGTCTGTCATCGAGGGACTGAAAGTGACCAGCCATTTCCCAAAAAGGACCGCCACGATGACGAAAACGAATAACAGACTCGCAGTTGGGGCCGTGTTGTGATGACAAAATTGCTGAGTGATAGGCTCCAAAACAGGGATTTACTAATTAGTACACGACTCTTACTAGTCCGTACACTCGACATGGGTTGCAAAGGGCCTTCTTTGCAGTGCGATTTACAGACAGAGGGGTCCCAGGAAGGCATAAAACTGAGCGCACAGGGTCCATTCTACGTAGTACTGCCTAATCGACCTCGCCAAAGTGTCTCTTTGGGCGTCGCTGTCGCCCTGTGCGGCAGGGAGCTCGCTGCGGAGCTGTATGTGCTTGCATTACCGGCCTCAAGACGCATTGCTGCTAGCCTCGGGCGTGACTGGACAAAAATCTGTGGATTGAGCCATGGCATCAAACTGAGTCCCACGGATAGGACAAGCACTAAAGAGTACTTAATCCGGGGGAATTTGGGGGGGATTTGGGCGTGCCTTCAGGTACCGGATAGCAGGAGGAATGTACGTTGAACAAAAGACGCGTCGTCGACATGATTGAAAGACATTCCGATCTCGCCAAACCTACCTTGCTGAGGCGTATCCATAGCAACAGCCTCGTCAATGACGTTGTTGAGTGTACGGAATAAGGATTTACGAGGCTCTGGGGACAGGGAAGTGTACGGAATAGTGATATACGGCCAAAATATACGGCCAAAAATAGTTTAGCGCGAATGCACGGAATAGTCAGAAGGGTATGTACTAAATAGTAAGGACAAAGCATCAGGCCAGCCAATCGCCATCGAAAGCCAATCGCCCTGGTCTGACGGTAAGATTTTCTCTCTGACGGCTAGCCTTCCCCGCGTTGACTTGAGAGAGTCCATTGGTCAGACTCTCACGAGTTTTCATGGCCTTTGATTGGCCTCTTGGCCAGGTGTTGTCTGCCGAGCTTCAAGTCGCCGAATTGGGAGCTTTGGCGTTCTTCCAAAAACTTTTCTGGTCAAATCGAAAGGACAGGGAAACTTGGTCCACAGCCATCACTCCATGGCTCCCTCTCAGGCGCCCAGTGCGCTCCTACTACACTCCTTGAGGTCTCTGGCTATCGAAAAGCCACTGTCCAGGACTGCTACTCGGTCCTTCACGACGACTGTTTCAGCACGTGAGGAGGCACAAGTTCAGAAACCTTCTTTCTATCGAAATCCCGACCCAGCCACGGTCTACGTTCCCAGACTTGAGCGAAAGCTGATGCGCGCTGGAAGACCTCCAATTGGCTCACGAAGACGACGAGCGGCCCTTGCACAATCCGCTGGCATCCCTTTCGACCAATTGCCCTATCAGTGCTTCCAAGAAGCCCGCAAGATTCTCATTGCAGACAGAGCGGAGAAATTGAAGAAAATTGACACCGAAAGAGCTCGCATTGCCCGGCTAAAAGATGTTGACGCCAGCACTTTCCCGGGGGGTGAGATGTACAAGCAGAAGAGATTGGCCAGTATGCAAGCAGAGCTCGAGCGACTCAAGATCTTAGCCGACATTAATGATCCGGACGTCAAGAGAAGGTTCGAGAATGGTAGAGGTGTGTTGCATCGTTGACGTCGTTGCTCCTACGACTGACAATGGATAGGGGATATGAATAAACCGATTTACAGATATCTGGCCGACCGAAAATGGCGAGAGTATCCTCGGAAGATTCTCGTTCAACGTGTGACACAAATGAAGGTGGTTCCTGACGTGATTCCCAACGTTGATCCCATTGTCGATGTCAAAATTTCCTTTGGCAAAACGGCCATCCCTCCTGGCGAATTCGTGGATTCGCGCATCAGCGAAAATCCTTGCCAGCTGACTCTACAATCATTCGATCAAGGCGAGAAAATGGTCACGGTGGCCATTGTTGACCCAGATGTACCAAACGTTGAAACGGACAGCTTTGACACCAGGTGCCACTTTCTAGCATCAAACATTACCATTTCCGCAACCCAACCGTTTGTCGATCTTGCAAAGCTATCTCCAGATTCCCAAGTCCTTCTACCATGGCTGCCACCCCACGCACAGAAAGGAAGCCCGTACCATCGACTGGCCATCATCGTTCTGCAACAGAGAAACAATATTCCCATTGATCTCGAGGTCGCCATGAAGAAAGTTCAACGAGAGGGATTCACAGTCCGCAGTTTCATGAGTCGGCATATGTTGAGTCCCATTACTGCGTCATTGTTCCGAACCAAATGGGATGATAGCATGGCCGCTGTCATGGAAAGAGCTGGGATCGAGGGCGCCGACCTCGAATTGAAGCGGAAGAAGGTTGAACCTCTACCGTACAAAAGACGCAATCCGCCCAGTTTTAGATAGATTGGGCATGATAGCTTTGTATAATATGAACTGTGGCATTTTCGAGTCTACTTCGGCATGGACGTCCATGGATACATGTTTGGTTTGGTCTCATTTTGCTCCCTCTTCACGCTCATCTGCTCGTCAGATCCCCCTCCTTGATCGCTTTAGAGCTCGTATCAGGTTGTAGAAACGGGTTGGAGTTGTGGAGACCGCAAAGAGGTCCAATTGAACCAGCCATCTCCATTGTACAGAACTTTAGCAGCGATTAAAGCCATGGGCACAGGACCATAAAATCGTGAGTCTCGACTGTGAGAGAGATTGTCTCCAGCAACCCACACATGCCCCTCTGGAACCTGTACCATCGCCGGCTCTTCTCGAACAGCATCGACATCGGTAATCCCGGGCACCGGGGCGCCGCCAACGGTTGGACTGAGGGAAGGATCGTGAACAACGTAGTCGCCCGGCATGCCGATAATTCGTTTGCAGGCTCTGCCACGAAGAAACACCGGGTTTTCGAAAAGGACGACATCGCCAACCTTCACGTTGTTGCCTCGTCTGTGCAATCGGGAATAAATGGAGTAGGTGAGTCCGCCAGAGATGGTCGGGAACATAGAAGGACCTGAGTTGGGCTTTTCATCAAACATTAGCCTGTATTGAGCTGATTTGCTAGGCGCAGGATAGGACGCACACCACACCAAACCACATTATGTGCGATCAACACGGTTGCTGAGTATATCGCGACACAGCCGAGTCCAACTTGAATTAAAGATGCCACGGGTGTCTTCGAAGGTCGGGTGGGTGCACGTCCAAAGACTCTCGGCCATGGGGACATTCTTGTCAGCTAACGATCGACATAATATGATCAGTTCCCACCACAAGGCTTTGTGGTAGTCTGTTCCCGCTCGTATGCAAGATGCAAACACTTGCAGGGCGGATGATGAAGGTCGGCTTTGGCATTCGGTATCCGTCGCCAAGGAAGTCAAATCTGCTCACGACTCACCCCGACTGGTCCGGGTGCGAAACCATTGACGTTCTACAATGACAAATACGCTGGTGATGCTACACAATCACTTACATAACCGCAGTCGAACAGAAAAGATTGGAGTTAAGATTGTAGTCCTTTGACAATGATCTGACCCTAACAGCACTATCCCATCAGTATTTATGAGAGCATAACAAGACGGTATGCTTCCAAGCTCAGACTATCAGTCCCATAGCGCTTCTTTTACGGCCTATACGTACCAGATTTCTCAATACCACAATTTCTCATTCGGTTCCAGGCCGTGCTTCTCGCAATGTTCAATATACATTCTCCAGAAACTGAACCCATCCATGATTTCTCGCAAAGTATTATCATCATTGAAGAATTCGATCGAACCCATCACAGTAAAGAGGATCTCGGACTCCTCACTCATCCAGAGCGTGTGGATGGTTCCCGGAGTCTCGGTGATGTAGTCACCTGGTTGAGCTTTCCAGCCATACCTGTCGAAGAGGTAAGAAAGAGATCAGGTCCAATTTCACTTTGGCGAGTCCCCAAGCCCTCCAAGACGCATATCGCCAGAGACTATGCCGACTTACTCGTAATACCCCCAACTTCCCTTGACAGTGTATGCCTTGACCTCGCCCCGGTGGCGATGCTTGCCTAACTCAGCCCTCGGACCGGTCTTGAGAGCAATCACATATGTGCCACTTCGATTATCGAAGCGAAACGGCTTCACCCACATGCTTCCAACCCAGTGGTACCACAGGGTGTCCGTTTCCGCATCGATGTACACATCTTCAGCTCCCAATGTCTCTGCTATTCGGAGCTCTTTCAGCTCGTTCGCCCTGACCTTGTCACTACCGGTCTCAGAGGCGGTGTTCTCTCCGTGCCCGTTGACAGGCTCTGGCACGGATGCTGCTTCGACCAGTGAGGCCATGAGTTCGTGAGGACGAGGACGATTTGGCCGGAAAATTTGAATTCTTGAAGTGAAGGGAGAGACTGACCTTGTCATAGGCCTTTTTCACGATCGGGTGCTCGATTTATATGCGAATGAGAATGCGTCAAGGATTCTTCTACCTGGTGAGAAGGCTTGTAAAGCCGGGGTACCACCCGCGCACGCAACGGCGGAGTGAGCTTACCGCCCTTGGAGATATCTTCGCATTGCACGATCGATGATGTGGACCGACCAATGATAAACGGCTCTGCCTTTTGAGACCGGCGCGACTACTCGGCAAGTGGGAGGCTAACTAGGTGAGCGACGAGGCTGTCCTTGCTCGTATACGTTTTCCCGCCTCGGATCCTGCCAATATCGCGTGTCTGACCTATGGGAGAGCTTGCAAAGATAATTGACTAGTGCTATTAGGGGCTTCGACATCCTCATACTGTTTGAGCGAGCCCCATGATTTGGTATATTGCTTTATTGCCACATTGGGCACTTGTAATGAACGGCTTTCCACAAACTAATCCATCCAACTCTCCTTCCAAACTCGGTGCCCCATTCAGTGTCTCCCACACTCGAATAGATTCCTAGTCCCTTCAGGCCATGGGATTCAAGTCATTCCACCATGTAACGTAGTTTTGGCACGGGCCTGCGATGTCTCTGTACAATGTGCTACTTATGCAAGACCGCTTTGATATCCCTGAAGTGGATTCTTATTTTAACCGAAACGGGAAGGAGAGGGCGTCCCAATTGGTAGTCCACACCCTGATCTTGGGGACGATATCATACTGCAGCCTGGCAATTGTCCTTAAAAGTACATTTCTCCTGCCTGATTCGGCCCAGAAAGTCAGTGTACCAACCCGGCCATGCCAAAACTTGGGGCCAGCCAGCAGGTACAGTAGCTCCCATCACACCCCAGAAGAATGACGATTCTGCTGCAGATGCTACGGTCCCAGTCACTGCCCTACCTCTTCGAACCGTGGTAGACTTAGCCAGGCCCTTGCAAGAAAGAAGCCGACCACGGCGCCGCCTGCTGTGCCTTTGCGACATAATTGGGTCGAACAGAGATATTCAGTTACCATAAACATATAGAGGAGCTCTGCACCACCAAACAATCTTTTGCGGAATTCCTTCCCTCGATTTTATCCTCTCCCCCCGTCCGGTTAGCTTGTACCTTGACCGAAAAGATGCCGGATCCCGTCCGTATTTCAAACCCATCGTCCCTGGTAGACCCTACGCCCTTTGCATACGCCCATGTCGCGACAGTTGCGGAGGGCTCACAACTGGTCTATTTGGCGGGCCAAGTAGGGCAGACCAGAGATGGCACAGTTTCGGACGATTTCTCTGTGCAGGCCGTGCAGGCCTTTGAAAATGTCAAAGCCTGCCTGCGTGATGCTGGAGCTACAATTCGAAACATCGTCCACATGACTACATACATAGTCAATTATGATGCGGCTGTCCACCGAATCTTCGAGTTGCATAAGATATTCCTTGCTGACGAGAAGGGCGTTTATTGCCCTCCGGGGACGGTCGTGCCTGTGCCTGCTCTGGCATTGCCGCAGCTGAAAATTGAGATACAATGTGTTGCTGCAGTAGGACCAAACTCTGCTCTGCGTCTGAACCCACAAAAGCCGCCGAAGGTGACGGAAACGGACGTGGTAGTGGTAGGGGCAGGCCTGAGTGGTCTACAAGCTGCCACCGATATCCAAAAAGCCGGTCTTTCTTGTGTCGTCCTCGAAGCGAAGGATCGAGTCGGTGGCAAGACTCAGACCGTCCAGGTCAATAACGGCACAGGCGTCTTAGATGTCGGTGCGGCGTGGATCAACGACCAAACCCAGCCCAAAATGTGGGCGCTCTTCAAGCAATTTGGCATGGAGCCGATCGTGCAACGCATGAGCGGGGATGAAGTTTTCAGAGACGGCAAAACAACGTGCAATCGAATAGCTTGGCCAGGCTCGCCATTCTGTGACCAAGAACAGCAAGAAATATTTGACAGGATAGCAGAAGACATGGACAAGGACTCGAAATCGATCGATCTTCATGACTCAACAGCGAACTCACACATCGAGGACATTTCCGTGGCCGAGTACTTCCGCCGCAAAGGTGCACATGGCCAATCTTTTGACCTTTGGAGAGTCTGGATTCGAGCCTTGACCGGGACCGAGCCAGAAAACATCGGCTTGGTGTATTGGTTAGACTACATCAAAAGTGGAGGAGGAGTGGAGAGCTTACTGAGTGATGGTCCAAAAGGTGCACAATATTTGACAAACAAGCGAGGTACGTTCTTTTTTCAGTCGGATCATGTGAGCCAGAGTAAATCATGACTGACAAGAAGAGTTTGACAGGGAACGGGACCATCTCGACCAGGTTAGCCGCCAATCTCAGGCCCGGCACTGTCCATTTGAACAGTCCTGTCCGCCGCATTATCCAAACCCGCGATGGTGTACTGGTTGAGACGGCGCCAGGGGCTTTGTTCCACTGTCGTAAGGCCCTTATATCAGTACCGACACCACTCTACCGACACATCGACTTCAGTCCCTCGTTACCAGCTGAGAAGCAGGAGTATGTCAGTGCGGTCCACCTCGGTCCGTACTGCAAATGTATCCTCCTATACTCCAAGCCATGGTGGCGAGAACTGGGCCTCAATGGATCCTTCATCGACCTGCAAGGCCCGGTGGCGTTTTCCCGCGATGTGTCGTCGGACGAGGACGGAATGTTCGCGCTATCGACCCTGATATTTGGCGAGTATGCGACTCGCTGGATGCGGTTGTCGGCAGCGCAGCGGACTCAAGCTGTCAAGGACCAACTGGCTGACATGGTGGGCGAAGAACATCGCACTAAGGTCTATGAAACTATCCAGACCATAGAGAAGCTCTGGTATCGAGAGCTTTGGAGCGAAGGGGCACCGTGTCCGATGCCTGCCCCTGGAGGGATCTGGCCCCGACTCGGTAACGAGCTCCGTCGGCCGTTTGGAAACTTGCACTTTATTGGAACGGAAACTGCCATTGAGTGGAAAGGATACATGGAAGGTGCAGTGCGTTCAGGAGAGCGAGGGGCTCGAGACGTGATTGACTTGCTTCGAGATGGTCGTAAGGAATCGTCATGGAAGCTTTAACACCTCTGTCGTACGTGCAGGCTCAATTTCGGCCAACCGTTTGACAAGATTTCGTGGGCTTCAAGGGAATAGTGGAGATCTGGTGGGAGCATCTTCACATGGATGGCTGGGAGATAGTATCTCGGTTCTCGGCAGGTTCCCAGGGGGGCAAGCAGCTGATAGATTAAGCCATCTTAGAACCAGATGTGTGATTTTTCGGATAAATTCAGCCCAGGAGGCACTCTCTTGAGAGGTTGTGAATCCTTTCTTCGGATACAGCGCCATGTGTCAACTCTGTGGCTGCTGGCGATCGAGTCGCCGAGTGGAGAAGTTCTCCCCACCAGACATTCTGAATAGCAAGCCCTTTGTCGACGAGCTGCCATACCATTTCCATTATACCGAGCGCCGCGTCAAAGGCTCGAAGACCAGAGAGATCGCTCCACCGACGACAGTATTCCTCGGCCATGATGCGAAAGGGGAGTTGCTCAATGTCGGGGCCAATCTCACAGGCTGCCAAAGTCACTGGGATGAGACACTGTTTTTGAACAGCGGAATCAGGCGGAAGCTCTCTCACAAGCCAGATGATCTCCTCCGCGAGGAACTTGCGGCGCTCTTCACGAGCTGGTGAAATAGAGCACAAATCGGTCGACCGCGGCGACCCACGGGAAGCGTGCTGGAAAGAAGGCACCGTACCTCTGTCGTCGAGTCCGACCCCATCTAGAACCTGGTCAGGGCAGGGGATTTGTGTCATTATAGCTCTTTCACAGTAAAGAAGCAATGCTAGCCGCCAGCAATTAAGTAGGAAAAGAATCTCCCCGTTCGGTGCGTCAAATTGGACGGTCGATAGATGTCTTTCGAGCTCAGAAACCTCTTCTGCGTCGCAGCCACGCGACGCTTTTGAGGCGAGATCGTATATTGCGCCAAACAGCTCATCTGGAAACCCATTCAAAGCGAGTAAGGTCCAATTTGAGTGCATCCGCCAAGCCGTGAGCGCTTCGACGTATTGTCGTGGAAATATTGGCCCTCTGCGAGAGATGAGAGAGCTCGTCACATCATACCATACCAGCATGGCTATCTGGGTCTGAAGGGCTGAGTCTTGCTCGGCAATCCCAATTCCTCCGGCGGCTCGAATGACGCTGTGAGCCCCTTGGAAGTGGACGGACCAATCCGAGTATCCGCTTTCCGCGTACTACTGGCCATGAATATCTGCGTGTCACACTGTTGGACGGGTGGGAATCTGTCGAACTTACATCTAATCCCACAAGCGCCAAAATGGTACCGATGAGAACCGTTGGGCCGGCGGTCTCTAGGTTGGCACGAAAAGAACTCAATGCCCGCTCTTTCAGTTCAAGGACTTGCAAGTCTTCGGCCTCTTTGGAGATGCGCGCACGGTATCTCAGTCCCAGCGCCATGATCGTGTCCATCAAGCAGGGATTGTCGAAGGCCATGGGAAGACACATTTGCCATGGATTTATCTGGACATGATAGGTCAACGTGACAATGGCAAATTTCCACCGGTAGAAATCCAACATCTCCAAAACACGGGACGAAAGTTGAAAAGGGTTGTTCATCAGGCGTCCAACGTGAGGTGCCACAACGACATCGGCGGATTCCTCTTCGTGGGCTGTAAGACAGTGAGCTTGGTTGACGAGAGTCGATTGGGGACTCTTCAATGAATCTTTGCCATTACTGTCAGCGCCGATAGTCATCCTGCGCTTCCGGCGACTGCCCTGTACGAAAGTAAAACTCTTCACGCAACGCAGCTTGGCTCTGTCTCTGTTCGAGCTTCCATCGGCACGAGATGGGAACGTCTTCCCAGACCATTTGCCCCGACTTGCGATACCCGGTTGCCAGTCAAGTCGCTGTGAGAACCCACCACAAATAACGCCAGAATGGGTGCATGTGTCGCATCGTGGTCGTCTACGGTCGCATTGGCGTCGATTGGACTGGCAGGTGTGACAATCTGTGGCTGCCCATCCCAAAGAGTTGGTCCTTTTCGGGGCCTTGCCATGCCCGACGCCGGGTCTGGAATCGAAGATAAACGAGAAGCCAGTCAGAGTGCCAGCCGCCGAGCAGGACGACGATGACATGACAGTGGTCACCCGTAAGGAAGCGAAGAAGAGGCACTTCAGATTGACGTTAGGCCGAGGTGGCAAGTGGTGCGGCCGATATTACAAGAAGTGAAAGAAATCAAATCGACAAGATCGAGATGAAGATTATATCAAGGGCCTTTAGCTAAACCGCGCCGAAAAAGCTGCCCCCTCCTTAAAGCGGTCAAGACCCCTTTCAGGTCAAAGACTGTTGGGACCTCATTGATAACAGGCAGCCAAGCGCTCCAGTTTAGCAGCAGACCACCTAGACATGAGTTTTCCCTGCGCCTACGTCCCGGCGGCAGTAGCCCTCGCCTAACCATCAGTAGTAACTAGTGGCGAGCGTCCACTCACTCCAAGTGCGCTGATAAGTACACAAGATCCCGCAGATTCTTGCTTGGGCTTGCTATCTAGCACCAACAAGTATTTTCTCACATTTCATCTTCTCGACTATCATCAGTCCAAACAATCCTCGCCTTTCGAGTCCAGGAGGAAGACTGACCGCGCCTCTTGCCAACGACCCCCAGCGCTTGCCCCGGCGACAACCCGTGTGTCTCCAGCGTTGGTTGTCTCTCAGGTGGCTCTACCCTTTGACATTTGTTTAGACACCAAGTTCCAGTAGCTGACGCGACTTCGCTCGCGAAACTTTTTGCCCCAGACAATCATGATCAAGAAGCAGGAGGAAGCCGCCATGCCAACAAAAGCCGCCGAGATAAAGCAATTCTGGACGCCCATGTTCATGATCCACGGCGTGATGCCGTAGCCGATGGCGAAGCCCATGGTATTCCGGACGATGATCACCGTGGTCATTGCCTCTCCACTGAGATCATGGTAAGTGTCGATCAAATAGCTGCAGTTGAGGGTGATTCCAACGCCGTTTGCACACGAAAGCATTCCCATGGCGAAAACCAACCCAAACCAGTGAACCCCGTGCGCGGCACCAACACCCCAGAGGATGAGCGATGCAGGGACCATCACGACACAGGCAGCAAATGGCCAGAGTCGGTACTCTGCCTCGACCATACCCTCGTTACGACGAGCCAGGCGAATAGACAACCAGTCGCTCAATCGGCCACTGAAGAAGGCCCCGATCCCATTGCCTATGCAAGTTGCAATATAACTGAGACCCACCATGGTCGCCTTGAAGTTGTACGGCGGACTGGAAAGGATAAGACTGGCGGTGGCATTGAGGACCGAGAACCAAATCTATAATGCATGAAGCCAGTCAGACAATTGCGGCGAGAATGGAAGATACCTTCGGAACGACTTACCACATAGATGCCGTAGTTAAACCCTGCAAAGAAGATGACCGGCCAGGTCAGATATTTCAGCGAGTTAAAGGCCCTCACGAAGACGTCTTCGCCCGGTGAGGGCTGCCAGAGAGACAATTTTTGCACAAAAGACTTGTTGGTGGAGTATTCCAGCACGCCTGCTCTGACGCTGGTGACTTCGAATCCTCCAGGGTTCTTTGCAGCTTGCTTTTCCTGGCATCCCGGAGAAGTCATCAAATCGGTAACGTTATCCTCGACAAGACCGACGGTCGACCTGTGATAATTTGTTTCTTCCATGAAGAAGAAACAAAAGACAGTAGCTAGGCCGAGGAACATTGACGGGTAATAGAACACCCACTTCCACCCGTGGTAGTCTGCAATAAAACCACAAATCACCGGAGCGATGTAATTGCTGCCGGCAAGGGCAAATCCGTAAAGTCCCATATAGGTGCCTCGCTGATGCTGGAAAAACTTATCAATCGGTCAATAACCCCGACTTCAACAGACATGTATTGGACAGATTGGGAGACACTTACAATATCTGAGATGGATATCTCTGGAAGCGCCTCAATTGGGGCTGCGACAAATCCCGCAATGATGTTTTTAGCGATCCAACTTCCGTTGCTGCGGGCATATGGCCTAGCACAAGTCAAGATCTAAAGCAATAACACAAATCGTTGTTGCTCTGAGAGAAACTCACCCCCATAACGTCGTACCCTGTACAGAAAGTTACTAGTCAATATCCGAAAGGTAAGAAGGGTTGACGGCAGCATTTACGATTGTTGCCACCATTGAGAGCAGATATGTCAATCGCTTTCCGTAGCGCATCGCGAAAGGCTGCCAAAACAATAGACCCCAACCAGTCAACAAGAACAAATATCCAGAACCTTCGTTGAGCGTATGCAAGGAGACGCCAGAAGCTTCAGAAAGCGGCACCAGCACAGAGTACACGACAGAGTTGGCCAATCCAACAAATAAAATGTACCTAGAAAGAGTGTCAGAGATGGGGAAGATCCACCCGGTCCGGGGCTCAACGCACACACACACAGTGATCACACTCATCAGCTTTCGACGAGGGGACCAATTCAGTGGGTCATCTGGATCCTTGGACGGTGTGGGCACGAGGACAACATCCCCAGACCCCGCATGGAGTGTATGCATGCTGTGGGTCAAGTCCACAAGGTGAACTGTCCCAGGGATGGACTCGGTGGGAAGATCGTGTTGTTGACTCATGTTGGCAATACCCTAGTTGCACGGGCTGGTGGGTTGAAAAGAAGCAATACTGCAGTTGACGAGTATGAGCTTTGTCAAGGAGCATGCCGCATTTTTATACCGCACTTTGCATGATGGTAAGTGCTTCGAGGTATACGGGAGCCACCCTTGATTTGGAAGACACTGATGCGGTTTAGTTGAGCACGAATGAAAGTATTCGTGATCGCGAGCGCCTATCAATTGGTCGTCCACTTTTGATATAGCCGTAAGTGGAAGGAGAGCATCCAGTTTTAGTGTAGTCATGTTGAAGACCCAGACCATCAAACGGAGTAAACTCCACTGTTATCAACCCCAGGTCCATCTGTACTTGATTTGAGCATCATAGTCATTCCGATAGTTCCATGATGCGTGTACCCTATCTTGCCTGTCAATGTCGTGGCGACGACTTCGTCCTTCACATCTACGTGCACTCAACAGGCAGGAGAGATTAGGTCGCAGTGCGCCACATGTCTCGGAACAGGGAGTGTTCTGGTCAGCCTTCCCCAGAAGATTGTCTTTGAAAGAGTGAAGCGCTGTAACCAATCTAGTCTGTTTATGGATGCATTCTATGAGTCGAGACAGAGAACTAGCGACCACTCGACCCGGGGTCCGAGGCGACCGTGAGAATGAGAGCCTGTCAAATAGTCTGAATGCGACAGTGCCTCTGCAATCGATACGATTCCAGTCTTTATAAGACACTTTACGTCCATCTTACTTTTAGGATTCCGCGCAATGTCCCGGTGCGGCCAATATAGTTATCTTGTCCGTGAAGCCGGCCTCTCTACGTTCATATCGCCAGGTGCAGGGTCGTTACCACTATTATCATTTTCAGTAATTGTGAGAACCTTGCCTTAAGATCAGGGCTTCAACTCAAATACTTCTCCATCTGACGTTGGACGACCAGTCTTCACTTGTCCAAATCCCTGATTGAGGTCCATCGCCACCGAAAACAGCGTCTCGGACCCGGTAGGGTCATTCACACTGAAAGCTCGATTTATGGCGCCGGGGTAGTTCTCCTCATCCATGAATATGCAAGCGAAGCTTTCCAATGTAAGAACGCCGACGTTTCTAATCAGTTCTTGAATGCGCTGTAAGCGAAACTGCGAATCCACTACCAGTGAGATCCCTTCCACTTCATGGGATCTAATCATATGGTTGGAATGAGCGCAAACCCCGTTTGCATCCATAGGGATCTCGACCATATCAAAAGCTGTACATTCGATTCCGATAGCTCCAGTATTGGCATCGGCAATGGTAATATGGCATGCTGACGCCACTCCAAATTTCCGCAGCGTCTTTTCCGCAGCCTCTCTAGAGGTGCAGTTAAGCACGGTACGGAGAGCAAGGTGGCAGGGGATTTTGCCGAAATGAATTCCTTTGGCGCCTACGGCATTCAAGGTCACTCCTACTCCATAAGAGTTGAGGCCAATCTTGCCTATGATGCCGGCTTCTGTTATCATGTGTATGGTCGGCTTGCCGGGCTGCTCGATGTGAAGGGTGAGCATATTGGGGCTCTGCCCAGACTTCCAGTCCCAGTTCTGGCCTAAGAATGTATGCTCTTGCGTCCTGACAGCCAGAGCCGTGCAACCATCATTGACGATGCCGTACGCAATTTCGGTTCGGGCATTCATTGCCAAAATGGTGTCAAACATAACGCCTGCGCCCTCAGCGACACCCTTCATCTCGTTGACGTAGTCTGGGAATGACTTTTGTAGAAACGGGAGGAATTTTGTTGCCACGTCGCGCACTTCAGGCCATGAGTATCCAACATTCTGTTGGAAGAGACTCTCGTAAAATCCGACACTGCGTCTGACCTCTTCTTTAGCGGTCCTGCCATGTTTCAGGCCAATCTGTGGGGCATCAGCAGGCTTCTCCCCCTATCGAGGCGTATCCACTTGACTTCGTAGGCCGTGCCCGAACAACGAATGTGCTTCATAGTTCGCCTTGATGCTCGCCGCTCCCTGTGCTCCCGTGCGGGCTCAAATTACCGCCAAGGGGTTGAAGCTGTCCGTTTATCTAGGTGGTATGAAAAGAAGTGAGAAAAACTATGCACATGAGAGTAGCGCGTGTCGGGGTTATCACTTCACGCAAGCATCCGATATCAGACTTCCTTTCTGATGACTTCACCAACACCCAAGAAAACATGGCAAGACAAGGTAGAAGAATCAGTAGGTCTTGGAGTTGCACTGCTGCGCATGGTGTCTTATCAAACGATAGCCATATATGGCAGGTGAGGGGGAGAGAATATAGTTAGACCCTTATGGGACCCCTGGATTGTCGTAGAAGTGTGGAACTAGAACGGCTATCAAGGTTAACGAGATCCCCTGCTCTCTACTCCCTCTTCAGCACGTGCCAGCGACCATTTGCAGATTGAATACAATATGAAACAAAGATTAATCTGGCCGAACAAGCAAATGTGCCGCTACTTCAGGGGGCAGGTGAGGCGTTTCCACTTGCGGAGCCATTGGAGGTGGAATCCTTACAATATGGGGCCCAATACGGGGATAAGATGCGGATTGAGCTAGCAGAGCATTGCATGGTTCAGATACTTTGTCTGAGTAGATGGTCATAGCTTGGTTTGAAATGACTCTCCGTATCACTGTCGGGCAGGTTGTATGTTGGTACAAGTCGATCTCGCTTATGGGATTTTCGGTGTGGCATAGATTCCTAGGTCTTCGCAGGAAATAAGTTCTGAGTTGGGCAAGTTTGAGGGTTCTTCCAAGTCCTTCAAGTGGCGCCGTGTAGCAGCAAAATATATGTAGGAGTGTGAAGAAATATTCAAGCTGTAGAGGAGGACTCTTTAACCCTTCCACTATATAATTCGAGAATAAAAAGTCTGGATAGGTAAAATCCATGCCAGGCGCCACCATCAACTGCCCACATTGGAAGTCAAGTTAGCTTGCTTCTTCGTATAGGAGTCTGACTCCGTCAGTGTGCTTACCAACGAGTATCTCGCCGTTGACACAGGAGCTTGCGTCCGACAGCAGATAGACTGTTGCATTAGAAACACTCTTTGCGAGTTGTTGTTTGCTTGAATCCTTGATCAACCAGTCTGTTCCTTCTGTTCCAGAAATCATCCCCGGCGCTATCACATTACTCGTGACTCCTCGAGGACCTAGCTCTATCGCGAATTAGACGGTCAACGCATCGACCCCAGCTTTTGCAGCGACGGCATGAATTTGAGATGGCAACCCCCGGTATACCCGATCGTAGCACTGATGAAGATGATAGGCCCACCGTTTCCGAACGTGGTGCCTGCATCGGGGAGACTGCAATTAAGTTCTCTTGCATTGCCATGTACAAGATGATGAGTGAGCAGGAGGTTAGCGCTATAAAGGGAAGAGAGTTTCCTGCGGCACCGCATCTGCAATTTTCTGGGCGTCAATTTCCTTATCCAAAAAGGGAGGGCAGAAGTTATTCATCAAACTCACATAACATAGTCGATCTGACCCAGCTCTCGTCAGCACGCGGGAGTACGAGTGCTTTTGCTTGAGCGCTAACAATGTTTCCTGACCCAGCCCGTACAGAATACAACCCTGCTTTCTTTACATAAATCACGGCCATTAGCCTTTCCTGCAAGACAATTTCATGTGCAGTAATAATGCAGTGTTCCCGTGTCTAGACGTACAAAATATGCCTGAGCGCCAAATAGGGCTCACAATGTTCTGGGGGCTGGATTTCGTGCTATCAATGTCTCCCATTGCGGTGGCATGCGCACACAATTCCAATGTTCGAAGAGATTGAGAGGAGGGTAGGGAGTGAACCTGCCGTGAGCCTCTTTCAATCCGTCAATTGTTATCAGAAAAGTCGACCTATGCGAATGAGAACACCATCAGGCGTCTTTACCTTCGTTAGTCTTTTTCTTTGTCGTAAAGCTGGTGAAGCCACTATGGGGGCAGGGATGGCACTTCGCGGGAAAAAACCAGAGACCTGCAGGATCTTGAAATGTAGCCCAATTTGGAAGGTGAAAATATGCTCAACCAGGTTAGCGTGGTTGGACCCGACGGGGTATGTACGGATACGAGTTCTGAGTTCATTTACAAATCCACTAGAAATATCTCGCAACGACGGCCGTCAGACATCGCATCAGTGCTTCTCCCATCAGCGCAGATTATAACATCATGGAGCTTGATTCCTCTCAACTGGTGGTCGGCGGCCAGATGTTTGGCACGCAATGCGCAAGCTTGATACCTCCAATTGTACCTGGGGCTGCGGTGGTCAACATGAGTGCAGCAGAGGTACATTCTTTTAATTATCCAGCAGTACCTCTGTTCAGTCCCACGGAAATCACAGACCTAAGCTTCTGCAATGTGACCGTGGCGCTGACACACCCGATCGCAAACGACACGGTCTATGTGACTGTTTGGCTGCCGCTGACTGGGTGGAATGGCCGATACCAAGCTACGGGAGGAGGAGGTCTAGCAGCTGGAATTGGTGAACCTATGCTGGTCGGTCCGGTAGCAGCCGGTTTGGCAGCATCTTCAACTGAGGGAGGACTCACATTAAATCACACAGTCAATCCCCAGCTCGGGGAGTGGGCTCTGAAACAAGATGGCTCGGCTAATGAGGATCTGATGCTGAATCTGGCGTGGCGTTCTATCCATGATATGGCTATAGTCTCCAAAGATATCATCAAGCAATTCTATGGTGTGAAACCATCCTATTCATACTGGCACGGCTGCTCGCAGGGAGGTCGACAAGGCTACGCGGCAGCCGCCAAGTACCCGTACGATTTTGACGGGATCCTGGCAATCGCACCGGCACTCAGCATCGCTCATTTTGCACCAGCCGACGTCTGGGCTCCAGTCGTTATGAGAAACTCGGACGAGGTCCCTCCGTTTTGCGTTTTTGAGGCATACCACAAAGCCATCATTGCCGAATGCGACCCCCTTGACGGCGTTGCCGACGGCCTCATCTCCGATTACGAGATTCTCGAAACCTGCCCTTTCGACCCAGTGTCTCTAGTTGGAACCGAGATACTGTGTGAGGAGGGTTGTATGGAGTTCGACCCCCTGACTTTGGTTGGGAAAAGAGTGGCCTGTCGTCACACGACAAATCTTACTATCACAACTGTCCACGCAGACATCGTTTCCAAGATCCTGCAAGGGCCGCGCACCGACGACGGGAAGCAGCTTTGGTGGGGTTTAGCCCCAGGCGCCTCATTTTTTGCGACAGCGCATACCATTCTCACTGAAGACGGCGCGAGAATACCCCAGCCGTTTGTGGCAGGAGAGAACTGGGTCAAATATCTGGCAATGCGCAACGCTAGCTACGACATGACTAAGATGACTTACCCGGAATACTTCAAGGCCTTTGACGAATCAGTGTCTAGGCTTGATCCCCTTTGGGGCGACGAGCAATACGATCTTACCGAGTTCAGACACAGAGGGGGAAAGCTGCTCACCTGGTTTGGGCTTGCGGATGAGTACATACCACCTCCTGGTATGTTTCGCTTTCGTGAGAAGGTTGAGGAGAAGTTCGGTGGGCCCAAAGCTGTCGACGAATTCTACAGGCTTTTCCTGGCTCCCGGGGTTGGCCACTGTTTTGGTGGCGTCGGACCGATGCCCACAGATCCGTTTGAGGCACTCATCTCCTGGGTTGAGCGCGACAAGGCACCAGATGTATTGCCCGCAGCCACCACGATGCACAACGTCGAGGTCCAGCGAGACTTGTGCCGCTATCCAAAGAAACTAGTGTACAAGGGAGGTGATGTGAACGTCAAAGATAGTTTCGTGTGCGAATGAGAGCAATTCGATGGGTGGTCGGCCCTAGGGAGTTGAAACAGTCCTCCAGATGACGCACAGAATATAATGTGCGGTCCAGAGGGAGCATCCCATCCTCGACGGCGAGGTTGGTGATTTTACTGTCTTGATGTAGGTAGTTCTCACCAAGGCGAGTCCCTGAAGCCCTCGTCATAGGGGTGCCCTCCGTCTTTATCGAGTCGCCAGCAGGTGGTTTTAAAGCGGTGCCGTCTGCTTGAACGCCACGTGAGCTCCTAATCGCAGATATCACAAAACTATACAATGACCTGGCACACATGTATATCGGGTACAGGGTCCTCATCCCTGTTCACAGCCGGATGCTTCTTCTCCATGTACAAGTACCATCCAGCTTCGAAACGAAACCACATTGTGCCGCGGCAGGACATTTGCCAACAATCTACTCTAAAGAGCGGTATGGATACCGATCTCCCTCTAGCACATGTTCCGTGAAGTTGGTGCGGTTCGTACCGATATTACTCAAAATTTCCGCTTCTAGAAAGATGTCTCACGCACAATTGGTGAACTTGCTTGTCTAGCTACTGAACGTCGTCTTTTCATGCAGGGCCTCTTATCTAATAACCAACCCAAATCCATCGCCCAGTGCAACCTTCCTTAAATTGCATCGCATACAACTCCTCTTCCTTTTTGATATTCCAGAAGCCTATCCGGGGATCTCCTCAAGCACTCATGCATCTTGGGAGGCACCGAATAATCCGGTGAAATGCGCTGATCACTCGCCTTGTGTATCCACCGGGAACATCGGACGAAAAGGACAACCAAGCCACAGAACGGCTAGTCATGCACCGGATGGCTCGCTTGCAACGGGCAGTTTAGTCCCGACACCACGTAACGCGGCATGAGGGACTCCGGTCAGAGCACAACCGCGTCTGAACGTTCTTCGCTTTCCTACAACAGCAGAAGATGCTGGGGGCCGGTTTGTTCCCCAGAAGAGCCGGTATGCTGCGATTGCAGCGAATCCATGACATTTTTCTCATCATGCCGCATTGACTGGTTCAAGGATGCCCTCCAGACAAGCTTTGAGGCGAAGCTTAGCACCTGTTTTCCGCAATTCTTGAAGCCTACAAAGTTGCATTCGGGCACACACTGAAAGCGCCAAGGGAGCCGAATGACGTTTGGAGATTGGGGAACCATTTGACGGAAGACCGAACAATCCCTGCAAAACATTATCAACTAAGGCAGCAGACGACCCACCACTCACTCGCAGCCTCGCAAGCTAAGAGACCAAAGACCACCACGACCGTCCATACAAGGGTTGTTATACGACGGGACAACTTATCAGTCGAGTTGACAAAAACTGACTGGGGTGGTTCGACTTAACTTCTAGGACAATCCTTGCCACTCCAAGAGAATCGTCCGTGGGGCCCCATTATCAATTTATTGTACCTTCCTGATTGCGTTACGGTATCACCGTTCTAAGGGGTCTCTGTCGCATGATTTCAATTGTCCTTCGGCATCCAAGATGGTTTCACTGATCATTCCCAGCTCCCATTTGATCTTATCAAAACGCGATCCGTCTTTTGAGCCGGTCTTCCTCCTGAGTCCTATCAAATCGAACATCCCATTGCCATCGCGGTTTTGTGTCGCAGAGACTCCGTTCCCTGCCTCCCTCAGCACTATCACACTGGCACGTTTACCCTCCTCATTGTGGGAAATAAGCCAATTACAAAGTCACGTCCTATCAGTTGTGGGATCCTGGCCACGGACAGTGTATCAGACTGGTGATGACGACCCAACATTTCTCCTGATTGGGCTATTTTAGGTAGGCGTATGGAGTGTAACCTTTTAATCGAGGGTGACAAGCTTTTCCTGCTTGTCACCAAGCGCCCTATCGAGCGTGTATAAAGTCCAGGATTGTTCTTCGTCTTTCCACCTGGCCTGATTGAACCCACGTGCCGTGCCAACAAGACCTTCTCAATCGTTTTATTTTCGACGGTGAACTGGATGGCCAGCGGTCTAGGATCAATATCTGGCATTGGGGCTGTGGATGATCCTCGTCTCAGCAATGACGGCCGAGACCAGACCACTTACCCAACTAGGGTGCTGCAGAAGCTCCATGATTCCAGCATCCCGCTAGAGGAATATCTGCACTATGCAAAGATGTCTCGAGCAGAAGAAGACCGTCTTTATGGACCAGGAAGTGATTACATTGCGGGTCCCGGTCCAGTTATGACTTTCATCAATGAGAAGATCCTTCGCCAACAGGTGGAGCACCGTGTTGTTCCACAGCCACGACTATCTATCAGCGCCCAAGGAGAAGGACAGATGGAAAAGACTCCCTCTGATCCAGCCGATGAAAAGACGGCATACGAAAAGAGAGCGTATCCTCCTATGCCTATCTCTGATGACGAGTGGATCCAGGCATCACGGGCTGCGAGAACAGCTACTTGGTATGAATACCAGCCTCTGCGGCTGCGTGGACTTTCATGTCCCACTAACGAATTCAGGGGTGCTGTCTTCTATCTGATCACGACCGATATTCTCGGCCCTTTCAGCACAGGTTACTCTTTCAGTCAAATGGGTCTCGGACCCGGTGTTGCGCTCTTCACAGTCTTCGGAGCTCTGGCCGGCTACAGCGGATATCAACTTTGGCGTCTGTTCATCCAACTCGACAGCGACCGCCATCCGATGAAAGGCTACGGTGACATTGCCCTCCGTGTTTATGGACCCTGGTTCCGACACACATGCAATTTTTTGCAGTCCTTCCAGTTCTTCTTGAATGTCGCCTTGATTGTCCTCAGCAGTGGCCAGTCCATCAGCCAGCTGTCCAAGGGTAATTTGTGCTTCATTGTCTGCGTTGTGGTCTGCGCCATTGCCGGATGCTTGGTCGGACAAATTCGAACTCTTCAGCGATTCGGCTGGTTAGCTTCTTGCGCCGTGTTCCTCAACTTGTTCATCATCTTCGCTACGTGAGTGACCTGCTCTCTTTTCCCATCTCCTTCGGCGAAAACGTAAGGTTCATCAGCTAACATATCAACTTCAGCATGGGTGTCATGGCCCACTCGGACCCCAATTATGAACTCTATGCAGCGTCGCACCCTGACTTTGACGTTAACCATCCTGACCCTATTCAAGTCTCGGGCTCCGCTCCCCCGGGCCTGGACATCGTCGACAATGTCAATGGTTTGATGAACGCCGTTTTCTCTTTCGGTGGAGCCACCTTGTTCGTTGAGCTGATGGCTGAGATGCGTCGACCCATGGATTTCTGGAAAGGTCTGCTGTGTGCCGATATCCTCATCTATGCCTGCTACATGGTCTACGGCATCTACTCGTACTGCATGTGAGTCGAATCCCCAGTCCCTCCCCCCAACGTGGGATTAATATTCTAATTCCTCGAACAGGCAAGGGCAATATGTCTACAACGTCTCATACCAAGGCGTCTCACCATACGGCTGGCAGACAGCATGCAATATCATCGGTCTGATCACTGGTATCATTGCCGCGGTGCTCTACGGCAACATCGGGATTAAAGTGCTCTACAACAATCTTGGCCGGGACCTTCTCAACTTCCCGGCTCTGGAGACCAAAACGGGCAAATGGATCTGGGTGGTGTTTGTGCCCGTTTACTGGCTAACCGCATGGATTGTCGCCTCCTCCGTGCCCCAAATCAACACATGGATCGTTATCGTCGGCGCCGGTTGCATTCTACAATTCACTTACACATTCCCTCCCTTCCTGATGCTTGGCTTCAAGACCCAGCGCGATGCCATCCTCCCTCAGGAGACCTTCGATCCGGCTACAGGCCGAATTAATCGCGTGGACAGCGGCATTAAGCGCTGGATCCGCGGTTTCAAGAAAGAGCTCTTGTGGAATCTCTTCGATCTCATTTACTATCTCGGCTCATGTGTCACGTGTATCCTCGGCTTGTACGCTGGGTTCACGACGATGATCGATGCCTATGAGAATTCTCCCAACTTGTCGGCGTGGCGGTGCAGTTCTCCTACTGGGTGACGAGAAAGAGGCGGAGAGAAGGGCGGAGAAAGGAGAAGGGAGGTGCAGCGCATGTGTGCTATGGAGATATAGTGATGGTGTCAGATGGAGTGGAATGGAGGACGCATGTCTGGTCTGTAGGAGAAGAGCCGTTGATTGACCACGAGTGTTTGATTCAAGTTGCTGATAAATTGCCTCAAAGGTATGAGACAGCATTTCTAGGCAGTAAATGGTCCAAATACTCATGCAAGAGCTCGATCACATCACGATGAATGGGCCTGGGTCAAGTTACCACCTTGTTGTAGTGGGTTAGTCCCCAGTTACATGCCTTGAAGTACCCAAACCCAATTTCCCATGTATTATTGGTCGTGGTGTTAGGCACAAGTACATTTACATGTGTACACATGCCAAGTCTGGGGTAAAAACTTTTGCAGTTGCGAGGCGCGTGACCACGAAAATGATGCAATCAAGTGTCTCCAATTCGCGATTCTAAGGCCGCCAGAAACCGTAAATTTGTCTGTCGATCCCTTTTCCTTCCTCCTTTTAGACTCTCTTACCGTCTGTGCAGGCGCAGACTTCTCTCCTACTCGACCGCCCTAAATCATGTTGCACAAATGGCCTTCGTTGTATAGACTTGTGTTTTTCTTCCTTTTTGTTTCCCTGTTGTTCCTGCAGGGTTCACTTCGTATCCAGGCTGAAGCACATGTTCTGAGCGCCCAGCAGCCCTTAGATCCCTTCTTAGATCCCGCTCAGAGCGGGGAAGACGCAGGTACGGTTTTCCTAATTCACCATCATTGACGCCATCCTCACCACTTCCCAGCATATGGTCATAAATCATGGCTGCACGACCAAGACGTGAATTACGCAAGGTCGACATGGAATATCCGGACCCCTAAAGATGATCCTCAGCAGCCTATTAGAGAGCCTGACTCCTATAATTCGACCTGTAAGAAATTTCCATCCCTGAATCCCCTGGAAATGATCTGCTGATTCGGCAGTGCTACCGTTGAAATTCGAGCCTCTTCCCTTGGGTGCGGTGCGGCCGCTGGGATGGCTTCGTCAACAGACAGAATTGATGGCGAGTGGTCTACCGGGCCATTTGCATGAATTTTATCGCCTAGTTAAGGATGCTCCTTGGCTGGGAGGAGATCAAGAGTATTCCTGTGAGTGCGGACCCCCTCCCCCAACTTTTTCTACCCAGTTATCAGATGCTGAGGTCTTTTCAGGGCTGAACGAAGCGTGGCCGTACTCCTACAACGCCCTCGTTCCATTGGCGTGGATTACCGACAACGCACGACTCAAGCATCATATTCTTCGTGTCACGGATTGGGTCATCAGCCACCAACAGTCAGATGGCTGGCTGGGACCAGAAGAAGATCTTTCTCGTCGAAACTTTTGGGCCCGGTATCCTCTCTTTCTAGGATTCATTCAGCTGGTGGAAGCCGAACCGGAACTCGGAGAGACTATGATCCTACCTGCGATGCACCGCTTTGTGAGTCTAATGCACGATATGCTCGCGGACCACCACCAAGGTTATGTCTGGAAACCCGGTGATCAATTCGATGAGCAGTGGGGCCGGTCCCGTGCTGCGGACATGGTCCTCGCCCTGCAATGGCTCTACGAGAAATATCCCATGGGAAATGAAAAGAAAATTCATCACTGCATGGTGCACATGTACGAAATGGCGTACGATTGGTCATATTGGTTTCATGAAGACCATTTCCTGAAAGACGACCTCGATCTCTTCCCGATCGAACTGACTCGCAGCTTGTTCCCTTATATCCACGGTGTCAATGCGGGCCAGGGACTCAAATGGGGCGCAGTGATGCGAAGGCTGGTTCATGACGATTCTTTGCTTAATACCACCAGAAACGGGGTGAACTGGACTTTCCAGTACCATGGAACCCCATCCGGGGCTGTTATCGGCGATGAACGTGAAGCCGGTCTCAGTCCCGTCCGAGGCACCGAACTTTGCAGTGTGGTGGAGTCCATGTTCTCTTTGAACTATCTCTACCAGGCTGTGGGAGATCGTGACTTTGCCGACAAGTCCGAATTGGCCGCTTACAATGCTCTGCCGGTCATGTTGATGCCTCACTGGTGGGCTCATCAATACGTCGCCCAGACAAATCAACCCATCAGTCATCGCTTGGACCGGTCGCCTTTCTGGAATGTCGGGCCCTGGGGTCAAACGTTCGGCACAGAACCAAATTTCCCATGCTGCACCGTTAATATGCAAGGGTATTCCAAGTTTGTCCCGGCAATGTTTGTCAAGGTCGGAGAAGACGGACTGGCACATGCTCTACTTGGACCATCCCACGTCAGCGCCACTTTGATGAAGCGCAATAGTGTACGAATTCGATGTGAAACGAACTATCCATTTACGACCTATCTCAACTACGAGATCAAGGCCAGGTCGGCTTTCCGCTTTTCGTTCCGGGTACCTTCCTGGGCCGTACTGGATGAGAGTGGAGTGTGGGTTGATTCCGGAAAAGGACATCATCTGAACCCGGATAATGCCACCGGGTTGCATACCATGATAATTCCAGCTGGACGAACCCGCGTGGAGGTTTGGTTTGGTACCCGACTGCGCATCGAGCCCCGGGCTAATGATACCGTGTCGATATATCATGGGGCTTTACTATATGCACTACCGGTTGCAGGAGAATACGAAGCCTCTCGACCGGCCGGATATCCCGGAACAACCGCTCCGCCTGAAGCCAACGACTGGGAAATTTTCCCCCGAGACCCCTGGAACGTGGCCATTGACATATCAACGCTGAAGTTCTTCGAATATCCAAATCGCTACGCCGAGTGGTTACCAAATCCAATCTGGAACGAAGAAGCACCCCCGGTCAGCATTTCAGGCTTGGCCTGTGCTATTGACTGGGGGTTCGAAGATGGATTTGCACCAAATCCGCCACTGATAGGACAACGGAATTGTACAGGAAGAGCATTCCCAGTAGAGTTACGCCCGCATGGCAGTGCCAAACTGCATATGGCTGAGCTACCCACGGTGAACTTGAAACCTGGTAGTCCTGACTTGTGGCGACCTGATCAGGATGAGCCAGAGGATTCAGAATCGGGTCATCAAGGGGAACTGTGACTTGTAAATACGCATCTTTTGTTAACCAAGTTTAAATGGAATGCCTCGTATTTAAAGACATACATCGAGATCTAGATTGTCAGCGGTACGGAAGAACGGTGAACCGAGTAATACGGCTAAGTGAGGCTGAAGGGTGATGTTCCTGATGTGCATCCAGAGGCTGAGTGATGAGAAAGATTCCAGTCACACGTAAGCGCCGTGGATGGACGGGGGACGCATAAACGGGGGGGACGCGCACACGAACATGATGGGCAACAGACGCGCAAACAAAGTTTTCCTTCTACCACCAAAAACGTTATTTCTCTCTCCTCAGCGCTTCCACGCTTCTTCTGGCTGGCGGCAAATCTCTCATTAGGTCGCTTGTTTCATGAATCGTCTGTGGCTTACCGCCAACTCGTGTTGGCACGCACTCGATGGGTCCTATTTTTGTTTCCCATAAGCGCCCCGATTTTGCCGGAGGGTCAAGCTCGAGCTCCGACAGTCCAATCGTCGACGGTGATGGCTCCAAGCACCGGTGACGATGAGCGGGAACCGTGAATAGCCTCCTGGACTTCAGGCGAGCTCTCACCGATGCCGAAGGAGGCGATGCTAAGGTCACAAGGTAAATCGACATCTTCTTTTCATCTTCATCCTCGTCTCCGTCTTTCTGTTTGCGTCGGCGTTGTATACAAAAATTCCCAGTTATTGCTTGAATATAGAACGGTTAGGCCCCTCTTGACGTCATTGCTTACGATTCACGAACTGAAAATCTACGATCATACGACGGCAGCTGGCTGCCCATAAACCTGTGAAAATGAAAACCTACGAATATCCTCGAGTTCGCCCTCCTACTTCACTGCAAGCACCTCAACAACCTCCCGAAAACCGCTTTTCTTGGATGGACACGCCGGCAGAAGAAGAGAGTCGAGTTTGGGCCAATAACACAAGACGAGGGACGAATGCTCCGGCACCGACACAGATGCCCAATCAGCAAGGACAAACAATGGAACCATACAGGTACGCTGTGGGAGGATACCCGTATCAAGGGCAAGATACTGCCGTTGCGCAACAGCAACATCAACACCAACAACCATATGTACCAGATTCACGACATTATAGCGCTCACACGGCACAACTGATTCCAGCACCGCAAACACAACTGCTTCAGGAACAATCATCTCCTCAACCTCAGCCTCCCGAACCTGCAAAGCAACCTCCGAATCCCGAAAATGAACCAACAGGACCAATTGTCCCCGATTTGAATCCTTTGACTCCGGCTACTCCCAAACCTCCCAATCGGCAAAGTACGAACATGGCCATTGTTCCTCCTCCGACCGACCCCTCCTCATTTTCAGTCAGTACATTTACTCCTAGCCCGCAAACGATACGGGGTGGCTCATGGCAACATGGTCTTTGTTCTTGCGCCGAGCCTTCAACCTGCTTAACAGGGCTCTTTTGTCCGTGCATGGTATACGGGAAAACCCAATACCGATTAAGCTTGCGAGCGGAAAGAAAAGATCCAACAAATCTGCTAGGGTATACCGCGGTCAATGGTTCATGTATAGCCTTTGGAATCCTCTGTGGATTCAATGGTGTACTGGCTGCAATTCAGCACACGCGAGTGCGCAAAACTTACAATATGAACACGGAGGCTGGGAATGTTGCCGGTGATTGCCTGAAGGGTATCTGTTGCTGTTGTTGTGTTGTCGCTCAAGACGAGAAGGAAGTCAAATTTCGAGAAGAACGGGCCAGGAAACCTTCTGGCACAAAGAAAGAAGGATATGTGGCTCCAACTGGCATGACCTTTAACCCTCCACCAAGATGAATAGGGTTATAAGGTTATCAATCTTTGTGGGAAGTTCCATTCGCCTAGGAGGTTTGCAGAAACCGCGCCGACTGTTGGAAGTTGTCGCATTTGGCTGCAGATTAGACACCAGGATCAAAACATTTGAGACGGGTCAACATCCTGGTCGTTAAAATCCGAAGCCAGAAGGTGAAGTTTTCAGGATCGAGGACCGACCCCTTCCCGACCAGAAGCACCAAGGAACTCTTTGGACTCCAATGCTACCCTGTGGCTTAAGCCCTCATCCTCTTTAGAACTGGATGCCGGCAAAAAGTCCCACCGGGGATTTGGGGAGGGATATGATGATAGGATGGCCATTTCTTGTTGACGTTAAAGGGTATCCAACGAGCCGATTTTCCGCGAAGAACTTATTTCCGGCCCCATCAATTGAGTCGCCCGCCCCCTTGACAGAACAGGCTACAAAGACCACGACAAGCCACCAACTCCACTTGTAAGATATGCCTCACAATCAATCAGCTCTACGCTTGAGTTTTCCAGTTTGGTATTCAACGATGCGCAAGGTGAGCGCCTTTGTGTATATATACAGGAAGGACTATGAATGTATGAGTATCTTCCAATTCACCCGAATTCTTTTTACTAAATGAAGCTACTTACGTCGACAAAATGCTTCTGCCTTTCCGGTCTAGGCTTTCTCTTTTAAACCTTCAGTTGGAGGGGGCTTATGCGACCTGGCGGTCATGGTGATGCCAATCCCTGCTATCACAGCCACCACTGCAGGGTTGAAACAGGTCAATTGTACCAGCCCCAATGTCTTCAAGCCGTACGCCATGGCACGTTGTACTTTTGGCGCCCAACCAGATATTTATCAGCCGATACAGCAGCTTCTGCTCGTAACTTCTGGACACCTGCACTTTCATCCGACACCACAATGGCTTTCCCAGGGACTTACGCATATCTCTGCATATTAATCTTGCTCCTTTCTTTTCGGTCGGATCTGAGCATTAAAATTTTGAAGCACCTGCTCGGGGACTGGGAAAGGTCATTTAACAACATCAATACCCTGGACCAACCTTTCTATTGTGTGGCGTTGATTGGGGGAAAGGACACGACTAGTTCTCCAAAGTCAAAGGGAATAAATATATCTGAGAAAAAAAAAGCCCGACGGGCTCCCGAGAAGAGAAGATGCGGACACTTAATCGGTAGTGATGCGAGACTTTTGGCAACCACCTATCGTCGTGCAATCCTTTCCACTTCACCCGATGATCCGGTGTTTCCCTCGATGCTACATGAATACTCGCTCCTCTGTCACTGTCGGCCTCATGGAAAATTTAAAGATAAGGTCATCGAGATGGCTCAAAGATGGGAAAATGAGTTGAAGCAAAAATACCAGGTCAAAACCATAGCGCCACTTCTTTCTCTTCGACGAAAATCCAGTCGACTCCCAGGACAATTCCATGAATCTGCAGATGAGTGTTCCGAAAATGAAGACTTACTGCCTCACCAAATGGATTCTTTACAAGACGCCGAACCTGCTCAAGAACAACTTCCAAGAAGCTCTGCTGAAGTCACCCCAAAGGGCACTAGACCATCGTCACAAAAGAAAAGACCCAAAGGAAGTCAGAAGGAACCATTTCAATTTCTCCCGTATAATGCCCCCGAACGAAAAAGCAATCTCCATCTGGCTATAGTTAAACCCTTATACCCCAAGGAAATTAACGATGGCTTCATTTATATGTTGCAACGACCTGATGATCCGAATTTCGTCAAAATTGGATACACGACCGAAACGCCCGAAGACCGCTTGCGATCGTGGAAGCGATCATGCAAGTTAGAGTACACACTAAAATATTCCTCTCATCATACTCCCTGTGCGAAAAGAGTTGAATCTCTCATTCACGTCGATCTTGGAAAAGTTCGCTATAGGGAATCGTCCTGTAAATCCAATTCCCCCTGCAAGAAACAGCATTATGAATGGTTCAAAATCAGCCCGGAAAAAGCGAGGAATGTTATTGATTACTGGGTCAATTGGATGACCAAAGTGAAGCCATATCAGGGAGAGAAACTCCGACCTGAGTGCGTTCGATGGACGTTTTTAGATTTCCACACTGGTATTAAAATCGAGACTGTCAGCAGAGAAAATATTGGTTTGTTCTTGACTGATTCGAATGGTGACACCTGGGTTGACCATGATCAATGTTTGCATCTGATCAGCGAGAAAGATGAGACAGGGACAGATACACCTGAAAATGGATCAGAAACCGCCGAGTTGAGAAATGCTCATCGAGGCGAAGAGGGACTCCAGGACGAGTCATTAGACGATTCTGTCGTTCAACATGATGTTGAAATGGCAGATCAACCAGACATCGAAACTCCATCGCTGGAGAGCCAGTCGACACCCACCACAGCAACACCAGAAGATTTGCAAGGAGCGCCAAGTCTGGACTCAGATTTCGGGAATGCCAGGCGGCAATTGTTTCCCTCAGCGCATGGCAAACACAAAGGAATATCCCCATCTCCAACTCGGTCAAACGCTCCCTCAGCAGAAGGATCAAGTACATTAACGTCCAAGACTTCCCCATCATCAGGGACTGGAAAATATGATGATCCTCCGACACCATCCGAACGAGCTCGTTGCAGGAAAGAGAGACCTGGTTCTAGAGGTGTAACAGATAGAGCCTCTAATCCTTCATCAAGGAGACCGTCAACACCTCGAGAGTCTTCGGCGTCAAAGGCTCAATTACGGCGAGGAAAGGAAAATGAAAACAATCCACTAGAAGTCGATGACAGAAGTCGTCGTCGTCGATCTCAGGCCCGAGAGCCAAGTGCATCCACCGGCACTCGTCATGTTCTCCAGGATGCCAACCAAGCCACACCGTCAGATTCGCGCTCGTCGACCTGCGCTGGTCGTAGTGGCAGTGACAAGTTGAGCTCAAGGAGAGCCCGTTCCTCAACAACATCGGAATGGAAAGCGGAGTCGAAGACTTCAGGAGCAGTGTCCAACAGTGACGATGAGGATATCGACACGGCAGTGACACCGGATGATGAGGCGACGTCTGATCGAGACCGATTTCCCGGGCAGAGCTACGATTCCAGGCACGAAAGTGAGGAAGAACAGAAGCAAACGAGTCCGACAATGAAGCAGAGGTCATCCTCCGCTCTAGAGAAAAACATCAAAGCAGATTTTCAACTCTCTCCAAGTACTGCAAGGAGCGCAAATTCACCAGCTAGCACATCAAGGCCCACATCGCCAGCATGTCGTACTGTGCTTGAACCTCAACACCATATCTTCGAGCCAGGAGATCTTACACTCGGCTCTGATCCCTCGATTCCCTCGTCTCCGACGGCGACCAAGCCATCGAGAAGACAACTTTCCATTTCCGCTGCTGTGGCCGAATCCCCCAACTCACAGCCCCCAACATCGACACCGATACCTTCTAGGTGCACGAGGGGCAAGATCCAAAACGACCTGACTCCGCGATCCAGTGGAAAGAAAGTAGCCGTAGAAAACGCCGTGACCAGGAGTGCGGAAGCTCGTCGTGTCACGGTGGCGACGCCAGGGCCTGTAGATGAAGGCCGGGTTTCCGCACCGGCGTCCGTGAGTATCAGTGGAGACATGAAGGTGATGACAAAGGCGAAGAATGGTAAGGGCAAAAGACCGTTGAAGAAGAGCGCGGACTTAGACCCAGGAACAGGAGCAGCAGGAGGAGGTAAAGGAAGTGGCGGGAAAGAGGATCCGATCCTGATCTTGGACTAGATTCCCATCACCCAGCTCATTTGAATGGGAGTGTTTATGTCAATGCCAACGTGATCATCAATACAATAAAGCTTTGGAAAACTAAACTTGTGTAAACTGCTAAAATAGAGGGGGAAGAAGTTGCTTAGATGGCGCTATGTCGGTAGCTGGGGTTTGGCGTTGTAGTTGGCGGAGAAGTTCATGAAGCCGTCGCGCTCGGTGAGAACGTAGACAGGGGAGAAGGCGGCATTGGTGGACAGCATTGGGTAGTTTTAAAACCCCCCTTAGTTAGCGGGCCGCGCCGAGATAGGCAAACATACGACCTTGAAGTGTGGGTTCGGCGCTAGGTTCGATGCCGGAGACCATGATGTCGGGGGAAAATGCGGCTTGTGCGATTTCGAAGATGTAGTTGATGGCGCCGGCAAGTTTGATGGCTTCTTCGTTGGTGAGGTTCTTTACGCCTCCGTCGGCGCGGATATGGATCTTGACGTAGTGGAAGGATCCATCTTTCTTTGTGAATTTGTACGTGTGGTCATTGTAACCGTTGATGTTGCGGAGAGAGGTAGGGGTGCCGCAGTCACCGAAGAGGAACATCAACGCATGGACGGATTCAGGGGCATTGACGTGGAAGTCCCAGGACATGTCTCCATCGGTGGAGGGAGCGGTTCAGGGGTAGTTATCAAAAACCCAGTCATTGTTACCCTCTTCGGTCTTGAATTCGGGACCGACGGTAGAGATTCGAATGACGACCCGAAGTAGCCTCGAGGGCCAGCTGCATTAGCATAGACGACTCGTCCTAGGATTCTTTCCCGGAAACGTGGGCAAGAGTTGTGATCAATTGAATGTCTTGAAAGAGGACCAAGCTACCTCCCTGCTTGTTGCGAACTTGGGTCAACTCGTGTCATTGCAAGGGAGAGGAGCACCCTCTGCAAGGGTCTAGAAATGAGCTTGGGAAGCGACAATCATCATTGGATAAAATGGGGATGGAGATTAAGCGTGTGTCAAGAGATTTGACGCAAATTTGACCTACGGGTGATATCGCCGGAGGAAGCAGGGGATATGCATCCCTTTTGTCCGGGTAGCATAGATAAGAAAATTTGGGGGGAGACTTCCACTTCATTCAAGTCATGTCATCAGAACTGTTACCTTTGCAGTCATGGATAATGAAGTCTGGTATCCAATTTTGTTGAAAAAGGAAGAGTGCTTCCTGGTTATGGGCAAAGATTCAGCCAATGGGGATAAGGGTCAATACTTGGCCGGCCTTGGAGAGAAATGTGACAAGGTAATTCGTGAATCCCGACTGGTGCAGCTGGTGTTCTCCCGCATCATGTCGGGCTGACCAAAACGCAGGTCAACGTCATTCAAGATGCTATGCCAATAGCATCAGCGAGGAAGAACATTGCTGGCGAGGTCCTTTGGTAAAATACAGAGTCGTGAAGCAGTTGATGGAGGGGAAAGGGGGATGAGGTCGAGGAAGCTCTTCGGAAAGGGAAATCAATTCACCGAACCCGCTACGCAGAGAAGATCATGCGCGCTGTTTTGGCCCGGGACAAAATATATTTCCCCTCTCTTCTCCCTTACGCAAAGTACGGATACAGTGGTGATTCCCGGATCAGCCCGTCTTCCATGACTCTTGCTCAGTCAGAAGCCAAATCGCGGCAAGGGTATCCCGAGAACTAAAGGATCGATTGTGATAAAGCAGGTTAGGGACTTTGGTAGGGATCTCTTAGATACAGGCAGCCTGATATCATTGAGATGAGTCCCCACACCCAGGAGCGTGATGACCAAGAGTCAAAAGTCACAACGTCAATGGGGACCCTTTATTTCGCTGATGAACCAGAGCGCTGCTACGAGACAACATTTGTCGTCGGCTTCTCAGGCCCTGCATCGCTACCTACTTTTGTTCCGCGAGAACAAGCTCACCCTCAGGGTCCTATTATCGAATGTTCTGTGTGCATTGCGTGGACCGCAGCTATCCATGGATGTCCGTACCCTCTGTCAGTGCCCAGTTCATCCTCCTACTCGACTCTGACATGACCGGCCTTGATGAACTTGGTCTTGTATTCTTCAGGGCGATCGATGGCATTTGGGCCAATTCTGAAACGGACGTCTTGAGCGGTATGATGTGCGGATCCGATGTAGAGAGAACTACCCAGGCGTCAGCCTCGAGTGGCTCTCGTTCATATAGCAGGTGGCTGAAGACCAAAAAAGGTGACTCCTCGGCGCTCAACACATTCCCTGCGCTCAGCCTTGCCACATTAGGCCGCAGTCACCGGTAGGTGTTTTCCCTTTCATCCTTTCAAAAGACCGTGACCATGTTTCTTCCCCCATATTTCCCACACTTCCCACTCAAAGTGGCTGATGGAGAGACCATTAAGATTCCGTCTGTCCGGTTGGGCACATGGACTGCCGGTATGTAATCCATTCCATTATTACGACCATTAGAAATCTGAGGCCGTGTCTAAAATTTCCGCCGGTGGAAGTGGTCGGTGTAAAGACGCCGCCTTGTCAGCCCTGAAACCTGGACATCAGCATCGAATTGTGTCCGGATCAAGTTCTCAAGAAGATGGGACTGGATGACGTTGATCGATTCCCCACACATTGGTCCTGTGCGTTCAAGGCAAGGTCGATTGTCTGGGATCATACAGCCGGTATCCTCTGCCTCCCCTTTTCAGTAATTCCTGTTGATACCGGCTGCAAATCACGCGAACCACAAGGACGTTTCGTACCAACGTGGGAAGCAATTAAAGGCTCGTGGCAGCCGGGAGAAACACGAGCTATCGGGTGCCGATATCCTGCCAAACTTGCGACTCCTCATTACCCGGGCAGAAGGTTGACGGGGACACTTTTGCTCAAGGATTCAACAGTTAAGAAAATAGCGGAGAAGAACTGCGTGGATGTCCGGCATCGTTTTCAGATCCGGGCCGGGAAGAGCAGGTGAGTTTCTCCCCTTGTTTTGTAGAGAATCCTCCTTGGCTTTATCCCGAGCGCTTTTGGTCAATCATATAAAATCTGCATTCAAGCCGTATCAAGTGTAATCCCGACGTGAGAAAGTTATCGGATGAGGACATGGGGACACTGCAACGCTCGTGAAATTCCTGGTGGGAAAGGGGGAGATGATTGATTACACTATAACCTGGGGAGTAAATCTGCTCACCAATTAAAAAGGTCCTTGAAAGATAATCAGAGCCAAAAGAGCCTTTAACAAACCGGATAGATCGAGGGAAAAGAAATATGGAAGAATTGTGACAGACCTGACTTGCTGCCATACACAAGGCTGGGGGGTTTGGTTTTCAACGTCGTAATTTTGCAACTCCGCACTCAGCCTCGCAACTTTTTATTCTTCTATTTCCATCCATCTCTGAACTTTCCAACTGTACATTCCCACGCTCTCAACAGCTACCCGCCTCACCAGATGCCCCACAAGCACAAACGGAAGCGCGACGATGATGACTCAAAGTACGTATCTCTGCCGCCTGCTTACTTACATCACGATATCTCCAGTCACTCGCTATCCTGCAATTCCTTCGAGCGATGAGTTCTTTTCAGATGGATATATCTGACACCGTCGTTGCCATAGCTTTGACCTCCCTCCCTCCTCCCGCGCAGGCACTCTCTCCGTACATCAGAAACAGGAATCAATCTTCACATCTGACCGCGACAAGAAGCGCAAACAACAAGAGAAAAAGCAAAAGAAACGAATGGGAACGGGAATGGAAGACGACACCCCCAAAGCATTCGCACGATTAATGGCCTTTCAAAAGACCGGCAAGCGCATCTCTTCAGGCCTCGACAATGGAGATAGACCGAGAAAGAAACAGAAAGCAAAGCCAAAGGGCTCAAAATCCGAGTCCACATCCAATGACGCAGAATCTCCCGATGTCCCTGACCCTGAGTCCAGCGCACCCGCACGAAACCCACATCCTACACCGACAGCACATCCACAATTAAAAATCCTTCCCGGCGAGCGCCTTTCAGACTTTTCAGCGCGCGTCGATCAAAGCTTACCGTTGAACGGCATTCCCAAACAGCAAACCCGGACCAACAACATCCCCGGTCTCGAAAAGCTGAGAGCACCACTAAGCAAAAACAACCGCCGCCTCCAACGCATCCAGCACGAATGGCGTGCCGAAGAAGCTAAGCTCCAAGCACGTCGCGAAGAAGAAGATGAAGCACTTGCAGATCAGCGCGAGGAAGATGCGCTGTTGTGGTTGAAAGCCGGCATTGACAGCCATCACCATTTTCAATCTCCCTTTACCTCTGCGGGGCCGGGCAAGAAGAGGAAGAAGATAGGGAAAAGAAAAGGTGGCGGGAAAGGGGATGTTGGCGACGCAGATCCATGGAAAGTACTTGAAAAGAAAAGGAGAGAGGAAGGAGAGTTGGCCAGGCAGAGGAATTTACAGGATGTGGTGTTGGCCCCACCTGTGCTGAAGGGGGTGAAGAACATTTTCAAGGATAAAGACTACAGTCGGAATAGAAATCATGGAGAGGATGCGAAGGGCTGGTAATAGACATTCAAACACCCATCCAAAACATCAACGATACATGGATTGACGACGTATACGAATACATGTCTTGATAGGACGGTGAGTACGAGGGCAGAGAAAGGGGGGGAGGGGTTACGTATGTCCAGAAGGCCAGACAGATACGCGAGGAAAGATCCAGGCGAAGAACAAAGACCAAGGTCCATTTCAAAGTCAAGACTCATTATTCGAAGCACAAAGCACAAAAGAACGACGACATGAAGAATAGAGAAGGAACAGGGAGCTAGAGACGCTTTTTGATCTTCATCGAGCATTGATTTGGGTGTATCGTCTATCCATATCCATCGACACCGTCTGATGATTTTCCTACAGCCGTTCCCATCCCACCGCCACCGTGCCCGTAGATCTAGATCCAGAACCTTGATCAACTTTCAAGCTCAACCCCAAGTGCCACCGCCACCACCCCTGCCCTGCCTCTTCTGCGCGCTAAGCCTCCATTCATCCTCGCCCGCGTATTTGTTATGCAATGGTTGAATTCTCTCGGCCTTCTTGCGCTTACTCAGACGATCCGTGGGCGCGACTTTGAAGAACGTCGGCGCCGCTTCAACAAGCCACTTCGGCTCAATCACCGTCGCACAATGCATGTACTCTTTCGTCGTGAGCACGAGGGTATGGTAAATGACGTGTTCGGCCGGCTTCCCAAACAACGCACTACTCGGATGCATGTAGACGGGTGTCCCTTCGATGAGTGTCTTATACCCTTCCTGAGGATCCTTGCGGGCTGAATTTCTAAAAAACCCGGAACACAAGGCCTGGCGGACCTTGATAGTGTTGCGGCCACAAGAGACGATCGGGTGCCGGTACCGGTCCATGATGGAGACGAGTTGTTGTCGAACATCACGAGCGCGGGCAATTTGTCGTTTTTGGATGAAATTTTCAAAACACCACGGATCGCTGTACCGGGACGCTTTCCAGGCGTTGTAAACATTGAGCAAAGTCAGGTGGTCACCGTGAGGATCGTGGAATTTGCTTTTCTTCTGGTCAGCTTGTTGTTGTTTCTCCTTTGGGCGGTAGAATACAGTCTGAACAGAGAGCATGGCGACGATGCTGAGCATTTCTTCCGAACAGCCCATGTCGACTGAGGCGATGAGAACTTTGGAGAGAGCCGGTTCCATGGGGAAATCGGCCATTTTTCGACCCAGGCGAGTAAGAAGACCTTCATCATCAAGAGCTGAGAGGGCATAGAGTTCTTCGAGAGCAGTCAACATGGTATTAGTGGGGGGTGGGTCCATAAAGTCAAAATGCAACAGGTCATTAATACCCATTGCTTTGAGCATGAGAATGGTATGGGAGAGGTTCTGACGCTGAATTTCGGGAATGGTGGTAGGCAGCATCTCAGAATGGTAGGCGGCTTCGGTGTATAAGCGAAAGCATTTTCCCGGTCCCGTTCTTCCTGCTCGGCCTGCTCTCTGTTTGGCTTGGGCTTGAGAGATTGGCGTCACCACCAAAGAATCCATGCCGAGTTTAGGATCGTAAGCATTCTGCTTGACAAAACCGGGATCGATCACGTAATAAATCTGATCGATCGTGATGGACGTCTCGGCAATATTGGTAGCAATGACCACTTTTCTGCTCCCGGGTGGCGCTGGTTCAAAAATTCTGCTCTGCATTTCACTGGGTAGGGCCGAATAGACAGGCAGAATAATCAACTCCGGCACACTCGGACCGAGGGCTTTCATTCTTTCGTATAGAACCTCGCAACTGGTATCAATTTCCTCTTGTCCGGTCAGGAACAATAAAATATCGCCAGGGGGTTCAGTCAGATGAATTTGCATCACGGTGGTCAATGCGGCGTCCAAATAGTCATCTTCAGGCTCTCTTGAATACATAATCTCGACCGGGAATGTTCTTCCTGGAATTGAAAAGATAGGGCACTGATTGAAGTATTCGGAAAACTTGTCTGCATCGAGAGTGGCCGAGGTGACAATAAGCTTTAAATCGGGGCGTCTCTTGAGTGTCTTTTTCAGCAAACCAAAGAGGACATCGGTAGAAATGGTTCTTTCGTGTGCTTCGTCCAGCATAATGACCGAGTATCTTTTCAGATCTGGATCGAGTAGAATCTCTCTCTCGAGCATGCCGTCGGTCATATATTTGATCTTGGTTTCTGGAGAAGTTCGATCCTCGAAACGAATGGTGTAGCCAACTTCCTTCCCAAGTTCACAACCAACTTCTTCCGACACCCGCTTTGCCACCGACATGGCGGCAACGCGACGAGGTTGTGTACAACCGATCATTCCGTGATTGGCATAACCTGCTTCAGCAAGATATTGTGTGACTTGGGTTGTTTTGCCCGAACCAGTGTCTCCAACCACAATGAGCAATTGATTTTGATCAATTGCTTCGAGTAATTGCTTTCGAAATTTAAAGACCGGAAGTGACTCTCTTTGTTGTTTGATCGTCATGGTTGTCCTTTTGCCGAAGGATTGGTCCTTGCTCTGGGTTGCTCTCTTCCATTCGGGAATAGCTTCGATTGCTCGTGATGATTGCTGTTGAGCCTGTCGAAGGTCTGCCGCAAATTTCCGCTGTTCAGGGTTGATCATAGGATCCTGCCATTGGGCATTCAGGTCAACCTTAGATGCCTCTTCTGCCGCTCTGTCGGCAGCTTCTTGTTGCTTCAATTCCCTTCTCTCCTTGGCTAATGCTGTTCCTGCTTGAGCTGCTCTATTCAAGGATCCTTCCGGCGCTTTCACAACTCGAATGGGTGATAGCTCGAGGGATTGTTTCGTTTGACCAGCGAGGAACGGCGGTTCTTCCTCTCTGACTTCGATGTCGATATCTTCTTCCTCTTCAAATTGCCCCCCCCCGGTCAAGGTGGCATTATATTCTTCGTCAATATCAGGATAATCTTGAGCAGATATTGCTCCTGAGGCAATCAGTTGTTTAATTTCCCATCTTTCCGGAGACGTCATTCTCTTCTTGTTCTTGTTCGATTTCGAATTGTAGTCATCTTCAATAACGGGCACGGTGCTGCCTAGGTTTCCGTAGCGATCATTCGAGGACAAGCCGTTCAACCGTTCCATGTTGGCGCCCGAGGCAATTCGTCGGGAGGGCACTAAATCCTGACCAGAGACCTGGTCAACTTCTTTCATTGAAAGGCTGACTTTGTTGTCTTCCATTTTGATCACTTTGACTTTGACAAGTTGTCCTCGAGACAGGAGATCCGAGGGATGGTTGACTCTTGCGCCTTCTTGAACAGCCGAGACATGAATCAGACCACTGACATTGCCTCTGACCCCTCGAAGACTGGCAAATGCACCAAAATCTTTGATCCCATTAATTATGGCGTCATAAACTTTGTAAAGAACAGGAGATTCGTCAACTTCTTGCCGAGGAGGTCTTCGAAAGCCATCGTCATCGTCATAGTCGCGTCGCCTGCTCGTATGATGACCGTTCCGCCTGTCGCCGTGTCTCTCTCTGTAACCATTTGGTCGACTGTCATACTCGTCATCTCGAAATCGGCGTGGCCTCTTCTCTTCCTGCGGGCTGGGACTCCGAGACCAGTACTTTTGTCTAGGCTTCCTGCCTCTTGGATAATCGTCACGATCCGGACTTCGACTTCTCTTCCTACGTTGACTGGTTCCATTGGTCCCATTTTTGGCTTTGCCGGCAAGACCCTCCAGGAGTGCAAATGTATCGGCGTCATCGGACGGCCGACTCTCGTCAATAGTTTTTTGTCCCACCATGTCATCCTCGTAGTCATCCCAATTTTGTTCACGATCCGGAACTGCTAATCCTTTGAAAACTTGCGCCTTGCGTCCGACAGCATCCAACTCATCCAAGTCTGAATTCCCATTTGGTGTAGGTTGTTTCCGACTCTTGTATTTGGGATGCATGGTCACGATTAATCGATCGATACTCTCGACCAGACTGTTGGGGAACTCTGCCCCCATGGCCACCATGGCGTCCTTGAACTCGGATAGTTGGCCTCCACATTTTTCATGTTGATCGATCACAAATTCGGCAAGCGTTTTGTCGTTGATACCAAGATGGTTCTGTAATTCGGAGGTGACTTTGGAAACGAGGGACAGGAGTTCGAGGGAAGTAAAGTCGTCCATGACCAGAGTCAGGGCCCTGGAAAGGTGTACAGTTTGTGGACGGACTTGGTCCAGCCAGTTGAAGACATGTAGTTGAAAGTTGGAAGTTCGAGATCGCCGGGGTTGGGATTTCGGGGCAGTGGCAAAGATGCACCAAATCAGACTCCAAGGTTTTGATCCGCTGCCGATTTATATATCTTGGCAAGGTCGAGCCTTCATATCTACTCTACCAGGGTAAAAGTCATTTTGGCATTCACTCCTATCCATCATGGGAAACATTCGAGCAAGATCAAGCGATGTCTCAGTCATAAGGATCCGAATGGTGTGTACATCATTTCTGTACAATTGCCATGCAAGACCCTCCTCTATCTTTATTGGTACATGGGATCCTCTTTATCATAGAGTACACCGGTACTATTTCTCTTCTCTCGGCACCATGAGAGTACAAAACGCTGACAGCCACAGTCAACTTGGATGACCATGACTCCGCCGACGAAGAAACAGTCGATTATGTTAGTGAAGAAGCCGAAGATGCCGAAAGAGAAGGATATGATACAAGAAAGCCAGGCCATTTTCTGAATCGCTGGATGGTGCGCGGCAATAAGACCCAATCGTTCGCGAGATGGCTGCTGCCAATCCCGAAGCCGGAGGTGCAGATAAAGTGGTGACCGAACGGTAAACATACCCCAAACCAGTGGTGGAGATGTCATTTCAGATCATCGGGACCAAAATCTTGCTCGTCCATACGGTCAAATATCAACTGGATAATCCTCGCCAGTGGAATGGTTGTATTGCACGATTCTATGCCTTCGACACCAAGAGGCAGGTCTCGATCTGCTACCAATGACGATGCAAGGATGAATGGACTTGACCACAGTAGACGGCATTATACCGCACTCACATGAGTATTTTATGCATGTGTCGTGACGGCGTTTGCTGAAGATTGGGGTTCTTCAAATTCAAGATCTGAAGAACCACGAGTCCAGTCCACCGGAAGTGCTGGATGTTGTGAAAAGTCATTATGAGTCTTGGTTGCTTCTGGAGTGTTTCCGTGAGCCGGCAGTCTTGGAAGCGGCATTTTATACTTGTATGATAACACTCGTTGTCGAAGTTCTGGGTTGGCCGAAAATTCTAAGAGGCACGTATTAATCCGCTTTTCCGTTAGCTCTTTGGCGTACATGGCCATGTCTCTATCCTTGAAGGTAGAAACAAACCGGTAGCTGAGCCAGAGGAACACTATCAAAGATTTGTGGAGTTCCTCTAGACTTTCCAGATATGCTCGATCTCCCGAGACCGGCTGCTCGAGTATTTCGAGTGGGATGGCTGGGATGTCGACAATCGAGACCTGTCGGTGATTCTCCAAGCATTCGGCTAGAGCTCTTACCACTCGTTTTGCTGTTGCCGATGTGGAGCTCATGGGAACAGCAGTGAATAAAATCCTCTGATGGGTGGTCAGGCCACGGACCGGTTCAATGATTTCGGCCACTCGACTTTGGTCGTCGATGCTGCACATTTTGAATCGATGATGCAATTCAGCCTCCTTGGAAAGACGCTTCAAAAGGTATTCGAAAGGAATTCCTTTGGGTAGCCTGATTGATATATCTTCCAGGTAATCGCCCGGGGGTAATAGACCCGCCACTTTTATTGGTGGATCTTCGGCATTCATCGCATTGGTGATGGTGGGTAAGTCCTCATCGTTGAGGGTGGTGACGAGGCCGACACTGGCTGATGAGGACTCGTCGGACTTCCCGGAATTATTCATGGCTTCATGTGAGCTTCGATACCGACCGGCTCGACCACCAATCTGCTTGATTTGAGACACGGTGAGCTGTTCCATTCGAGATCCGTTGAATCTGTACACGCTATGGAAGATGATTCGTTTCACGCTCCTGCCCAATTGTTAGCCTGGATGATTTGCACGGAAGGGACGTCACACACAAATTTAGCCCCATCCCAATCGCATCGCTGGCAACCAAAAAATCATAATCGTTGTTTGGGTCATTGAACAAGGCAGCTTGTCGAGCGCGGGTCTCAGGAGGTAGGCTACCATAAACAATAGCACATCGACGGCCGGTATCCACCTCAATTTGTTTTTTCATGGCATGGATATTCATAACAGAGAAGGTGACAATACAGTCCCCCTTCCGCAGGCTCTTGAGATCTCCTTTCAGGCTTTTGGTCATGACTTTTAGCGGATTCAATCGCTTGTATTCATGGACATGTAGGGTGTCACCCGTGGACGCGGTCAATTCCCGAATCAGTGGAAGAACTCTGGGCTCTCCACACAGATGAAGTTCTCTGGCATTCGCTCCTAGAAACGCCCGAGTCCAAGCCCATCCGCGCTCTCGTGAAGTGATCATTTGTATTTCGTCGATAACACCAACCTCAACGGAGCGTGACGTATCCACCATTTCCACCGTTGATGCAGACATCAAGACATTGGGATTGTCATCAAGTCTGACGTCGTCACCAGTTACTAGATCGCATGAAACACCCTTGGCTTTGAATCTGGAGAAGACTTCATGGGCCAATAATCTCAAAGGGCCGGCGTAAAACCCGTTACCACTCTCTTCCAATCGTTTCAATGCGTTGTAGGTTTTGCCTGAATTTGTTGGACCGATATGAAGATGAATATCCCTCTGAAGCTGACGAGCACCAGAGTACCATTCCGTCGGAAACCGCATGTCCGCGATCGGTGATGTTTTCCCCGGACTTTCTTCGGTCTTCTTCTGAAGAACATGATCGATGAAGCCAAAATGTAAAGCTTTTTGGAGATCTTGTCGCCAATTGGGAGACACAAATGATCTTCCAATCTCGGATGCTATGCTTCGTCCCCAGGCGCTTTTGGAAGTATCCTTGAACCTCAAAATTTCTTCCAGGCTTTCCTTAAACGACTTGAAATATATTTGGTCGGGATCAAGGGCATCCAGTTGGTTCGGCGTAGGATCTGTGGAGGCTGGAATGGACGCCAGTCGAATTTTCAATTCGTCCAGAGCCTTTCGAACCCGATTCAGGACAATGTCAGAAGAAAGAGTGGCAGATTTCGAGGCACCCCGCGAGTTCGCCCTCGTCGATCTAGAATTCGGGGCGCTTTTCGTTCGACGCGAGGTCTCGGAGATTTTTCGGCGCGACGGCTGGGTCGTCCTATAGTCATTGCGTCCATGGGGATATTGCTTTGAAGGCGCAGTAACCAGGGCTCGAAAGGAACAGAGAAGGCATTGTCCTCGTCGGGTCCACAAAGAGAACATGCCCCGTTGAATGCTGATGGAGGCCAAGCAGAGGGAAATAATTGGAACGAAAGGTCAATTCAAATCAGTTGATACACTCATGTAGGAAAACGCCGACCCGAAAATGTTGACGGGGTGGATGAATGCATTTATCTCAGAACTGCGATCTGGAAAAATAGGTAATTTCGCTGGTTGGTAAACTTGGAGAACTCGTCTCCAACCAATAGCTTTCTGAGCGCCTGAGGAGCTGGCCTGTGCCCACTGCAACCGTTGCCTTCAGAGACAGAACCCTGGAACTCAGCGTGACCTCTACATATTGAAGACACATTCCGGCTTGCAGAATGCGAAATAGAGCTCAAAATGAGCCTGCTCCAACGGTAGATAAGCAGTTCGATGTCCAGGGTTTAATTGTCGGTACGAGGCTGGTGTCGCGAGACTGTCACGGGTCCTGTTACAGCGCCAGTGGCACACCGAGTCTTTACTCGACTAGCATAGGTTGCATCCCACTGCTTCTCTCCGTCCAACAATCCAATTTTGGACAACAAACATCCAAGCACCACTCTAGAAACTGCTTGACCTCTCTGCACAATCTCGAACTCGACTCCGAAATTTCCAAAACATCTCATGAGCATGTGAGCATCAGTCACTCCCTTCATTAGCCGCGGCCGCCATGGCAACATCCATCATCGACATACAGCGAAGTATCATCATCGACACGATCCGGAAAATCAGTGGACGAGACTGGAAGGTTTTAATATTGGATGAAAAGAGTAGACGGCTGGTGTACAATGTTACAAAAGAAGATGACATACTGAACGTCAACATCACCAACATTGAGCAGATTGAGGATCGCAGGCAGACACAGGCAGACACAGATGCAATCTACCTCCTGTCTCCGTTACCACACATCGTGGAATGTCTGAAGGCGGACCTGAGTCGGAAGAGATACCGTCAGGCCCACCTTATCTGGACGTCGCAATTGCCACGCCCTCTCGGAGAAGAACTGTTTCGATCAGAATCTCGGGCACGCCAAATCGTCGAATCTCGCGCTCTAAACGCCGAGTATTTCCCTCGGGAATCGAATCTAATTTTGTTTCGGGAACCATGGAGTTTTCATGTTCTCTTCCATCCGGCTTGTGACCCGTTGGTCAAGAGCCACCTAGATGATTTGACTCAGAAGATCGTGTCGATTTGTGTCTCGCTCGGAGAGTACCCGTTGATCAGGTTTTACAAGCCCCGAGAACACCAAAGACACGCAGCCGACGTTCTATGCTATCATCTGGCAAGCTTCGTACAATCCGCGCTGGACAACTATGCCCGAGACGAACGAAACGACTTCCCTCCGCAGAATCAAACAAATCGGCCCCGAGCGGTTCTGGTGATTACCGATAGGTCAATGGATTTGATGTCACCTTTTGTCCACGAACTCACATATCAAGCGATGGCAATGGATTTGCTACCTATCAGGGATGATGAAGACAAAATTACCTATCGGAACGTCATCAGAAGAGGTCAACCAGATCAGGAAGAAAAAGATGTCGAGATCGGTGAGAAAGACCATCTCTGGGTCGGTCACCGTCATATGCACATGAAAGATCTTTTGGTACAACTGAGCGAAGAATTCAAAAAATTTCAGGCAAAGAATCCTCAGTTTGCTGATAACAGTGATGGACAACCTGCCAGCATCAACACGATCAAAGATATGTTGGCGGGTCTCCCTGAGTTTCAGGAAGGCAAAGAAGCTTTCTCCTTGCACATTGACATGGCTGAAAAGTGTGCCAAAATATTTGCAGACCACAAACTTCTGGATGTCGTATCTGTCGAGCAGTCTCTGGCTACAGGATGGGATGAGGACAACAAAAAGCCCAAAAATCTCGCGGATCAACTTGCCAGACTTCTTGATGATGACAGTGTGATACATGAGGATCGTGTCAGATTATTGATATTGTACATTTTGTACCGGAATGGTATTCTCCGTGGCGACATCGAGAAACTGCGATGTCATGGTCAATTGTCGCCCATGGATGGGGAAATAATATACAACCTGATCACGTTGGGTGCAAGGATTGAAAAACCGCTAAAAGACAATACACCGATTCCTCCTCCTTTATTCACACCCCGAATGAGAGAAAACACCAACTCTGAGGAAGTTAGTTTATCTAGATTCGAACCGGCATTGAGATATTTGCTTGAAGAGCAATGCCAAGGGACTCTGGATTCGAACGTATTCCCACCCGTCAAACCTCATTTAAACGATCCCAACAGTCAGATGGGTCTCTCACAGACATCTCTGAGAAATACGGGAAAGCCTACTTGGGCACAAACCCGATCTCAGTCCAACAAGCCTCGCCAGCGTATCATCGTTTTCATGGCCGGCGGTGCCACTTATTCCGAGGCCCGAGCTTGTTATGATGTGTCACGGATGGCTGGAAAGGAAATATTTCTGGCCACCACTCATATGATCACTCCCAAGAACTTCTTGCGACAGGTGAGCCTTCTCAGTGCTGGTCGAAGGCAGCTCGACCTACCAACTGACAGAGCACAACCCAAACTACCTGCGTGGATGTCGGAACCTCCTCCACAAGGCCAGCAACCGAGGCCTCAAGCTCCTCCAAATGGGAGACCACCTGATTCGATGAGACCCCCGACAGAGGCCATGCAAAAGATGAATATTGGTGGAAGGCCAGAAAATGGAGTTCGTCCAGGAGTTGGTACCGCTACCCCTCCGATGAGAACTTCACAGCCGTCTTCATCCCCTTATCAAAACCCATCAGCAGCTGATAGTCACGGGAAGTTGAAGAAGGAGAAGAAACACCTTGGTTTGTTCAAGAAGCATTAGTATATGCTTTTCGACAAGTCAGCGTAGCTTCAGGGAGATGTGTACATGAGGGCCTTGAAGTCGGATCACAGGCTTATTCCGTACATATACTTGGGGTCAGCCATTTGGACCCAGGTATTTCTCCAAATCTGGTCCGTAAAACGATTGTCGCAATTTCTCGGTTCTTTTCTTGGTTTCCATTTCCTGAATTCTGACCTGTTTGGCATTGAGTTTTACAATTTTATCCTCTTTCTTCGCCGGGACATTCTTCTTCCTCTTCGTCGCATGTTTGTCATCGTCTTCACCGGTTTCTCTAAGCCCTACAGTATCGTGCTTTTCCTTGGCTTTGATGGGTATTCTGATTCCTTCCTGCCTGGCGCCTAATCCTTTCCTGCTGTTTGGATCCCATCCGTAGGTTGTTAGATATTTGACACCCACATGGTTTCGGTCCAAATGTGACGGCGGATGTGAGTGCTCGAGACAGACTTGATGTGCTATGGAGGACTCGTGGCTGTTGATTGCAACTTTATCATTTGTAGACGAGATGGGCTGCTTGCAGACCGCGCATGTTTCTGCTCCGATTTCAATGGATTTCTCTTCCGAATCAATTTTGCTACGCTTCGCCGCCTCTTCAGTTTCTTTGGGGAGAACGATCGACAGATAGTGAGAGCCAGCGTTGGTCGACGTGGGTGCGGTGGTTGTTGAGGTGGAGGATTCGGCAGAAGCAGGTACAAAAGCGATTCGCTTATGTTTGATACCTGCACCAAATACTCGTTGGCCTTCTACTGGCAAAAAGTAGTCTTCACCCGTGTCCACCATTTTGTGTGCGATGTTTTGCAAAAAAGATGTGGCTCTGAAAATAAATGCACGAAGGGGCCGGAGGTGGCGTCATTTTCGTCCAAGGTTTCCAGGCACCCACCGACTATGATAGGCCGAAACAACTTGGGGAATAATTTATATTATTTGGGGCGGAATTCCAGACCACCAATTCTTCTTGTCGCCTCGCGCAGAGCGCCTTGCACAGAGCACGAAATGCCCATTCCTGCACTGGCGGAGGTCTTCAACAGAGGCCTCTCAAATATTCCCTACCTCTGGCCCATTGCCCAAGTTACAGCCGTCATTGGTGTGGTCGCCTTACTGAAACTCTATTTTGGCGGAGCAAAATGTCGTTCCGAACGAGTCATGCATGGAAAGGTGGTGATGGTGACAGTATGTCTCCCCTGTCGATGTGAGACTTAATTCTAACGGTCCCTCCCAGGGAGGTACATCAGGAATAGGTGCCGCCGTTGTGCAAGAATTGGCCTCGAGAGGAGCCCAAATTATTCTCCTATCCCATCATGCTCCTTCTGATCCTTTCCTCATCGATTACATTGAAGATGTACGAACCATTACGAACAACGAACTGATTTATGCCGAACAAGTCGACCTCTCTTCCCTACATTCGATACGATTGTTCGCGACAAAATGGGTGGACAATGCACCTCCGCGAAGATTGGACATGATTATCCTCTGCGCAAATGTGATGACACCTTATTTCGGTACGAGTCAAAAGACAATGGATGGATTAGAAGCAGAATGGGCGATCAATTATCTGAGTAATTTCCATCTGCTGAGCATTTTGTCGCCGGCCATTCGGGCTCAACCCCCGGATCGAGATGTGAGGATCTTGTTCAGCACGTGCAGTAGCTATATTGGAGGCAAGTTGGAATTGAAGGATACCGAATCTGCTGCAAAGTCTGGTAGTACTTCTTATGCCCGAAGCAAGCTAGCAATCATGACTTTTGCTTATGCTTTTCAAAATCACCTCGACGCTTACAAAAGACCCGACAAGCAACTGAACAACGCTCGAGCATTGATCGTTGATCCCGGTTTCTGCCGTACTCCGGGCACCCGACGCTGGTTAACTGGAGGCTTGATATGGGGACTCTTCCTATATTTGATCACATATCCCTTGTGGTGGCTTATCCTCAAATCTCCACTGCAAGGCGCTCAGAGCTACCTTCTCGCCGCGATGGATGCCGAATACGGACGAGGCGCTGGTGGTAAATTGATCAAAGAGTGCAGCGAGCGCCAGCCTTTGAGGCCTGAAGTACAGAATGAAGAAATAGCGAAGAAACTCTGGGAGTTCAGTGAGAAGCAAATACAGCAACTGGAGAAAGAAGGCGCCGTCAAACGAGCTCTGGCTAAGAAAGAAGCAGAAAGGAAGAAGAATAATGAAGGACCAGCTACAGAAGGGAGCGGCGTTTCCTCTAGAGGAGAGAAGAAACTTACGCCAGGATCGAGGAGAAGTCGCAAACCAAAAATGAAATCCAACATGAACGACGTATCGTGAAAAATACCCACAAAATACGAAGCTATTCATCCAAGCTTGACCTCATCTCGAATCCTTGGCTTCAATGCGGCGAGAACCAATCATCGCGACACGTTACATTGCTTACCAAAGAGAAAACGGTCAAAGATTCCAACCGCGCCTTAATAGTCTTTGACTTGGAGCAATCAAAGTCGCCCAAGTTTTGGATGCCTGAATCAGCCATCTTGGCAAAGTTATCGCTGGTTCTGACATCCCGATATGGGAAGACAAGACGATAAAGTCAGCAAATATGCGCTCATTCTGGATTGACTTTCAGTATATGTGTCTCGTTATACGAGATGATGGCATCGAAGCAGCCTGGGACTGGTTCTTGGCCAGTCCACCCTTCCTCGGGACAAGTCAAACCGTAGCCGCATACACATAACGAAGGTGACAAATCGTGGTCGTTGCCTGACAGGCAGCATTCTTTTTTCATGATGATGGATAGAAGGGATCGAAGATAAAAAGGAAAGATTGAGAACACTGTCGCTTGAGAACAAACACCTACCACGACCACCACAACCAGACGACAAGCGAAGAAGGATCTCTTCCAATCCTGCACAATGGCTTCCCGACCAGAATCAATTTCTGGTGGATGTGTCTGCGGCTCCATCAGATACAAAATTGTGTTTCCTGAGGAAGCATCATGGCCCGCTAATGTATGAGGATATCTCTCTTGCGGAATACCAGTTTTGACGATTATCAGGCAGCGACATGTCAATGCTCTACTTGTCGCAAGTGGACAGGGGCATTGATCTCGCATGATCTACTGATTCACCCATCTCAGTTTGTTGACGACATCACCAAATCACCAACCTACAAGGAATATAAATCCAGTCAAGAAGCAACACGATCTTTTTGCTCCCAGTGCGGAAGTGGTCTCACCTGGCGCATCGATTCAGTGGACGATATGTTGGTCATCATGACAGGCACCATTGATGAGGAATTCTTGATTGGCAAGAAGGTTGAAGGTACCGAAGAGGAGACTGACCTGGGAATCAAATTTGAAAGACACGGCGGTTTGGCCAAAGATCTCTGCACTCCCCATATGGGCAACTTGTTCTGGAACAATGTGATTCCCGGGATAACTGACCACGATGTCGGAGGAACCAAATTCCCGCAATCTTTCCCGCAAGAATGATGGGGATATACCGTTGCAATGCAGATTTCGATCCAGCCATACCGACCCTCTCTCACCACATCCCCATCTCGATGAAATTTTCTGTGTCCAGCGAAATCTCACAAAATCTGGTCTCAATTCTCGGGATAAACTCCGTCACTTTCATATCGGGCTTTCCTTCCCTTTTTATCCAATCATGAATTCTCGAAACCCAATCCCATCGACCCGTTGTCAGCGAGAGCTTCCGGGCCTGCGGTCATGATTCCGCTCTCCGCAGTGGATGGCGGAATGATGTGCCCTGAAATCGTCCCCCCCCCCCCCCCCCCCCACAGAGTCAAAACCCCCGCATACATTCCAGGGGGACAACATCAGTTTATCCATATAATATTCCATGACCTTGAACATCTCCCACCGTTTCTTCTTTTGTGATATTCTTCTGTCATTCAGTTGCTAGCCACGACTTACTCGGATCTCAAGTTACCATGATCGACAGGGCTTTTACACGGCTTCTGGGCTATGCCCAAGACTCTCCGATTTCATTCCTCGCTTACCTCGCCGCAGCCTCGGCTCTTGTATATCTACTAATAACAGAGCTACAGAGAGCACGAGCTCGAATTCCCGGATTCGATGGACCCTCTGGCCTTCCTATAATCGGCAACATCCATCAAATTCGTGTCAATGCCGCGGAGCAGTATCGACTCTGGTCCAAGAAGTATGGAAGCGTCTATCAAATCATGCTAGGCAACGTACCCGTTATTGTGGTCAACGGCTCCAAAGCGGCAAGAGAAATCTTCGGCGCCAATTCTCAAGCCCTGGCTTCAAGACCCGAGTTCTACACCTTCCACAAAGTCGTCAGCTCCACCGCGGGAACTACAATAGGAACATCACCTTTTAGCGAGAGCCTGAAGCGCCGAAGGAAGGGCGCGGCAAGCGCGTTAAACAAGCCCAGCGTGGCCACTTATATTCCACACATTGACGTCGAGACGCGGGATTTCTTAAACGAGTTTTTGATTTATGGCCAAGGGGGTCGAAGACCCGTGGACCCCATGCCCATGATCCAACGACTTTCACTCTCCCTTGCTTTGACATTAAACTGGGGTACGCGCATGGCGTCGCAGAACGACGAACTCTTCGGCGAAATCACTCACGTCGAGGAAGAAGTGTCGAAATTCCGCTCCACGACAGGGAACCTGCAAGACTACATCCCTTTATTGCGTCTGAACCCATTCAACTTCGGCAACGCAAGGGCCCGCGAAATGCGCCACCGGCGCGACGTGTACTTGAAGAAACTGAACGACGACCTCGACCAGCGCATGACGCTCGGCACACATCGGCCTTGTATCCAAGCGAACGTGATTCAGGATAAAGAAGCGAAGCTCAACGCCGAGGAACTCACCTCGATTTCGCTCACTATGCTCTCCGGTGGCCTCGACACGCTCACGACCCTCGTCGCTTGGTCCATGGCCCTGCTTGCACAGCACCCGGAAATCCAAGACAAGGCCCTCCGCGAAATCCGCGCCGTGTACCCGGCCGACCAGATCCTGTGCGACCCGAATGACGATCAATCGATTCCGTACATTGTCGCGCTCGTCCGCGAGTTGCTGCGTTATTACACGGTTCTTCGCCTCTCATTGCCTCGCGCCACGGTCAAAGATATCGTTTACAACGGCCACAGGATCCCGAGTGGGAGCGTGGTGTTCCTCAACGCCTGGGCCTGTAACATGGATCCAGAAGTGTGGAGTGATCCCGAAGTTTTCAGGCCCGAGCGCTGGCTCGAGACGCCTGATGCGCCGCTGTTCACGTACGGCTTGGGATATCGAATGTGCGCGGGCAGCTTGCTGGCGAATCGCGAGATGTACACTATTTACCTGAGGCTGCTGAGCGCGTTTGAGATGCGTGATGTGCATGCTGAAGGGGGTGGGGCAATGAACACACATCCAGTCAAGGGCGTGGAGGATCCGACGCAGCTTGTGTCCGTGCCGAAACGGTATAGACTGAGGCTGGTGCCGAGGGATGAGATGGGGTTGAGGAAGGCATTGGATGAGTACGTGGATGAAGAGAAGCATTAAGGCTGACTTTGCCTTTTTGCTGGATTGTGGTTTGAAGTTCGTACCCTTTGTGGATTAGAGAAATCCTTTGAAGCGAACCAAGGCAAAAGCACCAGTATTCATCTGATGGACGCATATAAGGGCCCGCAAGGGGCATTGATGTCTTGCTTACTGACTTGCTTCCGTATCTATCCATCTATTTGGCGGCAAGAATTTCTATTTCCGTCTATACCCATCCAGTGGTGTCTCTATCTCAAAAGCCGATGGTACCCTGGTCTATACCATTCCTGATATTCTGCCCCGATGCATGGTGGTTTATTCCCACGTGCCTCGAAATTCTATGCAATTTTCCGAAATTCTCCATGATCTTGTCTATATTCGGTCTATTTCACAGTTGGACGGACAGTGCCATTCTGCTCGATAGAATTGGTTCGAACTCTTTTCAGGCCTTCCTCCGCAAGTTTCCTCACCGTCTTACGTCCTTCATAGATATCCTTGGTTTCCTGCAAGATACTATCCCAGGTCTCGAAGGTGGTGAAGGGAATACCCTCCCTTTCGCACCAGGTGACGAGATCCTGGCCGGCGCGGGCGAAGAGGAGATCCGTCTCTCGCGCAGCGCTCAAGTCGCTGACTCCGTCTCCAGCGTACAGGAGCGTGGGTCTCTCGCTTTCAGGCATTTTGACGATGGTGTCTGCGTACGGTCGGATGGTCAGGCTCTTGTCATGTCCGAACTCTGAGTTGTCGCGGAACTTGATGGTCCAGCCGTCCGCTTTGTCGAGCGAATTGCCTGGAGCACGCAGTTGGGTTTCATTGGCCACGATCTCAATGTCCGACATTAGGTCTTCGCCCAGCAGGTGATTGAGCAGCGTTTCTATGACCGGGACCATGCCGCTGGAGAGTACAATGACGGGGACGTCGTTGGCGCGGGCCCAAACCATGAAGTCGCGGAAATGAGGGTCGAGGGAGATGTTTTCACGCAAGATCTCGAGGATGCGAGGGAAAGGCATCTTCCATGAATCCAGCATCTTCTGGAATGTGTTGCGGAAGGTATCGGTGCCGTCGATTACAGCATGGAAGAGTTGGCGTCGCTCGGCTTTTCCCATACCATAGTTGTCCGTGATGAAGTCGTTGGTGTCCTGCAGAGTGATTGTGCCGTCAAAGTCGGTGAAGAAGATCACTTTGGGCTTCGCGTTCAGGGTCTCCGGGAAAGGCATCTTGGAGACTGAGGGACGGAGAAGGATCAACTTGGGGAGAGCAGATGCGAAGGAAGACAGCCGATGTCGAGATCAAGAACAGCAAACTCTATAGTCACTATTAGAAGGAACTTGGAGGAGAGAATATCGGACCCAGAATCGTGGGGGCCTCGAGGGCGCTTTTTGTGTTCATCCCAATGCCCAGAGACCCATCGACCCGGTCAATGTTCTCAGAATTTTTTGGGAAGCCTCCAGCATGCATCCTCCCATCCAATGACGTCGATGGCTGGATTGCCGATGCGTACCCAGCGACTCGCCAGACCTTCTTCAAAGAACTATAACAAGCTCTTATTGGTATCTTCGAGACTTTGTTGGTGGATTGGATTCTGCGTGGTGGCAGACACGTCTTCCCAGCGAAAGCCAACACGACCAACTGCTGCTCGCGATGCAGCAAGCTCCCTTGCGACTTTCTCAAACACTATGGTCCGCATTTCGAGCAGCAAAACCCCTCCACAAGTCTCTTCCACGGCCCCATCAATTTCCTTCTCTGGTTCCGTCCTCTCCGCAAATATGGACTCGTCAAAGGCCACAAATAGCCTTTCAAGCTCGGTTTTATAGTGAGAGCAAGTCGGAGATAGATCGAAAAGCAGAGGATGCCGAAAGCCGTATAGAAGAGAGCCTGGAAGCTCATCCCGAGGCAGCTGCGCAAGCCAAACAACCCAAGGATCCTCAAGATGGGACGACTGTCCATACCATCCCCGAAGCCTCTTCCGTTTTTCATTCATCCAGAATAGAAGAAAACAAGAACCCGTGGTCAGAAATACCTCATGACAAACCTCTACCCTCCGACTCTTCCTCTCGCTACTCCAATCTCCGGAACCGATTTACAGATTTCATGGACAACTTTCAAACGCATATCTTCACTGCGTCTCGGCGATTGAATGATCTGACCGGTTATTCAGGGATTGAAGCGTTGAAAAATGAGATCGAACATCAAGAGTCTATTGTTCAAGAGTCTCGTCGGGCCGTCAAGGATGCCCGGAACAAATACACAGAAGCAATAGCCACGCGGAGCACCACCCAGCGCGAAGTCAACGACCTCCTCCATAGGAAACATACCTGGACGCCCACTGACCTCGAACGCTTTACCAGCTTGTATCGATCCGATCATGCTAACGAGCAAGCTGAAGCCGCGGCACAGAGGGAGGTAGCAGACGCAGAAGCCAGATACGAAGAGGCATCGACCAAACTAGCCAAGGCGATTCTAGCACGCTATCACGAGGAACAAATCTGGAGTGACAAGATCCGTCAGATGTCAACATGGGGCACATGGGGCCTCATGGGCATCAACGTACTTCTGTTTGTCATATTCCAGATCGCAATTGAGCCCTGGCGACGGAAACGACTGGTGAAGGGCTTCGAGGAGAAGGTCGAGCTGGCGTTGAAGGAACGAGACGAAGATCGAATGGCTGCAAGTACGGTACAGCCGAATCAAAGCACGGCGGCTGCAGCAATGTCCACGGGAGAGAAAGTCGGGGCCGTGGCAGACAATATCGTGGGACAAATTGTCGACGCGGTCTCAGGGACGACGACATCTGACGATACTCCTCCAGGAGCACCATCATCTATCCCCCCGCAAGCCATCATCGGAACTGCAGCTGAAAATATGGCGGCCAAAGAACTCGCAGCGGAAGAAATGGGCCGGGGGTCTCCCGACATACCCATACTACCGTCCGACTCCTCACACCGCTGGACATCCCCTTCTTCCGCATTAGCGTGGTATGAAGACGCCTTGGGAGCACTGTTTAGCGGCGAGCAAAAGATCCTCGTCAGTCAGCGCGAGTTGACCACCATTGCCATGGAAGGCGTCGCAGGCGGCATGGCATTGATGGGACTATTGTTCGTGCTTCTGCGTCCCCGGTGATTTGCTTTTAATTTATAGGTATAGAAATGGTGAGATGGGAACGAGAGACGTATATGTAAGGCCAAACAACGAAAGGGGTTGCGAAGTGTACGATATCAGAACAATTCCAAGACTCTCCCTGCCTTCTTAGTGTATGACTTGCATAACGCTGGCGATTGCCACTTGAGAAGGGCCAAAATAACAAACCAGAAATTTCTCGTTGTACAACATACAAAGTGTTCTTCAACGATTGCTCGTAAAGTGGAGGATCTCTTCAATGCCCATCAAGTGTCTGCTGTACTGGAAAGGTGACCAATGCAACCCTTCAGATGAAGTGCTCTTGTCAGCTACTGTGAGAAATCAAAGGATCGAACCGAGAGCATTGAGGAAGAATTTGCAGAATTCTTTAGTTTGGGGTTTATTTTCTTCTTTCTTCTCTTTCGGCCTCTCTTCACCCCTCTGGCGACTTGAAACGAGAAAACTCGAATGATGATACCGTTCCCGAGCTTTGTTCTCTAATATGTACAAAGACTCAGCTGAGTTTGAAGCTTGACTTGTGCCTTGTCTTGCCCCAGCCTTTTCTTCCCCCCTCAGCCAACGCGCTGCGTCGCGCCAAACTTGATCTGAAAGATATAAACACGCCTGCTCCTACTCTAACCAATGACCAACTTGTCTTCTTCAGGGAAGTCATAGGCGGGGACCTCGAGGTTCAGAGGAGCAGGACCCTTCCTGACACGGCCGGAGATGTCGTAGTGCGAGCCATGGCACGGGCAGAACCAACCGCCAAAATCACCTGCTTCTCCGATAGGGACACAACCCAGATGTGTGCACACGCCCAACATTACAAGCCACTCGGGTTTCTTGACTCGGTCGGAGTCGGTTTGAGGGTCGCGGAGAGTTTCAATTCTAGGAAAGAGACGTGTTAGCTCTGAACGGTGTATTTCAAGTCCTCAACGATGGGGAAGGAGATGTTTGGAAGCTTGGGCATGGTCTAGAATAATTCGACGGTAGCAGGACGTACTTTACTGCTTCGGCCTCCTTAATCTCGTCTTCCGTTCTGTGTCGGATAAAAACAGGCTTTCCTCGCCATTTGATAATGACGTTTTTGCCCTCGGGAATAGCAGCGAGATCGATTTCAACTTTGGCTTGGGCTAACACATCGGCTGAGGCAGACATGTTAACCAGGAAGTCTGTCCACCAAAGGCATCTTGTCAGCCATCACTTTCCAGAATAAAGCTGGGGAACGTAATCTTGTAGCTTGTCTCTTGCATACCATGAACAGTGTTCTTCGCACCAGCGGCAGCCAACAGACCCATCGTCCCGGCCATGAAATATTGGAAAGTTCGGTTCGTGATCTCGGAGTTGGGGGATTCATATGCCTTAAAGCTCGGGATTTTGGTGGTATCGTACTTGGGTCTACCGAAGGGACTTGCGAAGCTCGAGCTGGCAACTCCACCGGATGCTAGCCGTCGTTGAGAGCTCGAAGATGACGTGGTGGCGGACACCACGGACAGACGGGAAGAAGGGGTTGTGGAGGTAGGCAGAGTGTGTCGGGTCCAGCCGCGCATGGCAGAGCCCGCGGAAGCAGGTGCTGGACGCATCTTGAGGACTGGTGAGGAGAGAGAGGCCGTCGTCAAGGAGGTGGAAGCTTGAAGATGAAGATTCTCAATGCTATTGATGCAAGTGCAATTGAAAGGTCCAGGACACGTCGCCAAGAAAAGTTGCTTTGTCTCGACGGTGATTGGTTGGGAGCTCCTGATGACCACTGCACTGTTGTCTACCTTACAGGAGTTCCATCTATTGTCACAGAAATACTCTTGAACGGGGGTTGCCGGGAATTCAGGTTGTCTTGATGAAGATACACTTCGTGATTCAAGTCGTGGATACTCAAAACTCATGAGAACAACTTGCCATAACCCATCCTACCGCAGATACGCCCTCCCTGCGCGAATGCCTCATGGATTGGATACCCTGACCAAACGCCAGACCATGCCAGCTCCGTTTTTCTGCATTGAACTCAAACCCTGTGCGTCTACATCTCAACCACTCATATCAATATCTCGGATTGGATCAGGACGACTATGAGTCCGCGAGTGAGCCGATCGATGAGCAATGGATCCTCCAGACATTGTTCTGTGTGAACCATTGACTCGGCCAACGCCATTTGGCTGTTGGTTCTTCATCATTGTCTGGATAGAAACTGAACCATTGTCGCCGTTCACACCGTTCGCTGATGCCGATGACGCCGCCTTAGCTGCAGCCTCTTGAGCCTTTTCTTCTTTGAACTGTCGGTATGTTTTGGTTTTGGGTACCGTGTCGGAGAGAAACTCAAGATTGTCATTTCTGGAAATTGCCGTGGCTGGGAAATGGTCAGAAATCCCCATATAACTCTCCTTGCGTCGACTCACCAACATCCTTATACGCGATATTTCTGCGAGGCTTTCGTTCTGATTTGACAACATTGTGCGCTTGTTCAGTCAGATACCGAATGAATATCTCCTTAAAAGGATTCAGCACTCTCCGTCGCGAAAAATGAAGCCAAGAGACCTACCGTGGCGACAGATATCGCAAACGCAGCCGTGTTAGAGCATTGAGCAATATCATCGTCCATGGCGATTATTTTCTTCACCCGCGCCACTGAATGGGTCAGTAATGGACTGGGGAGGACGGTTCCGTGATGACTAACATGGAAGAGCAGATGAGCCGGTAATCTCTTCGGGTGGCTCAATGGGAGCATTATTGTAAGGCATGGTGTTGACCAGTCTTGAAATTGGCAGATTTGATCGCACTCAAGTAGTCGTGAACGACTTTAACCCGACCCCAGGAGCGAAGAAGTCGTGGTTAATTATCAAACGAGGGGTCGGACCCTCAGATTGAGCCCTCAGGACTTCCCTCAAGAAGGAATGTCGCGTTCAAGGTGCAGTTGTGACGCCGAAAGAAGGTAATTACTGCGTCAGAGTTTGGAATGAACCGTGTTTCTCGATCATCAGAGCTCTCGAGGTTGAATTATGCTCGTAGAATCAAGTTGAGAACGTAATTTCTCAGAGAAAAGTCGCGTCAAGGAGCATATGTCACATTCTGGGCACGTCCGAAAGCGGAAAAGTGATAGTTGGAGGCCAACTCCCGTTGCCTTTAGGACGACATGACAATCACCACCGCCTACGGAGGATGTCAGACACTCTAAATCTACTATTTCAGCCATGGTACATGATCTGATGTTATGACCTCGCGCGTTGCCTCCTCCGCTTCTGCCCGTTCTCGCCGCCCTTCCCTCTCAGCCAGGCGCCTGTCCAGACGACTGTCGACACTCTCTGGTCTTGAACATGGCGAGATCCTCCCTACCATTGTGCCGGCAGAACAGGCTATTACAGAAGAGATTGCAAAGATAAAACGTTATGAAGACTTTACCACCATCGACTGGGTTCAAGATGCTGCTCAAGAACAACTGCGAAGGCGCGCCAGGCGGAGAGAGTCGAGGTTCTTCGAGCGAGATGGAGTTCTCGGATGGCGTCGTAGACTCTGGGAGTCCTACGATGCAGCTCAAGCCTGGATTGTCATCACCTTGGTCGGAATAGTCATTGGTCTCAATGCTGCCGCCTTGAATATCATCACCGAATGGTTGTCAGACGTTAAGATGGGATACTGCACGACTGCCTGGTACCTCAATGAGGGCTTCTGTTGTTATGGCTCCGAGACAGGTTGTGATGAATGGAAGAGATGGACCTCGTCCACTGTCGCCAACTACCTGATATATGCTATCTTTGCTGTTCTCCTGTCGTTCATTGCCGCATATTTGGTCAAAGCTTACGCTCCGTACGCTGCCGGTTCTGGTATCTCAGAGATCAAATGTATCATTGCCGGCTTCATCATGAAAGGGTTCCTGGGATTCTGGACGTTCTTGATCAAATCAATCTGTCTACCTCTTGCCATTGCTTCAGGACTATCCATTGGCAAGGAAGGCCCAAGTGTCCACTACGCTGTGTGTGTCGGCAACGTTATTTCCCGATTTTTCGACAAATACAAACGAAGTGCGTCAAAAACACGAGAGATTTTGACGGCCACAGCAGGAGCAGGAGTGGCTGTAGCCTTTGGAAGTCCCATCGGTGGCGTGCTCTTCTCCCTCGAAGAAATGGCATCGCATTTTCCCTTGAAGACACTTTGGCGAAGCTATTTCTGTGCTCTCGTGGCGACGGCCGTCTTGAGTGTCATGAACCCTTTCCGAACAGGCCAGCTCGTCATGTTTTCGGTCAAATATGACCGAGACTGGCACTTCTTCGAGATCCTCTTCTACGTCATTCTCGGCATATTCGGTGGACTATATGGAGCGTTCGTCATCAAATGGAATCTGAAGGCTCAAGCATTCAGAAAGAAATATCTGTCGAAATACGCCATTCCCGAGGCCGTCATCTTGGCCGGAGCCACGGCCCTTCTCTGCTACCCCAACATGTTTTTGAGAATCGACATGACTGAAATGATGGAAATGCTGTTTCGGGAATGTGAAGCCGACTATGACTACGATGGACTGTGCGAATCCCAAAACCGACTGTCACTTATTGTGTCCTTATTGGTGGCAACCGTACTTCGCATATTTTTTGTGATTATTTCCTACGGTTGCAAGGTACCTGCGGGTATTTTTGTGCCTTCGATGGCGATTGGCGCATCTTTTGGCCGCATGTTGGGAATCATGGTACAATGGCTGCACGAGATCTTTCCTGACTCGCCATTTTTCTCTGCCTGTCAACCTGATGTGCCTTGCATCACCCCCGGCACGTATGCTTTCCTCGGAGCAGGAGCGGCCCTGAGTGGAATCATGCATTTAACCATCTCGGTCACTGTCATCATGTTTGAACTTACAGGAGCCTTGACTTACATTCTCCCCACGATGATTGTTGTCGGCGTCACCAAAGCGGTCGGAGAAAGATTCAGCAGAGGAGGCATCGCAGACCAAATGATATGGTTCAGTGGATTTCCGTTCCTCGACAACAAGGAAGAACACACGTTTGGTGTTCCCGTTTCGCAGGTCATGACTGGTAATATCAGCATGCTTCCTTCGACCGGCATGGAAGTAAAGGCCGTCCAGAAGCTTCTCACTGATACGACATACTCCGGATTTCCCATTGTGGAAAACAAAGATTCCAAGATCCTCATTGGCTACATCGGCCGGACCGAACTTCAATTCGCCATAGATCGAGCCAAAAAGCATGGGATGTTGGCAGCGGATGCCAAATGTATATTTACCGTGGAGCGAGAAGATGATACAGAGACTTCGGCACCGCCTAGCCCGGCCGTCACCTTCGACTCAATGGCGCTCCAGAGCGTCGATTTCAGCTCATTTGTTGATTCCACTCCGATCACCGTCCATCCTCGCCTACCTCTTGAGACAGTCATGGAACTCTTCAAGAAGATGGGGCCCCGTGTCATCCTTGTCGATCATCATGGCCGTCTCGAAGGTCTCGTTACGGTTAAGGATTGTCTAAAGTACCAATTCAAAGTTGAAGCACAGGAGCATCACCCGACTCTCAGAGATTATCCGCAACACGAGACATTCGTTGACATTTTGGGCAGAATCGGAGAGTACTTCACCGACAAAATCAACCGTTTATCCAGGGGCAAGCTGAGACTAAGTCCAAGAATCGCCAACGGATGGGTCAGAGTAATTGGAAATGACAGAAGAGATGATTTTGCAGATGACTATAATAACGAACATGAAATATTGGATGGGACGGAGGATATCGCTGACGATGGACAGGACGGCGTTGAACTCGATACGAGATAAGCGGGGAAGGATAATGGACATTTTTCCAGGATGCTCTCCGACAGTCTTCCTCTCCACCAAGCAAACCGCCTCTCGATCACGAGCATGCCGCCAAAGTCCATCAATCCTTGTCCAGTTTCGAAGATGAAGCCGTGTAATTCGTACCCCCTTCCCACCCCAAACAAATAAAGTGGTACAAAATCCGCACGAGTCCAAAGTTTACAGATAGACGTCTTCGTGAAGGACCCTTCGGTTTTTTCCCTAGTCGGCTTTCACTAGAGCAACATCTTTGTCGATAGTAATTGGCGCGTTACTCGTACAATCGACCTCGAGAAGACTTGTGCTTGTTCCATGGAAATACTCACCCCAACCCAATATTGGCTTTCAAGTCGAGGGCCTCGAGGGACTGGGTTTCTATTTAGATGAGTACACTGGGTTACATGAAAGTGTTCGAAGAGGAGGAACTAGCGCGCAGTCAGTCTGATGCGTATATCAAAATCATCCAGACTTGTTGGGAGACTGGGAATTTTTGGTATATCCGGGCACGGGACTGTCCGCGTGCGCTCCTCACCCTATTTCTAGATCATACCCGGCCAAAGTTGTGCTCGGGCTGAATTTAACCGCGCGTTGATACCACACTGGGCGTCTCCTCCAAGATCATTGAACCGGACCAATACTCTAGCTGGATTGGGGAAATTTTTACAAGTCCGCGGCCCCCCGCCATCTGGGGACATGTGATGGAAGAGATGGGAACGGTAGCACAGGAGAAAACAGCAAAGAGCCCAACCTAGGAAGATTCCGATCTTATGTCATGAGGATCAAGCCCCATGTATTCCAGACTTCCATATACAACTCGATACCAAGGTGAACTTTTCATCCAGCCCATCGAGCCTGACAAGCGTTTGACATGGCGAATAGTCCGTGCTACAGCTTTGGCGCGTATCATTTACATATATCCGTACATAGATAACCCAATGGAGAAGTAAGTCGACTCTCGTGTTGAAGATATCGATGGTTTATGAATACATAGCCTTTCCTCCGTCTGCTCTCATGTTATGTCCTTGCTTGAATATCTTCCTCCACGACAGCCGCTCGCTGGGAGCAGTAGACATGACAGATCAACCGACTTCAGAGGATATCGCTTGCCTCATCCGCTTTCATTCTTGGCCATATTCCCAGCTCAACACTCTGGAGGAATCTAGGTCTATGAATTCTCTGCCTATAGTCTGGCAACATCTCAGTTTCATGACTTCGCATATCCACGCTCAGTCATCGTTTCGGTGCGCCTATTGAAATTGGCCTCCCTGACTTTCAGGAGAGCAAGATGCCTATCCAGGCTTTTCTTGGAAGAAGCAACAAAACTCGAGTGGTATTTCTGCTACAAAACATGGACGAGTTGGGTCACTGCCTAGCGACCGACCTATTCCCGCTTGATTGATGGATACGCCCTTGCCACCCTTGCCACCCTTGCCATCCTATGCCCAGTGGAGCCTGGCATAGACAATATCATACATGTTTAAGCGAGCAGATATCATGCAAGGCTGTGGAAACAGCTACACTAGACCTCCAAAGGGAATTCCCGATGCGGAGCCCACTTCGCGCCAGTTTTAAGTGACGGGTGCGGGCGCGGGCGAAATTTTATATGGACGGCTGCCCATAGGACTGACAGCGCCGGATTTATGTCTTCCCAATCTACAAAGTGTACCATATAGATGAGCGATTGGGGGACTTTCATTTCGTGATTTGCGGGTTTCCTTGGGGGGTGAGAAATGTTGCGCCACGACTTTTTGCAATGGGATAGCTTACTTCATACAGCAGGGATGATTCAAAGGTTAAATGGTTAGAGGTGAGGCGACCATTTCCCACCCCAAAGATCTTTTGCTTCAGGCACATATTTCTGTCTCCTTAATTTGTCGCCCATTGGACGCGTCAAAGACTTCTTTTGTAGAGGGATTGTCACCATTAGTCGATATTAGGGCGAAACAGCGATTTATTTTGCGTGATAGCAATATGCCTCATAACACCGCTCTACTTGTTGTCGACATGCAAATGCACTTTCAGTCGATGACAAAGACTGCGCTGCCGAACATTGTCACCTTGTGCGATTACTTCATCAGGACCTCATCGCCGATCATCTTCGCGCAGCATGGTCATAGCGAAGCCGAGCTGACCACCAACCCTTCTCCCAATCAACTGGCGCGAAAGTGGGGTGTGTCTGGATCAATTGCCGCAGGCTCCGGCGACTGGAAAATCATGGACGAGCTGCAAAAGTTCCTACCCGAATCTGCGGCAGATCAAGTCATACCCGTTGGCGAGTCATTGCCTGAAGCCAGCTCCAAAGTCTTTCCCAAGCTCCTTCCCAAGAACACGTACGATGCATTTATCAACACGACCCTTTCAGCAATACTGGAGTCGGCTAGGATCAATCGTGTGATAGTCTGCGGAGTCATGACAGACTGCTGCTGTGATACGACGGCCCGAAGCGCGTTCAACCGTGGCTATGAGACATGGCTAGTAAGCGATGCGTGTGGGAGTGCTGATAAGAAACATCATGAAGCCGGCATATTCGTGGATTTGGCTTTGCATTTGGAGAAATATTGACGACGGCTGATGTGATTTCACTCCTGGAGGGCTGATTTGCCTCACTAGCGGCGGCCCCATTCCAAGGCACGTTATACCGAATGAGTCCGGTTTCCCCCCCCCCCCCCCCCCCCCCCCCCCAAAAGCCATCCTGCGCAGATAATTTGGATTCCTGTCTCGGAATTGTTGAATGGTCCATGAAATGTATTCATTGACTTTGAGTCCATGGCCAGTTTTTCACCTCGTTGATGTGTCTCTCTGTCTTCATGTCATGAGTCGTGGTAAACTAAAGCTCGTAGAGAATATCAATTACATCGGCTCCTCATTATTGATGCTCCTATTTCTACAAACCTGAATCTGAAAAATCGATCGATCCTTCAATAATGAAGGATCACACATACATGCGAGGGAGAGGCTGCAATATGGCATGCACCCAAAAAAGAGATGTAAATTGGAGGTCGAAGACAGAAGATGGACCAACTTGAAGAAAGAGAAGGAAATACATCCCTGCTCCAAACGATTGAAGCAGGAACGAGTTTAAAGAAATTGGCTTTCGTGATTTAAGTCCAGCACAATGCATCCATTCTTGCTACGTGCCCAGTTACAAGACTAACAGACTAGTCCAAAACGGCTTCTTCGATATACAACCCCTTACAGAGACACCAGAAGGTGCAGCTCCACCACGAACTCCTTTCAACAGGTGCAATCCGTGTTGTTGCCCACAAAAACTATCAGCACGGCGGTGAAGGTAGCCGTAGCGGTGAACGAGTCGACCTTTCGAGGCACACCCACCAACGCCAGTGCCCCGCTGAAGAGGAAGCTCACAATCACCAGCACACCCAGTCTGAGGAGAGGGTCGGTGATGAAATACAACCCAAGAGCAGACATCGTTGGCAGAACGGGAGCCAATATTGTGCTCACAGCTGTAACCACATTCGCAATGGTGCGTTCTGGGTAGTAAGTCAATCCAGGAGTGTGACGTGGTCTCCACTCCTCCACGACCAAAGCATGTTCGTGTCGTTCATGTCCCCAGTGCTTGTGATACACATCGGTCACGAACCACGAAAACCATTGTGACAAGGCATCGTTGCTCGTGTTCTTCGCTGCCACGGACGTCAGATCATACTCGTTTTTCTTCGCCCATGTGAAGTAGTGCCGATCGTGAAGAAAGGTTCTTCGATTAGGGCCGCTTTTCAAGAAGCGACGGAGACGTTCGAGAGCGGGTTTATGAGCAGAAGGGAGGCTTGTTTCGAGTTGATGAAATCGCAGAAGCCCTTCACCTTTGAGAACAAGTAAAATGTTAGCAGTCTGAATTCAAACGCAAAAGGGGGGTTTGGTCATAGTAACGTGCTGTATTCTTTCAGAAGCGGACGCATCTCTAGCAATTTCTCCCGTTGCCTCTTTGCGCACCCGTCCGTGGCGTTCTGGGGATCCATGATGGCCTCGAAGTCGATGGTTAAGTTGTTTCCTGCCTCGTCATTTGAAGCTCGCTCTTCCGCCATAAGCGACAAGAATTGTCCTTCTTTCTGTATCAACTGAGCCTGCAAGAGGAGTAAGTCTTGACAGTTCAGTATGGAGAATTTACGAAAGATTGAAAACTCTGGGAACGTTCCCATGAGAGCACTCAACGCTTGGTAGCCATCTGTACGGCCTTCCATATCGCAAACTTAACAAGACCGAGATCAAACTGTAACAAAAGCGAAAAGGCTGTACGGCGACGGGGGAATCGATCTGAGTGAGAGAATAGGCTCTCAGCCATCCCGCCATCCCGCCATCAGCCTCATATTTTCTTTGCATGAGTTGTCCATTGATGCCTAATGAAAGAGAAGACATACTCCAGACGTGCCGAGCACCAGTAAGAGAATAAATGGTAGAAGAAGAATATGCAGCTATGAAATTGCCCACCAGCGGCGCACAAAAGACATAGTTCATGCACATGCACCTTCCCTGTTCAACTCCACCAGGAGCGGGAGGCGTAATGTAACGCTTGAGATTGGTACACGAAGCGGCCCCGGGACTTTTTGATAGGCCCTAATGCCACCAGTGATGAGCATTGTTTGTCACGAACAAGCCCCAAAGGTATTGCTCAAACCGAGAGATGGAGGCTGATAAATAGTAACCATCCCCTCCCTCCTTTTTCTCGACCTCTTTGTTGAGGGCCACTTACATACATCTCCCCTCGCATTGAGTGTTTGATTGTCGCAAGTCCCTTTCCTCCGGCCTATGCTTACCTCGGTAGTGCTACAGCGATAAGCCTGCTATGCAGCGTCTCCAAAATTGCACAAAACTACTCCATCGCTGTAGCCAATGACACGCCACTCCTCTCCTAGCCAGGAGTGGAGGCAGCCCAAGCGTGAAGAGCGTTAGCTGCGAACAATATCGAGTCCGAGAAAGGTCACAGCAAGTCCCGGCGGAAGAAGTCGGCATGAGATGAGCGATTATAGCTCGTCGGCAGATAAGTAAGGACTCTTCTCCCCGTGGAGAGATTTTGATTGTTTGTGATCTAAGTTCCTCATCATGACCAGAGAGCCCTAGCTGCGTCACGTGACCCACAAAATGAATCCAAGGGGGACAAGCACTCCATCATATGGGTGATTGGGCAGAGCAAACTGTTTGTTTTGAATATTGTCTTCGGTCAAAGAAATCTTCGTGAGAAAGCATTGACTATTAAGGTGAGCCAGTCATACAGTGGACATGGCGGTTTCACGGAGAATTTTCACATTGGCAGATGTCAAGTTTGTACAGGCCGACCCTTCGACAGCGTTCGACGCTCTTCTCCCGGTGCCTTGAGTGGCCGAAAAACTACAGGGGCTGAAGCGTCTGGCGGAAACTGCAGCTCCACTGCCAACGCCAACGACTTAGCGGTTCCCGGATTGCCAGTCCGCCGATTATTTCCAGCCCACACGACCAAACTCTAACCGAACTTAGGGCATCAAGCGGCTCTGGTACATTTTGTTTTCGATGACGCCCATGGCAAACTATCCGGACTCGGCTGAAGCTTTGCAACACCCATGAAGGGATACGGGTCACCAGAATTACTCCATTGATCGATATCTGGACAATGAATGACAACATGGCCCATGGATTTGATCCAGCAAGCCGGCATGTCAAGCGCTTCAGATTTTCTGTCAATTGGCATGCCGCTACCATCCCATATCTGGAGCTTTCGAATGTGATGGTTTTGGCATAGACCGAGAACGACAGGGGTTCTTTTCTTCGTCGAACGACTCTGTTGATGTCCGTGGAGGGCGCAGTAGTTGACCGTCCGGATCATGTCCCGCGTTTCTTGCTGTGACAAGCTGTTGTTGCCTCCAAAAGCGACGCGTCCATTGGCCATCCTCTTCTTCAATAATTACTATGGCGAGACTGTAGCGGATGGATCACCGGCTGCGTTGGCTGCGTTGGCTGCGCTCGCTGTGCGAGGCTCAGGTCGCGTACGCCCACCCCTTCTCACACCGAGTTTTACTTGCTTTGTGCGCACAATGTTCTTCGTTTCTGATATTGTTCGCGAGAGTGCTTCTTTGACTCCAGTGATGACCTCTCAATCCCGTCGTCAATCTCAAGATCAGATTTGATTTTTCACACATTCTCTTCACGAAAATCGAGCCCGAACCTCCCTCCTCCCTCCTAGACAGTACCGGTCCTCTGCTCGACGTTCCTCTATCATGCCACATACCATGGATGGCTCGCACATGAACCCAATCACGCGTGAACCCCTATGGGAGCCCCATTTTGCGGTCTTGCGTGACCCGACCACAGGTCGGACAAGATTCGAAATACTTTGGGATCTCCCTGCTGGTGATCCAAGCTTAGGGAGCCTCAAAGAGTCGGATGCAGTAGATAAAGAGCCCCAAAATCAAGGACTGGGTCATAAAGAAATAACACCTGGCTCTGCAGGACTAGAAAGAGTCATGTTCACCAAAATGGTTAGATTGAATAGACGTGAAGCCCGGAGTGTGATGCAGGGCATAAAGGGGGAATTGCAAGGCTCACATGTCCAATACTATGTCGTACCGAAAGTCGACTTACCCGAGATTGGTGAGGGAGCAGCAGACAGTCCTCAGGGCCATTGGGCCGCTGAAAATGGATTGTTCGGGCTTGCCCTTGGATCATCGAATCCATTCCTTCAGGTCGAAGACTGTTCAGGCTCAGAAGCCTTGTCCTGCTGCACAGCTCAAGAACTACCACGTGTCGATGAAGAATTCGAGTTTGCGTCAATCTGCTCTCATCAACCTGAGGATGAAGCGCCTAGTTGGTCTGCCTCCCTATACCCGGGCGGTTTCTGCAGCCAAGAGGACATCAGGTTACCATCCTTTTTTCGAAGTCGCGAAAAAGAGGACATACCCTTCAGAATCATGCTGGACACTGGAGTAACTTTCTCTGTTGCTCGTGAATGGATTGCAGAGTATGTCGAGGTTCGGGGCCTAAAACATCCCTTGTCTATGCGAACCGTTTCCGGACAGGTTATAATATCAGACAAGGTTGTATGGCTAGATGTGAAGCTACCCTGTTTTCACCAGAGCAAGGTCTGCAGACTCAAGGTCTTCCTGTTGAAGGACGAATCACTTCGACAGGAAGATGCCTACTTCTGCGCGAACCACTCTGAGATGCTCGACCACCTTTGGATCCGGCAATGCACCCTATGTGCCGACGCAAAAGCTGACCGGTGAAGCTGCTCTTCTGCTTATAGGCCTCAAATATGGCCTCAAGAACAAGTGCTGCCTGCTCGAGGATGTATCAGCAAGGGTAGAGTCCAGCAGGTTTCCACTCTTGTACACAATCTTTGGATTAGATAGATATTGAATATGCGTTGATTCGAGAGATGCCTCACACACCAAGTTTGCCTGATTTCAATGGACATCACGGACGGCCGGAAAACGGGCCCCCCTTTATTGAAAAGATGTGGGAGCCCTCGACGCTGAATGGGTAACGGGTGCTGACCGCTTCGAACACCTCATTCATAATTTGAGCCTCAGGCTGGGAACACGTGTTTACGTGCCCAATTCCTGTCCTATGCGGCGTCAACGCCTGCTGTAGTGCCATTCCAATGGACCTTGTATCTCTTGATGATCGGGCGGACTGCCAGGAGATGCCAACGAAGGAGGGCTCCTGTTGAGAGATTCTGCGCGATGGACATCTGAGAGAAGATATCGGTATAAATAAGACAAGGTGTGTTCTCTCCAGATTCGAGTCTCATCATTCCTTTTCATTTCCTTTCCGTAGAAACTCAAGTCAACAAAAAGTCTAAATCCCAGCAAAGAGCGTGATGGAAAACAATCTTGACCCACAGCAGTCGGTCAGCGGCAAACCCAGTGATTCAACGGAGCATACCAGAGACGTGGAGGTTTTGGGACGTCGGGGCCACAAGAAGAAGTGGTGGAATATGAACGTTGTGGTGAATGATGAAAGTGGCTGCTGTACCATCACGACTGCATTGCTTATCAAGCTAGGCTTGAATAACAAGGTCGTGTTCCCTTTTGACGACGGCCACAACTGTGAACACAAAACCTTAGGCAGGACCCGACTGTTTCTCAGTTGCGGCAGTGGAACGGAACCAACACCATTCTGCATTCTGAGGAGCGACAAGATTGCAGCAGTCATGACCGGTCATGAGAAGGTCTGGAAACAACCTTCTATCCGCGGTTATGAGAGCTCCATCGCGCCTGTGGTTTTCGACCCAATGACTAAAGGTCGGTGGCCTTAGGCAGAGATTTACTCCTAGTGTTACTGATACGTCGGCAGAACAGGAAGAAGAACAACGACAAATTGATGCGGAGGAAGATGCTAGAGCTCTTCGGGAACTGGCTGCATTAGTTGAGAAGGAACGGGCCAGTTTTCGGGAACTTATCCAGAGTCAGACAAGTCAGGGCCAACAGGGCGAGCAACGCGCAAACCAACAGGATGAGCAACACACAAGCCAGCGGGTGGAACAACATACGAACCAACAGAACTTACAGCAGAACCACAGGGCCTAGTAACCAAAAAGCTATTTGTGGAGGGGAACCCGAAATCTTCGTAGGAAACTGGTCGCACTTGCTATGACTGGTCGGATTTGGAGACAGCGCATGCCTCAGTCGTTACTGGTTGGATCTCTTATCATTGCGAAGACTTGTTGGGGTATTGGTACTACATGGAGGGAAACCCTGACTCAACCGAAACCATTCTTTCACCTTCAGGTAGACAGGAAGAGATATGAAACTTCTCCCTTTGGCTAAGGAGTGTCGAAGTGTATGAATGATTACTTGTTGTCCATCGAATGCTCCAGTTGCACTCGAGGGTAATGCTTTACAAAATAAAAAAAATGACTCCAGGTAATGAATCGTGTTGAGAATACCCACCCAGTTCCCTTGATTCTTGATAAACTTGTGCGAAAATCCCCACCGCCGGTATATACATATATATGCCTCCTTTTCTCTACAGCCTTGTACCTTCTCAGCCTGATACCAGTACACCGCCCTTTCCTTCCGTACTAATCGGGCGCTAAACCCGGGCGCGTCCCACCGCTCATTTCCTTGCCCACGCTCCACTTTCCACACCAAGCGATCCAACCAATCTCTTCTCCCCAGGTCACACGCGCAACATCGTGCAAGGCTACGAAGTCCTTACCTCCTAACTAGTATGTAGTAATTGCATAGTAGGTCGTAGCATGTTAAACACATCCTCAGTGCCCAGAGTGGATCCCAAAAGTCGGAAATTACCTGTTGAGAACTAGTGAAGTTGCTGGAGCCTTGCACCAATAATTTTATTTCAACCTGCGCGCTTGTAGGGCTGATGTTCCCCAAGCCATCTATACGCCGGATCGATAAGTGGTGTCAATATGATGGGCGCACACTGTGAGAAATGAAGATGGTAATGTCCTCATATATTCGCAAGTCCGAGGCGCTGATCTTGGTGTCAATCAACAGAGTCCGAAAGTAAATGTTCCGCACGGAACTGTTGTCCTAAGTGAGGCAGCCATTCAAATTTCCCGACCATGTTTTTGACTTTGGCCACGCTAGGATTCCCTTTAATGGACTCATTGGATGGCTTGGAGATGCTTTCACATTTTTGCTCAGATCTGCTGACCACTTTTTGTAGGAAAACGAAAAGCTAATCGACCACTGGCCAGATCAAAAGAGCAACCAGAGAAGAGCTCTCTTTGCCCATGCTAATCTTGGTGTCAGTTTGAAGTAGCCTGTCATGATGGAGCTGCTTGCTTGCCATCGTACAAAGGGGTTCCCTTGAGTTGATCTACAATGGCCATCAAGACAAAAAGTTCCCGCCCTCTGCAGCTCATTCGCCAAAGCCTCACCGACGACGCGACGACGCAACGACGCAATGACGCGCTATATGCGGATGCTGCGGAGCTGTCCACTAAATTCTCACGCAAACCCACCATTGAGAACGGGGGAATCTCCGGAATCGCAGAAGCGTCCGAACTCTGGATGAATTGTACGAAATCAGAGCCCGACCATGTTTACGAATCAAAAGTTTGAATCTGCCACGTCCTTATCTGATCTCTCAGATGGCCTTCCTAAAGTTCTCTCCACGAGCGTTTCGAGAAACAAATTATCCAGAGATGCAAGTCTCTCGATAATACCATTCGAGTATGCACCGTGAGGCCGAGCACGCCAAAAGCACGCCATGATGGACTTTCTTCCTCAAATGTTGCGGCCCGGACCGCTGCTAAAACCATGGAATGGGAGACACTGACCAGTCGCTTGGGAATGAAAAATTTGTGCAAAGATGCTAAGGTAAAAACTGTCATGAGACTGGATCGGTGCGATGACTGTTGATGGGCTGATCTCGTCCCGGCCGATTATTGGTACAGCTGCATCCGGCCGTAGGCTTGTAGTCTGCTTAGTTGCGCAGCCGTACAGGGGGGTGACTCTGGGCTTCTGACACCTTCAGATTCGGCAGTTGCTGCGTCTCTATCCAGGTCTTGAGACTTGTTCGAGAGTCCATGTCTTGAGTGCTTGTGCATACTCCCGGAAATCCAGCCCATTGTGATTCAGCGATGAGGCTGTATCTTCGGAAAACTGGAGTTTGCCAGTATTCCCTGAGTTGACGCCAATCTTCGTCTCATGCCTTTGCGCAGTCTCTAATAGAAGCGTACGAGGCTCAAATTTCGATGCAGGCACCGTTCATTTTGCAGCATCGTTCTTCAGAAATATGCAACGACCGTGATGCATCGCTAAACTTGGATTCGAAGCATCGTCGCGTGTCAAATCGATGGAATGTGTGTTTGGTACAGAGTGAAAAGTCTTGAGATTTTTACGTTAAAGAATGAACTTGTCTGATCACGATTTAGTATCAAGAGAAGGAGCGAACTCTTGCAATAAGAAGAAGGGAACAACAGATAAAAGTACCAGATGACGGTCATAAGTCGTTACTCATCACTTTCGTCAACCACTATCTCATCTCTGAACTGGTCCTCGCACTCGTCTCAATTTTCCAACCTCCCTCTGTGACATCCACTTTCGAACTCAACAAACAGAACTGTTTGAACCACTTACAAAGACGACTAGCACCGCCGCAAAGGCAGCAGATGCACAGAACGTCTCTACCCTTCTTGGCTTTGCGGTGAGGCTCAGAACAGTTGAAAAGAGAAGGGTGCAAACCACAATGGCAATCATTCTCGAAGTAGGGTCGTGAATCGTGAATATGGCCAGGGCCGAGAGGGTCGGCAAGGCTGATGATAAAATTGTAGTCAAAGTATCGATAGTATTCGCGACATATTTGTCAGGATAGTGGATCAATGGTCGACGCACCCCATGGCCAGCCCATGCTTCCACGACTGAAAGAGGATCATGGTATTTACGGCCCAAGTGTGGGGTGTACACGGACGTGAGCATCTTGTCAATGAATTTCGAAAGTGCATCTTTGTCTGTGTGCTGCCCTGCCAGCGATGTCAGGTCCTGCTCGTACTCCTCATCCCAAGTCTCAAACTCATGGGCAACGAGGAAAGGCTCCCTGCTGCCATCAGGCTTCTGGAGCAGTTCGCGGACGGTGGCCAAGTCAGACTTGTTGGCAGGAGCAAGGCGACAAAGAGCGGCAAATTGGAGAAGTGCTTCATCTGATTTTCGAGAGAGCCAAGGTCAGCTCAGGTGCAAATGGAGGAAAAGTGAGCAATTTGACCTACTGTAATCCTTGAGTAGTCGACGCAGTTCAAGGGTGCGGCTCCATTGCACACCATCTCCAGGGGTCGCATGCCGTCCGCTGAGGGCCGAAATATCGTACTCAAACAGGCTTCTTACGGGGTCTCCGGACTCACGGTCTTTCTTGATCGTGACCCGAAGCCCATGCTCGAAATTTATGATCTCTCCCTGCATACAAAGCAAGTTCCTGGCATTCAAGATCAAGAATCTTCTGAAGACCGCCAATGATGGATAAGTCCCAATGAAACCTGCCAGAGCATTATATCCATTCATGGTGCCCTTCATGCTTGAGATGATCAACGTTCAGAGTATTTCGGCGATCTGAGCGACACCCTCCGGCAAAGAGGGACAGACGAAGCGAAGGAGGGCGAAGGAGAGCACCGGTCAGGCTACAGGATGTCCCTTCACACACCTGCACCTATGTGCTGGCTTGCGTCTTAGCTGTCTCACTCTACTCGGCACATCCAACCAGTCAAATTCAAATCGGAGCCAGTAACAATCAAGACGCAGTGCGGGCGACGAGCCATTTATTGATGCAAACCAGCAGCCACCATAAAACTCCATTAAGCGAAAGTTCAGCCGAAACACATGTTCACAGCAAGCCACTCACCTTAGTCAGAAACACGGTAGAAGTAAAGGAACAGCCAGAGTGCCAAATGATAGGTGAAAGACCCCAGCCAAAGACTTGCTTGCCATCCCTGAATTCTAGCGCGCAGGGCTTGATGCAATAGCTAGGGAGGGAGTATGGCAGGTATATAAGAGCAACACCCACACTGGTTTCTGGTCGTCAATTTTTTTTTTTATTTTTGCGTCTTTCTCTTCCCGCGCTTATCGCCCTTCCCATGCATCTAATATTGCTCATTTGAGGCGATGAATTTAGCCTTCGTTGGCACCAATCACAGTGTAATGAACGAAGAAGCGATGCCCCGTTTTGGAAGCTCGATAGTAGCAGGCCCCATTGTCACAGTGGCTAACGATGGACGACACATAAAATCTCAGTCTCATCTCTCTTGAAATATTCTCTTGACACTTCTCAATTGTTTCCAAATGCAATGCGACGAATTTCAAATCTGTCGTCGCTCGGTGAGGTGAGTGACGGTGCACAGAATAATAGGACAAGTTTGCCGGACCAGGATACCGGTGCACCAAGTTTCTCTCCGTCAGCGGCAAGAAAATTGGGGCTCTCACAACCAGAAAGGCTGTTCATTATAACAACAGCAGCTCACCTTGGCCTGGAGGACCGCGTTCCGACTTGTCGCCACCAAATCCAACCGCAACACTCTGAACTCCTAGCAAGCAGCGAAAGAGATCTAAATCCATTTGCAAAGTGTCGCGACAACATCACGCCCCATCACACCTGTGGTAATCGATGGCCTTTCTCACACTTGCGGGTCATCAGACGGTGTGGTTTCAGCCCCTAGTTGCTAGGGGCCTAGTGGATCCGCTACTCCTCGAAGTCGCAACGCCTGCCAGTAGGCTCCAGCGACCACTCTTGCTGTGATGAAGGTCCTCGTTGCGAGCTAAAGACGCGTTTAAGGACTAGCGTGGTTTGTCCGGTTACCGCGTCGCTAGCCCATGCCGCGGTCCAGCCATCAACCAACAGAAAGAGAACATGCGCGCAGGGCGATTCGGAGGCATCAATTGACGTCGACCAGGTATCAGTGTCGAGACCTGGGTAGCCTTTTCTTTCCAGCCTTGAACGAAAGTCCAAGATATCGACGTCCTCATCATGATCCGATTAGGATAACACGGGCCAGAGACAACTGAACATGCAATATTCTCCCAGAGAATTCTGCTGCGTTGGGGGCGAAGGCAAGGATTAAAGACGATCTTCTTATCTTGGTCCCGGGTCAGCCTCTTTTTGGATACCATCACAGTGCAATTCTTTGTGATATGCTACTGAATTTTCTGGAGGTTTCGGTTGATGCTCTAGCGTCCTTCCCACGATGTTGGCCTCAGGCATTGCCATGCGTCTGGGATTTCACTCTTTTCGTCCTCAATGCTGCAGTTGTCAGCCACGCCCCGGACCCCGAAATTGTTCCAGTACGCCTACCCCTTTAACTGATCTTCATCATCGACTATTGGTGGTTTACCGGTCCTTTGACTAGCCCCTTTCTGTTTCCCGCGCCCCTGCTCGCAAGGCCCGCGTTGAGTTTGTCTTCATCATGGCACCCTCGGATTGCTGTTTTGATATTTGGCAATCGAAAGCTCCCAATCCCTTCGCTATTCGATTTTTCTGTGCATCGTGGTTCACGCTCGAAGCTTCGCATTTTGCCAGCAGAACTGTCTCGCCATGGACATCCTTCTTTGCCTCGATCTTGCTCTGAGCCTTTGTATTGTCACTCTTCGAGCCGTTTTCCTCACAATCGCTCTAAACCCTTCCATTGAGTTCATCCCGGAATCTAATCGTCTGAATATCTGCATCACAACGCGCCCAGCTTCCGACATACCTTTGATTCACGTCTCTTTCGGGCCAGCATGCGGTATTGACAACAAAGATGACTCCCCAAAGCATAATGCCACGTCTCACAATGCGGGAGAGGCGGGGGGAGATGGAAGAGCTGGAATATTAAAGACAATTGCATTAAATTGCGTTGGAATTCTGCTTTATGGCCTTGTGTACCTCCATCGATGCCTTCAGCAAAATAGGGGGTTTGCTTGGCAATCACAAGGCTACGGCTACAGTTGTCCGCCCGCATTGTTGCACAAAGAACTGCACTTAGGGCCATCTTGCAAGGATGGTAGTAGCGCTGGCAGGGTTCAGGACTTTCCAAGCGTTGCAAGGCAAAATATTAGAGACCCAGACAGGCTTGCGATAGCAAATAATGCTCTTGATTTCGATAACCCCTTGCTGTCTGCTCATCATGATGCCCAACCGGAGAGCCATGACCACCATGCCGGAGGTCATGAGACTGTTCTCTCCGTCTGTGCCGTGGGACCGCGGCTTGGATCGCTAGAACCCGATCTAGATGCGTTCAGGCAACTGACGCTTGTTGTCCCAACCATTTCTGGTAGACAGCCGCTCACCAGCACCATGGACACGGGCTCCGATTATAACATCATGACCAAGGAGTGCGCCGATTCATATGGTTTTGAAATTCAAAGGGACGGCCAGGGAACTGCTCTGAGCGGGATTGGGAAGCAGGAATCGACTTCTTTGGGCACTGTATTCGTTCCGGTCTCACTTTTCTGCGATTTGACCGAGAGGTTGACGACATTTCACGTCGTGGAGGGTCTTCCTGGAGGGCGTCAGGCACTTTTGGGAGTGGCTTTAACCTATCAGCTTGGCCATCTCCTACGACCTGTTTGTGTGCAATGTGCCCATGCACTTCCTTGACCGGTGAAGAACAACGGGCACCTACAAGCACTCAAAGTTTTGATTGTGGCCATTCGTGACCAGTTCATGACGTGGCAATGGATGTTGTTTGATCAAAGGGGTTGTCGTTCTTTACACTTCAATTCTGCAGGTATCAATAATAGCCTTTGATTTGTGGAGTACTCACCGATAGTAGTGGATGAGAACTTGAGATATTGTCGGGACCTCATTTTAGACCTGCTTTGACTGAAAGACTGCAAATCATGATGAGGCTCGAAAATTTAGGGAGGAGGAACGGTCGGGACCGGCTGTTATCATCGTGATCAAAAGACATCCATCTTAAAGGAAGTGTGAGCTGTCGTACCCAATGGCCATGTTACCTGTGCTGCGGTAGCTGCTGTACGACCCGAATCGCCCCTAAGCAAGAGTTTGATAGGCTTGACCCTAGTAAAGTTCCCAATTGGGTGACTGCTTTGTGGCCTGCATTGAAATACCTCCCAGGTTGGTGCTCTCTCCCTCTGTAACAGACCTCAATACGTCTTCTGAAGTCCAGGCAACTAGTAAACTCATTGCCGCCTCTGTGCACGATTTAGGGAAACCTGTACTTTATCGCAATGGCTTCTCGACGCGGGTCGAACGAAGACAACGGTCGAGGAAATGCGTCCACCACACATGATGTACAACAACGGGAGCAGGCTGAAACCACGGAGGAGATACGGATTTGGTGTGAAATGGTCTTTCGGTACCTTAGACGAGAAGTCCGGATCAAAACGAGCAAACTTTGCAATACCATCACCGGAGCTGAACTCGACAGCCTCGGTGAAAGAGAGAATATGGTGCTTGCAGCAGATGACGATCGTCACGCTCGGGAACATGATGGCTATCTGGGTCAAATTAAGTTCATGCTGCAGTCAACAGCCGCCGAAAAAAGTGAAGTCAGAATGTTCTGCGTTGTAGAAAATGAGGATTCGGCAATAGTCCTGAACAGATCAACGATACCGCAAGGTAGTGGGGAACCAGCTGTCTTAACTATTAGCAACTCAAGTGCAGGATCCAAAGGTGAGTCCGCTTCTTTATCTTCTCCTATGAAACATGACTGACCTTAATAGATGAGGCACGTATGCTGAGAGAAGCCTGGGAACGAGTCAGAAAGAGAGAAAAAGAGAGAAGCGAGAAGAAACACGACGGTGAGGAAGACAGAAAAGATCAGGAAGAAAGAGACAAGGCCAATCAAACCACACAAACGAATCAAGCCAACTAAACGACATAAATACATGCTGATCACAACGGTTGTGGAGAAAGATACATTCATAAAGCGTGGCCGATGGTGCCTGTTGGTGGAAAACCTGAAAATTCGGAAGTGATGGTGATAATTTAATGCGGACCGCTGAATAGCAGTTAATCGAGACACTCTTGAGAATATTTCCCCGGGTAGTTTCTAAGATCCCCGTGATGGAAGACGTAGCATGTTAGATAATGGCGAAGGAGGAAGCGGAAATGTTAGAAGGCGGTGAAGGAAAAGGAAGGGGGCCAATGAGCGCTGGCAGTGGGTGATTTTCAGATCACGTGTAACAACACCACAAGAGCTTCGTAGAGGGAAGATCATCCCTGCCATCAATCGTGTGGTAGTTTTCATGATTGGAATGACATTGAGCCATGTCTACATTGAGTTCTGGCTCCGGGACAAACAATGGACTGGGAAACATCCTCGAATGGAGATTGGGGGAAAGGGGGACTCAGCCTCATCGATCCCAATAGGCCAGTGCTTGACCCACGGTAGCCCCACTCCAACAAATTTGCCAGCAAAGTCGGTATCCAGCAGAGCTTTGACAACGTCGAGGTTGAGATTGCTGGAGCTCCTGGACACTAAGTCGCGGAGCAGGGCGACGATGCTGCAGTGACAACCTCCTGCTGTGTGCTGCCTAGCAGGTCGCGGAGACGGTGGTTGAAATAGATGATAAGGCCGATGAGATGTAGAATTTCCTCTTGGTCAATCGCAGCCTACTTCAAACGTCGATAGCTAGTTGTTCCCCTCTCCATGGCTCTTCTGCGAATCTTCTGCATGGACTTGGCCGCATGAGGCCGGAGCCTGCCAAAGAAGCCTACGGGACCTTGAGCTCGACTGACGACAGAGACATCTTCTTAGGTCCTTATGTCACCCAACTGGGCCTCGACATCCATAACCACAAGATTGTACTTCTCTTTCAAGGTTCGGACATTGGACGAGTCCTTCTGCAGCTAGTACAAGAGTTCGTATGCCAGAGCCCAGTTGACGGTCGCAGAGGCCGACTTTGTCTGGAGCCGGCGCTGCTCCCGTTCGAGTATAAACCGAATGCGTTCGGCGTCATGGTCGGCATCGCGCACAGCAGCAATGAGGGCAATGGATTTGACACATCCATTGAAGATAGTGTATGCGATCCCAACAACGGTGAAGACCTCTATGCTTGTCAGCCATTGTTGTACAGTCACAATATCACTGTAGAGGATGGGGAGTGTCCTCTTCCTGACTACCATTTTCAGCCCCCCGGGTGGCATTTCGATGTGGGCCGCAGCCAAGGCGGATGATTCCCTTTGCGGTCCTGCGCCCTCAGAATTATCAAGCCAGCGAAGCAATCACTGAGTCCCACAGTCCAGACAATTTCAAACACGAACCTCTCTCCCCGCTGTCGCTCTCAACCCCTGGCGAGCCTAAGGAGTATAATACAAATCGAGGGCAGACGTATTATGTCGACAGGGCAAGGCAGAGAACGCGGCACCAGCGCAGAGCGAGGCGGGGGTTTGAAGGCAAGGTGTCATCTCGCCCTGCACAACCATCCACGCCCGTGCAGATACACACGTTCGACTCTCTTCGGCCTATCAACGGAAAAATGCTTGTCGCCTGCGAAACAACGCACCGACTCAGCTGCATCAGCCCAATTGCTATGTTGGATCACGGCCGTGAGGTTAGGAGCTTTCAAGTTCAGTCAGTGTCAGCCAGCCTGGGGCATTCAGAGCTGTTGAAAATATTAATTTCATTGTTTCAAAACTACCAATGTTGCTGCCATGTCATTCCATAGCACTCGCGGTTTCTTTCGCGGCGTTCTGCGAAAAGGTGCCACCCACGGTTCCCTTCCACGACGTCCAAGGGAGGATATTGATAAGGCCCTCGCCCAGTATATGGGCATTCCGCCAAGGAAACCTGGCACAGATCGCGAGTCCATGATTTCGGACTCATCCTTCCAGAGTATCGCACGCTACCTGAGTCTAAGGTCTGATCCGTACGTCGCCACGAATGGTCAGCAGAGGCCAAGAATCTATACGATCCTCTACCACATCAATCGAACCGATATCTTTTCCTCGTTTATTGATTTAGGCTTCACCGATTTCATGCTTCCCCATCTCAGCAGAAGAACTTCCTCCCCGTCCTAAGAGACAAGGCGAAATTTATTCAATTCCAGAATCACTGCCTCACTGACGCCTCGCAGCTAGAGAGGGAGAGAGAATGGCCGGCAAGTTAGCTTTAGCAGTAGTCAGTCATTCTTTGTTGAGCTACAATATTTGGGATCCGGTGGCTTTGGGTACGTATGCAAATACCTGCCAGAATATAAACTTACGTTGCCTTCTAGAGGCACGTCGATAAGGCTTGGTCTCGAGTGAGCCTCAACAAGGATATCCGCTAGCGCTTCGGCCGTGGTCATTCTGCGCGTGAGACACAGACTAAATTTGAATATTTTGCAAGAGGTAGCACCTCCTGAACTTTTGCGACTGCTGACGTTTTTCTCTTCTCTTCTTTTATTGACAGAGATTGGGGCCCCGGAGAGACTCAATCATACTCACCTTGTCGAAATCCGAGGCACTTATTCTGACCCGAAGTCTTTCGCATTCTTAATGAAGCCTGTTGCGGAGTGCGGTCTCGAGACCTACCTAGAGACGATGCGAGCAGGAAGAGTTGCGACACTGAGGACGTTCTTCCGCTGTCTAACCCGCTTCATCGGCGTATCTTCACAACCAAAAAGTACATCACGTGGGCATAAAGCTACGAAATATCTTGATCAAAGGGAATCGAGCTTACCCGGCTGATCTTGTGGCGTCTCACCCTCATGCACCGGGCAATTATGCTTACAGTGTTTCGGAGGATACGGGCCAAAGAATTTTGGGAGCATTTGAAGCAAAAGGGCACACAACACCCACGTGCTTACAAGAGCCCGATAGGAACCAACTTCATGGCTTGAGCGTCTGCGACAGCGACCTAGGCCAGATTGCAGCAACATCCCATAGCCGTGGGTGAAGTATATGTTACTCAAGGATCCATCTCGTCGCCACTAGGGCAAATAGTTGCGCGCACTGATTTTAGACCTAGGCTTCTTTTGTGGATTTTGTTGTTCAGTACCGGAGCATGAAGATCACCCTGTTGATTCATCTGGGGCACAGCACAAAGAGGAGAGCCTAAACTACTAGGATTACGAACGAGACATCCAGTTTGAGGAAATCCGTGATGTAGCGCTGCTAACCCCTGCGAAAGCGCAGTTTATCCGAACCTAGATCAACCAGACTGAGGCTATTGAGGTAAAGAGTCCATGCACAGTCGAGGCGACAGGAGGTTTTCAGTTCGAGATTGAAGATGATGACGACCAGGAAGGAGCTCCCGTAGGCAAAAAAGACGAGTATCCTAGGCTAGTCTTGCAAAAATTGAGTTCTTTCGATTTTCGGGCTGGCTTTGGCAATGTGACTTGTAAACTACTGGATCACGACGCCATATTTGACGTTGAGCAAGATGACAGAACCAGCAGTGTTTCAGAAGTCACGCTCTGGCTGACGGACCGCTCCACCGCTGAAGATGGTGGCGATGAGGGGTCTGATGCTGTTTCGTCTGTGTCTTCGGGTTTGTTCGCGATTGACGTAAGGTAGAGGCACATCACAGAGCGCAGGGGAAGAAATTGGGAGCAGAAGTGAGTGCCTGGGCCCTGGGAGTGGGTATATATGACCAGACTGCAATGACCGAGTAATTGCGTGTCGTGGGTACGTTGAAAGGTCTATGGACTATAAGATGATTTCAGGGTGTTTAGCCTCATTGCAGCCCCTTTTCCCTTTTTCTCTTTTCATCGCGACGCAAGGAAACTTTTATCATCTGTGCCACAAGCTTTAACGATATCTCTGTTGTGATTAATTGCTCCCAAGACTGATTTCTGGCTTTATCTACCAGGCTTCATCTAGTTGCACACCTTTAACGAGCTGTTTTGAACGATGGCAACCCGAGCTCGGTTAGGCAGCGGGCTGGCGGCTGCATCTTTGCGTCCCACACCCGCAGGAAGATCCTTTTCGCGTCTTCTAAGTGGCTCACGAGTGATACAGAACCGGATCAACAATGAATGCGGGGAGTTGGACATCGGACATGAGGCTCTCTCCGCATTTGCTTCAATCCCGAGGAGCTTGATTTCCCATAGAGCACGCCACCGTACAGTGCTCCTCTATTCACTCTTGTTTTATCATCGTTGAATTGACTACCTCCGTCTCTCTATCGAACAGAGATGTAGAGTTTCATTGACTCGCTCCAGTATCATCAAGATCCTCTTAGATACTCTCAAACCATGCAGCAAACACACTTCGATGCCCTTATCGTGGGCGCCGGCTTCGGTGGTATCTATCAACTCCATAAACTCCTCAACCAAGGACTATCAGTGAAAGTCATTGATGCAGCTGGAGATGTTGGAGGCACCTGGTACTGGAACAGATACCCTGGTGCCATGTCCGACACCGAATCATATAGTAAGTACATCAAGATCCACGATTAGAGTAGGGGGGCTGATCCAGGCGTCAAGTATATCGCTACAGCTGGGACAAAGAAGACCTACTTCAGTACCAGTGGAAAGACCACTACGTGAAGCAACCCGAAGTCCTCGCCTATCTCGGGCACGTGGTCGAGAGACATGACCTACGCAAGTACATGCAGTTCAATACCGAGTTGGAAGACGCCCAATACGACGAGACCAACAATATCTGGATAGTGCAATGCTCGACGGGCCAGACCTTCACTGCTCGATACATGGTTACCGCATTAGGATTGCTCTCGAAGACCAACTATCCTAGTATTCCCGGCATAGAGAAATTTCCGGGAGAGATGTATCACACCGGGTAAGGAAGCCATCCCACAAGTTCCCCAAGCATCTCCATAACACCCCATCTCCAGGAAATGGCCACACTCCCACGACTTCACCAACAAACGCGTAGGCATAATTGGCAACGGATCCACCGGCGTACAAGTCATCACCGCTGTCGCCAAAGAAGTCAAGCAACTGGTGTGCTTCCAACGAACACCTCAATACAGCGTGCCGAGTGGCGACGGGCCCGTGTCTAAAGAATACCGCGACTCGGTCAACTCTCGCTACGACGAGATCTGGGCGCAAGTCCGCAACAGCGCCGTGGCTTTTGGGTTTGAAGAGTCCAAGATTCCTACCATGAGCGTCTCCGCCGAAGAACGTGAAAGGATCTTCGAAGACGCATGGCAACACGGCAACGGCTTTCGCTTCATGTTCTGGACCTTTAATGACTTGACGACCAGCGAGGAAGCGAACGAGGAAGCATGTAAATTCATCCGCAAGAAGATCAGCCAAATCGTCCAAGATCCGGACAAGGCGAGAAAGTTGACGCCACATGACTTCTACGCGCGTCGACCTCTGTGTGATGCCGGGTACTATGAGCAGTTCAACCGACCCAACGTGGATATTGTCGATCTGAAAGAAACCCCTATCGAGCGAATCACAGAGAAAGGCATCGTCACGTCAGACGGCACGGAACATGAACTCGACGTGATTATATTTGCCACGGGTTTTGATGCGGTCGATGGGAATTATACCCGCATCGCGATCAAGGGGCGCGGCGGTGAGAGTCTGCGCGACCACTGGGCAGCCACGGGCGGGCCCACGACGTACCTGGGCATGTTTGTCCCGGGGTTTCCGAACTTGTTTATGATCACCGGTCCGAATAGTCCGTTCACGAACCTTCCGCCGACGCTGGAGACGCAGGTCGAGTTCATTGCTGATACAATTGAGCGGGCTGAGAAGAAGAACAAGGATAATTCAACTCAAGATCAAGGCCGGGGTGACGGTACGAATGATTCGACCCCATCGAACACCCAGGGACCTGTGATCGAAGCATTGCCGTCATCTGAAGATAAATGGACCAGGCTGTGCAAGGAGCTTAGTGACAATAGCTTGTTCAAGAAAACGGATAGTTGGATCTTCGGCGCGAATATCCCGGGAAAGACGCACACGGTGATGTTCTATTTTGGGGGGCTGGCCGGGTATCGGAAGGAGATAAGCGAAGTGGTCGGGAGTGGGTATGAAGGGTTTAAGCCTTTCTAAGCGCGATTTTCATCGAGGAACGTGAAAGGGAATTGGAAGGAGATGCTGGGATTGTTCGGAAGTGAGAGTGCGAAAGATCGAAATTTTTTTTTATGGTTGAGCTCGGAATGGGAGCGATGGAGCGATATGGGGTATCTGTCTGCGGTAAGAAACCTAGGAGTGTCGAGGATTTGTTGATATCTGCATCGAGTATCAGTTGTATGGTGTTCGTAGCGTCGGCTTTTTCATGCCGGAATGCGCCATGACCTGCTTTTATATTCCCTTTTGAAAACCTTTTGTCCATTCTCTCAAGGAGCCTTCCATGCCTTGACGCCGTCGCTGAAACCATTCACAGAGCCGCCCTGGCCTGTACCACCGTAAACGGACGATGTCGCATACCCATGATTCAATATTTCATCCTCCCCAATGTCGGCTTCCAATCCAACGGATGCGTCTCAGGCGTCGCCTCAGGGTCCGGTCGCCAGATCTTGATCGTCTTATCTGCCTCTCCCATAATCAAGCGCAGCCCCGTCTGATCGAATGTACTGCTCATGATGCCTGCCTCAGCATCCAAAGAGCCGGGCTGTGCCACCGATTCCGTCGTCTGAAACCGATACCCCGTCTTCCAGTCCCAGAACGAAATACTCCCATTATCACCGCCACTGAAAAGGACGTTGTCCTCATTAACCGCTAGCGTGTTGATGATCGCATTGTGGCCGTCGAAATTCTGCATGAAAGCACCTTCGGGACACTTCCACTGCTTGATGGATCCCGCAGATCCAGAGGCGAAGGTGAATTCTTTCGGGTGGATTGCCAGGGCTCTCACACCCTTTTTGTGATGCGTTAAGACCCCCACGGTTTTGCCGGCCGCGAGATCCCAGAGGCGCACTGTGCTGTCGAGACTAGACGAGATGACTTGCGGATCGGCCTCCTGACACTTGACGTCGGTGACGGTGCCCTTGTGGCCGCTGAGAACATGGATATTAGATCGCGTTCGCATGTCCCATACACGCGCAACACCGTCTCGACCGCCGGTAACAAGCACATCGAGAGTCGGGTGTAATGAAAGCGCGTAGACGCCAGATAAATGGCCATGATAATGGCGGATGACTTTGTTCGTTTCCAAGTCCCAGCACTTCACCATCTTGTCTTCTCCGCATGAGAACAAGTAAGGATGGCGCGGCGATACAGCTAGGCCCCGAACCGTAGATATGTGGCCGGTGAGTGTGAGTCGAAGTTGTCCCGAGGCTAGATCCCAGATCTTGATCGTCCGATCTCCTGCGCCTGATGCGAACCATTGATTCCCAGGCTCGACGGCCAAAGCGCGCACCCAGCCGAGATGTCCAGATATGACTCTCATCAATTTCCAGGGCGCATGCCACTCCGGTCGATGTTGTTGCATGTTTGGTCTGCGAATCAGACTATTCCCTGTCCCACCATTTGTTTGGCTTGACGACCCCGGTTGTTTTCCTTCGCTCTTGACCAAGGCCATTTGATTCCCGTCGGCGCCAAATTGTTGTTGAACTTTAGGTCTCTTTGGTCCTCGCGCTGCAGCAGCTTTTGCCTGTTTCTCGGCGAGGGCTTTGGGTAGGTCGCGGACACTTTCATATTCGACTTTTCGTTTGTATGAGATGGAAATGGGGAGGCTGTTGGGATCTGTTGTTATCTCGCCAAAATCATCGCTAAAGAGCGATCTCGTACGCTCCGTGAGAGCGTGAGCTGCCGCTGTCATTTTCGTCGCTTTACAGGTTAGGAAAAGAGCGATGCACGAAAGCGTGCGTGCAAAGATGGAATTTAAGACGCGTGAAAAGGCAGCAAACTTGCCAAGGAATCCGCGTTGTTACGAGTGGGTGACGAGAACGTGGGGAAGCTCCTTGCGCTATGTACTTTGCCTGGGTATATAAAAGCCTTTTCGACTTGTCATTTTTATCTTGCAATGTTCTTCACGCATGCTCAATTCGCATCCTCTGGCTAGACGGTTTTGTGTGACTCGGGTGGATCCCCACTTGTCGCTGTCTCCACCGCTATTGAACATCCGAAAAATCATGACTACCTCAGATTTGACAATGATGCATGGAGCAGGGTCGGTTCCCTTGTCAGCGAAAACCCGGATCCTGGCAAATGCGTCGAGGCATGCAGGCGTCGACTTGACCACACGGACCGTGGATCTCTTAAACAAGTAATTTCCAGCTACGGGCGGCATGCCTCGAGAGTAATGTACGTACACCGTGATGTCACTCCGTCCGATTCCATGAAAAATGCGGTGGCTCCTACGGTGTAGAGATACGAATGACTAGGGAAGAATCTAATTCATGATACTGGCAGGATTATCGCTGTGACAACCGGATATCATGGTGATAATCAATGCTGGAATCTCCGCTGTAAACCGCTCAGGGACCTCTGCAAAAACGAGCGCTACCCGTTCCCATGAGCTCGCGGAGGAAGTCTGGGACAAGGTACATGGCAATAAATGTTAAGAGCGTCTGGCTCGGCATGAAACACGCAGCAGGTCAAATGCTCAAGCAAGATGCTCACCCTTTAGGTGAAAGAGGGCGGGTCATCAATCACTGTAGCATTATGGGTTTGGTGGCATCGACCGGCATTGGTCCTTATCGTGCTTCGAAAGGAACCGTGTTACAGATGACGAAAGTCGCGGCGCTGGAATACGCCACAGATAAGATCCATCGGAACTGTATCAATCTAGAATATGTGGTGACCAGCCTGAACCACCTTCTTTTGGCCGGGAATACGTATTAATAATTCATTTTCAGAATCCATCTTTCGCTCTGAATACCGTGAAAGATGTTGTACTTGGCGGACATAGCTACTGACTGGTGAACATTGCCTTGAGTATTTGGTTTGCCCAGGACCGGTATCGGTTCAGGTTCCTGTCGATTGTGCACCTGGGCTTACCCTAGATAGGACACTTCCTCTGTTGGACTTGAACAATGAGGAACAGGAAAAAGAGCGGCCCGTTCGCCTGAGGGTGGCCAAGTAGCATACAGCTCCGAAATCTCTTCTCAGCAACACTTCTTCAAGACTGATGCTTCGAGATCAAGTCAAGGATCGGTCGCCTAGAAGGAATTGAGAGCATATTTATTATGGATTCGCAAGCCAGAAACACGGTGTGAAGATGTTCTAACTCAGCCCGCAGAAGAAGTAGAGCAAGATTCACTAAACGCACTCGATCATATCCATGAACACATCTTACCGACCGGCCTTGATCAACTCAAATGCTTCCTCCGCCAGCTCGAACTTGAACCGATTCGTGATCAGTCTCTTAATGTCAATCTTGCAACCGGTAGTCAGGTCGATAGCAGCTAGATAGCGTCCAGGCTTATATCTGATCGAGCCTTTGACCATCAAACCTTTGATGGACACGACCATGATAAGAAAAGCTGCAGTCTCCTTGCCCAACTTTGCTTGAACGAACGTGTCACATCACATTCGAGGGCAACATCAGCACCGTTCCTCAAACCAAGTTCCTTATTCTTCTCCGCCACTGCCCTTCTCGGTATTTACCAATGGGTCCGCACCTGCTTCAGGCCGCGGGACCATTGTAGGTCGCATCAACGCTGTACGATTTGAGCTGGTTCAAACATATTAATGATACCTGTAGAGAAAATTGTTAGCACAATTGCCATTCGAGGTCAGAAGAGGCCAATTGCCCTCATCGCTGCCACATACTCCGGTTTGAGAGGCGTGAACGAGCACGTCGTGACCGTCCATGAGCTTTAGCGTCGGTCGGTATTATGACAACCCATAAGAGCTGCCCTTGCACCTCATGGCAAGGCTTGTATTGAAAGAGGGCCTTACCGAGGGACAACTTCCCAGAGAAAACTCCTGCCCATTGTTCAGAAAATGGTCCAGAAATCCACCTTCAAGATCTAGAAGACTGTCAAAGTTTCCTGATTCGATAGTGAAAAGGCCTCGTACCTTCACCCATCGAAGGGGGATCCGGGAGCTTGTCGAAACTTTTGACGAATACTTGTTGACCCTTCCGGTTATACACGATAAATGTGTTCCTGACTCCAGCCGGCACAGACAGCTGCTGCATAGGCCGGCATGAACGAGGTTGAGTGGCTGAGGTGTAAAGATGGGATGGAATCCCCCAGAATCCCCAGGAGTTCCTCAACCGTTCATCTTCACAAGGTCTCCACGAAAAAGCTCGCATCTCTCGCATGGTTTCAAAGAAATCCTCCCACAATCTCTTTGGCAAAGCCGCAGCCTCCGGTGGGCAATCCTGTTGACGTGTGAACTCGCTTTCGTCTTGTTTTGTAAGTTGTGTGTCGACGGAGCTGCTTCATTTCGACGTATGAGCTTCGAGGAAACATTCGCTGAGAGGATCGCAACAGGTTATGACCAGGACGCAATGAGTGGCCTGGTCACCATGAAGACTTCTTGAACATTCTCGGATATCCCCCGGCCATCATCGAGGGTATCATGTTTCGGTATCTACGGCTTGGGATGCTTCTCTGGGCGAAGTACGATTTACGGTAATTTTGCCGAGTACATACCGTGCTAAGGTCGGGCTTTGCCAGCGACGGATCCTGACGCGGGGAAAGAATTTCAAAGTGTTTTGGCCGCGACAGGTCCGTCTCGGCCTGTGTACTAGGATCTTGCCCCTCGACATGGAAGAAACGGAAAATACATACGCGATTCATGAAGCGGCGAGGGAGGGAAAGAGTAAGGAATCTTTGCTCAGACACTTTCATATCTTATACTAAAACAAGTTCCAGCCAAAGTAATCGAATCCCTCCTGAACGTGAGCGCTCCTCGACTTGCCATATACTTCCACTCTCTCTAACATGTCCAGGCCAATCCCAAACTCGCCACAAGAACGGATCAAGACGACCGCCTCGCCATCCACTGGGCCTGCGCCTTCAACCACCTGGACATCGTCAAACTACTCACGTCGACCCGCTCCTTCGATCCAGACGCACAGGACAGTTCAGGCTGGACCCCTCTCATGATCGCCTCCAGCCTGAAGGATAACGGTGGTGAAGCAGTAATTGAACTATTACTATCGAAGGAGGCAGACGCGAAAATTTCCACCAACACCGGTGCCACGGCGCTGCATTTTGCCGTGTCAAAAGGGAACCTCGAAGTGTGCAAGACGTTGTTGAAACACGGGGCCTCAGCCCGGGCGAAGGATAAACGAGGACAACTGCCTATTCATCGCGCTGCGGCTGTCGGGAGTGTGCCAATAGTTAAATTATTGATCGAGAATAAAAGTCCTGTCAACGCTACGGATATGGATGGGATGACGGCCTTGCACCACGCAATCAGCGAAGGGAATGGAGATGTGGCTGTTGAATTATTGAAAGCTGGTGCGGAGACGGACAAAAAGGACAACGACGGAAGACTTGCGATGGAAGGTGCGCCGGACAGTAAAGTTCGATCGTACATTATGAAAGCAGCTGAAAGAGAAGGCATTGATTTTGAGTGAGTTTGAGGGAACATTATTATTGATTCCTGCCTACAAACGACGCAACCGAAAGACCTCCAACCTTTCCAAGATGTCGGGATTATTTCATGGTATCTGCCAATTGTCGATACATCTGCTTCACGTCCACGATATCCGCCTTGAGCTCTTCTACTTGCTCACTCTTCTCACCAAGAAGCTCAAGAGTGGTTTGGTGCCGCTGAGACAGACTTTCATGGTCTTTCTCGAGCGCATTAAGGCGAGCCTCGATCCTGCGCTTTTCCTCCACCTCACGCATCAAACTCACAACCTCTTGTCTTGCTTCGTCGCGTTGGCTGGTGATACGAAGAAGCTCATCTTTCGAAGCGGCTTTCTCACTCTCCAGCCTCCGGACATTGGCAGACATCCGTTCAACCAATTGAACCGAAGGACCAGCGCCAACAGTCGACGTGGATATGAGGTCGTTGACGCCACGATGAGAGTGATGGCTTGCAGACCCAGGGGGGGGCGGAACATTGGCAAAATACTCATCTGCATCCATTGACGTCACAACAGAAGGTGTTTCCGCGATGGAACCGTTTGCCAGGCCTCTGAATGAGGCGGTTGATTGTTGACGAGGAGGCGTATTCGAGTCGAAAGTGGGCATCATAGAAGATTTTCGGCTGCTCGCCCTTTCGTATTGAACGGGGCTCATCAAATGGTGGAGATCGAAACCTATATTAGAATTCTTGCGAATTGACGTTCCAGGGGACTCGGTTCGTTGAATGTGCAAGGTTGCCGTCCATTTGGCCTTTTCTTCGTCAATCTTGCGCTGCAATTCTCGCTCTGCCTTCGTTTTCTGATCCTCCAAGTCTTTCAACGCATTGGCGAGGTCCGTTTCAAGCTGAGTGGCTTTTCGATTGAGTCGGTGCATTTCTTCATTCGCATCGGCCAGAGATTTGTCCGTTTCTGCATATTTGCTCTGTATGCTGTCCAACTCTCTCTCCTTCGCTTTCAGTTTGACGCTGGTATCTCGCAACTTCTTCCGAAGATCTGTTTCTCTCGCCACAACTTCGTCACGCTCATTTTCAAGATTCGTAATTCTGCCGAGCAGAGTACTTTCAATTCCTTGCCAATTTTGGCTTGCGGTGGCATACTGACTCTGCAAAGTCTCAATCTGTCGAAGGAGTTTGGCTTGTAAATGACCATGATCGGCAGAAGAAGCCTCTTCAGCTCGAACGCGAAAGGATTCAAGCTTGCTTTCAAGGACAGCCTGCTCACCCAAAATTTCACTTTCCATGGCGCGTGATTGCTCTCTTTCTCTCTCCAAAGAGGCTTGCAGGTCCTTGATCTCTCTCCTCAACTTCTCCTCCAATATTTCCTTCTCGACTTTGGCGCTTGTCAAGTCATCCTGTAACTCAGCAGCTCTTTTCCGCTCCTTTTCTATTTGATCCGATTGCGCTTTGATCTCCGCTGCTTCGGCTCTTGAGTTAGCCCTCGATAATTGTGACTTCATATCCGCCAAGGTTGCGTTTAACGCATCTCGCTCCTTTCTCACCGCTTCAAAGTCACTGGCGCCTGTCACAGTAGACGCAAGATTCTGCTCTACCCGTTTAGTTGCTGCTTCGGCCTTCCTGGCCCGATCTTCCATAGCCTTCAAGGAGCGTTCAGCCTTCTCAGCCCGAAGTTTGGTTGCTTCTTGTTCTTTATTGATGGCTATTGCTTGAGCTCGCATCTTCTTGATGGTAGTCAGGTGAGTCATTTCGCTTTTCGATAATTTTTGGCCTTCCTCCATAAGAAGGGCGATTTTTTCATCCTTCTCAAAGATCTTCTTCTCCAGGCTCCCTGGAATTGCGGAAGCTGCGGCTTGTTTTGCTGATTCTACAGCTTCCTCGCTTAGATATTGGAGTTTTGCTTGGAGCGCATCAATGCGTTCGATATACGTATTGATTTCTTCTTGCATCTTGATGGTTGATTCTGCACCGGATCTTGAAGCCGTGTCTTCGCTACTTCTTGATACACCGTCAGACGGCCGACTCGAAAATATCTGGCTATCCACCAAGGCATCCGTAGAGGCTCGTGCAGATTCGACATGTCGTGGCGCAGTGGAAGCTAATGTTGATCTTTGCATTTCTTCATCGGCAGTACCACCCATCATCCCTCGCACAGGTCCGTCATTCCCGGCGGGCTTGCGATTATCCACGAGTGTCTCGTCATCCACCTCATTTGATTTTCGAGGCAAAGGAACGTCAGAATCCTCGTCCACATTGTCAATATCAATGGTCGAGCCAGACACATCATCTTTGGAGGCGGGTGTGGGCTGGTCTGGAACTGGGCTTTCTGTACGACTGACAGTCTTCTTCGCCATCGCCCGCGCGAGACGTTCCTGAAGTCGATCATTGGAGGCAGAAGCATTGCTATTACTTCGCGAGAGATCGGCCGAGACTACAAACAAGTTAATCATGAACAGACTGAATGGGTGGCCGGAACGAACTTCGCTTGGAAGGAGCAGAGTCTCTGGAAGATTGCACAGGTGTACTACTTCTTTTAGAAGGCTCATAATCATCGGCAAGTATATTGTCTAATCTTGACTCGACAGAAGCAACAGCCTGCTGTAGAAAATTCCATCTCGAATTATGTTTGGAAGTCATTTTATGAAAGTGGGCATTAGAACTCTTTCAAGGTCAAGCCTGAAAGCCTTCCGAGACCGCGAGGGGCGTCTATCACGGAGACTCGATAACTGATTGAGGCAATGAAGGTGTCCAAACGAAAGGCATTACGGCCAAAGAAAGCAAATCTATGAAATGGTGATCTGTTCAATGTTGACGCGTTCTTCTGCTGGACAAGTTCGTCCGAGCTGCGGGTCCGTGTGCGGCATGTGGCCCTCCGTGGCAGCTTCCTCGCTTCCTCCTTCCAGCTCGATAACATTAAAACAATGACATCGTCTTCCTACGTTACATTCCAAATTTTTGCATGTTTGAAATCTATGGAGTCAACTGAGTGACTTCTCAACTCTCTTCAGCTTCTGTACTCGTCCATTCGAGTTCTACTGCGGTCGTGGTCAAGATGTCACTAAGTCCGCCTGCCTACCTCAGTTCACTGCAGAATAACATTAGAGCACGTCCAGTAGGTGCAACTGTATTGTTACTGCCAGAAATCGCTGACGATTCTACCGATTCCTTGGGACGGTGCTGTGCGGGCAGGAAATCTTACTGATGACCAGCTCAAGAAGATTAGATCTGTGGACAAGGTCAGAAAAGAGCAGAGGAAGCAGACAATCGAAAAGGATGTCCAGAGCTACAGTACGCTGCTAGTGGGTGGTTCCGACGGTGGCAGCGTGCTAGAGAAAGCTTCGAAACGAAACGATATCATTCAGTATATCTTGGTTTTGGCGACGGACCTGATCAGTGGTGGGGATAACTGAAGCTCGTTGGAAAGAAATGCCCGCTTTTGACTGACTTTTAACCAGATGCGCCAGCTCTTGCGACCGCGATTCTCGAACATGCCGAGCCGTACAAGATCTTTCTGTCCTTCTTGAACCAACCCAGCCACCCAGAGGAGCCCATCCTGCTCTTCTCCGCTACATTCTTGGTCGACCTCATTGCTATCTCTCTAACGACGTCACCAAAACCCGCGCCGCGAGATGACGAAGCACTCCCGCAGTTATATTCATACCTAGCCAAGTTGGTTAAGAACCAAGACAGCGGTTTGCAGGACATTGGAGTACAGCACATGTCGCGGTTACTTCGAACGAAGCGGTCGAAAGAGCTATTCTGGAAACAGAAAATGGACACGGTCGATCCACTATTTGATATTTTGAGAAAAGCGGTGGGAACTGCCAAAGACAACGATTCTTCTCTGTGGAGTGGAGCTACAAGTATCAGAAGCAATGACACCAGATTTGGAGGAGGCGTTGCTCTACAATTGATGTACCATGTCCTACTTGTGATATGGCAACTCAGTTTTGAGGGCGAGATGGTTGGCGACGGTCTCGAAAAGTGATTGCTTCCCCGTGAATTGTCAAAGTCCGGGCTAATGTTTACCCAGGGACGAGGAAATCGTGCCGCTGTACGTGCAGCTACTTCGAATGTCGCCCAAGGAAAAGACCACCCGTTTGCTCTTAGCAACATTAAACAACTTACTCTCGTCGAACAAAGAGACCTTGATTGCAGCTGCTACCACGGCAAGGCTTCCGGCCCTTCTAGGTAATCTTAACGGGCGGCATCTGACCGACCCTGATTTGCTGGAAGATTTGGATGCTCTCAAAACGATGCTTGAAGAGTATACCAAGAATCAGACCACTTTCGATGAGTATGCTGATGAAGTCAATTCTGGACATCTACGTTGGTCTCCCCCCCATCGCAACCCCACATTCTGGAGAGAGAATGCATGCAAGATTCTTGAAGACAAGAAGGGCGAACTTCCCAAAAAATTGGCCGAGATCATGGCCAAAGGGTGGGAGTCGGATAAAAAGGTCCTGGCGATCGGATGTAATGATGTGGGCAATCTGGTCAAAGAGGTACCGGAGCAACGATCAGCACTCGAAAAGCTCGGCCTCAAAGCACGGCTCCTGGAATTGATGGGAGATTCAGACGAGAGCGTGAGATGGGAAAGTCTTAAAGCTGTTGGGGAATGGATGCGATACACATTTGAGAAGTGATTGGTCAAGATGTAGTATGAGAATGGAAGAGCAAAGGACGTTGAACGGTATTTCTCGTTCAGGAGGCACGAGTTCTGGAGTCGAGTAGATTACTTTCAGTCTTCTTATCAGTCGATCATGCTAGAGGGTAGTGATAAGATTGAAATAGTCACAGGTTCCTTTGGCCTCAATGAGTACTACGGGGTCTGGACATTGTTCATGTAACCCTACCTCATCCCGCTTCTCTGGCTAAAGTAGGACCTCACCATTCCCAGATGGTGGTTGGTATATGGAGAAACGAGATCAGATTTGTGGCTCACAGGAGGATGTGGAGAGGCATGCAGCTCTGGTTTCTCTTTAATCAAGGAGGTTCGAGGAGGCTTTGCTGAGGAAGGGAAAGAAAGTCTCAGTGCTGGTTGGTACCTTCATGGGCCTGTTGATGAATTGCAGGGGATCGCCTTGAAAAAGGCAACTTCCCCTGCCAAGGGCAGAGGCCCCTCAGATCCTAGCATGTAAGCTCTCCCACTGGTTGTTGGTCACGACTAGACCCGTTCATGTGTGTTCTCCATATGCCTGTCGATTACTTGAATAGGATCGACAAAGTCGCCCAAACATCTTTCATGCTGGACCGACAAACCCTGATCTAAACCCGAACAGGCCTCTGGAGCATGGACGGGATCAAAGCCATTCCGAGACAAGATCAACGCCAAAAATTGGAATCAGGGATCGTCTTGTGCGTTGAAAAGCGGGGAATCCACGAAGGAAAAAGATCGACCAAGACCGAATTGCTCGTGATCAGACGCAATCGTTGGCAAGGCGAATTGGCATCGTGCCCAAGAAAGACTAAAAACACGAAATTGAACTCGGACCACTTGCATTCAAGTTCCCCGGGTGCCAATTCATACTTTCAGGTTAGACTATTCTGAGACAAGCTCGGGCAAAATCAAAATTCCCCTGGCCCAAAAAAAAAAAAAAAAGATGTGGAATGTTGCTCCAAGATGTGGTGCGTACAAGTGTCCCTTGCAGTAATGCATGCAAATCGCTGAGCTGAGCAGCGCAAAGGAATTCCTATAATTTCGCTAGAATTACGTTCTCATCAGCGAGAAATTCCCATGTAGATTCCCTGTCTCCTTTTCAGCCTCTCCCAGTGCACAGAGTCAGTAGCCGCCCGATGGGTTGGTAGGGTTTAATCTGCTGCTGACCCAATGAGCTTGATACAAGCCCTGATCAACCTAACCTCATCTGATCTTTGCGACAACTTAGCGACCTTTCTCCTCCTCTCCGTCCAACTCCCAAATTCACTATCATTGCAACCAGCAACACTCTTCCCCTCCACAGTCCTAGACTATTCGCATGTGGCTGATCTGCGTCCCAAAGACCAGTCGAAGCATGTCGCCGTTCTAGACCGCGGGCGTCTAGGCGTCAAATCCGCTCGATCTGTCCGCTCCGAATTGCCGTTCGCAGCCCACGATCATCTCCCCCCCAATGACCATGAGCGACAAGACATCACCTTCGGGGAGCTTCGCTTCTGCTCCTCCTCCACCTCCGAAGGAGTATCCTCCTCTTCAACGCCTTCCTTCCCTTTCAAACACTTTGAAGCCTTTCTCGTCTGTCTCTCCTGTCCGACGAAAGCCTCTCCCTTCGAACGCCGCTCCTGTCCTCAACTCTCCCGAAAGACAGGCACGTCAACAGTCTATTACAGATTCCTCACCGAATCAGAGTCAATCGAAGGGAGTTCCACAGTCTCAGGACGTTGTGGACCAGACGTAAGTTGAACGTCCTGTTGCGCTCTCAAGTTTTCAACTGATCGCGACAGGGTACCGGACACCTCCTCACCAACCCATATCCGGAGAAATACAGGCGAGAACAATTTGACGACGACGAACGGGTCGTTACCCCGAATATCCGCCGACAACTATACAGGTTCTCCAAAAAGCAGCCACAAGACGAAGCGGTCAAATGGTGTCTCGGTAGAAAGCGTGATTTTCGAGGAGGACATGGGTCTCAAGCCTGGGTCGAGGCCACCGCCTCTACGGACCGACTCGAGTTCATCGACGAAGTCATTGACGGTCGTGGATGTGAAGAAACCTCAGACCCCAGGGAGCAAGTTCACCTCATTCTTCACGCGCAAACCCACCGCCTCTCCGGGGACCGAATCTTCCGTCACCGATATTTCTGACCGAAAATCTCCTTTGCCTTCACCATATGCTGGTTCGCCGCATGGCTCCACGCACTCATCCTCGGGATTCCCTTTCGGCACGTCTGCTCCTCGCGCACCACAATCTCAACCATCCCAAGACTCGATTGATTTCGATGGCGGCTCCTACATCCAGACATTATCCAATAGTGATGAAAGGGGCAAATATCTTCAACTCGAAGCTGAACTCCGTGAAATCAGCACCGAGCTAGCGAATTCTATCAAACGCGAGATGGACCTAGAGGACCTAGTCGAACGACTGCAGACGGAAGGATCCAATGCCAACAAAGAGATCGATCGTACCAGCGACTATTTCTCCGATTCAGGGACGAGTTCCATCCGTCCTTCCACCAGTGAAGGGAACCCTAAAGAGGAAATCCAAAGGATTAAGCGAGAGTCTGAACAGCTCCGAGCACAGCTGAAGGCGGAGATGTCTCAGAAATGGCAAAACGAAAGATCCAGTCGACAAGCCTTGGAGTCCCACATTCAAATTCTAGAACAAAAGCTCTCCCAATCTCGCCGAGATCACAATCAATCTGCCGATATTTCTGCCAGGGCTAGGGAGCTTGAGGTGGCTTTAGAAGATGCCAAAAGGAGATTGACCGAAGAGAGACAGATAAAAGAGAATTTCGAGGATCTGCTGACGGCCCTTCGGGTCGACCTAGAGCAGCATCGGAACGAACGTGACAATCTACGGGATGAAGTCGTGCCACAACTTCGGTCACAAATCGAGGGTCTCGAATCAAGTCTATCCGAATCTCAGAAGTCACCGTATGACTTCACACGAATGCAACAGGAAATTCAAAGCCTAAGGGATGAAAATGCTGCCCTTCAAAGTGCCAGGGCAATGAACATGCAATTCCATGCCATTGCTGAAGAAGGCGAGATGGTCGAGTCACCTAGGAGTTCTCTCATTCAACCTCGAAGTGGTGGCTTGCAGAGATCCAACACCATCCACATGAACCGGTCGAATTCTAGAGCAACACCAAATCGATCCAATTCCTTATCGAGATCCAACTCAATGGCCAACCGTGCAAGTCCCGAAAATCAACAATCGCTCGCCGATCAATTGAAAGACGTGATAGAACAACGAAACGCATTGCACATAACAGTGAAATATTTGCTGAGAAGACAAGAGGCTCAACGTCGACAATTTGAGAAGCGGCTGAAAATCGCCGAGGCTGAACGTGATCGAGCAAATTCTATACATGGCCCGAAGAATCGAGGATATGAACGCGAAGTCCGAACGCTACGCTCGGAAATCAACTTGTTACGAAAAAGGGCAGATGACGCCCTCGAACAAAAATGGCAATGCGAGAAAGGCCTGTCTGGGTTGAAGATGGATCTTGACCGTAGCAAGCAAGAAACAGCGAGCTTGCAGCTGCTCTTGCAAGCTCGTGACGAGACCGCCCCAGAAGTTTTGTCGTCGACACTTGAGCAAGCATTGCGCCAACTCCAGCAACAACGAGATCAGGCTCGGCATCAGGAATCGCTGGGATCGTTGGAGCATGAACAAGAGCTGGCCACCGAGTTGGAGATGTCTGCGCAGCGATCTGAAGCATTGGCTGCACAAGTCAGAAAGCAAATACAAACGAATTCGGACTTGAGAAATCGACTCAGGTCTGCCGTCGAAATAGGCGAGAGCAATCAACAAGCTTCAGCAGAACAAATTAATGAACTGCAGACAAAGCTTCGCAAGCTGGAAGACGTTATCACTGTCGCGCAGATGCAATCAGAAACCGCGGTCATGAAACATGAGGAGGAAGTTCGGGTTCTCAGAGCCAGTCACAATATTCAACTGATGCGGACCAGATCTGGCCGAAAGACTCCGGCTCTTTTGACGCCTACGCCTCGATCTCCATTGTCGCCCATGTTTGTGAACTCCAAGAAGAGCCCGAAACTTGATCAGACCACCTCTGGCCCAGGCATGGCTCTCCAACAAGCGCTCAAGACCGAGTACTTGGAGAACAAGGTCGCAGATTTAGAGAAGGCTCTAGCAGAAGCTGAGAAAGAGATGGGAGAAGTTGTTGGGCGCATGAATACTGCTCAAATGGGTGTGGCTGAACTTGAGTCCGAGAGGTAAGACAATCCATCCGCCGAGAATTCCTGCCAGTCTAATACATTCATAGAGATGAAGCACTTCGCCAAACCCGAAGGCTTGAGGCCGCCATTATTGCTGAACGCGAGAAGGTACAGGCGCTTCTCGATTACGACTATCCTTCCGACTACTAGTTGAAAGGACAGCTTCTGTTCACCCGCGCTCCTGTCTTTTTTTTTTTTTTTTTTTTTTTTTCCCCATCTTCAGTGTCATATTATTGCATCACGCGTATATTTAGCGAGGCGGATTGAGTTTCACGATTAATCGCTATATTTTTTGGGACGAATAGGGATTTCGTTGACCTCTCCGTCGTGTTCAACTTTGTCATGGCATTTTTGAAGTCACTGATGGAAAGACTCAGAGGCACTTGTGTCAACACCAGGGAGAGTACATGGATAAGCTCGCAAGGATTGTATAGCACTTTTACTAATTACATTTGAAAAGGCGGGATGAGGATGGAAGGAGGGGGATTGCATTAAGTTTGGGAATGGGATCCTACCATCCATAGAGGCGGTGGGAATGCGATCAAAGGGGGGGGAAACCGTGGCATGAACATAAGGTGCAGGACAAGACTCGGGCCTTCGAAGCTGAATGGTCTCTATGGGGTGGATGTAAATATACGGCAGACAATTTGCATGTCGATAATACCTGTACTTATCACCTATTATGACCTCGGTGCTGAGACGAGGCTGGGTTCCTCCTTTTCACATACCTGATGCATGTGACGGGACCTTATCTGGCGGATCACCAAGCTGCACTTCCCCGCGGTTTCAATTCCAACTGGTGATCGCGATACCTTTACTTCCACACCACGACTCTCTACGATATAGGTCTCTCTGTACCTCGGCGGCGTGATGTAATATGCAAGATCAAGAAAATTCCAATCGTACCTGAGACGCGATATATCAACAAACAAGGCGACGAACACATCCCCATCTGCCAACCTCCCCTCTCCCCGGCTCTACAACATCCTGTTGCTTTGGCTGGAACTAAAGTGCGGTGACACAAGGAAAGAGAAGGATATCAAGTGCACACTGCCTGGACACTTAAGGGAAAATATCCCTAGGGACCATTCATTTCTTCAGAATCCACGCATCTTTAATTCATCTTTTCATCAACCCATCCCCAACCCGCTTCACCACACAAACCAAATCCTCAACTCCCATTCCGCGAAATCAGTCCGCCCAGGCAAACTCTCCACGAAAATGCCAGCAAGAACCACTCCTCCCACATTGCCACCGCTCATCTGGCACCTCGCCGACCTGTATAACACATATATCTTCCCTCGCCTACCAGAAGCACTACAGTCGCTCTCCGAAACGCTTGCGCCGTTCCTCACTTCCGTCATCTCTGCCTCTTCGAACGGCGACATTGTCTCCCTGGCCGCATTCCTTCTCACGGTGTACCTCACACTGCGTATTGCTGACTACGTACGTCGCAGCGTGGTGGCGTGGGTAATATTCATGGCGAAGATCGCGCTGGTGATGGCGGTGATCGAGGCGGTGTTTTACGTCAATAGATACGGGTTGACTAAGGCGCTTGACGATGCGGAGTGGGTGGTAAGCACTCTTTGGGGGTTGGTGGAAGATCGAATCGTGAATGGTGGAGGGGGTGGGACGGATAATAGGACGGGGTGGTATGGGAATAGTGGTGGCAGAGGAGGAGAGAATTCTTGGAATGTTTACGGCGGCGGGAGACAGCCGGTGCCTGTGGGACGAGGAGGGAGTGGGAGGAAGAGAGCTGGAGGGTGGACTTGAAATTGCACAGCAAACATTCGGATTCATTCATGATGACAATGAGACGACGGCCGAGCCACCAACGAGATGGATCGGATGAATAAAATGGAAAAGCAAGCTGGAAATCCTCTTCGAGAATGCAGTGCTTTCGGGGTATCTAAATCATTTGGGCCCTCGGACAAAGCGACAACCGCCAACGCCGACGCTGAAAGGGAAAGTCTTGGAACGAGGAATGAAATTGGACCATTTGGCTTTCTTCCTCAGCCATCTTCCCAGGCCGGTTCCTCCATTTCGGCTTCTCTTGGATCTTTCGGCTCTTGTGCTTCGTGGAATTGAATGGCATCATCGATGTAACTCAGGATATCACCGACACTGTCCTCGTCATTTACGTCCAACTGCAGGAACGACACCATACTAAAATCATCGATTAATCTAGCCACGGCACGATTGAGTTGCTTGAATGATTCTCCCGTCATAACCTGATCGATTTCTTGTGGATTGCGAATATCAACTTCATGTTGCCGAATCACGCCTCGGCCGGTATCGTCGGCGTCGAGTAAATTGGCGTCTGGATCGACGAAACGCTTGAGTTCTTTCTTGGGGACCTGATCTTTGACCAAGTCCATTTTGGAAAGGATGTTGATGTGGGGCAATTCCATCATGATCATGGCGCTCATGGCCGAGAGGGTGCCGGCGAAGAATTTGGCCTTGTCAACGATGAAGGTGGCTTCGAGCAAGTATGCCGCGCACAGATTGATGTTCAATTGGCCCATTCTCGACAGATATTTGACTAGCTCGGGGAGTAAGGGAATATGTGTGTACAGTTCTATTTGGCCTGGGAGATCGAATAGAATGAGATATTCTTCAGAGAGAGGGTCGATGGCCGAGGCGAGGAAGTCGAGGTTTTGGAGTAGGAATTCAAAGCAGAAGATTAACCCTCCGTTGGGTCCTAATGACATTTCTTCCATCACGTCTTCGAGAGAAATGAGGTCGCGGATGTCGAGGTCCGGTTCGTACGCAAAGTCGTTGGCAGCCGGGTCGAGATTGACGTAGAAGCAGGATCGACGGCTGTGTTGAAGGTGTTGAATCATGGCCGTGCAGAAAGTTGTCTTGCCAGCTCCCGCGGGGCCCATGACCAGACATCCAAACTTGGACATTGTTGCGGTGTCGATGCAAGTAGTCCTAGTGTGCCTTTTTCGATCAAGACTGAATCAGTACCGGCATGTCACGGCATTCATTTGTCTGTATGCTGCCACCTCCTCGTGAAAGAATGTCTGCCAGATCTCTTGTGCAGGAGGCTTCCTGATTGCTAAGGCTCGTCTTATTGTGTGGAAAACGTTGCGATGTAGATTGTCTGTTCGCTTTTGTCAAGATCGACGCCGTTGTACCTCTGACGGGCATGTCAAAAATTTCCACGCGACATCAAGGATTGCTTTGCAACATACGTAGGTACCCAGAAAAAGCGCCAACGCGGATACTTTCCGAGTGACCGATTTGTTATTGGAGGGAACCTGGAAAAAAGTCACGTTGTCCCGCTCACCGCATTGACTTTCTACAAGATGCCGGCATGGGGCCACCTGAGCCCACCATTTGTTGGTTCTGTTTTCATTCTCCATCTAGTTGCCGATGGGGTGCCGATAACGACATCGACGGGGGCTCAACAGCTTCCTCTGCCTTTCTCCTCACCATCCCCCGAAATTTTTTCATCCATCTCTTCTCTTGAATCTTTCCCTCCACTCCCCCTTGAGGCCCTTGCTTCACATCTTAAACGATCCCTCTTCACCAGATCAGAGCTCCGATAGAGTGACCAAGCTCGGCGTGGTGGGCTTTTTTCCATTTTCATTCTTCCTCTTGTCCCTTCCTATTGTACATACCCCTTCCTCCGCATTCCTGTGGTAGAGTCGAGCCAGTCCTCTCTGTCGTCTCCCACTATCTCCAGGATCTTCTCTACACTCACCACGTCGACCAAGATGTCAGTCGCCATGAACGGAGTCACCAAACCTGATACCTTTCTCTTCACCTCGGAATCTGTCGGTGAAGGCCATCCCGACAAGATTGCGTGAGTCTGGGTCTCTTCGAACAAAGCAGCATCTTCACACTGACAATCCCCAGTGATCAAGTGTCCGACGCCATCCTCGATGCCTGTCTCAAAGAAGATCCCCTATCCAAAGTCGCCTGTGAGACTGCCACCAAAACTGGTATGCGCTCATTCTCCGAAACCAGAACTCCTCATCTGACTCCAGTCTAGGCATGATCATGGTTTTCGGCGAGATCACCACCAAAGCCCATCTTGACTACCAGAAGATCGTGCGAAACACGATCAAAGACATTGGATATGACCACTCTGACAAGGGTTTCGATTACAAGACTTGCAACGTTCTCGTTGCCATTGAACAACAATCTCCAGATATCGCTCAGGGTCTACACTATGACGAGGCATTGGAAAAGCTCGGTGCTGGTGACCAGGGTATCATGTTTGGCTATGCCACCGATGAAACTCCTGAACTGTTGCCTCTGACCATTCTGCTTGCTCACAAACTGAATGCTGCCATGAAGGAGGCTCGTCAATCCGGTGAACTGCCCTGGTTACGACCCGACACCAAGACTCAAGTCACTGTCGAATATGCACACGATGGAGGTGCTGTCAAGCCTTTGAGAGTCGACACCGTCGTCGTTTCAGCTCAACACTCAGAAGATATCACCACCGAACAACTGCGAAAGGAGATCAAGGAGAAAATCATCAAGAAGGTCATTCCAGCCAAGTATTTGAATGACAGAACCATCTATCACATTCAACCCTCTGGTCTCTTCATCATTGGTGGCCCTCAAGGCGATGCTGGTCTTACTGGTCGTAAGATCATTGTCGACACCTACGGTGGCTGGGGTGCTCATGGTGGCGGTGCTTTCTCCGGCAAGGATTACAGCAAAGTCGACCGTTCCGCCGCATACCTCGCTCGATGGATCGCCAAATCTCTCGTCCATGCTGGTCTCGCTCGTCGATGCCTTGTTCAATTGTCCTACGCTATTGGCGTTGCAGAACCATTGTCTCTGTTTGTCGAAACCTATGGAACCAGCGAGAAGACCAGCGCCGAACTCGTTGACATTATCAATAAGAACTTTGACCTTCGACCTGGTGTCATTGTCAAGGAACTCAACCTCACTAACCCTATCTACTACCGTACTGCCAAGAACGGACATTTCACCGACCAGAGCTTCCCTTGGGAACAACCCAAGGCTCTCACTTTCTAGACTTCTTGTTTCCTCCCCCTCCCCTTCCCCTTTTCCTTTTCTCACGATAATACGAAACAATCACGACTGGAGTTTTTGTTTTGGGCCAGCCATTCGATGATGAGAGCTGAAATTAGAGAAAGCACCCATATTTGGGAAGAGAAGCAAGATTTGATTCCCTGGTTTCAACAGACTCAGGTCCCAATTCTGTATCTTTTCTTTGGATTTTGCCTTCTTTATTTTCCCACCTGGACGGATGAGCAGGTGTGGAATGTGGATGTGGAGTCTTTTTAAACTCTTTTTCAACAAAATGCGTCGACCGTGTCTTCATTTATGCATATGATCATGGAAAAGAAAGAAGAGTTTCACCAAAATTTTATTGGGGCGCGGGTCAAGTCGTGACGATATTCAACATGTTATGATACCCCCCTGCGTGCAAGAATTGTTTATTTGCGTCTGGTTTTCTAAACGAATGAAAGGGCATTGGGATTGGCGTTCAACTCGCTATGCTAGGTGAGATGTGATGAGAACAGACTCGGAGAGAGCGAGAGGAGAGCAAGCGTGCTTGAGGATGAAAGTGAGTCCGACTAGACGCCCTAGGCTGATTCTCAAGGAGCAAACAAGAATGGAAGATGGCTTTGAGAGAGGTCAGTTCAAACACCGAGTCGACAGCAGAAATAGCCCTCCGAGAAGAATCAAGGTCAAGTTGAAGTGTCATCTGCGATTTTCTCCCTCCCCCATCGCATTCAATTCAATTCGTTGCGAGACATGATATCTACGAGCTCCTTTTACCCTTGTTCTTCATCCCGTCAATGGATTGTGTTTCTTCCCTTACCTAACCAAACCCCCAACCCCAAAGACGGAAAGGAGACCACACCGATACGGCAGAAACTAGAACAATTATATGCTGAATGAAATTGATGAGTCGACGTACTCTACGTTTCCGTGATATCTCCTTTTCCCATACTTGAATGACTTACATACATTCCTGCGCTTCCCTTCTTGCTGTTGCTGCTGCTGTTGCTCCTGTCTCGGCTCCCTCTTTTCTATCTATCTCGCTTTATGGTAGAAAGCAGTAATCAGAGAATGATTGATTGCTATGATGTCCAATTTCATTAATGGGCCGAAAAGGAGAGATCTCACAAAACAATGGAATGGCTCCTCATCCTCATCTTTAGCCAGAAGCCCATTCCCAAAGATTTCGCTCGATCAGTCAATCAGTCGCAATCGCTGGTTCATACATACTGACAAAAAAAAGCTGACCAGAAACAAAAGAAACGCTTGACGTAGAACCATGAACCCCCAATTCCAAAGGACAGGCTTAAAAACAATTCAACGAACTGCCCTTTCGTTTCTTGATCTTCCCATCTTTCCCAACAGTCAATAACCTCATCCTTTCCTCCAATTGTGCGCGTGCAGCCTCCGCTTCTCGTCTCTTCTTCACTTCCTCCTCCACAGCCTGTACACTCAACCTCTCGGATCTTCTCTCCTTCTTCAACCCAGCCAATTCTTCTTCCATGGCCCAGGCCTTCTTCTTCCAGCTCTCGGCATCGACGCGTAGCTTGTTCGATTGAGTTTCGAGATCTACGAGCGCCTCTTCCAGAGTTGCTGTCAACTGCTTCTCGGCGTGCAGGTGTTTCTCGATCGTACGGAGACGGTTTTCTTGTTCCTCGATCAAAGCAGATTGACGTCGAACGTTTTGAGAATTGGAAGAAACAACTGTGCCGGAAACAGGGGTGATTGGGAGAGCGACTTCCTTTGAAGTATGGCGAGACTGAGGGGGAGAAGGGTTAGTTGCATTTGTCGATGCAACTTGTAGTCCTGGAAGAGTCGGCAGAGGTGGGAGGGGAATTGCTGGAGGTGGCGAGGGTAGCGAAGCGATAGATGCTGACTTTCGTAAATTCGAGGTCATTGAGTTGGATCGTGGTGGTCCTCCTTCAACCGGTGGAGATTGAGGACGATGTTGAGATTTCATGGTGTTGCTGCGAGAACCATTCTCCGATCCAACTTCATTAATAGATCTTTGTTGATCCAAATCTCTTTCCAGAGTAGCGATTCGCTGCTGTGCTTCAATCAAGGCTTGATTGCCTTGAGCTTGAATGACAGAGACTCGGTTGTGATGTTGATCGAAGCTATTCTGTAATTGTTGCTCCAATTCTTCAATAATCACCAACTTCTTTGCTTTCTCGGACTCGACCGCTTCAACCGCTGCCTCAGCCTTCTTGAGCAAATTGTCTTTCTCACGAATTGTTTCTTCATGATTTCCAACTTCATTGGCAAGGCTTCTAATGGTTTCTTGGTAATTACCGATCTTGGCATTGGCACTGGCAAGCTCTTCTTCCAGTTCCAACAAACTTTGTCGGCCATCGAGTTGACGTTCAAGTTCAGCATTGACACCATTCAGTCGATGGTTGGCCTCCGCGATATGGCGCTTCTCATCCACTAGATCTTGAATATGGCTTGCAAGCATATCTGCCGTTGTTGGATGACCGAGTGCTGTCTCAGCACTCGAAACAAGTTTCTGCACGGTCGACAGTGCATGTTCAAGATCTGTCTTGTATGTAGCCACGAGTTTCTCATGTTTTGTAGTCATTTCAGCAATTTGGTCATCGTACCCGGCCAAATTGCCGCCGTGGGCAAGCTTCATCTCTTCAATCTCACTTGCATGAGCATCATGAAGTGCCTTCATACTTTCTTTGTGAGATTCCGCAGCTATTTCTGCTTCTTCGACCTTCCTCTCCAGCTGCACGAGCTCGGCTCTCAAAGAAGCAATCTCTTGCTGTTGAGATTTGATCACGTCCGAATGAGCATCGAAATCTTTGCTGAGTGAGGCATGGAGTTGACGAAGTTCGGAAGTCTTCGCGGCATGTTCATCATTCAAGCTTCGTTGTTCTTCCACCTCCTTCTTAAGATTGCTAATTAGCTCTTGATAATTATCACGCTCAGTTTGCATGGCATTGGCAGTAGCTGCGCGTTCGAGCGAAGCATCTCCTTCACCAGCTGCCTGTTGAGCCTTCAAAGTCTCCACACTCGCCAATGCTACCTCGAGCTCAGATTTCGTCCGAATATATCGCTTCTCAGACTCATCAATCGCTTTTTGAGCTGTTTGATGCTTGGATTTCAGTTCCGATAATTGCTCATTCAAGGCGTTGATCTTCTCCTCATGCTCGGATGTTGGGGGAATAGATTGTTGTGCGCCGGCCTTCTCCAGCTTCAGTGTCTGGATTTCATCTTGCAGCTCTTGTTCACGACGAGCATATCCTTCATGAAGTGATTTTAATTCAGTCTCTTTCTGAATAATCTGATCTCGAAGTTGAGACACCATGTTCAAGTCAACAGGAGACCCAGCTTTGATACTTGTTCTTTCTCTCGTCAAGCCAGAAATGATTGTCGACTTGATTTCCATTTCCTTCTTTGCATTCTTGACCTCGGCTTCAAGAGCATGGATACGTTCCAAACGAGTCTGAAGTTCATTGTTAGCTGCAATAAGATGAACTTCAGCCCCCTCCATCCGGTCTGGTCTCGATTCAAACTCTTCGGCCAGCAGGGTCCTGAGAGACGTTATAGAACGCTGACCTCGGTCAACACCTGATCCAGTCTGTGAAGTCATGCGTCGAAGCATGCCCGGAGTACCAGGGGAGGCAGGTCTGGCTCGTTGGACTTGAGACTTTAACCGCTCAACGGTATTCAAGGCCTCCTTGTGATCTGCTTGCAATTGTACGTATTGCTCCGTCACCTCATGCATATTTCGTTCATGTTCAGCAAGAAGGTTTTGCAATCGTTCAACTTCTTGGGAGGCAACCTCTGCAGACTGGGTCTTTTTAGAAACCGGCGTAATGTCGGTATCTGTCGAAGTAGAAGATTCCCCAGCCAAGGACAATTCCGAGGAGAGTGATCGCGATGAAGGTAAGTGTTGTCCATCCTCTGCTCCTTGCATTTCCGCCTCCTCTAAAAAACTAGGACTTTGAGGAGTCTCGGTGGTTCCGTTCTCTGGTGGAGATGTCGTGGCCTGGGGCTGTTCATCAATGGAATCCTGCATTTCAGCAAGAGTACGAAGAGCCTCTTGATATTTGGCTGACAGCAGATCCAACTCGTTGACAGTGGATTCATGCTCCAGTCGGAGATCGAACAATTCTTGGCTGACCGCTTCGAACTTCTCTGTGATGAATTTTGACTGAGCAGGGCTAGGAAGATTCTCGTCTTCTCCTCCTCCTTGGGGGGCTTGGAGCGACTTCTGCTGAGACACAGCAGTTTCTAATTTTTCAAGACCAGCCTCGTCACTTTCTTCCGTTGGCTGCTGGGCAGATTCCTCAACGTGCTCATCGAGTTCGTCTTCTTGTTGGGGAGGCAATTCAGTTTGTTCCGCAGTCTTTCGGTCCTTCTCATGTTCTTCCTCGACAACTTTGGTGGCTTCCGAGGATGGTTCGGTGGGAACCTTTGACTTTCCATCCTTATCTTGGATATGGTCAAGTTCATAGAGTAGATTGTCGAGTTTGCCGAGACTTCTTTGACGCTCAACAAGGTGTTCGAGTCTTTCGATTTCACGTTGCATGATCTCCATATCTTGGTCTGCTTCGGCCAGACGTTCTTCGAGAGTGCAAATGTAATCTTCCGCATTTGTTTCACTTTCTCTGATCCGCGCAATTTCCTTGCGCAGATCTGAGATAATGGCGTCATTCTTTTCACCTCCAGAATTCTGGTCATCGAGTCTCGCCTCGAGGTCATGTAGATATTGTTCCGTATTCGATTCTCGATCCATCAATTTCTGGACGCGAGCATTCAACTGCTGATTCATTGTCTCGATGTAGGCGCATTTGGTCTCCCGTTCGAGAAGATTGCTTTCCGTGGTGGCGAGCGATGATCGAGTATTCGAAAGATTCGTCTCCAGGCTTTGAATTGTTTTCTCGTACTCCATGACCACTTGCTCAATCATTTCCTGGTTGGCTTGAGATCGTTTCAGTCGATCCACGGCACTTTCTCCAGCAGCCGAATTCAGTTGATCACCTGTGTCGGCACTCTTGGTCAGTTCTGACACGAGTTTCGCATGTCTCTGGCTGAGGGCATTGTAGCTCTCTTGAATGTCCAATAATTGATGATGCAATTCATTTTCTCGTTCATTCGGCCTGTCCGATCTCTCCGACATCATACCAGGTCGACGATCGGAGGATTCAGCACTGCGAATTTGTTGTCTGAGGAAAGCAATCTCGGTACGTAAGCGTTCGATTACTGCTTGTTTATCACCTCCATCATCAACATGTTGGATCTTGGGCTTGCTCTGAATATTTCGGGCCCTCTGAGCGTATTGTACCGTATTGAGGGTCTCGCTGAGGTGGAACTCGGCGGGTGTGACACAAGCAATCATATAAGTGATCGCGTTCCCACCAAGAGAATCTTGAAGCATTCGAGTTAATTTGGAATCTCTATACGACACATATGTCCCGGGTGTTCGCGACGACAGCTGAGAAATGACTTTGCCGAGACTGGCCAATCCTGCGTTGATGGATATACCCTCCCTCGCACGATCACCGGTGGCGCCGGTATTCTTCAGTCTTTCACTGCCTGCCAAATCGACAAAGTGGAGTTTGCTTTCCACCGTCATGGGAGATTCGCCTCCGGACATGTGATCAATGGCCAGTGAAGATCGTTTGTCTTTTGACGAATTGAATCCTTGGGCTCTCGTTTGGCGGAGGTTGACGGTGAAGACGGCGTGGGATCGTGATGATCGAGCGTTAATGGCTGTCGCGTCAGTCTGTCGGATTGTTGATCCGTGGTTCAGAACGCGCATTAGTTCTTCAATAGAGGAAATGCGAACCGAATTAAGACCTTCGACGAATATTCGACCGCGAGGATCTTCTCGAATTTGGACATTGGCTCTCTCGGTGAAGGGTGCATCTTCTGGAAGCAATAGATCTCTTGGCTGCTCGTTATAAATTTCAACATATGTCACCGACATCTCCCATCCCTTGTCGATAAAGGATCGGGAGTTCTGCATGACTTGGTTCAGGCTTGTAACGGAATATCTGGTGGGTGATTTCAAGCCCGAGCTGTGTCTGCTGTGTGCAGAACTCCCGTTGAGGTTTTCGAACAAATGCTGCGCTGCTCTGGGAATGACACCTGACAACAGTTGAGAATATTTCCAGATTTGTGAATGGGCCAAAGCTTTACCTTTCAAAGAAGGATCGAACTGTTCTGTTGGGCCGGAGGTGCCCATCGTGTAACTCTTACCGGCTCCAGATTGACCGTACGCAAGTATTGAGACATTGTACCCTTGTAGAAAAGAATCTACACTGTCTTGCAAGTATTCCCATACACCCTTCTGTGTTGTTTCTTCACCAAAGACGCGATCAAAAATGAAGATCTTTCGCCCCTGGGGTGAGTCGACGGCAAGGCTCGTGTTTGTGTTTACCTGGACCATCGAACGCTGGAATCTCTGTGGAATGAGTTCAAATCCGGGATCAGCAGGGCCCAAAGGGGGTCGAACTCGAACAACTGCGCCATCGTTAGTCAAGACGGCCATACAACCATCACTCCTGCGATCATGAACACACCAACTCGGACCGACGTCTTTGCATCTTCATCTGAAGCTCGGCTTCCAACATGATTGCTACTCTGGCTCATGCGACTCTGGCTTCGTGGAGGGGGGCGACTGATCATGCTCTGCGGGCGTTGTTTCTGCATAGGATCCGGTGAGGGGGCCGAGTACATGCTCTGCGCACGTACCTGGCGAGCACCATCGGGTGAGCCTGGAGGGGAAGAAATCATGGTGGACTAAATGGATCTTCCCTTTTGTGTGGTATGATGTTGTGTGTGGTTGCACGACCACCTCTCTCCCTTCACAGGGGGCCGACCCGACAGATGTCAGAGGGCACAGCACCTCAAAGTCTGATTTTGACGTCGACCAGTTGCTCTGAGCATGGACGCTGCGCGTATTGGATTCGAGGAGGTCTGATTGCCGGCGGAGACGCGAAAGATATCGTGAAACACTGGCAGCCGGGATTTGACAGTTACTCAGTTGGTACACTCGACGGGCTCGACAGGTGGTGGGGGGGAGGGGAGGAGAAGGCAACGGGTTCGATAGATATTGTCCTGCGTATTGTATTTTCGACCAGAAGTGACCAGGAAAACGTGACAGTGATGGGAGGACCTCGGACAGGGGAGAGGCTGGCAATACGATTTTTCAGGTCTCACCGATTAAGGAGAAGCCTGGGAAGCTACCACCGCTCGAGGAGAGAATATGTGGATTAGAGATGTGGTGAGTCGCAATTCAGGCTAGGGAAGAAGGCCCGAAGGTGATGGCGATGATAGTGGTAGTGGTGGTGTTTTGTGGTGAAAAGTGAGCAAAATCCTTCGCGTTGGACAAGTCGGATGTCTCGCTCTCGCACTGTCGACTGGCTCTCACTTCTCGCGTATAGTCTGTCAAGTCAGGAGTTGCCGGTTCATGCGCGGCCCTTCGCGTTGTGGATTCTATTTGCAGTTAGAGACGCAGATGGAGCCGGGTGAGCCTGGTCTACGAGATCTTCATTAATTGGTAGGATTAATCTCCGTCCCTCGCGGAAGCCAAATAGTGGGCAATTTAGATTGGTACAACTTCCGTGGGGGGGATACCCATGGAGCAAAACTTTGGGTGTGTGGATAGTAGAGTTTACTGGTCGTCAGTCTGCCCACTCTCCGTGTGCTCCTGAAGCCCATGGTACCTGACCTTACGTAGAAAAGATAAAGTCTATTGCCTGGTGAGCCTCTAGGGGAATTACCTTGCAAGCCTGCGGCTTCGCTGGTCTCTCTGCTTGCAGTTGGTTCATGCTGGCTCAGCTTCCTGGTTCGTGTTCCTGGTTCTCCCTCAATCTAAATTTCCTCTCTATTCCCTTTACGCATTGTTGTGGTCAGTGGTATTATTGCTTCGAGCCTGCCACTAACCAGGATCCGTGTTTCAAGATGCCCTCCCCTTTCCCCAAGTCAGGGGTTCGACTGCTGCAGGGGATCTGTTAAACGAGCTATCATCCTCGCCAACTACTGCCAAAGTTTTTCGCATAGTCTGAAGGCTGGAGGCTGCTGTACCCTCGAGGCTGGTGGCTGCGTCCCGCATTCCACTGTTCTCTATCTTTGACTTCTGGGCAGACTATCATTTCGGTGACATGGATCACAAATTCGGTCAAAGTTGCTGACCCATCGTTTGAAATCGCCTCCATCTTTCCTACTTTCATGTACCTTAGCTTTTTTTCCCGGCTAGTCAATAAGAAACCGCTTTGTTTACCCCACAGGTTTACTGATAGCATCCAACGGTCTTGATAATGTCGTTTGGCTCAGTCGGATAGGCCGGTGGTGTGACTGTCTAGGGATTGGAGAGAGAACACATGCTTGGTATGTCGTTCTTTCTGGCATTTCTCGCAAGAGTCTCTCTCTCTCATTCTCGATCGAAGAAAGATCTTTCTGTTCCATCCTGACAAAATGACGCGTAGAGTCGGTAATAGAATTTGTCGCAAGAACAAGAGTCGTGTCCCGTACGTCAGTAAGCGCTCTTCCTGAAGTCTGGATGCAGGTGAACCACCGGTTTTGTAAACAGGTGGGCAAACTCTCCGTCCCACTTTTTTAATTATCCGTAGTCCAAACTTCAAAAGGCAAAAGTCTTCAGGTATGCAGTCCTGGGAGCGGAACTGGCCGTTCTGGGCTCAAGCAGCAGGGGGCTCTTCTCTATCACAATCACCGAGTTGACTCGCCGCTGTTTGACTCCGAGTGATCGAATGCGGGGTTTGGTGCTTGTAAAAACCTCGCTTGCAACAGAGGACTCACTTTGCAATCCGTCAAGAGATATTCCGCCCTTCCTTCAGCTGACTGTGTATATCCCCACGCATTTGATTCGTGAACAAGGGATTGGTTCGGACGGGACGGTGCGGAGTTCATACTGCATACGCGAACAGATCATTGACAGTGAACTTACAGTATCTTCGTATCCAAGCGTTAACAAGGTGATCGTTGTCAGGTGATTGAGGAAGGATTCATTCATGAATCCCCGCGACAGGGAACAGGGTTGGATCAAGTCCAGAACCAGTCTCCCCGTCCTCCTCATCCGCTCCATCTTCAGAATCAGTTGTATCCCTATCGATTGTTTCAGCCTCTTTTGCGTCACCGTCGACCCCGTGCTCTTTCATGTAATCCTCCAGTTCTTTGGCCATCTTCCTAGAAAATCCCGAGGCCTCAACTTCGACATCAAGTCTTCCGACCCCATCCTTGCCAACTGCTTGCCTGGCATCCTTGAAGAGTGGGCCTTCTTCAGTGCTAGTGAACCCGAACCGTCTGGCAAAGAAGCGCTTCACACATTCAACGTCTCTGTCGAAATAGAACTCTGCATTGGCGTGATCCACACTGACCATCTGGGGGAAGTCAATCAACACTGGCACCAACTTGATGTTCGCGCCTTCGTCCTCCTCCTGCTTGATCATTATGTTGAACTCGTTGAAATCTCCGTGTATTAACCCCAGTGAGCAGAGTCGCACCAACATCTCCATCAACTCCGCATACAGTCCAGCTGGGTCGGGCACCTTTTCAATCTGACGAAGAGGGAAGCCATCGATCAGTGACATAACCAGCTGATGTCGATTCTGACCCAATGGCGTCGGCACGCTGAGCCCCGCATTGTGAAGCGCTTGCAAAAAGGCAAACTCTTTGACTGCAGCAAGTCGGGACATATACATCCAACTTCCAGCACCCCTCTCTTTCTGCGTTTTCGTCCGAGCATAGTCTCGCTTATTTCGTACACCTTTCTTAAAACTAACCCTCCCCAGTCGATGGATTTTGAGCACTCGTTGCTCACCCTTCTCATCACTCACGACGAAAATATCACTCTCTTTCCCGACGCCAATTTGATTGCCCACACTGTAGACCGCATTATTTTTCTGCAGGGAATGTAAAGCCAAATAGTCCAGCCCGCCGTATGTCAGTCTGTAGCCATCGTATTTGGCGTTTTTGACTTTGGCAATGAGATTGGCCTTCGCTAGCAACGAGATGCTGCGTTGGACATCACCCACGCTCGACTTGGAGAGATTCGCGATCAACGAGGTGGGAACGACTTCGTGGTTTCGACTTCCATTCTCGACTGCGGTAAGGGTACGCCAGTCAGTAGGGTTGAGGTATCGAAGTGACTTTGTGTCGAGCTTCATAGTTTAGTCAGGACCTCCTCGCTCAATCGCATTGCAGAATGCCATATATCGGTCATGGAATACTCGCGCCGAATGCAAAGGCATGGAATTTTGCAGACTGAAAGTGAAACACAACTGCGTTGTCCTAGTGGAAGAAAGCATCAGATATTCATTTCAGCGCAGCGGAGTAAAGGATTTAAGCAGCAAGGTCTGGGACCGGTGTGGTGGCGTTTTCTAGGCCGCTGATCTCCTTTGAGCTCGGTCATTGCATGATCCACTGCCATCTCTCCCGCTTGCTACTGTAAGAATGCCAACAACAATGACACCATTAGAATAGCTGCAGAATGGGGTTGTTCATGGTCTGTGCCAAAACCATCCGAGATGCTCGTTGAGAATTTGCCACATGCTCTTGGTCAATGTTTGATTTTGTCATTGGGCATCCTCGAGTGTTTGCACACGTATGCTGGAAGAATACATTGCCAGTGTGCATCAATTGCCCATGCATCCAAAAGAAACTGCCAGTTAATGTCGAAATCTGTGGAATGGATGCAACCATTTGACCAATTCGACGTATGATTTTCGGATCCCAACGAACCAAAGAAACGAGGCTCGCAATTGTGCTTTAAAGGGAAGCCCCATCCAAGGACACATTGCTGCCATTGGAGTTGAGTAATAGCAGGAGGAGGAGGAGGAGCGGTGGCAGAGGCGCCAGCGGCATCTAGCTGGTAAATTATTCCAGTCCAATCCATGCTATACTAACTTTTTTTCTTTCTCTTCGCTTGTTCTGACGAGCAGTGACCCTTTCTTGCCAATATATACCTTATTGGAGGTAAGCCGAGATCATGTCAAGGTAGAAAAGATACTTACTAGGCTCCCCTTCCTCACCAGGCTTGGTCACTGCCTAAGAGACTATTGCCGCTGGTTAATCGTCATGCCATCAGAGGATTCACTCACAAAAGCGACGACCACCCGGAGCAGCGGACATACTCACGAACATAGCTTGCAGAAGTTAGTATCGACATGAGATAATACAGGACATTGTCTGTGGGAAAGGAATGGTTCTAATCCCAATAGAGACTTTTCCTGGTCCAATCTATCGTTGTGGGCTCTTCGGCAGCGTTGTTGAAGGAAAACAATTGATTATCCTATAGCTTGATCCCAACATTTCACAAGGCTGACCTGGAAAAGGAGAAGCACGGTTTTCCGAGTTTAGACCGACGTTTTGAAAGTAACCCAGTCCAGAATGCTCCAGGGAGACGGGAGTGTGTCTAAAGACTATCTTCGCTTCTTATTTATCCTGATGGTGTTGCCAGTGGAGAAAACCGAGATGTCCGCAGGCTTGTCTCTCCCACTCTTTCTTTGCGTCCAAGAAACAAGATATGATAGGCATGAATGATTGTGATATTTCGCAAGCTGGAACGACAACCCTGCCAAACTCAGGTGCTGGAATGGTAGCTTGCGGGTGAGCAGTTCGGAGGATTCCCGGTATCGACGAATTTCCAGGAGCAGACAAGGATGGAAGCTTTCGAAATGAGCAGTTCAGTAATGCTACAGTTCAGAGTCCACATTGGGGACACAGGCAGACATTACATTCTACAAGGAAGAAAGGCACGTCCTACCACTGATGAAGGAAGAGCGCCCTCCATCCGCTCAAGTCGGTGTTATGGAAAGACAACCATTCTACAACTTACACAGCAACCATTCACTTGGTCAAAAAGCTGGTTCTGTTGATCGCATATTGCGACTAGGCCGGAATGATACTTGTGACAAACACTGCCGATTTGCCGCCTGCTTCATCAGATATTGGTCCTCTCCTCTTTTGCATAAGCAACTCCGGTCCAACAGAGTGACAACATATTGTTGAACAAATGGTAACCGATCGATCACAGCAAACCAACCCATTCTATAACATACACCTTCTGGCGTGCAATACCATTGACAGGCAACAGTGCCAGTATGCATCTCGTAGATAGACATATAGATGGGCTCTATCCCACACTCATTTGAAGAGCGGAGAGCATTCAAGACATCTCGAGTTGCACCAAGTTTGACACATGTTGTTCCTCGCGACTCGGCTAGTCAAGCTAACAATTTTACCCAGCCGATCAACCTCTGGATTGCAGCAATTAGTTATCTCAGAAACGCTACCACATCGTCAAGATGGCTTCTCCACAAACTCTTACTCTTCGATTCCTCATCAACCATCCTGGCAGCAATGCTTCCCAATAGAGCACCACGATATGTGCAAAGATGAATAACCTAATCACTCTGAAGACCACATTGATTGCGCCTTCAATCAATCAAATTTCAACGTATAAGCGCACATAAAGGTCTCCAGCAGTTTGTTAGGACCAGCTTGTTAGGAACTGGCTGCAACCCCCAGTAAGTTATTCAGGATAGATTTCACGAAGAGACCTCCAAATTCTTTAACATCCCTGTCAATGGTGCAATAGAATCCCGGAGGCTCAGAGATTCTATGTGATCAACAAGGAGCTGTCAGAAGAGCGAATCTTCCCGGAGGCCTCTGATCGTCTCATCAGCCTCCAAGTCTTTACCGGATACCATGCAGACCATTTCGATCATGCCTGCGCAGAAATCCACCTCGAGTACGTTTCTCACACAGGCCGACCTCGCCTTCCTATTGGAGAAATCCAAATCAACAGCAGATATACTACTTGATTCACGCGTTGTCACTATGATAGTTTCCCCCCCGAACTCCACCGGAGAACTTTGGTCAATTTTGCTGTGACTCTGGTTCACGAGTTGACTCACTCCTGTTGCTTTTACAGATATGTCGAGCGCTTTCATCGCGGGCTTTATGATTTCGACGCAATTAGCTAGCAGGAGCGATTTTTCGGCGAGGAGGAACCAAAGGCTGAACTTGTCATGTTTAGAAGGAGTTTGCATTTGGTGGGGTCCTTGACTTGGAATTTGAGCTTTGGCCAGCCACGTCAACGGACATGGCTTGTCGTGCCTAGTCAAGAAGCATCCTTCACTCCAGAAGCAGACGTCTCAGAGAATCTATTCCAGAGGCCTTTCTCAATAATGGTTGACGAGAGTTGATGGCAAGACTCCGAAGAGGAGGGCTTGCTCAGCCGACAAATCTGTCTTGGAGAAGCGCCGGTCACACAACAAACGCTTTCCACGGAGCCAAAATGATATATCCAACAGAAAAGGCAAGAGACCATTTACACAGGAGGTGCTAGAAAGGTAGTACCTAAACGACATACTGGCCCCATGACACTGCTGGTTTCGTTCGAAAGGAGCAACGTCTAGTGCTTACCTCTGCCAAACTCAGCCTTCCAGCGATGATCAGTGGGTCGGACGTGGTAATCCTGTATTTTAATTATGGGAACACTCTGGTGTGATGGTGCTAGATAAGAACCACAGCAAGAAGACTCTAGCACGAGAATTACCGAATCCAGCTGTTGCTTTTTGGAGCAGGCTGTAAGCATCCTAACCTTTCAGAGTCGGCTTGCAGGTTGATCGGTTACTTTCCACATAGCTGATTGCTCCACGCCGATGACCAAGAAGCTTAAGTTTCGGCTGTGAATGAACAAACTTTAAGGCTATGTATGGGTTTTGTGGGGTTGGCGAATTGATATACATACACTTTCATTCCTCAGGCAGGTGGCTTCCTATGTCTCATCTTGAGTCATAGAAGAACCTCTCATACATTACCTTTCCACTGTCCCTCAGAGAGGAACAATGGCACAACAATATCCATACCATCAGTCCCAAGGACAGCCACCCGCTCAATACCCTCCATCACAGCTCTATCCACCTCATCAATGTCAAGGAGGAAGTCTACCATCGAGTCCATATCAACAACCAGCGCAGCCTTATCCAGGTCCAGGCTATGCACAGCCTCCTTCTCGCACTCCCAGTCCCTATCAGCAATCTCCACGATCACATAGTCCCTACCAACAGCCTCCTCCACCGCAAGCTCTAGGATACCAACCATATCCCCCTCCTCAGTACCCGCCACAGCAATATCCTCCCCAAGGGTATCCACCTCCTCAACCAGGTTCTCAATATGGCTTTCCCTCACCACAGCCTCCTCCCCAACTACAAGGACCCTACACTCTCATCTTTCAATCCTCCGGCAAACACATCAAAACTCTCACCCCCCAGGGCTCCTCCCAACCCAGCTATACGGCAATCTACAGCCGACCCCTCTTCTACTCCTCCGCGCCCGACATAGCCGTCACATCCAACGACACCCAACTCGCCACCATAAATTGGCACACTTGGTCCGGCAAGATCGACATGTCCTTCACAACGGGGAACACCATCACTTACAAGGACAACTTCGAATCCTCGACATTAGGGCGTTTGTTCTGGGTGATATCCCGAGGCGACCGCAAGCAAGCAAATATCCGCTGCTCCGACCGTGCCGAGCAGACGATCTGCACCGTCGTGCTGACCGATAAACTTGAATCCGGCCGCGTGGAGATCTGGCGAAGCAACCTGAGTAAGCAGCAATTCGATGAGGTGATTGTCAGTGCAATTGCGGAGATTGAGGATTTTAGGCGCAAAGTCCAGGATCAAGGCCCAAATCCTGGTGTCGTTGCTGGGCTTTCGGTTGCTGCTGGCTGTTGAAAAACATATCTCGATACGGTGTTTGAGTGGATCTCGAATTGTGTCTGTACGGTATTTCAATTAACTCCTGTTATCGCAAAGAGCGAATTGGAAAGGGAGAAAGAGAAAGAGAAGGAAGTGACGGAGAATATTTCAATACGGCATGGTCCAAAAAGTGTTGATGAATACTTCCTAGTTTTCCACCGGACGAGAATGTCCCACCCGGTCTGAAATTGAAATGGAAATTCTCGACTTCACCTTTCAATGCCTGGGTGATTATTTCGTGGCAGCAGCAACCTCTTCATCCAGATTCAAAATATCCGGCACGGGCCCCACCGGCGTGATCCCAAACGGGTTGATCTGCCGATGACTCTTCGTATAATGCTTCTTGATATGTTCGAATTCCGTCGTGCTCCCAAACGCCGGCGCATTCCAATACAGATTCTTAAGCCATTTATGCAAATGCGGATACCCGCTCCGTATATCCTTGACATTACATTTGAAATGCTGCACGTACACCGGGTCAAAGCGCACGATTGTCGTATAAAGTCTGACGTCTGCCTCTGTTATCTTGTCCCCGAAATAATATGGTCCAGAGCTTTTCGAGAGCTCGGATTCGGCGCGGTCAAGCGATTTGAATAATTGGATGACATTGCGCTCGTATGCTTCTTGCGTCGTTGCGAAGCCAGACTTGTACACCCCGTTGTTGATATCGTCGTAGGTCCAGGCGTTGGTGGCTTCGATTTGTTCTTGGAGATCTTTCGGGAAGAGGACAACATTTTTGTATTCTTCGGGCAGCAAATCATCGAATTCCGTGTACATCATGCGGATGATTTCAGAGGACTCGTTGTTCACAATGGTCTTCTTCTTCGTGTCCCAGAGTGCCGGCACCGTGAAGCGTCCGGAGTAGTCTGGGTTGGCCGCGAAATATAAGTCGCGGAGGTGCGTGAAGTTCGCGTGTAAGGGGTCCGGAGTGACGTTTTCGCCGGGAAGGGTTTCGTCGGCGGTCGCGAAGCGCCAGCCTGAGATGTCAGGTTAGAAAAATAAAAAGTCATGCTGGGAGGTATATGTACCTTTCTCTTGCATGTGCCAGTGGACGCTGGTGAAGGGGATGATATCTTCGAGACCTTTCAACTTGCGAACAATGAGGGTTCGATGCGCTGTAGTGATGAAGCGCAATCAGTACAAAAACATTCGGCAGGCAAGGCTAGATTCATACCCCAGGGACATGCATAGCTGACGTATAAATGGTATCTGCCCCGTTCTGCGGGAAACTCTGCATTGGGATCTTTGGATATGAAATTGCGAAAGGACGACTGCTGTCTCTTGAACTCTCCAGATTTATCCCCAGGATTGACCCAATCGGTGATACTGCTTTTCTGGTCCTGCAAGGATAGGTTCAGTCAGAACACGGTGAGGATAAGAGACGAAGAAAACGAGAGCTGAGAAAGAGTAAAGAGCGTTGCTGCGTACCGACATGGTTGAGAAGCTGAAGCGGGGTGATTTCGTTTGTGATGCTTGGTATATTATAGAGGCCCCAGTCGGCTTTGCCAGGTGAAATGCTTGCAATCGTGCGCGAGCAAGGATATTGGACATGAAGCAGCCGAAATCGATGTTACTGACTGACTTCGGCCATGTTTCTGGTAGCTGTTGTCGAATATTTAAATACTTCGCCGCTCAAGTGTGGGGGTGCGATGGGAAGCTTAAGAACTCATCATGACGAAATACCTTCACATGCTAGCTAGACCCCGATTACTAAAATCGCAGTTCTGACTAAAGATGCTGTAAGGTGGGCTTTCCATTTGTGGCAGCAATTTATTCAGACTCATGTTGGCTATATCGGATGTTTACATTCTTGGGGCAAGAGCCGAGAGAAAAGAAATCCCAGTATTCAACTTCCAGTCCGTGCGTATATCTGTACAGCTCCCAGGATTGCTGGTCAAACGCCTTTTGTGTCTCCCAATGGAATAGAGCTTGCCAGGATCTATTTCTTGTATTTCACCATGACGTAGGGAATTTCCACATCTTCTTCAGTGGTATCCTCCGCGGTAATCTCAAAGATGATGTTCATTTGGTGATCTGGAATAGGTTTGCGGCTAATAGTTTCGAGCAACTTGCTCATCTTGAGAGGCATTCGATCTTTTGTCTTGTTTGGTGGATAGAAACTGGCATACAACAGGCTGACGCCAGAGCTAACCATCGTCACACTCAAACCATGATTCTCGAAATGTTGCAGAAACTCAGTCAAGGTAATGTCCTCGACTTCGAACCGATCCCAGAGTTTGTCAATGGTCACTTCGCCATGCTTGCTTCGGTATTTGCCCTTGGGGCTTGCGATCGGTTCACTGAATCCAAAGAACGGCAAAGCAAGATTGATAAATCCGTTCTTGTATTGTTCTAGATCAGTCTTTCCATCAATGATCTTGAACAATTCGAGGATGACCAATCCCGTGACCGAAGCAGTGGTGGTGGCAATCGCAGGAATGATCTTTCCAGCTATGAATTTCGTCTTGTGGCGATCGGCCACGGGAATGTTGTAATTCATTGCTCGAAGATTGCTGGCCGCAGTGATGAAATCGATATGATGGTTGGTATCGTCGTCCTTCTCGAATTCCACCACATTCAGGCGGAATGTTGGGAGTGACTTAGGAGTGGGTAACTCGGCAATGATCTTGTTCAATTCTTCCGCATCATCGGCAAAGGTGGGAGCTGGTCCATTTGGATCTGGCTCTTTCTCGTCGGCTTGGATCGTGACATTTGCGTCTGGCTTGAACTCTGGGATGATCATGCTCTTAAGAACCTTCACATAGTCTTCGTGGGTGATTTTGGGTGGCTGGATACCATAATTGTAGGCATGGAGAATGGCCGCAGCAACAATGAATGCCATGTGTGTTTCGTCAGACGGATCGAAAATGAGAGCGGTGGGAGCACGCTTCGGTCCAGACCAGAAATCCGCACCACTCGAAGTCTTGGAATCCTTGGGGAAGTTGTACAGCAGTTGTTGAATGGCATTGTGGTATTGCTTTTCGAATTGCATGCGTGCCCAGGCAATACAGTCGTTGAAATCGGCCGGCTTTTCAGTTACCAAGAACTCCTTCAGGCTGTCCAGAATCATTTTTTCATTCCCTTGCTGTCTCAGAGTAGTGTTGATGTAATCTGGTTGTGACAGGTAGAGATTGACAGTCTCTGGAGGTCCCACGAAATACGACTGGAATAAGTCTCGGGCCCAAGCAATAGTGTGCTCAATCTTGTTGGGAAAGCTTCGAAGGGTGCACATTGGGAAGGATTGTTCTGGTGGATCTTGAGAGCTGGAGTATGACTCTGTCAGACGTGGAAGAATGACTTGAGTATTGCCTTTGGTTCCGAGAGTCCCGCTCTCAAGCAATGGCTTCATGAAAAAGACACATCGTCGATCAACGTAGGTACGGGCTTCGACGTTGTCTAAAGCGTTCGTAACAATGTCGAGCCCATTCCAGAATTGTTCGTTGAAGATGCCTTCGCTATCAGGGCCGATTCGGTCGGTCATGGTAGTAATCTTGCCTTTGAGGTCAGGATTCATGGCTTGAACCGCTGCAGCGGCACAGTCGCTCTTCTGTTTCCCAACATCCTTGGCTCGGAATAGGAATTGTCGATTGAGGTTGCTTCTTTCGATAGAATCATTGTCTGTGACTGTGATATGACCTTTGGGCCCCGTCCCAAGACCGATCATGGCATAATTCTTCAACATTTCACAACCAATGGCGCCGGCGCCGACCAAAAAGTTCTTGACATTAGAGATCTTCTCTTGATACTCCCTACCAAAGACAGCAATTTGGCCATCATAACGCGATCCAATTGGTGTGCAAAGTTCCTCGCTTCGTCCAACAGAGGTGGGAAGTGACTCGAGAGAATCGAAGTAGAGCCACTGGACAATTGGGGTGAATTTTCCTGACACTGCTTTCAACACTTCTTGTGCTGCAAGACCACCAAAGAACGCAGCCATCGGACTAAGGTCACCTTGGGCCTGATAACTGAGTTCGGTGATCAACCGGTCGCTGATTTCAACCTCGTCGCCGCTCTCTTTCGCCAACCTCTTGGTAAGTTCCAGTACTTCTTTCGCATCTCCGTCATTGTGAGGCCGGGGAAGAGCACCCTTGTGATTCTCGGCGAAAGCATGAAGAGCCTGAATTCCAAGGTGAAGTTGTGCAGGCCGGTCGAATTTTGCAAAGTCGGAAATCATCAACTCGGGTTTTCGGATCTGTTCTGACAGTGACTGGAATTGAATGACCTTGGGCATCTTGACTTGAGTAAAAAGTCCGCCTCCTTGGTATCTACCCAAGCCAGACACATCTCCAATGGAGAATGAGTAAGGTCCCTTGACGGTGATCTTGCGAGGGGGTGCGCCGTTGAGGGCCTCCATTCCTTTGAGTTCAGCGAATTCTACGTAGTCGCCATCTTCCAACCCATGGCGTGTTTCATCCAGAGCAGACACCAGACCGGTCTCGTCAATAGCCGCGACGATACCACTGACAGGATTTTCTCCAGTAACATCGCTTACCGTGAAGTTCTTTCCGAAATCGGTGAAAATGTAACCGAACAAACCGAATGTGTCGGCGACGAGGAGATAAATGCCATTCTTGTGACAAAATTCGGAGATTGTGAGTTGATCTTTCAAGGATGTGGTAGTGAGGACGACGACTTGATACTGCTTCAGTTGACTCAGGTCTTCGGTCAAGGATTGAGATCTATGCACGACCACGGGAGTATACGAATTAAGTTCGGCAACTCGCGGCGCCGTGACTTCTGCTCGTGGTTTACCGACGTCTTCAGGACGGAGGAAGAACTGGGAAGAGAGATCGGTAATAGCCACAGGTTGAGGATCAAACAGAGTCAGAGACTTGACGCCAGCGAGAGCAATGTTCTTTGCAATTTCCACACCCAATCCCTTCAAACCGACGATGAGAACATTCGACAAACCCATTCGCTTCATAGCCTCGTGGCCAAGAACATAGAGTTGTCTACTATAGAGGGATTCATCAATCTCGCCATTCTGGAGCCGCGGAATAGCCGCCCCAGGAGAATCGACTTCCATCACAGAGTCTGTCATGATTTTCTTTTCTGGCCGGGACAGGTTCTCAGAAGAGGCCTTTCGTTTATTGCCGGCCTTGATTGTGTCTGGAATTTCGGCGTGGGGTGAAATGGTGACAGTGGCCTTGCCTCAAGCAAGACCTTAGGAGTGCGGAGGGAAGTGATCTGAAGAGCAGAACGCCGCTTCAGATGAGGAGGTAGAGTCGGAGAGTCGATGGTTGAGAGATGAGTTGAAAGAGTGACAAAAGACAGATTGCAGAGGGGCTGATTAAAACGAAAACCGAATGCAGGCAAGGCAACTGGCGTCTTAGTCAAGAACGTTCGCGAATAAATATGATGGACTCAATAAGAGTTGAAGTGAGTGATGCAATCCGCAGGCAGGCAAAGTCGCCCGCCTCGAATTCGGCTAACCTACCTCGAGGATCTATCCATTAGTCTGGCACTGACATGGGGACTTTGCCTGTAGGGAAAGTCCTCAACGCCTGACGCCATACAATTATACAACATAGATATCACTATGTCTTGCCCTACTACCTTTTGGCAACAAATCAGCTCTCCAGACCGACAACACTCAACTCGATCCAATCACCGGTACGCGTCCACCATTGACCGTGATTCAGTTTGAAAAATTCCGTAATGGGCCTCAAGTCCTGCAATGTGTCGCTTTGAACTTTTCGGGCGGCTAGTACTCTGGTGTCAATCTCCACACGAATTCCAGCATTCGTTCGACCTTTGTCGCGATCCTCAGCCTCGTATGCGTCCCCGACCGTCGTCCAGACCTTCGAAATGCTTCATGAAATCCTCTTATCATTATCCGGGCTTCAGTCGCCAATATGGATTCAAGAAAAGCAATCTGAAGGGGGAGACGAGAACGGCTTCAACCAATACGTTTCTCCACCAGAACGGGCAATGCTAGAAACCCTCGCGCATCTTCACGACTTGCACGTGCGGATCAAAGGTGCGACCACAAAATCGTCGACCGGTCACTGGTCTATGGTTTGCCGTGCTGTGAGTGCTTCTATAGCAGATGTCCATCTGGGCAGGTTCATGGATAAGATCATACAAGTTGAGTCAGCGATATTGAAGAAAGATGCCGGATATGTTGGAGCATATGAAATCGTTCCATTGAGCACAATTGTTACCGAGTTCGCACCTTGGACAAGACGGTTGGAATGGATCTGGTTCGTGGTACAGCATCTGGACCCCGAACTGAAGCATGCCAAAGGTACACACCGACCGTCTAGTGCCAGTATCCTCGACCTCCTGGAGCACGAAACACACACAGGTTACTCGGATATCGAAGACATGGCTATTGATCTCTTGACGGTTGCACAGAGAGCTTGGATGCGAGCGGTCTCCCTCTGGGTCCTATACGGCAAGCTACCAACTTCTGGCGCCGAGGATTTCCTCGTCAAACCAAACCCTCATCTCTTGTCAACGACAGATGCTTTCCTGGTTGACCCCTCGTTACAACCAAACTTTGTCAACGCAGGCGCTAGCAACGCTTTACTAATGATAGGAAGTGCATTGAATCAATTGAATTCACAATCACTTTCTGTTGCCTCCACTTTGCAAGGTTCAAGCAACCCGACAATACTCCTCCTTCCCAGGCATTTGGGACTGCTGGAATCTCTTCGGTATCCTTTGAATTCATCGCTGTTGGAAAACGTCTTGTCGACAATTAATCAGAGTATATCTGAAAATGCGTTGTCGCAAATCCTTCCTCGACCTCTAGTGATGCAGTTGCTTCAGGTCATCTTGCGTTATGTCCTCCTCGATCATGGCGAATTTACGGTCTCGTTAGTGGCACATGCCGACGAGCGTATAACGAATCGCCAGCAAACACAGACAGCTGCTCGCCCGGTGAGGAATATTGGCAGACTCGATGACTTAGCCATCAAGGATGCGGAAATCAACGGCATTTTGAGCAAAACAATGGCCGAGCTTGTGGCATTACGAGGTGATGAAGATGGCGAAGACGATGTTTTTCACTTTGCGAAGAAGATCCTGTCTCTCAAAACAGTTGATGTTCAGCATGGTCAACAGATGATCGCGACGTTATTGCCTACACCAACGCTCCTCTATATTACCATCCCACCATCTTCACCCTTACACATATTCCTGTCTTCTCAAGATATTCAGACTTACGCCTTGATAAATGCGTATCTGCTTTCCATACGCCGGGCAGATCTTCATTTATCTGCACTATGGAAACTTACGTCACAACGCAGATGTCATCCTTCTCCTCTGGGTCCACCGAGAAGCGCTTCAAGAGTAGGGCAAGCAAAACTTGCAGCTCGAAGGTCGAGAGAAGATAGGAGAGCAAAAAGAACGAGAAGATATTGGATATGTGCCAGCAAGGCTGTGTTTGTGACCAATGAGCTTGAAGCATATCTCCAAGGCGAGGTGATTCAGAGCAGCTGGACGCATTTCCGCAAATGGATCGACGGAGGAGATAAAGGGATACTGTCTGCAAAGTCATCCAGACCCTGCACGGCCTCGACGGGAGACCAGATGAAAATGACCGAAGTGTCACATGGTACATATGATGCTTCCGGCTCTGGTGGTCGTTCTCAGCCCAGTGATCCCAGAACGCTGGCGGAAGCGCATCGCGCCTATCTGAGAGCTCTGAATGCGGCACTTTTTATCACGAATGATGACTGGATGACCATGTTGAAGGATCTCCTCAATCAAATCGACCATTTCATTGCGCTCTTCTCTCGTCTGCAGACGGTTTGGGAGGGATTGGACTTGCAAGAAGATGACGGCGTGGTGGACGCCTTCTCCAACTACGCACAAAACGAAAAGGAAGTCCTGACTGAAATGGATCGAACAAGTGACGCCATTGAAGGGACACTCGTTGGTCTGGTGAATAAGATCCGCGACATGGAAAAGGAGAAACGCACTGGGGTTGGGATGGACAACGTCGTGCAAAGATTGAGCGACGTCGAATTAAACGGAAGCAAATTTGTCCCATGGCAGGCGAGAACAGTGGACAGGTTGGTTATGAAACTTGACAGTCTGGCTGGGAGGCAAGAGGAACGAATTGGGATCGAAATCGCAGAAGGCTACGATGATGAGTGACATGACTGTGTCCATGTTCTAGCTTTTGGACCATGTTTTTCTATTCAACACACGCTACATGGAAGCAGGGAATTCCCGCTCCAAGGGTGTGCGGTAATCAAATAAATGAACGAGGGAACGAACCTTATAAAGATGGTCAGCTTACTTGTCCTCTTTACAACACAACACCAGTCGCCACGCCAAAACAAGATAGAAACGAAATCAGATAAGCCGTATACGTCAGTCCCTTCCCTGTCGAAACAGCTGCATCGATCAAGACCTCATAACGACGCCCCAACCAGCGCGATCTGCACAGGCAGCGAGAACATTTGGACCCCATTCAACTCCTCTCTTCCTCTCAGGTTCCGGCGCAGGCAACTCCACAACCTCTCCTTCCCGCATCCCTCCCTCGCCATGCCATGTGACATGTAAAGGTGAGAAGACGCAAGTCCGGTATCAGGGAGTGTGGACGGAGACTTGAAATTCAGATTGAGCTTCAATAGAAATGTTCGGAAGGGTGTCGCCTTGATAAAAGGAGAACTCGGAGAATGGATAGACTTGGTGTCATCATAGAAAAGGAAAAGCCGAAGGGCCGTGTTTGGGATGTGGTCACCCACTTATCTTTATTGAATCGGTGTGGCGCTACGAATGGGGTAAGGGACTGAGACGGCAGTTCTGTTGGAGTGGAACACCTAAAATGAAGGTGTTTGTCAGCAAAATTGAAGCCTCGAGAAGCAGTAATTGAAATATGAGCATCGTTGACACGGACGGAGATCAGAAAATTTGGTAAGCTTTGGTAATGGATTCTTCAATGAGATTCAGAAGCAGAACTGATTGAGAAAACCTTTGATCATCATTGGAAAAGTTATGTGGTCTTCATTGAGAGGAGCAAAGAAAATTGAAGAGCTCACCTTTGGTTCTGTCGACCATGCTTCTTCAAGCTGCAAGATCGCCGCAATTCTGTGCCTCGTAATGTCAGATAACCTCACGTTTATACGCAATGAGTCTACAATAGAATGATCATGTGCTCTTGTGTCAGATGGTAGTGCATGTTTTAGTTCAAAGGCTCATAGAAAAGTCGCCGGAACTTGGTGTATGATGAATTTCATCAAGGGAGTTGAGGGAGGAAAAAGAGAGCAATATTCAGAGAGACTCACTAACGTGTTCCTGAGGCAAGACAGGATACTCAGCAGAACAGTGGAAGACGGCGGTAAACATGAGGTTGTTGATAGCGAAGCTAAAGATGAAATTCAGTTGAAGCGAAGAAGGAGCCGTTGGGACTTGCAGGTCTTGGCATATATCACCACGTGACCTGCTGGACTATTCAAACCCTTGAAGATGTGTCAATAATCACCTCAGGAGAATCTCGCGAGAGGATGGTATCTTCACCTCTCCTGCCAGCTCAATTGCGGTCAGCATGTCGCAATGCAGTTCGTGAAATGGGCGCGGCTGACAAGCAAGTCGGCGCTAGCATGTGAATGACTAAGCAAAGAGCCCCAGAGATTGCTCATTCAGACTATTCCTTCCACCTCTGAGGATCTAGGAGTCTTATTTGGGATCTGAGCTGTGGAATCCGCTCTCATCCCAGATCTCCAGGAATAGGAAGTATGACTTTTCTGCTCGAAGTCAAGCGCTGAAAAGAGCTTTTCCTCCTGCATGCCAGGGCAGGACTCCCTGCTCGATGTCATCTATCCTCGCCAGTTCCTTGCTCCAACTGACTAATAGAGGCGTATGCCCACGACGCCAATAGTCGGGTGGATGATCAATTTGTCACAGATGCTCGTTCCAACGAAGTGCCTTTCAACAACATTGATTTATTTCGACACTCCGAACGGACATAGGATCAGGTAACTTACGTACCTCAATGCCTTCGTGCTTAATTAACTCTACCATCTTCAAGCAGTGTTCATTCAGATTGTGATCCAGGGTCTGCATCACCGGAAAAGAGCTGGGATCGTCAAACTGGCTTTTTCGATTGGTGACAATGGGCCACACCCAGCTGCAGACTCTGACCACTACCGAATCCTCCTCCGCGACCGCCACAATCGAGTCCCGATCACTGATTTGTTTTCGGAAAAGGTTGCGGAATGATGCCCTGGTGTCTTCTTGTGGCTAATGTTGATTCTGTTCAGGCACCGGCTAATTGTCGATATTGACACCTCGATATGCCACTCCGCAAGCCAGTCTTGGATCTTGTCGAGATACGCCGACCGGTTCCCCACAAGCAAGTCTTTGAGTGCCTCTCGCGTGACAGCATGAATCTGTCGATGATGAGGGACATTGGTAGGAGGAGGATTGTGAACACCAAACATTTCGATATTGCGGCGATACCGCTTAACAAGACTCTCCGACAGCCTCAGCTGTTCAACAATCTCTGCGGTCGACGCGCCTGCGGTGATACTGTTGACAATGAGCTGCCAAAAGCGGTCGTCATAGGGGAGCATGCTGACAACTCCATGAACTCGAGCGACAACGAACCCAAATGGCACCGAATGTGGTAAGAATTACAGGATTCGCTACTGCAAAGAAATTTGGCGGTGGTGGTACATAGCATACACAAGGAAGAGCAGGGAATAACCGACCTCCAATCAGATCCTCAACAAGCTGAACCTCGCGAAGTCATCTATCAACCACGCAATCTAGTCCACGGTTCGGGCAGCCACGCCAGCTGAAAGGGCCAGGTCAGGAGGGCCACTGCCTGAAACACCATTACCACCAACCACTATCGTCAGCACCGCAACAAGCAGAGAACGTGAAATCATCAAACCCGGCAACCCCGAATCCGCCGCACTTTTGCGCCAAAAGACACCAGACAGGTCGAATACTACAAATAGAATTCTGCTGCTGCTTTTATACTGGCTTCAAAATTTGGCTAGAGTTTCGTCAATATTTTGTGTATTTGATGGTAATGATGAAACTGCCAAAAAGAGTCTCTTATGTGACTGACGATCGGAACAGAAAGCCCTAAACTACTAATGGTAAAGCAGCCGAACCCTTTGCAGTAGAGGTAATAATTCGAGTTGCGTTTGGGGTGAAGCCGGGTTTGCGAGAGACTGTAGAAGTCTCTCGAGAAACCCAAACCGACCGTCTGGGTACCGTGTGGCGGGCCGGAATGCATAACATGGCAAGAATGAGGCCCTATAGTCCAGTCCATTATCAGGGCTGCATCGCGTCATTCCAAAAATGGAAAATTACTTGGCATTATTTCGTCGAACTCACAGCTTAGCTTTCATTGTTGCCCGTTTAATTCCTCTCATATATTTAGTCCAAGTTGGACTTGGATGTCCGCTCTTTGTCAACAAACATCTGCGATGTCATGACTGACAGGCGACGAATTAATGGGCCTGCGGGTGTCAGCACCCCCCCAATATTCGCGCTTTCCCCTCGCGCTGTGAAATCGCTCACAGATCGAGTGAGGAAGCCAAATGAACTGCGCAAGATCTGTATGTGACTATTGCCTCGTTTACTTTTTATACGCATTGACGATTCAGTCCTTCAAACCGGCATAGTCCCAAGTGCTGGTGGCTCAGCATATCTCGAACTCGAAAACAACAATGGATCAAAGCAGACCATTCTACCCACAGCCTCCACCATAAAATTGTCATGTTCCGTGCATGGACCAAAGCCCTTACCAAGAACGGCCTCCTTTTCACCAAATCTACAATTGACTGCATCAGTCAAGTTTGCTCCTTTTGCAACTCGTACCCGTCAAGGATACATTCGAGATTCTACAGAAAAAGACCTTGGAATGCATTTGGAGAATGCTTTGAAGGGAACAATCATACCAGACAGATGGCCGAAGAGCGCGATTGATATTGCAGTGACCATCCTTGAAGCAGAAGACAATCTGAACCATGGTGACCGCGTTGCAGGAGTTGGATTGTTCAATGTGATAGCAGGATGTATCAACGTGGCCATGGCTGCCATTGCCGATGCCAAAATCGATTGTCTGGATCTATTGGCCGCTGGAGTGGGTGCAATTGTCTCGGGCCCAGATTCAAAGCCTCTGAGAGTTCTGGATCCTTCTTCCGCTGAACATCAAGAAATTCTTGCCAGTTGCTTGGTGGGTTACCTTTCATCGCGAGATGAGATTGTGGAGATCTGGTCAACTGGTTCTGTGTCAAAACAAGACATCGACGGAGGAATTGGCTTTGAAGAGTTAGTGGACAGTGCTGTCGCTGCTTCTCGGGGAGCGCAAACAGTTCTGAAAGAGGTTTTGATGGAGTCTCTTATGAGATATCAGGTTGGAACAAAGGAAATTACAGTTACACCCGATGAAGCGAATGATGTTCAGATGAAGACATGAAAAAGGTCCGGAATCAGATTAGACTGAATGTCTTTGAAAGAGTCTGAGCCACAACCATTTTCGGTTTCAGGTTGTCGACCTCACACACAGTGCTCGCCGCGTCTATATGACTTGGTCCCCTCGCCGAGAGCCTGGATTGACCGGAGCTTGGCGCGAAATCGATTCAAACACAGAGCATCACTTGAATTGTCTGCTGGAGGCTCACTTCGTGCAAATGTCTCGCTTCACTATTCTCACACAACCCTCCTCTCTCTTTCAACTTTCTACAAACCTCTTTCCGCAGATTGACTTGCATACCGTTGCTTGCTGCCATCATGCCTCCAAGGACCTCTGTGGACGAAAATCTTGTTTTTCTGTACAAGTGTTTCCAACACTCAAGTGGGAATGGAAAGGTACGATACATTGACCAGATCGACGTGGCCGCAAATCTTCCTGACAACGTCCAGATTGATTTCCCAGCCTTGACCATTGCTACAGGCTTGAACGTTGGCGCTGCGCGAAAGCGATTTTCGAGACTCAAGGACAAGATCGAAAGCTCAACAGCCTTCGGAGCATCTCTAGGTCCAGGCAACACTCAGGTCCTCAATTCAAAGAACGTCAACAAAGGAAACGGGTTACATAAGCGAAAAGCTGAAGCTATGAGCGACACAAACGCACCCGATCTAGTCAAGTCCGGGAGTAACGGTGAAGAGCCAGTTGCCGTTGTTTCTAAGCGCCAAAGTCGCGGTAGAAAGCTCGATCTCTCGGTCTTCGATGATCCTGAAGACTCCCAACATGAATCGCTTGAGGACAGCGACAGAGAATACCTGATCAGCGCTGCGGTCAAGTCTGAAGTCGATGACGATGCGGATTTCGAGTCTGAGGAAGGTGTGAAATCCGCCGTCAAGAGGATGAAGAATGTAGTCAGAGACAAGGACACTCCCACACCAACCGAGAAGATGTCCAAGCATGCTATGAAGAAGACTGTTCCACCAAAACCTGTCATGGCACCAAAATCAAAAGCGAAGTCTGGTCTGCTTCCTTGCGACGAACCCTTGTCTAGCATTGAGTCTTCTCTACCACTTGTTCCCGTCTCAGGTGTTTCCTCAAACAACCAGAACAACGCTGAAGCCGCCAGTGACATCGACCTCGGATCTCTACAACCTGGGACTCTCATCTCATTTCCCGCAAAGAATTTGCAGCAAGCATCTGCCTCCATGTCCAGCGCTCTACAAGAACGGGACACTGTGGTCTCGAGCCAATCTATTCTCACCTTATCTGCAACCTCTGAATCGACTGACCAAGATGGAATCCACCCTGAAGACAGCGTTTTCATGGCCAGGTCGCACGGTGTTATCGCCCCTCCTCCTGGTAAGCATACCATATCTGCATTGTATACCATACCATATCCTGCTCTTGCCTGCACAGGGCCTTCAAATGCTGACGGAACTTCTCACACAGGCAGAACTACATTCGAGCTTTTCAAGGGTCTCTTGACACCGTGGACTCGCTCTTGACCCGGATCGGGTTCAGCGGAACATCAGCATGAGGCACAGCCTGAGACAAGATGGGATCAGAGGTGGTAACTCGAGTTAGAAAGGAATATGAAAGAAAGATGTCATCAACATCACATCGTTGATATTGGGATCATGGTTCAAACAGGAGGGAGGTAGCGATAGTGGTAGCAAAGTGCATGCAAAGACATACAAAGTCTGAAAATGCAACAACTTAAATCGTTCAACCCTAAATTTATGTGGTCCCTTCTTCTCCTTCTCCTTCTCGCCCGTATTCGCCCACTAAGCTTGGGTGGTTCTCACATTCCGGTCTCCAACTCTTCTCATTGATGCTCTCGCTGCGTGCACACACGCAACGAGCCGATACGAGCGCTATAATCCTTCGCTTGCACAAACCTCCACACACGCCTTTTAGACGGACCTATTCTAGGGAAATATTGCTGGCTGGGGTGCATACATAGGGGCGGGATGCGCACCTCTTTCGATGGTCGTAGCAAGGGGACAAAATGTTTTAGGAACAATTCATTGAACCGATCTATATATATCGGATATGTTCCTCTCCAGGAGAGCGCGATGCCACCAACCACGGCATCATTCTGAGATCAACCGATCACCGACGCTCGTTTCATTACCTAATCCTTGTGCAAGACAATCCATTTGGAGCAAGGGCATTTCACGTCTGCATAGATAGTACAAAGCTTTGAGCACCAGCAAAAGTCCCAGCAAATACACATCCTCGCAGCCTTGTATTCCTCCAAGCTCATATGGCCCTGATAGTAGCGATATTGGCCGACAGCAACACCTTCGAGACGGGCAGAGGCACATTCGAGATGGACTTCGCGACGCAGGTTCTCTTCGGATGGAGTGCAGGTGAGCCGTTGGGCAGCACGCTGAGATTCCTTTTCTGCATAGATCAAAGTGGCGGTGAGGCCGGGCAGGCCGGACAGGTTGTCGCGCGTGTAATCTGTCGCGGGCCAGATGGGACATGGTATGAAGTTGATGTGGGTGAATTCGTTGTTGGCGTGGAGCGGGTCGCCTGTGGTGAAGGGGCAGGGGGAATGGGAACGCGCTGCAGAAATGTTTAGATTTTGAAGCGGGAGAATGGTCGGACGGGAGGACTAGTACTTACCATGAGGAAGTAGGATTTCGGTTTCGTAGCTCTCGAATTGGCCTGAGTATCCGGTCAAAGCTGCTCGGGGAAGCTTGCGTTCGGAGACAAAAATGACATCGTCATCGTCAGAGTCAATGGTGATCACAGAATAAGTGGGTGTGGATGGGATGCTGTAGATGGAGACAGCGCGCATGGGCTCGACATCCTGATCAATTTGTTGGAGTGCGACGCGGATCTTTTTGGTGGATAAGAGGTTGATTTTGTAGTCTGGGATTGTTAGTCACATGATGAATGGCAGACACGGGAACAAGAGATATGGACTGCCGTTTGAGCCATTGGGAGTGGACATGGTAACGAAGGAGTCTCGAGCACTTCGCTTGGTGACTGGAAACATGTGAGAACAAAGCTTGGATGCGTTGTCATTTGACGCACCTCTCTGGATGGTATCGGAGCTTGGATACTTGACGGCTGGTGCAGTGACCATTTGCTGAAAGGTGGACGACGGGAAGAAACCATTAGTTTTGCCAGCCTTGGACTTCTGGGATTTTGGCGCAAGAATGACATTCTGCTTTGGATGGGTCTGACCATAGCTGAATTCGCATTGGATGAGTTCAGAGCCTGGACGTTGTTGGACATTCCCATAGAAAGACGTTGGCGATCCTGCAGCCTTGAAGTTGTTGTAGAAGGCTTGGGTTGCTCTCTCCTCAGCCTCGTCCACATGAGCCTCCAAGTCGGCGCCAAGAGCTACGAAGCGGCTGTCTGTTTCGCATTTAGTGAAGTTGGGAAAAACAATATATAACCTACCTTTGGTGGAGATATCAACACCAGACGGTGTAATAGCGAATTGGGCAGCAAGTTCACCAAGGCCACCATGATCATCATCTGAACTTTGGGCACTGGGCTTCTTGGATTCGATACCAGCATCCGCAAACATGTATTCAAAATATGGTGATTGAGGAAGAGGTGGAAGTGGCTTGTTGAGATACTCTTCGGCAATGTTAACTCCAACTTTGGAAGTAAGGTAGTTCTTTTGCATGTTCTGACTGGGACCGAACTTTCCAATGCGGCAGAACTTCCCTTTGACAATAGGTTTGTCGATAGTAGCCATGGCTTTACGATACCAGGACGTTCCACGATCTTTGGGAGGGACAACTTGATTGATCATATTCTTCATGTCGTCGATGGCAATTCTCTCAGAATCATCATGAGCAGCGGTAGAGCCCCAAGTCCCCATGATAGTGTCCCTCATGCACGGACGAGCCATTGAAAATGAGTCCTAGAGGTCAATGAACAGTGGACTTTGATGAAGACGCTTGTTGGAACAAGATGATCACAAACATAGTAGTACAGTCAAAGCTGGAGTAGGCAATGAAAGATTGAAATTTGAAGCTGCAAAGGCGAAGAGGAGAGAAGTCAGGCTCATGTCGAAGGCCATTCATTGAAACCTTCAATGGACCAATTGTGCACCAACTGCTTGTGTTCTCCATTGAGAGCATGAACGGAGCCATATAGAAGCTAGAATTTTCTCATCGGGTGAGGAGTGAGTGTGGCAGAAAAAGACGATAGCATTCAATTCTTCCAAAACAGGATGCGGTCAGAAAATTGAACCCGGCGGAAGAGAACGTCTGCGTGACTCAATACCATATTCACCGTGATGGTATGGGTATTCAGCTAGATGGCTTTGAAAAGTACTCCGATCCAAGAAAAGAGGGCATTGAGGCCTCGGCTCGGTGGAAAGCCTCGTGAAGTGACTTACATGCGACGAGCGGAGTCTTCATCACTATGGGCCTTTTTTTTTCTTTTTTTTTGTTTTTTGTTTTTTTTTTTTTTTTTTTTCCTCAGCATTCCTCTCTCTAGCCAACATAGTTATCGTCGGAGTCTTCCCCTGAAACAAGTCGAGTCTCCTCAGGCGCAACATATGTCAGACTCTGCTCTCCAATTCAAAGAGAGACGACGCAGAGTTTTCAATTCCAGACAGTACTGTGGAGCCAAGCAATTACGGAAGAGGAGGTATCCGATTAGAGGTTGTAGGGGAATTTCTGTTTGAGCATTCTGGAGGATTGGGAGTTCTGGCGGGCTGTTGTTTCAAAAGGGTTTCCTTGGCTGTTGCGAGAAGCTGAGCTGTGATCTGCGCACGCCCTAGATGACAAGACGCGCGGCGTACAGATTCGGTTTAGGCCCGCCTCGGCATGCTACGGGGAAGCGCAGCCACGGACCTTGGTTCCAGTGAGAATCCGGCTGCAATAGAGACACTGCCACTACTTTGTCACTCCAACAGGGGGGCGTTTTTCCATTTGCCCATGGCTATGGCCATTTCGCAATAAAAATATGTCAATACCTTTGACGCCGTTCGCCCTCTTCACCCTTATTTCCTCAACATTGTGTCTTTTCATCTCTTAGAATTTTCTACTGGACAAAACTATTGTCTATTATTCCACATCCGTCTGTGCTTGCTTCCAAATTCCCCAGGAAATGTCAGCTGGCCGGTAGCCCTTCTGTCTTCGTTTCCTCGACCTTCATTACAGAATGGCCGGTCCTAATCCTCCACTCCGAAAGACTCCAGAATCATGGCTGAGACGGTTATTACCGTGGGCATTGGCCACCCTCCTTCTAATGGCATCTCCGGCAAGAACGGAAAAAACCGCGGCGGATTATTTTGTACATTCGCTGCCTGGACAGCCGTCCGGACCTCTTTTGAGGATGCATGCCGGGTATGAGAAGACGCTAATGGTTCATAAGAGGGAGTATTGACTCGAGAGTAGGCACGTTGAAATCACGCCAGAGCACAATGGACATCTCTTTTTCTGGCATTTCCAAAACCGACACATTGCTGACCGGCCACGGACCGTAATCTGGTTAAATGGCGGACCAGGGTGTAGCTCAATGGATGGAGCTTTGATGGAGTTGGGTCCTTACCGGGTAAAAGAAGGGGGAAGACTGGAATACAATGAAGGTTCCTGGGACGAATTTGCCAATCTGTTGTTCGTGGATAATCCGGTAGGGACTGGATTCAGCTACGTGAACACGGACAGCTATCTTCACGAACTACAAGAGATGGCAGATCAGTTCCTCATATTTCTGGAGAAGTGGTTTGCATTATTTCCACAGTACGAATCCGATGACCTTTACTTTGCCGGCGAATCTTACGCCGGACAACATATACCCTATATCACGAAAGCCATCCTCGAACGCAATGTCGTACAAAGAGCAAATGGAAAACGAACTTGGAACATCAAAGGTCTTCTGATCGGCAACGGCTGGATTGCCCCCTCGGAGCAGTACCAGTCGTACCTGCCATTCGCATATCAGGAGAATCTCATCCAAGGAGGAACTCCTGAAGCTCAAAAGGTCGAGGCTGCACATTCATCGTGCATTGCCGCACTGGGTCGGCCTGGCGGAGATGAAAAAGTGGATGTCAGCGCCTGCGAGACCGTTCTATCCACGGTTTTGATGGTGTCCAAGCAGAATGGCAAGTGCTACAACATGTACGACATCCGACTTCAAGACAATTGGCCGTCTTGTGGAATGGCGTGGCCCCCGGATCTGAAGACTGTTACCCCGTACCTGCGGCGACAAGATGTAATCACTGCATTGCACATCAACCCGGACAAGCGAACGGGATGGACAGAATGTTCCGGAGCGGTCTCTTCGGCGTTCCGAGCTAGTCACTCGAAACCCGGGGTTCAGTTTTTGCCCGGAATCCTCGAAGCTGGTGTGCCAGTCGTGTTGTTCAGTGGAGCGAAAGACATGATCTGCAACCATCTAGGCACCGAAGACATGATTGGCAATATGAAATGGTTAGGAGGGACCGGATTTGAGATTTCTCCCGGAGTTTGGGCACCGAAACGCGAATGGACGTTTGAGGATGAGCCGGCCGGAATCTATCAAGAAGCAAGGAACCTCACCTATGTTTTGTTCTACAATGCCAGTCACATGGTGCCATTCGACTGGCCCCGAAGAAGTCGAGACATGTTGGATCGATTCATGGGGGTGGACATTGCCAGCATTGGAGGCAAACCCACTGACAGTCGGATTGACGGCGAGAAAGCAGGCAGTGAAACAAGTGTTGGTGGCCATCCCAACAGTACCATCGCGATCGAAGATGAGAAGCAGAAAGTCAAGGATGCGGAACTGCGAGCGTATTATCGTAGTGGCGAGGCTGCCCTGGTCTTTGTCTTGATTGCAGCTGGGCTGTTTGGATGGTGGGTGTGGCGAGGACGAAGGAGAGCCCGTGGTCAAGGATATATGAGTGTGCCGTTGGCCAATGGGTCGATGGGTAAAGCACGAGACGTGGAGGCGGGAGATTTTGATGAGAATGAACTGGACAATCTGTCGTCGAGTCGTGGAAGACGAAACGTGCGTGCAGAGCCTTATGACCTGGCTAGCGATAGTGAGGACGAGGATGCAGCACCTCACACAGGCGGCTCAGGCAAGGAACCTGGACCCAAGTAGTTTAAAAAGAAAGGGAGAAACGTATGGACTGAAACTATAATGATATAGACGATTTAACCCAGAACATCATTGAATGCCACATTGCCTTGATTATTGTTGCCGTGAGGTTTTGAGCCTTGACCTGCATTGTTGGTGGGACACAGCTGCGAGCCAAGGACTAGGGACGGACGTGCAGGGGGCTGGATATGCCGGCTGGCATTTGGTATTCCGCAGTTTTAGAGTCTTGTCAACAAGAAGAAGTGTAAAACAATCTGTTTATCGTCATGAACAAGGTTCTGGCCCAAGGGACGATGGCTGCCTGGAACTAAGAGATTTGGCACGTTCCAACACGTGGGATTTGTAGCTGATGGTGGTCTCCAGGGATGGTGGAGCATAAGGTGTGAGATTTCTCATTAGCTGACAAACTGGTGGTCCGTTCAACTTGCCGTCATATGGGACTGGGAATTTTCCGAGACCCTGTTGAATGCGCGGACAAACTATTGATTTGAAGTTTGTTGGGAGTATCATGACAAGAGTGGTAAACGGTACATTTTCTGTCCTGGGTGCAGTAGGAGCATGCAAGTACCGGATACCCATGACCCCATTGACAAAGTCCTTTGTTTTTTGGGCTCACTAGTCTTTCGTCTTTTTTTGATCCTCTTTTGTAGGCTGGCCAATCTGGGTGTGGGCTAAGTCTCGCTAATAACTCGATTGCTGGGATCAAAGTCCGTGCCTGATTGTCGATCGGAATAGCAGCCGACAATAGTGCCAAAGACGATTCGCACCTCTTCTGCCTTTGGTTATTTTTACTTTTACCAATACACCATCACCGTGAGTCCCTTTTTAAGTCCTAATTCCCTTTCTTCTTTCCCGTGGCGTTCTTCTGGGCCCACCCAACTAGTATCCTGGCCTCTTTTCCCTGTTCCTATTCCCGCTTCCTACCTTTCACCTGCTGTGGCTTTAGATAATTCCCCCGTTCCCCCTCGGACTCACGGGCTCACGAGTCAAGCCGCATCCATCGACTCCATCTGGCACGCTACTGTACGTCAACTCGCTACACCAAGCTCACCGATACCAGGATACTCTTCTTGTTTCCCTCGTCTGTCTCCTCCGCATCCTTTCTCGGATTGTCCGGCCTCTGCCCTCTATCCTCCTCTCCTCGACGCACCAAACTTTCCCGGCACTCTTGTCAGTTCTTGTTAGGATCTCCAAATGACAGCCTCATAATCACGGCCCTTGGTGCGCCAGACTGCAACAATTCGAGAAACCCTGGTCAGGCTCAAACTCAATCCGGATCCAAACCTTTAGACCCCCCTTGCTCGAATGACCACCAGAGGACTTCCCTTGCGCCACAACCGGATTTATCATTCGCTTTTCGCTTCTCATCCTCTTGTCCATCCCATAGGCCCCTAGCAATGTCCTTTCTCATGGCTCCTCCCTGGTCTAGATTCAGGGCTTTCCGGCTTTTTGGACCCTGGAACCATACGGAATGACCCCTCTCTTGTGAATAATTTGTGGGAAATTCCGTTGTGTCGGAGGTGACTTCCTCGTTGAAGCTGGCAATTCAAATAGGTCATTGGGCTTTTGGGAATAATATGTGAATATATGTCCCTTCCAACTCATCCATCTGTCGTTTCTTGCCCCCGTGCATTTTGACACCCGTTCGGGATCTCTTTGACTTGCCTCAAGCATCAGCCTCATCCGGCCTCGCATACTCTCGTTCCTCCTTCGCTCGTTACCTTAATCATCCGGACCAACCACCCCCACCGTTTGGGAGGCCTTCACGAATGGATGAAGATGCCCTGTTTCTACGGCATCAATACTCAGTCGACCCCACTGCTTCCGTCAATACCGCCGCCTCCTACAGTGCTGGTTACATTGTTCTGTCTTTCTTCACCTCTCTGATAGGATGCATCACTACTCTCGAGTTACTGCAACGTCGCACGTCGACGCGAGGGGCCTACAATTGGTATATTTTTTTTTGCCCCTGCATATCCTACCTTTGCTCTCTTCTCACCTCCCGCCAGGTTTCTCCTCCTCGCCTCGGCAATAACCATGGGTGGGATCGGCATCTGGGCTATGCATTTTGTTGGTAACAGAGCTATCATACTCGAGCAAGGAAATCCCCAACGCCAGATTTTATACAGCCCCGGCTTTACGGCAGTCTCATTTTTCATGCCCATCGCGGTCCTCCTATTCGCCTTTTACCTCCTTGGAATGCCCACCAGGGCTCGTCAATTCCACGTCGCCATCGCTGGAGTCTTCACTGGAGCAGCAGTTTGTGGGATGCATTACCTGGGTCAATTGGGTATTGAAAATTACGACTGCTCATATCGAATTCAAAACGTAGTGGCCGCTGCAATAATTGCAGTATTGGCCAGCTTTATTGCTCTCAGCGCCTTTTTTCGTCTTCGGGATACCTGGACAGACAGCTGGTGGAAGAGAGCTCTTTGTGGCGCAATCATGGCCCTCGCTGTATCAGGCATGCATTGGACCGCTGCAGTCGGAACAATATACAGCTGGAAAGGAAATCTGGCGGTTCACGGCAGCTCAAGGAAGCAAACGGCCCTTATTGCTTCCTGCCTGGTAAGTTCATTTGCATGAGGCTGTCGGACCAATCTGATGTATCTCATAGTCAATGGGTTCATGTGTGGTACTTCTCATCGTGGCGTCGATTCGAGGTCGCAACAAACGCAGTGCCCGAATCAAAGCTCAGCGTCTAGTTCTGGCCTGTGCTTATTTTGACGAGGATGGTAAATTGATGGTCACCCAAGAGGGCATCCTCCCCAGTGAAAAAATCACCAATCGTTATGTGGAAAAGGTGGCGTTACCTCTTTCGAGTCCACACGGTAAGCTAACATCTGATCTCAGACTTTCGGAGAAGATGAACTCAACCGGTCTCAATCGACCTTCCTGTGGATCTTCAAAGCTTCTCACAACTGGGGAGTATTAAAAGATCTCATTCCAGCCATGAAGGAATTCGTCGAGACTGATCCAGCAGTAAGGCGATATCGTCCTGGCTACACTGGCCCAACTTCACCGGATGACTCGAGCGATCTTTCCCTCAATTTTGCCCCGATTTTCAAACAACTCTACTGCGTGGCGGCCCAACAATTGGCTAACTTGATCCATGAACCACTTGAGAGGATTGGTGTTTTATTCGAGGAACCTCTGGAGACTGGTGCAATATATGTTTCCACCCACACCGAGATGGGCTTCCGAGGTCTATCAGCGAATCCTTATCGTACAATGGATCCCGAGAATAGAAACACACCTCCGGTAATTGCCAGGGGAAAATACCTCTTCCTCACTCGTCAGATAAATCGAAATGAAGCAGCCAAATTTGCTGCTCTTGGATATCGATTCGCAGCTGTTGGACAAATTGCGGATCCCCTTGCTAAGAGCATGCAAGTTCATCGGGACAATATGGTGGCTCGACTTGAACGCATGAGATTGAGTACACAACCAGACCGTCTGCCGCCCCCAGGAGTTCATTTGGCATGCTTTATGCTTCGTCCTAGTATGAGCAAAAGCTTCGATGTTCTCGTGCAAGCAGCAACGCAAAGCCAACTTCCTTATGTTACGTTGCAGCCGGGTGACTTGTCCCCAACCCAATCGCAACAACTACGATGCTTTGACGATGCAACGATTGGTGAAACTCTAAGAGTTCTTGTCAACCGGCCTAGTGGATTTGATCTCGACGAAGAAATTCGATGGCAGCTCTACAATGCGTTTGTTCAGCTGGTTGATATTATAGGTGATGCGGATACCATGATGCAAGCAAAATTTTCTGCCAGGGAGTTTCGGCTGCCTTGTCGAACGAGAGGACAGCCCACCTCATCTACCTGTACATTATTGACAGTTCGGGTGTTGAGAAATATCCACGCATCATCAACCAGGAAGGAACTGACCTACGTCCCGCTTTCATTTTTTGGTGCTCAGCAACATATTCAGACGACCGATTCAAACGACGAGTCGTTCGCGCGAAAAGTCAGAGCCGAATTTGGCCACTTGGGCTCAGGAGATCCCACCAAATACAAAGGGGCGAGCAGTGTTAGAGTGGATAGGATGTCGAGCTCTGCAGAATCCAGTGTATTGGGTGCGGAATCTCCTCGATCGGCGATATTCAAAAATCCAATGGGAAGATTTCTGCCCAGTCGGCGAAGTGATGAAGCAACCATTGTGGATCGGGAAAAGAGTATAGCTGAAGGATCGGATTTTGAAGCGACTGGAATGACATCTCCAGACCCTCCCAGTCCTTTCGACAAACATACACATGCGACACAGCCAGACGTTACTGAACTGGTGGCGGTAGGAAGTGAAAAGGGCAGTTGGGTTACGGAACTCTTTGGGCTTTTTCGACAAGGAGCAGACGGCTGGGGCTCGACAACAAATGAAGGATGGAAATGGGATATCAATGTTCAAAAGTCGTTCGAAGTTGGGACTGAGAATCGTCAGCAAGAGGAGTGATAATACAAAATATATTAATGCTGGCTAGCAAGAGGGAGGTACTAGAGATTCCGGTGGGTTTATGATTTTGATGAATCATGTTGGGAGGCTATCGTGCTGAGAATGACTTCGGTTTCCAGAAAAGGGGAGAAAGCATTCAGTTGTCATCAGGAGCTTAGGAGAGCCGATGTTTGATTGGCGGAGAATCGGATAAATTCGGCCATTCCGTCGCCGCCTTTAATATCTTTAGGTCTACTCCAACATGCATCCCAGTACATTACCTTTATGGCTTTCAGGCTCACTTGCCTTCGGTATCGACTCGATGTGAAGTTCAATTTGACGAGTTCAACATGAGAATGACTTGACAGTAGCCCTCCACCTTTTGACCTTCGATGAAGAGTAGCGAAGACTGTCCAGTCTCCTCTGACAAACCCATACTACTCCAGTCTCTTCAATAGGGGGTTGAGAATTGAGGATTGAAAAGATCCAAAAGAGAGCGCATACCAATATGCCCTTCGCACAACTGGTCATCGGCCCTCCCGGTGCCGGCAAATCCACCTACTGCGAAGGCATGCAACAGTTTTTAGGAGCAATCGGTCGAAAATGCAGCATCGTCAACCTTGACCCTGCTAATGACTTGACCAGCTACGACGCCGCTATTGATGTGCGCGACCTGATCACACTCGAAACAATCATGGGGGATGACGATGTTAATCTCGGACCGAATGGGGGTGTATTATACGCCCTTGAAGAGCTGGAGGAGAACTTTGACTGGTTCGAAGAAAAGCTGAGGATGTTGGGCGAGGATTACGTCCTTTTCGATTGTCCAGGCCAGGTAGAGTTGTTTACACATCATGATTCCCTGAGGAGGATATTTATGAAGGTCCAGAAGAACTTGGGTTATCGAGTAAGTATTAGTGTCGAAGGTGTGCAAATGTTCCTTTCCTCCCTCTTTTATACTTCGTTGCTCTGTATCATTTGTCTTTGGATTTCACTTGCCCTCTTACTGTTCTTCCATAGGTTTCTTGTTTGTATTGTTTGTTCGATTTTGTGCAGTTCCCCCTTCGTTCCTTCAGCTCCCCGTCAACCCCGTCATTGCTAATTTTCTTTTGAGAATAGCTGGTTGTAGTCAACTTGATTGACTCGTACGCTTTAACGCTGCCGTCCCTTTATATCTCCACCCTCCTCCTGTCATTGCGGAGTATGCTACAACTCGACTTGACCCACCTCAACGTTTTGACCAAAATCGACAACTTGTCAAAATATCCTCCACTGGCATTCAATTTGGACTTCTACACGGAGGTGCAGGACCTGTCGTATCTGCTGCCGAGTCTGGAGGCGGAGTCACCGATGTTTGCGCACGGGAAGTTTACGGCGCTTAATGAGGCGATTGTGAATCTCGTCGAGGAGTATGGGCTGGTGGGATTTGAGACGTTGGCCGTGGAGGATAAGAAGAGTATGATGTCGCTGTTGAGGACGATTGATAGGGCAGGCGGATATGCTTTTGGAGGCGCAGAGGGTGCGAATGATTCGGTCTGGCAGGTTGCGGTTAGAGAGGGGTTGGGGGTTTTGGATGTCAGAGACGTCCAGGAACGATGGATTGATAATAAGGAAGAGTGGGATGAGCTGGAGAGAAAAGAGTGGGAAGAGGAGCAGAAGAGAAGGGAGAAAGAATGGAAGGAGGGTGTTGAGGGTCAGGATAAGGATGTGGATATGGACATACCTCAGGTCGTCAATAGTGGCGTGAAGGTGGTTCGTAGTGGGAAGAAGTCATGATTGCTTGCTGAATGCGTATCGGTGGCATCCTGCTTGTTGTTGCACATCCAAATTCATGGGTGTTCATGTTGGTATACCAGAACTTCGCATTTCTTTCGAGCTAGTCCTTGTTCCTCCATTCTCACTTGTCCATCTAATCCACATCCTCCTCGGCTTCATCGTCATCTTCGATCCCCTCTTCTTCTCCACGCATGAATCTGGTACTATCAGAAACGTGCTGACTTCCACCACCAACCAGTCCGTCCAACACCCTTTGATCTTCTTCCTCTACATCGCGCCTGGCCCTGGCCACCTCCCTCCTCGCTCGTCGTAGCACTTCCTCTTCACTCTTCCTTATCGTCCCACTCACTCTGACCACCTGCAGGACACACTTGACTTCCTCTCCAATCGGTGACCCACTGGGCCCACCCTTGGTACTTGGTATTGGTATCGTGTCCATCATCGTCAAACTCGCCCATACGACTTTTGCGTGTGCACGAGGCACGCGCAGGATCCCCGTCGACGTGCGGGCGCTGAAGTACACGAGACGCAACGCAGGAGCCGTCAGTGCGGCGAAATATGTGCCGAAATTAAATGTGATGCTGGAGCGGATTAGGGAAAGGAGGAGTGATGTGTTCAGATGCGAGGGACTCGGGCGTGAGAAGTGGATGTATGCCTTTTCGTTGTCTGGTGGCGCGGTGGAAGAGGAAGGGGAGGCCGAGGTCGTGGGTGTTGGATAGAGGATGTTGAAGAGGAGGTAGCGGTGTTTTATGCGGACCATTGCAATGCTGTACTTTTTGCTTTTGCCTTTTCTCACCTCTCATCCGGAAGGAGCCACTACCTAGTGTTCGGTAGGCTGGCTAGGCATTGCTGTACTCCTCAACGCGCACCGCTCCAGAATCAGGAGGACACAGAGGTCGGGTGCATGTGCTTGTTTGGAGAAAGCACTTTGCTGCGTTCCAGATTGCTCAGTTGGATCATGGAAATGTTCTGCGCCGGGCTTGGCCTGAGGCTGCTGAGGAGTCTTCAGATATAAGGGCCTTGGCAAGGCTCTGCCTTTTCCGATCCACTGAACTTGAATACAACGCAGTTGCTCATGTTATTTTAGAGAACTAGGGGCGTTTCTTATTGTCTGACAAGTGGTTAGGCAACACGAGACTCGGAGGAATCAGAGCATGAACAACGGACGACAATTTCACAGCTAACACCCGGATTCGAGGCTTTGGTCTACGGTTGAGAACGGTGATCTACTTCGCCCGGTCCTCGATGCCGAACTACGGGCAACTTTGGCCACGGGGAAGTCGGCTCTTAAAATCTAAAAATCTGAAACAAGAAGTCAACAAACGTGATGCCCTTTTTGAGTTTGGAAGCCAACTTTGCACTTAGCGGATGCTTTTTTTGATCATTTTTTGAAACGCCCGGACAGCATCTCCGTTCGATTTTGATGGGGGCCGTAAGGTGAAAGACGGCTATGCTTGCCTGTCGTGATCAGGAGACTTCCATGTTTGATCTGGCCTTTATTAGGAGCTGCAGATTGTCAAACACCCGCGCGTAGATCTCTCGTCGTTCGATCCTAGTCATTGTTGGGTCGGCGGGCAAGGTACAGGCTGAAAAATGGGTGAGATGCTTCGCTCTTCTTTTTCAGGGGCTTGGACTGTACGTGGTAATTGAGGTGTTACGGGAAGAATCTGCCGCAGCTGTAAGACCTGAAATGGGATGTCCAGTTATTTGGACAATGTCCATGACATGTGTCGGTTGAATCTAGGTCAGGGTGAGGTCTGTTTCTGTCCGAGTCTGCCTACTCTTTGCGATACTCAGCAAATCCTTGGGGGGGGAATGAGCACGGAGTCCTTGGAAGAATTACGATAAATTTGTTTGCTGGGAACCCTGCTCAATGGGATGGATGACTGGAGCTCTTCGGCTTCGAATCACCTTTTTGGTTTCTATTGCGAGCAACCTGCACTTCGCAGGCTTCACAGAAGTCGACGATTTGACCGACTGAAGTGAGTTATTCGGTGTTTCATCTAGGCGACTACAAAAAAGAAATGGCGCTTCTGAGTGGTTGTGAAGGTAAGTCGGACGCTGAACTCGTGATCGGTACACCCCCTTTAAAGAGTGGGACCAAAAGGTAGGAAAGGATTTTCACTTTCATCGAGTCTATCTAGACTGATAGAGGTATGGTACTGCAGAGGAGGGTCCGGTGGCGTTGTAGGGGGCCGATGATTGGGGAGGAGAGTTTGACGCCGGTGCTTCAAAGGGGACAGACAAGGAATTTGAGTGGCCCAATGAGAAGGGATAGAAAAAAGAAGAAGAGAAGAAACGGAGACAGCACGCGAGAAAATCCAACAAACAGGGGGGTCAATAGGAGTTCTGGTCCCTGCACCGCACCCGCAGCCTGCGCAGGTACCTGCGCTACAGCGTGTGTACTACGACCCACTAGCTTGTTCCTCCACGAGTTCTCCGTACAGCAAAACTGCGCTGCGTCCTCCTCCTAGTTGCTGTGCATACGCGCTCCATCTCAACTTTCTTCCGTCCTGACCTGCATCTTCGTGCGTCTCTTTCCCTTTTCTCGTTCTTCCCAACAGTCAATCCATCGAATCATCTCTCGACGAGAAAAAAAGATAGTCCTTCATTTTTCTACTCTCCCACTCAGTCATTCCTTGACCCTCCTTCGGCTCTCTTTGTCACATATCACATTCTTTTACCCGACGGTCGATTCGTCCAAGTGTCACGTCTGTACATTTCCTTCGGTCTGCCGTTTGCGCGGCTGATCGACTAAACAGCTCAACTTCATCGCGATACAAATATACGTCCCTTCAATCCTTTCCTGCACGGACTGAGTCCTGCCTTCACCGAACGACACATCATCATTCCCTTTTACACAAACCGTTCAATTCGATTTGAAAATATTTGGAACCTCCCTCAGGTCAACGACCATATCACCGGATCCGTCCAGACACAAAATCTCACGCAACACATGAGCCACTTCTGCCTGTTGGTCTTGTCATCGCAGCCGCTTTATTGAAAACCTCGATCATCCTCGGCCACTCTTCTTGCTCTCCTCTCGTCCACCATGTCTCTCGCGCGAGCATTTACTAGGCGTAACAAGCGCAGTGTGGATCACCAAACTCCCGTTCGTGGTACAAGTGTCAAATACCTTCCTGGAACCATCAATCGCAGTCTCATTTCTCTACCGACTGAATTGATCTCGACAACCAATGTCCAGGCCTTGACTGCTCCCGACATTCGAAGTTCTTCAAGTTCTTCGACAGGTTCGGTCTCATCCGGCAATGATTCTGACTTCTCGACTATCGACCGAAGTTTTCTCACCAACACCGGCACAGACACTTCGTCAATTGATAGCAGTGGTCCCGCGACTCCTGTGACACCTGCAACGGATGAGAACAAATCGTTTTTTGATGTGAAGCAATCTGTTCCTGCTCTCCCTGTGATTACTTCACCCACCGCTTCTGAGACACCTGCTATTCCAAAACGTGCTCTGTCTCATTCCAAGAAGGCACATGTGGAATTGTCGAGGAAACGTTCGATCCAAAGAATGTCACCCCCACCCACCGCAATTGTCAAGCCCATTCTTCGAAGCAGTGCTGACATTTTGAATGTCTCAAGCAATCCCAACCATCCTTTTGGTAAGGAATTAGCACAAGTCAGCGAGATGGCAGAAGAGTTTGGCGCTACCGCAAGATTACTGGATGAAGAGGAACAAGAAATTCTCAGCAAGGGACTATACAAATTCGGAGTGGAAGATTATCTGGATGAAATTGCCGACTTGTATGGTGGCATCTTTGAAGACAAACTCGGATCAATGGCAAAACCGTGGATCTGAACAACGATCACTTGAATGATTAGTGCAACTTACTGATCGTTCACACAAGATTCACGACTTTTATGACTTTGGGGACTTTAAGGGCAAAGTTGCTCACCTATCATGGCTGGCTGGTTGGTCAATTATGGCGTTTCAATGATATGAAACAGATCAAGGGGTCTCCCTTTTTTTCTTTTCTCTACCGGTTGAGAAATTCCGGTTTCCGATTTTTCGAACCATTTTGGAGGAAATATCACGTTTCTCGGCAAGTCGACATGGCGCAAGATTGGCATAAGGCAACCTATTACACATACACCACCCGCCTGGTCGAGGATCTCTGTCGATTTACCCGAAGGGTCGGTGACCCGGGGGGCTCTTTCGTCACGGGGACTCGAAGACACGAGGGACCTTGAATGTTAATCTTGATCATAAAACGTGTCGAGCCGAGTCGAGCTAGGATGAGGTTTTACACCGTGCAATTTTATATGGAGAGCTGAGCTCAAATGTGAGATGGAGCTTTGAATGTTTGTGAAGATGGGGCTATCCACAAATCAAGAAAATTCAATCAAAGTCATTCCTTCAATTTTTCCTTATTGCGTCCTTTGTCGTTCCCCTCTAGCACCTTTGTTGATCAATCTCTCGAATTTCCAAGCTCTAGCAGAAGCCACGCAAGGAGTCTTGCTCTGGGCGGTGTGGCAGAGTCACAGGGAGCACGATCAGCACCGTCACATGCATTGATCCGTAGGTAGGGCGTAACATTCTGTCACGGGCCATCCCGCAAAGACGGTCCGAAAGGTCAAGGGCATCTCCTGGCAATGGATTGGTTTTGAAGATGGTGAGAAAATACAAGGCATTGTTCATAGGACATGTGCTGCTTCAAAACCTTTCCAGTGCGATGTGGCATGTCATGAACCGATCGAGGTATGTCTCGCCTTCTCCTGGAGCACCGCCACATACCTTCATAAGGAGAGTGTGGCTTGATTTATTAGGTGACCCCGTCGTGGCCCAGGTTTTGGGTTCAGCTTGTAGGGTGCCCGAAGTTCGGCCGGCGGGTTGCTGGGCTAACCGAGACTATGGGCCCTCTAAGAGATCGATGGCACTGTGTACCCAGCTCGATCGGCTTCTGGCTTTTTGCAAGAGAATTCAGTGGATCAGGGTATGCTGCATCGTGAGTCTCGTGTTTGTCTGATGTGCTCAGCAGCTGTCGAGCTGAGCGCAAACAAAACCACCCAGGCTAAAACAGGTGGCAATTGAGCCTTTCTTTCTGTCATTCAAATTTTCAAGATCACCCGGCCAAATTAGGGTGAAACTTCTAGTTAGGCCAACTGGTTTACGGTGGCTAAATCCATCCGGGATCTGTCTGCGGAGTTCTGCTGTATAAAGTCAACAAAAAAGTTCTCCTCGAGTAAAATTGGATCCGGCCAGGAGATACTCAGTTGGTATTTTCCTTGTCTGCAAAGACAAGCTTGAGGTTCTCAATGGCGCCAGCAAGACAGTAGCACATTCAGATGCGGTCCCCCATGTAAAAAAAGGGATCAATGATTCTGGAGTGGGAGGCGAATGATCTCGCGCGCCTGACAAAGGTCGCCAAAGGCCCAGCTCGACAGGGGTTCATCATTGGTGTGCATTGGCGAGAAATTCGGCAAATCTCCAAGTCGCTGCAGGTTATCGTCATAGTTAAAAGGTTTCAGAGACAAAAAGTCAATTGATGCGCCCACTGGTCCGTGCAGAATGGGCAAAACCTTGATTGAATACGCGCATGCAGTGAGAAAGGAATTCTTGGGAACATGCAGCAGTAGACAGCGTAACTCGCCTGTGGTCGACACGTATATGTGTCGACAACCACCATCATCCTTGTTCTCCACCTCTTCACATTCGTTATCTTCGTGTCTTTAACGTCGAGCCTTCCTTCCACCTCTCCTTCCCCCCCCCGTCTGGTCCTCGCGACGGATATCGACACCAACAGCCTCAATCAGGCTCTGATCCTGGCCTGCGACACACTTTGGTGCGGCGTGAATTATGGACGTCACCCTCAATGCCGTACTCAACATTCGTCAAGCTCCAAGTACCGATTCGGATGACGACGAAAATATTGGCTCCAGCAGAGAAGGCTCTCCCTCGATCTCTGGTCTAATTTCGACCCTCGTCCCTACTCTCCTCATCGCGGCGGTGTATTTCGCCATCTTTCTGATCGTCCGGACCAAATTCCCTCGACAATATGCTCCCAGAACATACTTGGGTGCTTTGCGCCCACAAGAACGAACTCCTGCTCCACCAAACACTCTGTTCGGATGGATTCCCTTTATGAGGAAAGTGAGCATCAATCCCCCCTTTACCAATGGAGAGTGTTATCTGACCGCATCCACCAGCTGCCCGACGAGTATGTCCTTCAACACAACTCCCTCGACGGTTACTTCCTATTGCGATATCTCAAGATGGCGATTCTCATCTGCTTTGTTGGATGCTGTATTACCTGGCCCGTTCTGTTTCCAGTTAATGCAACCGGCGGGGGTGGTCAAGAACAACTCAACATTCTCAGTTTTGCGAACATCCAGGATAAGAACAGGTATTTCGCACACGTTTTCATCGCATGGATATTCATCGGCTTCGTTTTCTTCTTGATCACCAGGGAAATGATCTACTACATCAACTTGCGACAGGCATATCTACTGTCCCCACTTTATGCCTCGCGGATTTCTTCTCGCACCGTCTTGTTCCAGGCCGTTCCAGAAGAATATGCAAACGAAGCCAAGATTCGTCACATGTTTGGTGAAGAACTCAAGAACATCTGGATCGCGTCGGATGCAAAAGAATTGGAAGACATGGTCGACGAACGTTACAAAAACTGCATCAAGCTTGAGGCTGCCGAAACAAAGCTGATCAAGCTTGCCAATGATGCACGTCTCAAGAGCCTTAAAGGGAAGAAGCCAGATACAGAACAGCCTGCTGCTCATTATGACGAAGAATACGGCAGTGAATCCGGTTCGGCTGCTGCCCGATGGGTCGGACCCAAGGATCGACCTACGCATCGACTGAAATTCTTGATTGGCAACAAAGTCGACACTATTAATTATTGTCGTGAGGAAATTGCCAGATTAAATCCGTTGATCGAGGCCGAACAAAACAAATATCGTTCTGGAGACTCAAAACCCAAGAATGCGGTGTTTGTCGAATTTTGGAAGCAGACTCAAGCACAGAGTGCCTTTCAAATGGTAGCCCACCATCAACCGTTACACATGTCGCCTCGCGTCATTGGCCTAAGCCCCGAAGAGATCGTCTGGTCAAATATGGGTATTACCTGGAGGACTCTCACCGTTCGTAATATCTTCTCTCTGGCATTTGTGACGGCCATGATCGTTTTTTGGTGAGTCAACTTTATTCTCTATGAGGCGTATCTAACATATAGTGACAGGTCCATCCCTGTGGCAGTTGTTGGCTCCATCTCTCAAATCTCCTACCTGACGGAAGTCGTACCATTCTTGAGCTTTATCAACAATTGCCCCGATGTCATTTTGGGTGTCATCACCAATTTGTTACCCGTCGTAATGCTGTCGATCCTCATGTCTTTGGTGCCCGTCATCATGAGATTTATGGGTAAAGTTGCCGGGAAGCCTACACTCTCTCTTATCGAACTCCGTTGCCACGAATCCTACTTCTGGTTCCAACTGATTCAGGTATTTTTGGTCACCACCATGACCTCTGCAGCCAGTGCAGCGGTGCCGCAAATCATTGAGAATCCAGGTTCGGTGACAACACTGTTGGCACAGAATTTGCCACTCGCTTCCAACTTCTACATCTCTTACTTTATTCTTCAAGGCTTGGTGTTTTCTTCCGGAGAATTGTTGCGAATTGCAGGATTGGTCTTGTTCAACGTGATGTCGAGCATACTTGACAAAACTCCACGAAAGATGTACAATCGGTGGTCTAGCTTGTCCTCTGTCGGATGGGGTAACGTCTTTCCGGTACTTGAGTAAGTCCTCCGCCAAACCCCTGGAACTCTCTTTCTCTGATGGCACATTGAGAATGATGACGGTGATTTCAATCACGTATGCACCAATCGCTCCTCTTATGCTGGGATTCGCGACCATCGGCCTCGGACTCTTTTATTTCGCATATCGATACAACCTTCTCTTCGTCGACAGTTCCGTCATCGATACCAAAGGTCTCGTCTACGCAAAGGCCCTGCAGCATACTCTTATCGGCTGCTATCTGGCGGCCATTTGCCTCATCGGTCTATTTGGTATTCGAGCCGCTCCGGCGCCCTTGGTGTTGATGGTGGTATTCCTGGTGTTCATGGCCCTATACCATATTTCTCTCTCTTCAGCCGTCGCACCTCTTCTACACTATCTCCCCCGATCTCTCGAAGCCGAAGAAACTGCACTTCTCCAGACAGAATCGGCCGTCACGACAGCGGCCGATCCTCGGCGTGATGCTATGCGTGAAAAGAACGCCCTGGAAGAACTCAGAAAGGTAAAGGAGACAATGTTGCCTACGGAAGGCAACAAGAAGGTGTCTATGTTCAAACGATTCCTGCGACCGGATATTTACGCCAGCTACACGGTGATGCGAAAGCTCGTACCCCAGGATTTTGCAGAGATCAGATATTCACCTGAAGTTGCGAGGGATGCGTATCAAGATCCTGCTGTCAACGCGGTGGCACCATTGCTTTGGGTCCCGAGAGACGAAATGGGCGTGTCGAGACAGGAATGCTTGCACACGAATAAAGTCACCCCGATGACGGACGAAGGCGCCACGTTCGATGAGAAAGGGAAGATCATCTGGCTACAGGAGGAGCTGGGTGGACGTGCGCCCATCTTTGAAGAGAAGATTTATTACTAATGGCAAAACCCGTGTTGAAAAGGAGGTCTTCAAAAGGAAGGGGAATATCACGACTCACCCGCGTGCCTTTTAGGGATTCACTGTTTGTCTTGTTCCGCTAGGGTGAACGAATGTGGCGTGCTATGTATGGACTTGCTTGCAGTTAGCGTGCTTGCACCCAAACAGCCACAAATTGCGCACCTGAATACAGGTATGAAAATGGAAAGGGAGGCTCTTGTTTTCCAGTACTGCTTTCGGGTGCTGTACTTGCTTGGTGTATGTGGAACAGGCATACACCCCAGAAATGAAATGATATTAGTATTCGTATTAGTACGGATTAAGTCGTCACGGGTTTTGTGAGAAATAGTATTCTTTGGATGCTGCTCATCGAACTCCAAGAATGATGTAGACTGCCCTGAGTGTATATATATATGTTTTACATAGTGGATTCAGCCTCGTTTCGTCGGCTTCAAATCACGATGTAGTACTTCCTTCTAACAACACTTTAGATTAGCCAGCTAACGTGGCTTGTGTTAGTCTAGCTGAGTAAGCCTCAAAGGAGTTCGTTCCCTCTTGCTCATGTTCATGTCGAAGCTATATGCCCATCCGTCCTCACGTCTCGCCCTCTTAGACAAGTCTAGTTTGCTCTGGCATAGAATAATTCAGTCTTCCTTTCCCAACATCTGCAACTGGCTTGCTTCCTTTTTTCCATTGTTGTCCTTCCCTTTCGGCCCTTTTCCGTCTCATTTCGTCTCAAGTACATGCTCTTGGTTAGCAGCACGAGGAGAGTAGAATGGCCTCCCCTAAAAAGTTTCAAATCACTCCCCAAGCCAAGTAGCCATGGCCACCACGTCGTCCTGTACCGACAATCCCAGAGGAAAAAACAAAAAGGGAAGCCCGGCATAGGTGCGATGTGATCTTCCTTACTAGTGTTCATTCCGATTCTCTAGCCGGGCTCGTTGGTCCGTCATTCGACTCAACTCAGTTGAGTCCAATTCATTTCCACTCGAGTTGATATGATGCCTCTTCTCCCTTGCTGAATCTCGCAAAGTCACTAGCTTCAGAGGGTACGGGATTGAAACTATCTGACGGGCTGTTATGGCTTCCTCCATGCTGAAAAGGCGAAAGAATGTTTCTTGCCGAACATTGATGGTGATGGACATGGTGAGTTGGCCTACCAGATTCAAGGATGGAGGGTGGGAGAGGTCATACTCTCAGTCCAAGTGCTCTGGGACCCGAGGTGGTTGAATCTGGTCGGGTCAGGTCAATTCGGGTCCGAAAGGAAAAGGCAACATGGCGTGAATAAGGTCCAGAAGACTGCTTTGCTTAGTGGGAGGTAGATTGGAATGTGGATTTGGGCGATGTTGGTTTCCTAAAGTCAAATCAAGGGTTTCAGTTCTAGATCCTTGATATGCTTCCAGGCCGGTCTCCATCGCCGGCGCTGATGGGTGGCAGTAGAAAGGTTTTCTGTTTGAATAGTCGATTTTCCTGTTGGCGTGATGTATTTGACGACAAGTTGTACCGATCAGGAAGGGGAGGACGAATGGGAAAAAGATGGAGAGACTAGAAGTCGGCAGACTGCGCTGTGGCATTAAGCATATGAGGATGAATAGGCTTTCAAATTGCCAACAGCGCAAAATCCTTCGTTGCAAACCTCTACAAAATGATAGAATTCGGTATAAATTTCTTTGAAAAGATTGCATAGGAAAAACTGAGACAAAAATTCTCTGGGGAGATTGCTTCGATAACTCAATAATTCACATTCCAGAGGGACTGACATCGAAAGCACTGAGTGCGTGATTCAGTTTCTCCATGGCATTTTCATTTTTCAAAGGCACGGCTGAGGCCAAAAATTCAAATCGTGTCTGATTGATCGAGGAGAGGAAAATTTTCATTTGGGAGGTTTCTCGTGGGCGAGGAACCATGCAAGCAAATTCTAACGTGAAAATTGGGGGCGGTCACACACATGTCACTAACATACTTTGTACGCTGTCATGTACAATGGGGTATGATCAAAGGATGAAGAATGAACTCTTATTTACCCCAGATGCTCGGTTGGCTGCTTTTGGCGCTGTTGCTGGCCAGAGAGCTCGGGCATGATATTCCCAAGCCAACCTTGGAAGCCAGGCCACCTCCTTAAGCGGAACGGAGCGGCGCGAGACGAGGCGAAGCGCCGTATGATGGTTTGAAGAGCTTGGACCAACAACACACCCTTGAAAAGGCAGACATTTTGACAGTCGTAATGGCCCCGGTAAATGTGAACCGAATACGTCAAAGAAGCTGGAAGCTGACATGCAGTAATTCCGATTTGGCCTTGAGAACCAAGCATGTCCAGCGGTTAGATATACGTAGAGAATCTGGGTTTCTCGGAACGGACATTCTGAAGTTAGCTCGGAAGCTGAGATTACAAGACGCCGGGTCCCCTTTTTTTTTTTAACAAGGTCTTGTAGCCGCTATCACAAGTTGGGCAATGCTTGACTAGAGTGATGCAGGCGGTTGGCTTGTTGAAATGGTGACGCGAGATCAAGCGAAGGGAGATGAGAACAAAGAGGGTTAGATTTGTCCAGGGTTATTTGGATTTTGGCCAGGATTTTGCTGACATTCGGCAGTTGGGCATTGATAGGTGATCGGGGGACGTCTCCGGGGACCAGAAAGTTTGTTAAGGGGTGATAAACGAGGATCTTCTCGAAGGAATAAATCAAGCCTCTAGAGTCAAGCCACCAGAAATTGATTGTTCCAAGGGTCCCGATCGACATTGAAAGCATTCGTGGCCAGCAAGAAGTTCTGGCCGCCGACAAATTCGTATCGAGGCGAGTGACAAATTGTTGTTGATGCCCAACAGATCGACAACGCAAATAATATTATTCAGATCAGGCACAGAAGAACGGAAAACACCCAGCCAAATCACCACTGATCTGCTATATTGAAGATCATACACCCAAGTTCCAATATTGAGACAAGAAGAGTAACGATTGTCCAAATACTTGACCAACACTGACTCGACAGATGAAGGAAAGTGAACCAAAGGTACTGCAAATTGTGGGTCGGTGGGACAAATCCGTCTTTCGTTCCTGGTTACACATCCGGCGGCTAAATCATGGCTGGAAATTTCTCGAGAAGAGGCGGGTACTTGGCCGGTTTGATTGCGCTTATTCCGCCACCCGCTTGAGCAGAGTACGGAGCCCAGCCTTGAAAATGATTTTGTTGATTTGGAAGTTGAATCTCGATTTGAAAAGGGTCCCCCTTAGACTAACGAATTTTGAGAATAACGGGACCCATTTTGATGTCCTTCGCCCCGCTCGGTTGAACGTTCTCACATTCTGTGTCCATGTGGGGAGTGGTTTCCACACACTGAAGAAGGCGGAATAAGGACCGCGGATTTGATTTCCAACCTTTTCGATTGATCCTGACGAAATGGGTATTATTGCAACTCCACAAATGGACACCGGATGGAGATACCGTGTGTCGACATTTGGAACGTTTCGGATATCAAGATCAAAGTCGCCCCCATGCAAATAAATCATGACGAAAACGATAAGATGGTCCACAGGAAATGATGCTAAACTAGTTGGCCATTCATTCGGGTTGGGATTCTGCCTTGAAACAGGATGTCGATCAATTTGAAGCTTTGATGGTAACAAGTGTCGGTGAGACGAGCATTCAAACGATCATTTCAGACAAGATGTGTCCAGCGCATCATGTTCCCCAATCGTCATGTGACACATGCTCGATGGATTGTACACAGAAATTTCAGGTGGAAAAAGTCTGAATGACGCATTCCTCATAGATTTAGCTATTGGTTCATGTCCTGATCGACCATGCGAGACGGCAACAAGGTGAGCATGGGGCGGGCCCGGTGTTGCACTCTGCAAGTTTGTGTTGTCCATATTTTTGCTGTGCTGTTCTGCTGGTCGCGCCTAAGAGTTGCATTCCTGTCGACTGTGACAAGGTGGGCCCATGACGCCCTTTTCGGCCGCAAACCCTGGTCAATCTATGAGGACAGGTCGAATCGTGAGTGGTGGATAAAGCCATCGGATGGGGTGGCCCTGGTCCTGAGTCCCTATCCAGACTTTTCTGCCATCGGTGTGGTCGTCACCATGCACCATGCAAGAGAACGTTGGACAACGATTACGAGGGAGAGCTGATGATGATGAGACAGATTGAATCCTGGAAGGGGAACCTAGTAATCGAGGGGTTTTGTGCCACCTAAGCCTCAAATGAGCGTCAGAACATCCAACAAAGTACTTTTCAGGTCGAGCTTTTTGATCGTGGTCGAGAGTTTATCTGTGACACTTCCCAGATCCTTCCACTGATGGCGTCTAATAGTAGTTCGCTCGGGGTTCGACATGAAAGCAAAGATGGTCTGATACCAGGTAACGATCCGTACCGGACGGGAAGACGGTGGGAGGGGAACGTGTCATGGCCATCGAGTCGTTTCTCTTGTTCCCCAGCCAAGTGGTGTTAAGTGTTCGCGATTGGAGTGAGGCCCAATGCAATCGCTAGAGGCACCGGTGACTAGTGGGCTTGGAGCAGGGGTCAGTAGGTGAGCGGGCAACAGGGTTGGGGGAGATACCCTTGAGCGAAGTAGGACATTGACATGTCTGACCCATCCGAGCCCACGTTGACGACGTCGTTCGTCAGGAAGAATCGACTAGCTGGGAGTAGAACCTGAATGGTTGAAATGGATGCAGTTGACTACTGTCACCAAGGATCAGCTAATAATGCCACACCCAGTTATTTTGGCTGTGGGTGGGGAGCCGAAAAACACCTGGCACGCTTCTCCACGTCGGAGGGCCTCCTTGCCCCTACGAACGCCAAATCTCTCGATTGATTGTACTGTCTCCTTAGGCCTCGACATTGTCTGCCTGGTAGTATTTCTGCTGTCCAATACAACAGTACTCCTGCTAAGTGAGGATAGAACAATAGCAAAGTAACAGGTTCACAGGATAGGACAGCTGTAGGAAAGTGGGTAATAGGTAGAGTAATGGTGCATCTGACACCGCATCTTTTTCTCCCATCTGCGGTCCCGCGTCCTGCAGTCCTGCGGTCCTACGGGCGTGAACCGCAGAACCCACACCTCTCTCACTTCGGAGTGACCCTCTACTCCAACCCTCTCAAACTCCGCTTTATCTCGCTCTCATGGTCCAAGCTATTTCCTTCTACCACTTCAATCCACCTTCAAACTCTGTCTGCGCCTCAACCGTCCGCACATCATCTATTCATTCCCCCCAACTCGACCTCACCAACGCGCATTTCCTTGAACTGCATCAACTCGATTCAATCCTCGTTCTTTATCCTCGTTGGAATTGGGCATCGGTTTTTGGCTCTCGCTCTTTCTTGCCGACAATCCCGCCTACACCGCATCAACCTTTTCCTCCGCTGTCTCCCGCTTGTTCCTTCGGCCAGTGCATGATCACCTTGCACGACTTGAGTCACCGAAACAATGTCCTGATAGCTGTTCAACCATTTTGTACCCCCCCTCACCCTCTCTGCTGCTCTTGTCCACGCCATGGCTCGAGACATGGATGCTCATTCGAGCTTCCTGTACCTCGTCGAGAACCTGCCTTCCTGGCAAGCCACCATTGATTCATTGTCTGTTCATGCCGCTCAAAAGAATGCCGAATTCGGTGCAGAATATGCTCGACTGGTCAATCAGATCAGACCGAAGCGTAGAAAGACTCCCTCCGTTGCCTCTATCCACACTCATGATGCTGAATCTCCAATTGAGTCTCCCACGACCTCTTCGAACGTTGATGATGTCGCCTCTCCATCCGATCGTGTCGACATCAATCCCCTCGATGCCGAAAACAGATGTTTATACGTACAGGCCCGAAGGAAAAGGAAACCAGACCAATCTCTTCGTTCAGGTGCCTCCGGCCCCCCCCAGTTCAGAAACAAGAACCAAGTCGTGGTTTACTATGATGGGTACTTACAAGAGCAGCTCGACAGCATGGTCAAACTAATTGGAGTTGGTCGGAATAATCTGCGAAAGGGGAAGAATGCATTGGCAGCGGCCAAAGGGTTTCGACTGCCCACCTTGACCACCCGATCTGGTCAAGGTTATCCTTCACTTGAAAATATCAAGAGTACCATGATATCTCGGAATGCGTCCACATTGCTACAAGGAAAACAATCCAGAGGCCCAAGAGGGCAACCCGCCTCCGATGATGAGACTGCTTTTTTCCAGGTCGACAAACAGCTGGAAATTATCCAATCGTTGTGTGAAACAGCTGCTCACCAGTTTCTTCGAGATGGAGATTGCAGGACTGAACTTGACTCCATTCATCAAAAGTTTGATCTCGTCCTTGAACAAGCTAAGACTACTGCGGAGTCGCTCAAGAAACTGCGAGGGGAAAGTCGTGCCTTATCCCAGGACGGGACCGACAATCAAGGATCCATCGGATCTGACCACAACAATAACAACAACAACTGCGCCCACTCAGATACGACAATATCTACCCAACCCTCAATGGAAGGCCTCAAAACACCTAAAATTGGCGCCGCCCCGGATCCGAGCCCTTTAATATTGAGCCACACCATGGAAGATATGAAATCTCGAGGAGCACTCTTCCGTGCTCCTGAAATTCCTCCCGACACCACGGCTGCCGTTTTGATGGCTGATACCATCGAGGTTGACGACGCCAGCGACCAAAGTTCCATCGAGGTGGACATTTCTCAATATCGACTTACCAGTCCTAGGAGAGCCGTGGTTTGATGAATCAATCCCCCAAGGATTGTTCTTTCGTTTCGATGTTTCTTGTGTTGCACCCAAATATGGTTTCTTTCTTTTTGTTTTTTTGGTTGAATTGCATTTCAGCGTGTTTCGATCTATCTCCAGCATATTCGCAGCAATTGAGCGGAATTCTGTTTTACATCCGGCTGAAGTTCGAAATGGAGCCATGTGAGGAAATGAGTTGACAGGAGATGGGACAAGAGCAGGGCGGAAATTTGGGAAGCGCCGATCCGGCCTATTCAGCATAGCATGGCGAGATAATAAATGCTCCAATTATCTATCGACCTAACATGACGGAAAGGCGAAGATGAAGGAAGCTAGGGAGGCAGATTTGGGAAATTTGGGATTCGATGTAGAAGGAGAAAAAGAAGCCTCTCCCAACCATTCCGATGTTTATAAGGATTGAAATGTCTTTGCACTCAACCAATCATACGACATCGAAGATGGATATCTTGGCTAGTTGGAGCAAGGCTTTGCAGGAACGAAGATGAGAGCCTTCGCACATGGCTGGACGATCTTTGTCAGATGCCAGGCTGGCCAGGTATTTTTGTTGGGAAAGCTGAGTGAGCACGATGCGATATCAGACTGTTACGGCCGATTGATTATCATGGATTTTGCATGTTTCGGATCCGAGGTATATTTTCATATTTGGATGCAATCCAAAGGGGAAGTATGGAAGAACATGTAGACTGGAATTGGAAACTGGAATTGCTATAGTGATTGATCCCTGGAGCTTGCCGTGGACCTGGACGGGTCCAAATAACCACGGGATTGAGGATGAAGACAAGGAATGGCATCGGCCTTGAACCATCGATCAATCCATCATTAAACCCGTAAAATTGATGGAAACTTGTTCGGACATCCTTCTCCACTCTTCTTCTTCTGGAATGCAAATCAGGGAACCCCGTGGACAAAGGTTACATCTGATCTTGGTCTAGATCTGTCCCGCGCATCCTCTTTCGTCCAAGTCATTTCGTATCCTGTCATGTCGTCGTATGGGAATCTCCGTGTGTTGCGCCACAGCCTATTGCTCTGGCTACATGTCCTGAGTAAACGGTGGTCGTGGTTGACTGCGCATGGTCCCGTGGGCGTCATGTTAACTTTTAGAGTAGTGTTTTGGAGATCGTCTTCGATAGCGGTCGTGTTCAACCTTGTCATGGTTGGCCAGACCGATTCCAAGTTTGACGTCTTCTGGGTGGACTTCTCCAGCGACGTTCATTCAACCACCGTTCCTGGCAGCCGTCAACATCCCTGCATCGTTAGTGGCTTGTTGACCAGCAGCTTTGACTCGCGCCTCCTGTACCACACCCCAGAATAACCTCCTCTTGACTTCACTCGCCAACAGACCCGTCACTTCCTCCGATGAGATCTTATTCCCTGCTCTGACGATCTGTTCCAAAGAGCCATCGCGGACCACTTTGAGATTCTTTTCTCCGGTCCCTGCTAGCTCTTGGACTCGTCTTCCCATGCTTGCGCTGCTTCGCTGTTTCTTGGCTGCGTCTCGGATCTTCAATGCGTGATCGGCGATTTGCTTGTTGGCATAGTCACGGTTGGTGAATAAAGGGGACTGCGAGAGGGTCGACACCCAATATTTGTTCCACAGAAGGCCGAGAAGATGAGTATCCAAAGTCGACTTGTAGTGGGTGACTTCCAACGCGTAGTATGAATTGGCGTGGGCTCCAAAATCTTCAATCTTGCCTGTGGGAATGGCCTGGAATTCGTCACTGTCATCGGTGAATTGTTTGTCTTTTGGTCGTTGGTTTTCCGGGTAGGTTCTGAAAGCACCGATTTCCACCTTGCCGGCACTGACCGTCCGATCTGGATCGATGACCACAGCCACAAATGGATCGTTCACCATTTGATGTGTCATTTGCGTGTCGACGTCGATACCGGAAAGCCAGCATCCATATCCTGGGTGTGAATGATACCATCCCACTGCATTTTCAAGCTGGCCTCCTCCTTCGCGAGAAGCGATGCCGAAATTCACCATGTATTCGTCGGCCTCGCTGTGTGCATTGACTCTGGTCTCCGTTCCTTCGACTGGGAGTCTGTATGCATCGGTGACAACGAGAGAGCGGCCAGAGATGTAACCAATCATCAGACCCATGATCTCGAGGCTACCACCAGAACGAGCATGGATGGTCATTTTGAGAAGGGCAAGAGCCGATATACGGACCTGGGTGAAGTAATTGAGGTCTTTCTTCCACGGTGCCGAATTCCGAAGAGCCCTGTCGGCGTCCGGGTCTGGTAGGCTGTATAGAGCATTTTGAGAGGGATCGATGGTGATGATGTTGTTCTCGGCCTCCCAGGTGCGCAAGGCGGAAAGGGTCGACATTGTGCTCTTGAAGGTGGGACTAGGTTATAGGCTGCTCATTCAGAGGTGTGAAAGATGTAGTGGTGCGTAGCTTAAGCTTTCGTGAGAATCGTCCAGTGTAAAATTGAAGAGGTTGATTGCGGTCTGGACATTCTGCCGGTGCTTACCTAAACTGCCCTCGCGGAGATTTAAAGGCGGTGGAAAGGGCCACTGGTTGCTGTGCAACCCGCCCACGATAAACAGACTCGAACCTTGGACATGATGCCATAGGCCACTCAACTTCAACCTGATGCGACAACGCCGCGACCACTTGGTGACCCTCTGACCCTCCTCCATGCTGTCTCTTCGTATGCCCACGCTCCCATCTGGCCACTGTCCACATCCCCATTTGAATTGAGCGTCATCATCCGACTGCTCGGCCACGAGCCTGAGTTGCCCAAATGCCAGCACCGATGGACACCAGCTACCTGACAACTCAAGTCACCACGATCATCGGTCAATTACACTCCATATTCGATGAGATTGGTGTACCTCGCAATGAACGCGAATCACGAGAAACAGAATTGTTCGCGGCCTTGTCCGACACTCTCCACAGCCAGCTTCGCCTCGTCAACTCGTACGTCAGATACGGCATCCGACGAGCTTCAAAACAAAGCACTAATCTTCATTGTCAGGGAGAAAAACCAAATGACCGAAGAAGCCCAGAACATTATCAAGACAATCAAACAGATGGAAGCGTCGCTGGACGACGAGAAGGATAGAGGTTACCACTTAGACACTAACGGCTTAAGAGTTACCCACCCTCTGATCGATTGTTTACGCGACCTGAAAGAGAAATACAATGTCGTGAGCAGACTTCATCGAGAACGTTTCGAACAAGTCAAGAAGCTAGTTGAAGCTCTTGAATCCTATTCATCACACCTCGAGTCATCCTTTGTCAAGATCCGGCTTCCCCCTACCGCCTCCAATACGTGTCCTCCCAACTTCGATCTGTCTCCATCATATGTTACAAAGCTTGACGAAGAGTTCACCAGAGTGTATGATGAATACAACAAGAGAGTGGCCATGGTTCAACAAACCGCGGAGGAAATCGTGAGACTCTGGTCGGAATTGGGCATTCCTCAGGCACAGACAGACTCGATGATTGTTCAGCATTACCGCGATTCTCCAGAGCAACTAGGTCTCCACCAAGCAGATCTGGATCGACTCAGAAGCCGTCGCGATAAACTGCTGGAGGAAAAGAAGGGTCGTGAGAAGCGCTTGAGTGAGGTGAAGAAGAGCATTGAAGCCCTATGGGATCGTCTTGGGATCGAAGAACCTGATCGAAAAGCATTCCTGGCTGCGAATCGTGGATGTGGCCTACGAACCATCAATGAATTTGAAGATGAATTGGCGAGATTGAACGAATTGAAGAGACAAAATCTTCATTTGTTCGTGGAGGATGCCCGTGTCAGATTGCAAGAGCTTTGGGACTCATTGTACTTCTCTGAAGAAGAGATGCTCGATTTCACTCCAGCTTTCTCCGACGTCTACAGTGACGCTCTTCTGTCAGCTCATGAAGCAGAAATTGAGAGACTGACCACGTTGAGAGAACAACGAGCACCCACGTTGGCCGCTGTCGAAAAGTACAGATCCCTGATTGCCGATCGCGAGGCTCTAGCCGCATCTGCCAATGATGCTTCGAGATTGATGCTGAAACCACAAAAAGGGGAGAAACGAGATCCTGGTAAACTACTCAGGGAGGAGAAGATGAGAAAGAGAATTGCCAAAGAGTTGCCCAAGGTGACAGCAGAACTGACAAAGGTCTTGCAAAAGTATGAGGATGAATATGGAAGACCTTTCCTAGTTCACGGGGAAAGATTTCTTGATGAGCTCGAAGAAGCAGAAGTTAAAGCACCACCACCGCGGTCCAAAACACCGAACGGCTTGCGACCCAAAACTCCCGCTCCTCCACAGACTTCGAAACCATCGTCCAGCACCGCAAAATCGGGGCCCCCAGCTCAACCAGGAAGTGTCGTGAAAGGTCCTGCACCACGATCAACGGCGAAGACGCCCACCGGTAATAGACCCGGAACAGTCAGACAACAGGCAGCACCAGCCCCCGCAGCAGCCCTTTCATCACAAGTCAAATCTCCTTCCAAAATTCCAGCCCGAGTTCCACTTGGGAATCTCAAGAATGGCAACAACTCCCCTGAACGTCGAGCTATTCCGCAGCCATCTTCACGTAACGTACCTGAGCCTCAACAGAATTATTCTCAGAATGCTAGAACCATGGGTCCACCAAGAGCGCCCCCACCAAAGATGAGAGATCTCATGGTTCCATCTTCCGAACCTACCGTGAACTCGCAACCCCTACCTTCATCTACCTGTCCCGAAAGTACCCTTTCCGCCGGTTCAAATGAGAGCAGTCGCTATGTTCGGCCCATGAGCCCTGAAGATGTATATGACGACCGAGAACGAATGTCGTACATGTCGGCTTCGCTGTTGAATCGAGATAGACAGCAGCAACATTACCAACAATCACAGCGCCAACAAAACGACACATGTTACCATTCTCACGTTCATCAATACCAGCCTTCTCACTCTTCATCAGCTTCTATGCGGAGCCATAGCACTCGTCATAATCCCTCCGCGCCGCCCTCGACCCTGCCAGGATCCCGCCAGACCTCCAACACTTCATCGAACATGACCACTGGTACGACGGCCAGCAGTAGTGAGAACTGGGAAACCTATTCCGATGCTTCTGTGATGGAGCCCGAGCGAGACGTCCGCGATCCCTATTACTCCAAAGTCCACACCCATGCTGTCACCACGAATGCTCTCGGCACCAGTCATAACCTTAATGGGAAGAGACCAATGACGGCGGCCGGTCCCGGTGGTGGTGCCTCCACAGGACAGATGGCTCCTCCACCTGCGAAGGTCAGGTTACAGAATCAACATCACGGATACCAGACCTCGCATTACGGACAATATAGAGAGATATCTGACGAAAACATCGAAGGAGACGGAGTCCGAGTCGAAGGCAGTGATGCCGCATGGAGTACAGAGCTGGAAGAGACGTACTAGTCAATTGGAATAAGGGGGTTGAGACGGAGTCAGTGTGGATTGGTACTCTTCGGCAATGAGATCTTGTTCATTCTTGTTCTTTCCAAACGTGTGATGATTGTCATGGTATGCCATATTTGGTGCTGATACTGGTCTTGAGTCTGGAGCCAATCATGTTTTTGGGAGGGAGGGAAGATGGGGGAGTGGGATTGTCTTGAAGGCGTTGGCTCGGGGGTTTCTGGTGTCTGGGTGTATGGATAATTTCAAAAACACAAGGTCAGGTCACAGCTACAATTTGGCCTTGGTTTGGGGACTTAGGACGTAGCGAGGGTTGGACATGGACATTTTTCGATTCTCTTACCATTCGAGAACAAGACCAAGAATCATCAAGATGAGGCTCTCACGCCTAGAACTTTTTTTCAAAATACGGTTCATTCTGGCATATCCCGTTCTCTCCTGTGCTCCCCACCCTATAAGTGAAAGATGGTCTTGTCTCATTCTGCTTCGTGATACTCTGCTCATACGCTGTAAGGTAAGGTGAGGCGGGTGACAAAGCGAAGTGTATTTTCGTGTATACTGATATACAGATCGGCCCAGGCTCATGGAATCCATCCCCATTCAATCTCCACGCTCGCAGTTTGATTTCGTGCAAGTTCGAAGACTAAAACACAATATCCAGATTCAATAAAAATCCTCCACAAACAAGGCGGTGCAGCTGTTGAGGCGTGTTTTCATCTCCAACCGAAAGACTCCATTGCGCATCCTGCTTGCTAAAAGTGGCCTCAAGCACTAACCCATATCCAACGGCCAAAACATGGAGTCGAATGTTAGATGTAAGAAGGGGCTCGGAGTTTCTGTGGCTTTTCCGCTTTTCTAACCTTGAATTGTACCTGATGTTGAAATTGAGATTTGAATGTCTAACCAGTCTATTATTTGATTGTTGGTCGTGGCTGGTCTCGTTAATGCCGTTTATGGCCGTTTCGGGCCAAGGAGCCATCGTACAGTCCTCGTCTTGAATCTCTCCGAAGAACTCCAACTCGGTATGTGCAATCGTTTTCGCGCGCGGTTGTCGACGAAGTGCGCAGTCGCATCGAGACGAGGAAATACCACGAGATTGTCGAACAATGTCGCCCCATTTTCAAGATCGTTTCTTGTTTCAAAGGGTCAACGAGCAGGGTGAGTCGAGGGACGAGTCGAATTCGGAACTTCTGACTCGAAGACGTCGTGCCAGTATTTCTCGACACGGCTGCAAATTCCTTGCTTGCCATTCCAACAACCAAACTTGTGCTCATATTCACACGCAGTACCTTTGATTTCTTCCCAGAACCTTCGTTCAACATCGACGCCAAATAATTCGATAGCTCGGTCTTGACTCATCCAACAACGCACCGAAGTTCCATTGGTGTCCCGAGTGGGGCCTCCAGATCCTGTAACTTCATCTGAAAATCCTCGCATTTGGTGGTCAAAGATCGTAGACGGGTCGAATTTGGGGAAGTTGGCATGGACGAAGAATGGTTTGACTCCACCGGATACGGTCTCGGAGGGATTCTCGCTTCCATGATCTTCCTCTTTGATTCGATCGTGAAGAGGTCCATGAACATTGGTAAAAGCGAAGTCGGCAATTGGATCATGTTGTGCCATGGCGCTTCCAAGATAGTGACCACTGGAGTCGAGCCGACCAAGAGCCATGACACGTTCATGAACAGCATAAAAAGGTTCCCCTAGAGCTGTAGCGGCCCAAGCAAACGTCTCTTTATCGCCCTGACCAGGAGCACCTTGGGAAAGTAAAGGGTAATAATAGTTTGGACCGTAGTAGTTGTAATATGTAGCCAGCATCAAGGACAAGTGATGTTTGGCTTTTGAGTACATAATTTCACCCGATTCGACAGAAGCTCGAAGATTCAGCGGGGGAATTTCGCCGATTTTGGCGATTTCAAAATAGTAGGGTGATTCGGAGGCGTACCAAAAGTCGGGCCAGACAATCATTCCAGTAGAATTGAATGGTTCTCCTTCAAACAGTGGAAGCGGGTCGTTTATGGGGAAGGCGTCGGAATCGAGGAGGAGAACTTCTTCGAAAGACGAGAACAGAATAGCCATGATTTTGTACTGGAACCGATCGATCGATACCCCTGAACTTGCAGTGCGGTATATATCGGAGAGAAGCAGGCATTTTGCGTTCAGAGTCGGTAACACATGGTTGCATATTTCGTCATCGTATTCAGATGCGTCCGCAAGGAAGACTTCGACGGGTAATAAGGACCTGGTCCTCCGTAGCATTCGTATAGAAATGACCAAGACTGGGAGTTGGTTGAAACCAGCGGTCATCACAACCCCTTTGGTGTCAGGCTCATATGGCATCTTCGGAGGATGGTTCTTCAAGTCATTCATGAAGTTTGAATGTGCTTCACGCATACGCTTGATATCGGCGGATTCCATGTACAATATGTCCGGTCTTTGACGATTGTGGGAAGCGTCGAACCCAATATCCAACTTTTGAGGGACGACCGGGTCAGGGACATGGTGGCAATTGGGATCGTTATTTAATATTATTGGGTAGAGGTTTCGCCAGAAGGATGCCTGACTTTCGAGAAGAGAACTTGGAGGAGGATCGCTCGTGGAATTTGTAGATTGTGAGGTCGGGCCTGGAACGGGTGAGGGCTCAGCCGGAGATGAATATATCCGAGTCTGGAGAAAGAGGAGGAAGAGAAATAAGGCGAGAAGCTGGGCAATTAGGCCCGACTTTCGACGATGCCACTGGCCAGCCAATGTTCTCGCGAATCGAGGGAGAAGCATCTTAATGTGTTATGGTCGAAGGGCCATATCGGGCGGAATAAAGGATAGTCGAAGAGGGCAGAGCGTATACGCGTTGATGGATGAGGGAGACAAAGAGAAATTGAAGGGACCGACTCGGGACTGAATTGGGAAAAGGACCACGACCGCAGCTGGGAACACACGGACACGGAGAGGGACAGCTGGAATGAGACAGACGTCACATGACAGAACAGAGGGTGACTTGCATATGTTTCAGGTTAGAGTCGGTTTGGGAATGGGCTGTTCATGATAGAAGGGTTCCGCTCAAGTAATTCCTGAACATTGTTGCCACTGTTCCATGTTTCTCTGCCACCGATATCACCATGCGAGACGCTTAGAACTGAGCCAGATGAAGTTCCTCCGGCCTAAGAGCCTAGACATCGCCTATCGGTTCGGCTCTAGGCATCCTCCCTAAAGAAGTGTATTTCTTCGATATTATTTTCTTCCTCTTGCTACACCGCAAAATTGAATAGCATTGAGCCTTTGCGTAAGCAGAAATCACCCTCGGCGAGCAAACATTCCCCATCGTCTACACTATACCTCAACGAGATCATCCCTCTGTCGGTCGATAGCCTCCTGTGCCGCCCTCAAAAACATCATTTCCTCGGACTTGAATTCTTTCACCCTCTCCGATCATTCTTCAGAAAGAATCATGATTTGATCTGGCTATCTTCCGCACGACGCCACCATGCCGGAACCAGTTTTGGCCTTGTCCATCACCACCCCTCAATCCTGGGCCAAACGGCATACCGTCAAACACCGCCGTCCTAAACGAAATGTTCTTCATCCAAATCAACTCAAGTTCAAGATCCAAGGGTCCAAACAGCAGCTCCTCCAAATGGCGCTAGCCAAACAATCTCCAATTCGAAAATCCCCTACCAATGGCCTCCAGCTTGATCCTTTTCAAACTTATCCCATTCCAACAACTACATGTGTCGCCAACATGGCCCAATATTGTGAGATGACGCCTTCTATCCCGAGATAAAAGAAGCTGATCCAGCTTTTAGTCATGCAGGTTTGGGGCCCTCAACATGGTCGAGCATTTGCTTTCGATGGCTATCCCAACCCGTACCTGAGCCTTCTTTGGCCTTTTGCTCTCCAATCCGACCTCTACTTTGAAGGCTTGATTGCTTTATGTCGAGCTACCTCGTTGGCCAGTCAAGGTCGATCTGCCCGTGAAGATAACGCTTTTGCCTTCCATCGAGGAAATGTCATGACCAAACTTCGCGCTCGACTTCAAAACCCACAAGAATGTGCCGACGACACCACCATCTTGACCGTCGCTACTTTGGGCACCATCGATTATATTCTCGGTGATCATACTGCTGCCACCGCTCACGTCTCCGGCATGCGGCAAATGATCAAAATTAGAGGCGTTATCAATCCGACCACTCCTTGGGAACGATTGCTACAAGCCAACGTCGCCGCCTACGAATCGTTATGGTCATTCTTATTCGCAGCGGACTCTATGTCCGATGATACCCCTCGACAGTCTGGCCAACTGGTGCAAAACGCAGAGTTGCCCATATACATGACCCATCCTTTCAAACCCGAAGTTTGTGAGATGCTATCCAAATTACCTCAAGGGTTCTGTGACATCGGTCTCACCGGAGTCCTCTCCCTGCAAATGATTCGCCTTTTATCGGAGTTGACCTCCCTGATAGCACGATTCTCAGTGCCATTCATGGAAGAACACGTCGAAATGACTTCCCGGCCGAAAATGCAAACCACCCTCGAAGATCTACACCGTCTTTCCACTCTCCAAACGACACAGACAGAACGATTCCTCTCGCACGGCTTGGTAGCCTTCTGCTACCTGCTCCGATTCATCCACTTCCAGGATAAACTGACCGGCTTCTATGAAACAGCTTTAAAGGCTTTGACCACCGTTGCTCTGCGTCAAACTCCAACACATAGGGCCCCTGATCGAAGATGCCATCTGTGGGCCAATATGATGATTGCCACTGCTCTACAGAATGGCCAGCATCCGCCGCCAGCGTGGAAATCCGTCATGCAACAGTTTTTGGATAAATACTATGAAGCTCGCCAATGGAAGAAACTGGAGAAAGAATTGAAAACATTTTTTTGGGGTGAGAAGGTCTCGGAGCTTTGCAAGGAGGCTTATGATGAAGCGGTAAAAAGAAATGAGAAGCCCGAGGCAACTGAAGAGAGACCTTCTCACCATTCCACCATGGCTATTCGAAACGTGATTCTTTAGTGTTGCTGGCCTTGTTGAGATAACGGCTTCGACTTCGCATGGAAACATCTCTCTGATTGTCGGACGACTTCCAAACTCCAAGAGCAACATCAAACCGTCCTAGTGGAAGAGGGGCCTTGTTGTCATGCCAATCAAGGACTATCACGTACACATTATCGAAAAGCGGCACTATGATCAAAGTCAAAATATGAAAACCAGACTTCTCGGGAGACTTTGCATCCAAATGCTACCAAGATAATGCGCCGACTCCGTTTGATCACGTGCCGGAGACCTTGGTCATGATGTTGAGAAAGGGGGCGAGTCCTCTTCGCGTTAAACTCGAGTATGACCATATGCATTCGATTGCATTCGCACAGGACCATCCAAGGTCGTTGATTGCCGCTCAGGTTGGAGCATGGTTCACACTTTCAATTTCGTCGTTGTAGACTTGGGGACTATGTCACCAGAAGGGAAGGGACAGGATGCGCATGATATGATACCCGCCAAGATTTATGCACAGGAGGACTAAGTTGGGATGAGACAGAACGAGATCGGAAGATCAAAGACTTTACATTATGTTGAACTGAAAAGATCCGATTGACTCGATTTGATGTTTATTCTTGTTTTTTGTTTTGATATCAGTGACTCAGCACACGTACAGACCCAGGAAAAGGGGCACTAAGACAGTTATTTGAGCGCACCGCAGGGTGCTATTCCATCGTTCTTTCCGCTCTTTGTGGGTTTGCCAGCGGTCGAGGCGAGGAGGCGGAGATGCGTTTTTTGTCGAAGCAATATTGTGTAGTCGTATAAGGCATCTCCATTTCCTCTGTGCAGTGAATCTCCTCTGGAGATGATCTCCCGTGAGATCATCTGTCTACTCTGTGAAGAGTGTATGTGGCCAAAGGGGCGCAGAAGGCCGCGATCGGTCGGTCTGGAAGTAAGGGTTGAGATCGGTTGAGGTGGTGATGTTCAGGTGACATTCGACTGCGACTTTGCCTGGAAACCCGCGAGACGCTTTTCGCAGGCAGGAAATTGAACGATAACGGGGAAGCGATAGCCTACCCTCGGATTGAAGAGGGGTTTGGCTGCTGAAGCACCGGTTTTTGAGGTCTGAGGTGACCGGGATGCTGTGAAGCGAGCGAGAAGAGTGTATTTCTCTCATATATAGAGAGGGAAGAAGGGGAACTTGCTTGATGAATTATTTGCAGACCTGAAAAGGAAGATCGGTGGTGGGAGGAGAGTGTAGAGACCAGTGAAACATTGAGAATGAAGGGAAATTTTATATCAAAACTGGCTTCTGTGATGATTCATCGGGCCTATACAGCTCCCAATCTTGACCCTTCAACGGAGAATCAAGATCCCGGATGGCTGATATATCACTCATATTGAGAAATCAACAGGTACAAGACCCTAATACACCATTTTTGGGCGGTCAGAAAGATCGATCGAGATCGTGAAGAAGATTCCCGGTTGTCTTTACAAAGAGAAGTCCAAGGCACCACTACCTACCTAGGCTTGGGCATTTACAGTGGTGAAGAGTAGAGATCATCTCATCCCAAACCATTTTGAAGTGGAGGATATTGGGGATGATACTCTCTTCGATCAATCTCCTCGAACTTGGCCCTCGGCAATGTTTTTGTTGATAACTATCAATGGGGACAGTTTATCTCCTGCGGCCTTGCGGCAGACCAATGTAGGTAACTGGTATACTCAGACCTTGGTTAAACAGGAGGCCTGACGGTTGGTACGCAGTCGCCACTCTCCTTGCACATTCAGGTGCACTTGCCCCTTGAGTCTGTGACAGAGACGGAAATGCCTGGAAGGCCAGACAGAGGGATGTCACTCAGATCGAAAACCGGTCTTCCGAGAGCCGAGAAAAGTCAAGAGGGCACTATAAGTCATGGATAAAGAGTCTTGACGCCCTTCTCCAGATGATTCTTCAAAGCTTTCGGAAACTCCTCTCACCAAGGCTGGACAAGGTGTTTTGACGTCTTGAACTGAGAGTGGCTCGGCGTTGTGCAACAATGGCTTTGTCCAATCAAAAAGGGGGCTCGAGGCAAGATTCGCCAATGATGTTAGTATGGTCGTAAGATATGTGATAACACAAAGACAATGACCAGCCGTAATGACAACAGCAGTCGACAGCCCCAAATCAACGGCGATGGTCGCCCAGCTATTGAGTAGAAGTGCTGTTGATGTGTAGCAAAGCTAGGCTATGGCGGACCCATCTCTTCCACTTCGTCTCGTCCTGTCATTTGCCTTATCTGCGTTATGGATCTTCTCGAGCTCAGTGGCAAGAACTTCAAAAGCTGTTCGAAGAAGGAAAGAGAGTCGTGAGTATCGCCATTTTCGTTGAGATGGTTCGGCGGCACGAGCGCTCCCGTTGAAAGTTCTTCGGGTTCTTCGGTAGGTGGCGAGGCAGTCAGACAAGTTTCAAGACCACTCAAGCTCACAAACAGGATCATCAGCATAATTCCTCGAATTCATGTTTGTGCTAGAGGACCTTTGACGTTTTGATATCGTCGAGGAAAGATAGAGGAAGAAAAGAAGTGGAAGTGCTGGACGATTGAGGTCAAAAATCAGCGTGATAGGAGCTCACGTCTGGCGGGTACATAAGCGGTGCCGAACAATCCACTACGAACACAATTTTGGGCTTCAAGATATCTTCCTCTCAACCAGATCTTGACAATGGACACAGCAATAACGCTGCTGGAAGGATGGTCAATTCAATTCAAAAACTTCTCGATTGAAGCGCGGCCATGATGCCTACTTTCAATGAGCAAAACTTTGCGTCAATCTTCCGTGCCTGCTTCCTGTCACATCATCAGAACACCATCCCATCCATCCATTTCCTTTGGAATCAATCGAGCCCGATGTGGAAAACCCCGTTTCTAGCGGATATCACTAGTCAATCCTCCTGTGCAAAGATACTCCGAACTCCATAAGCATGACCATGGCGTACAAGGTTACTCCGATATGCGAATCGCGCGAAGCGCTCAGAGCATGGGCCCCACAGCAGAGTACGAATAAGATTCAGCAAAAGTCCCCCTCAGTGTGTGAGTTCTTATCTTCTCTCTTCCCGACGAGTCTAGCGCCTCACGAAACTCCTTCCTTTCTTAGACATCCTCGTTTCTTTCTTGCTCAAGGCACTCGAATCGTCGAGGCGGTTCGTCATCCATGGTCTGTCGTTCGGAGTCATGGACGCAATCCGGGGACGAAGCTTACCACAATCCTCCGTTGTGACAGACGTTAAATTCCTTACCTACTGGGCTGAAATCCTTACCAGACCTCCTTCTCGGGCATATTAGCGAACCAGAATTCACTCAACCTCTTTACACAAACCTCTTGTTGGCAATCAGTGTCAACTCTGGCGGGCAACCCCGACTGAGACTGGAGACTATTGTAACTGTCGCATCCATCAATTGCAACAATCCACACACTACCTGACCTGACCAAAACCAAAGGAAGACAAAGGCCAAAAAATCAAAATGGTAAAACTTTTGATGGAAACCAGAACCCCCCAGCAATTTCTCGGTTACTTGGGTCAAACCAACTAAGGCATCGAGGATCGGGAGTTGGGTCTCAGTTTGGTTGGTAGAAAAGCTGTAGTTTTTCATGCTCAGGCTGATACTGATGAGAACGGGTTGCGAGTTCAAGGCGGAAGACAACTCTGATATCATGATTCAGGACTAAAGAGACGGGATCAAACAACGCTCGAACTCGACTCAAGTGACAGGCAGACTAATTCTGTTCACCTCCATTTGTTGAATCCAATCCCACGATCGAGGTATGCCCCTCCCATAATCCAGCCAGGACCGTTTCACCACCTCATATGCCAGCTTGACATTGCCCAGGGCACTGAAATTCCTCAACCGCTCAAACACGGCTGATATCTCGGAGCGATGTTCGGGCGTGACACTAGCAATGCCCAGGACAAAAGCGGGAAAGAGCAAAAAAGCCAGAACACCTCTGGCCTGGATCTGGTGCATGTTGTCCAGCCCGTTCCGGACGGCTATTTTCACCTTGTCGTCGCCTATGTTATCCGGGTAGATAATGGAGTAGAGCCAGACAAACAGGGCGGACGTGTACGCGGAGAACGCAAGCGTCTGGTCACGGTCGTCCGTGTTGGGTTTCCAAGCATCCAGCGCTTCCCAGATCTGGATGGCTTCGAAGATGACGACGGGGTTGGACCGGCCGTGAGTTCGGGCGCTGGAACGTAGCCCGACGATCTGCGCGATCAAGTCAAAGAGCCCGTTGTCGACGCCAATCATGTAGACTTCATCTTCAGTCTGGGAGGAGGCACGCAACGTCGATTTTAGCAGCGGCTGGTGCATTGGGTCGGTCACCCCGGCCAGAATGTCGTGGTAGACGAAGAAGTCGAGGAGGAATTGGTCGATGCCCAGGGACGACAGGGCCTGTAGAGAACAAGACATGTCGTGATTGCCGCGGCATGATACTCTCAGAGCATCTTGGATTAAGTCTCGCGCTTCATCGAGTCGGACGCGCCATGTCAGATTACCCGATCCCTCGGAAATCTCGTAGAGGCATAACAAAAGTGTACTGGTCAGTATGGCTTCGAATTCGGCGCTGGTTTGTCTTGGGCCCGAGGCTCTCAGGGCCATCATCCGAGCCGTTTGTTGAGTGACCGCGTTCTTCAGGATGCGATTTTTCTCGGCTTGTGTCTGTAGTTCTGATTCGGGCTGTAGGTTAGCGAGATGAGAACCTCCCAAGCACGCGATGGCCTTGGATATCATGGGGTCGTCGAGGCTACGAGGCAGCACGATCGTCAACAGAGGATTCTTCTCGTTGTTGGAAATAGTGAGCACGCGTGACGTCACGTTTGTAAAGTGAAAAAAGAACTTTTGCTCGGTCCGCGAATCGACGCCGTTTATCAGGAAGGGAATACTTCGGGGAATTTCTGCTTCTGAGCTCTGCTGCCGTTGCTGAAGTTGATACGATAGTTGTTGTTGTAGCGTCGAAGTTGCCGTGTCCATTTGAGGATATTCCATGATCGACCCGTCCATGGCCGTGGACAGATTGGAATTGCCATAATTGACCATGACACCGAAATTGTCCGTGGTATCATCCGGAAGAAACCAGTGGAGAAAGGCGTCATTGCCCTCTACCGTTGTTTGTTGCGCGACAGTCGCTGCCGAATTGACATTGTGTATCGCCGGCGACGTCTGTGCCGGAATCTGACTTGGACATTGAGCCTGACCTTCAGGCGACTGGCTTTGACTTTGAGATAGTCTCTTGGTTTTATGTTCTTCATATCTGACGATAGCGGGATATCCCTCGCAGATGTAACCACTCCGGAGACAACCAATGCCTAAAATTCACACACCAACACTCTACGTCAGCTCACATGGTCGTCTGATGAGAAGAGAGAGTGGGAGGGAGGGACTCTGTGACGTACATTGTGGCTTGGTCTCATCACATTTCTTTCGTCGCCGTCGACAGGTAAAGCAACCAGTTCGGCCACGCTTGATCTGTGCCCGGACACCCGGCATGGAGATGCCAGATTTGGCTTTATTCGCTGAAGTGGCGCCTGGAGGGGAGTTCATTATAGCGTTGGAGTTGGCCGCCGGGTGGTGCGGGACCATTTTGATTGGCGACCCTGCTCCCCAGGGGTGTGTCCCTTATGGGCTGATGGGGTTTCGCCCCAGGACCCCCAAGTCAACTGAAGGCCAAAAAAAGTAGCCCAAGGAGGTCCTTCTCTTTCCAAGTCAGAAACATGACAGGATTTCGTCGGTGACTATATTAAGGTTGATTTTCACAAGATAGACGAAGGGTGAAAGCTAATTCGGACCGACAGTCGGTCAAAGCAAGAGAGAAGAGAGAGCAGCGGAGTGGGAGAGGGGAGAACTGAGATAACAATGCTTATCAGTTTGAAGAGGGATTCTTCCCCAAGTTGAAGAGGCTTGCCGCGGAGGCATCATTGGATTGGTGGAATCTCCCCCATCACTCGCAACAAGCGAATGCGGATTCCACGGGCCGGCTGGCTAGTTCCGGGCATTCTGGCAAGCCATCAAGGTTCATTTTGAGTGAGCAGCAGGGGAAGGGGGGATTCATTGGTTACGCATGGTGCTTTTGACAACTGGCATCCCGACATCCTGACGTCCTAGCCATCATTGCGTCAAATACGGCCATATGCATGTCTTTGCATGCCGGTCCATGCCTTCACCGACATAAGTTCCCTCGAATCTGTGACAGGATGTGACAGTCGCCATTCCCCAAGGACTTTGTCGCTGTCAAGCGGTACCGTCCACCTGAAATGCATTTCCGTGGTCGTTGACCGGCTCCCTTTTTGCGCCTCGGAGACGTTGTTCACACCATCTTTCAACGACCTTCCCCCACATCGGCCAGCCTTTATACCTAGCCATCTCCGGCGGCATTGCTCGAATCGCCCCCAGCAACTCTCTCACACTCTCGATGTCGTCCTGTAGCTCCAGCAAAGGTGTCATATATGTTCTGACCGTGAAGAGAATTGCCTCCGTCTTGGGCAGTCTTCTCAATGTCTGTCTTTCGTGTCTCAGCCGAATATCTTCGACTTTCGGCGGTCCAGGCAGTTCGGTGAGGAAAGGGTCTTGCTGGAATAACACGTCGTTTGTCTGGATGAAGAAGTTGTGTCGTGCAATCGGACAGTCAGGCTTCATCTTGAGGAAATATCTGTCTGATGTGAGCCAGTATTTTGCAATTCCATGGGCTATCGCATACCGTTCCACTGATTTTCGAATCGTGTCCTGCCAAAGCGGTACTGGTGAGTGTATCTTCCACAGGGGCCAACCAATGCGCTCTTCCAGGTGCCAGCCTGCCGGTGCCATGCTGAAGCTTGCTACTCTTCTCTCATATTAGCCGTCGCTCTAGGGGGGACATCGTCGTCGACTCACAGATAGTACTGGTCGGGGTCACCACCATGTCCGCGAGCCAGCACATTAAGATCCTCCATGACCAGCTGGGCGGCAATCTGCAGGGGTGGCATGTCATACGGCTCCGTGATTTTGAATGTCAGACCAGTGAGCTTGTTGTGGAGGTAGTCTGGTTTGTCATCCATGATAAAGAAGAGATGAGGGAAGCGTTTGGTGACATAGTCAACAATCAACTGGAGGGTCTCGCTACAAGCCGCCTCAGATCCGGGGAGCATTTGAAAGACTCCCTCTCTTTGCGTCTCCAACAAGTGCCTTCGCAGCTCCTGCTCTTCCCAGTATCGATTGTCGAGCCATAGCCACTCCTCATGCTTGACCTGTTGAATTCCCATGGACATGACAAACTTGCCGGACTTCCACGGTCGATAGGGATGGGGGTTGGTCGAGGCGACATCGAGGTCGAGTAGGGGCCGGATTTCTGTACTTGAACGAGGGATCTTCTCCTCCTCCGGGGCTTCCCCAAGATGGAACTTGTCCCTCCGCCGGCCTCGATGCCGCAAGCTCCAATAATAAATCAGGCTGGCGACAGAAAGGAGAAGTACTGCACACGTGACGAGACTTGGCGGGAGGAAGTGTATCGAACGACTTTCCATTTTTGGTTGCCTTGTAGACCATGCCATCGTCTCTTCGAGGTTGTTCCCTCCGCCTGGTCTTCAATTCTTGAACTCATGGATTTGATCAACTTGAAGCATTGATATCCAGCGCTTGTATGGGATTCGCTTGGCGGCCGGTAGGAAGCGGGCACCACCTTTGCTGTGTCGGTGTCGTCTATCCCAACTCGAATAACCGACCGCTTTAAGCGCTCGAACCGCCTCTACCACCGATAATGCTGGCCTATCGCCACCAGTTGACGGTGGCGTGCTATGGACCAGGACATTCTAGATTGCCCACAGATCGAGGCAGTCGGCGAACGGCAGCTTGGTGCTATTTCCCTGGACTTTCATCCACCCTAATTTTCTGACAGACTTTCCTAGGTACTGTAGCCCCTGTTGGAACCACGATAACTGTGCCAATCAAAGATAAGCCAAAGTCATATATATGACCAACTCGAATCCTTTCTGTTCCACAGCCTTGCATTGTGTTACGTTTCAATCGAGTCCACCATTGTGAAAAAGTCCGCTTCCAAGCCGTCATTCATCGAGAAACCCTTTTTTTTTTATCGGTTTTGATATGGCAGATTCCGCCCAGAAAGATCAAAAGGTCAACGTTGATCCTGTGACATCTAGTGAAGAATCCATTGCTAGAGGATCAATCACTGACGCCGACGATGATTTACTCAGACATATTGGCTATAAACAGGTCGGTAGGAGTGACCACCGGCAACATAAGTACTAATCAGGATTAGGAATTTCGGCGCGAATTTACGAGATGGTCGACTTTATCCTATGCCATTTCAATCATGGGAGTCTTGGGCTCGGGTCGGTCTATACTTCCCCCTATTTCAGGCCTCCATCTAAATTTTACACGTAGTCTCCGCGTCATGGTATTCTCCATTGGCTGCCGGTGGTCCGGCTACTGCGATTTGGTGTTGGTTCTCCGGGTCATTCTTTGCACTATGCATTGCACTATCAAGTGAGTGTAACACGGCTTGAATCATCAATCCCCGAATTGACATAGCAGTTGCCGAACTGGTTTCCGCATATCCTACGTCAGGTGGCATGTATTTTGTCACCAAGCACGTCTTTCCAGAGGATAAAGTTCCACTGGCAGCCTGGATTATTGGATGGAGTAACTTTTTGGGACAGTGAGGACATTTCATGACATTGATGGTTTGCAAGTCGCTGACTACGGCAGGACGGCAGGTGTTGGTAAGATTTGAGACAGCGAAAATTCCAGTAGAAAACTCACTTTCAAAAAGCTAGTGTGGGTTATTCGGTAGGACAGATGGTACGCACATTACTCCCACCGAAGCTATGTTTACTTATAGACACAGATTCTTGCTGCAGCCTCCATGGGCTCAATCCAGGAAGATGGAACTTTCTCTTATGTGCCGTACGAAGAAACAATCGTTCAAAGAGAGCCTATCTGACCCAAATCAGAACAGCAGAGCACACAGTGGCGGTCAGTATAGGCGTTCTTATTTGCCATGGAATAATCTGCTCTTTCCCTTCGAAGGCTCTCAGCCAGACCATTAGGTGGTTTGCCCCTATCAACCGTAAGTCTTATCCCTAATCAAACATCTTCCACTTCTCAGCTGTCCGCAGTGCTCGGTTCAGTCGCAGTCACAATCGCCCTTCTCGTTCTTACGGACAACAAGCATTCTGCCAGCTACGTCTTCGGTCATGTTATCGATGGTTCGGGATGGGGAAGTCGAGGATTTTCATTTTTGATCGGATACCTCTCTGTGGCTTGGACTATGACCGACTATGATGCTACAGTATGAGATTTCAACCAGATGTCGGTCCGGGACGTACAGACTGACCTTCTTCAGGCACATATCAGTGAGGAATTGCATAATGCGGCAATCTCTGGTCCAGTGGCAATCTTTCAGGCTGTCCTCGTAACATGGGTGTGTATCATTAGTCCAATGCGTCACACACACAAACTGACGACACGAAACCAGTTCTTCGGTGTGATGCTCAACATTGCCTTGGGTTTCTGTGCCGGTGATCTTCTTGATACCCTTAGTTCCCCCATGGGAAACCCAGCGGCACAGGTCTATTACAACGCCGCAGGGAAAAAAGGTGGTCTGGCACTCTGGTTCTGGCCCATTTTAATCCAATTTTTCACAGGAAAGTCTCTTTCCCTCGAAACTTGTCACCCATGCTAACCCTCGGGCACTATAGGTATCACCGCAATGCTTTCAGACACCCGAACCTGCTTCGCTCTCGCACGCGACGAAGCATTCCCCTTCTCCCATACACTCCGCAAAATGAACAAATACACCCAAACCCCCCTCTACAGCGTCTGGGTCGTCGTCATCTTCTGCTGCCTCCTCAACCTCATCGCCCTCGGCAGCGCGCAGACCATAAACGGCATTTTCGGCGTGACTGCCCCAGCCATGGATTTCTCATACATCGCCGTCATTGCGGGCCGTCTGTACTACGACAAGAAACACCCTATCGCCAAGGGCCCCTTCCAGCTCGGTATCTGGCAGAAACCCATCAATTATATTGCCATCCTCTGGACGATTTTCATCTCGGTCATTCTGTTCTTCCCGCCTGTCAGCCCCGTGACGAGCGCGAACATGAACTACGCGGTGGTGATTGCTGCGTTCATTTTCTTTTTCGCGCTTTGGTGGTGGTATTTTGGCGCAAAGAAGTAAGTTGCTCATATCATGGTTCCAGAGGATGCGATAGGGATAGAAGCTAACAACTTGTATAGTCATTATATTGGTCCCCGGACTGAGGACCAAGTGCGGGATTCAGGTCAAGTCCACAAATCGGTTTGAAACATGACCACTACCAATCCGTGCTTGGTTAGCCGCGCACTGTTTCATGACAATATTGTTAACGGGTTTTGTCGGAGGGAATCGGGATAGAAAGCGACAGAATGAATAGATCTGTATTCGGTCCCTTTCGTACTTGACTAAGTCAAGTCAGAGCAAGGTGCTGATGGTGGATGATTGAGAAATATCTTCTTTCAGATGAACATATTACTATGCCCTCGTCGTGAGAAGGAATGCACTGAATTATTGGAACTCTCTCTGGCAGCAATATAGCTAACATCTACAGAGAGAAGACACGTTAAACAGATCTTCCTCTTGGCAGAAATGGGATGATACCGTGGGCGTTTGTCCAGCCAACCAAGAGTAAACATTTGTACAATGCTGCATTACACAACGCATACACGAACCGACCCCGTGGCCGGAGAAAAGTACTACATTCATGAATCATTACGCAGCCCCTGCCTATTTTCATGACTGCCCTGGCTATCAAGGATATGTTTGAATACGTGGTAGTGGTATCTTTCGCATTTGCCAACATGTATAAATATCATTCGACAATTGGAAAGGTGAAAGTCGTTTCTTCTTCCGGTCGCTCTCGAATGTGAGGACGTCCCAGAACGCTGGCCCAAATACATATAGTCCAAACCATCCTGGTACTGCCCATCCATGAATCCCGCGCCCCAAGCACCTTTCATATTCTATGAGTTGTGGGCCTATACCTGGCCTTCCCTCCCATCGACGCCTGCCATCCGTCTGTGTATCCAAAAATGTAGAATGCAAAATCCCATCCCTCTTTGAAGGTCAAGAGAAACTCAACGCCATTCCCAGCCCCCTTCCGCTCCAGTAGAAATACACCACCACCAATGCTCAGTGGTTTCGTATCCCTTCGACCTAGCGTCCATCTTTGCAAAGCCCGCACTCACACTCCAAGACATAAGGAGGTCCACATCATCTACGTCGATCGCAAATCCCAACGCCCTGGAAACTTCGCGGGCGGTGATGCCAGGCATTTGCGCAACAAGGCCTAAAACGCCGACGACAAACATCTCCCACAGCGTCACTTGCAGGGTCCCGTGGATATCGATCCACGGCGGAATCAGGCCCATGTCGTCGTCTACTTCGCCGCGAGGAATGGGGATCTTGCGCCCGTCGAGTTTCGGATCGCCGAATTCGTACGCAGCCGTCGGGGCGATCTCGACACTGAAGCCGAGTAGCCCCTTGTCCATGAGTTTCGTCCTATACCCGACGCGCTCAGAGTCAAGACCATAGCGAGTCCGGGGTACATCTCCGCCAGGGCTAGCTTTCACTTGCCCTGTAGCCATGAGGTTGAGGACTGCGACCATCTCGCCATCGTCTACAATTCCGTCTTTCTCAAAAATCGCGCTCTCACCAACCAGGAATGTCTTGTCGAGTACTTCCAGTTTATACGCGACGGCGCGCCGCAGCATTTTCGCACTGATCATCCGGCGGTCCTCGAAGCGCTCCCAAAATTTGCGGGCTGCCTCCCACGTGCGTACGGCTGATAGCTGGTCGGTGTTCTGGTCTTTGTAGGCTCGTGAGATCATTTTCTCGTCTTGAAGCAGCTTAAGTGCCCGTAGCAACAGAGTTTCGCAGGTCGAGGTTGTTGGAGCGAGTGTCGAGAGCTTAGCGAACGCGACGGTCGGGTTGAATGTTGATTCAGGCGTGAGGACTGTGGCGAGGGCCCAGGACTTCGCAAGTCGAAAGTTCCGATCGGCGGTCTCGAGTTCCAGTTCATAGCGCGGTGTGTGTTGCAGAATGGGCGTTTCATGTGAGACAGGTCGATGACTGAGTCCGGAGACGATGGACTTGACCATATCGTCTTTGACAGGTCCAGGGACGATGATGTTATAACTCAAGATGCTGTGAAGTCGTTTTGGCTTGGTGAAGGTCAAGTTATGAGTATCGAGAAACTCTTCTCGGTGTGCAGGGAGGCCATCGATTTGCCTGGAATTGAATCTATCAAGGTTCTTTAACGCCCATTCCACAATACCTTGCCAATCTGTAGCCTTGAGGTTGTCGAAATCGACGGAGGCGACTTTGCCGGCTTCCAGGGCATCGAGGTATTTCCATTGGAGATTCTCTGTGAGGCCCTTGATGTCTGGCCGGTACTTGTTCGACAGTGTCTTCCAGCAGCCTTTGATAAAATCTTCCCTCTGGTCAGGGAAAAGGGTCATGACTAACGGCCAGTTGATATAGCTTTCGATTCCGCCTGCGAGGGTGCGGACGACAACCACAGAAACAGCGATGCGATAAAGTGTTTCTTCGGGAATGGTCCGGAGATATCGAGTATCTCGCTTGAAGTTTCTAGGCGTCCTTGTCTTATCAGGAAATACCCGACGCCGGTCTTGCCTCCTGCCGGATCCTCTAGCACCGCCTCCTCTTCGTCGCTTGGTTAGAGGTGCAAAGGCGCCATCGTCGTCTGTAGCCTTGCGCTTTGCGGGTCGATTTGAGCGTCGGACGCTAGGTGTCTTGGGTGGAGGTGGCATTTGCGTCAACTCTTCAGAATTGATTCCTGCAATCTGGGACATCCTTTCGAGAGAGGTTTGGAGAGCCGTCACGAAGACAGGCCATGATCCTGCAGGGGGATGAGGAATCTCAATCTCGGAGCCATCAGGGTCGAATTGCACGAGGCCGGCAAATTCTATCTCTGGGCTTTGAATTGAGTCTGCATATAGTGCTGATGGGACCATGTGATTGATAAAGGCGTATTTGGATCGCTGAGACAGGAATGTTTCGGACTCCTGTTCTTCCCAAGCGCGAACGCCCTCCACCTCGCATGCAAAGCGTTGCCAGTTTGGATCATCAGATTGAATATCCTCAAATTTGATTTTTAGTTCTGGGAGTTGAAGGATATCGTTCAACGACGATGGAAAATTTTGACGTGCTGCTTCAGCCCAGACAATTGATCGACCAGGCTGACGAGTGGTTGGCCTCCGACCCCTCCTTGCAGTTCTTCGAGAAATTGCCAATGTCGGCTTCCAGGGATTTGACGGCGTCGTGTCGAATCGCAGAGCATCTACAGGGGTTTCCATTCTCCAATTGTAGATTTGCACGGCTGGAAGTGACCCTAGAGATGGCACTTTGAGCGTGAGGAAGCCAGTGGCAACTGGCATTGGAGGTGGTGGAGGTGCTGGTTCTCTAGTCATGCTTCTGGCCGTCCTCGTACTCGGTGTTGTAACAGTTGACACCGAAGATTTGCGCCGTCTTCTGGCCGGAGGGCTCGGAGGGTTCTCTTGAGACGAGATTGTGCCCTGAGCCTTCTTGCCAACCAGAGGAATGCGTGAGCCTTCGGTTTTCCATTCAAGGGGTATATAATCGGCCGGCTCTGCATCAATAATCTTCTGTTTGACATCTTCAACTAACTGGGAAAGCGAGCTGATTTGTGGCAGGAAGATGACCGAACGTTTGAGGATGGGTCCGCTCTTCCCACGAAATGAAAACGTGACTGATTTTAGTTTTCCCTGTCCGCACAGAGTTTTGATGGCTGCCCTGATTGTTTTGAGTAACGGTCGATCCTCCTCTCCGGCTTCCTGCCATCGGGGTGTAGAGACACGTTTGAGAGTATAGGGATCATTTGGCGCTACTCCCGACGTTTCTTCTATTAGTTGAAGAATAATCTTCCGACATAGGGCGTTGGCACCACGGGTGTGTCTTGGTCTAATCGCATTTTGTTGCTGTCGAGACTGTGCTTCTTCTGAATCTCTGGATTCGGACCTTCCACCTCTCTGGGATTTTTCTCTTCGCGAAACGCGCTTCTTGACTGCAGAATTCAGCGGTTTCACAGTTTCCTCGTCACTCTCGTCGTCACTCTCCGGGGGAGTCGTTCGTTCAGGATGCTGGATGGCCACTGCCGCAGGAGAGCTCACTGTAGCAAGTTGGCTAACCTCATTTCCCTCTTCCTGTGTCACAACCGCGTCATTGTCATCAATTTTAGTTGTGACGGGCCCGACATTTGGAGCCTCGTCGTCTCCGCGAACCTTTTGCTTTCCGTTCATTGGCGGGATCCGGATAGACGGCTGTGTCTCACCAACATGTTCGACCGCTGGCGTCTTTGCAGGTTCAGGGGATCGGTCCCGAATCATCTGCTCCTCTATTTCGCTTTCTTGTTCAAATTCCTCAGCTGCGTACTCACGATTTGAGAGATTCTGGGCTTCTGATTCCAGGGAAGGGTAATCATCAGACTCTGAAGAGGTTTCGGAGAAGAGTTGTGAAAATTGACCTGGACTTGATGCCACTAGTTCTCCCGCTTTTTGTGTCGGCTTTCGCTGTCTGAAAGGCCTCCCAGATGGAGTTAGGGTTGCGAGCATTGATGTCTCGGGTGGTAGTGTAGTGGTGTTGTTAAGCTGATCGCCTGGAACCTGCCGCGGTAGCGTCTTGCCGGATATTCGACGAAGAGGAGCTTCAGTCGTCGATGCACCGGAGCTTATTGATCTATTTCTGAGGACTCCGGTCTGTTGGTTGTCTAGCCATATAAGTTCAGGCTCTTCGTCTGTGGTGTCCATCCAGGTATCGATCGGAACGACATTCTGAAGCAGTGTTCTCTCACGCGAGAAAGGTGTCCTGGTGGGAGCAACGTTTTCGTGGAAGACACCGAGCGGTGGGCATCCTTTCTTCTTAACTTTCGTCCTAGGCCGTGGAGTCTGACTGCTGCCTTTCGGTCTACTTGTTGAGGTCCGTGGAAACAGTGACTGCTTGATAGGATAATATCTTCGATATGCAAAACTGTGGGATGCGCTGGACGAGATGAATCGAAACGGCTGGACCTTTCGTCGATCATAAAAGTCCACAGTATGTAGCCGTGAAGTTTTAATTATCATGATCTGGGAATCTAATCGCACATTTTCAGGTCGTACACCTTTAGATGTAATGTAGACCCCACTAGACGGCCGATTAAGGACTGTTTTTGTCAAACGTACCCAGACATCATTGATGTCTCGCGGCAGGCCAGGCTCCGGTAAACCAGCGTCAATAGCGGCAACGAGAGTTTCATCAAATTCTGCTGGTCGACCTGCATATAAAGCAAGCCCAGATGGGTCGTTCATTGTTCCCTGTGAAGACTGGGCAGGAGGTCTCCCGGCATCAATCCTGGCTTGTTTGAACTGTCTCCGCCAGAACTTTTCAGTACCTCGCATGTATTTACGAGGGCGACCTTTGATTTTTTCTTCTTCCGAGTCCGACTGGATTGGACGTTGTCGAGGTAGACGAGGTTGACGTGGCTGTCGAGGTGTCTTCTCTCTGATCGGGCGTGTCGATCTCTCTCGCAGCTTCATGGTGTAGCCTTGCTCACCCCCTCCGACGATGATGGGCTCTCCGCTCCGAACCTGAATATCTGCTGGCGTAATTGTTCTGATAATATCTACAAAATCGACCTCTCCGTGTCGCAACTGGAGCGGTAGTGATGTTTGGAGAGGAAAGCCCAAGTCATCAGTTTCGATAGTAGCCACCGATACCGTATTGTCGTTGGCACCAAATTCAGCTGCCGGAGTAAGTTTGAGTGCTTGTTTGGCACCGGGGATTTGACCAATCTCGATCTCGTGTTCTTCAACCATCTGACGAAATGCATCCCATGAATAATGAAGATATTGAACAATACCATCCACCACCAGACTAGTGCGGACAATTGCTAGATGTCGTAAATGGGGTGGTTGAACCAGCAAAGACTTGCCAGATACCCGAAGCAACAGCGCTTCTACAGTTCGACGAACGAAAAGACCAGTGATCATCTGTCTAGCATTCTGTTGATAGTTAGCTGGGTCTGAAAATACTGCAAAATCGACTTTATTCTTACCCAATTTGTCAAGCCTGTTCTCCCGGCAAGCTGAACAGCATCAACCATCACATTAGGAATCAGTCGATCAGGGTTCCATTTCGCGACAGGACGCATCATATCTGTCTCTTCAAGGCTATTGTTGTTGTTGTTGTTGCTGTTGGAAAATCCAACAATCGAGTCATTATGGCTTTCCGGCTCAATGAGCGAAGCGAGATGCTGAATTGTTTGATCAAGAGACAGTTTTTCGGTGTCAAAGCTTTGCAGGTCCCCAACCCGAGGGTGCCGCACCAGCTGAACGAACTGTTTCAAATCTCCTGAAGTCGCAGAAGGACCAACGGCGGTCCTCACTCTCTTGAGAAATTGAAGTCGTTCAAGTCGGCGGAGAATTTTGACGAGAACAGCAGATTCTGCTGGAGAGTCTAGGTTAAGTTCTTCTGCCAGTTTTGTCTGAGGTATCAGACTCTGATCTGACAAGACATCAAATATTCTTCGTACGGCATCCCTGACGGATGACCCGCGCCGGATTGGGCCGCCATGGTCACGGAGTAGCTCAACATTTCCATCGGCAGGATGATAGAATTTCTTGAAGATCAGGCGGCTTGTTCGGTTACCTTTTCTGTAGACGGTCTCTTTGACGATGTAACCTTTCTTGTGCAAAGCATCTGTCCTCTTTGGAACAGACCGCTTGTCTTGACCTGTGGCTCTTCGCAGTTCCCCCTGCAAGATCCCATTCGAGCGCGCGGCAGCAATGTGAGACAGAAGGTCGAATTCTAGATGAGCAATCTTGGTGAAATCTGGAGGATGGCCACATATCGTCTCGTACATTCGCTCAGTGCTGACCCGGATTCGAGGACCACTGGCTAATCGAGCACGGCGAGTCGTCCCGATGGGCTTTGGAGTTTCTGGTGCACGTTGAGAGTCATCCGAACCTGAATAAATATCATCTGGATGACGGGAGCCTTCTAACTGGGCATCCACGTAACCAGGAAACTCATTTTCGACTTCTGCAAGTGTTGACTTGTTATATTGTTTGTCGTCGCCAATGGAGACTTCTGGGTGCCGTCCCAACCACGTCCAGATCTTGGAGAGAAGAGGACGATCAACTGCAGGACTCGGCCTTGGGCTGGAGCCATCTGCGGAAGGTAAATCATTCTCGAGCTCATCGTAGAAGGAGCGTGTGGAGTTAGCGATTTCATCGATGGTGACACCTGCCCATGGTATGTGACTGTCAGCATCGTGCACCTATACCAGCGGTAAGTCCTGCTGGTCGAGGTCATGCAGGGAGGTGGGGCAATGCATAGAAAGGTATGAGATGATTCCTTGCCACTGCAGCCAACGGCGGCGCCAAAACCAGAACTCACCTCGGCTTCCGCTAATTGCAATCTCTTCAAGCAGAAACTCGATCAATTCATCCAAGCCCTTCGCCATCTCTTGTGCTCCATGTCAAGAAGATTGTCCTGGACACGGTTCAGAGAAGTGAAGCCAAATTGAGGAGGTTCGAGTCCGTGACTGTGCGAATGAATTTTTTCTGCGGTTCACTTTCGAATTGAGCGGTCTTGGCATGCAGTGGTGTGGGCTCGTTCTGATTGGCCGCCATCCAACTCCTATCGTCCGGGCCCCTACTCCCGCAGTGGCACTGGCAAACGACTTCCAGGACTAACGAGTTCTGAGAAAATTCTCTACGCTTAAATGTTATGGTGGAGAGAGAGGGGGAAACCTTTAACAAGTCAATATGTTTCTATGGTGCTTCTAATGAGCGTTGCGCTCTGTTAAAACTTGTTCAGCCGCAGACGCAGGTGCGAATGCGAAGGCGATTGCATGTGCGAGTTGAGAGACTGACGGTTGGGATCTTTTTGGATTCGTACCCGTTGCAAACTTGTCGAATTTTTGATCCCCACACTTTTCCCCCTTGACTCCTCGAGGCGGAATGAAGCAATGCAAAACTCCACGAACCCTGCATTAGCACATGGGAGGAGGTATGATCGGAGAAACATAGCTCAAATTGCTCAGATCTGCCCTCCCACACAGACTGTACTCCGGATCTGCCACCGATGGGTCGGACATGGAGGGAGACAACTAGATGTACACAGGACCAAAGATAGGTCTCGGCCCTCGCTCTTTGTCAGCACAAAGAGGAATCCCCTTCAGCGCGAGTTTCGTCGACACTTCAAGATGCAATCGCTCTGGGAGGCATGTTTCGACGGTTATTGCGCTGCTTCGTGGGCTTCGACACAGTACTCCAGCCATCTTCCTCCAATGCGGCAGTGGTGCTTCCTTCGGGGGCCTGAGGAGGTTGGCTGGATCTCCAAGAGCCATTCGTTCGAGCAGATGGCGGGGTTCGTACAACTTCCTTGGGTTTGGCTGCCTTTTCGTCAACCAGTGCTTGCTCTTCGCCCTCCTCTTCTTTCTCCTCATCTGCAACCATGTCATTCATGCCAGTATCGGCCCGACGAAGAATATCAAATTTCGGTGTTGGTTGTGGGCTTTCCTCTCCATTCTCCTTTGTGACGTTATTCTCTTTTGGTTCTTTGCTTGGAGCTTCCTTTGACTTCTCAAGTTCGGCCTTCTCCTTTGCCAAGCGTTTCTCCTCGGCCTTTTCGGCTCTAGCCTTTTCCTCAGCCTCCCGTCTCTGTCGGAGGGCAAGCTGGCGTTTCTCTTCAACCTCCTTTTCTTTGGCAGCTGTATCGACTGGACGAGCGGCTCCAAATGGACTGGATTTGGAATCGGTGACTGGAGCGGGAGATTGAAGCGGATCTGCATCAGAGACGGTCCTCTTTTGCAAATTCAGCTTCGGTCTGGTCGCCGGGACAGGAGCCGGGGCCGGAGATGGGGGTTCACTGGCTTCTGGAGTAGGTGCCTTCGCCGGAGGGTCTGGTCTCATTCTAGCTCGCCATTGAGTGTCAAGCTCGGAGGCGGTAGGCTGTCGTTCAGGCGGGGGGCGTTCGGTGTACTCGCGTCTGGGAGGTCGAGAACCCTCTTGAGATCTACCCTCGCCCCATGCCGGGGAGTTCTTACGGAATCCTCCGGGGCCGTCTTTGCTCTGTTGTCTGCCACCTTCTCGAAGGGATGTAGGTGCGGGTGTCACAGGGGACAATGGCCCTTTTCGTTCCCAATTCGAAAAGTCCCTCACCTTTCCGTCTCCTTGGTCGAACCCACGACGGTTGCCCCGCTCGCTCCCAGCATCGGACATATTGTCGTAATTCCGGCCACCATATCCGCCCGGTCTGTCAGACACTCTGCGTTGGTTGCTGGGCAAATCCGGGAGGGGGCCCTTTCTCGACCAGTCGCTGAAGTCTCGTGTTTCGTGTCTCTCTTTCGCTGCTGCAGTGTCAGCTCATCACTTACAATTCTTTGGGGAAACTCACGAGGCTCTGCAACGCTGATGCGAACCTGCCGTCCTGCTAAATTGTTACCACTTTGTGCCAACGCAGCTTTGAGGCCATCTAAAGTCGCAAATTCAACATAACCAAAGCCCTTAGGCTTGCGATCCATCTTGTCTTCCACAATGCGGACATTTGTGACTTGGCAGTCTCGAAAGAATTCATTGACATCGGCTTGGGTGGCGTCGAAAGACAAGTTTGCTAAGTGTGCCGTAAAGGGGGGTTGGGTGGGGAGAGGGAGTTGCTCTCGTGCAGGAAACGTGTCTCGTCGCTCTGTTGCCCACAATGTTAGCGGTCTAATGGGCTCAGCACTCAGCACTCGGGGACCAATACTCACCCGGTAGTCCATTACCCATGCCGGTAGCTGAGCTGAAGGCTCGTCGATCCGTGCCATAGCTGGGTCGATTGTCGGATGCTATTGTTCGTAGTTCTGTTAGTGTTTTATTCTTTCCCGCAAAACATCACCATTTTGACTTAACAGAGTAGGCATACGAGGCAAAGGCATGTCTTCCATCTCATCGGCCCATGATCCATAGTCTGCAACAGTCAGCCGCCCGAAATGGTTGCACCCGATCAATGTTGGAACGAACTCTCATCTTGCAAAAAGGTCCCGAGGGACATTTTCTGATTCTTTTTGGGGGCTGTATGGCCATTAGCAACCGTATATCGCGATTCTGGGGACCCCGCGGCCATGCGCTGAGAGTCGGCTGGTGTTCATACCCATGATTGCAAAAATCTCAGCAGGCGCACCGAAATGTGCGACCGGCTGCGAATCGAGCGTCAAAGACAAGGGCTGAGTCCAAGTGCGTCTGTAAACACCCCGAGACCAGCCGAAAGTGATGAAGTAATTGGTGTGAGAGATGTGGACTGCGCGCCGTGGATATTGGCGCACTGGGAACGAGAGCCTGAAAGGTCTGCAAAGTGTTAGAATCTCCCCCGTCCTGCGGTTCAAGTTTCTTTCCCGACTCGCGTATAATAACCAGGCTTGGCGAACTGCCGACGCTGATTCGCCGCGAATGAGGACTCTTCCTCTCGACTTGCTACCAGCATGTCTGAAAAAAGGACGCCAGAAGATCTTCCTGACCCTCTTACCAAACTCTTCGTACAGCCCTTGCTCCCCGCGTTAGGGGTTGGGACTGCTACAGGTACACATCTTGGGCAGAAAACCTTTCACTTTGTCACTGATAGATGGCCAATAGGGTGCTGTGGTGTCGCCTATGGAAGAATAGCAGCAATCCTCATCTCATCACCCACTCCAGGATTATATACCGCTCTTTCCGGGGCACAATGGTTTTGCGCTGGCTCGGCCTACTTCTGTATGTCTTCTACCCCCCTAAATGTTTCCACCAAACTGACCCAAGAGCGAGATTGCCGCAGTGTCATGTTAGGAGGTCCATTGTCTCGGGACAATGGGCTTCATCGTGTTGCTGCAAGTAGCATCAGTGGAGCAGTTGCCGGCGCAGTAGCTGCGAAGTTTGGTGAGTGATCTGACTCTGGGAGGGCAAGCATGTTTTGACCACTCTCAGTGCCCCGAGGAGCTGTGGTTTCTGGAAGTATTATGTTTGGGATCCTTGCAGCTGTCACTCAAACAGGACTGAACTCTCTCGGAGACCTACCTCCTACCTCTAAGATGCCTTCAGTCCTAAAACAAGGGGTAGCTAGTTTGATCCCGATGAAAGCACTCTCGGATAAAGAATATGAGGATCTTCTTCAGGACAAGATTCTCAAAATCGAGGCAGAGATTTCAATTCTAGACGATCAGATCGCGGAGCTGCGGACAGCAAGTAGACAGCTAGCTCGAAGCGAAGCAGCCGAATCGAAGGACGATCCGAGATGAAAGGACACCAAATTCATCACAGTCAGACTACCAAGCATGAACCTCTTCCATATGTTCAAACAGTGGTCATCAGAGCCGACGGAGACAATGACGGCAAAAGTTACTAAACCTCTAATACTGTTCGCCTCTAAATACTTTACTTTCCCAAAAATAAGTCATGGAGAGAATACACGACTACCTGTCGAGAACGAAAGATCGAATGTTCATTCCCGAGTCGAATGGCACTGATGGTTGACCGGAATCCAAACACGTTTAGTCGGGCTTCCATTTGGATATGCCACGTAGAATGACATATCCGCGTGCATAATTGGGGTTGGGGCACCAGGGATGCCTTTGGAGACTTGACAGATCAGCGCCAGCATGATAAGAGACAGCCCGAGGACATGGAATACCGACAGCCGGAGAGTTTCTGCGAATTGAGATATAGCAGTCTTGAAGCCTGGGTGGATCAATTGCTATGAATTTTCCTGTTCCTGTTGGTGAAATAAGGAGTGGGAATTCGTTTTAAGCATAGTGTGAGAGCCCGTTCAATAAGCATTTGAGCTTGTCATCGCCGCGTCATTACACAGGCTGAGTCACCAATCGATAGCTAATTTGTGTGCATGGATGGTGATTTTGGTACTTCCATATGCAGTGAGGTCAATGTGGTTTACACAGCCACCAACCCCCCAAAATTCCTCGCATTTGGCCCGGTTACTTGCGACATTCTTCCTCTCCACCTTGAGCATGCATTGACCGGGGCCACTGGCAAGCTTGCCCTCCCACTGTCGCATGTCTTCACGTTCTTTTCATGAAGTGCGATAGATCGCGAACGTCGAGAACCCATCCATCGTCTACGCGATCGGAGGACTCGCCTCTCCTTCGTAAGTCGCAATCTGGACAATCTCGAACTCAAAACACTGTTGCTGCAAAGACGAATGGTCAACTTCCGGTCCTATTCCCAAATATTGCCGTGAAGGGGAGCGGCGAGAGCTGAGCTGACTATGTGGCTGCACTGGAATCTCAGTCTCCATTGCAAGGAACTACGAGCTGCTCGAATACCAACTGAGATGGAATGAGCCCAGGGTCAATACGTCGACTCACTGGCGGTGTTGGAGCACTCGTAGCTAGTGCTGAAGTTACAGAATGCCTCTTGTCAATACTACCTCTGTCGCAGCCGGCCTCCTCCTGCTTTATCTGTCCTCCTTCGTTCTGCTCGCGATTCTACGGTTCGTAACTGGGATATCAATCCAGCGCATTGGTTATTTCAGCTTGAGGCACATATCATATACTCCAAGAGAAGGGCTAAGAATAGATCTGCGTGGGCTTGGTCTAAGTCTCCATAGACCTACCTTTGCGCAGCCAACATGGATCAGCCTTGTGTTCCAAGAGTTGAAGATCACTTTCGACCCCGCGGCGTTCGAAAATATACCGGCCAAGTCGAATCCATCCAAAGATGCACAAGGGGCTCGCGAGCCTCCACGCAGACATGGCGTGTATCGCTTGGGCGGGAGAAGCCAGCTGTGGAAGAAGCTGACCAATATCAAAGAACGCATTAAACGCATACATCGCAAAGTATATATCTTGCGCATGTTCGACATCAGCGCTTTCAACACCAGCGTCGAGATCGTGGATGTTGGGTATGTTCAGGTTTCAACCTTCACGGGAGCTGTTTATACAAGACGGAAGCTGCTTGACCGCGGTCGATTATTCCGACACAAAAAGGATCCATTGGGAGAGCAGAAACCGGCCGAATGGGTCTTCGCGGTGAAGAGTATCTTAATGGGCGTGGGCGGTCGTGATCCCATCGAGATCCTGGACGCAATGACGATCAACGTGCATGGACTGCTGTACAAGGAGCGCGAAGGCCTTCGAGATACTTCTATCGCGATCAAAGCGGGCCGTCTTTACGTTCCAGTCGATGAGATTATGCACTTCTCGAATCGAGGCAAAAAGATAGCAAAGGTGCGACAAGAAACTCAACCTTTAAGCCCCGTCCCGGAAGTCTCGCCAGAGGATGTGGTGGAAGAATTCGACAGTCCCGGAAGTCGTGAAGCATCTATCGTGCAGACTGTGGCAGACTCCAAAGAATTCTTCAGCTCGACACTCCAAAGCGTTCAAGAAATCCAAGTCGGATTGAGTTTCGTGCGGATATCGAAAGAGGTTGAGTCTCTGAGACAGGCCAATCTCCCTTTGACGGCAAACGTGGTCATTCATGAAATCGGCACCGATCTACATCGGCTTGACCAGAACTCGCCCGCCCATCGCATGTATTTCGGAAAGGAGGATATCGCTCATCAAGCTTTAGTCGCTGCCGTGTCCATCTCCGTTAGTTTGGACGAGGATGATGCCCAAACAAACAAGATTATGTATATCCCGATGGCTACAATCACGATCAGGACAACCTTGCCAGCGAAAACAATGAGCTTCACCCAAGACCGGGACGTCGCCGAAAGAAATACAAATATTTTGTTTGCGAATCTGGTTGTCACGTCACCCTCCCTCGACTTGGTCCCACAACATCTAATCAGACTCCTGGCTCTTACTCAACCCCACAAACCTCCATCTCCAAATCTTCCCACGAATCGGCATCGTTTGATTTCGAGACTACTTCCAAAAGCGAGCATTAAGATGTCCGTCCACGAGCCCGTTGTCAGGTTTGTATTGCCGGTCGCCAACCCTGCTCATGCGGCCCCTGGCGAATATGACATGATCATATCCTCAATTTCCTCCATTTCGCTAGACGTGGAATCATCTCATTCCGCAGGCGGCGAGCTTCTTTACTCTTTGGGCTCAAAATTTCGTGTTATGTCTCATCGCCTCTATTATCAAGCTTCCACGGGCATCAAGCACAACCTGCTCATCACCGAAGCCCTGGAACTCAAGATTCATGTCGCCGCCTCCACCGAAATATTTGTCACCGTCTCTGGAAATCTGCGCACTTTCTCTATCCTCATGGTCCGGGAGGAAGTAAGCAAAGCAATCTATAACATAGTGCGGCACTTCAAACATCACGGCCCGGCAGACAGAGTCGGCGGGCCCAAACCTACTCCAGCCGCTTTCCTCAGGAAGCTACCGTCTTGGCTTCTCGAGGCCAACTTCGAGGGCTCTGGTTGCAGCATCGAGACCGCTGGTGTGGATTCTAGTATATCAGGCCAAACGCGAGGGGTTGCGCTAGAGCTTCAATCTTGGACGGCGCATTATACATCGTCACAAGCCGAATCGTCGCGAAAGCCCCTGACTCGGAGAAAGACCAGCACTTCAGTCCGTTACGACGAAACATTTCCGGGCAATCATATCTCACCTCCCACATCGCCGCCAAGGCGTCATCACAGTGACCCAACAGACGGTCGCCGGCTCGCTTTCCATGTCAAGGGGTTTGAAGGCTTCGTTATTGAATCTCTCGAAAGCTGGGAGCCGAAGCCATTTATGTCCGTCCCAAGATTTGAAACTGCTTTCAGCACATCTAGGGATCAGCAAGGACCAATCTTCCATATTCACTCCGCAATTCGCGCTGTCTATTTGGATTTCTCCCTATACCGATTCTATTCGATCGGAGTTGCTGGGTCGGTTGTCAAAGACGCCTTCTTGGGACCTGTCTCTGCAAAGCGAGATCACAAGCCTCATTCAACTGCGGTTTCTCCCGAGGATGACAGGAGCCATATGCACACAACCCCCCCTCAAGGAGGCGTGGAACTTTTTGCCATTGACGTCAAGGCTCATTATGTCCATATCAAAGCCCAGATGCCACGTGATCCACCAATGCTCCTGCAAATCTATGAACTTTCCTCTGGTCGGCACCGGTGGTCCGCACCATTTCTCCGAGCTGAACTTCTTCGCCTGCATACCGAAGCTCCACACCTGAAGCGGGTGTGGGCAAGACTTGTTAGCACTAACAGTATCCGTGTTGACCTGCGCCAGAACAAGAAAAGGTCTCAACATGGCACGGTGGAGGAGAAGTCGATTGATGTAACCACAGATTTCATCCGTTTGGCAGTTCCTCATGGCTTGCAGATGTACAAAGTCTTCGACAATTTCATCAACATGGGCAAAGCAATGGTACAATTGCATCATCGATTCAAAACTCGAACAAATGAATACATTTTGAGGAAAGATCCCGTTGTTCCCAAAAAGGTTCCCCGGATTTCACTTCGATCCAAGGCACTTTGCTTCGAGCTCGAAGATGATCCGTTTGAATGGAAACTGGGCGTCATTTACCGCGTTGGTCGCATTGAACAAAAACAACGTCTTGCACGTGAAGATGCGTTCCGTTTGAAAGTCAAACGAACGAATGATGAGCGGCGGCCACGATCACTTTCTCGATTTCGAGCGCATTCCAGCCGTCGAGCCTCTCCAAACACTACTCCCGAGCATCATCCCAGGAGATCAGGAAGTCTCGATAATACGCCGAGAAGAAGATCCCATTCTAGGGGACGACGAGGGAGAGAACAAATTCGCTATGATCGGGAAGGAGTCTGTGCGTTGACGAGCAGCGCCAAAATACAAAACAAAGAAGCATGGGACAAGCTCCAAGTGCATAATGCGAGGAGCTGGAAAAAACGAATCGATTGGATGCTTCGACTGCAAAACAACACGATTAAAAATATTCGGCAGATGTTTACAGGAGCTGACGAACCACCTGACGATAATGATGAGCAAGAAACCATTCTTGCTATACCGAGCCGTCCTGGGTTGATGACTGTGATTGTCAGTGATTTGCACCTTCTCATCGATAAGCCGTCGTTTCCACAGTCTGATTTACCCAAGTTCCTCCACGACATTGGAAAAGGGTTGCCTTTCGACACGAAGTACGCAGTTCTCATTCCGGTCAGCGTTAGTCTTGATATGGGCGAGGCTCGCATCATGCTTCGAGATTATCCACTGAGCCTGCTTCATATCCCTGCCATTCGTCCTGGTCAACCACCTCGACTCCCAAGTTGGTCTCTGAAAACGGACTTTGTGATTGCAGAAGAATTCCGAGATGACGAATCCATGCGGCATATTAAGGTCGAGATAGTTCCTAGAGGCCAGCACGGACAAACCGGGGAAGAAATTCCAGGTTTTGCCATCGATGTCAGAAGGACGGTGGCCCCGGTCAAGACCTACTCGAGGCCTGTAATTGATATCAACACGAGTCTGCCAACTACGATCTCCTGGGGTACCTCATATCAGCCTGTGATACAAGATATGATGATGATCATTGAAGGCTTTACGAAACCTGTAGTAGATCCGTCTGAAAGAGTTGGTTTCTGGGACAAGATCCGGCTGAGCTTTCACTCACGTCTGACCGTCAATTGGAAGGGCGACGGAGATGTCCAACTACGGCTCAAGGGCTCTAGGGACCCTTATGTCGTAACAGGCTACGGGGCTGGATTTGTCATGTGTTGGCGGAATGATGTACAATGGTCGATACATCACGTCGACGATCCACGCAAATTCATGACTGTAAGAAGTGGTGAATATGTACTGGCTATCCCGGATTACAGTCACGAAGCTCGCAACTCTTCCGAGCAGAAAGCGGGACATGATTCGGACAGTGTGAGCACCAGCAGCACGCAAAAGAACGCGGCGATCTTCAAGAAAGTCATTATGAAAGTCTCCGGGAACGTTCAATGGACTGCTGGACTGGTATTCGAACGGGATCTAGGAAATGGTGGCCGGTCGTCCATTTTCAAAAATCACTACGACGTGATTCTGAAGAATCCGACCCAGACGCATAATGTTGACTGGAGTACATACGATGCGTTCCACGGCTTCCGAAGCCATCATATCCATCTCTCGATTGCGGTGGCTGCACCATTTGATAGAGATTGGACAGGTTGCGATCCGAATCTGTCTGGGAGCTATAACAGCATACATCTGAGCCCAAGATTCTTCTCCCATTTTTTCAACTGGTGGTCAAACTTTTCTGGGGTGATGTCCCTCCCAATTCGACAAGGCCCATTGTGGAGTGGGCCAGAAAAATCAAGCAAGAAGTTTGGTCGACATCTTGCGACGATAAAATACAGCCTTTTATTGTCTCCCCTTTTCATTGCCCACGTCTACAAGCACAAGGATGCGGAAGATTACCAGGAAGATATCGTCTCTGCAACTGGGTTGAAGATCAAGATCGACAGCTTTATGCTTGATCTCCATCAACGGCGGGAGTATTTCGATACCCTTTCAAAGGGCGTATCAAAGAAGCAAATGAGAACAAGTGGCATGAAAATCAACAAAGCCGAGCTTGACTTTGTAAAGGCAGACTTGAGAGCTGTCGCTGCAAGTATAGCTGGTACCACCGCCGAAGACCTTCAGAAAGCAACTGATGAGATGTTATCCTCGTTCCAGGAAGTCTCCACGAATATTGACATGTCCCAATTTACCATCCCGGATCACGATTTCACTTGGATTGACATGGACGACTTTGTGGAATTAGACTGGGTGCTGCCATCGGAGTCCAATCCCGAAACCAAAATTCTGCCTCTAGCGTTTACACCGCGCTTCACCTACTTCCGACAGACGGATCATGGAGGTGGTATTCAAGGAGATCCATCTCGTACAAGCCCCTTTGGTGACGAGGACACTCATTTTTGTGTGATGTCCCGCCACAATGATCCCCGCAAGGTCCAAATGAATTTGATCGAAACCAGACTCAAAGATCTTGAAGACCGGCTCCAAGTTCATGTGCGGTTGATGGGTGAACATGAACTCCGAGTGGTTCGTGATGGTGATCATGACCAAGCCATCAAGGACAAGCATGATACTCTCCTGGCACAACAAAAGGAGTTGGAGAGTAAACGACGATTTTTGCAACATGGACTGCGTCGTCTCACTGGCCATGCGAACCCAGGAGAAGCTCACGAGCATGATCACCCTCATCGCCACGGTAGCACACCGACATTAACAACCGAACTGGACAGCCAAGCCACTGGAACTCCTCAAGTTGACATGGACGGATTATACACGGCTGGTCGTGACGAGTTTGCAAGCGACTTCAACAACCGCTTCATTATCCACAATGTTCAATTAAAATGGAACAATTCGCTCAGGAATGTTATACTTCGCTATAGCCATCAAGTAGGTCAACGTCGAGGTTTCGTATATTACATGTCTCGACGTGCCGTCAAGTTTATCCTCGACATCGTGGATGAACAGGCAAAGGCGAAGGAAGAACGCCGCAAGCAGGAACGAAAGCAAGATGCCCCAATGCCTCCCACACCGAGTGTCATCTCCCCAAGTGAGGAGAAGGACGAGGACTCGGTGATTGAGGATCGGATTACACAGCTCCTGAATGATGCCAAACGATTCGTCCATGTGGGGGATGAGATTGAAGAGGATTCTCCCACGGCTGATGCCGGTGATGCTGTGTCCGAACGAAGACCCTCTACAATTGACCTTGGGGATAAGATTGCGGAAAACTTCCAAGCCATGAACAGCTATCACCTTCGTCTGATCGCTCCACAAATCCAGCTACAGAGTGAGAAGAACACCAAGTCTATTGTGCTCATATCAGCGAAAGGTATGCAACTCAAAGTTGTTTCCATTATGGATAAGGCTCGGATGTCAGATGACGTTAGTGGACTGGTGCAACGTCGCTTTGCCCTCGACATGGATGGGGCGCAATTTTTCGTGGCGAGCCAAAAGACTCTTGCCAAATATCTCCATCTCTATTCGGGCAACAGATATGGCAATACTCCCGGATCATCATGGCCCCCTTGGGTCTCTCTTGAGGCCATGTTTGACTTCCACCTGGAACCGTTCGGTTTTCGACGAGTGATTCAAAAGACATCGGCAAGTCTTCGGTACGAAAAATACAATCCACTCCGTCTCAAGTACAACGAAGAAGTGGAGAGCAAGGAAAATGGCGGCCAAGCAACACACGCATCACGGAAGGAGAACCGTATGGATCATCTGTATGTTGACTTTCCGAGAGTTCGTGCTCGATGTGATTCGGCGCAATATTACGCAATGTACATCATTGTGTTGGACCTGCTCCTCTACAGTGAACCATTGGAAAAGACCAGGAGTGAAAGACTCGAAAAGATTATGCTTGCGTCCGATTTCAGCGATCTGAGAGGTGCCCCTGAAATGGCCGAGAGATTACAAGAACGGATCCGACAACTGGAAGACATCAAACTTCATTTCCAAATCAATGCTAAATACCTGGACAAGCAAGGTTGGCAAGATCGGATTAATCTGGAGAAGGATATTGCGAGCTGCGAAGACGAGCTTTTCTTCATCATGAAAGCGATCAATACTTCCCAGCAAAAGAACGACGATCGAAAGGCCTCTCAATCCAGCGGTCTGTTGCGATGGTACCTCAGTGCCTCTGAAATTGTATGGCACCTGATGCGCGACAGAGACGAACCACTGACTGAATTCCAACTCGGTAATGCTGCATACGAGCGGATTGATAATATTGATGGATCTAATCATAATGCCTTGGAAATTGAACATATCAGAGGCTGGAATCTTCTTCCAAACGCACTCTACCCGGAAATCATTGGACCTTACTATGAATCAGGCGACCGGCGGCCCAGCGTCATGGAAATGCAGAAAATGGTGCAAGTCCATTGGTACATGCTCGAAGCAATTGCTGGAATCCCTGTCCTTGAAGAATTTCATGTTACAGTGTTTCCATTAAAGGTCCAGCTGGAGCGCGAGCTCGGCAAAAAGCTGTTTGAGTATATTTTCCCTGGTGTTGGATCGAATGCATTCGAAAACGGAAATTTCTCACCTTTGATGGTTAAGAACATGGAACCTCTCGACGATGGTGGTGACCAAGAATTAGAGGAAGCCCGAAGCGCTTTGATGTCCGAACAAGATCTTCGTCCTCCAAGCTCCGAGTCTAGTCGTGGAACTTCGCCAGGTGCAGTGGCCCGGAGATTAAAGCCGACATATCGTCTGACGTACGATGAAAAACACAGTCCATCCACTTCATCACATGGCAAATCAAGGGGTTTGGGTATTTCGTCCGACCATCACAACAAGTTGTTCAAACATTTCAACAATTCAAATCCACGATCTGCTCTGAAGGAACCGACTCGTAAAGGATCTGCAGGCAGTTTAAGGTCAAAGAAAAATGAAGCATCTTCCACCAGCCTTGTGGCTTTGAGCAATTCCGAAGAGAAGAAACGCAATATAATGTATCGAACATCAAGCAAAGATCGCAGCTTGGGAAGCAAGAAAGACAAGAACAAACCGTCGGACGATTTGTCGCAAATGATGTCTAGAGCGTCCAATTACATGACGCTAGCCCATGTCAAGCTCAACAGCTTCGTTATTTGCCTCAGTTACAAGGGCAAGAGTGATCGGAATTTCGAAGACCTTCACGACTTTGTCTTCCGCATGCCGACGTTGGAATACCGGAACAAAACTTGGTCAAACCTAGAACTCGCATTACGGCTGAAAAAAGACGTCATTCGAGCTCTCATCTCTCACACAGGTGCCATCATCGGCAATAAATTCTCCCATCACCGCCCAAACAAGAAACAAGTCGAACGGCTCAAGGAGATTGCACATTCCTCCACCATTGCCAATTCAGACATCAATCTCCAACTGTCAGGAACCTCAGAGACGACGAGTCTGTACAGTTTCTCGCAAGACGGCAGAGACGACGACTTTGAATCCTCAGGCATCTCGTTCCAATCTCCATCAGGCACAAATGGACATAAGAACGGCGTTCTTGGACCCTCTCCCCTTCTGCGTAGTGGGTCCTGGACTTCGAGCGTCAATCTCTCCATCACATCTGGATTCGCCACTCCTCGCAACATGCCCCCCCCCGGCGCCGTCGCCGCCAGCAGCAATTCGTTAATTGTTCCGCCTCGACCGAGCACGGCCAGTCCACACGGTCCGCGAAGTTTACTGAAGGACGCTATCGGCCGGCATTTCTCGGGCGACACAGTCAAGGGACGCGTGCATATTGGCGGATTGGGTCTAGGCAGGAGTGAAACTCACCGGGAGAGTCGAGACAGTTCCCACCGCGACAAGGACAAAGATACGAACCATTATCTACATCCCAATCAGCATCAGAATCAACATCAACATGATGATGGCGCTGAGAGTGATCCTGAAAGTCATCGACGGAAGAGCGTTTTACTGCTGGGCAAGAAAGTTCTCCACCGACTGAGCTGAGCCGAAGCCAGGCTAGAAAATTGTGAACACATACTCTTTCTTATCTTCTTTGAAAAAGGTGGAGCTTTTGGGCTTGGGTTGATTCGCTCCTCGGTGAAGTCCATGTTTGGAATGTCAGAGACGCACGTGGAATCTTACATACGGCGTGGAGGACTAAAAGTGTGTCTTATCTATACGTCTATCGTTCGCTGGGAGGAATTAGAAGATGGACATGAAGAAACAGGTGGAGGAACGCCTTCCTTTACTTATTTTGAACTATTTTCTTTTGATTATGATTCTGTCAGTGTTGTTAGGTTGTACATACACGTGTGAAAATGAAAATTATCAAATGACTATAGAACGAAGTGAAAGAAGGCCAGATATCATTTTGTTATTCATTCAAGCTCAAGATCGAGAGAGAGAGAGCTCTATGGGATACCTAGGATAAGGCATATGTATACGTAGGTAAGCAAGCCATGACTCCTGCGCTCTTCATCGCGCCGTGCTGTCTGAGGGAGCTTCGGTGTCGTTTGTGTGGATACAGCCTTATGGAAGAGTAAACAGCTTCGATGCTTGCCGTTGATTGATTCATATTGGGTAGGCTGGGAAGACTCGAGTGAGAATCCTTCCGATCTAAATCCAAGCGGAGTAAAGAGCTCTTATCCAAAGACGTATGCGAGGGCATGGGTGCAAGGCTTATAGTTCTGCTTGGTTGTGAAGCTGTCCGATGAAGAAGGAACAGGAGTCTGAGTGTAATTCCACTGCGAGGAGGGAGGGCAGCTTGTTGATAATGCTGTGGGCTAGAGGTCCAAGGCTGTTTAATCGGTCGCTTTTTCAACGTCACTGCTTGCCTCTTTCTTGTTTCTCACACCCTTCTCCTCTCCATCTCCATCATCACTATTCCCTGTGCCGTCATCGAATCCTTCCACATAGTCAAATGCGCCCTTCTTCGGCCTTGGGTCAACCCACCCGACCATCATCTCGTTGTATAGGTACTCGTCAAAGCTCGGGAAGACATTCAGCACCTCATCGAAGAACATGATTCCACAATTCAACGTCCGGACTGTGGCTTCCACCTTCATCCCGACATGCAGATGGGCTTGCAAGATCGACTCGATGAAGAAGACGTATTCTTTCTCTGGTTCTCTCTTGGCCAAGGCAGTGGTGGAAGCCAATTCAGCTTGCGTCAGATCTTCAGGTGGTGCGTCTGGATTCTTCCATGGTTTGGCGTACACACGACCGACAGGGCGGAAGTGTGTCGAGTTGGTTGTGTAGATCTCCTTGCATCCCTGGGTTGGGGGGATGACGCGAGCGATTTCAAAGCCGACGTTTTCTTCCACTGAGGTGACCTCGAGTTGTTTCGTGCCATTGACTCCCGCAAGGTACGCGGCGAAGACGGGTTCGGTTGCTGCACCAGCGACGCCGAAGTGGATAATTTGCGATGCTTCTTCGGGTTTCATCCCGACGAAGGCTGCCTCTCCTGCGTCTTCGGGGCCCCACCATGTCTCGCCGTCGTAATAGCGAGCATAGCTGCCCCCAAACAACGTCGAGCATGCAATGTTGAAGTCCCCGGGTAAACGACGAGTGGCTTCTGCCGTGTCCCACAATTCAGCCGGAGCCTCGCGGCAGAGATTCCGCGTTGCAAGAACGTCGGCGCGATACTCCGGGCACACATCGTGCTGCAGGAGGTAATCCATAAATCGCTCGAGGGTGGTCGTCAGCGTGTCGACCTGGGCTCTCGTATCAAAGCCGTACAAGTTCTTCGCTCGTCGGCTAAGGAACCCTTTCATGCAACTCTGGAAATCGACTTCGTAGACACTCGTCTCCGTTCCCAAGTTCCGTTTATCGTCTGTTAAAGATGCCTGTGTCATTGCAGCTGCAATCTGCGTCTTGTTCATATCTTCAGTGTCTTGTTCGCCTTGGAAGTTGTTAGGCCCAACTACGACACCGCCGTAGACGAGGTACTTGTACAGGATATCACGGCGTTCATTGCTGAGTTTGCGCGTCCGCTCGAATCGCGAGATAGCCGTCAGTATACGATCCGCAAACGGGAGTTTACTGTGGATGTTAGCTGTAGTTTTGGGGAGATGCGGTGGTCGGGCAGTCCTCACAAGTCATAGAGCTCCTGTTCTTCGGCATGTTGAGCTGGCGTCATGGGAGCATCTGCGAAGAAATCTTCAAACCCGGTGGGTTTGTCCTGTAGAGTTCGTTAGGATAGGTGTCGTTATGGCTTGTATCAATACTCACCAGACCGCGTTGACTCTTTGGCTTTGGCTTCTTCTTCCTTTTCTTTTTGATCGGTTCGGCCGGAGGGAGATTGTTGACTTCTTCTCCACAGCCTTCCTCCTCTTGGGTTTCGGCTGATTCAGGCACTGCCCTGCTCCTAGCAGGCTCCCCGGGGGCCTCACTGGGGCCGTTGGACATGGTGTCGTTGCTCTCGGTGCGTAGAGGAAGTGTGTCGGCTGTGGGAGTTGGAAAGGCGGGAGTGCGAGGGAGAACCAAATCTCTGCAATACTAGGACATAAAAGAGAAGGAGGGTCTCAAGAGCACCAGTCAAAGTCTTTGCTGTGGAGAGCGAAGTGAACGAGGATCCCAAAAATTGAGAAAGAGGGCATATCTGACCTTCACTTCATTCTGCTAAGTTCGAGAGGTGAGGACGTTGCTCAGATTGAATGGTTCAGCAACCAATTTTTAATGATGGCAAGCGTAGAGCTTGCATGCGTTCAAGCAAACTCCCAGCCTCATTCTTTGTGAAACACCTAGATACGAGATATCTCAACTTCCCTCCGCGAGGCTGAGATCAAAAGAACCACGCTGCTCTCCGTTTCTTGTTGGCCGTCGGAGAGATTCAGCTCCCGCCAGCGTCAACTTGGTTTCAGGACGACGATCAAACGAGAAATCCCATCTAGCATTCCCAGTTCGTTCTCGCATCTTAGCGAGGTCCACCCTCAGCCGGACGGTCCCTCTCTTATTCCAATGTCAGATTTCTTTTATTAATGCCAGAGTCTCCCTCCCTCGCTCCCTGACCACCTCCGGCGCTCGACTATCAACATGGGGTGCTCAACGCCTACCGAAGCCAACAAGAAAATGGCTGCCATGCCATCAGAGTCCGAACTTGTCGCATTCAGCCACAGTGCTGCCGGACAGTATACCATTCTCGTTCCCTTCTTCCTTGTCCGGTACTGACAATGTGATTCCAGCGAAGGAATCAGCTCCAATGCCTCAGGCTCCCTGATCATTAAGCCGTGCACACAATCCGAGATTGACTTTTATGAATCTGCCAAAGATCACCCTCTCTTCCAAGCCCATATGCCTACATTCATCGGCTCGTTATGCGAACACGAAGACCAGGATACTGTGGCACCGCTCCTAGACTCCCAAAACAGCTCTAGTGGGGGTAACACCGACGCCCTCGAGGGAACCGCCGCCGCAGGCATTATCGCCGACCCTACACCGGGCCTGATCAGGCGCGCGACATGGAAACCATCTGGGGGAAAGAAACTCTCGACCGGCTTGGCGATCGTATTAGAGAATGCAGCGTTTGGATTTAAGCATCCCAATGTCCTAGATGTAAAGCTGGGCGCGAGACTCTGGGACGACGATGCCCCGCTCAAGAAACGTCAAAAGCTGGACGAAGTTTCCAATAGCACAACCAGCGCAAGTCTGGGTTTCCGAGTCGCGGGCATGAAGGTCTGGGTTGGACAAGACGGTGTGCAAGACGGTGAAGATGCGGCGGAGCCAAATGTGGTGCTAAAAAACGGATATAAATCCTACAACAAGTTCTACGGCCAGTCATTCTCGAAGGACACGGTGGTTGACGCATTCACTACGTTCTTTGGCGGTGTGTGGCGGGAAGGAGCTGCAGGGAAGCCAACATTCATCAGGAGGCGGGCTGAGTTCGTCGCCCGCCGCTTCATTCGCGAGCTGGAGAGTATTCGGTACGTGCTCGAGCATGAGGAGAGCAGGATGTACAGTGCCAGTGTGCTCATGGTGTACGAGGGGGATGAGGCAGCTTTGGAAGCGGCTATGGAGTCTGAGAAGAAGGACGACACAGAGGCACAAGTGGACTCGAACCGCCCGGATCCAGATCGAGACTCGGACGCTCATGCTGAAGAAAACGATGAGGATGAAGACGAAGAACCGATACCACAGAAAATCCATGAAGTGCGCCTCATCGATTTCGCACATGCTAGCTGGACACCAGGTCAAGGTCCTGATGAGAATGCTCTCCACGGCATACGCAGTCTCCTGGACATTTTGCACGAGCTTGTCGCATAGCAAGCGCCCAGGAAAAAAAAAAAAAAAAAAAAAGGCGGGACGTCTCTGTTCAGTTACTAGCACTTCATGAAGGACAGCTTAATCTGTCTGTTGCGGCCAGACGGGTTGGATACGTGATATTTCCATGTTTCCTTTGTTTGAGCGCTTGCTGGCCGTATGATATAAAGATGGACGGGTGAGGATACACTATGCCGGTAGGGCTGACTGGATAGACTACAGAGAGGACAATGGAATGTCAATGGGCAATGAAGAAAGTGCACAGTTTATCTATCCAGTTCCTTGCCATATTGTTCTGGGGGGATCTGAACTCAGGATCTGTCCATTCCTAGGACCGCCTCCGGCCAACCAGCCCACACGATCGCACGGCTCGGTATTCGCCCTGCCACGGGGCTGAGGAGGCTGATCCTTCCCCTCATCTCGTCTGTGTCTGTCACATACAAAAATCCCATGACGCTACTGTCCCGGAGAGCTTCCTGATCGGCTTCGGGGTCGCAGTTCATCACGGCAAGGATAGAGCCGCGCATCGCCGCGACGGGGGCGGTCACACGTTCGTAGATTTGTGAGGCAGGGAGAGGAACTTTGGATGAGCTTCCACCGGTGCCAGGGAGGATGTCGTCTTCAGCACCGCCTGGGAGGAAAGATTCTTCATCGTCGTCGTTGAGACCGGTGCCGCCGGAGGCTGAGGAGGATGGGTCCGGTGTACTGCCGATCCGTCGCCAGACAGTCAACGTAGAGAAGTCGACTTGTTGCTGGCGAGTTTGTAGTGAGATCCCGTTGCTCAGGCGAGGGTTACCGTAGAAATATGTCTTGATTTGCGCCGCACGAAGAGCTCTCATGTACGTCTCGTCACGGTCGACGCAGCCGCCGGATTTCGCCAGCTTAATCACTGAGATGGTCTCGGGGGGGGATGATGTGGTGGAAAAACGAGAAACTGTCGGCTGGCCATCGAATTTTTTCACCATGTCGCTGTACAGTCTTTCTGAGCCCAGGCAGATGATGGCCGACACGGCAAATTCGGAGACGATGTCCTGGATGATATCGTAGCCCACAAAACCGGATTTGGTGCTGGTGAGACTACCCGGGGTGTCGATTATGAGGCCACTCTGTCTGGCCTCCGAATCTTGGGCGATTCGTCCTCTCACTGCTAGGGCCAGTCGACCAATCTGGGCTTTGTAGACTTTCCCATCTTTTTCTTCTGGTTTAGAGCTACCGAAGAAATAAACCAGAGGTAGCTTGACGGGTATTGCTCCGTTGGGACCACTCATGGGTGCCGTTCCCCATCCTTCTTCAATGTCCATCATCGTTTTGAACACCGTTGCGGTCATGGTTCCGGGGACACTCATGACTCCTTCTTTGATATCCAAGTTGACCACGACCGGGGATCGTGCCGACCGAGAACAGTACCCGGTAAGGATCTTTGCGAGAGAACTCTTGCCCGCATCTTCGGGACCCAGAATCAATACCCGAGGGCCTCCTCGACCATTTGATTTGGCTTGGTCGCGTCGCGTCTCCAGAGCAAAGTGAACGTTGATGTATTCGCTCATGGGCGTCTCCTCGGCCGTGTACTCGCTTTGGAGAGCATCTCCGCCGACCTCAAAAGAACAGCCATGCCAGGTGTAGATTGCGGCCTTGGTCCCTGTGAAAATGTAGGTGTTTCCGAGGACCAGTTCAGTGCCGAAGAGCTCGGCCGTCCCGGTCAACAGCTAGAAATGGTTTGGTCAGTTTAGGGGATGCGGCGTGGGAAGAAGACTGAAAACGAGGGATGCTACCTTGACCTGGACATATTTGCCCACGGCGACCTCGAAACGCCACTCACTCTCCTTTGCTAGATCATGTTGGACGGTCTCGACGGAGTGAGCCTCTTCAGGCTCTTCTAGCCCCAGACCTGGCAAAGACATTGGATCATTGTGGGAACGGTGGAGCGGTAGTGTCGAGTCCTGAAGGAAAATCCGACTCGGCCGACCCGAAACGGCATGTGAAGCGAGTGGCGGCTTCGGCAAGTGTCCCTTGCCCAGTCTTGGCGCGTTTGTCAGCAACAAGAAGCGGAAGTTTGTTGCCTCGTATACTGTGCAGCGCATCCTCACGCGCCATCGGATTGGGCCTTACACTGGGCGTCATAAAAGCCTCAGACTTCTATGCGACGAGAACTCTCCAGTTCTCCATCTAGTTCCTCTTGCCCAGACACTTCCGCATCAGACCGCGAAACACAAGGTTTCTCGCACTGATGGCACAACCAATCAATATTCGACCCCAAGAGCATGAGTTGCCCTGATTAACTAAGCCATTAAGTAACTGACAAGGATCATTAAACTCCTTCAGGCCCCCCAGGGTCGGTGGAGCTATGTGTTAGTGCAGATGTTCAATGCCAGTTAGAGGGCAAGTTAGTGAGTACCCCCAGAGAGGTCGGTCTCCCAGTGTACAGCAATCTCTATTGTTCTCTCCTGAACTAAGCCACTCTCCAGGATTTCAGTCTTGTGTAGGGTGTTTTTCGTTTGCGACAATTTGCCAGGTCTTCTTCGTCACCCTTCTCAGCAAGACCTGTTTGAGTTTGACACTTCTCCCGGACGTCCGAGCGTTGTATATTTCCGACCCATCAACACCCAAGAGGGAGTCCTCCAGTCCGTTCCCAACTCTGTCGTCACTTTGACCTAATCCATCTTGTCCCATTTCTGAGGAAGGCGTACCGTACCACAATTCAGAGGCTCGAAGATCAAAGGAACGACGACATTCCAGACGGCTGCACAAATTTGATACCTGTCCACTTTCCTTCTTTTCCAATCAACGAATCGGCGGAGACAATAACACTTCTCTCGACGTCATGGCCTCCAAAGACGAAGACCACATCTCCAATGCGCTTGAACATGAAATCTCAACAAGTAGCTCTGAAGGACCGCGATTCGAGCCAATTCGTACAAGAAAGACCAGAGATACTCTCGATTACCAATTTGACGACGATAACAATGCTGCGGTACGCCCGGAGCTTGCCAGAATTGCTTCTATTCTGTCGGGGGTGCAGTCCAGAACTTCCCACGCCGAGGGCGGTCTCAAAAGACAGGACACGGTTGCCGGTATGGGCATAGAGTCTCCTGAATTCGATCCCAACAGCCCTTCCTTCAATTTCATCCTCTGGACACGGAAATTCATCCAAATGCTTGAAGAGCAAGACGTCAAGACTCGACGAAGCGGCTTTACCTTTAAGAATTTGAGTGTCTCGGGCAAAGGCTCCGCGCTCGTCTTGCAAAAGAACGTTGGTTCTCTTTTCATGGCCCCATTCCGCATCCGTGACATGTTCAGCCATCCTCCTGAGAAACAGATCCTGCGAAACTTCAACGGACACGTCAACAGTGGAGAAATATTGATCGTACTGGGAAGACCCGGTAGTGGCTGCTCTACATTCCTCAAAAGCATCTGTGGCGAGCTCCAGGGCCTGGAAGTTTCCAAAGATTCCAGCATCACCTACAGTGGTATACCTCAAGATGTTTTCCTGAAGGAATTCAAGGGCGAGGCCATCTACAATCAAGAGAACGAAAAGCATTTCCCTCATTTGACTGTCGGGGAAACGCTCAATTTCGCTGCAGCTTGCCGCACGTCCTCCCACAGGATTATTGATATTTCTCGAGCCGACTGGGCTAAATACATGGCATCCGTGGTGATGACCATTTTCGGTCTATGTGAGTGTTCTGAGACCGTTTGCATTGCTGAAATGCTAGCTGACCCCATCGTCAGCACATACGCGAAATACCAAAGTCGGCGATGATTTTGTTCGCGGTGTCAGTGGCGGAGAGCGCAAGCGGGTCAGTCTTGCTGAAATGTCCCTGGCTGGTAGGAGAATGCCCCAAATCTAGCACCATCGATGCTGATGTCCGAACAGGCGCTCCCATTGCTGCATGGGATAATTCAACGCGTGGTCTCGATTCACAGACAGCTCTTGAATTTGTCCGCTCCATCCGAATTGCGGCCGACATTGCCGGTCTAACCTCTCTTATTGCGATCTATCAAGCCTCACAAGCCATTTACGACCTGTGTGACAAAGCCATTGTCCTGTACGAAGGAAAACAAATCTACTTCGGGCCCGCCGAAGATGCAAGAGCATACTTTGAAGACATGGGATGGTTTTGTCCACCCAGACAAACAACGGGTGATTTCTTGACGTATGAGAGACCCTCCTCATTCGAATTATAGCTAATATGCGAGGGTGTTCAGATCCGTCACCAATCCACGTGAGAGAAAGCCTCGAGAAGGCTTCGAGAATAAAGTTCCTCGTACCGCTGAAGAGTTTGAGAAATATTGGTTGGAAAGTCCTCAATACAAGTCGTCCATGGAAGAGTCTACCCATGCAGACGCGATTCACGCGGACGGCAGAGAAGCCTTGGAAACTTTCAGAGAATCCCACAAACAGATGCAGGCAGAGCATACGCGACCACAATCTCCCTATGTGATCAGCATTCCAATGCAGGTGCGCCTATGCACCGTTCGAGCGTATCAAAGATTGTGGAACGACAAAGCATCGACGATGTATGTTGAATCCCCCTCTCGATCTGTCTTCCGACGGACTGACCAAATTTCTCTGCAGTGCGGTCATCTTCAGTCAAATTGCGCAGGCCCTGATCATCGGTTCAGTCTTCTATGGGACCCCGGTGTCTACCGGCAGCTTTTTCTCCAAAGGATCAGTCCTCTTCTTCGCGGTCTTACTGAGTGCCCTCCAGTCCATTGTGGAGATCAACACTTTATACGCCCAACGTCCGATTGTCGCCAAACACAAGTCGTATGCCTTCTATCATCCGTTCACGGAAGCTGTTGCTGGTATCGTGGCCGATTTACCTATCAAATTCTGCACCGCCACCGTATTCAACATTATTCTGTACTTTCTGGCCGGCCTACGCACCGAGCCGTCGCAGTTTTTCATCTTCTTCTTGTTCAATTTCATGGCGATGTTGACAATGTCCGCAATCTTCAGATGCACGGCTGCCGTCACCAAGACTGTCTCGGCCGCTCTGGCCATTGCCGGTATCATGGTTCTCTGGATCGTCATTTATACAGGATTCTCCATTCAAAGATCTTATATGCATCCGTGGTTCGAATGGACCAGTTGGATCAACCCTGTCGCCTATGCATTTGAGGCACTGTTGGTCAACGAAGTTCATGGCCGCGAATTTCCATGTGCGCCGGCCAGTCTAGTTCCCCCCTATGGTCAGGGCGACAACTTTCAATGTGCAGTTGCCGGTGCCGTTGCCGGCGAAGTCAATGTTTCGGGTGACGCATGGGTCAAGTCATCTTATGGCTACTCCTACAGTCATATCTGGCGAAACCTTGGTTTCCTCTTCGCCTTTATGATATTTTTCTTCGCAATCTATTTTATTGCCACCGAAATCAACTCGGACTCGACTTCGACTGCGGAGTTCCTGGTTTTCCGACGAGGGCATGTCCCATCTTACATCCAAAGTAGCGGTCGTAAAGACGAAGAAGTAATAGATGTGGCCGAAAAAAGCGTGACGTCGAGCGATCCGGCCGATGAGAAGCATGCTGAGGAAGTCAAGGTCCTACCAGCGCAAAGGGACATATTTACTTGGCGAAATGTCACGCTGGACATCAAAATCAAAGGGGAGCCTCGAAGATTACTCGATGGCATATCAGGATGGGTCAAGCCAGGCACTTTGACCGCTCTTATGGGAACGTCCGGTGCTGGAAAAACTACGCTATTGGACGCTTTAGCGCAACGAACCAATATTGGAGTTTTGACCGGTGACATGGTAAGTTCAATTTGACCTCGGTTGGCGACGTCTCCATCCTCTGACATTCATGATAGCTGGTCAATGGCAAGCCATTAGATCCTTCGTTCCAACGCAAGACCGGCTACGTGCAACAACAAGATCTTCACCTGGAGTCGACGACCGTCCGCGAAGCACTTCGATTTTCGGCATATCTCCGACAGCCCAAATCAGTCTCCATTCAAGAGAAAGATGCTTTCGTGGAGGATGTGATTAAAATGTTGAATATGGAAGACTTCGGCGAAGCCATCGTGGGAAATCCCGGAGAAGGTTTGAACGTCGAACAACGTAAACTCCTTACGATTGGCGTCGAACTTGCAGCAAAGCCAGCACTCCTTATTTTCCTGGATGAACCGACTTCTGGTCTGGATTCACAGAGTTCCTGGTCGATCGTGGCCTTCCTGCGAAAACTGGCCGATTCGGGACAGGCCGTACTGTGCACCATCCATCAACCATCTGCGATTCTATTTCAAGAATTCGATCGACTTCTCTTCTTGATGAAAGGCGGCAAAACCATTTATTTCGGCGACGTCGGCCCGAATTCAAGGACCATGCTCGATTATTTTGAGCGAAACGGGGCTCCTCCTTGCGACAACGACGCCAATCCCGCCGAGTATATGCTTGAGATTTGTGGCAAGAAATCTGACCGAGATTGGAGTGAGGTGTGGAAAACGACCCCCGAAGCTCAGGAGGTTCAAGCAGAACTTGATCGCATCCACGAGGCGAAGAAATCCGAACCCGCAGCAGATTCGCAGTCCACCTCGGAATTTGCTGTGCCACTTTCGTCTCAGATCTACTATGTCACCGTCCGAGTGTTTCAGCAGTACTGGAGAACACCGTCATACATCACTGGAAAGTCAGGGCATCATCGATCGATATCCACGGCGAGAGCGGGCTAACAATAACGGCAGGTTCTTGTTGGGCATCATGTCGGCTTTGTTCATCGGATTTTCCTTCTACAAACAAAACACGACCATGGCGGGACTGCAGAACACCATTTTTGGAGTCTTCATGCTGGTCACGTAAGTTAAGAGCACACTTCCCGCTCCGTCACGACTGACAATCACCATCCTAGTATCTTCTCCACCTTCGTCCAGCAAATCATGCCTCGATTCGTCATCCAACGATCCCTATATGAAGTTCGAGAACGTCCTTCCAAGGCGTATTCCTGGGTCGCCTTCCTCGTGGCCAATATTGTCGTGGAGATTCCATATCAGGTGGTTCTCGCCGTCCTGATGTGGATTTCGTGGTATTTTGCCATCTTCGGCAAAAACCAGAGCAACGAAACTCGGGGCCTGATGCTCCTTTTCGTGATACAATTCATGTTGTTCACGAGTACATTTGCACAAATGGTCATCGCCGCGATGCCAGACGCGGAAACCGCAGGCAATATTGCAACCCTCCTGTTTAGTATGATGCTTACTTTCAACGGTGTCCTTCAAAGCCCGACGGCCCTCCCTGGCTTTTGGATTTTCATGTGTATGTCGCTGATCCTGATCCTGTTCTCACTTCCAGTTAGCTGATGCCGCCAGACCGGGTCTCTCCAATGACATATCTCGTTTCGGGCTGGGCTGCCACCGGCCTCCGTGGACGTCAAATCCGATGCGCCGACAATGAGCTTGCAATTTTTGATCCACCCGCGGGCCAGACCTGCCAACAATACCTGGCAAACTACTTGAATGCCGGAGCACCAGGCCAGCTTTACAACCCATCCGCCTCTAGTAATTGCCAGTACTGTCCTCTCACATCGGCTGACGAGTTTCTGGCGGCAAGTAACATCTACCCGAACGAGAGGTGGCGCAACTTTGGTATTGGTTTCGCGTACATCATTTTCAACGTAAGCATCCCTTCTTTAGCCATGGCTTTCTCGGACTCTACTGATTTGGAATGCAAAGGTCTTCGCCTGCATTGGACTCTACTACCTTTTCCGTGTACGACGCTTGAGTATCTCCAGCCTGGCCAAGACTCCGGCTCGTATTGCCGACGTCATTTTCATTCAAGGATTCAGACGGATGTTGGCCCGACATGTCGAACCCACACCTCCGGGTAAGGAAGCAGAGCGACATCGAGTTTTCTAACAAGGGGAATCTTGAAGTGTGAGAAACAATTCTCTTTCAGACCATGAGCCATTTTATAGGATGACGAACGGCGGAACTTGTAATGTTTGGATAGCACTGATGAAAATGGGAGATGGAAGATCGGAGATGGGAGAATGGACCATTTCCAACATACTTGCCAGGCGCAACATCTCGTTGGCCCTTGTACTTCCTTGGGGGATTTGAGGCAAGAACCGGTATCGGATACCTGTACCATTGCCTCGAATATTCATTTTTATCATTGGCCACATGCTATTCGGGAAGGACAAAAGCCAAGTTAACGTTCTAAAAGCTCGGGCTGAGAATCATTCTCCTTTTTTCTTTCTTCATCGCCAAAGGGTAAATCGGCTCGGCGCCCAAAAAAAGAGCAGAGTTACCCCTGCTATTCATACCATCAGGCCTCCGTTGACAAACCTACCTTCAAGGCTATTCCCCGATGGATGGGAGGACGGCGGCAGATTTACGACGTTCGAAACGCACTATCACGACATTTCTGGGTGTGGAAGGTATCATTCTTTTGCCGACAACATCCAAAGGGCCAGGCAGCAGCCAGCATCGAGGAAAACGGAGTACCCACGATTCCGTCAAGCGCGCCGTGATCGAGGCCAGAGATCAGGATTGGCACGGCAAATTGCACATCAGCAACATCCGAGAGAAGATTGATCGAGCAAGCCTACTCAGAGGCTCTGTCAGGACTCCAGAACAAGGTATGACTTGAAACTGTGACACCACCGACACCGCTCCGACCGTCTCAGGTGGCGATGAAAACCTTTGTCGACAACGTCTGCAAACAAGTTGTCGAGCGCCACGTAACTCACCCGTTATAGTCGATCTATTCGGCAGAAAAGGCGGCTGGTCTTTCCGATGAGAAACTGACCAGTATTGCGGGCGAGACCCTCGAGCGGTCAGCTAAGAGAAAGCAGTTGCAGGAATTACGGCAGGACTTGGAGTTGGGCCTCAGTGGCTGTGTGAAGACTGAATCAGAATTGCGCGACTTGCTCTGAAAGTGGCAGAAGTGTGAATCTCTTCCTTTTGTCTCTGTTCGGGTGTGCCCATCTTTCGTCAGCTCATTTCGTATGATCCTTTTCTCAGCAAGACATCAGCCACTTGGTAGGGCCAGTCTTTCATTCAATAGTGAACAGGACAATGCATTTTGGGTGGAAACCGGGTTTGCATGCCTCTGTATAGGACTACGGTAGACATTCCCCTCCGGCCTCCGTCCTGCGTGTCCCCAAAAAGGTCGCAGGCCAGGTCGTAACATCAAGCCTTCGACGCCTGCAATCCCTGTTCATACCGTGAATGATACAACTCTTGCGGAAGCTCGTCATACAACTCGTACGGAGCATACTGGAACTGCAGCGGCGGGCGTTGTGGTGGCTGGTACTGCACTGTCGGTTCTTCGTGCGCTGGGGCTTCGGCTGGTTCACTTGGTCTGTTGATGGGCTCGTACGAATAAGGCGATGAATGGACCCCATAGCCAGTGCTCGAGCTACTTGCCTGTGGATTGTTGGCAATGACTGTTCCGGGGGAGGGATCTTGAGCGTCTTTCTGGGTGCGACGGTGACGTCGCCAGAATAAAATGAGGATGATGCAGATGATCGATGACCCGCCAGCTGTCCCGACCCCAATGCCGACCTCTGCCCCTGTAGACAGCCCTCCGCCGCTACCGCCACCAATGCTGGTAGATGAAGACGGTCCTGATGAGGTGGGAGTCTCCTCGTTGGCATCGTTCGTTATGGAAGGGTTGGAGGTTCCGCTGGATTCACCAGTAGTTCTAGCAGCTGCGCTGGCCGTAACGGTAGACGTCACCTTGATCGTCTCCTGTGCATCTAGATATGTGGTGCTCGTGAGGACGACATTTGCAGTCGACGTAATATGGACAGTTTGAACCAGCGTAGAGGTGCTGACTGCTTGCACCGTCGTCGTTGCAGAAGTGTAGGTCGTAGTGGTGTATGTAATAGTGCTTTGACGCTTGACGATCACACCTAGGGCCTCCAAGTCCCGGGCCACGAGATCGAATTCTGGGTAGGACAGGAGCGTCATCACTGGAGCTTGAATACCGGCGGTAGGGGTTGAGTCGAGCCCGAGGAGTGAATGCCTCATACTGCTCATCATATTGCTCATGGGCTGTGCTTCATTGGTTTCTTCTGCTTGCTCGATTGTACGGCGGTGCCTGCTATTCGCGGGAACAGTAACATAAACGATATCGGTTGCGGTCCGAACATTTGAAGCAGTAGCATAGACAGTCGAATAGACCGATGTGGCATAGACCGAAGTTGTGTATATGGTACTAAAGGCGGTTGAGGTCGTATAGACCGTAGCCCAGCTCGTAACAGTAATCGTTATTGTAGTGCTTGGACACAATTAGACGTTTTTCGTTACACACCAGGGATCTCAACATATTCAATACTCACGAAGGGTCGGTACAACCAGTGTCATCTTCGCAAGTTTGCCATGTATCGCAGCAGCCTTCCTGTCCATTTGGAAGTCCAGTATCTGCTGGACAGCAAGTTTTCGTCACTGATCCTCCGTCGGTAATGCAGCACCAGGGTCCAGCAGACTGGGTACAGCAGATTCCACAGTCGGGGCAATACTGATCATTGTTGCCGAAGCAATAGTTGTCTTGATTTCCAACACATGATTGACGTGGCCTAAGCGACATCCCTCGAAAAGGATCTTGTAGTCTTCCGGCCAGATTATTGGTCGTAAGGTTAGGAGAACAAGATCCGATCTGGCGAGAATGCTTACGTCTTGCCGCAAATACAAATTCATCGAGTGACGTGGAATTGTATATATCGATCTCGCCTCGAAGAATGGTCTGCCAGTCAGGAACTTGTCCCAGAATACGCGGGCAGAGCGTCATGAGAAACCCTACGATCAGGGTAAGCAGCTTGGGCACAGCCATCCCTGGAGGAAGAGACTGAGAGGTCCGCGACGGTTCTCATACGAGGTATAGGGGGAGTCCCTCCAAGCTTCCGATCCCAAGGCTGATAAATGTCGTTTCTTGCAAGGAGCTACCAGTCCAGGGAATGCCCCGCAGTGCCTGCCTTGGCGAATCGTGTACTAATGAGACCCTACGGTGATGGCGTGATGTCTTGTGTTGGTGCCGGAAAAAGGAATTGCTCGATGCCCTTCCTACTCCGAGGCATCGAGATCCCTGAGGCTTGTGAAAAGAGCATTGAGCACTAGACCGACCTTAGTAGAGACCTCCAGACTGCTTGTTTCTGCCCCGATTGTCCGTGGAAGCCTTGCCCCAGTGTTTTCTTCGGCTAGTTCAGCCTCAATACATGGTTTCAATTCTTCCATCCACAGGGTGCAACCTGTAGCTCTGCGATCCTTTCTGTGGCTCCACAACAAATGAGAGATGGTTCCCTGATATTTATCGTAAAGATCCACGTGAACTTTATGTGGAAGAAGGGGGAGGATGGTCGCTGGAGGGTCGTTGGGAACGACCCGGGTTGAGGATCGGCAAGCGCCCGATGGGAGAGACACTCTTGGCAGAGAGTTCCGGACAACAGAGAGTAGGTCTAGAACTATCTGCGCACCCAATTGGTCCTTGACGTGCGAGCGTTGTCTAGAGGTGCTCAGCGCACCCAAGTGGGGCTTGCCAGACGTCGTCAACGAAGGAAGTGGCCATGAGGGCGGCAGCAACAAAAGGGGTTCAAAGTCAAAATAGGCACTACGACACCAGGAAAGTCTATGCAAAGTGCGAATCGAGCGACAACGAGGTAAAGAGCCCGCAAATGACCAAGGTATGTGAGCGCCCCAATTTTGATGTTTTGGTACCTCGATTGTGTGGCTTTACTAGGGTTTTCCAAGTACATTTCCATCCTACGGACAGCGCTCGCACAACTAGGCTAAATTGATGCTTAGACAACTCTCTGTTTGTCCGAAACTTTCTGCCAAGAGTCTCCCTCCCGAGAGGCTCCCCCGATGGTCATCTCCCGCGCATGATCTACTGGGGTATCCAAGGGTAATTTTCGTTAGTACACCTGAAGGTTTTGGCAGGTAAACAGAGTAGCGTCTTGGGTGTGTTAATAGGGTCGCTCAGCCAGAAGGTGCCTATCACATGCCAGGGCGGCTCGACTAGCCAGTCCAAGGGACCCTAATTTCTGGGCTGCTTTAGGACTTACTCCCCTTTGAGTTCCAGGGGTTCACGTGTATAATCACGTAGTTTAGTTCTATACTAACGAAAATTACCCTGGATACCACAGTACACATTCAACCCCAAAGGATAGTTTCGTGTAGCTGATGCTTCTACTACGCTATACCGGGGGTTGCGTGAAGTGACCTCCGATACAATCCAATAGCAAAATTATCTCACAACGTGGCTTGCAGAAGGAAGAGGTTGGACAGTACAAATCGCCCAGCATCGTATCTGTGGGGGCTAGAAAAGGTCGGTCCTTCTTTCAGCTGCGCTCAAACTGGGCGTTACGCGAGAATTGTTCTTCTCACGTCCCCCCAAAAGCACTTGGTGGTGTGACATGGCTGTGTCCCCAATAATTCGTTCGGTAAGCGAGAACAGAGTCGAGCAGGGCAATTTCTCTGCGACATTCTAGTGGGGACCGGTCAGGCTGAGAATTCGCCCGGATCAGCTCCGTCAATCCTCTTTTCGTTGATAGCGGCCTTTGACGCAAAACGCCAATCTTGGTTACTTTAGGCAGGACCGTATATCGATTGGGGGCCGTAACTATCATTCCTGAGGCGTTTGACGATCAGCACCCACGCCGACGACTCTTGCATTTAAAGCCGTGAATCCCCTTTCGAGTCCTTCCCAACCCAGACGTGGGTAGAGTTCCCCAGGTAGTCTTGGTGCCTCCAGACCTGGCGAAAGTTCGGAGGGTATGAATGAACAGGGATAATATTTGTGAACTCCGTCAGGTAGAGTTGAGAAGCGGAGTCGTTCGATGTAGTTAGCTTCACCCCAGCCGCTGTGACGTATATTTGCTCGGAAGTAGGTGAGCGAGTAAGTTTTCATATTCGCCTTCCACTTGTCCCTTGGGCCGTCTAGCCTTTCGTTAAACCAGCCCCCAAGGAGATAGGACACATCGCACCATCTTGTGGTTGCCGTTTGAATGTAATGTCCACGCTCCACTGTCCATCGTGAGCCACAGTGCGTCCACTAGCTGGCATGCTTCTCGAATAGCCACCAATTCACCGTAATATACACTTAACGTCGAGGACGATCCAATGTTTCTGCTGATCATATTGGGAGCTGTCGACGATAAGTGCGCCACTCCGATGCCAACTTCCTTGTCGACACGACGCGTCCGTGAATATAGCATGCTCTAGGCTCGTTCGACTCGCCAACTCCTCCGCTTTTTCTCGTTCGTGAATATAAACACGAGCTCGTGGCAGCCAGGGCGCTATATAGAATGGTTCGATACACTCCAAGCCTCCGCTATTCGTCGTAGTGGCGATACGAAGCGCGGCTGACTTTGATCTTCCAGAATGGATGTGACGACGGGAGGGTATGTAGGTCCACCCAGAACCGCCGTAGTTGGTCCGTCCATCGATCTACCACTGATTTCAGCGATGCCTCGGCTTCTGCGATTGGGAACGCAATGGTTCGAAAGCCGGCAATGATGGAGATTGCTGCTATGCGCTGAATTTGTTCCGCCGCCCGCACCGTTTTGGTCGATGCGTTGATGGACCACACCGGTGATGCATAGTCCACTACTGGAGTTACCGTCGCCGTGTAGAGTTGTCGTGCCGTGCTAGGCCGTAATCCGCGAAGCCGTTTTGTTGGATGACGAGAGGTCTCCATGGGCAACGACGTTACAGATGGTTGCTCTGTGCAACAGTGTAGCATTCGTGTGTCTATAAAAGGAGCCTCAACACCTCGATAGGTAGATAGGGAACAGAGCGCTCCTTCATCTCAAGTTGTACAGAAAGTTCGACACGTTTTAATGCCATCACTGCCTGCATACCTCGTTTAGCCACTCGTGCTGCATGAACGTGATATCTTAGTCCCTGATCCATGATCACCCCGAGGATTTTAACATGTGGCACCTCGTCGACTAGCACCCCCTTTATACGTAATGGCGCTGTCTCTCCTGTTGGGCCGAGAGAGGATTGATTGAATAAATCTATCTACAAAAAGGGGCCACGAAGGCTGCGGTGCACGTGACTAGGCTAGGCCCAATGTGGACTGCCAACATCTCCTAATCGCCGTCGTGAAGTGGATCAGCGCTGTCTTCTCTGATGCGAATGTCGCGCCGCTAGTGGCCTCCCATTCTTCCACATGCGGGATCACTTCCGCTTGGAGTCTCTCCATGTTCGCCCGTGCATTGGGCCCTGTGACCCACGCATTAAAGTCGTCGACAAAGGCGATTGCCCCCTCTCGTCTTCGTGATAGGTACAGAATAGTCGCTGCCCTCCCCCTTGCCGCGTCGTCATCGGATCCAACCCGTGGACCATGTGGCCCGGGGGAACCCGACTCGATAGATGTCCATGGATTGGATCCGATGAACAGTGTTCCGATCTAGTAGTTCTCGATCGCGTCGTCGATGGATCTAGTAGATCCGGATGTCATATCCGTCGCCGATCAGTGGCGGTGAGTGTGTGAATATCTTCATCGTCGTCGCGGACAGTTGTAACTTGCAAAATGGCTACTAGTCAATCATCTCTTCCCTCCCACTGTGTCAGCCAACCCCTCCCCATCTTCCATTAGCTTGGTGTCGCCTCCCTCACTTAATCGCGGCCCAGAGACACTTACCTGGAAGGGCGTCGAATGGATGCGGGTTGATCATGCACCAAATAAGAGGAGGGGTGTTGCCCAGTCCCCAATTTGGCAGTGGGGGAGTGATTATATCAATCTTGCGCTGCCGACCCACCATGCCTAGCGCTGTGGATTACTCAGCAAAGAGGCGGAGGTGGAAGGGCATACCGCAAGAAGAAGCTACTGATCCCGATTAGAGGCGACAGCGAGATCACGATATGATACGATATTCATACACCCTGTGCGGGCTGAGCCCATAGGGCAGCGAGATCACACACACCATGGGGGGAAAGGACGGAATACCCAATTGGGAATGCCGAGAGCGCGATCGAGTAATTATCTACTAGATCTCGATCGCGTCGACGGCGGCGATCCTTGATCGCGAGCGATCTAGTAGATCGGGACACTGCCGATGAAATCCCGTGGGCAACCTACCCTTAATGGATTAAACATTTTCTGGGCCACAACCCATCGAATTAAACATTTTTCCGGGAAACCCCCAATCGGATCCAATCTGTGGCCCCGGTGGGGGCGGGGGGCACCCTTCTCGATAGATGTCGATATCCTCGATATCGACATGATCCACGAATTGGATCCGATGAGTCGTGGTATTTCATCGGATCCAATCTGTAGACCACCTAGACGAGCTCTCACTGGCCGCGCTCGAGATGGTTCGTAACCGAGCTTTAACGAACGAGCCTCGATGTCGATATGGTCCATGGATTGGATCCGATGGGTCGTGGTATTTCATCGGATCCAATCTGTGGACCACCTAGACGAGCTCTTACTGATCGCGCTCGAAATGGTTCGTAGCCGAGCGTGAACGGACGAGCCTTGACGTCGAGATGACTCGTATGGAATGTTAATGGATTGTAATGGGTCATTTCACTTAATTACCGAAATTTTATATAGGTCATTTGATTAATTGTATTGCGGTAATGTTGACCACATACAAATCGGTCCCGATTTTGACCCAGGCCCTTCTGCGAAGGTCGCCCCGTAGGGGCGATTAGTGCCTTGGCACACCAAGCAGAGGGTCGTGGGTGCCGAGACAATCTAATGCCTTTCCTGGTGTGTTGAGGAGGGCTATCGGCCGATATGACTTAGGCTGTGTATAGTCATCCTTTCCTGACTTTTGAAGAACGACCGTAATGGTTTCTTTGAAGTGTGCGGGGCAGTATCCCTGCTGGAGACAGGAGCCTGTGGAGGCTTGGAGAAGGATATTCAGCGTCTGGTGGAGGGTCCCTGCAACCGTTCAACGCAAGTTGCCGGGAAATTTCCCGCCAGATGTGGCGGTCGTTGCCGCCGCTTTTGAAGGCGTCTTTCCGTCGATGCCCAGACCGCTAGCCTTTTTTTTTTTTCCGCGCTCCACACTGCATCAAGGGGTCCAAAAATTGCAATCAGTAAGGGAAACGCCCACTCCTTCCAAAAACGGGTGCCTTTAGCCTGAAAGGCACAGAGATGGTCCCCCCGAATTTCCTGATACTGCGACCGAGACACAGAATGTTCGTTTACCTTCACCAAATGACTGCGGCACCGAGTTCCACCTGCCATCTCTTTTCCTACATTCGCTCAGGCTCACCTAGGCTGCATTCAAGCCAGTTGCCTGAGAACGCTGTGTCTTTCCCTTTTCTGGCCTCGCCATCATCCGTCCAAGGAACTACTTCGTGTCGTCTACAACCATTGGAAGGTCCCAGAAGTTGAAGGGAAGAGGGCTTTCGCGGATCCAGCATGGTCGTACAGAATCTCGATCAGAGACCAATACCCCAACAACCGCCCGGAAGATCCCCCTGAAGTATACCAAAGGATGGAAGAAAAGACCGAACCCATGAGTGGCTGTTTCATGGATACGCTGCGTGCCTTCCTAACTCCTTATTAGGAAAACCTATATCCTTACCGAAGTGGACGCTCTGATTTTTGATCCGATTCTGCTTGTGATAACGGTCGCCATCCTCGGCATTGCGTTTTGAGTTCCAAAGTCACCTCGATGGAAGACATACTGCGGACTCGTGTCCGTCCCCCACGACGCAGTTAAGAATTCAAGTGGCGTGCGGCTAAACTGATGACGCCGATCTTCCGGCGAGCTTGAGCGTACACCTATAGGTATCGCAACACCACGCACGAAAGCACTACGTTATCCTGTTGTAGTTGGCAGTCTTGAAAACTCCCCAAATCGTGTTTTCTGCCCGCATAAGTGGCCGATTGTTCTGGCGCATGAGTTGGCTTCGTCTCGTAGGTCATCCCTTGCAGAATGTCGCCGACAACGTGGTACAGGACACCGAAGATAGCTTCATGGTTTGGTTCTCCGACGTATTCGACGCGCCAGACAGGGTAAGAAGGAGTTGATGGATTGTGTTTTGTCTCCTTGCCCTTGCCCTTGCCCGGGATGCCTCTGGGTCTCATGTCGCTGGTGCCTTTCCTCTTGGACAAAGTTGTGAATTGATGCCCTACGAACCATTGTGCAAAGCAGTCCATCTCACCTTGTTGTATACCACAGAATAGAAAATGGGAAATCCAAATTGAGAGTAATCCATTACATTATGGAAATCTGAGACCAAAATTACTTGAGGCTGACGCTGGCCGGCGGCGGCTGTACAAGGCCGTCTAGGTCGGCGATTGAGGACAGTGAATAAGACTCTCTCGAAGGGACATGTTTTGGGAGCTGCGAATGTCTTTCTTCTCAATTCTCACGCATAGATATGGTCAGCCGGAGGATCCCGTCGCTGCGACCATTGGCAACATTGCTGGATGGAACCTGCCACGATTGACGATCGCATTCCTCCTCATTTGCTTCATTTCTCACTTTGCTCGCTCCAACTTCTGGAGATTCACTGAATACAGAGTGAGACGCAAGTCTGCGATGTTTTGCATACGTCTGTTGCTGAGTAATTGACAGGAAGATTCCGCTTTTGGCTATCGAATCCACCGTTGGCTCCCTCCAGAGCTGCCAAACTTCCGGTCGGTATCGATCGAATACAGCGGCTTCAGAGCTCCAACACTGGGGGTCGTCTCCTCGCATTTTTGTGCTCAATTGCAAAAGATTATGAACCTCGCAATATGCTCTCGCAGCGTTTACTCTTTGGGCCACGAGCGTTCCACATCTTGAATCCTCAAAACTTGGAGGCCGTCTGGTCTACGAACTTCACTGGCAAGCGTCTCTTGGGGCTACCCTAATGGATAGTATGGTGACCTTTTTCTTCAATCGTCAGCAATATTTTGGGGTTTTAAACATGTCTAAGAGGATGCCACAACACAGTAGTTAATGTGAGTCTCTGCGGGAGTGTGCCTCAGCCTCCGTTGGGGGCCTATAGAGTGGCTACGGTTACCTAGTAGGCAGAACGTTGGAGTCGCTCACCCTTCTGCTCACATATTCACTGGATTTGATTCAGCATTGATCATTCATGATGATCGGTCCTTCTTTCAACGTGGTAGAGACAATAAGAAACAGTTCTTGCTCCGCTCGCCCTTTGCGATAAAACCCGACAACCTGCCCGAGTACGTGATCCAGCACGGCTGCTCTAACCGAATGATCGTGAGCTGTCGTGGTTGGGAGAGTCGTAAGGATCAGTCTGTAATCACTGCTTATCAGTCTTATACAGCTTCCCCCAGCGACGCGCTTTTCCTGACACCGCTCCTTAGCCCTATGATCGATGGCTCTGTCTTTTGGGCTGCTTGCGCCGTGGCTGGGGCCTGCTGTCACCGTGGTAGGACGATTCGCCATGGCTCTCCCGTTCCTCGGCTCTCTTCTCCTCCTCTGCGAAACGCGCCTCATCGTCATGAACCAGCTCCTCAGGGGGTGTGCTTTCTCGAGCTCGCTTTCGAGTTCCAGGCTCGATAGCTTTGTACTTTGAGCTTGCTCTGCATGATCGGTCGAACTCCTCTGCGTCATTGAGGTACGTGAAGAGGTCATGTGCAGGGATGAATACCTCATCATCTAGGGATGCGTCTCCGTCGGCGTAGGCCTTCAATGCAAAGTCTTCAAGGCGGAGGCGCAGGCCAACTTGTGGGTCGCCGATTTGGTTACCATCCTCGCTGCGGAATTCCTGAGAGATGTCAGTCCGTACTGAAGCAGATCTAACTGGTCATGAAATACCTGATCTGCTAAACTTTTGTGCGCAACCAATTCTTTCTCCCCAGCGGCATTGACTTGAATTCGCGGTCGCCATATGGACACAGTGGCCCTCTTACCTCTGTAGTCGAGGTCTAACCCCACAACGGCGCGGATCTCAGCATCTGATCCGAGGATGTAGTCATCAGCAAGGCGTGGCAAATCCCGTCTTTTCTGTGAATAAGACACTTCAATGACCACTCCCGGGTACCTTGCTTCAATATGTCTGAATGAACCGTCCGGGGAATGCTTGCTAAGCGTGGGGTCGTTAAAAGTGATGGCAGCCGAGCCAATCTTCTTGACAAATTCGCCTGTGGAATCTGCTCGACGTGCAATCACGCGCAGTTGTTGTAAGATATCTACAACGACACTTGATGCGAGGTATTCATGTACTGAGCATGCCATCCGGAGCACGAAGAGGTGGGCCGACGGAAAGTAATCGTACCTGGAAAGGTTAGCAAATCCTATAGTTCAAGTGCCGCATCATACCGAAGCTTGTGCTGGACGAATCCGTCTTCCTGGTAGTGTTGTTCAAAGTGCTCGAACTCTGATGGGGACAGCTTGAAGCGCAGCCACGGGACAGCGAAGAATCCACGGCCAATTTTGCGCTTCTCGACTTGTTTGAAGATCGTCTTCAGCCCATGATGCTTCCCCTTCCGCTTTCCCTGTTTCTGCTTTCTCGATTTCCGCGTGCTCAAGTCCGGCGTGCCCGAGTCTTGCTTCCTCAAACTGTGCTCGGAAGGAGGGGAGGTCAAAAGAGATCGTGGAAGAAAAGGAGTTGAGGACAATTTAGTGGCCCTGGCTGGCAGGATTGTGCTGCTCATTGAACTCATCGCCGCAAGTTGGAATAGTGACGTTAGAGGAAGAGTATTTAAGATACAGCATGGAAAATTTTTAACCAGGCAGCAGTCTTGCCGGGGGGGGGTTATTTACTTCGTTGCGCAGCGACTTAGAGAAATATTATCATCGACCGTGGGTCAGTTGGGCGGCGGGGAAATATGTCAACTATTTGAGCATGTGATTAAAGCGTAGCGTTTAGCGAAAGCTTTTTCTACACTCCGACCCCCCCGCCCGCGACCTAGCGATCAATTTTGCTCACGTGACTGCAGTCGTCTCTGATTGGCCAGAAAAATGCTAAATCACATGATCGCTCAATCACGTGATGCGATGCCCTTGGCAATCTTCCAACGCTGTGAGGCGAGCCCCCAAAATACAGAAGCGTAGCTTTTACCCCCCGTGGAATATCCTGTCCGCGGCCCTAGTTGGCTGGCCCCATCGGATCCAACCCACGGCCATCCAGGAGTGGGTAGAGTGCACCGTATCCCGGAAAATCTATAATCCGACGCCTAATCACGTGCTCTAATTGGCTAACTCCATCGGATCCAGTCCATGGCGCATCCAGGAGTGGGTGGAAGGATCGTCCGCGACGTTAAGTGTACATTACGGTGAATTGGTGGCTATTCGAGAAGCATGCCAGCTAGTGGACGCACTGTGGCTAGGTCACGATATTCCCCCAAAAAGGTTGCGACCATCTTCAGCAACAGTCAGTCAGCGCTTCGCTGCGTGACTGGACTGATGAAATTCGCGGCCTGATTGAAAATTGACACAAATCGTGGTTGACCATAAGTTCGTTAGAGATGGACTATAGGAAGGGGCCTTTTTATTTTTCTTAATATTTTTTTGTTTACGTATACGTAAACCCTCTATCTTATAGAAGATTTGCTCAATCTCAATGCGAATACTACGATAGCGTTTAGCTATAGTGAGAGAGGTGACAAGAGAAATTAGAAGTTAAAGACTGATGCTGCCGGGTCCTAATGCTCCGCGTTACCCCTATTAGGTTTGGCTATCCGGGGATTGCAATCGCCAATCCCGATGGAATCGGGCCAATCGATTACAATCTGATTACGTTGGCACTGGAATCCCGATGGAATCGGCGATTGGATTCGATTATGACTGGGAAGGAAGATAACTTTCTTGAATCTTCTTTTGATGATTTTCAACAAAAGATGGTACAGGTATGTTGAAGATTGAGCTTGCCGATGACAACACAGACAGGGTATGTGTCCATATCAATATGGCAAAAGCCGAGAAGAAAGCCGAAACAATGACAGCAAGGAGTCTTCACATGCTAACAATCCCCTTATTTTACGCGTTTAGCATGGTTAATTCAGGCTCCATAGTCACTGAATCGAAAGCACGGCGTCATCGTACCGCACCGGCAATATCAAAGATGACCAAGAGACAGGACGCAGAGGGGATCTCGAGATGACATGGCAAAGCTTGCGCTTGATGAGAAGGCAGCTGCCGAAATCGCGGGAAACGACCCTCCAAATCGATACGAGAAGCAACGGGAGGCTTTTATCGTACGGCATGCTGCTTTGTGTCTGCTTCTGTGTTCTCCAACGGGGGGTAGTTTTAAGCAGTCGTGAGATGGCACTTTGAGGTCACGACCTTGTCGCTTTTAAATCATCTGGACGCCTTGTGCAACGCCATCAGGCTGCGGAGTTCAGAGGCTTGAATACGTACTAATATATCCTTGAAGAAACAATGTATATATCAATACTCCTTACTTTCCGGGCCCCAGCTCCTTCTCCTTGACCCACCAATTCTTCCATGTCCCACTCCTATACAGCTCATCCAGGAGTTCCTTAACACCATACCCCTGCTTCCATCCCCCTTTGGTCTTATTAAACTCACTAATCCTCCAAAACACCGACCCATCGTAACAACTTCTCAAATCTTCCTTCCACACCCTTCCCTCCCTTTGCAGCAAAAGCCATGTCGTAACCAACTCCATCCACGCAAACGTCCAACCGGCCAGATCCGCTGCACACCGATTCCTCCTCCACATCGCCCACAACTCATCCGCACTCAGCCCTCCTGACTTTGACTTGTCATAGCGGTCGAAAATCTCATCAAAGCGAGCCGCGTCGAAATTCCCATCAATATCGAAAACGCCGGTGTCGGAGCCGTGTTTGGCCTTGTGGATGGACGACACATAGATGCGGAAGAAAGGATCCGGAAACCAGCTATGGGGCAGGGTTGTGGCGTAGGAGAAAAAGAAGGGGATCAGCAGCGAAAGGAAGGAGAAGGGGATGTTGAAGCCCAAAGAGCGAAAAGAGCGGTAGATGTCGAGAGGGTAGATGATGCCGTCGTTGTCGCGGTCGAAGAAGAGGATGTGTTGTTGTAACGCTGTCAACTGTGGTGGGGGTTGGGAACTGGGAGGTGATGGTGAGGTAGAGGTGATGGGTGTGGGTGTTGAGATGGCATTGACAAGGCTGTCGGTGTGAGTCGGGCGCGAGTGTCGTTTTAGCGTTGACAAGGGTCTTTCGTTGAGGGCTGCGTGTTCTGGAGGTGTCCCCATTGGCAATGCTTTTGAACTCCAGATATACGTTGATTGATCTCTAGTGAAGCACACCCTGGCAGCCGGATGCAGTCCAGGTCGCACGACCTTTGTGTCTTCAAAACTAAGTGTAATAAATTTCTTGCATCTTTAAATCCAACGAGTCTGGGCGACGTGCACTACTCACCGCTCTTGCTAGCGTCTCCGGATCATGCCAGCTTATTTCAATGCATCTTACGGTCCTCGGTACGATGCCCCCAACAAAAGCTTGGTTTGTGGTCCGATCGGATTCGGAGACCCGACCAGGCTTCGAAGAGCTTTTATCAAAAGTCATGATCCCAACGTGTCGGTTGGACGTAGTTGCGTGGAAGGGAGCCGAGCCTCAGGCCGCCGGTACAATGTTCTACAGTCATTATTAGGTGGTAAAGGATGTACATTATCTTTAATACCGAGGCGCTGAATTCTACAACAGCAAACCACCCACCACTCATCACGGACAATTATCAATTCGGTCTTACATCCACCATATTCCCTCCTAGAGAGGCATGGAAGATTCAACATCAACTTCCCATCCCTCCACTGCACCACCCTTCACCACAAGTACCAATGAAGGGCATCAAGGACATATCGGAGACCAATACGAAGTCCCTGCCTACGAACCACATTCCTCCTTCACTGCATTAAAACAACGTATCCGACACCACTACGACCTGGCTTCTGATTATTATTATTCTCTGTGGTTCGTAAACACCCAACACCCAACATCCAACACCCTATTCCATTGCATCTCACAGGCCTCCAAGTCAACCCTCTCGCCCCCCCACCTCTGTTTCCGCACAGATACCATACGTCCCTCACGCTGACGTGGAAAAGGGGTCAACACATCCACCACGCCTATTTCCTCGCACCCACCGATACACAGGAGACAGGCCAAGTCAACCTGATCAATTTACTGCTCGACATCTCGAAACTTGAACAAGGTAGGACCGTGTTAGACGTCGGTTGCGGCATCGGCGGGACAACAAGGCATTTAGCGCGCGAACATGGATGTTCTGTGACTGGCATCACGATCAGCGGACGCCAGGTGCAAATTGCACGGCGGTTGACGAGGGAAGAAGCTTCCAAGCTCCACATATCTTCGTCTTCTCCGCCCTCGTTAACCATGAACGCAGCCTTATCCGCGAACACGGAGGGGGGTCCGGATGTTGGTCCAAACGCAGACGTCGACGCAAATGGCTTCACCCCGCTGGGCGTACGGGGTGGAAAAGTCCAATACTTCGAACTTGATGCCGAGAACATGGAGGCACACTTTCCGGCGGGCGTATTCGACTGTGTCTGGATCTCCGAAGCATTGAGCCACTTTCCTGACAAAGTGCTGTTTTTCCACAATGCTGCCCGTGTTCTGCGTGATGGAGGCGGGAAGTTAGTTATTGCAGATTGGTTCAAGAATGAAAGGTTGACAGAGGAGGCGTTGGTTAGGGATATCCGGCCTATTGAAGGTACGTCATATTTCTATTGGACACACGAGTGTCTTGTATCCGGCCACCGGGGGTGTGTGTGAGAGAGCAAAGAACAACCAGCGAAGTTTGGAGGTTTTTCCATTGACGCTCTAACTCACAGCGCCACGTTGAAGCTATACTAACACTTGTGTCATAATTTGATGCAGATGGCATGCTCCTTCCTCCACTCTGTACGCCGGCCGAATACGTGTCCCTCGCCGAGGCTGCGGGGCTGAAAATCCTGCATGAGCCAAAGGATATCAGTCAAGATGTGGCGAAGACTTGGTGAGTCAGCTGGCCATCCCATGTTTCCACCTGTTCCCCGACATCCTCCCTACGCCACCTCCGCTACCCACCATTATGCCTCCCTCCTGCTCCACCCCCCGGATCCTGTCCTCCATATTTGTCTCTTACACCCTTCTTGTCCCATCCCTTCTTTCCCTACAGCGAAGACAAAGCCGAACAGCCACAGGAAGCACCACGTCCACATCGATATAGATACTCACAAGAAGGGGAAATAGGGACATATCGTGGGCCCTCATTTCGTCGCCATCGCTCTGGGCCTTCGCTATTGCTCAGGGTCGTGATGGATTGGCGTTTCTACAAGCTTTCCGAGCCATGAGGAGAGGTTATGCGAATGGAAGTTTTCGATACGCTGTGATGGCTTTCATCAAGCCCGAGGCTTTGGGACATCGCCAATGAGGTACTCAGATGCAGGAACTGGGAAATATCTCCTTCCCGGGAGAGGGGATCGAGGTGAAACGAGGAAGAGGACAGCAGTGGGCTGGTGCGTGCTGTGCGTGCAAGAAGAGAAGAGGGTGGTACATAGAGAGGGACATACATTGTAAGCGGGACTCGGCACTCTATTATACATGCTCTATTATCCATTCTCGGTGTTGAAGGGTTGCACGTAAATATACACACATGTCAGTATTGGTAAGCTAGAGTCCAGTCTAACGGTTCTAGACAATTTTGGACAATCAAACCGATAATTTCTACCTAGAAAATTGTGGTGCCGTCCAATGCAAGGGATAGAGATATATACATATATACTACCCAGTCTTTCCCCGTGCCATGTAGTGCCATTCCGTGCTATGCAAGTGAATTGAGGTGACAAAAAAGCTTTTCCAAATATCCGATAGCCAGTATCCAAACGACTCATTCTCCTTGCTTCGGCTCGACACTCAACTTCACCACACGTGGCATGATGTCCAGCCACGCGCCTTTCGATTATTGTCATTCGATTGTTCATTCACCATCGCTCTCCTCTTCCGCGGTATTTTCATGGAAGTATTTCCCTTCTGTCGTCTCATTGATGATACCGGCCCGAATCGTCCAATCACCAAACCTTTCCCCCGGGTTCCTTTCCTTCGCGTACCTGGCCAACAAGCCCTTCATGATCTCCAAGATCTCCTCTTCCTTAATACTGCTCCTGTACAACTTATTCAGGCGCTGTCCATGATATCCGCCCCCAAGATACATATTATACGCACCATAGGCTTTCCCAACAAATGCGGCTTCTGCGACCCATGGCCGCGCGCATCCGTTCGGACACCCCGTCATGCGCATCACGATACTGTCTTGCGCCAGACCGTTCTGTTCCAGGCAACCTTCGAGCTTGGTGATGAGTTCGGGCAAGTAACGTTCCGATTCGGCCATGGCGAGGCCGCAGGTGGGGAATGCAACGCATGCGGAAGACGACAGGCGCAGGCCCAAGAATTGTGTGTTGTCCAGCTTGTATTTCTTCATGAGCCCGACGAGAGCCGGTTTGGCCTCGTCGGCCACGTTGGACATGATGAGATGTTGGTTGCCGGTGAGGCGGAACTCGCCTTTGTGGATCTTGGCGAGTTCCCTTAGGCCGCTGCGCATGGGGAAGTCGGCGGTGTCTTCAACGCGGCCGTTCTCGATGAAGAAGGTGAAGTGATTGAGGCCTCTTTCGTCCCTTTGCCAGCCGAAGGTGTCGATGTTGGAGTCGAATTTGAATGGGCGAGGGGTTTCGAATTTGATTCCCAGTGGCGTCAGGAGGTCTTGGACTTTGGCTCGGAAGACTTCGTTGCCCATGTCGTCCATGGTGTATTTCAGTCGGGCATGCTTGCGGTTCTTTCGATCACCGTGATCACGTTGGACGAGCATGATTTTCTCGCAGACGAGATGTGCTTTGTCGGCCGGGACATAGCCCATCATGTACCCGGTTCGCGGATAGGTCTTTTTGTTGTTGTGTGTGACGCCCATACCACCGCCGGCAAGGATGTTGAAACCTTCCAGGCGAGCGTGGTCCTTGGATCGAATTGCAATAAGACCGATGTCGTGAGCGTAAACGTCCGTATCGTTGTGGGGAGGAATGGCGATGGAGATCTTGAATTTTCGCGGGAGATAGGCTGGCCCGTACAAGGGTTCATGATCTTGAACGGCGTCTCCCGCAACCTGAACCTTCTCGCCGGTGGTGTCGTCCTTGAGCCAAATTTCATGATATGCAGTCGTGGACGGTAGAAGGTGATCAGAGATTTTCTTCGAAACCGCATGGACTTCCTGGTGATATTCAGACATGGTGGGCAAGCTCGAGCACATGACGTTTCTGTTGACGTCGCCACAGGCTGCAATGGTGGTCATAAGAGCTTGGTTGATGGCGCGCATGGCCGGTTTCAATTTCGATTTGATCACGCCGTGAAATTGGAATGTTTGTCTGGTCGTCAATTTCATCGTCTCATTCCCATGTGCCGATGCAATCGCATCCATGTGAAGCCATTGAGACGGAGTAGCAACCCCCCCAGGAAGTCGACATCGGATCATGAACGAATAAGCTGGTTCGAGACCTCGAGCCTTGCGTTCGTCGCGCAAATCACGATCATCTTGCATATATGTACCGTGGAATTTGGTCAGTTGTTGATCTGACGCAGAAATGGCACCGGTCGAAGTATCGGCCAGGCCCTCGGCAATAGTGCCTCTGAGATAGTTGGATGCCATCTTGATATCTTCATTGGTCAATGGTGGGGGTTCTTCGGGCAAGCCTTCAACGTTGGCGACGTTCAATGCCTGCCAAAGTCGTGGCTCCCATTCTTGATATCCCGTTTGATAGGTATCCGGATCCTGATCATCACCCAAACCAATGGGAGTCAATAGTCGGCCTCCTAAGAATTGAATTCGTGCATCAAGATCTTTACCAGGCTTGTTGTAGAAGATCTTATCCTCCTTTCGGGGCCAATAATGGCTGTCTCCGAGAGCAAAGACCGAATATCGAATATGGGACAAGTCCAGATCCGCGGCATCTTTGATGCCTTCCCAAAACGCACGGCCATTCTGGGGAAATTCCCCTTGTCCGGCTGTACTGGTGATCATGACGACGTTCTCTTCGCTAGGAAGGTCTTCAAGAGGATAATCGTCCATGGCCAATACCATGGTCTTCAATCCGCGCGCCTTTCCCCGATTTCCTAGTCTTTTGGCCAGACCCTCTGCATTACCGTTGTCAGATGCGAAGAGAATCGTCAATGGCGCTCCGTAAAGTCCTTCCAACATCTGTTCATACGCGTCTTTCGCTTTGCGTTTCTGCAACTTGCGGACCTCAGAACCATACGATTCTGAAAGACTGGCCGCAAATTGCGGATGCCGATTCATAACTTGGGTCAGCTGATTGTCGCGCCGTAGGAATTCTTCCAGTTCCCGCTTGATTCGTTCGGAATCGAGGGAGAAAACTGGTTCCCCTTTGTCTTCATGGGATGGATCCCATCGGTAGAGGGGCCAATAACCCGTATCAACAGCTTTCTTGGTTTCTTGCAAGACCGTCAAAGGAGAGTCAGCTTCTCTGCTATACGGAAGGTAAGCAAGGATGATTGAGGGTCCGTCGAATTTCTCGGCTTCAATCATTGCTTGAAGCACTTGGGTGTATGAACTGTAAACGGCCACCGATGCGACATATGCGTTACCGTAATTCATCGCATAAAGACCAATATCTTTCTTCCGCCTCATGGAATCGGCTAATGCTCGTTCGGAGTACGGTTCCGAATCGATGATGAGCATGTTGACATTGGCACCAGATGCGAGAACGTGATGGACACCCGAATTACCCAGGTCATACGCCCACGCGTCCGAGCCGATGAGCCACTGAGATTCTTTGAAAAACAAAGCCTTATTGTCGAGTAGTCTATTGGCCAGTCTTGAACCATCCGTGGACAAACGCGCGACCACTTCTGGGGCAAACTCATTTGCCTTTGCGGAGTTATGTGCATTCATGGCCCATCTCGATAGCCATAGCTTTGGTGATTCGGTTATGAACTCTTTGCTGCGTGCAGCTTGTTCAGCCTCCTGGACGAATTGTTGGCGCCTCTCGATCCGTGCCAAGAGAGAGCCAAAGCCGTACTCTGGTGAAGCCGCAAGAGTCGATGAAACACCAGCATTTTTCTTATCGAGTTGGTTGGCAATGTAAAGTCGGTTGCTAAACAGTTGATCGAGAATTTTGAGATAGGCATTTTCTAGTTGAGGTTGCTCAGGGGTGAAACTGTCGATGGCTGGTTCCACTTCGGTGCCGATGCTGAGATTCTGAATGGAAATCACAGCCGGTGGTGAGTGACCACGTCGTCGAGAATGTTTTCGGGGGGTAGTGGGAGGAGCAAGGTTTTGGAAAATTCCTCGTAATGCTTGAAGGGCGGTCGCTGCATCAATCTGACCGAGCCTATATTGTACCAAAGAGATGGCACTTTGACCTCCGGCTCGGGGATTCAAGCTTGACAGCAAATCGAGGAAAGAAGGGCCCCATTTGGTCGTCTTTCTCCTGATTTGTTCCAAGACCGCAATTTTTTGGATTGTTCTCGGGATGGAATCCAAAAAAACCGTCCTTCCAAGCCACGGTCGATATAACCGGGCCGTGATCAAGCCGACATTTGTGAGCTCAGCAGGCACATCGTCAGAGTCGAGGACATCAACAAAAATACCGGTCGATCCAAAAATAAAGAGAGCTGCTTCGGCATCGGGCGGACCAGAATACTCGATTGCGGAGTAACTGCGACCCGTCGCCTGTGAGATTGCCGCCCAGATATCACTGGCATAAGTCAAGATATCAGTGGCAGTCACAGGACGAGTGATGGGATTCTCGACCGAAGTGGCCAGGGAAGAAGGAGCAATGCTGTCAGAAGAACTATCACGTCTTGATGAGGGTACTGAGGAGCCGTCCGTGTTAGTGGCGCCGTTCGCCAAAGAGGTAGCTGCAACCGGGAGAAGTAGATCTGTTGTGACAGCTGGAGATGTTTGTTGCGGCACGACTGGAAGACCTAGGTCGGTAATAGTAGCGGCTCTGCCATTACTGGCGTACAGTGTCTGTTCATTCGAGCCTGAATGCGAGGCACGTAGTCCGACCCTAGTTTTGAGAAGGGTTTGCACAAGATCTCGGCTTTCTACTGGGATGGGATTGTCTTGATTCGAATTGCTTGGGTCGAAGAAGTGTATGACACCTTTGCCACTCTTGATGGCCAGAGCATGGGCAGTCAATGCAATATCCTGCGCCTCTTGGAGAGTCTCGGATTGCAAAAATATGAACCCGGATTGTCGAATGGAACTGATCTCGGAGAAATCTGGATGGGGTGTCCCCAACGCCACATGTAACACCACGGGGTATTGGGCGAGTTTATAGAGATGAGGAATGGAGGTGAGGAGGATAGAGGATGACGTAGTCACTGAAACAAACTTCCCAACCTGTAGAGGGGTGTAGGCTGATAGTAGAGGGTCGGCATGTTGACGGACGGGTACGACTTCCGGGAAAGATTCCGAGAGCAAGTTCTTCGCATCGCTGGCAGTAAATCGAGCCAGATGGTAAGAAAATTCAGACTCGTCACTTAGCGATGGTTGGACAGAAAGAATGACATCGCTGGCAAGATAGGCAATTCTCGCAACTGTACCCAAAAAATTTTATGTGAGTATATGCAATTGAGCAGGGGGTCAGTGTCGCATTTGGCAATTCACATACCAGCCTCGGCGGGGCTCGCTACCGACCCCATGTCGTTCAAGATCTTGGAGAGAGTTACAGAAAACAGCAACTTGAACGGCGAAGAACTGAAATAAAGATTGAGTCGAAAGGTTGAAGAAATAGAAATACCCCCGATTCTACCTGCATACCAACTCCGCTTTCTCTGCAGTCACTATACCCAATAATCTCGACCACTGGAAATTTTTGCTACGCCGGCAAACTGATCTCGTCATGCAGACCGGGATAATGCTGATTGGGTGCCTCTCGATTGCGACATCTTTGAGGCGTCGGTAGTCGGTGGGAGAAAACCACAGCAAACCGGCAGTCGGGTAGCCCTGCTTACATAAAACGCAAATGGGCCATGAGGGTAGGCCCAGCACGTCATCAAACCATGCGATTGTCTGCTCTGGAGAGATTCCATATGGATGAGGAGAGTGACAAGACTAGCCAGATTCAATCCTTCAGCGGCTTGCGCCCGTAAACGACATAACTGCGTGATGGTCAGTGCGGATTCCTCTCCTTGCCCGAGTCGCCACTCACTATCGAACATATTGATGCCAATTCCGATTCTTGACATCTCGTCGAAAGTCCACCATTGCCAGTTCTGTTTCTTCCCGGGTCCAACCGAAGCTGTGTGAGAAGACACGCAGTCCAAAAGCCGTGGCTCCCGCGACCAAGTTTGTCATCTCCAACGCTCCAATCTTCTTCATACGTTTATCCTTCGGCCACGGTGATGTTGGGATCTTGAATATGTGTTCGACAACGTCGACGTATCCTGCATTGCGTAGATATTCGGCAAATCGAAGACAACAATCCAAAGGTGCTTGTAATCCATAAGATGCTTCGATGAATTTGTCGCAGATGTACTTGAACATTGAGTGGTCGGGCATTGATCCGTCATCACACATGGCAGCTGGATACACCGAGGCCAACTCACACCATCCACCTGGTCGTGTGTGTTCAAATGCCTGTCGCATCAGTTTTGGCCAGTCTCGAACCACATACAACGGGTCGCGTAAATGAATAAAATCAAAACTGTCTTTTCGGTAGGTCCAGGTGTCTTCAATGTCATCAATCTCAAATGAACAATTTGGCGCCACCCATTTTGGCTGGATCGGTGCAATATCAACTCCAAGGACCTGTGCAGATGGATATAAGTCGGCCACGTCAAGCGCCCAGATTCCAGTGCCCGTGGCAAGATCGAGAATTCGTTGCGGTTGATTGCCGATGGGAGCAAGGAAGTGCTTGTCGCCGATGAGCATTTCATATTTGCGGTGTTGAAGATCCATACGGTCCATTTCTGCTTCGTCAACTGGCATCCCATAGCTGTGTTGACCGTATTGTGGATACAACCGTTCATTCTCCAGAATCCCTCTGGATATTTCGGAAGCGATTGAAGTGACATAACTGGTGCTTGTGCTTTCGGCGTACGCCTCATCCGTGATGTCCAAGTCTGGTAGTATCATGGGCACTTCCTGTGTAATTGTTCCAGATTGATTGTCCGCGACATCTTGAGGGGCCTGCTCCGAAGTTGTGGCGGTGGAGCAACGGGAAGTAAAAGGCTGCGCACTTTCCTTGGGAGACTGAGACATTTTCACTGCTCGAGGATATGTTTAGGAGTGAATCGAGGTGCCCAAGCACCAGACGACAGTATTCAAGCTTTCGGCATTCGAGCGCAGTGCAAGTTGCGCTATTCTCAAAACCTAGTTCAAGCCGTGAAACCAAAGGAGGACTGGCCTTTTCAATTGGCCGAATGTCTAGTATACAACCAAGGTAGTATTCATGCTGAAAAATGTGGTGATATCGCGGTACGCAGGCTTTGAAGAAATGCAGAAGAAGGCGTGCTGAGGAGAGAAAGAATCGATTTGAGCAGCTAAGAGGAGGTGCCAGCGGAATGGCAGGAGGATGAACGGTATGGATCATTAGTAGCACAAAGTCTTTTTTAGCAGCCAGACAAGCCTGGGAAGGTTGAATTCAGCGAGGTATAGAGGGCGATGATCGAAGCAGCGCAAATCAAGGGCGATAGAGGGTGCATCATGGCGTGTACACATGACTTGGCCATTGAAGATGTTCAAGCTGTGAGAGCATTGTCATACGAACGAGATGAAGTCGACAAGGATTTTGATGGGCCAGAGCTAAAGGTAGCCGGTCGAGGAGGGAAGGGATGCGACAGGTTGCCGAGATCAATTGCCAATAGGATATTAGTTGTCTGTACAATATGCAGGAAGCAGGAAACGGAAGACAAAGAGGTCAGAACTTGGGCCACGTCACATCCACTGCCACATCAAACCGACGGTTTAGGTACCTAATGCGGGCATGCTCTCGGGCGTCGCAGAAGGGACTTTTTACAGTAGTGGGTTGAGGACATTAGGGGCCTTTGATTTGATCGGAAAATGCCTGCCACGTGGAAAAAGTCTAATTGCAGGCTAATACACCGGCTCGGATAGAGGCACTTGATCCCTTTAGGAGCCTGATTGCACACTCGGTCACTCTCTGCAAGTCCCCACCTATCAAAGACACCTGGACACCTGTTACTGTATCATACGGGCTTACGACAAGCCCTACCGGCTGGCTTGTATATGTGCACTTCCACCTGGTCCCCCTCTCCATCAAGGATGTCAACATCAATCACGTCGCCTAATTCGCTTATTCTCGGTAACGTTGCAACGTTGAATCAGCTGTCAGGTTGCAAGACCATGCGTTGCACCATTTGCTTCCCTTTTCTACCTCATTCCTCTGCTCTTACTGGATAACCATACTTTGCTGCCCTCGGCTATTCTTACCCCCTACCGAGAACGAAAGCCTGTGATCGTCTTTCTTCAACAAGGATCATGCATGATAAGAGTGACACAGCCTGGCCAAGACGAAAACATACCGTGTACTTGTGATCCTGCTCGATGCGGGAGAAAAATAGTTGTCAAGAAAGAAAACAGGAGGAAGAGTCTAGTCTGCTCACGCTGCAAAGGTAGTGATCACGACCGACAGGAAGAGGGGACAATAACTTGCTCTTTACTTGGGGACTCGAGTCGTCGAGATTTTAAGATTCCGGTACTACGAAAGTTTCTTGCGGTGTGCGAAAAGGCTGAGACGTGGGTTCTGAACGTTGAGATGTAGTGTAACTTGGGCGTCCTCCGTTTATGCTCATAGCTAGCAAGGGGTAATACGTATGATTCTAGGGATGGGCCGTGAGTCGAGCGAGCACCGAAGTTTCCCATATAGGTGTGGTCAATAGCGAACCAGTCGTAGTCAAGGGCGGCACGTACCCAGGTACCTAGGTTGAATGATTGCATGATATTAGTACTCATGGATCAGTTGGCCTGATCGAGTCGCGCAGGATCAAATGAGATCCAAATTATCCTACCAACCTGGAATCATCTCTGGCCTCCGGTTAATCATCACGCTACAAGACCTGATATCGGAAAGGAAAGCGGTTTTGGGTGGGAGATTTTGTGACCGCAAAACGGGACCTTATCGAGAACCTTGGCGTCATTCTGCAAATCAAAGTAATTTTCAACGCACTGCTCCTTTCCTTTGGGATCCTGCTTTCGTTACCAAATCATCAAACTGAGGACTTGAGGCCGTTATCTCGTATGCACTTCTTTCCCTGCTTGATACATGTCTCAAATAAATTCCTCTCTCCACAATAAAATTCCCTGCTGATTTCGAAATTTCAGATTGAACTATGGCGGCCGCCGACGACGACCCCGTCGTTGCCTCCTACGATGTTTACATGACAAATCCTCTCGCCTCAAAGGCCCCAGACTCCTCCTCGAAACTTTTTGTTCTCCAATATCCCTCTCACCGACCATACTCTAAACCGTACAATGCCGCCAGATCACAGACACCAACCACTCTTCGTTTGAAGCCAAATGCAGGATTTCTAGAAATCGAGATTCCTATGCTAACGTATGAAAATTACAATGAAATTGCTGGTGAAAGATACGGAAAAACAATGTCTGAGAGCCGCACCATACAAGCCGGCAGTTCCCACGGATTGGCTGGAGGCTTTGCTGCTGGCTTTGGACATCCAAGATTGAGGGATGTGCCGACCTACGGCAATCATACTACACCTTCCTTGGGCACCCAGATACTGGGTGGGAAGATCGTGAGCCCGACACCTCGGGATCCGGTCTATCTTGTGGGATGTTTCCGCCAAAACCAGCTTCATCTCTCGCATGTAGATGCAGTGGTACAGATGCGCCCTCAATTACATCACATTGATGCCGAGGATGAGCTCAATCAGAAAAGATTTCAGTCAAGCGGTAATGCTGCTTTTGGGAGACAGAAACCTGGGCTTGAAACTCCTGCTCCAAAGATCGAATCTAAAGCAATCGAGATCAAAATTCGAGACAGCAAAGAAGATTCCAAAGACCGCAGTCTCAACGAAAATGCAAGGCTTTTGCGAGACATACAGGTAGATGAGTGGCAACGGCATGAATGGGTGGACGAAGATGAACCAGAATCTGAAAATGCTTTCGCCACACACATGTATCTCTCTGCCGATAATCTCGATCCGATTGTCAAATTACAGAGCTCCATTAGCAATGGTGACTGGCTAGATAAGATGAGTGCTCCGAGAGAAGGGGGCAAAAAAGGTTTACTGGCAAAGTTACGCGGTCGAGAACGAGAGCGAGCACGGAGAAAGAAGGCGGAGGAAGAGAAGCGCCAACGCCAAAAGGAAGCCACCGGGACCGCCAGGAACACTCACGGGACAATTTTGGACATGAGTTCGGACAGTGATCTGAGCAGCCCAGATGCTTCAAATAGCGATTTTGATGATGATGAGGTACCTGGTTCTCGGGGAGTCGACAAGGTCGTGATTAAAGAAGAACCGGGGGGTCCCTCGATGTTATCAAATGCCCCTGGTCGATCGGCCTCCGCTTCCAACTCAGCGAACGTTCCAAAGAAGAGAGGGCGACCGAGGAAACTCCTACCCGCTGATTCAAGGGCTACCGATGGCTGAAATCGAAAGCAGAAGATTGCTGGTATCCGGCCATCCAAATTCTGCCCTTACAGCGTCGAAGATTTGTTGTGCGTATGCCGCGATTTGCGGGAACAATACCACTACCGACATGGGATCGCTCATCCCCTGCACCCACGAGCTGTCATGGGGAGTCAACACCGTGCCAAGACACAAAAGGCGAGTCAGCCAGCAAGGTAAAATTGCCCAATTTGGTGCCGTTAGCGCCCAGAAAGTAAACAAGAACGAAGGCGAAATGTCCTGTGGAAGAGGAATTAAGGAGAGGAAGCCATATCCATCACCATTTCAGCGACTGCTGACCTCAGCCGCTTGAGGGCAATGCTCCATAAACGGGCTTCTGATGCTGGCAATAAGGTCTACAAGCTCCTTGTTTGTCCAGCCTTCATGATCATTTGGAAAACCTTTAGATCCTCCTTCGCGTCTTTCGCCGTTGTTTTGACTTCTTTTCCGTGTACCACCATCTCATACAACTCCTTCATCTCGAGAGTATATGGATCCTCGTACGTCCTTCGCACTGTGGTCTCCTTGTAAACTCCGTCGATATTCTCACGGACAAGCATCGTTACTGGTAGGCCCTTGACATAGGGAGTGTCATAGACGACGCGGACGGATTTCGTCATACTATACACCTCAATGTGGGCATCGAAACGCGGGACATGGTCAATGCCTGACTCGTACGTCACAGAGAACGTTGGGTATTGAAGCATCGCGCTTTGTAAAAGTCAGTCTTGAGAATATCCTGCTCCAGTGATTCACGCGTACCTCCAAAAAGGAGATCCCAACGAGGCACCAATTACACCTTGGGGCATTCCTAGTGCTTCTCGCATTGTCGACAAATCATGAGACCCCAGCCCACCTAGTAATCGCCACATGCGTGCTGATTCTGGTGAGACTGGTACTCCACATTCGACCGATAAGGCTTGATTCAAAATATCCGACTCCTTAGCTCTCCTGTCCTCCGTGGCCTCGGGGTTGATGTCAGTGAACACTTTCGGGAATGTTCCTGATTGCGATACAAAATGACTGTTCGGACCAATTATATCTGTTCAAAAGAAGTCCGGCGTCAGTGTTGGCGTCAAATATCTGGTGAGGGGGATGGTGATACCTCGTACACGGGCATAGAGAATCTTATCCATTCCGCCAATTTCCCTAAGGGTGTCCAAGAGAGCCGCAGCATACCGTCGCATGTACCCTACCATAACTTTACCTTTGGATCTTTCCTCTGCAGCGATAATGGCGTCAGCATCCCTCTCACACAATGCCATTGGCTTCTCAATGAAGACATGTTTATCATGTTTCAACCCTTCGATGACATGAACGGCGTGATACTCGTCGGAGCTGGCGATAAATACCAGGTCAACATTCGGCGAGGCACACAGTTCAGCAGGCATTTGGGTCGTCTGAGGTACATGGTTGATGATCTTTTGCGCATTGTAAGCGAGGGACGCCGGTGATACATCACACAAGTAGGTGACGGCGAAGAAGTCTGAGAGGAAACCCAGCGTGGGGATATGCGCGACCTGAGTGATCTGGCCACATCCTATGATGCCGACCTTGACGATTTTATTGTTCACCATGTTTGGAATGCACAATTCCCTGGAGGGATTGAGAGTGGTATGTGTTGAACGAACCAATAGGAATACCGGATCAAGAGCTTCTCACGTGATTAGTTTGGCGTCCAATCGGGAAGCTCCTGGATTGGCCAGTCACCACGCTCCTGAAAATCAGTCGATTTTAGAAATCTTTCTCTTCATCATTGATCCTGTACCACCACTCCCTTTAATCCCTTCCATTTTATCTTGTTCTGCTGCGGGGGCGTTTGTGCTGATAGATGGCTATCAGACATTCATCATTGCAGCTTGCATAGTTTATTTGGTCCCCCGCCCTGTTGGTTTTTTTTTTTTTTCCCCTGCGCAATGCTCACGCGAGCTGCCCGTCGGAGGCATGCGCTGCATTATTTCCAACAGGCAGCGGAAAAGATTCAATTACCATGGCTGTGTCCTGTTCTCGCGCATCCCAGCACCTCGCACCACCAATATAGATCGATAACGTCCCGCCCATCCATCTCCCACTCCAGAACGTTGCCTGCACCCGTCACCCAATCGAGACATCTCGCCTCTCCGGCAGCTGTTCCTGAAAGCTTCGACCGCAGCGATGACTATATTCCTTTCGTCTATGGTCATCAGGAATATACGGTCACCCCCCACCCACATCGAAATCTCACTGGAGATCTCTCTCCCTTCGACCTTTCACAAATTCTGATGCTCGACAGCGCCGCAGATCTCCTCCAAGACTATGGCGATAATACTCGGATTCCGGGTACAAATACACGAAGAAATATAGACGAGATTGAAGCAACGTTGGATGCTTGCTTACACGTGCATCGATGGGATCGAGCGTTCACACTTCTATCACATCTCGGCCTCCTATACCAAAACAATCCGGCTAAGCTACGGAACTCGTACAATAGAGTTCTTGCTGCCATGGTTGATGATCTTATTTGGACCCGAAATCCCCAAAATGAAGCGCGAGTCAATGATTGGATCGAAGTGCATATGAGAAAGGCTGGCCTAGAACCGGATGCCCATACCTTCGCATTAAAAATAAAAGCGGCGCTAGAGTCATTGGTCGGGAAAAAGCAGGCTCGGACAGTGCGACGCTACTGGGAGATGACAAAAAGATATGAGCTCGAGAGCAAGGTCTTGAGCTTACGAGATATTCTGGATGATCGTGATCTTGGAAAACTCTCCCAAATTTGTCCTGTTGAAGTGAAAGGCCTTGAATCCGATGGATTTCTTTCGACTCTCGCAGATGACGCTTCTGGAGAAACAAGGTCCGAGCCCGAGGAGCATGTTCACGTCCGAGAGACCGAACAAAAAGGCCTCGGCTTGTCTGCCCTCAGACAATCTCTGTCCATATTCTCCGGGCAATCGACTTCGCAGCTTCACGCGGATCCGCTGGGAGACCCTAACGTACCGAGACAGCATCAATTGGAAAGAGACGCAATCAATTCTGCGGTAGAACGATGGAAAACTGAATATCACAAGCGAGCCAAAGCGGGAATCACACCTGATCTAGCCCATGGAAAAATCGGTGCTTTGCTTTGGCAGTGGCATGAGATTCTGGCTGAGAAGATCGCAAACGAGGTAAAGCTGGCGAAAGAGGAGGACGGTACTTCTGGGAAGAAATCGGTTCATCAAAAATTACGAGCCGAGTGTTCACCGTTTCTTGAGCTTCTCCCCCCTGAAAAAATGGCCGCTGTCACTTCAATCGCCATGATGCAAATTATGAGCAAGGTTGGAGCGTCCAAGCAGGTCAAGCTGGTTCGATTGGTCACCGATCTTGGCCAAGCGATCGAAACCGAATATGACTCAGTTGAGCTAGCCCGGAAGAGATCTGCTATGCTAAAAAAGAAAGGAAAAAAGGATGGGACAGTCCCAGGTACTGCAGGCGAATGGGACAGCTCCTTGGATACGAACGTGCATAGACGATCAACACACCATTCCGCCTCCCCATTCATGTACAAGAGAAATTGGTCCAAAGCTATCCACGCCAAACTTGGCGCCATTCTGGCTGAACTCATGTTCGACACAGCCAAGATCATGATAGCGAGGGAGGACAAATCTACTGGAAAGACACTCTCCATCGCCCAGCCGATATTTCTCCATTCGACTAGCTACCAGAACGGTCGGAAGATAGGCATGGTCTCACTACATGAAGATTTTGTTGGCATCCTAGTTTCTGAGCCGGCCCAACATCTCATTGCAAAGCAACTACCTATGATCTGCCCGCCAAGGCCATGGAAAGGCTTTTACGACGGCGGGTTTTTGGAATCTACACAACCATTTTTACGCGTCAAACATAACGAGACTGCCCAGAAGGATTATGGGATAGCTGCCGCTGACCGAGGTGACCTCGATCAACTTTTTGCGGGTGTCGACATTCTCGGCCGAACCGGATGGCGAATCAACAAGGATGTTTTCAAAGTCATGCTTGAGGCCTGGAATAGTGGAGAAGAAATCGCCAATCTACCGCCTCTGAACAAAACTTTCCCCGAGATCGAGCGACCTGGTGAAAATGCCACACCACGAGAACGCTGGAACTGGTTCATAAAAGTTCGTACTATGGAGAACGAAAGAAGTGGCATCCATTCCAACCGGTGTTTCCAGAATTTTCAAATGGAGATCGCAAAGGCATACCTGGATGAGACATTCTACCTGCCCCACAATGTTGATTTCCGTGGGCGAGCCTATCCCATTCCACCATATCTCAATCAAATGGGTGCCGACAATGCTCGAGGGCTTCTCCTGTTTGACAAGGGCCGTGAACTTGGCACTGATGGTCTTCGTTGGTTGAAAATCCATTTCGCCAATGTTTACGGCTACGACAAGGCGAGCTTATCTGATCGTGCTCAATTTCCAATGGATCACATTGACGATGTCTACGATTCTGTCAGAAACCCGTTGACTGGTAGACGGTGGTGGCTGACTGCTGAGGATCCTTGGCAGTGTCTAGCAACTTGCTTCGAACTCACCAATGCACTCGACTCCCCAGACCCGACAAAATTTGTGTCCAGACTCCCTATTCACCAAGATGGCTCTTGCAATGGTTTACAACACTATGCAGCCCTGGGGGGGGATATTGCTGGCGCCAAACAAGTCAATTTGGAACCAGGTGACAAGCCTGCAGATGTTTATACGGGAGTCTGTGAGCTCGTCAAAGCGGAAATCAAGGAAGATGCGGCCAAAGGTGATCCTTTGGCAAAGATGCTAGATGGCAAGTTGACCAGAAAGGTTGTCAAACAGACAGTCATGACCAATGTCTATGGTGTCACATTCCTCGGTGCCATTAGGCAAGTTCGAAAGCAAGTGGAGGTTTTGATCCCCGAGGTGGAAAAAGCCCAACTGTCGGGTAAGGCATCAACGTACATTGCAAGAAAAATCTTCAAAGGACTCGGTGCGTTGTTTACTGGTGCACATGAAATTCAATACTGGCTTGGCGATTGTGCAAATCGTATCAGCTCATCGATATCTCCCGCTCAGCAAGAGAAAATTTACGAAAAGGCTTATGGTGGCGAGCCCACGATGACGGAACGCCCAGGGCGTAAAAAGGGCAAAAGCCAGGAAATGCTTGAATCTGGCATATTTCGTTCGACGATTATCTGGACGACGCCTCTCAAGCTGCCAGTTGTTCAGCCATATCGCATCAACAAAGGTTTGAAAATCCAGACAAATCTACAGAACATTACCTTGGCTCAGCCCAGCGTGGCGGATTCCGTCAACAGACGGAAGCAATTGCAAGCCTTCCCGCCGAATTTCATCCATTCGCTTGACGCCACACATATGATTCTTTCGGCCTTGAAAGCTAACGAGTTTGGCCTAACCTTTTCGGCGGTTCATGACAGCTTTTGGACTCATGCCGCTGATGTCAATGTTCTCAATGCGCTTTTGCGAGATGCCTTCATCCGTATGCATAGCGAGGACATTATTGGGCGACTTGCCGCCGAGTTCAAAATGCGATACGAAGGCCACTATTACCTGGCTCATGTTAACAAGACCAATGCTCTGGGCAAGGCAATTCTTGCATATCGTAGGCAGCTGGTGGCAGAAGGCATTTTGAAACCAAGTAAAGGCTCGAGAGCTATTCCAGAACGAAGACATATTGAGTTGTTACGAGAGATTCGAAAGAAGAAGTTGATGGAGAGTGAGGATCCTAAAGAGAAGGAGGAGGGTGAGAAGATGGAGACGGCTGCCAGCATATTCGAAAAGTATGGAGAGAAATATCTGTTTCATCGAGATTCTTTAGGGGAAACAGCGATTGGAGTCGTACCTGAACATGGAACAGGTGACACTGTGGAAGAGGCCATCAATGCTGCCGAGGGGTCTGAGAATCTGGATCCCCTCGGAGATTTGGTGACAAATGAGGAAGAGGATCTAGCAGTCGAGGATTCAAACAGGGCCAAGGTCGACGTCCCAGCCGCATCTGCTTCTTCAGGTGCAGATCACGTCACTGTCAACGCATTTGGTCAAAAGATCCGCAAGAAGAAGAAACCCCAAAAGAGCGCCAATAATCAAACATGGCTCTGGCTGCCCTTGACGTTCAGGCCTGTACCAAAGAAGGGTGATTTTGATGTTACACGATTAAGGGACAGCACCTACTTCTTTTCATGATTTGTGTTATTTATTCGGAGGTGTGGAATGATGATAGGATGGAATTCGAGTCATGCTTTGATGCACAGTGCAAGCTCGGAGTTAGGAGGGTTTTCGAGTGAGTAAAGGAAAAGAGTGTAAAAAGACGCGGATCTTGTTTATATCATGTGCAACATATACTGGAAAGGAGAATTTGGGTAATTGCTCATCCGCTCAGATGTAGTTATAAGACTGAGGTGGAATTTGGATTCCCAATAACTATGATGTGCTCTGCCTCAAGCTAGTACTTGACCAGATACTCGGAATGCTGGAATATGCATCTAATATCGTACCAGAGACGTGGCGCTACAATTTATCGGACAAGACTATGAACCCACGCTGAGAGCTGTGAACGGCAAGGCTGCGCCACGAGTTGTAAGGCCACCAGGCGACGAGGCTGAGACGACTTCATTTCCTCGCCCCCTTGTCAGCTTGCCCGTCTGGAATATTTGCAATGCGCCGCGGATCCATCTGATCGAGCTCTCGATGCCTAAGATTACTCCATTTCGAATCGCAGTCTTCCTAATCACTTCTTATTTGTTTCTCGTGCTACTATGGGTGGCTCTACCTTCGCCGCCTGTTGCCTGGAAAGATAACCCTTCTGCGTATCTTTGGGATGGAGGGACGGTGACACGAGTCTACGAGTAAGATAGAGCTGCTCCGCTTCTCTCTTGTGGGCTATTCTGTGTCTCTGACCTATTATACGCAGCATTGACGATTTCTTCCCATATTACGACCAACTCTCCTCCGTTCAAGAGGCCAGATACACTGGACGCAACTCGTTCGCAATCGATTACAGATACTTCTCCGACAGTAGCGTGGTGGCCATTGGTGATGACTCCCTCGGTACATTCTTTTTTAACCTGACGAACATTCTGTCCCTTTCCCCTTCCTTACCGCCGATTTTTCCTATTCCGACAACGCTCCCTGTCAAGACTGGTGACCAAGATGGGATCAATCCGCCATGGTTCACTCGGGCCGACGCTACACTGCTGTTCTGGGAAATCCATCGTGATATCTCCAGGATTCCGCTCCGAATAAGCCTTTCCGACAATAATACGGTACAAATTTGGCCAGATTCACGTCTTTTGGTATGACAACTGGATCATACCCTTGTGCGTTGCTAGGCACTTACATTTCTTGTAGGACGGAGATGTCCATGAGAACGAGGACGAGGACGACTCAACACTTGCAGAAACCTGTCTTTCGCCTCTTATCACCTTCAGCCTTTCCACAGACATCTCAAATCCAAGCCCAATGCCTGCCTTCCGGGTAGAATTTCCCATGCACAAATTCAACTCCTCGCCATCACGCAGTCTTGCCTTTCGCCGCGCCATCTCCGCCTTAATGGTACCCGTGGGCCTCTTCATAAACAACTACATCCTCCCGGTCATCACCCCGCCGATCATGATCATCGTTGCTACTACTGTTACTCTCATTTACGTCGTTGCACTGTATGTGCTTCTTGTCCTTACATGTTGGTCTTCTGACCGTTTCCCTCCGTTCTGGCCTTGGACGAGAAGATTCTGGCTGACACGCGGATTGACATCATATCTGGGACCGAAATTGATATCGTCAACCGACTCAGAAGATGGCATGTCACTCTCTAGATCGGACCGGGGTGGCGGAAGCAAGGAAATGAGCAGTGACGAAGCCCGTCCTAGCCCCAAGCCCTTGCAAAGTTTCTGGGGCTTTTTTACTAGCAGTTCCCCGCTGGATGATCTTTTCGCTACATACGAAGTGACCAGGCCTTTTATTCAGCCGATAAGTCTGAGGTTCAAACGAAATTGGCCACAGGACGAAGAAGGACAAGGTGATATAGTCTCCCCAGCGGAAGCTAAGCCTGACGCGGGGTTTTCAAATGCCCGTCATATCGATGACTCTGGATAGAAATGAATTTTTCAGACAAAACAACCCCGATACCAAAGGGAGACGGTTTCCATCAGACACACCTCGGGCACTAAAAGACGACGTCGGCGTGTCGGCGGGTCAACTATACCATCATGGCAGTTGCTCAAGACAACTGACGAAAGGAGAGAAAGAGAGGCGCCTCTGTGACGTGGCCTCCATCAGTGATAGTGTTTGAGCCAGAAGATGCCATGTTTTGAATGGTCTGAAGAAAATGTATCGGGGACAGGTTTGTTCTCACTACATCTAGTCTCATCCAGCCTGAGACATGAAGAATGGACTCTTTCCACATCTCATCTCGTGAATCTTTCCCTCATTTCCTACATGTCCCCTTCACTCCATTATCCTTTTTCTCTCTCCACTCGTCTTTACGTCGCCACAGCCTTAATTTCCTTTTCCCCCTTTTTTTAGAACCCTAAAACCATCCCCATCATTAACGTCTCACACTCTGCCCCATCCTCCACGAATCCCTCGCGCTGAGGCAGCACCAACAACGCATTCGCCGCCGCAACACTACCTACCCTGCTACTCCTCTGCATTCCCGTGCTCCTCGCCACGAGACGTCCGTCTTTCGGATCCACACCCACAACGACACGATGATACTCGACGCGAGCCTTATCACAGCGCACGCGGCCCGAGACCTTTACCCTGACTCTCTGCAGACCTTTCCCCTCGAGACCAACCATCTTCTGCACGCACGGCAACACGAACAAGTTCGCCGTGACGAGCGCACTGGCCGGATTGCCTGGGAGTCCGAAGAGCAGTCTAGTGTCTCGCACGCCAGATTCGGAGGCCTTGAACGGCACGGTGGCGAACGTCGTCGGTTTCCCTGGCTTCATAGACACACGACCGAAATGAACTTCACCGCCCAGCGCTCTTTCGACAGTGGGTTTTAGCAGATCCAATTCTCCCATACTCACGCCACCCGTCGTGATGACGATATCGAGCGCGTGCGCGCGGAACGCAGCGCGGAGTTTTCCTTCAAGCTCACCCGTGGGCGTGTCACGAGCAACATGTAAATCGACGACTTCCTCGCATAGTCTCCATCCACGCAGCACCGAGAGTAAGCTCGGCCGGTTCGAGTCGCGAATCATACCTCCCGTCAGCGGACCGGGGATAGAAATGTCGTTGATTTCGTCGCCTGTCGACATGACGCCGACGCGTGGTTTGCGGTATACAGGAACACGCTGAATACCCGCGGCCGCGAGCACGCCGATCTCGCCTCCCAATGCACTGATTTGCGTGCCTTTGGTCAAGATGGTTTCGTGAAGCTGGACATCGCTGCCTGGTTCGCGGATGTTTTCGCCCACGGTGAGCTCGTCGGTCAGGATTTCCACGCTGGCTTCTTCACTTTTATCCTCTGTCAGTGTGGAAATGACGGTGTCTTCAACCATTACGACGGCGTTGGCGTTTTGGGGCAGTGGTGCGCCTGTGGTGATGCGTGCGATTTCGCCTGGTTTCAAGGGCGGAGGGAGAGATGCGGCTTGGGCATGGGAGACAGAGGCGACAGGAAAGATTCCTTTGATTGATTTTCCCTTTTCCATTTCTGCTTTGTCTGGGACGATCACGGCATATCCGTCGACGATACTGGCGCGGTATGCGGGGACTGCTTCGGCTGCTTTGATGTCTTCGGCGATCACGTAGCCGATTAGGTCGGGGGAGGTGTCTCGCAGTTCTGGGATGGGGGCAGGGGAATTTTCGAGGATCTTAGCGACGGCATCTGCGACGCTGAGCATTGGGTAGGGAGACGAGCGAGCACGAGCCGTGGCGCCGAGGCGGGGGTCGTTGGATTGTGGTCGTACAGACGGGTCAGTATGTGCTTTGGGGATTCTATGGCCACCGCCTCCGTGGTTGTGATCGTGATCATGATCGTGGCGATGAGGGTGGTGATGTGAGCGGTCACGGACTGTTGTGGTAGTAGAAGAGCCATTTGAGGCAGAGGAAACGCCAGCGTCCTTTTCTAACTTCCGGACTCCGCCGGAATGAGCAGCTCTCGAATCCTCGCCAGCAGCTTGCATGCAAGCGTGGGGTAACAATTTCAGCACAGCTTGAAGATTCTCCCTAGCACCTTTCGGCGAGCCCGGCAAGGTGATGATGATCGATTTGTTCCGCACACCTGCCACGGGTCTAGCCATCATAGCGAACGGAGTGACTTGGAACGAAGCCGTAAGCATACCGTGCACAATGCCTGGTGCATGGCGATGGATCAGCGGCGCAATTGCTTCGGGCGTGAAATCTCGACGGGCAAAGCCTGTTCCTCCTGTCGTGACGACGAGGTTCACGATGCCAGAGCTGCTGGTTTCATTGTCTGTCCAGGAACGTACGACACGTTGGATCTCGACGATGTCATCCTTGACGATTTCAACAATGGGTTCAGCCCATTTCCCCGCTCCGTCTTCGAAGAATGTCTCTTTGAGAACGGGGAAAGCCTTGTCAGTGGATGGGTCGGCTGCTGCTGTGTCGGAAACAATGAGGATGGCGGCGCGGAGAAGGGCCGGAGAGCTCATGCTTTTTTCCTTCCGCTCCCAATAACTAGCTATTCGGTCAGGGAGCTTCGCTTCCGGTCGGACGACGAGAAGAAAGTTGGTCCTCTATTGAAGGTCTATGTCGTTGAAGTGTATTAGTCATCCGTCATTCGGGGAAATGTTTATCCGAGAATCAATTGGTCCCCTCCTTTCTTTATATCCACCTCATCTCTCTCATACGCGGACTGGTATCGTCTGGAAACATTCGAAATGAGCTAGTAAGTCCATTGCTAATCGCGTCTAAGACCATGCTCTCCGTCTAGAGCACGCTTCGTGACTTTCCTCGGCCGGTTACACCGCATCAACTCGGCTTTAACGCCCGACCACCATGGAAGTTCTCGCAGTTCAAACGCCCTTGTTACTCTCTAACACGACCACAAACCTCACAGCACAATGTCTCTCCTCGAAGCTTCCAAGCCCGACCGTCTTCGGCGCAGACGTTCTAGCCGTCACATCATCTCTCGTGACCAATTATACAGCCTCGTTCTTACCCCCAACATTCTTCAACTCCGATCCAGTCATGTACGGAGAAGTCAATGATTTATCCTTCTGCAACGTTACAGTCACATATACGCATCCCGGCCAGAATGACAATATCAACGTGAATATTTGGCTCCCTCTATCAATCTCCGACGGGGTATATTCAAACAACACCTCTGGTAATTCCGCGCCCACCGAAACGATTGACACCTCGGCGCCATCATGGAACGGCCTCTTCCTCTCCCTCGGCGGCGGCGGCTTCTCTATGTGTCTAGGCGACTTGTTCTCTCATACTTCGCTGACACAGGGCTACGCCATCGCCCAGACGGACGGCGGGCACCACCCCGCGGCACCCGCCGAGGACTGGGCCTTACTTTCGCCAGGCAACGTCAATTTGTATCTACTCCAGGACTTCGGCTCCGTGGCCCTTCACGACGAAGCTGTGATCGGGAAATCAATCGTGGAATCCTTCTACGGCATCCCACCCCGGTACAGTTACTTCCAGGGCTGTTCCACAGGTGGACGACAGGGCTTGATGCTGGCACAACGGTATCCAGAGGACTACGACGGCATCCTCGCCGCGGCGCCTGCGATATATATGCCAAAACTGCTGATGGGGCATTACTGGGCACAGGTATTCATGAATGAGTTGGGCAAGTATCCGCACCGCTGCGAGTTCGAAGCCATAACGAATGCCGCGGTTGAAGAGTGTGACGAGTTCGACGGTGTCAAAGACGGTATCGTCGCTGCTCCGGATCTATGCCACTTCGACCCGTTTACGTTAGTCGGGAAGACTGTATCTTGCACGGAACAGTCCGCGGACGATGAGCCGGCCCATGAAACCACACACTCCGTCACCCTCACCCACGCCGCTGCACAAGTGGCACAAGCCATCTGGCGCGGCCCCGTTGACACGAGCAACGCCACACTATGGCACGGAATGACGCACTCTGCGCCACTGTCCGTTTTCTACGCGGGGACACGATGCTTTAAAAACGGCACCTGCGTCGCCATCCCCAATGGCCTAACCAGCGACTGGCTCCGACTGTTCATGTACAAGAATGCCAATTTGACAAATACTGATCTCGCGAAACAGATCACGCACGAAGAATACGTTAGACTATTCCACCAATCTGAGGAATTATACCACTCATTCCTAGCAACGAGCGATGCCGATCTCAGCGCCTTCGCAGCCCGAGGCGGCAAGATGATTACCTGGCACGGTCTGAGCGACGAGGGCATCATGCCTGCCCAATCACGTGCTTATTTCGAGGAAGTCCTTCGACTTGCGGCAAATCACTCCCCCTCAAGCCAGAAAGTGAGTGACTACTACCGCCTCTTCCTGGCACCGGGCGTCGAGCATTGCGGCGGTGGACCCGGCGCGTTGCCCGTGAACGTCATGTCCGCGCTACGGGCGTGGGTAGAGCACGATATCTCACCCGACATGCTTGAAGGTGAGAGTTTCACGGGCCCGGCTAAGATTTATAGGCCCGTATGCATGTATCCGCTTGTGGCAAGGTACAAAGGCCATGGTGACCCCGCGGGGGCGGAGAGTTTCGAGTGTAGTGATTCGTTTTGAAGCACTAAGTTAGGTTGAAGACTTTGAAGGGGTTGAATGGTTTCAAGATGATTCTCTCTCTCCTTTGCACAGGTTGCATCGACAGTCCCGAAAAAAAAAAAGGAACACTTCACAGTAGCAATTGATGGACAGACTCCTCCACAGAAATTGTGACTCTAGTCAGACAGATATATTCCAAGTGCCCAACAGGGTATCTAAGCCCGAAAGAAACAAACGAGCCGAAAAGAAAAGAACTCAGTGCTGTAATTAAATAGAACCAAAAGCAGCGCCGGTCCCGAACATGAGTTGGGGGTATCAATAGTCACAGTCGTTAAGAATGAAAATCGTTGTCAGGTCGTCGTCGTTCTTCTCTATCGCCGAGCCAGAAACCAAGCCAGGACGGAGTCCAATGCAAACCAGAGGTATTCTTGAACACTGCAGAAGCAGAAGCAACATCATTGGCACCACCGGCAAACAACAAATCAAGTTGGATGAAAGCAACCACAATCAAGGAATAATGCCCCGCTTATATTCTCTCCTCTTCACGGCTCTGAGAACCGGCAAGGTATGTTTCCGTCCAGGCTCCCTGCCAATCTCCACAACCAAAAACCGTACAAAGTCTTGCAAGGTCCAATAGCTGCTGTGGGCACTGAGCATGTTAAGATACTGAATTTCGAGAGGCCCTCCGCCAGCATTGAGGAACCAATCGATCTGTCCATTGTCGTTGAGCAGAAACATTCGCTTCTCAGCTATTTCCTCTCGAGTGAAATTATGGGTTTCCAATTCCACTGTGCTAGGTATGTGTTGGAGCTCCGGGCGACTCGTGGGAGCCACAGTTCTGTAGGCATCCGAGGCGGACGTGGATGCCAAGCGCAGACTGTTTCCGAGACGGGTCATGAAACTCACGCTTGCGCTGGGGATAGCAGCTGGCTGGAGTGATGCTGCGTATAGCTGATCGACTGATGCGTTTTGTAAATAGGAAATCGGATCGTTTCGATGACAAATGTTGTAAATATTGTCGACTGCAAGACAGCCGTATTTTGCCTCACTGGCAATCCCCGGTTGTCGATCTTCGCCTCCCATACCAGGCTTGTTTCTTCCTTTACGCGGAACAAGATTGGCGTTATTCAGGAGCAAGAAGAAACCTGACGGACTCCCACAACAGAACAGGTTGGTGGTATCGAACTCGAAGTATTTCTCGCTCGGCTTTTTGCTGTTCAACTTCATGTCTTTCCCAATTCGGGTCGGTTGTTCGCTAAGGATTTCCATGGCCATGACTGATCCAAGTGAATGGGCAACAAGATGAACTCGACCATAGTCCTCGAATCCTGGGTTGTTGCGACACCAAAGCCTGTAGACTCGGTTGGCCTCGCGAATGACTGCCGATGTCATTTTTTCCTTATGATGCGACATATAATATGGGATATCCAACATCACATCACTGATCAAGGAACGGACTCCTTGAAGACTGTCTGGGGTGATATCTTTCAATGCATACTTGTTCTCCGTATCCTGGTTGGTAGAATTTACCTCGTCGTCAAAAGACACAGTCAATCGCCAATTCACAGGGAGAACCATGATCCCTGCTCCGTCTCGTAAGTTACCCTTCACTGCTTCAGTCGACAATTCAACATTAAACTCGCGCCTCAAGCCGTTGATAGCATGAGTAAAATGGAAACTGTCGACCTTTTCGGACAGTTTCTGACCAATACCATGAATCACAAGTACCAAATCAGACACTTTCGGGGTTTTGGTCTCTTCCTCACAGGCCGCACAAGACATCCGCCGTCCTCGAGTGGTGGCATCTCCTGATCGAGACATATACGCTCCCGCTTTGGCGTGAGCCATTTTCGCGTCCATCTTAGGGTCTGGGTGAATCTTCGACCAAGCCTTGCGATCAAAGCCACGAACGACTGCCACACCAATCTGTCTGCCTTTCCGGATTGAACTCAATGGTCGGCGATTTTTGGTGATGGAAGGTAAGAGGTTCGGCCTTAGAATCTGAGCATTTCTGGCATCGGTATAGATCACACTGTGTGTTCCGAACAGCCGTCTCTCGGTAGTCCTTTGTGGATCCGCCGCTACATTAACGACTGTTTCCGGTAGATGTTCGGACAGTCCCTGATTTTCCTCTTGATGATTCTCCTTCATATCGAGGGCAGTCGGGGGTCTGCTTGACATTGGGTCGTCGGGCCACAGTTTATGTACCACTTTCATTTCTGCTGATGCACCATTCTCAGTACAAGCCTGCAATTCTTCCTGGTAAGACTCCCCGTACGGTTTGATATACTCATAGCCGACTTCCAACCTGTTAGCTACCTCGGCAGGAACTGGTAACATGGTGTCTTTGTAGAACCAAGTGGCTCGGATGACACTTGACTTGTCATTGATGGGAGACCAGTAAATAGGTTTCATGATGAGATCAGGCATTTCCACGAGATGAAGTCGGGAAACTCCGACAGGTACAAAAACCTTTTCTTGATCTTTTTCTTTGCGACGACGGCACCCGGAGCTTCGAGACCGACTCCTCTCTTTGCTTGATCCGTCGTCAGATTCATCTGCAAAAGTGATAGGCTGTCCACCAGTGTTGTTGAAAGCCGAACTGATCGTGCGTCCACTCGGGGCCCGGGCAAATGGTCGACCGCTAATGTCGGAATCCAATCCCACGGATGTCTGAGTTGCCGTTCGTTGAACATCCTCTTTTGGGAGCGATTTAGAAGAAGAGTCACGACTGTCCTTGTCTTTGTGTCTGTGACGGAACGGAGAGAAGCGTCTCTTATGTTTGGCGGGCTCTTTATGGACCTGATTTGGAGGATCATCATTATCTTGTAAGGCTTTCACGCTGACAGGGGTTGGATCCCTTTTAGAGTCGGAAGCACCATGATCCAACATGACTTCTGACTCTGAAGGATAAGGTCTCCTGGAAGACTTTAAGCCGGTACCAGACATCCTGCTTCCTGGCCTCTCCGAGTCTGTCGCCGGGGATCTTAAGCTTGAAGAGCCACTAGCGTCTCTGAACTCGGGAAAAGAAAAGACACCTCGTGCGGTATTCCCCTTTGTCTTTCCACTCCGGTGTCTTGCACCACTGTTCTCCCCATTCTGAAAGGCTTGCCACGATTCTTCTAAGGACGCATTGTCTCGAGCTGAAAATGGTCGGGGTGGAAGGTCTGTTGCTTTGTCCGTAGAGGCCGGTGGTAAGGGAGAAAGAGGATCGTCTATAGAGAGGGAGGATACATAGAAGAATTGAGCTTTAACTCTTGGCGGGCTCGGACCTTGAGGTTGAGATGAATCAGGCTCATCGTCGTAGTATACACAGGTGGGGCCAAATGAATGGTGAGCCATGACAAGGAGAAGAGCTGCATATGAATGCTGTTGAGTGAAGTCCGGTGGTATCACTAGGCCATGCTGCGACTAATGGACAAGTGGTAATTTCGGTACAGCACAAGAGAGCGTGTTGATGATGGTGGCGTCCAGAACATGGATACTCCGAATCAGAGCCGGCCTAAAATTCTGAGGGTGGAACTCAAGAAGGGAAAAGAATGGAAGAAGAAAAAGGGCTTTCAGGAACCCTTTACCTCTCTGTAGCAGAGAATCACATGTTGGAAGTGGAAGCCTGGAGAAGTTGTGATGGAGCACGAGGAAATTCGAAGAGAAACACTGACGTAAGGGGCAGTAGAAAAAGTACCTTGCTGCATGGCAGGGGTACTTAGGTACTGCTTCCCGGCCGACTTCATCCCCTCAATGGCTTGGGCCAACAGCTCAATACTTCTCCAATGTCTGATCTCAATATTCTAATGCACAGACTGGATTGACTGTCAAAATAATCATTTTAATCCAAACACGGGCTGTGATCTCCTCCCCGCTTGATTGTTTCTTCCATTTTCATCGGCACCGTCAAGCGTAAATATACAGATCAGGATATCCTAGTGTAAAAACTCGTCAACCCTTCGGCGACATGTTCCTCTTAATGCGCGGGTGAGCTTCTGCCGTTGGGAACATCGTCCAAGTCATCGAACTTCCCCATTCGGTGTGTGCATCATCGAGTTCGAAACGTCCGTTTCCCGTGTCTGCATCCCCTGCTGAGTGAACGGCCAAAGTTCGTCGTAGCTTTCAAATCTCCCCAATTCAACAAGCATGTCTGTCTATCACTCGAATTCAAAAGCCTTGCTGCTGACCAATAATCCGATGATAAGTCCGAAAAGTCCCAACACGCTCGAGAAGATTTCGACGACCAGAATTTTGACGAAGAGACTGCCATCAACGGCATCTGCAAGTGCCGCACTGCTTCCATTGATTCCAACGCTGACGCCGCAGATGAGATTGCACATTCCCACAGTGAGACCAGACCAGAATAGCGCGTAGCCTGTGTAGTAATTCGAACCCGTGTATAAAGCCTCCTCAGGTACCATCGAAAGCTTCGACGAGAACACGATTGACATGATGACTCCGTAGATAGCGACGACTTCGCAGAAGATAATCGAGATCAAGTTCTTGGTTCGTATCCGTGGTGCTTTCACACCTCCACCGAGGATTGATGTGCCAGTAATGAAGATTCCCCTGTAGAGGCAGAGGTGTCAGCATGTCCAATCGACGTGACATTACGGCTCAAGGCGCAATGTGTCATGCTCATTTCCAGAATTTGTAACGGTGTTGTCTTACCAGGCCGCACCCACCACCGACAATCCTATACAGAGGCCGATGCCCAAGTCCGCCCATGCGTAGGGAGAGACTGTCTCGAGAAATTGGCCAACCTGTGCCACACAAATCAGCTTTCAAATTGTACTGGACGTAAAATCCTCAGGTCATCACGCACATTGAATTGTTCGCCTTCGCCATTGAAGAGCATATCTAGAACAAGAGTTAGCTCTGCGTGATGATCTGATGCAATCTTCTAGGTGCTCACAAAGTCCAACAACACCTAGCGCCGCGGCGGCGGCGCCAGCAGGGTAAAGAAGACTCATCCTGAGCCCTCGGAATATTCGAAGGCGTGCGAAGTGCAAGATTGTTGCGGTCGATGTGATGGATGCACTCTCAGAGGACCGAAGCTCATGGTGGTGCCAGGCCGCAGCTTTGAAGATCGCTTTCTCCGGCAGGTGGCCCGAAGATCGAGGTCACGTGAGCGATATGGAGGGCTCTCTCCAAATGTTAGTCGAGATACTGTGAACGGAGGGCCGTCCAGACTACAAAAACAAAATATGTCTCGGTAAGCCTCTATTCCTTCATTCCTGTAAGCATACACTTTCAGGGCCGTTGAGAGCATTAAACCTGGGTGTCCGATTTCGGACACAACCTCTTTTCCAACCCAAATATCCAATTTTCTTCATTCCTTCCCATCATTCATTACTCGTCGCTCATTCGATGGACTTCCAAATAGAAATATTTTTCTCCATCTCCGCTCTCCGGTCAATCCCGGCTTTTTGATCCTGTTCATACAGCTTGTGCATTTCCTGTAACCGATGTTCCATGTTGTACCTGTACCTTGCTGCCATCTTCAAACTTTCGAAATCATTCTTGTTCACTGCTTCATGGAAAATTCGTCTCATACGATCACTGTAAAGTTGGCAACTTATGCCAGGGAGGAGTTGGCTTCTTCGTAAGGTAGGTACGGGTTTCAATGTTTTGGATACGTCTCTTGCAATTGGCCGGTCCCTGAGAGGCCACACGATTTCTTCAAAGCATTCTTCACAGATGGTCAATTCTGGCAGGTCTGGATGGTAATGCCACGAAAGTGTTGCCAGCATCGTGTCCTTCACACACTCACGGTGGCGGGAAATCCGACGAATGAAGTCAACAAAGTCTTGGAGGTCTTTTTGCCTGAGCTGCTCTTTCTGCCGCCGTTCTGCCAGTCTCTCCAACTCGTTCAAAATAGGAAGAAAATGCCGACTGCTGACGTTAAGGTTGCAGACCTTCTCCTGGCTAGGCTTGTTGGGTGGTCGATCAAACAAGTGGAATTGAAGTTTAGGGAAAATTAGGTCAATGTTCCTCACGCAAGCAGAGCATATATCAAACCCTTCTACAGGTCTTCTGGTCCTGGGGTCCGTCAGATGATACCACCTCCTTACATCGGGATTGGAACCAGCGCAGGGCCTCGTCTCTTGCGGGGGTGGAGTGCTCAACTGCCAGACAAGAGTAAGATCTTTCCTGTCCTGCTTGATAGACTGCACCCATGCAAAGCGGAGCCATGGTAGACTCATGGCGCAAACAATTGGCCGTCTAGGGTCTTTGGGCAGGCTTGGAATAAAATAATCCCGGAAGCGAGTCGCTCCCAGAAAACTCATGCATGTGGGGCAGAAATCAAGATACGAAATGTCACGGATCGTGTACCAGTCATGCAGTCCAGGAACAGGTCTGGAGCGAGGGCAAGGAGGTAGGGTGGCTGGCCTAGAAATGGCGCCTGAGAAAGAGCCGGTAGGTTCGGAGGTCATCGGGGATGATAGCATCGCTGGATGAGCCGGAAATTGAAGAGGCTGCTGAAACCCTGAGGTCGACTGGTTCGAAGGGCTAGACATGTGAGAAAAGGTTCTATAATGGGCTGCTGGTCTTGGATGTTCCGGAGAATATGAGTATGAAGCAGCTCGGACCGTTGGGCGAGGAACTTCCAAGGGTGGTGGTGGCGGTGGTGGGTATGTTGCACTCTTTGGTATCGCTCGATCTTCATGTACAGAGTAGATTGAAGTGCGCGTCGATTTACCATCGTCTCGAGTGGTAAAAGAGTTTGTCCTCGACCGAGTATGCGGCGCTGTTCGAGGCTCTTCAGGAACTGGAGAAGGTTTTCTCGACCTTTGGCCACTGCTCGGCCGGCTCTGGGAGCCACTGCTCGGTGTCTCAGTGGAGAGTGAAGTGTTTGGCCGAGATAAGTTTGGAATAGCCTTCGCGGCGAGCGAAGCACCCAGGGTCGCGGCACCAAGAAGAGATGTTAGTGGTTTGAGATCTTTGAAGTGGCCATCGTCGAACGAAGGGGGCCGAGATCGTTGTTTTGAAGACTTAGAAGTAGTCGAAGGCTGCTCGAAATAGTCTCTAGACGCTCCTTCACCTCGTGGCGTTCGAGGAGGACTTTGTGGTGGGGAGGCCAGAGGAGAAACAGGTCGTGATGGATGATCACCGTGACTTGAACGCTTATTTTGATTGGCGATGAAAGCTTTCTCAAAATAATCCTCCACCGCTTTCGTTGTGCGAGCAGACAGCGGGGTCTGAGGTTCACGACGAGGACGCTCATCAGATGATGGTGGCGGACGATTTGGTTCGTCTTTGGATCCCCGTTCACGGCGTTGGGAGACGGTTCGAGTCAGCCGCGGTCTGTCCTCCTTATCCATATGGGAGCGTGAATTTCGCGGGGATCGACCTCCCTGTTGTGCCCTTCTTTCATCTCCCGACCCCGGACGCCGAGAATATCCCTCTTCAGCGGATGAGGTATAAGGAGAGTCAGCAGTGAATCTTTTCACAGGTTGTTGGTTACCCGAACTGTCATGTACAGTCGACTGGTCTACACCAGATGATCGTGCCGAATCGCTTGTTAATTTCGGAGTTTGAGGCGGAGTAATATGATCCTGCCCCGTGTAGCTGTATCCAACGAACCCTCCAGGGGGTGGAGCCGGACTACGATGACGATGTGCACGGCGACTGAATTTGCTGTCTGGACTCTCACCCCTTTTAGACGTTCTTGAACGATCCGTCTTCTCAGTTTCTGACCGATCGGAATGAGAGAAACTCTGCCGTCCAGGTCTGCTCCGACTTCTTTCTGGCCGTCTCCTTTGCTTCGATTTATGATCAGAGTCACTGCTGTCATGCTCGGTATGATGAGTTTTACGATGTACAGACGCAGGTCTTCTTGTTTCGTGAGCATGCATCGGTGACAACAACTTATCTTTGGGATGAGGGCTAGCAGAAAGGCCATCCATCGGAGTAGGCGGTTTGAGAGCATATGGTGAGGGTGAACGTCGGTGACCTGTGACCATGCCTTCAAGACCTCCTCCGAGGTCTGTATGTATCTTTGTCACTTGTGGTCTCCCTCTAGGAACATCGAGATCAGCAAGCTGAGTGGTTGACTTTGATCGCTGAAGTTTCTCGGAGCGTGAGATTGGCTCCGGCTCTGACGCCTTTGAGGCTATGTAGACAAATCTTTTCTCAGTGTTCACAACAGGAGGAGGAGCAGGCTCATGACATTCCTTTGACGACACATCGTCCGAGACCAAGTCATTCTGCTGATTTGCCGTTTGCCCATTTGATTTCGACGTCGAGGCTGGAACATGACTGTCGACGATGACGGGATATTGGTCTACCGAGCCTCGAGCGTGAGCAGGCTGGTTTTCACTTTTTAGCTGATTTGAAGGGACATCAACCAGATATTCCTTTGCTAATGAGACTTCTTCGTCCTCCACGCACGGGGACGGTGGCCAGATTTGTGTCATCTCAATTCAATCGACTCCAAAGTCGTCTCAGAAACCATGTGCACATTGCCAGACACAAGATATGTATTGTTCTGGTTTGAATTGTAAGAGATGTCCACAGCCTATTCTGGGAGAGTAGGAAAAACAGTGTTTATGTGTATTTCCTTCACTGGAAATCCGAGTTTAAAAGGGCCGTTGGACAAGGCTTGTTATCCGAAGCATCTGAAAGCCCAGGGCGGGGGCTGTTGGGGTGGTTTTGTTTCGAAATCCGGTGGTAGGAAGCGTAGGTAGTGGAGGAGCGAATATGGTCAAGATCGAAATCAGTACATCATTTGCAACTAGACGGATCAGCTCAAGACCATGGTGAGTTCGGCAGAGCGACGAGAGGGAACGTGAATGAACGATGCACGAGTTCCTTGGCCCAAGGTCAAGGTTGTGTGGGTGTGGAGATGTCCCAAGTTCTCGACGACGAACCCTCGACAGACGAGGCTTGACCGGGCGACAAGGGCTGCGAGAAGAGGGTGTGCAGAGAAGTGTTCTGAGAATCGCAAAATGGTAAGTCACTGAACATCAGTCGACGAGGCACCCCAGGCGATCCGGCGCAGTTTCTTGTAAGTGATACAAGCCAAAGCGAACAATGGAGCAGGAGGAGAAGGATATCGGCAGCGGGCCGCAATGGCGTGGAAATCCACACCTTGTGCCAGAATGGCATGGTGTTTTTGGGTGTCGACGACGTCGCAGATGTTTGAAGGCAAAGTGGAGGTCAAGCGGTCAAAGCAGTCAAAGCAGTGTGGGAATGGCGGTGTCCCGTCAGGATCATGAGGAGGGATGAGGCTTTCTCTGCTGCAACTTGCCGACCGATCAAGTAGGGCTCCGGTGTTTGTAGAGAAGCTAATTGGATACAAAAAACTCGACGGTCAAGACTTGCACCGGGAACAGGGGTGACCGGCCACCCCACACATCGGCAGCATTGGGAACGGCGAGTGAACTGACGAACTGCGCTCATTACATTGTGCATGATGGCTAATTTACCAAAGTCCTCGTCTGCTGCATGCCCGACGCCTCTCACCTCTCTCAATGGCTATGTCACCCCTCCCCCCTCTTCTAGCCCGCGCCCTGCTGCGCCTGTCATGCACCTCCTCCTTGCCGCCCCGAGTTTGCCATTGGCTTTTCCTGCTTCACACCTGGTCGGACGATACTCTCAGCAAGTGATACCAAACACCAGTTCTGATGTTTACTCATTCCGGGGAATCCAGTGAGACAGAGGCCGATCCAACTACAAACGACGACTCTTCGATGCCGCTCTCACACTCTTTCCTATCAATGCTATAATACCCAGCAGTGTCACTCTCTTGTTCAGGAGCGCCGCCACAACACGACCGACAAAATCCTTCGGCTGTACTATCAGTCATCGTCAAACGACCATCCCTTACCGTGCATACCTCTGACAATTTCGGAGTACTTGGTGTGCTTACACAGCCAATCCTTTTCCAATATGAATCCTCTCTGCCTATTCTTTGTCCACTTATCTCTGCAATGTACTTGTCTCAAGGGCTGAGGCAAGTGTGGCATTTGATTTTGACACATGAAGAAGTTCGCAACAGGCCACCATAAAACCACTCGAGGCCCAACTTTGGCTAATTTCCAACTAGAGACAACTAGGCGTTCCAACAACCACTCATGTGTGGAGAGTGCCTGGCCAGATCGACAACTGGAAGCGTGCCACACATTTTTGAAGGTGCATAAGAAGCGGCCCTGCGTTCTTCGCTGCCAGGGCACGGCTGAGCCATGGAACCACTGGCAGGCGTTGCCATCGCCGCGGTGTCTACCCAAGCCTCGTTGGCAATAAGTCAATGGCGGCTCCTCGAACCAGATGAAATATGACTTGTTTTCGATTTGTGGTCTGATGCATTCAAGCCACATGGCGAGGTTCCACATCAAATCTGACTTGCAATTATTCATCATGAGTCATCTTTGTGTTTGCCCAAAAGCATTTCAGTATCATGATACCGCACTTTCCTGATCGATACGGAAAATTGGTTCTCACCACTTTAAAATCAGGCATGCCTTTTTGTTGCCCTGCCAGAGAGGACCATTGATTTACAGGGCACTCTCTGGTTCAAAACAAGCCCGTCGATATCATGAACGCCTTGCTCGGGGAACTTTTGTGTGATACTTTAGTTGCTGAGAAGATGATCATACCAAAACCGGTGAGCTGATTGGGTTGTTTTTCCCAATCAGATCTGGGTTATCGACTCAGCTTGTACCCTGCGTTTGCTGCCGGAACTCGCCATCATGCAGCATGCAACACACAACTCGCGTTTCACTACAGAAAAGTGATTCGCCTCCGAGTCAACTTTGTCATTCGTCTCAGCCTGGAGCCGAAGGTACTGCAAGTTTAGGAAGTACCTTCAGATGTGTCCTGGTTTGGTCTTTGAGGACGGAACGAGGTAATAAGCATCCTTGCTGCAAAGTATCAAAGTATATGCTTATCATCGTGATCTATGATCTGTCAAGGGAGTGAATTGTGTACAAAAATGAGGCGTGGAAATCTCTGATTTCACCGGTCGAATGATCCAAGGTTCCATTTCTCGTCCGAACCGTTGGCTCAATCGTCGATGCTAGATGTCCGGGAACCATCCACATTAGAGTCGACATGTGCAGGCGCAAGCAAAGGATGAGGCATGTGAATAGGAACCTCGCCGCCTTATTCAACACGAGCGAAATCATATAAATACTCTGCCGGCCAACCGAACTTCACCTCGGAAGAACTGTTTCCCCGCGGCTACTCATTTGACATGCTATCAAATGTTCTGTTCTCTTTACAGCGATATCGGCGGTTTGCGTCGGCAATGAACAATTGGGCCTACATTGCGCCCGCACCGAGCTTTGAAATCAAGAAATCAACGAAGCATGAACTAATAACACACCGGGCGAATGCTCTTCTCCCGACGCGGATACTGCGCATATCGACGTGACAGATCGTGAACATACGGGGAAACCTCCCAATCAAAGGGCGGTTTGTATTCCGTATTATGGATCCGTCCAGTGTTGAGCAGTTTATTTATCTCCATGAGTCTAAGTTGTCGAGGTTCTGAAATCTTTGTAAAGCAATTTTTCCTTGTTCTTTTCCTTGTTCTCACTCAAAAAATTGCTGTGTTGCGATGTAAAAGGTCCATGTCTCCCGTCAGTCTCCGTACTCGAATCCCATTGAATCAATTCACCAACACAACAACAGCAACGGCGTCAGCGAACTCTCGCCTGCGGTCTTTGACCTCGCAACTTGCTCATCAAAGTCCTCGCTCGATATCCCTAGTGTCGAAACCTTACTCTCCCGTTCGCACCATGGCCTCGATCCCCCCAACAATGAAAGCCATCCTTGTGCCCAAAATCGGCGGGGCTGACGTGCTCCAATACACCGAGTCCCAACCCGTCCCTACACTCTCTGACGGCCAGGTGCTGGTCAAAAACGCCTTCGCTGGCGTCAACTTCATTGACACATACTTCCGTTCGGGCCTATACCCAGCGCCGTCCATGCCGATGATCATTGGGCAAGAAGCGTCTGGCACGATCGCGAAGATCCAAGGCTCCAACCCACTCGGCTTCAAGGAAGGCGACCGCGTTGTTTGGATCGGCCGCGGCGGCTATGCAGAGTATACTGCAGTCCCCGCCGACCGAATTATCAAGATCCCTTCGGCCGTGTCTGATAAGGACGCAGTCGGGGGGTTCCTTATGGGCATGACGGCGCTGAGTCTAATCAAGGAAGCATACCCCGTGAAGAAAGGTGAGACCGTGCTCGTGCACGCGGCTGCCGGCGGTATGGGCTTGATTCTATGCCAGATGTTGCGAAATATGGGGGTTACGGTCATCGGCACGGCGGGCGGGCCTGAGAAGTGTGCGCTCGCGAAGCAAAATGGCGCCACGCATGTTATCGACTACAAGGCCACGGCCGGGCAGAGCTGGGTCGAGCAGGTCATGAGCCTCACAGGCGGACAGGGCGTGGACTGCACGTTCGATGGCGTCGGAAAAGATACGTACGAAGGTAGTCTCGAGGTTGCGAAGCGGAAGAGCAAGGTTGTATATTTTGGAAATGGTAAGCCCATTGTTTTTCCTTCCCCACAAATAATACACCCCTCCCCATCCCATTTGTCTATTCAGAAGAATTCCTTTTGAGGCCAAAAGCCGGTCCCTATCTGGCTCTGTCTAACGATGTTGAACAGCAAGCGGCGCCATCCCGCCCTTCAACATTGCCCGACTCACCGCGAAGAACGTCTCCATCATGCGCTCAACGCTGATGCAATATATTGTTACACGCGAGGAACTCGAGGTCTACGCCAACGGTGTACTGGATATGATAAAAGACGGTAACTTGAAAATCAAGATCCACAAGGTCTACCCTCTCAGGGATGCTGTGGAAGCACATAAGGATCTTGAGGGCAGAGGGACAACGGGCAAGTTATTGTTGGCATGTTAAAGGGGAAAAAAAAAAAAAAAAAAAAAAATTAATTTTTTTTTACCTGAACTGAAAAGACAAAGAACAAGATGTAAAAGTGACAGGGCAGCACGAAATTGGGGTTCTCGTAGAATCCGGCAGTGAAATGTAGCTCGAGGACCGTATGCGTTTCTTGAATCATGCCCTGGGACACTTCATCCGATCACAATGTAGCTTAGGGAAAGCCAAACCCTTCCATCATCAAAAAAGGCACATACTTTCGGTTTCCATCAGTGACCTTTCGGAGCAATCCCCTGCTTTCCAACAATCAACCAACCGATGTTGACTCGGAAGTGATTCTGGATCCATCGCTCGTGTTCTGTACACTCAATTCATCTCATGCCCGCATTCACCATGACTCGCAAACAGGTCTGTCAGTTTTCACATCCACACCAGTGTGAGAGAACACTCTCGGCCGTCCGACCCATCAAGCTTGCCATGGTAGGATGGCACGACGACTCTTGTTCGAGTACGGCTGGTCGAAGCCGTAGAGCGTTCTTCCCATCTGTAAGATCGTTCGTCAGCTCTCACTTGACATATCAACCGAGAAGTGTGATTTTGGTGCCGACACGGTCGTCAGTTGGCTGAATGGTATATGGGCCCTCGAATCCCTCCGTAGCCTTTCGACTTCAATCTACGCCTCCACCGTGCAGAATCTCAGCAGGAAGAATGTCTGTACTTACACGGTAAAGGACAAACACGACATCTTGAGTCGTGACGGTCTTCAAAGTCCATTAGTGAGCCTGCTCCGAGAAAAGTTCTTATCGCGATTCTGAACATACCTTGCGACAATTTGGGTGGTCTGGTGGATACTCCTGGCTTATGACAATGATGATTTTCCTAATGATCTAGGCAGAATAAATCAGACTGTGATTTCAATGACGCTTCACAATCGACTGGACGCCTTTCTTCGGAACAAACAGTGGATCGGTGTTTGAGGCCTACCTCTTCCAAACGCTTCTGCAGGACGCCCCTGACTGTGTCGTGGATATCGGATCGAATTCGATAAATGCCGCCTTTGCGGGCAAGACGTCTGATTGGTAACATCATTCTGTCAGCGCAATAGAGGTGCAGGCAATGGACTAGCTTGTTGGCGAAAGAGCCGCCATACCTAATAGTTGGTTTTGCTGCGTTCAAAGGTCATCAGTATCTCCCTCCCGGTCAGAAACGAAAATGAGATGAGAGATGAGGAGTTACTCACTGATGCCGTTGATGGCATATCTCATATGACTGTTGACTCGGTGGCGATTAGAAATCTTGGCACCTAGTCTGTTGGGACCGTCGCCATAGATTGGGGTTGGAACAGGCATTTTGCCGATGAAGATGACGAGTCTCAAGCGACGAGACGTCGTGCAAGGCGGAGGAAAGTAGAGGCTTCTGGCATAGAGAGAAGAACAACAACAGCAGCAGGAAGGGATGAAGCGAGAGGAGGGCAAATCTTTTTGCGGACCTGGGATGAGAGTGAAAGTTGGCAACGCCTAAGGCTCGAGAAGTGTTCAAAGTTCAGAGACAACTGGAAAGGGTGATTATTGGAAGGTCAGCCTTCACTCACCTCACTTGTGTCTATGAGGTGGCCGCCATGGAAAGAAACCTCACCGTGGGTATCACTAGTGTTAGGAGTGCTCCTTTCTCGTATGAAAATTTGAGCCGGGGATTGTCCGCTTCCCTACTCTCAAGGAGGGGGTCGGTCCAAGAAGTGAAACATGGGGGGGTAGAAGTATTAGACATTAAAAGGTGCTGATGCATCCAAACCACAGGTCGCTCATCAATCCAATTCTACCTAGGTCATTTGCATGCGTACGTGGATCTCGTTATGATATGAACGTGGCCTCGGAGAATAACTGGCCCGTTTCAGAGATTTCTTCGTCACCGACCCTGACTTTTAGGGTGAGACTGTCTTTCGAGAGGTACTGTCCTAGTCAGGATCAACTACTCTTTCTTGAATCAGGGACTCTTACTTGGAAGATGTGTGGCTTCAAACCAGTGGCGCCACTTATGAAAGACTTGACAAACCCCGGTAAATGGGCAAGGACGTCAATTCGATCGGATTTGGCAGGCAGATCCCCCACAATCTCGCCAGTGACAGGTGTGCCATCTTGATTTTCGCCTTTCCATTCGAAAGAAATCTCTTTGGGTTCTGGCCAGTCGTGTTCGGTCTCTTGAGCCGAAGTCAAATGTTTGGTAGCACACAAACCAGCACAAACGATTTCGTCATCTTTGGCAATTCCTCCTACACTAACGACCGTTTTTGCATAAGATTGAGGTGTCGTATATTCCATCAGGACGGCGGAGTAGTTTGGTGCTTGGAAATTGGCAAAATTCCATCTGGCGGCCAAGTGGTGTGGCTTCATTCCCTGGAGCGCATAGACATACATTGCTTTGCCGTCCATTTTGAATACACTCGACGGCGTCTGCATGGTTCCGGTCACAGTACACCTGGGCCAGAATGCATGCCGCATAGAACCCCAAGGATGGGTAGGATCGGTCCCAAAATAGCTTGTGCCGTCTTCGCCCACTTGGAAACCAGGGGATTTCCTTGTCACAGTCAAATTGACAATGCAGTCCTCATTTACGGCCGACTTGATTGTGTAGATGTCACCTGCCTCATTCAGTTCCATTGCGATGTTGTCCGCATAGAAGCCCGTCTGCGGCTCGTCAAAACCATAGTTGTACAGTGGGTCTGAGCACCATTGATGTTTTCCAGGACCCTCGCAGTCGAAGATTTTGGTATTAAACTGACACGTAGTGTGGATGCCGCTACTAAAGGTCAGCCATTGCACACGTATTGTATTTGGCGGGATTGATACCCAATGTTGCTATAGATGACTTGAGCCATCGCCGTTTTCCCCTCTTCCGACATGAAGTAAAAAGTCCGGGTCTCGACGTTGGTATAGTCCAGTGCCTTCCATGTTAAGTCGTCCTTGGTGAGGATTGTATATGGCTTTTTTTCGATCTGCTTGGTTACCGACTGAATTGCGTCAGGTCCATGTTCAGGTTCCTCAGTGCCCACAACATTGGCTAATTGCTGCTTGAACCAATTCATATTTCTGAAGGATTGTGATGTGAAAAAAATAAAAAAATAAAAAATTTACGGGAAGTTAAAGAAACGAAGTATCGTGTGTCGATCGGAGAAAAACAGATGTCAGAGGTGACTGCAACGGCGAATGATATGCTTCGAGTGCCTTGGAGACACGCAAAGTCTTGACGCTTCTTGTTTGCGGATTTCGTTCGGGGAGATGCAGCAAGCAATAAGCAGTAGCTACCAACTAGCCTTAGCCCAGTTCTCGCTAAACTCTTCCAGGCTGCGCTTCAAGGTACTGTACTGCAGGTAGTGCAGGAGAAGAAGGTCGTTTGAATCTTTTTCCCATTGTCATCCCGATCAACTAACAATCGAAATTCATCTCTCTTATTCAGATCATCTTCCGGGGACGCTCTTCATCACTGAAATCGGGAGTGTAATTCGTTGACTGGCTGCCCGCCATGGCTAAAAAATTGGCTGCTAAGGATCAGGTGGTCAAACTGATCGTTGGTGCTGGCCAGGCAAGTCCTAGTCCGCCTGTTGGTCCAGCTCTTGGTAGCAAAGGCGTCAAAAGCATGGATTTTTGCAAGGTATGTGATCAGAGAACCCTCAAGGAATAGCTTGCTCATATTTTAAACCAGGAATTCAATGCTCGCACTGCTCATATCAATCCTGGCGTTCCGATCCCAGCCCGAGTTACGGTTCGACCAGATCGCTCGTTCACATTCGAATTACGCACGCCCATGACCTCCTGGCTTCTCCTTCAAGCTGCTGGTGTAAAGGAAATCAAAGGCAAGATTCGAGGTGCACAAAAACCAGGCACGGAGTTTGTCGGGACTGTTTCTCTTAAACATATCTACGAGATCGCAAAAATCAAGCAAAGCGAGCTGCGATTATCAGGCCTCAGCCTCCAGGGTCTTTGCAAGAGTGTTATATGGCAGTGCAAATCAATAGGTGTCAAGGTTGTGCCGTAAGGGGATGAAGTGAGGAAAGATGTACAGCTTGGGCTCCGTGCAAAATGTGTGTTCATTGGCCATTTTCATCCAACAGCCAGCTCCTCGGTTATATGATGCAGAGCGGCAGAACAATTGATCGGAATTTGGCCTACCTATCTGGATATGCCGCACATCCTCCCGGTTGAGCAGGCCCAGAGTCAACAGTAACAACGTTCTCCAGGTCCCACCTGGTCGATACCATCGGCAGTCTTTGATCATGTGGTGGACGGTTTTCCTCGGAATTTAGGCCGAAAATCAATCTGCAAATCCCTTATTGGATCTCGATCTAGAGCGACAACCAGGCCCAAATCGAGTGATGGGATATTATGTGTTTTGAAGCCGGGAAGAAGCACCCTTATTATATGCTGGTTGATATGTTGATCCAAAAAACCGGCCAAAATAAAGCCGAGAAGAGAGAATGGAAGAAAGATTATCAGTGGTCATTGTATTCCATGAATCTGGGGACCAAATTATACGGGATACGGCCTCATGCAGAAGGGACGGATTCGGCATGTAGCTGTACCCGTCGTCAAATCAAAATACCTAAGCATGACAAAGATGACTCTTCCTTCAATATGAACACGAGGTCTAGGATGACGTCTTCCCTAAAAGACTATTCAGGCAGACCGCAACATCTCGTAAGTCGCATCCAGTGATGGTCTGCTGAAGGTGCCAAACGGGCTGTGTTGTCACCTTATCCGGCGCAGCCGGAAGGAGGTCAAAAGAAGACGGTAGGCATCGGGTATAGGTCATTAGGAAAAGAGTTGATTTAGGGCAATTTGCTCCGTTGAGCCAGCGAGCAGCAGCAGCCAGCCAACTGTGTGGATTGTACGGCACGCTTAAGCTCAGTTTCGGCTTGCTGTGTGTTATGCCAGCGGGCTTTTATAGAATTGGCAGAATTGGCGGGGCAATTCTTCAGACATCCCACTTTCTTTTTCCCTTCTCCGTCGATCGGTTGCTGGGCCTCCAACTCTGCGCTTGTCCGTGATACCTTGCCGGCCGCAGTTTTGACTTAATGACCTGACTTCGACTGTGTTTGCCGCCTTCATATGCCATTCCGACAGCATAAGGAGAACACTGCCATTCCGCTCTCCACTGTCTCACTTTCTCCTATCCTTCTCGCTCCACTCCGGCCATCTTCCGCTTTGATCGAACGCGCATATCAAATTCTCGCAAAAATTCTGTGTAAGTTCCCTCGTCTCCACTGACCCAACCAATGGTCCGCTACCCGTATTAGCTCATCTGGTCCCCGAACACCCAACACTCCAGAGAGTAATCTTCTCTAATATGGACTTATCTCAGGCTCTTCCGGTCTGTCTCTTACGTCTTTGCCTTGGAATCTCGATCGGACCGATCTATCGCTCGTTAATGTAGTCAATCGCTTTCATAGCCACCAAAAACATTACCCTCCCCGAGCGATTCCGACACAATGACCTCGAAACTATCTTCCATGCTTTTACCCGGCGATGAGTCAAACACGGACAAAGGTATGCAAAATTCGGATGTATGGGGATGAGTACGCTAGGTTGACCCGGGTGACCTCAGATGCAAAGACGGATCAAGATTCGCATTGCGATAAACCAGACAACGCAGAGTCATCTCAAAGTAACGTCCAACTCGCTTCAGAAGAAGAGGAGGTAGAACCCCTCGATGGAACGAGGCGGACTTCACAGGCGGGGGGTGAAGAGTTCAACCCAGACGCCCATGAACAAATCAGAAGTCTAGCCATGTCCCTACCAAAGGCAAGACTCCAGGAAAACAGGATGGCGAATTTTGCATACGAAACCGTGTCAATGCCGCCGTCGCGTGTATGTGGACTTTCTTCATTCTGCCGTTCAAATTTCGAGCTGACAAGGACTTAAGGTTCCATCCAGAGATAGTGAGGCGCCTGGCACTCCACGTGGCTCAATACGACAGGGCCATGATTCCATATCCTCAGCATTTCAATCCCCTCCATTAACACCACATGGCTCGAAAGATGGCAAGATTGACTCGGCCTCAGCGGCAAGAGGCCAGCAGGCACAGGCTGCAATAACTCCTCAAACATCTCCTCCTCCCGAGTCTCACAGCCAGGCTCTATCCCAGAGTATATCGCCATCCCATCCAGTATCTAGACCATCTTCTTCTGAACAATCCTCCCCCAAAGTTGATCAAGGACGAGAAAAACGGATACCAAAGTTTGAGATTGGTCCGTCTGAATCGGCAAGTCCAACAGATCAGAGTCCTGTCGGAACACCTAAACTTCGACCTTCCTCACCCCAACCGGGTAAACTGCCGCCGTCCAAAGCGGGACAAACAGAGCCTCGTCACTTTGGAAGCACTGGAAGGGGCTCACTTGCCCCAGCGATTGCGGCTGCGGCAGAGCGGATACCCCGGCAAGGAAGTAGTGGAGACATTTCAGGCTCAGAAAAGAGGGCGTCGATATTTGGTAACAAGAAAGATCCCTACCTCCATCTTAACGATAGTGGAAGCGAAAAGGCTGGGCTGGACGGGAAAAAACATGGATCCATGTCTGAATTGAAGCGATTTTTTAGAATCGGCGGTCACGGTCACGGTCACGGTCACGGCCACAAGCACAAGCACACTCCACAAGTCTCTGCTGCATCATCAGTTCCGGCGTCGAGGAAATCCACCAGCTCAAAATCCGGAACCAGAACTCCTCCTCATCAGGCACCGCCTACAAACGTTCCGTTTATGGACGAGCACAGTCTTGAGGCTAAATACGGCAAATTCGGCAAAGTTCTAGGCTCGGGAGCTGGCGGTTCGGTGAGACTGCTCAAACGAAGCAGTGATGGGGTCACTTTTGCCGTCAAACAATTCCGAGAAAAGCACTCTTGGGAGAGCGAGAAGGACTACTCGAAGAAGGTGACGGCCGAATTTTGCATCGGTTCGACCTTGCATCACGGAAACATTATCGAGACCATGGATATTATCCAGGAAAATCATCGATGGTATGAGGTGATGGAATACGCGCCGTACGATCTATTCGCCATTGTCATGACAGGGAAAATGTCGAGGGAAGAAATTGCTTGTTCTTTCCTCCAGATTGTCAACGGTGTGAGCTATTTGCACAGCATGGGCCTGGCGCACCGCGATCTGAAGCTGGATAACGTGGTGGTTAGTGAGCATGGAATTATGAAGTTGATCGACTTTGGAAGTGCCACAGTGTTCAGATACCCTTTCGAGAATGACATTGTACTGGCTTCAGGTTTGTTTGTATTTCCTTGATAGAATGAAAAGTCACTGACTCCGTATCTAGGAATTGTTGGATCCGATCCTTACCTTGCCCCTGAGGTGTATGAAGAAAAGAAGTACGATCCCACAGCCACAGATATCTGGTCTTTGGCCATCATCTTCTGTTGCATGTCTCTCCGCCGTTTCCCCTGGAAACAACCACGAATTGTCGATAACTCATACAAGTTGTTTGTCTCTCCTCCTACGCCGGGAACTCCTGTTCCAGATTCCAAACCTCGAAAAGCCTTACATGCGAGCCCAAACGAGGAAAGACATCATTCGGAAGCCAACGGGAATCATTCAAACCATCATCACCATTATTCAGAGAGCGCCGATGGTGGTGAATCAAGGCCCACCACTTCGAGCGGAGATAAGCAGGAAGTTATCAAAGGCCCATGGCGATTACTTCGCATCCTTCCGCGAGAGAGTCGCCACATCATTGGTCGAATGCTCAAAGTTGATCCTGCGGAACGTGCAACCATGGATGAAGTTCTCGAGGATGACTGGGTTTTGAGCTCCAAGGTCTGTTATCAAGAAGAAAATGGCACTGTTCATCGTGCTGAGGGCCACACACATATTCTGGAGGCTGGATCTGGTGGACCTCCTCCGGCTAAGGTGTGAAGGTGAGGCTAGCCAACTTAACGTCGGAATGGATGAGAAGGCATAGGAACGACCGATAGAATTGATATGTTCATGTCACAAAGCAACGACTATGGTATCGACGACTTGAGGAATGAGCCGGCTGCAGTGGATGGGGAGCCTGAGGGCGCATGAATATTGCCATTGGGAAACGGTTTGGCTGTTTGGGGAAAAGGGTGGATATCTTCCTATCTTTGTAGATATCAGCTATTACGTTCAACCGCAAATGAAAGCTTGAGCTTATTGGGTTTTACGCCGTACGCTGTGACCAGTGCCATTATGTTTGTGATGAGTTGCATCTGCGCTGCATGACCTGCGGTAAGAGCAACTTTGGGTTACCCTCTTCCGTTGCACCCCCGGCTTCTAGAAAGAGGGACACCAATGCCACTAAGGCGAACCATGAGGGCACTAAATATACAAACTACTTTGACGTATCATCCGCACCAAAGCACCCTCTACGACCAGATCTGCCATCCGTGGCCTGACCAACCTCCTCAAACAGAAGTCTTCTTGTCACGGTCGAACATTTACCAATAACCTCGGTGCCCATGGCTGGTTGAGAAAAGACTAGTCGCATCATTGCAAAGGCCAACTCCAGGAGGGGCTTTCATATTTCCCGCATATGGCCAAGAAGAAGCGCCAGAGGATCAGCTATGGTTTGCCAACCTCTCTCTCCTGGTCGTCTTGAGCTTGCGCATCGCTAATGAGCGACAGTCCTACCGTTGGCAAGTTCGCCAGGAGGTCATAGACTTGGTGTCAATGGATTAGCCTTTGATGACGACCGTTCCATCTTGTGAGCACCCCTACCTGATGAGGGGGTTAACAACACATACTGAGACACGTTACAGATACACTGGTGGACGAGATGGAGTGGTGTGCGCCTGGGATTTGGACCTGGAGGCGCAAAAGTTGAGTCCCGACGGAACAAAAGAGAAGAAAAACACTGTCACCTTTCGCAAACAGGTGCAGGCACATACACACTGGGTCAACGATATTGTTTTGGTCAAGAACAACCTGGGCTTGGTCTCTGCCTCGTCGGATGTCACAGTCAAATTATGGCGACCTCACGGACACGAAACGACACAACCATATACCATCGGCTCTCATAGCGACTACATCAAATGTCTCGCCACCCCTGATCCAATATCGAATTGGGTTGCTTCTGGAGGATTGGACCACAAAATTTGCCTTTGGGATCTGAATGGAGGCGGAAAGTCTCTGGAAATAAATGTCAGAAAGGCGGAGAATGTTGTCAAGGGCTCGGTATATGCCCTTCGTGCTCGAGGGTCTCTGCTAGCCAGTGGAGGACCCGAGAATGTGGTACGACTGTGGGATGTCAAATCCGGCAAAGGCATAACCAAACTCGTGGGCCACACGGACAACGTGCGAGACATCTTGATCAGTGATGATGGCGACACCTTGCTCACGGCCTCGTCTGATCAAACTATCAAAGTCTGGTCCATTGCAGCCGGTAGGTGTGTCCATACCTTGACCATGCACAACGACAGCGTTTGGTGCATGTATTCCAATGATCCAAATTTGGCCGTCTTCTACTCGGGCGACAAATCCGGTTTGGTTGCGAAGACGGATACTCGACGTGCTATGGAAATTGATGACGGAGTTTCTGTTGCAGTATGTCAAGAGCATGATGGGATTGCCCGGGTCCTCCCAGCAGGTGATTCGATATGGACTGCAACCTCAAACTCGAGTGTCAATCGTTGGCTTGATGTTGACACAGAGCTTGAGATAGAAACACCTCCTTCCTCTCCACAACAAGAGCGTGCAGCGAGTCCGGAGGCCAGGAACACACTTATGCCTGAGACGGCAGCTTCCCCTCCACCTACAGTCAATGGTGCAAACCATAAAAAGAAGATCCCGCATAATGCAGTTTTGCGCGTTTCGAACACAACTTTGCACCCAGGGAGAAGAAATCTGGGCCGGTTGCCAAATGCATCGTCGACGAATGTGAGGAAGGCCTCGGAAGTTATAATTACGGATGACTTAAGTTTAATTGTCCCCATTCGAGGTCAGCCCGCCGAAACCATTGAGGGTCAGAATGGCTTTATCAAGCATGTCATGTTGAATGACAGGAAAAGAATCCTCACCTTGGACACCGCTGGCGAGGTTGTACTATGGGATCTTCTCAAGGCGAGTCCCCTTGTCTGGCACTACTGACATTACTTCGCTAACATCAAACAGTGCATCCAGATCAAGTCTTTTGGCCGCCGTCATCTCGACGAAGTCGTCCCGGAAGTGAACACCACCGAGAGTGTTGCGAACTGGTGTACCGTGGATACCAAAACCGGAAAAATCACAGTCATGCTTGAGGAAAATTACTGTTTTGATGCCGAGGTATACGCCGACGAATTGGACTTGTCCAGTGAACTCGTTTTCCGCGAGGATCAGAGAAGTACGTGATCTCTATATTGCCTAACCACAACCCTTAAGCTAACCCTTGGTTTGATAAAGTCAATCTCGGCAAATGGGTGTTACGACATCTGTTTTCTAAGTTGATTGACGAAGAGATTGCGCGCGACGAGGTTTACAGAAGCAAACTTCAAACTCCTCAGACTACGAGTACCGATCATGTTCGGCCTGGTGCACCTACAAGTATCCCCATGCCAGAATCGGTTGGACCGACTCCAGTCGCATCCTCTGGCACCCTCACGACAGCAAGAGCATCAAATGGTCATGCCTGGGCACCCCCAACACCCAGCTTAGCGATTGGGGCTGCCACTCCGGGCTTTGCACCTATGAATGCCACCTTGCCCCCCACAGCTGAGGAAGAAACTGAGGAAACAGGTGGTGCATCTCCAGCAGTCCAGGCAACTCCGACAGCGACAGAACCGCAAACGGATTATTTCTCTTCCACCAACAGTGCAAACAATCAATCCGAGGCCTCGTCCGAAAGCAACAAGATCCCGGAAACCCCAGGCCCTACAGAAAATACTGCCACACTCTCGATACCGACGTCACCTACGGAGGAGAAGAAGAAGGGCTTGTTTGGGAAGAAATTCCCAATGACATTTCCCAAGAAGCTCGGCACCAAGACACCCTCGGAAGTGAAAGCGCCGGTTGCCACTGAAGAAAAATCAGACACGGCGTCGTACAAGTCCTCGGAGAAAGAGGAAAAGATCATCGAGGATAATTTCTTCGGCGTGATCCAGAAGATCAGACAGGAGTATGATGAACATCTGGAATCAAGGCCCGATCAACCCCTCCCTGCGGGCATCACACCCAGTCTACCTATAGAAACGCCTCTGATGGTACCCCCGCCGCACACAACCATTATCATCCAGGAGGATAACCCCGAATCGGGCGGGTTAGCAGATCAATATCGTGGGGAGATCAGTGAATTAGGCAATGAGGCAGACACATTGGAGAAGATCGCGCCGATGTGGCTGGGCGAGTTGTTGCTCAAGGTGCGTAATAAATGTTTGATGCTTCTCTATCCTCCCTTTTGCTAACAGACGGCAGAATCAAATCCCGTACAAAGAAACCGTCAAAGTCTCCTTCGTGCTCTACCCGTATGAGAATCTTCTCCCCTCCATCGCCTCACCAGACGGAAATGCCCGACTGAACGCAAACCGCATGCTTCGCGCGAAGAAAATCATGGCCTACGTCGCCGAACGTATTGAGGCGCCTCCCACACCCCCGCCACCAGCGGACCCAAACCAGCCTGACACCGCTGAAAAGGATAAGGGATCAGACACTCAAGCACACCACCTCAAGCCCGAAGAGTACCTCGAGCTGTATTGCCAAGGTCAGCGAGTTGACCCGAACACAACGCTCGCGACGCTGCGGGTGCATGTCTGGCGGACGGGCGGGGATGTCGTGTTGTATTATAAGGCGAATGGGAGGAAGACGCTACGGTTGCCGCACCCGGCTGACGTCCCGAGTAAGGAGGAAAGTGAGGAGTCGACGGGCGTTGTAAGGTGAGGTGAAGTGGATAAAAAGTGTAGGAGGAGTTGTAGAAACGGTGATGCGTGATTGGGATTGGGATTGGGACAGAGCTAAGAGGTGTGGGCTGCGAACTACGAGTCGGAGAGGTTTGAGTGCAAGACGATTTTTGACCCTTCTCTACTCGACCTCACCTGTACCGGTCTTGGGATATGATAGGATGAAGTCGGCTGAGTGGAATTGAAATGGCTGGTCGATATGGCTTGGGGATGAGACGAGGTAAATTGAGGCTGTAGAGACATATGACTACCACATGCAAAAGTGCTGAACAATTTTTCTTGAAGATAGTTTGCCTGGTTACTTTGCCAAACGGATTTGAGCCTTGAAAGGTCAATAAATGAATCGATCAATGAAGGTTTGGGAAATACATATATATTTTACAAACATTGCAGTTATCGCCTTTTTGTGTTCCATCTTTCAAAGCTTTCGGTCCTAAAGGAAAGTCTGTTTTCACAATTCAATACTTTCCCGGCATTCAGGCCGAAGGCAGTATTGGCCTGACTTGGTTGATGGGGATCAGAGTATTCCGGCGAGCTGATCGTAGCGAAGCATGGAGAGAACAACGATGGCGGATGTGAAAATGGGGGACCGGAGCGATCATTTAGGCTTATGCTTCGGGACTACTGAGATTTGGAGCTGATGTAGCTTATTGCGCACATCTTCGAATCATATCCGCCACGCAGGCGGCACATCGCTTTGAAGAGCTAGAGTGCCATCGAGTTGGTGATTGTGTTACGCAGCTTCGTCATCCATAGCTCTCTGAGCCAAACTCATGGGTTGTTGCATGTGAATCGGCGTCTTGAAGTCTGGTTGAATGTTCCGGGCTCGATATATCTGCACAGAATTCCTCAGGGTCGTCCTAACTCCAATATATTCCACACATATTGATACGTTCCCAAAAATATTGCACCACCTGTGCTGATCCACCCAACACGAGGCACGAATCCACGAAATAGGCCAGCAGGTCCGTCGATCTCCCATATTTGTTGGAACACTCTAATAGGGCCTGCTCTAGCTGACGAGCTTCCGGCTTCCTTTCTGGCGAGCATGATTCGAGTCTTCAATACATCCAGAGGAGTGGTGAGACCTGCCGCAACCGCACCGGCCATGCTCCCGAAGACCGCACTCTCGGCTGCCGTAACTAGCCCTTCTTGACGGCCAAGTTCTCTGCGTTGTCGGAGTGAGTATTGTGCTTTGAAGAATTCCCAGAGGCTGAACTGAACGATTGTGAAGGGAATTTCGCGCATGATCGTCACTCCGCCACCTCTGTAGAGTTCTCGCACCATAGTCGTAATGCCATCTGTTTTCCGCAAGGCCCATATATCCTGCAGCGCAATCAAGGTTGAACCTCCAAATAATCCTGCTTGGGCACGCTGTTTCACAACTTCGGTTGGTACCCTAATCGCACACGCCGCCACCTCTCCCAAGGACGAAGCCAACATGTGCGCATATGCTTGTGTCGAGGAGGATTGTTTTGGGTCAATTAGTGACCTTTTCACTCCATCGTATACGAGGAAAAAGGAGGCGGCTGAGGGCATCGAGCCAAGTAAAGCTGAGGGAAGTCCAGCGTATATGCTGCGAAAGGTGCCTCGAATAGTATGGCGACCAAGAACCGAGATATTTTTGCCGATGAGATTCGACTGCAATCTTGTCTTGATCGTATCTAGAGGATAGAGGGAGAAATCAACCATGAGGCCGGCAAAGGCGCCTGCCTGGAACGCGTCGTCAGAATTGGCCGGAGGAAAGTGTAGAGGAGAGACGGACAACGAGGGAGCGAGTCCAGAGTGAGGCCACTAGTGGTCGTGGAGCTTCGGACGAGACTACATCTTGCTCAACCATACCTGAGGCTCTGCTTTGAGAGCAGATCGGCCTTTTCGCGGTGCGTTGTGACAGGCGCAGAAAAAAAGAATTGAAAGTTGGCAAGCATGGAATTGGGAAATAAGATGACATCAACCGATATCGGCTTGCCACATTGGGAAATCTTCTGTTGCTCAGCCTTGCTCTCCACAACAAACCTCCGATGTGACTTCTGCGCTCGAATTAACGTCAACTCTCTCGTCCCCTACTTTCCTACGAACTCGAAATCTGAGCCACTTCAAACCTGCTTGCACTACCAGCCAACATACAATGCTCTTCGGGAATCTGCTGATTCATGTTCCTTATGTTCGCTGACTTGTTCAGCGCAAGGAAGAAAGATTTCCACCTGTCGAATCCCCAACGCGTACAAAGAACATGGCAAATCAAAGATTTGGTGGATTGCAAGGGATCAGACGTTTATGGACCTTGAGTCTTCCCAAGGCATTGTATTGTGTGAGGGTGAATGTTGGTCACAGCACGTTGATCAAGGGGTCAATCTCAATCTCACGGCTCAGCTTGGTGAGCGCCTCCGGGATTCTCTCAAAATTGCTGGCATTGATGTCGCTGTCCTCAGTAATAATGGAGGGCACGTTTACCTTGGTGTCAAGATGACCCTCTTGCTCTCTGGTGATGCTATCGGAAGATTGACATTTCCTCAATAGGAGCCTGACAAATGTGCTAGGCAGATCGCCGAACAGCTTGAACGTCGCGAGAAGGAACACCAGGGGATGTTAAAAGTCACTCGTCACTCAGCGCAGCTCCGACCTCAGGACCGAAGAAATGGTTGATGTGGACAAATACCACATTTCACCACACCCTCCACGGTTGACAGATGTTGGAGACTCATCAAACACTATTTCTCTAAAGGAGGCTGGCAGAGCTTGCGGCTGGTACGCGGCACTCAGCTATTCCTGGGGCCAATCTCCTTCATTCAAGACCAAATCTCAACATATAATAGAATGACCAGTGGCTTCTCAATTGAAGAGCTCCCTACAACCATTCGCGATGCAGCGTTCTTGAACTGGTCTCTAAGTCTTCAGTACCTGTGAGTAGACGCCCTTTACATCATACGAGACGATCAGAAAGACTGGACTTAACAAGCAGCGGGCATAGACTGAATATACGGCAATTCCACCATCACTATTGCGGCTTCGTCTTGCGAGGACAAATGGAACGATCTGTTTTCTCCTCGTAGACTTTTTGATGTCGTTCCAATAGCTTCTCCATGCTCGAACGGCCGCGTTTCAGGCACGACGTTTTTCTCCCAGAGGGATGGCTCTTTGGAAGAGGCCCTCAATCGATGTCCTTTGGCAAGCCGCACATGGACCCTTCAAGAACGCGTTCTGTCATGGCGAACCATTCACTGCGCGAAAGATCAGGTCTATTGGGAGTGTCCAAAACAGTGCGTCGCCGAAATTGGGTCAATTTTCAAGTGTAGAATGAGGGTCGGTAGTTGCTTGCCATCAGACAGCGACAACTGGCCACAAACTTTCTCCCGACTTCTTGCACGATGGTGGGCGATAGTGGAAAACTACGTGCAACGAAATCTGTATGCTTCCATCAACGAACTTCCAGCAGTTGCCGGTCTTGCAAATCCATTCCATCAGTTAACAGGAACGTCGAATTTGGCTGGACCTTGGCTTGAAGGCATGCCGCTCGCCTTGTTGTAGTCGGTCTCGATCGGGAGATGCAGTGAGCTTGGCCATCCGGCTCCACAGTGGAGGGCGCTTTCATGGTCTTGGGCTCCCATCGACGGCGCATTGAACTGTCACAAATACCGGCGTAGTCCTTGCAAAGGTCCTACCATCCTGGAACAGCTAGAAGTCATCTCACAGAGCATCCCTTTGGTGACCTCACCAAAGGCGTGCTCCGTGTTCGGGGGGAAGTGCAATGAGCATCTCGAAGCCTTCAGAAAGTACACTTTGATTATAGCGGGTAGATAGGCAATATTAAGCTTGGATACCCGGTGCTTGATCAGGGAATGGTATGCAAGGAAATGAGGTTCAATTTGACAATGAAGCGATAGTAGGAAACGACCTTCCGGTAGAATTTTGTGTCTCTTGGTCGAGAAAAGCACAAATAGGAGGGATGAATATGACAATGGCTTTCTGGTCATTGAAGAAGTTGAAAATGGTTGCTTCAAGCGATTGGGCTCGGGTCTTGTTCAGGGCTTGATGTGGTTTAATCCCTGCGAGGCTGTCACCTTAGACTTGGTCTGAGGAACTGCCAATCAACAATGTAGTCGCGTGAGTCTTGAACGTAGTAATCCCTTCCTTTTTTAGGTAGACCACGTGGACTATTTCGACCGGATTGGCTGAGATTGCAAGTGAGGCTGAGAAATAGTATCTTGACTGACGAAGCGACCTCCAGGCATCGGAATCGATGAGGCAGCGTATAAGGTGCTTCCTTTGAAAATTGGGGCTTTATCACAGCTGATTACCTAGACTCACCAATCTGAAAGTCTGAGAGCTGTGATCATTGCCAGTCTGTCCAAGTGGTTCGCTGCACCCGATTCGAGAAAGCTGAGATATGATTTTGTGTATCAAACGATCCACGAACCCCGATTCACCCTCATCCATCTGATGTTGTTTGTTAGAGTGCCTCAGAGTGGAATCGTGATGATATGAACACACGGGAGCTAGACAATGATCTAAATGACAGCGAGGCGGTCCATATAACATCGATGAATCGCATTTTGAAGGGGCATGAAGGCAGCATACTCCCCTCGCAGGCGATTTGAAGGGTGCCGGCTTGCCGACGGTAACTATTGTAGCATGAGCCACCCATCAGGAGCTCGTGAGTGAGAGCCCAAGCCCTAACATCGAATGGCAGAGAAATTTCAGCGCAGTTCTTGTTTGTAATCAATTTCCGCGAGTCTCTTCGCATTGGTGTCAATATGTTTCTCCACAGGGATATTGTCGGGCCGAATCTGGTCCTTGACAGATATTTCGTCTGAAGTTGCTGTGGGGATTGTTCATCCTGTTGAGTGGTGCAAAAAGAAAGTGAAGATTGCCGGCCGCTAGTTTGAAAAGGCACAGGTTGTGCCAAAGTTTTCAAATCGATGATTTTGCCAGTGTCTGAAGATAAATGAGAAGCTGGAGCCTGCCATCATTGTCTTGAGAATCTTGCCGGATACGAGTCAACCAGCGACAGAGATAGAGATAACATTATCGTTGTCATCTAACCTGGTAGAACCGAGAGCTTGACCCAGGGACGCGGATAGGAATCAGTATTGAAATCCGTTCGAACCTGGGAAAAGGATATGGGATATGCCCTCGCTAACCGGACACGGTAAAGTAAATCTACATGATCATCCCGCCCCCTTCTCCATGCAGCCTTATCTCAGGACTTATTAGTTATTGTTGCCAAAGAAGGAATATCAACACCAATTTCCACTTTTGCAGCAGTTTAGCTGACTAGATCGTATTTTGTGTGCCCGACCGCGATAGTCCAGTGTAGGGAAGCATGAATCTTCAGCAAAGTGACCTGAACCGCCTGACGGGTAAATTCCCACACTGCTAATGCCAAGAACAGATTTGTCTATGCGGCGTCTAACCTGAAGCCCATCATTACAGTGTCTTTCCTCGAACACACAAGTGTTTCCTCTCCAGCGGCTGGTGCACTCCTCGTTGGCCTGGCTATACCGCCTCATCATCTATCCTGACTTCCTGTCGCCAATCTAAAATTCCCGCCGACAACCGGACAGTACATTTCTCTCCGTTATGAGTCCTCTACATGCGGCGCACAAACCAAGAAAATGCAACGATTCTCCGGCTCCACCAGGCAAATGGACGCATTGAGGTCGGGGTCCGGCTGAGTTGAGCCAGAACGACTACGCCGAGAGACTCAAGAGCGTCTATACGGGCGGCTTTGATGAGAATTATTTCTATGCCAGCGGCTTTACGAATTACCAGCGAACTGGCTCCTAGAACAAGGAACATGTTCATCATGATAGAGACAGCAAAGAAAACTCAGAGTGCAAGCCTACGTTATCAAATGTGTACTCTAAATCATATATTGTGTGCTCTGCTACGACTCGGGCAATGACCGATGCAACTGGGTACAAAAGATTTCTCCCACTTCTCTAGGAGAGCCCGGACAAGCACTCTCCAATTAAAGTTCTGGGGTTGAACTATGCCTATTCTATGGACACTTTCATGGCCTACAAATTCGGCCTTCCCTAGGTAATAACGTTATCCAAGATGTTCCGAAGCGAAAATAGTACCTCGAGTACTTCTTCAGCCGACGGCCATACCACTTCTTCATTGATGGATACTCCCAGACTCATCAACCTACTTTCTAGGGCTGGCATCCGCCATCGGGTCGGTGCCTCCACCACGACTCCCGAGTCCTTGAACCTCGCCGTCTACCACCGGGTTGTAACAATGCTTGGCCAGGAAATTTCAAATATCTGCATTCGACTATCCTACCATCTCCTCCCAAGGACGAGCCGCACTACGCCAAAAAGTATCCTAGCCTAACACGCCTCAACACGCCAGGAAGGACCCAACGTACCCGTCGCCTCCGACGCGTATGATCACGACGCCGCCGCATATGAGACCAGCGGCGACACGCTGACTTATGCACAATACGAAATGGCCCAGAACCCGACTTTACAAAAACACCCGCGTGAAGAACTCAACCCTTGTCATAGTATTCTCAGTCAAATAATATAGAATAATGGGGGTGACTCCTTGATCCAAAATATCCACCTCTTGAGCTTATATAAGAGTTTCATTTGACGGAATTGATTGTATGTCGCAGTCAAGAGGCGAGTTGGGGTCTGGAGGGAGATCAATCCCATATATGGTCTAGTTGTAAACAAGAGAGCGACTGCGAAGACGAAGACAATGATTAGCAATGAGCTCTTATTATGTTCTGGACAATAGAGATGTGGACATTAAAAAGGGCGGGAAGGACATACCAGTAAATACATCTCACATTGTTTTCTGGAGAATTTGCCATCCACCGGTCAAAGCAGGAGACATGAGTTGCATTCCGGCATGCAGCGCAGGACCACCTATCACTCTGGCTCACGATGCGTGATAGACAGATGCCGCATTCGCTTTCGGCTTCGTTTTCAGAGGTGGGAGAGGTAGGGGGATTGCTCCTGCGTGAGGATGAGGACGCGGATAAAGACGGCGGTGGAGACGGCAATGAACTAAGCAAAGGCGACAAACGGTTCCGAAGGTGCTCCCTCCCTCGTGAGCGCCGTTCGGATGACGGCGTCGGTTGGATAGGACCAGAGTTGGAACGAGAGGTTGAAGAGCCTGAAGAAGATCGAGAATACGAGGTGTCTGTGTCGGAGTTCTCCAAGTCAGAATCCTCATTGTCGTCACCGTCTTCTGTCTCCGAGTCGGAAGCTTCCGAGAATTCATCGTCCGACTCCAAGGAGTTAGAGAATGAGGACAAGGTTGTCCTGTCCGAAGACGAGCGGCCGGGTGAACGTTGGTTCCTCCCTCGTTGGTTGTCCAGAATTGCTCTTATGGAGCTAATGACGTGACTCTGTGATTGGAGACGATGAGCCAGCTCGGCAAGAATATCTTCGTCGCGGAATGAGGCAAGGTGAGAGTCTGCCGGTGGTGCGATTTGATTGTTGTTACCAGGACGGTGGAATTCTCTCCGGGATCGAGATTGTCGTTGATGCTGTCGTTGATGCTGCTCTTCGTTCCGTTGAGCCATGGCTTCGTCCAATTTTCGTCGCCATTCCCGGGCTTTTGCTCGGGCCTGATACTGGTGCCATCTTTTGCAATGAAGCAATTGGGCCACTCCTTCCAAGTCGTTAACCAACATGCGGGGATTGATTCCGTCTGCTATCGCCTCGCAGATGCCTTCAAGAGCAGTCACTGCCTCATTACGAGATGCTTGAGCGCATAAGATTCCGCAGGTTGGTTTTGCTTTTCCATAGCCAATGCATGTAGGGTGATCCAAGGGGTGTTTTATGCCCAGATCTCTGCAGAGGCGGTTGACTGTGATCATCTTTAGGGAGGGACAAAGAATTAGTGCGCGAGATAGTAAATAACGAAGTGATTTGGTGTTTGTTGGTGACAGTTTAGAGTGGCAGACATTCAGGAAGGGATTGACTATGATTTTATGCTCTCCATGGCCTCCTGCCAAACAACCCCAATGCCATATCACCGAACTGCATCGCCGCAGGCTCCAGAGCTTTTGATTGGAAGGCAACTGAGTAGTGGGAGGGTCAACATAAAGGTTGCCGATACCACAGCCACAAATGGTCCGACATTGAGACACAGGGTTCAGCATTTGACCATAGAGAATCAGAGCTAGACATGCTGGCTTCGCCTCGTTAGGCTCACAGAGCACGACATGCACGAGATAATTGGCCGGTAGGAAGGTGTGCTTCACCCTTTAGCTTATCTTCTGTGGCTTGACACACAACCTGGACGAATGGCGCAATTGATGTGATATCAAAGGACAGATGTCCCCGGGGGGCGGCTAAGTTGAGCACTGCAGATAGTAGTAGAATCTCCAGACATGAAGTGCATGAAAAGAACTCACATGCTTTTCAAAATAATAGCATATGGCTTGAAAGGAGTATTGACCCAGCATCTTGAAGCAGTGAAAGTGGACACTTACAGCCACATATGATGGAACTGGGGGTATGAACTGCGCAGGGGATGGATCCTGCAGAAGGCGACCGGGATGGCGACCTTTTCTCGATCTAGATGGTGTGGTTTCACTCAACACTGGGCGCTTAACTGCTACACAGGCTGTGTTGCTGTTCCTTTCTCTTCGATATTCCCCAGGAATGATATGCATGAGACCATTATCGTATCAAATTGAGTTTGACAACCTCGGATATGCTTGGTTTGCAGTTGCAGTATTATTCCTATTGAGATGTACCATCTGAGAAAGAGTGATATCACTGTGATTCACTAGATGGCCGCACCCATGAGTTCACTCAGTGTCTTTGCCTAAGGGTATATAGATGGGTGATAATACATAGGTAGCTTGAGGCCGCAGAGACGCAAGAACTTCTTGAAAGTAGCCGGAGACTCGGTGGTATTAACACCGACAAAACCCGTAGAAACATGTGGTCAGGTGATCCCATTTAAAATCGAGTCCGCTGGGATACATACCCTCCTTGACGGCGCCGGGCTTGGAAATTGGCCCCGATACCCGCTGTTTCAGGGGCAAGGTGGTGTCCAAGGAGGGTGAGGTCGTCCGCAATTGGGGTATGGAAAGTATCAGCGCGGGCGAGAAATCAGTTTTTGAGTGAGTGGAGCCCAGCGTATTCGACGAACTAAATTAGCATACTCAGGATACCATAGGGAGTAAGTAGCAGAGTGGATCAGACAATTCCAAAATAAAGGTAAGAGTTTATTACAGACAGTGGAAGACAAAAAGACTATCCAAGCACTGAGACTGTAGCACCGTATGTGGACTTGACTCAGAATCCGAGCGTGTGTCGCCCGATGGAAGTTGAAGTTTAATGTACCTCCAGAGTAAGTCCCAGATCGCCTGCCACCCATCTGCCATGCATATGCGGGTGTGCAGAACCGTCCCTGTGTAGTATCCACACCAGATTAATGCAAGATAGATCGTGCCCAGAACCAGACTGTGGCCACAAATACCCTTCCGGGTCCAACAAACCAAAACATTCTCATTCAAGTACCTTGCGAAGTTGACAAATTCGAGCCCCGCTCTTTTGGGATGATTGTCCTGAAGAGAGAGAAGTGGTGAATACAACGCAACCTGCAATCATAACGATGCTCAAGTCATGGCTAGATGGACCGGAAGATCACAAGTAGTCACCGTCGGGCGCTCTCAGCCCTCTGTGCATCAACTCAACTGTATTTCTTGCTTTCCAGGCAGTACTGACTCGGTTGAACTCGCACAAACAAGCCCATCCACGTCCTGGAGTGGGCATCGGCAGATTCATCGTGGACTTAGCTGCTCTGGTCGACAGTGACGTGCTCAAGATGTACTGCACTTGTCAGTTCCTATACTCTGTTCTCAACCAGGTATGTAGGCGAAGATCCCCCCTCCCTTTCCAGCTCCTCGGGGATAATATTTCACATCGCAAAATAAACGCACACAGATCAATGGGGAGCGAGCCGAGCTAATCATCCCTTTACTTCTCTCGTGGCAGACTCTGAATGCATCTGCAGCACTCAGTCGTGAAACTGTCAATGCCGTACGAATGTGTGTCGAATATCTTTTGGTCGAAATGATTCCAACCTTGAGGGACAACAAGTCCCTGAAGAGAAAATGTGTTGTCGACGCAGCGGCGGTCAAGGTAGAAATGCATCTGTCTATGAGGATTAGGGACCTTACTGATATTTCCAATTCGAGGACGGCAGGTAGCTGAGGCACAATGGACCAAGATATTGGTCGGTGCTGACAAAGGACTGCTAGCACGCCACCAAAAAAAAAAAAACACTTTCAACATCAGCGACGCCTGTGAATATGTTAGTTCAAAAGCATAATACTTGATGAAGAAGACCTCCTCGTGATAACATCACTCAGGTTCAGTTCTCGAATATTTTGCTGCTCGGGTGCCTAGGATTGTGATATCGGGTACACCAATCGGCAGACCAACGGGACCGGATTAACTTGAATGGTGAAGGTATACTGGACCATCGCAGTAGCTGGACATCGAGTTGAGCTCGCTTTCTTTTGTTGGTCAAGATATTACATGGTTCGAGGGAGTCTCGACTGTCCAAGCTGAAGATCGCATCTTCGGAGTGGGTGCCTTTGAACGACCGGTCAAGTATGACATCGCCGTCCCATCCGATGTGGCTGAATTAAAAGATGCTGACATCTTCATTTGCATTGACATCGCTAGCTCGAGATGCGCAAGCTCCAGAAGATCATACCTGGATGATATCGATTGATGCTCTCCAGGCTTGTCGTACAAAGCCTCGACCGCGAGAGCTGTGGGGCTTGCTACTAGACTTGATTGATAAAAAGAAGTTCGGAGCGTTCGGTATTTAAATCAATATGTCGTCGAAGCTGTCATCGGAGAGCGAGACCTTTGATGTGTCCGCCAGTAATCTGACAAGGGCATAGTGAAGCCTCACACAGACACTGACCCATCATGCCTTTGGAGGTTGCGGAATGAGGCCCGTGGAGAGGGCGGTTTGATTGGTACGGGGACGATCGCTGGTGAGGACCGCGTTTCCATATGCTCCCTGGACGAACGGACTCAAAACGGTAGCTCAGATCATTAGGGCACCTGGCGGGAACAGCAGATACTGTGTTCGTGAGAGAGACGAATTATACTTTACTGTACGGGCTGGAAAGGGCTGGATTTGGGACTTCGTGAGGGAGAGTCATTTTACCTGTGAAGCATCTCATACTGTAGCAAGATCAATGAGGGATAGGAGCAATTTGAACAACTTGAATACTAGGTAGTACAACATGATATTGGTTCGGCTCGATCGAGAAATCGAGTGCATAGCTTTGCTTCAAGAAAAAGAAAGGGAGACCAGGTGTCCGGACAAGCTCCTGTGGCCGTGCGTGGCCGGGTGTAGAGCCTTCTTATTGAACACGCATGACTTCCTCTATCATTCTTGTATCTTTGTTGATGTGTGTTGATCATAAATGAGTCAAAATACATTGTTGGTGTATGTTTGGGCTCAAGGCAGCTCTGGCTTCCCCACCTTTACTCCACAACCCACAGCCTCGGGTACAATCTTCGATTTACGAGAGAATCAACAAATAACGACATCAATTTTTCCTTCTCCTTCTCATATCATATTTCTGACGATGATCACTATTGACATCCAGAGTACAACTTTTCGCTCTACTGGCTGACATTTTCAATCCACCCTAAAAGCGGCCAAAAATGGTGTCCCCACCCATCGACATTCCCTTCGTTCGCACCCCAGATTCAAGATTTCAGAACCTCCCTGACTTTCCATATCAACCTCAATATCTCCAATATGGCCACCTACGCATGGCGTACATCGACGAATGGTCCCCGTCTTATAGAGGTCTGAAAGCTGAGACTGAGACCTTCCTGCTCCTTCACGGCGAACCGACTTGGTCTTTTCTCTACCGGAAAATGATACCCATCTTTCTACACCACACCACGAAATCCCACGCACAACCACGATGTCGCCGAGTCATCTGTCCTGACCTTCTTGGTTTCGGCCGTAGTGACAAGCCCGTCCGAGACCAAGACTACACTTTCGGGCTCCACCGCTCCTCACTCCTGCACCTGATTCAATCGCTGGATCTCACTAACATTACACTGGTCGTTCAAGACTGGGGCGGCCTGCTCGGATTGACATTGCCCATCGTTCACCCGAGCCGCTTCAAGCGGGTTCTAGCCATGAACACCATGCTTGCCACGGGCGGGAAACCGACACCCGGTTTCGTCGCCTGGCGTGCTTGGACCAACAAGAACCCAGATATGGAAGTCGGGAAGTTATTGGGACGCTCGTGTCCGCATCTCAGTGCCGCTGAACGACGAGCATATGATGCTCCCTTCCCAGGGCGGGAATTCAAGGCTGGAGTAAGGCGATTTCCGAACATGGTCATGGTCAGTGACGGTGGGAAAGAAGGGCTTGAGTTATCTAAGGCAAGCCTGGAGTTGTTTCGTAGTGGTGGCATATTTCAGAAACCAGAAGATGTCTTTGTGGTATGTGGGATGAAGGATCCGGTCTTAGGACCACCGGTCATGGAGGAAATGGCGCGGATATGGGGGAATGGTTGCGTCTATGTGGAAATCCAGGATGCGGGCCATTTTGTGCAGGAATGGGGAGAACAGGTGGCGAAGATGGCAATGGTCGTTTTTGACGGAACAGAAATTGAGAACGTTCGCAGGATTGTCCCTGGAGGGAGGCTTTGAGCTATGTAGCAGAGTTGCAATGCTTAAAGATGTCCGAGCCCTACGGCTATATTTTGGAAATCTTAACTCGTTCCCAAAGGGCATTCTCTCTTCTTGGGTCCTGCACATCTACAATATTAAGCCTAATTCGGTGATACACCAGTAAAACAAATGACAACCCTCCGCAATGTTGCAAATTGTATAGCGGCCAGCGAGACATTGTCAAAGGCATAATGCGTTGCATCTACGCCTCCGACAACATCAGGGGCATAGTCATGTCGCTGAAGCACCAATTTGTCGTCGAAGTAGTACTTCTGCGCCTGACAATGGACTGCAAGACTCGAGGATTCGTGAAACGTTGCCTCCAGAACTCGCCACGTCTGATCTTCCGGGTTGGTGTGTGGTTCGAGCTCATCGGTCTCCACTCCATCTTGGACGAGGAGGAACGGAAAATTGACATACCGCCACATCGCATAGCCAACAAAGTATAGCAGGTGAAGATCATCCCAGGGTGTCTCTCGAGTATGACCTTCAGAGGCTTTTCGAGGTTGGTCGCGGAACTCAATCACCTCCCCGTTGGGCTTCTGCTTCCACACCTGATCCGGTGTGTAGATCCATTCTTCATCTGCTTGTGTTTCTGTTCCAAGGCCACGGTAAATGACGTGTTTGTTTCTTTGTCGAAGCGATGGTTGTTGGGAAACGGTTTTCTGAGATTCCCTTTCCGGTGAAGGCGGCGCCTAACAGATTGAAATGAGCCTCGATACTTTCTATTTCCGACCATTGCTTCAAGCCGCCGTTGGCAGCGATGACGAGATCTGTAAGCTGTACCCTACAGATTGTGGTGTTTCAATATCCCGCTGAAAAACAGTGTTTGAAACGTACCTATCATATGGAGGTGACATGATCAATGGGCTTGTTGTTGCATAGGCCAGGCAGCGTGTCGATCTCAATCAGAGAAATTCGATATCTTTGAAAGCATTCAATCGAAATGCAAATTATGGGACACTTATTCCATCACTCATTTATGGCTTGATTTTGATCAGCACCACCTTCCTGCACATGATGATTCGTCACGATCATTTCGACAAATATAGAAACCCATTGACGACAGGTCTCGAGAGAAAGTAATCAAAGCTTCGGACATGAAACCGGCCGTATAGAAGAAGAAAAGCTTTCCAATCATATGCCCTGGCGACGGCTGAGAGATTTGTAGCAAGTTGACTATTCAGATCTCGGTGTCATCGCATTCGGTAAAAGGCCAAAAGGGTTCCGTCTCAAGGATCTTGAATTTTCGGATTGAGTACAAAGGAAATAGTGATCGACCATCAATATTTGTCATTGACTCAACTGTATGAGGCTACCGTTCTAATCGTGAAATTGCAATATCGAATTCTCTTTGCCTAGAGGCATACCGACCAGGAGGGAAACAGCCAGGAACCAAGGTCTGGTCATGCATTCCATATTCACGCTTCATCCTCAGTCTTCCACAGCTTTGGTGACATCGCCTGTATGATGCCTGATCATGAATCCTCCATCACCATTCCTCAAGAGAGATTTGACCCAGTCCATGCCAAAGTCCCACCAACCATGTCGGTCCGCCTTTGCCAGTTTGAGACTTTCCCTGTCAAGGCTCCCAACAGTGACATCGACAAATGCCATGGGAGTATTCATGCGCTTGTGCGAGAGATAGGTCAAATTGGTCCCGCAGCGAGAACAGAAGGTCCGGGTTGCTCTGTCCGTGCAGCAAAATCGGGCGACATACGTCGAAGGTGAGGTGCCATCTTCCCGGAGTGGTCCCACAGCTTCGATCGTAGAGAGATGAATGGTTTGGTCGGCTCTCTTGTCGCCAGTCATATGGCTCGTGGTTCCCTCTTTCGGAAGCAAATCCCATTCAACCCAACCCACGGGACTAATAAACCAGCACTGAACCACGGCACCAGAGACCTGTCGACAGGTGTTGCAATGATCAATATCGACGAGGGGCATCCGCGTCTGTATTCTTTCAGTGGCTGAGATTGGAGTCTCTAAGGCGTCAGGAATGGGCGGCCGATGATCCCATGCTGGGACGTTGATTGTGTAGCGAATGGCCTGGCAGTAACAGCCTCCCGTTAAGATGAGGGCTTCTTTTGGAAGATACGCCATTTTGGTAGATCTTGAACAGCTGGAGTTGGTTATCTAGTTTCCTAATGTATGAGGAAGGGGGGGAGGTAGCGCCCTCCTCTCAATGCGGAGATTGATTCAACTTTGTGCAGTGTCATGTTCGGCATGAAGAAATAGTGCACACGCGGTTACAGAGAAAGGAGAAACGACGGCGGCAAATAGCAGAGAAATACGGATTCCGGCGGAGCATGGAGGGAAGTGTGTAGAGTACGGCAGACTATATGCTGAGTAAGCGCAGTGTCGCTGGTTGCCTGGCAACCCGCCTTTCCTTCCGCAATCGGCCAACCCAATGCAGTCAAATCAAAATGATCGAATTCGAGGCCAACTTGGAACGCGTCGTTACACTAATTAGTGATCATCCACTTATGTCACGCACACACATCTTCATACACACACGGACACATCCAGATTCACCCCGCCATGTATGGACACAACATTGATTTGTCGTATTCTATACCAGTCTTGCCTTGACCCTTGACTTGCTCGCTGCGCGACTCGCGTTGTTTTACCTCTGTATCATCTTCATTCCCCCACTATTTGAACTCGACAAACAATCACGATATGGAACCTTGGCTCAATTCCCTTTCAGAAGACTGGAAGTCGGAACAACGCTCCTCCTCTCCCGCTCCCTCCTTCTCCAGCAGCCACCAGCATGGCAACACTGCGCTATCTCGATCACAAAGTCGCATACCACACCTGGCCAAGAATATGCGCAAAGACTCGTCTACCGGAAGCTTTCTCAGGCACCGGTCGACACGGGGGCAAGCTCGCACAAACGGCGAGCCGGTCTTGAGAGAACGAAGCGCTTCAAGTCTCAACGTTCCTGCGACGGCTGACCCTCAGAAATTCACCAGTCTCCCACGTCGTCCCTCGAGCGTCTTCTCGGAATCGCAAAACTCGGTCCAACACCACACAATTCACGAGAAACCCACATTGGCAGAAACACCTGAATGGAAGAGGAGGCTAGCCAATGGCGAAGACATTGCGAGCGATGGGTTTGATCTCTTCTCCCCCTCGAAATTAGAGGGCATTTTCAAACAGCCGATTCCATCTCAATTGAACAGTGACAACGACGTGGAACAAAATGATACCGACCAGAAGATTCGAAAACCCTTCTCCTTACCTGTTTCGAATTCTTTCCCAGAGCAGTATAGCAGCTTCCGACCCGCCAGGGGCCATGTGAACTTGGAGGTATTGGAAGAAGTCAGTGAGGAAGAAGAGACGCAACCGCACGATATGCCTGCGTTGGCTTCGGACCTTGCACGGTCAGGATCTCTTAAAGGTCTTGTTAAGCAACGAGTTCAATCTCTCGAGCGTCCTCACGGAAGTGGAGGCTCCAGACGTCCCAAGCAGCTGCTCAATGAGAACCACGAACGGGAAGGCATCAATATCCACGACCCGCGATGGCGGACAATAAGCGGTCAGGAAGAATTGCAGAATGAGTTCATCAGCCCAGTCACGATGTCCAAGCAAAATTCAATACGCGCAACGGTTCTACGAAAATCCGTGGACGTTGACATCGACGCGCTACAACATAAACTGAAGAATGCAGCGTTGGGGGAAGCGGAACGACCGAGTTCAAGCTCAAGTGACAGGCACGTTAACTACGGGAACAACAACGCTGAAAACCCAAATAATGAACCTCTGCCGGATTTGACCTCTCAGTCTTTACCCGATGATTTATCAATGGGAACCCAAGAATTCATATCGCATGGAGGTTTCATCAATTCAAGACGAGGCGGACGCTCGAATGAAGCTTCTTTTCTCAGGAAAAGCCTCTCTCAAGAACCTTCACCAATGGACTTGAACTCGCGAGCAACCCTTCAACTTCACAGTTCGCCGCCTCAATACTCCCGAATGCTGGATGACAGTATTGAACAAAGTAAACTAAGTGCAAGCGCACCAGTAACACCAGAGGATACGAGCGTCGTACATCATATCGGAAGTCAACTTGGACCCGCTTCATCTGGAAGTCCACTCAAGCTTTTCGGGAATCGTGATACATATACAAGTAACAAGTTGATGCGAATATTGAACCATTTTGAAGAGGCCGGAACCTCACAAGACAAGGCGGAAGATGAAGTTTTGACAGAAGAGCAGCGAGATAATGCCTTCCGCATGAGTCAATTTGGCCACGGTGAGCTGGACGAGTTTGGCTTCGATCAAGACATCCCGAGACCATCACCAATTGAAACAGCAGTGATTGCCTCTGCAGATAGAATCTTCAAACCTATCACCACCAATGATGGCGGAGCCCAGACTTCAGTCGATGAGACGAAATCCATCCTCTCGGTATCCAGACATGTGGAAAAGGAAGGCGACCCTCCAAAAGACGTTGGCCTTTCAGAGAAAGATAGGACGGCAAAACGACAGAAAACACTTTTGAACGATCAGGGCAATGCACAAGGCCAAGGAACGGAAGTCCAAAGGAACTATCTGGAAGTAAGAGGTCCTCCTGAAGGAAAGAAAAGAAAGGATGCTAGACCGGGTAATGATGGAACTCTAGCTGATCCAGAAATTCTTGCCTCTCGTAACCTTCTCAAGCCGAAATCGGCAAGGAGGTCGTCGGTGAATCGAATCACGCCAGCGAATGTGTTGGAGGCCAGTGTCCAGAAAATCGTTCCAGAGCAATCAGAAGCGAACCTGACAGAGGCTCTGGCCACGGAATTGGCATCATTCGCACAAGGAGCTGTTCAGGTCAACAATGATTCACGCAAACCGTCACTTGCTACTAAGGACTATATGGAAGAAGCGAACAAGGTCATGCAATTTATTCGTTCTCGAGGAAAACCAATATCAGTTTTGCCAGACATCGGTGAACCCGGCAACCTGTCCGATCTCAACCCTGACGCGATTTTGGATCTGGACATTGATGCAGATTCAACCAAGGACGATTTTTCTCGACCGCCATCTCGGAATCGTACCTCTGTGCCAGCCGCAGATCGTCGTCATGCACGACATGACTCCAGAACAGCAAGCTACTTGAGAAAATACCAGGATGAAGACGGTATTGAAGCTCTAGCAAACACTTCGGTCTTTGGCACGTTGGCCCCCACAGGCAATAACCTGGCCGTTACGCCAGCCCAGATTCCCGTCTCCAGTGATTTGCAAGAAAGCAGTCCTCCGAACATGCGTATTCGGAATCCAACGGAGACAATGCGGAAACGAAAGCATTCAGCCTCAACCATTGAAGGGGCTCAAGCCTTCACTCAGGACCAAACTTCGCAGACTCAGTATTCGTCCCGCAATTCGACGCAACACACCTTTCCAACCAATTCGTCAAGGTCAGGTCATAAAGGCGTCATTGCATCTGGAACTGTGTCGATACCTGATCATGTGGGGATGATGACTTTCGACCATGAAAGGAAGACTTGGATCAAGAAAGCACACGGCACGAATGGTACAAAGCCCCCCGAGAGAAGAGACCGTCAAACTTTAACGGAGGATGATCCGTTTGAGGATATACCTGATTTGAGCATTGATGAACAACGAGAATTGGAATCCGAGACCCGACGCACTCAGCCATTGACTGTTAAGCCAACTAGAATTGATACCGTTGATGAAGAAACGAAAGCTCGTTCGCAAGCTTCTCGAAAACCTTTGGCAGAACTCGAGCCTCAGGTTGTGAAAGAACGCGATCAATTCCTCTTGGAGACCGAAGATGATGAGGAGATTGACCGGAGTTCTCTTCGCTCGAAGGCTTCAGAACACGAATCACGGCTTCATGATGGCGTTCCATCACAGCCGCCCGCCTCGCTCAAAGATGATCGGAAACAGGCGCGAGTGGTTACAATTGCATTTTCGTCCCCAGTTGTTTCAGCCGTCAATTATGCCAACATTTCTGAGGATGATTTGGATGATTTGCCACGCGAAGAAGATCTGCCACTTGATGATTCAGAGTTAGAAATCAGCGATACAGGCGTCAACAGAGGAACGAAGCAAATCTTTGCTGCCGAGAAAGTAATGCATTCTCCCAAAGAAAGGAGCCAGAAAACTTCCCGGGACCACGAACCCGCCGTTACATTCAAATCCCAGACGATGTCACCAATTGAGGAACATATTGAAGAACATGACGAAGAACCTCCTGCTGGACAGATGAGCCTGGTCCACGTCAATCAGTCAAATGAATTGACTCCGGCACCACCGCGAATAATGGTGAAGCACCAGAAAAGTGCAAACAAGGCTTCAAGTATTCTCTGTCTGACTCCATTATCCGAATTCTCCGTTCACCAAGTCGACTCCGCCAAACATCCCGATCAGAGTTACGTCGAAGAGAGAAAACACCCTAATGCCCTTCGACAGGCACACGGTTCTTTGGCGTTGGCTGTTGACGAGCTTGTCAAGGCCATCACAGATGCGGTGCCGGAGGAACTTTACTGGGAACAACTTCATCGCATGACCATAGGTGCAGGCAGTATTTCCTCTGTACATGGCTTGAAAGATTACTGTCCCGCTTTGGAAGAACTCTCCGCCTTTGATAACAAAATCGCTCAACTAGGAGGCTTGCCAAGTTCTTTGCGGGTTCTTGATATCCACAATAACATGTTGAATGATTTGACATCTTGGGGTCACCTGTCAAATCTTCAATATTTGGATGTATCTGGGAATCAACTTGAAAGCCTCGAAGGCTTCCGTTCGTTGATCCATTTGCGAAGTCTGAAAGCCAACAACAACCGAATTACAAACATTGATGGCATTTTAGATTTGAATGGTTTACTCGAGCTTCAACTCGGTGAGAATTATCTCGGCACCGTTGATTTTGAAGGGTCTGAACTCAGTCGATTGAGAGAATTAAACTTGAGCCATAACCAACTTGAAGAAGTTCGGAATCTTCATTCTCTTCCAGCGCTTGAGGCGTTAGACCTCAGTCACAACAAGCTTGGAAAGTTTGAGGTCGAGGATATGAACAAGACTCTCGCTTTGAAAGAGCTGCGACTTTCGCATAATAAGCTTGAAGGAATTGGCCTGAAGCGCATGCCGATGATCAAGTATCTGGATATGGATAACAACAACATCAAAGATATCCAGGGTCTTTCTTTGGCTTACCATTTAGAAGACCTGTCCCTGAGACAACAATCGGAGTCTTCACCCGTCATGGATCTGGTCCTCTCCACTCCAAACGAATGCAGACGAATTTGTCTATCATCAAACACGTCGTTAAATGGGACATTCAAATTACCAACCTTGCCACAGAACAACCTTCGAGAATTGGAGATTGCAGCATGTGGTATTTCGGAACTTCCTGAAGGCTTCGGAGTTTTATTTCCCAATTGTCGGATCTTGAACGCCAATTTCAACGCCATCAAGGATGTTACACCCGTTAGGAAGATGCTCAAACTAAGGAATCTCCTTCTGGCCAAAAATCGCATCAAGAAATTGAGACGAACTTGCTTAGTTTTGTCTAGACTTGTGTCATTGGAAAAGGTTGACCTCCGAGACAATCCCCTGACGATTGGATTTTACAGCTCTGTGCCTAGCAAAATAACAAACGACCAGTCACTACCCGAGGCACGATATCATCTGCCCGATGGGTCTCAGGTGGAGGATGCCACTTGGATGAAAGTTCTTGATGAAGTTACTGGACTGAGACGACGAACTATCGAACTCCTACTTGCTGAGCATTGCAAGAAACTGGTTCATCTTGATGGATTGGTTCTATGTCATGAGCGATTGAATGCAAAGGACGAAACATGGAATAAATTGACCGAGCAGGGTGTGTTGATTAAACCCTCATCGCCATCAGAACGCAGTCTGGAAAGACCTGCCCATGAAAACGAGGGAACTTATGATGCTGAGGATCACCAGAAGGTTTCGAGGGATGCTGACGGAGATGTTAATGCCTGAATGAACGATTGTACCAGTATTTCATGGAATGATGGATTGGCGTTGGGTTTGAATGGTCGAGAAAAGTTTAGGAAATGAAATGGTAATGACAGAAAACATCAAGCCGAGGACGGCTTCGGCGTCTTGTTTCTAGACAATTGGGAGACATGCTGCATGATTGTTTGTTCTTGTTTCCAGCATATTCATCAGGTAAAGCATTGTAGGTTTGGGGACCAGCCTAGCATGTGGTGAGCACTTGAAATGACATCCATTTATTCACTCACCTTGATCCGCACGAGAACTCTGTAAGGCCGCGCCCCCTTGGCACCGAGAGACACAGAGAGCAAATGCCAGGTGGGCCAAATGATCTTCTTATATAGGATTAGTTGGGGCATTTGGCGGGGCTAAGAAGGTCCGCTGTCATACCTTTGGCAACTCTTCTCCCATCATGCCAGAGGCGAAATATTTACGCAAGGTTGTTGAACGCGTCCGCGGACTATGAAAGTTAATGGATTTCTGCTAGCCACCTCCTGGAATGCTCAGCCTTGTCCCAACCCCCTCAATCTTACAGAGCAATTGTTGGCTCCGTGACTTTTGTCTACCTGGGGAATATCAATGACTTCAGCCTTCTGGTACGGTCTGGTTCATAACCTGATGACACGATTACTCTTGGTGAGGGTGCTACCGGAATCGCATGTGGTATTTCGGCCGATAATACCTTCGTCATACCCGTCTCCCTACTAGCATCTCCCTCTGTCTGACTGTTGACAAAATTTCCAAAGCGTCAATCCACATCTCCTTCGGCCTCGGATAGCACACATTCTACAACTTCATCTAGAACTACAGCCTCTGCTATCTCAAACGCCGGCACCGGTACTATGTCATCCTCTCCGCCTGATGACATGTTATTAAAATGGCAGAGGGTGGATGGTCTGATATGATTTGATGGAAGAGGGACCCCCGCCCCCCCAAAAAAGATTTGAAGGCGTTCAGGATTTTGATATTAGCGTCTTGCGAACACAGACCTGTAGCGTTGATGGAACGAAAATTGAAGTTGACGAGCAGCATGGATGATGATGGTACGGATGTACGGATGTACTCATGTAGTGAAACGATATCCCTAAGAATCAATTTGGAATTCTTTCAAGGCAAACCCCATCGTAATCATTCGAGAATGGGTTGTAGGCCCCAAAGATTCTTCAGCTCTTCCTGATTTCTTTCCCAATCAACATGCTTCCACCGCTCTTCCAGTATAGCCCGATTCTGTCTTAACTGGTCTTTCAAACCATCCCAATCGACTCTCAGCAGCTTACCTTCTCTCTTCACGATCTCGCCATTGACCAAGACCGTATCAACATCCGCCGCCGAGCAATGCGTGACCAACGCCCCCCCAAAGTCAACACTCGACACCATCGATGGCCCATCTGTGCGTATCAACACGATATCCGCTTTCTTCCCAACTTCCAGACTCCCGATTTCTTTTTCCATATGGATCGCCTCGGCCCCTCCCAGAGTCGCCATATACAGGACATCGCTTGTCGTCGCTTTCAGGCTCTCAGGGATCTTCCCGCGCGAGTGAGTATTGCTATTCTCGAGCATTCGCCGTTCTTGTAATGCAAGGCGCATCACCGTAAACAAATCGCCGCTACATATAGCGGGGGAATCGATCCCGAGGCCTGTCGCAATACCAAAGCGATAGAAGTCAAAGGCTGACGGCTGGCCGTGGCCCATTGCCATTTCGGACTCGGGCGTGCTGACGATGCCGATCTTGTGATCTTTCACAAATGACAAGATTTCCGCGTCAGGTTCACAGGCGTGAGAGAGCGTGAGGCTAGGCAGGGACGGCATAGGGTGCTCACGTAGGAATTTCATCGCGGGTAAAGCAAAGCGGATGACGTCGTGCATGGTCACTGGGATACTGTGTTCTTTAGCATATGTGAGGATGTCCTTGCTTTCTCCGACAGGTATTTGATGCACGGTGTCGAGGCCGAGGCCCAGTGTGAGGCGACCGTCGTTGTCCACCGGTCCGCCGAGTGGTTTTTCGGCTGAAAGACTCTTGAAGAGCTCCACTTGGCCTGCGTGCTGGGTCGCCATGTCGGGAAATGTGAGCGGGTTGACTGAGATTGGGATGCCAAACGGTGACATGCAATAGATACTTCGGATCCCTGATTCGAGTGTAGCTTTGATACAGCGTCGGGCATGCTCTGGAGATGTCACCACGTGTGAATGGTCCATGACGGTCGTGACACCGCATGATATAGCCTCGACAGCACCGGCGAGCTGGGACAGATACATATCTTCTGCATCGAGGAAGACCATGCGCCCTAGCAATAGGTGTGCGCCGTATCCCAATAACGAGTGGTCACTGACGGTCGAGCGGAGTTGGGATTGAAATACATGGCGGTGACCGTCGATAAAGCCTGGTGTCACAATGTATCCGGAAGCGTCGATGACTTCCGTCGATGCCTCAGCAGCATCGACTGAGAGATTTGATCCGATCTTGGAGATTTGTTGGCCTTCGACAAGGATGTCGAGCTGTGGGAACGTGGCCTTTTTCTCATCGGTGAAGATGAGAACGTTGCCTCCTTTGATTAAATAGGAACCCATCTTACCATAGTCTTAGGGAATAGAAGTTCCCGGAAGAAACAAGATTTGTGGTTCCGCTGGAGCAGTCCAGGGTTTTGTACTTGGATTGAACTTCAGCATCAATATACTGTTGGTTGGCCCCCCCCCCCAATCCCGTGCGGACGTCCGGGGGAAACAAGGGCGGCTGCGTCATGCTGATCCTTGAGACAAGAATCTATCGTTTGCCGAAGGAGACTGGGAAAATGGCGGGGTTATCAGACAAAGATGACTGACTGCTCAAGTCATTGTAACCCGCCTCCTCTTTGACTCTTTTGGACCAATAGGATGCCTGATTTGCTCACGTCAGGCCGGTTTAGAAGGGGCCTTGCTGAGGCGAAGAAGTCATAGAATGTGGATTGTATATTTCCGCTGCTGACATATCATATTCCTCGTAAACCATATGATTGGGTCCATGGATTTGATGTTGCAGAAATGATCTGAATCCTTGGGGCGAAAGGTCAAAAGCTGATGCATTGTACATGTTTTCGGTTAGCGTCAGATGTCGAAGCAGTCGGAAAGTTCCTCTGGAAAGGGTTGGGAAAAGGTTTTGACGTACGCATATGCAAAATTGTCCAATGCTCCGAGCTCAGCGCTCCGGGGTCCATCTCAATCCACCTCTCTTATGTTTTGTTGAGCGCGGATATTTGAGAGGCTCAAGACTCTTCAGGTCTCGAAATGCGAATAACCAGTGTCTGCAGGTTTGGGAAATACATTCAAGTCCTATAAGCCAACGGATATATTGACATTTTGTACGGGCAGCCCATTGGTCGGCCAGGCACTCAAAACATAGGAGAAGCTCATGAGATATGCAATTGAATTCAACCGCCTTCACCTTGGACCATATGTGTTATGCTTAATCCAGAGGCCACACTCAGGCAGTGGAGGCCCATTGGCTTCTGAAATTATTCAATCCCGCCATCAGCCCAAAGAAGCCAACCAGTCCAGTATTCATCCCCTTAACACCATCTGGGTACAAACTGTAGTGAATGGCAACAGGCATCCAATATGCTGCAACCATGAACTCGTTCCACCATTTGCGATCATAGTCTTCCTTTTCTTTGGCCGTCTTGGTCTTGGTCTTCTCAATCTCTGCTTCGCGCCACAAACGAAGGAAATCACTCGCCACACCAACCAACCATGCCCGACAACTCCATGCGACCCACTTGGCAATACCTCCGCGCTTCTCAATGATGGACATGGGTAACACGCCCTTACCACCTAGATGGTAGATGTTCTCCAGGGCTTGGAATGCAATGTACGCACTGCATTGAAGGAGTGCGACACGGTGTAGTGTAGGGTCCATGTCCTTGGACGCCTTCTTGGATAAAAGCGTTTTGTACCAGATATAAAGGGGAAGAAGGCCTGTTAGACGCAAGGTGGTGCGTGTGTCAGAGACAAGACTCCCAAGAGTCGTGAGGAATGAAGCGGGTGCCGCGGGGGTCAGAGCACCGGCGGGAAGCTTCGAAGGCGCACGTCCGATGAGTCGGGAGATGTAAGAGACGACAGCGGCACGAGTTGGGGATTGCGCATGGAGGTACGCTGCGAGATAGATGGAATAGTTGAGCGTGGAGAGAGCTGCACCGAGGCCTGCGGTGGTTTTGATCAACCTGTTTGCGATATGAGTCTTGTATATCCCGAGGATGGCTTAACAGGGGCAACGTACTTGCTGAGTCGCAAGAGAATCTCGTCAGCTTTGGAGATTGTGATTTTGACACCATTGGGAAGTCTGCTCAACGCCAGAGTGTGCGAAGGCTTAACAGGACCAACATCTTTGGTCTCTGAAGCATCTTGAGGAACGACGCCGGAGTCTGGTTGTGCGGCTTCGCTGCTTGACATGCTTGCGATCACTTCGAATGGGTCAGGAGGAAGGCCGAGATGGGTAGTGAATAATAGCTGGGAGATGTTGTGATTCCACGAGTGATCACGATCCCCGGACTGTAGCCGTGTCTGACGAGGAGGTCCTCGCTTGTTGTTTGCGACCCTTGGGAGTGCTTCAATTAAATCAACAGCGTGTCCTCCCTGCTGTACAATAGGTAATCATAAAAATGTAAACAAGACGCAGTTGGTTTGCTGGTCCTCCGCACCTCAGATCTCCATACAACCGAGGTCCGGGTACCGAAAGCAGGGGAGTGATTTTGTTGTGTGAGTCACGAGATGCGGCCCAAGTACGACGATCACGTGTACGCTGTACATCGATTTCACGTGAGCGGCGAGCACCGCAAACGTCATTCGGGATTCGTATCTGTTGCAGTAAGTGTTTTTAATCGCTCAGCCTCGCCCGCACTCCATTCAGGGATCCCCGACCTTGGGCTGCGCCTCTACCTCTGGCAACTTGTCACCAGGCACCTACATTTCTTCTGGATCTCCATTTGTTGTACGTGAGAAAGACAGAAAATTTCCTCTACCATCGTCGATATAAGTCTACCATTGAACTCTCTTCTCTTTTGAAGTTCAATGCCCATTTACACGGCTTCCTCACAAGATCAGGTTGTCATCAGCATGTCGTGCGGCGACATCTTTCTCGGGCTCATCGCCATCCTCTTTCCTCCTATTGCTGGTTTGCCTTTCCACGTCCCTGCCCTTCGCTCCTTTCACTAACTTGATCTTTCTTCTTCAGTCTGGATTAAATCCGGCATCTGCTCGGCTGACTCCCTTATCAACATTCTCCTATGTATGCTCGGCTACCTCCCTGGACTTCTACACGCATGGTATATCATTGCCCGGAACCCAGAGCGGGACTACGACTACGAACCCGTTCCAGATGCTGAAGGCCAACGCATCACCTACTATTACATCCGTCACGAGCCATCCCGACGAGACTATGGGACTCAACAAGGCCCTAATCGACCTGCCCCTCCGCCACCAAAACCTCAGGATTGTCCCCCGCAAACTGGCAATACCGGAGGTAGTTCGCGACCAGCACCACCCCCTCCAACTCAACCTGCGGGTCCCAGTGCCGGTGCAGCGAGTCAAGAGCCTGGTGCTCCCCCCAGCTACTCCGAGGTCGTGCGTGGAGATAATAAAATCCAGACCCCAGATTAAATATTTGGACAATCAAAGACACAATTCGATATCTAGTGTTGGGAGAGTACTGCAGAAAGCAGTTGATTCAGGGCGTTGAAGGCCGTCGGACACGGGAGTTACTATACTACTATGGATGTCTCAGAAGGCAAAATAGCTCCCAAAGGCGGAGACGATGAATTCTTCTATCGAGAGCGATGGAACTGTGTAATGGTATGGCCGTTAGTTTAATGTTTGACGATGTTAACAAGCCTTGTGGAATGCTGAACTGTTGTCATCCATCGGACCAGAGGCACATTCATCGGTGCATTACGATTTGATCAAGGATACGCTCAACAGCATTATAGTGTTGGCCAACCAAAGGAAAACGTTTGGTGATGGAGACAGTCATCTATTGTAAAGGTAAGATGCTATGCTTCCTCGGTTGAGTCGCAGTGGTCAAAGTCTATTTTTGCGGGAGGATCGCCTGTGTGACGAAAAGAGTTGACAGGGCACGACAACTGTTACCCGAAGCGTCCTACACACAGTAGACAGGAGCCCCTGAACATCCTCCATATGCTGTTTACGTTAAATCACTCCGCTGGCCGAGATGACATTGTAGGTTGGAATTGCTCAAAAGGGAAAGAAGAAAATTGGGCCGCAGTTTGGATTGACTTGATGTTTGCCCAAACGATACTAGTATCATGAAGAATCTTTCTGAGGCAGTCCTTGTCCGTCGACCATGCTTTGACAAAGTGAGAGTTTGTTACTCGTCGGCATTTCCGTTCACGGTTACCGACTCCTCCGGGAAAATAACAATATGGAACCTGTCTGACTTCGCACTGATACTAGAACGAGGTTCCGTGTGCTCAGTGGCCAGAAATCTAGACGTTGGAGTTGATGATGTCGACAACTGTTCAGGAACATCGATTAGCATGCATCCATTTATCGGTGCCGAAGTACTTACACGCCGGCTTCAAACTGGCACCGCCAACCAAGAATCCATCCACGTCTGGCTGCTGGGCCAAATCTCTGCAGTTCTTCTCGCTCACACTACCGCCATAGATGATTCGGGTATTTTCAGCCGCCTCGGGAGAGACAGCATCAGCAAGCCATTTTCGGATTGCTGCATGGGCTTCTTGTGCTTGGTCTGTATGGTTGAAGATAGTGTTAGCAAAATTTATCACCAGCATTGGGGTAGAGAGAAGGATCAATTCTTGGGACCGACCAGTCGTAGCAACTTTTCCTGTTCCAATGGCCCAAATAGGTTCATATGCGATTACGACGTTGTTCCAGCCATCTTTGCCAATGGTTTTATGGACAGCGTCCAACTGTTTTGTGACCACATCGACGGTGATTCCCTTCTCTCTTTCCTCTAGACTCTCGCCACAGCACAGGATGACACCAATACCACCATCCAATGCTGCCTTTGTCTTGCAAGCCACAAACTCGTCTTCTTCACGCAGAATAGTACGACGCTCGGAGTGGCCCAGTAATGTCCAGGTGATGCCACTGTCTTTCAACTGAGCCACAGAAATCTCACCGGTGAAGGCACCATTAGGTCGGTCGAAAACGTTCTGGGCTGCAACTTCGATATTGGGAGACAAGTGTTCGCGGGTAAGGAGGAGGTACAAGCTCGGAGGAGCGACGACCACTTCAGTATTGGGATCTTGAGGAATTTAAGATGAAGGTGTTAGAACAATTGTTGCTGATGTAGTGGTCCAAAATTGCTGTGTTGTGCCTTGTATTGTGACTTTCGGACTGCGACACGAAAAGCAATCGGAAGAACAAAAGGAGAGGTAGCCCACCAAGTTTAGCTGTGGAAAGATTGTGAACGATTTCCTTGATGGACTTGATGGTCCCATTCCTGGGGAGTGATTCAAGGTCAGTGCACAGTAAACAGATAGAGATGCCGGTGCCAAGTCTATACATTTTAAAATTGCCTCCGACGAAGAACTTGCGGCCCATTTTGGCGGTGGGTTGGGGTGTTTCCTCTGTGAGACAGCGCGCAACGTATTATTATTGTGCGGTACACTGGAAGAATACTGGAGAGAACAGCTTCGGACCGAAAGGGGAAAAAAAGAAAAAGAGCAATAGAGAGCTTGGAAGATTGGGAAAAGCGAAGCAAAGGCTCACAGCAGCAGTGGTTTTCTTTCTGCTGCCAGCTTCATCCTGCTTGCATGGCCCACTGCAATGTTGACCGTGGGGATGAACGAGGGGATCCAACTCCGAGGGGAAACTCTCCCGAGCACTTTATCCGTTCATCGCCTTTTCCGACTTTTCGCGAAGGTCTCAGCACGTGATAAGAGAGCGAAACTGGAAAGTTTTCCGACTTCTCTGCTGAATTTTCAGCTTTGATCAACCACCCAATCCTCTCAAGTAGAATTTCAGACGATTGAATAGTGGCCGATGACTCCCATCTCCACGTCAAAGTCCTCGTAATCCGCTGCAGCGTCCCAAAAAAAAAAAAAAAAAGAGAGAGAGAGAGAAAGAGTCGGAGGGGGAATATTACCTACCTAGTTGAAAATACAGAAGTTGAAACCCGGACGTGCTGCCAATCGACTGTTGGCACGAGCACCACAGACCAAGCGTGAAACGTGCTTCAATCCTCTCCAGGGGACATGCCGTTGACTATTCCACTCCTACGAAGCAAGATACTCGAATATTACCGACTTCTTCCGCGTTGGAAGCCTATCTCAACTGCCGACCCTGGGTCCTAATAAAACATTATCTGCTCCAATCCCCGATTCTCTCGGAACACCGACCAGGAACGTGAGAGCAACGACGTGCGTTGCTGGGTCCACAACACCTGGTTGGTCCTCAGAAATGCCAACAAGGATCCATTCGCTAATACCTGGGCTGGTCCGCGTGGCTTTGGTCCGCAATTTAGGCGAGTCGGTACCAGGATTACCGAGATGAATCTCGTGTCAATATTGTGATTATACCCCCATCGGGATTCTCCGAGGAAAGGACTTCATTTTGCTAAACCCAGCTCTTTGCAATTGGGCTTGGATCTGGAAAGTGACGTCATTTGTTTATCCGTAACTTACCAATATCTCCTTCGGAATTTTCTGGATGGGGTTCAACAGTTTGGTCGGGTGATCTACCCCGTTCCGTAGTCTAGTAGGGTCGAATCCACATTGAGAGCTGCTAATTCAACCTAGGAACTGTTCGTAGCCAGTATTTGAACCTCGCAAACAATTTCCATCTGCTAACAAGGGTACAGAGTCCTTCGTGCCTGACCAAGAAAACGCCTCTTGTAGAGATGCGCTAGGGAATGAACCAGACCATTCAACATTGGGCCTCATCTCGTTGAGGATCCGGCGAAAGCGGCATACAATTCTCCAAGCAACAACGGTGTCAGCCCCGGCGTGCAACAGTCTTTACTCCATCGGCAAGGATTCCAGAATACAATCCGAGACTTCCCTTTCAGGTGGCGTTATTGCGAGATGTTTCGCGTATCGAACAATGTTTTCCGACCAGCTCGATGTCTATGGTCACGCCACCCAACCTTGGAAAGTGGGACTTGAGGGTCTTCGATCTACAGTCACTATTATTGTCCGGAATTATTTCCCGACAATCTGGTGAAATGGTCAACCTATATATTTCTCAGCCTTGTTGGCCTACTGTTCGTCGCTGGCTGGGCTTCTACCCTCGATTTGTTTTTGTTGTGTTGCAATTTAATGAGGCATACTGGGGCTGCTGGACAAATTTTCCTTTGAGCGATTCCTCCTTGAAACGAGATATCTTCGGATAGCGCATTGACACTATGGCGGAGCTGCCAAAGGGAATGGAACATGTCGACCGGAGAGAACTCTACATTTCGCTACCTGCTAGAATTCTCTACCTGCAGCAATTCCTCGAGTTCGGAGCAGGTAACGCACTCCGTGTTCGTTCATTGTCACTGCTCCAACAAGACCAGCAAGGGCTCATCTTACATCATCTTTGCTAACTTTCCCCCTCTCCAGACGATGTTGTCGCTTTGATTGATGGACAGAAATACATCAAGGCCATTATCCCGGCCGTTGTCAACCTGGTATATAAAAAGCTTCTCAAGCATGACATTACGGCGCGTGTCTTCAGCACGAGAGATAGTCGCCGCGAGGAGAATCCTGAATATTGGGTCAAAGAGGAAGATGCTCAGATCCGGCACAGAAAAATGTTCTTGAGATGGTACCTGACAAAACTCAACTCTGATCCAAGTAAGATGGAGTATTGGCAGTACCTGGACAAAGTCGGGTAAGCACAAGACTAATCAGGGTAAATGTGGCAAAAGAACATAGCAAGACGCTGATGGATCATAGGTTGATGCATGTCGGAAAAGGGCGCCAGAATCCCCTTCATGTCGACTATGTCTTTCTCGGTGCTTGTCTTGGTTATATCCAAGACTTGATGACGGAAGCAATACTTTCACATCCGCGACTGGATCTTACGCGCAAGATTGCAATTGTCAAGGCCATTGGGAAGGTTATTTGGATCCAGAATGATCTTATGGCAAAATGGCATGTTGAGGATGGCAAAGAATTTCTGGATTCCACCGTGGATGAGGAATTGCAAGCGGAAGCACGCGAACCAGAAGGATACGTTCATGGAAAGAGGGTTCTCGGTAACGGAAGTGATGATGAAAGCTCAACTGGAGGTAGAACGTCGTCAATTTCTTCCGGCAAGAGTACCACGAGTCTCGGGCGGACAAGGGAGGAGGTTGACCGTGGTAACGAGGCAAGTAGATGCCCGTTCAGTGGTATGGTCAATGGTGGAGACGATATGGAGAAGCAGCGGGCTACAGCATGGCGACCGAGAAGAAGAGAGCCTGAAAGTCCTCCTCCACCCTCAGGATTACCACGGTTGCACTTGGTTGATGGGAAAACGGTTTGCAAAGAGAAACTTGAGCCAAATCCGTTTGAATAGAGGGGATCATTGCAGTTCGAAAAATGATAATGTAGTTATTTGCGAATGCTCCGCAGTAGTAGCCAAAAACTTCACCCTAGTTTTGCCCACACTACAAACATGCTCGGGGCAAGCGCATTAGGCAAACGAGGTTCTGAGTGGCACAACCACGTCTTACAAATTTTTTACTACCCTTTCTCGACAATTCTAGTCCCCACAACAGAACAGCTTGTTCTTCCGAGTCTCTATCTTTCGTTTTGGCCCCCAGTCCCAGGCCCAAGCGGCGATGGCTGGCAAACACTCGGAAAACTCTGAAGGTGCACCTGCGAAGCGCCAAAAGACCTCTGGGGAAATGAATCCAAAGGACAACCCTTACCTCTCTCACTGGTACGACAATGAGACTAACGGCTATGGAAATGTTTATTCCACGCCTCCAAAATCCACGGTTAGCCCTCTCTCGAAACTACGGCGTCATAAGACAACGGCCGCCCTGGCTCGAGCCGCCGAAGATGGGAAGGTCAATCCATTCACAGGGCGACCTCATTCCGAGCGATATTTCTCTATTCTGCGTACCCGAAGAGATCTTCCCGTACATGCTCAACGAGATGAATTCTTGCAGTTGTACCAGAAATCGCAAATTCTTGTCTTTGTTGGTGAGACCGGCTCTGGGAAAACGACACAGATACCCCAGTTCGTCTTGTATGACGATCTGCCGCAGCAAGAACGAAAACTAGTTGCCTGTACGCAACCTCGACGAGTGGCTGCGATGTCGGTGGCAGAACGTGTGGCTCAAGAGATGGACGTCGAACTTGGTGATGAGGTTGGTTACAGCATAAGATTTGAGGACATGACAAGCCAGAAGACCATCCTCAAATACATGACGGACGGTATGCTTCTCAGAGAGGCCATGAACGACCATGACCTCAAGAGATACAGTACCATTATTCTTGACGAAGCCCACGAACGTACACTGGCCACTGATGTATTGATGGGTCTTTTGAAAGAGGTCGTGTTACGTAGACCAGATCTCAAACTGATCATCATGTCGGCCACCTTGGATGCTCAGAAATTCCAGCGATACTTCAATGACGCACCATTACTCGCTGTACCCGGCCGGACACATCCAGTCGAGATTTTCTACACTCCTGAGCCCGAGCGGGACTATGTCGAAGCTGCTATCCGAACTGTACTGCAAATTCATGCCACAGAAGCCGAGGGAGATATACTACTGTTTTTGACGGGAGAAGAAGAGATTGAGGACACGTGCCGCAAAATCTCTTTGGAGGCGGACGAAATGATCCGTGAGGCCGATGCTGGCCCGATGAAGGTCTATCCTCTCTATGGCACATTACCCCCGGCACAACAACAGAAGATCTTCGAGCCGGCTCCTCCGCCTCGACGACCTGGAGGCAGAGCAGGACGGAAATGCATTGTCGCCACCAATATCGCGGAGACGTCTTTGACAATTGACGGAATCGTCTATGTCGTGGACCCCGGGTTTTCCAAACAAAAAGTGTATAATCCCCGCATTCGGGTCGAGTCTCTACTGGTGTCACCGATCTCAAAGGCATCGGCTCAGCAGAGAGCTGGCCGTGCGGGGCGTACTCGACCAGGGAAATGTTTCAGATTATATACCGAGGGCGCGTTCAAGAAAGAACTCATCGACCAGACTTATCCGGAAGTCTTGAGATCCAACCTATCATCTACAGTCCTCGAGTTGAAAAAGCTGGGCATCGATGACCTCGTCCATTTTGACTTGATGGACCCTCCTGCTCCGGAAACTTTGATGCGGGCTTTGGAGGAACTGAACTATCTTGCTTGCCTAGACGATGATGGCAATTTGACGACCATGGGCAGACTCGCGTCCGAGTTTCCTCTAGACCCGGCGCTAGCGGTCATGCTGATTTCCTCACCCGAATTCTACTGTTCGAATGAGATCTTAAGTTTGACGGCTTTGCTGTCGGTGCCCCAAATCTTTGTGCGGCCTGCATCAGCTCGAAAACGAGCCGATGAAATGAAGAACTTGTTTGCTCACCCCGATGGCGATCATTTGACCCTGCTGAATGTGTACCATGCATTCAAAGGGCCTGAAGCACAAGCCAACCCCAGACAATGGTGTCATGATCATTTTCTCAGTCTTCGAGCTCTCCAATCAGCGGACAACGTACGCTTGCAGCTCAAACGTATCATGGAGCGCGAAGAATTGGAATTGATGTCGACTCCTTTCGAGGACAAGAAATACTACGAGAACATTCGACGGGCCTTAGTGTCAGGATTCTTCATGCAAGTGGCCAAAAAGGAGGCCAATGGTAAGACTTATACGACCGTGAAAGACAATCAAACGGTACTTTTGCATCCCAGCACGGTCCTTGGTCAGGAGAGTGAATGGGTCATCTACAACGAATTCGTGCTTACTAGCAAGAACTATATTCGAACAGTCACAGCTGTTAGAGGCGAATGGTTACTCGACATTGCACCGGGATATTACGACATCGACAGCTTTCCCAAAGGCGAGGTCAAGACGGCGCTTCAGCGAATTGCTGAGAGGGTGGCTAGGCGACAAAAGATGAAAGCAGGGAGATAGCAAGCGCCGACTTTGAGAGATTCTCCATTTCCGTGAACCATCTGGGTGGTCAGGGCCTAGACATAAGATCATCGGCTGTTCTTGCACGATAAGTCCAGAAGCCTGGAACAAGATATAAATCCAGTGGAGCCCGGGGGATTTTCAAGGGGCGAAGGGGTTGACTGACTCGGGCAGCAAACTGGCTCATTGCGGCGTATGTGAGTATATCTCACATCATCCTGAGCGCCCTAGAACCTCTTATTACGGCAAGCAATAGATCTTGAAGAGGCTACTGATGACCGCATTGAGGAAAATTGTGCCTTTTGTAGGAGTGTCAGTGGAGGCTGAAGGCGAGCGTACGGTGGAGAGAACACACTGTAACCTTCGCAAGTACATGCTTTAGCTAGATAGAGGAGATAGAGACATACATAGATCATGTACCGGCGCACGCCAAGGCCGGAGCTAGCCGCCGGCCGAGAAATAATGGCGGGCTACAACCCAGGGAGAATAGAATACCCCCTTTATTTTTGCTAGGGTCCACCCCAGGCCTACGGAGGAACATAGTCATAGGTCGACTGACAGTATGCGAGAAGGAATAAGCCTTCCTCAACTACTGGCATCCAGCCTCGGGCCTGCGTTGCAAACACACCGAACTGTTCGCATCTACTTCGACGTCGAGTATTGCGCCTTGATCGAGACCGCAGGTCTCAACCTTGTTGCTCAGCTTCATCAGCCCACCTCCTCCCGGAATGTCTCGCTGAATACTGAACGACCTGCCATGGCCTGTCTTTTCCATTCCGCCACACCGATCCCAGACAGGGTCTGACTACGAATGTACAACGCGTCTAATCATTTTCGGCAATGCAATCTCGGCTCTTAGGGGCAGTGTTTTGAGGCTAAAGAAAGTCTACGGCACCTCCGAAGCGTCTTTGTTGTCGACTATCTATGATAAGCCTGAATATTGCTAGCATTGTGGTGTTGGGTGCAAGTTGTAGGCGCATTGCCATAATTTCTCCATTATACACGATTTCTTGTCAAAAATGTTTGGCCCTCTTTACAGTATCGTCGTGTCGGTGTACAATCCTTTTCCTGGCACTTGATCCCTATGTCTTTATCTGTGTGACTTTGTTCCACGACTACGATAGTCAACGATTCTCGGCATCGAAAATCCCTTTCTAAAGCCAATTTCAATTTCCCTACCAAGCCAGAAAGAGAGACCTGTTCTCCCGAGTTTCCGTCATTCAACAGACTCGATTGAATCTATGGCGCACCTCCGGCGACAAGACAGCTTCAGCGACACTGATTATGTCTCATGTCCGGTCGGTGGTGAATGGGCCAGATGTGAAGATGTCAATTATCCAACGTTCATAGGATGCTGCTCCAGCAATCCGTGCTCAGGGCAGATGTGTCCGCCCGACAATCTTTATCCAATGGGCTTTGGCTCCGTTACAACTCCGGTTCCAGACTATCCTAATCACTCATGTCCATATGGTGGATTGTGGTATACGTGCGCCAACAATTCCATTCCGTTTCAGGGATGCTGTGAAAGTAATCCATGCAATGGTCAAGGATGTTCGGCGCAAGATTTACGGCCAGCGGGTCTTCATACAGTGGCCGTCGCTGGAGGCTCAACATTTACCGTTCCATCTTCCGTTGCAACATCGACTCCGACTTCTATCGCCACGACAACAGAAGCGGGTTCGACCACTACGCCTGCTCAATCGGAATCCAGCACTTCATCGTCAACTGATACGACGGCTATTGCAGGAGGTGCTGCTGCCGCCGCGGTAGTCTTGACCATCCTTGTCGGCCTTGCTCTGCATTTCTACTTACGACGAAGGAGGCTCAGACGTACGGCAAACGGTCCTCTACATCGTGAAGACGTGCCCCTAGAACACAAAGGGTGTTATCAGGATCGGCCTGGAACCAGTAAGCGTGCCGGATACAATTCTTTGTTCGAACATCTACTGACCAATCCGGCGCAGTTTTGACACCTCTCCCCTGCTATCCTGAATCATCTCCTCACGTGTCTTCCCCAGGTGTTCCGTTTTCTCCCGCACCAACGTATGCTTCAATGCCAACTCCCAGGCCTCAAGAAATGGAACCTCAAGAAATAATGGGATTGGGTTTAACTCTGGACGAGTTCCATCGCCGGACCAAGTCCAGGTCGCCCGCAAATGTTGGGGATGAACCTGTCGAACTTGCAACCCAGCGATTTGCTGCTGTTGATCCCAACCTGGAAGCCAAAAGGCCCACTTCCAGAGACCATCACGAAGCCACAAGAGACGAAATCGAGACTTCGTACCGACCCAGCAATCAGCCGCTTATGCGCAGAGACATCCAAGAGCCCATCGAGGAGACCAGCAAGGGGCCTCGACCAAGGTGGATGAGGCGAACCGAAATATTTAGTAACGGATCTAAATGAAGAGAACTCGAACGGAATGCACTTGAGCCTGATTGTGTCTTCTGAGAGGTTTGCGGAATATTGACTGCAGGAGACCTCCCGAGTCTAGGACGAAGCCTCTGAGTGAGCGACTCTGCCAAAGGTGACTGGTCAGCCACGAAAGCTGACAAGAAGATGCGCCTTGGTGGTTGCATTGCGACCGTTCCTGCGGAGAACGACCTTTTTGACTCGCGTGAAGCCACATCGATCCTGAAGCAAGGTTTTGTGAAGGCGCAGGGTAAGAGTGGCGGGGATTCGAATTCGTCAGATCTGAAACTGTGTGACTATCGAACGAGCTCGGCGCTGCTACATAAACGGAAACTTATGTACGTGTGAGGCTTGAAGGGTGGCGATATTTGGGAAGAACGGAAAAGCAGCAATTTCACTTGAACAAATAGAAACATGCTTGACAATCTTTTCACCCGTCTTAATGGGAAGATGCCTAGCTGGACTCAGTCCATGCATACTGTCTAGGGACATAGGCATGGCGTATCTCACTCAATCTCATCTACAACTCAACGCAGGTTGCAGGGAAATTTCACGCCGAATTTGGCGGTCAGTGCCGCCGCTTTGGGGGGGTTTCTTCCCTTGATGCCAAGATCGCCACCCTGGTCTCGGTCGTCTCCCAGGTTGACTTACCTTCCCATGCACCGCGCAACCATCTCTGAGAACCAGAAACAGTCCCCCTTTAGGGGATCCGTCCCACTCCTCGAAAGCGACGGGCGCCTTTGACTACACTACCCCGACCATGACGCCTCGAGGACCTGGAGGCGCGGTCCCTCTGGATTTCCTCACACTGCCACAGAGGGCATTGTCCGACCTTCACAAAATCGACTCGAACCGCGTCCCATCTCCCATCTCCTCTTCTGCATTCCAGCGGCTCTGCCCAACTTTGATGTCTAGACCGGACGCTGGGAGTCATCATTTTGCTTTCCATGAGGAATTCCTCCCCTGACCTTCCTATCCTACTTGTCAGTGACGGCACCACATCAATTACCACTATTGGTAGAGGAAAGGAGTTTGGGAAAGGAGGATCTTCCCGGAGGCCGTACGGCCGTACAGCCTCTCAACCAGAGGCCAGCAGCCCAATATTCAGCCGAGCATTATCGACGACATTGTCAGTAACTTGCTGAGAAAAGTTCTGTAAAAAGATCACATGCAGATTCCACGATGGGCAAATGCTTGATGGTGACAACTATTTGCGGCCTCTCGCCATCACCTGCGGCACACATCAGACATGCACCGCGCGTGGAGGCAATGCAGTCTATTCATCGAAGTTACTGCGGACTGACGATACTTTCTATAAAAATAGTTTGATGAGCAACATGTTGGGCTCCATCCTCAACTATCCTCAGCTTCAATTATCCATTGGCAATCACAGTTATTCGATGCATATTGCTTTCATTACAGAAGACGAAGTACCATACCCAACATGACCTCTTGGGCATCCAAACTGGCCGCGGGGTTGCTGGTGGTCGCCGCTATGTCGACACCTTCAGCTGGAGCGCCGCAGGCTTCATCTACCGCAGATCCTGCAATAATAACTTTACCACCGACAGCGCCGCTCAACCCTCCGCAAGATCCTCCCCCTGACCTAGCATCCTTCGACGATGTGCCCTACCCACCCTTGCCAGCAGATTGGGACACTGTAAGTCTTGCCCAAACTCTTGTCCGTCTAAATTGAATAAGCGTCTCGAGTTCCGATAAGAAGGCCTTGCTATGGGCATTCGGCTTAGGACTGTTTGCCACCCCTTGATCAAAAACCTCCGGCATCGTTTTAATCTGGACAAATTCTGACAAGACGTTCAGAATGTTACCGTCACTAACCTCCTCGGAACTCGTCTGTACGGCTGGATAGGCTGTAGTCCGGATGATAGGGAAAAGATCAGAGGTGCCTACGACGACTTTCATTTTCTCGCCGACCAGCCAGAGATCACCGCAGGTTTTATCGATGGCAAGCTCAGGACTGGCATCGATTGGACAGATCAGGCAGCTAAAGATTTTTGGGGGCCTGTGACAGGAAAGAACAGGGCTTCAGATAATGATAGGAATGCGATACAGAGTATGCTCGTCGCCCCAAAAAACCCTTGTTTCTAGCAGTACTAATATGATCTAGTACTCTTCGACAACCTCCAGCAAGTTTAGTTTATTCCTATTAGCTTTGCAAGACAGATGCCTATGCAGCCCCACTCCTTGCTGGCCTCTATACGTTAACCCTTGTCGCTCGGGATTCCCGCACTCAGTCTACAGCCCACGCCAAACACAGCACTTACATTTACCTACGAGCTCCTCTATCAAGCTCCTGTCACGACCGGTCACGGTCTACTTCTATCGCTGTCTGTTGCCACCACGTATCTGATGACAGCCCCGACAACCCTCAGGTTGGGTTTCCATTTCGATACTGGTCCATCGAGCCATGTGCCGTCGGCGCAGCGCCTCAGCGATCTCCCTCCAAGTATGTATGACGTGTCCCCGTGCTGGTCTTTGGCTTCCCCTATCATCTCTAACCGCAGATCTTGGAAAAGCCGACAATGGAGAAGGAAATGACGCACCGTCTCCACCTTTTCCACACACTCGTACCCCGGGTCGCCCACCTCGGCCAGAAAGCCTCGTAGCCTCGAGTGTCCTGTGCGTAGTTGTGCAAGCACCTGGGCTTTCCCTACGGGTCAGGGTGTCGTAGAAGCATTCGGACGTGTTTTCCCGGTAGGGCCGCATCGACCTGGGGGAGGCGTCTGCCCGTTGTCCAAGCAAGGAATCATATAGTATTGCAGCGTACCTACCTATCCAGATACACTCCTAGGTTTCCGCACTCCTCCCTGGTCTACGCTTCTACAGGCCGAGGTGGGCAAAGTCTCTCCCTGCCTAGGTGACTCCCTGTTTACTCATTAAGCATATATCGTCAGGCCTCTCTAGCTAGGACGGCATCACTACCTTCTTAGTTGAGGTCATGGCCTAAGTGCGAGTTAGGTAGCGATTCGCCCACGGCATTGAGCTTATCGCTAGGACGACACCACTTCTCTCAACCGTTTCAGTAGGCCTTAGTCCGAGTAAGGTAGCTAGCTCCTGCCTCTTTATACGCCGACATGCACCTCTGTCCTCTCGAGCCATGTAGGCAGTCTTATAGGTTCTCACCTGCCATGGCTGCCACTACATGCTACGCCCCGCGAGCCACCAACGACTCGTTTCGCGTTACCTAGCGTGGTCTCCCACATCTGAGCCAACCATGTCCTGCAAAGGGATTGTAGGAGGCTCCGAGCCAGCAAGTCCTCCTGCACTGCGATTCTCCCTCTGACCAAGCTTATGTCCCCTCTCAAGTTGTATTTCCTCACGGTGGCTTGTTCCTTTCAGTCTACCCTCCTCCTTTCCCCTCCTCCGGTTACTTGTTCTCAAAGTTTAACAGGGCCGACAGGAGGGGCGCCAGGAGGTCGAGAGCTGGCTTGTTCTCGCAGTTTAATAGACTCTCTCGCAGGCCGCCCACCACAACCCGACAGTGACATGTTCTCGAGGTTTAACAGAGCTGCTCGTCTCGTGGCAGACTTCCTAAGATGGCGTCCATCAGAGTTGATAGGGCCGCTTGTACGTACCTGTCGAGGTTCCCGCAACCTTCGCGACGCGTGGTGGCGCGTCGTCTCAGGGCACATGTAGGCTGAGGGCGTCCTGTCCCGTCAATAGGCGACACCACATCCGCAGGCTTGATAGGACCTGCTTCGGGTCCAGGTCCGAGCTGGATACTGACACTTCGGGTGGTTTTCAAATCGATTCCCTCCTTTTAGGAGTTCTGGCGCGTCGCAGTCGCGTCGTTTCCTCCTGTAGTGTTCCGGGCCCATCCTAGTTCACGCCTTCCCAGCGCCTAACACCGAGAAGGTGTGAGTCCATCGTCCCACAGGTCCCCGAGACCCGCGCCCCGCGTGCCGCAGAGGGCCTAGGTAACCAGTATTGTGGTGCTAGCTCCCAAATCTATCTTGGCGTATTTGCATTGTTTGTACCTTTTATTCGTGCCTCAGAAAGTGTTGTCACTCAGGCGTTTATGCATCTGAACCACTTTATCCAGAATATTCTGCACTCATGTGGTGACGCAATAATGCCCGACGCCATCACTGTCCTCCTCTACGCTTGCCTCTTCGTCGCCCTCCTGACTCTGCTTTGGATTGGTGAGATTCACTCAAATCGTCTGGAGACTTGAGCTGATTAGCTAGTAGCCTTCTATGATCCAATATACTTCTGGTGTATTCGAAAGCTATATCCTGACCGGGTGCCCCGGGGACGCAGCTGCTAATCCCCATCGCATGCCAATTCTAAGAAGATCACCTCGGTTGCGGGAAAGAGGAGACGAGCTCTCACACTTGACAGAGACCGAGTGAAGCGCTGGAACGCGTTGCTGTTGTTAGGATTAGGCTCAGTTACCGTAAGAAAGTGGAAAGTTTGAGTGGCCTCAAAACGCAGCTTGCTCCAGAACCGAAGGTAACTGCCTGAGCCAGCACCGATAGATACGACATGTAGATGCTGAGAGGGCGTCCCTGGCCACATGATCCACGGATTGGATCCGATGGCGGAACTATGTCGAATGTGATCAATAGAGCTTCTCTGGGTGGTCCACCGACTGGATCCGATGGCGGTGTCAATATCCTCACGTGATACTGCCAAGCCTTATCACATGAATTTTCGCTCGTCTTTAACCAATCAAAGAGCCGGATTTGGCTTCAGCCAATCAGCATCGCGGCTTTTGCAGTTAATATGAATCACGGAGTTTGGTGCCTGCATACATCCCGGTTGATTTTGTGGCTGACTTTGTTGATGCCATGGCTTCAAAGCAATAAGGCAAACTAAGAGGATATGAGAATGTAAAGCTCAAGCTTTATGTGAACGCTCATCCCCAAAGGGAGACTTAAGAAGAACAGGGGGAGGGAAATTGGAGGAGGAGAGATGAAGAAGAGAGAAGAAGAGAGCGTCCATTGGACCAATATTCATACCCTATCACCCCTGGGCGCTTAATTATAAACCTCGAAACTAGAGATAAGGAAGACTGTCAGCCATGTGCAGGCTCCAACGTCAAGTTTCTAAAGCTGAGCTGGTCTACTCGGTGACGAGCTGCTGCTCGTCCAACAGATCTGCAGAGGAATCATGTCTCCTGAGCGAATCATGGATCAACAAACTCACCTCCATCCTGCAGAGGATATCCTCACCCTAACACTGTAGCCTTTGCATTATGATTATGAATCAACGAAGACGCAGACTCTACATGCATCCTGATTTTACGACCCGGCATGACCAGCAACCCACTCCAAGGATGCCACATGATGCAAGGGGGTAGTGCTACGCACTGGACAAGATACTTAAGCAAAATACCGGGCAAACTACCAGATATTAAACTAGAGACAATGTTGCTTTGGCAGATCCCACTCTGCCAAATTCTGGAGTATGTAGGACTCGCCTCCGGTCCTCCACGACCTGCTTTCCCATTTGAAGAGCTGGTTGTAGCCGAGATTGCAAACACCTTCTTGCAACAGACTCGGCTGCCTTTGAATTCACCAACAAACTTCTCAGTGTTTGAGAAATCACAAGTTATGTGAATATATCAAGAAAGGAGATTTGGATACGCGATGAAGGTCGCCATGACCTGGAAGCAATGAAATATGAGCAAACTGTAAAGGAGAATGGATTTGACGGCCGAGGATGAGAAAGGAATTGGTGCTATACATATATAGACAGTTGGCACTGCCCAACGGCCACCTAGTTTTGACTTTCCCAGAAGGCGCAGCTCCAAGTTTTCACAACTGCCGAGTTGGCGCCCTCATCTGCAAACGACTTCTCTACTGGTGTTTCCGGGGCTCCTTGATGCACGGACGGGGCAGATCATCGCAGTGACAAAGTGGAACAGGTCATGCCGCCAAAATGTGATGAGGAGACAAGGGCTTCAGGTATCCTGAGGGTGGCATTGATAACAGCGACGGTGGTCTCAGAATGAGAGGACTGCATAGGGCTTTGGCTCGTTCTCTAGGTCCTAAGGGTTCAAGGACGATGAGAACATCCCCGAAGCACCGAGAGAGCTGCTTCCAGTTGGGGGGGTTGAGGATCTAGCAGTCTTCTTCGAAACTAATTGTCATCCTCACAAGCACACGCCCGCCCACCATTGGGACCATCATTTGCGAAGGAGTATTAGGGGTCTGCGTTCGTCTGAACGAAATTGCGTCTTGCGAAGCCGACTTCCATTTTCTCCCCGCATCTTGCCGTCATCCGGCCCCGATTTAGGGAATCATGCATACTGCATTCAGCTCAAATGAGACAGCAGCTGAAAATCCACTTGTATCATACTGACGTGCTCTTCTCACCGGATGACAACCCTTTCCCGCAAGCGCAAAGGGCCAAAATGGAGGACCCAGCCCAGCTCGACGTTGCAAATTTGAGGCGGAGCGTAGGCAGCAATGCAGGCACGTTGCCGATCAAAGTCGTGAGGAATTTTTGTAATTGGACACTCCAGATGCGGCGTTCAGCTTGCTGTGCCGGCCTATACGAAACACCAGCTGCGCTTTGTAGTCTTCTACTTTATTCTCCACCGGGTTCAAGATGTAGAATCCCGGTACCGACGATACAGCAAGAGAGCCGAATGTCAACCACGGCGACTGAGACTGTTTTTAGTGATAATCTCCCCGTCTTTCGCAAGTCTAGAACAAACACTAGAGAAAGCCCATTACGCGGATTATCCTAGCGAGTCAGTATAAGGAGGCGTAGATGACGGACGGATTAGCTGAGCCGGCAGGTTCTGCGGCTGGTAAAGCCAAATATGCCACGGACAGGTTGGAGATTCGAAAGGGATCAAAACTGGCTGCGTCGAGGGCGCAGAGGCCGTAAGGATCTGGGATCTGGGGGGTGCATTGGGAGAGGCGAGGCAGATGCAGGCGGGTGCATCAGGGCGACGAAGGGGAGATGGGGAGGGGAAGGGGGTTCTTATAGAGACGTCAAAAGCGGCAGCGAGCCCAGCCTGCGACCATACCCGAAAAGGCAGGGCCGCCTCAACTGGAGGCGGCAACGACACTGGATGGCGTCTTTTCTTCGGATTCACGTGACTATTTTTTTTTTGGAGGGGGGGTTCGCTTTTGCCTTTCTCTCTTATGGAAACGAATCAACTTTTCTGCCATCTTGACGCTGGCAGCCTTCTAAGCTGTCCTGTACCCTATGTTTACAAGCCGCCTCTCTCACACGTTGAGACTAACTGCGCCGCTATTCCCCGAATACCGTGTCATAAGAAGCTTCAGGAGTAGACGTCAAAAATATCGAATCGTTCGCGCAAAGCCAGTCTCTGAACCGCCCCTTATTTTGCCTTCGGGAGAGTACAATGCGGCGGCCGTCGCGATGCAAAAGATAGCCCGGCTCAACGAGTCTGCTTCGAAGCGACGAAGACTAGATCGTCCATCTGAGGGCACGCCTGTCGAAGTCCTCAATCATGAATCACGCACTCTCCTAATTAAACACCTGTCGAAGATAGCCGAGGACTCGAATTCGGAAACTGACGGCCTAGATCCAGAGAAACTTGAATATTCACCACCAGAGCCGTTCACAGAATTTGAGATCGAGATCGAAGAACTCTCGTCCACCGGAGATGGACTCGGGTATTCCCCAGATATGAATCACATCTATGTCGTTCCATTCTCCGTTCCCGGAGACAGAGTACTAGCCAAAACGTATCCTCGCAAAAAGGAAAGTTCTCTTTACACCATTTTGGACTTAATCAAAGTACTCAGACCATCTCTGAAGCGTGAGAGGATAACACCAGGATGCAAATACTTCGGCATCTGTTCAGGATGTCAGCTGCAGATGATGTCCTACGAAGACCAGCTCAAACACAAAAAGACCATTGTGGAAAAAGCATTCCAGTACTTTTCGGACCTCGATCCATCTCTCATCCCACCCGTAGGGGACACGATAGCATCACCACTGCAATACGAGTACAGGACGAAATTGACGCCCCATTTTGATCGCCCTCCAAAACGGGACCACAAAAACTGCAAGGACAAACCGCCGAGCATCGGCTTTAGACAGAAGAACCGCAAAAATGTCATTGACATTGAAAATTGCCTCATTGGCACACCGATATTGAACAGAGGACTCCAAGTTGAGCGCGAGAAAGTTCACGAGACGTTTCATCGTTTGGATTCCGGTGGCACCATCCTCTTGCGTGAATCAACGACACGCGAACACTTTACGTCGCGATCTAAAGACGACGTGGAAGAAATATCCCCCGAACCAGAAGCTAAAGAAACCAATCAACGTCAACCGGAAGCAGATGACACCCTCCCAGTCAAGCCTTCTTCAAGTATCAGTTTCGGTATTGGCCAACCGACCAACTCACTCACCCTCCCCATCCCGAGCTCAATCTTCACAGAACACCGGACGAGAAATCTCAACACTCCCGAAATCGTGTACACTTACCCCACATACCGAGATATCAAGACCTATGTTAGTGACCAAAAAAACGGCTGGTCGACCGAATATGTCGAGGAGTTCAAGTTCGAATCTCACGCCAACAGCTTTTTCCAGAACAACAACTCCATCCTCCCAGCCTTCATCAAATATGTGCGAGACAACATCGTGCCTCGGGTCCCTCAGACAAAGATTTCTGGTGGCGATAAATCTGCGCCTGCGCCCCGACTCAAGTACCTCCTCGACGCATACTGCGGCAGCGGCCTATTCGCCGTGAGTCTGTCTAAGATGTTCACGTCCGTCCTAGGAATCGACGTCGACAAGTACGGCGTGGATGCAGCACGCGCCAATGCCGTGCACAACGGCATCACGAACGCAGGTTTCATCACCGCCACCGCCGAGTTTCTATTTGAAGACGTGCCATTCCCGCCCGCCCAGAGCTTGGTCGTCATGGACCCGCCGCGTAAAGGCGCTAGCATTGACTTCCTAAAGCAATTGTGCGAATTTGGGCCCGCGCGCGTCGTCTATGTCTCCTGTAACGTGCACACACAGGCTCGGGACGTGGGGATCTTGGTCCGTGGCTTCGGGGGCCAGTGGCGCTACGAGATCGACAGTCTTCGTGGTGCGGATTTTTTCCCTCAGACGGGACATGTTGAGGGGGTGTGTTTCTTGAGTCGTGTCGAGAATAAACCTGCCTCTGAGGAAGACAAGCCGACCGAAGAAGATCAAAAGACTTACAAAAGCCCAAAAATCAACGAAGGCCGTGGAACATGAATAAGCTGGGTTGGAGACGGAAAGCCAAAAATGGTAGGGGACATTCTGCATATGCCTGCCCTCGCCTTCTATGCGTTCATCAGTGTATTAAAAGACCAAAGACAGCTTTCTAGAGCGGTATAAATTGGGAATTGGAAATCCATTTAATATTTTTTTTCACCTCACACCTCAACCTTATCATTCTCTTTCATCAGCTACGTGAATGGCCATCACTAGGTACTTCCCGGTCCACCTAGCAGAGCGAATCTTCTGACAATGCTGGGACCTATCTCATCATACTCGGCTTTTGTGTGACAGTAGCTTCTGAACTCGGGAGTTTGGCCTAGCAGACTACCACCGAACCAAGGGCCATGTCTTTGTCGCTTGTGAGTGACGACTTGCACGTCTAGGCCGCCGCTCTTGGCTCCTCCGCTTCGGGCCTCAGAGGCGCGAATGCGTGCATCCACCAAATGTCGAATGTCGCGTTGTAATCGGCGGCCAAAGTCCTTGTACAACGTAGATCCGCCGGAGAGAACGATGTTCTTGTACAAACCTCTGCGCACGTCGATGGGGGAGGATTGAATAACTCCATCGACCACGGTTGGTAGGGGTATGAGGAAGTCGGAAGAGTAGATTTCTGGGTTGAAGAAGATTTCGGGGGCAAGGAACCTTTCGTAGCCGACGTCAATGGTGACGGATCTTCCATTGGGAGAAGTGACGGTGTGTTTCAGGAATCGATCGGGTTCTTTGTCGTATCGGGCGAATTCTTTGACAATGTCAGGGCAGACGTAGCAATATTCTTCTTTGACTTTCTCCGCCGTCTTCAAACTGCTATCTGCCTCCCCTCGGTCTCGTAGTAAGCTTTGAACGAAGTATGTGATGTCCCGCCCAGCTATCGGAATGCTCTTGATTGAAGACCCAATGACGTATCCTTCTGCCACGGGTATGATGTGAGTGACACCATCGCCAGAATCGATGACGGTTCCGGTGAGGGATCGATCGGTGACTTTTGAAGAGGTCCAAGAGGCAGCCAAAGCCAGGACGGCTTGAACGGCAATGTAAAGACCAGCACAGTTGAATGACTCGAACATAATTTCAGCAGTGTTCTCGCGGTTTTCAGGAGGGTTCAGAGGCTTTTTTAAACTGTCAGCATGGAGGACATCTATGAATATCCGTGGAATACCCACTGGTTCGGTGAGGAGGAAATAATGATCTTCCGGCTCAACTCTCAGATACTTGAATATGGAGTTCGACCAGAAGCGTTCCATATAATCCCAGTTTTCGATCTGGCCATGCCGTATGGGATAGTTTATGCTATACCCCGGACCACTCGCTGCAGCAAGGGCTTCGTCTCCAATGAAAAAGTCAAGATCTTCTGTTCCACGTTTGGCTGCGAGATTTGAGCTGGGGCCTGCGCCACCGGTAAGATACGATGGCTTGTTTGCCACAGCTGGTCTTCCTGAGCCTGATCCTGTTGCTCCACTTCCAGCACCTTTCATCGCAATGGCGGTGGGAAAGACGAAAGAAGGGGAATCATTTCCGGCGAACCCTAAGAACCGGCCGGGTCAGAATCGGGGTTCGAATGAGAAATAGTGAACGCACCAAGTTTTGAGAAACCGGTTCCGCTGGAAAGATTATTAGCAGTGACCTCATGGCAGCAGAGCGAAGTGCGTACTTGTCCATGACAACGGCTGGAGTTTGGGAGGCCATTTCGAGGACCCGAGTGTGGAACGACCTGGGAAGCAACCGTTCGAGGTGGGGTGAATAGGTCGCTCTAAAAAATTCCGAAACCTGTCTGAATCTTCATCGCCTGTGGAAATATGAAAGTGATAACAGAATCAGAGAAGCCCAACACCAATATTCCCCAATGCCGTGGACAGGCAGCCTCGAATTGCAGGATGTTTGGACGACAGTGAGACGCAACGCATCGAGTGGGCGGAGCATAGACGTTGTTCGCACGTGACCAGCATTACCGATATCACGTGATAAAGAGATTGGGGGCGATACTTGGCATTGGTTTGCGCTGCGACTTTTCTCTGCTCTATTTGAAGAGCAAAGCAATCAAATGAAAGTCTAGGGTGTGAAAATGGGCATCGCGGCCAACTGTCCGCAGCCTGGGATTCAGAAAGATGCCAAGATTGCTCAAACCTGACCCGGCCGCTGACTTATCTCTAACCTGGGGAGAGTTGGCTGCTATTATCCTTCACCTTCATCATCTTCTCAGGCTTGCGGTCACCAGGTCGATCCATCCCTTCTTCTGTACTCTCTTGCTTCGGGCACCCTTACAATCACACTTTTATAAGCAGTAGGCTTAACCCCCCTCGTTCGTCCCGTCAAACATTTTGACATCTCATCTTGACCATTTCCCTTCGAGTCCGACTCTCTTCTGTTTGTGGAAGCGGATCACTTGATTCAACTTCATTCGACCAAACTCCCCATGCCTCTGTGATCGAAGCTCTCCCTCGCACAACCATTTTGTGGATTCTCCTTTCTGACTGTTTGTCATTTGGAGATCCCTGTTTTAAGTTGTCTTGGTGGAAGCCGATTGTCGAAGAAAACAAGATCCCAGTCACTGAGATATCAATCACTCTCCAACCAGAGTTCATGTCTTGGCTAACTGTCATCGTCAAATGCCGCGTCAATTACACGAAGGCGGTGACCTTTGTGCCATATTCATTCATGCCGGAGCAGGGTATCACAGTCATCAAAACGAGAGAATTCATCTCACTGCCGTCAATGATGCTGCCAAGGTCGCCATGGCGGTCCTGAAAAATGGAGGAGAAGCCACTGACGCCGTTGAAATGGCAATTAGATTACTCGAGGACAAGGAGATTACCAATGCCGGGTATGGAAGTAACTTGACGATGGATGGACACGTCGAGTGTGATGCTACCATGGTCGATCACTTTGGCCGCAGTGGTGCTGTTGGTGCTATATCCCAAGTCAAAAATCCCATTGCAGTTGCTCGACTTGTCCTTGACGAATCAACCAAACCCTTATCTCTGCAAAGGGTGCCACCCAATCTCCTTGTTGGTGCCGGTGCAACAGACTATGCTGCCGACAAAGGTATCCCCATCCTACCTCCAGATTTTCTTGTTTCAATGAATGCTCGTGAGCGTTGGATAAGATGGAAGCAAGATCTGGAGGATGCTAAAGAAAAACAGGCGCAGACACCGGCCAAAACACGAACTCCAGCTCCGGCGGAACTAGAAGACACTTCCATGGGCTCTGGACCAGGGTTCAGTCTCATAACTCCCTCCACTTCCGCTTCGACCATGGAAACACGCCTGATGTTATCAAAATCACCTACGGTGCGCCCGTTCCGCGCCTCAGCCGCGGATGTTCCCACTTTGGGGGATGAGAAGATCACAAAACTCCCGTCACGTCCTCCCACATGTTCCCTCTCTGGAATACCACAGGAAGTGATGGTCGAAAATTATTTACATGATCGGCCCGAGACAGCCACTGATGACAATTGGCAGTGGGCGATGTCCCCTCCCAAACGGCAAAAATTGAACGGATCTTTCGATGGAATGCCCGTGAGTGATGATGTGTCCGAATCTGATCCCGCATCGCTGTTGGGCGCACAGCTAGAATGTGCTGACGAAGACGACATGGAAGATGGAATTACGGACACTGTGGGAGCGATCGCAGTGGATTGCTTTGGTCGGATAGCTGCCGGCTCGTCTTCCGGCGGAATTGGAATGAAACACAAAGGCCGGTGTGGACCAGCCGCTCTTGTAGGAATTGGGACCGCGGTGATCCCGATTGATCCCGAAGATCCAACACAAACTTGTGTAGCCACTCTGACCAGTGGGACAGGAGAACACATGGCCACCACAACAGCGGCAGCCACTGCGGCCGACCGGATCTACAATTCGGTCCGGAAAGAAAATGGGCGACTCATGGCGTGTAACGAAGATGAAGCAATGCACTCGGTCATCAAACATGATTTCATGAGGCATCCTGGAGTCAGTAACAGCCACTGTGCTGGGGCGATTGGGATATTGGCGGTGAAAAAGACACGAGACGGGATTTACTTTTATTTTGGGCATAACACGGATTCATTTGCACTGGGATCGATGCACTCGGAAGAGCGAAAACCGGTTTGTACCATGTCTCGGAGCAAAGGTCGAGGGACCATTGCACAAGGGGGACGAGTCTCTCGGTCCAGATATGGGCGTTTCCGTTGACCATATGAATTTGGTCGTCTCGGAGGGAAATTGAGATTGGTCCGATTCGATATGCTGCCTCCTGCCATATTGAACATGAATACACTTGATGATTCACCAAGGCGTTCGGTTCAAGCGACATGAATTTTCGGAGTTCAGAGAGTCTGGCGAGCCGAGCAATGGCTATTGACGACTTGCAATGGAGCATTGGAAAATGGACGGGATAGAAAATGGGGACTGAGTAGAACGTGAAAGGTGTTCCTAGACGAATGAAAGAAGAGCCGACGAGGGCTGGCGGGGAGTATTCATGGCGGTTACTCAGAATCTCGAGCTATCTTATGCTGTGTCTTGTTGCCTTGGAAGAGCACCCGGACCGAGGCCGCAAGCATTTCTATCCACGACGTTGAGAATGGTCCTGTCAAATGGTGACAATTAGCTCTTGTAGCTGATGCGGCGGCAATGCGAGACAGGCTAGTTCAGTTCTTCTCACCTCCCAGCCTGCCTCTTCCTCGTCTTTCCGGGGACCACAACAGGTCTCGCTCCGTACCGCCCGACGGTCAAATGCGTACCACAAGTCAAACAGTCCCCGTTGTCCGGTACAGAACAGAAAATGCTCAGGCAGATACTGCAGACAAAGCCCGTGGACACGACGTTACGATGGCAGAAGCATGCGGCCCGGAAATCCACGTCGATCCGCGTGGGGAGGATCAGGTGTGCACGGCGTGTGGAGATCGGCGGTAGCAGGGACGAAAGGAGGTAGGTCAGCAGTGCTTGTGAGGCAGAGGCTGGCGATCCGGGCGAGGGGAGCTGAGCTAGAATGAAGATGCCGTGAGTGGCGTCGGCGGCTTGTTGGAGGAAGACGGTGGAGTTGGATGAGAGTGCCGAAGACGAGGCGGAGGCAGAACCGGTAGCTACCAAGGTGGGTTGCGGTAGAGGGAGCTGGAGTACGTCAATGGGGATCGCGAGGCGCTGGCACGCAAATATTGCGTTCATGATCGGGATGTACTGGTGCGCCAGGTCTGTGGAGGGCGAGGCGGAGACCAGCAAAATTCGTGACTGGAGGGAATTTATGCTCCCTTCGGCCCTGGTCGTGGATATGGTGTTAGGGTCCCCAGGGCCAGTTGCGCCGGCGGCTCCAATTGCGGTTTCTGCGTACGCCATTGACTCACGGTTAATGTAGCTCAGGGCTAAGGTCAGGGCGCCGGCGATCATGGTCGAGGTGCTGGATGAGACGGCTTCGGGCGTCGTGGCTGAGAGCAGAGCGGTGAGGTTGCGGAGGAGTTCTTCCTCGACGAGCCGGAAGGGTCGGTATTTGTTGCCGGTATCCGTCGACGAGGGTGATGTTGACGATGAAGATGGGGGTTGAAGATTGAGGGTCGTAGAGTGGTCAAGTTTCAGCCGTTTGGCGGATTCAGATAGATCTTGAGATTGTCTGGGTGGGCGTTTTGAGCGTTCGGAGGCAGAGGAGGGGGGCCGTTGTTCGGTCGGGGTTGGGTACAGCCAACGTGCCTTGTCACAGTGGGAAGAGATTACCGCGACTTTATTCGTATAGTTGGCGGCGAGATGAGCATTGATGAAGACGAGGAGGTTGGCGACAGCGTTGGAGAGCGTGAGGGTTGGAGAGAGTAAGGACCACGATGCTGGATTTGTGTCTAGGATGATAGTGAGGAGCGAGGGACTTTGGTCTGTTGATGAAGCAGACGGCGGGCATGTCAGTTACGCAGCCTGGCGTAGTTGTGATAAAGCCTTGTACTGGGTGGGACGTGATTGGATAGAGAAAAATACAAATTGGGCGTTGCTCGGGGTCGCGCCAGCGAGGGGCCGGACAGAGACTGAAATGCTTGTTACTTGCCTTGGGAAGGTTTGTCAAAGCGGTCGGATCCATCGACGACATTCATGATGGACGCGAGATCAGCTTTCAGAGTTCAGTAGATGTTGAGGTTGGAATGAAAGAGAGTTTGCAATTGCAGGCTCCCAAATAATTCGGGCCTAATTTTGCAGCCAACTGGGAGAGTATAAGACAGCACAACACCAGCCTCATCCGAAGTTTAGACTTTTGGTTTAATTAACCAGCTATCCACTGCCCGGAGATAGCTGCCTACTGTAACTGAAGTGAAGGCGACTTGCTGTCAGGTGGTGCGTTGGGCGTGTCACAGTGAGTCCAATGAGGCTCAGCATGACAACACAACAAACCCCTCTTTCTACCCATCCAGCGCCCAATTGTGCAGATTCGATGGATGCAAAAAAGGAGATTAGAGAGGTCATACCGTACAGCTCCAAATTTGATCATTAATTAGAGAAACAGGATGTTAAATGCGTTGTACATTTCGGTCTTTCTAACTCGGGTTTGTCACATGCAAAATTTATCCCTTTCCTCCTTCTCTTTCTTTCTTTTTTTTTTTTTTTTTTCCTTCCAGTGGATTTGAATTTTGCATCCCACGTGCTACCTGACTTGGTTTCCTCTCCAAAAGAAGGAATTCCCACGCTCTTTTTTCCGCTATATCCTATTCTGCAATCCGATCGTTTTATTCCTCTGCTGTCACTCCAATCTCATCCTTGGTTCTCAGTTGTCGTGCTTCGCCTTTCGCCTGTTGCCATTTCGACATCCCAGCTCCTCGGCCTTCAAAGATAAACAAAACCCTCCGACTTATCCATCACCTCATCAGCTGACGACGTCCTTGACCTTCCTCTATCAAACTTTTGCTCCTCCACGCCCTTCCTCGTCTTGTTGGACTACAAAAGCTTTCCTCCTTCCGCGTCTTCTTCAGTTTCGTCATCCACCTACCGGCTTTACGTCTGCCCTCCTCCATATCAGACATGATGTCTTCCACTTCATAATCTCACGTCACCTTGTGGCGACTGGCTTCTTCGACCTCCTTCAGTCCTCCTTTCTCCTTCACCACCACCACCTACGACCATCTTGTCCCCGCTAGGCCTCGACGGACCCGGACCTGCTTCAATGTCCACCATGGCGGCCGTGCAACGGATGAACCGTAAATTATCCGAAGAACGGGCCTCCAACCTTGCAAAAGAGGCCGCTGAGTTGTCTCAAGCCGGCGACAAAGTCGTATGTGTCTTCGACTTATACCTGTGTTGCAGTAACTGATTCCCTTTTCCAGCAAGCATCGAGAAAATTGAGGGAGGCCGCTGCTCTTGGGCATGACAATCCAGATGTTCAGGCCGCCTTTTTGGCCATTCACAACGACCAGCTGAATTCACCACTTCTAGATTTATGCCGGAGGTATGCTCTCTACCACAACAGTCCCGCCGGAGATGAAGCCGTCAATTACTTGAAGAGTTCGGAAGCTCCCAATGCTGCTCCTGTCGCTCTGGATTGTCTTCAAGTTCTCCTTGAGAGCCAACAATCAACCATGTCTGATGCCCAAGATTTTATCATCGCCGAACTGGCCCGACAGAGCCCCGCGGTTCGTCAGTATTTTGCCTCTGAACTCCAAGCATCAACCACCGAGTTCTTTGACAACGTCTACGAGCGAGGTGATGATGCCGCAAACTGCCTTCGATCCGTCGTTCTTGACGACAAGTTATGGTCCTCTGAAGATATCAGACTGCGCGTTGAAGATGACTTGTTTCAGCTCTTCCTCGCCAAACTGATGGAAACCGGACACGATCATGATGGCAGAGCTCTGAAAGGCATTGCTCTTCTCCTCATAGCAGACACTCAACGACTCCACACCTTCATCGACGAGGAAGCATTTGAGGCTCTCATGGGCTCGCTGGACTTGAGATTACCCCCTGATGTGCGAGGCCAAGCCACCCTGGTCCTCTCTAAATTTTTCGAAGCCGCCGAAACCACGGGCCAAGAATTTCTCTACCAGTACATCACCAAACACGTCGAACGCCGAAAAGGCGACGATCTCGTCCTGGCCTTTTCCGCTGCTGCAAGCCTATTCCCTGTTCTCCCCAACATGCTCGCCCAGCTATTCTTGACCGACGGCTTCCTCTCCTCCATCATGCCTCTTCTAGGGAGACAATTCAGCAGTCCCCTTGTTCACGATGCTTTTCTCAATCTTCTCAATGCCGCCTGCATTGACGGGGCTTGTCGGACGGCGATTGCACAATACTGTGCTACTTGGCTATCTCACAAAGTCAGCAATGGGGCCGGAAAACAACCATCGGTGGCGGCAACCGTCTTGGCCAAGCTGAGGACCTCAGGTGTCAAGGCCGGAGATCAGAGAGCCAACAAGGCGGATGATGATGTTAGTGAACTCGTTCATCTTTTTAAAACTACCCTCACCGTTGAAGAAGGAAAAACCATATCTGACTCCATTGAAGGCCTTGCGTACACATCTTTGAAGCCTGAGGTCAAGGAATCACTGGCCAAAGATCCAGCTTTTCTCAAATTGCTTCTCGAAGCCCTCGACACAAATCATGATTCTCCCGAGGTCGTGGTGGGCGGATTAAGTATCATCTCCAACTTGACTCAGTATGCTCCGAACCTCTCAGAAGAACAGAAAAAGATGTCTCAATTAAAGGCGTATGCCAATGCCACGAAACCCGCCGACCCAAGTCCTTTAGAAAACGATGACCACGTCCGAGCCCGTTGTTCGGCGGTTGTCGAGGCAGGAATCGTGGCAACATTGACCAAATTGAACAAGGGCAGATCTCTGGCTACAGCACAGCTAACTGATCGGATACTGTTGTCTCTTTCCAAGAACCCCAAAGACAGAGGCAAGATTGCTCAACAAGGAGCCGTCAAACTTTTGGTTTCTCATGCTCAGAGGTCGTTGCAGTCGTCTGAAGAAAATTCGCAACCCAGCACCGACGCAGCTCACGCACTGGCCAGAATTTTGATTTCACTCAACCCAGCACACGTCTTTTCAGCCGGATCGACACCGCATATTACAGATGCAGTACCCCCTCTTCTCGCGCTACTAAAGGCTCCGCACATGGGAGGACCCAATGATCAGCCACGCGACCTCCTTCCGGTCTTTGAGAGTTTACTTGCTCTGACCAATCTAGCCTCTACTCCTGATGCGGCTGTAGCAAACGGCATTATCAAGACAGCCTGGGACGATGTTGAGGAGCTGTTATTGGGACACAACAACATGCTCCGACGGGCTGCTTGCGAATTGATCTGCAACCTGACCGTGACTCCCGCCGGAGCAGAAAAATTCGCGGACGGTTCGAAACGTGCAGGCCAGAGGCTTCATATTCTTGTTGCCATGGCTGATGTTGAAGATCTACCCACAAGGCGCGCTGCTGGTGGTGCATTAGCCATGTTGACAGAGCAATACTCGTCGGTGGTTTCAGCCATCCTTGAGCTCAATCGTGCACTCGAGATCCTCCTAGAACTTTGTCAAGATAATGATTCTGGCGTTGTTCATAGAGGCCTAGTGGTTGTCAGAAATATGTTGTGTGAAGAAGACGCCAACCTCGCCAGCAGGGCGAGAGAGGCATTGAAACGGAACGATGGGGTGGAGAAATTAAAGACGGCGCTGAAAAAGACTAAAGATCCGGCTTTGTTGCAGATTGGGGTCGAGGCGTTGAAAGTCATGGTCGACGCAGAAAAGAGATAGAAGGAGAACAGGTTTTATGATTAGACGCTCGTCAGGATCGAGCTACGACCGCTCTCACGTTACGAATTCACGAATTACCTACACATTACGGAAGTCCATTGTCCGACTTTACGGCCTAGGATTATGGACGGGTCGGTACTATATACACTACACGTTGTACTATGTGAAGAAACAGCCTCAGCTGCGATGCTTTACTTTGATTTCAGGCATTTGTCATGTCGGTTTAGACACAGAATGTCAGGTTCAGACTGTGGGCTGAGCAACTCTTTTTTCATCCATTCATTAGAGGAGGATGTCCACGCTATACATTGTTCCGGCGTTTCTGAGGCCCAATCTCGAAGGTTTTGTCTTACTCAGTTCAGGTGTGGAGGTAATGCCATATGGCATGATTTAGCTAGTTTCTCAGGCTTCAAAGCTGCTTGTGCGGCACTGTCTTGTACTGACCTATTCTGCTTGACTATCCGAGTATTCAATACATATATGGCTTTGAGGTCACCGATTCTACATACATTGACGCTAACAATAACAATGAACCGGAACGAAGAATGTCGACAAGACTACAGTACTCTCCTAGCGGTTTTTCCAGTACAAGCCATTTCATAGATCATTTTTCTGGCCACGTATTTATATTTACATTCATCAAGGACGTCCGAGCATGCATACACATGATGTGGACACACTTCTATTCCTGACCTGCCCGAAGGTGCGGAGACATTTCGGATACAATATGATGATTTGACTAGCCATACCACTGCAGAAGCCAGAGCCAATTCAGCCCAATTGACTGCCGGCAAATACGTGTCAACGCAAGGCCCCCGGCGTCTGCTCACTTTTTATTCTCCGCCATTTCTGCCTTTTGCCGCCGAAAGCCACATCGTCTTGGAAGTCCCGATAGATCTTTTTGATCTGTAGGACGGGCTCCTCCTTGACGCCGGGCCCTGGAGCTGGAATTTCTGAACTCAAGTTCGATTTCACTTTCGAAGTGTCGGGTCGGGAATGGACACGGCGCTGTTGGGTGATTTCACTTCTAGTCGTAGAGGGAATGGATGCTGGCATTGGTGGCGCGGACCTTTCCGATGCGAGTGATTGTAAAGGGGAAGGTTCTTCGGCGCGGGAGTTGGAGGATATTGCCGCCGTTGTTGTGTATGATTCCGTATCTGGTTTCATCGGAGCAGATTCTGTTTGTGTTGGTGTTTGAGCTTTCATGTCAAGATCTTTCCACATTACCGACTCCATCGCCGCAATTTCTTTGGGCTGGTCCATCAGGCGCTTAGCTATGGCTTTCAAATCCGAGATGCCCTGCTGAAGTGTAGCCTGCTCTTTTATGTAAGCCTGATTCAGACTCTGTAATCTTTCCAGTGCAAGTTTCGACTCTTTCAACTCCTCTTGCAATGTGGCCGTCACTTTCTGCCATCGCTCCTCCCTCGCAATCCTCTCCTGTGCTTCTTGCTGGGAGGCATGGTGTCGCTCAAGAGCAACACTCAATCTCGCCTTGAGTTGTGAGATTTGGGCATCTTGCACAGCAAAACGATCTTGCATCTTGGAGACGTCCCGGAGAAGAACTGCGGCAGATTCGTCCGGTGAGGCTTCCTTTTTCAATTGGCGCCGCACTGAATACCGTATACCATCAGATCTTCGGGGCATAAGCACCAATTCATCGTCCCTCTCTTGCGATTGCTCTTTCTGGTTCTCAGGTGATGAACCGTAGAAATGTTCGATGAGAGGTTTACAACTTTCTTGGAAAGCTCTTACCTTTTCCTCAACGGATAAAGACACGGCATTCTCCGGTACAGGCATTGAGTCCCATTCAAGAAGAATGCTGCGAAGACGAGGGCGAATTGATCTGCGGTCGTTGGGGTTCCGATGATTGGTGGGAGTTACAATGCCCGCATTGACTGCTGCGTCTAGAATCATGGTGTATTCAGGGAGTTTGCGACAACCCACACATAAGTCCAGCATGCGGAGAATCACTCGGGCAAAACCATCAAGTGTGACAGAAGCAATTGACGATGCGTGTTGCACCGATCGTCGGAGCCAGAGCTTCCCTTTCTCCCAATTTCCGTGAACGGTGTAGTAGGATAGGAAACTTCGGAACACGTTGTCCTTCCACATTGTGCCGTAATCCGTCTGTTGAAGAAGCGACAACCACCCTTCTGCTCGTTCCGGTTGTTCGCATCTTAAACCGGCGTACACTAAAGCTTGTAAAATGAGTGGATTCAGCGAGGCTGGAACAGGAAGATCCAATCCGTTGACATGGACCCTTTCCCATTTGTTCACCAAGTTTAACACACTGTCCGACCTCGTTATGGTCTGGAGAATATGGATTAGTGAGCGAGAGTCGCACGCCTGGCCAACTGAAAAGATCATATGAAAGATTGCTTCATCGGTAAGCGGAAGCGTGCTGTTCTTCATGGCCGCATTCACGTGGTAGACGAGGCTGAATTTACCAGCTTTGGAGAAGCTTCGAAGCAATTTGACATAGGCCGAGATGGAGAGGACCTCATCTGAGCTCAGAAGTGCTCGACCAAATCCATTGACCAGTCCCGCAGTTGATATCTTTCCCCGGTCGAAACTGTCCGTCAACTCTCGTATGGTATCGTTCAAGCTTCCCTGGGAAGCTTGCTCCTCGACATGTGGGCCAACCACGAAGAGATCTGAACGCCGTTTAAGGCGACGCATTTGTGTTCGAGTCAACCTCAACATTTCAGCCAACCGATTAGCATCTTGAGGAATATCTTTCTCGTTCACTTCCACCGCTTCTTCATCAGGAAGGAATCCAAAAAAGGGACTGGGTCCGATGTGAAGATGAAGCAGTAACCGGATTGCCAGCGTGATGGCATTGAGACGATGGTATCGGAGAAAGTTGGACATCTCTTCAGGGGAGAACTTGCCCTCTATAAATGCTCTGGAAGTTCTCAGAACTTCAATGGGGCCGGCCGAAGTTCGAAGAGGCGTGTTGCGATCTGCGTGGAAGGTTTCGTCCTCCCGCTCTTCCGCTTCCCCAAAAGTCGTTCCAATGTCACTAGCCAAATTTCCACGTTCTGCAGGGGCTTGTGCGATTGTCATATAGTCTCTTCGCTGAAACGCCAGCCCGTTTGGAATAGATCGAAGCTTCAAAGAGCTCCGAAGGCGCGATTCTCGTTCATGAATTTGTTCTATCTCCTCTTTAATAACCGAAAGTTTCTCATCCCAATCTTTTCGCTGTTTGTCTTTCCAACTGGTATCGACAATGAAGGCCGTGGCAAGGACAGGGGCCAATAAAATCGTGAAGGCATCGTTGAAGGTCGGACGGCGTTTCAAAGGTGCCGTGGTGGTTTTCCGGACCAGGACAGAGGTAATCGATTCTCTTGAGGAGTGGACGGGAGAGCCATTCAGTTTTGGTCGAGGAACTTGAGACCACAATGCTCGCATTTCCTCAAGCGACGAGCCTCCACCACTGACATTTGACCATGAAGTCGTGAAAAGGAAAGAGAAGTTAGGACGAAGCTCCCATGCAAGTGGGTGCATTGACAACTTCGAGATCTATCACGTGAGACCTGGGGAAATTGATGAGAGTCAGACGGGGGGCTCCCCGTCGACCAGGCGTCATTCTGGACCCTTTCCGACCGACGGTGTCGTTGTCAGACACAATCCCAATTTGTCAATTTTCGAGACTCCAAGTACAGGCTGTATAGCTGGACTTACATCCGCATTGCCTGTTATATATTCATCCTTCACGCTTTGGCACAGTTGACACTCCCTTTTGGCACCAAATGTGACCTTTGTGTACAAGGTTTGAATGGCTGCCAGGAGCCGATTCCTCTCTGACGGCCGGAACCATGACAAGAAGGACGGGTTCATACCTGCACGCTCGACATCGCACTCGATTTTCGGTCGATGGAAATTATTTCGACGCAGGCGTATAATGCTTGCGCTGCTTGCGCTGTGGCTACTGTATCTGTTCTTCAAGAACCTGCCAACAGACCTTCCTCCCGTTTCTGAGCGCTATAATCCTCGATATGGTCGCCTGCACCCTGGTATACATCAATGGGAATCTCCAGAACACAGCAAAGACGGAACAGATGATAGCTACGAAGGTCCCATCAAATTCTATGATTTGGCTGAAACATTACGGAGCAAAATCTACACTCGAGACTCCAAAGGCCATGTTCTGTTCGCCATTTCGAAGCTGGACAGTCTTCCGCGACTCCTCCCCATTGCATGTTCGTTCGCGCAACAAAATCGAACCCGTGTCCACCTCGCATTCATGGGTCGTCAGGTTGCAGATTGGATAGGGATTCGAGCCATGAATGGTATTTCAGAAGACGAATGTGAAGTACACCTGCATAATGCTCGCCCTGATTTTCCTGCCCAATCCTCTGATCGAAGAATGGGCATCAGTGCTCGGGCAAGCTTGGGACATATCCATTCTGCCATACCACTACATGCGGTCCTGGCTGGTGATACTGACTACGAGGACGAATATTTCGTCAACGCGTTGAAGGAGAAGACTGCGTCGATGGGGCTGTCCTTGATCACCTTACCTACTAGGACGCTCGGGAGTCTATCATGGATTTCATCCTTGGACGCCTCGTCGCTCAAGCATTTCGGCAAGGTACATGTCGACATTGTGATCCAAGCACAAGCCGAGTCCTCAGCGTCTCTGATGCGGCTCCTGAGATCGATCAAACGTGCCGACTATTCTGGCTGGGCACTACCTCGACTGACCATTGAACTTCCTTCAAATGTTGATCCATTCTTGGAACAATATTTATCAGGATTCCGGTGGCCTCCAGACCGGACGGGTAGCGAAAGCAAGTTGGTCGTAAGGCACAGGGTCGACGCCAAATTTGTTTCGCCGGCGCAAGCTTCCATACGAACGGTTGAAACATTCTATCCTCTTGTGGCTGGTGAATCTCACGTTTTATTGCTGTCGCCCAAGGTTGAGCTTTCTCCAAGTTATTTTCAGTTGTTGATGTATACACTGCTCGAGTACAGATACGCTGCGCGACGAACAGAACTGGTCGGCCATCTTATTGGCTTCTCACTGGATTTGCCGACACATGCTCCTGACATGAAGACCAAGGCTCCTTGGACCGCAGGGCATCTTTCGGGGCCTCTCGTACTTTGGCAAGCACCTTCTTCGAACGCTGCGCTTTATTTTGGTGATCGATGGATCGAATTTCACGCTTTTCTGTCTCGTCGATTGATGGCCGATCCAGAATTTGACAAGACCAAATTGTCGCCGGCGTTATCTCATGATTACCCGGCGTGGCTGCAGCCCATGCTTGAGATGATGCAAGCTCGCGATTATTACATGTTGTATCCAACATTCACCGATAAAGAAGGCTCAGCGGCAGTGACGGTGCACCAGGAATTACATGAACCCCCGGAAGAATTCATGAATCAGAATCAAATCGAGGATGAACCTTCGACTCCGTCCGCAGGGTCCGATCTAGCTGACGACCAGGCACTTACCGCTGATGAAGAGGTTGGTCGGTTGATGCGGCAAGAGCACAGAGTCTATAGTGATTCGCTTGTCACTCCGCTCCTAGAGTCCCTGTCAGTTGACACGCGACAAAGCGACCTTATCGACGGGTCGAGTATTCCATTGATCTCTTATCCTGGTGGAAAGACCAACTGGCCTGAGTCTCGGAGACAGTCGCAGATCTTTGCAGAAGACTTTGCACATACTATTGGAGGATGCGACAGTTACAATCCCATAAAAGGGGAGAACAATGATATCGAAGCCTTGTTCTGTCAAGCAAAAAGCTAGATGGGCAACATCCACAGGGCAGGATTTCTTGGCCTGCCGTTTGGATCCACGTTCCATTCAAAGGTCAGCATGACCTCTTGGGACCACTTATCAAATGTCTGGCATGTGAATTCAGTGTGACAAGGGCACAAGAGGCAAATGGTTTAAGTAATGACCGTACAAATGAGGCATTCAGGGCGTCTGCGTGCAAGAATAGACCGGGGATGGAATGGTGTATAGTGGTCGATCGGAACCAGATCGAAGATCAGATAGAAACCACCAGTGTACGAGTTACCTGAGCAGGTGGAGTTTTATATGCATGAGCACCACGAGGAACCGATGAGCGAGTCCGCTATGAGGCCCCCCCCAGAGTGAAATAAATGATGCCGCTGTTGCTATAGGCAGTGTAGTCGAGTCAGTCTAAGTGTGTCTGTTGTATTCTATACACTGTCATCGCCGTCATTGTCATCATTACTCAAATGAACCCCCTCGATTGTCATCCAAACCCCTCCAGCTCTTACATTTGCTTCTCTTCCCCTCCTTCAGTTCCTCCCTCGGTTCTCCATCTGTCATCCCCTATTGGCCCAGTCATTTGCTCCGGGGACGCAGGGATAGAAAATGCTATCATGCCACTAAGCCCTGTTCCCCGCCAATCAATTGTCGCTCAAGCGTCTGGACTGCTTGCGCCAACACTAGACTCGTTTGCGTTCTCTCTCAACATCCTTCCCCCTCCATCCAACGGCAACCCGCACCCTGGCCCCTCACTCTGCGCTCATCTCACAACGACGTCGTGGGCCTTTTCTTGTGCCACAGCACGCTAATGCACTGGTGCCCCTCGGTTGTTGGCCCTTGGACGGAGAAACTGGGTCGACCCCGGCCCGCCGCAAGCTCATGCCTTTTGTCCACCCCGAATCGCCTTTTGCGCTCTTCCATCGCCCTGGCGCTGGGTTCCCCTGTATGATAAGCCTGAGGGCTGATGATGGGTCTTTTAGCTCGGCGCCAGGACCTCCCTCCGGCTCAGGCTCGACTTTCGAACACTTCATGCCCCACCATCCTCCAGAATCCCAGTGGACCTTCTTCTGTAGACTTCCACTGAATGTCCATGTCCAAAAGCCATCTCCATCCATCTGATACACTTCTTGTGAACTCGGCTTGGGTCTCATAGTGGCAACTCGTTCGCAGAATTCATAACGCTCAGTTACTCCTGCCATTGACGGTTTAACGAATAGCGCCCTGGCACCTTGAACCGAAGGAATCCTCAATTGTCCAAACCATTCTGCTCTGTCCTTGTATTCTCGAGCATCGCACATCTCTCAACCACACCTTGCAACAATCTCCTGGAGACCTGAGAATACGTCACATAAAACTACCTCCTATAACCTGCCATTGTGCAGGTCTGGCTAGGAATCCTGTCGGTGTGGGATGAGACGTTTGTGAATAGATTGATTGTGTACAAGTCACGAAATCTATACCAACGATGGCCACTGTCGTCGTTCAACAACAGCCTTCGGTTCGACAATCTCCTCCGCCGCCCCTCGGTCCAACCGTCACGTTGAATCAACCCCGGTCGTCGACGCCTATTCCCAACAAACATTTACCGTATTGTCCACCTGGATCAGTTCCGTCCTCGTGTCAAATCACCCCCCCCAACTCACCTCCCTTGAGAACCGTTGCACCTAAACCGACCTCACTCCTCTACCCTCCACATAACTACCCGAAGTTATGTAATTCTCCTCCCATATACGGCATCAGTGCAAAGAGCCTCGCCGAAGCTCTGGAGCATTACTCCTCCCAACCTCTTCCAAATCCTTCTTCGGTCTTCCCTTGGCTTCATGGCCTCCATCCCGAAAACCATATTCAACTGGCTTTCTTTGTGGCAAGGAAGAAGTCGTTGCGAAAGATTCCAAAATGCTTGCGAGGTATAACGATCATAAAAGCCGACGGGGATCTCAGTCGGTCTCGACTAAAAGGTGCCATTGCGCCCGATGAGATACTCAATCTTTCAGAGAGTAACGGTCGAGGTTTCCTGGAGTGCGATCCTAGGGAAGGGTTCTCTGTCCGCAACTTCCATATTCAAGCGGCTAAAATGGCCCTAGTATCCGACATCGTCATCTATGGTGATGAAGACACTAATCATCGGATCATAAAGTCCGTCGCAGAGAGGACGGCTTCTGTCCAAAGGAAATGGCGAAAGGAGTTGGAGAATATGGGGCAATGCCCAGAAACGTTCAACACATTCGTCCTGACACATGCCTTCGAAGAGTTCGAACAAGAATATCCGGAATGGGTCGCAGTCAACTCCCACGGCAAATATACCGACCACACTCTCGACTTTCTCCAGCAAGAAAGGAGAGAGATGTGCTCCATGTCCAAAGCTTCGGAAATATCTCTAGGCGTATTTCAAGGCCCGTCCCCTGGCCCGTACACAGACCCACCATCATCGAGTGATGATCCCAGTTTCGACCTATACGTCGAGGCCAGTGACCATGCGTCGGTTCCGGACGATAGACTGCTGGCAGCGAAACTGAAGCAGTTGGAAAATCGAGAAGACGATGAACCCGTCCATCTCGCCTTTCCCAGTTCCGGAAGCATATTGTCGCCTTCTTGGTCTCAAGCCGAAGTTGACGGTATACTACGCATGTGTCGGTGGCTCTATGACTTGACCCACAGCGTCAAACCGCCCAGCGGCGCCAAAGATGACGACGGCGACATTCAGATGACTGAGTTTATGCCTCGGCCTCGTCGGGTCCTCTTACATTGTGCGGATGGCTACACCGAGACATCGATGTTGGCCGTCGCGTATTTCATGTATGCTGAAGGTGTTCCGGTTCATGAGACATGGATTCGGTTACATTGCGAAAAACAGCGAAACTTCTTTGCCTATCCTTCAGACGTGGCTTTGCTGAACTCGATTCAGGACCGGATCCTGCGGGAAAGTCCAAAGTTTGCTGGAGCCCAGGTGCCCCCCATGGCAGCACCACCCTGGTTGGCCAAACTCGATGGTAGTCTTCCTAGCAGGATACTACCGTACATGTACCTTGGGAATCTCACTCATGCAAATAATCCGGAAATGCTTCGATTGTTGGGCATTCGGCGCATTCTTAGTGTCGGTGAACCTGTTTCATGGTCCGAGGCAGAACTGCAGGCCTGGGGCAGGGAAAATCTACTCATGGTCGATCGGGTCCAAGATAACGGGATTGATGAACTTACACTGGAAATGGATCGATGTTTGGAGTTTATTGGTGAGTGGAATTTCCGAACATATCGACCAGCGTCATCTGACAAGATGTGTAGGAAGGGGCAAGTCTGATGGCACAGCGACATTGGTACATTGTCGTGTCGGAGTTAGTAGATCTGCTACGATTTGCATTGCCGAAGTCATGGCCAGTAAAGGGTTGAGTTTTCCTCGTGCATAGTAAGTGTTTTTTCCAACCCTGGACTTTGATGGGGAAAAAGGTGTGCTGACCGATTTTGAATCAGTTGCTTCGTCCGTGCTCGTCGACTCAATGTCATCATCCAGCCACATCTGAGATTTGTGTATGAATTGATGAAGTGGGATGAGCAACAGCAAGAAAAGAGAGGAGAAGTAGTGAAAAGGGAGCTCGAGTGGGCCACTGTTGCCAGGGAAATCGCCGCGATGAATAGGCCTTATGCTCGAACTTGATATTTTGTTGAAAACAGAAGACAGACTCGAGCCTTTTATTGATGATGATGATGATGATGATGATATGATGACCGACCAGCTGTTACGGATATGAAATGTTTGATATGGACCTGGATGAACATGAATGTATGATGAATGTTTGATGACACATGAACAAGTTTTCTCGGTATGCAAAGAGACTTGGGGACACACCCAGGCAGGGCGAGGCAGAGCAAAACATGGGCGACTTCGGCGGCGACAACGATAATATTTGTGGTGGCATTTTGACTCGCCTTCTTGGACTTTGGTGGCTTTTTGGATTGTCTCTGTGAAAGAGAAGACAATTGTAAATGTACTACTTATGGACCGTACCGCTTCTATTTGGCAGCTCGCAGGGTGGACTTAGGTATTGATAGTTGCCTTTTTAGCTTGCTAGCTTGTTCAAGCCTGATTTCTGCCCTGATTGTGGATATCACACGTCTGCATGTATTTGTGTATATGGATGAGTGGGTGAGTGGATGGGATATACAGTAAGTATCTGGTATTGTCGGACGTTGAAAAAAGTCTGGAGGAACATACTAGGAAGGATACCTATGAGAGACGGAAAAGTAACAGGATCTTCAAGTACCTTGGTATCAATTGAATGTGGATTGAAACCGGAAATATGGATGAAAGGTGTCTCTGGTGGATCAAGCAGCATTAGGATCACATGTATTCTAGCGTCCTGGTGGAGTGTATATAGATATATATGTGTCACAGCCTCTCGGCTTTCTCCTTCAACTCATCAGCCAGTCTCTCAAGGTACGCCTTCGCGATCGGCTTTGGGATGCTCTCGTGAATATCCACCGGCACATCTCCCTGCGTCGTCGTTGAAGCAGAGCTATTGTCACCATTGACTTTCTGCTTCACGCTTATAGCTGTGAATCGTCGAACGATCTTGTCCAGATCCCGCCGTGCGTCCTCGTATGCGGCGAGATCCCGGTTTCCGTACACGTCGCGGCCAGCGGGGTACATTGTCGCGGGGATCGTGCGGAAGAAGACGTTGAGGGAGATGTTAATCCGCGAATTGTCAGGGGAAGGCGCATCTACGTTCGACGGCGGCTGGGGTGGCATCGGAGTTCCTGAATGAGCCCAGAGTGGAGGGATGAAGAGTGCTTCTCCTGGTCGCAGGATTGTGATGTGAGGGTGTGTGTTTGGGATGGGTTTTAGTCTGTCTTCTTCCTTTTCCGGGTGCTCCGCTGCTTCGAGGATATCGAGTGTTGATGTCGTCGCACCGGCCGGAAAACTGAGGTATTTGATGTCCTCGGAAGGGAAGAGGATCAGCTTCCTCCTGCCCCGGACTTGGAACAGCACGTTAGCCATCACGTCGTAGTGTAGCCACATGTTGACGTTGGCGCTGATACGTAAGGGACTGCTGTGTTGGGTTTGTTTGATGAAGCGCAGGGGTGTTGGGAGTTGAAAGTCTGAAGATAATTCTGGCCAATCGGTGTTGAAGTTAGCGGGGAGTTGGGTCGGATTCGTGCTCGAGATAGATCGTAGGTACATGTGTGCGTCTTGGTTGTTTTCTAGTTGGTTGATGAATTCGTGGAAGGGCATGGCCGTATACACGAAGTCTTTGCGTTGGAAGTTCATCGTTCGGGTTGCAGCGGAGTGGACGACAATGGATTTCGAGGGCGGAATCTTTGAGAGGAGTTTACATGGAGTCCATTCGGAAATGCATGGTCCAATGTCGAGGGAAGCGAAGACCTTAGGGATGCCTTCTCGAAGAATGTCTGTAAACTCCTTTTCATCGCAAAGTCTTATACGTTCGATTGACATTGGCTGTGGTGTAGGACTGTCATCCTTTGGAACGGGTGGTGGCAAGGCTTTCACCGGCGCAGGTTTAATCAGAGCCCAATGTGAACTTATCCCTGCTTCACGATCGTACAAGAGCCAACAGCCGGGGTTCCAGTATGCACCAAAGCTGAAGCAGGTTGCTCCTCCACCGACGAGCAAGGTAGTTTCTTTGCCTGATCGGTGAGTCGAATGACCAATTAAAAAGGGGCGAGGAACATCGGGGTCCTTCTTCGGAACCACGCAGGCCACTCTCAGTTCCATCTCCTTTTCGAATTCTCCAAAAGCAGAGAAACTCCCCAGGATGGACAATATTTCGTAGTCCTTTGGGATACAGCCGTGCTTTGCCACTCCGCCGATGACCAGTAGTTCGTTCCGGATGACGCTGTATGAAGCCCCAAGCCGAGCCAACCAGGGCCAAATACCGGCCGAAGTGTCCAAAGCAGTGGAGGTCTTAAAGCTGATTCCGGCAACGGCATTGTCTCTGATAATCAGCCTCCATCGCCAGAGACCTTGGCATATGACGCCGTCGTGTCGCATACCTCCAAAAAGGAGACCGTGGTTGAATCCTAAGCGGACAAAGCTTGCTCCAAATCGGGGCATGGGATCTGATCGAAGAGATCGGAGTTTTTGCCAGCCATTTACCCTATCCCAGAGCAGACAATCGAGGGCAACCTTGGTCGCCGAAGTCTTTCCACCAAAGACGACCACACCGTATTCATTGTACGGAAGCACCACGGCGACCGCTCGATGCCGGAAACGGGGTTCAGGGAGGTCTTGAATTCTTTCCCACCCTGATTCGGTTTGTAACCAGCAATCCTTCATAGGAGCCGATGGTGACCCACGGCCACCAACTAAGACATTCCATCCATTGGCAAGAGATGTTATGGTATGACAACATCTAGCTCCAACATCTTCTGGTGGAAGAGTGGGGGCGGACACCTTGGAATCGGCTGATGCATAGACTGACGTACTAGACAGTCGATTTTTCAGCCCGACACCACCATGGACACCTATGGCATCTTGACCGGGTATAAAAAAAGCAGAAGCGTGATGAGTTCTCCCTTCTCGGTCTGGGTTCGCGGAGTATTTGTATGCAAACCATTGTGTCTTTCCCCTGTATGGCGAGACTGTTCTTGTCGAGAGATCTGATGCGAAACTATCAATTGAAGCTCTTCTAGATCTGGGTTGTTCTGGAATCAGCGGCTCAGGCCCCGTCTGTGCTATGATCAGACAATAGTGCGATGCGAATAAAGCGAACTCTTCCCTAGGCAGGATATCAGTAATTTAAGGTGCACGACCTTTCCATCACGCACCATTCGTCGAAAGGTTCGACCTCATCCAGTGACATTCTTTGAGATGGAGACAAAAATCTAGGATCTGCCCATAATTCCCACAAACTCTGTATGTCGACTATGGAAAACCCGGCTCCCTGAAAACGGAGTGTTTGAGTGTGGTTCCCAGGATATGTGAGGACAGAGCGCAGAGGGGTGCCCAATTTGGAAAAGTGGTTCAACATGGCCGCCGTGAACGGATTATCCGGTCGGTCAGGAGACTGTTGTTCCAGGAGGCAAAATGTGACATCCAAACTAGTTCAGTTAATCTGTATGACGGCAGAGACTATTAACCTTACCAGGCGCAAGACTTGTTGTCCATGCGATCAAAGCATCCGAGTCTTCAGTAGCCATGTACGTGATGCTGACCTCGGCAATGAAGAGAACGAGACACTGCTCAATATCAACAACAGATTTGAGCAGATGCTCTAACCTTCGTAAATTCCGCAAATCACAGCCCAAGGCGACATACTCGTCCGTGTCGAGTATTATCCCCTTCTCCAATGGCAGATCGCCAATGAGTGAAAGCATGTCTCTCATCTTGGGAGTATTCAGGATGATTTCTCGTTTGCTAATCATCAGCTCTTCAAAGTCGACATCGATAAATCTAGTATTGCTGCATAATTCTCGGTCCTGGGACATCCATTGGAATGGAATCGGATCACTGAGCTAGTAAGTCGAGCCGAACCGACCAGACCAGGAATCGGCTTCCTTACTCACTAGCCACAACCCAAGTTGATGATGACTTTCTTTTGATCAGAAGGTCTTTCCAAGAACTGTCTGACAACCCAATCAATGGCCCTCATACGAAGCCAATATCCACGATTAATGGTGGGCGACCTCCGTTGGGGTTTTCTAACGAAGTATCGATAGAAGTGAGGTTGAGGAAGATAGAGCCTTTCCACGCTTCTCTTGGACACAATGCTGCTGTTATTCGTCTGTATGAAGTTGTTAGAGTTCGGATATGTGGTGCATCTACCGATACATACACCCATGATGAGACCAGCATTCCTTTCCATAGGGATCTCGTCATCTGAGCCCATGCTTCTGGGGGTGATGGGAGACGTCATGATAGCCTCAATCACCTTTTCCAATGGAAGTACGGGAGAGGAATTTGTTTGGGCAGTATTCCATATGAATCCCACAGGAATGAGTCAGAGCCTCGAAGGTGAACATCGGTGGGCTTGGCGACTGGTGAACGTTGATTGGCTGAGATCAATTTCCACAATCCTGATATCAACTGCTCAGCACTTATTATGCCTGCTGCACCGCTTGCGATAGGCCTCCATCCACCAGACCAGCACCACCTCACTTTCCCTCATTCGGGATCGCCACTCACGACTCTCCAGCTTCAAGCTGAACTTACGACCTGATTGCCGTGAGAGTCTCCACTCAGCAAGCGACATTTGGACAAAAGGCTTCGTGGGAAGAAGCGCATCACCGCCATGGAGGAATCAGAACCATCTTTGAAAGACCTGTTCAATCAAGCAAAGGCTCGACTAGATGAATTGGACAGCCTCGACCCTCGAAGCCCTACATTCAAAACTGCCTTGCAATCCATTATTGACCAGCTCCAGCAATGTCGCAAACTTGTACAACAACTCTCTCTTTTTAGCACAAATGAGGAAGCTGAGGATATAGCCACACAGGACCTTCAGTACGTCTCAGATTTTTGCCAACCCCAGGCTATTACTAATATGGGGTTCCAGGTATCTCACCGTAGATTACACATTGGCAGAGTTGAAGACAAAGGCGTATGGCGAAGACCGGCAGTTGTCGCTGCGGGAGTCATCCCAGTTACTGGAAGATTTCTTAACTCGGCTGGATCACTACGGACTTCTGGGCAAATCGGATCGCCAACTCTACGAACGGTTCCTGGAACAACGAAACTCTTTCAGGATAATATCCTCCAATAACCCGGAGGAGAAACGAAAAATCAAAATCGCCCGATTTCGAGAGGAGAAATCCGTGAAACAAAAATTGGAGGTGGGTATCTATCTTCACTGTCGACGGGGGGAGTGAACTAAGCGGTGCAGGACTTGAGAAAGGAGTCTCAAAAATCGAATATTGATGACGAAACTATTCGGAGCCTGTATTTGGCAGAAATCGCACTCTCAGTCAACAGAGCTTTCTCATCCTTGGACATGATAACTCAAGAATTGCAAATTCTATCACAGATGCACCAGGCTGATCCAGTCCGAGCTGGGCCTTCTCCCGGTCAAAGAATCCCAGACAGATCCGATGGCTACTCCGAAGGGCTCGACGGCCCCGCCGCAATGGCAGGACTTGGGAGAAGAGGAGGTCCTTTACTCAGTCCCAGCGGCAAACCGCTCCAGCCCTTTACCCTTACCGACAAGCGAACTCAGCTTCTCCAGGGTGTTTTCAAACCCAGCCATAACCTTCCGACAATGAGTATTGATGAATATCTCGAGGAGGAGCGACGAAGAGGGGGTATTATCGACGGTGGCGGAAATGTTAATGCCCCTCAGCCAGAACCAGATGAGGACAATATGGAACAAGTTGATGCGGCCACCATGAGAGCGCGTGAGTGGGATGAATTTGTCGAAGCCAATCCCAAAGGCGCTGGCAATACTCTCAATCGAGGATGACCTTTTTGGTGATATCGTCAATGAGGAAAATTTGACGTCATTCGTTCGGGAAAGCTGGTCTTTGGTATTGAAACCTGACTCCGCCGAAGACGTTCAAGTTCTGTCGCCTCTCTCAATATTTCGTCCCCGTAGCTTGTCGTGGCGATTCAACCCATTGGCCCCACCGCTTTTCATTTCTCTTCAAGATCGGCCGCCGTCGTCGGTCTCTTTGCCTTAATCTCAGCCAGGATTTTGTCAGCCCCCTCGCGAAGCAATTGAGACGCTGCATTTATTCCGAAAAGTTCGGCTTCCTCCTGGCTTGTTATCTTTTCGGTCATGTCAATCTCGGACTTTTCTTTGCCGTCTGTGCTGACAACCAGAGCTTTCAATTCAAGGACGGTCTGATCATCTCCATTCTCAACCCAGGTGGTTTCGACGCCTAAAGGAGCGCTGCATCCTCCTTCCAGAGTCCTTAACAAGCTACGTTCTGCCGCTGTGGCAAGATGAGTCTTTTGGTGATCAATCAAACTCAGCATTCTCTGCACTCGATCATCTCGCGACCGGTTTTCAACCCCAATAGCTCCTTGTCCGACCGCGTGTAGCATTCCTCCACTTTTAGAATCCAGGTACTGAGTAATTCGGTCCCCCAGACCAAGCCTAATAAGACCAGCAGCGGCGAGGATCAATGCATCAAAGGGCCCATCTTCGGCATCCAGTTTGGCCAACCTAGTCGGAACATTGCCTCTCACATCGACTACACGTAAATGAGGATACTTGAATGCGATCTGGGCAGTTCGTCGGATGGAGGATGTCCCAATGACCGAACCCGAAGGGAGATCTTCAATGTTGCAAGGCTTCCTGCCCGCTTTGACAACAAAGGCATCTCTGGGATCCTCTCGAGCCAGAACCGCGCCTATTTCACAGCCAGGTGGGAGTTGCGTTGGAACATCTGGGCCGTGATCAGCTTAGCTGGACCAACATCTGCCGACAAACCAACAAACCTTTCAGCGAGTGAACGAGGAAATCCAGTTGTCCTTCAACCATCAGCACTTCCAGTTCGTGCGTCCATAGATTCTTGACAGCCATGTCTTTGAAAGCAGTGATCTTGTCGATATCACCTGCCGCCGTATCGCGAGCCTTGATTGCATACACATTGTCGGGACATGTCGATGCTAAAGCCTTGACGACCAGGTCCGTCTGTATCAGAGCAAGCTTGGATTTTCTCGACCCGACATTGAACGTGGATCTCGATGTCTGGTCGTCGATGTTTGCCGCAGCATTTTCTCCTGGAACCACCGCAATAGTCGTCATTACAGCGGCGTTGAGGATTTCAAGAAACTTGCAGAATTACAAAACTCAAAAATCTTTTCGGCACCGACTATGGTCTCCTCCTCTACATAATCACGTGCCCGCCGGCGCTGGACCTCGGCAGCGGGTTGAATGCAAAGTCCCGACTTTGGGATCAGAACCTCGAATCGAGCATGTTCCATGACACCGACAAATACTTCCGAATCAGTAATCGCCCACCTGCACAACCCCGGATTTCTCATAAAACAAGTTCATTTTGATTCCCCCGCTTTCTTTCTCACCTTCACCTCCCCATCACTCTTGTCACATCCTCACCATGGGCTACACGGCCAAGGCTACCATTCCGCTTATCCCTCTGGCAAAGGACACCGTCCTTCTGCCCGGAGTCACCCTTCGAATCTCAGTATCAAACCGCGCCGATATACCCCTTCTCCTTTCATCAGCCTTCCAACGAGCTACCAAGTCAAAAACCGGAACCGCTCAACTCCCCATCGGCTGCGTCCCCTTGAATTCGCCCTTCCTCAGCCCCGACGGGAAGAAATTGCTCGACAGTTCGGAGAGAGAAAGCAGCCGCCATATTGACTATCCGGACGTAGATCCTGGCAAGGCAAGAAAGGACGATCTGTTCGGATATGGAACTCTAGCAAAGATAATCGGAGTTCAGGGTAGCTCCAATGTCGACCCATACCTGGTGGTAGAAGGAGTACAAAGACTCAAAATCGACAGGATCAGACATGAGAAGCCACACTTTGAGGCGGAAGTCACATTCTACGAAGATGAAGTGCCAGATCTCAACGATGGAGACCTCCGGGCCAGTTTCACACGACTCAAGCAGCGATCACGCGAGCTGCTCACCTTGCTTCGCCTTTCATCCCTCTTCCGACCGCCCTCAATGGTGCTGTCTCCTCTGATCGTTCGTCGATTTGAATTGTTCATAGCGAAGAAGGACCTTTCTCAAGCCGGTCAATTGGCCGACTTCATGACCGACATCGTGGAATCCAGTTTCGAAGAAAAGCTGCGCATCCTGAGCACTCTGGACGTACATGAAAGATTGGAACGTGTATTGGCCTTGCTCAACAAGCAAATAGCAGGCATCAACGGAAACATCAAGATTACATCCATCACGTCTACGACCCTGCCTTCGAATATTGGTGTGGACATATCCGATTTGAACCAAAGTCAGCGTGAAGCGCTAGCACGACGCGCCATGTCAGGACTCACTGGTATGACACCACCTGGTATCCCGGGGCCAAGTCGTGGAGAGGGCGATGAAGACAGCGAGGCCAACGAAGTTGAAGAGCTCAGAAAGAAGGTTGCCGAGGCTGGCCTGTCGCCCGAAGCGCAGAAAGTTGCAGAGCGGGAGTTGAGACGATTGAAGAAGATGAACCCTGCCAACGCGGAATATGGTGTGATTCGCACTTATGTGGAGAACCTTGTCGAAATTCCCTGGACAAAGGTAACCGATGATCAACTCGGCGCCGATACTTTGAAACGAGCTCGGAAACAGCTAGACGATGATCACTACGGGCTTGAGAAGATCAAGAAGCGATTGCTCGAATACCTAGCAGTCTTGAAGCTAAAACAATCAGTCAATGCCGATGTTGATCAACAAATTGCTCGACTCACCAAACAACTCACTCCCACACAAGAAGGCGAAGAAAAAGAGATCGAACAAATTCCTGATGATGAGAGGGATGCAGCCACCGCTAAGCTGCACGTGCTCAAATCAAAGCGAATGGTTGACAAGTCTCCCATCCTTCTCTTGGTCGGACCACCGGGTACTGGGAAAACCTCTCTCGCAAAATCAATCGCTTTGTCCCTGGGCAGGAAGTTCCACCGTATTTCTCTTGGCGGCGTTAGAGATGAAGCAGAAATCAGAGGCCACAGGAGAACTTATGTTGCTGCGATGCCGGGCCTGATCGTCAGTGGCTTGAAGAAGGTTGGTGTCGCCAATCCGGTGTTCCTCCTTGATGAAATCGACAAAATCAGCACAAACAACTTCCATGGTGACCCGTCAGCGGCAATGCTAGAGGTGCTTGATCCGGAGCAAAATCATAGCTTCAACGACCATTACGTCAACATTCCTATTGACCTCAGCAAGGTTCTTTTCATTGCAACTGCGAATACTCTGGATACCATTCCACCACCTCTCCTCGATCGAATGGAGACCATTCAGCTCTCTGGCTATACCACAATTGAAAAACGTCATATCGCAAAGCAACATCTCATCCCCAAACAGGTCCGGACAAATGGGCTCTCCGACGGACAAGTTGTCATCCCAGACGACGTGGTAGACACCATTATTACCTCATATACTCGCGAGTCTGGAGTCCGGAATCTTGAACGTGAGATTGGTTCCGTGTGCCGCTACAAAGCTGTACAGTATGCGGATGTTCGGGACACAAACGACGCGTCGAAATACAATCCAGTTGTTCGTGTGGATGAACTTGAAGACGTCCTCGGTATCGAACGATTCGAGGAAGAAATTGCAGAGAAGAAGTCAAGACCTGGCGTTGTTACTGGACTCGTGGCATACTCCTCCGGTGGCCAAGGCAGCATCTTGTTCATCGAAGTTGCCGACATGCCCGGCAAAGGCCGTGTCCAACTGACTGGAAAGCTGGGCGACGTGCTCAAAGAATCCGTCGAAGTCGCCTTGACCTGGGTGAAAGCCCATAGCTATGATCTCGGCCTCACACACGATCCAAACGAAGACATTATGGAAAAACGGGCCATCCACGTGCACTGCCCAGCTGGAGCTGTTCCAAAGGACGGTCCCAGCGCCGGACTTGCACATACCATTGCTTTGATCTCATTGTTTTCTGGCAAAGCTGTGCCTCCGCAAATCGCCATGACAGGTGAAGTCAGTCTGCGAGGCCGAGTCATGCCTGTCGGCGGCATTAAGGAGAAACTCATCGGTGCGCATCGCGCAGGCGTCAAGACTGTCTTGCTCCCGGCGCATAATCGCAAAGATGTCAAGGATGTCCCTGAGGAGGTCAAGAAGGACTTGCAAATCATCTACGTCAAGTAAGTAGTACCCTTGTCCATCTCTAGATGCTGGCTACCCTTGCCCTTTTATGCCGTTATTAACGATCGACTAATGACAGACACGTCTACGAAGCGCTCCGACATATCTGGCCAGGATCACATTGGGCGTCTGATCGGCACCTTGCCGAGGTCGAGAGTAGATTGTGATTTGGCATTTGTATATTTAGGTAGCAAGCGAACTTGTTTGGTTCTTAATACATATTCCTTCTTATCATGAAGTCACTCGCTCTATAATTCTTCCATCTTCCCCTCAAAGCTGCTGTCACCATCAAATTCATTCTCACACCCGCCGGAAAGTGATACTTTTGAGTTTTGAAGGAGATTTGCTGGTGTCGGTGTTACGCCTGCCCTGCCACACGCCGCCAGCAAAATGAAGCCGGTTGTTGATAGAATGTACATGCATTTTACAAGCCAGGCTAAAAAGCTTAATGTGCTGTACAAGCAAACCTAAGAACGCGGCACTTGCGATGATTGTCGCGACCCTTTCATGGCCCTGACATCGGGTTCGAATGAGTACCAGGTAGGCGCCCACTTTGTCTTACCCTGGAGTAAATCTTTGGCTTGCTGGGCGATTGATCTGCGATGGTCAAGGTTTGGATCCGTTCTTGTGTAGTTGTCGACGTCGGCGTATCGTGCCCTTTCTGCGAGGGCTTTCGCAGCGGTCCAATAAGTCTCATGGTCCCACCTAGAGTCCATTTTGTCAGTACTTACTATTTGCTATCTTCGCAGAGGATCGGGGTGCTATGTATGGGGGGATACGGGGGTGCACATACGGGCCCAGATCTGTGATTTCTTCCGGGTACACGAACGGTTTGGCGAGCAAGACCGTCATTTTCTTCTTGCTTGTAGGTCGGTAAAGCTCACCCTGTGTGTATCTATTTGGTGGATCTTTTCTTTGCACTTTTTGCTGGACGACTACACTTCGGACATGTAGAACGTCCACGTTGTATGCGTCTTTCAGGTAGGCTTTTAGGTGGAGCTTGCTGAAATGGAGAGGGACATCGAAGGCGGCGTATCGGGGACCAAGGTGAGGAGTGCGCATCAGGACGACAGCATCTTTCACGTCAGGGCTACAGCAAGCTTTTGTGAGCAGTAGGATCCAAATATCGGCTAAGAATACTCACAAGTATATTTGTTGCCGAAGTGCGAGAGGTACGTTGACCGAAGCGGAGAAATATCGAGCAGGATTCCTCACCAATCGAAGAAGAGCAGATTCATCGAGCATGTGGCCATTGGCATAGATGAATGATCTCACATCGTTTGAAACCTCACGAAGCTGGGGATGTCGGTCCATGAATTTGTTGAGGGTTTCCTCGTCGAGTTTCCACCACTCGAGTTTTCCATTCTCGTTCAATGTTTTGGCAATTGCTGCTCGCTCTCCCGGCGAAAACTTGAGATACGCTTCTCGACCAGTCTCCTGGGGAGCATCTCGTTCCTGGGATGTCTTTCCCTTCCGAGGATAGCTTTCAGCCAGATTGTTCTCATCTGCCTCGAGTTTGATCTCTCGTAGATCGCCCTCCTGAGTGCTTCCCTCTGGGCTGTTCTCCTGTACCTCAAGCTTGACCTGTTGTGGATTGTTCCCCCTAGTCTCGAGCTTAAATTTTTGTGGATGGTTATCCTGTACTTCGAGCCTGATCTTTGGTGGATCGGTCTCCTGAATGCTCTCTCCTAGATTTCTCCGCCGTGCCACGGACCTGTTCTCTTGACCGCTGTCCTCTTCGGGGCCATGCTCAAGATCGCTATTCACTTGAGGAAGGGTCTTTGCCGATGGAGGAATATGCCATGAAAGATTATTCCCTCGAAACCACTCGTCGACAGTACTTGCGTTGAACTTCCAAAACGACTTTTTCGACAGACCTTTTGTTGTCTTGATTCGTCTTTTCGCGTTCCATAGTCGAGGCCCATCTTTTTGTTCGATGGGCCGTAAGTTCCTAGTAATGAGGGTTGCCGGAAGGCGGGAGGGGCGAGGCATCTTCTGAAGCTGGCCACAGAGTGTAAGACAGCATTGATCTTCGATTGTAGAATCCCATTCCGAAGCGCCAGTTGCGAAGCGTCCAAACACGGAAACTTTCCCGAGGGCAGCCTTTAAGCAGACGACCCGCCAAAACATTTGTAGGTCTGCCGATGAATACTGACCAGTGGACACCCCAAAGCTACCCTTCCGTAAGCTCCTTGACGCCTAACTTCACGGTTGGTCCCTGCAACACTTGTGATCTTCGCCTTCACGATATATTTTGAACCTCCCTCTCCCGTCTTTGCTACCACACGCGATCCCTGACAATCAATTTCCGGTTTCCGCAGTCTGTTGGCCACTGACGGCCACCGAGGAAGATGGCGCAGGACGAGAAGAAGCCAACAGCCGCAGAGAAGGGCAAGGGCAAGGCAGAGGATGTACCGATGTCAAATGGAGACAAACCCACTCCCGAGGGGAAAGAAGGCGATAAAAGGGCCAATGGAAAGGCTGAGGAGCCGGCGGTGGAAGAACTGAGCGAAGAGGATCAACAACTCAAGAGCGAACTGGAGATGCTTGTGGAAAGATTAAAAGAAGATGATACCAACTTATACAAGCCCGCAATGGACGCCATAAAGAACTTCATCAAAACTTCTACCTCTTCGATGACCGCGGTACCTAAACCTTTAAAGTTCCTCCGACCGCACTTCGACGACCTTGCCGCTCTCTACGACAAATGGCCTACAGGTTCCGACAGGGATTCGCTTGCCGACATGCTCTCGGTGTTGGGCATGACATATGGGGATGAAGATAAGTTGGAGACTCTGAAATTCAGATTACTATCAAAATCAGATGATTTGGGTTCCTGGGGTCACGAATACATCAGACATCTTGCTCTGGAGATCGGCCAAGAATACCAGAACCGTCTGACGGATGAAAGAGAAGTTGGAGACCTCACAGAACTGGCTCTGTCTTTGGTCCCATACTTTTTGAGCCACAATGCAGAAGCCGACGCTGTCGATCTTCTGAGCGAACTTGAGATGATCGAAGAAATTCCACGGTTCTTGGACGAAAATACTTTCGCCCGGGTTTGTTTGTATATGGTCAGCATGGTTAACCTTCTCCCCTACCCCGACGATGTTGCTTTCCTGAAAACAGCACATGACATCTACGTCAAATACAACAAGCTGGCTCAGGCCATGGTGGTGGCAATCAGACTGAATGATCACGAGCTCATACGACAAGATCTCGAATCGACAGATGACATGGCCTTGAAGAAACAATTGGCCTTCCTCATTGCTCGACAAAGAATATCACTAGATGTGCCATCCGAAAGCAAAGATGAGCAGGAGATCGCCGAATGCCTGGGCAACACTCAACTCCCCAACCATTTCAAAACCCTGGCCAAAGAATTGAACATCCTGGATCCCAAAGTTCCGGAGGATATCTATAAGACACACCTGGAAAGTGGCCGGGGCAGTTCCGCTGCGGCAGACTCAGCGAAGCATAATCTGGCCAGCGCATTCGTCAACGCCTTTGTCAATGCAGGCTTTGGCAGTGATAAATTGATGCTGGTGGAAGGCGAGCAACGACCATGGGTTTGGAAAACCAAAGACGATGGCATGCTCTCCACGACGGCATCACTGGGGATGCTCATGCAATGGGACGTGGAAGGCAGTCTGGACGTCATTGACCGATTCCAACAATTATCCGAAGACTCTATCAAGGCCGGGGCACTACTAGCCTACGGTGTTGTCAATTCAGGCGTGAAGACGGAAGGTGACCCTGTCCTTTCACTGCTTAGTGATGACGATGTTCTCCAAAGCGGGAAACCCTCGATGAGAATGGCAGCCATCATGGGCTTGGGACTGTCGTATGCGGGGTCGAACAGAGAGGATTTGCTGGATTATTTACTACCTATCGTTGAAGATAGTACTCTGGAAATGCAGCTCTCCGCTATGGCTGCCGTGTCTCTCGGCCTTGTCTTTGTCGGCTCTTCGAATCACCAGGTTGCCGAAGCCATTGCTGGTCAAATGATGGATGATGACCGCCAGAAGCAGTTGAAGGACAAGTGGGCGAGGTTTATGGCTCTAGGTCTGGCCCTCCTGTACTTCGGCAGGCAAGAGGAGGTCGATGTCATACTGGATATATTGAAGGCAATTGACCATCCCATGGCTATGCCCACGGCAACCCTTGCTTCCGTTTGTGCCTGGGCTGGTACTGGGGCCGTGCTCAAGTTACAGGAGCTCCTCCATATCTGCAATGATCATATTGAGGACAAGGAGGAAACAGTAGGCGAGCAGTTGGTCCAATCCTACGCTGTTCTCGGCCTGTCTCTGATTGCCATGGGTGAAGACGTTGGTCAAGATATGGTGCTACGTCAATTTGGCCATCTCATGCATTATGGAGAGGCAAACATTCGAAAAGCGGTGCCCCTGGCAATGGGACTGATCAGCCCTAGCAACCCTCAGATGAAGATTTACGACACGTTGTCACGGTACAGTCACGACAACGATAATGATGTCGCCATCAATGCGATTTTCGCAATGGGTTTGGTAGGAGCCGGTACGAACAACGCTCGTCTCGCACAATTGTTGAGACAGCTTGCTAGCTACTATCATCGGGATCAAAACTCCTTGTTCATGGTGCGAATTGCTCAAGGTCTTGTTCACATGGGCAAGGGTACCATGTCACTCAATCCGTTCCACGCCGATCGACAAGTTTTGTCAAGAGTTGCCGCAGCAGGCCTCCTTACGGTGCTTGTCTCTCTGATCGACTCGAAGCAATTCATCCTTGCGGAGGCACATTACCTGCTGTATTTTTTGGTCACGACAATGTATCCCAGATTCCTAGTCACTCTGGATGAAGACTTGAAACCTCTCACCGTCAATGTCAGGGTCGGTCAAGCTGTTGATGTTGTCGGAGCTGCTGGCCGACCACGAACTATCACCGGCTGGCAGACTCAAAGTACACCGGTGCTGTTGGCATATGGTGAGCGAGCTGAATTGGAAGATGAAGAATACATCTGTTTGAGCAGCAATTTGGAGGGCTTGGTCATTCTACGCAAGGTCAGTGGCATCTCGAATTTATTTTCAACGATGTTTTGCTAACCATCTTACAGAATCCAGAATGGGAAAGCACAAAATAACGGGCGTCATTGACATCTTCATCCACATGCGACGGAGGCAGGGGCATGGTCATGAAAGAAGGACTGTACAAGTATCATGGGTAATCTAGACTCGCACGGGGAAAGTCTCGCTGGAGACCACCATGGATGCAAGATATGGTGCGCATGAGCATGTCAATGGAATTTTTCTGAGACCATCAATGTCCTCTAAATATGCTCTTTGATCGGTTTCGGCAATTCGGGCAAATGCATCACCTTTAATAGTTAGAATTGCATCATCGGGTATTGGTTGACACTTTGTCTCGGAAACCGCAGCACACCTCATTTCAATCCCTACACCAATGCGCTGTCGTAGCTGACAAGATGCTGTAGCAGAGAGTGTCTTCAGCATCATGACTCCGCAGCGCATTCTTCTACTGTATCATTAAATTCCAGGAGAGGATAAGCACCGCTTACGCTCGCGAAACATGGCGCCTACCACTTTCAATCCACGCCTCACTGCCCTCGACTTCGATTCCAATCGCAGACGAAGACGTCGATCGCATGGCTCTCGTCCCGCCATTGGGGATGATGACTTTGATTTCATGGGCCAGGTCGCCGAAGGTATCATCGAACGGGATCGCATCAGGATGCGCAGGGAGGTCACGCGAGTGTTGAGCTTCGTCTGCGCCATTCTCAGTTGGTGTGATGCCTTTTTTCTGCTCTCTCCAGCAATACGCAAAGGGATACTAATTGTGATCAGCCTATGTGCCGGCTCCATTACCTCGTTCTCTCTCTACGGTTCGCGATTCTTGAAGGATTTGCATTACACTCAATTTCGAGTTAATGCTGTATCGATAACTGCTGAATTGGCCATGTATCTGCCCGTCCCATTCTTTGGCTACCTTTGCGATCGATATTCGCCTCCACCACTATCTTTCCTCTCGTCCATTCTCTTTGGCGCCGGGTATCTTCTGGCCGCATACACATATAAAGCGGGACCGCCTCCGGACGTTACAAGACAGGAGCACGGATGGCCATTTGGGATTATGGTACTGGCATTTATTGGAGTTGGCGCGGGGACAAGTTGTATGTATCTGTCTGCCGTTGCCACCTGTGCAAAAAACTTTTCAAAATCGAAATATCGCGGCTTCATGCTGGCGGTCCCAATCGCCGCATTTGGTCTTAGTGGAATGTGGGAGAGTCAGGTTGGAGCCCATCTCCTATATCAGAAATTACCCAACGGACACAAGGGTGAAGTCGATGTCTTCAAATATTTTATCTTCCTCGCGGGAACGTTGATTGGAGTTGGTCTCCTCGGGACACTTGGATTGCAAATCGTCGACGAAGAAGAGCTCATCGACCACGGCGTTGAGGCTCTCGAGCAAAGCGGTCTTTTGGACGAGAGCGAATTCTACCGCGATTCTCGTGCCCCAACACCCATCAACTACGGAAGCATTGACAATGCTGATCATTCTGGGTCAGGCACTGCTACAGACTCTGGTATGGATTCGGAGAACGAAATGGACCTTTCTGAATCCCAACTTCTCAAGAAACGTGAGCAGGAACACCGGTTACGAAAGAAGAAATGGTGGCTCTTGAACCACGCTACTCACACTTTTCTCACCGATCGGACCATGTGGCTTTTGGCAGCCGGATTCTTCCTCGTCACCGGGCCCGGCGAAGCATATATCAACAACCTCGGCACTATCATTCCAACTCTCACACCGAAGAACTATTTCGACCTCACGAGCCCGCCAGCCGGCCACGCTTCGACACATGTGAGCATCGTCGCATTGGCATCCACGGCCGCGCGCCTCTTCACGGGGACATTATCTGACCTATTCGCACCACCTTCCCAGCCTGAGAACCCACCATCCAGACGTGTCCACTTCTCACGCCTAGTCCTTCTTCTCCCCTCAGCATTCCTCCTGCTCCTGGCCTTCCTGAACCTCGCGCTCCCATTCCTCACGCCGACAACACCAAGCTTGTTCCTTTTGTCATCGGCACTACTCGGACTCGGCTATGGTGCATCTTTCTCTCTAGTCCCCATTATCATTTCTGTGGTCTGGGACGTCGAGAATTTTGCGACAAACTGGGGCGTCGTGGCCATGATGCCCGCCGGCGGTGCTGCTGTCTGGAGTCTCGTTTACTCCGCGGGATACTCTCGTGCCGCGCTCGGTCGTGACCATGATGGAGGTATTGGAATCGGACCGGACCCTGGCCTCGATGAAGGCGAGTGCAGAGGCTACGCATGCTTCGCCGGCTGGGCTTGGGGCTGCGCCGCCAGTGTCGCGGTCGCTATTGTCCTGTGGTGCTTTGCGTGGAGAGTCTGGAGGAAGAGAAACGTCGTCGTGTAGAATTCGACCTCGATTGCAGAAGAGGACGACGTTGTCGTTGTTGAGGTTCGAGTCATCCTCCATCTGTCGTGAGCGCGACAGTCGAGGGCAACTCAATACCGCGATGTCCACATTCGACTGCACTAGCATGGTTCTATGTTTTGCTTCTTACTTCTTGGATGCTTTTCCCTCAACATATATATACGTACTGACACGGCCTGCTTGTAGAGATCGAATTGGCTCAATGGCGATCATGGCGACGGTGTTCCGGGTGTGATATCACTTAGCGGTCAGTTTAGGTTCAAAGGGTGTCCGCGAAACGGGGTCGGAGCGATGCCGGGCGTCGTGATATAGATGAGCGAACCAAGGCTTTCTCTCACCTTGTTTATATCTGTTCTCTTCCATTCTGCAGTTTCTTCCTTGTTCCATAATGAAGCAAGGATATCTTTCCATTGTCCTTCGCGAGCAACGGTTTGCTTTCCACCTAGGGTATCTTGGTTTTGTCATTATCATTACATCTTTCATTGATCCATCCTTATCCCGAATCATTCTCCCCCCCGCTTACTTGTGTGGTACCGCGTTTGTGGCCAATTTTGGAATATTTCCGTATTGCTTTGGGAGGATGAGGTTGAAAAAACAACGCAATGCAAAGTCCTTCTCTCTATGCCATGCTGTATAAATGTCATCCGGCCGATCACAACGCCATTCAAATCAATTCAATATCCGAATCAAACAAGGTCCCAAGCCGCAACGCCAGTGAATCCCATACCAACTCGACCTTTTCCATCGCGAAACTCCCGCACGGTTAAACCGCGTGCATCTTGTCTATCGCCGAAACTCGTGATGGCAAACAATGTGACCGTTTGTCCTGGCGCTCCAAGTTCCCGGGCTGAAATATCAACAACCCACGTATCGCCTCCCTGACCGGCCGATCCGGGGTAATGCTCCAGAGGAATATGGTCCTTGTGGCGGCCGTCAACACCGTGGACTGAGACGATAAACACAGGAGGTGGGCCTTTGCGCGTGTGGTTTTTCAACGTCCAATGCGGACACACCAGGCCAAATTGGAATCGAACCATATCTGGTTGTCGCACATTAATCTTCCTTGCCCGAGGGTATATCGTCTTTTCACCGATTGAGTAATCCTCTTTGGCGTTTGTGAAAACCGTGGGACCTTCAACAGTATCAGGCCAGCAAGCAGGGTCAATGACAATGTATTCTTCCCAGCTCATACGCCGCCCACCTGGAAGGAAGAATTGATCCTTGTTGCCGGGGAAATGCTTGACGGCGAATTGTTCATTCGGCATGGTAAAATAATCCGGATTAAACTTTTGAACATATGGGCGTCCTGCACCTTGTACATATCCTGCACCCCAGCAAGCATCAATGAGCTTCCATTCTCCGTTATCGATTTTGACGGCATTCCAAGCATGCCCGGCACTGTAAGGCGGAAGAGCTGAGCCTGGGGGAAGAGGAGTGAACCCATAACCTTTGCCATGGCCTGAAATGACGACCGACTCGAGACCAGCGTAGCTAGCCAGGTTGGTGAACAAGGCTGCGTACCCTTCACATACTGCCAGGCCAGTTTGAAGCGTGGACTGTGGTGTTGAGCTTTTCACGCTGTTCCCAAAAAAGCTGACAACGTCGTAGGCGATATTATGGTGGAGCCAGGTGAAAATAGCTCGGGCTTTGTCGGTGGGAGATGGGAAAGGAGAGGTCAGTTGATGGGCCAAATTCTGTAATGAACTGACATTCGTTCTGGGGAAGAGGGTCGCCTGATGATCAGGCCCAGAGAAGTCTCGGCAGATAAGGCATTTTGTAGAGGGTAGTGAACTGGTGTTGACTGAAACAGTGTCTCCAGTGAAGTTGGGCTTTGTAGCTTGTATGGTAGAAAGATCTGGTCGAGATGAGAGTGGTACTGGAGGCGGAAGAGGCTGATTGTCTGCTTGATGACTGGACACGATCTCTCGTGCCGGTAAATGGATATGCTCTCTCACGGGCAAGGGGATGTGCTCTCTTATCGGTACTGGTATGGCTTCTCTGGCCGGCAGCGGCACATGGTCTTTCACAGGTAGCAGGACCTGTTCCTTCACGGGAAGAGGCAGAGATTCGACAACAGGGACAGTCTCGGCGTGTGATTGGTCCTTGGGAGAAATGTAGGAAAAAGCAGCTCTTTTGGCCTTTTCTATTGCTTCATTCGATGGCATGGGAGGTATCTTTCGTAAGGGAGGATCGGGGGCATGATCCCGGTGTTCATTGTCGTGCTTTCGAGAAGGGAGTCGGGGTGGAAGAGAGGGTCGTTGTTGAGGCTTCGCTTCTGAGCTCGTAGCAGGTATGGCAACACTGGTACTCGAAGGGGCCCGATTGACATATTTCGGTTTGTCATCGGAATACTTTCTGGTGACAGGTTGATGATGTGCACCCTTGGGAGGGAGGGCAGGTAGTTCACACTCGCCCCACGCTGGTGCTTTGATTCGACTCGCAGAATCAGTTGACTTTGTCCGCGTGGATGTGACCCGTGAGGAGGTTGTGTCATTTGTACCGCTAGATGCAATGGATGCTACTGACCCCCTCCTTTGCTCATCGAGTGAGCTATTTCTACTCGGGAGGGGAGGAGGTTGTTTCCTGGCAGGAGGAGGGGGAGGAACAGGTTGATTGCCAACTCCGGAGCCTATGACAGAGCCATTCACCCGTTCTGGAGGATTATTGATGGAATTCTGCTTGACAACAACGGGACGCTTGGTAGGGAGCGGAGGGGTCGGGTGAGACGAAGACGGAGGATCTCCAGGAATGCGACCAATATGGGCAGCGTTCAAGGCTGCGATACGCTGCTGGAGGGTCAGAGGCTGTGGATCCTCGGCCATGATCGAGAATATTGCAGCCTAGAAAAGCAGGAAACGAAGAGAGATACCCTCAGAAAGGTTTCGTCACGCCAGAGTGGCCATGGTTAGAGAGCGCCAGTGTGAAGGGAAAAGGATGAAGACGAATGGCGGAGGGTTGGGACAGAGACACGAAGCACGCGCGGCGCAGTTTGGTGGGGATTGGCTGGGGACTGGCCTGTGATTATCGGGGGGCTGAGGGCCGGAAGTTTTGGCGGAAGATTGGCACTGGCTATGCCCAGACTCGACAAAAGTGTTCTCAGCCTCGTCCCGCCCATTACCTAAGTTCGCTGGTTTCAGCCTCACGCGCACGAGGCTGTGCCCCCTAATTTCACACCCAGCCATTCTTCTTGATACAATCCATAGATTTTGAGTTAAAGAATGAGTGTTGGAGGATTATGAAGACTGTCGCAGGGGCTTACTCGTATTAAACGTCAAAACGATGGTAGTCTTGCGGAATCGACAAATATTCAAATGAAATTCATTGACAGTTGACGTCTTCCCTAATGGTACCCGTGTTTCAAGTTCCTTGTTACCAGCGAACACCCTTTGGTCAACATCAACGTAGAGTTACGGGTCGAAGAGATTGCATCTACATGTTGGAGCCGAATTTCCCCACGTCTTGCCACATTTATAGCAAAATTCTGCACCACAGACGCAGGTCATATGGTTACAGCCATACTTCTTTTCCACCAAATGCCCACATGAAGGACAGAATTTCCAATGATTCTGCAGGACCATGGCCTTCAACTTCTTGTCATTTCCGCATAGGCCCCAATGCTCCTTCTTATTGCAAGATATGCAGATTCCATTCTTACAAAATGGGCATTGTGTATGTTCTCCGTGGATGTAGGATCGTGGGATGTAAGCAAAGCAATTTTCCCATGGGCAGTATAGTGGGTTCGGGCAATGGAGTTCCTTCGTCCATGACATAAAGTGGTTCAAAAAGTTGACATCCAAGTCTCCAAAGTCGCGGATGAGAGTGAAAGGTATGCTTTTGCCGCAGCACTTTAGCTCGTTCCTGCTTTTGAACATGTTCAACACGCCATCTGGGAAGCCAGTCAGCCTATGTGTGGCCTCAATTATGGCTGGAGACTAGCCGTGTAAGCATTCTCTGCAAAATGCGTGGCGACAGACCAGGTTCGCCATTTCCACTCTGAAGAACGGTTCCATACAGGCTGCGCAATCAACGACAGCGAAGAGCGAGTCTTCTCCGACACCTGGCCGCCATGTCGCCCTTTCCCTGGCGCGGATTGCTAATTCTCTCACCATGAGAGATCTCTCGCCCATCAATTCTTGATGCTTTTCTTGATCGCCATTTGATTGAGCATATTTCCGTTGGATTTCTAAGATTGGATTGAATTCTTGAATGGCATCAAAAAGGCAGACTTCGCCACTATGATGGACAGCGGCAACGCAGGCTCCAAAGAAGACGACATTTTGTTGCACAACCGGTTTCAAACTTGCCACCAAATCATCAACACCAATAACAGTCGGCTGAGATTGAGGGTATGTATCGAGGACTCGAAGGAGGAATGCGTAATTCAAGCCGGGAAGTTGAAGGGAAATTGTGCTATGATGGTTGTCAGAAAAAGTGGCCTGAACGCTGCCATCGCCGTAGATTGCATTGAGGACAGTGATCTCCTCAGTTAGAGTCTGATTATGAACCACGAGCATAAGGCACGGGTTGAGAATTTAGTTCCTTGCAATTAAGTTGATCTCGTAGCCAGCGCGAAAGACTGAAAAACGCAGATTGCCAGAAGGCGTGGCTGAGGAGATGCTGCTGTTTCATGCCCACTAAAATGCTCTTCGTAGTAATTAGATTGGAGCCAATATATGCACCATAGAGTCACGCTTTCGAATCACTAATCATAAATGCATCGAAGAATCATGACTCACAACTTACCTTTGTTAAGGTCAAATATATGCAGTCTGACACAGAAGCGCCCTCCGTTTATATTGATATCTTGGCAGTTTCCTCGTCAGACAGTCCCATTTTTCCATATTCAGGTCGCCCGGACGGGGCTCAGCCACATGGCAGTGCCACTGACCCCAAGAGCTGCCATTGGCCACTAGTTTCACTAAAGGAAGATCTGTGGCCGTTAGTGGTACTTCTTCAAGTGCGATGGAGTCCGCTTTAGCCAATGATAGATTCGTGACCGCTGAAAAGATGTTGGCGCTCGTTCAAGCCAATCCCTGCTCGATTATCTGACGGAGATGAGCAGATCTCGGTGCCATAAACGGATTTGTGATTTCTATCTGCATCCGAGGTCCCCATCGGTTGAGAGAAGATAAGGCACAGAGGGTTCCGGGACGACTGTTTTTCGCAAAGTAGTCGTCGAGACACTACTCGAGCCTGAAAGTGACTAGGGTAGCAAGCGAGAGGGTGTCACCGTAGTCAGTCTTGTCCAAAAGTAATGGAAATGAGTGCATCGATTTTAGGCAGACTCGGGGGGAAGAGCAGAGGGAGAAATGGAAAATGACCAAAAAATGATTTGATTTCTTTGATTGAATAAGCTATCTCAACAAACCCGTAGGAACACAGGAGCTGAGCACTAAGCAAAATTATCAATCGTCGTGACCGCAATGTTCTGCCGAGCCGAAATCATTCGTTTGTAATTCGATGGAGTCGTCATCATCGTCATCATCGGCTATGGTGTAAGCCGGCAAACCAGTGTCGTCTAGTATTTGCTGCCACCCCAGCTGCTGTTGCTGCTGCCGTGGTGCTTTTTCTTGTCTTTGAGCAAATCTTCAGCAACGCTGCCCAAAATGGCGCCACCGATGGTACCGAGGAAACCATGGTGGGCTTTTTTGCCTAGAAAATGGCCACCGACGCCACCGCCGATGGCGCCCAACAAACCTCGATCACTTTCAGTCATGGGAGGAGCATTAGGATCATAGTTAGGAGCATTGGGATCGCTGGATTGTGGCGCGAATTGATGTTGGCTCACATCGGGTAGTTGGCCGCCTTGTTGACCGCCTTGGGCCATTTGTGCTTGATACGCCTGGTTCTGAGCATAGGCGTCATTGCCACCGTATTGTTGTTGGCCATAGTAGCCTGGATGCCCTTGTGGGTTGCTCGCATCATATGCGCCATATTGACCACCTGCTTGACCATGTTGGAAGCCACCGTGCTGAGGTGGGCCGAAAGAGTCCTGTCGGCGTGGTGGGCCGAAGCCTTGATCTTGAGGAGGATAGCTTTGGTAGCCCTGTTGGCCATATTGTTGTTGCTGGTATCCCTGATCGTAGCTTTGTTGAGGAGGATAGCCGCCGCCGTATCCTTGTTGAGGGTATTGTGATTGTTGGCCGTAGCCGGAGTACGAGTCGTAGGGCCCAGACATAGTGTCGGTGAGAGCGGATGGGAGAGGCAAGAGTGATTTAAGGTGTTGAGGATCTGGAAAAGTTGGGTTGGTTGAGAGAGTTGTTCGATGGGTGGGAAGTGAGTGTGACGATGATAGCAGATGAAAGTAAGGTAGGAAGAATGAAAGATCTTATACTTGAGCGAGAGAACAGGAGAGGTTGCGCTCAGCGCCCAGTGCTGATAGTTACCACGCATCAACTCAGCCCCGCGGCGAAAAAGAGTTGAGTAAAGAGATTCTAGCCGCTCCCCTCACAGGGTCCTTTACGGGCGTCGGTTAGTGGTCAGCCGCTCCGTCCAGCATACTCCATCTATTACGAGGAGGTTTACTACCGCCACAGGTTTCCACATTCATCCGGGTCTTCGGCTTGACAGAACTTCATCCACTTTCCCGTTTTTGCACCCCCATCACCGTTCACTCATAGTTCACGTGGCGCCCCTATGTAATAGGTTTGCCAGGCCGTGGCGCAGACTGACATCAGCCACAGGTTTCCAGAAGGGTACTTCGTACTCGGACATGAACGTTTCCACCATCTCCAAACTGGCTGCACAAAGGTAAATTCCATCATTGACTATGGGTCTCCGCAATCGCTATCAACACCGGGCAGTCAAACTACACGCCTTATTCCGTGTCCTTCTGTGCCTCGAAATGTTCGGTTCGCATTCTATCATCTCTACCATCTCTACCATCCAACTCACTCTTCCTCCTGACCTTCTGCCCGCCTGATCAATTCAAAATGTTGACACATGACTACAAAGAAGCCTCGGCCATCGCTCGTAAGAGGAGGGCAGCCAATATTGCAGCCTTTTACAAACCTCCCACCTGGAATGAAGCAGACCTCCCTCAAAACTTAGCCGAATTTGCTCTCAGGTCAGGCTACTACACATCAGACGAGCTTGCCATAATCCAATCTGAGGCAGATGTTATTCTCGACAGGATTAAAACCAAAGCATGGACTTCTCTAGAGGTTGCAAAGGCCTTCTGCAAGGCGTCAGCCCTGGCCCAAGAATTGGTAGATCTTTTCCGCAGGCTTGTCCTCACCTTACCGCTCACCATTGTCAGACCAATTGTGTGACCGAAGTTCTTTATCCGGAAGCAATGGAAAGAGCAAAGTATCTTGACGATTATCTCGCGCGTACTGGCCAAACGATTGGCCCACTTCATGGGCTACCGATTTCCCTCAAGGATTGTTTTGTGACAGCAAACCATCCCTCGTCCAACGGCATATGCGCATACGCCAATGAACCTCTGCATAAGGATGCCATGTTGGTGACCATCCTCCGTGACCTCGGTGCAGTGTTCTACATCAAGACTAATGTTCCCGTTGCAATGATGATGGCCGAGACCAACAACAATGTCTGGGGTGAGTGTCGAAATCCTCTCCATAAGTATTTAAGCCCAGGTGGCTCCAGTGGCGGCGAGGGTGCTTTAATAGCCATTAAGGCCTCGCCACTGGGGATTGGAACGGATATTGGCGGCAGTATTCGGATTCCATCTGCGTGGTGCAATCTTTATGGCCTCAAACCCAGTTTTGGTCGTTATCCACATTATGGCGCCAAGCCCGGTATAGCCGGGCAAGAATACATCTTGTCGGTCAATGGACCTATGTCAAGATCTTTGAAATCCCTTCAATTGTACTCTGAAGCCGTCTTGTCAGAACGAAGCAGCCCTTGGGAGTATGATCACAAATGTATTCCCATCCCTTGGAGGAAAAACGTCATTCAACCTCCCGGGCGAAAACTTAGATTTGGTCTCATTGGCATCAATGATGGACTTGTTCATGTTCATCCACCAGTTGAACGGGCTCTGAATATGACCAAGGCAGCACTTGAGAGGCAAGGTCATGAAGTCATCCCATGGTCTACAGAAGACCATGAGGCCCTTGTCAAGGTATGATATTATTTCATCAGTCTCATTCTATCACGTATTCACTCATATTCAGAATCTTCAAGCCGCATTCTTCGACCTTGGAGGCACCGCGATCATGGATGTGGTTAAGCCCTATGGAGAACCAATTTTCCCTTGTATGCAAGGCTATGCACTAGCCGCCGAGGCAGGCGAAGGCGAACTTGGGCCAACAAAAATGCGAATGATGAATCTTCGACGCAATGAACTACAAAAGGCATACCTCGATCGATGGAATGCCACGGCAGCAAATGGGAAGTCTCGTATGGATGGTATCATTTGTGCCACCGCTCCTTGGGCGGCTCCTCGACTGGGACAGACACAGACGAATCTATATGTTGGTTTCACGGGCTTCGTTAACTTTTTGGGTAAGTACCACTATAGTATATTTAAATCTTCGACGCTGCTAATTTTGAGCTCAGACTTCGCCGCCTGCACCTTCCCCGTAACTTTTGCGGACAAGAACTTGGATAAGGCGCGGGATATGAAGACATTCAGACAATTGACCGACATTGACGGTAGAATTCAAGTGGATTATGACCCAGAGTTCTATCATGGCGCTCCTGTAGCATTGCAAATAGTTGGGAGACGCCTGGAGGAAGAGAAAGTCTTGGAGATGTGCGAGGTTATCGCCAATGCACTGAAGGCAGGTTGAGAGCTGCAGGCATATCCCCGAGCTGTGATGCCTGATTTCCTCCAACAAAGAAATAGCTGCCCAACTGCCATAAAATTAAACATTTGCAGACGTAGATCCTGCGCGAAGTCAATCCCCACCATCATCCATCTGCAGTCATCGTGTGAACATGATCCGGCAGCCAGCGCAGCGTTGTCTCTACAATTGCGTTGTTGGCGAAATATTTGGTACCAACGCGGTGACTTCAGCCTCAGGACCTGACAAGAACTTGTTCTGGTAGACTCATAGAGACTAGCCACGCTGAGTTGGTCCCTTGTTCACCAGAGCCCTTAGGATCAGGCTTATCCACGCACAGAGAACACGGTTGAGAAGTTGGCTGCCGAACATAGTGGGGTTAGAGGATACCTGGCGGGCAGATGCATCGCACTCTAACCTTTCCATTAGCATGACCTGCTTTGGTGTGCTCCATTCTCTCGTCACCATGCAGGCACTGCTCAATGGTCTCGACACATCATAGGGCTGCAGGCGTTCCATGGGCATTCTGCAGAATCTCCATATTGAATGCCAGTCGCGCATTTGGGACGCTCCATGCTGGAGATATTGGTTACAGGGAACTGGGAGACTCGGGTTGTCATGAGGAAGACGGTAAACGGGAGGGGTCGAGAGAGTGAAGAGGAAAAACAACTCACTTTGCATTCGACGGTAAAAATTGTTCGGCGTGAAGGCGCAGACTCACAAATTAGATACCACCAAGGGTAGAGTTTAGGTGACATTCATTCCCACTCCCGCTTTATACCTATCTACGCGCACCCAGCTATGACGAACAGCTCCTTTTTCTGCGTATCCTCTCATAAACCATTCGTTTCTTTATGATCAAATGTTCAGCCTTGTCTCTATGCCTCCACAATTCATGTTTCCTTACAATGTGAACGCCAAGCCATTAGTAAGCATCACGTGCTATCAAACCCCGCCTTGCAATTGACCCCAAGATCTTTGGATCTCAGAGGCCTCAAACTGATACTTCAACCCGCGGTTCTGTGCCAGAACCCTTTGCAAAGGTTGGCAGAAGGTAGGTGATGTCGTCCCATGGATGTCTGTACAGTCCTTGGCGGTTTCTCTTCTGATCCAAGTAATGTGCGATCAAACCGATGGAACGACCAAGAACGAACAACCCGTTGAGAACACCCATACGCATATAATCTTCAGCTTCTTCAGGAGAGAAAGCACCGCAGTTTCTCATCAAGTCTACGAAGCATACTGCAATGCATCCGTCGACGTTCAGGATGAGGTTGTCCTTCTTCGAAGTGGTGACAGTCTCCACGGCAAGGGCATAATCGAGAAGCTTATGAGAAGCGAAGTTTTTCAACACAAAATCCTTGACGAGTTCGACACGGAGATCGGGATTGTTTCGGGACTTGATTCGGTGACCGATACCAGGGACTGGGGTAATGGTTAGCCCAAAATCCGAAAAACCTTCCAAGGACAACCTACTGAGTTTGTTCTCTTTTCGCATAGTGTCAACGAATTCTCTGGGAGACCAGCCCTTGTCGAAAGCTTTGGTGAACTCTTCAGCGGCGCCATCAAGGGCACCACCAAATCGAGAACCAATGGTCAAGAGACCAGCAACCAGTGAAGAAATCAAATCCTTGCCGGCACGGGTAGTGATGATGGTGTTCATCGCGCCGGACACGGCAGGACCGTGATCGGCAGTCAGCATGAGAACCATTTCCAAGAACTTGCTGGCATAGGGAGGGAGTCTGCGACGGAACCACAAAAGAGACATGACACCACCAATACCGATATCCTCCTTGAATACGTCGGAGATTGGCATACCCGCGTAGAGCAATTCTTGACCCCTGTCATCCGAGATGGTAGAGATGAAAGCGGCAGGTTTGCGGATGAGACCCAGTTCTTGAGCCCAGGCGTAGTCGATGGGAATCTTGGGTGGGACGGGTTCGGGAGCCGGCTTGATGGTACCTTGCTTGACGAGTTTCTGGTAAACTTCAGACAGAAGTGCTGGCATATCCTCGAAGGTATCTGGGACAAAGAAACCTGCTTCCCTCATGGATTTGTTCTTCATGACGGCCGTCTCAAGTTGAGAATTGGCGGAAGCACCAGCGTGACCGAATTGGACTTCCGTCTTGAACATGCTTGCGCAAGTACCAATAGCCCATGCGACAATGGGTTTGGTGATTTGACCCTTTTTGACGGCTTCAATGACGCGGTATTCCTCAACACCGCCGACCTCACCGAGCAGCAGCAAGATTTTGCATTCTGGCTCGTTTTGGTAACGTAGCAGGTGGTCGATGAAAGAAGTTCCGGGGTATCTATCACCACCAATGGCAATACCCTCGTAGACACCATCGGTGTTTTGTGAGATGATATTGTTGAGTTCGTTGGACATACCACCAGATTTGGAAACATATCCAACAGAGCCCTTGCGGTAGAGCTTGGAAGCAACAATGTTGTCCATCATACCGCCGGTGTTACCAATCTTGAAGGCACCAGGCTTGATTCCACCAACGGTGGCAGGCCCAATGATTGTGATTCCCTTCTCTTTCGACTTGACCATGATCTCGCGGGCACGACGCTCAGGGACACCTTCAGCAATGATCGCAATCGAGCGAACTTGGGGGATATTCATCAACTCCATGGTGGAGCTGTAGACTGATCGAGAAGAAGCAAAGTTCACAATCGTGTCGACGTCTGGGTGCTTCTCAAAGGCCTTCTCGACGGATTGGTAGACAGGGAGGAGAGTCTCGCTGGTTCCCCAGTACATCTTGCTGACGAATTGACCGCCAAAGGTGTAGATGATACCGGCCACGGAAGGTGTTGATCGCTTGCAAATGAAATCGAAGTCGAGCATGCCCTGGACGGCCTTCGGTTGCATACCACTGTTTCCCGTTGTCAGATTTCCTCCCGTCGGTGGTCCCCCCCCCCTTTTTTGAGACTTACTAGACGAAGCATCGAGTCTTGTTGTGAAAGAGAGCATTTTGCAAAGGAGTCATCGCCCTAGAAGGAGGATTGAAACGACGGATGTTGTCGTTGGCAGAGAAAGGTGCCTCTGATCCAGGGGTTGATGTTCCATCTTGTATGTCGATTTTGGGCACTCCGTTCGTGGCGGAAGGCATAGTGGGAGAGTTCTCGCGAACTGGAAGTCCCATTCCGTTAGCTGAAGACACAAAATACAGACAACAAGAGCGATAATGGCGAGAATAGGTCGATCTTGACCGGTGTGCAGGAGGAAGAGAGAAGGGGTTTTCAAAAAAGGAAGGGGATGTCGGAGACAGAATTGAACATACATTGGATAGATCAGTTGTTGGGTGATGATGTATGGCAAAAGAGAAATTAAACGCAGATTCAGGTTAAAATCCAGCCAAAAAAAATAAGATCGCCGACGGAGGAGGAGGATGACAGGTGATGGGAGAAGCTGTGGACAAGTTGGGTAGTGAATTAGAAAAATGTGATGGTGATCGGTTGTTTGATGGTGGTGTTTCGTGTGGAGTGCGAGGATGGTGCTGAGCCTGGACGTGCAGGATTGGGGTTTGGCGTGAATTTGCCATTTGGGGAGAAACTAGCAATTGAGATGATTCTGTTGAGTCCGGTTGCTAGCAAGCTATCGGAGGGACAGAGCTTGGGGGCCCGAAAATAGGAATGGCGGCCCCCAATGTCTTTTGCACCCCCTTCTTCGCTACACCGTTTTCCCGGGGCGGTGAAGCTTGAAATGCTGTGAGTGGAGTTTCAGCCCTTGGATGCGATCTCTTCTCCTATCCTACTAACTTGAGTCCTCCGTTGCGGGCCGGAAAAGGCTGAGATACCTCCATAACTTTACAGCAGGACCCCTTTTTACAGGTGTCTCCCTATCCACCGAGCGGCGGTCGAGAATTTGGCGGGCCTAACCCTTCGCCGACATCACCGTTGTGATCCCTGACTGGAGGGCATCTCTCGCGTGCCCATCTATTCGGAGTCCGGCCTGCAAGGTCCACGTCGTATCTCGTACTCCGGTGCAACAATGTTCACTGCAGCGAGAGCAAACAGTCTTTGTATACACACCACTCGGCGGATTCCCATTTCGAAATCCTCTGGCTATCGGGAGTTGAATCAAGCTAACAAGAGATTGTGAGAGATGGTTCTATTCTCGGTGTTCGAATAATGTCCTACGTAGCACGAAGAATTTCCTCGGCTTTGAATGGTTTCTCCCCTCCAACAAAATACAAATGTTTTGCGCCGTTAGTGCAGGACAGCCAACGTCACACAGGGTTAGCGAGTTGGGAAAGCGGTGACCGACTGTGGGATTTGTCTGTCAAATAACACCTGGAAGTGCGTAGATAGTTACGGGGGCGGGATGATGGGACGCTGTTCCTGGCGCTACTAGCAGCTGCGTGAGATCCACCCTGTACCAGCAACAATGTGTGCCCTCCCAACAACCGCAACTGAGCACTCCACCCAAAACTTGTCAAAGGGAAGGCTTGTACCCTCCAAAGGGCCAACATTCACGTTTTGATCCCTGAGCCAGCAATAATTCTGACCCCCTTGCTGTTCCCTGCACGCAAACTATTCCTCGCACTTTCAATTCAAGCGACCCGACTTGTCCATTGTATTCTCAATATCTTAGATTTCTTCCCGTCTCTGAAGACCAAAACACAACTCGTCGTCGCTCGACTCTCCTGAACATTTCTCCATTACCCCCACACAGCCGCAACAATGTCAGCAAAGTCCATTCTCGAGGCCGACGGGAAGGCCATTCTCAACTATCACCTCACCCGTGCTCCAGTCGTTAAACCAACCCCTCTGAAGCCTTCTGGCGTCCATAACCCTCCTGCCAAACTAGCCTCCATATACTTCCCCGAAGATGAGTCTGTACAGGCCGTTCTGGACCAGGCTGAGGCCACCTACCCATGGCTACTGGCGACTGGCGCCAAATTTGTCGCAAAACCAGATCAATTGATCAAGAGAAGAGGAAAGAGTGGCCTGTTGGCTTTGAACAAGACCTGGCCAGAGGCCAGAGCCTGGATTGAGGCCAGAGCTGGCAAGGACCAAAAAGTTGAGACCGTCACCGGTGTCCTCAGACAATTTTTGGTCGAGCCATTTGTGCCTCATCCCCAGGATACTGAATACTACATTAACATCAACTCGGTCCGAGATGTAAGATCTGCCTCCCCAGGTGAATGACAATAGATTAATGGATTCCCAGGGCGATTGGATCCTCTTTACACATGAAGGCGGTGTCGACGTTGGTGATGTTGATGCGAAGGCTGAAAAGATCTTGATCCCAGTCGATTTGAAGGATTTCCCTTCAAACCAGGAGTTGGCGTCCACTCTGCTCAAGAAGGTGCCCAAGGGCGTCCACAATGTGCTGATTGATTTCATCGTCCGACTCTACTCCGTCTACGTCGACTGCCAATTCACCTATCTTGAAATCAACCCCTTGGTCGTCATCCCCAATGCTGCAGGCACGTCAGCCGATGTCCACTTCCTCGATCTTGCAGCGAAACTCGATCAAACGGCAGACTTCGAGTGTGGTACAAAATGGGCCATTGCACGAAGTCCGGCTGCGCTTGGTTTACCCGGTGTCAAGACCGACGGAAAAGTTACCATCGACGTTGGTCCACCCATGGAATTCCCCGCACCTTTCGGTCGTGAGCTCAGCAAAGAAGAGAAGTACATCTCGGACATGGATGCGAAGACTGGTGCTTCTCTTAAATTGACCATCCTCAACGCGCAAGGTCGCGTCTGGACTTTGGTCGCCGGTGGTGGGGCATCCGTCGTCTATGCCGACGCTATTGCCTCCGCCGGTTTTGTCAGCGAATTGGCCAACTACGGTGAATATTCTGGGGCTCCGACAGAGACCCAAACTTACAACTATGCCAAAACTGTTCTTGACCTGATGCTCCGAGCACCCGTGCACCCCGACGGCAAAGTTCTCTTCATTGGTGGTGGTATTGCCAACTTTACCAATGTCGCCTCAACCTTCAAAGGTGTGATCCGCGCTCTTCGTGAGGTTGCCCACGTCCTCAATGAGCACAAGGTCCAAATCTGGGTCCGCCGTGCCGGTCCCAACTACCAAGAAGGCCTTAAGAACATCAAGGCCGTGGGTGAGGAATTGAAACTCAACATGCACGTGTATGGTCCTGAAATGCACGTCAGTGGTATTGTGCCACTGGCTCTCTTGGGCAAGAAGACCACCATTCCTGAATTCGGAGGCCAGTAAACGGTTGGAGTGAAGACGGTTGATTTTTGTTGTATGATTTGATCTGGAGCATATCAATTATCAAATCGAAATTTGATGGGTCAGCATGCGCTTGGGTGATCGGAAAACAAGGCCTAGGGGTTTCTTCCGGAGTTGAAATTTTTGATGACCAGTGAAAGTAGCGGGACCATTGTGCGTGTTGTATAGACAGCGAGTGATCGGTCTCTTTGATGTGGAAGAGACTGAATTCGAAGACAACGAGAGTAAATCACATAGCTAGACCGAGATGGTAATGACAAATATTGATGCCCAGCTTTTGAATTGTTTTTGTATTGAATACTCAAAAAATGGTGGCCCACAAGAAGCTTATCTATTGTCTTGTTTGGGAATGTGGCATCGTGTAGCCTTCATGCAAGGCTGCAACCCCTTTCCAGCCAGCAGTCTGCATATAAAGCCCATAGCTAGCACCATAATAATGTTCATACCGTCTCGAACAGCGTAGCCATTCTCTGAACTCCTGACTCCGGTTTCACCCTGAGCCCAATCGCCAGCCCCCGCACGGATCGTGCCATAACATCGTTCACTCAAATGACCTCTTCACAACTGGGGGGAGAACATTTCCATCTCCTCAAGAATTTCTATCCCTCTTGTCCCGATCGGATTCCCATTGATAATTTCTTACTCCACGAGCACGACCTTCCCGCCGCTTAGTTCATCGATATACGCCAATTTTCCGCATCCTTGACTGGTCTTGTGGTTCTCTTCGCGCAGCAGCACGGCAAGCACTTCGATAGGCGGCTCGAGACCGAGGAAATTCGCTCGTCTCCAGCGTTGCAGGCGTGGAATGCCGATGCATGGTCCGTATTGTGAGGAGAGATCAAAGTGGCGCAGGATTTTCTCGTGGAGAGGCAGCGTTGATTGGTGGACTGACGAGATGTGTTAGTGCGCCGAGTTAAAGGATTAAAAGGAAAGCGAGCGAGGACTATGGGCTAGAGGTCTATGATAGGAATATTGGAAGCTAACACGTACCTCGAGGAGCAAGCCGACTGTCCTCCTCGGCTTTCCAGTACTTCTCCAGCTGGGCGTCTGTGATTTTCTCCGCCGCCAGTTCCCGTTCATCTTTCGCTGTCTCTGCATTCTTCTGTCTCCGTGCTTTGGTTTTGACTGGTGATTCTCGGGTTGCCACATCGACCTCAACGACTTTCTCCTCTGGCTCCGGCGTTACTTTCACACTTTCCTCCTGTATTGCTGCTGCTTCATCTTCGGCCTGCGCTTTCACGGGCTCTGAGAGCTTGGATACAGCTTTCTTCACTGCGTCATCTTGTTTATTGCTCGATTTCGTCACCCGGGCGGCTTTATTGTTGAAGGACAGAGTTGATTGTGCAGAGGGGGCGGTCTTTGCTTTGGCTCTACGCCCTCGTGGCATGGTGGGTTTGCTGGTGGCGGTTTTTTTCTTTGGAATCGGAGATTTGTTTTCGCTTGCGGTTTGTTGGATAATTTGTTGTTTGCAAATGCTGTAGAGAGATGTAAACTGATGCTTGATTCTGGCTTTGTGTCTGCAAATGGTTTCTGAAATTCGGAAGCAAGCCGAGTGACGTCCTTAATTGACGCTGCCTAGCAACGGAGCAGCCTAATGGACCACAAACCTGATTGGCTCCTCGGCGCGCGCCGGCCACGCGATCTCTTTAAAGCGCTCACAGAAAAACACAGAGGGTACTATTTCAAAGATTGCCCATTTCTTACTTTGTTGCCACATGTCCCGTTATTCATTAACAGTTGTGTACTTCTTAACATCTCAGCAGCTTCCACCACGCTGGATACAGGAGACAGTACTCTGAGAATTGCGACCATGGAACGCTTACGTACAGTGCTTGGGCAGGAATGCAATTTTCGAATCAACTCCAACAAGTCATCACTTCAATGTTTGTTTCCAATACGATATCTTCTGGGTCTGTTGATTGAAATACCATCATAGAGAGTTGTCAAAGCAAGCTTCCCAAACGGCATTGCCTCGCGTCCTCTCTTCTGCCATCTGCGAATAGCCTCATCAGTCTCCTCTCTATCCTTATGTACGGATGGTAATCGAAGGCGGTGTGAGCAAAAGATTCTATTGACTTGTCTGTTCATTGTTCAATATGACAGCTGACTTGGTTAGGGGATGATCGACATATGTTTGTCAAGAATACTGAAGTCCAACAAGAGAACCCATGGATAACCTCTGTGAGCTTTCGGACATATGTTCCCGCTCTTTCCGCGTGACTAACCGCTTAAAATTCGTCTCTCCGTTGTTGAGATGGAGCACGGCAAGATTGAGGATTCCTTGACAATAACTTTATTGGTCATTTGTCTCCTTTTCCCTGACCTCCGCCTGTTTTCGACAATCATGCGGCTATTCCTAAAAACTGTGGACTTCAACAGGCGGCTCAACATGGATGAAATTCTAAACACGAATCAAAGAGTCACCATTTGGTTGATACTTTGACGTACGATGACTATCGAGTCGCTTGCTTGTCTCCACTGAGCTGTCGTATTTCATCCTCAAAATGCTCTATCTTCTGAGCTCGTCTTGATTTTCCTGGAGCAGCAATTGAATTTCGGCCGATTGATCGTGGAACTTATCAATATCCTCCAGATTTGTCTTTAGTGTGTGGCATTCATCCTCCTTAGCTTTCAGCACGCCAGTCAGGAATTTGGCGGGGTCGTTTAAACTTGATCTTTAGCGCATCGCATTTGCCCCCCCCCCCCCACCCCAACCCAGACTCTCGGCAGGTGAGTCCGCTGCGTATATGCTCGAGAAGGTTTTGCCCAACTGCTTCCATTCTTTTGTTTGGAGCCGCACTTCCTGGCGGGGGCCATGCCAGAAGCAAGCATGTTTGGATGTAATCTCAACCAGAATGAACACTGACCCAACAAATACCGCTGAGGTCCCAGTTGTCCGGAGACTGCGAGGACCAATGGGCTAAGAGGAGGTGAGGATGCAGAAAGGAAATACTTGCTCGCTGCTAGAGGTACGCAGGCAAACGCGACAGAAGGCGGGAGGGAGGCCTGTTGCGAGACTGGGTCAGTATCTCTCGTCGCATCTGTTAAGCCGTAGCGCAATGAAAAGAGGAGTCATCGCATACACGTCCAAGTTCGTTTGGTGTTCCGCGGCCACAAAGAGAACAAATCCCTGTGCAATCAAGACCTCAACGACGTCACCTGACTGCGACTGAGACAGGTCAATTATTTTCTGACCGAAGGGAATGCGAAATTCATATGACGCGTCTTCGTGGGAGCATGGCTTGGCGAGAAATGGACATCAATTAGTCCCTAACTCGGTAGATACCGGACTACCGACGTTCGCTATCTAGGTACTGTTGACCAGCAGCTTCCATTCATTGGGGGCAACCATATGGCAGATTCACATCCCGTCCGCTTTTCCATCAAGCATCACCCACGCCGGTCTGTGTGAAGCCGTAGCAACATCTTTGAGGTCGCTTACCTGATTGCTTGAAGATATCAATCCTCGCTTGCCAATGAAAATGTACTTTGTTTGACGACGAGGCTGCCATCATTGGTAACGGTGAGTCCAGGTGCATGCTGCTGAGAGGGCTTCCATGGGAGAAGTGACCAGCCTTTCAAACCAGCTCTGTCGCTCATATCTTATTGAATTTACCAGAGCAGCCCCCCAATCGTCAGCTTCTTTTTGCTGGCATTTACATGTTTTACCAACATATGTGAAAGAAGTCGCAGGCAGCTGTTTCGTTCGGGGTATATTGAGGTGGGAGACTCTGTTGTGTCTGGCAGAATCTCCCACAAAAGTCCAGGAGGCTCTTCCATAGCCCCTTCGATATGGGAGTTGTGAGACGTCAAACCTGGATCTGCAGGGTTTTCCGATCGGCTCACTCGATTTAGGGGGTCGTTGCGTTGAAATAAGAGATTTGAGCGTCCAAAATACAAGTTGTCATACATCGGATCTCGCGCTAGCCCCGAGCCGTCAAATTTCTCGTCGAAACGCCTGCAATCCTCTTCAAATCTATCCGGCTGCAGATATGAAAGTGTTAGTCCAAAAGACCCCAACCAATCTTTGTCTTCCTCTTTATCTGTCCACACAAATTGGAGGGAGCACTTACCACACTGGACAGGTACCACTGAAGCCCAACAGCCAGGGGTCAATACAGGTCCGGTGATATCTATGACCACATGGCAAGATCCTGAGGGTCTCGTTCGCCCTGAAGGGCTGTGTGCAAACAGAACACTCCGACTGTTCCATTCTAGTTCCGACTTCCTGATCGGTTCGAAAACCGGTCGCATCGGCATTGGTCTTCCCTGTCCCAGTAAGGGAGGACATCATGGTTCGAGAATTCTCTTTGCCTTGATCACCCTTGCTCTCATTGGTGTCATTTGGATCTTGGCTGTGCCAAACACTCTCATCAACCTCGCAACGCTCTAAATCCAAGCTTTTCACTCTCCTGACTGGCTTCGAGCTCCCGTCATGATATTTGATGACAGGAATCGTTTTAAGGACAGAAATTGCAATGCCCTTCTGCTCACGTACATGCTCTGCCGGTGCGTGTCGCCGTAGCTGCATGAGATCGGGCTGCGGCAAGGGTGGTCTGTAGCTTCTCAATACTATGGATAAGACGGTGATAAAGGCAATCACCCCGATGAGGACACAGACGGTGACTACGGTCCTATTCTTGATAACGTCTGTACCAGACGATTGAGAAGGTCCGGTGGCCATAGAGGAAGAAATAGGATGTTCAAGGTTTCTGGCCCTCAGTCACAAAGAGGGAATATATTTGTTTTCTGGATGACAGTGATAGCGATGCTTCACGAGTGCTCCCATCATTGAATACACATGGGCAGCTCGTTACTCGATGCCAGCATGGTCAGCTTATCAAAAATACCTCATACTCCACGGTCAAAGTCGCGGCATTTCCTGACCACAACGGGGTGTTTCCTGATCCCATCGTGATTAGAACTGCTCTTCGTTGCAGGGGTGGCTGAGGAGACTTGGTGTCGATGTTGGTTGAATAAAGCCCAGCCCAAGCTTTCCAAGATGGAGGTAAGTTCCCAAACTCTAACCCCGCAGGTCGAACCTCCAAGCTAAAACGGGGAGGGCGAGGTCAACTTAGGCCAATAAAGTAAATATTACTGGATAGACGGCAACGAAAATTTCAAACGCCAAGACGGGCATCCACCAGCAGGGGCGGTGACTTGTATCAACTCCGATGCTTGCAGGAATGACACACATTTTCATGTTGGAGCAAGACTTCCTATCCAGGAACTCACCATGGTTTCCTCCTCCCAACGCATAAATACGAAGCTTGTACCACTCCGGTGCTGGATGCATGGCGCCCAGTAGGGTTTGACATCACCATTCATCAGCACATACCTGCAGCAACACCCATTCGCTTGTGGTATGGCCGTCCATCACGCCATGTACGCATTCAAATCCAAGAGTTTGATAGGCCAGTCGTTTAGACCATTTTTTTGGCTTTTTCACCGGCCATGTTCTCAGAGTATGGGCGTAATTGAAGAGGACACAATCCGCCCTTTCGTTCGGTCTCTCCCAGCTTTGCTCTTTTTTCCAGCTTGAAGTGTTGAATGTCCCATCAATCCAGGTTTGCTACAACGATCCAGATTGCCGAGGAAGTCCACCCCAAAAATGGCCTTCAAAAAGACGAAATCCAGGTCCCAGTTGAGTCAGCATTACTAGAAGATGATGGAATCTACAACATACACTCAAGATTTGAATCCTTTTTGTTTGGCCGAGGTCTCTATCGAACGAGAAGCGAACATAGCAAAGACGAAGATCCGGGCTTAAGAAGAGAAAGAGATTTTGAGCAAAAACAGGTACAACAAGACTTTCAGTTTCATTCTTATAATAACCATGCCAACGTGCTACAGATACTCTCGAGCAAGATGTTCGCATAGCTGGCGTATCAATCAATTGGCGTCATCTATGGAGACATCGGCACGAGTCCTCTATACGCCATAACACTCCGATCTCGAAAATGCAGGTCGACGAATGCGTCGAGGTCTCGAATCCAGTCGAATTGTACGCGGTATCTTAAAGACAATGGGTGTTTTCGCCCGTGTCCATGGTTATTGCCGACGGTGTCCTTACGCCTACCCAATCAGTTTTAGGAACGGTTCAAGGAGCCCAAGTGATGAATCCAAGTCTTTCGAAAGGTGCTATAGTTGGCATTGCCGACGCCATTCTGGTGCTACTATTTCTAGGTTGGCCTTTTGGTATCAGCAAGATCATCGTTTTGTTTGCTCCGATAGTTATTGTTTGGCTTGGATTCAATGCGGTGTTTGACATAGATAATCTTGTCAAATATGGTGCGACAACCTTTAAGGCGTTCAATCCCGGGTACGCTTTCGAGTTCTTGATCCACTACGGAGAACATGGATAGAGAATGCTTGGTGGAATTCTATTCGCCTCTACTGGGGGCGAAGCTCTGTTTGCAGACCTCGGCGCATTCAGTCGATGAGCGGTCCAGCTTAGTTCGCTTTGCTATACGTTTCCGTGCCTTCTGTTGGCACACATCCGGAAGCTTATTCGAACCATTTTTTCAACGCTGCTCTACCAGGAACCATCTATCCTACCCCGATTATTGCGATATTGGCTGCAATTGTTGCTTCTCATGCAATTATCACGTCCACGTTTCAGCCTGACATTTGGATTGATCTAACTTGTTGTCTAGCTCCTCGCACAAGTGATGGAGCTTTCTTATGTCTCGCAATTGACCGCGATACATACATCCCAAGTTTTCCTCGGCCAGCTCTTTATTCCACTGGTCAATTGGCTTATTATGATTGGAACAATCCTAGTCGCATCCATCTATAATAATGTATGTGTTTTGTTGTCCTCTTTCTAAGATAAGTTACACACATGTCCACAGACCACCTCGCTTGGAAATGCCTATAGTGTCTATGTTATGTTCATCACGTTCTTCGACACTTGTATGATGTCATTGACTGCAATATTCGTTTGGCGTGTTAGCCCATTCATCGATTTCGTCTCCCGGCTCTTCATCACTTGCTTGGACGGGACATTCCTTTCATCAGCACTTACCAAAATGCCAGATGGTGCTTGGTTCACACTAACGCTAGTTGCCGTGCTCGGGCTTGTATTTATAGTGTGGAGATTTGGCAAAAAGCAACAGTGGTTTGCTGAGGCGGAGGATCGATTCCCGACTTCTCACTTCGTTCGGGACGGTGCAATTGCCAACTCCAACTTACTGAAAAAATCAACGGCACTCCACCCAGTGCCATCAACGGTTTTCGCATCTTCTTTGACAAGGCTGTCGAAACTTTCCCCCTCGTCTTCAGCCAATTCGCCACCAAACTCACTGCAATCCCAGATATCGTGGTATTCTTTCATCTGCACCCTCTGGAAATACTGTCCCTGGCGCCTTCTGAACGTCATTCAGTCTCCCGATTGGCCAAGAACAGATGAAGATGAAGCACGGGACCAACCTGTTCAGGAAGTTCTTCTTTGAGACGTTCCTCTGAATGAAAGAGAACACAGGGACGAAGATGGCGAATCTGAACGTCCCCACTGAGAAGGTTGTTGAGATGGTATTCTTGAAAGAAATTCAATTGTGGAAATGGCTAAATGTGTTGAACTTTATCATGAGGTATCTCGTGGCACGTTTCTGGATGATAGGACGGACAGAAATTAATTCACAATGTGACTTCTTGGACAGAGGTGTTCGCAGCAGGGCCGGCAAACTTCCTAGTCCGTGCATGATAGCACTGACAGAATAGTGCCCTGATCAACGCGGTGGTATTCATGACTTGGGGATGGATGTCGGAGATATTGAAAAGCGAGCTTATCTGTGCCAGGGGCAGCAGAAAGGGAACATCCAATGCGAAGGACTTTCGTAAAGGATGTTGTAGAATGGACAGTTGAAATGGTGGACGATAGCCATGTGCTGGTGCGCCGGGACACCCTTGACGTTGTAAAAGAGCCAATCAGCGGCCGCCGGTAAGACGGCGCAGGAGCGGAGGGAATCCAGTCTTGGCAGGTCTAAGCCACTCCCCACATGTCGACGTATGAATATTACAGATACACTCGCAGTACATTGGTCCGAACCAGGGCAGACGAACCAGCTCGCCAGAGCTTCAGAACCTACTAACTTAAAGTACCAGATCTCCGTCTCGTTTCGTTTTCCAGTTTCTCACAATACCGCATCTGACGCCGACTCCCATTCGGTAAAACAAGTGTTCCTTCTGGTCCTCGATCAGCCGCCAATTTTGGAGATTTAACTTCCTCAGTCAGTGAGGCATTTATGCAACCCTCTGCGACAGAGTACCTCTGTCCCCGGATCGGCCAATGACTTCCAGCTTTCTCTGGACATGGGGTTGTGGTACTTGATTTCCTGGACATTGCTTCATCACAGCGCATCGGCGAAATGTTATCTTAACACAATCGAGGTCTTGATATGGAGCTGCTAACAGAAACCGGAAAGCCGATCACATTCTATCATGCCTTTGCCAGCAAAACTTAGCTTTTGGCCCCGGTTGCGACGTAAGTATAACCGTCGCAATGTCGATTGGCCTCGTGGGGCCTTGGCTCCTTGGGTTCTCATCGAGATTTATTTGCATGATCTTGTTTGTTTGCGTTCCACAACCCACACTGTCTTCTCAGACAAATAAATATTTGGAGCTGCCCTCTTCGCGCTTCACTCTTTCTCTAACGACGTTCGGATTTGTACTTCTTTTAGTACCGATTTCACTTTATAATTCCCTGGAGTTTTACGGTAGACTTTCGACAACAATCACTTCTTTGAAAAGAACAATACTCTAAAGGTTACAAAGGGGGAAAAACGGGCACTATGTGGAAGCCACCGATAAATTTTATCACTCTGCATTGTGAGTTTCATACCTGCAGGCTGCGTCCCTTCACAAGCCTCCGTATTGACCACAATTTGCCAGATGCGTACATTCTCAGCTTGGGACTTTTGGGATTCATAATCATTTACCCTTATGGCAACCTGGCGGCCGTCGATGCCTATTTCTTCGGCGTCAGCGCGTCGACAGAATCAGGTCTCAACACGTGAGCGCTCATTGACCAGTCGAGCTGCAAGAATATTCGCCTACTGATCTCCATTAGGGTTGATGTCAAGGCCCTCAAGACATACCAACAACTTGTGATCTACTTCAGTCCCATTCTGGGCAATCTCGGTTTCGTCAATATCATCGTGGTTGTTGTCCGATTACGCTGGTTTGAAAAGAAGTTTAAAAATATCGGTAAGTCTACGTCCATCATAAGTCGAATGACTTCAAAATACTGATGAAACCGATGGCTAGCTCGGATCCAACTTCGAAACAGACCCAACCGTAGCCACGGTGATGATCCTGGAGCCAGACCAGCTGCCAGAAAAGACAGGCCAGATCAGACTCGAGAGCACAAAGCTCGGGAATTGCCTGTTGAAGAGAATTCCAGATTCCAACGGTAAGTATTATCCTAACTATTCTGAACGGCCACTGATAGTTGTTGACTCAGAGCTACCGCCACCGGCCAAACTGAGGAAGTCAAAGCCGAAGATGCCCTCAACCCACAGAAATCACCCCCACAGATTACCTTCGCACCAGACAGCCGCAAAGTATCCGAAAAGGCTTTGTACGTTCCACCACCACACGAACGCGAAAATGGTAGGAGACCGGATTTTCAATTTGATCGATAGCGAGAAAGCGCTGACAAAAGTTGATAGGACATCCATTCGTGGACGTTGAAAAGGATCCCGCCCGATCCAATGCCACAACACTGGGTCGAATCACCTCACGAGATGACTCTGATGATGAGGACGGCATCACACCGGCCGCTCCCGCCCACCGCCATGGTCTGTACATGACGTATACCAAGTCTCTTGAACGTGTTGCCTCTTCCATGTTTGTCCTAGGAGCGACACCATCGCAGTCGAAGGCAAGACCTAGCTCACCCGCTCAGATCAAGGCATTGTCGCAAGCGATCGAAGGGGGCGATGATCTCCATCTTTCCGCCGAAGAACGTGATGCTCTTGGTGGCATTGAGTATCGGGCTCTCAAGTTGCTGTTCAGAATCATCGTCGGTGAGCAGACCCATTCTTTCCTTTTAGTTGTCCGTATATCATCGCTCATGACTACAACTCCAGCATATTTCTTCGGTCTTCACCTCTTCGGTGCAATTTCTTTGGCTGGCTGGATCGAAACGGCTCCGGCCAAGTACCGCGAATATATTGCGTCGCAGGGCCAGAACAAAACCTGGTGGTAAGTTTGAATACAGGGGTCAAGCAAGAGTCCATACCAGTTCCGGAGGTTCCATTTCTCATTTTAATTGATTAGGGCATTTTACTCGGGAGCAACGATGGTCAACAATCTCGGCTTCACACTGACGCCGGATTCAATGTCCTCATTCCAAGACGCCACGTTTCCCATGCTCCTCATGACCTTCTTGGCCTTTGCAGGCAATACGTGCTACCCCGTCTTCTTGCGCTTGGTCATCTGGACCACGTCAAAGTTGGCGCCGAAGAACTCGTCCATGCAGGAGCCGTTGGCTTTCCTGCTCGATCACCCTCGACGCTGTTACACTTTGCTTTTTCCTAGCCGTCCGACCTGGATCCTCTTCGGCATTTTGTTTGTCCTGAACTTCATTGACGTCATGTTAATTATCGTCCTGGACTTGGACAATCCGGCTATTAACAATTTGGCCATTGGCCCGAGAATTTTAGCAGCCTTGTTTCAGGCAGCGTCTTCCCGCCACACGGGGACGTCTGTCTTCAACCTCGCGGACGTTAATCCCGCTGTGCAATTCTCTCTGTTGGCCATGATGTACATTGCAGTGTTTCCCATCGCCATCAGCATTCGCGCATCCAATGTGTATGAAGAGCGCTCCCTGGGCGTGTACCACTCGAAAGAGCACGAGATGGATGAGAACAACGGGAGATCCTATGTTCTCACCCATCTACGGAATCAACTGAGTTTCGATTTGTGGTACATCTTCTTGGGCGTCTTCTGCATTTCGATCGCAGAGTCCGAGAAGATCATGGACCCAGCGAATCCAGTAGGTTTCTTTTCCCTCTGTGGTTCTTATGTTATTCGCCCTTGCATAACATAGAGCACCTTTTCGTTGACATTTCTTCTCCCAGGCTTTCTCAGTATTCCCAGTTATCTTTGAGGTCGTGTCAGCATAGTAAGTTTACAGTCTGTCCGCTGAACAAGCTTCCCTGGCCTGGCTATATCATCCTAACAATCATCTCCCTTCTAGCGGGAACGTGGGCCTTTCACTCGGCCATCCCACTGTTCTCACATCTTTGTGTGGGAAATTCACCACTTTCAGCAAGGTCGTTATTTGCAGCATGATGATTCGAGGCCGTCATCGTGTGCTGCCCTATCAGCTTGATCGAGCCATTGTCCTGCCGAGTGACCGGATCGATGAAAAATCTGGGGAGGAGCTGGGCAAATGCAGTCCCTCGAACGTCCATGTGGCGCACATGGTGAAGATCAGGCGACCTCACACGAAGTGAGCCCGCAATCTCGGATCGGGCTCCTGTTTCACCAATACAGCAACAAGAGCGATGCTGAGCTTTGTCTGCCCGATGTTCGTCGCATATCCGGGGAAACTGCAGATTAGCCGTAAGTGTCCGAGCAACGTTCCATATTATGAGGTAGACACACGTTCCAGCTCCAGCAATTGAAGGATAGAGGCAATTCTGAAACGAGCTCAAATGACATTTTCAAGAGCAACAACTTTCCGTCCTTTCTCATTATTCCTCCATCATACACTGCCAAATAAGTCGAGATTGTCGATAGGTAACGTCAATGATAGCGCCTGTGCCTCAGCCAGCACGGAATCGGCATCGTGCAAGAGCGAATCTTGACCTCCCGCGGCATACCAGGAATGGAGACGAGGAGGTTCCAGTCCAGCTGGACTCCAAATTGGAGGCAAAGAACGCGTGTCTAGAGGCGTGCCGGGTGTGGGTGTCATGTATCCGTTGCCTAAAATCGGTATCTCTACGCGCTCTCTCGACATGTATCGGTCAATTGGTACTGGTTTGGCGGCTGGAATTAATCCCGACGATCCACAAGGGCATTGACTTTCGGTAGACGCCACGATTTGGTCTACGTCGAATTGAACGGTGTGGGAAAGCCGTCTGATGAGCATCTTTGGTGGGGGAAGAGAAAGTTATCATCGGATACAACGCAATTGCGAGGGCGGTCGGATTGAAAGGTCTTGCATACCTTTATGATCAGAAGGCATTTGACGGCGCCATTGTCGAAACAGCGCATTGCAGCCAAAAGCCTGATGCCAAGTTCGCCCTTTCTCCACGCCTCACTCGGCCGAGCTGTACCATTGTGCGTGGCAATGAGAAAGAGAAGACACATCACCGCCAGGAAAAGAGTATAGATGGTACTCCACGATGCAGGGCATAGCAGGCCTCGCTGATGCATGGCCTCGGATCGAGTGATGGTCGTGGCTGCGACTTTCATACACGCCAATGCATGTTGTGATTGAGTCCTCGTGATGGCAGTGCCATTGGCCATTTGGACGAGATAGTGCAAGAACGGCTGGAAAAGAACCAATTGGCCGAAGTAGAAGGCCATTTCGAGTTCGTGTCTTAGGCTGTTACATTCGTCAATTGGCAGGAACAAGAGCGGAAAATGGGAAGAAGATCCTACATTGCTGAGGTCTCAGGCTTTTGAGGCATGGCGGGCAAACTGGACAAGGCTTTAGCCCACTTTCGAAACTCATCTTCAACGTCAGCCAATTTCTTGATGTCGACAGTGGTGACGTCGTGTTCTTTGCCTTTTTTGCCCTTTTGAATTTCTCGGACAAAAGTGGTTCGAAAGCCGGTGGCTGTCAGGAGCAGAAGCTCCAGGTGCTTTGCGGACGCGGAAAATTTGGCACGAGTTTCCGAAGCGGCGTCGGCGGTGGATGGACAGAGTGACTTGCCGTTACCGCCAGAGATGGGGCGGAGATCATTCATGATCGGAGGTTCGATGAAGTCGAGATTGATGAACGCCGGTACATCTAGGACGAGGCTCACGTACGTGTCAAATTGGAGGACAGCCAGAAACACTCGAGTCCTCGTATCTCGTTGTGCCGTGGACAACGGGACATCTCCCTCAATGTGCTTGTGCAGACCCAGTCTCATGGCTGAAGAACTGGCGATGCCAATGTAGGAGTGGGCAGCTGTCAGGCGTGACGTCGATACCAAAAACGTGATGAGACACAGCAGTGTTTGCAATGAAATGAGATCGGCGCATTGAGCGATGTCAAGATCTCTACGTGCCAGGAAGAAATGTCTTGCTCTTTTGAGATTGTCGATCAGCTTCACGGTTCATTCATTTCTGTTGCCGTGGCAAGTAGGTGGGCTGAGACTTACGCTTCGTTTGCAGTCTCTTCGCATCCATGTTGTTTGCGAGATCGAATGTCGAATAGCAGGCCTATACCCAGGACGGCGTGAAAGAGTGGCATGAAATTTTGACTGGAAGCACCAAATTGAAGTGCCGATTCGCCATAGAGACGGTGGACCATGTCTCGGAAGTCGACCTCGTGAAGGAACTGGATGAAGGGATGACACCTGGTAAAAACCACGTCAAGGAGACTCAAAGTGGTAGGCAGACTGGGGAGACTCTGAAAAATAGATTGATTATGGGTGATTGCTGCGGAATTCGGAACCGGGGCGTTGAATAAATTAGTCAGAAGATTGTGGGTTTCAGACATCATGGCTGGATTGTCCGGCACCCTCCGAAAAAGCTCAAGAGTACGGAGGATGAAAGAGACTCCCGAATAAGAGCCATAGAAACTGGTGTGCCATGGACCGTGGGCGATGCTCCGACCGGACCCTCCCATCATACTATTCAATCGAGAACCTTTCCCGCCTTCGTCGTCGGAGCTGGATCCAGCGTCGGATGACGTGGGCAGTGAAAGATCAAGCGTTTTGAGCACCGAGTCGAGATCGGCGGCCTGATTGGCTGAGTTCTGAGCCTTGAGGTTTTCGATCGATGAGCGGACCGATCGCAGACACGCTTCCAGCGTCCGAATTCTTTGCGTTGGAGTCTGTCGTGGCCTGCCTCCGGATTCGTATGAGCAAGCTTTGTTAGGTCAGCATTCGAGATCTGCGCTTCGGGGCCCCACCCAGAGCATTTCTAGATGCAATCCTTCTTACCATTTCGAGAGATTGAGCAGGGGTTGCAAGGTTGTGCGCCATCACATTTGATCTTTCGAAGCCGACATTCGTCACAGGCACGGGGCGCTCTTCGATGATATCCCTTTCGGTATGGTCTAGGAGTATCTCCGTTTCTTTGCTGCGATTCTCCGGCCATCAGGGTGAGCGGGCGGCATTTGGAGGGGAGTCGTTTTCTGGGATATCAGATCGTATCGTAGTTATCGAAGCGAGAGACCAAAAGGAGGGACGTTGAGCCTAAGGTGGTGATGAAGCTCGGCTCAAATGCCTGCCGCCAGCGCACGTGGCGGAAGTCACGTGGACAAATGGGCGTTCACGCTCCAAGTGGCTGTAGTCAGACTGCCTCCGAGCATACCTCCTGCTCGTGGCTTTTTACTATCCGCAAAACAATTTACTCTCCAGGCTAGACAGCCATGGGAACACGAAAAGAGACCACGGCTTGCATTTATGACGACAAGAAACCAAGAAGCGGCTAATTTCTCAACATTACTGACCGCAGGTGGGCATATCCTCGACCTCTGATTTACACACTGGACAATTCGCCCGAACCGACGTCAACCACTTTTCTACACATTTGGCATGAAACAAATGCCCACATTGCAGCACCCTCACTTGATTCTTGGGATGGAAAGAGTCTGTACATATCACACATTGGTCTTCATCGTCGTGAAATCCTTTCCCGTCGCTCTCGCCATCGTCCTTTCCATTTGATATAACTCTGGCTAATTCTTTCAAACCCTTCTGGCCTGGTCCTTCGGTGATATCCACCGACGACCGAAGAGGTGGCAATTCCAGGCTAACTTGCCGTCCAGGGTAGTCGACTGGAGTATCTCCCTGACCCCCTTCGCACTGTTCTCTTCTGCTTCCTGTCTTCTCGGAACCCTTCAGTCGCGCAGTCGCTTTCCAATCTCCATAACTCATCCTCGGAGCGATTTCGTCGAGTTCCTGAATCCGAATCCTCCTTATTTTGGGAGGCTTTCTCGCTCCTCGAGACCTGTCGGTCGTGTTCTGCTCTTCAACATCGTCCTGGCCAGGCTGCCTGCCTTGAAGTCGATGTGAAGCGTCTCTCGCTCGAATTTTCCTCTTGACAAGGATCCTGCTGTTGAGGCGTCAGAATGTGTTACTTGACTTCGAGGACGACGGGTCCATACAGCAGATTGAGACCGAAGATTATTGCGCCAACAACGATGAGAAAGAACACTGCCGGACTCAGATTTCCTCCATTGGTGGAGTTCTTGCCGTCGTCATCAGGCGGGGGTTCGGTGGATGCCATGCAAGGGATACGACGCCGGCACGGTCGAGCTTATATCTCATCAAAATATTCGATGCTCTAACCGTCGCGGACGGAATATGAAACACTAAAGGTCGTAGATCTGAAAGAAAGATGTGCGGAGAATTTTCCTGCGTACGACGGTTCTTGCCCGGTTGGATAGGGTGGAGTAAAAATGGCATGGTCGGCAAATCCACAACGTGCCATATATTCAAACTTCCTTCTCGCAACGCGGAACAATTGCTACCTAAGAATACACAGGCGCTCGCTTGATCCGTTGAGGACTTTGTGCCCAGTGTCTTCGATATACGTCAGGCCCCAAGGGGCCGGAAAGGCGGGCCAGACAACTGATACGCCAAGACATCGTCTCCGCCTCCCTTGTGGCGGGCCAAGACCACTACTGCAGCCGCTGGCATTACGTCCTTTGCACATCGCACCCAAGTCTCAAATGCCAAATCCTTCCACTGACAATATCAGAAGACACAGCCTCGATGAAAGGAGTAGTCTATATGGAACTTTATATACAAAACTTTTTTCCTCCCAAAGCTCTGAAAATTTCCCCATGGAAAAAGCTGGGTTTCTAGCCCTCCCACCTCGACGGGCACAGTCCATCCCGCTCGGGGAGACGGATCTGGGCGTTGAGCTTGGCACTGGGTTTTTGAAGCCCACCCGGAGCCAAGATTGAGTCAATCCTATTGATCTGAAGCTCGCCATGTCGTCTTTTACCCAATGGCCATTCCAAATTTCTGTTGGCCTGGTGGGATGAGGGGTCCAAGACTTCTCAGGCTTGCTCCTGCTATACGCAGGGATTATCTCTTTCAATGGGCAACCAGATCCAGGCATTCTTCATCATGTCCCACTCAGAGACCCACGACCGTGACTGGTGTCAAACCGATAAAACTATCTCACCGATAACTAAGGTTCCGGAACGGCCTAGGACACATGGTACATATTGTGGCCCCGTCCTCTTCCATGATAAATTCTTTTTCTCTCTTCATTGCACTTGGTCGGCCTTGAACGCGCGGCTACGGTCCTCACGATGGAGAACCACGTATCTGGGCAATCAAACAAGCCCCTTTCTAAACCCGCCCATGCTCTTGAGCGAGATGTCATCGTCGAGGAACTCCGCACTGCCTCAGTTGACGGATTGTCACCAGCTGAAGCTCAATCAAGACTGGGTGAATATGGTAGAAACGAATTGGATGACGGCCCCGGCGTGCAACCTCTGAAGATCTTGCTTCGACAGGTGGCCAATGCCATGATGCTGGTGTGTTTCTTGATTCTCCCCCCAACCTCCCAAATGGAATAGTCGCTAATTGTCGGTCAGGTCTTGATCATGGCGATGGCCGTCTCGTTTGGTATCAAATCATGGATTGAAGGAGGTGTGGTGGCCGGGGTCATTTCCCTCAATATTGTCGTGGGATTCTTCCAGGAATTCAACGCCGAAAAGACCATGGACTCTCTGCGCTCCCTTAGTTCTCCCACCGCCAATGTCGTTCGGGGAGGCGAAACCATTAACGTTCCAACCGCTGAATTGGTCCCCGGGGATATTGTGGAACTAAAGCTTGGTGACACTGTTCCAGCAGATTTAAGGTAACTCCTGTTCTGAGTGACATACTTTGAATTGGCGGCTAAGTTTCGCGCCAGACTGCTGGAATCACTTAATTTCGAGACTGATGAAGCTTTATTGACTGGAGAATCCCTCCCAATTGCAAAAGACGAGGAAGCCGTTTTCGATCCAGAAACGGGACCAGGAGATAGACTCAATGTGGCTTATAGCTCATCGACGGTCACAAAGGGACGGGCGCGTGGTATTGTGTACGCAACTGGGATGTATACAGAAATCGGATCAATTGCTGCGGCTCTCAGGAAAGGCACTTCTAAAGTTCGACCCGTCAAACGTCGTGCGGACGGCTCGGCACATCCCCTCCGATATGCAGAGTCCTGGACAATGACATTCGCCGATGCTGTTGGCCGATTCCTTGGTGTCAATGTTGGAACCCCGTTGCAAAAAAAGCTCTCCCGACTTGCAATGCTTCTCTTCGGAATTGCGGTGGTTTGCGCGATCATCGTCCTGGCGGCAAATGAGTTCTCAAATAACTCCGAGGTTATCATCTATGCTGTGGCGACCGGTCTATCTATGATTCCGGCTTCACTTATCGTCGTGCTCACCATTACGATGGCCGTTGGTACGAAGAGGATGGTGAAACGCCACGTTATTGTTCGGAAAATGGATGCTCTTGAAGCGCTCGGTGGAGTTACAGACATTTGCTCGGACAAGACTGGCACTTTGACTCAAGGAAAGATGGTGGCTCGAAAGTGCTGGATTCCAAGCCGAGGTGTATATTCAATCGGCGTGTCGAACGAACCATTCAATCCCACTCTGGGGGACCTCACGCACTATCCCGGAAAACCTGAAGATGGGGAGAAGGCCGGCGAAGAGAGGATTGCTGAATACAGCGCCGTGACGAAAGACAATCCGGAGCTGACAGCATTCCTGAGCGTTGCTTCACTCGCCAACCTGGCTCACGTACATTCCAACAAGGAAGGTGTCTGGCATGCTCGAGGCGACCCGACAGAGATTGCCCTCCAAGTGTTTGCTTCGCGATTCGATTTCAACCGCTCCAAATTTCTTGACGGGGAGAAGCCTCGTTTCAAGCAAGTCAGCGAATATCCTTTTGACTCGGACGTGAAACGAATGTCAGTCATCTTTGAGGACACCGAATCGAAAGATCAAATGGTCTACACCAAAGGTGCCGTCGAGCGCATTCTGGACCAATGCGTCACTCTCAGATGGTCTGTGGAAGATGAAGCCGAGGTCGAACTCGATGACAACAAGATGCAGATCATTCTCCGGAACATGGAAGCTCTAGCATCTCAAGGTCTTCGCGTTTTAGCCCTCGCTAGCCGTCCTTACGATCCACGAAGCGGTCGAAGAGCAAGTCGAGATGGACCACCTCCTCGGGAGGAAGTCGAGCGAAACCTTGTCTTCCGCGGTCTGATTGGCTTGTATGATCCTCCTCGCCCTGAGTCTGCAAATGCCGTCAAGAGGTGTCACCGGGCTGGGATCAAAGTCCACATGTTGACAGGAGACCATGCTGGTACTGCTCGTGCCATTGCCGTTCAAGTCGGCATCTTGCCAGACATGTCCAAAGTGAGCGCCCCAGTGGCCAAGAGCATGGTAATGACGGCCCAAGAATTCGATCGCCACACAGACGACGAATTGGATCAACTACCGGTGCTTCCTCTGGTGATTGCCCGATGCGCTCCCAATACCAAGGTTCGAATGATTGAGGCTTTGCGTCGACGAAACGCCTTTATGGCCATGGTAAGTTGAATACCACACATCTTTCCGAAGGAGCACAGCTAAGAAGGACCTCAGACTGGTGACGGAGTCAACGATTCACCGTCCTTGAAGATCGCCGATGTCGGTATCGCGATGGGTATGGCTGGATCCGACGTAGCCAAAGACGCCTCAGATATCGTGCTGACCGACGACAACTTCGCCTCGATCCTAAATGCCATTGAAGAAGGGCGCCGCATGTTCGACAATATTCAAAAATTTGTCTTGCACTTGCTCGCCGAAAACATCGCCCAGGCGTGCACCTTGCTTATAGGCCTGGCTTTCAAGGATGCCTCTGGCTTGTCTGTGTTCCCGCTAGCCCCGGTGGAAATCCTGTGGGTGATTATGATCACGTCCGGTATGCCGGATATGGGTTTGGGCATGGAAGTTGCCAGCCCTGATATTCTGGAACGGCCACCACAGAATCTCAAGCGCGGGGTATTCACACTGGAAGTCATGTTCGATATGCTAGCGTACGGTCTATGGATGAGCGCATTATGTCTATCGTCGTTCCTCCTCGTCGTGTACGGTTTTGGCGAAGGGAATCTCGGGTCCAACTGCAATGACTCATACTCGGAGCAATGCGACACGGTTTTCCGGGCTCGTGCAACTACATTCGTTAGTTTGACTTGGTTCGCCTTGTTCCTTGCATGGGAAATGGTTGATATGAGAAGAAGCTTTTTCCGGATGCAGCCTGGAAGTAAGCGATACTTCACACAATGGATATTCGACGTGTGGCGCAACAAGTTCCTCTTCTGGGCTATCATCGCAGGCTTTGTCACGATCTTCCCGACACTTTACATTCCGGTAAGTCTTACAGCCCATTCTCCCGTCCTACCGTGAGCGATCACTGACATGGATTCTAGGTCATCAACCACGATGTCTTCAAACATACCGGAATCTCCTGGGAATGGGGTATCGTCTTCGTTCAAGCGGCCTTGTTCTTCCTCGGTGCCGAGACCTGGAAATGGGGTAAGCGAGTCTATTTTAGACGCCGTGCGGCCAAGACAGGTAGCCGGCCCGAAGATCTGGAGAAGCGAGCCTTTGGCAGCTTCATGCAAGACAGTAGCAGTGAAGAAGAAGGAATTGGGAAGAACTAGATTTGATGCACGGTGTGAATTCAGCCCCAAGATCGGGTAAGCCAACGATTGATTGCACTCTGAAGCTACCGTGTTCAAAACAAGAAACAAAGATATGGGCATGTACTCCCACTAGCCAAACCAAGGCCGGTTCTCTGACGTCCGCTCTTCCCCAAAATCAACGACGGATCATGATCGAGAAGACAGTCCGGTCCCGAAATGGAACAAACACAAAACAACTTTCGAATGTCGTCCTGCCGCATCGATATGGCATGAGATATGACGTGACAGACAAAGCCTTGCCGATATATCAACGTCGCCTCATTTCGCAAGACGATATAAGAGTAACAATACCCTATGAATCAGATCAAAGTAGCAGTCAAGGGCCCGACGACATAATAAAAAAAATAGCACTTGCCGGTGCACGTGAAGTCATTCTCTTTGATTTCGCCGGTTCTCGTTCTGGTTTCTGTTACCTTGTCCTTGTCTACGCCTCCGGCTCCGATGCGAAGTTCACTTATCTTTATATGGAGAAACGTCATCAACAATACAGGCCCACGGGAGAAGCACAATCCGGCAAGCCACCAATGGCCGCTCTCGATCATCCCGTAGCCGAAAGATATAAGGAGAGGAACATCTCAGCCACCAAGACACTAGACACTCGATTCCTTGTTTTCTTCGGGTCCACTGCACGGGCCCACTGCACGGTTCCAAGAGAGATAGAATTTTTTTTTTTTTATATTATAATACCTAAAGAGTGAAATGCGAGTGCTGTTCGAAATGGAGAGTTTTGAACCGTAAAGAAAAAAGTATTGTATCCAGAAAGAGAGGTGGTACAGTGTGGTCCAGCAAAACAAGGAGGAGACGGGCTGTGACACAAGGATCGAAGACCAAAACTCAAAATGCAAAGATGTTGACCGGGAAATCCGCCTTCGATTTAGGCGGCCCGGCCGTCTTGGGTCTAGTCGCAGGCTTGGCGCCGCCGCTTTTGACGTCTACAAGAACCCTTCCTCCTTGTCGCGTTGATGCACTCATCGTGCGTCACACAGCACCGCCTGAAGCCTCTCCTGCCGCATCAGCCCCCCTCCTTCCAAATCTGCCTCGCCTCTCCAGAGCACTTTCTCAAATCTCGATCCTTACGGCCTCTGCACCCTCGACGCAGCCCGTTTCGGCCCACTTTATTGTTTTTCTAACAAGAGAGCAACTCTGAGAAGGATGCAACATTGCTAAGACAACTTCCTCACGTGGCGTCGCCAAGCCTCGTGCCACGTGATTGGCCAACATGACCCTCTTCGGTATCCCTCAGAATCGCGTCGTTTGAGGCGCTCGATTTCTACCACGCGGTTACGCCATGAGAATTCACTAGGGGCCGCGGACAGGATATTCCACTGGAGATAAAAGCGTAGCTTCTATATTTGCCAAGCCCTTGCATCACGTGATTGGCAACCCCCTCGGGATCCGGAAAATCAATAGTCCGGCAACTACCAAATCCTTTGCTCTGATTGACTAGCCCCATCGGATCCAGTCCACGGGCCAACCCCCAGGGGCACCTCGTATCACGTGATTAGCCGAGCCTCCCTGCTCCGGAAAATCTATAATACGAGTATTATGTAATACTGTGCTGACCCCATCGGATCCAATCCACGATCCATCCAGGAGTGGGTAGAGTGCCCTCGTATCCCGGAAAATCTATAATCCGACTCCTAATCACGTGCTCTAATTGGCTGACCCTATCGGATCCAATCCACGGCCCACCCAGGATTTCATACACTCTGTGCGGGCTGGGGACTAGCCAATTTCTGCGCGCTACCTCCGTTGTCCACCGGTTCATTTCATGTCCGGCTGCCAAATCCCTCGCCTTTATAAGACCGTTGCCCCTTTCGAGCCAACAAACAAGCCATCAAGAGCGTTTTCCTGAGTGTTTCTGTAGTACGAGTGAGGTAACACAGTTCCTGTCTCTTCACACACCGACATGCGCATCCGTCCTCTCGGGCCACGTAGACGGTCTCCCTGCTCCCCTCTCTAGACCAGCAGTCACCGCCGATACGCACCACGCCCCGCGAGTTCTCCCGCCCGTGGTATCGCCAGCGGGTCTCATTCGTTTCGCATTACCTAGCGAGGTCTCCCTCCTCTAGGCCGTCCATGTCTCGTCAGGAGGGGCTCTTGACCACGCCCGCACCGGCAGCGTGGTCGACCTCCTCTCACTAACCAAGCTTGTGTCCCCAGCTTCCAGTATGTCCTTCAGATGGCTTGTGTCTTTCAGTGAGCAATTTCTCTCTTGGACCACACGAAGGGGTGCCTGTACTCGAAGCTTAACAAGGTCTTCGAGGACTCCTTCCGACCGCCCGTGAAGAGGGTGCCTGTTCTCGAAGTTTAACAAGGTTCTTCACCCGCAGTCGAAGCTCGTCGAAACTATCCACATCAGTCTTAACAGGGCCTATCGTTCATATCAGTCACTAGCTCCCACTATCCTCGTATCACGCAAGCTAGGGGTGTCCTGTCACGTCGATAGAACGATATCACATCCGCTGGCTGATAGGACCAGCTTCGGGCCTGAGTACGAGTCAGGTATCGACGTGTCTGATGGTTTTCCTATCCCATATCCCCTTTTTTTTTTATTTGTGTGTGTGTTTCAGTTTGTTCCCAGCATGTAGATTTGCGATGGAGCTCCGCGAACTGCAGAGTTTCATCGTCGAGTTGTGTCGTTATCAAGCTGCTTCGTTATCAAGCTGCTTCGTTATCAAGCTGCTGCCGTCGTTGAGCTGCGGTCGCCGCTGTCGAGTGTTCGTACTCATTCTTCATGGGCCATGGACTGGATCTGACGGGGCGATATCGTACGGCACAGGACGCCGTCGGGGACCATCGATCTTCGCTAACGCTACGCTTTAAAAATGGGGAAAGTAGGGTCAGATCATGTGATCCAGGCTAACCTTTCCTTCTTGGAAGTTTGGACCGCGCCTCCGCCTTTGGGGAGAAAACAAACACTAGCGACACCTGTCAATTTACACCTCATCATCCCCTTAATGCGTGTTTTCTAACCTTGTAACTGTAAGCCAAATCTCTTTGATCACCCTCTTAATAACAGCAACCGTTCTTTGACAACAATTCGACCTATAACCAAGTATTTCCCTCGTGTCCAGATGCCACTAATCCGCTCCAGAATAGGCCGCTCTTTCGATGGATGATAAACCTAGGCGTCTCCGGGCCCGACCGGCAAAAGGGAAAGTTATCGACGCGACCGACACCGACAGCGTCGTGGACTCGGGTACCAAAAAGCGAAGAGCATCAGCTCACGAACCCTCCAGCACCGCGAAGAAAGCCCGCAAGAGGAAATCCTCACCACAGGATAAGGGTGCTGAAAATGTTAGCCCATCACTCCACAGGACACCCAGCACTAAGCGCATGGTCACTCATGCCAGCATGATAAACCAAGGGACCGTGGTATACGCTATGGACATGGAAGCACAAATTGTGGCTGAAGTAACGAGGAAGAATATCCCGTGGGACACATTCTGTTCGATATATCTTTCCGATTTCGATGCAAAACCTCAACAGGGGCTGGCTGTCAACTCTATGCGGAAGGTTGGCGAAGGTAATTGGGAAGAGCAACTGTTCTGGGGTCGACTGCGCCAGTTGCTTTCCGACGAGGTTCGTTATTCTGGGTGCGCTATTCGGGGTGCGCTTTCATACGTCTCTCAGTCCTCCGCTGACTTAGTGACCAGGCCCTTTGTGACCTCAAGCTATTTTATGGCGGTACTAAGACTCTACCTGATGCTAACAAGGGTAAGGAGGTGCCTTCTAAACCCGACTTCGTCCTCCACGTTGGTGAAGACTCTCCTACATGGGCGGATGTCGATCTTTTGTTCGAGCATACGCGAAGCCAAGAAGCGGTCACCAAGAAATTCTTACAGTGGCTACGTGGTGCCTGGAGTGTTTTCCACCATCAACCTTTCCGCCGTCACCTCTATGGGATCATGTTTATAAAACCTCGTGCCTATGTCTGCTACGCTGATCACGGCTGCGCCGTGTACTCCGAACCTCTCTATTTCGCGACGAACATTCAGCACGCTGAGTTTCTGGTGGACTTTCTTACATGGTTTATAGCAAATCCAGGGTACCGTGGAAGGGATCCGACAGTCAAAAAAGAAGAAGACTGGCTTCATATTCGTCATGCAGGGACAACATGGGCTGAACTGCCTAAAGGTGCGCTATGTTACCGCCCTTGCCTCGTCGGCAGAAATATCCGGGTCGCGCTGGTGGAGGACCAAGGTGCCAAATTTCCCGAGGAGAGGATGGTTATGAAAAGCACCTGGGAAGAGAAACTTCCACCGGAATCGTCACCGCCGTCGGAGGTGGAAGTTCTCGAAATTCTTCTCAAAGCAAACGTCCGAGGCCTTCCACAGCCCTATGCCTTGGAGAGCGCTATAGTGAGAGACGATGGCAGCTTGGAGGTAGAGACCCGCAGCTTCCCTGAAAACTGTGAGGTTGCACTTTCCGCACCAAATACGAACCTCATGGTGAAGATGCAGGCAAGCTACGTTTCTAGTCACACCTCGAAACCCTTAGCCCCCGGTGCCAATGTTGGCGAGCCTTTCGTACCCCGAGTCAAAATTCAAAGAGAACAATTTAATGAACCCCTTGAGGTCCGCAGGCGTCTTACCCGTGTTTTGATGTCATATTGTGTACCGTTGAAGGAAGCCATGCGCACTCGCGGCCCGGAATCACTCATGCGAATCATACGCGATGCTATGATCACATACTACGAGGCGTACAAACTTCCAAAGTTTGGTTTCATCCACGGCGGTGAGCACTGTATGAATGTTTATGTGCTAAGTGCTAATCAATTAAATAGATATCTCCATTGAGAACATCTTAGTTCCTATAGAAGGATGTGTACTCACTGGTGGCCTTACGCATAAGGATCGAAGCGGTACACTGATTGACTGGAACTTATGCTTTAACGCTCACGGAGCATCATCTAGCAGAGCTTTTAAAAGCGGTACTCCTGCCTTCATGGCGCCAGTTCTCCTAAAAGACAAGCAAATCCCTCGACGAACCTTGGGTCATGATATGGAATCATTCTTTGCAGTCATAATCTGGATAGCAACGCTCGATTTTCTCAACGAAGCCGCCTTTCGGGTTAAGCCTCTGGCTCTTGTGATGCTCGACAACAAGAAAACTCCGATGGACATTGTAAATGCTAAGGGAAATTGGTTCAAGCACCGGGAAGACTTCAAGGAGTCAGTAACTGATTACTTTGAGCGCCCATATCGCGATGATGTACAGTTTCTCAAGTGTTTACATCAGCTACGCGAAATCCTCTACCCCGTTCACTGGTCTGACTTGGACGTATTCCTGTCTAGCAGTTTTGAGGAAAAAGACAAAGAAGTGACGGAAGATGCTGATCCCATGAAGGAAGATCTGTTCCGGGAATGCATGAAGAAGATCGATGATTACCTACACGATACAAAGGGTCGTGATGAGATGGAGCGGATCGATTCTAACGCGCTAGCGCGACATACTCCGGAGAGTCTTAGCTGATTAACTTGACACTGGCGACTTGATACAACTTCGTATGCAAGGAAATTAGGTCTCAGAATCATGCTGCCACAGACTGGACTGACCCTCTATGGACGGGACGCAACGACTTCAGCATCTATGTTACCTCTAGTCGAAGTCCTCAGGCAGAAGCGGTGGCTTTAGAAGGCCAAACTACTCGACTCGAGACTGTGACAGTGGAATAGTCGGTGATTAGAGGTTGGTCAGGCGGTGGAGGGCGGGAGAGTAGCGGAAGGCGGGTTGTTGGGAGGCCTAAGTGTAGGCTCCGACTACATCAATATGAAGCAGGGAAGGAATGTCCGGGGAGCCAGGATAGAGAGAGACGAACATCGGGACTGAGATTCCATAGCGACGGCCCGAATTATTCCCGAACGGGAGTAGTAGAGAGTCTTGATATCTTCCCAATCCAGTTCCATTTTATCATTATCGTTGTCCTCATCATTCTCCCATCCAAGGTAGTGCTCTCTTTATTTAATTCGATCGGTCACCTTGTACACCAAGGCAGCCGGCCTCGTTGCTGTGTACGCAGAGAGAAGAAGCAAGAGAGCGAGCTGGAGTCGTTGTCGTTCGACCGGGAAGACCGATGTGTCTAGAACCCAGTGATGGAGGACAAGAAACACGTCGTCTACGTCCATGACTGGCTTTTCCCGCACGGATGAACACATCTTTGCTCTTACGTCGCGGACCTCCTCCATGACTTTAGCATGTAAACTCTTCCCAACCGACTTTCGGTACAACATACACCACACTCTCCAGTATTCATCCAAAGTGCTTCTCTTCCGGACTTTGGGATAAACGTCCAGTATCCACTTGAGGAAGGTCATGATATCTTCTTTGGTGACGTGTACAAGGAAGCGAAGCCTGTCTTCTTCTAGAAAATGACAATGACTGGTCGTGCCATCAGCAATGCCTCCCTCGAGTAGGTCCATATAGTACACGCCCTTACCGTGTCCACTTCTTCATCACTCCCCAAATATTTTTTTTCGTGGAGTCCGCATGTGCCTTCTTTACAGTACCCTTCTCAACAAGTTGTCGGCGATGCCGTCGGTAATGCTCGGGCGAGTATTGGGGTATTGGTCTCCGATTGAGATTCCGCACGACCATGCTGGATCCACAAAAGCCCTCTCCCCTTCAACTTCTTGAGTTGTAGACGACATGAAGCAGTCACTTGCACGAATAATGGCGAGACCAGAAAAGGAATGTCTCAGAAAAGGGAAAGAAACAGTGCTCTCGGGCAGCTGGTTTGAATGCGGCCTAGGTGGACCGGAGTGAATGGAGGAGAAGACATGGGAGATGGGACTCGGTGCGGCAAGTCATTTGGTTAATAACACGCTGTGTCTCGGTCGCGGTATCAGGAAATCCGAAGGGACCCTCCCTGTACGTTCTTGAGGCGCCATGGTTCAGGCTGTGCAGCCAAAGGCATCTGTTTATAGAAGGAGTTGGCGTTTCCCTCACTTTTTGCAAATGGGACAATTTTTGGACCCCTTGATGCTGTGTGCGAGGGGAAGTTGCTGCTGTGGAGCGAAGGTTAGTGGTCTTGGCATCGAGGGAAGAATGCCTTCAAAAGCGGCGGCAACGACCGCCAAATTTAGCGGGAAATTTCCCTGCAACCTGTGTTATGATGTAGAGATGCTTTGAATAGCAGGCAATGGATTTGAAAGGGCCAAGTCTTCATTTTGGGTAAATGGACATCATCAACTTACTTCGGGGGTATCATATGCTGTTTCTCGTGTCTCTTCGTCGTCTTCTCCTGCTACGGCAGGTGCGATGTTCATCTGACGATGCTCATCTCAAGCCAATCTGGCGTGAGTCAAGGACAGCCATCACCATCACTGTACCTTGGCTTGTCCTTGTTCCAGTATCATGATAGGAACGGGGAAAAAAATCCCTCCCAGATGGTGGATGAACGCCTTGCTATGCCCATGCCCATGTCTCGTATCCGTGCCTAAACTGTAGGATTTGTATGCATGCTGGCTGGCTGTAATGCAAATGCCCTCTTTCTCATTTTCCCGTTATCCATTTTTCTCGTCTTCGTCCAGCGTGTTTCAGTTCCTGTGTCTATTGGGCATTGTTTCTTCGGTTCCTCCTTCAATCATAACCTCATATCAGTCTTAGTCCCTTTGTCCCTCTGTTTTTCGTAACTCGTCTATCATTTTTCCCCGCCACATGCCGACTCATTTTGAGGACGACCAAAACCTCCAGGGTCCACTGAACCAGGAGGATTTCTTATCCCAATTCCAATCTCCTTTGGTGGCAGACTGTAAATCATCCACATTCAAATAATCCACCCCTTCCTTGGCTAGTGTCCGCCAGAGATAATTCCTCATCCCCCGAGGCCAACTTGGTATGCTCCAGTATCTGACCTTGAGGCCGCGAGCGTGGGCTCCGGCGACTTGTTTGCGAATTCTTTCAATTTGCCCGCGCGAGAGACGACCACGCCAGGGCCAACCAACAGCGCTGCTGAAAGAGACAGATGCGTAATAGGAATTGGCGGGGGAGTAGATGGCCGGATTGGTTGGAGCCGCTCCCGAAAGACCCTGGCCTTGATTTTCACTCCTTTTCCTCCTTGAGCTGCTGTAATGGGCGTCATCACCACCGTCAAGACGGGCACTTTCGGTCGCAGTTGTGTCGGATAGCTTCTCCATCAAACCCAAGGGCGCGTCGAAGAAGATATCTCGATAGTTTTGGTTTGCCACCACTTCATTGAACGGAGCATTTCCTGTGACCACAACGGTGATGGGTCCTTCAACGACACTAGTGCCATTGAAATAGGTCAGGAAATTCTTTCGGCGGAGAGGATCAAGTTGCTTGACGACATGTGGCCAAATTGCGTGACCCTCATTTTTGAAATCGATTAAAAGGACCAGGGACTGGGCTGGTTTGGTGTCAAAAACACCATTTCGCGGAACATCCAGAGTCGGGTGAAAAGACGTCAGAGGATTCTGCTGCTCTAGAATCTTGACCAGGGGATTAATGTAAAGACTGCGAAGAGTTCTCTCGGATGTCAAGCTGGCGATTGAATGTCCAACGTATAGTTCTGAATCGTATAGCCAAACATCAGCCTCGACACCGGTACAGCCAGCGTCGAGAGCGGAGAACAGTGGTTCTTTGCGCCAATAGTCATTGTGAGAATGGCAAGCGACAGGATGAATATCGGCGGAGAAATCGGTGGGCCAGTGACCGAGCTCTTGGGGAAGTCTTCCTGATGATTTCACGGCATCGAATTCGTCGTCGGCGTCATCGGGAAAGAAGGAAGTAAGGAGACCGCATAGCAGAGCGATGAATTCGAGAAGTCCTCTGCGAGTAATGGTCAGAACAATTCGCCGCACCAATGTGGCAGATATTTTCTTACAGCAGCATGAGCGAAAATGCCAGCCAGCGCAGGACTTTCTTCAACGCAGTGGGTCGATGGGAGGTGTTCAACGGACCCCGCCGGACGATGTGGTCTTTATGCACCACAATGCGACGGCCACCAGGAAACAAATTCAAGGAAAGTATGTCTGGCCATCGCCATCTGGAGGAGGAAAATCGAGGCGCAAGATGGTCAAAGGAAGAGGCCGGTTCGGAGGCCGGAGAGCAGGTGACCGTGGGTATTTTGGCGGTGTCGGTACTGGCGGCAGATGGGTCGCTATATTCCCCATCTTCAAGGTCAGGACTTTTCAGAAAGGCCTGTTCCTGCGTCAAGAAAGGTACGCGTTCAGCTTCAGAGGATGATTCGTGGGTAAGAGGAATATCTCTGTCATTGCTGCGGAAGGGTCGGATGCCCTTGACAGAATTCACAGGCATGTTGTGCACAAGCCTGAGGTGCGGGAGGGGCAGCCACAGGTGGGAAACCAGAGGGTTGGCCGCTGCCCGCTGAGGGGTCAGAATCGGGAAGTCAGGAATAGGCTTGTACGGATTTGAGGGCGTGGGAGATGTGGGACAAGCCGAGGTGATTCTATTGCATGACGGACTTGGGGGTTTTGATTGAGTGATTGCTTGCAATTGCTGAGGTCAGCAGGCGGCCGGCAGTGACTTGTGAGGGCAGAGAGGATGGGCAGCGATAGGCTGGAGAGCTCGCTGGGGGTAGCTCGAAATAGGACAGAGGAATCGGTTTGTGGCCGATGGATGGTCGATGGTGACCAAGGAAAAAGAGAGAGGGAGGTAAAAAAAATGAGAATTGACGGAACGGGGAGGTTGACGGTTGCTCTTTAACCGTGAGAAAATAGTTGGTTAATGCTGGAGTCAGTGCGGCCCGTAGCAAAGAGTAGCAAGTGCATTTAGACGCTTGTTGGCGGGACGGGCAGAAATATAGCTGCAGTGCTTCTTCTATCGCTGTTCTGGGAGCTCTACTAGTAGTTCTGGGGGAGTTAAATTGTTGTACCAAATTCACCACGTTGTCGCCGTCTTCCTCCCACATGGTCTCTTCTTACTTCCCCCATTGGATCAATTGTTTTTCCAGCCCGATGCCCTTCCTCTGGCCTGTTCCTCGTCAACACCGTCGAAAAGATATCACCCGCCACACCAGACACCTGAGATGCTCCGTAAATGGGGGGTCATTTGAGATAGATCGTCCGCACCTCCATCTCTCATTCACCAATCCTTCCGTCTCGTGGTCTAGATCGTCCAGGTCCTTCTGCCGCCGCTGCGGTCAACGTTCACCAACAATTCACCCTCGGCCATTCCAACCCACTTCATTCCTTCGTGTATTTCCGGTCAGGCTCTATTTTTCTACCTTCCTCCCCGCCATCGTATATCGGTCTCATTTTTCCGTCGAGTGTCGTAACTCTGCTTGGCTATGCGACACTGCTCGATGGATCTCTTCTTGGTCGCTTTTTCGTCTCGCGAATTCTTTTCGCGATCCTGCCCGCACCAGTCGGAGGACAGACCCCACAAAAGCTCCAAACTGCACTGCTATGAGTTGGTCGTCCACCTCTTCATCTCTGGTCGCTCCCATTTTACCTCATATAACCTCATATAACCACTGACCGGCATATGACCTTTCGAAATCTGACACGGCAATCCTGATAAGCCACAATTCGGTTGTCTCAGCCCATACTCTCAGGTCTCTCAGAATTGACCATGTGATACTGGCCAAGAAAGGCGAGGTTGAAACTCCCCCACCATTATATCTGTGCAAATCACTGGGTTTTTCCCCCACACGTGCGATCCCTTTCCCTCGTCGTTGTCATTCTGTCGTCCTCGCCTGGATATTGTATCGATCCAAGCAGTGACCTGACGACAAATGAAACGGGTAGTGTCCTACTCGTGCTGGTAACCCTCTTCCAGACAGGACAGGCACCAGTGTTGCGAGAAGCGCTCCGATGAACTACAGAAACAGGGGCAGAAACACCGGAATGGCGAATGGCCAGTGATACCGTATCTGCCGTTCGAACACTGTCACGGGGACCGTCTTCCTCATTACGCTCCTGGAGATTGGTCGGCAAAGCAGAGCCAGATCCCCCAGTTGTGCGTCCTAACCAGCATATTCGTCGCCAAATCCGGGCACCTGAAATGCGGTATCTTCCTCGTCGCGGTCGCAGCAACTCGAGAGATCTCTCCATCGAGCATACATGGCCATGTTGGTCCTCCCCATATAGTTCGCCACGTCCCCGGAGGTTGAAGCAAGCTGATAAACTCCGGCTAAGACGTCAGTCAACCCGTCTGCTGCTGGTAGGATTCCTCACCCGGACCGCTTGCTGGTCAGAAATCCTCCATATCCTGGCAAATATAGACATGGTGACCGAACAGTCGAAAGATTGACTGATCTCTCTAGCCCTGGTGTGATCAAACCCCGAACTGGGGTACGTCAGCCAACTCGAAACCTGGCATCTCTATTCCTCAGAGCGGCATCGATTCCTTTTCTTCATAGGCCTTTTTAGTCACATTCACCACTGTTAGGACATTGAGCGTGTTTCCAGCCAGTTCCGTGGCATTGTATTGGAACTGCACTTCTTTGGTGCTTGCTTTTATTGCACTGGCGTAGCTGTACACCGTCTGCGTCCATCATGTCTCCGGCTCAAATACTAAACTTTTGATTCGTCTCGACGCTGGGCAGCTCCAAAGATCGTCCCGCACTCCACATGAATATTGGGAAAGTGGGCCACGTCCGCACCTCCACCACCCGCGCAGATCATGAAGATATCTGTGTGGTTCTCACCAGGAATCCCGAGCGGGCTCGAATAATTGGTGACATTGACGTATGGGTATTCTGTTTTCAAGTGGGCAAACCCTCCATTGTCGACCAGAGAAATGTTCGTCAGGGTGTTGCAGTAAAGGCCTTCACATGGTGCTTCGAACCCCACTAGAATATTTGTCAACACAGGCGGTCCCAGGCTCGATCCAAAGGAGGTCCTCTCTCTATTCCGCCCCAAGGGGCAGCCCAAGAGGAACGGTATGGTCTCGAAAGTCAATGCCTCCAGTCACAGCATCGATGACATGCCCCTCCACTGGCTCGACGGAGTCATTCAGTGCAAGACTGGACAGATAGTGAGAGGCATCCACAGTATAACTAGTCTCGATTCAGAACCCCTTCTTGAGTCTGGAAGGAATACTGCCGCGACTGAATGTCGAAGAAACTGGAGACTGATTGCGACTGTTGATCGAGTCCACTTTGGTAGAGTTCTGCTAAGGCCTTGGGTATGCGCATATTACAATCGTCATTTGTTATATTTGCCTCCTTGTATGTGCGATAGCCGCTGTAGGTAATTGCGGCCGTCGTTCCCGGGCATGGGGCCGGGAAGGAAATCTCCACAGGTCACTTCGTGGAGATGTTCCATAAGTCATCGGGCCTGAACATTGCATGTAGGAGAATTGAACGGCTTGGGGTGACTTTGATGGAACAATATCGTCATACAGACCCAAAGGCGTGATCATTGTTGCAATAGTCACCAAGCCTAGAGTAGGTGGCCTCAGCAGAGTGAGGTGAGTAGTCCGATTTCGGGGTCGACTCCCTTGGTCACAGTCGAGTCTGCACGAAAGAATAGGGACCTACATAGAAGTGAGAGAGAGACAGTGTGTTTGCATGAAGATGACTTACCACACGGAACTCAAAAATTTGCGCTCCACCACTGACCAAGTGACCGCAGTGTGCCCATTCTTGGGAAGACCCACCAACACGATGATCAGAGCATTGAGGATGAGAAGTTGCGAAATAAAGACAACTGCAACAATGATACCGGACACATATCTGATCGTGAGAGATATCATTGTGTGCTCCTGGCGCAGTCGAACGGGACTTGTGAGAGACTGGGAGATATTACTGGAGTAGACACGGAAAGGGTATAGAAGAGAGACAACAACACTCAATGCAGGCAGAGAAAAAGAAATGCCTTTATCTTTGTCTCGGTCTAGAATACCATGCTGTCTGTTCCTGGGAAGAGCCTTTCCCACCTGCCATATGAGTCAAATAGGACACGTATTGGATTAAGGATTGGTGGACAGCATTGCCCATGTCTTTATATACGTTGCGCTGAGACCGACTTGGCTCATGTGGCACGAGGGCGCGAACAATCTGAATCGGAAAGTTCCATGATTTGCTGGAGGGAGGTTCTGGTAGGGATGAGCATGTCACTGTAGTGGTAAAGTTGAGGTGTATGCAGATGTCGACATTCAGTGATTGTATGACACCATTCCATAACGAATAAATTAGGGAGTGGAACAATGCAGTGTCATTAAACGTGGGCATGGAGAGTGATTGAATCTGGCCGTAGGAAGGAGGCTTGAACGCAGAGTAGAATAGAGGTCGAGCCCATAGGTCAGCGTCGAGGAGTGCCAAGACATCAGTAGTGCCAAGACCAGTTCCGGGCCAACCAAATCCCTCGTTGGTTGACATTTCGCCGAGTTCGATCCCCTATTTGTACCGTATTTTTCTCATAGGCCATTGGACCAAATGTCCAGACCCCAGGTTTGCTCTGGCCAGGGCATCACTCTAAAGCTTGAACTGGCTTGAACCGAGTACGTGATCTCCCGAACATATCTTGAATGGATCAAGAGCCTGATAAACATGAAACAGAATTTAGATAGTGTGATGTTGGAAGATCTGGCCTGCACGATTGTCCGTCTCATCGGAGTAAATAACAGAGCATCACCCTACAATAAACCCTATTTGGTTTAATACCTAAGTGCCCTTCTGCGTGACAATAGGTTACAGAACCTACCTCAAACTGGCACTCACAATGGACCATTGGGATGGATCAGAACCTTGGTGTACCCTTCGATTCTCTTGTCGAACTTGTCGTACGCCATCTCAGCATCCTCGATTCCAATCTCATGACTGACCACGAACGACGGCTTGGCCTTGCCAGCAATGATCAAGTCACGCAAATACCGATTGTACTGCTTGACATTGCATTGGCCTGTAGCGAGAGAAAGACCCTGGAAGGGGGGGGGAACAAACAGTTTTAGCCAAATGATATGTGTGCAATACGGCCGGGGCGATCCTGATCGTACCTTTTCAAATAACTTGCCAAAGCTCATGCTGATCATTCCCTTTCCGCTAGCCTCGTCCGGCGCACCAGGATCAGTTGGCACGTAGAGACCGGGAATTCCCAGTCCACCGCACGGTCTCGTTGCTCTGATCATGTTCTCCAGGACGATATTTGGTTGCTCCTTCTGGCCTCCAGTATCCACCGCCTGGTATCCCACCGCATCGACTGCCCTGTCCACCATGCCACCGTTCTTCTCCAAAATCTGGTCGACGGCATCCCCTTTGCTGAAATCAATGGGTGTGCATCCGATCTTCTCTGCCGCAGCCAACCGTTCAGGCACTCTGTCGACAACATAGACCCGACTTGCACCTCTCAGTGTTGCTGAATATGCCGCCATTAGGCCGACTGGTCCCGCACCCCAGACGGCAATAGTCTCGCCCGGTTTGAACCCGCTGAGTGATACTCCATGCCATCCCGTGGGGAAGATATCCGCCAGAAGAATAAAGTCACTCTCATGTTCTTTGCCTGGTGGCAGCTTCAGAGCGTTAAAGTCGGCATATGGAATGCGAATATACTGAGCCTGTCCTCCTGTTGTTGTCGTCAGATTGTTATTTAAATGAGAGACTCAGCCAGGTGATTTGTACCTCTGTAGGGGCCCATGGCGACATATCCGTAAGCCCCCCCGGCAAAACCTGGGTTGACACCCGTACAGAAGGCTGTTTTGCCCTCTTCACAGTTACGGCATCGACCGTCGGCCACGTTGAAAGGCATCACGACTCGATCACCTTTCTTCAGCAAAGTAACACCTGGACCAGCTTCCTCGACAATTCCCATATTCTCATGGCCTTCACCTGTCAGTATAGGGTTCTCGGGGCTTTGATGAATTGAGCCATACCAAAAGTGATACCGGCCTGGGCTCCGGTACGTCCTTCGTACTATGTGACATCAGTATGAGGCTCTGCTCATCACATTGGCATTCATTCGAGTTCTCACCATGTGCAAATCTGAACCACAAATGGCTATTCAAAATTTCATACCAGTTAGCCTATTTATGGGGGGGGCGGAGGAAGGGTCATCAATCCCGTTCTCTCTCACCAGCGGTCGTCACCTTTACAACGACGTCGTCAGGATGCTCGATTGTGGGCATCGGCACGTCATCCACCTTAACTTTGAAGGCCCCTTGATAATTCACCGCCTTCATGGTCGACAGGCCAGACCCGACGCGTACTTCTGTTGCAGACATGATTGCTGGTTGATCTTCCGAGAATATCTGGTAGGTCTATTCTCTCTCTTGACGACTATCCGATTTAAGCAATGCGAGATATGATTGGGCTGCTAGTACAAAGTGTCGGAAACCAAGAAGAAATAACGGCCAAACCCAACCCATACTTCAAGGCCAGGAATCGAGATTATATACGGCTCAACCACTCTGGCCCATGACCGGCAATCACACCATTTGCATAATCGTCCAAAGACCAAAATGCGGAGTTGCTGCCTTGTGACAATCGCGTTGTGTCTCACGGGTTGCCGGGTTTTCTTTTCCTCATCCCACAGGTCCCCGAGGCCAGTCAGTGACAGCCATTTCTCCCCATTTTTGCGGGGTACATGACATGATCATCAAAGACTTCGAACGCAGAGCGCAAACACGAGGGGGGTTAGAAAGAGTCCCAGGCCCACTGCAAAATGCAAACTTCATAAACGAGACTGTCGGCAGATCACTGGTCAGAGACCCCGTGGCCATGAGGATTTAGAAATCAACCTGCATCTCGTAAGACGTGAAAAGGTCCTTTCCGTGATACCGATCAATTGCCTACTCAGCTTTCTGCTATTTCGCCAAACCTAGCACAACCTGCTCGGCCAGGTTCAAGGCCGAAGCTTCTTACCATGTTCGGGAAAAACAGAGCGAACTGCAGGAATCGGATCAAAGGCGGGTTGTGAAATGCTCGCATTGGACTAGAAAGCTGTCGACATACATTGGCATAGGTTCCAGCTCAATAAAGGAGGTCGGTTAAGAGTATTCCCCCCTCTCCTCTTCTCCTTCCTTTCTTCCTCCTCCGACACCATGCCGAGCTTAATGACCTATGAACTCTTTGCCGAAAATAACGCCTCTGGTTGCATGCTGAGTCAGGTGACGTGCTGTGTCGTTTGGGTAAGGGGTATACATGACGGTGCATCTAGTGGTGGTGGTCGTAGATGATCTTGGAATCGTGCTTGAGATGGGTGTACGCGTGAATTCGTGCTTGGGCCAGGACTGCTAAGGGGCTGAAGCAAGTTGGGGGAGGTGCTGGTGCTCTCATACAAGTTCTGCGAAATGCGGTGATTCGGGCCTCTCTCCCGACGACTTGTCTTTTTCACACAGCCCTCACTTGTGTGCTGTGTGGCTTGTCACTGCTTGGTCACGTACCTCGTGGGGAACGTGAAATTTCGGTATGGTTTAGTGTAAGCCCAGTTTTTTTTTTTTTACAGACATTTACATGTCCATAGAATCATTGCCGTTTGCAAAGTTGAATTGTCCTTGAGGTTGGTTCGAACCCAGTGTGAAGCCAGTGGCATTCGCCTGTGGTGCCAATTCTTCAATATCAGCTCCAGCATCTTCTTCATCCGAGAAATATCGTTCGATGATGTTATATGCCTTCATGTAAATCTCCTCGTTGGCGTTATTCTGGCAGTCGTGAATCTTCTCCATCCCACCGGCTTCTTCAATGAACAGAGCATATCGGTTGACTTGTCCCTCTGGAGCTCGAGGATCGGCAGCCTCCTTATCCATTTCTCCGACCTTGAGAATGTTCTCCAATCCATCCAGAGCAACTTGAATAATCTTGTTGTCCGGGCATGCAAGCAAATCGCAGAGGGGTTTGATGCAGCCTTGAGAGACGAGGTATCGAATCTGGTCTGGCTTCTGAAGACCTCCGGAGGTGGCATTGGAGATGGCCCAGCAAGCTTCTTTTCGGGTCTTGAAATCTCCATTGGACAAAAGATGGATCAGAGGAGGAATGATATTGGCATCAATGACAGCTTGGATCTGAGTAGAGTTACCAGCCGTGATGTTTGAGATCGTCCAGCAAGCTTCTTTCCGGATACCATCTTTCTGTGAGCCGAGGAGAGACAGCAGAGCAGTCAGGGCTCCACAGTTAATGATGACCTGGGTCTGCACATCATCCCCAGTGACAATGTTGCCGACTGATCGGAGGGCGGGGGTTTGGACAGAGGTGGAAGCATGCATGAGGAGTTCGACCAGGCGGCGAGGAATGCCGGCTTCGATAACTGCTTGAATCTTGTCATTGGATCCATCGGAGAGGTAAGAGATTGCCCAGCAGGCATCGATGAGAACCTCATCATCAAGCATGTAGACGAGTTTGGACAGGACAGGGAGGGCAGGTTGAATCTGCGCATTGTTAGCGAAGAAATTTTTGGCGATATCAGGAGCAGACATACAGTATTCCAGTCTGGCTGGGGAGTCTTTCCACGACAGAAGTTGCTCAAAGTCCATGTCGCATTGCGAAGCATGCTCAACTTGCGGCCATCAGCGATCAGGTTGAGGAGAGGCTTTAAGGCCCCCTGGCTCAGGACATAGTCACGGCAAGCAGGGCTGTCACCAGCAATGTTGCCCAAAGCCCACACTGCCTGCTCACGGACATCTGGCTCATGGCTGCTCAAAAGTTCAACGAAGATAGGGACGGCCCCGGCCTCGATAACCACCTGTGTTTGAGCCGCCGATCCGGAAGCAATATTGGTCAAAGCCCAAGCGGCTTCAAATTGGACAAGGGTGTGAGGAGATCGAAGGAACTCCACGAAGCGACTGACGACACCGGTCTCGATGACTTTCTCAATAGGAGGGTTGCGCTCTTTGGACAGGAGTTTGCGAAATTTGGTGGTGGCTTGGATTTGGGCGTCGATTTGGTCCGAGAAGACTCCTTTGACCATCTCTGGCAATTCTGTGCTCAACTAGAGACATGATTAGCACACAATTCTCCAGCACAATAGCCTTTAGAACGTTACCTCGGTCTCAATGTTGCCCGCCTCGTCATCGCTGTCTGCTTCCGTGAGTCCACCGATCCCGATCTCTCCATTCCCACGTTGGACCCCTCTCCGCTTGGCCAGATTCTCTTCTCTCTTCTGACGACGAATCTCCACCTGTTGTTCCTCACGTCGGCGCCGCAGTTCATCGGGCTTGAAAGTGTTCTTTGCCTTGAACTGAGTGCGCCGATGTTCGGGGATGTATCTTTCCGCCATCTTTGGTGTTGATTTCGGGGCACACAAAACTCAGACGTCAGGGAGGTCTCTCTGGAAAGTTGCAAGTTTGTCCCAGACGATGATTTCGAGGACTAGGCAGGAGCAGTCGACAAGAGAATTTTTGGAAGGGCAGGCGGTCAGTGATGGAACTGCGCCAGGGTAGATAATGGGCAAATTGTAAACGAAGGTGCAAGTGATGGGACTGTTTTCGAGCACATGCCACTTTGCTTGGCACTGGTCACATGACCTCCGGTCGTGTCGCGATTGCTTTCAGGCTATCATCAACATTTCACGGTCACTGGCGACCTACACGCGGCCTCTCATTATTTAACTTCCTGGGTCTCCAAGGAGTATGAGGACGGCCTCGAACCTGATCAGACTTATCGGACTTGTACAAAGCTCAATTCAGGATCGCCTCGTAGCCCCGCTGAAAGACCGGAGTCAACAAGCCGACATGACATAATGGCGTATGCCCCCGTGCCGCGAAACTTCATTGATCTCGCAAACGCCATAGCAAAGAAACCAGAAGAACCTTACAATGTCATAGGAGTTTGCGTTGACTATCTCGATGCCACTAAGTCCAGGGGAACAGACTACACCATCAAATTCGTTCTTCACGATCCGGTCTGGAGTTGTGGCCAGGGGATGAGCTTCCGATTCTTTGCAAGACAAATCGATAAGCTTCCAGCAATTCGAAATCAGGGAGATATAGTCATCCTGCGGAACGTTAAAACCCACAGCAACAATGGTGAGGACTTCGGTATGTCCCACTCCACATCCACCTGGGTTGTCCTCCCATTCAACGAATTGGACAATCTGAGTTCCCCTGAGCACCTGAAGAGTAAGGCCAGATGGTTCGGAAAGGGAGATTCCACACGTTACCCACAGGCAGTCCTTCCGAATGAGGACGAGCTTAAATATGCCAGATGGATCGCGCGGCAGGAAGACCCGAATCGATGGGACAAATTGGCCGGAGCCACCAGGTTACAAATCGAAAGCACAATGAGACTTGGTGGCGGCGAGCCTCCTCCTCGAGCCACCAGATTCCGCTTGATCAAAGACCTCGAGAGACCTGCAAGCCACAGGGGTAAATATTGGGTAGAGCTCCTAGGAGAAGTGCGAAAAATTTACTCCAGCGACATGAATACCGAAATTTATGTGACGGACTACACTCACAATGACGAACTCTATGACTATCAATACAATGATAATGACAATGGGCGAGACGGGGATGAATTCGGCTACACCAAAGACGTGGGCACGAAGTGGCCTGGCCCTTGGGGTAAGATGACAATGACCGTTACGCTCTGGGATGCTCACTTTATATTCGCGAAGAGGCATGTTAAAGAGGGCAGTTTTGTCTATCTGCGTAATGTCGAGATCAAAATGGCCAGGGATGGGTCTAAATTAGAAGGACACTGTCGCGGAGATCGCAACGGCCCATCCCGCGTAAATGTTGCCCTGAGATTTTACCGCAAAGACGACAATGATGAGCAGATGAAGGCACTCGTGATGCGGAAGCGAGATTACGAGTCAAAGGCAAGAGCAGAGAACGTTCGGTTCACAAAGATTGCACAGGATATGAATAAGAGGCGAGCGGAGGAACCAACTGAATTGGAGGATATGCATAAGAACAAAAAGGCCAGAGCGAGAAACCGGAAGAAAGAGAGGAGGGCAAAGGCCGAGGCTGAACAATCGAGGGAGAACGGCGCAGCAGCGGAGGACAAGTCGTTAATGAAGTCCAATGTCAACATCCGATGCAATCGAATCGAGGTACCCTGTAAGCCGATTGTCGACATTCTTGACTCGGAGATTCTGGACCGCAATACCTCGAAGGGCAACCCTTTCAGACTTCCTTTCCAAAATTGCAGGTATAAGGGCCATGTCAGGGTCGTGGATTTCTTCCCAGACAACATCGCCGACTTTGCCGTCCCTCGAAGAATCTCGGAATATGATGCGCTATCTGACGATGACGATGACGATGACGATGACTCTGATATTGATCTCATGCGAGACAATGGAGAAGACGTGAAATGGGAATGGCGGTTTTTTCTGCTTGTGGAAGATGCCAGGCCGCAGGCAGTTCGCGATGGAAGGCCTACACAGATGGAATTGCTTGTCGCAGACACGGATGGAGATTTCCTCCTGAATATGGAGGCTTGCAATTTGAGAGACGAGGGCAACGCACAAAAGCTGGCGACAGTGAAGGAGAAGCTGTTTCATCTCTGGGGTGACCTTCAGGAAAGGAAAGAGGAGTCTTGCACAGCCGAATCGCTGAGCGTAAAGCCCAATGCTAGGCCTTTCGAGTGCCTGATTAAGGAGTACGGTGTACCTGTCCGAAGCAGTCATGCACAATCGAGTGACAGCGTGATGTACGAGAGGCATTTCCGTTTATTCGGAACAACCATATAAATCACGAGTCTTTTGCAGCTCCCATTTCTACATGGTATCGTGTAACTTTCCATGAGGATGGTCAAGGGGGCGTTTCATAGGAAAATATCTCTCGACAAATGTTCACTCTCCAGGCGAGAGCGGTTCCAGCTCAGAGCTCAAGCACATGATTTCTCTCGTTGGATCGACGATTGACTTAGTGGTGGCGATGCAATATGTCGAGAGTTAACTGCGAGGGTTGAACCGATCTCAAAAGGGTTTGTGGCGTACGCTCATCTCCTCCGGGAATCCATTATAACAAAGCCAAGGCCTACACGAGAGCGGAGTAGCACTGTCGAAAAAGGATGTCGCTGATTTACACACCAATCGAGATGGGAGAACCAGATTTCGATGGTGGAGTGGAATGATTGCAGGAGTGTGACGGCCTTTCTTGACCTGAACGTGTCATTTCGTGACGGTCGGGGTCTCAACTCTGCAGAGTCAAGTGGATTCAAGTGGTCCAGCACAACCACGCAGTTACCTGCCAGGAGATCCACCACTATCTTTGCTCAAAGAGGCGATCTAACTCGAGGGTCAGCTCCCCCAACAACCTTTCTTTGCCGAATCGGGCAATCCAGTTGCAACCATGAAACCAGACTGCATTTGCCACAATATTACCTTGATCAGAAATCCCAGGAAGTAGAATAGAGCAGTGCCTGGCGAAAGACGGAATTTGACATAGGCCAGAGATGTTTGGAAAGTAAGGGACGGATTCAACAGAAAGGCTCTTTATAGTCGATGGAATCACTGCTAGAGGGAGCTTGTTAAGTTCGTTGTCTCTTCAAGCAAAGGCATGGGCAATTGTTAAGGTACACCTCGTACGCCATTTGCCAGTCTCAAGCCACCACAAGATTTCCCAACAAAAACTGCAAAGGTTAAATACGAGAAATCAATCTCACCGTAAACCCGATATTGTGCGGCGGCTCCGATCCGCTTTTGGGTGTGATTTCTGTTACATTAGGACATTTTGCATTAGTAGTTGCAATGAGCATGTGGAGAGGTCCGCATTGCGATTCCTCTTTCAATGTGGCACACTGGGAAACTGCAATAGCACATGTAGTTCTCTGGGACTAGTCTATGGTTTCGGTCTGGAGCACTGTCCTTAAGATATGCTTTTCCCATTGCGGAAACGGACCAGTCCATGGGTTTCAAATGCCGTTCTCCGAAAACATTTGCCAATATCATTACGAAAGAACCCGCCAAAGAGGCGAATGAACAAGGCTGGGCCCGGGCCCCCTTCGGCGCAATTGTACGGTTTCATTGCCCGTCCGGAACGCCAGGCCGACTCTGCGTACATTGATCCCCCTTTTGATAACGATCACACTAGGAAAGACGTCGCACAAGGTGGGGCTTCATTCGAACAGGTTACGCTTGTATTAGCACACCGGGACTTGTCAGCGTCCATTGCCGTGCCCAGCCTTGTGCAAATCGAGAATTTATAAGTACAATATGGCCTCATGGTCAGATGCAGTGGGCGTACAAGTTTGACCTTTGAGTGGATTGACACTGATTTCGGACCCGCGGAGATTGGGATAAGGCGATAGCGATGAGGCCGTCGCCTCAGTTTCGTCATCGTTGTGGTCATCCGTCCTGCACGTGCAGTGATTGCAGTCGTAGAAATACTAATCGCGAGGCGCAATCGTTGTGGGTTTTGAAGTGGCTCTTGTTGAAACAGACGCGGATCAGTTGCTTACACACATAGCCAACCGCCTTACGGAGACCCGTAGTGGTTTTCATGGATTGTGGCCATTGCTGGAGGCTTAGGCAAGGGATTTAAACTCACTTGCACGGGGTCCGTGGAAATCCTGGGGACTGATCGCCTATTCTGCAAGTGGCTGGTGATAGATATCATCCGTTTGATCTTGCCACAGCAAAGGAATGTCAATTTCAATTGCTGTGCTATATTCCATTCAAGCGTGGCCAAACGTCTCAGATATTCGGTGATCTGCACGAAATTTAGCCAATGCAGCGCTCGGCTATCACTGATGAATCTGAGTGACGAAACTGGATTGAATGCTGCAGATTACCCTTTCTCCCAAGTCATGGGAATCGGCTCCGCAGAACCATCCTGGTATTCATCAATGATGGTAAGTTGCGGCTGCGTCGCCAATGTCGAGGCGTCACGTCGACGACTAGGATGGTAGAATATTTCTCCCCCTTGCAAATGCAAGCTATCGGCGTATGCGATGTTTGTTCCATTTTGTGGTGCAGCTAGCCAATAAATGATCAAATACAGGATCTGGGATACTAGGAGCGGCCTTCCTTTGGCGTGAAATGAAGTTGTTTCCTTTTTTTTATTTTTTTTTTTTAAATTTCGAACGGACGCTGGAGAGACAAGACGGCTCAGAAAGCTAGCCTGCCTCATGGAGGCAGAGGCTGAAGGGATGGGTCAGGTGCACACTTCCACAAGTCTGGTCCAGGTTACGCTATTTGCAATTGTGTCGGTAACTTTGCGACTTTCACACCCCCCATATCCTACTTCGATCAGGTACTACGATAGGAAAACGTGTTGGCCTCGTGGTGTTCTGTGAATCTCATAGGACAACACTACCGAGCCAGGGATCCAGATCGTATTCAAACTTTGTCCAGGAATATACTTCCAACCCGTTCCGTCAGGGAGTCCTCGAGGCTGAAAAATATATTCACCAATCCAAACAAAGGGATGGAGTACTCTCTGACCGCCTAAGAACGCGTGAACATTCGTGTATCCGGAAGGAAGCGATGGTTGGGGATTGTCTATCGACTCGGATCATCACATTCATTCTGGCGCTACTCGCATTCCGCAGGCTCCCAACCCAGTCCCTCGTTGCCAGAGAATGGATACGCGGCAATTATCAGTGCGCCGCGTGGATATGACACCAAGTCCTTCTGGAGGAAGCGACGAGAGCGTTTAATCCAGAAGCCGTTAGGCCCTTGATGACCCTGGGGCAAGGATAAGACCGGCCCATTGTGGGGATGGCTTCTCGTCGAACTCTGCCGATTGCAAAATATCATGGATCGTGACCCGTCCCATGACCACCCCCAGATCTGCATTCAGTTATGGAATAGCACGGACACTCGGACCACCCATCTCACCAGGAGGCTGTGTTTGATAAACTTCGACCTGTGATTCTTCACACAGAGAGTTTTCGGAGCTCGCCCAGAATGTAGACAAGTTTGACTTTGGATTAGCATCCTGTTGAGGTATTGGCGGCCAAAAGATCGTTCTCAGGCTCTTCAAGCCTACTCGTACTGGTGTCTGGTGTAGAAGCTTTCAATCAATCCTTCGCCTGGCTATGGAAATTTCAAGATCAGATGAAAGGTAATTTCGACAGGTCGACAGGTTCTCTGACGATCTAACCTAAAAGGGGTCGAACTGCCATCCGGAGTTTATTCTACATATCAATAGCCTCTATGGTGGTATAAGTAGATGCGCAAGTTGACAGGGTCTGGCCTAAACTTAGGTAGGAGATGACCGGGCCATTGTGGTTTCAGCGTCTTGTTTAGTGAGTTTTTTTTTTTTTTGGAGTTGAGAATGTGAACATAACCCTGGTTGACCAGAGAAGAATGGTTGGCGGGAGCAGTTGTGCGACAAGCGAGCGACAAATAGGTAGTATCAAAATTTGGAAACGAGCCCGTCGCTGTGGGCACACAAGGATTTGTTTAGGTTCGAGCTCGGGCCCAGTGGCGCCGGGGGTTGGAACGGGCGGGACCTAAGAGTACGAAGATTGTGGTTGGTGACAATGGGTGTTGCTCGGACGCAGAGGACAATGAGCGCTTGGGGGGTTACCTCGACAGACGTACAGGATTTCGCAAAAGACATTCCCGGGAAGCTGACCCTTGAAGGCTCCTTGACATTAGCAAGACGTGGCACGCGAGGAAAAATGGGCATCGCTTAGTCTTTCGACAAGCTCGGGGGCCACCTGGCGGCAGTTACAGACTATGTAACAGATTGACAAATCTGACAGAAAAACAGACAGCGCCAGCGTTGATCTCAGCACCCTGGAGATGAAATGCATAAGTGGGTGGTCTGGGGATGGCTTCGGGATTGCTAGGGGCTCCCTGAAGGGATTTGGAGAAATTAGGCTTGAGGGCCCTGTTGTGCCGCCCGATGCTGGTTGGTCAATGCCTCTGGAGATATAATCCAGAGTACTCGAAATTATGCAGTGACCTCTGGATGCGGCGTTCTGCAGTGCAGGCAGGATGCCGCTAAAGCATGAGCTGGAAGGAAAAGTCGCTCATACGAACTATACAATACAGGATCAAGAGATGCAGGATTGTTTCTGTTCCGGTTCTGCTTCCAGACATTGGCAGGAAACGAACGCGAAGAACTGCGACAGTGAGTGGCGGAGCAAGCGCAGTCTCCAGTCCCCGGTCTTCTATCTCCAAGCTCCAGATGGTATGCGACGCAGAGGTCTAGGTACTGAGATGCACGAGTTTACCTGTTGAAATACTTATGAATTGATAGAACGGCTTGCTTCCTGGCATTAATAATGATGCTGGAGGGGTCGTATCTCTTTCAGTATCCCCTCTGGGTGTAGATGTACATATGATAGCAGGCTGTCAGACAAACAGTCCCAAGTGACCTTGTACCTTGGCCAGGTGGGCAGAGCCGTCGTAACTAGCTAACAATTAGCCGTGCCTGTATATACTACGAAGGGTGGTACGGCGTGTCGGCATCCTTCAGAATGGTGTTATCCGACTGGTCTTTCACTAGGCTGCACCCTCCTGTCCTTTTTATCAGTCGTTGTGCACCGCTTGAAATTGTACTATCGGTTAGCTCTGCGGCAGGAGTCCGCCGCGAACACTGGAAAGCAGACTTTGGGCATCCCGTCACGAGAGGGCTCTGCGGTATTGCCTTTAGCTCGCCATTAGCCACCAAAACCACGTCCCCAGTCTGGCCCTCTCCAGTCTCCAGTCTCCAGTCTCCGTTCTCCAACCCACCCATGAATCGACTAGTTACGGTAGTAGTTAGCTGCAGCCCCAGGTTCCTCGGAAAAAACTCCTTCCACCGTCCAACTCTTCGCCCACACCAACCCCATCCTCACCCGGATCCTTTTTTGCCATCATCTCAGTCATACCGTCGATTGAATATTCTCCGGCCGTTTTCCTTTTCTTTTTGTGTTTCTACTGCGAGGGAACCAAACTGTCTATTTCCGTACCATCGTTACTCTGCATCCGCCGTCGCATCCTTCGGCATTGAATGATTTTTCATCGGTCCATTCCGGTCCACCTCGCCTCCTCCCCTCATGTTGCCGATTCCTACCCCAGAAACACGCCCACACCGAGAGAGATCCTCGGCCGTACTACCGTACCGTTCTTTCGTCCATTGACATCTTTTCGAGACGGCTGCCATTTGGTCAACTTGGGGTTCTAGAACTAACAGTTTCCTGCCTGGAAGGGAGCTTTACCAATCCTGTGGTTTCTCGTACAGATACCCTGCAGATTCGAACTCTGTGCCGCCGCCAACCACAATTGACGCCCACACACCTGTGACGTTCAAAACTCTGAAGGGGCTTGTCTTGCTTTGCCCGTCTGCTCTCTGTCCTCAGGGACCTACTTTCTTCCTCGGCCGTTCACACTGCACACCTTTATGCAATCCTGTCAGCCTTTCTATGCTTGCTCTGGTGAGTTTCTAGGCCTGTATTGTTGTAGCTTCCTTGGTAGTTGGACTCTGTCTTGTTCAATTGTCGTTGGTAAAACTAAACTTGTCCAGGAACAAAGATTTTGAGTCACTTTGGTGTACATGACGGTCTCTTCTTCGAGCAAAATTCCCTAGTCACGACCTTCTTCACCGATCCTGTGTATTGTTTTCTCGTTTCCCTCTGAAACCACAATCCTGAACTACCCGGATTTCGGCTTCAGGGACCCTCCAATTCGCAAGAATCCTCGACGAACTCATTGTTCTTCACCGGTCACGAGCATTCACTCATTGGTTGTGCGCCTGGGATTGTATGGTGTACTGATATCCCACGAGGCTTGGCTTGGGAGGCAATTCAAGAATACCACATCGGACTCTACGGGTTCGAGCATACCGTCAGATGCACGGTGCAAGCTTAGCGCATGCTCTCCCGTCAATCTGTTACCCGGTAAATAAATTCTTGGGTGGTTGAAGAGACCAGGACGTTGCAAGAGCTTGGTGTCAATCGGAGCACAGATCAAGATCGCATCACTTTGGAGCCTGGAGGTTGATGGCTGCCCTAGTAGAGGACAACTCAGCCATTGTCGGCATCACGGGAATGGCTTCTCCTAGTGAGATGATGGATAGCGCTGGAACTGAAGCTGGTAAGTTGAACCGACACCTTTTTTTTTTTTTTTTTCCAATTCTTAGACTCATCTTCTTCTTAGCCAGCAAACCTCCGTCAATCAATGATTCGACGACTCCCAATGTCACCTCAAACCCAACATTTCCTCCCCCCAAAACAGACAAACCTCGGCCTCATGTGTGCATTACGTGTATGCGCTCCTTTGCTCGCCTGGAGCATTTGAAACGACATGAACGATCTCACACAAAGGAGAAACCATTCGAATGTCCTGAATGTACGCGCTGCTTCGCCAGGCGCGACCTACTTCTACGGCACCAACAGAAACTCCACTCATCTACCACCCCATCATCACGGCCCCGCGCCGGACGGCGAGAAAGTGCCGCAGTAGTTGCAAATGGCCGTGTCCGGAAGAATTCTACCACAAATGGGGCCACGACAATGAGACCCCGGGCAAACACTCTCAGTCACGTGGATTCTGCAACTATCGGAATGCTTGCAAATTCAGTTGGGAACTTTGGTCGTCAGTTCGGGCCTAGCCATAATCACCACAATGGCATGAGCTTGCCGGCAGGATCTCAAGGGCATCATTACCGTGGAGCGTCTACCAACCATCAATCCTTCAGCCTGCCAAAACTAGAAACCCATGGACTGCCTCTTGATCTCTCAAGTGGCTTGCGTACTGCGCCGCCTTATGGAGGTTTTGGTGCCGAATTCGGCGTGGGCTTTGGACCAGACCAGGCCGATACGATCAACCCTCATGCACTGCACATGACTGGTCTACAAGGGTTTGGAATAGAGCCTTCAGGCTCACCATTTCAACAAGTGTTTGCCGGAATGACAGCGTCTCAAGTTATGGCTGATGAAGATGCTAGCTTCGACTGGATGACACAGGGCTTCGAAAATCAAATGTCCTTTGCTCAGGCGAATGAAAATGCCATTGATGACTCCTCGCCATCGGCTATGAGTACAAACAGCCCCGCCGGGATAAATGACATGACAGCCGAACCCAGCCTTGCCACTCTGCAGCGCACTGCAGTCACGACTGCCAATATGTGGCCCAATAGCGGTACGAGCCAAGCACCAATGGTGAACAGTCCCGTCAGCATGGATCTGATGTCCAATTTCAGCGAAATGGTTAATGCGCCGATTGGCACAGTATCACCAAAATCATTACTGGCTCAAGGAGGCTCTCTAGACATGAGTCTCCCCACGCCGCCGGATTTGAATCCTATGGATCCTTCTGCCATGCAAGCAAACATGCAGTTCGCCGGTTTCCAATTGCCACTGAGCAGGGATGGCCCGGCTTCGACAACATCTACTACCTCAATGGATAGCAGTCTGCGTCAAAGTTCCGCCACCACAGTATCCTCAGATTTGGTCAGCGATCATATTCGAAGCGTTTTGATTGCGGGTCTGTCCAAAAACACTGGCTTCGGACAACGTAAGTATTCTCAGCCGGTGATTAGTTCACCATTATCACCTAGTGCAGCTTCTCGCCCGAAAGGTTTCAACGTGAATACTTTCCCAAGCACGCATGAGTTGCAACGTTACGTGACAGCATACATCAGATACTTCCATCCTCATCTCCCGTTTCTTCACATTCCTTCACTCAACTTCGAGTCCCCAGATTACACAACTCCTATCAGACTTGTATCTGGTCAATCCCAATTTGGTCATGCCACCGTCGCTGGAGGAGGCAGCTGCTTGATCTTGTCCATTGCCGCCATTGGCGCTTTGTATGAACACGAGGTTGCTCAATCAAAAGACCTCTTCGAGTGTGCCAAACGTCTCATCAGCAGCTATCTCGAGGAACGTCGCAAGGCTAACATGACCAAGACGCAATTTGCGCCACGACATTCGACAGAGCGAGAGGACACACCACTTTGGCTGGTCCAGGCGATGCTGTTGAACGTGATCTACGGTCACAACTGTGGTGACAAAACAGCAGCCGAGCTCGCAAGCAATCATTGTGCGGCCTTGGTTAGCCTTGCTCGCGGTGCTGAACTGGCACGACCTGCCCCGGGACACACCGGAAACGGCCATAGCAATTCCTCTGTCAATGTTCAGATGAGTGGAATGTCGAACACCGGTTGGGGTACAATGATCAATGAGATGGACGATTCTGATTGGTATGAATGGAAGATCATGGAGGAACGCAAGCGCACTTTGTATGCAGTTTTCATCCTTTCAAGCATGCTTGTGACCGCGTACAATCACCCTCCGGCACTCACCAATTCCGAAATTCGATTAAATCTGCCCTGCGACGAAGAATTATGGGCTGCTGAATCTGCACAGGCATGGAGAAATCTCGGAGGGACAGCAAGCGCCGAAACGAATTCAATCACGTTTGCTGAAGCGCTCACGCATCTTCTGATGGCTGCTCAACGGAAGAGGAGGCGGAACAGTACCGTTGTTTCCCTTGGAGCAGCCGTTGAGAATGAGCTCAGACCAAGTACATTTGGTTGCCTGATCCTCGTCAATGCCTTGCACAACTACATTTGGGAAACGCGACAACGTCATCTTGGACGTCAATGGACGACGAGCGAGACAGAGCAGATGCACGCTCACATTGAACCGGCACTTCGGGCCTGGCAAGCTGCTTGGGCTAGTAATCCTAGCCACAGCCTGGAGCGGCCAAATCCTTTTGGCGCTGGACCTCTGTCTGCTGACTGCATACCACTACTCGACCTTGCCTACGTTCGACTTTTCATCAATCTTGGAAGATCCAAGGAGGCCTTTTGGCAGCGTGACTACGATGCTATGGCGGAAGAGCTTGCAAAAGGCCCAGATGCAATGCAGGGTCAGGAAATGTCGAATAAAAACAGGGACAGCGCCTCTCCTGCGAGTAAGGCGGATAGCAAGAACACGGAAAATGTGTCCAATGACGAGACGCCACCAGAAACCCAAGCAGAACGCGAACGCGATAGCCGAGAGTCCCGTTCATCCCGGCGAGAACGGCATCTACGCAAGGCGGCATTTTACGCGGCGGATTCCCTATCCATGTCCGACAAACTGGGTCTCAGCTTTGCGGAGCATACGTCTCGAGAGCTGCCTACACAATCAGCAATGTGTGCGTTTGATTGCGCACAGGTACTTGCGGAGTGGATCACAACCGTACAGGAACGGGTTGGCAAGTACATTGGCGTGATTGGCCGAGACGAAATGAATCTGATGGAGGTTCCGGGTATTCTGCTCCTCGAAGACGAGGACCGCAAACTTATCCAGAAAGTTGATGAAGTTTTGGCAAGTGCCGAGCAAAAGATCGAATCTCGGGCAGGGTATGATATTACTGCGGCTCGAGAAGGCGGCTATGGCTGCAGAATTCTTGTTCTGACAGCATACCTACTCGAAAAGGATGCTGTATGGCCCGGTAAGTCATCTTTCTGTCCATGATCGTGACGCCTGCTGAGTAAAATCCTTAGTTTTCAAGCTCATGGCACGGTCACTCGAAACACAAGCAGGGCACATCAAAGACCGAGCGTTAGCCTCGGTCACGAACCCCTAACGACAATCGGCAGGACCTGATATTGACCTCTATGAAAGCCTTGAGGACGCTTATATCTTTTCTCTGTAGGCTGCATAAGTGCAGCATTGGTTGATACGTTTTAGTACGGCTCTGATCTCCAAAACACGGTACATATGATTTGACCAGGACATACGATTGCAATATACCCCCCAGATACGGAATCTAACATGCCAAAAATGACGGAGGTTATCGGCGATATCGGACTCTCCAAAAGTGTGGGATTTTGAATTCGTAGGAAGTTTCTTATGGGAACTATGGAACCAGGCAAGCGCCCTGCTAATGACGGGAGGTTTTGATTGAAGAGAAGTATATTTGCTGGCTAGCTGTAATGAATGGGATGGTGAAAGAGACGCATGAAGGGAAGAAAGAAAAGCGACAAGGATGACCAAGGTGGGCTTGCATTGATGATGCTTCACGATTGCAAGTTCATGTAGCTGTCCGGTCATAGAAAATGGGTATTGATGAGTTTGCTGGGTGTGGTATTGCCGCAAACCGGCGCTGGGGTGTTCAAATTGGTTAGCTGATCAAATATCATGAATCTGGGATTGGTCCGACGTATCGTGCTAGAGTCATGGGCGTTTGTAATCAACCCAGTTGCGGCTCTTCGTTATGCATGCAGGATAGGTCATGAGGTAATCTTTCATTTCTTTTGTCGGGGGATGCGTACAGATATGCAGTCATTGACTCGCCATAGTGGATTTCAACGTGGAGGGACTCCACCGGTTGGCGGTGAAGGAGGTTTGTGCTTATGGGTCAACAAAGGCCTTCTCTTGAGAGGAAAGGCATAAGACGGCGTCCGTGCCCTATGGATAATTACAATCAATGGGAGTGAGAGAGTTGCCAATCAGTCGAGGGCTTGCGAGCCAAAGAGGGAGTATCGGTTATTTGGAGCGAGACAGAGTAGTTCTTGAGTGAGGAGGGACAAATGGCTTCCCTCAAGAGCAATGATTACTGGATATTGCTCCTCAGTAGTGTACTTGTAGATAATGGTAATGCTTTTCGCCGTTGGATATCTCTACTCAGTCTTATCAAGGTATAACAAAGCGTGGCACAAGCCAACCAGCTTCGCCTTGTGGGGCGGGGAGGGGGGCGCCAAGTCAGTCCGGCGTACACCTGCGCAAAAGTCGAGCGAAATCTTCCTCTGGCCTACCACCAATCATCGCCTCTCTGCGCTTCGCTCTGCTTGTCCTCGGATGTCGAATTTCCCGGCACGAGGTCAACAGCTTTATCAACCATGCGTTTGCAGGTACGGGGGGGCACCACACGCAGGGAGAAAAAGTTAGATTCAGCCAAAATCATACCTACCTACATCTCGGCTAACGCCCATTGAACGCAATACGTACACGCTCCTCGTCATCTTTACTGGAAGGGCAAAATTCCAGAGCCAGGCAGGTGCCAGGATTTTCGGATTATAACACAAGGAGCCGAGTGTCCGACCATGGAGACTGGCGTTCACTCTGGTTGGTTCGCGTTTTGGTGACCTAGTGTCACCGCGCAGGCCGAACAGGGATCATTATTCGTCCTGAGCATCGCTTTAAGGCCAGAACAAAGCGCGCCCAAAGAAAAGGCCCACAGACAAGGCGCCGAGCTTTTAACATTCAGCAATCGTCTTCTCCTCTATCGCAACTTGGCAGATTCTCTTCGCTCTTCTTAAAGACACCAAGCTCCCTTCCCTGGAGTGTGCTTCGCTTGCCTCAATAGGATTGCCCAGTCTCCGGTCGGCCAGCCGGTTCTCTCTCCGACTCCCAACTGGTTCTTGTTCTCGGATCCACTATCGTCACAGAGGCCGGGAACTCTCTCTCACTTTTGTTCTGTTCTCTTTGTTTCCTCGAGAATAAGAGCTCTCACTTTGTCTTTGCTGTCCAGATTCTCTACCGGGCCTCTGCCCCTCCTTTTCCCTAGCAACCAACCGAGAACCTCTCCATATCTCTCTGAATGCGCCGAATACTCCACCACGATCTAAATCAAAGAGAAGGCAGCGATTGGGGGTAATACGTCCATTTCGAAACAAATATACTCGCTCGTGATATACTCAACCATTTTGCTGCTGCTGTAAAAATTTAATACTGGAGGAGCCTGTCACCCCACTATACATGAGCCACAATCTACTCATTCAAAACGCACGCCCCCAGTCTGTCCAACATTGTAAACTCAGCAGCTCAGGATGGCGTGGGAACACCTGTCCATAAACAAACCGCATCTGGTGTACATTATCCTGGGTGGGTTTACGAGCATGTTCATGCTGTGTTCACTATTTATCAAGGAAAAGCTGTACATCGGCGAGGCCACAGTTGCTACCCTCTGCGGCGTTATCTTTGGACCACATGCTGCCAATCTGATCAATCCTTTGACCTGGGGCAACACTGATATGATCACGCTCGAGTTCTCTCGCATAGTCCTCGTCGTTCAATGCTTTGCCGTCGGTGTCGAACTGCCAAAAGCTTACATGGAAAGACATTGGAAATCTGTTGTTTTCCTGCTAGTTCCAGTCATGACTTTTGGCTGGCTCATCACGAGCCTCTTTATCTGGTGGATGATTGAGCCTCTCACTTGGCTGGAATCTCTTGCGGTTGCAGCTTGCGTCACGGCCACAGATCCTGTCCTGGCTTCTTCCGTCGTCGGCAAGGGCAAATTCGCCAAACGAGTTCCAAAACATCTTCGAGACGTTCTCTCGGCCGAATCTGGCTGCAACGATGGAATGGCATTCCCTTTCATTTATCTTTCTCTATATCTAATGAGATACGACCTTCATGGCAGAGAAGTTGTCTATCACTGGGTATGTTACACGATTCTGTACGAGTGTGTCTTTGGTGCTATCTATGGAGTCACTGTCGGTTATATGGGTCGTCACGCCATCAAATTTGCGGAACGAAAAGGCTTGATCGATCGAGAGAGTTTTCTCGTGTTCTACTTCGTCCTGGCCTTGTTTTGTGCCGGTTCAGGAAGTATGTTGGGCATGGATGATCTCCTGATCGGATTCGCAGCCGGAGTCGGATTTTCCAACGATGGTTGGTTCACTGAAAAGACAGAGGAATCTCATGTCTCCAACGTCATTGACTTACTCCTCAACTTGGCCTATTTCGTCTACTTTGGAACCATTGTACCTTGGGACCAATACAATGCTCCGTCACATGGCTTGGTTCCATGGAGGCTTGTTGTCATCTCCATCTTTGTCATTCTGTTCCGTCGAATCCCCGCCATGTTGGCTCTGAAACCGGTCATTCCAGACGTCAAAACCTGGCGAGAGGCTTTATTTGCGGGTCATTTTGGTCCTATCGGAGTGGGTGCCATTTTTGCCGCCATTCTCGCTAGGGCAGAACTAGAGACGGAAGGAACTGAACCTCTAGCCACACTTCCTTCACCAGGCTCAAAGGAGTACGACTTGATCTACCTTGTTTGGCCTATTGTGACCTTCTTGGTCATTTCATCCATCCTCGTACATGGCTCGTCAATTGCGGTGTTCACCTTGGGTAAACGCATCAACACCCTAACAATCACGCTCTCGTACACTCAAGATAACGAAAAGGGCCCCGCGTGGATGAGCCGTCTTCCAAGAATTACATCTCAATCACGATCCATGTCACGTATGGACAGCTCGGACTTTGAGACCGACGAAAAGCTCGATATCCCTCCTGGACAATTACCTCCGGTCGGAATTCCTAAACTTCAACTTCGACGACAACGCGAAGATGAGTACGAGAAAAAGCCAGGCTCAAGATCCTCCAGCCTGGGGCGATCACGAAGACGGAGGCGTCGAGATAAAGACTTTGAGGACCGTTTAGGCGGCCCGATCAGCCAGAGCGCCATTGCGCCAATAAGGCGCCCGGAGCCCATGCTCTCCCAGCAGGAGTCTGGTTCGGATACCTTGCTTGAGAAATCTGTTGAACCGTCACCAGAAAGTCGACCAGATCGCCCGGTGACAAGATCTGCGGCCTCATCTCCCGAACGCGATGAAATCGAAGCGGAACGAGAGACTGAAACCGAGACGCGGCCCACTTCGAAGGACCGACCGGCCGATATCGAAGCCTATGAAGAAGGCGCCCACGTCATTGTTGAAGATGAAGAAGGCAACGTTGTGGATACCATTGATACCGCTGGACTGACGGAGGACCAGAAGGCGGAGGCCATTGAGAATGCTCGAGTCCGTTTGACCAAGGATGACACTGGCAAGTTCGCGAAACACAAACATGAAACTCATGCGAGAAATGAGGGTGAAGAACTGCAAGAAGAGGTAGACGAGGCTTTTGGTCAACCCCAGAAGTCACTGCGCCAGAGATTTGATCAGTGGAAAGGTTTCGGCAAACGGAAAGAGGAAGAGGTTGAAGCTGCTGGTCCATCAAAGATGGCAAGAAAGAGGGGCCCTGCTCATGCTTATCAATTTGGTAATACGATCATCGTTGAAGATGAAGATGGCGAGGTCATCAAAACATATACGATACCCAGTGACAGTGCCTCCGGCGAGAAGACGAGAGAGCAGCAATTGCGAGACGGTTTGCGCCGAATGAGTACCTGGGTAGGACTGGGTCGACAAACCGATGCCGCCGGACCAAGTACCACCGCCGCTCCCTCAACAGAGGGCGAAGAGGAAACGAAGAAGAAACCAGATTTTAGAAGGCATGTGTCCAATGCATCATCTGATGACGGGTTAAGGATGATTATATCGAAGACTGATCAATACGGCTTGACCGGACTACAAAAGAAGACTCGAGATGCTCCTGGTACCCTCGCTCTTGGATCTGGAAGACGGCTGTCCACAAGAGACTTCATCAAACAAATGCAGCAGCTGGACCCCAAGAGTAGGGTCCAAGAGGCTGAGCACAGTGGCGGTAGAGAACCTGTCACTCCTCTTGACAGACCCCGACGAGACCGAGCCGAAGCGAATACTGGTGCGATTCTCGATCTGCCACGCCCACATACCGCCCGGAGAACCCAAAGCGAGACGGTACCTGATGGTGAGGATTATTTTAGTCCACATCGACGTCCAAGACCTGACCGGACGACCACTACCGAGCGCAATCAGACACTGGAAGAAGAAAGTGAAGACGAGGAAGACGAAGCAACTGACATTCCCACTCACGATGTGGCGTCGAGTTTGGCCAGGCATGGTAAAGGTCAGACTGCAGCAGACGTAAGAAGACGTCAACTGGCAAGGATTCGATCCGAAAATGAAGAGGAAGCTGGAGAGGAAGGAGAAACTGCAGCAGAAAAGAGACGACGATTGGCTGCTTTGGGTCTGGGCGACGCAGAGGAAGATTCGAGCAGTGAAAGTGACGAGGAGGACCAACCTCGTCGAAATCGGGCTGCGGTGCAAGAACCTGGTCAGGAAGGACCATCGACTCAACCTAGAGCACGCATTCAATGGGGAGGGGAGAGTGGAAGAGAGAAAGAGAAACCATACGACATATATGAAGGTGATCCAATCGTCGGTGCGGCGCGAAAACTCAGGGGTATGCTCAGGAAGAAATCTTGAAGCTGGGGTGGCCTTTGGTTTGACGTTGCCGTATCTTGGACTTGAGTATGAATCTTACCTAGCATTCATGAGGTAGAGCAGTTGAATGACTGTTGACATAAGTATCGTCCAGTATTCGTTCATTCTGGTACTGGGAGCTCTTGTATCATCAGCTCTCCATCCTAACAACGAAGACATGGATAATTTCAAACAGAGTTCCCTCCGCAGGTTCATTGGTAAGAATTATTCGTTTTTGGAGTTCAACGGTCCATACACCGACGCATGGGAACTGGGAACAGGAAAGTGTGATGAGTGTGGATGATGGCATTTAGGCAAAGATCAAACCCCCCAAAACCGGTTCTTTACCCACCAATAATCGCTATGTTTGCCCTGGTTGCCACCCTTGGCGCCCATGTACCCACCCGCACACCGCACATCGCACATTCCGCCTCCCATCCAAACCGGCCATCCCACCTTGCACCAAAAACAAAGCAGGTCTTACCCGGATTCGAACCGGGGTCACAGGAACTCTTCGTCGTACACGAGATTCTCAGGATCACGTGATTCAGAACCCTGGGTGATCGACCACTCTTTTTGACGGGTTAGATTGTTGTCATGGATACGAAAAGGTCGGAGGATGGCTTACACACTATAAGACCGTTGCTTGCAACTTTTTGCGAAGGTTTTGCAACTACCATATAACAAGTTTTGGAATTGTTGAGAGGAGTAGTACAATTGCGGGGTTTTTCGGCATCAGTGACTCAAGGGTTGCCGTGGGTATTCTTGTGGAAGGTTGTCGTGCCATCAGTCCGTCCTCCGGGGCAGATGTTAGTAATCCCAAAAGCAGGTCCCATTTTTCTGTATACTGATCACGTGATGTACTTTATCAAGCTACATCGCCTCTTATTGGTCCGGATTTTTTGTTTCTCCGGATATCTGCGCAATTCTATGGCAGAACAGGAAATGATGGTTGACGATGGTATTACTCTATACAAATCCGGTTGTGAAAGCCACGAATTGGCATCAATTGCTCTCATCTAGTTTATCAAAGTACCTCTTGCGTTTGCGATGCTCGTGAGACTTTCGTGGGTTTTGTTGAAGCTTCTCGACAATCTCAAGGCTCCTCAAGGTGGCGGCCAACATCAGGATTCACAGTTGTAGATTCTGGCCTTCCAAGAAGTCGCGGGATCGATGGTAGCGTATTGCCGTCTTTGGGGAATTAAACGTGTTTCTTGCTTCGCAACGCAACTGGGGTTCAATGCGTCAGTGCTCCAGTCACACCACTTACTGGTATTTTCTTGCCGTCGCCAGGTTAACGGTGACAAGGTCTGTTAGTGGGGTGTACAGAATAGGGAGAGTTGAGGCATAGTGTACAGAATAATAACCCCCCTCCTATGGGCATTGCTGCCGAGTATGTGGCCCCACGCTGTTATTAGTTTCTATGGAGACGTCGACCAGGCGGCATACTCTACTGAAGAGCATACCAGTTAGCCAGCTCACAGCAGAACAGTGTTGCCATATGACAGCCTGATAGTGTAGTAGCTGGCCTTGCTCAACGTCGTAACAGCCCGACAGCCTTTACTATGGGCCCAGCCCTAAGGGTAGCAAGCGCTTGTGTGATTGATTGTCTATCCATACATACGGAGACGCAACTACCCCATCACGTATCCTGCATAACAGTTTGCAAATGTCTCTTACCTCCTGGTAGGCTGTCATCTCAGCGTTCCTACTCGACAGCGGTGCTCTCATGTTGGAATCCGACCATATAAGCCCCCTTCGAAACACATGGCAAGCCTTCGGCAGTATGCAGTCAGACGTAGCCCTGAGACCGAGATATTTCAAGTCCTCAGCAGGAATCACAGATGGGTGGCTCTGACCTCGTGAGTCAGGGGAACAGAGCCTCGTGGTTGGTCAGCCTCACTGTTGGTCTCCGAAAATGGTTTGTTTTGATTGGTTGGAAAATTTGTGCCATTCCACGTGCGTCCCCCCTTTTGCATGGCAACGCCATACATACTGCCTTGATAATCCCACAATACTATAAACCCACAACAAGATGCTGACTACAACGACCCTCAGAGCACTCAATACAATCCACTTGACAACAGGAGGGAAAGCTGCAGTGAAACACCGCTGTGAAGAACTGACTGAAGCACGGCCTGACCTCGGGATTTGCAGTAAATGTTTCAAAACTTACAGCAATGAAGAAACTGTTTCACATTTGACTAAGTCAAACAACTCCACGCAAGCAAAACTTCATTCAACTACGTGGAGGGTTTGAAGCACTACATTTGAAACCCATAACCCAATATATCACTGCAATCAGAGTCGTTACCAGTTCCAAATAGGCTGTGGTTCAGCAAGGAAACCTTCATATCATGTAGTATTTCAAGATAAGATACTCGACAGGAGACCTTTCACAGCATATCGTGGTTCAAGATACGATACTCGACAGTGGACATTTCAATAGCATATTGCTGGTTGTTGCTGAAGTTCTTTCGAGCGTTATAACGCTTGTATATCTTGGCAACAGTCTTGGCGTTCGCTACAGACTAAACCGCATTCGGCCGCCTACAAAAACTCTGGTGTCCGCCTCATTCATTCCATCAACATTGATCTCACTCGAATTGCGCCATGGCGGTGAGGGAAGAGGGGTCGAGGAAGAGAAGAAAGGTAGAACGCACCATACCAGCTCATTCCGTGTCCTTCACCCATTCAGACCAGCTAAGGCACCTTCTGCAATTGTCTCATAGTTCCCCGTTTGAGGTCAAATCAGGTGCGTTCGCTATACATCGACCAGTCCCTTCTGTCTAACCCTCCTTAGCAATCGACCATTTCACGGACTTTCTTTCCACCATTCCAGAGAACCAGGATTCCTCAAACCGGGCTCGTCAGCTGAAGATTTTGAAAGACTACTGCGAAACCCAATCATCCACCTCTCACGACCAAGTTGACTTCCCTGACCTATTATCCATTTGGGCCTCGGCAAGCCAATCCAATGACGAACCAATCCTATCGGCAGTCACCTCGGCCCTCGTCCAGTTCTTCCAAACCATCTCCAGTGACGTAGATTTCCGCGACTTTGGGCTATCCCTGTGCCATAGTTTGTTGAAACGAGATCAACTGCGCATTCTTGATAAAGGCCTCTCCTCTCCGAGATCCAAAGAGCACATTACTTCTCTGTGTCTACAGCTCCTGACAGAAATCACCAGCTTCGACGGCGGAGCTCTCGCCAGCAATGTTTTCGCTCGACGAGACCATCTCTACCGACGACTCGACGGAATCCTGGCCCAAACCGCATCCGAATCTGCTGACGGCCCAAGATTTACACCTCATAGAGCTGCATTGGAATTCCTGTCGGCCAATTTGAAGTATCTTGACTCGACATCCAAGTCCGAGCTGATCACTCATGGGAAAACCTTGTATTCGGCGCTTCGCAGTCTTCCCAATGAAAAGGCCGATATCGTCATTAGGTTTCTGAGCACCCTTGAAAAATCCGTGCTCGAAGATAACGCTCTCTCCAAACAGATCAAGAGTCGATGCTTCAATTCTGGAATACTGTCTGCTCTGGCCAAACTCTATGATTATCAAGCGGGTTCGACACAATCCGACGGTATTGATCGCGTGACCGGTGTTCGAAATGCTTTGCATCAACTACTCCTGCAGGTATGCACGACGACGAGGGGAGTTTTGGTGCCTCAATCGGGGTGGTACCCTCCAGGAACCTCCCCAGAAAGTCAAAGGCAAGACGAAGACATGATCGACCTCGGCCTCGATTCGCCGTATTATTTCGACCACTATTCCGGAAAAGTGCCCGTCAAGAACGGAACCCTGTCAACATTCATCCAGACGCTCAGACCAGAGAGCGACATTCAGCAAGCAAACCTCATCACTTCAATTTTTGTGGCCGCTCCAGAGCTCGTAGCGGAGTACTTCACCAAAAAGCAAAGGTTCCTTGTTCCGCCGGGAGACAACCCACTATGGCGTGGTCAATTTGCATTCCTCTTCTCTGTCGTCCAGCTCCCTGTCCCGCCCAATTGTGGCTGGCACGGGAAGGCTTCAACACCACCACCTCTATCGATTGTCATCGAAAGCATTGTTCCGCGCCCATTCGATCGATCTACCATCACGAAATGTCTCCGCATCAACGAAGATATTATGACGATGTCTTCCACTCGCCTGCTGACCGTTGCATTTGAAAAGCTCGATTCTGTCGTGCGGACGTTTGAACGCGCGTTTTCTCAATCTCCCTTGTGGAGTCAAGCGTCCAGAAAACTCATCAATCTGTTCGTCGAACGTATTCCGGTGCTACAAGACGTCATCACCACCTTGCAAAGTCTGGGAAATGATAAGGAACAAGTCCGCACGACGGTTCTCGAATGTATTGCTGCCTATCATAGGATCTTACCATCCACAACAGCCGGCTCCAAATTTGACATCGGTCCCACTCTGAGCAAAGCGCTCCGAACTCGAGAGCCGGAGAGCCTTGATACCGAAAGCAGAGACATCCTCGATGAGCAAGTAGTCCACCTTCTTCAAATCGCAGATATCTCCCCAGCAACAAAGTGGTTTCATAAATCAATTACTGATAGTTTTTCGCTGATTGTCCGGCTACTCCAGTGCTGTATTCCGTCGCTGGAAGGTGCCGTCGCAAAACAATCAATACCGATTCTCAGATCTATGTTGACCAGCAAAGGCATATTGAATTCTAGTACCCGGTCCCTGGAAGCATTGATCCAGAGCTTGATCTCGACCAAAAAGTGGCAACCAGAGCCAGCCGCATATGAATTTTTAGACAATTGCATAACGCGCACGATGCAGAGACCGGCCAAGTATCTGGATCAACTGGAGCAGATGCAGCAAATGGTATCGGATTCGAAGGAGCTGAGCCTTGTCGCTTGTTGCGTCGCGGAGCAATGGTTCTTCGTCCCCCAAAAGGAAGACGAACAAGGAATCAAGAATATCGCTGAATGGATTGCTAGATTCTTCTCAGCTCTTGATGTGGCGGGTGAGAACTATAGGGTCATGATGGAATTTCGGCAGGAGATGGTGAAAGGTCGTGAGGGAAACGAGAAGGCGGGAGCGGCACTCGAAAAAGCTTTTGAGAAACAGCGCAAGAAGTCTATAACCCTGCCCGATCTAGGATATGCAAGCACGCTCGAAGAACCCGAGTCAGGGAACCTTGGAAAGAACGGCCTGCCCGCTGAATCAGCTCTACAGCAAGACCTCAATGATGACGACGTTACAACGACCTCTTTTCCTCCTCCACCGGCCATCCCGACGTCTTTGACCGGACTCGAGCGTTGGAACAAACCAGATTTCGAATCCGAGATCCAATCAGGGCATCTCGCAAGTCTGTTACGCTGCCTGATCTCACCTTCACAGGAAACCCGCATTCAAGCTTTCCACACGCTTCAAACCGTCACACACGCCGTCGAACAATCAGCATACGACGAAAGAATCCAACTTTATCTCTTGTTAGGCGAAGTCAGCGAGACAATCCGCGCTTACACTGCAAGTAGAGGGGACCTTCCGCCTCCATCCATCGTCGCTGAATTAGCAATCCATATGCTTCCCGTGATCGCAGACCCAAGCTCGCCATTCTACCGCAAGGCAAACCGCTTCCTATTACGTAGCCCTAGCTGGTCGATCCCGCATCTACTGTCGGACTTGTTATCCACGACATTTCTCACCGAGCCTGAAGCCGACGACACTGAGCTGAGCAGTGGCGGCAGTATGAACGCACAAACTCTCGAGATCGAACATTTCCTCTCACTGCTCACAAAATCTCTTCGCACCGAGACAGACATGGACCTCTTCCGCCGCGCCCATGTCTTCTCACGCCTTTTTGCATACTATCTAACACCCATCTGTTCGGCTACGGCGCGCAGAGAGGTTTTAAGACTTGTGCACCGTGCGACGACCGTGAGGGGTGGGAGCGATACACTGATCACCCGTGCGGGCGTACGCGAGTGGTTTGCGATTGCGAAAGGATTGCGCGGGCACAGCGGGCAGGGGGCTATGTTTGGGGAAATTCACGGTGAGATGGCAAAGCTGTTGGATGTGGCAGAGCACGAGGTCCGGCGGACGTGTGATGGGGAAGGGATCAGGCGATGGGAGGAGCGGAAGCCTGTTTTTAAAGATGTCAGGGGTAGAGGGGATGTGGAGTGCGAGGAGGATGTTGCGGCGAAAGTAGATGGGGCCAACGAGGATGATGAGGTCCAAGATGATAATTGATGATGATCAATAAGTGGTTGGGGACATGGATATTGAGTGATTGATGCATGGGACTTGACTTAAGTTGCCTGCAATAAAGCATCGTGAGCCTCTTTTGAAAAGCCCGAGTTGGTCCTGTTGCGTTGCCCTGATATAAGGCTAGAGGAATTCTAGAAGAGAATCGATTCGCAGGCGTCCAGACTTTGAGTTGAAACCAGCACCGAGGCACATTTGTACATGTATCTCCTCGACTTTCAATTTTCATAGGAGGATAGGCTATCAAAGGCCACGAGGGAAAATAAAAAGGGGACAAAACAGGCAAATTCAAGATCAGGGTGGAGAGGGCCAAAGCCGCGCACACGCTGTTTGCTGCATAGCCGTCGCTCCTTTCGCTGCTACTATTCCAATAGCCACTACTCTCTTATCATTGCCGTCGACATGAAGGGAAAACTTCAGCGGTATATGGGTATGTACAAATCAAGGCAATTGGGTTCATTCCAATCGATCTCATCTCCAGGTTCTCTTGTTTCTTCCTCTCTATGTTCTCTAGTCCACTTTTACGCCAGAGTTGTTTCAATTGGGGGCAAATTGCTTTCTGAAGTCACCTATCTCATGATCCCGCCTGGATCGGAGGTGGAGCCAAATCTAATCTGAGTTTATTCGGGATTGATTGCGTTCTATCCCTTCTTGAATCGCAGTCTAGCTTCAAGCTGGATTGTCTTGTTGACTTGTTTCCTGTCTGGAATTGGGAGAACAGAATCGCACTCGAGACGATAAATGGTCTCACAGCCATATATGGATGGAGATCAGGATAAGTGGCACAACTTCAGGGAAAAAGTTAAAAGCTCATCAAATCTGCGAGCATATCAATATCAAAGCGGCAAATGAATCAGGAAGAAAAAGAAAACTCACCTCTTCCAAACAAAGCTCTCTTGCTCCAGTCCATAGCCAAAAGCATTCTCGTTCTGAAACTGACACTCTGAGCGAAGTAAATACTTCTCCACAGGTAAACAGCCATGAGTCCACCACTGAAATTCAATCCCCCGAAATCAAAGATGGCGGCATTTCCGATATAAGCCAGGCTGCCCATATGATGATATTCGAAAGCTTTGTACACTGCTTCGTCCAAATCACCGAAATCGACTTCATTGGCCCGGAATCCAGGAATGGCAGCGGCGATCTTGTTGAATTTACGGCCGAGATACTGACCTTGTTGATTGGCTCGTTGGGCGGTCGCAGGTAAAGAGGTGAGCTTGTTGTCTATCTGGACCAACAATTCATGAAGTTCACCAAAATCAAGTGTTCCAGACTTGTCCTTGTCATATTCTTCAAAGAGCCGGTCAAGTCGTTTGAGATGGCCTGCAGCTTGAGGAAACCGTTTGCGCACTTTTTGAGCCACAGATCGCCAATCTTGGAAGGTGATGTGAAGTTTATCCGGATCTTTGCCTTGCTCAAATGCCATGCCACGAAGGAAAGTCGTTAGGTGATCGGCGACATTATTTTGAACGGTAGAGCAGTCCCCAATGGCGTAGACATCACCAAGAGGAGCTCCGATAAGTCTCAAATGTGTGTCCGTTTCAAGGGCATGGCGGTTATTTTGGAAATCCCTCAGCTTTTGGGCCACCTTTCGACTCAGATCAGTCTGTGCAACCCCAGTGGACCAGAGGCAGAAGCCCATGGGAAGTTCCTTTGTTACGGGCTTCCCATCTTCCATTTGGGTAAATATAATCCGATCTGGAGTGACTTCCTTCACGCGAGAATTTGTCAAAACCTCCACTTGATCATGCTCGAATCGTTTCTCGGCATAAATGGACAAGGCTTCATCGTAGGTGTTGAGAATGTGACCTCGAGATTGAATGACATGCACCGAAACTTCATTCCGCAGGATCTTGGGGAATGAGTTTAAGAGATCCTCGTTCAGCATATCGTATAATTCTGCTGCGAATTCGACACCGGTGGGACCACCGCCACTGATGACAAAGGAAAGCAACCTTCGTCTTTCTTCATCCGAGGTAGTAGGGAGACAGGCCAATTCCAAGTTTTGGAGGACCTTGTTCTTGATAAGACGGGCATCTTCGATTGTTTTGAGAAAATTGCAATTTTCCAAGCCTTTGACACCATGGGGGTTGGTGGTTGAACCAATTCCAATGACTAATTTGTCATAGGGGAGGTAGAAGTGCTGTCGATTCCCGTCAGCGTCGAGTTGAGCAACTTCGACCAGTTTGTGAGAGAATTCGACGTCCACAGCCTCGGCTTTAAGAAAATGACCTCTCAATCGGTTGACTATTCTGCGAACAGGCTCGACCAAGGAACGTAGTTCCAGAGTTCCAACGGTGGCAGAAGGCAGCATGGGGGTGAAGAGGAAATAGTTCTCAGGGGAGACGACAGTAACATGATAGTCTCCGGGATTGAGCTCTTTCAACATTGCAACACTTCCCCATCCGGTTCCGAGAATGACCAATTTGGGCTTGTGTTTTTGTTCACGCATAAGATCGCAGTCTTCATCATCAACCAAAACCTCTGCGATGGGCAAATTTTTGGGTCCTCCTCTTCTCGGGGACAGGGCAGCTTCGGACACGGGAATGTCACCCATCTTGTCTGGCTGTTCGCGGTATGTGGAGGCATCGTACAGGAAAAATGCGAAAATGAGGCTCCCGCTGAAGACGATGAAAATTCCAGTCCAGGCAAAAACACGGTACATAAATCGTGCGACTGGCCCATGGTGATTGGGCAACTCTTTAGTAGAAATGAAGCGGACGGTCCCCGCCGGAGCTCGTCGGAGTAAGTGCGCGGGAAGCTGTGAGACAATACGACGAGAGTTTCTTGACGAAGAATATAACAGTCTGGAGCTCGGCAGAGGCTTCGTAGATGGTAGAGAAGGTTTGAAAGACCGACATGGTTGACATTGCGAGAGGTGAAAGGTGCGAAGAGGACGCAGGTCACGGCAGGCCAATCGAGGAAAACCCTCCATGGTGCTCTCGTAGAGGGGGAAAGAAATGCAGTTCTACCTCATGCTGAACGAGACTGACTGACGAGCGCAGTGGTTTGTTTGTTGCCGAGCAAGAGGAGATTGAAAAGGAAACGACCACTGAATTGGGTGGTTAATCAAGCGAGGACTGGCGGAATGAATGGATCCGGCGCATTGAGAATAGGACGGAATGGAAAAAATAATAAAATATATGTAGCCGTGGCCAGAAGCTGTACAGAGTGAAACTGCGCCCGATGAAAGCTTTTCTTTTCGCCTCAGCACCAGTGGAAACTCGACGTCGAGACCGGAGCTGCGGCGCTGCAGTGGGAGAAGAAACGACCCCCTCGAACCGCCATCTTCAAGTTGATGCCCCCATCACCAATCGCCTGTCGAAGCATCTCGGGTTGCTGTCGCCAATCGTCGCCGTATTCTTCGCAGCCGTATCTCCCTTTCCAAACTTCATCTCATCCATCCGCCGTTGCTTATCAACCAGCCAGCTGCTTCCTCATAGTTAGTCCACCCTTTCCAACCAATAGCTTTCTTGATGTAGCCTCCCCTGATCTAGCTCTGTTCTTTATCCCCTTCCCGTTCTAAGTCGGTGGACTTGTATACGGGATGTCTATTGAGTAGGTTATCCTCTCTTTGATTTCGAAATTTTTCGTCTAGCAGCCATCAGTGGCCACGGAATAACTATGTGGGGTATCGTATATCATGTCCACAGCCTTAGCTGGTTGCCTTGTGCCGTCGTGCCCAATTGATCAAAATATCTTTCGCATGAATATCATTTCTTTCATGTTTTGCACCAGAACGCCAGTTTCAAGCCTTGCATCACACCTAGAGCCCCGAAAAACTTGTTGAACAACCCAACTCACCTACCCGTTTCACTCAGCAAAGTCGCCATCCGGATCATCCAGCGAAGATATACTTGATGAGCGTCTTCCACCTGCGTTCTTTGGCGGTCGGCCGCGAGGCTTCTTTGGCGTACCCCCAACCGATCCATTCATACTCTTGCGCTTCTTCCCTCGTGGTGCGCTCATGCTTGCCTCGGGTGCCATGTCCATCGCATACACTTCTCCTTCCTCTTCTGCGATCTTCACCTCATCATCCACTGCCACAAGCGTAACAAACTCCCTGCATCGCTCAATCATTGCTTGGGCACTGCTGAGAGATGCTAATATTGAGTTGGTCGTGGTCCAAAACTTGTCTCCGGTGATTCCGTGAACCTTTACTGGTTCTTTGCTCGATTCTTTTGTTTGTTTGTTTTGCTGCATGGCCATTTTGACATCCCGGGATATGCCATATTGCCTCTTGAGGAAATTCCTAGCTTCGGAAATCAAGGTAATTGCGCAAGCCGCAGTTGCCAATCTCCTCAGCGGCGCTGGATCAATAGGCGGCTGTATGGTGATTGGATCGATTGGCACAGAGTCATCTCTTTCGTTAGCCGGAGCCTGGTTGACCACCTCTCGGCGAATATGGGTCTCAATGGCCTGTGCCGTTTCCACCCCACTCTTTCCGAATGCCAATTCCAGTTGCAGCACAGTATGGAGCAGTTCGTCCATCTTCTTATACTCGAAGAATGCGAGATTCTGGGTCACAAACAGGACAAACAAGAGATGCTCAGGAATGTCCTTGTCGCCCAGATTCAACTTTAAGATCTCCGTGTTGAGTTTCGTGATTAGATTGCTGAGGAATTTCTTCACATACTTCGACCCACTGCTGCTGATAATCGCAAAGGCTGCTGACAGTTTGGATCGGAATCCGGGGAAGACACCCCCACGGGGATCGTGGAATACCTCGTTTTGATATCGAAATGCATCGAAAACGGCATGAATGTACTCTCTTTCGCAAACCGATTCGTGCTGTTGATGGAGATGCTCATGAGCAACTCTGGCCACTTCAGACACCCTGGAGTCCGTACTGGTCTCCAGCGCTACAAAAGCTGAAGTGCTTTGCTTCGGATGTGTCATTCCCTGGTGATCGATACTAGCCAGAGTCTTTGCGGCAAGCAATGCTTTCTCCCCGGTTTCGCCCATCACAATCCGGAGTAAATGATCCACCAGAGGGTTGGTGATGATAGAAATGGCACTGTCGTCTTCGCGAGTTTTGCTGTCTCCTCCGATGTTCTTTAGCGCTTGAACATCAGTGTCCCCTTCAGCTTTATTCATTTCGTCCTTTGCACTGGCACGCATTCCATAGAGCTCTTCAAATATCCCAAGCACCATCAGCTGCATCCTCGAGATGTCGTTCTCCTGAATGGTGGCGGATGAAGGTCCATCCAGGACTTCGAAAAATGTTTGACGAACATGCTTTTTGTTAAACTGTCCCGGCCAGGCTTGACAAATCAAACCCAGACTCTCCAATGCTTTCAATCGAACTTCAACGGGTGAAGTTCTGAGCGTAAAAGGCACGATGCTATCGGCGATGAAGCCGGCGACTGACCCACTTTTGAACGTGGGAAAGTCGGCTTGGAAACTCTTTCGAAAACTTTCCAGGTCGATATGTTTTGCAACGGTGCCAGCGAGACGCAGGGACTGTTCCCGCGCTTTATTCTCCCTCGCTTGAATCTCGCTCAATTGGTTTTCCTTTGTCAATTTCTCTTTCAGCGGGGGAGCGATCTGAGGCTGCAGCACATTTTGCAAGATTGATATGGTGAATGCAACAATCCTCCCCGTGTTGCGGAGGACGCCATCAATGCTTCTCAAGCAAGACATCACCTCTTCCAACTCCTGCCGACGGACAAGGCTTTTGGCGGCCTTCATGAGATCCAATTGAACTTCTTTTAGGAGAGGGGCTTGGGTGCTCGACAACTGAGGGAGCACACAGCGAAAGATAGCGACCACCGATTTGAATTTTAGAATGTTGTCAGACTTGGATAGATCTTTCAGGTAACTCTTCAGGCTTGTCAAGTCTCCCGGTACCACAGTTTGCGGCCGAGCTTCTGCGAATGCCACAAGGGTGGTCAAGTCTGCTGGTCCTGCTTCGGAACCATTCGCAGTATCCAAGAGTCTTTTGACTATCCGCGCATAAAGATCCTGGACTTGGTCGGCATTTTTGGCATCTTTCAGCTTCCATATCAGGAAGTCTTTGAGCACTGGCGCCAGTGCAGCAGTGTCGCTATTGACGCATCCGACAATATGAGTTTTCAGATCTTCGATAGCGACCTCAGCCTGAGCTGATTCGCCGGCATGGGTCAAGAAGGTCAACTTTGGAGCAACCCAGATATCTGACAAGGTCTTATTGGCGAGGTCGGCCACAGAACTTTCATGATCAGCGGTTCGTCGGAGGAATTCAATGGCAATGGTCGTCTTCATGTTCTGTCTCGACTCCTTGAGATATATCTCTTTTAAATGTCCCATGGCGCGTTTCTGAACGCTGACATTGGCGTCAACAGCGCATTTCAGGAGCCGTCTGAATGCCTTTTCCTCAAGTGCTGGTCTAGGCATGATGAATTTGGCGATCAAAGACAACGCCGAATCTCTTACTAATGAGGAATCATCGGACGCACACTTGAAGACATCGTCCGCTATGGTGGGATCCCAGTCAAGAAGGCTTGAATCGGTCTCCAGAATGGTTACCACGCTCTTTAAGCTGCGACTTCGTACCTGAGCTTGATCACTTGAAAGGGATGAGGCGAGAGTTTTAGCGATGTCCGGGAAACGTCGACAGAACCGCATATTGAGAATACTCAGCATATACGCCAACTGAGCTTCTTGGTTTGTGACTGCGCCGATATCATCAGATACATCATGGTACTCATCTGGTTCGGAGAGCTGTTGAAGGATCGCCGACACAGTAGCTGCCAACTTCGAATCCAACTCGATTTCACGTTCTGCATCATGCGGTCCTTTCAGCGTTCGAGAAATCAAGGTGGCGTATTGTACAAGAAAGAAAGCTTTCGCGGACTTCGTCCTCAAGCTCTCTCTGCTCTTGGAATTCAGATATGAATGCACGATTGAGAAGGGACCGTTCGAAGAGATGAGCTCGCTGTTCTCCAGAAAAAAATGGGCTCGGTCCTTGACACGATCTGAAAGAGCTTGGCCGACAGAATTTGATTCTCCATCCCGTAGAATCGATGACAGTAGATTCCGTGCAGATGCTCGTGTCACGGAAATTGCAGAACCCATCAGTCCGAGAGATTCCAGAGCCATGTTTTTGGTAGAAGCTGCCTTGTCATTCTTAGCAAGAGCTATCATCCGCAGAGCCAACACGGTAAGTAGCAGCTCTGAAGCCGGCCAGTCTATCGATGGAAGGACTACGGTGAGATCCTCAACGAAGAGATCAAGGATGTTGCGGTAAGGTGAGTCGCCAGTCTTGGTAACCTTCGAGGCCTTGTCAACCATCCATCCCACAATCTGTTGAGCACTTTTGAAAGCATCATCGAAAAGATTATCCGCGGTTTGAGTTAACTTCGGAAGAGGATCAGATTCATTTTGATCTGAATTTATCGTTAAATCCGCCTCCATATCGTTGGCTGAGTCTTCATCATCCGAGCCTTCTGAATCTCCCGGGCGATTTCGGTGTAGACGGCGCCTTTTATGTGTTTCACTCCTTCGTGATTGCATAGCTGGTGTCTGAACAAGCTGCATGAACAGTGCTGAAACGAGTTGAATATTTTTGCCATTCCCCAGCTTATACTGTCTCGCACTTCGACTGTTGGAGGGTAGTTTGTCCAAGGATGTCAAGACTTCATCCAGAATCGCTCCTCTCTCGGGAGGAAATGCAGCGTACAGTTGAGCAAGCGCTGCCATAGCCTGCTTCCTCAATCGTTCATATGATTGGGAGCCTAACGCCGATGCTTTGTCGTGGTAAGCATTTTGAACGAAAATGAGCTTCGATGCGAGGAATTCAGTGGAGTTGACAATAGATCCGGCGCCTTTGATCTGCACACACACCTTCGAAACAAGGTCCAGGAGCTTCCGGCCGACATCGAGTAGCCTCTTTAGAGAGTCGCTGTTTGCCGAGGAGAGCTCGAATAATCGGCTGTCAGGTCCATCTGGTCGAGCTTCAACGATCGGTATCAGACAGTTCTCAAACAGATTCACCAGAACGTTTGGAAGCCATTGAAGAACCTCCAGGTTGATAAGGTCTTCGTTCTGGGATGCACCCAGAACAGTGTAAATCAATGTACAAGCCGAGAACGCTCCATTTTCTGCTCTGTGCAATTTTGACAGCCAGATTGCGATATCTTCATCAGATGGATCAGAGGGGATTTTCAAATTGATCGACTGTGCGGCCTCAATTGCAGGTTCACATAGTCCTTGCAGCCGCTGAAGATGTTCCGAAGATGCGTCACCTAGACAGTCAGACGAGACGAGCTGACCCAAGATTGCCTGCAATTTTTCTTGTAATGGAATTGCCAAACGTGGCTCTGCATCATCCTTATCATGGGATAAGTCGAAAATCGCATGGATAGGTCCGGCTGATGACGAGGCTGAGGGATCCGAAGCCAACCGATCTTGAATCTCGAAAATCTCTATGAGTTGGTTTTCAAAGTTTGCCAACAGGAGGACAGCTTTCTCCTTCTTAGAGCTGATAGCCAAAGCCATCTGGCCATTCACCTGAGAATCGCTCACTTTCTGTCGTTTGGGTGAATCCTGTATGGCAGCGTAGTCATCCCGGCGGAAAGATGAAGGTGGCCGGGGGATTTCAACCACGACTCTAGCACCGGCCGGCTTTTGCAAAGCTTTCTTGGTGTCTGTTCTCCGAACAGGAGGCTGAGATGGATCTGTAGAAGGATAGGTGTAGTCGATCTTGGTCATCTTCAAAACCATCTCTTGTATCGGATTCAAATCAAGTTTGGTTCCGGCGTTATCTTGAACAGGATGATGCTTGAATTTTCTTAAACACGTTAGAAGGAAAGTCTGATCAGGTAGAATCTGGGTCATACATTTCTGAAAGGCGGTTAGGATCTAACAAGACGGCAAGTCGCTCTTTGACTTTGGGAGAGTAACACTCGGCGCCGTATGCAGCCTGACGTTCGGCCGAAGTGGTGAGACGTATATCACTCGAGCGGCTCAACTGCGGTATAAGAATGCGGTCTGATGCCTTTAGTATTAACGCCTAGAACAGATGTGGGAAATTCGTACCATGCGCAGGTAGAATGGATGTAGTCATGGGAGTATATTGCAAAGCCTCGTCCACGGTGAGTTGTCTGGAATTGGAGTGATGTTGAGGTTGCCGTGGAATGACAACCTCAATAGTATCTCTCCCTGCCATTGTGGTTGATCGTTCTTCAATGTATGCGATACTTCGCCTGGAATAATTCAATGAGTATCATCAGGGAAGAAAGACGCTGAGTTGAGGAACGCTTCAGCAGCATAGGAGCCACTGGAAGCATATTTGGCGATGTATTCGCGGGGAAGATATGGATACTTCAAGGTAGATTGATAGATGGATGGACGAACTCAATAAGTTGTATAGAGAGGCCAGAGAAGGTCTGCGGCAAAAACTGCAGATGCGATCTGTTGGCTGAACGGCGGTCGAAAGATTTTGGCCTAAACCCTTTTGGGACCAGCCAGGAACAAATCTGCAGCCTCAGGGCTTCAACATGGATCTCCATCCCATACAGTGAAATCACTAAAGGGAAAAAAAAAAAAAAAAAAAAAAAATTTTCTCTAAAGTCAAGCAAAGTCTCTCACAACCGCACCTCCACACATACAATGGTCGCCATAGGGAGCCTTCTCTTTTGTGATGCTTGTGGCTCACTGCTCCCTCGCATCGTGCCAGGGGAGAACAAGGACGATCTGGTCAAATGTGACGACTGCTTCCAATACACCCGAGACACCTCATCCAAAATAATAACGTCCGCTTCCAAACCCAGCGCTTTCCCTTCGGCATTGCGATCTAAACATTCCGAGGTGCAGAGCATCAACGCTGAGGATCTACAGGTGGAAGCCGTCATAGCTCGAGATTGCCCTGCCTGTCATCGCTCGGAGATGTTTTATCACACCAAACAACTACGAAGCGCCGATGAAGGCACAACAGTCTTTTACAGATGTGAATGCGGATACAAGGATGTTCAAAACAACTAAAATCGGACACTCGAATTTGGTATATCATGCCAACGCCCTGAATGCACACTAAACATAATTCTTCCAAGACTCCCCCCCAACTATGACGCAACCGTTGCTGGAATTGTGGCGTATTCCATCTCGCCATTCTTTTCATATTCTGCCATATCGAGGGCGACAATGACGCTCTCACGGACCACTTGTTCTGGATCATCAATGAATCGTCGAAGCATCTCCTCCACACCGGGCTCTTCTCCCAAGCTACCGAGCGCTTCGGCTGCCTCATGCCGGACCATGCTTTCCTCCTTGGTGTTTTCTAGGACGGATTGCAAGGCTGGTATCGAGGCTGGATGTGACAGCTGGCCGAATACAAATGCAACTTCATGTCGGAATAAAGCTGATGGATCAACGAAACCGGAGGCAAGAGCGTGCACTGCTGGTTCTGCTGTTGGGAGGTCAGGCGGGGAAGCGAGATCGCGCAGAGTGAACATGGCTCTGTAGCGTTGGAAAAGAGGTAATGAAGTGTCGAGGAGAGTCTTCTTAAGAGCTGGGATCGATGGTGACTCGGAGGTCAGAGGCATTGGGGGAGCCGGATCAATTGATGCGAAATCGCTTGATTTGAGGGTTTCCGTCTTTCTGCTCTCTGAATGTGCCCACTGGATGCGATCAACTGCAATGTCACAGGTTTCTCGCACCACAACTGGCTCTTGTCCATCGTCTTTCATTTTTTTCATGATCTGCAAACTTCCTAGGTCTCCAAGTGCTCCAAGAGCTTCCGCCGCCTCGTGCCTGCACATAGCATCCTCGGATTTGTTCTCAAGAACAGCCCTTAAAAAGGGCACTGCCACAAGATTCTTAGTCTGGCCCAAACAATAGGCCAATTCGTGTTTTAGGAGGGCGGATGTAGATGTAAAGGCTGCCGCAATAGCCTCTATGGCGCCGGTGGCCTGAGGTCCCGGGGTCTGAGAAGCGAGATATTTGAGGGAAAAGAGGGCACGAAATCGGCGGGCAAGAGACACATTTTCAGAGATCAAGTCCTTCCGGAGGGCTAGAATGGTCGGGTCAAGGTCTGAAGGAGACACTTCGGTGGCAGCTAGTGCCATTTCGTCAGAATGTCCGTAGTACGAGAAGAAAGAATCGAACAAGACTGTTGACCCGAAAAAAACACTTCGCGAAATCTCCAAAATTTCTCGCGGGGTAAGCCTAGCTGCCTTATCGCCCCGTGACTCCTGCCCCTCAGCCTGGCCAGCCAAGCCTCATTATGGTGTGGCTTCAACTTCAATCTTCTTTCATTTTCTCTCGTCCCAACTCCTTATCAACACACATTCAGCTTCTCCCATCAAAGGACGCTCTACCTCAAGAGGTTGCGCGAGACTTACTCAACTTATCCTTCCATCTTGCCGACAACGAGTCCGTCGTCAATATGGGTTCCGTCGTAATTCCTCACCTCGTTACTGGCTGGCACGTCGATCAGGCTATTCTCTCCGAAGACGAGCGCCTGGTGGTGATTCGTTTTGGTCGTGACTGGGACCCAGACTGCATGCGTCAAGATGAAGTTCTCTACAAAATCGCCGATCGAGTCAAGAACTTTGCTGTCATCTACGTCTGCGATCTCGACCAAGTTCCCGACTTCAAGCAAATGTACGAACTCTACGATCCAGTTACTCTCATGTTCTTCTTCCGCAACAAGCACATGATGTGCGATTTCGGTACCGGTAACAACAACAAGCTGAACTGGGTTCTAGAGGACAAGCAAGAGTTGATCGACATCATCGAAACAATCTACAAAGGTGCAAAGAAAGGACGGGGTTTGGTTGTTTCACCTAAAGACTATTCGACAAGATACAGATACTAAACGCAACTACATATGGATGGCATCTGAGCATCGAGTCTGAGCGTCGACCGGAAGGTTATGCGAATCCATCCGTTCTCCATCTTCGCCCGAGCCTCAGTCCACGTGAGGACGGGGTAGTGATTCGAACACCCGTTCACCACGCTATGCAGCCTCTGCAAACAAAGATTACCATACGACACAAGGACTATAAACGAAAGATGTGCCCGGCCGAAAGAAAAGGAGTCGGGAATTGCTTGGTTGGTCTCTCTTTGAAACTAGGACATTCAATGATAATTTGCTGACACAATTCAATCTACAAGACCGCAAGGTTTTGAGACCAGGTTCGCCTATTTTCTTCCTCGAGTATACCCCTTCGTCCTCGTTCACACAGTGTCAAGCCATTTTGTCATGCCTTTGGGCCATCTTCCTGCGAGATTCAGAGACCTGAATTGCGAAACGTGTCCAACGATGCCCTTGTCGACATGTCCTCGAAATTGCGTGATTCCTATGTCTGTGACGTATGGTATCGTGCACAGCCCAAGCCTGCCGTTTTGCCTGCGCCGCCGCAATGACATGTTTGTCTGCCAGCTTTTGAAAATGGTCATAGCTCAGGAGGCTTGCTGTTTTGCTGCGTCTACCGCCGATCAATAGTTCGACCTTCAAATCTGTAACCAAATGAAGAGGAATTCCAACATCCACGACCCACTCCCCTTAATATCATGCGCCTCGTGACTCAGCCAGATCCAGTATTTTTCCCAAATGCAACACACTTCATTCTACAGAGCAAGTACTCTGGCTTCATCTCGTCGCCAGCACCAAACCTGGTCTCCTGACGGTCGGTGATTTAATTTGAGTGGGGAAGTCCGCTACTTGATTGGGATCCTGAAGCGAGGCGAGCTCCAGAATCGTCAAAGCTAGACTTCTACTCCGTACGACACCTCGTAATGCAACCACCATTGATTTTGACCGCCTTTACCGCATCTTCGAATTCTCCACGAGTTCATGCAGCCTGGAACAGAGTCCTCCGGGTTTCATCCTCTTTTCCCTCTAAACTACTACGCACGTGAACATGCGTGATAAATTTTCAGCTGCAGTCGCTAACCTTGCTGTGCATATCGCTTGGGATAACGAGTCGCGGACATCACTTGCATTGTCGAGATCTTCCTTGAACCCACCCACCTCACAAGACGCGTTTTCGGACCAGTTATCGCCCCGTGTAAACGATCAACCTCTCGACGCCAGAGAACTTCGCTACTGGAGTGATCTCGCTATCGCAACATGACATCTGCGACCTTTGCTACCCTCATCCTCATACCGGTCCTAGTCTTTGCGCTCTGGCACCTCACCGCCAACAGTATTCCGTCAGTACCCTCGTTCTTGCGCAACAAGCGTATTATCCTCCTCATCGCACACCCTGATGATGAGTCCATGTTCTTCAACCCGACCCTCCAGGCCCTTACGGCGCCACAACTACAGAATCACTTGAAAATCCTGTGTATGAGCACGGGCAACAGCGAAGGGCTCGGGTCGACGCGGCGATTGGAGTTAGAGAAGGCTGCGGTTGCACTGGGCTTAAGGCGCAGGGAAGATGTCTTCGTTCTCGACGACGCACGGTTCAAGGACGGTATGAATGAAGAGTGGAAACCCGAAGAGATCGCGCGTGTGCTTGCCAGTGCGTTTGCGCCGCATCTCAATGTCCCACCTCCGCTTGCGCCACAGGCCGGAGAGAAGGACAAGGACAAGGACCGGCGAAAATCAAAGTCCAACAAACACGCAAAATCCCCTTCTACTACGCCAGCAACACCTTCTTCTGCACAGCGCGAAGGACCTCGCGCAACCATTGACGTGCTCATCACCTTCGATGAGCACGGGATTTCAAAACACCCGAACCACAAAGCCCTGTATTATGGCGCCAGTCTGTTTGTGAAGCAGATCATGTGCGGGCACTCGGGCTACGCCTGTCCCGTGGCTCTGTATACGCTTCCTTCGATAAACATCGTGCGCAAGTACAGTTTCATTCTCGACTCGATCCCCACGCTCTTGAACGGAATCTACGGCAGCATCGTCGGCAACGCGATGGGGACAAGAGGCACAGGCAAAAAGGAGAGCGCTGACCGTTTGGTTTTTGTCAATGACATTTCGAGGTACCGCAAGGCAAGGGAAGCTATGGTGAACGGACACAAAAGTCAAATGGTTTGGTTTCGATGGGGCTGGATAAGTCTAGGCCGGTACATGGTTGTTAATGATTTGCGGAGTGAGAAGATTATTGCGACGTGATATGATATCCCAGGTTTGTGGCTGGTGAGAGGTTTTCTACTAATCTTCGCTCCATCGTTTTGGGAGAAATTTTATTTGGGAGGCGATTCGCTAATTTAGTCCAGATACCTAGGTATGTCCATGCATGATGATGTTACACACTTGCAAGCGTCGGTCCGTGGATGAACCTGAATCTTCAACAACAAGAATGAAGATGAAGAGAATTGATCAAGGCCAACTTCCTATGTGTTTAGACCAGGGCCTCCACTCATCCATCCTGTAGTCAGCTGCTGGGAAGTATATTTTGGAATCTTTCGCTTCCATACGCTGTGTGCGTTGCTCTTTTTCAATTTCCGAAACCCAGTCGGTATATACGGATTCGGAGTCTGCCTCTGCTTCCTCGTAGAACGCGGTAAGACCTGTAGGTTTCCGGTACACGAAATCTGCAGCATGGAGGAGACGAGCAGGGCTATAACTGTCAAACATGATTCGCATCGACCCTGCCTTTGTCATTTGATTGGAGTTTGCAGATCGAATGGCCCCTTTCCGGTGTTCCTCCCCCAATAAGGTGACGTGCCCGGTAGGCGTGTAGTAGGGCACGATGTTGGGCAGGAAATCTGACCATTCCTTAACCAGGCCGGGTAGTCTTCGATATGGCCATTCAACACCACGTCCTGCGGATGGCCATTCCTTTTCCTTGAAGACGTTGCGGACGGCAATAATGATGAGCTGAAGACTACACTCTAGCTTCAAGGAAGCGAGCACGAATTCCCTCCTCAATCTCAGAAAGTCAGCAGCTGGTATACCGCTCTTGAACAAGGTGTAGTAACCACGATCCAAGTGATAACGCATCTTGTCATACAAGATCGAGACATTTGTCCGATCCTCTTCAAGCATTCGCATGCATTCGCGGATATCTTCCAGTGTCATATCAAGCATTCCTTTTTTGGCTCTAACTTTGACTCTGAACATTAGATCCACGATCTTTGGCTTGACGTTGAAAGGTTCACTGTGGAACACAGTATACAGAGACTCAACTGCTTGGCCCGAAACGCGACCAATACCAAATCCTTTTTGAATTCTGTAGTTTCGATCCTGGCTGGCAAGTACAAAAGTCCATTCAAGAAGGTGACTCCAGACGAATTCCGGGATCTCAAGATTATAATTCCGAGAAATGTAGTCGAGCAACATGCTTGCGACACTGATTTGGTTGTTGGTACCGAAGATGTGAACCACGGAAAACAGTAGGCGCCCAGAAGGCCGAAGTGGCGAATCATCCTCATAAAACCTGGGGCTCTCTATCTCTTCTTCGTCGTAATGTTCCAAGGCGTCCACATCGATATTCCACACTGACTTGAGGACACTCTTTACGCTAGCAATGTCACCTTCACGGCCCATAGCAACCATCAGATTGCAAAAAGTAGCTTCATTGCCTTGCAAACCCTGTCTGACAAGCTCATTGAAAGTCCTCAAGATTTCTAGCCTGATTGAATTTGGATTGCCGGGATGGGTCGGTGAGGCTACCTCATGGCCTGTAAAGCCTTTGTACTCCTGAGGAGATGAGCGTCGATGCAGGTTGTATGGAATCACTCTCAGATGGTATCTTTCGTGCCTGCCATATGCGTTGTTCCAATTGAGTGCTTCCATGAAGTAATTGAAACATTCCAGGTCGGGTTTGACGTTGGCCTCAGGCATGAACTTGCGAAAAACATTTTTTGCCAGACTTCTATGGCCTGCTGCTGCTGCACAGTGTAACAGATGCCGGTAAACTTCGAGGGAAATTATGTAACCCTTCTCTTGTCTTAGAACCACCAAGGTGTCGAGGATTTTGATGAAGGTATCTATGCGTTCTTCCAAAGATGTTACCAGTCGGTAACGTGGCTGTACCTCCAAAGAGGGCTTGAGATGGTGATGGAGTTCTCGATAGGGGACAATAAAATGGTCTGGATGCAATGCACATATAGCTTGAGAAAAAGTATCGTCGTCTGCGTTGGCGACGAAAACGTCACCAATTGAGCGACTGACTAGGCCCAGAAGGATTCGGTCGGGGTTGTTCTCCTGCAATAACTCTTCCATAGTGATCAATGCTGGAAAGCGATACTTCGGGTAGCGCACACGAGGTACTCCGCTAAATTCATCAATCAATGACTGGAGTGGCGCATCCTTTTCGTCGGGGAGAATAGGTGAATCCGAAGGGGTAAGAGAAGTCTCGTCATCGACTGAAGACGTGTATTGTCGCCGTCTTTGGCGCTGGGCAATTGGACCAGGCCATCTTGGTCGACTGCGCGTGGAAGAAGAACTTTGTCGGCGAAGGATGTGGATCGTCAAGTGAGGAATACGGCTGGATGAGGGCTGAAAGACGCCATTGATGAACCTCGAAAGAGGCACCAAACCTTGCATCAAGATTCTCAGGAGTGAGACACCAGAAACGCCGACCGCAAGAAGCTAAAGGCAGAGAGGCAGCTACCAGTAACGCATTGGATTCAAAAATTGCGTTGTAGGCAAAAGGTAGCAGGTAACAGCGAGTCGCCGGCGGCCTCCTGCTTGTCCGTACCTTTTTTCTTATGCCAAGAGTGCCTAAATTTCACTGGCGTCCAGTGTAGAGCTGTGATACGTGATGTCCTCACGTGATTCCACGTGATAGCTAACCCTGCGCATAGATAGGCGCCTACGTAGCACCTAGCCAGGCAACCCCTTGGGCCCCTCCCCAGCACCGATAACAGGAAGTTGAGACCCGAGAACGAAGTCTCACCTCTCACAAACGGGTTTGAATAACTGAATATCTTGCCTTTAACTGGATCAAATTAAAGGTAGACGTTTTCTTCGGTGTGATCCGTTTTCAGAACTTTCACCACTAGAAGCTAATTAATAAATGCGTCGTGCGATGTTCGACGGTACGAACAACGGCTGTCCTCGAGCGGGTTGCCCAGCGTTGGTGGACGCAGTGTTCCATGTGAATACACCGTTCATTTGCCCATTTTAGTATCGGTCGACTCCCATGGAACCCCGTTGGACGGGCATGATAGCGGCGTTATTGCTCTGACGACATATACAGAAGAATTGATCTTTCCCGCCCCTTGCGCTCGATTAGACTTCTCCGGCTCGCCAATGGGCAAAGTTGAGTTGGCGAAGTGAACCAAAAAGAAACACGTGTATGAGACTCAGGGTCTGATCGGCAAGCCTGGACCAATATCTTACACTCAATTTTGAGAGCATTACAGTCCCACTGCCCGGAGAGCCATACCGCTTCACAACAATTTCAAAGCTTTATTGCCTTCACAGAAATGTACCTCCCCTCTCCCCAATGCAAATAGGATTCGACCCCGGCCATCAAGTTCGTGAACCGAGTGTGGAGGGCGAAGACTTGTAAGATTCGATAGGGGACGTATCCAATGACCCCAAACAGGCGCCACAGAGGAAGAACTTCGTCGGTCAGGTCATCTAGCTCAATGTCCTTGAATCCAGCTTGTTCCAGCATGGTAGTCAAAGCCCCCTCCTCCAGTGTATTTTGACAGTGTGAGAGACGAAGCACGTCCTGCAAAAGCTCGGAATTTCGGTTGAAGTCTGCCTCATTGTGTACGAGTACGCCGCCAGGGCGGAGCAGGCGGTAGAAATTCTGTAGCACCTTCATAGGGTCATCTGCGTGCACAAAAGTCTCCATGGTATAGATACCGTCGAAAGAGCCGCTGGGAAAGTCCGTAAGATTATGATAGTCTTCAAGACGGACAGAGATCCTGTCTTGGAGGCCGCGCGCCTCGACGTTACGCCGAGCTTCTTCGACGTGTAGGGGTGTAATATCAATAGCTTGGACATTTAGACCTTTCTCCGCCATAAACATGGCCACATATCCGGATCCTGCACCAGCGTCCAAAACGCGGGAGTCAGGCTCGAGACCCAGCTTGGTGTACAGCTGGTTCTCCATGGCTCGCTGTGCTTTGCCAACAGGGAAAGGCCAGATCTGACCTTTCGGGTAGAGTCCACAGTGTCGTGTATTGCCCAGTAGTAACCAGTATCCTAATCGTGATTCCAGGCTGGTGTAGTATTCTTGTACAGAGGGATTTTCTGTCCCATCATTCGCAATCACAGCTAGAGAGATCCATGCGTCAACCAATGGCTAAGGTAGACGGAGTGAACACTGAATATACCAAACAGTATTGCTGCAAGTGCAGACAACAGTCCGGCAACGTAACGCAGCTTGAGTCGCCGCGATTTCTTTTCTATACTTTTGCCGTTAGTGGCTACATACACATACCTTGAGCTTGGGGAATACTTGCCCGGCATAATAGCAATACTCAGCTAACACAACAGAATGACGATCAAGAAAGACACGAACACAAGACCTATACAAGATGCAAAAGAAATAAGTGGTAGATTCCGAAAATGCTTGGTTTCAAGAACAGCGGAACAAATTGGCACTGGGTCGAGGCCTTTGGGCGGAGTAATGCACGATAGCGTGGAAGAAGGGGCCTAGGGGGCTGAGTAGGCGGTACCGAGCTGGCAAAGTCTCAAACACCGAGCGAGACGGCGCTTCTCTATTTGATCTGCAGGTAGTCTCCTGGGTGTTTTGTCTACTTTGTACAATCTGCACCGTATACCTCCTACATGCTATTCAGAATGCCACCTAATGCGACTGCAAGCAATAAGAATAGTCTTAGCCCATGTCTTCCCAGAACGCCTGTTCCCTTTCTCCTGGAGGCGCGTCAGCTGGGGCCCTTTGCGGGTGACGAACGTCCAGCTCTCCGACGACTATCGGTCAGCTTGCTCCAGACTTGATCAGAACTTGACGAGAGAAGAGTATTGGGGTAGGTCCGATTGCACTGTATAGTTTCTGAAGAAATACATGTATAGTCGGCGCTATCTACCCAGATGCAACGGGGCCATGGTCGGCGTTTAACTTCATGGTCTTGGGTACATGGGTATGAAACTGGCTTGATACAACCCCTAACCTGCAAAATGCACTCAAGACCAACCATGGAGGGGACCGAGGTTTTCAGGCTTAGTCTTAATGCGTCACTCGGTTTTCCTCGACCAGCAAGTTGGACCTACCCGGCTATGTCTACTCATTCTGCCAGAAAAAGAGCTCATGGAGAGATTGGAGTTCATACACAGGTATTCCTCACATCAATATGAACACCAGGGACACTGGTACAGACAGTGAGAGTACATTGATTCGAGGCTGGGTCCCGCAGCCAAACACCCGTGGCACTTTCGACCTGGCAGTGTCTTGTGCCGTGACGGTCTTCTTGTGCAGCTGGTCCTCGATTTGCGTCAATGTCCCTACTACAGACCATAGCAAAAGGGATCTGTTCTGGGACAAATGGCACATGTTTTGCCTCTCTATGCTTGGCCCGGAATTCATCTTTATGCTGGCTCTCGGACAGTACATGCGTGCACACGCCTCAATGAAATCGTTCCACGACAAGGGCTACAAGGACTGGACCACGATGCATGCGTTTTATGCAGACATGGGCGGTTTTATTCTCCAGACTCGTGACTGGAAGCCGTTTCCTGTCGATGCGAAACAACTATTCTACTTGATAGAGCGTGGCTATGTCAGGTATCCTGAAATCAACAAAGCCATGATCGACGACAAGAACAAATCCGACGGACTAGCGAGGTTGGTGGAATTGCGCCAGGCCCACAGTATTGAATGTTGCTTACCATCCGATTCCTAGATTCATCACTTCCTGTCAAATCATCTGGTTCACTCTCAATGTCATCGCAAGACCAACGCAGAACCTCGCCGTGACAACTATTGAGATCACAACAATCGGATTCATCTTCTGTACCTTGGGGATCAATTTCTGCTGGAGAAATAAACCAATGGACGTCTCGACGGCGATCGTGCTGAACACCGATCACACTATCCACCACATCCTCCAAAGCGCTGAAGATGTAGCGTCTCAACCATACCGGCTGACACCACTCGATTTCGTGAGCCGCGAAGAATGGATAGCAACCCAGCTTTGGCAATACAACGTTAACATCCTACGGAAACTGCGCGTCATACGCCAACGGCCCAAAGTGCGTCCCGTTCAACGCTTGTCATCCTTTAGCTTTCCCAAGCTCCCACGGAGAGGATCTGTTATTACTCTGTGCATAACCCTGGTCTACTCCGCAATCTTCATGGCTGCATGGAACTTCGAGTTTCCCTCCGCGGCAGAGAGGTTGATCTGGCGCATCTGTACCTCGTTGTCTATGGGTCTCACCATCGTTGTTGGGATAGTTGAGGTGGCACTACCTCAACCTCGTAATTCAATAAAAGAGGGAGCTTCCGACATAGAAGGGGAAGGTCGAAAGGCGACCTTGCCCATCCATGGCGACCGCTTTATGACGGGGCTCCTGGGCAGATTGGCCAACAAGCGGTTCAACAATTCCCTAGACAAGGATCCCGCGCTAGATGTGCCGCTGAAGTCGATTCTCTTCACCCAGCCCATCTGTGCTGTTTATACTGTATGTCGCTTGTACGTGCTGTTGGAAGATATCATTGGCCTTCGAGCAGTGCCCGCCAGTGCTTTCCAGTGTGTCAACTGGACTGTATATTGGCCGCATATGTGACTAGATTCACTATCTCTCCTTAACGTAAATTTTCACGTCCTCTCGATCGCCTCTTGAGAGTCTGACAAGTTCCACTGTGCTTGAGGGAGGTTTGCAGATCATAGAGTGCAAAGGGGAAGGTCCAATTCCTCCAAGCATCTTTTCTGTGATCCATGCTCGTTTTCGTCCTCGCCCATCCTGTCGCGCCACGAGCCTTGCTACGCGCGTTGAATAGACTAAATTGCTATACGAGGAGAGGACTAACTACGAGGCCTCGAGTCCGCAGAGCAAATGCGGGCTCGAGTGCCAAGGCCGCTCCGGCCTCAGACACTCTTCAAAACAACATCACAGAGTACTAGTACCTGTTGACTGCAAGTCATTCGCAGGCGCGTTCACCTATAATGGCTGATACGACAGACGAGGCAGCCACCTCTGTCTCAGAACCTCTCGACCTCGTACGATTGTCCCTCGACGAGGTCGTCTTCGTTCGTCTTCGTGGAGATCGGGAACTTAAAGGAAGATTGCATGTATGGAGATGCGAATGCAGTTACAGCGAAAGAGTCAGGCTAATACTCAGACAGGCATACGATAGCCATTGCAACCTTGTGCTTGGAGAGGTGGAAGAGACGATCTACATCATCGAAGAAGAGGACGACGGGGAGGAGATAGTCAAGGTCCATTGATCGCGCATCTTCTGCTGCAAGCTAGATGCTGACAGGGCCAGGCAACGAAGAAACAATTCGAAATGTTGTTTGTTCGAGGCATGCAATTCCTCTTTAGAATACCTCGATCGCTCCAACTAACATGTGACTAGGAGATTCAGTCGTTCTCATCTCGCCGCAGCCTGGGTCATGAGATCCACCGTCCATGCACATGACTAAGAGCGATCCAATTTCTCGATCAAATGCAATGCAATCGACAATCATGGGGTATATCGCCACCAAACTACATGGTGGCGTATTGAAATAGCGGCGCACAAGTCTTGTTGAATTCTGATACCGAGTGCCATGAGAACGAGTCATTGCGAAAAAGAGGCGCCAGCACAAGTTCGAGGGCATTTGGCAAGGTCACCGGCGATTTTGAGAATGACGGGCTTGGCTTGATGATTCACCTGGCTCCGAATCGAAGGAGGCGCAAGGTTCTGGAATGCGTGATAAGGGAATGAAGAAAAGGACACCAACGAGGCTTCGCGTCAGACGGGCGACTGTTAGACTCAGAATTTGGATGGCGAGTGAGTCAGTCAGCACCCTTGTTTCCCCGCTGCGGTCATGACTCCAACAAAAACTCAGCTGGATAAAAAGGTCCTGGTGGTAGCACCGCAGCGTACAAGACCTCATCTCCGATTTTCTCTGTCTCTATGTCGTATCCTCCCTCTCGGAATCTATTTACCATGCATCAATCATAAAGAAATCCTTACAACTTTGTTCCATGCCAACTCTTCAAAAATGATACCACGAATACCTTGATGATCGCGGGGGCGAATCTACCTGTTCTTCAATTACAACTACTTCACTCCAGTTCCATCTCGACTTATAGTCTATTCCATCATGGGCACTCGCATAAAACAGACGCTGCATGACCGTCGCAAAGGAGAACTCGTGAGAACTTCCCTTGAATCATTCACCAATTCGTCTGACAGATGACATGCAGGCGCTCTCTGATTTCGCCGACTATGTCGAAAAGCAGCAAGCAAAGAATCGCACCAAGCCCGTCGAAACCAGCGCTAATGATGCCGGTCATTCCACGGAGGCACGCTCTTCTCTCACTGAAGATCATGCCGAACTTGAAATCCTCGATCAGCTGGGACTCTCCGACAGCCCAAGTCAGGTGAAGTTGAAAGAGTGGCTGCTAGACACATCGCAAGAGGGTACTACATCATTGCAGCAGCTCGCCGGGCTTATTCAATCCAGAATAGATGAAGGCCATGGCGAGACATTGTTTGACTTGGGCCTTGAGGACAGTGGCGAATCTATGGGCCTTACAAAAGAAGATTGGGAGCTGGCATTGGCAAGGGTCACGGAGGCGGCCGACTCGGTGAAAGCTGCAGTCCGGGTACTACTCACCTCCAATGTTGGCGGCTCAGAGGAAGCTCAGTCAAGTTCCAAGGACAAGTCATGCCACGGCAAGCTGCTGATCCGACAGACACCGGCGACAGCAGAGGAAGTCATCGAGACTCGAATTGCGGTAGTAGGCAACGTCGACGCCGGGAAATCCACCATGTTGGGTGTACTTGTCAAGGGAAACTTGGACGATGGGCGAGGTAAAGCTCGAGTCAATCTTTTCCGCCACAAGCACGAAATTGAATCTGGTCGAACTTCGTCTGTTGGCATGGAAATCATGGGCTTTGACACTCATGGCGACGTCGTCACATCTGGCGTGCCTGGCCGGAAGCTGACTTGGGCAGAAATTGGCACTCGATCAGCCAAAGTCATCTCGTTCACAGATCTAGCAGGACACGAGAGATATCTGCGGACGACAGTCTTTGGCCTGCTCTCTTCCGCTCCTAATTATTGTTTGCTTATGGTTGCGGCCAACAATGGTTTGATCGGTATGTCGAAGGAGCATCTCGGTATAGCGCTCGCGTTGAACGTCCCCGTCATGGTTGTCATCACCAAGATTGATATCTGCCCACCACAGATTCTTGAGCAGACCATTACGCAGTTAACCAAGATACTCAAGTCGCCTGGTGCACGGAAGATCCCAATCTTCATCAAAACACACGAAGAAACCGTCGTAACGGCTTCACAGTTCGTTTCTCAGCGAATATGCCCGATCTTCCAAGTCTCCAACGTCACTGGAGAATGCTTGGACCTTGTGCGAACGTTTCTGAACATTCTTCCACATCATGGTCATTATGACGGTCAAGCTCCCTTCGAGTTTCACATCAATGATACCTTCTCCGTCCCCTTCGTGGGCACGGTCGTGTCAGGGGTGGTCAAGTCCGGAGTCATCCATGCCGGTGATACGGTGCTTGTCGGTCCGGATTCACTAGGTCAGTTCCAGACGACAAATATTCGATCCATTGAACGCAAACGAATACAAGTCCCCGTCTGCAGCGCAGGTCAATCCGCATCCTTCGCCTTGAAACGCATCCGACGCAAAGAGGTCCGGAAGGGCATGGTCGTCCTGCCCAAACTCGAAACCCCACCAAAAGTATACCGCGAGTTTGTTGCTGAAGTCCTCATCCTGTCGCATGCAACCACCATCCGACCGAAGTATCAAGCAATGCTGCACGCGGGACCCGTCAGTCAGACATGCGCCATCATCGGCATTGATCGCGAATTCATCCGGACTGGAGACCGTGCAACCGTCGCATTCCGATTTGTGCAAAGGCCCGAATTTCTTGCCGTCGGAGAGCGCATTTTGTTCCGCGAGGGCAGGACCAAAGGGTTGGGAATCGTTAAGTCGCTTGGCTACGAACCGGGCTCTTTGGGCACGCAACCTCAAACGCAGAGTGAAATCGATCCTCAAGACGAGGTGAATGGCAAACAGAAGGCCGAAGACAAGGCGAGTGGAACTGGGAAGACTCCAGCGACAGCGGTAGCAAACGGCAAGGCGAAATGAAAACAGGATGGATGAATCAATGAATGAATGCTCTTATCTGACAGCGACGGAAAGCAAGAATCCATTACCTTTAGACACCATCACTGCAAGTGGACAACTACACAAATGGCCAGTTTTAGCTAAGCTAATAGTAATCTCTCCTCGTACAGGACGAAGCATTCCTGACCTATTAGTAGCACACAGCCTTTGTGGCCTTCTTTTATTCCGGCACGCAAGTTCCCCGTGCGCAGATACAGCCAATCAAAAGCTCCTGTGCGCGATGCAGCCTTGCCGGCTCTTGTTAGGTCCGGATTAGCTAGCGCCGTGGTCCCATTCTCGGGTTGAAAGATCTTCGTCTCTCTACCCTTCCCAAATGCCTACGTCTACAGTACGACAACGCAGAAAGGGCACCAAAGAGGCCAGGGTAAGGAGTCATCAGCGCGCTGAGCCTGAGAAAACACCAACCTGGCCGGTATCGGAGGAGGAGGACGATATGTCGCTGGACGCTTCTTCCATCGTCAGCGTGCTGCGGAGACAACCCGTCTGGATCGTGCTGTCGGTCTCGAGCGGAGCCTGCGCGGCTTTGAATGGTGTTTTTGCAAAGTTGTATGTCTCACTCTTACTACTACTGGCCCAGTATAGCCCGTGAAAAGTTTTCTCATGTTCACCCGGTCTGATTATGCTATTTCTAACTACAACCAATTCTCTTTCACACAGGACGACGACAGCCCTAACCTCAACGCTCTCCGCGCACATCGCGACCTTCCTGTCCCTTTCCCCTACGAACGCCATCATCGAATTCCTCGTCCGCGGCACTTTCTTTCTCCTGAACTTAGCTTTCAATGCGGTAATGTGGGCGCTTTTCACGGCAGCGTTAACGAGGGCCGATAGTACGACGCGCGTAAGCATCGTCAACGTTAGTGCAAATTTCATCGTCACGGCGATCCTTGGCTGGATGATCTTCAGCGAGAAGCTAAATGGCGTGTGGTGGGGCGGCGCTTGTATGTTGGCCGTGGGGAATGTGGTCATCGGGCGCAGGGAGGAAAGTCAAAAGCCAGGCCGAAGCGTTGGGCTCGATGAGTCCGCGAGGGAGGCAGAGGAGGCGGAAGGGTTACTCAGTCCCGCAGAGGTCGAGTTGGATGATACCGCAGATGCGGGTTTGAGGGAGAGGGCCAGTGAAGAGCATGGCAGGCTGAGGAAGGCGGAAGAGGTGGATGATCCCATTTGAGACGTCTTGTGCAGATTGCTACCATTTGTCATGTCACCGCGGCTCTACGACAAAGGCCATGGTACAGCTTCAAGCATGGCATCGAGCAAGCAGTGGAACCAAGAGTCGCTTGCAACGAGTTGATGCTCGGACTTCGAGGAGTATGCACGCATTTGAAAATGCTTCGTACCCTTAACCTACGTTTGAGACGCTTAGAGACCGTGGTATGAGCCCATGCTCAAGCTGAAGAGTTGCTGCTGCCTCTCACAGATTCTCTAGCAGAGAAGATGGGTCAGTGTCTTTTCGACTGGACTTTATGTTCGGAGCGGACAGTGGAAGATACTGAACTTGACCCAAGTTGATGGATAGATTATCAGAGCACAATCGGTATCGCCGCATTCTGGAGCAAAGGGGGCATTTGCAAGGGGCCCATGTGTAGAACAGGAATCAATCACGGCATATGTCAAGGCAGCCAGATATTAGAACAGCGTTCTATGAAAACTCAAGAGAACCATGGAGACGGTGACATTCGATTCGACCCGAGTATTCTAATTGTAGACGCTAGGAGTGCTTTTTGGCAACCAACCTGTATCCTTTTTTGATAGAACATATTGAGTGTCATCAATTGTAAGACGGTGTAAAATGACGTAAGAAGATTTGAGTGAAGCATACTTGAAGTGTCAATCGAGTTACATGTGATTCTCATAACTGTCATTCATGGAGGCCATCGAAGAAGGACGTGCAAGCAAGGTTAAGCTCAAGAAGATGAGGCTACACAGGATGCACCGAGTAAGAGTGCCCGTCAAAAGGGAATTGTGTTCGATCCCGCTAACTCGACGCTTGATAATCACCACGGCGGGCACTGATCATCAACTGTCATATCGAGAAGCGATTTGCAGGATGTTTCCCGCATGAAAGGCTAAAACCTTCGCCAAAGCGTTCGTGGAATGGTGTTGGACTCCTTCAAGATTACATCGCCAGGTCCTTCATCGTCGGGAAATCTGAGATATTAATCATCATAGCACTTTGCCTTCAATAGAACCCTAGGACTTGTCGGGTAGGGAAGAATATTGAACGCATCAAGTGCGGTGTGGCTGTTCCAATGACGGGGACTCACCTAAAGTGCCCTGTGTTCTGACGGCAGGGAAGTATCAATTGTGTTATGATGTTGAACTTCGAGATCATGTCAAAGTAGGTGAGTTTCCCTACGGCCAACAGAGCCCATTTTCTGCGGACGACGTTAATAAAGTCGGATTAATGAGACTAAAGCTTCATGCATTGCAACGTTTCCCTAGCAGAAGGATGACGAGATTCTAGGAATAGGCGGGAAAGGGAAAACAATGATCCGAGGGAGTTTATTTTCGGCATCTGAAAGGGAAATGGGCTGATGGAAAATGGAGTCGACGGTGCCAGCAGCAGCTTCAGATTGAGGGATCGATTGGGGTTTTCAGAAAGGCCTCGGCCGTCCATAATGCCATGGCTGTCGCGGCTGGAGCTGCATTGGAATGTGCAGGCGTGCTTGCTGATTGATCTCTCTCGATGATGTCCAGATTGACACTTCTCAAAAGCAAGGTGTAGCCGAGCCTGGTTCATCTCCTCCGGTGAGGCCGTTGAAGATCGACAACCAAAGAACTATTCTAGGGAACTGGCAAGCGAGATCTCAGGAGAAAGGAGGAGGATGTTTTGCTCACAGCCTCCCAATGACGAGATTTGTTCCAAACCGGAGGAGATGAAGTGGCTGTTAGCGATTCCAGGAGACGTGCATTGAATGATTCAAGGTGGGCGGGGTTTCGACTTTGGATTTTTGCTGAGACATCGATGGTATCACAGGACAACTAGAGTAATTGCACACCCCAGTGACCATTTTGAGCATCGAAGGTACGGAGGATCCCTTTTTAGAACTGTGGGGGGTGGCAGTCGAGAAAACGTATCCGAACATGGTCTTCTCGATCAGCTCTGTGTCCAGACGTGGTGATAGTAGGTTTAACGTGAAACTTTGGCATCATTCCAAGGCTGGAGAAGCAATGTGCCGGAGTTGAGCCAACATTTTTTTGGTGTTTGATGCGTAGGGGCCAGAAGCAGGGTGGTGTGCAACAATCAAAAAGGTCTTGTCAGTGGTGGAGGCGGTGGTGAGATGGAGATTAACCCCGGGTGATGCTTGCGAATGTGAGTGGTGTGCAAAAGCTATGGGAAGAGGATGGAGGGGCGCAGGTACGAAAGGTGAATGGTGAGTGGTGAGGGGGAGATGGCAGATAACCAGGGCTCCGGGAGACGATCAGCCACAATTCGCTTTTGGAACGTTAACTAGTACCACCTCGGCAAGTTTGATGGTTTCTGCTCGTATTATTGGCTTACAAAGCGCTCGTATCTAACCGTAAGAAGATTAGGGGCTGGGTCCTGTCTCTGATAAAATGTCATCAGACTAATGTGTAGTATGTGGTGCTCGTTCTGGTGCTCAGATTTACCCGCATCACACGACTCTGCCCATACCAAATGGCCACGCAACCCTGCTCTCAGTCTAAAAACTGCGCTACAAAGTGGCGATTCCCATGGAGAGGGATCCCCAGAAAATGCCTGTTCCTGGCTCAACTAGCAATTCGAGAGGTCCTCGGGCCTGCGCCAGTCTGGCTGCACCATCTCCAGTCGAGCCCCGGCTAGTGGGCTTTGGGTAAGCAGGCACTTGGTCCTGCATCCTGAACCCTCCGCCTGCATCGCACCGCCCGTTTCCTTCGACTACTGGTCAGCCTAGCAGCGTGCTAGGCCCGCTAGCAGCAATAAACGGGCTTTCGAGACTCGCCCTCTACTAACAAAGCTGCTTGTTTCTCTCCGCCTGCTCTGCGGACGTCCAGCCAATTCTTTCGCTCTTCCGACCTCTGCCCTGCCCTCTCGCCTCTCGCATTTCGCCATCCACCGCCAATTCCTAGTCCCAATTCCATACATCACCACCTCTCATCTCACCGACCTGCTCTTCTACCTGCAGCCTTTTCACCTGTTAATCCTCTTCAACGCACATTCAGATTCTTCCACAATAAGATTTACTCAGCATAGACCCTTTTCGGTCCCGGTTGCGAGGTGCATTGTGATCAGCTGACGTCCATCATTATTTTGCCACCTGTTTGATTAGCTGTCCCCAATACCTAAACTCCCAGACTGTGCCTCTACCAGGTACCTAGACGGTTCTGCATTTCAGGCAAACTGCAAATCAGATCAGTTCCATCATGTCGACCTTTTTCTACGGGAACCATCAACAACACCAATCTCAAAACCCGAATCCAATGCCACAGTCTCATAACCACCATGGCCGGTCTCGAAGAGCTCCGCGTATATCCGCCCAAAACTCCCATCGCCAGTTCCGAGGGCCCAAGATCATCAAAGAGATTGTTACTGCCGAAGCTCCCAGTATAACTGCATACCGGGCGAGGTTCGAGGCAGGACGATCGTTTGACCTTGACGATGACCTAGAGTTCTGTCCGAATCTCTTGAGTCTCGACGAGGTGCGTAGCGAGCCTTTCTCCTCAATTTTTATTCCTTGCTGACTTGCAGAAGCGACAGTCGGTAACTTCAGGATCCTCTGATCGTTCCTCTCTGTCGAGTGGCTCCCCCGATTCCTCCCCTCTACAATCCCAAATACAACCGCAACAGATTACTCCGGCTCTGTCCATTTCCTCTGCAGCCACCTCTGCATATATGTCTCCTCCAACGACATTAACGAACAACAATAACAACCTTAAAATTCACCAACCATCCGCAATCCGTTCCCGTGCCAACGCCATCCCGATTGTCAACCCCTCGACCGGCACTCGCATTGCAAGTCCACCCTCATCCATCTCGCCAGGCACGATGCAACAAACGACTGCCGCTCGCCGGTGGTAAGAGATTTCGCCTTGTCGTGCTCTTTCCTCCGTGCTTCTTGTCCGTTGTGCCACTTAGTATTTGTTGCTGGCTGATGTGATGATGTGTTGCTTGCCCTTGCTCTCCGATATTCGACATGCCCTCCTCTTCTCACCTCTTGTTTTTGTACATATTGTATCTCACGACCCAAAAAAACTTGTTCTGTTCCTTGAGCGAAAGGCATAGCGATTTGACGAAGTTGACATCATGATACCAGCCACTGTTGAAGACAAGAATAAGGAAGGGGGGAGTATGGTGGCACAGCAATTTCACAAGACAATTTGTTTTAGCATGGAGTTCATGAGCATAGGCCAAGGTTAAGAGATCATGATAGAAGATGAAACTTTACCATCGGCGGCGTTATCTCAGTGTGGATTGTCGGAGTTTTGACTTTACTGTGGCACATTTGGAAAAGGATTAGGGATGGGAGATGAGAAATACAAAGATACCAGATGGTTTGATGGGTGGTCTCTGGTTGGATATGGTGTGAATCCAAGGATGAAATAACAAGTTACACATCTCATGGTTGACGGCCGGTTTAAAATGAATTAGGGCTTCAGGGGACACTTGTCATCCAGCGTATGCGGCTGGTTGACACCACCGTTCATGAGATGTATTTCTATTTATAGATGCTGGAAATATGAGTCTTCATTCTTGTGTGACTGCTGGTCAATATGCTGTCTCAACATCATGTTCGATTCTTTGATATCTTGCCACATGCATCGCAGGTATTATCATCGTTTATCACCTTTGTCGATCTGTCGCAGGAGAATGAGTACATACGATTGCAGGAGTCAGCCTTGTCACCCACTCTCGACTCGGTTCAGCTCTGCAAGGTACCGGGAACCTCCACAAGTGGCAGTGCTTGAAGCTTAAGCTGTTCGATTGAAGCTCGTGAGGCTGACTACTTAGGAAGAGGCCAAGTCTTCCAATTCAGGCAACCCCGACAACACGGCAGAGAAAACTCCTCCATTGGCTGCGTGAGCCTTGTGGCATATCCTGCTTGGCCAAGGCATGTAGAGCGACCCATGCCATGATTGAAGCTGTTTTCCACCGCGGCCAAGGGTTGTTCAATTGAAGCTCGTCTTTAGTATTTAATACGTACGGCCTTAGAAGCCGGATTGGAACTGCGAATCGCTGGCATTCCACGCTGACGGTGTCTTGGCAGTCAGGTTCCCCAAAAGACGGGCCAATTGTTAGATTTCGTCGAACCTCACTTCCACCTCTATTTGCTGCCAGATACACCCATTCAGCTGATCGAAGAGATATCAGCGACTCATCATGGCTTTCCTCTTTCGCAACGTTATCGTGGTTCTCATTCTATGCCTGGCGCTGTTTACCTGCCGAGCACATGCCTTTGGTGCTGGAAGTGCGTCAACGACCAAGATATTCGTTTAGCAACTTGCTGACCCCTCGGCCAGATATCGCCTCAATTTCGGCCGTCGAGGGCAAAAATTGGCGTCATGGAGATATCGAAGATGTGTTGAAGACCGTGGCTTGTATCCGCCATCACAAATGGAACTCGATGATGATTAAGCGTGTCTACTTTGGGTATGTTCTCACCAGACCACCCACTGAGACAGAGCTGAACGATCGTCTGCAGCAATTGGCTTCGAGACTACTCTCAGGCCATGGACACAGGAGCACTCAAGAAAGCACAGCCAGAAACCATTCGAATCCTCGTCTGGTTGCTCTCCTTTCTAGGGTTTGGCTATGCCACCGCAGAATTCGAGGTCACGTCCGAGAGGTTGGGTGTCTATCGACCCGAGGAGCATATCGAGTAGGGAAAACCCACTCTCCCCCAAAACTTTCGCCAAAGCCAGAATTGACCATTTCAGTAATCCCAAAGACTACAATGACAACGAGGATGCTCGAAAGTACGATGTTCGTCTTCGTGGCCCCGTACGCGACATTGAGCTCCGAATTGACATGGAAACGGGCATGAAAAATTACATTGCAAATGGAAAAGGAGATTGGGCAACCAGTGCTGCGTTTGTAAAGTACAGTTTCGAACGCAGCATCCACCATGGCCGACTTTACACAAATGGACACGGATTCTTCAAGGGTAAGGACGAGGATCTGGCCGAGGCGCTCAGATGTCTCGGTCAGGGCCTTCACACACTCGAAGACTTTGGTGCCCACACCAACTATGTTGAGCTTTCACTTAGGGAGATGGGTTTCCACAATGTCTTTCCTCATGTCGGGACCGCAACAGCCATTAACCTCCGTGGAAAGCATGTCTTTCCTCTTGTCACAGGCACTTTCGGCATGGTGGATTTTTACCACTCAGTCCTGGGGGAAGCTACTGACCACTTCACGCAAAGCGAAGTCAACGAAATGGACAATGCCCTTGGAACGGCTCAGCAAGCCGCCCAATCGTCAAATCCTCTGTTCACACTTACCAAACTCCTCTCAAAAGTACCAGGTACCAAAGATCTCTGTGACGAAGCAGAGAGACTCCAGGCGAGTGCTCAAGCTCAAACTCGTGCAAATGAACAGGGATTCGGTAGGCAAGGAAGTTTTCGTGGCATTGACGACTTTAGCGACTCGACCCGTGGAGTACATGATTGGGATAGTGCTCGAACTTCCCATTTCGGCTTTCCTTCACAACCAGGGTATGATGCGAATTCCTGGAACGCACCACAACCAGGGTTCCAGCAACCTCAGCCGGGCTGGGGTCCGCCTCAACACCAACCTCAGTGGCATGGTCACGCTCCGCAACAAAGCTTCAACCCTCACGATCAATACTCGGGAGCGCAATATAACTGGCAGCATCAACAACAGCCGCCACCTCAACATTGGCAGCAATCACCACCACACGACTTCAGCCATCAGCAGCCACCGCAAAATTTCACCCATCCACAACAAAGCATTCAACAGAATACGCCCGCACAGCCGCTACAGCAACCGACTTCGGCATCGGGTAGCCTTGAGGGAATGCCTAATTTCGATCCGGCCAAGACGGTTGCGCAGATATATCCAATTCTTGCCTTCCGAGACAAGGTCGTGCGCACGATCAGTTCGATCATCGAGAAGATTCCCGGCCTTGAAGCACTGGTAGATCGCATTACCGAGACGTTGACGGTATTTATTCTATCTCTTTTGGCGCCTTTTGTCCGGCCGGTCCTCGGCACCATCTCGAAAACTCTCCAGACGGGCAGCGAGGGAGTCATCAATTCATCTGGAAAGCACCAGTATGAAGTCTGGACTGATCCTCACTCTTCAGATCCGACCCATTCAATGCTGAGCAAAGATCATTTCAGCAATATTCTCAATGAGCCTGCCGGATCCGTGGCAGCGGAAATCCTCAAATTTATTGCTCCACGAGTATTGTACGCTTGGGAACATCCTGACGTCCCAGTGCAGCAAGTCATGCAGGACGTTGAAAGTATTTTCCATCACCCTGCAATCAGAAATGACAGGAACGAAGTGCACCGAAACATGTTTGCCGCAGTCAAGAAGTGGGTAGACGGTTTACCGGATAGAGGTCGCAGCCTCGAGACCGTCTTGAGTTCGGAAGGTGTGCGAGCAGGCAAAAATCACAAAGCAGGGGTCAATGAGCATGCGCATATCCAACACTACGCGCCAAGTGGTGGTCATCAACCAAATACTGGCGGAATGAGTGGGTTCGCGAGCTTCATTCCCGGACAGCAGCATCATGGCGGCGGAGGAGGTGGGCACGGAAACAGTCCTTTTGGGATGGTAGGTGATGCGATTGGTAATTTCACGGGTCAAGGAGGTCATCAGCGTCCGCCAGTCCAGCACCATGGTAGCGGCGGAGGTGGTGGTCTGGGCAATGTCCTAAACATGGCTGGCAAGCTACCCATTGCTGGAGCACAGAACGTCACAAGCTCACTTAACAAGTATACGAAGTTCATTGGTGAGTTCGGGGGCGGTGGAAAACGTGGGCTAGACAATGAGGATGACGGCTTTGGCGGTTCTGAACTCGGCGGTTCGCGAGAATTGCACGAAGCTGCAGCCATAGGAGATACCTCTGCCAATGACATGAGGACACCCAGTCCCATGCCTATGCAACCACCGCCTGGTTACGAACAGTACGGACGGCAGGGGAGTGGAGGATATGGTCGAGAGGGACAAAGTTACCAGTACCAAACACCCTACCAAGACCCGTACCAGAACCAAAACCAGTATGGAGGAGGCGAGAGCGCAGGATACTACGGCGGACGTTGACGGAAAAGGAATGATTATGGTTGCTACGGAATGACAAGAGCGCAAGATGAACAAAGTTGATATAACAGTGAAGTACTTTTGCTGAGCAAAAAATCCCGGCGAAAGACGGGAATAATGTCGGGTCAAAAGCGCGGTAGATAGCCTTCGACATGGTCAGCAATTATTATAATTTATCAAATCTCCCGTGTCTTCCCAGACCACCAGCAAATCTGGCAGCTCCTTGAAAACTCTCCGTCTTCAAAACCTGGACACCATGGTCAAATTCGTAGGTCAGAGCATCCTCCAAGCTCAGGGCGTTGTAGGCGGCGTAGTAACATGAGTTCCTGTCCATGTTCATACAAGCATTAGGAAATTTCAGCAGCTGCTCGGCAATCTTGGTTGCTTCCTGAATGGCCTTGCCTTTGGGAACCACTCTGTTTGCTAGGCCCATGGCCAAGGCTTCCTGGGCAGAGACAGGACGGCCGGTAAGAATCATGTCCAATGCCCTCCCGAGACCAACAATGGCTTGAAGTCGGACAGTGCCGCCGTCAATCAAAGGGACACCCCAGCGACGGCAATACACACCGAAGATGGCATCCTCCTCGACCACTCGTATGTCTGCCAGGAGACTCAGTTCTAACCCGCCAGCTACCGCGTGGCCAGCGACTGCGGCAATGACGGGTTTCTGAACTCGGAGCCGAGAGGGGCCCATCGGTGCGCAGTTGCGATCCTGAACCGGCTGCAGATGATTTCTATCCGAATGATCTAATGTCGCGGGGTCCTGCTGGCTTTGCGCAGTAATGTCGACGAGATCGGCGCCAGCACAGAAGAAGCCGTCGGAACCGGTGAGGATGGCGACTTTCTGGGAAATATCATTTTCAAATTGAATGAAAGCAGCATAGAGGTCGCGGGCTGTCGAAGGGTTAACAGCGTTGCGGCGATGGGGGCGGCAGATGGTGATGGTAGTGACGCCCGATGGGGTGGTGCAGGTGAGGACTTGAGGAGATGAGGGCCGGCTCATGTTCTGTTTCGTTGTTTCGGGGTTTGAATTGTTCACAGATGGCGCGAAACAATCAAAGAGGGATAAAATAGGCGGAAACTAAGATCGTTGATGCTGGAGAGCGTAATGAAAGGGTGCATTGATCCTTTCAGCCTCCCATACCTAGGTGTTATACAGGTCCTACCCCACATTGAGATCCTCAGCCTTGCGTCAAGCAAGGGGGCTTTTATCGCGGCTTAATTTTGGACAGCGTCTGACAGCGAAACTACCACTTGGAGATGCAGAGAGCTTTCACGTCAGACAGCGACCCTTTTCTTGTGGGCTCTCAACCAGAGTTTAATCTAATTTCAGGATCATGGAGATTCGACTAGCGGCGTTTCGGCCAAAAATGCTCTAAGTTTTCCGATCAGAGATGCAAACGGTACAGAAAAACCATGGTACCCCTGATCAAGCCCAGTGGCTGCGCCACTTGTTACGTGCCGCTGCCTCGTTGTCGTAATGTGTGCTTCGCTTCTGGCACTGGTTGGGTGAGAGGACTGGAACAGCCTAGTAGCTCCATCCGTGCGGCTCGCCGAGCATGGCAAACCGGCCCCTGTGTGCCGCCTAGGTAGTAGTAGGCTTAGGGCCCGAGAAGCACCTGCTTGGGCTCAGCTGTGGGCCGTGGATTTCACTGGCAAACGGTGCTTCTAATGCATCGGTTAATTTGAGCCTTCGACGTCATGCTGGCGTCTGCAAAATCACCCCAGATGCAGACGATTCATCTCGCGATCCTGCTGTGTGCTTCATCTGGTATTCCTGAAATCTTGCACATCGCTCCACCAACTATCCCACTTTCCTTGTCCTTCCCACTGTTGATCTCTTTCTCATTCCATTGTCGCTGTGCTCTATCAATCATCCCTCTTTATAACTCCTTCCTTTGAAACCCTTCAGCTCGCTTTGCCTGTTTGTTTCGAGCCTCTGAAAGAGCCCGAACTCCTGAGTGAAACATCGGTTTCACGCCACCGACACCAGTCCACGTCTTCACCATCCTCTCCACGACACAACGCGCAGCTGTCATAGACAATCCGTCATGCTTTTACAGACCCTCTCCACCGAACCTTAATCATACCTTCAACCTCCCACCCCTCAAAAACCTCTCAAAAAGAAAGTAATTCAACATGTCGTTGAACGACACGTTCAACCTGGGTGGAAACAGCACCGCAGCCGAGCAGAAGAATGGTCTCAGTGCCGGCCAGTTTGCGGCTTCTCTGGTCACTGCCATTTCCATCTTCGGCATTGAAATCGTCCTATTCCTCCTAATCAAAGACCGCTTTGCTCGGATATACCAACCCAGAACATATCTGGTACCAGAAAGAGAGCGGACTAATCCATCCCCTCCTGGCTGGTGGGAATGGATCAAGCCAGTCGTCGCCACGTCCAACTCTGAGTTCGTTCAAAAATGTGGTCTGGACGCTTACTTCTTTCTGAGATACCTCCGCACTCTGCTCAAGGTCTTCGTCCCGGCAGCCTTAGTTATTTTACCAATCCTGATCCCAATGAACACAATTGATGGACGAGGTGCCAAATTTGCTACCGGCAAATACGAGAACGAAACAAATGTCACGGGGTTGGACCAGCTTGCTTGGGGTAATGTCGCCCCTGAGCACACGAGACGTTACTGGGCACACTGGGTACTCGCTTTGGCTCTCATCACGTGGGTTTGCTATGTGGCCTTTGATGAACTACGCAACTATATCCGTATGCGCCAGGCTTACATGACATCCCCTCAACATCGACTTCGAGCCTCCGCGACCACTGTCTTGGTCAGCTCCATTCCTCGAAAGTGGTGCAATGTTGAGGCCCTCGATGGTCTCTACGACGTCTTTCCTGGTGGCTTGAGGAATATTTGGATCAACAGAAATTTCGACGAACTCAGTGAAAAGATTAAGCAACGTGATAAGCTGGCGGCTACCCTAGAAGCAGCAGAGACCGAGCTTATTAAGAAATGTTTCAAGAAGAACGATGAGGACGTTGCCAAAGCTGAGAAAAAAGCCGGCAAGAAATTGACCAAGGACGAAAGGAAGTTGAGGGCCACCATGAAGAATGAGGCTGGTACAAATGCTGCTCACGGGCATGGCATTAGTGCTGGCAACCCTCATCAAGTCAACCATAATCTTCATGATGCCATCGATGGTCACGATGGGGATTCCTCTTTCGCTTCTTCATCCGATGCTAAAGAAGAGGTCGAGGAACCACCTCGTAACAGACGTGCAATCCCTATCCCGGTGATTGGCGAAGGCATCTCGGCAGTCACCCAGGGACTGGATAGATTTGGTGATCGAATCATGGGCGGAATTCGAGGAGTGAATAGAGAAGTCCACGACACCATTGATACCACCAATGGTTTCGTGGCCGCTGATGCTGACCATGAAGAAATGGGGAGAAGCTCCGGTGAACAGAGTGGCCCCCAAAATGAATGTTCCAGCTCAGCGCCCAAAACTCAGAACGACCCATGTCAGAAACGGACGACGGGCGCAAAAGATGAGTCTGCAAAGGGTCAACCTCAACCTTCCAACCGTGGACGGAGCTTCGAAAAGAGTATCAGAGATGAAGGCCCACTCAGCCCCATCTCTCAATCTAGTACGATGAGAGATGATAAGGTTCGGCCCGAGAAGTCACTCACCCAGTTCGACAAATTCAAGAAGGCAATTGGTCTCGGCTCTGAAGACAAGGAACCTGTTGAATACCCCGCCGCGTTTGAAGAGGAGTTCGAGCATGAGCCAGACGATGCGGTCTGGCGACGATACTTGAGCGATAAGGATCGCGAGACAATGAGACTTCCAATTTTTGGATGGCAATGGATGCCTTCCCTGCCTTTGATAGGCCAGAAGGTTGACACCATTCAATATTGTCGGAAGGAGGTTGCCAGATTGAACGTGGAGATTGAAGACGATCAGGCACATCCAGAACGATTCCCGCTGATGAATTCGGCATTCGTTCAATTCAACCATCAGGTTGCGGCTCATATGGCCTGTCAAGCGCTCAGTCACCACATTCCAAAGCAGATGGCGCCCCGTTTGGTCGAAATTGATCCAAACGACGTCATTTGGGACAATATGTCTATTCCTTGGTGGTCAGCGTACATTCGAACAGGCGGAGTGATCACCACCGTCACGGGCATGATCATTCTCTGGGCCATTCCTGTTGCCTTTACGTCTGCTCTGTCCCAACTGGAGACAGCCGCCAAAACATGGACATGGCTTCACTGGGTCCTGGATATTCCTCCCTGGTTCAGGAGTGTACTCCAGGGTGTTTTGCCAGCAGCCTTGCTGGGTCTCCTAATGTTCCTCCTACCTCTGATCCTCCGATTTTTGGTCCGACTTCAGGGAACTCAGTCTGGAATGCTCATTGAGCTCTCAGTGCAAAAGTATTACTTTTGCTTCTTGTTCGTCCAATTATTTCTAGTTGTCTCGATTGCCTCTGCCCTCACCCAGTTCTTCGCTCTCTTCACGAGTGTGGATGGGTGGACCAGCGTTCCCAGCCTGTTGGGCACCAACATTCCCAAAGCCAGCAACTATTTCTTCTCATACATGCTGCTTCAGGCATTGTCAGTGAGCGCGGGTGCTCTGCTGCAAGTGGGATCACTTATTGGGTGGTTCATTCTTGCTCCTCTCCTCGACAGCACAGCCCGATCGAAGTTCAAGCGACATACCCAACTGTCCGACGTTCAATGGGGCACATTCTTTCCTGTGTACACCAACTTGGCATGCATCGGCTTGATCTATTCCGTCATCTCGCCGCTAATTTTGCTCTTCAACATCATCACCTTCACGTTATTCTGGTTCACCTACCGCTACAACACGCTCTATGTGACCCGGTTCACCCGCGACACAGGTGGGTTGTTGTATCCCAACGCCATCAACTATACCTTCGTGGGACTATACGTGATGGAGATTGCATTGATTGGCATGTTCTTCCTTGTCAGAGATCAAAATGGAGATGTTGCCTGCACCGGTCAAGCCGTCGGCATGATTGTGATCTTTATCCTGACTGCAGGATATCAGCTTCTGCTCAATAACGCTTTCAGCCCACTATTCCGGTATCTTCCCATCACCCTAGAGGATGATGCGGTGCGACGAGACGAAGAGTTTGCCAGAGCTATGCAGAAGAGACATGGCTTCATCGAGAACGAAGTGGAAGGAGAAGATCTGGAGGATCAGCTGGAGCGTAACGAGCAACAGTCTATAGAAGAAGATCGACAAGAACAAGCGTATGAGCTTCAGCAGATTGAACGGGACAAGCAGGCTCGGCTCGAAAGACAGAAATCTCAGAAGTTGCCAGAGTCGGAACCATACGAGTCCCAGAATGCAGAGGTCAAGATGAACGTGGACCAAGAGAACAAGGGCATGCGGATGGTCCAAGCAGCGGCCCACCGAACAGCAGAGACCACGAAACATATTATGCCACCGACATTCTCTCGAAGATATGACCGAAAGTCGTGGGCCGACCGCGGCAATGTCAGAAATCGAAGAGCCTCCAATTTTGGTGAATGGGAGAGCCCGTTGCAAAGTCAAAGCCTACATCGATCAGAATCTGATCTCCAGCAGCGCAAGAGTCATAAACGCGTCATCTCCGACCCTAAAGATATGCTGAATAGGTTGAACAATTTCAACCCCCTGATGGGCAATGAGAAAGATGTCGAGGCTCAGCGAGCTGCCAGAAATCAACTGGCCGACGCCCTTTTCTCCGGCATTAATGACGAATTAGAGGATTTGACACCGGATGAACGTGACAAGTTGGTACAGAGGGCTTTCCAACACAGCGCCCTCCGAGCCAAGAGGCCTGTCATTTGGATCCCACGAGATGAACTCGGCGTTAGCGACGACGAGATCCACCGCATGGGCCGATTCAGCAATCATATCTGGGTCAGCAACGTGAGGCAGGGCCTCGACTCGAATGGTCGCTGTGTGTACAGTGGCGCCCCGCCAGATTTCAGTGAGGTGGACTTGATTCAGCTCTAGACTGTTTGGCTGGGTTGAAGTATTATGTCGGAACGATGAATGATGATCAAATGGAAGAGACCTAGTGATGATTTGAGATCATTACGATGTATTCAAGCAAGCGAGAGATGCAGCCATTACATTAGCGAGGCGTTACAGACCCCATTACAAAGGTTCCTTTCTCTTCCATATCCGGAACGATAGGAAGATGTCCTCAACAAGCGGAGAACACCAGAAAGTCATCTCTTCCGCTACGACTTCAGATCACTGTATGTAAACTAGACGAGAATGAGGACTGGAGCCTTGTAACGATATTGAATATCATGGAATTTTGATAAGCATATCATGTTGCTTTGGATCATTAGATTGAGTGTAGGTCAACTTTAACTATCGTAGTTAGTTCCTTATATAATTTTTTCCGATCTTGCCTGCGTACTCTCGAAGTTCCTCCTTCACAAACAGCCACGCCCGATGAGGCACCCATTCTCAAACGAAGCATACGACTCCCAACCCAGTGTCTTCGGGGGCCCAGCCTGACATCTCGGCTAGCATGCTGTATGCTTTGATTGTTGGTGGTGGCTGGCTCAGCTTCACGCCTCCCGTTGTGCATGAGCCACGCTAAACCCAGAGGCTGCGATATCTGAGCTCTTCTGAGCTCCGTGAGCTTTTCCCAATATGCTTTGGGACAGAAGCGTTCTATTGGAAGCTTTGATTACTTCTGTCTAAAATCAAGGCACCACAAAGACGGAGGAAGTACTTCTCATCCCACAGATGAGGAGGACTAGATGACATTGCCCTTTCACACACTTGAGAAAGCAGGGGCTCTCTGATTAAGAGTTACCAGTGTAAGTACTAATGACGGAAATGTCCTGCCCTCCTCTCCTCCATCCTTCACTTTGCCCTAGCGTCAGCTATGGCATGCGAGATCTGCTATGCTGACCAGCAACGGAGGCTGAACTTGAAATCCGGGGCATTCATCTACTACATTTCACTATCTATTCGTGGCAGGCGCTTCCAGAACGTCCTTACTTTGTCCACCAGAAGGATGTCCTCTCCTATCAGCCAACTCCTCCGGCCACGATATGATGAGGATTTCCGGTGAGTCTTCGTCAATTTTCAAATATGGCTAGGTCAGGCTGACGACCAATCATAGTGCTGCCTCCCTGACATATAACAATGCCAGAGAATCCCCCTGGCCAAGAGGGCACCGGGTCGACTCCCTCACCTGGATCGAAAGAAGTCTTGTCGATTACTTTGAAAATTGAAAAAGATACTAAAGGTCATAAACAATCTAGCAGGCTCGCGATCTGGCACTTACTCGCGATAGGTATCCTATTGTTTTTGGACGTCTTTTCCCAAGTTCATGCTGAATATCTTTCTCTGAATGTCAGCCTGGGAGTGTACCATGTCACCGGTGCCGGGCTAGCGGCCCATCCCTCTCAGACCAAAGCTTGACTGAGGGCCCGCGTCACTACATTCTTCCAGTGCATGGTACGACATATGGTCCCCGTTCTGCGGTTCCCAGCCCTCGTTCAGCACTGAGATGGATCAAGCCGACAATTCAAACTTCCTGAAATTTATGGCGGAAATCTTTTCGCAGTGGAATGGGATGCGGGCGCCCTCTACTTATTCCAAACCGTCATGCGGACAGGTCTCCGGAGTGGTTGCCGAGATCAGATTGAAGTGTGTTTTCGAAATCTTCCGTGACTCCTGACTTGGACAGATAGCGGATCGTCAAAACAAGAGGCATTCCGTGATTAGAGCTAGTCCCTTGGGATCCAGGCTAGACTGGGAGAAGGATTTTCACGAACTTGTTCATGCACATCTGCCCTCTGATTGTGAAATAGGTCGTTTGTCGTTTGGAATTTTTCTCCTATGATATGTTACCAACTTCCGAATATCCTCAGGAAGCGAGAGAGACACATATGTGAAGAACAAAATTCTCTTATATCTTGTTCAGAGTAGCTTTCAAATTGTGGTTTCATGCCGTTGGAGCTCAACCTTGCGAAACTCTGCATCGATTCTCTTCATTTCATAATTCATGCTCATGTTCACTTTTCCGAAGTAGCACCTGATATTAAGGCCCTTATTCTCGACTGCTCTGATGGTAGAGCGCCAAACGGGATTCAATTGCCCTCTAGTAGGACCGATCTTCTTCGATATCTTCTCCGCACCCTTCCGGCCCAAGTCATGATTCAGTTGTTGCCATGATAGTAAGGCGACCCTTCACACTTCGTAGTCGCATTTCGAACATCCATTCCCGGGTCCGTTTCGATCGAGGCCTACGAGTCCGAGGCCCGTTTTCGTCAATCCCAGGATGGTAGATTTTGGGCCCGGCCGCGCCCTTTCTTCATAAATTGGCAGATGAGTTTCCCAGGCCACCATTGCGGATCGCCTTTATGGCGCCAAAGCTTTCACGGCTCTTGATAGTATGGGCGATTGCACTAAGAAGGCTGTGATTTTCGTGAGAAAGCCATGCTGACTGAGGCTTCAGAGCATCTGTCAGATGACAAATAAAACCCTTCAACGGGATGAGTGTGCGGCAGAGTTTGATACGACTTCAGAAAATCTTTGGTCATCTTTCAAACCGGTCACTTCAAGGCCCCACCAGCCCTCTGACTCTTTCAATCCTCATGACCGCCTTTTCCAACCGTTCCAATCTTTTCCTCTTCTCCACATCTCTCTGCTCCAACACTTTCACTCTTTCCTCCAATTTCGCCCTTGCCTTGCGCTCTGTCGCAACCATCTCGTTTGCCTGTCCGAATAGCTGTGCCGTCAATTCCTCAAGCTCGGTTTGGGTCTGAGAGAGGCTGGATTCGGCGCGTAAACGTAAAGTGCGCTCTTCCTCTAGAGAAGATTGTAATGAAGACAGACTCAAAACTTGGCTGTCGGATTGCGTGGATTGGAGGGTAGGAGCAGAGTAGTTAGCACCGGAGAAGGGGGTTTTGGGAGGGGAGAGGGCGTTGTTGACGTAAGCGGTGTTGTTTTGCGGGAATGTTCCTGTCGCGGGCGTCGTTGGAAGCTGACCCGGGTTGGCTTCTTTTCTTCGACCGGGCAGAAAGGCGCTCAGACTTGCAAGCCTTGACTGTTGCAGATGTTGCTGTCGGCCAGGCGCAATGGCCGGCCCAGGTCCTTCGAATGGAAGACTACTTGGCCCGGTCATCTGTCCTTGCTGCCGAGATCGGGCATGTGCATCACGCAAATATTGAAGTTCATCTTCGTAGTCTGCGATCTTATCGACTGCGGAGGCAGTTTTGGAATTCAGGAGCCTAACCTGAGCCTCAAGGTCAAGAATACGGCGGTGGGCTTGGGCGGCTTCGGCCGAAGGTTCAGAGGAGGGAGGCAGAGCGTGGCCGCAAGAGGGACAGGAGGAAGGATATTGGTTCGACGACGTCGGAAATGAAGGAGTCATGATCCTGCTGTTAAGGAGGAGGGTCGAAGTGGCCATGATACATTCTCAGAGGATACGGATAAGGGTTTTGGGAGGAAATAAGGTGGGAGTCGGTAGGTCTTATTCTGGTGTTAAGGCCCAAGAGTGACGTTTGTTGCTGTACTAGGCGCGCAGGAGAACAGCCGCAGTGAAGTGATATTGTCCTTGTCGACGCCTGCGACGGTAAAGTCGAAGAACACCTCGAATGCAATAGAACACGTCGGGGGTTCAAGGATCAACATTGGGATGCAAACACGCAACAGAGTCGCACCGACACAGTCAAACGAGCTTCACGGATGTCGATGGCTCCGAAGATGAACTTATCAAATATCAAAATAATTAATTCTGTCGCATGAGATGTCTCAGGCTCTTAGCGGCTTGTCGAAGGGAAGCGAGGGTCAGACGTATCACGTGCAACAGCAGACAATTCCTCAACTTGAATTCCACCGATCATAATCCCCCATTCCAAATTCCCTTCGTCCTCCGGTACTTTGCTATAGTATGTTCGCCCTTCGAACACCCTCCGCCTATTCCACTACCGTTGCTCCAACCGCGACGGCATTCTATCCTTCAATCCGCCAATGGAAGCAGAACGTAATCTCATGGGAAAAACGTAGAACTTCTCTGAACGAGTCAAGATCAGAACTATCGATTTCTGTACTGGTACAAAACTCGGCCAGGCTTTCTGGGTCCTTTGGCTTTAACATCGAAATCTGTCTTGGGAAAATGCGAATCCTCGGATAAACGAAGGTAGCGCAATCAAAGAGTCTCCCTGCGGGCTGTAGGAAACTCGAACACATCAAACGAGTCATCGATTGTGGCAATAGTGTGCATCTCCTTTCGACTTTTGCTGCTTCGCCCCCCCTGGAGCCCCTCTTTATAGCTAATGCTCGACGGTTGGTATCTGAAAAAAAGAAATCAGAACAGTGTAGAAATGTCGTCCTTCTCGATAACCTGGGGTAGTAACTCCTAGAAAAAGTATGGAATCGCGGCCCTAGAGTAGTTAGATGGTCATCCTCGTGCAAACAACAAATACTGGAACTCACGCAATAGCCAAGGTTGCTGTGACGCCCAAAACCGCTCTCGTCCTCACTTTCTCCCTCTTTAATTTTTCTTCCAATACCTTCGCCTTCTTGGCCGGTTGGGCGGGCAGTTCAGCATCGATATCGGACAGTTCAGGCTCTTGAGTCTTTCGCTTCTTGGAGATTTTGGGTGAACTCTCTAAGGTTTTGGCTTCCTCAACCATCTTCCTGGCTGTTTCGATCATTTTTTCTGTATCTTCGGGCAGAGGCAATTCAGGTGATCCTGCTGGCATCTCCAGAGTCACGTTCGCATGAGTGGTCTCTGTTGCACCTTCGACTTCCACTGACTGATCTACTTCGACCTTGACCATCTCCCCCTCAGCTTTTGGTGACGTTGTCGGAACTGGGGAGTCCGGTTTACCTTCTGTGTCTGCCACAGATGCTGCGTCGTCTAATGCCGACTGAAGAGTAGCGCTTGCGGCGTTGGCGTTGGCAATGTTTGCTTCCTTTTGCGCCTTTGTCTGTCTCTTTCGTGGAGAAGCTTTGACTTTGGTGGGACTCCCTGTCTTGCTTGGGGACGTAGATCGGGTAGCCCGAGAACGAGGCGTTTTGGTAGGAGCAGGTAGTTTGATCTTGTCCACGGGCAATTCAAATTTAGGAGGCGCAGCGATTGGCTTTTTGGCGCTCGATGGTGCTTGAGAAATCTCGGTTGGGTCAAGAAGAGCTCGGATCCATTCACTAAGACCGTACTCAACAGCAAGTTTGAGTGCTGTTGCAAATGTCAGTCTGATCCGGTTCAAGGCATTTGGGGAATAACCATACCGAATTCCGGCGCAACCCAGACGTTCCCTGCGACTTCGTCCTGGCTTGTCGAGTCGAGGCTTTTAAGATAGTCGCGTTCCTCTTTTTCCTCTGCATGGGTAGCCCAAGGGAACGCAATCTTGAACATGCCCGTTGCGCTTACAAAGCCATCCTTGCTCCTTCTCTGCGGTCAAAGTCAGACGTCTTGCGACCCTCACGACGATTTCGGTCGTACCATGAAAAAATAGGTTTCGGGATGAGCTTGATTTTGCTGAGTCGCAAAAATCTCCGAACCTGTGAGGTCTTCTGGCAAAGGAGCCCGGAGGTGGGCGTATTCGAATGGACCCAAATTCTCTGCCTTTGTCGCATTTGAGGTGCCTACTTGGTCCGGTTTGACTGTGAGCTTGGTTTTACCCAGCCGCCTGCGATTGAGCAAGTCATCATCTGTTTCACACCATCAGCTCCCCTTGTATAATGCCTTGCTCAAGGATCAATCTCACAGGATGGCGCAGCGCCAGGCGCGACCAGAGGATTTCGCTTTGTAGGTAAGGGTCGCATCTTCTTTTTAGTATTAAGACGGGATGCCCAACGGCGTATGGAAGGTTCGAAGAGTCGTGTACAGAAGAGTGAGAGGGGGTGGTTTGTTACTCAAGCGACAGCAGTGGAGGGATGCGACGGCAAGGCACGGCTTTGCGTGGTCAGATCAGAATAGCTAAGGAAGAAAATAAAGTGATTGGAGAGAAAAAGGTGAGGAGAATGAGTTGTCTAACTGTCAAATTGCGGTGTAATCAATTGGTAGAAGAATTGGGACGACGCGACCGGAGGAATAGAATGGAGCGCGAATGAGGGAGGAGGATAAGGACTCCCGCAAAGAGGAACACCTTTCAACGAGGTGGTGCGGCTGCAGCCAGGAGCAAGTAAGAGGGAGGGCAGGGGAGAGGGTACTCAAGAGAGGCTAGGCCGGTAGAGGAGGTTGCTAGGCGGCTGGGGACTCACCAAAGTCTGGCGAAGACTTCAACTCGGCATACGGAGTAAGGGGATCGACGTGACCGCCTAATCCTAATTTGGTCGAGAAAAGACGAACGGAGAAGAGTTGTGAAGGCAATTTATTCTCCCTTGTTCTTCTTAAGGCCTTGACGGTTCTTCGCTTTCTCGTCTTCCTTCTCGTCCCCTATGTCTAGAACCTCATCTCCTCGATACTCCCATCCGTCAATTTCCCTTGGCCCCTCGAATCCATCCGGAGGCAGGGCCCATCGAGGTACAGAGCTTCGATAGCTCCAGCTTCCTGGCGTCAGATCTGCATACGATAGTGCATGGAGGTATATCCCCAGCTCATGTGGTCCCGGATCAGAATATAATGGAGTATCGCACACTGCGCATTTCTCTCCTGTCATCTTCTCTCCCTTGCGCTTGTTATAGTCGGCCACCATCTCGTCATGCGCTTTGACAAATGCTCCGTATTGAGGATCATCATGCATAGGATCCTCACCTAAGCTCGCAAGTGATCCGGCATGCAAAGTACCTGCAGGCAACGGTTTGAAGTGAGGGTCGTCTTTCTGCGATACATCCCTGAGTGGGACTGTGGCAGATACTGTCATTTGTTGCGTCTGATCCACAAGTTGTGCGACTCGTTCTTGCTCATATGATATGGAGTCAGATACCTCGCTCTTCCCAACTTTTTTCAGTCTCGCTATAATCTCGTCGTCGTGCTCGCCCGTCGAATCGTTTTGTGCCAGGTTCGGACCGAATACTGCTCTGTTGCTATAGATGGGGTCATTGGTAATCGGATGTCCGAGAAACTGTAGATGTACACGGATCTGGTGAGTTCGTCCTGTCAGGGGAAGGCAGTGAACTATGCTATATCCCTCATTCTCAGTCCCAGAGATAGCCGGTGCCGGTCGAACAACTTGTTCGTCGGTTGCTGTGCCATTGGAGATCGTCGTAGGAGCTGGAGAGACTGCTCGATATGGTTTGTGAGGATAATACGCAAGCCTTCTGAACAGTGTTTTCGCCGACTTGCCGCTCGCTCGTGCTCTATTAAGGCCAACGATCGGACTGATTTGCAGTATGCTTTCTTCACATTTCACAACACCGCCGCGCATTGGGTTCCCGTCCCAGCCATCGCCATCGGGAAATCTGCCTTTGACTCTTGCAACATACTCTTTGCGGACTGTTCGTCCTCGGAGTTTCTCGCTAATGGCTTCCGCCTCCTTGCTTGTTTTTCCAATGAACATGACACCACTGGTCAGCCGGTCAAGCCTGTTACAGGGTAGGGGTTTGAAACTGAAGTGCCGCTCTGCTCTCATGATCTCAACGACCGAATTGTAATTGTATCGTCCTGCTGGATGAACTGGTACGCCAGCCGGCTTGTCGATCACGATCATGTTGTCTGTCTCGTGGATGACTCGAATGGGCTGGGCCGTCACCGGTGGCTCATGCCTGTGCAGGGTGTGAGAGACGACATCTCCATTCTGAACAATGGTGTGGACATCTTTACATGGCTTCCCATTGATCGCAATCTGCCCTGTCTCGATCGCAGTCTTGTAGTATTCGCGAGTCCGGTCGCGGAACTCAGCTGCGAAGATGTCGAGAATCTCCCGTCCCCGCCATCGTTGCTTGCAATAGGTGTTGTAGGTGAAATGGTAGGGAGCGACGCGGCGAAGGCCATTTTCGAGGTAATATGGCCGAGGCCAGGGGTCACAAGGTGTTGCAACAGTCGGCGGAGGTGGTGGAAGTTCTTTCCTATCGTCACAAAACGGTGCTGGTTTTATTGGCGCGGTGGTCAGGGCCATACTTGGGCTGGGATATCTGCCGCGGCTTGCCAAATAGGCAAGCACGCGTGGTGAGGGCGCCAGAGATGCGTCGAAGAAACGAGACAATGCGGAGAGGTCGCCGTCAGTGGTTCTCAAAAAGTCATCGTAAGCCAGGAACGCCTTTTTTTTTTTTTTTTTTTTTTTTTTTTTTGGTTTTACCGGCTGTGGTAGGGGGTGTTTCCGGGGCCGAGGTACCCGCTAGGAGCCTTCAAAGGCCATCGGAGATATTGGAAAGCGCGCCACTTTGAACTCAATCCTTCTTGTCCTGAGAATCGACTCTTGCTCAGAGCCCATTTCAGAGAATGTTGGGTTTGGATATAGCCTCGAAGCGGAAGAGGCAACTCAGCGACTATCCTTACCGATTAGACTACAGGACTCGATGGTTAGTCTCATCGTGTGACGGCAATGAGGATTGCTCTGATAATCATATAGGTCTGACAACGATGTCTACCATCACATGAACAACAGCATCTACTCCTTTTTGATTGACTCCATTGTCAATGCATACCTAATAGAGAAATGCGGCTTGGATCCTGCCCGCTCCAATCAAGTCGGCTTAGTTGTCAGCACGTATTGCGACTACTTTGGCTCTGTTGGATATCCGTCAGTGCTCGAATTGGGGTTAAGAGTCGTTAAATTGGGCAAATCGAGTGTCATGTATGAAGTGGGCATCTTTGAAAGAGGTCAAAATCAAGTGAAAGCCGTGGGAGGTTCCATCCACGTCTTCGTAGAATCGATAGGGCGACGACCATCCAAGGATGGAATGGACCCTCGAATGAGAGAGGGCCTGGCGCAGATTCTCGAGAAGGACACGCCAAAATTATAGCCGGAACCAGAGGGTTGTCTGAAGTGGTATCAATTCTTTTTTGAGTTTCCTGTATTGACCCCGAATGCTCCCTATCATGCTCTCAGCCCGGCGATCAGGCCGTAGCGACAACACTCCAGCCATTTTATTCACCATAATAATCATCCGGCATAATGCTACGGACCGCTCGCTGAAACATGTTTACCACATCCTCTCCCACCAAAACCACGACATCCTCCAAACTCTCCAGCTCATGACTCGGTGGTAATCTTGGCCTTGGGGTTGGTAACCTTGACACCCAGTGCCTTTGCCTTGGCCACGATTTCGATTCGTTTTCGGGAGGAAACAGCAGATGCGATTTCGGCGGCATAGGTTCGGTTGTGCATAAGGAGAAGTTCAACGTCACGGGGGTTGTGAACGAGGAAAGCCTTGTGACCAGAGGGCATCATGTGTCGAGTCTTCTTGTTTGACCCGAAACCAATCTGTAAATTCCTTCAATGTCAGCACGGCGTCCTGGGCGATTTCAAACTTCTCTCTGGGTTTCCCAATCCCAATCTCCAGCGTGTGCAGCAATCATTGACCGTAGGCTTGGAGGCTTGACGTACCGATGGCATGACCATCTGACCCTTGAACCGTCTGCGAACTCGGTTGTCGATACCCTTTGGCTTTCTCCATGCTGAAGGAACACATTTGAATGTGTCGGATTGGTGTCGGTGCCACTTCTTGGGATGCTTCTTGACGATTGCGACGTGCTTCTTTGCGGAGACCATCTGTGCGTGCGTGTCAGCTTTGTTGATAACAGTACTGAATCAGAAACTCCGACCTTGGCGGTGATGTGGTCTTAAACATCTGAAGCAATCTCAAGGATTCAAGTTTGTTCACAGCAGACGGGTCCGGGCTTGGGTGCGAATATTCGCTGCCAAGAGATGAATTTTGTGGGTGGGACGGGCAAGTTGGGTCAAACCGGATTTGGAATAGTCTGGAGCAGCAGTCCCTCTTCTAGAGATTCTACATTTCTGCCATCCCTAGCTGAGTTGCATCGACGAAATATTGCAGAATCACACCTCTTGGTGTTCTAGCATGATCGGAATCCCTCCCTGCTCTCCGCTTCGCAGCATGGCTTCGATCAACTCAAGATCAGCAAGAGCCTCCTCAGGAGACTGTCTGGGATTCGTCGTGCCGGCTGCCAGAGCTTCTCCCCATTTCCTGATTTCCGGAGGCACTCCAGTTTTCTCGTCCTCGATTTCTTCGGTCTTGTCATCTATTGTGACTTTGTTCCGGGTTAGGCTCACGAAGCCCTTGTCGCAGCCAACCGTCCACTCGCTGCCCTTGGCGGTTGTTCCAAAAGATATGGAGATCGTACCAATCGTTCCTTTCTTGCTCTTTGCTGTAGCCTCCACAGTATCCACTGGAGGGAGGTGTTCCTGGAGCTGGGCAGAGTGCGCTGATAGTGACACTAAAGGATTGTGTTTGCCCAACATGAGCCTGAGCCCTGCTACGAAATGGACTCCTCCATCCAGCAGGAAGCCGCCTTGATGCGTCGGAACTTTACGCCATCTATGCACTATCAGCTTTTTATCCTTAGAGAGAAGCGACGGCCTTACGAAGTCTCGAAGTACTTCCCGCCCTCGACTAGGGTTTGCATGCGACATCTAAAAGTCAGCTGGCGGCCCTTGGTCTGAACAGCGTCGGCTGCGTGGTCAAATGAATTCGTGTATCTGACATTCTCGGCAACGCCCCATGTCACATTTTTGCCCACCATCTCAGTCCGATACCATTTAATCAGAGCAACAGCATCTTTCACGTTCTCGGCAACAGGCTTTTCAGAAAGAACATGCTTGCCCGCCAGCAGTGCTTTCCGAATGTAGTCCGGTTGGTTTTTGATAGGTAAGGCAATGATGACTGCTTGAATGTCACTTCGCGCCAGTAGATCATCCAGTGACTTCCCAGCCCCAGAGTCATCAGAGTAGAGATCAACCTTGGATTCGTCTACCTCAAGCGATCGGGCGGATTTTACTGAACGAGAATAGACAGCCTTCAAAGCCAGGTCTTTTGCCGTCTCCACGGCCGGCTATTGATTTGTTAGTAGCGGGCCTCAGCATGGGCCCTTTTTCCACCCACTTTATGTTCCTCTCTGGCGAAAATACCTGCAAGTGCCATGAGTCATGATTGCATTCTCGGCCTCAGATAGACGGCATTACCTCCGCCCAGGATTGCAACTCCAATGGTCATGTTGGCGGCTGTGTTCAATTGCACTTCTACCTTCTGCGAGGTTCTGTAATTCTTAGTGGAAGGCGACTCGAGGAACAAGACTTGCGATCAATGAGATCATATCACGTATGGAGTAGCGTCGTGTTTTACCTCAATTAATGCGGGTTCAGAGTCCGCATTGGCTGACTCAAATCTCTAGCACGTGATAGAGATCTTTCGTCAGAACCCTAGCGACATCGTTCATATGGCGACGTCGAATTTCCAACAATGCACCAGGTAGTTACGAGCTCACGATCCACGACTCGCCGTGGGTGCCAGACCATGTCTCTCGCCTGCGGCGTAGGCGACAACATGGTCGCATCTCAAACCTTCCAGCTTTTGCAACATCTCCTTATTCTCCTTTTCTCCTCGCACTCGTTCTCCCTCATTAACGCCCATTGGATGAGCGTTTTGTAGAGTGGTCCGCTGTTGGTTTATCGGACTCACTCCTTTATCACTCCATTGCCATCTGGCTATAGCAGGATGCTCTTTCGCGGTGAACCTCGTTAATAGACGGTTATCTTCGAACTTAGCAACGATACGACGTTTGACTTATCTCAAGAGAGTGGCACTCGGGCACCTTTGCCAACAGCACTTCATACCACTACGCGAGAAAAGCATCATGCTTTGGGCATCCAAGTTGTCAAACAATTACCGATGTGTCTACTACCAAATGTGGACAGTCTGTTCTTTTACGCCAAAGGAATGGTAGCTTTTGGACACATATACTTTGCTTTTGAGGATTTTCTTAGGGCACATTTGGCCCTTGGTCAACTTGACCATGGTCTTTACGAGATTTACAAGCGAAATCACCTACCTTACCTCCTTAGGACGAGTCGATTGCAACCGGACATGAAGCTCCTAAAGCCAACGTGAGGCGCAATGGTGTTACCAAAGATCTTGATTTTCTGGCAGAGGAAGTCAAACCCTTCTCCCTGTGCCTCCTGATTTGGATGGGGGCATCTCAAAACTGCGTTCGATGATGGATTTTTGGTTGCAGTGTCTCTTCTGCGTGATAGTGAGAAAGATGATGTTATCGAAGAAATGAAACGATTGTTTAGAATGCGTTCTGAGATGATGCAGTTCCTAGATAAAATGACTACAACCGAACCCTCGACCATCGCTCTCGTTTCACCGACGGGAACGATCAATCCACTCATTCATGGTGTTATTGGGCCCGACTTCTCTAATCGCATCTACCTAGAATTGCAAAGCTTCGACTTATGCATCGCTAAGGATAACGGGCAGATCGGCGTGGGGATGCAAAGCGATTCAGGTTGACTGAGTGTGGACGGATGTCGTAAGTCTAGTCCTGCTCGCACACCCCAGGAAGTTTCTTTGCAATCTTGACAAATCTAATTCAGGACTGCAGAAGCACGGAAATTTGTGCTCAGCCTGTCATCTAAAATCCTGCCTGTTACTAATGGCGAAACAGGCCTCATCCAAGAGAAAGAATTTCCACTTCGGCTTGAGAGGCGAATCTACGATATAAAGCTCTCCAGACTATTTCATGAGGTCGTTTGCAATGAGTGACCCAAAAAGATCACATAATGTCGACCTACGGAGGAAGTCTTGAGAAGAGGTAATGTCGGTTTTCATGAGAGACTGTGAACCTGACCGGTGGATTCTTCCAGCGAAGTCGAGGAGCTGTGAACAAAATCAAAGCATGGATCGTTCAATAATGGTGACGCTCCACTGCTGGCTCATGCAGACCAGAAATGCACCTGACCATCATGTTGGAAAGACTCCTACATGATGATCTGTATGAACACCTTTTTGAGGGTTTGCAAAGCCAACATTGGTGGAGGGCATCATTGGGAGAAAAATGGTGGCCCCGTTTGGTACCTTTTTGCCCGGCCGCTCGACACGTGTTCGATCGTCAGCGGGAGGGCTCTCTCGGTGCGGTATTTTGCCCAAGCGCCTAAAGCATGCAGTTTCGAGATGGCAATTCGAAATGAAGGTGGCTAGGCGCCAGCGGCACTTTGAAGATGAAGATTTGGATCCATGACCCTTCTGGTCAGATACACTCCGCTAGGTATCTCGCCTCGTCGAAACAGCCTGATTAAAAGGCACCGTTGACGTTGTGATCTACTGCAGGGGTGGATTGATATGTTATGCCTCATGCAGCATGTGGCTGGCCCCTTTTTTGGGAGGGGGGAACATAAGCAAAGAGCATGTTTTAGCCGCCGTGGAGACACGGTAGCTTTCTGCTACATAACTCTGACGCTAGATTAAGAAGTAGAAGATGCTTGGGGTTGTTGTAAAGGAGAAGGCGCTCCCAACATTTCATCTGTGAAGTATAGGAACGATTACTTCCAGGGCATGGCGGAGTCCGTTCACTGTGTATGACTAGTCGCAAATATAACTCGAGATTCTTGGGCTCAACGGGTTCAAGCAAGTAATGCCTCAGCATGCGAGCATTCGAGGGTGGAACCATGAGCGCCATCGGTATCACTGTGGATCAGTTCTGGAACTCATTCCTCGTTCACGCGGAGCAGGCCGTTCTATTGAAGGACACCTTACTTGGGCGCTATGTCGCCTTCGAAGAATGAAACAACATCCTCGCATCGATATCGAAGTCAGGTTCCTGTGGAAAATCTAAGAGAAGGAAACAAATTCGCCACCATAGACCTTTCAGGGAAGGATGCAGAGGAAGCTCGAGTGTGACGAAGTGGTCAGATTCAACCTCGCTTAGCAGACAAAAAAAGGCCTCGGTTCGTTTCGAGTGCCCAATAAAGTTCATTGGTTGGTCTTAATAGGTGGACGCCAAAACTAATCTGCCCCTAGCGTGCTAGGCGTGGCCGTTTGAGCACCGAATTTTCCTCGCTATTACCATCAAAGCTTAGCAGATATATTGGATTCCGGGGGAGGTCTGTGCACGACGAACCGCTCGCCGAATCTCATGTTTCGGATTTCAAGGAGCTCACCTTCGTCGATGGCTCGCCCCAAAATGTCGATCCCGAAAGCAGATTGCAGAGGGTGTGATTTCGTTATTGTTGTTATGGTGCTTGAGGTCTTGAGCATGGGAAGCTGTTTATTGTGGCTCCAAGATGTATTGCGATGCTGGGCAATACCTCACTTGTGTGGGTTCGGTCGTGGAGTGAGGATAACAGGGACATTCTTGGGCAAGACCCCAATAAGAAATCAAAGCCCCGTGTTTGGGCGATCGCTCCTCGCATGTTCATCGGATGGTGAGAATTTATCCTTCCAACGTGGCGGTGATGATCTTCCATTCAATGCTCTCTTAGGATCAAGAGATGAAAATTGGTCGAGCTCGATCAGGAGTCAGGGTACCGGCGAATTTGACCACTCAAGGGCGGGAATTCTTCGCAAGCGAAGCATCGTGGCAGAACCAAAAGAACCGCTCGTGGTGGTGGTGGAGATGAACTGGACGAATTGGGATCACTTGGCGAGTATCCTTTTGGACAAGCGAGAAGCAGCCATTGACTGCACTTTCCAGCCATTGCTCCAGAACTCAAACTGACTCCTTGAGGTGATCCTTCAAGTCGGACCCTGATGGTTTCTTCTGCTTCAAAACGTAGATCTTTGCTGACACTCAGGGATCGAATTAGTTGCCTTTTATTCTTTTGCCGGGACGTCTTTGACGCAAAGAGCGGTCTGATCATTGATGCCCGCGGCACGAGCGACTTGAATGCATAGAGCTCCGTACCATGCTTCAATCAAGATGCGGCTGGCTCCTACGACTTCTTCGAGATCAACCTGATCCAAAGCATGCAAATATTTGAACAAGCTGGCATATGCAAAGGATCAAACATCCGTATGCACGTATTCTTTTAGTATTCAGCTCTTGCAGCAAACCGGCACCGCAAAGTCGAAAGTACCAAAATACGTATTTCGTATGTAGTTATCTTCTCGGAGAGGAGGGTTGTTTGGTTTGGCGTCAAAGCGACAAGTAGCCTGGGGCCACAACCGGGGATGAAAGAATTTGGGAGACATGATGTACCCAGTTGCGGATGGAGTTTGGGATCTTGTGGAGCCTAGAGGGCCGCCCGGCGTGGACTGGATATGATTGATTCGCGCCAGCGAGGAGATGGAACTCAGAGTGTGCCGAAAGCCGCCATGCCATCAATTGGTGGAAGCAAGTGGCTAAGGGAAAAAGGACAAGGATATGCGTCAAGCTAAGAAGGGGGGCACGGAACTGATGTCTGATGGAGCACTGAAGCTGCTTGCTGGCCTGTGCTCGCGCCATGGCTATTTGCAGGAAAGGCGGCCAAATCTGACAGAGATCGCGATTGCGAACGTCGTAACAATGCAGAGCGACGTTGAGCGATCTACATATCAGACTGGCGCGGATTTAGTATTCGGCACTCAATCTCGTGGTACTGGGACTGGTATCTGCTGTTTGCTGTCAGTTTTCGTTGTACAAAGTAAATTCAACGGGGAAGAAGACCAAGCGCTTTGCGCATGTCAAAGTGAGATGCCCGAGAGTGGTGAATGCTCCTTGCTCCCAGCAAGAGTAAAATTCAGGACGATTACGGAGTGAAGCCACCTGGACGACAATGGGGTGGACAGATTTGGTATGATTAAGAGAATGGACTGGACTTGGGAAAATGGCAGGATGCCAGTGTCATTGTCAAACGCAAATGAGTGGGCGTGAGGACAAATCCATCAACGCCCGCATCCACATGCCAAGCGACAATGCGGACGACGGTCGAGGAGAAGAGTGCCTGTGTAGGATAGGGAACTGGACTAATCATAGTAGTGTATCAGCAATGGGGAGTGATACTGGTAGCGTTTGGGCGACGTGCAGTAGATAGTATGAGTGGTAGGTACTCTTTTCTGCTAGTATTTGCTTAAGGCCCTTTGGTATTGCAGCACGATTAGCCTGAGTTTTTCTCCGCACGCCTGCAGGAGAAGACGTCTGCTAGCAGAACGCAGGAGATAGTAATTACTAGGCAACATGATGTACTGTGGTACCAAGGATTTGGAGGTGGTCTGCGTTGACCGTGATCCATGGTGCAATATCGGGTACTGTTGTCTGATGTCTGAATTGAGCTATCGTTGTAAACCACTGTAATTCAGAAGCAGGCCCGGCTTGATGCCACCATCAGCCCAACGTGCGCCGAAGGGCCCGTACCCCGGCCCTGGTACGTGCCATGTGCAGCAATGCCACTGCCAGACACCAAACTGCCATAGCAGGTCTCCCTCAGGCTATTATTGCTTTGGCTGCTAGGCGCTCCTCGTGTAGAGAGACGCATCCCAAGTCCAATCCAGCTCACTGGCACTGGCGGCACTGCGGCACGACAACCGACACTGACACAGCCCATCGGGACCCAACAACCAACACACCCGTCCCAAGCTACCAGGACTAGATATGATTTTCCACATGGGTCGGCCATCTGCTTAGGACTATCAACGACCATGCCCTCAGCCCATCATCCTAGTTACCGAGTCCATCCTTTTTGTTTGGCTGCTAAGTCTGCCAGCCATCCTTGCCGGCAAGCCTGTGCATCATCCCCAGCACCATGCAATGGATTCAACTTGTCCTCTCCCTGATCCTGATCCTTAACTGCCCTCATCGTTCAGGATCCATCGTTCCGACGTCCTAGCTTTGGCTTTTCTCCTCTTTTTCCCTACAGTATCTCCACCTCACCACCGCAACCATCTCCATTTCTATCTTGACAATCGCCTTTTCTCTGACCTTCTCTTGACCTTCGCTGCGTCTCGTTGATCCATCCTTCATTTCTTCCTCCTACACCTCCTTGCCACAGTGGCCATCAACAGTTCAAACCCTTCTGGCCGACTGGCCGATCCTCCACGTTCGAGGGACTTACCGGCAGCCCTCTTCAGGACCCCCGGGCATCGTCGATCTTCCCATTTCACAACATCGTCCGTGACCAAACAGCCGGCTCCGAGATACGACCCATCGGCTCACCTGGAACTTTTATCCGCCTCACCCAAATCTTCCACCTTTGCCTTCCTCGCTCTCTGACTCCGTTTACAAAACAAATCGCTACGCTCCTTCTCATTGTGTTGGCCCAAACAACTCTGTCGCCGCCCGCTTGCAAAGTCGATGGCCCGCGCGCTGGCGACAGGGATCTCGTTACCCGACAAGTAACATTCCAGTCCACTCCGCCGGAATTCCAACCACCAATTGACACCTGACAATTCATCACCACCCCCGATCCCCTGGGTCAGCCAACAACCAATAGCCCGCACCGTATAACCATCTGATCTTCCTTCTCGGGCCGTTTGTTGCCCTCCATCTTCTATGATCCTCTCCGTTATTAGGCCTTTCATTTACATACGCCAATGGAGACTGCAGAACCACCATCAGCAAGGAAGGAAAAGAAGGGTTTGAGAAGGGTCTGGAACAAAATCAGAGAAATATTCAAACACAAACCAACCACCTCCACAGCTCCATCTACTCAAGCAACTGCGCCAACCACATCTGTCGCCCCTCCCCCTACAGAGCCTGTGGCCACCTCAATACCGTCAGTATCAATCAAGCCTTCGTTATCCTCGCTAATTGTCAGTAGGGAACCGTCGACCGAGCAACCACCAAAGATCGAAGTAGACGACACGATTGAAGACTTTGCAGAACTTGTCGAGCCTTCTACGCACCTACCTCCAAAAGAGTCCGCTACCGCTGCTATAGAAACAACACAAGATCCGCGAAACGAATCACAAATGCGCTTCAACAAAGCCCAGGCAATCTTTGCTAAGTATAACCTTGAGCTAAGGGAATCCGAATGGGACATGAGGCCGAAAGTTCCATATGAAAGGGTGTCCAAGAATATTCGAATGAGGGTCAAATATACCTGCCATAACTGTTCCACCACTTTCGGCCATGACAGAGTCTGCATCGGTTGCCAACACCGTCGTTGTGCACAATGCTCACGGTATCCACCGAGAAAGGATCGGACGAAATCTTCTCAGAAGACACCCGCGCCTCCACCTGTCGAGTCTACAACTGAAGCACCCCGACCGAGTGGTGAAGGAGCATGCCATGAATGTCAGACGGGCTTCGAACTAGGTGCTCAAGAATGTCCTAATTGCTATCACCAAATATGTGAGAGGTGTCTCCAGGAAGCCACAATTACCGTCGAAAATACTCCCGGCAGACCGGCAGAACAGAAACCGATTCAAGAATCGGCTCAGGAGGGATCAACCACCACGATCTAGCGTCATCCTCGACATGGACGGCTTGGTTTATTCGGCCCAACTCAGCATACTCTTCGGCTTCCGACTTTTTTTTTTTTTTTCCAAATTCATTTTAAGCATTTCTATGATGCGATGACGACCATTCCCACTTTACGAATTGCTTTTCTTGAATCTGAGCGTTCCCGTCCTAATCTCCATATGGTGGCGTCATGGGGTGTTCGTTTAAAACCCTTTCATTGAGTATTGAAAGGGTTTGGGAGTCATGTGCGAAAAGCGAGAGTTTTCCTCTAAATTTTGGGATTTCCTTGGGTCACGGTTCATATTCTCTCCCTTTTTGGAAGAAGACGAAGAAGAGATTGATTTAACAGCGGACTGGGAAAGGGAAGGGCAAAGGGGGAAGAGTAAGGTCTTTGGAAGGACATGGAAAAGGATACCAGGGTAAGCCCCGGAAGTGACACAAGAGCTAGAGTTGGAAGGAAATATCAAGAAACCAAGGACAGACGGACTCCAAAATTTTTTTTTTTCCGGGAAATGAGGACGTGAACAGATCGAAAACAACCAGTTTCTTCACTCCTAACTACCATCTTTTTTCTATTGTGCGTCCCAATTGTGCTGCTGATGTTTGATTTGTGCAGAAATTTACTTCTCGAGGCCACGCTTTCTATAGAAAAAGTTTGCCGGGCTCACATCGTTCATCGCTCAACTACGATTCTTATCCTTCAGAATCACTCAAACTTACAATGTTACTGCTGCTGACGGACAAAATGGGACAGATAATTCGGATCACAATCATACCTACACAGAATTTCAAATGGACACAGCATTTCATCTTCACAGCCTCGTCAGAGAACAGAACAATCGGGTTGAACCCATCATTCCATCACATCCGTCTCAACCTAGGTCTTCTCTTCTGTCGAAATGCTCGACTCTCTTGGTCGAGTTGTACGTTTCTAGGCGAAAAACTATCTCCTGACTGCTGCTCTATTCATTCTCCCTCCCCTCCTTCCGGGGAGCCTCCCGCCTTTCCGGTCTCGCCTTCCGAAGCATATTTTTAGTCTCGATCTGAACAAGGATAACGATATGGCCGACAGATCGGGACCTGGACTACACGGGTGTGGATACGAATGTGGATTAGGATGTGGATGTGGTTTCTCGTCTGTTTCAACTTGCACGGATGGGGGTCGCAGCCAGAGCTTAGAACCACACGGCTCGGGGAAGAGGAAGGAGCGGGGAATGGCAACTAGGCTTGTGCCTACCAAGGGAAGGAAAAATGGATGCAGAAGATACGGATGGATATGGATGGATGAGTAGGACACTACTGACCCCTATAGCTGGGCTGTGGCTGGTCGGCGACTCTTGACTCTTGCCTGCGACGTCGCATGACGAAGGAGCACGGCAAGCAACTAGTCCTATAGTATCTACTGGGCATTGACAGAGCGTTTGTCCAAGTTGGGATATCCATGAGGTAGAGGAAGGCTCGTAGTTCATGGATCCAAAGGCTTTCAACTGCCAGGTGACCCTAGGTAATACATGAAGAGGAGATGATTAAAATCGTGAGAAGGTCTCGACGTCTTGCATTTGGTGGTCTTGAGGTTGGATGGGATACGTTGTGGAATGGCCTGAGGGTATTGTGGGGACGCTCGAGGGTCCACGGTATAGATAGTATGGGTCTGGCCAGGCATGATCTCCGAATTATATACCAGTACGTACTGGTATTAAACTTACTCTCTACCAGATAGAGGACACAGCCCAGCCTCTTGTCTCCTCTACAGCGAACCAAAACAGCGGAGAAAATATGCAGGACGGCGACCAGTCAAAGACCATGATCCAGGAAATGAGAAGCTCCAACTCTGGAAGTTAGTGATATCAATTTGCTACGCTGTGGAGTGTGAGTATATGGTATGGAGTGGGATGATGCTATGTCCCGTGTGTCGTTGGCTGTGATATAGTGGCTTGTAAGCTGGCTAGGAGAATATCGATCATCAGCCAGGATCGATCCGTCTCGGAACTCTTTGAAACGGAGGAAGAGGTCTCGCGCACTCGTTGTATCCATTTGCGACTCGTGAGACTCAATCGAACAAGCTCAAACTTACGAGAAAATCCTGGTGTGGGTGCCATAAGCAATTTCTGCCTGAACGATTCTGTTCAGGTACCAAGGCATTCCGACCGAAGCAGGATCGACGGACCATGGAGATCCGTAAGATGGAATCAAGGCTGAAACCCTTGAATCCTGTCTGATGTGCGGCCACGCGTTTTTGGTGTGTGAATACGAGCACGTTTTTCCCTTTCTGTCCCTTTCCACGAGCAAGGGGGCCCGAAAGAAATCACGTCAGCCTGAAAGGCTGGTTGAACTGGTACCTTACTTTAATGATCCTCCCGAAGCGGTCGGTATGCAACAGAATTATCTCGTAACGCAGTTCCGTAGAGCGATGGGTGGATGAGGTCGTGGGCATGACCGGGAAAGGAGTTTGCCTTAAAAACTTCCGCGCCTACAGGTACGAACCTTGTTCCCCTCTGTCGCGGATGTACCGGTGAGATATGGGTTGTATTACCGGCATCCCCGACTTGACATGCTAAGAGTCCCTCCGGTCGCTGTTCTCTAGTCAGCGTAAGTGTGCCATTTCAGTAGACGGGATGGAGTAAAATGATGGAAAAGACAGGCAAATATGGAATCCTTCAGGCTGGGCCAGTTCGAAGTTCCGGACAGAATTGCCTTTGAAAGCCTGGATGGATGATTCCCCCCCCCTGAACTTGACTCGAGCCAAGCTTGCTCATCCCACGCCTCAGAAGATCCAGTCTACTGTAGAAACGAGTGGGAGGGCAAAATGACGCCTTTCCTCGAATTGCATTTGTCGACCTCGAAGGGCTTGGAGACGGGTAGGTAGCGAAGGCTTGGTTAGGACTTGCGTTTACCGAGATATTATCGCCCGGCAGTTGAGTGACTATTCTGGGTGCCGGTGACAATCGGATGTAGCTATCTGTCCAACGTGATTTTCGAAATTACTGAGAAATGTGAAGTGGCATGATCTTTGGGGACCTAGCACAGTCGCACCATTACCTGTTGTCGCTAAAAGTCTTTCAAAGGCGTGGATTCGGGATCAAGCGGACCACTATCCGATCACTGCTCATGAGATACTATCTATGTTGGACATGTTGGACCCTCACTAGCTTCCATGAAAGATCAGCTGGATAGTGGACACCACAGATTGTTGTTTCAAGTGACTTGACTCGAACCTGAATCGTACTGAATCGTCACCGAGTCCAGCCTCTAGCTACCTATAAGCGAAATGACTCTGCACGGTGAAAATACTGGGACAGGATGTGACCGATAGGAAAAGTGGGGATGCTCCAGCTAGGTGGGCAGTGTATTTGAAACAGAGTAGAGATCAGGCTGAGGAGGCCAACATTGAGACATGAAGCAACCATGTCTCTGGGATCATGGATTAGTCGTGAGAACGGGGTGTATAGCCTCTATATCCAAGATATGGATCCCGAGGGCACGGAACGGGACGAAGAAAGTGGCCGTTGAAAGCCGTTTTGAGAGCCTATATCGCGATATAGTTTTGTTCTGCATTCTTTCCCCTTTCCCAGTGGCTGGCGGAATCTTCTTCTGGTGGTCCAGACTGAAAATGACCGATATTGAAGGGAATCGCAAGGCGAGTCATTGGGAACTCGCGTATCCTGGTTGATAGTCTAATATGACTCTCTACCCTGGGCGAACGTGGTAAGTGAAGACCATAGGCTTGAGAAGGTGTGGGGTTTGAATCTGGTTGCATTTCCGTCTGGCGGTTGGGAGTCAAGAGACTCCTAAATTTTCCGCAACCAAGTGGGTCAGGATTTCGGGGTAGCAGTGGAACTTTGTGAGGATGGGCGGATTGGAGATCAAACAGTTATCAGCTTATCGTGATGAAGATCATGGTGTCGTGGAGTACGATGATTCGGTGGGTGTTGTCAATTTTGTCTGCCCCTCTTAGATGCCGCTTTCCGGTGTCCCGAGGCGTCGGTCGGCAATGGTTTCCCCTCTCCAGAATTAGCTTGATTTTAAGGTTCAACGGCCCTCGCGGACCGAACCTTCCGCCGACCGCCCAAACCACGCCCACCTGGGCACCATTGGCAGCCCACATTCTAGGCTGCAGCTAATTTTGTTTAACTAGAATGGCGACCACAAGCGCCGACCCTGCTTGAGTTCCGGTCATCATTCAAACTGAATTTGGCGGTTATAATTAACACTTGCCGGTGACTGATGGTACAGAGTACCATGCCCCATCTATCTGAGAAGAGTTCATACCGGCCTTTTCCTGCGAGAAATATCACTTGATATTGATCATTTTTACTAGATCACGGCAGAGGACCGTTTTACGTGGCCTATTCCCCTTGATTTGTCACCACTACGTGTTACAGAATTTATCAGACCAATTTGATACTCCTGCAACTCGATGACGAATTGCCCATCCCTTCGAAGCTTGTCAGGGTCACGATGGTCCGGACATAAGCCTACAAGACAAAATGCCTGCTATCCACGTTGGCACATATATCCTCCCTATGATTTGGCGTCATGTCGGTTCAATGGTACAGGGTCAGCGAATATGTCGGTGCTCGCAGTCACCATGATTCCAGGCTACTCCCAGAAATTCCGAATTTGATGGCTCTGCTCGAGTTCGCGCACTTGGACACTCTGGTTGTCGATAACAATACCCTTTTTACAACCATATAGACTTCAAACAGGGAACACCGAGTGTCTACACATCCTCATGGTGAGTAGTACGTGATCCGCAACCTGTCTCAACATTTATGCCTCGGACCACCCGTTTGCCTGTCCTTCTTTGACAAGGAGCTAAAGCGCTCTTTTCACGGACATGGGACCGCTGGTTTTACCTTCGCGACTTGATTGAAAATGAGTTTCCAAGGAATGAGCGTCGAGTTGATTGCGTTCGGCCATGTCCTAATTCAGGTGCAACAGCTATTCTACGGGAGGCAACAACGACCAAACAGAAAGTTGCAAGAATTGGTGTCGTGCTCGTGATATTCATCAGCATTAGAATATCAACCGTGGCCGTGTATGATTGTGATCGAATGCTTGCTGATCCCGGACACTATTTCCTCCTAGAGACTATTGACGTATGTACATCCGATGCAACCATGATACGAGAAAGCCCTTTTCCTGGAGATCCGCCCCCTTCTGATGTACCAGATCTTCGCAATCGCACATTCGGCGCTGCCCACAACATACCCTTTGGCTGTAAGCGGTCATGCCATCTGGTATGCGTGGCAAACAACAGTCAGAAGAGTACTCCTAGCCAACATGCCTCGATCAGAAGGGAAGTAGTACCTACATATAACTACATGGGACATCAAAACTTTTCTCAGACGTGAAAGGAATAGAGCTAGGCACAATCTGTGGGATCAAGAATGTATTTTGCTTTCTTTCTCATCTGCAGCCCAACTAGCTCATCAAGCCCCTTCTCAGCTGCTTTTCATCCTCTTCACTTTCCTCCTCAGTCTCCTCTTCCTCACTCTCTTCCTCATCGGTTTCCTCGCTTTCTGTCTCTTCCTCGGTTTCCTCTTCTTCCTCCTCACTCTCTGCCAGCCAGTCGTCCAAAGTCCTGGGTTTTGCATTCACTTTCGTCGATCGCGCAGCCACAACCTTCTCCAACCCTTGCTCTTTAACCGCCTCATCAAGTCTCCGGCTAGCTGCTACCGTTGTAGCTTTTCTTGGGCTTATTGGCACATACTCGTCTTTCTCGCCACCGTCCATGGCATCTCGAAGTTTTGGGTCCGGTTCGTGGTCTTCTTCCACCCAGTCAGGCAGTTCCTGATAGCCGGGAAGCCCGAGCATGCCGACGACGTCTTTCCCAAGGACGAGGGTGGTGCTGCCGAGCATCAAACCCTTCCGACTCTCAGAAGGAGAGGGTGGGTGAGGGACTGGTTTGGGTGCCAAGAGGAGGAGAGCTGCAAGCTGCGTGGATCTAGGGTCGGCGAGGAGAGCTTTGAATAATCGAGCTCGGTCGCGAAGGTCGTATGAGGTATCGTAGCGAGCGAGGAGTTGAATGTGGTTCCATAATTTGACGATTGGATGGGCCAGAGCGACCGCGCTATGAGAGGTCTCTGCACCATTGTCTTGCGATGCTGCAGCGTCGGTCCTCTCGCTTTGTGAGTCGGTAAACTGCTGCTGCAAAAACAATAGGTAAACTTTGGCAGCCAGCAAAATGATCTGTTGCTTCGCAGACTCGCTTTCATCTGCAAATCCTTTAGTCAAGATCCGTAAGACATCTGGGGCGATGTTGTTATCTGGGTCAAGACTGGCGAATTCTCCCACAAGCCAAATGATTGTTGCTCGGGCATCTGGACTTGTCGTTCTGTCCAGATTCCTCGCTAACCGGACGACGGTTTTCCGATGGGAAGTAGGATCCTGCTGGATGAGATGGCGCATGACTGTAAGCACCTCTGACACCAGAACGTTGTCAAAGCTGGAGATTTGATTAAGAAGGACCTGGAAGCACCAATGCGCATTCTTCGGATCGGATTGTGCGCAACGTCCAATGGCCCGGACCGACTCACGGATGAGTTCGATATCTGAGCTGTGAGAGAAATGCCCAAGTTCATTTAAAATAATAGACTTGAGATGTAATGCCGCATGAGGAAAGATAAGCGTGAGAAGCTCAATTTTCAGCTTCCATATCTGCGGCGAATCTTGTGTTCGGAGGAGGAAATGTGATGCGTAGGGCACAAAAAGCTCGGGCGCTGATAATGAGACCAACACAATATTGCATAATGCTACTTCTTCCACTTCTGAGGGTCCGCGCATAAGTCCAACTAGTGGTCCAACAGCTTCTTGGAGATATTCAGGTGCGCCCAGATACAGAAAACAACTGGCGACAGAGTTGATAACGGCTGAACTTCGACTCCGGAGTAAAGGTCTACAGGCGTTGAGGAAGAGTTCCAAATCAGGGTCCAAGATCTGGACCGCTTCGTCTGTCTCAACAACCGCATCGGATTCGTCTTCATAGAATCCCTTTTTGTTGGCTTTGGTAACCCTGTGAGTCTTCCGAGGAAAACAACGTCGGCCGTAGAAGAGTAGAAGCTTCAGCGTTGCAAGTTGGCTCCACTCATCCATATCGACGAGCTTCTTTACCAGACTTCGGTAGTGTTTATGAATAAGATCGATTCGTTCAGGACATATTTCCAGGAATGCCTGAACAGCAGGGCCAACAACGAAGTATTGCTTGTCGCTTAATAGCGTGGATAGGTAGTCGAGCAGTTGTGGAAGAGTGTTGGGGTCAAGATTGTAACACTTTGGAATGGCCAGGGCAGCGGCTTTTCGAACATGGGGGCTCATGTCGCCCACGCCTCGTTTGATGGCCAAAGAGACAATCTGACTGATAACCGGGACTCTCATTCCCGACATCGTGCGTAGAGCAAGAGCTCGAACCTGGGGATTTTGATCGGTCAGAGACTTTTGAATTGCATTAACCGAGAGCAGAGCCAGGTCTGGATCGGATTCGGCATAGTGGAGGAGATAGATGTAGACGAGTTTCTTGACCTCGAGGTTTGGATTTGCGACATTTTTGACGACTGACGAGAAATAGGGGAGACAAGGTTTATTTTGAAACATCATCTGGACCATATCAGCCTTCAAGATGCACTATTGAAAAGAGAGAGATAGAAGACGCACAGATGTCACTTTCTTCAAACCTTCTAGGATATCGCGATCATTCCTGCTGTCTAGGAGAGCTTTGAGCTTCGCAAATGGAATGTTCCGGGAAGACGATCCGCCCCCTTTGAGCGATTTGGATAGGCTCATAGCCTGAGCTGCTTCCACCGTTAGTTCTCGTGCTTGAGTGGGATCAGCATATTGAAGCTAGGCCGGATTCATTCTGACTCACCCGGGTCCATCAAAGACGAGATGCGAGAGACCGACTCCATGGTGGTGTGTCTCTCACCGGCTTTTGTATAAACATACTGTGGCTGTGCCACGTAAATGAAAGTTGTCCAAGTTTCTGGAAGTCGATGCCTCTGTGCCAAAATGGGCAAATTCCACTAGTCCGGATCAGGAGTTGGGCTAGACAGAAACTTTTCTCCGCCATCATCAGATAGACAGAGCCACTCTGTCGCTTGAATCAGGCGAAAGACCGTGTGGATATCTGTGAAACGACCTGTTTCCCCTCTTAGTCTGTCGGACAAGGATGGCCAACGCCCTCGAGCACGTCCCGCGGTCGATCTTCTCTTCATGAACTACATCACAACACAGTATGCCCATGCACTCGAACTACTCGAAGACCTCGTGAAACAAGATCCTCCAGTTCAAACAGATCTGGTAGTATGTTCGACAAAGGAGGAATTCCTTACTCAAATCCTTCCCCTACTCCATGCGCAGAGCGATGAATTGAGACAGCCATCACGTCATCCTGAGGATGGAGACGGCAGCGAGACAGACGAGACAAGACCGTCGGGCGCTGGCCATATCTTTTTAGCCCAACCCCTACATCTCTTGCATGCAAGTCGATTCATCAAGCTGGTCTTCACTCCAACAATCACAGCCCTTCACGGGTACCTTGCTGTCCATAAGCCGAAACCAGCCTCTTTCTACCCGACCTCCTCTTCATCGGACGGCCAGCTCGTGATCCTTAATCTTTTGAACCTCCACCATGGCACATCGGAGTTCACTTTGCAAGGTCTGTCCCAGACCTTCGCTACCGCCGTCTCTGCTGCTCATAGGACAAATCAACAACTCAGGCTCGTCGAATGCAGAGATATTAGCGATCCTTCGAATCCCAACCGTGGGTCAGCATTGTGGCGGGCCGAAGTTCCCCTGCTTAATGCATCCATCAAAATAGGAGACGGGGGAGCAGCTTGGGGTCGTCGTACAATTTCTGCGATGAAGGTTGCCTCGAGATGGTTTAACGTCCAAAGACGTATTCAACGAGATAAAGAAAGCGAAGACATCTCATACTGCCATGAGATTGCTGACTCGGAAGATGAAATGCTGATTTGAGTAAAAAAAAAAAAAAAAAAAAAATATATGTTTTGTTCACCTGTGCGAAACCGGCAACCCAGCCAATACCACAATACCAGTTTCTCGTTCCAACGCCTTCGGGTATCTTTGATCAAACCTGCCAACTCCGTCATGCACTCGTGACAAGCCGTTGTCATCTCTATATACTTTGCTCCATTTCTGTGATATACAACTTGATATGCGACTCCAGTTTCAGGTATTCCTCGTGGGCCGAGTGGACTTCATTTTCAATGTTGTCCTTGAGGTCAGCCATCTGCAAAGCGTTAGCATGGTCATTTTGATGGCTCACATGGGCTGTTGGGATTCTTAACCTTTTTCTCTGTCTGCTCAATCCTCACTCTCCTTCTCTCCATTTCTCGACCTTTTTCAGCTCTCTCGTCTCGAAGCTGCTTTTGTACGTCCCGTAATTCGTCCATTTTTGCTTTGTTGGCTTCATCTCGCTCCTTATGCTTCCGCCGTAATTCTTCTGTCCGTTCTTCCCACTTTTTGAGCTGTCGTTGAAGGAGTTTCTCATTCTGCTCCACTTCACGAACATTGTTGCCACGCTCTGCAAGAGCATCTCGATTCTTTGCTGCCCGTGCATCTTCCTCTTCCTCTTTCTGAAGTTCCACGGCAATCTCCTCGAGGACTTTGACACAGGCCTGCACATCATTTTGAACCACCGTGAAACTATCACTGGAAGTTTGGAGAGCACGAGTCCTGCGCTCCAAGAGATCAATCTGGCTCTTTTCACGGGATAGGTTTTCGGACAGCTCTGTCAAGGCATTCTGCAGAGCAGCAGGGCTCTGCAGCACGTATGGCCTTAGCTTCTCGCTTTCTTGTCGTGTTCGTACAAGCCTTTCGGTCTTGTCCTCCAGGATTGCTTGCGACCGAGACTTTTCGGCCTTTGCTCGCTCAAGCTGCTCCGCAACTCTTTCCTGTCCCTTACGCAGTTCGAGCAAGCGGGCCTTCAATTCATCGTTCCTTCGCATCTTCTCTTTGACAGCCACTTCCATTGCTTTCCTGTTGCGTTTCATCTCTTCTAATCTCTGTTCCATGTCCTGATTCTCCGCATACAAAGTCTCGATTCGGGTCTTTGTGCTTTCTGCCTTGTTGAAGTTCTCATCTATTACGCTCGTATGTGTTTCTCGGAATCGGACAAAATTGATGGTGTATGAGAAGATCTTGACCAGACGATCGTGAGTGGGTCGGACGAGGTCATTGAACGAAAAATCGTTGATCCCGCATTGCTCCAGCATAGTTCGCAGCTGAACAAAGAAACCCATAAGAAGTCTTGTTTCGGTAGGAACTAGCTCATGAAATTCGGCGCAGATATCTTCGGCCGCAGCACGCATGGCAGGGTCTATGGAATCTCTAGTCGCATTCATGACAAGTTCGCCGAGATGTTCGAAGACCATTTGGATGACTTGAGGATTAGGTTTCATAAGGTCGGAGGGCTGAAATGGGATTCCCATTTCACTGATACATGATGCGATTTCTTTTTCGGACTATGGTCACTATCAGCAAACATGCCAGCGGGAGGGTTGCCGAAGACAAACCAGTCGCATGAAATCAGTAGGGTCTTCCTCCTTCTTCTTGGCCCGCACTTGCTGTTGTTGCGACGCGCGATATTGCTGGCTCATTTTCACGGCTGAAGTCGAGACTAGAAGTGATTGATAATTGGAGTTGATGTGGACAGAGTAGAATACTGCAAGCTATGCGCTGAGAATCAGCACGTAAACAAAAGTCCGGAAAGGGGAAGAGTTGCCAAGCGCCAAGCGACGAGGCTCTTGAGCCGTGAACTCCATCAAAGTCATCCTCCAGTTTTCTTGATCACTAACACCCAGTTTAATTTTGCACGCCAGTCAATTCTGGCTTGCGTGACTGATTACAAGAATGCGTATATGCTATGGCATCGGGTAAGTCATTCGGCCTCGCCTCTATCGACTGGCCGGCCCCTTTCATTCCACGTGACACAACGTGCAATTTTGCAATGCTTACTAGGATATGGGCCCACATGAGCATCTTTGCAGACTTCAAAAAGTCCTCTACTGACTGTCTATCCAGAATCATCATTAAGTGCACCACCCGCCACTCCCAAACCTTCCATCACAGTTGATCAATCTCCCTCGACCAACTTCGACATCGTCGCCTTCTACAATGACCTTATTCGCACCGACCCCACAATCACGCCGCCCATCGCGGCCATTGAATCACTCATCTCCCTCCTAGCAACCACACCATTAAACACCATCTCCGAAACCCTCGCCCTCCTATCCACACAATCCAGCAAACTCCTCGCCTCCCAACACAACCCAATTCCTGTATCTGCCGGCACAGAACTCTTCCAGAGATATCTAGTTAGTTCGTTCCAACAACGGCCTTCCTCACTCGCCAACTCCGACTTCAGTGCCCTCCGCCACGCCATCATCACAAACTCCTCCCTTTTTGTCCGACGCGCGAACGATGCCCGCCTGAAAATCGCTCACCATGCCCTTCCATTTATAAAGGATGACTCCATCGTCATCACCTACGGCTATAGTCGCGTGGTACAAGCCTTGCTCACCCAGGCCGCCAAGTCCAATCGCTTTTTCAACGTCATCTACATCCTTCCTTCGACGGGTCTGTCAGACACGCTCTCAAAATCCATCTCATCGCTCCGTAAACTCTCCATCCCAACGACCACGATCTCCTTACGAGCGCTGACGTATGCATTGGCATCTCTATCAGCGTCCTCTCCACCACCCCAATTCATCATCGGCGCAACAGCCGTGTTGGAAAATGGATCCATCATCACTGAACTTGGCGCGCGTCAAATCGGGCTGACGGCCAAATCTGTCTCCATCCCCTTATATGTTGCTGTGGAATCGTACAAGTTCGTCCGTAACTTCCCTCTAGGTTACGGTCCCGGAGATCTGGCGCGTATGGGCGTGAAACAAGACATTTTGCGATTCAGCACCAACCCTAGCTCTCCGGAGTCAGAAACCATGGACGGGAAACAACTCGCGGCCGAAGGCGAGATGGTCGAAATTTCGCCTCCGGACTTGGTTTCGGCTCTTATTACTGAGAATGGGATCATGAGTCCCAACGCCGTGAGTGAAGAGTTGATTAAATTATGGTTCTAAGCTGGTGAATTGAGAGATTTCCGGCAAGGCACGCGAAAATTTACGTATCCCTCTTGAATCTGTGATTGATTCAGCAGCGAGCCTGGCTGCTGCCCCAAAAAACCGAGGGCGTGAGCTGGCCAAGGAGAAGAAAGATGCCACAGCCGAGTCAAACAGTTCAACTCACTTCATTCTAGAAGGGATCGTAAGGACATGACCGAATCAAGCATGGAGTAATCATAGCTGGCAAAGTACTTGCGCTGACCGATGACAACCACATTGGAATGGAATTGAAGTGTATAGAAAGAGGATGGACTAGATACGATAGCGTGAAATTTTACTAATCATAGTCTGGGGATGGAGGTGGTGAAAAAAATGATCGTGATCGAGATGAGTGTGGGACATCTCATCAATGATATTGAGGACGAGGTAGTGTGACCAGTAATTCATATCCTCCCGCGGGGTACGAAGAGGAAAGCATTGTTGGCACAACCTCTTTGCAGCCTGTTATACACCTCTGCTTGACAAGCTCAATCTGCCCATGTTGTGAAATCAAAGCTGTTCGTGATCCACAGCATAATGATCCTTCCACATGAGAAGTATAACGTGATATATATATCCTAGGCTCATAGGTACCCTGGGGATGCCGAGAAATTTCCTTTGCCTTGAATTGCCTAGAACGAAAAATGACCGCCAGCGCCATGCTGTGTATTCATTTTGAACCCAGCCTCCTGTTTTCATCACTTGTTTTTGCACCAAGTCTCATAAACCTTGAATCCTCGCCTTTTCGTATCGTCATGTCAGCTCGTCAATTTCACGTTCTTTTGCACGTAACTCTGCCCTCATCACCTCAGCTTCACGCATGAGTTGTGCACGACGTTCAGCACGCCAAGCCTCGCGATCTCGCCCTGCATTTGTCGCATTTGCAGGCGTCTCTTTCTGTTGTTGCACGGCGGTATCTTGTTCTCGCCGCCGACGAGCGGAGTCCACCAATGCCGGGTCAAGTTGTATGCCTTCTGCTGCTGCCGCAGCGAGCTGCAATTGAACAGTGTAGTCTTCCCCGGTCCTTGTTGTGCTACGCGGTCCGTCACTCGCCGAGGACTCCGGGACATATCCCGTATAATCCACCATTGGGGGTGGTCGCCTCCTCTTGGGAGCAGGTGTATTGTCAGCAGACTCTTGTTGACCTACTTGGTAAGGAGAGACGGGTTCTGGAGAAGTCGACACATTCTGTTGAGACACGTTGGCATCCGGCCTAGGAGCGTCTGGATAGGCTGGTACGACACGCTTCCGTCTCTTGATAGTAGATTTTTTCATCTGCACGGGTCGGAGCGACCCATGCAATTTATGGTACAAGCCGCAGGCATTGCAGATAGGATGGCCTTGCTCGTCCCTTCGCCAGAGAGGAGTCACAGTGGTTCCACAATTCTTGCATGCCACAACTAAAGATATGTCGCTAGGGGCTGGCTGAGGCCGAGGCGCACTGACGGGAGCGGACGGGCTGGTGGCGGAGCCAGCATTACTCTGTGTATCACTTTCTCCGTTGTCTGGCGGAGGATTCACGACAAAAGAAGTGTTGGTGGTCCTGGAAACTCTGTTGTTATATGCAGGACACCCGCCACACCCTTCCGCGCCACCCGCTCCATTGCAGTTTCCTCCGCCTGGGCAGGAACCTGGGGTGTGCTCTGGAACTCGGTAAGGTATGCTCGACGGTGGGTTTTGCGCTGGCGTCTGTGTGACGGATGCTGGCGGTGATATCCCTATTCTCTGGGGTGTAGTTTCAGCAGACGCGGTTGAATTGGGACGCTTGAAGTTTGTGGGTCTGGGGTGGTTGCGAGTCTTTTGGTAAAGACCACAAGCATTGCATATTGTCGTCCCTGTTGGAGACCTTCGCCAAAGAGGAGTCTTCGTGGTGTTACAATTACTACACACAAAGTTAGCGCAAATCATTCGTGCCAGAGGGAATAGGAACGCCAGGCTCATCAAGGGAAGAAGTATTGCGTTTGGGGTCGCATACCTGCAAACTTGACCCAGTCCACTACTATCCTCTCTGTGTTCAGGAAGTTCACTTGACGGGCGAGGGGCATCTTGAGTTCCTGGTTGGGGGCTGACGTGGTCGAGATGACTTTTTTCGGTGGCAGCGTCGCTCACATGGCCTTCGTGAGTAATATGGGGCTTGGGACGCTCTCCACGGGCAGAAGATACAAGTTGATGCGCAGCGTCGAGATCTTCGGCGGATGGTTGACGCATCAGACTTTCTCGATTCGAACCAAATGAGGCAGAACGTTGCAAAGCGTCCATAGCACCTCGTACGGCCAACATGCCGACTCAACTCTTGGGGGCCTTGTTAGCTTAACCCAAGTCCCATCCAGGCTACAAGCCAAAAAAAATCTTGTTGATGTCGTATGTCCAGAAGAGTCGCGAGGTATTTTTTTTTTTTTTTTTTGAGATGCTGCTGAAGGCGCAATCAGCAAATCTGAATGTCTCTCCAGAACCACCCGAACCACCTATTCGAGGAACAAGTCTTCGCTTGGCAAGTGTAGGCAAACAGGAAAGCGATGACCGTGACAAGTGATGGGCTGATCTCGGGGGGAGGAACTTCAAGACAAATATGGCAGAAGACGAGACTGCAGTGGTCCTGGGAGGAAGAGAGATAGTTCGAGGGGATTTTTTCAGTGGCAGAAAGAGTAGGAATTGAGTGACGGGAAGGGAGTCGTGAGAGGAGAGGAGTGACGGCACAACCAACGAGGCGTGAGGCCGCGCCGGGCCACACTGCTGGAGCATAATCTCAAACATCCTGCTCCTAATTGGCCAAGGGTCCTTTTGGCAGCGGAAAGGAAGATCACGTATGTTATTCATCACGTGCATTATCTTGGCTCGGGAGTACAGTTGGGGCCACATCCAGAGAGTATTTTTGACTCTGTACTACAATGGTGAGAGCTTGAAGTAGATGGTCATCTTTTTTCGAAAACTCATCCATGAGAGACAGTTTAATTGGGAAATTGTCGTCCCTGGGCTTCCGCCAATCGCCCTCATACCTGATACGTTGACCTGCTTCCTTGAAGCTCAAGAAACCAAAACACTAGATGTACCATTGACAATGCTAGATGATATATTTCATCCCATTCCACACCTTGGTTTTGACGCCATTTAGGACCTCCTTCCCCACTTTCGACGACCTGGCTCATGCACTGCACGAGAAGCCAGAACTTGACCTTCGCTGCCGGACAGTTTGTTGCTCCATGACAGGAGGATGACAATTGAATTATTCGGGGTAACCGAGTATTCTCTTCCATTACGGCCATAAACCTGGATCCGGGGGCTTTAAACCTGTTCAGCGCCCCAACCGGCATCAGCGTCCCTCATATTGGAGGGAGGTTCGATCGACGGGGCGAATTCAAGGCAGCAATAGCCTACACCAACAAGGCCAACGATGGAGCCGGCGATAATTCGCAACACATGTCCCTGGAGAATAATGCAGCCCACGAAGATGTAAACTGTATTGTGTTAGATCTTATCCGACAGAGTCTGATCAGGGATACTAACAGATGCCGCGACCGAGGAATGAGAAGAGGAAGCTGGCGTATCGAGGTAGATATGGCGGAACTTGAGGAAGCAATTCAAGACCGGCGACAGCTTTTCCAATGGTCAGCATCCTTCAACAAAAGCTCGTATGTGGTCGTTCTCATACCCAAGCCAAATATAATCACGTAGACACCGATGACGATACTCTGTCTATTCTGGTCTCAGCAATTAGGCGCAATCCATCAAGGAGAGTCAACTGACAATTTAATGGGAAAGAATTGACTGATGCCTAGAGAACAGCGTCAGTCTGAGTTCTAAATAGTTGGCCATGTGGGAACAAATTCCAAAGCATACCTCCCAAGACCATAATTCCACCAACGACTAAATTGACTAGCCGACTATTGCTCAGTGTTAGTGCTTGAGGGTCGTCAAAGGCTGGTCAAATCCGCCATGTAATTGCGCTGCCAGGCTGATGGACGTACAAGATGTTAGAAAAGTCCATCGTGATGAGATTCCCAAGAGAACGCGACAAGAGTCAGCAATCTGGGTAGCAGGGCGTTCGTCGACAGACGAATGGACGCAACGGACTTGGTTCGTAAAGGTCGTGATGGGAGGCGATGAAGAAGTTGATTTTCAAAGACACTCAAGCTGCAGTTAGAGGAATTGCGCAGGCAGAAAAACAAAGGGGAAGCTTTTGCTACCAAACCAGGAGTGGAGGTCACAGGCAAGGGAGTTTAAGCTGGGAACTGAACAATTCACGTATGCCAAGCAACCGAGCGCCTTAGCGGGCTGACGAAAAATAAATCAAACGGCAATCAGCTCCTTTAAGGCTGGAAGGATGCAATGGGAAAATCATAGCTCAGATGGCTTTAATAATTCTCGCTTTGCAAAAAGATTGCAAAGATGAATGGGCAAGACTTACAGCAAAAGATCCAACGAGCTGTCTTGTGTGATCGTTCTATAGTACGATCGCTGTATCATACTTCATCTGGGGACCCAACCAATAGTCGGGTTTCTAGAATCCTTCCTGATTTTCTACCATATACCCACCGACGCTATGCTATGCTGGGGTATCATCATGCAAACCCGTGCTATGCAGAACACCTCTCCAAGACAGACAAATGTCCTCAACCTATACTCCGTTGAAACGCTATGCCCGCAATGTTGACTTGGGCCTCTCGGCGACAGAAATCAGCCTCACACTTGACGACTCAGACGCCTGTGATTTGTTCGAGACCATGTTGTGAGATGTTCGATCCTTTGGTTTGACTGGTTGCTTGGTTGCACGAGCAGCAGACTCGAAGGCGTCGTTCTCGGTTGGCGCAATGGACGTAGTCCTGATCAATTCAGCATCGTATTCTAGAGCCTGAACGTCTGACGAGAGCTCGGTATCCTGCGTGCTTAAAGGAATGTTTGCATTGGGAGAGTCGATAGGCAGACGTGGAGCGAACTCATCGTCTGGGTCTGAGATGGTAATCTTCATATCAGCGCGTCTTCGAGTGCTCCTTCGTCTATCAGCTCTCTTGTTCGAGCGAATAGGCTCTCCGTCGTCGTCCAAGGATCTCTTTGAGCTGGAGCTGCGTTGAGAAGAGGTTACCGAGGGACTCCTAGCGCGATATTTGTCGCTGAGTTGGTCCAAATTGTTCTCGACCTCCCTCTTGCTTCTCTGGAGAAAATCTTGGATGAGTTCGGAGGACAAGTCAGACCTGCTGTTTCGGATGGCTCTGGTGGTGAGGACACTGCCTGGGCCAAGGGGGATCGAACCGGTCAGAGCATTACGAGGAGTGTCTTGAGGCTTGAGGAGAGGACTATTCTGAGTTCTGGGTGTAGAGCCGTCTCTGCTTCGAGCGGAATCGTAGTGTGCTCGCGTGACCTCGTCTCCGCCATAGCAGATGTGCAAGGGAGGCAGGGCGATAGGGGACCCTCGGTGTTCATTCGTGTATGATATTGAGTCCCTGTCGAAGTTCTTGATGCGTGGCAGGTGCACTGTGACATCCTGATCAAATACCTGGCAGAAGGCTACCAATTCAGGCTCGCCGCCATATGTTCCGTTGCGTGACATGAGAGATAAGTATTCTTCAAACGCGTCTTCTGGTTCCTGGCGGACAGCCAACGTAGTAGAACGGAGGGTTCGTCGTTGCTGGACGTCATCCTTGTGGACATAATGCTCGAAAAGTGGTCGATAAGTTCGCATGTGTTCAATGATGCTTGCACGTATCTCGGGATGTTTTGCAGGCGTGCCGTAGAGTTGGTCAGAGAGAGAGGCAAAGAGACAATTGCCTTGACGATGTTAGCTTGAGATATCACAGCAACACGACCCGGACAAGGGAGAAGCATACCGTCCCCTGCTATTTGCTTCTGGTACATGCCCATCTTGACGAGGCCCGGCCATACAGCTTTGGGCTTTCGGACCATGCTGGGAAGCTGGGTAGGGAATGCATGGTCAGCCATGATCGCGAATGATCCATTGACAAGATCATTTGTAGGATGTGAAAAAGAGAAGATGTCTAGTTGATTAGGATCAGAAAGGCATGACAGGGCTGCAGGTTGAAGCAGGTGGACAGTTAGTTGCCCGAGAGCCTGCTCCTTTTGTCTTGCAGCGGGCCCTTTGATGATTTTCACAAAAGCCAGATCTGGGATGGATGGATGACTTGAACTGATTTGCGGAGTTTGGCTGTGAGAGTGCGTTTTGCTAGGCTAGAGACTGGCTCAGCTTTGCCCCGAAAGCCTGGAGCCCCTTGGGCACTTGCACTGCTGCTGCCAGCGGGAAACTGCAGCATCGGCTGAATGCCCTGCGAAAACAAAAAGCAGAGCTTGAAGCCTCCCCGCCCAAGGAAAGGAGAGGGTCCAGTGCTGTCGCGGGCTATAGGGTTGTGGGCTGTGGCTTACTATACCTGCACCGCTACGCCTGGAAAAAGCTTTACCTTGCAAATGCTCAGGCTTGAAACGCTGACGAATAGTATCGCACGATAGGCGGCAAGGAGGAAAGGCAACAAACAACCGATAAGTCATCCTACCTTCCCGTACTGGCCGATAGTGGGGTCGAAAGATTCACACTTGTAGAGCAAAGGGCGGCGCACTATCATGAATTCCGTTCCTTTCTCATGGTGGTGGCATGAGAGAAGAAAGGATTTATTTAAGGGAAGTCAGGCCCGCAGAAGACAGGGCGGTTCAGGTCTTCAATAGAATATTGTTTCCCGTCTCTATCGTACCAACCAGCGAGCGGCCATTTATCCGCTTCACCCTGCTGCCAGTACTTGGGCAAACCACCAGGACTTCTGCTTCTTGAACTGGATTAGAGACTGGTGCACTCTTCACTCCCATCCGGCCAACGAAGATGACTGAGAAGAACATCGTGGTTGTTGGGTAAGTGCTGTTACTCAATACTGCTGTCAGTCACCGGCCTGACTTTTGATTGATGCAGAGCCGGCGTTGCTGGTCTGACCACAGCCTTTTTGCTCTCCAAAAATCCAAGATATAAAATCACCATTGCCGCAAAGCACATGCCTGGAGACTATGATATCGAATATGCGTCACCTTGGGCTGGGGCCAACTATATGCCGTTAGTCGACGACTCGTTTGAAACAGAGATAAACTTGTTGGACTAATGCTTTAGACAGCGTCTCCAGGAAAGGAACACCGGCAGAGGAGTGGGATAGGAATACATGGGCGCCTTTTGCGGAGCTTGCCCGAAATTATCCTGAGGCAGGTGTTCATTTCCAGGAAACGACAATCTATAATCGTAAAAAGGACGTCGAGTCTGTCACTGCGGCCTGGTTTGCTGATGCGCTCAGTCCCTCTCCATGGTTCAAGACACTTTTTGACGACGTGAGTCCTTGTACAACTCCCACCGCCGTGTTGAGTACTCACCATCTTCCTACCAGTTTCACGAAGTCCCCCAGAAAGACCTCCCGCCGGGAATGGACAACGCCACATGCTTCACATCGGTTTGTATTAATACTGCGATATATTTGCCCTGGCTGGTCTCTCAATGCCTGAAAAATGGGGTCATTGTTAAGCGGGCGGTCTTCAAACACATTGCAGAGGCAGCGGCTCCTGGAGTCCACCATTCGGGCGCTTCGGCTGACCTTGTTGTCAATTGTACTGGCCTATCAGCCTCTAAGCTCGGTGGCGTCGAGGACAAGTCAGTTGTGCCTGCAAGAGGTCAGATTGTTGTCGTCAGAAACGTAGCACCAGCCATGTATGGCGTGTCTGGCACCGATGATGGCCCAGATGAGACTTGCTATATTATGACCCGGGCTGCTGGGGGTGGTACCATCCTGGGGGGCTGCTATCAAAAGGGAAATTGGGAGTCTCAACCAGATCCGAGTCTTGCAATAAGAATCATGAAGCGTTGCGTGGAATTATGCCCTGCATTGACTGGCGGAAAAGGAATTGATGCCCTCGACATTGTTCGACACGGCGTCGGTCTCAGGCCTGTCCGAGAAGGGGGAACGAGGATTGAGCGAGAGAAAATAAACGACGTCTGGACTGTTCACAACTACGGCGCTGGCGGAGCGGGTTATCAATCTTCGTATGGTTGCTCTCAAGCAGCAGTCAAGTTGGTGGATGAAGCCTTCCAGGACAAGGCCAAATTGTGAGGATGAGGTGAAATCTTTTTCCATAAATGAACATCACGAACGTTGACCACTCCTTTGGATCGGAAAAGTTTATAAAAATCGACATGAAATCGATGACGCTCATTAATCGAGCTCCTCGGCACAATCGCGAAGTAGAGTGAGCATTTGTATGAGATTGGGTATAATTACCCATTGTTTTCCAACTGCTTTGGCCAATCATTCACGTCTGGAAGGTGAGGGCTTTCGTTTCAGCCTGAGATTATTTGAACGATGCGATCCAGTGAACATGCGATTTCAATGTCATTTGGCCCTATAACGGCGACTAGCCAAACCCGGCAACAAGGCCTGGGGTCAGTCATCCTTTATGCAATCTGACCGTTGGAGGACCTGAAATCATGGAGGAGATGAAGAGCGTAGAAGGCGGAATTCTTACTGGCCGATCCAGAGATTACCGACAGCTGACGATTTAGTCCTCTGAGGGCGCCGCGCAATGCCCCATAGTAGGGCACTTGCTTTTTGTTTTTCTTCTGTTTCTCTCTCGACCGACCAAAAAAGGTCGAACTTTGTGCCTTGACCATATACATGGACATATGCGGACAAACAAAACGGAAAGCAAGTTTGTGGCGGTGACTCGTCAGTGGATCCGAAAATAATCAGCACTGTCTCGAAACAGGCTTGTCAAGTCTGAGACATGCTGCTCGGGAGGGGAGGGGATCTATGCAGGAACCGGCATTCCACGCACAATCCCTGAACTCGCTACCAACTTGGCCAGCAATCCGCTCCGTAGGGATTTCGAATTCGGTTTGACATTGAAGCGGTCCTCCGGAGCCTAGCTGACCCTGGTACCTGGATAAGTCAAACATCAAAGTCCGTTGAACTGCAAACGGCATCCTTTAACAGCTCAACTGCTGGCGGAAAGGAGCAGGATGCCGACAAACACACCTTCGCGTGGAGGATCAGCTGTGGTGGTGCATGGTGATTTAGCCACGACAATCTAGTCAAGACCCGGTCACTGATGCAGGTCAACGGCAGAGAGGACCTCAAGAGCCAACGGGGCGCTGTTCAACTGGCGAACACAAAGGCGCCACGCTCCGGAGCTTTTTCGATGAGAACGAGTGCCAATGTTGTGCCTGGCTTCATTCTTCATGGGTAACGGTTGTTACTTGTACCTTATGTTCCTTGCATGTTTTGACTGCTCTAAACCCCCGCCTGGCGCCCTATCCGTCGCGGGTACCCATGCCAGACAGATCTCGTGTCTTCGGCAGAAGGGATTTGTTTTGGGTTTCTTTTGGTTGCTGAGTGCAAGACAGGTTACGTTGGATCCAATTGATAAATTCGGGACTGGCCGAAGGAAGCGAACATGGGTTCCGTCATCGGGCTAGATAACGGTGGAAAAGAAAAAAGAAGGGGATATACGTAAATGAGCGCCATGCGTGAGAACAGACCCTGGGTCTTGACTGGTCGCTTGAAGTGGCCGCCGTGATTAGAGTAATATTAGACAGGGTGGAGAGTTGGACCAACGATCTGTCGTGAACTTGTGATCCTGCAAAAACAGGGTTGGATGTAGAATGAACTGTGCGATGTCGTGGACGGATTCCTACTCTAATCGATCTTGGGTGGGCACCAACGATGCCGCTATTAGTGAAAAGAGGCGCCGTATCTAAAAAAACGCCGCTTGGAGGAGTTGCTCCTTGGCTTCTGCCACTCCCGTCGTTGCTCGCGACATAAGTTCACCGTCGTCAGTTCATTGCACTAGCCATCCATCAACGAAACACCAGTAAACCACCTCTACTTCCATTACTTTTCCAGCCTTCGTTCACTCTCATTCTAAACTGCCTGGAAATTCGATTCTCTTCTCCACTGCCACTCTTTCCAACCTATTCCACACACCTGGCTTTGAGTCTCCGTCCCTTGAACCCCATTCGCCATCCCGACGTCACTCCTGTCCAGAACCTGTCCAGAACCTGTCAACCTGTCCACTCTCCCAAAAAGGTTGCAAGCGTGATTGTGCATGGGGTTCCCCCCCGGCAAAACAATCAAGTCCTAATTACAACCTCACTCGTTTAAGCTACCAGTGTTGCTAGCCGACAAGGCTTTGGTCATCACATCAGAAGAAAAGTCTCCTCCTGCACCGCTCTCGTCGTCGTTGATGTCTCCAATCCGGCCTCGCGAGTCCCTCCCTCATCCAGACTTTGTTCCTTGACTGCGCCCTCCCTCGCATTGGTCACACCACCCGTTACTGTTGGGCTCAGCATGGGATTTTGGCCGTTCGGCGGAGGCAAGAAACGCCGCACAAGCCACGGTGAAGACCAAGGTCGAAATACACTTCTCGAAAAAGAACGAACAGATCCACGTCCCAGGTTGAAAACAAGCGCCCCTCAAGAGTTCGCCGCGATGGGCCGCTCCCAAAGTACGCGTGACGAGGCACCTCGGCGACTTTCCAAGCAGAGACATCCGAGCCATCAAGGAAACGTTCCTCGTTCCGTAACTATGCCTGTCACTGGGCCTGCACCAGAATCGCGGGCGAAGAGGAGAGGGTCTGCCGTGGAACATGGTCTATACTCACACAACCCTATGTCTCAGCCCAGTATTGGACCAGATGATTTCACAACCCTTCCTCAGGCTCCGACTCTACTAGCAAAACGAAAAGGGAATGATCCAACCCTCCTACGAAGGAAATCCAGCAAAAGGAAAGCAGAAGACTATGCTCGCGAGAGGGAAATTCGTGCCATGAGTTCGCCCGTTCCCGGACTGAAGCGGCCGAGTACGTATTCTGGATCTGGCCAGTTGCGTCAAGGCACGAAGCAAGTCCCTGGCGATCTCAATCTGCGGCTTCAGCGACCAGCTTCGGAGATGTCTTTACCCGTACCAGAAACCGTCCAGGAATCCAAAGATTTGACGAATCACGCTTCATTCAAGATTGGCATATTGGCTGCCCTGAGTCCGAGACCAACACTTACCTATGTGGCCAACCCTCGATCGTCAGCGGGAAAGCAGCCTGCCAGAATCAAACCTTTGATCCAGCAAGCCATAGAGGAAGAAGATGTCTCCTCGAAGAAGAGGATTGATGAATTGGCGGACGATCTTGATGCTGGTGGATTAAGAGAGTTGATGGAGAGAGACCGCAGACGCCATGAAAGGAAAAAGGTCGCTGAAAGAGATCGACTCCAACGGAAGCTCCAACGGAAGACTGACAGACAGCGGGAAGAGGAAATGCCCGGTCGTCAAGTCAACGAATCATCCACTGGCCCTGTCCGGTTGAGTCTCGAAGACAGCGAAAGACGAGGCAGAAGGCCTCGTGGGAATGGTGCAGAGGCTTCCGAAGCAGCTATGAGAAGAATTCCAAGTCGAGGAAGCAAGAGAGCCGATCCATTTATCGGTCCTGACAGCGGCAAGGCCCGGCCATACCAACATATTCGAAATCCTTTTGATGACGAGAAGGACGTCGACCTCATGCATGATCCATTTGCTCATGAAGAAGACGAGGGACCACCGGTTCCCGGCAGGTCTCCCCTACGAACGGTTTCTTCCGTCGAAGTCAAAAGAGATCAAAAGCCTTCGCCGGCAACAACGATCTCCCCGCCCACTTCTCCCATTCAACGACCTACAGATCGCCAAAGCCTCTCTCAGACATCTGGTCTTGCCCGCGAACTTACGCCGGACATCCCAGAACATGGACAGCTAGATCGTCGTGCTTCTGATCAAAGCAGCCAGCATTTTAGCTCTTGGACCAATTTTTTCAAGCGTGGTAACCGCCGCAAACCCTGCACCACGGAACGTGGGAGAAGCACCCCGTCCGAGTTCTCGAACACATCGCGCGAGTCCTTTGCTCGAAAACCGCAACCTCCACCTGTTGTCGTCCCTCGAACATTCCGAAGATCTGAATCTTCCGGGGTTCCTCAGAGAACCATGTCCAAATTTCGGGAGGATCTACCCGAATTCCCCATTTCACCACCGGATTCCCGTGTTCAATCTCCTGAAATCATGACTGGCCCGCAGGCGGGCCTGGGGCAGCAGTCTGTCCGGCAACCCCGACTATCTCATTCAGGGACACTGGATGAGAGAAGCCTCGCCACCAGCTCGAGTAACCCTGCCTTGGATCGTGGGACTGCAGAAGGCCGACACACACAAGCGATGGACATTGACGTGGGCAGTGGTGCAGCATCGGGCATGGCCATGTCTCAATCACTTGCCTCTGTTGATTCGGAAGGGTCGTGGCTGTCCGGGAAGCCTGTTAAGCGTTTGTCTGGCGGCATGAGTCAGCCCCCTCGACAGAGTCAATCATCTCCCCCACCACCATCTATCCCTGGGGCATTTGAGGCGGACGAAAATGACCTTGCGGATGACGAGTATCTGAACCGATTGACGCCGGGTCCAAGTGGCCAACGTGACTCAATCACATCTGGAGGTCGTAAAGCAAGCAGCACCGTCATTGATCTAGAGCGGGAACGGCAACAAAGTCCTCTACCCGAAGTTCCTCCTGTTCCTTCCAGCCAAGGCGGGGATGAGACATGGCACGAAGGCGTCGGGCGGCAGGTCACGGTAGTGCGGCAACCGAATCGAGCAAAATCGAAGGAAGGACTTTTGAAGGAATCCGGAACTGAAACCCCAGGAGGGTCTCAAAGATCCAGCTCTGTTGAAGAGGACGATGGGGCTGATGATGGAGATTTGCCAGAAGGAGAAACCGCCGGAGCGGAGTTGCGAGAAACGCCACTTTTACGAGCGCGAAGTGTGGAATACAAGGGCCACGCCCGACATATCAGCGCTGGGAGCGCCCGATTATTGGACATTCGACGGTCATCTACGCAGTCAGAGACCACATCGCGAAGCCCGAGCCTCCCTCACATTGCGACGACGTCTGTTCCACAGGAGCAACCAGCAGCACCCAAAGAGCCGTAAGGCTATGCAAAGCCCTTCCTTGACCATGACAGTTTTCCTTTGTTCTTTTTCTTGTGTTGGACTCACCACCAGAGCCCTTGAGACAGCAAATATTTATGAGCGAGGTGATCTGAATACTACGATATTGATGATATAAAAGATACCCCGAATCGCTCTTTTACTGCCAGAATAGTGGGGAAATGGGGGATTGTGGGTTGAATCGGATTGAATCACGAGCGTGTATGTACATTGAAGCGTTGACCACTGAGGCGGGTTTGCAAATTACCAAGCAAGAAACGAAGAAACAATCGACCAACGCGTGTTTGCCTGCTAGAATAGGTGCCAAACTTTTGTATTTTCTTACCCATCCCACACCCCTATAGTGTTTACGGACCGCGCCGAGGGGAAGAGAGATAATGCTAGGAGGTTCTGGTAGAACATATATACACGAAGAGGACAGATGAGAGTGGCGGCCGCTTTAATCACGTGACACTGAATTCCAAATGTTTGCTGGGCTGAGGCAAATTGTGACATGGCGTCATCGGGAACTTTATCCGTTACCCTCATAATGTCAAATCTTTTTTGCCTCCCACTCCCCTGCAAAACTGCGCCTGTCCCTCAAATCTCGCTGTTACAGTTGCACAGCATTCTTGCATTTCTAAGCTTCCTCAAATCCCCCTCGGTTGCTCTCCGAATAAAGTCCATCCGACACCTGATACTGTCATCATTCATCTTCGTTCTCATCATCTTGAACTCATTCCAATTCTTTCGAATCCGAAACCTGCACTCACGTCTTCCAATCTCTCCCCTTACCTACTCCTCGATTACAGTATCACACAACTCCTCTTCCGTCAAATCTCCATAAATACCTTCGTTGTGGCTGCATCGATCCGTTTCCCCTCCATCGCACTTCAGCGCCTTCTACATAAGCTCCCGTTATCAACAACAACTTCTACCCCACTCCGAAGAGTAAAACAAATTCAGACTCCTCTGGCCACTAATCCAGAGATCCGCCTCTTTACAACCTCCCACCCCAACCGCTTTACTCACACATCCAACAAAATGGTTGTCCATAATCTTGCAGAGTACGTGGCCTACCACCAAGCCAAGCTGCGTGAAGAGCAAGCTCGCAATTCCTCCGCCTCATCTACTCCTGCAAAGAAATACGGTGTTAACCCAATCCACAGCAAGTCCTCCTTCGCGACCTCCGTCTTGAAGGCTCCCGACTCGAGATTGGTCGTTCTTGACTGTTTCGCTACCTGGTGCGGTCCTTGCAAGGTCATCGCCCCCGAAGTCGCCAAATTCAGCGAGTCCGAAGAATTCAAAGAGAAGGTTGACTTCTACAAGATCGATGTCGACGAGGTCCCCGATGTTGCTCTAGAATTGGGCGTCAGAGCCATGCCTACCTTCATGCTCTTCAAGGCCGGTCAGAAGGTCGCCGAGATCGTCGGTGCCGACAAGAGGGCCCTCTATCAGGCCATTCAAACCCATCTGTAGATTGGATTCGAACTAATATCCTCTCCGAGTCGTCTTTGACAAGCCTCCGACGCCTCTAATTACTCGGCCCCCTCCGGATCTCGAAAATCACGCAGGTATCTGCACACGAGCAAAGCGGGATTGGGAGGTAGCACGGCGAACGTTGTCAGAGAAACAGCCCCCCATGAGGTGCATTACTGGGTTACATTGAGAGTTCTAACAGCGGTATCGAGAGCGAAATGGCTCCCATGTTAAGTCACGCAGAAAATCGCAACAATTAACATTTTTCACGAAGCTCGTTCCATTTCTGATTTCGGTTTCTTGCCCTGCTCTGTCTATTTCGAATTTACTCAACATCTTCCCTCTCTATACTTTTACTATCAACGCGAGAACATGCCGACATCGACAGCACGGCGTTGACGAGCTGATCACCGTTTCCCCTATATCAAGTGCTGCCATTCCCCGAAAGCTGTTTGGAATCGCACCGAAAAGAACCTTGTTCCCTTTGACAGCCCAAAGAGCATTGAATCCGTTCCCGAAAAGCACGACCTTTGCATTCATGCATTATCCGGTGGCCAAACCAGCAGAGTATACCATAACGTGATCGTTCGACGTTTGTTTCTCTGTCGAGATCTCCGAATGGGTTTTAGTGAAGACAAGCCAAGGAAAGAAAATTCTGCGAGACACCCGAAACACCAAGTCATTCGTTCATATATTCCAAATTCCCATTGACGCTATCCGACTCCCGAGATCTCCTTTCTGGTGCAGAGCCCGAGAAACGGCCTTGTGTGACTTGGTTTAGCAGTGAAATCTCTCGAAGCTGCGATGAAGACTTCCCAGGTGGAATTTTGAACGGCCCGTGCCATCTATGCGTCCTATGCGCCCGCTGTGGGTACTACTGAGTATACCCAGACCATCGCTGCTGACTGCTGGTCACAAAGACTGGAAATCTAGGGCTCGAGAAAGGGCAGAAAGGAAAAAAGATGGGGACAGGAAAGCTTCATTCCTTCCAGCATCACAACCTACTTCTCTCTCCAGCTCTTTATCTGGTCTTGTACTAGGACTCTGCTCCTTTCTGTGAGGCCTACCAGCTGGCATAGTGTGGACTTCTAGCAGTTCAAGCCAGAGGAAGAATATGATGGATGTTCGGCTCACATAGAAAATGAATCCATCATGGTAAATGAGTTCGTGAAGCGAAATATTGATTCAGAATAATCGATCACTTCATTTCATTTTATGTCATATGCAAAGCCAAACCTTGCCCACCTAGAATGGGCACAGTGATACAGGCCGTGATTGACTTTATGAGTTTGTCATACCCATTTACTGTTACAGTTACATGAATAAGGGCGTAAGGGCACAGGTATCAGCACCTCTTTCTTCAATACCAGTACCAATCCGCTGTCGATGTGTGAGCTGAAATAGTCTTTCTGTATGGTCGTGCTGGAGGTCGTTCGATATTTTGTCGAAGCCATAATTGTAGCCGTTGTCATCGGTATTCACGTTCGATACACGGAATTCCAATGCATGTTAATTGGACTGGGTGGATGGCACGAATCAACCAGATCGCTATCGACCTGCTTCCGAGGCCTATCCATTTTCGTTCAATTCATTCGTGAGCGGGTGAGAGTGGTCCTCGGTTGCCTTGAAGACAGCTCAGATCCAGACCCTTGATCTAAATCCAAATTCGGGCATTCATACAACAGTCCCACAACTTTTACACCGAAAATTTTGGCCCCTGTCTGTCATCGTCGCCCTAAACGTCTTGCTTCCACACTTTCTACATCGCAAATCATTCTCGCTGCCGGCGCTGCTCGGCCTTCGGGGTCGAGACTTGCGTCTCTTATCCGCAGCTCGCTCATCATCGCCATCCATATCGTGAACGCTGGCATTCACAGAATTGGGATCTTGTTCTGAACCAGTGAGTTCGCTAGAAAGTTGGCTCACGTAGCTGCCTGCCCGTGAGAGAGGATTTCCATCAGGTCCTAACAGGCCGGGCGTCCGAGGGGGGTATTTGGCCATGGGCATCAATGTATTTCTCATATCCCATGCCAAATAGGATTCCTGGTCTATTAAGAGAAGTGGGTCGTTCGGGTTGTGAGGGAGATCTTCCGCCGTGGGATTGGAAGAGATTGGTCTCAGGCTCGATGAGGCAGGGAGCTTCTCACGATCTGGAGATTTATCCTGCGAGGCTGAATGGAAGCTTTTCGGTGATTCAGCCAAGGGCGACTGGATTGATATTGAGGGTCTATTTTGGATTTGTTGTAGGGGGGAATGATATTCGGGAGTGGAAGGGGACATGAGGCTGTCCCTGTGCGGCGGAGACGACTTGCGAATTGAGAGGCGATTGGAAAGTAGCTTTCTTGGTGACGCGCTACGTGACCGATCGTTGTGTAGAGAGCCACGAATTTCCAGCATACTGGTGGATGCGTTGTTTCCAGCAGCATCCGTGGCACTCACAGAGTTTCTCCAGTTCAAAATTCGATCCGTTGACTGGTTCTTGGATCCCATGGCGAAGGAGTTCCGATGGGAAGAGGAAGTTCCAGAAGTTCGCGTCGCCACAGATCCGCTTCGGGCCAACATCTTCTTGGAGAATGACGAACCCGAGTCCCATGATTCCTGTCGTCGTTTCTGATACGCACAATCTTGCCGAAACGCTTTTATCTGGCCAGTGTAGTCTGCAGTAACGATAATTTGGCCTCCTGGATGGGAATGTCGGCCCAGGTAAGCCGGTGATTCAGGGGCGCGTCTGGGAGATTCGGATATTCTCGTTTCCTGCTTCGGGTGTCTCTCTTCTGAATAATTGCTGTTATTCGTTGGGGCGTGGGAAGAAATGACCGAGTCCGCACGGCTGATCAGAGTCACCGGAGGCGGATTGCACAGGTCGTACAGAGGATCTCCGGAGTGTGCAAGCAAGCGTCTCGTTTTTTCAGGGGCCAGAATCGCCGTGGTCACAATTGCAGAGTGAGCTTCAAATACTTCCATTGGTCGCTTGTCATTTTCAGGCCTCTCATTGACGGAAGTAGGCCATATATACACTTTCCGATCCTCACTTCCACATATTACATATTTGCCATCGTCGCTGAACGAGGCATGGATCTGACTGCAAGAATTTTCGTTTCCGCGAAACTTGACTTCGAGAGTTCTATCCTTCAGATTGTACATTCGCACTCGGGAGTCGTTGCTGGTAATCAAAAGTTTAACATCTGGTGGTGCATTCTCCCGAGGTAAGGATATGGTGTCGATACCTGTGATTTTGCTTCCTTTGGCGTTCTTGCCGCGTGCAGAGCGGACGTGAATCTGTGAATGTGCTTTGAGACCCTCTGTGTCGTAAAGCAGGCATAAACCACTCAAACAACCAGCAAGAGCTGTTTCTCCATCGGGCGTGAATGCCACAGCAGTCACCATGTCGGGGACCTGTGCCCAAAACGCCACGTTCTTGTCGGGAATACTCCATAGACGTAACTTGGAGTCCAGAGAGCCGGCCAGGAAGAAACGATCATCCCTTGGATGAAATTGAATGGACGTCACAAAGTCGTTATGCTGAAACGCACATAAACATTCCGTCCGGGAGACATGGTACAGTCTGACGGTCTTGTCCATGGACGAAGAGAGTAAGAAGCTATTTTTGCTCCAACTGAGATCCAAGATACTGGATGTGTGGCCGTCGTATTCCCGAACAAGTCTGCTCTTAAAGACCGGGGCATTGAGCTTGACCTTTTCCCCATCGGCGTTGGTTTCGGCCAACTTCTCCTCTGTCTCACGACCCTCTACGGTGGATATGACCTCCCACACTCTTAACTTTCTGTCCTGACCTGCAGCAGCAAGGTATTTTCCATCTTTTGAAAATTCCATCGCCCATATTGCGGAGCTCGTCGAGTTCGACGGCGGAGTGGGGGCAGCGGCCGGAGGGTCATTGATGCTGTGGATCTTGGAGTCTATTGAGGTCTTCCGACTCTTGGACTTGCGATTATCCAACAATACCTGAGCCAAAAACAACCTGTCGAAGTCCTTTCGTTTCCTGTATTGAGCCTTGACCTTGATATAGCGCGGAGGAGCGGGGAACTTTGGTATGTATCCGACAGGCTGGGAAAAGACTTCAGCCTCGACACCACCGGAACGATTCTCGGAGACCTCTGAGGCATTGTCGTCGCGAAGATCAAAGGAATCCCGCTTCTTGTTGCCCATTATCCGGCTCAAGAAAGACACGCCTTTCCTGAGCAAAAACGAATATCAGCCTTGAAAATCTCAAACACTCGGTCTGGGGCGAAGACTTGGATTGACGGGCTTGGGCCCCCCGGGAGGATGGTGCTTATGCATGCATGAGAAAATGATAGGGGCGGAAAAATGATGCTTGTCGTGTGCTTTTTTCCTCTTCGTCGCCTTGTGCAAAACTCACTTTTTGTCCTTGCCCAGCTTGTTACTGGCGGTGCTGTTGACTCTGCGTAAAGGTACCGGGTCGGAACTCAGTCTGCCCGAGTACTGGTCTTCGGATGGTCCGGATTCCGCGTAATTGGACTTGGAAGACACACCGCTCTGAGTGCTTTGCGGCAGCCTGTTCTGCGACTGAGTGCGCTCTAATATTTGCTAAATGTTGACTGAGCATGCGAGCAAGTGGGTTGGGTGGGGGACTGTACTCGTGAAATGGGATCGAGCGCCTGCTCAGCATTGGCGGCCTGCGCCTCTAAAGGACTTGGGGCGCCGGGACTCATGGTGGCAGAGGTCGCTGGATTCAGGCCTGAATTGTAAACGTGATCAATAGTGTGAGGATCCGTATTTGAAGTGGAATCTATAGAGCAAACACAGTCAGCATGAGTTTCAGCAAAAAAAGACTGGCTTGCGGCCGTTGACGAGGTGACGCTTTTGCCGCAACCGGAAATATTAAGGTTGAACATAATCAACACGATCGCTTATAGATGCTTTCACATAAGGACGTACTGGAACCATTTTCATCATTGTGGTTTGCATTCGTTGGAGGTTCGTCATTGGCAAACGACAAGGTGGGACTTTGAAGAGCAAGTGTGAAGTTGGAGTAATTCAGAGGCCCCTCCACCGGACGCGTGCCAACCTCTACGTGTACCATTTGCAGGAGAGGCTCACAAGAGAGTCGCGTGCGACGAGGACACCTGAACCTAGTTATGGCGACAACGACATTGACAGCGCCAGCATCTCCTCCCCTCCTCTCTCACATCTAATATATCGATATCTATCCCTCCGCCGCGTCAGGTTCCTGGGGATTGGCGCAACAAGCCATCCTCTCTCCATGCAGCTTGACCCCGGCAGCACAAGTAGCAGCTACAAGCGGCTTTTCAATGGGACTGGCGGCCTTGTCTTCGGCATTTAACCTATTGCTCAAAGTGTCCAAGCAAGGGGCTGAGGTCATGATTTGAGTTTCCTCTCGCATCTTTGCCTGCTTCCGTAGTTGACCCTAGAGTGGCTCGATTCACCGAAGACTACAACGATAAACAGGGGAAAAATAAAATAAAGGCATTTAAATACCTCACCGATCTCTGGCGGGGCCCAACGACCGAGCCCTAGGTTCCTTTGGATGTACCCGATTTCAAAGTTTGTGCACAATTTTTGTGTCGGAGCTTTACCTGAATAATATCCTAAGGAGCGAAACCCGGCCAAATCCATTGAGCAGCGGCCAACACGAATACGAAATCCCACTCGTGTACGCGGCCTAAAATTAAATAAGTTGCACACTTGACTGCTATTTGAACTCACTCTCGTGGAAATACCCATGAGGCATGGCCAGCTTCATCCATTCAAATCCCTTTCCCTAAATGTGCAGCTTGAGCTGCAAGCTCCCTTCAACCTTCCTGGCTTGCAATTCTACCCAAGTATCCCAAAAGAAAAGCCTTGTTTTCTGCACCCGTCTGTCGCTTCTCATTAGCCGTGCGAGCAGGTCCGGGCCCACTCCCAATGGACGCCAAACTTCCTCCACGTGATGTTCGAGTTGATATGGGCTCAATCCCAGAGAGTGGTCCCTCACCATTTGGACTGAAAAGCTGGCTCGTCGTCAACGGCGATACTACTCCCGACGTAGCTTGTAATGTCGATGCTCTCGGGGTGCTATCCAGGCCCCCGGCAAAGAGAGAGAGTAATCTTTGCTTGTGCGCCTCTGTTTGGGAAGGCTGTCGAACTGGAATCGGTCTCGCGCTAGCCTCGACACTGGCAGGGGGTGAAGAGACAGCACTTCCCAGAACTGCTTGATGATTTGTAGTCTCGCTCACTGTGGGCTGCGGGGGTGCCTCTGACGTCTCAGCAGTTTGTGGCCGTCGGAGTATTTGAGGTTGGAATATCTTGCTCTGCTCCTTCGCTGTCGACTTCTCTTTCGATGTCCGTTTCGGCGGAACTTTCAGTCCTCGGGGCGACCGAGGAGCTTGCTGGCGGGATTCCTCCGATCGGGTCAGAATTTTCACTGGTGTCGGTTGATTGGGATCGTAAAGTGTTCTGTTAGAAGTAAGAGGGCTTCGTCCCATCTCGTTCGTCATCTGCGTAGTGTTCCTGGAAATCGCCTCGAATTCAGGCTGGTTCAGAGGGCCGCTGACAGTGGCAGAAGTTTCGCCCTCTCTTGGAGGTGGGCGCTTTGCTTCAGCTGTTTTTCTTGATGCCTCTGGACTGCCTTGTCTGAGAAGTGCTAGAAGCAGCTCGTCCTTGTCCGTTTGTGGTTTCTTAGTAGATGCGGCAGGGCCTGTGGCTGCAAGTTCGACCAGTGGAGTTTGAGGAGGAGCGAGAGCATCTGTTGGTTTTGGTTTCGAGGTTCGACTAAGTAAATCGAGAAGGGTTGACTGTTGTGCGTTTGCGGGTGTTCGAATAGGTGTCGTAGTTGACAGATGGCTATGAACCTGTTCACTGGCAGTCGGCTGTATTGCCACAGTTGACGTAGAACCGGCCGTTGCTCTCAACTGTTCTTGATTGGCTAGGTTCGGCACTGTTGAAGCTTGGGTGGACACATTTTGTTGTTGCCTCTCAGGTCGATGGAGCGCTTCTACTTCCGACGAGTCATTCGAAGGTCCTTTACTCGAGAGGGGATATGAAGGAACACTTGGATTTGTCCCGGCACTCTTGAAAACATCCAACAGAGCCCTGGTGTGATTCGTCAACTTGGGTAGTGCGCTCGCTGGAGGAACGGTTGGTTGATGTTGCAGCCTCGTGCCTTGTTGTGCAAATTGTGGATCACCGGTCTGTTGGTAAGGTGCAATCTGCTGTGACATTGGCTGTGGGTAGTTTGTTGGTGGTGATGTGGTGGGCGACTCGGTCTTTCCAGACTGTACCGGACGCTGAACTTGGAATTGAGACCGTGGTTGAAATAGTGGCCACGGCTGGGCCTGGTCTAGTTGGGGGGGGTTTACATGAGAGACTTGCGGTGATCGCCCTACTTCGGGTTGTGACGAAATCTGTTCTAAAGGCGTCCGAGGTATAGCAGCAGTCTGAGGCTTCGAATTGCTTCGTAACAGAGCCAAAAGCGCATTCGACTTTTCGGTATCGACTTGGTGCATATGACTGGGTCGGCGCCCGAGTTCGGGCTGTAGAGATTGTGAAGATCCAATGTTGAGGATCTCTTTCAGATGCGTAGTTGGATCGACAGGTGGTGCTGAGACTTCGGGCAGATCACTGAGAGCTTCTTGTGGCGCGCTTTCGGTCAACACCCCATCAACGCCGTTGATATCCTGGTCGTCTTCGGGGGCGACTTCCTCAGGCACCATTGGCGGTGCTGCTAGATACGAGCTATATCGATTGTCCTTTTTTCGTTGCTGGGCAATCCATTTCTTAAGCGGATTCAAGAAAGGAGCCACCATATAAAATTTATTGGCGTTGAAAGTCGGTTGATCTGTGCCGCTCCCTTCGTGTTGACGACTTTTTTTCAGTGTTGGTAGATCTGTCAATTTGTACCATTCGATCTTGCTGATTTCCTTACGTGTCTTCGGTTCGAACTGGGTGTCTCTTGGAACCCCTCGAAAAACATATAGCCTCATGTGTTGTTCTCTCATCGTCACTTCGATATATTTCATGTCTTTTTCATCTTTCACGAGTCCTGCCGCGCGAATGTCAAAACCGGTCTCCTCGTAAACTTCTCGCACCGCGCAGTCGAGGTCATTCTCATCCTTGTTTATTTTCCCTCGAGGAAAACTCCAGTTGGCACTCTTCTTCCAGCCTTTGACGAGGACGACTTCATCCATGGCATCATTGAGCATGATGGCGCCGCGCACTGGAACGCGGGACTTGTATGCCAGGAATTCCGCAAATGCGGTAGTGTGGTATTGGGCGGACCATTGGGAGAAGAGAGGACAATGCTGGAAAATCCGCAAGCTAAATGCGCGTAAAGAGAGTGACGGTAGCGAGGGATCAAGGGGTCGGATGAAGTCTTCGTAGAACCATTGTGCCTCCTCGACCTGGAAGCATATTCGTTCTACCGATTGGAGCTCCTCCGGAGGCAAGTTGATAATGAATCGTACGCAGAGGTCATCTAACCCTGATAGACGCTGGGTATTAGCAATGGATGGGTAAGGGTATCATGCCAGGGCGAGGTATCTTACAGTCCTCCAGCTGCATCTCTTAGGGTGATGGTCAGTTCAAGGAGTCTGCTCATTTCCACTACCCGCAAGATGTTCTGGTGCAATCGAAGATTCCAGACGGGATCACCCAGGATGCAAGGTGCACTGCCTTACGTCTAGATGTGTGATCCGGGGGCCTTTTGGGAGTTGTAGATTTGTGGGGTAGCGTACTAGTTAGTAGTCAGACGAAAGGTCGAGGGAGCAAACACGCAAACGGAAGAAGTTTGTCCAAGACATCTGACAATTGTGGCTGGTGGCTAGCGGCTGTGAACTGTGGCTCAGTCAGATCGTCAGCCCAGGTTTTTCCTACCAAATTACGTAGCCGCGGACAAGAGTTTCAAGGTGGGCAGCAAGATTTCTATATATGAGCTTTGCATCATCCCGCTTGACTCGATGCCCAATCGATCTTGTCCCGGCCAAATGAATTGTGGCATGCGCTTGTTTGACTTTGTTTAAGAGCCAAACGAGTCTAGCCTGCACCAGCCCCGACGTGCAGTGACATAAAAGCTGGATCCGATCGCCTTTTGTCACCTCCCCAACCTGCTTGACTCTCTAACTCAGTATCTACTTACTGCATTTCCGCAGCTCAGATCCTCCTCTTTCACAACTCAAAGTTCAATTCCAATCTCAATCCCGCAAACATGGCTTCGTTCGCGGCCAAGATCGTGGCAAAAAAGCTCTTTAAAGAGACCACTTCCAACAAGCAGGGACAAGAGGTATGGTTTTTAAGAGTCCACTCCCTATCAACTAATAAATTACAGGATCCCTACTTTGAGACCATTCCAGCTACGAGGCTGGGAGGAATGTACAAGACGACCAAGAAGAGACGCAGAGCCCTACCGCCCGGTTTGACCGCACAAGAGGAAAAGGTCCTCACCAAGGCGAAGCGAAGGGCCTACCGCGTCGATCTCTCCCTTGGTAGTTTTTTCGGAACGAGGTTTGGCTGGGGCGCCATCATTGGCCTTATACCCGGGTAGGTCCCTCCTTGATGCCTTAAAAGGGTATGACATTTGAACTGACGTTGTATTAGGATTGGCGATGTCCTTGATCTCCTTCTAGCCTTCATGGTGTACCGAACCTGTTGCTCGGTCGAGCCAGAATTGTCTGCCTCGGTCAAAATGAGAATGAAATTGAATATGGCGATTGACTTTGGCATCGGCTTGGTCCCATTTATTGGCGATATTGCAGATATGGCATACAAATGTAACACCAGAAATGTGATTTTGCTTGAGAAGGAGCTGCGGGAGCGGGGCAGAAAGAGACTGAAGGGCACCCCACAAGCAAACGTGGCCGATCCAAGTTTGCCAGATGAGTTCGACTATCAGAACGAGGAGCACCTAATGAACCAACAGAACGGTCCACCTCCCAGATATACCTCTCAGCGCGAGTCTAGGAGATCGCATCGAGACCGTGGGAGAGATTATGATGTCGAAAGAGCAGACGAAATTCCCCCATCGAGGCCGACTCGAACACGTTGAGGGCCAGATCCTGTAACGCTGCCCTTTGGCTGTGATGGAATGACTCATCGTATACACCAGGATTGATATCGCGCGATAGACCGAATTGACCTTTCCTTTTGTGCGCAACTTGACAGAAAGTTTTCCTTCACGCGGACCAGGGATTTTGTCCACCTCTTATGCAGAGCTTGATGACCATAAGCCATGGAATTCAACGGAAGAAATCTGAAATTTATGACCTGATATCCTGCTTCATTCTCTGGCATCCGTAGCAAAGAGACGAATTCGAGTTCGGCATTCCGGTGCTGGTTGTATTTGTCATCGCGCAGACAGGGCAAGCAATCACATTATCCCCTGTATTCTTGAGTTCTAGCTTACTTGCTGTTCGCACCACGTTCGCCACGAGACTTGGATATTTTTCGCCCTGAGAAGTGATATAGGTATTTAGGAGGCTGTCGATCGAAGTGTTGCGTACGGTAGAGGGAGGTTTACTAGTGTCGTCATTCTGCGCCACTCCGTGCAGTAAAGGATCCGATAGAGTTTGAGCATAAGTTTGAAGTTCGGTTTTGAAGAGGTCGCGCATAGGATAATTGAAATTGATACCGTGGGGAGAGAGACCGTCAGCGATAGTGGAAGGAACCGACCCACCTCGACCTTTAGCAACATCTGCAAGTACCAGAGCGGCCAAGCGACTGTCCGAGTGACCCCAAAGGATGCTTTCACACTTTTGTTCTTTGGCAGCTGAAACCAAGAGGCGCTGCAGGAGAATGGATTGTAGTTCTGTTCTCGTGGCTACAGAAGCAGTGGATGATAGCATCCGGCGTGTCAGAATCTCATCAGGTTCACCCTCCTTGCGTTGAATGCCGATATGTTTGAGATCCCGTTCGAGATTGCGATCTAGACGTAAGACGTCATGAAGAGCGAGCAGGGGAAGGAACACGTGCATAGGAAATCTGTGCGCCACGTCCTCATAACTGCTCCGTACTGTCGCTTGGATGTCTTCGTCTAGAAGCATAACACGTACCACAACGAGGTCGTACGCAGTTCTATTTCGGTTTGCAATTTGTTTTTGCAGCTGGGCATCGAGGATTTGCAACAGGACGAAGGAAGAAACTCCGCCAGAAATGGGAAGAAACAGCCGGCGTTTTTGATCTCCACGGAGATTTTTGAATCGATAGGATTCCATGCGTTTTAAGATTTTAGAAGTAACATATCGGATGAAACAGGCGGCACATAAGCGCCGGTTTCTGACATGAAGACTGGCGTCACGCTCCCGACAGTCGACACAGAGCTCGATGGTCATTCTTACCAACCTCGACGAACAAGAAGAGAGTGTGGGGATTCAACGGTCGAGACGGGAGGAAGATGAAATTTCCTGTTCTAACAACTTGAGCATGAAGGAGGAACAAGAATTCTCGTTGACTCCGCAGACCATGAGAGTCAAAATGTCTGAATGTCTTGGCAGCATAAGATTTCCAGGATGCAGCGTGCACCTCTCGGCTTCAGCCTTTCGGTGTTTGTTAGCGTCTGCCCGATACCGGGCTTCGTGGTCAGGTGACGTTGCAACGGGCAAGGGGATGCTGCACGTGGCTGGTTCCCTCGCTAAAGCATGACGTAAACTTCCCTCGACTTTGGGGTTAACACAGCGGGCTAGCACGCACCGTGACTGGCATTAATGCAAGATCGGGCCCCCCAGTCCTGAGCGAAAAGCCCAGATGTTGCGCCATGATAAGACGTTGTCAGTTGTCGTTTGGGGCACTTGACAGCTGAAGTCGTAATGTACACCTATTGGGTATCTCGAGCAGCCCCATACCTTGACAGCTTCCTTGCGCATAGATTCTCAATTATTTCTTACTCATTCCATCACCATGACCACTGTCGAAGGTGTCTCGCAAACTCTGACCAACTCGAAAGACAAAGTCATGGGTACAGATGCTCCCCACTCAGGTACAGAACCACCGGCTGGCGTTCAAGGCAAAGGCACAGCATCGGACCCGTATGACGGTGGAAACGCCCCAGGTAAGACTCGTCGAGTTGCGCTACAGAACCGATACTCAAGCACTTTGATGGCAGAGGGCGCACCAAAGTCAACAACCCAGACAGACGGCGCCTCTTCACAGCCGATTGATGCCTCTGCAACCGCAAGTGCTCCTTCTTCTACTCCTTCCACGACCGCGCAGACCACAGCCGCCAAAGGCGCAGGCGATAGGGGACGACACCCACTAAATGTGCCAGCCAGGCCCAGAGAGGAAGAACGTGATGTGAGTCCCGGAACTCTACCGGACGGCACACATGCGCAAACAAGCGGCGACCGTGGGGAGAGCTATGAACCCGGGAAATTGAGTAGACTCAAGGGAAAGCTGCCATTTGGGAAGCGCTAAAACATCAGGGTTCAAAGGGCCGTTCAGTCGCTATAAGAAGTGTCGTTCGCATATGGGGTGCAATTACCTCGATAATCAAGGTAGAAGCTAGGTGTGGTTGTTTGACCCGAAACCGAAAGGTCTTCTCATTTGCTTTGAGCTAAATAGCTTATCACTAGGAATTCAGTAAATGTCGGTTTTGATAAGTCCAAAAGTCATCACCTTACTAATGGTCTTGCGTGTTCACGACTTTTGAGTACGCGATACGGACGAGCAGACGCACCATGGAGCATTCCACAAGCAGTCTCGCACGGAGATAGTCCGAAAGCCAATGTCGATAAATCATGGTCGAGGACGCTCGATCCATCACATATACGACCCGCCGTGCGCGGGCCGTATGAAAAGTTGCCCAGGCCACGGCATGGCATGGCATGGCATGGCTTGGATGGTTCTGACAATCAGGAGGAGCAAATCGAGCAATAGACCAAGGGAAGGAACAGAGGGAGAGAGGAGGAGGCACATGAAGGAAGGGGAACACTTGGGTGCAGGTGTGGACAATGTGTATGTTCTTTTGTGACTGAGCACTGAATTTGATCTCTTCCCGTCACTCCCACCTCATTGTCACTCCACGCGGGCCGCCGTCCCCATTCTCCGTCCGTTGACGGCTTCCATCATTTGCCGTGAAGGGCAATTCATGCCGTGCTAGCCAAGGAAGGAAGGAAGGAGGTGTACCCAGACTTTGTCGACTTCGACTCTTCCGATGAGGAGTTTGGTCTGGAAAATACTGCCCAGGACTCGATTCGTCGCTTCAAAAATGCTGGAGCTCACTCCATCGATCGGATGGTCAGCAACCAGGTAAGAGAATTCCTCAATGGCAGACCGATGCACGTCTCAGAGACGAGGGAATCGACCCGGTCGGTGTTTCCAGGTGGACACGACAAGAGATCGCCACAGAAATCCGAAAGGAAGAAGTGCACGCGAAGCCGTTGGCTAAGCTTCCAGAGACACCGGCTCAGCCGATTGTCCAATCCGATGAGAAATGCTCTTCCAACCTCGAAGACTAGGGCCACGACAGTCTCCACACGCCAACCATCGCATCAGAAATTAATGCATCATCAGTATCACTCCTCAATGACCACCCTGTCATTGATCCAGGTAAGCGGGACATACTCCACGAAACTCGGATATCAGCACTGACTCTTGTTGTCGATTGCTCTTTTAGATCTTCATGCTGAGAAAATGCCCGTCAACCTCGGTGGCGATGATCATGAGGAAATGCAAGAGCTCTCGGCACCAGAGGCGGAATGGTCAGATGTCAACCTAGAGCATCTTAATACCCTCGAGGACATCATCCGTAGTCAAGGGATAGCCCCCATTGACCGACAAATTTGACCCGGTCGATTTGGGCACTGAGAAATGTTATCGAACAAGAGCTTGTGGCCCAGACAATGTTGGAGCTACCCACTTCAGAGAATGACCTTCCTTCCAACCTAAAAGTTCTAAATATTAATACCAATATAGATCAGCAACCTTAGATATTACCAAGAGATGCTTAAGTTACATATTTCACCGCCATCAATGTCTTAATCACCAACAAGCGGCTTCACCGAATAGATCCTGTTGAAGCTGCAAAGAACTTTTCAATGGGGAATGCTCGCAATCAACCTGCCAGATTTGTCCTCGATTGTGCAAAAGTCGTTGTTGTACCACCCACACTATCAGCAGGATCAGAGAGCACAATGTTTCCTGTGCTGGTACCCGCATCAGAAAACGACGAGGACGGTGATACTGGGACTTATCCGTGTGATCACCCTGGCTCTGGAAAGGTGTTTGAGAATCAAAAATGCACTCAATAAACATCGCCACGATGCTCTTGAGTTGAAACCACGCAAATGTGAGTATGGTTGTCCCACTGATGACTCTCCTGTTTTCACAGCTTTTGGGAAGTATGAGCGTCACATAACAACGGTGCACGACGACTCACCTGAGCCAACGACTTGCCCGTTGGCCGAGTCCTGCCATTCAGAGAACATTTTCAAGAAGAGAAAGGACCTCAAGAGACACCTTAGACGGATTCATCAGCTCACCAGTGACCAGACGGTTGTCAATGCTCCCGTCAAATCAAAAGTTTAATCCTACAAGCGGCAAAAGCACGAGAGGCATGTCGCTGCCGGCTTGAAGATTGCACAACGACAGAGATGTTCACTACACCATCAAAGCTTCGAGATCATCTTCGCAAGACACACGAACCCAGTGTTACTGATGCAAAAAGTTGCGCGGAGCAGGTTTTGAGACCAATGCAGAAGCAGCCAACGAAGGAACCAATCGACCTCAAGTCTTGTCCACTGAAAACAACGTGTAAATCAACGCGTCGTTTCTCGTGCTTATTACTCACGCCATACGCTTGACTGAAGAGACTCTTGGGGTGACCATGCGCAAGGGCAAGGCGCAGCAACCTCGCAAATGCCCAACGCCCAATTGCAAGTCAACCAAAACGTTTGCTCAACCTCGTTAGTTGACAGCTCATCTCCGTGAAGGTCACCGGCTTCAGGAAGGCGAAGCAGTTTCTTTTTCGAACGAGACTTTTATAGACCACACGGCAGACTCTGGGGAAGACAAAACTGACTGAGGTGGCTTCTTTCCAATGGAAAGGGGCTCAATCATGTTTCATCCTCGTGCAGTTGTGCTATTATCTGCGGTGTTTCACCTGTCGCCGCATTAGGGGTTATGTCACCATTGAAGTTCGACTAGTACTGAGGTATCATCGTTCAATGTCTCTCTGATGGCATTGTTGTGCTGGGTCATTATGCTCAGGAGCTGAGACATATCAATATGGGCAGAGAGCTAAAAAAGGGGCTGGTGTTGTGTAGAAGCTGGTATGCTACAAGGTAGTCATGACTTCTGCACAGTGAGGACAAGAACTTAAGGCTGAAGTTGATAAAATAGACACAATTAGACCAAACTCCCCTGCTCCCTGCCACCATTCTTCTATCTTTTACCGCGATGGTCGAAGAGATCGGACAACTGAAGTATCGTGCCACTCGGCTGCTTTTTGTACCTGCAGCTCCCGTCTTCCGTGTTGCGCCACCGCCAGCGCGCGGCAGAAATGACCCTCACCGCCTCTGGATACTGACAGGTAATTGGCCACCAGCTGTTAGATTGGGGCTCCCATGGAAGAGTAGCTCGTCGAGACCCCAAACATCAGACCCTAATTTTTTTTTGGGAGGCACACGCACCTATGGCTTTAGAACCTACATAACCCTCACTTTGACAGCAGTTCCTATGGTTCTCTCCTATTCTTCATCCTGAATACAAATAAATCTGTGCGCGAACCCTGTTAAGACAATCTTTTGTTTTATTTGCGCCTCCAGACGATCGTGCCCCCACCCTTCATATCTGTTTTATCCCTTGATCTTCCCCATTTCACCGCTCCTTATTCGACAACGACCAAATTCGCCCTCCAGCCAACCCTTGTTCGACCAAGAACCTCTGCAAGTCGATTCTAAACCACTCAGTTCTATGTTCAAATCCTGCAACCATGGCGGCGCGACCTCAGAATATTGGCATTAAAGCCATCGAGATCTACTTCCCAAATCAGGTATGCGAGGACAGAAAACAGGAAAAGAGTCCAAGTTGTGTGGACATGTGCTCATATCCTCTAGTGCGTTGAGCAATCTGAACTGGAGAAATTCGATGGCGTTGCAGCTGGAAAGTACACAATCGGCCTGGGGCAGACCAAGATGTCCTTCTGTGACGACAGGGAAGGTCAGGATTCTTTTGGTGTGAAATTGTCGCGGCTGTCGTCTAACCAGATCTGAGTAGACATATATTCCATCGCCCTTACTACCCTGACGAGCCTGATCTCGAAGTTCTCCATCGACCTTAAGAACATTGGAAGATTAGAAGTCGGTACGGAAACAATGCTGGACAAGAGCAAGAGTGTCAAGTCCGTTCTGATGCAATTATTCGAGAAGTCGGGTAATTTCAACGTTGAGGGTGTGGACTCTTACAATGCTTGCTAGTGAGTGTTGCTGGAAGTTTTGCCCCAAGGATCCAGACTCTAACTAAGAGGTAGTGGCGGTACAAATGCAGTTTTCAACACACTGAACTGGATCGAATCGTCAGCTTGGGACGGACGAGATGCCATTGTCATTGCAGGAGATATCGCTCTTTACAAGAAAGGCAATGCTCGTCCCACGGGCGGTGCTGGCTGTGTGGCCATGCTGATTGGACCTGATGCGCCGGTTGTCTTCGAACCTGGTCTCCGAGGGTCATATATCACTCATGCTTACGATTTCTACAAGCCGGATCTCACCAGCGAGTATCCCTATGTTGACGGGCAGTTCTCTTTAAGATGCTATACAGAGGCAGTCGACGCTTGCTACAAAGCATACAACGCCCGAGAACGAGTGCTCAAATCCCGAGCAAACGGCGCCGTGGTTAACGGCCATGGTGTCATGAACGGAAATGGTATGCACACGGAAGAGAACGAGAAAGCTCCCCTGGATAGGTTTGACTTCATGGCCTTCCATGCACCTACCTGCAAGCTCGTCTCGAAATCATATGCTCGACTCTTGTACAATGACTTTCTGGACGATCCAAGCCACCCACAATTCCGAGACGTCGCACCTGAGTTACGGGATCTGGAATATCAGGCATCTCTGACCGACAAGAACGTGGAAAAAACATTTATGGGATTGACGAAGAAGCGATTTGCTGAACGGGTGCAACCGGCCATCCAGGTTGCCACGATGTGTGGAAATATGTACTGTGGCAGTGTATACGGTGGCCTGGTTGGGCTGATCAGCAACGTTGCTCCTAAAACGCTCCAAGGCAAGAAGGTGGGGGTTTTCAGCTACGGGAGTGGTCTGGCCAGCTCGATGTTCAGCTTGAAGGTTGTCGGTGACACCACGGAAATGGCTGAGAAGCTGAACCTTCAAGCCCGGCTAGATGCCCGCAGGGTTGTTGCGCCCGAGGTGTACGATGAAATGTGCTTGTTGCGAGAAAAGGCACACCTCAAGAAAGACTTCAAACCGGCGGGCAAAGTGGAGGATTTGGTGCCAGGAACATATTACCTCACTGAGGTCGACGAGATGTTCCGACGAAAATACGAAGTCAAGGCATAAGTCGAAGTCATCAACAGAGACGGATTGTATCATTCTTGCAGAACGCTTCACGTTTCACAAGATGGCGTTGGACCGAGATTGGTTGGGAGCTAGACCGCCCTTCGATAGAGCGAGACGGGGCATTGCAAGGAAAGATTTACTGGATTCAGGCCACCAGAAGTGCATTTGATCCTCACCCAAGCTTGTACATATGAGGAAGTGCAGATGGGTTTGACACAGAAGTACTAGCAGCGATAATTGATCAGCAGAAGGGAAAAGCGAATGACAAAGCAGCATGTGTCTGCATTGGCAGAGCTCAGAAACTTACGTTCCACAGGGTTGCGTAGTAACCTTTGGTACAATGCGCTTGCTGCGACATGCATGATCCGTCAGACTGAGGGCGACCAGTAAATGACCTGTTTCGGATTGAGCTGTTGTAAAGATGAAACATAAGCCAATTCGAACGATGGTCAAAGCCAGTAAAAAAGAGCAGTGGGAAAGGGCCCGGTGCAGGCTGTGCAGGAGGTTGCATGCAAACGAAAGAAGTTGAGAGAAATAGTCGTGTATAGTTCGTGAGGTACTAACCGTCTGCATATGCATCGTTCATGCCAGTAGTAAATGAGTCACGCGTGATATGGCGACAGTTTCGTGTCATGGTGGTGGACGGAACGCGCAACAGACGTGTCAGATAAGAGAGTATGGGTACCCAATAGGGGCAGGTCTCCCGAGAAATCCACCTCTTCGGTAACACTTATTCTGAAAAAAAGGTTGCCAGACTGGAAGCACCTTGAGCCGCTGCGCCACCCTCGCCACCCTCTCGCCCACAGATTCGGGCTCTTTTTCTTTACTATACGTCCTTTTCCTACCGGCGCCAACTGTGGCAACCAATGACCATCCCATACCTGCTCTAGAATTGAAAAACCCACTGCCAATGAAACATCCTCTCTCCCCCAGCGCCTATCTGAGATTCGGACGTCTCTCAGAGGCGATCTGCTGATCTCTGCATTGCGCTTCGCGCTCCTCTCGAGGCTCCGCTGCCACGCTTGACTTCCTCTCCATTGTCAAACAACCGCCACCGCCGAAGAGCCTCATCTCGAAATAGAGATCAAGCGCCGACACAAATTGCCTCGTAAGACATGGTGAAGTCATCGTTATACTCCGTCGGGCCACCATGGCGTCGTCCGAGAAAGCCCAGGCATCATTCCACCGCCCGAAATAGCTGTCTTCGTTTCCATCATCCTGGCGCGCGTCTTCCACCACGCTCCAACGGCTCCGCGCTCTCCACGGTAGGGAACAAATCTACGAGATCCAGCATCGGATTCTCGAATACTAGCTCCGACGTGTTTGTTTCCCTGCCATTCTTGTGTTCTTGCTCCATGTTTCATCTGCATAACGACCTGCAGGACGCTGTTGGCCGGGCTTCAATTCTGCCCTCTTCGGGTCGCATACATCCAGCCCATTTATACCTGGCCCTTCCTCCCTCCGAGCTCTCTCAGCCTTTCATTCTTTCAAGCTGCAAGACTTAATACCCGGTCTCCCTGCCATTGGCATTTCCTTTTCCTTACTCTTTTTGTTTCCTTTGTTCCTAGATTCCAATCTCCACTCCGGGAAGCTGGCTTCCCGTGACCCATTGATTTTGGCTTGTCCATCCCTCGAAAAGTTGCACAAATGTGAGTTCTGTTGGCCTTGCTGCCTAGTCTCTTGACGAGAGTCTGACTGTTGTCCTCCAGAATGTCGTTGGCACCCTACTACTATAGACCACTCACGCCTCCAGAGGCCACCGGTGCTGCTGGCCAGCGTGGTGACACTCGGAATCTGTCAAGCTCGTCATACTGCACACTTGACACCTCACCTGAACCAGTAATTACAGTTAATTCAACCCCGAGTCGGTCGCCAGTTCTTCGTCAGCATGGCCCGACCTTGCTTCCAAAGATCAGAACACAGGATTCCTCTTTGGAGCCTCCAGCGGCTTATCGACGAACCTCGTCCTCTACCAACAAACATGCACGGCCTGCCATGTACAGGAGCGCGACCGAACCTGTGGAGTGTGTTCCTATGATCTCGCCAGTCTCCAATGCTTCTCATTCGCGATCCAACTCACTGATCCCATCACCGACTCTATCGAAAGCACAGCTTACTGTGCCCGTCAAGACACATTCCCGCTCAACTTCAGCTTCAAGCATCGACAGTAACGTGCTGAATCGTTTTGGCTATCCGACTTATCGTCAGCTCCCAGTCTATATGTCTCAGAGCCAGCAGACCCCTTCACCTGATCTCTTTGCGACCACCTACATGCCATGTACAAACTTACCCATGCCTGAGCCTCCTATGATCAATCTAGAAGGCACTTTTGACATGCCAATTGATCTCGATGCTATCTCGCGTCCTTGCTCCATGAGTCCACCTCCCATGCTTGCGCCTGTCTCGACTACCAGCTTGCTCAGCTATCTGACTCAGTCGACCCAGCCAATCAATTTGGTTCGACATCTCACCGTTCAGACAGGCCGTGGTCTTTGCAATCACTTCTGGTGGGATGTGCGCAACATTCGACCCTGGAAGTCCTTCAACTTGCAGACTATGGCGACCATCCCGGATCTTCTCACTTTACTGAATTTCCAACATGACACAGCATGTTTCCCGCTCACCCAGACAAACACCAACACCGTAACTCCTGCATCGGAAGCCGACCTCGCCAATCTCATCTTCAAGATCTACTTTCCCAAGGTCAATGCTGCGACCCGGTTGTCTCTCGGGAACAACTCTATCTCTCTCTATCCGGCTCCAACTCCTACTGGCTCCGGGGTGAGCGCGAACGCCGCCAACATCCCCACTTTCCTTGCCAACTACCCTAGTGACAATGATCGAACCCTGTCGGGACTTCCACGGGGTCGTGTCGTTGGCTTGGTACGCTCGTTTGATCGCTGGAACACTGGCATGCGCCGTGAAGGCCCAGCCCGGAAAGTAGAGTATTTGCGGACGCTGGCGCATCTGCAGAAATGCATGCGTGATCACAGTTGTCGTTATGGATTTATCATCACCGAGATCGAGCTCGTCTGCGTCCGTGCCGGCTGCGACGAACGAGGCCAGCCATATTTTGGTTTCCTCGAGGTTGCGGAGGCCGTGGAGACCAAGACTTTCGCCCGAAAAGATGGTGGCGCTCTCATGGGAAGGGGTGACGGCGAAGTCAGCATGACGGTCACGTTAGCTTTGTATTATCTTCTCATGCTCGCCAAGTCGACCCCGTTGCCAGGCCAGCCAGCCAGTTTCATGGATGTCGGCGGCCCAGGTGCGTTGACAAGGCAGAGAGTCTGGGATGGTGGAAATGGAGTCAACACCGTTAGTGTTGACGAGGATGGAGATGTTGAGGAATTGGGCAAAGATGGCAAGGATAAATGGATCCCCGAACCGCAGATGGGCGAGAAGAGAGAAGCAAGAACCGTCAGAGGCTGGGTCTGGCCGAGTGATCCGTGGCACAAGAGAGAAGGTGAACGTGGCGAGCGTGGAGGTGCTGCGAGAGGTGGAAGACGAGGGTAAGCTTCCAGAGATACTCTCGGGAAGAAGAAGGGGACATGAGACTTGAAAAACGTTGGTTTTTGGCATTGATTCGCAAACGATGCCATCCAGGTGATGAGCTCGATATACAGGTCTTCAGGAAAGTAAAGTAAAAGGTATTGATATTGAAAAATTGGTAATAGCCATACATGCATTTCAAGATCCGAGAACTATTTGCAATCATCCTAGCTGTGGCACGTGGAAACGTAGAACAATCTTCACAGGGTGAATCCTAGTCGAAGAGAGAAATGTCAGCAAAACGGTCATGCTGATCTAGATAGTATATCGGCTGGTTGGCATGAATATTGAAATCCAGTCTGAAGCACCTAGTTGAAAATCATCGGAGCCTTGGTGATTGACATAGGATATGGGTGACATGTGAAGAGAAACTTGGATTGGCTTACCGGGGCAGATTGGAGGATATTGTGGCTGCCCAAGGCTTGCTAGAGTAATAGTGACGTCAAAAACATTAGGTATGGCACGTGTGGCACAGCTAGCTGTAGAGTATTGAGAATGGCCAGATCGAAAGTTGATGGAGAAACCGAGAAGTCAAGATGACTCGAGCAAATTTTTATAGACAGAGCCTCGGAAACGGGGCGAGCACGTGACGCTATGCGAAGCCCAAGTGAGAGATGCGGGTGGATTGCCTTGCCCGCCAAACAACCTCTACAACTCGTATCGTATTTCAGTTCTTCTGCGTCACAACCCAAGTTACGACGGCACAAATCGCAAATTCTTAGTTGAACTGAATATCTATCTTGACTTTGTGTCCACAACATCTCGCATCTGGTCAAGATGGGAGGTAAGTTGGCTCACCCACAGCCGTCTCCCCGATTGCTTTCCTCTGTAATGGGAAACCCGGCGCAACAGGGAGTTCGCGACATTAGGCTAACAAACTCATAATACAGACTTTCTGGCCATCGCTCGTACGTGTTCCTCATCGATAAATATGTATCTCCCTTTGCCTAATTAAACACAGAACAATTTGTTGAATTCTACTACAAGACTTTCGACAGCGACCGCACCCAGCTGGCTGCTCTCTACGTAAGGCTCTCTGAACAGACGAAAAACACGAGGATAGGACAGAGCGTTGATGAAAGGATATAGAGAAACAACTCTATGCTCACGTTTGAGAAAGACCCATTTCAAGGGACACAGAGCATTATTGAGAAGCTGACGGTGGGTGAACTTGGTTACGATCAACATGCGATGAGGCAGCAAAGAGCTGACGGGACCACCAGAATTTGCCCTTCCAAAAAGTCCAACACCGAGTTGACACAACGGACGCACAACCATCGAACGAGACGGGAGGCATTCTGGTTCTGGTGACTGGGGCATTGATGGTATGTGTACGCCGCAGTTGGAAGGGTTCTTATGGATCAAACCAGGTTTACATTGTTGCAAGCAGCACTGATGGGCAAACACCACAGGTCGACGATCAGCCACAACCCATGAGCTACGTTCAAGTTTTCAACCTGGTACCTGAGGGTGGCAGCTATTTTGTTCAGAACGATGTCTTCCGATGTATGTGGGATTTGAAATGTCCCAATTGCGACGAGCTAACGCGTTGTATAGTGGTGTATGCTGCAAGCTGATAGATCATCGCTGAAGACGACGGAGTTCTGAAGATCTGGCCGTTGCAGTTTGGACAAGTCAACGCAATGGGGATGGCGTGCATAGCGGAAGGCGCAGAATTGGGGTGAGCATTGTAGCGAAGTTCAGTCACGACACACTGTGAGGGATGGAGCAATTGATGATAGAAGCCGATCAACAAAACAGTGCCTTCCGCCACCGACAGCCATATTTTTACAAGGCTACCACCAAAAAGAAAATAAATTACTGCCACTGAAACAGAAGTGTGCGTACTCGTCAGAATTTCTTGGCCTCCACCAACTAACCGTTCATCTCTGTTCCGGTGTCCGAGTGGCCTCACTACGCGGCTCGTACAGTACCACTAGTACAGTAATACCATGGGAATGCGATGTGAACGCGTGGCCGAAGCCGATGTCGCCACAGGTTGTGAGGACTCCAGGCTACTGCATTTCATCCAGCGCCCATAAGACGTTTAGCTGCTCCAGGCCTGAGAGTCTTCCCTCCCCTAAGAAATTAATCCTCTGTAAAGAGGAGTTCTGCCCTATGCTAAGTCAGACTGGTGGCATCCCTGTCCGCTTTGCACCCTGCCAAAACACCTCACCCAAACTGTCATCAACTTTTTGATTTGTATCCGCCAGTCCCCCTTTACAACGAACCTCAATCCAGTTCTGCTGTACCCTGTACCCTATCCTCTTCGTACCCCGCAACCTTCTTCTACTTCAGCATCGTTCCAGCCAGAAGTATCCTCAGAGCCTCCTCAGCCGGCCGACATCTGTCCTCTTCGACTTCCAGGAACGACATCTCAAATATAGCATAGCAGCCACCATCATGACGTTAGCGGAGGAATTCAAGTCGCGCAATTTTAGTGAGTTTCCAAGCTCTGACTCGATGAGTTGTCCATCCCAGACTAACCGTGGGCGCAGGTATCTACGGGCAATGGTAAGCACACATATTCAATCCATGGCGCGGCCAGCACCAGATCCCCTCCCATAGTTCCAAAGCCACGGAAATATCGGTCATGACACACTCTCTGGGAGGCTGCGATTCGCTAGGTCTGGTTGGAGGAGGGGATTGCTCGAAGGATTGCCTGCGCAGGTGAGGAAAGAAGGATAGACTAACGTAAGAGAGCAGGCTCGGAGTGCTATGCATTATCCTTGGATTTGCTTTGGGGATTGCCAACATCTTCCATCTTGACCTTCTCATTCTATTCAGTATCATCCTCCTGTAGGTGTCTCCTAAGTCGGTCAATCTCTACCCCGGAGTTAACGTTCGGTGGCAGTTGCTCATCTCTTGTCCTGATATTTATCGAAATCCCTCTCCTGCTCCGAATTTGCCCTACTTCGGCCAGATTCGATGCCTTCATTCGCCGATTCACAACTAACTACATGAGAGCGGCAATCTACGGGGTCATGTCTCTGGTTCAATGGCTCAGCATTATTGTGGACGCAAGTAGCTTGATCGCTGCAGCTGTTGTATTGGCTTTGGCCGGAGCATGCTATGCATTGGCAGGACTGAAACAACAAGAATTCGTGGGGAGCAAGACCCTTGGAGGACAAGGGGTGGCACAGATGATTGTCTAAAAGGACAATCCAGATGACCGCCCTACTCTCTTGACTCAATGTGTTTTTTTTTTTGGGGCGGACTGGAAGGTGACTTGAAGTCCTACGTCTAGCAGTGCACCTAGGGGAAGAGGATATGGCGCGAGGAACCGACCAACGGCGTTCGGGCCACTTGACTAAAATTTGACAAAGAGTCCGGGGCATTTTTCTACGAATATGGATCAAAGCAAGCGACCTCACGATTTCGACAGAGGGCTGGATAGCGATTGGGAGAATGGAGAGCAACGTCGCTTGCTTCCAGGATGATTGGCGTTGACTCAATGATTTATTTACGTTCATGCGCACAAGTGTTCCACATCCAGTCTGATTGCCTTCTCCCAACACTGGATAATATCAAATGATAGTCTTTCTTTGGCGGCAACTTGTCAAGGGGTTCTCATGTCAGCCGACAGAGGCTTGGCTTAGCCTGATATAATGCTTACATTGCTTGACTCGTTAGTTTCACCGACTGGAGGAAGGTGTTCGAATTTTTTTTTGGACGGCTTAGGGAAGAACAGGTCCTTTTGTTCCGTCAAGAGAGAGAAACCAGATGCCGTACAGAAAGCACATGGGAAGGAAGAGGAGGCCTTTGTGTCGATCCAAATGCCGGATGTTTGAGTTTGGGAAATAAATGGCCAAATGCCTAGGAAGCAAGGAGGTTATCGACAAGGGCATTGGTCACCGTTGATCGGTCGGTATGTCTTTGGATACCCACTGATCAGTGTGAAGGAGCCTCCTAAGCACTATTCATGCCACAAGGAGGTGGTATGGCGTACGCCGATTAGTTATTGGTCTCAGCGTGGCGAGTAGATAGTACAGTAGGAAGGGGGTAGCTGCTGAACCGTGTAGATGGACGCTGTAAGCACGGGCAAAAGATATACTCTTGCTGAGCCAATGTGGCTGATGCATAATTCTGAAGTGGAGGGAAAGCAAGAAGCAAGACTGGGAGGTGGTGAAATGGACATGTTTCCTTGTTCAGGGAGGCTGAGCCCTTATTCTCTGAGTCTGGCGTCTTTCACCCCCGGATGCCGAGCCCTGATTATGCTCTCGGTCTCTGCCTCGAACACGGGTTGCTATTTGCGGCTGAGCCTGGAGAGCCAGTGAGCTTATCGTCTACCTCAATCTTGATGCTTCTTGAGGCCATGGGTGTGGCTTATAGGCAGTACGCTGTGCCTACTCCGGTTAGAGGTGGCTCCAGGCTCACAGGCTCACGAGTCTTTGTAAGGTGGCAGCTGGTTCTGACCCTGGCAAGCCCCCCGTTCACTCGATCCCGACTTGGGGCCTGAAAACTAACCCTATGCGACCTTTTGTCGAAACCTCATCTCAACTCACTTTCAAACAATCCTCACGACAAAGGAGCACGAAAAGAACATGAATTAGCAGAACCAAGAAAGAACAATGCCTCCAGACGCATCTCGAGCATACCATGGACAGCAATCAGCCCAATGCTTATCTCAACGTGCCCGTGACCGACGCGGAGCGGGCTCAGGCTAACAATCAATCACCCCGAGATGACAGCTCCGACAGACTCTTACCGGAATCACAGCTCCCTCCGCCAGAAGAGACAGCATATCGAAATGACCCAGTGCCTCTTCGATTTCCTTCCATACATGCTCCTCCCGTCATAAGGAATTTTCCCCCAGCCATTGCCCAAAGACTCGATTCCCGCCAATATGCCCCAATTTCCCCTATTCACGAAGAAGACGAAGCCCACTCCATCGCCCTCCGCGAGCCGTCGGAACGACTAGCCGACGATGGTTATTTACTCGCACCTCCAGGACCAACTCCTCCATTATGGACTCCCATCTGGTTGAAGCAATGGGTGCTGGGCCTCTTTGCTCTTTTATTCGCACTTCTCCTGGTAGCCCTGGTTCTGCTCTGGCACTACGATGAGCAGAACGATGGATTCGAAGTGGCCGAAGGAACAAGCCATTACGCCTGGGCATATACGCCCACCGTAATTGCTGTCCTGATCGTGGCGGCCTGGAGAATGGTAGACCACCATTCCAAGTTAGCCATGCCTTTCGACAGTCTTCAGAACGGTCCAATCAAACCTTCTGAAAGTCTTCTGGTCGACTATATCTCGAATTTCCAACTCGTATCACTATATGAAGCATTTAAAAACAGCCATTTTGCCGTCACTACCACCATCACTGGATTTATCCTGTTAAAAGTTGTCACTGTTTTCTCTACCGGATTGCTGGTTCTGCTTCCGACCCAAGTAGCTCAAACGGGCTCATCAGTTCAGGTCCAGGGGTTCACTGCGAATGCTTTCGACCCCAATACTGCATTGGATTCTTCGACTTTCTCGGCCTTGCCCGTGTACGCATATTATGGAAGTATGGCTCAGGGAATGCCACTGGAAAATGGTGTAACTTTTGACCTGGCTTATGGCGCCATGACCGTCAATTCTAATTCTTCGATTGGAGATGACACCATTATCTCGGGCACTGTTGACGCATTTGTACCCATTATGACATGCCAACAGTTGGATGCGAAGTTGGACAGTCCAGCGATTGTGAACGACACCAATGCCGATAGCGCATTTGCGACCTCGAGCAACATATCTCTCACCATCCAAGCGGGGGATGTGTGCGATCAATTCTCTTCGATCAGCGTACCTGCTGACAACCCATATACCGAAATTCTTCCCGAGCGTCAGGTCTTAGGCACCATGCAGGAAATCTATTGTGGAACCACGAACGGGAGCGTTGCAGATTCGAAGGGTCCCGTGGGGTTGTTGTTCACCATCACCGACATCAACTACCAACAGACTCTATTTGACAATGCCAGTGATCTTGCTGGTGGGACATTTACCATTGCAAGTGGCGTCTCTAGAACGCTCACCAATATGACAAGTGTCTTCTGCACACCCTCGTATACGATGACCCAAGTCAAGGTAACCAACAATACTCAGATCCTCGACAGCAATCAAGCCATATCCGTGACTTTACAGAAAGATGCCACCAACAGCACACTTTCACAATTTTCGAATTGGAACGCGTCCAATGTCCTTGTGCAATCCTCTATTTCTGCTGAAACCCTCTTTGGAGACACAATCAACGATGACACAATTTCCGACTCCAGTGCCATATTTACTCTCATGGCCATGACTCGAGGTTCTGAGAACATCGATTCACTACTGGACTCAGACAAAATGATTTCAGCTGCTCAAGATACATACAAGGGAATATTGTCACAATATGCCCACCAAACCTTGAGGGCTACCAACAGCGATGACATCGAAGATGGCACCGTGACTCGTGAGGAACGCCGACTGCGTATCAATGATGTTTCTCTGTGGACCATGGCGTCAATTTTTGGATTACTGGTACTTTTCTGCATCGCGCTGATTTTCATTGCTCCTAGAGCGGTCGTGCCACGCGATCCCAGTTCAATCGCCGCGATTGCAACGATTCTCACCAGAAGCACTGAGTTGAACAGACTGCTTCGAAGACAAGGTGCACCAAGCTATGCAAACCAGAAGTCCGCCTTGGCTGGATTTGAATTCGGCACAGCAATCGCAACAACGGAGTCCGGAAAGACAAGCTTCAAGATTGTTACCTCCGAAGGTGAACTGGACGAACCGACTCCCAAGCCCAATACGGATATTAAATGGTGGCTACCGATTACAGCAACAATCCCGGTAATCGTCCTTACACTGATTCTACCGTTGGCCATTATCGTGGTCCTGGAAATTGTCCAACGCTCTTCAGACGATAGCAATGGCTTCTACACCGTGGCGGACGACAAGTGGACTGAAGTTTACAGTCACTATATTCCAGGTATCGTGATGCTGATTCTTGCAACATTAGTCAACATGCTTGACTTCAATGTGGCTCTGTTTGGACCTTGGATCAATCTGGCAAATGGTAACGCCATTAGCAAGAAATCCCTGCTGAATCACATATTGGGAAGGTCGCCTCCTTTTGCGTTCCTACAAGCTCTCCGGACACGATACGTAGGCGGGATCCTCAGTATCTTAGCCGCAACCCTGGCAAGTATTCTTACAGTTATCGCCTCTGGGCTGTACACGGTGGAGCATTTCACCGTTGAAGGCCCTGATGTATCGCTCAAGCAACTCGACTCTTTCACATTGAGTTGGCCAAACAGCTTCACCACCGACAACGGAGCCGCCGCCATGACGGATCTCATTATGCATCAGAATTTCAACTACCCGCAATTCACCTATGAAGGACTTGTCTTTCCGAGCCTCTCCCTCGACAATTCGGCATTGACGACAGATTCTCTGACATCTGTCAGTGGCTCTTCCAGTCATGTCTTCCCTGGAGTTCGCGGCAATCTAAGATGCGAGGTTCTGCCTGCGTCGTCCTTCAATTTGACCACTGAGAAGGCTGGATCAGATTCGGCGTATTCAACTGATCAAGCTTTCGTCACTGCAACTGCGGCACTTCCCGATTCATGCCATCTCGGTGGTTATACAGGCACGGATTCTGTTGTTACCTACGAAAACAACTTCGAGCTCCCTGAGGGCGGAGAAGGGACATATGCCGGCGCACAACTTGACCTCTTATTTGGTGAGAACGCCACGCTGTACGGGAATTATGGTGAAGCCCGTGGTCAGTACATTGGCGACAATCCGGCCGTGGGTTGCCCTAGTCTGGCGTTCACATTTGGTCATTTCAAGTTGGACAACACAGACAAAAGTCAAGTCACCACCATGATCTGCTACCAGGAAATACAAGGCTTTCAAGCAAACGTTACATTAAAGCTGAATAGCACAACCATCGACCCAGATCATCCTCCGGTAGTGGATGAGGGAAGCATTTCCCTCGAGGAAAACCCAGCCAGTAATATCGGTGCCAAATCTTTCGATTTTCGAATCCAGAATAATCTCGCTCAAGAGATGACTCTGTTCAACGGCGGGAGTGGTACGCCTGCATCCGATCCTTCAAGTACCAATACATTCGATATCTACTTCCAAGCAATTATCAATGGGACAGAAAAACACGACCCGACATCTCTTGCCGGCGAAAATAACCAAGATGTCCTCGTCGACGCAATCAACAAATTCTACCGCATTTACATGGCTCAAGCCATATCCGTGAACATGCGTGCACCGTTGGACAGCAGCACTCCTTCTCGCCTTTCCCGACGACAGGATTCTACCGCAAGTACATCCACCACTATAACGACGCCACGCCTCGTCCAAGATAATGCCAGCAAACTAACACTACAAATCCTCCTCGGGATCATGACTGCTCTTTCCGCCGCGGCATGGCTCACCACGAAAATGCGGCGGGTGCTCCCCTGCAATCCATGCTCTCTGGCAGGCGCGATGTCACTCCTAGCTGGCAGCGACCTCTGTCACAGCGCGGACGATGGACTCTGCGAATGCTGCGGCAAACCGCGGCGGCGTTCCTTTGGATTCGAAGACGGCAATCGACCCGTCAGCATCCATGCCGGACCAGATGAAGACGACGATGATGAGCGGGAACAAATCATCCCAGATGGCGCGGAGTGGATGCCACAGTCGCAGTTCGAGACCTTATTTGGTGGGAAAAGGTATAGCATGGGCTGGTGGCGCGAGCGGAAATCCATTGGCAAGCGACGGCGGTTTGGTGTCGATGTTGGCGCCAGGGCCGACGGCGCGGACGACCAGGACTGGGAGCTCGGAGAGCGAAGACCCGAAGGCCAGGGCTTCAGCGATTTCATGATGAGAGGCGGCGATCGCGACGGCAGAGGCGAGTATTCTCGCTTCGGAGCTCCCAGTCCCGACCCTGCCGCCATGGACGCAGGTTTCCCTCAAGATCCCCCTGGACCGAGCGTGACGAGACCGCCGATGGCATCAGGGATGGGAATAGGTATAGGAGGTGGTGAACCCGGTCCAGCCACGTTGGCTAGACGACAGACTGGTTCCCTCACGGGCGGTGAAGCATAGGCGTTTTTTATATGGTGTTTATAAGTCCGATGAAAGCTTTTCTTTTTATATTCGACACGTGACTTTTCTACTTGTTTATATATATATATGTATATTTGGAGTTCGGGCTTGCTGTTAGTTGAGCGAGAGTGATACACCGTTACATCCAAAATGCGAATCACGGAGGGGGTGATTTTATCAATTCAGGTAAAAAAACCAATTTGAAATTTCCAAATATTTGGTGGTGATTGAAGAATATTTTTGCTTTATTGTTGTGCGGTCTTGGAAGAAGCCTCGTAAAATTTACTTCGTCTCAAACATACCATACGCAATTTCTCCTTTCCTCCATCGTAGGACAACTCCTGACCCGGATCGACACAATTCCTACCCATTCTCGTTCAATACTTAGTAAGTAGCAGCCAATCTCATAACCAGATAATCACCACTGTTGATGCCTTCATACTTTTTGCCGGACTTCTCCCAAGTCCCAGGCAAGGCCTCGATGAAGCGGTCGAAGTTGGGGTTGCAGAAATAGGCAATACTGTAGCGGGCGGGGATCATGGCTTCGGTATCATCGTCGGTTCCGTTATCCTTAGGCGGCGGCTGAATGACACGATGCTTGGTGGATTTGATTTGGTCGTTGCTCCAGCGCATGAGTAAATCGCCCGCATTGACGACGATGGAGCCGGGGATGGGTGTGGCTCGCACCCATGTGCCCTGCGGCGATTTCACCTCTAGTCCGCCAACGTCGTCTTGAAATAGGAGAGTGATGGAGCCGTAGTCCGAGTGCTCGCCCGCACGCACTTGCGAGGGGTTTTCCTTGAAAATACTCTTCTTGACGGCCGGATAATGGAGGAGGCGCAGCGTATTGTCCCCGCCGTCCGTGTAGGGGTCGAAGAAGCTCTCCTCCAGGCCCATACCGAGCGCGATCGCCCGCATCACGTTGACGTGCAGGTCCTTGAGCGTGAGGAAGAACTTTTGCATGTCCCTCGTGAATGCGGCACCCTCGCTGTCCAGGTGCGCAGGCCATTGATTCGGTTTGCCTTCGATTCCTTCCCGGCCAATCTCCATGGACTCCTTGAGGTCAGGGTTCGAGGCCCGCAGTTTGGCGATCTCGTCTGGGTCGTTGGACTGTGTCACTTTCTCGCGGCCCCAGGCCACGTAACCTCTGTTGGCGTCTGGGGTGGTCCAGCCCAACACATCCTTTTGGGCTTGTGGACGAGCGAAGAATCGTGCTGACTCCGAAAAGGCCAGCAATACTTGATCTTCAGGGATCCCGTGGTTTTGAAGATATAGGAACCCAGAGGTCTTGAAGGCGTTTAAGATTTGGTCGGCCGTAGCTTTTCTAACGGTCGGATCACCATGGAGAAAGGCACCGAAGTCAATGAGCTGCAGGGCAAGATGATCAGAGACACGGATATCATGGAAGACCCTGTTGGGCACGGAGAGGGTGATCTTACTGGCATGACTAAGTCATCTTGAACGACGCCTTTCTGTGTGGCGTCATCTCCGATGGAACCCATGTCTGGCGCAAGGCTGAAGTGGGCCCGGGGAGAGGGGTGAGTGAAAGTCTGGCTTCGAGCGAATCTGGGGTTTCTGGATCCCCGAAGGTCAAAATATCGTGACTAATGAGTATTCGACGGAGAAACCCCTACCTGGAGAGTTCCCGATGGAGGTCTAAACGAAGCGTCTATGATAGTACGGGGCCAAAATATTACCCCCTGAATTTGGTCAGAGAGAAAAGGCACCAAAATCACAATGGTATCGTGAGAAATTTCTCCCATGAGAAGCAAAGATAGTAAATTGGAGGGTTCACGACAGTTTGTTCGATGAAGCCAAATAAATACCATCGGCGGAGGGGCGGAGACCAACCTGGACCTTGCGATTGGACAGGAGCCGATAAGGAAGACAACATGAGAGTCGGAGGACGCCGCCAAATGCCACTCTGAATATAACATCCACAAGTAGTTCAACCACGGAGAAACATGACGGAGGATCACCCTGTTCAACTGTTCTCTTCAAATCAAGGTATATTCTTTGTCGCCTGATCATTACTGGTCCCAGTCAGTCATCATGTCTTCCTCCACTCCTCCAATTGTCGACCTCCACACACATATGTACCCCCCCTCATACATCAATTTGCTCTCCTCGCGCACTGCAGTCCCATACATCCACCAACCTTCCGACCCCAACGCCGATCCCAGACTGATTATCCTGGCCTCAGACGACGATAACTCCCGACCCAAATCTTCCCGCGGTCGTCCCGTCGACAGCTCCTACTCGTCCTTCGACCAGAAACGACAATTTATGCGAGCCCATGGCATCAACTGCAGCGTCATCAGCCTAGCGAACCCGTGGCTGGACTTTTTGAACCCGGATTCCGCGCTGTCCACGGCCCAAGGCATCAACGATGACCTCGAGCGAGCCTGTGCCGAGAACAATCGATCTGAGGCAGACTTAAAACTCTACGCCTTCGGATGCCTCCCGCTGTCCGCGCCGGCAGATGACGTCGTCACAGAGATCTATCGCCTCAAGACCCTACCACACCTCAAGGGCGTGATCATGGGCACAACGGGCCTGGGGAACGGCCTCGACGACCCGGCCTTGAATGACATCTACTCTGCACTCTCGAGCACCTCCACCCTCGTCTTTCTCCATCCGCACTACGGCCTCCCGGACTCTGCCTTTGGGGGGCCCGATATCATTGCGAGATCTGGTCACGTGCTGCCTCTGGCCCTTGGCTTCCCGCTCGAAACCACCATCGCCGTCTCTAGAATGTATCTCTCTGGCGTCTTCGACCGACATCCCCAGCTCCAGTTTCTCCTGGCTCATTCGGGCGGCACGCTGCCGTTTCTAGCTGGGCGTATTGAATCCTGTGTCGCTCACGAGCGTGAGTTCATCGCCAACGGTGGCCACAAACAAGGGCCGCAACGGTCAATTTGGGACGTGTTGAATTCCAATGTTTACCTCGATGCGGTGATTTATGGTCGACCGGGGTTGACAGCGGGGATTGAAGCCGCCGGAAGCGTGGATCGGGTCATGTTTGGAACGGATCACCCTTTCTTCCCGCCTTTGGGCGATGACAGGAGGGTCAAGTGGTTGAGTGTGGAGAGCAATCGAGGGGCTATCAATGCGTCCTTTCCTCATGATGACGAAGCAAAACGGAAGATATTAGGCGGGAATGCGGTGAGGGTGCTTGGGTTGGACTTATGATAAAACGCAAGAACAAATTTTTATAACAGTGGTTAGCGGACTGGACATCCCGGCATATGAACATACCATTATAACACATGATATTCCTAACGATAAATGGAGCTCCAAAAAGCGGTCCGGCATGCTGCGGGAAGTGCCAAAACCTCAAACACCTCTATTCCCAGATAAGATATCCCAGCCCAAATGCTCCCAGAGTTTTCCGATGAACCATTCTGCAGAGTCTTGGTCCGTTTCCCCCAATTCTTGCAGGAGCTCCGTCAGGTCTTTTTCACAATCGTCGTCATTTCGCCTCAGCGCATTGTGAAATTTGTCATCTTCATCACCAAATACTGCCCGAAGAAGGGTGTTCTGTAGGGTGTCTTCAATCAGTTTCCGGAGATTCTTGCCACGGTTCCTGTTCTGGCTTTGCAATGAGAAAATAAACCGTGACTGTTCGGACATGCATTTCGTCTTGGCGTATAGGAATTCCAGAATCTGGTGGAGGACCCAGATTAGATACGGGCCTTCGATTTGCACAGTGCCAATTGCCGTCACGGAATCAATGTGGGCCACATCCAACAAACCACTTGGCGGAAGAATGCCAGGCCGGTCTCGCCGATTGGGATCGGTGAAAACAACAAGAGACAACGCGGAGCCAATATGATCGAGAAGCGTGCACAATATTCCTTCCAGTAGTTCACAGTGCGTGTTGTGAGACAAATCGAGCATTGTGACCATCTTCACTAGCATCCGACATATCCTCGCGTTTTGGGCGGAGTTTTCAACAGTGGTCTTGGGAGACGCTCGTTTGATCGCGGAGGCCCTGCGTCGAGCTCTGTTCTTTTTCGACCTTGCTTCACGTTCTTGTCTGACAAACTCATCCAAAGAAAGTTTGTGAAGATGTCCAAGCAAGGACTGGAAGATCCTCACAATGTCTGATAGTCCAGGCAATATTTGCAAGCCATCATCGATGCTCTCGGGCTGAACAGATTCCAAGCTCTGCAAAATTGATGGATAGGCCTGTGAAAATAATCTGCAAAGTTCGTCAGCGGATTGGCCCTCTACCCTGGCCGGGCAATGGCGTGTCTCATTGTCAGCCGGCTCGAGAGTTCTAGTTATAGCACCGCTAATCGCCTGGATGGCTGCCACAAGTTTTTCTTGGTTGGATGTCCTGAGACGGAGTTCGCGATGGAGAGACGCTGTGCCACGGAGAAAGGTATGACGATCTATCATTAGTCAGTATGTGCATCCAAATGTTGGGTGTGGGAGTGGTCTGATACATAAATTGGATGGATTAATATCCCCAATCTGCAAGCGGATATCGTCATCGCTGTGTTCCAGTCTCGGATCCTGGGGTTTGCTCTTTTGCCGTGTGTCGTTCTTTGGTATCGATGTAGCGTCCCGTTTACGTTTCCCAAGAACAGCTTTTTCGTGAGGATGGTGTGACTCTTTCTGCACACGAAGAACATCCCTCTCTTGCTTGAGCTCTGCCACTTCATTGAGAAGTCTTAGACGCTCCGATTCGGCTCTGGCATAAGACTGTCTCCAGTGAATACTCGTGTCAAAGTCTAAAGTCGAAGGACTGTTCGTAGATTGCGCTGTGACAGCCTTACGAAGAGAAGCGAGATAATCTGCCAAAAGTCAGTGGATAATTTGGGGATAGGGTCCACCAGACACCTTCTATCGGAACTTGAGGTGGTTTTGATTGAACCGTGGTCAGTGCGAATGCGATCTGAGCCGGGCAAGGTAGATTGTGGGCGTCTGCATCATTGGCACGATCAGTGTGATGGGTCATCTTCGTCCGTTCGATTACAAATTCACAGACACAGCATTCACACAAGAGAGCCAGAGGACGATTCAATCTGGAAGTCAACAGAAAAGGAGGGCCAAATGCTTGAGACAGAAACGGAAAAGAGGAAGAGAATGCCACAAGGTGCCTTTTTCCGGAAGGTTCAACTTATCTTGGGCTCTGTGATTCAATGTTGGCAGCGACCTTCCAGGGGAGCTGGTCTCATCGTGTCTGAATGCTGAACTAGCGAGGGTTGAGACTTTGGAAATCTCGGAGCATTTTGCGCTTTTGACATGTAAAGTTCGCCGTAATACCCAACTTCATTTTCTCTTTCGTTAGGCATATTTGCATAATATTCTTCCCACTTCCACACTCAGCCTTGAAAGGAATCTTAGCCAGCATGACGCCGGTCAACGAGGTGGATATGTCGACTGACTACTATGAGCTGCTGGCTATTCCAGCTACTGCCTCAGAGTCAGAAATCCGTCGCGCATATCGAAAGACATCCCTGCTCTACCATCCAGACAAAGTTAAACCAACCTCAGAAAATTTGGAAAAGTTCCAACTGCTCCAGACCGCGATCAATATCCTTACTGATGCTACGGAAAAAGCCAAATATGATCAGACTCGAGAGGCCAGACAAAGGCGTCTGGCAGAAGAGGCTGCGCTAGAGAGCCGAAGGCGACAAATGAAAGAAGATTTGGAGAAACGCGAGGGAAATGTAACTGGCTTTCCCGCTTCAGTGAATGGCGTGAAGAGGACATGGAGCGATAGAGAACTGGCCATCAAGAGGATCGCTGAGGAGAACAGAAGGAAAAGGGAAGCGGCAACTTTACAGAAGACTCAAGAAGCCCAAGCAAGAGCACAGGCAGAAGAAAAACCTAGCGAAGATATTGAACGAACTGTTAAGGTACGCTGGGTTAAAGAAGGGGAGGGATTGGAAATTGATCGAGATGCCCTTGAAGAAAATTTCCCTGCGGGCGATGTCGAACATGTCCGCATTCTCAAAGACAAGAAACGTCGGGTTGAAGGCCGAGACAAAAAGATTCTGCTTGGAAGTGCTCTTATTGTTTTCAAATCTCTGGCCATTGCGAAAGAGGTTGTCTCTCAAGGTCCATGGAACGGTATTGAAAGCGTGCAATGGGCCGCCGCAGAAAAAGAGACTGGAGGTACTTGAGATCCATACTTGTCAACCTTTCGACAAATTCATACTTACGACAAGCTTTGCCTCCGAGCGAGACGGACCATGCCGCCGAATCAGAAAATGTCTGCCCAAAAAGGGCTTTCGGCCAGCTGTTGAGCACAACTCGGGAAACGAGAAACCTCAGCAAACCAGTCTTGGCCATTTGCAGAACACTAGGGAATCCGTTCTCTCGCCGTGAGTCAGTCATTGCTGTGTATTTCACTGAATAAGACAGCAGGTGGATGTCCCCAACCTCTCTGAGACGAGAGAAGCCCGCCGTCCTGGAACTTAAGCCCTCTCGGGAATCCGAGGATAAAAGTTCCGATATGGATCTATTGATGAGCAAAGACATAGCCATGTGGTGTGTTATCGTTCCACCGTCCTGTGAGCATCAGGACCACACCAGAGTTTGGCACCTTCCCAACATACAACATGGGATTTTCTTGATGCTTTGAGCAGTGAGCTTCAATTTCAGGTTGACAAAATTGATCATACTTGTATTGATTTTGCCCTTCAAGCCCGAATAGGCAGTATGATTGTGAGGGGCACGCTATGGACGCATGTACCTCCTTTCGAACAATGGTATCCGAAAAGGGGTCGCTATGCATGGATTCGCTTATCCTCACCCAATCTCGTTTTGCTTTCTCTCGTAAGGCGTCCAGCTCGGAGACAGCACTGGTCTGTGATTATTCATGTGGCCATCATTCATGAGTTGCTACTAGTAGGAACAGCCTCTCCCCCTTCCACAACCAAAACCATACTCTATGGTACAATATAATACAATCCTTTTCTTTTTAATCCACTTCTTCATAGTCGTCTTCCTCAGCCTGGCGCGGCTTTGGTTTCTTTTCCTTCCGACGTAAACTCTGCTCTACACCATCTCTCAACCATTGGGGAACAAACGGCTTCAACATGACCTCGCGCTTCACTTCCTCCCCTTCGACCTCCCACGTTACTTTATACTCCTCATTCGGATCGTAGTTCGTCCTGTCTGCCGTCAACTGGATATCCGTCATCATCTCGAGCCTACAGAGCGCGAGGCCGATATTTCCGACTCCGCCGAGCCATTTCCCACTGCTCCTCCCTCTGCCGCGGGCGTTGAGCTTGGAAATATTCGACTCGGCGGGTGGTAAAGGTAAGTTGGCGTTGGGCTTGTATGCCGGTTCGCTCTGTCCGGCCGACAGCGGGTTGTCCTTGTTGTACAGCTGGCAGGGAAGGATTCTCTTCCTGACGACGCCCGTATGATGCGTACGAATCGTGAGTTCTTGCCCGACATAACATCCTTTATGGAAATCAATCCCGCCGAAAAGGTCGATGTTGCTTTCCTGCGGCAGTGCGCTTTTCGCGATGAGCTCTGATTGTCCCTCAGCGACTCCATTCAGCATTCGATGAATCGCATAGTCTTGCAACGTCGCTGTCTTCCCCCCACGGTCTTCAAGACGCTGTATTATTTCAGGCTCCGAGAACGCTATGTCGAGCCACCGCATGCCCATTCCAGGTCTCGGATCTTGTCCGCCAGAGTGTATCCCAGTCGTGGAGCTTTTCAAATCGCTCTCTGCGTCCGAAGGCCATCTGTAATATACACCGGTTTTCTCGGGCGCCAATTTCTCAATGTCAATCTGTGCTCGCAGCTTGTGCTTGCGGAAGTGCGAGATTAAATCACCAGCACTCACAGAGTCAACTTCGATGAACCACTCTTCTCCATCTCTCTCGGCCGGCGGGTATATAAACACGTCATTGAGGATGCGACCATGCGCTGAGAGAAATGCCGTGTAGATAGGATTGGTGCTCTGAATGTCTAAGATCTTTGCTGGGATGAGATCATTCAGGAATACTTTGGCGTCGCAGCCAGCGAGCCGAACAAGCGTGCGGTTCGTGAGTCGTAGGTATTTGGTCGAGTTGGAGGACCGCAATTGCGGTTCGAAGAAGCTCCGGTTTCGGATGGGATAGATAAATGGTCGTGCGGGAGAATGTTTTGGCTTTGGAGGCATATCTGGAAGCTTACAGCCGCTCCTCCTCGAGTACCTGTTGCGTAGGAATACTAGAGGATGAATCGATCGGGGGAATCTTGGATATAAATTGTCTCCAACTGAATGGGGCCAACACCCCTCACTCTGCCCTGTTTGGGCCAGATTGGCGCCGCCTTGTGCACCGTGGCTCGCAATGGTGCTGAAAACACCAAGCAACCCTCCCAATGCATATTCAGTTTCAATAGTCACTCCCCCTAGGGACATAACCTCAGTTCCTTATCAAATTTCTATAATGTATGGCCTTCATGGCTTCCCTTTCCAGATGTCTCGCAGAAAATAATTGATTTCGTGTCAGCTTCGGGCGTGGAAGAAGCTGGTTCCATTCATCAGTCACAGCCCATCCTCGAAGGTCTGAGAGCAGGAAGTTGCTGAATTACTCCTAGCCAGTCAGAGTTTAAATTCGGCAGGCAATCTAGGGCGAGTAAGCTCGGGAACCCATGGTGTGTTCAACTTCCCGGCTTCAAGGTCAGTTGTTGATGCCGAGTAAATTTCCATATGGCAAGGAAAGACCTCATATTGCAGAACTACTGACTAAGACGACGTGGACCATTACGACAGGTTGGGTATATGCAGCTTCTAGCCTGGGTTTCTGCTGATGAAACAACAACAGCCGCTTTTGAACAATACAGAAAGGAGAAACTCGAACCTCTTATCAGAGGCCATTTCGATGGAGGGCCCGCTTGAGATTCATCCGTGCTCGTCTGGAGCTTCATATAGTCAAGACGAGTTGAGAATACTTGCGAGTTGGCACTTGGATGGACAAACCAACGCCTGGGTAGAAATTGTTGTAGCCATGTATCTGTAGCGCTGCTGATTCAGCTATTGGGCCCAGATTTCAGGGACAGACATTTCAGAATAACGCTTGCATTTGCATAGAATTGCTCCATCCAATGCAAACTGCTTTGCTATTCATCGCCTTGGCAACATGCTGGAGAGCGTGATAAGATCGTCGGCATCGTCAAACGTGTCCAGGCGTTTGATAGAAAACAGCAATTGTGTGAAAGTCTCTCTGAGAATCTGAGGCCTTGGCGCGCGCCGGTCTTAGCCTCCTATGTCCCATTTTACATATTTCCCACCCCCACCGTCTTCCTCTGTCACATTGACGCCAAACAATCCGTTCAGCCAACGTTCCGACGAAACTAAGAGATCTGGAACAAGTCCGTGGTTGATCCGACCTCTGAATCCGAACTATTAGTGAGCGATCACAAGCAAGTGGCAACAGCACTGCGGCGGAACCCCGCTACCATCGAGAAACCAAGAGAATCCCCAGTCTGGATGAGCTTCTTCGAATTGGGAATCTACGCTCGAGAACACCCAGGCTATTGGCATAAGGGGCAAAAATGCCGTATTTCTCCGATCTCCACACCTACCTCCATCAATCCTCGCTCCTCATACAAGCATACGCTTCCACACGGATAACAACGAAGTATTCTCTGCCCAGGAAAGCCAACACAAAAGCAAGATCGAAGTCGGGAGAGACACCTGCTTCTCTCACAACAGACGCAACGGGAGCTTCATCACAGCAAGCCAAGCGCGAACCCTCCGCAGTGCTGACGTTGAAGACATACCACCCTGAATCCGGCATATGTTTGAAGTATCGAACAGATAAGGCGGCGGAAGTCGGTAGATTGTTGACGGGGCTAGGAAGACTGGCTAAAGGAGAGGTAATAGAAATGTCCACGGTGACCGCGACATCTTCTGCACAAGCTGCAACAGTCGAAAGCGATAAAATGGATGTTGATAGTGGTGTCGCAGCTCCAAAGGTTGAGGATAAAGTGGTGACGGCACCACTTGCTGCAACGCAGGGCGGGGGAGCAGGTGGTGGCGGAAAAGGAAAGAGGAAGAAGGGGAAGAAATGAAATACATGTGGGCTTGGTTATGATATTCTTCGATTACGTCGCCTGTCCATTTGTTGGTGTAGGCTCTGAAATTGACAGGGAATCACTGCGCAATGTTAGCATGGCTGGAATGTTCAAGGACTAGACGTGCCCAAGTTCCACTTCGGAATTAAAGGAAATGGCTCCTGGCCGAGGATTTTGGGAGTCTACATGCACTGCTGCTCAGCATATCCAAAGGCTAGTACTGATAAGCTAACGCCGACTTCAGTCAGATTTATGCGGAGACAGACATGTCCGCTCTGGAGAAAAGACTCTTGGGTCTTGAGAATGGCGCTTGATTGTTGCGTCAAAAGCCCGGAATACAAAATATGACAGAATAGACCAGAAAGAGGGGAAAAAAAAGACGGGGGGAGGAGAATTCGAAGCGATCAATGGACGTAGGATGTCGGTCCTTTGAGCAAGATGTCTAGACAATTTTCCGTTTAATTCTATTATGGAACAACCCATTTGGCGAGCACCAAAAGATTTTGATGATGCTTTTCTCGTTTTTGGAGAGGATCATGTATTTAATACAATTCCGAAATCCCACCGAGAGAATAGGACGCTTCCTAGCTGACCTATGCATCCTGAAACAACCGCTCTCAAAACGGCCCATGGATAATCAATCGCACTACCTGGTCGAATACCCTTGAACCTTCCATGCTGCCTTGATGATGTGGTGAAAAGAGTATAACAAAGTAGAGAAACCATGTGATCCCATCACTTCTTTCTTCCAATTGGCCATGAACGCCGTCAAACAAATCATCATGAATCTAGTGTGATCTAGAAATCCTCATCGAAGTTGATGCCGTTGCTCTCTTCGTCGGTCTTTTTATCATTAGAGCTCTCTTGCATCTTCTTTCCGCTGGCCGCGACACCGGTCTTCTGGTAATCACCGACACGCTTCTCGAAGAAGTTTGTCTTTCCCGCCAATGAGATGTTGTCCATAAAGCTGAAAGGATTCTGGGCATTGTAGTACTTCTTGTTTCCGAGGGCAAGGAGAAGACGGTCGGCAACGAACTCAATATATTGTTGCATCAGTTTGGCGTTCATGCCAAGCAGAGCGACAGGCAAAGCATCTGTCAAAAATTCCTTCTCGATGACAACAGCCTCGGTGATGATGTCCTCGATGAGTTTGGGATCGGGCTTATACTTGAGGTGTTGCATCAGAAGACAAGCAAAGTCGGTATGCATACCCTCATCACGCGAGATGAGCTCATTCGAGAACGTCAAGCCTGGCATAAGGCCTGTAAGAGATTAGCATAAGAACATGTCTATTATTGGAGCATTACATGCCTTTGCTCTTCAGCCAGAAGATGGAGGCGAATGAGCCGGAGAAGAAAATGCCTTCGACGGCAGAGAATGCGACGAGGCGTTGGGCGAAGCTAGACTCCTTGTCTGAGATCCACTTCAAGGCCCAGTCAGCCTTCTTGCGGATGCAGGGGATAGTATCAATGGCGTCAAAGAGATAGGACTTTTGTTTGGGATCTTTGATGTAGGTGTCGATGAGCAAGCTGTACATCTCTGAGTGAATGTTTTCGATCATGACCTGGAATCTTTTGAGACGATCAGTACACATTCCCGACCATCCCAAAGCAAGCATGACATACCCATAGAAACAACGGGCCTCTGGGATTTGGACTTCAGCAGAGAACCGTTCGAGAAGGTTTTCGTTGACAATGCCGTCGGAAGCAGCGAAAAATGCAAGGACGTGGGAAATGAAGTATCGTTCGTCATCATTGAGACGATTGTGCCAGTCGTGAAGGTCCTTGGACAGGTCCACTTCTTCAGCTGTCCAGAAGGATGCCTCGGCGCGTTTGTACGTATTCCACTATAGGTGGGATATCAGGAATTGTTTTGAGTGGTGGTAATGGAATGGACCGGGATGAGAACACCGCGTCATGGAGAAAGTGGACTTACAATCTCGTGATACTTGATGGGGAACAGGACAAATCGATGAGGGTTCTCTTGAAGGATAGGCTCCTCAGCTTCCAACTCTTTGAGGGTCTTCGCGACCTTTGGTGGTTCAGCAGGCTCTTCGACTTTGGTGGGGGGCTTCTGCTCCGTCTCTGGCTGCGGTTTGACGGTGGAATCAGGAGCGACAGGCATGTTCTCCTTGTCTTCGGTGTTGAAGTCAAGTTTCTTGACAGGACTATCCTTCATCTTGAGGTTCTCAAGGCTTGAGGCCGCCTGCGCGTTGCGTTAATAGACATGTACCCGGAACATCAGAGTCGATGATGTAAGTGGCCAAACGCACCTGTTTCGAAGGTGTGACTTGGGTAGCCATGGTTCAAAGGGGAGGCAGATATGGCAGTGAACCAGAGAAAGAGTGCCAGGAGGTATTGAGAGGCAATGCACAATGTTGTCGAGGTGTGCGAGGATGAGAGAGAAGTCAATGTGAAAAATGGTGGATGGTTACATGGTTTTATGTGAGAAACAGAATAACACGCTAGCCCAGAGCGCGATCCGCGTTGCTGCAAGCCAGTGACAATGAACTCGGCAGGGCCTCGGCCTTTGATCCACTTCACATCAACAATCCCGGAGGACTACAATAGTCTAGGGGGAGCGCATTGAGCGTCAAGTGGAGGTGTTTACGAAATGCTGAGAAATGGCCTCAACGACGACCATATTCTCTCGGGCTCATCCTCCACTTGCGGACGGCTGCCTGAAGTTTATGGGGAGACCTCGCCTGCAGAAGAAAATCTAATCAAGTCTTTATCTGATCAAATGTGTTTGCCCGTGATGTCATGGTCCTCCACTACGCGTCTGTGGGTACCACATTGGTTACAAGACAGAGAGTGTGATTTCTTCATCCTCTCCAAGGCCGACCGCACAGGCTAATTAATGTACGAACAGCACAGCGCGACTGGTAGTTGACTATACTTGCAATTGGTTTATTGAAGGAAGAAGCAGACTCCGCGAGTGCGGGTGAAATACATATGCTCATTTGTCTTCTCCAATGATGTCTCCCTCTTATTTGATCCTCCACTGTAGCTTCGTTCAGATCTTGGAGAATCTCGTTTGTGTTGAACTTACCTCATCCTGACACATTACCCCTTTTTCCAACCAGCTGGGCAGGGAGGGTGGAAGAAAAATCAATCAGAACTCAGCAAATCGAGGAGCGCATGAGGATTCCAATGGGGAGGTTGCAAGGGTAATGATGCCCAGTAGCATGAAATGTTGCATAACAACGAATCTTGCCAGGTCTGATTTTGTTTCAACTTTTTTGTTTGTGGTATCTGTGGACAGCTATGCCAGAGAGCAGTACCATTTCTTCGAATTCATGTCTAGATGCGCGCTATGGCTTTGAGCGTTCCACTCCAATGCACGATCACAGGGACTGCTTCAATTCAAGCACAGAGCAATGCAAGGTACTGTACATGTGGATGCCTTGTCGATGTGATATAAAGGATAAATGACGTCGCCGAGTCCTTGACACCAGTTTCTCATCTTCTGCGTGTAAAATCGCTGCATCTCGGGAGCAAATCTATACTTGAACACTTTCAAGAAGTGCACAACAATCGAGCCCGTCATGAAGACATGTTCCAGCTCCTACGTGGTCTCTCAACCAACTTCCATCACCACATAAGAGACAAGTCGGCCTCCCGATTGTTTGGCCTATACAATATCTTTGCTCTATTCCAGGAAACTACTCATGGCGACGGGGAATAATGCACATTGATCGTTTGCAACGCCTCAAAATGCAGAAACCGAATCCTTGAATCCTCTCGGGCTTCTTACAACTTTTCCTTGAGCGACTTCGGCAATATTCTGTTCTCAATTTCTCTCACCAGTTTGTTCGTCTGTTCCGCAAGCGTTAAGGTGAGGATGGTGTGAGGTAGAATACGGGCAAGATGGGCGGTAAATCCCTTGTAGACGCTGAGGACGCCCTCCGTTGACACCGTCTTCCACAAGCAATCAAAGATACCGTTGTACAAGTTTCCGTGTTGATTATATAACCTAGCCATCACGGTGTCCTGTGTTCTCTGTTAGTAGTTTGGGGCTGGAGAGATTTGAAGCAGAAACTTACGGGAGGATGCATGAAGCAACAAACGACGAAACCACTAGCGGTCGAACTGAGAAGATGCAACGCTGGTCCATCTTCCATACCGAAATGACGTATCAGCCTTCTTTTGGCAAAGAAATATGTCGGCAATTGAACAGAACTTCCAGCACCTGTCCGGACCATAGAGGCACCCATGCCACGATATAGACCCCTTATTCCTTCCGCCTTGTAGATTTGAGATAAGCCGTCGATAGCATTGCGATATTTGTGCTGTGTACCGACTGGCAAAAAGGGGGAATAGGATTGTAGTCGAGTTTTGACCAAGAAGAAAGGGGATCCCGCCATCGCACCGAGCACACCTGAGGCGGCCCCCGAGAAGATGTTGACCCCTAGAGACTGGACATTGGTGTCGTGGAAGATAAGTTTTGAGCCGGCAGCCCTCAACGGCTCATAGAATCCTAATCGGCAGCCATTCAAAAGAATCTGATAAACATATGCGCATCCAATTCCCCGATATATTCCACGAGGGCCTTCATTCTTCACGATGACTCCGACGCCGTGGAAGACACCTCTGTACTTCTTGACCGTGACATCTTTGGCTTGCAATTCTCCTTGTAATTGTAATCTGATCTTGACTGTCTCGAACGGATGTGTAGCAGTTACAGCGCCACAAGCTGCAATGCCGCCGGCAATAAATGCGCCAGTTGTTGTCGACATGGTCCTCGAGGGGGAAGCTCGCCTTTTCTTTCTGGACTCCTCTCCGCTGGAAATTTATTCTGAGGATGAGCGCATCGTGGTCTTACGAGGGGATCTGGTTCTGGTAGGGGATGAGCGGTGGCGCTGTCAGCATCAGCCACAGAAAGTTGGGCGTGCGACACAAGTCATTATTATTAAAAGATGAAGAAGTGACCTGCGCCGTAAAAAAGTTGCTCGGAGCTGTACAATAAAACCGAGGGTAACCCGAGTCGGCGTTGGTGAGTTCGGAATTGGGGTAAGAAATTCTTAATCGGGCAGCTCTCTGTAAATGCCTACAGGACGGACATGAAAGAACCGGCGAGATGGCCCCCAATCGGTCCGCCTGGAGATCTGCGCGGCTGAGGGAATCGCACGCTTCACAGCATGATCTCCGCAAAACCGTCCCGTACCTGAATAAAATTTCACTCTTTCGTTCAGCTTTGGAATCGCAGGTCCGGATACACAGAATTCTGGCGCACTGTCAACGCATGATCAATTCATGATACATTGAGCCCTCGGGCTTCTCTGCTAGCCATGGCTGCCCTTGCGCAGCAAAAAGTCCACGATGTGATCAAACACTACCGCCCTGCTCGAGTGCGCTTCCCCCTCAGGCTTTGTATTTCGCTATAGCTAACGAGTCACAGCAATTCCCTGGCTCTACTCGCACAGATGGAGGTGAAAGTCACGTCACATCCCTAGACTTCGATAACATGGGCGACTTCTTAGTCGCAGCTTCCGATGATGAGACAATGCAAGTTTATGACATTAAAGAGGGAAAAAGAACCAAGATAATACCCAGCAAAAAGTATGGCATTCATTTGGCGCGCTTTACTCATCATCCGCGTAATGTGCTCTTCGCCAGTACAAAACAGGATGACTCCCTTCGCTTGCTCGAACTCCACAACGAGAGCTTTGTTCGATACTTCACTGCGCACACTGGACAAGTCACCTGCATAGCCTTATCACCTGGGAATGATCAATTCTTGTCTTGTGGAAATGATGATATGGTATGCTTGTGGGATTTGAACTCCAGAAGCCCTCAGGGTAAATTGAAGCTGGTCACCCCCTATCTTGCAGCCTACGACCCCTCAGCGAATGTGATGGCCATAGCGTCGCAATCGACTTCGTCCGTCCTTATGTATGATGTTCGAAACTTCGATAAGGCGCCTTTCGCTACGTTCGACATGGCCGAAGCTGAGGATAGGTATACTCCAACCACAAAAGGTCGTGCGTGGACAAAGCTGGAGTTCTCGAATGATGGCAAGAGTATATTACTGGGGACAGACTATCACGGTCACTTTGTGCTAGACGCTTTTGATGGATCCGTCAGATCATTTCTGGCGGGGAAAACGAGTGGGACGGGACGAGCTGCGCCCGTGTCAACTTCAGGAAAACCCTTGGGCCAAGGAGATGTATGCTTCTCGCAGGATGGAAGATATGTTGTTGGAGGAGGTGGTGACCAGTCCGACCTTATCGTCTGGGACACTCAAGCTACTACTGCTGCTGCTGGCGGTCGACAAGAACCTACCGCTCGACTAACAAGTCGTGGAATCAAGAGCGCGATTGTTCAATTCAATCCTCGTTACAACATGCTCGTGACCGCAGATACGAGAGTCTGCATGTGGCTCCCAGGCGACCAGATCAAAAACCCCGATCTTTGAGGGTACCCCACGCTATTCGGCCACACATCAGGGTGTCATTTCGACAACATACCAAGGATTGAATGCACAGAAATCCACGAGGCATTTGTACCAAACTCGGGGGGGCACACGGCTTGGCGTGATAGTTTACTCCGCCAATCAAAATCCCACGCGTACTTCTGTACTCCGCATCCATACTTATTTCATCTTTCATCCTCACCATGCACAAATGATTTGAAAATAGTCTGATGCCTGAGAACCATTCTCCTGGGCGGAATCAGTTCAGTCCATTGATGTATTCTCGCGACTGCACAAATGAAGACGATTCCTCAACTTTTACGCCCTCTGCCAACCTACTGAACAGCCTCCAGATCCGAGCTCAAGCCCTGCTAGATGAACTCAGAGCATACCAAGCGCATCTCCAGGCAAGGAACAGACAGAAAGAAGTCGAGATCGGAGTCTTTACAAGAGGGGTTGAGGCAGAGGTGAAGAGTTTGGAGAAACTTAGGCTAAGATTCGCAGAGGGCAATGAAGCTGACTGGGCTGAATGTGAGGAAGACGACGAGTCCCCACAGCTTCATGCGTTACGGAGCTCCAATCTTCCATTTTACGAGACGGTATGGAACGTTGCAAAGTCGTGTCGTGGCATAACCGCTCTGGGCAAGAAGGTGTATCGGAGTGCAGAGGATTGCCCGAACCATATTGAGAAGCCTGGAGATCAAGTCCTGACTCGACCACCATCACGTCGAAGCCATATTCGAAAGAAGGGAGTCCCTGTGGACATTGTAGCTGAGGACGGTTTGGAGTGGATCAAAGTTTCTACTGTGACTGAGAAACGGCTTCTTTTCGAAATGGCAAAGGAGGGCTGGGAATCGTATGCAGATTTCAGCGACGGAAGCGACATCCGCCCTAGCAACGACGCGCCAGCAGATCGCTGTGAGAGAATCACTAAACTTGAACTTGTGCGAGTGGCTGAAGAATTGAAGGCTGCATCAAGAGCAGTCAGAGTTCAGTTCCAGCATCCCCGCATCCGCCTCGTTCTACCAAAGGTACGAGAGGGAGCATTGCATGATGTGGACGCATTCATTGCAGGTTTACGTGCAACAGGTGCAACAGTTCAATGCGGCCAAGGATTTGTGAACACAAATAAAGTCCAACAGGAAGTGTGTCTAGAAAAGGTAGCACTGAATCACGAAGCTACCGTCTTTTACAAAAATGAGACTGTTCGCATGGTCAAGGAAGTGTCTTATGGACAGGCCAATCGGACTTTCTCGACACACGAATCGCACGCTCTTTTGGGCACGCAGCAAAGGCTTGATCTTGACCGCCTCATGCCTGCAGTATTGACTAGACAGTTGACAGAGACGTTAAACGTGGACTGCACGATTCTTCTAGCCTTGGTTTCCGACATCTCCCACCTAAGAGGTCCTCGACTCACATCAGATTCCAATGAGCCGAAAGGGTCCTATCACAAAGCTATTCTCCGCCAGATCGACGCCGAAGAAGTGTCACCATTACTTCCAAAGGAAATATACCCCTTACTGATGGGTCGGGAACTCAAATGTACATTTCATGCCGCACAGAGAATGCGAGAGATTGTTCAGTGTATGGGGACTAGCAGCGAGCGGACTCGTGCTGATATTCTTTTCGGAGAACGGGAGTACCAAGGTCAACCAATATCAGTATTGAGGCAAGCACTAAGCGAGCAATCATCATACTCTGTCCCTTACGAAATCCAATTCCCGATTAAAGTGGTGGATTTTGATGCAAACCAGCTGCTCTTATCTCCAGCCCGTCCTGAGAGCGTGCCTGGGGCTGAACGAATTAAAGCATTCCCGTCCTCAATTGCTGCCCGTGTGGTTTCAAGCATGCACCTTTCTCCTGTTAATTCGTCCGTCTTCTTGTATGGCTGGGTCGAGCGGGTCGCTACCCTGACGAGCAACCGCACTGTTGCCAGGGGACTTTTGAGGGCTATCAACGAGCTGCTTGATCAGGATGAACGCAACGGAATTCAGTGGTTCAAGGACGATGAAATATTCATGGGCCCACAGATATACATCTGCGAAACCGCAAGGAGCTTGATTGGCAAGGCGAAGAGCAAGCGAGAAAGATAGTCAATTGTCGGAGCACGATCACGCTCAGTGGTTGAGGATTTGCAATGAACTCGAGCCGGGGTGATGGGGGTGGGTTGCCATAGCACTTGCTATTGATCGTTTTGCTGAAAGAAAGGAAGAAATAGGTCTGTTGAACTGAGAAATCGTGCCCAGTTGGCGATTTATCTCGTTCTTCGGCTCCAGTGCAATGTCCAGCCTTGCCTTTTCCCGGCCTGATGATCTCACCGTAGATGATGCTCTGAGCTGTTGTGGCATTATAGGAACGACCAGAGTATGATGCAAACTGGATCACGACAAATTTGTCAGAGTTCGAGACACGGAGTTTGTCGGGTTTCCCGTACGGGTGGCGCGGCCAAGTACGCAAAAGCATAACTGCAGTTCCGTAAGGTGAACGGCTGGGGCGGAGCCTGATCTCCAACGGCAAATATGCAACCATATACGTCGCCTGTTGCAATTCACAAGACGACAGATTCCACTGCAATAGCACAAGATGACAATCCTTGCCCGCTAATATGCGCTGTGACTGAAGACAGCGTCTGCATTCGCCAGCCACCATTCCACAGCTACTGTGCCGCTTCAATTCTTCATCAATCTAGCCATAACGGCTGCGCAGGCACCATGAGACACTGGGTGCCATCTCTCGGCCTCCTGGCATATCTTGCAACGATTGTCGCCGGAAATGAGGTGCAGCTTGTGGGTACTCGTCGCAGTCTATAGCGAAGATACTGACCAGAACAGAAACAAGATGACGCCCATCGACAGAGATGTTCAGGGATGTACAGCAGGAAATCCTGGGGAGGTTCAATAGAGCCATTTATCCTTGTCAAATTCCTTGCGGACCGCACCGAAGATGATACCGACCCTATTGCGAGTCTGATAATATTCGAATGGCAAGACGAAGGCCTCATAGGAAGAATGCCGCCGGGCGGAGAAACCTACCGGGATCTCGAAACAATATGCTCTGCAGACACGGCTGCAGCTGGCCTATGTGAAGAGAAAGATATTGGTGCATTTATACTCGCACCGAATGCTACCGAAGCATCGAAAAGCCTCATATACAACGAAGCAATCCATCTCAAAGACCCTAAGGCCGTGAATTACCCGATCCGAAGAACAGGATACTATTGTGTCTCGACCTTCGCATTCTCAGATCACGAATACAATGCCGTGGTGGAATTCCGGAATGCTTATGGCGAGCTTCCCGCAGCTCAAATAGCAAAATTGCCTTTCTACGGTGGCCTCACCATCGTTTACGCGGTGTTAGGCGCTTTCTGGGCCTTCCTCTATGTTCAGAATCGATCCGACATCCTCCCCGTTCAGAATTATATTACAGCGACGATCATTTTCTTGATCATCGAGCAGCTCATGACGTGGGGCTTCTACGATTATCAAAACAGACATGGCAACAACGCTCTGAACAAAGTCTTCATGGTCATTGTTTCAATCCTGAATGCCGGTCGGAATTCACTGTCCTTCTTCCTCCTGCTGATCGTCTGCATGGGGTATGGTGTGGTGAAGCCGTCTTTAGGCAGAACAATGGTCTACGTTCGGATCCTCGCTATCGCCCACTTTATATTTGGCGTCATCTACGCAATTGCTTCAATGACGGTCACTCCGGAGTCGGTCGGTCCACTTATCCTTTTCGTCATTCTCCCACTCGCAGGGACTCTGACTGCATTCTACGTGTGGACGTTGTCATCTCTTAACGTAACCATCAAGGACCTGGTCGAGCGGAAACAAAAAACTAAAGCTATGATGTACAAGAAACTATCCTGGTGTATTCTGGGCTCCATCTTGGTCATCTTCGCCTTCTTCTTTGTTAACAGCCTGGCCTTCGCTGGAAGCAGCTCGGCCAATTTTGTGCCAAAACATTGGCAGACGAGATGGTTTGTGCTGGATGGCTGGTTGAATCTGGTTTATCTGTTTAATATTGCTTTCATTGCATACCTATGGCGTCCGACGGCGAATAACAGGCGATTCGCTATGAGTGACGAGGTAAGTCTTCCCTTTCCAAGAAATCCTCCTTTCAAAGAAAACACGGCTGATGACTCGCAAACAGTTGGCCCAAGACGACGATGGCTTCGAAATCCGTAGCATAGCCGATTCACTCTCAGACGCCGAGGAAGATGCTCGGAAAGACCAAGAACGCGAGGGTGCTCCATCGAGAGGAGCTGCCACGGCGCTCACAGATGCAGTTGACCTCTTTCCACCAAACAAACCGACTCCCTCGGGCCCACCTTTGCAAAATAGCGGTAAAGCACCTGTGAATCCGCCTCGGCCGAGGGAGTCGTTAGACGGAGAAACGATTTTCGCGGTCGGAGAAGACGGAGTCGAGTGGAGCGACGGCGAGGAAGAGAGTGACAGCGATGAGAGGAAGAAGTTGACGGGCAGGTAAGCCTGGTATTAGGGCTTCGGCTAAAGGGCAGCACTTTCAGATATCGATTTCTATTTAGGCACTAGCCCGGGGAATTGTTACGAATGGCACAGCAAATAAGGACATGAAAAGGGCCCTATGGAAATGTAATATGATGTATGTATCCTTCTTTCGGTATAGATGCCAGCCTCTATAGGGATGAGTTCCTTCTGGCACTTCGCACGGTGTTCACTGGCGCTGCCTCGGGATCATCCAGCTATCTGTACATGTGATTTCGGCCAAAACGGTATCTGGGTAGAGAACGCTTTCATTCCTTGGAACCGAGAAGAGGTTCTCGATTCCAAGAACTCATTCATGATTCTGATGTTCGGAAATCCTTCATGTGCCGATATCGCTAACGTGAGACCTCAGCCACCTAATTTCTTCGCTCGATCAAATGCAATATCGCACATGGCCTTGACAAGAGGTGTTAGCACCCAATACCGATGTATGCGAACCTTGAGTCAAGAAAACGTCACTATGGATCATACCTTGACAGCATCCTGCTTCTCCTGACTCAAGTCTGCTCGATCTATCCGTCTCTGCATGTCTTCCATAATAACAGACCGACTTCGGCCGTTCACAAATACTCTGTCCTCTACCATTAGCAGCCATAATAACCTCTCAATAAAATGGAAGCCAGGCAACAGGTGAAGCTAGGGGAACCTACACATATCTCAACCCCGGGAACGCCGCCTCATACTTCCTGTTCATCTCGGCCAACTTCTCCGCCTCCTCAGCTCCGCCTTGATTTAGCTGCGCCTGTTCCTTGCGACTCTGCTCGCTGTCGACTTTCTTCTCACCCAGACGAGGATGTGCAGAGAGGATAGCGTCAAGCCTCTTGGAATCGCTTTCTAGATTGGACTCGTAGAGCTCTGTCAATTGCTTGCCAACCGCGTTGATAAGATCTTCGTACGTAGAAAACTTCTTTTCTCGGAGCAGGCTGACGGATAATGTGTGAAGTTGGAGACATGGTTCAAAGAGGGTGTCCAATGCCTTCGCCCTATCTTCAGCGTCAAGCGACGAAAGAGTTGAGATAGAAGGGAGCGATGCCATGTGAAGAATTCCCTTATGCGAGCAAAGTTAATCTTTCAGATGAAATACAAAGAGTGAAGAAAGGCACACAATCTGGGAGACTGAGGAATAAATTTCCGATGCTGCAGAAGCAACTGAGCAGCTGTCATTGCCGACGACTGCTATGCAACCTTTTGACGTCGGTTGTCGCCGAACAGACAAAATGCTAGTCACGTGGAATTGGAAGAATCTGCGGATGGCAATGATGGCGTCTCTATGGAGTTCTTTCCTTGCCCAGTCTATTGCCAGCGATCTCTTTATGGCTTCCAGGTCCATGCTGGCGACATTGTCCAGAGCAGCCATGTGAGAGAATGGCGTACCAATAGTCTTGTAAAAGCAAAATGTGGATTCGGCAGTGGACTCAGCAGAGTGTAAATGAACGATTGATTTCATGCAGAAAAGGTTGCGCCATTGACGCAGCCTTCCACGAGGCCGACCCTGGGATTTAACGCCTTGACGCTTAAATGCGAGATCAAACACCGGATGACTTGAAAATAACATAAGTTATGCTGTCAAATCAAGGCAAGGCAGCACGGGAGCCAGATCGAGTTGGAGCATTCGCGATATTGACAGATGCCAGCCCCTCCAGAATGCGGGAAGCACGAGGTGGGCACCGGTGATTTTCTTCGCTTTTAAAGATTGGGTCTTTTCCGGACAGCTGAGGAGGATCGACATTCGAAAGTATTTGTGATCATCCAGTATAATTGAGTTTCGGTCTTTTTGGACATGGAAGGGAGGAATTTCAGATGACAGACATAGAACAACAAAAAATCGGACGGACCCAATGGGTAATAGTGCCCCCGGTTCCTGATTTCTGGCCGTCAGGGTCAGCAGCAGGGCTCGGGAAATTGGCCCATGGGCTAATGGGAGACGGTCAAATGAGGCTCCGGGAAATGAGCTCTTTCGGGGGTTTCGAGGTCAAACAAAACCCCACAGTTGCTGCACCTGGAGCAAAATGCCTGGCGACGGGGCTGCCACGGACTTCTTGTACCCATGTCTAGTGTCGCGTCTTTAAGTTGGCAACATTTGTGCGTGGCTTGGTCCATTGCCCCCTGAAAATGTTCGACGCTGTGTCCCCATTGGTAATGTCCTGCATGCGGGTTCCCCTCGAAGGTGCATCTCTAGGCTTCTGGTGCTTGTGGTCGGTGATTGTCTTGGGACCCTGTGTCCTCTGTACTTTGTATCTGTGCTCCTTCGATTGTATGTGATCGTCTCCAAACAACCATCGCGGCTTCGGGCCTCCCAGATGAGGCTGAGCAATGTCATTGAATGGGCTTGATGGGGCTGCGGTTGCCGAAGCGCACCAGGCTGCGCTGGCGGAAGCTGGAGGATGGTATGTTGTTGCAAGCAGGAAGGGAGGAACTGGAAAAGATGTGTTGCTGACTCGCATGGTCCAGGTTTTTGTTGAAGTACGTCAATCGCGACACCGTGGAATTGTTGAAGAAAGGAACTGGAGGAGTGCAAGAAGTGAAGAGTGTAATAGAACAATATGAAGACAAATCGCCCCTCTATGGACTGGTGCAGTATCGGCGCAAGAAGGTCATCCTCAAATATGTACCAGAGGGAACTTCGCGCCTCTTGCAAGGTGGGCGAACCCGTTGACTGCATCACCATCTTGTACTCTCTGGCACGACTGACATGCTTCACAGTGCGACTTACCGTTCAATTTCAATCTGTCCTGGAGACCTTCACACCGCATGATACAGTTTTCTCCTTTACTACGGCGTCCGAGGTGTCCGAGTCCGCCCTGGGACTGTGCACCATGCTGCTACCGTCGGCTTCGTCGTTGACCTCGTCGAGCTCGTCCCTCCGCCGGCGTCGACTCGATGAAATTACCGAGGACGCAGAAGAGGGTGCGGTGCCACCCAAAGAAAATGCCGCTCGCCCAGCGCAATCTGAGGAGGCACTGACACCGACGTACGGAAGGTGCGAACTCGATGAGCTGCCTGCAAGCGCGGTCCTCGCAAAGGCTCTTCTGGCAAAGAGAAAAGAAGAGGCTGCGGTCACTGTAATAACGGACTCTTCGCCAGAGGAGCTTCGACCGCCTCGGAAAGACAGCCTTGCTCCAAAGCCCCCGATCTCACCACTTCCTCCCTCGATCGACAAGGCTCTACCAGAAACTCCTGAGTCAACACCGCCCACCACCAGTGAAGGCGAGCCTCCCAAACCACCGGATTTTGAAGCCACGAGCAATATCCTTCTCGATGCTACCGCAATTGACCCTCCCGAACCGCTTACTCCTCGTCCTGGCCCTCAAACCCGTCACCTCTCCGCCGCTGAGTCGAATAGCATTAGTCAATGGAGTAATAACGTTGCTTCTTTTGCAGCTGTGAAACCGAAAAAGAAAAAGCTGGGACCCAGGCCTCACGTTGATTCAGCTCATCGGCCCAAAACATCAGGCACTACTGATAGCAGCATGAATGTACGCCCCGTTGCAAATCTACCAAACACAATCCGAGTGAACAATAGATCTCTGGTCAGCCTCGCTCTTCGTCCTGGATCCCAGCAATCAACTCGCAGCACTCCTGGCCGCTTTGCGCCTTCAAGCCATTCAATCAACAGTCCCCCGCCTTTGCCCTCTCCATCCCATCTCCAAGCACTCTACAAGCCAGGAGAAAGCCGACTGACGATATCGAGACCTGCTTCCGTGACCACTGAAACTTCGACCGCGACCCCGGAAAAGCTGAGGTTGATGAAGGCATTGCAACTGCGGAAACGAAACATACTCCTAGCACAACGGGCGTCCGCGGTAACCTCTCCACCTCCTCCAAATGCCCACACACACAATGCCTCTGAGTCAAGTGTCAGTACCCATTCTTCAAGCAATCACCTGTCACCTATTCCTAGCAGGGAACAGCTTTCGAATATTGACGAAGAATCCAAAATCACTCAATCTTCGAGCGCGACATCCCCGACATTTACGACGAACGTGTCGGAAGAGCCGTCGACGAAGGCGTCCTCTTTCACTGAGCAGGATGACCTTGCTAGGAAGCGGCGCTCGTTATCCTCAGCCACCAGCTCGTCCATAACACCGAAGGCGCCTACCCAGGAAAACCCAAGCCATGTAAAATCTCCGGCAAGTTCGACGGACAATAGGCCGGCGAGCAGGTCAGGACTCGGAATCGCGATCGTGAAACCCGAAGAGCTGTATGAGGTTGTGACAAAGCCAGCATCAACCGAGACAGGAACATCGCAAGGGCGAGAAATTGAAACTCCTGCTTCTCAAGATGATCCTCGACCTATTTCCGATGAACGACAGCAAGTTTCAGCACCCAGAAAGGATAGTGGTCTAGCATCCTCTCCGGCGTCGGAATCCCCCTCCAAATCTAGACGTCTGGGGCCACCCCAACCTTTACGAATCTTATCAGGAGGTGATGCTTCCGCATCAGATGTCTCCGAGGACGAGTCACTGATGGACGAACTTCAACACGCTACTGTCCATGAGGCTAAACCAGTCTCCGTTGCTCGTTCGCCGGTGACTCCGATAATGTCAAAAGGAAGCTCTGATCGCCTCCGCGAAATTGTCAGTAAGACTTCGAATTCTAGCTACCAGGCCCGACGAAGCGCAGGAAGCACTCCTGATCGGAATAGGTCAGGCAGCAAATCCGGTAGCATTCGAAGTGTCTCAACAGCGCTTCCGCAATGGCCCCCTGTGCAAACGGAGCCAGTCCAAATTCCTTTGTCCAAGAAACCCACACTGGGGACAGGCATTTCAAAACGCATCAAAGCCTTGGAAGTGCTAACAACCAAGGATATGAACTCTCAACAGGCTCATCAACCAAGTCGGGAGACCATTACCGGTCGATCGGCGTTTTCATCTTTCATGAAACGCTCGTCGTTCTTGTTGAACCAGCAGCCCCCCAACGCATCGACCGAGGCATCACCGCCAAAACAATTGCCTGCTTCAACTTCTCAATATGACCCTGGCCCTTCCCATGCGACAAGAGAGCCCAGACGTCCCTCAGTCGACGTCCATGGCTCATTACAAAAGGGTGACACCATATCTGTCACTGCGCGAATCGTACGGGATCCCAGCAAACAGCATCCTCCTATTTCACCGAGTTCTAGCTACAATACTCCCCTCAACCTGTTCCGCAGTCCTTTGATTGTGGAGCACGAGAAGCAGGACGAGACCTCCAGGGACCAGTCACTGGCTTTGATCCAATCTGCAACCAAGAGCCCGACGAAATCTGAAAGGGGCCGATTTTCCTTCTCTTCTCATCGATCTGCTTCTCAGACGAATCTGCCTCGCTCCGAGTCAACCCACAGTAAAATTTCACATGCGAGCACCTACAAGAAACATGGACCACGATCAGCCAGTGACGCCGCATCATTTTCGGAGGAGAAATCAAAAGGCTCAAGGACTAGCAGACTAATGAGGAGGATGTCAAATCTCACAGGCTCGCGCAACAAAAGCCACTCGGTATCGAAGGAGCAGGCTCATCCGAACACAATCCAGGAACAATCAGAGCCGGCCGGGGGGAGTTCAATATCTGAATCCCTCCTGCATGTTGTCGACATTGGAGATGTCAACGTACAATTTCCAGAGTCGTTCTTATGGAAGCGGCGTTTCATGAAGATTGACGATCAAGGATATTTAATTTTCTCCCCGCCGATGAATGACGCAAATCCGAAGAACGTCAAACGCAAATATCACCTGAGCGACTTCAAGCGACCGTCACTCCCTGACCTTGAACGAGAAGAAATGGCGTGGAGTATTATACTTGACCTAAAGGACGGCAGATGCGTGCAGTGCGCGTGCGAAAGTAAACATGCCCAACACCAGGTTTTACAAAGTGAGTAGAAGGTCCAAGTATTCCTAGTGTCCAAGATTTCTGACGACGTCCTCTAGTGCTTGTTGATGCTCACAGTGCTTATCATCAATTATATGGAAGTGGGTAATGATTGGAGAACACAGTCTTGGAGGCAACGACGGTCATGAACGACTCATCAAGTTCCGCATACCCTGTGGTTTTATGAATGACGGCAACATGCAATGGTGCCGGATTGACGGTTGGGGTGCCATTTAGGCGTACTTGCTGTCAATCCGAATTTTCTGGTCCTGCTCTTCATTGGAGATGATATATATTCATACCCCCCCATAGTTAATCTTCGTACCAGGGAATATTGCCCCAAACGAGTCTGAGCCCAGAAGCGTGATGTTCCATCAATTAGGGGCACTTAACACAGTGGAAAAGAAGCATACCAGACGATGGGATGCGACCACGCAGATTGTACGACTTTTTACTAGACACCGGGTCAGCATGCTGAGGAAGATCCTGTAATAAGTAATCATTCGCCAATTCGTTGAGATTAGACAAGGCTGAGGGTATGGGAACAGGCTGGCTTTTCCGCTTGCTTGGAAATCATGGGGTCCCTCCTCCGGACCCTGGCCCGCCTAATAATTGGTAAAGCAGCGCCGCGTATCAAATGTGAACACTGAACATGATCGAGCATTCTTTCTTCTCTTCCCTCAACTTCAGTAGAGCTTCTACACTGCTGAACATTCTTACCTGCCCTCTTTTCACTTCCTACAGTTCAATCTTTCCTCCGAAAGCGCCACGATGGTGCAATTACGATCCCTTCTCTCCCTGACAGCGATTGCCCTACCTCTCGTTACCGCCGCCTCAGATGTCGTGAACCTGATTCCCTCCAACTTCGATAAAGTTGTGTTCCAGTCCAACAAACCTGCCCTAGTTGAATTTTTCGCTCCCTGGTGTGGTCACTGCAAGAACCTTGCCCCAATCTACGAGGAGCTGGCAACTGTCTTCGCTGCCAGCGGCGACAAAGTCACCATCGCCAATGTCGATGCAGATAAGCACAAGGATCTTGGAAAGAGATTTGGAGTTCAGGGATTTCCAACATTGAAATGGTTTGATGGCACACCAGGAGCCGAGCCACAAGAATACAGTGGCGGCCGTGATTTGGAGAGTTTGACCAACTTCATTGTCGAGAAGACCGGGTTCAAGGTCAAGGGTCCAAAGAAGGCTCCCAGCCACGTTGAGATGTTGACCGATACCACATTCGAGCAAGAGGTTGGTGGAGACAAAGATGTCCTGGTCGCTTTCACAGCTCCATGGTGTGGGCGTGCGTGAAATTCCCCCCCCTCCAACAAAAAAAGAAATGCGGGAAGTGTTCTAATTGTTTTTGTGACAGATTGCAAATCACTTGCCCCAACCTGGGAGAAGCTTGCCGCTGACTTCGCCTCCGAGCCAAATGTCATTATCGCGAAGGTGGACGCCGAAGCCGAGAATTCCAAGGCCACTGCCCAAGCTCAAGGAATCACAGGCTACCCTACGATCAAGTTTTTCCCCAAGGGATCTACAGAGCCTGAACCATATAGCGGTGCACGGAGCGAAGATGCTCTTGTCGAATTTGTCAACTCAAAGGCGGGCACATACCGAGTCGTCGGTGGTGGTTTGAACTCTCAGGCAGGAACCATCGAGGTCATCGACAACGTTCTTGCTAAATACGTCACTGCGAACGGTCTGAAGGATGTGGAAAAGGCTACCGCGGAAGTCAAAAAAGTTGCAAAGGACCTGAAGGACAAGTCGGTCAATTACTATCTCCGAGCCATCGCTAAATTGACCGGCAACCCAGAGTACGCCATGAAGGAACAGACCAGACTTGCCGGTCTTCTGAAAAAGGGAGGACTGGCCCCTGAGAAGATTGACGACCTTCAGAAGCGTAGCAACATTCTCTCCAAATTTTTGATCAAGGATGAGGTTAAGAGTGAATTGTGAAGAACCGAGGTGGAATAGGGGGCCTCCAAAATTGCGGAAAAGGGATTTGGGAATGATCTTTACAGGCGGAACTGTAAATTAACCATCAAGAGAGGAGTTGAAACGGTATTATTTGATTTAGCATCGTCTTTTCAAAGACTTTGTCATTGTGTGTGTTCTTGCATTGGCTTACAGCCCTGTCCCTTTATTCTTTTTTATGTTCGGCAACTGGTCTTCTCAACCATAGGTGGTAGGGTGTAGATTCGACATATAGCGGTCTCCGTGGGTGCCTGTCTTCGCGAAGCACGAAGCTGGATACGCAGAGGATGAATTTCTCTCCCCTGTCTAGGAGTGTCCTTCTCGGTTGGACATTAAATGCGAAGTATTGAAAAATCACCCTTTCTCTATTTTTCAGGCTGAGCCAGTCGTCGAGCCCGTCGGGGTCTTCCTAACAGTCTCCAGCGCACTCGCATCTCTGAGCAGCATTTCTTGCTCTAATCGATCACATCGTTCCGCCATGTCGTCCACTGCAAAAGACAACCAAGCCCACCATGTCAGCCGAAAGCGTCCATCACAATGGTTGACACGAAATTTCCCCCCAAAAAAATTACCAGGAAGAAATAGGGGCCAAGTTTGTACTCACGTTTTGTCAATATCTCATCACTGATTCCCTTGAACTTTTTCTCCAGATTACCCAAAAAGTCGTCAATCGCTTCAGCGAGTTTCGTGGCGGCGTCGTTAGGGCTAATCAGGTCGGACGAAGTTGCGGTTGTCGTGGTTGCTTTGACGGTGCTGCTGGTGTGAGAAAGAGGAGGGCTCGAAGGTGTCATCTGTGGCGGTGGAGTAGAGGCAGACTGAAAGAAAGTCCCGTTAGGCATACTATGTTTTCTGCTAAGTTTGTACGGATCTGAAACGAAGTGCAGCGAGGGAGCGGCTTGATGCATGCTTTCTGCAAATGGAAATCGAGCAATTGTAACTCACCATGTTCGCATTTCTTTGTCTTTAGAGGGTAATACGCAGGAATGCTTCAAAGCGGGTTGCTGAGAGAATGGGTTGAGGTTCGGAGCCGTCACACAAGGGGCATGTCGAAATCCTTCCAGTCACTGCATGCCAGCTCTCCCACCGAACGACGGAGGATCAGGGTAAAAGAGAAGTTCAGGCGTAGAATTTTGAAAAGCGTATGTTTTGCTGTCCGGAGCCTGAGTACGAAGATGACTATTTCATGGGTTCTTCGTAAGACGCCGCCTGCTCTGCCGTAATCGCGTGAGTATTCGGTAAGAACACAACCCCAGGGGCTCCCCTTATTATGACTCCGCATACCACTCTTTAGACAGCCATACACTCATCATGGTCAAGAAAAGTAAGCTACTTGCCGCTCTTGATGCCTACAAGGGACGAGACTACGCGGCCGAGAAGAGAAAAGCACAAATGAAAGCGGCCGAGAAACGGAAACGACTGAAGACTGAAAAGGCGAAAATTGAAGCTGAAAATGACCCAGAAGCTTTAGCTGTTGATCAGGTACCTCAGAAATCTGATGAAAATGCTCAACCAAACGGGATTGAGCAGTCGACACTAAACGACATCTCCCCCACAATTCCTCAACCACTTGAACGGGCCGAAGCCTCTGCCTCTGAAGCAGAAAATGAATCAGACGTTCCACTCTCGGAACTTGAAGATGAAGACCTCGAAGACACCATCCCACATCAAAGAATGACGATCAATAACGGACCTGCGCTCGTCGCATCTCATAACCGTATCGCCTTGATCAAAGACCCTAAATCTCCATTCCACTATCATAATTCCCTCATATCCCACCTGTTACCGACGTCCACCTCCATCCCAGACCCCAACGACGATTTGACGAGAGAGCTGGAGTTCTATCGCATTGCACGTGAGGCCGCTGTGGAGGCACGAGCGCTACTCAAGAAAGAAAACATTCCCTTCTCCAGACCGAACGACTACTTTGCCGAGATGGTCAAGAGCGATGAACACATGGGCAAAGTCAAGAAGAAGATGTACGACGACGCTGCGTCAAAAAAGGCCGCGGAAGAAGCGAGGAAGTTGAGGGAAGCAAAGAAATTCGGGAAGGCGGTGCAGGTAGCCAAGGAGCAAGAGCGGGCGAAAGAAAAGAGAAACACGCTGGACAAGATTAAGGAGCTGAAGAGGAGTATGTTCTCCACCCCATTTTACGCACCCTCTTTCGTGGCAGATGGAATATGTGTGTCTTCATATCTCGATGCTAACAATTTCGTGTCTAGAACGCAAAGGCCAAGACACTGGCAAAGTCACGGAGGGCGACGATGATCTGTTCCAAAGCATCGACGTCGAAAACGAACCTGCTAAAGACCGATCAGGTCGAGAGCGAGGCAGTGGTTCTAATTTCAAGAGACAAAAACGCGACCACAAATACGGATTTGGGGGTAAGAAACGGTTCGCAAAGAGCGGCGACGCCGTCAGCAGCGCTGATATGCGCGGCTTCTCGGCAGCCAAAATGAAAGGAAAGGCAAAGAGACCTGGCAAAAGTAGGAGAGCAGCTGCCCGGTAAATGGGAAGGAGTCCTAGATGAAATCTGATGCCATTCCTATTCGCTACTGGAAAGGGGAAAAAGAAATCTCATATCAAAGCATATGGGGTATCACAGTCACAGGCAATGCAATGAGCCCGCCGCCCGAACGCCGTCAATGCTCGTTTGTGCCGATGAAGTCCTTATATCACCCACTGTCCCAAGAAGGCTTGGAGATGCGTCGTCTGGTGTTGCCTGCCTACTCTCTTCGCCTCCTGGGCAACTAGATCGAGCATCTCTTGCGCTTCCGGACCTGGAGGCAGTTCGGGCAAAGCGTCAGGATCATAATGACCGTTTAGTTGTCGGCTCGGGCTATCTTCGCGACTGCCGAGCGATTCAGCCGTTGTCTCTCTCAGTCGACTGGGAAGCGGAGGGCCTTGGCGTCGGGCTACTGGAGAGGAAACAGGAACGTCGCTCATTTCTTCGTCCTCGTCATGAGAATCTACTGCTCCTCGTGCCCGTTTGTGTGCCTTGCTGGCCCCACTAGGACGAAGGACTGATTTCATGCGATGCCGCTGTTTCTGGAACTTGCCTGGCGTTTTCATGATCTCCTCTGCCACCTCATCCGCTAGAGTGGCTTCGAGCTCATCATATATCCTCCGGGTAGACCAATTGAATTTCTTCCGGAGTTTGGCTTCGTTCATCAATCGAAGAAGTGGCTCTGCGGACCGCTCAAAAGCAGCCACCGCATCCTCATGGGTTCCTTCGAATGCCGGCAGTTTCTCTAGCTCGGTTGCCGCCTCATCAATACCACAATGACGCATGTTGAAGTTCGCTGATTTTCGAAGTATATTGAGCATGTCCCATATAGGTTTGGTCCAATCGATGGGTTCCGGTTTGGCTTCTGCCTCGCTACTTGTTGCAGCCTCTGATACTTCTCGAGACTCTTGATCGGACTCGTCTGAATCGCCTGACTCTTCTTGTAACTTCGCGTGTTCTTCCTCTGTGGATTCGGGCTCTTCCGATACACTGATCTGACTCGCACGAGCCAACATCGCCTTAAGTTCCTCTAGTTCGTCGGCATATGTCTCCGCTAGATGCTTCCAGAGGTGTGTCTGTGACCAGTCAATCCCTTCTCTCTCCTCGATCATTTGCTTGAGAAGAAATCTATGGTGTTTGTGAATTGTTTCCATGGCCTCGTCATCATCGTCGATTCTATATCCTGTATGTTTTTGGTATTCGGTAAGGAATGGATCTATCAGGAATCCAAATCGCTGTCGTTTTCCTGGCAGCTTTTGATGCTGGTCAACCATGAAATAGAACAAATCGATCGCCTCCACAGTATCATTGTAATGGCTCAGGTATCGATCTGAAGGCGCAATCTCGTACCAGCCTGCTTTCCCTGCAGCCCATATGACTGGCTTTCCATCATCGTTTTGACCAAAGCTATAATTTGTAACGTTCTCGATCTTTATTCGTGCGTACAGCGGATTCTCGATCAACACTTTGCAATCGTGTTAGCGCAGCCCTGTATGCTTATTGCCCATGGCCTTACCGAGATGATCCTGCTCATCATCTAGCGGCATCAATTCTCCCAGAACGCACAGCGGTACCTCTTCAGACGCCTCTAACAAGTCTGCATATCGACCCTTGCCCTGATAAAATATCTTGGCTTCTCGTAGGGCAAAGTCTGGCCATTCGTTCACATCATCTGGAACTGGATCGAGAGGTTTAAGGACACGTTCTTCAGGCAGCGTGGACATGTCCAATGATGAGATTCGAGGCTCATGCTGTGACTTTGGGGTGACGTCGTGTTATGTTGTTGCCGAACAAAGTGATGCACTAGTCATCTCGGGACGACCATCGATTCAAGCTGGTAATCTCTCTTTGTGGAGCGATGAGTAGGTGTAGGCACTATTGTCGGCAGTAATCAAGAGAGTCATATTGTAGGGGGAAGATGCAAAGATTTGAGGCTGGAACAGAGTGGAAAGCAAAAAGCGTGCTAGGCTTGACGGGGGCCCACATAAGCCACGAGCCGCCGGCGTCACGTGGCACACTCTCCGATGTTTACCCGACTTGCCTTGGTGACAGATGAAACACCTTCGTCACAGGGCACTTGCTGCTCAACGAACTTTTTCTGAGATCTCGTCCATTTCATGACCCTCCGCCATCTCATCAAGATGGCTCAGCCGTCCGTCAAGGTCCTTGAGGGCGTCTTTGGTGAGGCCAATTCCTCTCCCGAGACCCTGCCGATGATCGAATCCATTCCTGACCAGTCCATATCTGTTTCTAGCCATTAGCAAACCACCAAGCTTGTCCTCTGCCCAAGTCCTTCGAGACCTTCAGCATAAGTTTGCTGAATCCCAAACCTTTGCACCGTTGCTTCACCAGACAAAGAGGGCGCGAGAAGAGCAAGAACGGCGCCAACCGAAGCGGCGCAAAAGCAGCAATGACCAAATCTTCAAGATGGGCCACGGTGGCACCCTGGATCCTCTGGCGACAGGAATTTTGATTGTCGGAATCGGCAGAGGAACCAAGCACCTCTCTGACTTTCTTGGTTGTAAAAAGACCTACGAGACAGTGGTACTTTTCGGCAAGAGCACGGACACGTACGACGTGATGGGCAAAATTATCGCAGAGTCTCCATCAAAAGACATACCCAAAAACATCGTCCAGGAGCAAGTCCACAAATTCCGTGGCAAAATGAAGCAGATTCCTCCCATATATAGCGCAATCAAGATTGAGGGCATGAAGTTATATGATTATGCCAGAAGCGGCAAGGAATTGCCTCGAGAGTTGGAGAGCCGGGATGTTGAATTATACGAATGTTCTTTACTCGAATTCTACAGACCTGGCGAGCACGATTTTCGATGGCCGGCAGAGCAGGCCGACGACGAAGAGAAAGCTATAGCCAAAAAGCTCCTGGACGGAGCCGAATCGACCAAGAAGGCAATGGCCGAAGAAGCTCAACAGCAGCCCCTGAACAGCTCTCGAGGCGAAGAAAATCCAGATGTTGGAATCAATGACTTCCCGCCGAAGACAAAGGCTGCAATGCATATTCATCACCTTCCCACTCAGGACCCGTTTCCTGCTGAGGCCTCTGCTGCACGCATTCGCCTGACAGTTAGCAGTGGTTTCTACGTGCGGTCGTTTGCTCATGACTTTGGGCTTGCTTGTGGTACTTATGGAACAATGGCTTCCTTGGTGCGAAGTCAACAAGGCAATTTTACTACCCTTGAGCCTGTTCCCGAGGGCTATAGTCCTACGCTCACGTACAAGGACATGGAAGCCGGGGAAGATGTATGGGGTCCCAAAATCATTCCGGTCTTAGAAAAATGGTTAGAGATACATCCGGAGCCGTCAGTTCAAAATCGTATCGATGATCGGGACCGGCCGAAGAAGAAATTTTCCTACAAGAGCGGCCAGGGGTTTCAAGGCCGTGGCGGCGGGTCGAAGAGGACATGGAGTGATCGAGAAGAGGAGGATAGGTCTCGTCCTTCGAGGAGACGTAATAGTTCGTCGCCAGAAGCATGAGAGAATAGTAGGGTACAAAATTTTTATGTACCACTATCCCGGCAGGCCAAGTAAATATAGGGGAGTAAAAATGAGTGATATCACGCCAAGAGCGGTTCCTGCATCGGCAATTCCTTGATTAAGTTGACTTTGACTGCGCCTTGACAAGGATTTTTTTTTCGGCCTGGCCGCCTTGAAGATTGCCCCATCTTCACTACTCTATCCCTGCGGTCGTGTGATCGTTCAGCCCAAGTTTTCTTGCGCCCTCGCATTTCCTCTCACATTCTTTCATCTTTTCCATGTTGGCGCAATATAGAGCGCCTTTATTCCTGGCATCTACTGCGACAAATTCACTCCCTCTATCCACTCGCTACGATGGGACCGTTGCCGCCGCAGAACAGACCCTTGTCATTCGCTGCTTTGAAAGCGAAGAAGGCCCCTCCCAAGATTACCACAAAGATCGTCACTGTGAATGCACATGCGAAGACGGCGATGAAGCCTCAGCCATCCGTTCCGTCCACCAAGCCTTCGGTCGCGCAAAAACCTGTCTCTAACGGAACCCCACACGTAGGAAATGGATATCGCAAGTCAAGCACGCCGGCTTCAATACCTTCGAGACAAACAAGCCGCGAGCCACTGGAAAGGGTGAAGCAAGAAAAACAAAGCCGAACAAAACGATCGTCTCCCGCGGTCTCCACCCCGAGACTGACGAGTTCAGATGAAGAAAGCGAGGCAGACGAGGACCAACCTAGAAAGCGACTTCGACTCGATCAGACCGGAAGAATAGACGAAAAACGGCGAGTTCGGGATCTTGGGTCATTTTCTGAAGAAGATAGTGGTGTCTTCTCCATGGTGCATGCGCTGGACATTGCGAACAGCTGCATCATCGAGCAGGGGAGAGACAAGTACGAAGCATTTTTCACGGCTCTGGAAGGAGATGAGGATGAATGTCCAACAATCGAGCTGCAATATCCTAGTGCGTTACAATGCGAGAAGTATCAGCTGGTCAGGCCGACGGATTCCTCAGATTTCAAACCTTTGGATGAGATAGAAGCCAACATGAAAATCGTGGCGGAGTACTATCTCGACAATGTTTCAGCAAGCAAGGTCACAAGCGAGGAAGACGGCTCGGGGCTTATCCAAATGTTGCACCGTCAGGCCACTTTAGGTTTGAAGGGACGAGTTGGTGCCCAGTCCAGATATATTGGCGTGGTCGAAAAGTATAATGAGTTGGTTGCGGAGAAGCGCAGGGATGGCACGATCGCAAAGAAACTAGACGAGATGGCCCGTGTTGATCTCAAGCTCGTCGAGCATATTATTAAGAACCAGGTCTACGCTCGCACTGTGTCGCCTCAGGTCAATCTTGTCAGACACTACGAGAGCTTTTCCGACAACGTCTACGGAGAGCTCCTGCCCAAGTTTCTGAGCCGCATCTTCAAAGAGACGAAATTGGAATCCGATCAGATCTTTATCGACCTCGGTTCAGGTGTTGGTAACTGCGTCCTTCAGGCAGCACTAGAGACCGGATGTGAATCTTGGGGCTGCGAGGTCATGGACAATCCTAATGCGTTGGCTCAGCTTCAGGCAGAGGAATTCCCTGCTCGGTGTCGCCTGTGGGGGATCAAACCCGGCGAAGTCCACCTAATTCATGGAGACTTCCTGAAGAATGAACAAGTCCGGCAGGTGTTAAAGAAGGCAGACGTTATCCTCGTCAATAACCAGGCATTCACAGCTGAATTGAATGACAAGCTGAAATATGTGTTCTTGGACCTGAAAGAAGGATGCCAAATTGTCAGCCTCAAGCCATTCCGCAGCCCGGCGCATAAAATCAAGGATTCGAACGTCAACGACCCTGTCAATGTGCTTGCAGTCATGGAGAAGGATCGTTGGAGCGGCATGGTCAGTTGGACGGATGATCCTGGAAAATGGTATCATCAGCGTAAGGATTCAAGGGAGTTGGAGGTCTTCGTCAAGAGCATGGGAGGCTTGAATTAGGGTTCGAGTCTGAATTTTTCCCTGCAGAACTCGCGCTTCTCAGAAGCATCGGCACTGAATTGGGTTGGTCATTGGATGAAATCTCATGAATGACGACAATTTGCATGGCGTTGGAGAACAGCGAGAAGCAACGAGCATTGTCCAGGCGCATCTGCAATAAGGAGCTGGCTTAATTGTTCAATCTGGCCCGGTGCCACGGAATAGATTGGAGATAATGTATCAATCCTCCAATCCTTCAATCGGTCAATCCCGAACCGGTGAACCTGGTCTCCCTCTTCGGCTCTGTTATCTATGAAAGTTTGTGGCTGTGTGCATTCTTCACTTGGTTTCCATCTACTGCACACCCAAATGCCAGGCAGTCTATCGTGATAAAGGTTATTCAGGGAACCAGTCAAGCATCGGACTGACCTGTGAGTTATTCAAACTTCAGTGAGGCGTTGGCCTTTTTGTGCATCAATCAACAAGAGTGATCAGAAGGGAGGCTTTGGAATACTCACTGTCAGGATCTTGTTGCACAGCTGTAGCCATGAACACACTTAGCCGATGATCAAGTCCGCTTTCGGCCTAAGCACTTTGTAAACTTCGTCCGCCCGTCTTCGCTATATCTTTTCTTGATGAGTCCGGCTTGCTTTTCCCTAAGACGGAAGCGATGAGACTCTTGGCTTTCGTGACATCGACACTTCGTAGCCTTTCCAAAGCGGTGAGATTAGCCGAATTTGTTTTCTTCATTCATCCTGTCAGCCTCCTTGCCCATTCTTGCCATCCATCGATCAACAAGATCCTTGTTTTCCTTTCTCAATTTGCCGGACTGCTCCTCGGCCATATTGAGTTGAAGATTCAAGGTCACATTCTCGTCTTGGACGTTTTCTATCAACTTGGCTTTGCCTTTCAACTCTTCGTCTCGATCTCTCAGCTTGATAGTCAACTGTGACAAGTTCGAATTCAACTGAGTGATGCGTTTGCTGTCCGCTCTAGCCTTTCCTTTCAATGTCTCGAGTTCTCGTAAAGCAGTATCTAGACGAGATTGAAGATTGCTCCGTTCTTGTTGTGCTTTGGCCAGGTCTTGACGCATCTGAGCAAGCGAAGGAGAATCAGGACTAGCAACAGGCGACGCGACCCTCCTCAAGCCCATGCCCATGCCCATCAGTGAAGGCTGCGGGGAGGTGACCGGCTCTACATCTTCCGTCGGCGCCAGGGCAGATGTCCTTCGCTGCAGCTCAGCCTTCTCATCTGCAAGCTTGGTGCCTACACGTGTTGGTGATCGAGCCATTTCACTCCTGGCAATTCTGGCTTACAATAGTCATAGAGATCCAGGTTTGCTTTCTCCACCTTGTCTCTGGCTTGCAAGGCTGCAAGATATTGTTCTTTCCACGTCGCCATGGCGTCACCGGAGCTGAATCATTGTGAGAAACCGTTCATGGGGAAGCTTAGAAAAGGTATCTAAGGAGAGCGCCAGAAGAAAGATGATCCATACCAAACGCCACGGATGATTATATCGATTAAACGACAAAGGGCAAGAAAAGAAACTCAGCCAAACAGGGTCGCCTCGGTAAACTTGCCCAAACGACTCGGTCACCTGGAGGAGGGTCTGATCTGATGAGCTGCCACCCGCCAAACTGCGGGTACTTGGGCTACTTTCGTACATAATATGAACGAACATCCTCCTACTAACTTGTATGATTCCGACACTCTCATACAGAACGAGTTATAAGCTTCCTCTCAGCGCTAGTATCCCTGTTAGACTACTGCAACACCCTCACCTTCAAGCGCACACCCCCAGAGAAACCTAAATCTTCCCTTCCAACACCATCGATGACCACGCGTGACCTCTTTGCAGAGAGTTACCACCCCAGATCACAGACATAGTTCAAGCCAGCTCGATCAAGAAGGCAGCCCATTTCTTCCGGGCACAAGGCATCTTGCTTCAACTCGAGCGGATAAAGTCTTCTCAACATTCACAACGCCCGTCATGGCTTCGAGGAAGAAGGTGCTATTGAAAGTACGTATATTCAACTCTTTCGTACACAACATACTGACGCCATCACAACAGGTCATTATCCTGGGCGATAGCGGGGTGGGTAAGACCAGTTTAATGAACCAATATGTCCGTCTCCTTCCTCTTCTCCTGCTTCGAGTACAGTGCTGACTCCGTCGAACTCTAGGTGAACAAGAAATTCTCTACATCCTACAAAGCCACAATTGGCGCCGATTTTCTCACGAAGGAAGTTACCGTTGACGATCGAATCGTGACACTCCAGCTCTGGGATACAGCCGGCCAAGAGCGTTTCCAATCCCTGGGAGTCGCCTTCTACCGAGGTGCCGACTGCTGCGTCCTGGTGTACGACGTCAACTCCACCAAGTCATTTGAGACCCTCGATTCATGGCGTGATGAGTTCCTTATCCAAGCCAGCCCGCGCGACCCGGATAGCTTCCCCTTCGTCGTGCTCGGAAACAAGATTGACATGGGCGAAGACAGGAGAATGATCACACAGAAAAGGGCACTTGCTTACTGTCAAAGTCGAGGACAGATGCCGTATTTCGAGACCAGTGCAAAGGAGAGTATCAATGTCGAGCAGGCATTTGAAGTCATCGCGAGGAATGCACTGGCCCAAGAGGAGAGTGAGGAATACGGTGGTGACTTCTCAGATCCTATCAATATCAATCTGGATCAGGAGAGAGATGGTTGTGCTTGCTAAGATGGGGGAGAATCTAACCATCTTGTTAGGCGGTTCGGTTTGGAACTCACTTTGCAGAAGATCAACAAGGAAATCGTTTGACCCTCGCCTATTGGAATTGGAGGAGACCAGGAAGGGAGGGATAACGTGCGCACCATGCCCCTTTTTCAGTCGAAACAAGATTTCCCATATACCAGCCCTGCGGCACGAGATCGCTCTGTGACTGAATCGATGTTGGCATGCTCGTATTCCATATTGTGATGGCGTTTTCTTGGTGTGTAGGGTTCGTTCAAGGCTGCAAGCAAGCAAGGGCTAGGACCGGCAAGCGTGTACAGATACTGATACAGACAATCCACAGTTGAAATCCTCCATTTCCAGTTCATGCATCGAGTTTAAGTGATCCATACTTTCAACTCGGCCTCCATTTTGGGTTTTATCGTTCGCAGTAATCGAAGTCATCCTTCTTTGAAAAGCATGTGGGAAGTTTTTACAGCCACGTCTCTCGAATGAAACGGAAGCAGCATGGAGGTTCGGGCCCGAAAGAAGATCATAGGGAGAATCCACCCGAGAAAATACTTTTGCAGGCCAACGAATCACTCAGCCAGACCAAAGGCGGAATTGAATTCCTAAAACAAGGTAGATTGATGACTAGCAAAGCCTCTTGTCGTCGCTGCCATGGTGCAAATCTGAAGCTTTCCGTAACTCTCTGTTTTTCATCACCCCCTATTCTTTCACGCCTGGTGTGACAGTCTCTTGACTTTCATTTTCTCATGCTTCCTCTCCCATCTCCGCCCCCGGTTCCTTATCCCTCAGACTTATGAGAGTGATAGATTTTCTTGACCGTGAAGTAGCAGACACACACTGGACAGGGGAGAGTAAACCAAAAACAAGAGAATTCGACGACATTTGTTCCATTTAGATTTTCTTGGGTTTTTGCGCTGCTGTTGACACGCTATTTTGGAGGAAGAAAAATACAGGAACAACAAATTTTTTTGGTGGCTCAACATTAAAAGGAGACTCTCGCGGATAGGAAACGGGGCAGTTCCATAGGCCAGAGGCACAACCCTTAGTACCACACAGATTAAGCTCGATCTTGCACCAGGCCCGGTCATGATAAGTCGTGGAGGAAAAAAACACGCGCACACTCGCCAGTGAGATGACGACTCAATCAGTTCAAAGGGTCCTTCCTAAGCCTGATCCGTCCCGCGAAGCACCAGATAGATCCCTATCCAGTAAATGGCCAGGCGGTCCAAAAAAAAAAAGGAGCAAGGCCCCTTCCTTTCTTTAGTGAACAGTCCACTCGGGGGGTTGCCAGAAAGCCGAAAAGCCGTCGACCGGAGGATGATGAGAAAAAAAGGGTTTCCTGATACTGTTGTTGCTCGGCAATCTCGAAATATCATCTGGCCATGTCGCACCAGTGGAACAAATACATCCTCCCTCCCATATTTGATTTACCACGCCCAGATTTTGAGCTAGAATAACGCATTAGCCAATTTCCAGATCGAACATCAACGACAATGTCATCGCTTACTAGAGAATCCCATGAACCAGTACATAAGCTGATCCCATCGTTGCTAACACCCAGACAGCTGACACGATTTTCATGACCATTCAGCGAGCCAACTTTGTCACCACGTAGAGTATCCCAGACCTAAGATTCGAATCAGCACCGATTGCGCTTGACAAACTTGGGAGCAACCGACTTTGCATTCATAGTCATCATAGCCTGCGAAAAGTAATCGGCCGGAGACTGAGAAGGCGACCGAGGTAATGCCGCAAAGAACCTGTTCATTCTACAGATCTGAGTAAGTAGCAGAATCAAGACGTAGCAGGGCAATCAAGCATACCTGATAAGACATTAATTCACGATCTGCCCTAATGTCAAAAAGCCGGCAAGAGGCATCATCGGAACCGGTTCCGAACGCATTTCCGTCTGGGAAGAATTGGATAGCATTGATGTCAGATTCATGGCCAGCAAATGTTTGAACAGCCTTTCCAGTCCGAACATCCCACAATTTTGCAAAAGCATCGCATGCACCCGAGACAAAAACATTTGCGTTCGTGGGGTTTATGCTGATGCTCATGACATCGCCCAAATGATCGGCGAATTCGGTGACTTTGGAACCAGTCTCAATATCCCACATCATGCAAGTCATATCACCGGAAGAGGTGATGATCTTGCGGTCATTGACGAACCGACAGCATGACAGATATCCGGAGTGGCCAGACAGCTCACGAGCAACGCGCGTTGGGCCTTCCCTTGTAGAAAGGTTGTAGATAGAGCAAATATTGTCAAGACCACCACACGCCACATAATTGCCGCTGGGGGCATATGCGCAAGTCATGACCCATGAGGAGCGGAGAGGAATGGCGTGTACTTTGTTCGTGGTATAGGCGTCCCAGATGATGAGCTTTCCATCTTGCGAAGCAGAGACTAAATGCCGCCTGTCTGTTGACCAATGCATGGCATAAATCTTTGCAAGGTGGCCCTTGAGATTCCTTCGAGGCTTCATGCCTATCCGAGGAAGCGCTTCGGTATTGTTGAGCGCGACTTGTCGCACTGGAAAAGCCCCACAATTAGCCAATCCGCAAACGAAAGACTCTGAAGCGTACATGTTAAGGAGCATCAAAAGGCGCATGGACTTACAGCTGGTGTCGGCTAGATCATCTTTCTTGCGCTTGATTCTATCTTTCAGGCCTTCTGCTTCTCTTCTTGCAGCCGTGATTTTGGCCTGCATTTGCTCTCCAGTCAAATCGGTCGACATGGTCCCGATTGGGGTCCTTTTCGGACCAGGTCAGGTGGAATTGTACAGGGAATCAGAGACTTGGACCTGGACCGGCTCAGAAGGGTGCGCAAGGAGGAATTGCGGTGATTTTGATGTTGAGTCGTCGTTGGGAGTGGGCGAGGCACAGGAGCTCAGGTATCAGGGATGGGTAAATTTCCGCGGTCCACAGTGCCGCGGGTGGCAGATTGGAGGAAGGAGGGGAGGAGAGAGGATGATGGGGCTGGGCAAGGTTAAGGAAAGGGCGATCGAAGACAATCAATGCTAGAAAGGTAAATTGAAGGTCGTCGTCGACAATAGGCTGATTGACGGTGTCGAGGTTGGATCAGGAAAGCATCTTAGAACTGAAGGCAAGTAAGTGAAATAGCACAGGAACTGGCAGGTCGGCTTGTTGGTGTCTAGTGCCGTGTCCAGTGGCGCCCAGTGATCCCGTTCGAGTGCGAGTGGTCAGAGCCAGTTCCACTGAGAGAGCCGCTGCTGATGCCCGTGTTGCCAGCGCTGGGGTTCAAGCATCAAGAATGGGCGGACTGCGCAGTGACTTTTCGTTTCCAGTTCTTTGTTAAGTTCGGGCGTTTGAAGCAGCAGATCAACCCCCCCTTCCCCCCAAGTGCGGTTCCAAATCCTACGGATGCAGGCCACGGAGCACCGTGTTACCATTGTACCAACTCGAGCAGGATAGTTACTCCGTTCTCTGCTGCCGCACTCCATCCACAGGGTGACAAAGAAACCAAGTTCCCCCAACTCGCTCCAACACCCGATTCATCGCTTCCATCCGAACCCCAGAGCCAGATGCACAGATTTTGTAATTCTAAATCGTCCCAATCACTCGAACTCCATGCGACCTCCTCCTCCGGCCTTGCAATTCAACACTGCGCGCGACAACTGAGCATGCGCTAGGCACGGCAATAGCACAAGAAGTGTCAAATACTGTGGCTTTCACGAACTTTTTTCTCGCAAACGATTCCTTGTCGTGCGGGTCTCTCAGTCCCCAATCGGTGCATTAGATCAAGAGGAGGGTGCCGGGGGAGCGCTGCCGAGGGGGAGCTGCCGGGGGTTAGGGATGCGGCGAAGAGAGGCTTGCCAGGGATTGTAGTCGGCAGCCCAAGACAAACAAGAAGAGAGGAGAGATTGATCATTGCCCTGTCGCGTCTAATGCTGGCTAAAAAAGACGCCGGTGTGACGCTTCTCTGTCCCCCTCCATTTCCGTATGGACCCAGTAAGTCAACTCCAAGTATAGTACTGAAGCACCCGTCCTTGGGAATTCGAAACGAGAAAAGCACTTGCAGCAGAAAGGGGCCGACCGTTCAGCTCTCCCCCCTCCATTTCGTTAGAGTATTGCTGATCCTCCAGCTCCATCACCAGCCTAGTAGCCAATCACTTCGCTTGTCTGCAGAGCCTGACGGCGTTGAGAGTGCCCTTGCTAAAAGTGCAAATGGGTCGATTGACAACAAGCACCAGCAAGAAATAAAGCCGTAATGCTTTCCCTCGTCTCGCTGATCAAAAATCTAAAATCGGCCAGCTCCAAAATTGCTCCGGATTACAGAGTCTATGGAGTATATTGCTGATCGTCCCCCTTTCCAGTTCAATTTACACGTGGACTTCCCATCCCCTTTACGGATTTTATCTCTTGGTATAGATCCCGATCCCTCGTGGTGAAGACGTGATTTTGAGGCCAGGGATCCCGATGTCCTGCACAACGAAGAGGATGGCTTTATTGTCAAGGGCCCCACCGTCAAAGCCATGGCATTTCTGACCCGCAGCATGCTCGATGAGGTCTGTTCAGATTGGGCCCCCTGAGAAGTGGCGTCGGTCGCTGCGGAGCGTGGTCCATATGATCGAGAATAATGTTGCTCATTCAAAAATACATTTAATGACTGCAGAATGCGGCTCTCACAATGAGCAGCGTTTCGTACTTTAACGCGATAAGAATTCTCGCTCCAGCCAGGCCCTGATGGTTAGAGACAGTGGCTCGACGCTCATAATTAAGGTTCCAAAGGGTGTGTTCCGAGTTCCGGATCGTCCCTGCCAAGGGTTGTTGGCAAAGACCACTGCAGTTTGAATCTTTTACTCCCTCAACTCCCTCGAGGCAATAACACAACACGACAGTTAAAGTATTCATCAGCTGAGGAACGTTTCCGCCACCAATTTCACACCCAGCTGCTATTTTTCCCATACCTTCCACTTATGTTCTGGACAATAAGCTGCATTTACGGCACCTCCTCCGTGGCACCAAGGCATTCGGAGCGCATGGGTTGAAGACGAATCCCTCAAGGTTGGTCAACCGCTGCTCGATATCAGGTGAGGAAACCTTATCTCCAACACGTGTTGTGTCAATCGTCCTTGATGTGGAATATATCTAGCCGTTTGCGTGTCTGACATCTCCGCTTGTCATACGGTTGGTATACAGTGGTATCCTCCTTACTACATCTATAGCACCCAAGAACAAAGGTGCAGCTGCACTATCCACAGCAGGGATGATGATGTTCAGTGGCAGCCTCTAATCTCCCGGCTCTCGACCCTCAGCGTTTTATAGCCATTGGTCCGACAACTTCTCTAGGTGGGTTATGCTTGATTGCTGCGAAGACAGCACAGGTTTATGGTATTACTACAGACCAACATCTCACTTCAGGGATCCTCCACTCCAAACTCATTGAAGTAAACCATCTCAACACATCCAGATCAAACTGGTCCCAAGCAGCTGAAAACAAGGTTTTCTCCAAGTCCAAGAAGCTCTTTGCAGAGCCAATCACAGTCTCTTCAAACGGTCGATAGTTTATACCTAGCAGCTTCTTTGACATCGCATTATCGAATTTGAAGGATCCTAGGGCCAAGGCATGCTTCCCGGTTCATCACACGGAATCTTCTCATCCAGCTGAGAGAAGTCCCGCCTCAAGATGTCACCAAATTTCCTGTTCGAATTGCTGCCTGGGGAGACAAAAATATCAGCAGTTTCTAACTCCAGGAGCGAACCGCCGCCTGGTAATGTGCCAATGCCGAATCCTATGGGAACGTTGGCATGATTTCGGACTCTCGCGCAGACCTCAAATTGACTTACTCGCTGATGTGCAAAGAATCTGGCAGCATCAGGGCTGTCGCATGCCCCCCTTTTATCTCCCGGATCGAAAGCGGTGATGCGGCAGCGAATTAATTGTGTCCAGGACCACAGCATCGGCCACAGTGATAGAGGCATCCACGACTATGAACAGAGTTAAAGGTGAGGATGGAATACTGGTGGAATAGCATGCCCTGCGGAAGTAAGATTGATACACGATAGATCCCCCTTCGCAAGTCGTATCTGGTTGACTACTACTTGGAACAGACTATCGTTTTCAATGCTTTGGGCCTTCATTCATGCCACCTGCTGGCGCTGCACCTTCTATCACAGGCTTGCAGTTGTCCATCAGTATCGATTTGCGCAGCATCGACCAGCCCTGCAGCGAGAATAGAAATCCCTCAGACTTGGGCAAAAGACGAGCATAGCGGCAACTGGTCAGCAAATCACCATCCAACAGCATCGAATGAGTTGGATGCAGGGGAATAAGAGGATTAGATTCCAATCGCATGCGTTTGGACTCGACCAATCTGTTCAACGAAGGGACTGACTTACTATTGTCACAGGAGCACTTGAAGAGCCAGCAACAACCGATGCACTCTACACCGCGCGCCATCTGCGCTGAACATAATACGAACGCGAAAGAATTTGGAAAGCCATGAAAATCATTTTCCTATTGTCAATGGAAGTTTCCCCACGATTCATGCACAGATAGTAGGACTGAACAACTCCCCCCTTTTTTTCTCCTGAAGTCGATGTTGCCAAATTGCTTGGCGATTGGCTCGATAGCCGCCATCAAACAGCTTCTCGCGTAGAGGCTGGGGGGCAAAAATAGCACTCTCCGACATAGAGAGTTCTAACGATTCGTGGAACATGGCCTCATCACGTCACCTGGTCGATTCCCGTTGATCTTGTCGTTTATGTCTTCTGCTATGAGAATGCGAAACGCAATTAATTGTCGAGATCACAATCCAACAAAAAAAGAAGAGAGAGAGATACACAATGGTTCTGGTGCAAATTGTCTCAGGTGGGCTTCTTGAGTGCGATCCAACATCAGACATCGAGCATTTTCTCCGCATGCGTTCCAGGATATAGGCTGTAAGCATGGTTGCAGAAAATGTCGGAAATATTTTCAGCATTGTGCATGGAGGCGACTCCCCAGAGTGCCAGCCCTGTTCACACTGATTGGTTGTGGAGAGAAAAACTTGCCACCCCATATACAGTAACAATGGGCTTTGTGCCCATCAATCCAGAATATGGCCTTTCCAATAATGTCTAATCAGACCAACAATGCTTCTCATCGCGAGCTGATGGTGCTGGAAGGAAGGATCAGAGGGCTCTTCGAGAACGCAGCTGTTATCGTCATGATGAATTGATTGCCAAGGGGCTTTTGGAGGACACAAGCCCCTGAACGAAGAAATGGATGGTGGACCTCTCCGCCCCGTCCGCAGCCTAGGACTCATGAAACTCCGTCATATTAGCAGGACGTTCTCCGGAAGATCAAGAGGAATCACAAGAATCTCTCTCGGAGGACCCGATTTTGATCAAGTCCTCCCGCAGGCTCTATTAATTGTCGAAGAGCGTGCAGATGAAGAGTTTTTGTTTCAGCACCAGCTGTAACTGGAATAATGAAGCAGGACTGGTTAATTACTCAGTGGCCAAACGAAAGATTGCACTAGTCACAAGTAGTCTGGCGGTCAACTTAGCAGAGCAAATGACTTTGGATCGGTAGTTGCCGCGCTGCAGCAGATGCCCATCGCCATCCAATTGCCAAGGAGAATTTCCAAAGGCTCGAGACTCGGCCTGGAAGGTTGCCGGTGTCTTGAAGCCTGAAATCTTGAGCTCACCGGGCCAAACAACCAGGCTGGAGCCAGCAGCCAGACAAGACGGGCAAGCCACTCACCAGACCCGGCCAAAGTAACATGTAACGAGCCACTAAGACTAATCTCTTACTTACTGCTGGCAAAATTACCACCACCTCTTTGCCTCTGCTAACCATCCTTAACACTAAACTACCACCACCACCTTCACCACCTCTCTCCTCACTCTCTCTAACTCATTCTTCATCCCCCCGAACCTGTCCATCAATCTCCTCCATCCCTTCCTTCCCTTCTTCAATCGAGTCCTGCTGCTCAACTTCTCATCCGGCAGATTTTGCTATTGTCACTGCTTTTGTCGGCTCTTCTGGCCTGGGCGGCCGCAGATTTTCGAGCCTCCTCCGCCAGCCCTCTCTTCAAGCCACCTCTCGCTCGCCTTCGACTCGAACAGCCACACTCTCTACAAATCAATTCTGTGTGTTCATCAAGCCTGTTGAGACCTGCCATACTTCGAGTCAGTCGAGCATCGTCCGTCTTCTCAATCTCCGCATTAACTGGTCAAGTCAGGAGATCCGCCTCCCACGCCCTGCACCATTGGCTATTCCTGTTCACTTCGACACCATCACTTGATGGCCTCTTGCCCTCTACTCTATTTGTATTCGTTAGCTAGCAAAGTTTGAATTTGAAATAGGACCTGGTTCTGTCCGAGTCGAATCTCAATCGGGTCGAGGAAGAGACGGCCGACTTCTGCTACAGAAATCCCCGGGAGTCCAGCGAGAATCACCTTACTCAAGAACCACAAAACCAATCTTATTGGTCTCTCGAGTCTATACATGATTGACTACGGAAGTGACATACATCAGACAACATGAGAGAGGTCAATTTCAGCATTCCGAATGTCAACAAGGCCTCGGTCCACATCACCACGACTCTCTATGACCGTCGAGCTCTGGATTGTACCTCAACCCTCCCTCTCATCAACTCTCTGAACCATTTAGCTTATCTTACCACCTCCTCTGCCCGCATACGAGACATTCTGACCGTGGATGGCGGCATCGAGCGCCTTGTGTGCATATTGAAGGAGGGCAGGAGTAAAGATGAAATGCACATGTGGAAATGGAACCTTGCATTCCAATGCATCGTAAACATCGGCGTTCGTGGGTCTGAAAATGTGCGAACTCGTGTTGTGGAAGCGGACATGGTCCCCGTCATCGCCACAATTCTGTGGGACTACATTCTGGTGATTGAAATGGAGAAATTGAGGGCGGATGCTGAACAGGAAAAGCGCAATGGTTCAAAACACTCCGGAAGTTCCAAATCGTCCACCTTCAAGCATTCTCGTGATCTGCCACAAGAACCTACCGCAAGGACATCCTTCTTTGAACACCTGAGTGCGACAGCAGATCTCCGTTCCACCCGCCGTCAAGCTCCCCCTCCATCACTCGATCTACCACAGTCTTTCTCGCAGGCGTTTGGTGCAACCGAACCAGGCCCAGCTGAAGGAGCAACAACCCCGGCCGCTGTTTTCACTTCTCCCCCAGAACGAACCGTCTTTCCCCGGCGTGATTTGCATCAGCACAATCGAAGCCAGGAAGGAAGAGGGCCATTCCACAGATCCGTCAACATGCAACCTCCCGCCACTGCCGTGCCCTCGATGGATACATCCGATGGCTTCTCATTACGACCTGTCCGCGAAGCAGACAGACTCCCTTCCATGTTACCACCTCTGAATACTGGCGTCGCCTCCCATCCCGACTCCCCTACCACACCATCTGCACCTAGTCACCGAGGACTCTTGTCCTCTGTCGGCCGTCGAATGAGAAGGCCATCCATTCGTCACCAAAATTCGACCTCTGACGACCATGATGATGTTGTCATAGAGGACGTGACTGGTCCCGAGGAAGAACTTCTAGGCCCCGACGGCCAAGTTGAGGGCCAAAGCAGAGACCAAACCCGAGACCATAGTCCGCACGACCCGCATGACATAGATGAGCGCGAATCATTGACCTTGACTCTTCCCCCTCAGCAAGGTCGGGAGGTCGACAATGTTGATATCGCCCAACAGACGCCCATCGTGGCTGGAATGGGCCATCCCTTGGGGCCTGCAGGCCATGAGGCCATGGGGGCGTCGCCCATTCCTGCTGCTCCTGCGACAGCTGCTTCTCCCGCAATTCCACTTAACGCCTACCCAAATTTCTTCTTGCGGAATGCCACTGCTACAGCCGCTTCGACCGCGTTGATACCCCGCGATGAGGACGTATTGATGGGCTTGCAGTTACTGGCATATATTTCCAAATACTGTTACCTTCGCCACTATTTCCAGGCCACCCATTTGGTTCCCAGGCTTAGGATCGATCGAGAAGTCGAGCGAATCTATGGAACGGTCCGAGGTTGCGCACCACTTCCAGAACCCACTGAAGATGAATATGAAGAGTTTCTTCAGCCTGACGACTATAACATATTCCCTTTAGTGGAGAAATTTACAGTCCGTCACCACTCGAAGGATATGCAATACTGGGCATGCGTGGTCATGCGCAATTTGTGCAGGAAAGACGATGCCCGGGGAGGTATACGGCAGTGCGCCAATTACAAATGTGGGAAATGGGAGGAGTACACACGGCAATTTGCGAAATGCAGACGTTGCCGCCGAACTAAGTATTGCAGCAAGGTACGTCACGTCAACATCCCCACGCAGCTTATGTTGAAATGGAAAGTGCTGACCTTTCTTGCTAGGAATGCCAACGCGAATCATGGAGCATGCACAGACATTGGTGCCACCTCGAAAACGTCTATCTCAGCCGCCGGTCAAACGCGTAACACTTTTTGGAACTGCATAGCCGTGGAGTATCGTGAAGGGAATATTGCTTTGGCGTTCTGGGGGTTCTACGGTTTTGAAAAGCAAAGTTTGGGGTTCCTTTTCCAACACTGACAGATGCTTAGCACCTAGTACGAATGATGTACAGCGAATTGGTGCTATTGAACGAAGCATGCGAGGACTGAGGGGGACATATCATTAGCAGACAAGTTGCGTTGTAACGAACACTGCGACGAAGGACATGAGCGGCGAAGGTGTTTTGGATTGCTGACCTTTGAGCAGTGCTCATTGACCACCGCATCAACTGGTCGTTGACGAGCTGCTACTGACACAAAATGTGTAATATGACGACTTGACTAGTGCACAAATTATGACAATCCCATGTCAAACAGTCCTGGATCTTCTCTTTCGGTCTCGCCTGAGGGGGACTGCCCTCGCGTAAGCCTCGATGATATCGTAGGATTGGCTGACCATAGCGACGATTGAAGCTGCTGTGATTGGATCCTCGCATAGGTGGGTAGTTCGAAGCCTCGACCGGAACCTTTTGGAGTTAGGGAATTTATTCTCGGAGCTCGCCGACGGCCAAAGCGAAATCCAAAACTCACTGATATGAACCAGGTTTTGGATATCAGTGGGTGTGTCAGAGCCTCGCTGAACGTGTCAACACTGCAGTGCTACTATCCCAGCGTTAATGACTAGTTTTCTACCTATCCGTCGAACTCGACTTGGTGTCCGCTGCCGCGAGATTACCATACACGCCTATTCTCACTCGATCCTCTCAGCATGGACTCAGCTGCAAGTAACAGCGCGATTCAGCTGCCCGTGATTGACATCTCGGAATTCACTGTTGAGATTGGCAAACAATTACTTGATGCAGCCCAAAAATTTGGCTTCCTCTACATCGACACCAACGGCACCGGATTCACTGAGAGTATGGTTGAACGCGAGTTTGACTTCTCTCGCAAATTCTTTGCACTGCCCGATGCAGAAAAGGAGAAATGTCGAATCGACGACACAAATCGTGGCTGGACCGGTATGCACGGCGAGACGCTTGATCCTAAAGCTCAACGGAAAGGAGACTTCAAGCAGGTTTTCAACATCGGGGAATTCCATGATGGAAAGCCTCAGCAGCCCATGCCCGCATTTCTCGAGAAGCACATCAAGGAATTGGCAGAATTTGAAAGGACATGCAAAACGTTCTGCGATCGAGTGCTTGACCTCCTTGCGTTGGGACTTGGAGTTGAGGAGCCCAACTTCTTCTCATCGCGACACACTCAGCCCAGCGGATGTACGGTTCGTCTGCTACATTACCCTGCTATCCCCACCGACGTGGATTATCAGCCTGAGGTGGATGTTCGGGCAGGCGCACATTCGGACTATGGAAGCGTGACGCTCCTCTTTCAACGACCGTCACAACCTGGCCTGGAGATCAGAACCCCAGAGGACACCTGGGCGCCTGTCCCCGTCATTCCTGACGGGTATGTGAGGTCGACAACTTTCCCGCCAATCCTCGTCAACATTGCAGACTTGCTCTCTTACTGGACCAATGGCATCTTGAAGAGCACGGTCCACAGAGTAATCTTCCCCAAAGACGCCAAGCGCGGAGGCGAGGACAGGTACTCAATTGCGTATTTCTGCCACCCTGGGAATGATACGGAGCTGGTGCCCATCCCGAGTAAGCTGGTTGCTGAGCATGTTTTGGAAGATGGCGTAGAAGTGGGATATGGAGGAGGAGCTACTTCAAAACGAGCTATCACGGCGAAGGAGCATCTAATGAATCGTCTGGAGGCAACTTATGGATTCCGAATGGCGAACGCGAAAGAAGTTGGTCCTGCTGCTTGAGAGTGAGAGTAGACAATAACGGAACGACCGGCTTGAGACTTCTTGCTAGTAGAAATACATCTTTGTCACTAATACTTGATAAATACAAAAACTTTCCAATTGAAACTGCATCCTCCTTGCATGCCGGCTTTAAAAATCCCCTCATCCTCAGCCTTGTTTCCTTCAAACTCACATTACCTCCAACCCACATTTGCGTTCGGCCTATCAATCCCATGATCATTCTCTCTGATGCATTTTGTTCCAGGCGTGTCCTTCTCTTGAATGGGTATAGTAGATGCCTCGGTGGTTCTTAGACTTCTTCTGCCGGGAATGCTTCTTTGTTTGCGACGCAAACCCCATCTCACTAGAATCGCTCCTCAGCCCTGAAGGCCGCGTCATTCATGAAAACTGGTCAACTTTGAAGGAAGCAAGCCAAATATGTGACACATGCCATGTCATCTTCGCTTTTCTTCATAGAGAGATTGCAGGCTATGGTACGGCGGCTTGGTTCACGCTATTCAGCTTCATCCACCTCACACAAGAAACCTGTCGTTAAGACATCTGGTACAGCCGTCTCGCCACGTCTACCGCCCTTCGCTATGAGCCCGATTACTGACCTGGCGAAACCCTCAGCCGTCCTCTCGAACCAAGACGAGCCCCGAGGATTCGGACTTTTGTCACAGCTTTCGGCGGTAGATTCAAATGGGAAGAACGAATTACAATGGGTGAATCAACTGTATCAATGTCTGCTCTCGCGTCATTGCGTGGGCCTGTCCTCCCGTTGTCGACTCCGTCCGAGAACTTTTATCTCTATATCGAATGCCTATCTACGTTTATCCTGGTTCGTTTTCAGCATGCATACTGGGAGTGAGTATCGTATCTCCTACTAACGACCACTAGGTGATTCATTAGAGAGACTAGGAGTTCAAATCCGCGAGCAGCTCGCCGCTAGCTCCATGGACAAAGCTCTTGTTGCAAAGGTCAATACATAGGTGAGACATTACACAACGGCACATGGAGTTCAGTGTGCTGGAAGGAAAATCAAGAGTATACCCAACGAGACTTTTTGATCTTCCGCAACCTGTATACGACAGGAATCTTACAAATCATCCAAGTCCCGGATTCTTTCGATGACTACGTTGCTTGGAGCTATTGTTGGAGAACTAAGGTTTCGACTTGGATTGGCTACGTCAAAACTTGCCAGCAGAGCGCTGAACAGAGTTGTTGAGTTGAATGAAACGTCATAAATGTTTACAAGATGCAGTCACGAGTTATCTGGCACTGGGATGCCTGTACCTCTGGATTGATTATCTCCGTATCTTTGCAGGGCCACAGGTTGGACTGCCTGGTCGAAGGGGCAATGCGCTAAATGCAGTTCTGATAATTTCCGGACGTGATTCAAAGCACTGCAGAGATGGATTTCTCGTCCCACGATCATCATTGCAACGTGAAGGCGCTGTCCTACTAATAATCAATAGTGATGGAAATGTAGGTAACCGACACCTTTGCCTTCCAAGAACCGACTTCACCAGCCTCGTTGGTCATAGACCCGTAGCACAGCGAGCGTGGTGTCTCCAGGAGCGCCAGGTCACTCCACGTGTTCTACACATCTGCCGGGGCGAGGTTTTCTTCGAATGTGTGCGATGCCGTCGGTTCGAGCACGAGATTATCCCTGCTGGTGAACTCGATGTCAACAACGAATTCTATGCTTTCCACATGCCGGAGCACGGGGCACGATGATACTATCGGAAAGCCTTCTCCATATCTGCGGAACGTGATTTCATGGCATGCGATAGTCAAGGATTACGCACGGCGAGGGCTGGCAATGCCTGAAGACAAGCTCGTCGCAATCGCGGGGTTGGGTGGGTGCAGAGCGACGATGGATTTCTCGAGTCGGCGATTGACTTGTTAGATTCATCTGTTGTGCTGGAAGGATTGGATCCGCTGGGCCCTGTTAGGTCCGTCGAGACTGTCGTCTTGTGTCGACTGAAACGCATCCTAGCCACCGAGCTCCTTCACAACGAAGATCTCACCTACCTAGGGTGGATGAAGGGAGCTTTGCCACAAATGGGGTGGTATATGGAAGATGAGAAGAAGCCCCTCGAAGATGAGGAAATCACCTGTGTGAAGATTGGGACCATACCATTCGGGCCCGGTCCGAGTATCCCACCCACGAATGTGATGCTTATTCTCACTCACGGAGACACAGTCCGGGATGGGATAGAAGCTTATAGGAGGATTGGATTTGGAGCGGTGTATGTTACAGATTATTTCGATGATTTGCGAAGTAAGACCTGTGGCGTTGGTGTAGAACACTAGGACATGCCGACTTACGAATATATAGCCATCATGAGCAATAGCATAGATGAGTCGATAGACGACAAGGCTGTGAGCTCAGGGCGGCATCAGCCTTGCCCGAATCGGGACTGAGTCCGGGGCAAGATTTTTGGGTTTCAGGTACATACCTTGGCAAGTTCTGTCACCACGGCCGACGACACTAGAGCTCCAATTCCAGTTCGCTGGAGACAACTAGCTGCACAGCTGTTTGCCCTTCATCCTCATCTCTCCTACGTCGTCGCTCTCTGCCGCTGATATTCTCCCAGTCGAACGACTGATCCGTTCGGCCTTCAAAGCGCCTGGAAATGTCAGGTTTGGATGCCCCTTGGCCCTCAGGCGTTCCTCTACTTACATTTGCTTCCAGTCCAGAAATTCGATCAGTGGGCGAGCAAACATGTTGAATTTTGTCAACTACACCTCCTGAAAGATGCTGTCATTGGCGTCGATGCCTCATATTACCTTGACCTGCGCCTGAACGGAAACAACGAGGAGCCCCTCAAACATGCACTTGGTGGCTTACCCTTCTGCTACAAGAAAGCCATAGAAGACGATATTTCTTTCCTGCGCCAAAATGGTATCAACCTGATCTTCGTGTTCAATGGCCTGGACTACGTGAACAAGAGTCTTCCGGACTCGCGATCGACCGAGAGCAGAAGAGTTCAAGATGAAGCGTGGCATCACTATTTGAGTGGGGACGGCAAGAGGACTGTTGTAGACTTCGGAAAGGCCAAATACCCCATTGACGTGATGACCAGATCTCTCCAGAAACTCCTGGCGGACAATAAAGTGCAATACATGGTCGCTCCCTACAGTGCAACAGCACAGGTGAGTCCAAATACTCTGCATACTTGTGGGAGCTAAACAACTGGGCAGTTGTCCTACCTCCTCAAGCTAGAAGACCAGTACATTGATGCCATTATGGGAACCACAGAATGTTTTCTATTTGGCATCGATAGAGTCGTGACGGACTTCAATCTCAACAAGTCATCCCTGAGCCTGGTCAGCAAATCTGTGTGCGAAGATGTTCTCAAAGTCAACGGTGAGACGCTTCGAGATGCTCAGCTCCTCCTCGGCACCTCTTTCACTCCTACTTTCCCAATCCTTGATAGTATGGCCGCGACGAAAGCAACCGGCGTAATCGATGCAATCTCTCTGCTTAATGCTGCCGGGAAATCTGTGATACAGCTTTGCAATTTTCACCGGGATCATCCACAGATCCAGGCGCTGAGATATGCTGATCGATACAAAAAGGCGATCATGACGATCAGACACCATGTGGTCATGGAGAAAAATGGAGTAGTCGCTCCTCTGAACTTCGACGATGCCCCAGGCGATGTTCACGAATTCGTCGGGCAAAGACTTCCTGAGGAGCTGTTCTTCTACATCTCGAAAGGACTTCTGGGGCCGCAAATCCCCAATTGGCTGACATCTGGCGAAATCGTCCTTTCCCTCCCCGGCGGTGTCTTGGATTCGGAACCTTACCGTAGATTGGTGATAGAATTACTCAATCCTTTCCGCACCGAGGCTCTCAAAATTCTAGCAGAGTCTCTCAATTACTACTATCAGTCCAGAGTTATCAAGGTGGATCCATGGGTTCCTCAGGACACCAGCAATTTGACCATCGAGATCAGAAACACTCCCCCCATGAGGAACAAATTATCTCCGTGGAAAGTTCGAGGAACCGAAATTGAATCGGTCCCAGGAAATGCTGGGGTAAGTCTCGCCAGTCCTTCTCATGTCGAATTCGAGGGCTGACCTGGATAGACGGTCTCTCTATTTCTTCCGTGCTTGCGAGCTCTCAAGGATTCCGCTTTTGCGGAGAAGACTATCACCAAAGGCAGAGTGGAACATCCAGCACTTCGATCGGTCGACGAAGTTCTTGTCAACACGGTGTTCCGCTTTCTCCACGTTCGCGACTATATCGACGACAAGCACGAGGTGACCGCATGGGGCAAGGCTCTAGAAACCGCAGTGGCAATTGCGGACGAGGAGTACACGATTGTTGGAGTGGAAATGCTCAGACTCGGGCTGTTTACGGGCAATTTTGCCACAGGAACACCCGTTGCGCGAACGGGTTCGGCACAGCCCTCTCCATTTCGAAACCTTGCTGATATTGTACAGACAAAGACTATGAGCGCAAGGTGTACACAAATCTCATTTCCAAGACCGCTTGTCTGGGTAGAATTCGGCACAAGCCCATGGGATTTGTCGGACCTCTTGATCGGCAGTTATTGACATTTGCGTGGAAGATCACGGCGGTCCGCACTTCGCTGAGGGATCTTCTGGAAACTGTGATGACAAGCATGTTCCTAAACGGGGACGTGGATCGAGATCGTGAAGATTGGATTGGTCTGGCTCAGAGGTAGGTCTGGTCCGCTTCCACCATTGCATGCGGAGCTGACATCGTCCCTAGGCTACCATTTGCCAGTGACAATGGTTCTGGACTCGGAATAGCTGTTAAGACCTATCTGGACGCCGTCAACGAGGAGCCTGAAGTCACCGATGCCTTGAAAACCAGTATCAAGCAACAAGAAGGGAAATACAATTGGTTTGGACAGCTCAAAGGAGGCGGCAACTTGACCAAGAGTCTGGACCAGGCCTGGAAAATCTGGGATGCTGTAGGTTGATTATGGGTTGACGTTGGAGGCACGATACTGATCTTTCTAGGTCTATGCTGCAAGTCAAGTACCTGGGACAGAAGTCAAGGAAACTAAGCTCTTCTCCGATGCCAACGAGTGGCTTTCCACTCGACGATGAAGACGAAGGAAGCAACTGAGAAGTCTTTATTGAGGATAGAAGGCATCGATGTTTTGAATATCCTTCACCTCTTTTCGAAATGAAGCTAATTCCTGGGATACCAGCAAGCGAAGCAACAAGATGGTCAATGCTTTGAACAATGTGGCATGAAGCACCACTGCATAACGGCACAACCAATGTTTTCGAAAGAGGACGACAACGCCCGGTGGACGACTTGAGAGAGTCCATAGGAAGCCTGTAATCAGAATGTCTCTCCGGTACTGCCTGGCGTGAGAGAGCAGCAGGACCGAGGTATGGAGGGGATCTGGGACGAGGGATGAATGATGTGGGAGAACAACATCCTTGATATGGAGGCTGTAGATTTAAGAGCTTTACGGCGCCCTATCCACTTCGACGTATCTACATTCAATGCCTCCCCAATGATAACCTCCTTAATAATTGCTACTGTCTATTTTAGCATCTAGCCCCTTTTCGCTCGGGAAGCGCGGCCCCCTCATTTGCCACGGACAAGCCCACCGGGGATCCCACAACCACGACGGCTGGTCTCCTCCCCCCATTTAACCTCTGGCATATCTCCTTAGTTATCCGTTATAGTGTCCATTGAAACTGGCCTTACCATCGAAACCTTGAGGAGAGGGAAAGGAAGAAGCATTATGGGTATATCTTAGGCCAGCCCAGAAGCTCGTGACTACTATCTCTTCACTCTGTAGCCTTTTCCCAATGCAATGTCGCACCGGTGCGAGTCGCAAACATGGTCGACCTTCTCATTCCACCTCAACACCAACCCTCTCAACCTGCCGAGCACATCGAAATGGACGCCAGCATCTCGAGATCTTCTTCAAGACAGAGGCTACTCGAGTCTCAGCCTCGGCCTCGGCCTGCCATTCAGCGAGGCGCCCTCGCCGGTGTAGCGAGGCATACTCTGGGATTGATCCTCCTTCTTTGTGTTGTCTTTCTCTGGACCTTGTCCAACTTCCTAGGAAGCGTATGGGTGTCCCTTAATAAAATGCTCTCGACACTGACCAAGGTGACATCTAGAGCATATTTGCCGATAACACCTACGCGAAACCGTTTTTCCTGACCTACCTCAATACCTCCATGTTCATGCTGGCCATGATCCCGACCCTTCTACGATCCGCATACAAGAGACATCGAGATTATGGAAACCTGCACGGCACAATTCGCTCGGCCATTTCAGGAAGATGGAGCTATAGACCTCTCAACAATGACCCAATAGATTCGGAAGATTCTGAATCAGAGACTTTCATTAAACCCAACAGGACAACTCCATTAAATGAAGAAAGTCAAAACGTGGACGAAAGAGATAAGCACCTGGGGCTCATCCCCACCGCCCGTTTGTCACTGGCTTTTTGTTTCCTCTGGTTTGGTGCGAACTACTTCGCCATGGCATGTTTGCAATACACGACGGTTGCTTCAACAACAATCTTAACTTCGACATCAAGTTTTTGGACTCTCCTCATCGGTGCGTTCACCCGAACCGAAAAGTTTACCTGGAGGAAATTCTGCGGTGTACTGGCCTCCTTCGTGGGCATCATTCTCATATCACGAGTCGACCTCACCGCCAGCGCCAACAATGAACCCACTGATCCTCCCACAGGTAGGCGGTGGAGGTCATTCTCCGTGCGGTCCCTAGACACCTTTCCTGAGAAACCTCCATCGGAACTCGCGTTAGGCGACGCCTTAGCTCTCCTGTCCGCCATCATTTACGGCGTGTACACTATCACACTGAAGAAGTCAACCATCAAGGCTCTTCCTCGATCGCTAAACATGCCCCTCTTTTTCGGACTAGTAGGGATGTTCAACTTACTCCTCCTGTTCCCGCTCTTTCCAATTTTGCATTTCACTGGGTTAGAAAAATTTTCTCTTCCACCCACACGACGGATATGGACGATCCTGTTGGTGAACAGCGTCAGCAGCTTTTTCAGCGACATTTGCTGGGCATATGCGATGGTCTTGACCAGTCCACTGCTGGTCACGGTTGGATTAAGTCTGACTATTCCTCTCAGTCTAGTTGGGGAAATGGTTCTTCAAGGTCATTATGAGGGCTGGATGTATTGGCTTGGGGCGGGCATTGTGGTGGGTAGTTTTCTATTTGTTGACCATGAGGAAAGAGAAGAAGAGACAGATTCTGATCCGCAAGGTCGAGACGGGCATGGAGACGGACCATTCCAGGTCGACAGGGCTGAGGGAGATGGTCTTATCATCGCCGTTTCGAATGAGGACCGAAGAGCAAGAGTTCCCCTTGCTCAGAATAAAGCTCCTAAACAGAGCTCCGGCGGACAAGGACAACAAGGCAGGAGCTGGTGGGACCGATTTCGTTCAACAGGTAGTGGATCGGGTTCAAGCGGTGACGACGATTTCTTGCTAGATGATGGTGATTCGTCTTAGTCGGGGGTGAGAGATCGCTTTTTGGGACCGGATGTGTTTTTCTGGATACACGATAGAATTGATACCCTCCAACATTGAATCTTCATGACCTAGATTGGTGTAAGTGTGTGAAGGCGTGAATCTGGGTTGTATTTAACATTGTCGAACAGAAAACTCTTTCTTGATTTGCACTTTCGTATTGACAGAGCAGAGACTCTAGCATCAGACGTCCGTAGGAAAGAAGATTGAGCACGGCCGTGGAAGTAAATGGTAGTACATGCATGGCAGAACCAGGTGAAAAATTCCAAGGAGATATATGCTGCCTGAGATTAGGAGGAGGATGTTAATCGCCGGGGAGCTCGGGGGAGGTGTTCTCGTCCACGCAGAAATCACCGCGAACAATTAAAAAGGGGGGATGCTGGAAAAGGAAGACAAGTTGACGCTGAAGAGGCAAGGTTGTGTTTTACGATGCCTGGCCTTTTCGTAGGTTCGTTCCACCACCTGGGACGTTTATGATTTGATTCGAAAACCTGAAAAGCATTTCCCAAAACGTCCAGATGCCAGTCGGATCTGAGCACATTCCTGCCGTTTTTATGAGCGACGATTGTTGGAATACTCGATCGGATCATTTTCTGTCTAAATAATATGAAAGCACAGTCTTAACAGTTCGTAACGTCGTGGACTCATGAGCTTGAAGGATTTGTGAGATGGGCTGAGCGACAAGCAACAACCGGGACCACAACCGCGAGCTGAGGATCTCCTGCCAATAATGAAATGTTCATATACTGGGTCCGAAACTTTTGAGAACAATCTCAGCACATTTATCTTCTATCCTCCAAACCCTAGCTCCCCCATGGTCGGCATACCGTCCCTCCAGGCCCTCGGCTCACCCTCTCCAGGCATCTCGAAACCATTTGGCAACTCGACCTTGGGAAAGCCATCTTTCCTCCACACGTACACTTCATCTCGATCAAGAGAATCAAACGGCGAGCCTCCCTTCGTGGGTGGTTCTCCTTCTGCCTTCTTTCTGACCCATTTGCTTCGGACTTCGTACGCTTTGTCTTCGTCCACGAGGACCAGCGCCCCGGAGTGCCAGCCTGCCGCAGCAATGGCGATGGGGAAGTAGGCGCCCAGGTTGACGTAATCTTCAGGGTTTCCCTTTTTCGATAGTTCAATGGACGGCGTGGTGGTCGCGGAGGTGATAACAGGTCCCTCATCCCAATGCTTGCCCTCTTGCTCCACCCATTCGCTGAAGAGAGCTTGCTTCATTGGATCATCGTCCCAAACAGTGTGGCCGGGTCGTCCATTCGTGATGAGATGTGGCTCGTGAAGTTGGCCCTCCATCCAAGCGAGCCAATCTTTCCGCTCCGGCTCGAACCACATTTGACGGCCTCGTAGATTAGCAATAGGGAGTAGTTCCGCATCACTTCGAATGCCCGGCCGGGTTCGACGGACAGCACGGAATCGTCCTCCTGTCTCCGGACTGCATAGACCCAATGAGCCGCAGCCCTGGGGTTCACTACCGTACGAGGTGATTTTGCCGTCGGCGTGAAGCGCATGGTAGTGGTAGTCGCCATAGGCTAGGGCAATGACGTTGGTATGTTGCAGGGCGGGAACGTCTAGGGGACGAGAAGTTAATAAACTAGTCATCGTGGACCAGTCCCCGGACTCGACAAGCTCGGATTGGTTCTGAGCGGCTTCGGCGCATCGCCTGACGTAGGCAATATCACCAGAAAGAACTTCGCCTCCTGCCGTGAAGACTCCAAACCTTTGAAACTGGCCTTGAATATCTTTCAGTTCGCGATCTGGCGCACTGAATCCTGGAATCTCAAAAGGAGGTTTGGCCGGCTCTAGTTGCTCGGGATCCCCGCCACTGAGATAGCAGGCATATATTTTGGACTCATTCGTGATCCATACGATGAAACCTTCCAGAACGACGTGCTTAAGGACTTTGACGTGGCCATTTTCTGTTTTGCGTCTTGCCGTGCCCGGGACGATCTTTTCCTTGACGTGCACTCCATCTAGCATATCATCGTTTTGCGAGTTTTCAATGGGATTCCAATAGACAATCCCTATCTCTGGAACGTAAGCAGAACTTTCTCCCCAGCCAGCGGCAACGCTGGACGGCCTCCCTCCAAAAGTCCTTCCATTTCTGGAGAAAACTTTCAAACCCTTCGCATTAATTCTGTCCCACGAAAGGATTTCTCCATCGTCCGTGAGCGCTAAGATGTGCCGCCGCCCAGACGAGAACTGCCGAATAGCAGACGTGCTTTCGGTGAGGTATTCGAGCAAGGTGAAATGATCAGAAGGCTGGCCACGAATGACGCCATTCAAAGAGTCAATTGATCCAACGGTGTAGAGTTTCCCATCGGAGGACAAAATTGTGGTTGACCAACCTCCACATTGAAGGTCAGCGATGGCTCCTACTTCATCTGGGACGTGGACATCTGTTGGCCAGTGGGAGGAGGATCGTTGAAAAATTTCACGACGTGGGAGTCGGGCCGGTACGCGAGGGAGCACTCTTGGGGAAATATGCGGCTGAGGTCGTCGAGGAACAGATCGAGACCTCCCTGGCCCCAGGTTTCCTCCCATTCCCTGTCCCCAAGTGAAAAGTCGTGTTTGGGTCTTCAGTCGTTTGTAGAGCCAGTACCAACGAGGGCCGTCCGCGGCGAGTAGCGGACTGATGGGGAGTCGGAAGGTGTTGGAGGCCTCGGTTCGCCAATACAGAGAATCCTGTCGGTATTCTAGGTAGACTGGTTTCGAAACTCGGCAGAAGGTAAGGTAGTCTTTGGGCTGAAGGAAGGAGAGGATGATGGATAGAACGTCTCCGGGGAGGTCAAGGAGTGTCATGGTGCGATTGTCTTTTGCAACGAATGAATCTCTAGGGTGGAGGAAGAGGTCTATGCTGCCTAGGCAGGTAGTTACCGGAGAGCTGATGTCGGAACAAGGGGCATCAAACATAAAAGATCTAATGAGAGTGTGACATCACTTTAAAGGCCCCGAACGGATTCAGGAGGCTTGGCGCTTCAACAAACTCCACGAACCGTGGCGGCGCCTTGTTTGATGGCGGCCAGACTTTCTCTCTCAGGCTCTGCAATCATTTAGCGCGGAAAGTGCCAACGAACAACAGTTTATTTTATCTTGACTCGTTTTCTAGCTGACCACTCTATTGCCAGCTGCTGAGACCATCTCGATCCGTGCAATATCCTTTCACTGTCATCCTATTAACCATCATATCGTCCATCCGCAACCATGTCGGATACTACCGAAATCAAACCAACTCACGCCGCCGACCAACCTGCCGCCAATTCCTCTTCCGAAGCACCTGCCACTGACGCCAAATCCACCTCTTACACCGAAGCTGCAAGCAATGCTACCGGCGGTGCAGCCAGTACCACCACTACGGCCGCATCAGGTGTGAAGGATTCTGTCTTCTCCATGTTCGGAGGTGGGGCCAAGAAAGAGCGAAAAGTCGATGAGGATGCAGATGCAAAGGATGAACCCAGTGGCAGCTCCAAAGCCAAGAAAGAGGAAGACGATGTAAGCCATACTCGATTGATTGGAGGACAGAACGCTGAACATAGACTGACGGAAATCTTTGTCATAGGACAAAGCCGATGAGGAAGAAGCTGATGTCGAATTCGAACCTGTCGTTCGCCTGACCGAGAAAGTAGAAACTAAGACGAATGAGGAATCTGAGGAACAAGTATTCAAGATGCGGGCTAAGCTCTTCAAGTTCGACCGGGAGTCAAGAGAATGGAAAGAAAGAGGCACTGGTGATGTGCGACTACTTAAACACAAGGAAAACGGAAAAACAAGATTGGTCATGCGACGAGACAAGACCCTCAAGGTCTGCGCAAACCACTACGGTGAGTCCACGAATACCGGCTCGTCGAGGGCGCATGCTCATCTAATTTTTGCAGTGACTCCTGATATGAAGCTATCACCAAATGTTGGCAGTGATCGCAGTTGGGTTTGGAATGTTGCCGCCGATGTCAGCGAGGGCGAGCCTGAAGCGCAGACACTAGCAATTCGATTCGGAAACAGCGAGAGTAAGTCGAAGCCCACATAATCCCTTGGGCACACAGGTTCTGACTCACTCGTCGCAGATGCCAATCTCTTCAAAGAAGCATTTATCAAAGCGCAACAGGAGAACGAGGCCTTGTTCCAAAAGTCATAGTTTCTTGTGCCAGAGGGAGCATGGAAAGCGTGTAGACTGAGATTGTACCCAATGTCTCCACCCCCCCGCAATTGCAGACTGGTACATATGAGAGAAAAACAGAGAGCGAATTTGTGTTGGTCACCGATAGCCTTGGCCCAGACTAAATAGACCGTGGAGTTCAGCCACAGCATGAAGCCATGAGTATGTCTGACCGTCTGGCTCGATTGAGTTGTTCCTGGCACTTGACTGAACAGGGGAAAGTGGGGGATCGCCGCTAGCCAGGCTTGATACTTTGCTTCATGTTCGGCTGAGTTTCCCTTTGCGACCCCGCATAGCTGCTAAGTGCCTAGTGCCTTGCGACTGGCAAAACCACCGTCTGAAGTCTTTATGCGTGCATTTACGGCTCAGCAAGCCCTACTGAGAACCCAGACAACAGACACCAGACGTTAAAACACTCTCTAGGCGCACGTTGTGCGAGCACCATTACATCTACTACCTCCGCGCTTCCCACTTCTTTTTGCACCAGACCTTCCCAACGACATCTTAGACGTCGCCTATTCAGCCTTTTCTTCCCTCTGTATCCCGTGATCCCGCTGTGCCATCCGCGCGAGAGCCGATCTCAACCTTCAAAGCCTTATTTGCCTTTTACTCGTTCAATTACACACTGCCCAACATGCCGGACGTAAGACTCGACGTTGCGCGCCGATCCCTGATGTGCCTCTAACTGACTTTTCGCGCAGGTCAAGCGTTCGATCAAGATCATCACCGAACAAAAGATCATGTATGTCGATCTACCCACCGATTTATCTCAGTCTCGCGTTATTTCCACGTTTCTCCATTTCCCCTATACTGCGACCGTTTCCCACGAACAGCGCACATACTAGTCATCCGATACAAATTCTGACTTGATTTCTGCAGTCCTGGTGCAGACAGTGGTGTGGCGGGCTTTCCCCTGCGACATTGGTCCATGAAAATCGTCCTCCTCCATGCAGATACAAAACAAGAAATCGATGCAGACATCTTCGACTCCGTCACATACCAGCTTCACGAGTCTTTTGGTGAGAAGGCCCGACAAAGTACGTGGAATTTCCTTCCTCCGCTCACCCCAGTGACCTGGAACTCATATCTCTGTAGCCATCACGAAACCACCATTCCGCGTGGCTGAGGACGGATGGGGAGAGTTTGAACTTGCAATCGAAATGAAGGATCTTGCTGGCAAGACACACACCGTCGTCCACGATCTCAACTTCGCGAACGCCCGGTATGAAACAAAACAAATCATCACATTCAAGAACCCGAAAGGCGCTCTCCTTGAGGCTCTTCGTAACTCAGGTCCTATTCCTGGCGAGACTACAACCAACGGTGCAGATGCTGCCAGCAAGAAGCGCGCCAGCGAGATTGGCGCCGGTAGTACTCAGAAGAAGAAAAAAGGCGGAGATGGCAAAGCGATCGACATGGACAAATTGGCCGAGGGTCTGCAGAAACTTGGTGAAGATGATCTTCTTCAGGTTGTGCAGATGGTTCATGACAACAAGAGCGAGGATTCCTGGATGAGAAATGATGTTGAGCGTAGGTGCCCCTTGACATGACTCCATAAGACTAGGTCTGCGCGAGTACTAACCAATGCTATACTCTAGAAGGGGAATTTCACGTTGATCTCTACACTCTCCCCGAGAGTCTAATCAAGATGCTTTGGGACTTCACCACAGAGAAGAACGCCATCTCTGCATCTGCTTGATCGGCATCTAGGATGGTTAAATCAGACGACGCGTGAAGGGAGACCGAAACATCCCCTTCTAACCGTATGTCTTATCTATTCAATTTTCTTGGTCTCCTGCATGGATCGTATGTTGTCATGCTGTCCATACAAGAGATAAGAAGTTGGATCATGTATTACCACTTCTGCCATCACTACGCCAACCCACCGTCTCAGCTGATTTCTTGGGCTTTTTTTTTTTTTTTTTTTAAATTCTTTCCCCAACATCGGCCACCTTGAATCTCAAAGAGGCTTCTGCAATGACAATCTTCGGCTCAGTCGTTCTGCATTTTGTACGCTTTTCACAATGATACCAGCTTGTCACCAGCGGAATGGGATTTTGTATTGCAAAGGGACCGAGAGTTACGGGCAGTTTTTTCCATATTCACATTGATTGTTGTATTTCTGATGCGGCGAGTGAATGCATTTGGTGGCAAAACATGGGTAGTGATGATGGTGCATGACATGGCGATGCAAGGCACGAGAGTATGTGAACGAGCGGATATGGGGTGGATGTGCAGTGGTAGATTCATAAAGGTGCTACCAGCCGTCAAGTTGCGTTGAATGAAATGCCTGGGAACGGTCTCACTAATTGACGTGACAAAGCAAAAGAAAGCCAGTGTGAGAGGACAAATGATGGGAAACCAGCCTTGCAATTACCCAGTGAGCGACGCTTCATCTGCATGGCGCTTTTGCTCTTAGCATGGTGGAACCAAATGAAAAATTCCTAAGCAAATATGGGGATCATGATGAGATCGACGCGATGGTTCTCATGCACCTGACATTCTTATTCGACCGGTTGTTTTTCACTAAGAGGCTGGTCGAAATAGTACGGGGGTGGTATTACCACTACCTTTCATGAAGAGCTGGAGACGGAAAGGTTGGAAAGGCAGAGGCCAACAGCGACAGCATATGAAAAATGCCAGAGAGTATCTAACCACATTGCAATTTCAATATAGAAGGCGCAGAACTGCCATTCAATTGTCTGATACAGGGAGGAAAAAAGAAATGACTTGTCACGAACGTTTTCCTCCTCTTATCGACGTCCGTGTATATGGACATATCTGCGTCTCTATGGTAGAGCACGAGAGATTCCCCCAGGTATGTAGATAGATGGCTGTAGCCCTCAACCCTGGTTTCTCATTCGAAATCCTATGGTCAATTCCATTCCACCTCCCACATCCAATTTGGAATCTTCGGTAAGGGCCCAGTTATCCCCCTTCCCCAAAGCCAAAACCTAGGAGACTTCCGCGTCATTGTGTCCATCCATTCATGCAACTGACGACATCAACACGCGGACAAGTGTGATGTATGTACAAATCGATACTTGTATGTAGAGATCGTTGTTTCGCGTCTGTTGAACCCGTCCGAGCGTGCTTCAGTTGAGAGACGCCCTGATAAAAGAGCCCAACAACGCCTGGTTTATAAGCACGGTAATCGCCAACCAAAGCTGATTTCGACCCTCTCAACTGGAGATGACAACGACGAGGTTGAAGATCCAGTCAGCACCTCATATGGCAAAGTATGAGACAGCCACAGAGACAAGACAGTGTTCATGAGGTATCGTTGATCGCGAGGCGTAGAGGCAGACGTATGCTAATAGAACAATGACGAAGGTACTATTCAGCGTAAGTTGATAAAGGACACTGGTTGTAGATTTGCGTACAGAGTTGAATGGAGGAAACGAACGTATCGGGGTATCGACGATGGCGAAAATCACTTCAACCGAGACATTAGATTCATTGAAGAACACGATTTCTAGAAATCAGGTCAGCCCAAATCCTGAAAGTAGGATCTCAAGATGTCATCAAACTTACTGTAAGAGAATACCCTCAAGACCCTCGGCCTTTGCACCTGATATTGTGGCAAAAACATCTCCAGCCTTATACGCTAACACAGCAGGTATCTGAATAGACTCCATCTCCGCAATCTCATAATGTAGCCTCACGAAGCGGGTTCTGTTGTGCTTGTACGCTAGCATGCCAAGTTCGTCTTCAACCTCGGCACTGGCCGATGACGATGGGTCATGGATCATCACCACGACCACGGTGTCATCAGACACTTTTTCAATGGCGTCGAGGTAGCCGTTGGCATCTACTTCCAGGAAGGTACCCCATGTTCGCTGGCTGGGAAATTGTTTCCTCTGGGGATTTTGGGTGGCTTGTGATTGGGAAGTCAACTCTTGTAGACGGTTGGCTCGCCACGTTTTCATAAATTCCGAGTCTGCTTCATCGTCCGATAAGGCGAAGCTTTCCGAGTCCGAGGATGTTGATTTGGGAGACCCCGAAATTGTTCTCCTTTTCTCAGCCTGTTCCGAGATAATGGGACCGGCCTTGTTGGGAGTCAAATTGCTGGCAAAGCTCGCCAGTCGTTGACGAAAAGTCGACTGTTTCGCTCGGGCGAATGATTGTGCGTCTGCAATAACACCCTTGGGTCCCGTGTTGGCGAAGTGCGTTTGTGTGGGAAGGTGATAAGTGGTTTTGATGGTGGTCACGGTTGCCATATTGTCGATAGTGTCGTCGTCTGTGCCTTGATCAGAGTGGTAGGCACCAAAGTCTGGTTCGCGTTGGTTATCAGACGACTGCTGCGAGGAGTCGTCTCGGTCTTCAGGATGAGAGATAGGATGGTTACGGTGAGAGAAATATCGGTCAGCTTCTTCGCGGGCGAGGTCGGCCATGATGTATGTGACGGGGGACCTGGTAGGGCACTCGCAACGAGGTGTGGAGGCAATGGATGGATTGGCAAGGATGGTGGTAGTGCTAGTCGTTGAGAGATCTGTGACATATGGATAGGGACAAAAAAGCGGTCTCAAAGTTTGCTATGCCGTGTACAAATGGCCAGTAGTTCCTGTAAGACGGATCGGGGTCGATCAGCTGAGTACGGAGTAACGCACAGGAGAATGTGCGACAACTCGTAAGAAGTGGGTTGGTGGGAAAGTTGTCGCAGAAAGACGGAGAGAGCATAGCTTGAAACGCTGTCCCGGTAATGCGTCGCACGAGCGGTGGACCCAGACCAGGCACAAGGACGTCAGAGGTTGATAGATGCGTAGGAGATGCAGGCCGAGACTTGAATCCGGAAGGTTCGGGCTGGCTGTGGGACTTTTGTTTCAAGAGGCGCAGGAAGATGGGATGAAACTGTGCTCACTTCTTAAGAGAACTGTAGATAGTTGGTCAAAGGGTCAAGCTACTCCTAACCCTGGAATGGGAATAGTAGGGTGGTGCCCGGCTTTTCTTGATATACTCAGGTGTTCCTCTTTCCCGCCAGATCGAAATGATTTGCCGGCAGCGCACTAGTACTACCTTCCCAACTATCGTATAACTGTATACCAGTCGAGTACGTACTGTAGCAACTTGTTTATCACTCCGCATATCACTGAACTTTGTTCCAGCTGCCTCTGTTTAACTCAAAACCCTGTGACTGGACTGCGATTGGACCAATTTTAGGTGTCGATCTCGGACTTCATGTGCGGTGCCCATCTTGTTTGCGGACTTTGTTCGTATTTTTCATTTCCACATCCTGTTAGCCTCTGCTTCAGTAATTGGAATCACTCACTACATCGTACCTGTCACGCGTGCCTTGTCACTTTGAGTTGCTGTCACATGGGCGCAGTTCTCCGGACCAGGTACATCGCTGTCTCCTCTCCTGTCTGCTAAATGCTGCCTAGTGACTGGGATCTCTCAACCTTGTCTGACCGAGTGTGAAATTTCCAAAATATCTCCGCTCTCCCGATCCATTGATGGAGACCTCCAACTCCAACTCTGGTCGAAGTCTCGCTGAAGCTCCTAGTCTCTCTTCGCTCGGATATCCCATCCAAACGAGCCCGCTAGCCTGTGTTCCACACACCATACCGGCAAAAGACAAGTTGGTGACGTGTCTTCAATGCGGCAGAACGGGACGGAGGAAGGACAGATTTTGTTCTAACAGGTCTCCCTTGGTACGGCCCATTTTCTGTCATTTAGAAAAATGGCTTTCATGGTATAGGATGCCGCTCGTTCAAGCGGGCGCTGCTGAAAAAAATTTTGACTGACGCGCCTGAACACGAATTCACGTGATACAGCTTTGGCAATTGTTCCCGATCTGGTCCAAAATCTGTCTGGATTACTTGTTTTCAAAATCCTTCGATGCCTTGACATGGAGGACTTTTTTGCTTATGCCTGGTCCGCCTTCCGGTGCCCCATCCTGCGCTTGCGAGCATGTCGTCGTCTCGTATCTTGCGTTCCTGTTTTGGCCGTGCTGGTGGTCTCGAAGTCTCCTTTTCTGGCCCAGCCTTGCAGTTCTTTCTCCTCGACTCGGCCAACTTTTCTCGTAGCAGAATCGCTTCTTCCGGGTCTTCATAGCCCAGCTGTGTCATGGGGGGTGCTTCCGCTTCCTTGTGAAAGTTGCTGTTTGACATATCTAGATCATCCACCCCATACGAATGGGGACTGAGTCCCGCCAACGTTGTTTTTGCACGTCCCTTGAAGCTGAAGTTTCCCTTCTCAGCCATCGGTGCAGGTTGCATGGTACCAATCTCACTTCCAATCCCGTCGGTGTTTATGCTGTCAACTGAGCTAGCTCTTGACCGTCGGAAGTTCGAAGTTGCTGATGAGTTGGATAAATTGCTGAGGGCCCGACCAACCAGTCTGCTTCTCCCCGTAGACTCATCACCTAACTTGCTGATGGCGGGTTTCTTCGCAGTCCGCTGGTCGAGAAATTCTTGAATGGCTCCACTGATGGCTTGAATGCTCCTTGACTTGGATTCACTTCCCCACAACGTATGGCCATGTGTTCTCTCTTGAGCATTTTCCGCACACGTTGAATCTTGCATGCTTGAAGTGCCATCCAAACATTCGACTGACGCCTTCTTTGATTCCTGCGGTCGGGTAGTTTTACCCGAAGAATTAGAAGACAACTCCTGGAGAGGGCGCTCCACGAGCACGCGTGAACTTGTCTCTGTGTCGCTATGCTCAGGGTGATCTTGTATGAACCTTGAGGGAACTGACTGATCATCATGCTGACCAGATTCATCAAATGCGGTTTCATCGTGTACTGGGACAAAGGATTTTGATCCGTCTACCGTGCTTCTAGCCTCGTTTCGTGATTCCGATCGAGACTCGTGTAATTTGCTCTGTCCAGATGCTTGTTGGTCACGGTGCTTCGGCTGCAATAGAATCGTGCCCACTTCCACATACTCTTCGGTGGTCTTTTTGTGACCAGTAGTTTTACCTTCCGTCACGCGAACTGGGTTCTTTTGGACGAGGAAGCCTTCCACTTGTGCTTTTCTGCCGTTTCTTATCGTCCACCACAACCATTCTTCGGAGACTGTGGGGATCCCCGCGCGCTGCGCCAGATCAAGTTTGGGGCCGTTCCTGCTCCCAGTCTTGGATATCAGAATAGATACCGCAGAAGTGAAGACTTCGGCATATTTGCCTCCAAGAAGAGTAACGATCTTGGAGATGTGCAGCGTTTCGAGTGCGTTGAAGCCGGTGGCATTCACGATGAGCTTTGAGAATGCGTTCGATAGCGATTCGCTTATTAGCTGCCCCAAGGGATACGTTTCCGGAGATATGAACGATTTCTGCAGCATACATCGCTCTAGCCAGAGTTCAGATACAGCCTGCAAGCCTAATTGGAAAAGTTTCGAGGCTGTCAACCACTTTCCCCCCACATCGTGAGGAAGGATTACAAATGTGTTGGTCGTTCGATATTCTTGATCTTCGTTGTCAATAATGACAACAGCTCCATGCTCGACGAGAATTTTTCGTAGAACTTCTTCCTAGACTGATGTAAGTAAACCAAATTCGCAGCATCCGGGGATTTTTGTGTATACAACAAACCTTTCTCTCATCAAAAGCTTTGATGATAAATTGTTGGCCTTGGAGAAAGCCTGACTTGGCATTGAAGGTGTCGGAAGGGACCGGAGCATTGCCTGTTTCACTCTGGTGGTCCTGAGACTCATTCGTAAAGCTGTTCGTTTTTCGGACCGCAGACATAGAAATTGAAGGCTTCAATGGCGGGCGCTCGACTAGCTGAGCTTCACATCCACCACCGCCTACAATGTCAGTCCACAGGCTTTGATTTTGGCTCCTAAGTCGGGCACTGGCAGTTCGGCTCAGCTTTCGAGATGGTTCTGATACGTCGCCTTCTTCCCGTGTTCGCTTGCCAAGTTGAGGTGATCGTTGAGGACGTCGATTCCAAGCACCGATTCCTTGTTCCACAACGGGGACTGTAGGATGATATAGCTTCTCATCCAGTTGCATACCCCGTTCCAGAGTATCCTTGTACCATTTCAAACTGACCACCTTTTTCTGCCACTGCATTCCATATTCGTACTTTTTCCCTTCCGGCTTCGCTGCAATCAAATGGGTTACATCCTTCGTCAGATCGCCGGTGTACTCTCCACCATTATCCACAACGTTTCTCTGCAATTGCGCTCGAAAAGAGAGGTCGTCAAATCCCGTGATGCATATTTTTAAACCAGCCAGGGTGGGCATGCGATATTGACGAGCCAGAGCTTCAAGATCTAAAGGGAGGTCTTTGATCCAGCATTCACGAACTGCTTCAATCCATTCTGGTCGCAGGACTTTGATATCCTCTCTCTCTTTGGCAACATATTGATATTTCAAAGTATCGGTACTGCCGACAATAAGATGGGTTGTATCGGAGGTCAAGTCAAGCTTATGTTCAGCTCCCATTTGTATCGCGAGATCGGCATATCGAGTCTACACGCCAAGTTAGCCGGGAGAAAGACGTACATTGGAGATTGCCCAACTGACCCTTTCTTCTGGACCAACGGAAGTAAAGCAAAGCACCGCACCTTTCAACGGTCGCTCGGCGGATTCTGTACATGAGGTTAACCATTGAACCCGAATCTGCAGCTTCGACGGACCTCCAGAGACTGATTGTACCATGGTGCATATTGTAGAGAGTACCTATACAATCATACTATCTTTTTACAGATCATGGCACCTGAAGTGCGAAGTCTAGGCACCTCATCCTGTCAATTGAACTCCCAGCTAAAAGACGCGTCTGGACACGCGACCACAAATAGAAGCTTAACCGAGCCTGTCGTGGGGTCAGGCTCTTATCGATAAGGATTTGAGCCCGAGAAGAACGCCCGCAACACGATATCCCAGGAGACACAAAGGGTGAATTATCGTAATGCCGCTCCAAGCTCTATCTTGCTGAGGCAATGACCGTTCTTCTAGGTACAGGCCCATAAGAGCTTGGGTATGGCGATGGGATTGTAGCGGAAAACCAATCCTGAAGTTCTCTCAGTTTCAAGAGTCCTACTGTCTAGTTTCCAATAGGACGTTTCCATCCTGTGCCTAATCTCGGCGAGGGCAGAAAATACCGGCGTTGATGGCATCTGTCAACTCCAATGGTGTTTTCCAGAAACACTATGGCGCACTCGAGATCGATGTGAATTCTAGAACCCAATTTCATGGCACATGAGGCCACAGATTATGGCAGAATACCCACATGGCGTGCGGGACGTGGCGAAGACGAATTAATATCTCATGATGTTTTTCTGCTCTTGAACGCCGATGGTGGGAGCATCACAACATCAAGATACGACTCTTGGGGATAAAGTTTACTCGTAAGCGAGCCGAAGAAGCCGCTGACCCTTCGTCGTCACCTAGAACATTGTGTCTTGAGACCCACATGGTGAGAACAACCCTCGTTTTGCCGTGCATCAGGCGTAATTGGTGGCATACTGATGAGTAAAAGAAAATGAGATGGATACCAGAGTTTCTGATTGGCAGAATCTTTGCTGTTTTGTCGAGGACGCAAGCCGATCTGACACGAGGAATCTGACAAGACAGCACTCCAGAGAACATATCCTTGATCACCCGCCTGCTCAGCCTCAACGATGTACGAATCCTTTTGTGGGATGATCTAAACAGAATCGGTTACAGGACGTACAAGGAGCTTTCCTGCAGGTCACACATGTCAAGGACCCTGGGATTAAATAGAGCCGGATCGAAGTGTCCTGGCGCTGCTGACAAAGAATGCAGCAGAACCAATAACCAAACAAGTCTAAACGGGTGCAATTTTTCTAGATCCGGTTGTTCACTTTGTCAACCCCATTTGAGGCATGATGCACAGGGTTGCGCAGGGTTTCGATGCTTGTTCGTTGCTGTTGCGAGATTGGCGGGCCCGAGGAACGGAGTGGAACGACATTCTCCGCACTTCAAGTTGTGGTGACGGTACGAATAGATAGGTGCACAAGGGCTGCACGAATGTAAGACAGTGTACACGGGTGCGGTGAAGGGATTTTATCCCGAGGAGGAGCAGAAGTTGCGAGTGGCGGAGCTAATTGGCCAAGCCATTAAGAAACAATAAAGCACCATGCATCAGCATATGTCATGGTGGGCGCCGAGCCCGCGGGCACCGGGACCTGGAGTTTGACAATGGGCTTTGGCGGTGTTTCAACCTTCTTCCTTTCCAGCGGTATTCAGGGGAATGGAAGCTGTCATCGCTGAGAAGCCTAACTCTAGGTATGTGATGGGTCTGGAACTGGAAGGCCGTCGGGGAGTCTGACCTCGGATAGTTTACTTGATGCACAGACTCGAATTTTTTGCAGGTAGGAGCCTTGCGGTGGAGAGACTCGGCTTTCCTTTTCCTGCCGACCCCACAGGTAAGTTACTGTAGTTCACTTGCCTTTGAGGGGTTCCCTTTTCAATTTCATGGCCGCCACAACGGGCAGTTGGAGTCAGACTCGCGCCTTGAGTCGCCAATCAGTGGTCAGTGATCAGTCGTAACCGGAATGTCCCTGACAAAGCCAGGATACGGCCGGAGGGATGAAAAACGGAAAGAGAAACTAGTTTGACGTTGGGAGGCACACGACATGTGCACCGATGCCATTGAACGTCTGAATCATGAGTTGTCCGGCTTTAATTCCTTCTGATTTTGATTTCGACAATTCTGTCGGATGCGTTAGCCTATGAAACTTTCAGACGGGGCAACTACGTTCCTACCTAGGGCTTCGAAGATCTCCTATATCATCCGTTGGACCAGTCTGTGGCAGTCAAAGTCCAACCCCAGCCTTTGCAGGCCATTGAGGTCACCCTGGCACGAGTACAGTATCACCACTTCTAGCAGTAGAAAGAGTGTTAAAAGTGGCAGTGAGAAAGATCATTGTGAGTTAGCATTTTGCTGTCCTGTAAGCTATGCCGTAGTCCGGATGGTGCCCTTGCTCAGCGATGACAATTTCTCACTGCCCACGGCTCTCTCCTGGAGGCTACCATTGAACAAAACCAAGAGCATATCTCTCGTCCTGAATTTGACCTTTGGTGCTCTCTCCCTCTCTTCGTCCTGCCAACTCTCTCCTAAACTTCTGCTATATCAACCTTCCACCACTCGCCCGTGCTCTAAATCAAGCCACCAATAGCGATGACCGCATACTTTCTTTTTCAGGATCACGGCATGCTCTGAGTCGACGCCATCAGCCCGGAACTCTCCTCTAGTGCTGTGCCCTGGGTGTTGTCACCTGTCCGGCCAAGCGCCCAAAACTGCGGAGGCAAGTTTGCACGTCTGCTCATCCTCATGCTGTCAAGACACTGTTATTGTCACCGCAGCTTGCAAAGTGTGAGCAAGTAGATATCTATCTCTCATCAGGATCTAACACAGAACTCTCTGCAGTCTACAGAACTTTTCAGAGATCGGATCTACCTCCCTCACACACACACTCTTCTCTCTCTCGACTAGATCCTCCCACGCCCACGTTAACCAACCCCCAACAACTACCATTCTAATAACTCATCCTTCTCCATTGCCTTCCGATCGAAACTGGCGTTTCCACGAGAATACGCAAAAAGATTCCTCAGACTCTCACTTCCTCCGGCGTCTGCTCAACCAGTCCCTCTTCATCCGGTAGTCACTGATCGTGTTGACCATAGAGATTCGGTGGGAGCGGAGGAGATGGTGCGCTCTGATGTTGGCAGAGGTTCACCAGAACAGCGGGGTAGAAGCCTGAGCAGTGTCAGTGGCCCTGTCAGTGGTATGGTACATCGACCGAGACTGGAGAGTGATGTTCGAAACGCATCTGCGCAATCAACCAACCCCGAGCCTACTGTCCGCAGCGTCAATTTGGCTGACGAGAAACCGGTTGCCAGCGGAAATGGCGTCTCAGTCTCCATATCTCTTGCGGAACCAGTCCTGTTTTTGCAAGGATTCGACCCTAATGATCCTTCAACACACAGCACCACTATGCTCCGAGGGAGCTTGCTCTTGAGGGTTCAGAAGCAAGCAAAACTGAAGTCGATATCCCTCAACTTCCGCGGCAAATCAGAGACCGAGTGGCCGGAGGGAATTCCACCCAAGCGTGTGGACTTCAGAGATACCACCACCATCATGAATCACACTTGGTCCTTCTTCAATGCACAGATTCCCCAGGCCGAGTACAGTTATGGCGCCGATATCGTTCATCTACAGAAAGGTCCATCTGTCGAGTCCAAGGAACTGGGCGTGACAACCTCTTCCTTTGACATTTTCCAGCGGAGTGCATCCCCTGCCAAGGCTCCTACTTCTCGTGATATGAAGAGATTGTCTCTCCAAACAAATCACTCCCGCAGTTTTGGTAAAGGTGATACCATCAGTGGCGGACCCACAGTTGCTCAGAGAGGGTTTAAAATATTTCACCCTGGAGATTATATCTACAATTTCGAATTGCCCCTCGATTCAAGGTTACCGGAATCTATCAGTGTCGACTTAGGGCATGTCAAATACGAATTGGAGGCCCTTGTTGAACGATCCGGCGCCTTTCGCGCCAATCTGGTCGGCACGAAGGAGTTGACCCTAATCAGAGCTCCCGCCGAAGGCTCTTTGGAACAAGTGGAACCTATCGCAATATCACGGAATTGGGAGGACCAGTTGCACTACGACATTGTCATTTCTGGAAAATCTTTTCCACTTGGCTCGACGGTGCCTATTGCCTTCAAGTTGACGCCTTTGGCCAAGGTCCAGTGCCACAGGATCAAAGTCTTCGTGACGGAGAATATTCAGTACTTTACAAACAACAAAAAGGTGCACAGACTCGAACCGATCAGAAAGGTCCAGCTCTTCGAAAAGCGTGCAGATGGCCACAGTGTGACCTCATATCCCGGAAGTTCAATGCGCATACTAGCGGGCGGAGGTGTCCCTTACGATTACCGTCAGGCGGCTGCGGCGGGAGATGAAGATATCCCGAGAGATCAAACCAACCTCCTTGGTAATTTGGATAACGATGCTGGAAGCATTGGCCCAACTGAAATGGAGTTCAATGTGCAACTGCCTAGTTGTCATCAGATGAAGGACAAACTCAGAAGTGAGCGTCTTCATTTCGACACCACATATTCCAACATCCAGGTCAATCATTGGATAAAGGTACGCAAGTGGATTTGTGAGCTTCCGTACATCACTGACTGAGTCCGCCAGATTGTGATGCGGTTGTCCAGACCGGATGAGAATGACTCGACCAAGCGCCGTCATTTTGAAATTTCGATCGATTCTCCTTTCAACATCCTGTCTTGTCGGGCAACTCAAGCAAATATCTCGCTTCCGGCATATAGTGCTGGCGGAGCGACTCCTGTACCGGCGGATGAGTTCGAGTGCGGATGTCCTGGAGCAGCATTGAGGAGACGCAGTACCCCCTCGGTGTCGCAAACCCGGGCTGCCGTGGCGAACAACGCAGCAGAAGCCGGAGCTCCTGTTCCTGGCGTGTCGCGGAGCTGGACCAACGATACGGGTGGATTGACCATGCCTTCTCAAGCGCATGTCCACAACGACCCCAACTCCGGACAACCGAGACCGATGCATTTGCTCCGGAGTCCTTCTTTCAATCCGCCAGCTTTTGATGATGACGAGCCTCCACCACCTATGGTCACTCCGCCTCCGCAGTATGATAACGTCGTATCCGGGGACTCTCACAGCGCACTGGCGGATTATTTTGCTCGGCTCGCTGACGAGACATCGGATGAAGACGACCGCCTCGATCGGTCACGTATAGATATTCCTCTCACTCCAGGAGGGCGAGTCAACAGAAGTATGGACATCACGCGAACCTGGCTACCACTTGGGGGACCTGCGAATTCAACAACTCCGACCACTTCGGGGCTAGCATCCTCGACGTCGGTGGCCAATTAAACAAAACAGGTTGGTATATTGAATTGATACTTCATTTAACACATCACCTAGGTACGATTGATGAATATTATGGAGAAATATCATGAGATTTTGGGTTCTGCATACATAGGTCAATGTGGCATTTGGAAACTTGAAATGAAAGGGGATTGGGGAAATGCAAACATGAGCGTTTTTCACCTCGTATGGCTCTCTGAGACACCGGAACTGAGAGGGGGTGTGGACTGGACGAGAAAGTTTTATCGTTGCACCATGGCATGAAAATTCCTTGTCGTGATCGATTCAATATTATCATTATTTTGACTCCGCTCATGAAATTTGTCTTCCCCCTCTCATGCCCAGATCGAGCAGCAAACATGCCAAGGCTGCCGACCGGCCTCGTGTGAGCTCCAAACTACTGAATAGGGCCTTTTTTATTCATTGTTGAAAGTGTCTTGAATTTCTTCACCGAGCAAATTGTCGTCGCATTGCTAGGTATTCCGAGATGATCCCCTGACATATTAGATCTCGTTCCCGTTCCCTAACCTTGTGCATCGGCCACTTCTACGCAATGGCGGCGGCTGCGACCAATTCAATGGCTCATCATATGCCACGAGTGCGGCCTCCCAGGTTAATGAAGGGAGATCCGCACCCAAATGCAAAACCCCAACCTCCTGGTGAAGCTCCACACGATGCACTCTGGGTTCAAGGCCGATGGCGAAACCCACGCTCTAGTGCGGTCAAACACGAACGAGCGACCCAGACCCGTCAAGTTTTAAAGGCTCTTCGGTGTGAGACGCGTGGGTTGAATATATATGCGTATCGCCATATTCGAACAAATCAAGTTGTCTATAGCTTGACAAGAACATTGGAGGTCAGTTATTTTCAGTTGGTTGATTGGTTGTTCTGCATTTCGTTATTCTCTGAATGAACTAATTTGCCATTGTGCTCAGTCTACCAAAATCCTCAAGCAACTGGTCTTCCATGGCAAGAAGACTGTGCCTGCCACCGTCCGCAGGGATATGTGGACGCCTTACTACTCAATTCAGTTCCCTCCCACCCCAGCTGGAGCACTTCAAGGCCTCTTTGCATTTCAGAAACTACGAGAGCTCTCGCGACAACGGCAGTTGTCACCACCCGAAGCCTTGATCAAAGTCACCCAAGAAGATATTGATGTCGTGGCATCAAAGTTAGGGTCTCCGGTTGACTTGCAAGAGATGGAAGTGCGAGATCTGTTGATTGGGAAAAAGAAAATACCAAAGCTCGATGAGATACTACCCAAAAAGTTAAGAGGGCGGAGGCTAATGGACCACAAAGCTTTCAGTGTTGCTGATGCCGCATTTGTGCTTGGTTGGATAAGCTCCGGTCCTCGTCCCTTGGAGAAGTTGACCGAAGTGGAAACGAATCGAGTAGTCCGCCACCAGAACAGAACCAAAAGAGCACGAAAGAGAATCAACGCCATTCGTGTAGAAGAGGAGAAGAAGAAACAGGAGATACGCAAGCGGGCGTCATGGGTGCTTGACGAACCGGATCCGAACGACCGGACTCGATTGCCTCTCTCGCGTCGCGCTCTTCAGGAGCTCAGCATGGATGTTCACGGTTCGGTAGATGGACATAGGCTCGTTGATGTTGAACACATCCAGGATATTAGGAAAGCTATAAAAGATTGGGAATCTTTCAGTCAAATCGATTCAACAACCGTGGACAAAAACATGTGGACCGATAGACAATCTGCCGCAAGGAAAGCGGAGTGGCGTGCGATACGAGAGTGGTTTGAGACCAATGACGTTCCCGTGACGGAATCAGATTCAGTCTGGCAGAAAGTTGCTGAGGCAAGAACGGCCGCTCTGAAGGCATTTGATGACCAGACGAAATCTGAAGCTGAAAAGACCAAACTTGAGAGGAGAGAAAGGATACTCAAGACTGCGGCAAAGGAGGCCAGGATCAGGTACGAAAGCAAGGCCCGCGTATCGGATCCGGAGTCCCCAGAGCAGTCTCTAGAGGAATTCATTGAGAAGGAGAAAAAGATCGCCCTTGAGAAGTTTGAGGAGGACGAGGCAGGGAAAAAAGAACCTGAATGGGCCGATTCTCGCGAGATCAAGATGTTCTGGGCCGACATGAATGACGGACTGTTTGCAGGGGCGTGGCCCCAGAACGTCGTCCACAGCCATTTGGCACCATTCGGGATTTCTAGAGCCGTGGAACGTGTCACAGCAGAGCACGCCGTTGAAGATTTACCTGAAAAGAAAGAGAAAGCGGATGATGGGGTTCGCACTCGCGAAACCAATATTGTGAAGGCGAAGAGTGTGCATGTTATAGGAGGAGCCATGGATGATGGCTGGATGCCTTTCGAAATGGCAACGAAGAGTAACCAGGAGCCGCCCGTTTGGACACCACGACCTGGAGAAGAAGATGAAGATGAAGAGTCGGAGCCATACCGGGGGCCCGAAACTCGGTCCGAAAAGGAGACGGAGAAAAAGGAATTTGAGGACAAAGAACTCGACTCTTTCGTCGTGGAAGCGAAACCCGCAGGCGTCTTTGGTCGCCTGCGTTCTTTCTTCAGTCATTAAGGGTGACAAGCATACAGATCACGAGTGCCTTAGATCATGATGTCTGTACAGATATGCTTGAGCCAGACAACCCCTCTGGAAAGGCGGTATACATACCATGCAAACCGAAGAACCTCCAGTTCGATGTCAACGCAAGATTCAATTACCTTGTACCAACAATTCCAAACCATCTCACCACTAACTTCGGCGAGAACTCTCTCGGGTTATGCTACCGACGAACCCTCATTCCTGTTCTTGCTCTGACATACAATTTCGACTCCCCAGATCATCTTCCTTTCAACTGTACTTTGTCCATCCCGTGTAATTCAGTCTCATTATCCTTGGCTCCTCATACGAATGCACTACGGCATATGGCTTCAAAAACTCCTATGAACTACAATGCGAAGGGCGAATGGATTTTCCAATTTGTTATCGGTTTCCCTCTCCTGGCATTTTCACGTCACGACCAAGAAAAGTCCTGTCTGAGTAGAGCAGGGTGAATACATGAGCATAGCGAAGACAGAACCGAATTACATGGAACTGTATATAAGGAGTACTAGGAACGATTCAGTCATTCCATATAGGGTAGCATTTGCATGGATTTAGCACATGTTGCATTACTCATACTATATCGTCTTTATCACGATATTCAGTTCCCAAGTCGCGGATATTCAGAGACAGGGGTATATAAAGCGTCCTCAAAGAACTTAAGCAGTATTTCACCAAGGAAAGATAATAGCGGTCCCAAAAAGACTTTTCCAAGGGGGAGTTTTGGGCCCTGATTTGGCCAACAATGCGTATAAGAGGTTCTCGAATCTTGCATCCACGTTCCACATCAAAGTCGTAAAGTCGTCACGAGGCGCAGTGCGATCCTCGCCTTGGTTGATTGTTCATTTATCGCAGAGACATTGCAGCAGTTGCTTCCACAATTCCTTTTTGTTTGCCTTTCGCTAGCGCTTTCTCTGCCTCGTTGCGCTTACTCAACACACTCTTTAATGCACCCAGCCACTTTGCAAGGTCATCCTCATCTGGCGTAGAGAACCGATACGACTTATCGTCCGTAATCAGTTGGAAGCAGAAGTTCTTGGATTTGCTGACTGGATCAATCTCCGCCGCGTTAATAATTGAGCGCATGGGGATAATCTTGACAGCAGCGTACTCCTGTTCGTTCTTGTAGAAGGCTAGACTTCGAGACCGCAGTACGACCCAGATCCATTTCCATCCCTTGACGCCTGTCTTGTATGACTTGAGAATCTGCAAATGCCCGTGACGTATCACACGCTCGGGATCAGTAGTTGGATCAAGACCGGATACTGGAGGCCCTTGCTGAGCGGTACCTTTGGCGTCGGCCGGGGCAGTGAGCTGCTGTGATGATGCAATGGGTGTCAAAGCTGGTTGTTTCTGGAGCGATGTTGTAGAATTCTTGGGCAGAGAGCTTCCGAGGGCATCGGAAACATCAGAATTTGAGGTTGTATAGTGCTCATTTCCAGAGTATTCTTGAAGGGTGGATGTCCGTCTTTGCCGGGGAGCCAATTGCGATTCATTTCTTGGCCTGTTGGGCGCTGTAACCGAGTAAATTTCATGGTGGTCAGGAGAATTATGCATTTCGTCCGCCGATAAATCGGTGGATTCATATACATGAGAGAGATCGACATTATTCCGCGATAATTGTGGCGCGAGGAGATCCAAGTCGTCTTCTTCCTCTGTCCTCGCCTCCTGACGAATCTGAACAATCCAATCCGCCGTATCAGCTGGAGACAGACCTTGAAAATAGGAGTTCTTTGAGGGAGAAAAGACTCCAAATACATTCTCGGTGTGCGGCTTTCGAACCGGGGCAACAGTTGTGACTTCAGAGAGCGTTATTGAAATTTTCAAATCGGTTTCGTCTTGATTCTGGTAAAGCGACAAGAGGTTTGGGCGTAACACTAAATAAGCTGGCTTCCAGGAGGGCTTCCAAGCTCCTTTGTTCTTAACCCGGCGATGGACTTTGCCCCTTTTGATTACTCGGTCAAAGCAAAAGCTGCCATTCTGATCAACAGGAGAGAAAACATCAAGATTTCGATGACCTGGTGTGTGCATAGTCTGAGGAACAAAGGCGGGAGGCATTCGACTCGGAGAAAGACGAGGAGCATCGAGCGGTAGGTGTGAGGGAGTAGACGGGCGGAGGGGAGAAGTTGCGGCCATGTTCAATCAACAGGCAGTATGAACAAAGGCTTTGAACAGAAATTTAGATCCAAAGCATGATGATTCTTATACCATCTTGTCTGCGGTGAACACGGCCTCGAAAGCATACCAAGCAGGTGGATAGAGGATGTCAGTGAAGGTTTCAGGCAAAACAGATTCAAACGAATGTTTCAGAGGGACATGATGAGCGACGTTTCGTTGGTGTCTCGAGAGAGGTGGTGGAAGGGAAGAATGGTTGGTGGTGCCAGCGTTCATTGTTCGCGCTGAAACTATTAATTCAGGTGGAGGTGGAGGCGCAGTCGAGAGGAAAGAGGGTTCCCAGGTGTGGCGAAACGAGGCTTGGGGAGGGGGGAATGGCCGATGGTCCTGGAATATTAGTGTTGACTGACCGGCTGCTGCCGCTGAATGCTGAGTAATTAGCGGTGGTCACTGGAGAACTGGCAGGGTGCCACAGTACTACGGTATTAGTAGTACTTACAAGCTTGGTGCCTTTTGATACCAGAGCAAGCGGCAGTAGCTTGCTTCCATTTTCGGTTTAGCCCTGACAACTCAAATTAAACAAGACAGCCCTGCTTTGTCACCCAACTGGTGCGACAACCACTCCAAACGATGGAAGAGGACTTGAAGAGCCAAGCGGATATAATACCTAACCCGGCGAGAGCGAGTCAAAGAGCAGTCATGTGTGTCCTACGTTTCTGTTGTCCCTGATCCTGGGGTAGTATGGTCCGTGCATCGACTGTTCCTTGCCATAAGAAATACTCTCCGCGTCTTCCCCATTTCCTCTAGTCAGGGCTGGGGTAAGTAAGAAGCTGGTGGGTTTCTTGAGATTTTGTGGCAACGGTGACAAGGTACCGATCTCTTCATTCCGACTTGTGGGCATGGTTCTGTTCTCTGAATATCGCTGTGTTTATATCCGGCTCCAGGGGACTGGACCATCAAGGTCTCCATATGCTCCACGGCCTCCTCGAAAGTGTCGTCTTCATTACATCGCTCGTCGTCAGTATCTCGTCTTGTTTTTATCTCCATCTCCTCGTCAGATTGATCGTCCCCCGTTCCTTCTCTGTCACCAAGCTCCTCCAACACCATGTCCCCGGCATATTTGATAAATTTTCCCGGATATTCGCGCTCCTTGCCACTATTCACGGATTTTGGCTGGAGTTTATCTCAGCCAAGATGTTCTCTGCTTCACCGATCTACTTCATCTTATCAGGATGACGTCGAATGTCTCCATTCATCGCAAAGAGAAGCGTTGACGAGGGCACGGAGGTATGGACTGAGTCCAGGCTGGAGTACTAGTAGTACTATTGCAAAAAGGCCAGCTTCTTCTGCGAGCGGTATGGCGCTTAGACCGGTGAAGGTTTCCATGGCACCATCGGCATTCCTACGACAAATATACTCGTTGGCCTAAAACCTGGTGAGAATGGCTTGCATGGCAGGGAGAAGTTGCAAAGTGCTATCCATCCCCAATATTTGCGAATCTTCTGACAAGCCTGGGGGGAACAAAGCATGACGAACCAAAACGAGCTTAATGAAATATCGAAGGACTACGCAAAGACAGCACGACCAACTATGGGGAGAAGTGATACTTGCTCATCCGCATGAGGGGGGCCATTTTTTGGAAAGCCAGGCGGAGATTTGAATGTAGTCGGGAGGGTTCCGGTCAATGCTTGGAATGAGATGGCGAAAGTTGAAGTACGCAGGCAAAATTGGTGGAATGAAGGGACGCGAGTTTGAATGGCTTCTTTCCTGGAGCACAAATGAACGTAGTAGATTCACGGCCACCTGCATACAATTTCCCTGTGAATGAAGGCCAAAGCAACAGAAAATCAACGGGATGAATAGTAGTAGTATATGGCAAACATTACTTTGTATGTTGGGGCTTTTTAGGGGGGGTTCTCAACCCCTGGCTCGGGACACCTTCCACATCGGTACCTAGGTTCTTGTTTCATTGTACTAGTGCTATTGGGTGACTTGGAAGGTCGAAAGACTGATTAGAAAGGTTTTGGCGGCGACCCAAAAGAGGTCCGACGGAACCCTCTTTCAATGCCAACGGCTGCTTTCGTTTTTGCTCCCAGACGACCCATCCTCACCATCGAAACGGGGTTGGATCTCTCTCACTTCAACTTTCATTTTCGGGCCTTGTGTTCTATTGTATCATATTTTCCTTTTTCTTTCACATGCCATGTCTTTTCCCCGCCTAAATTGATCGACTCGACCTTGACGTTTCCTCCAAACCACAACGCAACGATACCAGAACCATCAAACCACCACCATGCCGCGGGAAAAGTCCGCAAGACAGTCTCTCGGCGCAACGCACCGACTCGTCAAGGAGGTAAGACCTCGGATTTAGTCAGAGCTGGCACGGACTGACACTTAATTTCATAGTCTCGTGCTCTCTTGGTTGGCGCAGGTGGCATCGGCTGCGAGCTTCTGAAGAACCTTGTCCTGACCGGTTTCGGCGAGATCCATATCATCGACCTCGATACCATCGATCTGAGTAACTTAAACCGTCAATTCCTCTTCCGACAAGAACATATCAGGAAGCCAAAGGCTGTGGTCGCAAAAGAAGTGGCTGAAAAGTTCAACCCGAATGTCAAACTTTTTGCACATCACGCCAACATCAAAGACAAACAATTCAACCTGGAGTGGTTTTCTGGTTTCAGTATTGTATTTAATGCTCTCGATAATATGGACGCGAGACGGCATGTCAATAAGATGTGTTTAGCGGTCGATATACCTTTGATTGAATCAGGCACCACGGGATTCAAGGGCCAAGTGCAAGTGATCAAGAAAGGCAAATCTGCATGTTATGACTGTACACCGAAAGCAACCCCTATTTCCTACCCTGTCTGTACAATTCGAAGCACACCCAGTCAACCAATTCATTGCATTGTTTGGGCAAAAAGCTATCTCTTTCCAGAATTATTCGGGGTGAGCGAAGACGAAGCTCCAGAGGTGAACAACTCAGAAGACTCAGACAATGCGGAGGAAATTGAGAAGTTGAAGCAAGAGGCGCAAGCGTTAAAGAAGATCAGAGAGTCCATGGGCTCGGATGATTTCGCGAAAAAGGTATTTGACAAAGTGTTCAAAGAGGATGTTGAACGATTGGCCAAGATGGAAGACATGTGGAAGAACAAGAAGCCTCCGGAACCGCTGTCCTATGAGACTCTTGAACAAGAGACCTCCACGGTTGACAGCTCGACACTACAAGACGGTCAACGCATCTGGTCTGCCTCCGAAAATTTCTTCGTGATCAAAGACAGCCTCGCCCGCCTTTCGGCACGACTAGCAGAAAAACAAACCACGACATCAAATGATAATTCAGGGCCACCCACGATCACCTTCGATAAAGACGATGATGACATCATGGACTTTGTCGCGGCCGCAGGAAACCTTCGGGCTATCATTTTCGGTATCGAGCCCAAATCAAAATTTGACATCAAGCAGATGGCCGGAAATATTATCCCTGCAATCGCGACCACAAATGCCATGGTTGCCGGTTTGTGCGTGATGCAGTCATTCAAGATATTGAAAGGCGAATACGCCAAAACACGCTGGTTGTGGTTGTGGAACGGATCATTGCGGACGGATCAGTTAGAGGAACCGAATCCAGAGTGTGCTGTCTGCAGCATCGCTATGGCCAGAGTCCATGTCGACATTGAGAAAGCCACGCTGAAAGATCTTGTTGAAGACATCCTCCAGACGAAGTTGGGGTACGGGAAAGAGCTGACAGTCATGAATGATGCTGGTCTGGTGTACGATCCCGACCTGGAAGACAACTTGGAGAAGAAACTCTCGGATCTCAGTATTGGGGACGCGAGTTTCATTCTTGTCAAGGATGAAGAAGACGAAGACCCCCGGGTTGACCTGCAACTGGCAATCGAAGCAAAGAAAGCTGGAGGTGAAACCAAGCCCGTCCTCCTCATTGAGAAAGAAGGCGAGGCAATGGTGATCCCACGAAGACCCAAGAAAGCACCTTTCCCCGATGGAGACAAATCCAATCAAGATGACGCCGACAGCGTGGTCCTCGCAAATGGCAGCTCGAGCACCTCACAACCAACAGCCAAGCGGAAGCGACCTCTGGACGACGAAGACGCAGAGGGGAGCGAGACACCCGCAAAGAAGTTACAAGGTCCTGTGGCGGCAGAGATGGCGAAGAATCCCACAATGCAAGCGATTGTAATTGGCGAGGACGACGGGACGCTTCTGATTGCTGATGATGGTTAATGGATACCCAAAGAAACAAGTCATAGAGTCACCATGTGAATACCATCGAATTCCGAATCAGCGGATCTCGACCGGTTGGCATCCAATTCACTCACCCAGCAATTTGGGCCAGGCAAGGCAAGATACCAGGTGGATTTTGTAATACTCTGGAGGCAGGTTTTTGGCCGCTTTTGCCAAACCTTTCTGGTACTCGATACTCCGCTCGATTTACGACTAAGGCTGAGGCACAGGTGGCAAAAACGGATCTACAGAGTGAGCTGATGATGTGCTAATCACTGGACCAGTTTGAGACGCGATATGATCTCCGAAAGAGAAGAATAGATGAAATGAAACGGTCAGGAAAGGCGGCCTATAATTTTCTTGTGAGAGATCTCCTTCGATCCGTTTGGGAGACAGCAGACAAGTCGCATGAACCGGTTGTTAGACTACTCTACGGGAATTACGCGACTTGGTCAAAGCACGCGTTCTGCCGCGGCGTACCGCCTTCACCCAATCCTAGGCCCACATTCAACCTCGTATTGGTACCAAAAACTTCCATTGCACAGATTCCTAGTCTCTCGTCATGGCTGCCAACGGGACCCCCTCGCCATTCGTGACCCTCGTTTCATCTGATGGTTTTGAATTCCACGTCCGTCGCTCAGCAGCCTGCGTATCTGCAACCATCCGTCGCATGTTGGACCTGCAGAGTACGTTTTGAAACCCACTGCACTCCTCCATTACTTGTTAACTGACCGGAAATCTCTTTCCAGGCAATTTCAGTGAGGCGCAGACGGGAATATGTCATCTTGAAAATATCAACGGCATTGTCCTAGAAAAAGTCGTCGAATACTTCTACTACAACGAGAAACATCGTCATGATACTGGTGTGCCAGACATGGATATCCCGTCAGAGTTGTGCTTGGAACTTCTCATGGCTGCGGATTATCTCCTTACCTGAATACGGGGTGATATCGGGCGCACGGAAAGGAACAGAAACCACTTTCAATGATGTATTGTGATATCTTCGCATATGGTGGTGAGAAAGAATTGATCCTGCGAAGATTGGCAATCCATCGCATTCAGAGATGTTACTATCATCCACAAGGAAGAAGCCTATCCAGTTAGCACTTGCTTTTTTCTTGAGAACGGAGAAACAAGGATGAAGTCGCCCGACATCATACCCACATGGAAGTTTGTCATGTACCCGATGACATGATGGTCTCCGAGTGGCCACCAACAATAAGATTATCTGCCAGTAAGCCCTTGGCCTTTCCAATGCAGAGGTCACAAAAGGGAAGACTTCACAACTTCTTTGAGAGCGACAAGGACGTTTTCATCTGCCTCGTTTCAGTCAAACCGACGCGGCAATTTTGGAGGTCCGAAGAGAACATCAACGAATTGAATCGACCGCATTCATGTTGTTCACAAGATTCTTATTATGTTCTCCTTGAAGGAATCGCAAAGGCCTTCCTAAGCTCCATCTCCTACCTGCTCTACCAAATTCAAAGAATGAAGCACCTTCTCAAGCACGATGCGACCGCTTTTCCCTTCTTTTTCCTACAACATACCATCTCAAGCATATACGTCGTGTGCAATCCCTGTTTTCTCTCCCACAGGCCGACGTCTATAGCAGATGGAAGATCATATGCCAAAACTCCCTAGATCATCAGGCAATCCGTCTAGCTCATGAATTCTATGCTGTATGCGGGATGTTCTCTCAAGGGGAGACAGATAGCCTCTCCCCCTCCTTTCCTGGCCCATTTCCGTTGTTCTCATATAGCAAGAGTATGCACAAAGGGGAAAGGAGAGATCTCGCTGCACCCTAGGTTTGCAAGCTCCCAGTATGACGCAATGATAGATCTTTTGATTTTATCACTTGCAAACTATTACGATGATACTCAACTTCCCCTCAAACGAATGTGCGGCACATTTTTTGATGTCCGCGAGCAAGACAGCCTCATGGAAGGTGCCACTAGTAGTACTCGAGCACCCTCATGCAAGGTAATACTAGGAGCGACAGATGTCGGGTCCGCGTCAGGGATTATGAGATATTACACTCGTATAAGCCATGTATCCTCCACGTATAAGGTTCTACTCATGCCGATAGACAGGAGAGCTCCCGCTATTGCGAATCGCCATATCGCTGATACTATAGGGTGTGTAACCCGCCATCGCTATTGGCACTATGCCTCAGCTGTCCATCAAGCATCCAAATTGGGGTATCACAGTCTATATCTCTATTGTAGCTGTTCAAATGATCCTCGTGTCTGGAGTCATGTTTGATCCGTCATCCCAATCAAAGTCATGTAGTCAGGTAATATACCGACATCGCGCCATGCATCCCGAATGGAGAAGAGCTCCGCCATCCCTAGTCTTTCTCTTTAGCATTTCTACCCGAGTTTCATTTCTGAAAAAACCGTTTCCGTGATGAATACGTTCCCTGCTCCATCAACAAAAACGGCCCTGCCCAGGTCAAAGAACCAATCCGAATCCCACACTAGCAACAATGAACGCCTAAGTTGTTCCGTGGACTCAATTACCTTGCTTCTGCCCTTGCCCTTTCCTTCCGCCGCCACCTCTCCCTTTCCCTTTCGATCCGGTTTTAACTTTTTCCTCGAACAACTTCTCCGCCCCGAAACATGCATCACTCAATCGGAGATAACTGATGACTCCCATGTCCACGACGGCGAGGAGCACATTCCTCCTCCCATGCTTGATACGTGTTTCCATTCGTCCTGCCTTGTCTCTGGGGAGGGCGTCGTCGGGCTGGGAGTCTAAGAGGGCATTGATTTGCGAAAGCGTAGGGACAGAAGTTGTGCGGGCGTCAACGACCGCGATGCGGTAGTCTGGTGGCGGAGGCGCGCTTTTGCGGTATGTGTTCGCACTGCTAGGTTTCCAGACATGAAAATGAATGCGGAATGGGGGAGGTGGGTTCCTTCTTGGAACTGGAATCGAGTTGGGAGAGGCTCGGGATACAGGATTGGACGAGGTGGAAGGGATGCTGGAGTCGTGGTAAGGAATCAATGCCAATGCCCGGAACATGCCAGCGTAGTTTCTGTACAGACCTGGGGCAACGAGGGGGCCTAGTGCGGGACAGGATTCTCCTCGGCCAGCTTGGAAAAGGCGGGATATCAATCTATAGACGAGACTTGCACAACCAGTGACAACTCGAGGTTTGGATAGTGTTACCGTTGTTGCTGATGGCGTCGTAGCGGGAGTAGCAGAAGCTGAAGGCGGTTGAAGATGGACGTGTCCGTTCGCCGGAGGAGGATCATTGTCATGCCACGTTGGAGCCCGTTGCACAACGTAGCCAAGCCTCTTCAGGCTAGCATAGACGCTGTATCTTTCCAGCGTGAGACCATCCTTGCCTATGAAACTGGCATAGGCTCCTTGCAGACTCATAGGAAGTTCGCCGACTTTGGGATCTTGCTCAAACTTGATCAGTCCCTCTCCTCGACCTGATGGCTGTTGAGGTGAGACATCCTCCTTCCTCTGAGTCGTTTGGCTTTCTGAAGTCACAGCATCATGAGTGTCACCTTCAATTGCAGCACCGTCATTCTCGTCAACATCCGGCCATCTGATATCGAGGCTCCCTCTTTCCAGCAAATACAGGGCCTCTTCTGGCAGAAACCAGATCCAATTCTTCCTGTCAGCTTGGCCCATGACTTTCAAATGCGTGCTCTTGAACTTGTATACCACAACACACCTCCCGTATCTCACTCCGGCCCCATCATCATCCCACCTCCAGTCGTCCTCATCGGGAAGATATTGTCCGAGAAGATGATTTCTGCCCGAGTGGGTCCGCACCGCACTCAGGGCGGTGTGCATAGCCAGACGCGAGGCATCGAGGGCTGAGGCTTGCGATCGAGTGGGATTGGGTTCGAAGTCTTTTGTCCCTCGTTTGGGGATAATGGCCTGTCCTGTAGTGCTTGAGGTCAATTGGACAAGGAATCGGAAATCCTGGGTCTCGTCCTCAAGGTCTTCTGGCCCGGAAGCGGACTGCGTAGGGATGGCATCCTCATCAGCGTCCGACATCTTGGGATTTCTCACAATTGCTGAAGCTCTTGAGGCTTGCGATCAATGTAGGGCAAAAGTGTGGAGGTTTTGTATCAGTCATTGACTGCCGCCTGAGAGTTGCAGTCTGTCTGGCTTTTATCTTATCTTAGCGTTGTTGGCCCACAGCCAGCCTCGTCAGCCTCGCTCAGGCGTCGATGGGACCAGCTTGGAGAGGCCAGATTTTTAACTCTGGCTCTGGCACGCATTTCTCGTCAGCTTAGCATCCTCCTGGCTTTGAACCGGGCGTTCGTGCCTGAATTAATTTTGATATAGCCCTTGCTTATGCTAAACCCTGTCCTTTCCAAGAGAGTTTTGGGCGTTGAAGATCATAGGGCTTCCTGTACAAAAAAAGCAAAGAGGTCAGACATGCCAGCTCCACAAAGCTAAGTCCATCAATCGAGTCTCAAATCACGCATCAATTCCTCAATTCCCATCTCCATCTTCTTCAATTTCACATCATAGACCTCGGCACCAACTTCAGCTTTAGCTTTCCCTTTCAAACGGTCCAGGTTTTCGGCCCAATACGACTGCATGATCGCCAGAGCAGATTGGTATTGCACACTCTCCCGGCCCCATGTGCGTAGGACATTGGAGAGATTCGATCGTATAGCGTCGAGTACTACATTGAGTTGGTCGAGGTCTGTATCAGTGTTTGGAGTCTGATTCTCATTTTGGTCTTGAGAGTGTCCCTGCTGCGTTTTGGCATGAATGTTTGGGCTAGATGGTGAAGAAGCCATTTCTGCATAGCAAGAATGGCTAATAACCGAGGATCTCACAAAACTAGTCTAGATGAGATGTAGAGTCCTTGCTGTGAAGCCGACAGGTTTTCACATTGAAGGTGAAAGGAGTGGAATATTTAGTCAGAACTAGTATGATCCTGGATGACGTCTCCACAACTTCGAGTGTGCTAGAGCGTATATAAGACTCGATTCAAAGGTCATACGCTTCCTGTCCTTTAGGCTGTAGAGTAATAAGCGAGGTCTTCTTTGAGTTCACACATCTTACTGCTTGTATTCTGGGATGTTGGTGCAGGAGGTCGGGATGCTATAGTCATAGGTATGGACACGTGGGAATAAAACATGATCCTCGACTTTTTCTTGCTTCGAAGGTTCTCACGTCTGGAAAGAAACAATCGTAACGATGATATTCAATTCAGTCATTAACCTGGATCAAGACTCCTTCCCCAAATCCCATCCAAACCAACGCCTTGCATGAAAAGGATTACAGACGGGCGAGCAATACAATATGCAACTGAAATTGAGCAAGCTTCACACCTAGCCCAACTTCGATCCAAATGTCAGAGCGTTTGTATCTTTTCCCACTTTGGAAGCTCCGGAAATCACTCATGTTCTGATTGGAAGGCTGGTCGCTCCCGATTCGGCTGTGCTTTTTTCCCAAACGAACTTGGAAAATGGCCTCTGCACTTACAGATAGGAGAAAGGGTGGGGTTACTCCTTGTTGAATTGCCGAAGCATTGAAGCATGGTCATGGTCGATGTTTCGAGTCTGCTGTAGTCTGCCCACATCGTACGGCGATTGGCTGCTCAGCAATTCCACGGGGAATCAAGGTCATTATCTCCTGGGCGAAGGAGTTTTTCTTCGAATTCGTTGCAATTACTGGTCATCAACTGCTTGGACGACCATCCTCCCATAGTAAAATTCCAGCCTTTGCATGGCGCGGCTTGGCTGTAAGCACTTCTTCACGGCTGTTGTCGTCCACATCTTTCAACCTCTTATTCAATTAATGGTTTCTTTACAGAACCGACGAGCGCAACCCCAAGGCAACTCATCGCATTGGGATCAGAAGCCCGTACGATAGTGGCGAGGGGTAACATTGGATTGTCTGCGTTTACATGGGAGGCATCGCGCGCGGCCTGTTCGATGGCTTCCATTTCAGCTTTGCATGCTGCATGATCGAGAGGGCATACCACGATTGGCTGTTTCAGGATGATGTCCTTCGCACCACTCATTGAGGCCTGTCAGGAGTTAGGATCCGCCGGCCCAACTACATCAATCAAGTCACATACCTTAATGGTCAGGTAGTATTGGACCTTGTACAAACCTGCCGTTGTTGTAAAGCCTGTAACCGCATATGTTGGGAACGGTGCCTTGCCACGGGGCATAATGCCCTCTGCATCGCGAAGATCATTCGATGGGAAGACCAGGCCTAGATTCGTAAAATAGCCTGCTTCGGGCATTTTCACACCCACATTCTCCGTCTTCTTAACCAGGCTCTTTGATTTCGTGAGCGGTTCGTCGCCTTCGTGGTTGTAAATGACCTCCTCATCAATCCCGATTTCGATCTTTTTAATTGTCACCTTTTGTGCTTTGCTCAACCAATCCGGGTTGGGCGACAGCTTGATGTACACGGTAACCGGATCAAGAGGCCCATATGACCATCGTGGCAGAGAAATACCTAGTGTCACCAAATGATCCGATACCCGTTCTGCTGCCTCGGGACGATTATACATCCCAAACGTAGAAAGCGTGTCATATCGGGAAATTGGGACGGGAAAGGCATATTGCTTGCGATCTCCAGACCCATATCCCACAGTGACCACCATTTCATAGTATGTTTCGGCGGTTCTCCGAGGTAGTTGTAAGCTTGCCGGCGGTACTCTCCTGGCAGTCTCTTGTCCTCCGCGACCAAATGGGATGAATATCACAAAAGGTAAATCCATGTACATTATCTCTTCATATTCTCTGTTTGCCGGACATCGGAACAATAACATTTCCTTCCCTACCGTCTCTGTTGACTCCTTCCTGGGCGCCGCCAGATGTTTCTTGGCCACCGAGTCAGCATGAGGATGGATGCTCTCTCGCCTCTGGAGAGCGATGGTAACGATGGAGATATTGACTGGACTTGATATGCCGACGCCAGGACGTATTTCGACCGTTCCTTCAATACGAGGCTAAGGATGTCAGCATCAGCCTGGGGTATCTACAGGCGCATGCACTTGGTGCCGGACTCACCAGAGTAGCAGAGATTCCCGGGTATCCGACCAGAAAGTTTGTGTTTGGACGGCCAGACACTCGCACAAATGCGCTCATCTTCTCGTAGAGCTGAGGCCTCCAGTGGGACCATTAGGCGTGGTTGATAGCGTCCTTTGCGAGCGGCCTCTGATAGGACTTGAGATTTGCGGCGGCCTTGTTCTGAGCGACAGTATGAGGCCCATAGAGACGTCTTGGAGGCGCCGGGGATTACATGTAGGAAGAAGCCGAAAGCCTTGGGTGGTGCTTTGTTGTGAGATGAATGGAACTGTAGGTGAGTATGTTGACGTTGTCTCGTTAATGCGGAGGGCCAACAATGGAGTGCAGAGAGCGCAGGAATCGGATAGCCGGGGATGTTTGAGCGATGGGGCAAGGAGAGATAATAGGAGATGATGTTAACAAGTACAGAGATTCGGAATATCTGGGAGATGAGCTGGGTGGTGAGCGCGGATTGTAGAAATCTAGGCGGAGAAGGATGCACGTAGGTGGTGGAGGAATGAGTGGAAGGTGGTTTGCTGTTGTCTGGCCGCGAGTGGGACACAGACGCTGGCGAGTGCTAGGGACACCGTAAGGATAGCCAGCTAGACTCCTCCTACGCTCTTATTGCCCTATTGAAGTACGAAGTGGGCAATTGCCCATCCCAGCAGTAGTGGCCAAATTGATTCCGACATCCTTCAACCTTTTGTGCTTCATACCAAATCCTTACGTCTACCTGTAAGCCAGTCAGAGGATTCAGTATTACAATTCTGCCGTAGGTCCTCAGGCAGCTTGGGCACGGTAGTCGCCCTTAAAATGGCCCCCCGCAGGGACACTTGTCCAAAGAGTCTTGGAATTTTTTCCAAGCTCCCGGTGGCCTGTACAATCGTATTCCTCTTCTACCAATCCTTCTCCACGTTCAAACCACGTCAAAGTGAGGAGGTTTTGTGTCGCTTTTTTTCCTCCGATAAATGATTGCGTAACCTAGGCGACACCACCATTTTTTTTTTTGGGACCGAACCAAGTCCGTAGCATGTGGTTGTTCTTGAACCGTCGACGCCAACACTACCTCCCTTGACATGCTTGCCACTTTGAGCTGACTTGTTCGAAATAGATTTCTAGGATCAACAGAAAGAGTGGTTCGATGGCTGGCCATCCGGTTCGGATGCGATATGCTCCGTAGCCATTACCATCTTCCGGGTGTTGTCACAGATAAAGTTGCATCGCCGCTGTGTTTTTTTACACCTTCGTCGAGGGTTGAAGTGTAGACGCGTATCGCATTGATCAAGGGGCTCCTTGCTCACCGTCTTTCTCAACCTGCCAATGGGTTCGCATGTATTGTCACACGTTCAAGAATAATTTTTTCATCCTTAGGTCGATACTTCTTATCCACCTCAACGGCTTCCATCTTTTCGAGGGTGCCGCCGTCCTCGGCACCGTCAATCACTCGACCGAACACAGTGTTTTTCCCATCCAGATGCGGAGCCTCTTTGAAAGTGATGAAGAATTGGCTTCCATTTGTTTTGGGCCCTTTGTTCGCCATCGAAACCATACCTCGCCCGCTGTGTCGCAAAGCAGGAATTTTGATTTCATCTTCAAAATATTCTCCCCATATTGATGTTCCGCCTTTGGCAATTGGATTATTTGCTGTGTTCCGAGGCGAGAGCGACGTATCACCTCCTTGCACCATGAAGTCGGGTATGAGACGATGGAAGGGCGTACCATCATAGGCTCCTGAGGCACAAAGGGCGAGGAAATTCTCGGCCGTCTTCGGGACAGATTCGCAGAATATTTCAATCTTAAGGTCACCATGGGTGGTATGTAACTACAAATCGTAAGCGTCTGAAAATGCAATATAAGTGCGCGTGAACGCATACAGTGACCGCCATGTTGGAGTGACAGACCCATGAATCCGGGAGAAAATACAGTGATCGAGGATTCTCAGACGCCTTACAAGCCTCTTTGCAAAGACAAGAGCGTTGGCGTTGGAAGAACGCGGCGATCTAGGAACGTGAGAGAGCGAATTAGAGACCGCATTGGTGCAGCACATAGAAACATCAAATCAACCAAAACATAAATATATGGAACACCCAGAAGAGAAGCCGTCAAACAATAAAATAGCGGTCACGTGCTATGCGCTCTGCATGTAAGGCTGAAAGTGGGGGCTTGAAGGTATCCATCATTCAAAATTTTTGCAGAGTAACATGGCATTGTTTTTTGGTCACCCAATTAACTAGGTTGATTCACTGGCATTACCGCCGAACCTTCGGGGAATCATTTTACCCCTCGACCCTATCATACCACGTCCTACCTTGCCTTGCTCTGCCCGTGAACCGCCACCCTCTGTAAGGGCATGCCTGTACATATGCATAGTCTTCAACCAGGATCTTCAACTGCTCATTCTTCATTCTTATGTATATCATCATCAGGCAAAACAAAATAAAGGAGCCCCATCCCTAGTAGTACAAGTCGAGCTGCCGCCCTGACATGCCGAGAAGCGAAGTGGTACACAAATAATGTAGATCCCTCGATTCCAAACGAAACTTGAATCAAGTCGTGGCCGACGACAGGTTTGCGTTCTTTTTGGATATCCAGTGCATCAGCATAGTATCAAGCTGGGACTGCATCTCTGAGAGCTTTGTCCGCTCATCCGAAAAAAGATTGTGCATAAGGGGGTGGTCCGGCCCAACAGGTGTAACGTTCGATTTGTCGTGAACAATAATGAGAAGATCCTTAATGTCTTGACTGTTCTCCATATATGATCTGAGAGAAGCATCAGACCAGGTCGGAGTGGATCTTGAAGTTGATGGAGTGTGGGTGGCAGTAGAAGGTGACGGCTTTGAGGTACTTGCAGTTCCTTCTGACTCGGGCGGATTGATCTCGTTTAGCGGAGGAGAGGATCTGAGTGCTGCAGGTGGCTGAACTTGAGATTTGGGGTCTCCTGGCGCTGAGGCTTCCATTGGGGAGACTTGCATGGCAGAGTCTGATCTAGACAACTGCACCTGTGAATCTGCAAGGGGGGATACGCTTGAACGATCTTGATCTTCGATCTTGGGAGTAATATCATCATCCTCGGACTCGCTGTCGTCTATTGCAAACCGTTCTTTAGCTTTCTTTGAGTATACCGCCTTTACAGGAGACCCATTGTCTGAACCTGATGATGGAGTGGATTTCAGAGCTGTTGTAATGGGCGAAAATATCGATCGCTTTTCGGTGAGAGAAGGGAAACGATTCACTTGGGCAGTGGATTGAGACTGCGTGGATGTTGAGGACGGTGACTCTTCGGCTTGTATATCGTCAGACTCGACCTTTCGGACTGTCGGCGGCGCCGGCGCAGGTCCTGTCGGTGCAGGAGGCCCGGCGGTCTGAGGAGCATTTGATACATCTCGCTGTGGAGCTCGTGGTTCTGTGGGAGATGCTTTCGGCGATAAGTACGGGGGCGTCTTTTGCAATTTACTCGGCTTGCGCTCTGGGCCTGCTTCAGGCTTCATTGAGAGTGATTCAAGAGAATCCTTCGCTTGTGGCGATTGCCGAGAGTCTTCTGATATTCTTTCACTCTCTTCATGGGGGGCACCTTTCTTTCGTTTGAAAAGACCACTAAGCATACCCTTCTTGTCCTTCTTCTTGTCTTTGGTTTTATCGTCTGGACCGATCATCTTATCAAAAGTCTCCAAGCTTGGGCGTTGGCGTACTTCTTGCTCGGTAGAGCCACCAGAGTCAGAGTCGCCTCGTAATAACCGTGGAGTTAATGATATCTTCTTTGTCTCAACTGTATCGTCTCTGAAGAATGAGTCTGTATTTCGAACCACTCCCTTCCTCGATCGCTGTACTGGTTCTTCAGACGTCTTCTGGTCTAAGCCGACTGGTGCAGGTTGAGTTTTGACCGGACTTGAAGATAGGTCATTCTTCAAGCTGTCATTGCTGGTCATGCGCTGAATACCGTTCACAGTGGTAGATGAACTTTGGTCCTGAGACTCTGTAGATGTGGCCGAAATTTCTTGGTCTTCGGCGGCTTCACCATCCTCAGGATTCTCCACACCAATTTGATCAAGTTGACCCTCCTCTCCTTCTTCTTCATCAGAGTATTCATAATCGGAAGGCTCATAATATGTAGGAGCCGCAAACTGGACTGTTTTAGCATTTCTTCGACGCATTGCCTTCTTCAATGGGTTCTTGGACTTTTCAGGGTTGTCTCCAAGCATGGAAGCCGATAACTACTGCAGCATTAGCGGAGACGGAGTGGAAGATAAGGGTCACAAACATCGACATTTCTATGCTTGTTCAATCGAGCTAAACGTTCCGTAGGCGTCTCGATATGTTCGGCGGGCAGATAGCCTCCAACAGTTAGAAACATTGCCCCCGAATAATTTTGAAACAACTTACCAATGCTGCCATCTTTCACCACCCGAACGAGCCACCAATAGCTATTGCTGTCATCAAGCAATACCATGGTATCTCCTTTTGTAGCATTGGCTTGCCCTTCGACCGTTGCGACAAAAGTGTGTAAAGCATATACGAACTCGAAATCGATATCCTCTATTTCTCGTAAGCATTCTCCACCCCAACCCGAGTCGATAAAGCGATCGTCAAGACAGAATGGGAAATCATCGGTGTCATCATCATCATCATCATCATCAGAACTTGAAGCAGGGTCTGGTAAGCAGGATTCCTCATCTTCCCACTCATGATCTTCATTGTAAACGGTGTTCTCTCGGTAGTCGTCAACCGTATCCGCTAAGACTGGGTCGTCCAAAGGTAGCAAGTATCTTCGAAATTCTTGTGATTCTGACAACGGGATGTTGTAGAATTGCGATGCCTGGTCGGGTATGGGTGTAGGCGACGGAGTTTCCAGCGATTCGGCACGCTCCTGATATTCAAAGTTCTGGTTGACTATGGTGCGACTCAAGCCTTGGCCATACTCACCATGATGACTTGCCGGGTGACACAATTGGGGTGAAGGAAACTTAAAGTGTTCAGGGGTGGAAGAGAATGGTGAGGAAGAAAAGAAAATGCTTCGAGTCGGCGACGATGGTGGAGCTGGGGAAGCTTCACAATCGACCGAATCCGCTCGTGCGGGCCGGGGGGTTAGGGAGTATTTACCATCTTCAATTGAGGGAGAGCTGGAGATCTTGTCCATGAGGTCGTCATCCATGTCCTCGTCGTGGGAATCACCACCATCTCCGTCATCAAGGTCCTGCCCATGATATCCATCTCCATTCGTTCCATTCTGGGAGGTTATTTGATCGTCATCTCGGTCATCGTCCAGATCGTCGTATAAATGCTGATTGGACCGGAAACCGCCATTGGCTCTGTCTTCCGACGCTCCAGGACTTGTATGCTGCTGCTGATATGCCTCGTGTTCAGCATGCCTCAATGTTTGCGCCTGGTGTGGTGCGGCAGGTCCAAACCCATATGACAACAGATGTGCAGGTTGTCGTGTGTGGTCCTTCGCAGAGGGCGCATCAGGATCTTGCAGGTCGAGAGTATCTAGAAACATGAGCGGTGAGCATGCGTTTCCACTTTAGTTTCCCAATAACTCCATATCATAACTCGGCTTAGGTTTGTCTTACCAGCTCTCACAAGCTGTGGCTTCAAGGTGGTCATTGCGCGAACCATCTGCGCGGGAAAATTGTGTCTCGCGTTGCGTGCTCGCCCACCTGAATCGACGGGCTCGGAGTTGATTCAGATCGCATAGAGAGGTGAGCTGGTCGGGTTGATGAGGTGAGAAGCGCAAACAAGGATTCTGATGGGTATGGGGCGGCTACGGTCAGGGCAGAGCAGGGCGGTAGTCGAGAAGACCAGATTCTCGGGCAAGGCAAAACACGGTAGGTAAAGACTGGTGGCGTGGAGAGACCCAGCTCGACGACGGAGGGAACGACGTGTTGAGAAGAAGACAAAGGAAGGAAAGGCCGACTGGAAGAGTCGTGTGCGCAGGCGAACCTGGTGTCGGAGAGTAGTTATTTGGATAGGATTGACTGCGATTGATTTTGAACAGATAGGAGACAAAACTCGAACGCAGGAACAGGCTCGGGCTCAAGGAATGGCGCCAAAATTGCAGGTTTCCTCGCCACTGGCTGTGCTAAACTCAGTTACTATCTAACACGGAAGCAGCCAATGAGCCTTAAGGGGGCCGGGCGGATTCCAGCATCAACAGAGCCAAGTGCGGTTGCAAATAGACCTCCAGGGGTGAACCCTTCCCTAGCACCCACTTAGCACCCCATGAGACAATTGTGGGGGAGACGAGCCAACACACTGAAGTTTGCATAAGCAATCCTCCGTGTAGATGCTATCTGTACGTTTTGTATCGGTAAATGCTTTACGGAGCTTTTTAAGCCCACCTGAGTGAATACCTAAATGTATGGCGGGAATCCCCACCAATTATTGACCTACCCATAGACCAATCAGCATACAACTAATAACAAGAGACACTTCCGTTTCAAGTTCACTTTGCTGCAGCCCTTCAACGGGAGCCGTCATGGGATGTCAAACTATGATCTAATTCTTTTTTTTTTTTTTTTTTCCTTCTTGAGAATATTCCTCTTTGGGCCCTTTCCATCTGCTTGCCAATCATTTGTGTAGCCACGATCTACAAGACAAGAAGACCAAAAGTAGGTATATAGTCTCTATTACCTGCCCAGAAACCACGGGCCCTTGCTTTCATCCTAGGCTGCTGATCCGGCTTACCCTGCCAGCCGTTTGCCTTTGGTGCTTCACGTGGTTAGAAGAGTTTTATCAACTCTGGTTTTTTTTTTTTTTTTTCCCCAACCTCACCCGACAATGGCTCGGAGCTTTCTCAGCTCGCTGAGATGACCAGTCTCTTAGAATTGTCCTCTCAGGGCTACTAGACATCTCCTCGCCACAGTCTGGACGCATCTCATTTTGTGGCCGATGTGCGCGATGGCGCAGGCTGGCAATGTCCGCGAAAACGGCCATGAAAATGACAACGCCTTGGCCATTGGCTGTGAACCCGACGACCTGGAATTGTCTATAGGACAGCCTTCTGCTCAATCACGCGTGCCTTTTAAACGGTCTGCCACCAGCCAGGAAACCATTCGTGCGACTGGGACTCCTCCCGTGGACATTCCTACAGTCGGCGAAAGTCCTGCCGTGGTACCAGATCCCTCCGATTCTTCCTCCTATATCGATCACTACATGCGACAACGGAACCCCTCTGTTAGCTTCAATAATGAGATCAAGTTGGATTCGGGACATCGTCAGAGCATGATGGAGCCATTGGAGAAGCCGTCCAAGGCTCGGGAACGAGGACGTTCGCTGTTGCAGGCAATGGCGGATGAAAAGAGATCGTCCCGAGCCCATAGTGAGTCAGAACGATCTCACTACGATCCTATCACTGGCCGTCACTTACCCCAATATTCCCAAAGTCCACCGAGGGAACAGCCACGCGTCGGCGAAGGTCGGTTTCCCCTCCTTCAGACCACAGTGGACGAAATGGCGCGAGAGTCTCAAACCAATTTACCTCAAGCCATGTCTCTGACCTCCGATTCCACGATGTCTCCCAACGAGGCAGTCCTCACCCCTCAAGACGATGACAGTTACCTCTTGTCTCCTACCGCCGCGTCTCCCACCACCCCTTTCGCCGGGCAGGCATTTTCCTACGAAGAACCTAAGAGCTTTCGACCCACAGCCTCACAGAGATGGAGAGAGGGCGAAACCACCGCATCCCCTCAAGATTTCTTCTCGCGCGCCGGGAGTCTTCGCAAGAGCATGCGTGATATTGCGGGGCGGGCGTCTCGTAGAGATACATCAGGCTCTACAAGATCCCCGAGGTCGGCGGCATCCTCATACCTGCGTGCATTTTCGATAAGCAGCGGAACAAATGGTGACGGAGCTGACACTGGTCCTCTTGCCTGTGACGCCGAGGGTCAGACCATCGGTGAAGATTATGTGCTGGGCAAACAGATTGGTTACGGCGGCTTCAGCATCATCAAGCAAGTAACACAACTTCAAGACGGCAAACAACGAACACTGGCCGTCAAGATCGTTCGCCGCCATATTGAAAACAAAACCGAGGCTGAGAATGAGCAAGTACAGGCCGAGTTCGAACATGAAGTCGAGTTGTGGCGCTTTCTCAATCACCCCAACATTCTCCCACTAGAAGCCGTGTACAAACTCGACGAAGCGACGTTCTGCTTTATCCCACTCAATGTCGGAGGGACCCTCTTTGACCTCGTCAGATCCAATCGCAAAGGTGTCGCGCAAGACATCGCAAAGAACTATGCCTATCAACTTGCCTCCGCTCTGCGCTACCTCCATCTCGATGCGCGCGTGGTACATCGTGATGTGAAACTTGAAAACTGCCTGATCGAACCGACTAGGGCCGGAGAGCCTGGCTTGCTCCGTCTCTGTGACTTTGGCATGGCAGAATGGCTTTCAACAGACAGCAGTTCCGATCCTCCGAGTCCAGACTACAACAGCTCTGACCGCCCCCCCCCAAAACCTATTGGACCCGCAGATACCTCGACATCTGCCTTCGCAGGCGGAAGCCTCGAGTATGCTGCTCCAGAGATCCTGCGAATCGCCGAACGAATGGACAAGGCCGCTCGAGCCGAGCGTCACATTATCTCTCCTGCTGTCGACGTCTGGGCATACGGTGTCTGCGTGTACAGCATGATAATAGGATCACGACCGTTCCAGAACTCATTCCAGCCACGCGTTGTCATGGCGATACTTGCAGGAGACTGGAACCGTGACTTATTGATGGAGAAAGGGGGGGACGATATCTATGAGCTTGTGAACGGGTGTCTTGAAATGGACGACTCGCTACGCTGGGATATCACTAGAGTTGTCCGCTGTACTTGGCTCGAAGACCTCGCGGGCGAGGAAGACAATTTGCAGCAAGGCGTGAATGGGTGGCGACTGTAATTGCGACAACAAGACTCGTGCTCGGTTTTTGGGACACACCAAGGCGTTGCTCTGAGCGTTTCATTCATCTTTTGCTCATGAATTGTCAAACTAATTTTTTTGTTTTTACCTTTTTTTGGCCCTGGGGGTGGGGGGGCAGGGTTTTGGGAAGATAATGAAGCGAGCGAGAACCAGAAGCGGGACAGAGCGGTAGCATAGGATTGATGGACTCTTCAACTTCACGACTCAGAACGAATCTTCTCACTCTTGTGTACTAGTACACACGAGACATGTACGGCAAGGCGTTGGTGGCTGGGACTCGAACTCCAATTAAGTGACCATTGAACGCATGATTGGGATTTTGCGGAGGAAACACGATCAGCAATGTTGTACTTAGGGAATTCCACCTTTGTTATTATGTCTCTCCCTTCTGCACGAGGAAACCTTGATATTACCTCCCTGACGAGTTTTGGCCAGTGATACCGTTTTATCTTCCCACCTAAGCTGAAACAGATATGGGGAGGGGAAATGAACGGTTCAAGTCATGAAGAAGTATCCTGATATTCTTTCTGATTACTCGATTTCATGTGCTCCTTCACATATGCATATGCAGCTGCTGTTGAATAATGATACAATGGGTCGCGCGTAATGCTCAAAAATCAAGGCGCAGTACACGAGTCTTAGCCAACCTTGCTGTCCGCTCATGTTCGTCCTTTCCTCTGAAGTCTTTTCTCGCCAATCTTACTCGCTCCCAGATGCGACAGGATCCATGTTTCTGGTAAAATTCATTTCTTCGTCACCTCCAAAGCAAAGCCACAGCCCTGCTGCACCAGAATCATCTTCATGTTGGTGTGATATTATGCTCATGTCATGTAATGGCTTGTTGCAGGCGCATGTACATTAATCTCTTCCCTTGGTCGCAGTCCCATTGCCTCGCCCTCCGGATTACCTCCTTGCTTGCTCCCTCCTGTATATGATGCGCCTCCCTCAGATGCAGATGCAGGTAAAAGAAAAACAGGTGCGCCTTACTGTATTCAGACATCGAATTGTTCCTGACTTCTTCATAGGTATCATTTTGTCTCTCAAGAATATCATCTCAAAGTAAGACAAATATCACGGTGGCCACGCAGAGTGAGAATGTATGCAGATGCAAACTCGTTGAAATCATGCTTCCAGCTGAGAACTCTGGATCGAAGGGACTCCCACCACCCGTGCCAGTGTCTGAACTTTGAGAGCTAGACGTCCTCGTTGATGATGACGCTGTCGCCGTGCTTGAAGTCGATGAGGAGGATGAGACAGACGAGCTGATCAAAGTGGTCGATGCAATGGACGAAGATACAGAGCTCGAGGACGATTCGGACGGACTGGCGCTGCTGCTGGCGGTTGTTTGGGACGCTGATTCGGTATTGCTTGCTGAAGTCGTCGATACGACAGCGGATGAAGTGGCGAGGGGGATCGAAGTCTCCGAAGTCTCCGTATCCATCGCCACGCTTGTGGATTCTGTCGAGGCGGCAGTGGATGTCGTTGCAGCCGCACTATTCGCGCTACATAGATAACTCACAACCTCGCCAGTGAACAATTTTCCGATCAAAGAATCGGCATCAGCTTGCTGACCGCGGCATGATCGCTGTATAAATGTTTCGGCTGCCTCTAAACTTGCTTCACAGTCGCTTGAGCAAGAACCGGTTCCGCCAATTCCCGGGAAGTCATTGATGTCGCAGTCGCTGACCGGCGTTTCGTATGCAATCGTACAGGACGTCGAGAAGCCAACGATGGCCTGGATATCCTGAAATGAGACGGTGGCGGTGGAAGTCTGAACAAGGGCATTCAACAGGAGCGCAACACCCCAGAAAATATGATTCCGTAGCTCCATCGAGGATTTGGTGTGCAAGAGTGTTGCGAGGACTAAATAAATGAAAGGGGGAAAAATGTCTGTCTCCGGGAAATGGTGGTTGCTCTAGGACAGAATGTTGATGAGCTTGGTAGCGATGAGTGAATTCACCGCAGTATTTGTTTTCCGAGTGCAGCAGAATTTCAATGACGGCTGCTTCATCGGAAACATCAACTTCCAGCGGTTCACCAGGACAAAGAACTGATGAGGATCAGATTAATTCGGTGTCGCAGAAGAGTAGCATGCCGCCCACATTCCGTTGATTTAAAGATTCTGCATATTCGCGCCTTTTGTCGAGAGGGAAAATCGCTGACGCCAGATCGCAGTGTTCAAGCCGTTCAAGGTGGCGACCTCCTTTTTCAGAGGATGACAGCGTTCGTCCTCTATGCAATGGTCGACCTCTCTACCAAGCGTCAAAAGAACCGCCACCTTTCAACGGTCGAAGACCCTCCGGTGGAGGGATAGTATGCTCAATTAGGGTCCGGTCGGTGAAAAGGAATCAACAGGGTCCTACGTCAGTGGTTGGTATCTCGACCAGGGGCGAAAGAGCAGAGCAATTACACATAGGATGATCTGGTAGAGGTTGACAACAGATTTCTGCCGATCGCAATCAAAGGTGCACAGCCTGGTGAGAAGTTGATCGTCAGGTGATTTTACCTCAGCGGATCCCGACCGTCGGTCTGAAACAAGACCGTGCACAGATGCGAGAGCAGTCGGTCGAGTAGTTATATCTACTGGTATCTGTGTGTGAGGTAAGATGCCCGCCTTTTTCAAACAGGTGGAACGTGCTGTCCTCGGGTCGGTCGGGGGGGGGCAGGCAGGTTGGTTTGGACGCCAGTCAGGAGAGGTGAGAGGCGGGAAGGAGGAGTTTTATTCGCTTGATGAGTTGATCCAGTGTTTTCCTGCGGTCAGCCTTTGTGTTTTCAATGAGAGGAAAGAATCAAGTGTCTTGCATGGGATGCTCGTAAGAAAGAGAAACAGGGGGGAGTGATTGTATGGTTCAAGGCTTAGTCTCTGTCGTTCAGGGACAGAGCAACAACCCCACAACAGCAGCTGAGCATCATCAGGAAGAACTTGTGAACGAGCTGCCGTGCTCCTGAAGAGTGCATCGCATTGCATTGCATCATCAGCACGGCGCTATTGTCCTGGGCGGTTGAGGCAAACCCGTTCTAACGAGTCGGGATGGAAGACGGGTGCGTATTCTGCGACAGTCGTCACCCTGCATCAGGGCCGTTAGCACGAGGCTATGCGAAGAATGAAGCAGAGAATGTATGATCGATGGATAAGTAGGCAGAAATGATTGGTTGAGCGAAGACTGTCAGGGGTCGAAACTGGGAACCTCTCAGCTCCGGGCTTGTTCCGAGCGGGACTAGCAGACAAACAGAAGAAATGCATGACGGCGGCTGCTTCACCAACCAATGGTTATTCATCCAAGATGCCTTATGATGCCTTCGTGATTTGATGTGTGCTCAAGCATACCAGATTATGTGATTTCGGTACCTAGCTATCTGTGAGGCCAAATAACATCAACCAGGCGTTCACTCTCCTTTCAACTATGGGATGAGCACTGCTCGAAATCTGACCTTGCCACTGACCATCTTCTCCAGTGCCTCGTTGGCCTTGTCAAGCGGGAATTTCTCAATCATCACATTGACGTTGTGTGTCTGCGCAAAGGCGACGGTTTCTTCGCTGTCCAGAGCGTGGCCGCTGGGCCATGCCACAATGCTCAATCCTTTGGCGATCATTGATGCAGTGTTGACCTCCACGGGGGCTGATGCTGCCAGAATGAGCAACTTGCCCAATGGAGCCAACCCCTGAAGCAATGGAGGAATGAGTTCCTGGTTGGGCGCCGTGAGAAGAATGCAAGACGCTCCTCCTAGCTTCTGGAGCTGTTCTCCGATGTCGCCCTTGGAGGCATCAATATATTCGTGTGCGCCCAGTTGCATGGCAAAGTCCTTCTTGGCCGAGCTTGACGAGATGGCCACAGTTCTGTATCCCATCTTGCTTGTGAACTGCAATGCGAGATGGCCGAGTCCTCCTAAACCCTGGATCGCAACGGTCGAACCGGCAGATATCTTTTGATTTCGCAAAGCTATAGAAGAGAAGCCCAGTCAACCTCATCATTCGGACCAGTCGAGAGCTTTGTCGGTTCCTTTGCGACTTACAATTGAAAACAGTGACCCCGGCGCAGAGCAAAGAGCAGTATGCAGCTGGATCGGCGTCGGGAGGGATGGAAACCGCTGCTTCTGTCCTGAGAGTCACATACTCGGCATAACCTCCATCCCTCATCACGCCATTTATAGTCTCGTTGTCACACATCTGGAACATCCCGCGTTGACATTGTTTGCAGGTGCCTGAGGAGCAAAGGTGTCAGAAAATCAGGTTGTGGGCCTCCATGCATTATTTCTTACCATCGTGGCCGCCATGCCATGGTGCGCCTACTCGATCTCCTACCTTCCAGCGCTTTTCCGTGTCTGGCACGGCAACCACTTCTCCAATGACTTCATGTCCCGGGGTGATGGGGAATGAATTGCCAAACAAACCATGCTGAACAACATGGTCGCTGTGGCAGACTCCGCAAGCAAGAACCTTGACCAAGACCTGTCATGGACACCGTTAACACTGCATCGACGAATGAGAAACTCAAAAAGCTTTATGTGACCACTGCGTAGACCCAGGATCTGCTACATCGAGACTCCTCGGCGCAAATCGCCAGGAGGCAGAGCATCTGATGTCGGGGTGGCCTCAAGGTCCAGAAATGAACATGGATAAGAAACATTTGACATACCTCGCCAGGTTGGGGCAACTCGAGCTTGACATGCTTGAAGACAAGTGGTTGGCCTTTGGCTTCGAACACGGCCTTCTTGAACTCGCTGGGTAGGTTTTGTGCCATGGTCATTGACTGGGTTTACTGTAGATACGAGAATTGCTCGAAATTGTCCTGCGCGGTATTTGTCCGGTCGTTTGTAGGGCTTGGAATCGAATTGGATTTGGTCAGTGGCCCAAAGAGGGAGGCAGGCTTTATATAGGCAGTGGCCGGAGGGTCAAATGTTGGCTGCGAAGGGTCGATGATGGCAAACTAGCAAGACTTCGCTTTTCATATCCAGCTCCTCAATCTGGACTTGTTCCACGTTTCCTCTCGTCACCTGCATCTTCCTGAACGGGCTTTTTTACTTCCCTTGCCTCTACCTGGACGTTGGCGCAATGGGGGGTGCGGCCTACGGTCTCTGACCGCACATAATCCCTCGCTACTGAATCCATCCCTGTGGGTAGCCAGGATACCCCGATGAATAATAGAGATATCCTAGGCTGATCTAGGTAAATCCGGGTAGAGTCAAATCTAGCTAGCCATTAATGGCTATTCTGTATATCCGGCTTAGGCTTCGGAATAGGGTGGCCGGGGTTCCCGAACATGACAAAATGGTCCTAGAGGTTTTCGGCAACACGACGGCAAAAAGCCTTCAGGGCAATGATTCCAGCATCTCCGTTTGAGGTCTTTCTAATGGACTGATCTTTCCAAACTCAAGAAAAATACTGTCGCACTAAGGCATCCACCTGTACGCATTGCTCATGGAGATACGTGGACTTAACCGGTGACAGACGGGCATTGCAAAAGAAATGATTAGTACAAAGCTTCTCTGAGGAACTCCGATGCTCCATTTGGAGCTGCTAATGTTTCTACATGGACGCCGACTCAGAATCACCTCTCGCTCTTCATGCCAGAAACCACATGTAACCACTGCCATGGACCATCATCTCCTTCACAATCGTTGGCCTGAAAGAGCTTCTGCCGACGTCCAAGCAAGATCGGGGTCTTCATACGGTGGAATTTGCAGTCTGATTCGGCCCCCTTCCCAAACAGGGTTGCTATGTTCGGTTCGCCACGAAAGGATACGCTGAATCAGCACGAGGAGTAGTGAGATGGGAAAATAGACGCTACCAAAGAACCCGCCTCAGCATCGGCCACGATGCAAAGTGATTGACCGGAAGAACCTTTACCTTGGGTCCTGGTTGGAAGAACATCGGTTGCCAGGCTCCATTTGATGGATCCGAAAGCATCAAAACAGATAGCAGGGGAAAAACACTCTGGAATGCATACACCAACCATTGCCGGGTCTCGAGGCGATCCAGGACTGTCCTCCCGCGGAACGGTGTTGGCACTCGCTGATAAATGCACCCTCGAGAGGAGCTCCCTGCCTATTTCCAAGGGTCGACAGCGACTGATGCACCTAGGAAAGACTCTGACGAAAGGGATTGCCGATTCACGACTTGGATTGCGGTTCTCTGACCATACAGAAGAGATCACACACGTCTCCGCCTTCTTCACAGACCATCTTGCGGGCAAGTTGAAAGCCCATCTTCTCATAGATTGCGATGTTCGGTCTCTCTTTGGAACTCTCCAGGTAACATTTTCGGCCTTCCTCATCGGCCATTTTGGTGACAATCTCGAAAAGCTGCCGGCCAATTCCCTTGCCTTGGATGCCTGGTCTGACAGTGACAATGTTGCAGAAGTAGTAGCCATTGGGATCAGTCCAAATCTCGGATTGAGCGTTGGCCTGCTCACGCTTCCAGATCCAATACCGTTTAGTGTTGAGACCTCCGTGGCCCTGGTACTTGACAAGATTCCAACCTTGTTTGAGCCAGAGGATGTAGCCGTCGAGCCATTCACTCCAGGTCTCCTTCTCATTGACGTTTCTCGGCTTCATCCACATGCTGACTCCCAATACCTTCCCGTCTTTGTCATCTGCATCCTTCGCCACGAAAAACAGTGCATTGCGCATGCCCCATTCACATTTGGCTTTCAGACTGTCGAAATTCCGCTGCTTGTTGAATTTGCCTAGCCGAGTGTCGAAAGCCCACAGATGATATGGGTCGTCTGCAAATGCCAGCTGGATGCATTCCACCGCAGATGCTATGTCGGCCGATGTGATGGGAGTGATTTCGATCCTCATGTTTGTTTCTATTCTCAATTCTTCTTTCTCCGATAAGATGGAGGAGAATAGCCGAGCGAATCGCTGAAGGATGGATTATGTTAACAAGCCCTCTTCGTACTCTGTCAAGGTCGATGTCTCATTCTCCATTGAACAAACGATCTTAAATAGAGTAACCCAGGTTCGGTATCGATGATATGAGGGTAGCACTGACAGGAAACTGGGCCCAGTCCGGAGAAGAGCGGCCGAGAGGAACTTCCATCCGATGACCAAAATTTGTCATTTAAATTGGCAAGACTTGACGCACGTCAGTTGGGAAGGGTTCCCGTCTGACGGAGCGTCTTTTCTTGATTCGTGACCGTCGAGACAGCTCTTCTATACAACTTCACCGGCTCAATCGTTTTCCTCGTCATCCGGTCGTCACTGCTCGCCCTCTTGCATTTGGTCTCGTTCCACATGTCTGATGAGGTTGCGGCCATGACACTTTAATAATAGAACGTCCAATCGTTCGCTTCTGGCCATGAGCGCCGCAAGGTAAACAACCAAGCGCGGTCTTTGCTACTGACCGACGGCCTGAATTTCAAGCTTCGACGACTTCACTAGCGTGATGATCATGGGAAGATTTCAGGACAGGCTTTGACATAAGAGCGCTCATTCATCTATAGAGTAAAAATCCCTCTGACTATTCAACTACCGGTCTCAGATATCGAGAGCGGTGGTCGCTTGCTTTATATACAGCATGATCTTAGAATTCCAGCTGACTGTCTTTGCCCTGTGATGAACAATTCATACGGTCCCCTCGACTGGCACTAAAGCTTGCTTCCTCCCTTCTCTGATCTTGACCGTTCGTAATGCTTGACGTGTCCAGAAGGGTCACGGGGAAACCGGATCATCCCATCTTGGATCGTGGTTCCAATTACTCGGCCAGTGTCATAGTCCCAGAGAATACTATTATGACAAGCTCGATTATCACCACTGTTGCTGGTCCAGGCTTCTTGAACAAACCATTTTGATTCACCATCCCCATCAACCATGCGCAGATGATCTGCTAGGCCATGGAAGACGACTGTATGTGACAGCGAAGCCATCGTCGTTACGACGCGCTCGTATCCCAGGGCGCGTGGGATGAGGAAGAGAGAGTTCTTGTCAGAAGCATAGAGGTGGGCGGCGGCGTGGAGATTCAAGTCGGTGGCCGCTTGCTTCCTCTCCGATGGCTCGTCGTCCTGGACGAGGCGATAAAAGAGCAACTGTCGATATCGCGAAGCCCCTTGACCCTCCTTGCCACCTCCTGGCTCGATTTTTCCATTATATTTGGTCATGTCCACTTTCCTCGTTTCCACGCCAGGAAAGGCAGCAGCGGTACGGTTCCAGGCGTCGGCCTCTTCTTCTTCCCACCACAAAGCATCTGCTCCGGGCGCTTCGGGATGATTTTCAGGATTTAACCCTCCTAGGACACTCGCATAGGTCGACTTAAGGTGGTCCTTGGAAACATTTTGATGCTCGAACCCAACCCATTTCTTGCTGGCCAGCTCCGACCGCTTGAATGAAATCGTCGCCACAAAACAAGGCGACGTACCTCTTGCTGCCGCTTCAGATTCTTGGAAGACATCGACGCTTCTGAGACAGTAAATCCCACCATCCCGAAGTTTGCGGACGCGGTAGCTGAACGGCGTGTCGATCGCCCCTGGCAGGATGAAGTAACCTGTCATTTGCTAAACAGGAGGACCAAAACAGTTAGAATATCATCCTTTACGGCCTCCTGTCAACCGGGTTCTGCTAAATGACTGACATACATGAACAACAAAGCCTTGATCCACAGTCTTACTGGCTGCATACATGGCCTGAGCATAGACATGTCCACCGAAGGCTCTGATGTGCGGAGCCGGAGGCCAGGCAGGCGTCAAAGATTCAAAGGTGTTGTCACCAATCTGCTTGAGCGCCATCAGATGCCTGAAGGAAAGCGGCTTCTTGCCCTTGAGCACTTGGAATTTCGGAGTCATTGCTGTTGCAACGATCCTGACTGGCTGGCTGACGGTAAGGTGGGAGAAGGGGGAGCAAAGCTGCTTATCGTGAACGACTAGAAAAGGCAATGCTTCCACTCATAGGGCGCGTGGGTGTCATATTCATGTTACCTGGCCTACCGTCCCATTCACCCCGCGAATTGTTTCGAATAATTGTGGACAAGGTGAGATGTGTCAAACGTCGGGAGGAGTCACGACCGGAATGAACCTCGGTGGTTGGAGGTCAGCATCGGGATTCCCATCCGAAGTCACGTGGACAATCCTCTGTGGGCAGCCACCAGCAACAACGCTTTGGTGACATTATTGAGATGCTGTTATCGACAACAATGATAATTGACTGACTTGGATCCTTCAAACTTCCATTCTCATACTATCACAACCTGCCAGCGGAAGACGCTATTGACATCCTTTCAACCCCAGACCCTCACCTTTGCTACACAAATGTCTTCAGAGCAAGCCTCCTCCGACCCTCAGCCTTTGATACTCGGACGCCACGTCCAGGTAAGAGGAACCTACCATGCCGGATTTTCAATGGGCTCTGACAATCTATTACAGTACGTCCAAGGTGCAGTGCTGTTGGCCCTTGGCTATGAATCAGGAGAGTCGGCCGGATCCTCGTTCGGTTCACGAGATGCATGACGCCAAATCCTCAACTTCAAACGGGCCAGCGCAGTCGACGATTTCGGCACGGTGGAGAAAGTAGCGGGCTAGGTCACGGGCTGTGAAGGTATGGTAGAGGAGGAATAGCAAAGGATGTCGAAGACGAGCGGGACCGGGTGAATGTGAATACCAAGGAACCTAGCATTGTTGGGTTCCTGGTCTGGTTTTGGGTCGATGAGGCTGAAAGGGATCGTCTTCACATGTGAAAGTATGCTCGTCTGTCAAGAGCAAAATTTGTTGTTGACTGCATGAACGGTATCTGGAGGTAGTTCGTCTGGGGAGAGCAACTATAGGCCCAAACCCTAGGCCTGGTCATCGTCGTCGCACCATTTGATAGGCATTTGTATCGTGTCGGTAGGTTAAGGAAACTCGCTGGTCTTGTCAGGTAGAAGCGTGAGAATGGAGTCCAAGTTTGGGCGCTGTTCTGATCTACCAGTACATGTCCGGCCGAGAGAGTTATGCTGCGGTAAGTCATGCGTTTTTATGTTGGGGCCATTGAATCCCGCTGCACCTTTTTTTCCCCTCTTGTTTCAGTCTTTGGTCGTTCGAATATGATTATTCCCTCTTCTCTCTGTCGTAAATAGTGAGATATGCGCCTTCATGTTCATAACCACACCGGCCAATATATGGATCTTCGTTTCCTCATTTCAGGCCATTCATCATCTCTTTCTCTCCCCGCTGCACTCGGCTTCAATTGACGATTCACAGAACTTGGTAATTCCGTTGCTGTATAACCCTGAGTTTGGCCTCGACTTGGGTAATGGCACCTCGCCCTTTGCCCCCTTCTCCACAATGACACTGTCCTCGAGATCCTCACCCTCATACCCATGATCTCTCATTTTCACATCGTCATCATCCCCGGAATCAATCCCGTCCCTGCCTTGATGTAGATCTACTGATGCCCAATCCCTAGCTAGGTTTCCTTCAATATCAGCATCCGGATATTGATATCTGCCATACCGATCTCGTTCTCGTTCATTCCCTTTGATCTCTTCGGCATCATAGTCCGGTTTCTCCCAGCCGTCATCCACCTTAGCGAAACTGATACTGTGGTCTTTCCCCAAGAATGTCGGCCCATTGCTCGCACGGTACCAGCCTTGGTCAATCCAGGCCGTGATACACTCTTTCGCTTGCTCTCCTAAGGTGTAGAATCCGGGGTTGTCTCGCGGGATAAACATGGATATATGCGCAGTGGTTTCGTCCACTGCCTTGTCATTGATAGCTTTCACCCATCTGAACCCATTTCCTTTACCGTCCCTAACTTCTTTGCTGTCTTTGCTCACATGGACGGGCAGGTTGCAGAATGTCCGCTCCTTTCCTGCCACACTGGCGGTGATCCCGTACCCTTCTCGCGCGCCTTTGCCCAAATTCGTGTAGAGATTCGCACAACCCGCACCATGATCTTTGCACATCTCTTCAATGCTTTCGATCCGCTGGCGAAGGTACTCCGGCCTGAACAGTTCGTTCACGAATAGAAGGTGGTCGCTTGCCCATTGCAATCCGGCGCTGATTTTCTCACGCTGTGAATAGAGAGCAGCTGCGCCGCCAGCGACAACTGCACCTGCCGCGCCTGCAAACATTGCATACTTACCCCAGGACTGCCACTTCGGAGTAGCGGCGGCATCTGCGGTTGCAGAAGTGGGAGCCGGGAGGGCTCCAATTGCCTTTGAGCTAGCTGATGCCGACGCAACGTTGGGTTCCGACTTTGAGCCCCATCCAAACAGCGAGGCGACGTCGTTGTATGTGCTGTAAGCGTTGGAGAAGACCTTATGTCCTCCTTCAAGGCCATAAGCGACCATACCCGGTGCAAGGCCGAGGAATGGAGTGTCAAAGGCTAAGATACCTTGGACATGAGGGAACATGAAGTTGTTTGACTCCGAAGTGTCGTGATCGTGCGATCGAGTCGGATGAGACGTGGATGTCGTCGAATTTGGGGTCGTAGTGGAGTGGAAGGTGGGTCTCTCGGGATATTTTCTTGAGGATGTGGGATGAATAGGTTGCTCGCTCGCAAGGAGGAGATATGTTTCCACTGCGACTATCCCGCCCATCGAGTGCCCGATTAGTATTACATGGACCGAAGGATCAACTGTGGGAGACGGTGTGGAGCGCGCGACTTCCAAGTCAATGACTTTGTTCTGAAGCCTGGTAGGGCCGCTGGCATCAGCCATAGTTGTATATTGCATCCGGCGAGTTGGCCCGTACGTACCATTCTCGAAAGCGTGTCACACAATCTTTCAATTCTCCGCGAGTTTCGAATTTGGGATAAGTCACAGCCACGACGTCGATGTCTGGGAGAGCATGGCTCACAAGGGCACGGAGATGTTCGGGAAAGGTGCCGAATGTGTTATCGCCACCCTGAGAAGAAGAAGATCATAATGAGCATGAGCGGCAAGATGAGGCATGGAAACGAGCGCAATCAAGTTTGAGATGAGGGAGAGTACCTGGAAGCCATGAATGAACACAAGAAGTAGTGTCTTGCGCATCCTTACGGAATGAGGATTGAGATAGATGCTGCATCGTCCGCAACAGAGGTCATGTATTGTTCACCATTATTGTCATGCACGCTGCAAAAGCTGAACAAGTCCGACTCCATTCGGCGACTCTCTGCAATTCACTTTCAAATGATCTGGGGAGCCGGTCTTCCGGCGACTTGGTGTCGAAAAACTTGGCCTTGGCAAATTACTGTCACGTGGAAGAGCGGCTGACATAATCAACTCCGTTCCATTCAGAGCACCAGGACAATGATAACTTGGTTCAGCAACAAGAGACCACCAATGGATGTTGATCGAGAAAACGAGTTGGTTTTGGTAAATGCTCTCTTTCTCTTATCAAGAGCTGGATAGTAGCCTGTCGACCATTCTATGCTAGATCTTCTAATTCCTGTACATATTCTTGTTTCCGTTTCATACAAGCACCCAACTCCTTGTAAGTTACCATATTGCTTTTTATCCCAGCGCCGTAAAATGCCCGTCGGTAATCCGAATATTCCCATCTCAGGAAAAAGGTAGTGTCCACCGCGCTATGCATGAGCGAAGTAGAACCCACCAGCTATACAAATAAAAAAAAGAGAAATTTTAGTTTTATACAATGTTCTTTTGTTGTGTTTCAAGATTGATATTGTTGATGAACAACAGGGGTGGAAGCGTTGCTATGTTGCCACCCATCAGCTTGCATGAACGGCAGAGGCCCGGCACGACGCTCGGTAGTAGCTTTGCTTAAAGGTTGGTAGTGAATTTGATCGGATGGGACGTTTCTGACGGGGATTTGCAAAGCCGCTGATGGAGGCGGAATCAACAGCGTATTGACATGTCGAACCGGTCGGTACGGAGAAGCGCGATGCGTCAAGAAGTACGAGGGTGAGAGACCAGGAAGCGTGGGAGTGGCGCCGCTGAAACCGTTGGAAGGCGAGGTGTGTGCCGAAGGGTAATTGGTGATTGGCCTGATGCCGTCTCCCAAACTCGGAATAGGATTTTGGAATAGATTCTGAACAGAGGATATAGGAGTGATGGGTTGGCTGTACCCGGCAGTGGTGTTGGGATAGATACTCGACATTGCTCGACTCACCGGCACTGCTAGAGGGGCAAGTTGATCGGATAGATGGCCAGAGGACGTCGGTATTCTCGGGGCATCTAGCCTGGGGACATTCAGTGGTGTGGAAGAAATTCCAGAATCTGATATATGGTTGGTCGTGGTGGGAGACGTTCTCAGGCTGTTATTTGTATAGGGAAGCAAGGTGAGACCACCACCTTGTCCCGCAACGGGAACTGAATATTGCTGTCTTTTTGCAGGCGGTTGTTCAGCAGAGAAATCGAGGCTTCGTTTCCTTTCTTGTTGGTGGGCCGCTGACCCATGCAGCTGCCTCAGGGGTGAATTCGGAAGCTGGGATGCGGCAGACGATGGGTGTGGCAGTGTTGGGTAATGGCCGTTCAAAGCGTTTGAGGCTGCAAAAGGACTGACACTGTGATGAGTGGATGGTGGTGAGGGCAGCTTAGGAGGGAAACTCTGGGAGGTTGGCGTTACAGGGGTAGTTCCCTTGCTTTCATCTGGGAAGGGCAACTGAGAAGCCTTGTCGTAGAACGCGCCAAACTTTCCTAATTTGGCCTTCCACTCACTCCACTCTGCAGCCGATGCATAGAGGTCATACCTCATATTGCTGAGAAATTCCACCTCCATAATGTGAATTTCGGTGACAGATATACCAGAGACCTCTGCCCAAGTCTTGTTTGTGTAGGTGTTGTCATCCAAGAATTTGTTTCCCAGCATCAGAGCAATTGTTAACAATCGGAATTCACTGCCGCGTTTGCCACTAACAGTGGGATTGAATCGTTTGAGCCGGTAGATAAACATCAACGCCAGTAGAATTACGTGTTTCCCCACTTGTGTGGTGCTGATGATTGTCGTCACCCATTTCCGGAATCCAATTGTTGGGATGGCATCTGGAAGCAACCCTCTGTTTGCAGGTCTATCCAACGGCAAATCTTCTGCGTATTGTAGAGTATCTGCAGTTTCAAACCAGAATAGACAGGTGATTTCAGCAGCAAATTCCGCCAAACTCCCCTTGCTTTTGTTTACCGATTCTGGAATTTGGAGGTGTGCAGCAATCGCATTGACATTGGCCTGATCGGGTGCTCTCCTGTTGTCGTAAAGGCTCGAGCCATTCGAGGGGGGAATTAGCGTATAGGAATTGCCATTGAGAGCTGTTGACGATGCTGGGTTTTGTTGAGAAGTGTCCCTCCCATCTTGAAACGTGTTTCGGTCCTGCTGAAAGCCCTTAGCAGGGAAGCCAGCATAGCCATTGCCCAACACTACTCCAGGCATGGTCTTTGATCCCGGAGGGGTAGGCAAGCCGCCGGCGAAACAATTGTTGATGTTATTCCACCTCTTCAACCCATGTGCAGTGGAGTCTTGGTGAGAGTCCAGGCTCCCAACAGGACGATGAATGGCAGATATGGACAACATGAGCGGGAAATGGATTTCGTAGGTGGGATCGAGGCAATTTTATGGAGTCAGTTGCTGTAAATTGGTGGTGCTCATGGGTGCGACATAGATGGCCCGACGAATATGACGAGGCTTTGAACAGACCTCACTGCAAGGAGGTAGTGAGGATGAATGGCTGTCTCCGACGACAAAGGGCATGGCAACACTAGAGAAACAAAGAACACTCAATAAGTGAGGAACATATTTGATGTTTTGGAGCCTTTGTCTGAATTAGGGTGCGGAATGAAGGCAGTATTGAAAGGGTGGACCCCGTATGTTTTGCAAGGTGCAGCAGACCTTCACCACAACGCCCTTCAGACAGTGACTGTGCGAGCACCCTGGACCAAAGCAGGTAAGTTGAGGAGCAACTGGGGCAATCAAAAAATGACAAGAATGAGTGAACGAGTGAGTGAACGGGGAAACCCAGTCAGCCGAACATCGGCAGGTAGAGTTTGTGGCGGAACTGAGCAGTTGGACCAACGATGGCTGATCTTGTATTTCATTCAAGAGTTGTAATGATACTCACACACGGCCTTGTCTTGGATGGAAGGCCGTTCCTGACTGGGCCCTTGATGTCAGGGCCCCAGGTGACGAGCCCGGCGCAACAGGAGACGACACAAGGAGCAGGGGAAGCAAGTTCAGAAGAAACAGGCAAGCCGCAGAAAGGGAGCTACGATTAGGAATGCTGGGTACACGCGGCCGAACCAATAAAAGGCAAGGGGCGCAGATGGAGCGACAGGACAACGCGCGCAATGATTGCCAGAGTGGACTAAGACGGGCTCCCGGAGGACAAGTGATGGGATGTTTGAAAAAAAGAGAGGATTGCTAGGATGATGGATGGCGGAAGCAAAAAGAGCGATTTGGAGGGGGGCTGTGGGTTAGGTGACGGCGACAAGGTCAGGTTAGTGAATGATGAGCGAGCAATATGCTGTCATGCGAGAATCGATGGAAGAGGAGCACCGAGCGACGGCATTTTTAGCTCGGCATCGTATCAAAAAAATCATGTTTAGTCTTTTGGGCTGTGTGTACGGAGTAAAGTACAAAGGACGGGTAATGAATGGACGAAGTTGGGGCCTCGGACTTGAGGGTTCGGTAGCGAGCTAAGAGGGAAGGGGGGAAGCCTTGGGAGCCGTCATGTATCCGTATTTGACTATCTCAATTGACTTGGGTCCATGATGCTCGGAGGGAAGTGAGAAACTTTGAAGAGGGCCTTGTCAGGGATGGGGGGAACAAGTGGAGAGAAGGGCTGTGTGGTCTTTCGCCTTCGCATTCGCGTTCGCGGTCATGATCTTTCGCCTCCACTGTTTGGACACCGGACGGACCCCTTGAGGTTCTGGTCGTATGGAGAGGCGAGGGAGGACTGGATTAGCAATGATACTAGTCCCCAGGTTGCTACGGCAGGTGGCCAGGTTCAAGCTGCGTTGCTGGTTGCTCGGAGGTTGAAAAAGCAAAGGGGGCGGAAAAAAAAAAGCGAAAACTGGGCGTGTGCAGCAAACCAGGCAGAGCACCAACGGGGACTAACGCGGGTCACACAGAGTGTGAGAGGGAAACAGAGATGGCGACGGGACGGAACTAGACCGGGGGGAACACTCCGCTCGTAGAACTCGTCCTGCGGTGGAAGAAAGGGGGGCATTCTTTTCAATTTCCTTCAAGGTATGTTGTGAGACTTTGGGCTGAAGTGCAGCGTGCTCTGTGCCGAGCGCAGTGAGCACTGATCGGGAAACCGCCAGTGACCGCAGCGCTAAGGTGTGAAGGGTGACTTGAGCAACGCACGGCCTGGCCTGGACGGGATGGCTATTCAGCTACGAGCAAAGTGTCAGTGATAGTCACTCGGCGGGAATAACTTGGAGCCTGATTGCAAGGAGGTCGCCTGGCTTCGCAAGACAAAATGCCACCGGGCCATTGGCTGCAGATGCACCTTGGACCATGACCTTGCTAGTGCTGTGTGGATGGCGGCTGGCGGATGAGATGACAACCTGCCGGAGAGGGAAGGCCTCGAGACCCCCAAGACTCATCCCATGATCCGAGTCTTCTGAAGTCTGAGGTTTCTCGCTAGCCAAATCTATGACCGTTTGGGTAGTGGCGTCGGCCGAGGACCATGGTTTGTCAACGTATTGGAAGACGAGGAAAAAGGAGGATCAGGATCAGCCGTCCATCCAACCTTTCAAAGAGCTAAAGCAAGCGCGCGATGGGATGTCAGGTGCCGGTTGGGGGGGTTCACCGTTGTTGGCCTAAGGAGCAGGAAAACTGCAAATGAATTGGAGACAAAAGCGCCCACGCCAGGAAGCAGCGAGAGCTGCATCACTAATCGTGGGAGATGTGCAGCCCAGACAGCGTAAGACTGTGTGGACGGTAGATACAGCCACGCATGCGGAACTAGATTCTGCTAGTTGGGCGGTGGGCACAGCGCTGAGCATAGATGGGCACCAAAATTCCTGCTACAGTGCGTCTCGCAATATTGGGGCACACGGAGTTATTGATGTTCCCGCCAGTAGCAGCGAGGGAGTCCCGCCGAAAAGCAGTGACCGTCCAGTAGACGCCAGCTGATCCAAAGCACCAGAGCCCCGAGTACACGCCTCCCCAAGTCACCCACTAAGTTCCAAATACTGGGCAAGAGAGACACATTCAAATTCCAAAGTTTGGTGAGTGGAGCCCGAGGGCCTTCAGAGAAATCAGCAGGCCGTAATTAGTGACCATATAGGCCTCATCTGTGGCTGGACAACACAAAAATTCCTTCGGCGGTTTGATCGTTCTCACATGACGAGTGGATCTAGTCTTGACAAGTTTCGAAAGAGTTCGAAGTTAATAGAACAAGCGAAAGTTGAACCCTCGCAAGGAATTGCTATGCCACTGATTTGTAGAAACCGGATCAGCAATCACGCACCAGGCTTGAGTGATGGAGCCGAGACTCCAGCATGCGAAGCGTTTGAACAAAGTCACTCGTCATTTCTCAGTATTCGCCGAGCGGGAGATGGTAACATGATCAGCAATCGCTATTGCATAATTGGGTTACAAGATGGGATGGAGAGGCGCAGAGGGCGTCACAACATCGGGAAGAATTGAGAAAAAGGAAAATGATGCTAGATGGTCGGTCACAAAGGAGCAGTAGTCATCATCACAAACTTGAAAAGCTGACGAATGAATGGTCAAGCAGTGAACCGTGGAGCCGGGAAGCAAAAACAAAAATTCTCGTCGAAGGAAAACGACGATGCACGGAGTCACCCAAATGATACCTCGTACAGGACTCCGTATCCAGGCCAAACTCCCATCTCTAGTCTTTTGCGTTGAAATCATTGATGCGTTCTACAGTCCCCTTTGTAGTCTGACCATTGCATCGCACGCAGGGATCGGTCCACAGACCTGGCAAGACTAAATTACAAGGTCCGATAGATCCTCGGAACGAGCAAACGGATCGTGATCGAGATCCCACTTGACGTGGTTTTTTCGTCAGGAATGGAGTAGGAATACGGAGCAGGTCTTGTTACAATCATCACCCCTTGCACTTCCGGAATTCCAACAAGGCAGCGAAGCGAGGCCTAGGGGGGACTGAATGATGAATATTGGGCCAGGCGCAACAAAGTAAAAGAAAGCGAGCCGGTACGAGTACACTTTTTTGTAGATGCCGCACGTCGGCATGCAGCATGGCAGGCGACAGCAATTCTAATTGTTACAACTTTGTAATTTTGTGGGACTTGATACTTGGGGAAAAAAAGAAAAAAGACAGTTCAGTTATATCCAGAGCTGAGAGCAAGATGGTGGCGCGTTGAATTCTCTCATTCTTGGTCCAGGCCTGGCCTGTGGTAGTGTGAGATCAGTTACAAGAGCCACTCAGGAGTCAGAACCGGTCAAAGGAAAAGTCAGGATCAACGACAAGTCTCTTGAAATTAACCCCGATGACAGCGCCTCGGAGAGTCAATCCCACATCGAATCGGACAAAGCCAGCCGAAAGTCAGTTGGGGGGCCCTTTCCTGTCCCATCAGGAAACGGAGAAGAATAATCTTGTCGGGATAGTTTGGGCCGCTGGGCTGGGTCGGTGAGTCCCAGGCTCTCAGGAGTTTGCATGTACTTCTCATCTGTCGGCTGGAAGAAACAAAGTCTCAGACACTGTTGGGTCTTCCGGTGAGTACCAGCATCCTGGGTGTCCGGTCGAATTCAGACCAGGATTCAGCAACGCCGGCATGCCAGGTCTGTTTCGCATTTTGGCCATGCATTGATGCATTGCGCAAATCGCTTTGCAAGTTGCAACAAATGACCAAGGTACCGGTTGCAACTCACGCTTGTTGGTCCAAAGGCTAATGACAGGGCTATTGGACCAGGACGGGGGCGAATGAAACTTACTAGCAAAATGTCTGCAGAGTTCAGGTTCGATCGCCAACCAACAGCCACGGTCAAATGTCTCCATAAGATGGGCTTGGCTTAAAATCGCACTCCGTGATGCCACTGACCCCTCGAATCGGCGAGCACTAAACTGGGAAATCATCAATTCATTCATGACAGGAAGCCATCGGAAATAATGGAGGCATGGCAAAACGACTCCACGATTGATGGTGGCTTGCGTGCACATTATTCTGACGGATCCTTGGGGTCCTTTGCATCGTTAGACACAACGTCTGTTCTCCACGGGCTGAGCACAAAAAAGGCACTGGCAGCATCCCCCATGCTAAGCAGGCTTGGTCAGGTGAGATCATTCAGCATTTCTCTGAACGAGAACTGAAGTCACAGCCTACGCCAGCCCGTTCGCCTTTTGCTTCCTCTGTTTTTCAACTATGAAGCTGGTAGTCCACGGTCTGATTTGTGTTAGCTTTTCTTATTGCCAGCATCGCAGGAGTAACTCGGTCTCCAGTGCTGCGGACCATTCTAGGTAGTATATTACGCTGCCGAAGACACTAGCATCCCAGACGGCGGCTAGACTTCTGCACCCAAGATTCATCGTTCTAGTTGCTATCAATTATGGAGTCCGGGAAGCAGTCAAACTGCGCCAGTCAAAAGGGGGTCAGAAAAGGTAAGGGGGTGAGAGATCAAGTCGGCGCAGGCGGCTGGCCTGGCCCCCCGACCAACCCCAATAATAATTCATCTGCCAAACTGCGGGACGGCCTTGTCAGTGCCAGTGCGCCAGTGTGCCACCGCTTTTCATCACTGTTCTGCACCATACCCACTTGGTGGAAGTCGTCGCCACCATCATCTTCGTTCATCCCTACTACTCAGACAAATATTGCAACGTCATCTTCCATCACATACAGCACATTTTGATTTGCTCGCCATCCCTGTTTGGTCGATCGCCTGACACGCGAAAACGTTGTTCGTTGTCGCGCGTCTTTTTGGCTCGACAGGCTGCGGGCTGGTTCTTATTCATCTTTCAAATCCCATTTGGCTCCGGGGCCTGCTGGAACATGTTTTGAGAGTCAAATGGCCGATGGATCCCGGGCTAGATCTTCACGATTCAATACTTTTCAATGACAAAGCCTCTACTCCGTATGCATTGGTCAAACCCTTCGCTCTATCCACCTCGGTCCACCTCCAATTATGCTCCTACCCGCCACGATAATCTCGGCAGCCTGATACGATTCCTCCCCCAAGTCGCCTCATGTTTTTTGCCCGAATATCACGCCTTGCCGTCAGATTCCGCCCGTCACAAAATTCGCAAAAAAAGCTACGGCTGCACGGTGTTCCTGATCTCTTTCGGAAACCGCCCATCTGCAAAGACTTGCTCCACTGCAGTCCTTGCTGCTCACCCATTTTTGCGGACGATATTTGGAAATACGCCCTGTGCCTCCATTCCTTGCCTCCGTTCAACATACATCCAAGCCGAGTCTCCCATGTCTGACCTAAGTCCAAGGCAACCTACCTGCCTAGCCGGTCAACCAAAGCTAGGATCCCCGACCTGGTTGTAAACATGATTGTCGTGTTCTACGCCTTCTGTCGTCGAAAATAAACCTTCTCAACAGGTTGAGACCTCGCTTCGGGATGTCGGTCAACATCTCATGACCATTATTGGCCACGTCATCACCCTGAAAGATTTCGGTCCTGAAATATCAAATAGTTTCACAATCCTCAAGTCTCTCCCTCAGTCAGAAGGCCGAGGCGGCGCGCACAATTGCAATCGAGGCCTGGTGTTTCTCCCTCCCTATTGGCCCAGGGAAACTTCGACCAACCGCATGGATATTCCAACCCTCCAAATCGATTTAGGAGACGGACTTATCGTGTACGACCCCGTCTACAGTACATGTTGTCTTACTTGCATCCCCGTGCTATCTCCCTTCTGCATATTGCAGGATGTTCCGTCCCATTGTGGAAGCCGAAAACAGAGTACTCTGCGTCGTGATGGAGGCTGACGTGGAGGACCTGACAACTAAGGCAAAGGCATTGTGGAAAGTAACCTAACAAACGGGAAACACTTTGTCGAAACCTACAAATCAGACCCTGGTCCCCTACACCTCCCATGAACGGGCTCCAGCTTCAGGTAATGTTGAATAACTATTAACGACTCCAGTTTTCTAGTGCGCTCTTATAATTACCCGATGGTTACACGGTATCCTGAGCACGCTTAACCTTGACCAAAATACCATCGACTTCCCGGAGCACCGACAAACCCCCTTACGCACTGTTATTGTGGTTCATCGGGAATGGATATCTTGGCGACAATGGCCCTCTCCCTCTCTTTTCGGCAGACTCTTTTTACTTTCTGGAGATGAAAGATGGAGAGACCCTCCTCGGTAATCAGATCGTCAAATGACGGAGCTCTCCGTGAGCCAGTCATCAATTTGATTCACGTCAAATGACCCCTTCGAGGTCGGGCTCCTTCTGCTTCCATGACCTTAAATTGAAGTCACTGCAAGTCTCAGTCTAACTCAATCAAGCTCGATATCCCCTCTGCTGATTTGGTGTGTAGATACTCTGTTCCTTGCACCTAAAATTGCACGAGACTCGAGGAACTTTGAGGTGCAACTTGATATTTGCCACTGAAAACAGAACGACAGGGCATTAAAATCAAACTACTTGTTGGGCCTAATTCTCGTGTCGAGTGTCTTTTGCATCAATTTCGACACGGAAACCTTCACCACCTGCCGCGAATTTCTAGCCCAGACCACTTTCAACAGGTAAGCCTTTGCATGGTCACCTGTCTTCCAATCGAGATTCGGGTGGGACAACCTCATCGTTCAAGCCGTCCTCAATCTCTTTTTTTCTTCCGAGGAACAGAACCTACTGCGTGGACTGCTCCTGTTATGGAGTAAATTCAAACGAATGTACCTGCCAGGGTATGCCGATACATCGTGAACAGGTGAAAACTCCGTGAGTAGTTGCATCCCGTCAATATCAACGCAGGTCACTTTGCTCGAGGCTCAAGCACCCTTCGGAAACTCGGATCAACAACTGGTTTGTGGCAACGGCATCTCCACCGAATTGGTTGTTGATAGAATTCGCCGCTCGCGATATCATTTATTCTCAGTCTTGGCTAGGGTGACTTGACTACATTGAATCGCCGTGCTTCGCTAGTGGGAATTCAAGAGCTTTTCCAGTTCCTGCCGAATCCGATGGTCCTTCACCAATTGTCATTAGACATTCGGATACAAGCACTACGGTAGGGGACATCTAGCAAAATCCTCTTACAAAGTTCTCTTCAGGATTTTCAAGGAATGGTTCAGCCTACCCGTTCCGCTTTCTTTGGCCATCTTACTGGTCACCGAGAGAATTTCCCTTACAATAGATGGAAGAATGTCTGATGGCGAACGCTTTCGCCTCCCATACCTTCTCACTCTACCTCGTTATCACGGACCAGTGACAATTCAACTCGCCTAGTTTGAAGAAGCCACCCCGACAATCCAACCACCGCAACATGGCCGAAATCTCATCCCTATCACAGGTGTCAAGTCCTATGGCCTACGTCATTCCCATTTGTCCCTTGTTACAATGCAACTGGGACACCGAATGGCCCATACCGAATGCTGGCCGGCCTTTCATGAGCAGTATTTGTCCAAAATGAGGATGTGATGGTGGATCTTCATCTCTAACCTTCGAGATGAACGAGGAAGTAGTAGTGCCAGAACTCGATCACGAAACTTGAAGGACCGATCTTCGTGAATCTAGTATATACTAGAGCATGGAGCATGGAACTGGTGCTCGCTATGGAGACAGCCCCGACACACAAGACACGTCTCTTCTGTGTTCCAACTGCAAAGGCTCGTAAGGAACTTGATGGAGCAGAAGCTGAACGTCGTTTGGTTCTCTCCGCTGAAAGAGAGACCACGTCAAGGTCAGGATGCTAGACCTTTAGCAAGTCGAGCAACTGACCTGCTAGTTCCGTTCACACCATTGGAGCTGTAAGTGATGCTGATGCATCGAAACCTGAGTCTCTTGTGTCCCAAGTTTGGCTCTGCCACAGCCAGTACTGTACGGTAAATCTCTCTATTCCAGAAACTTGGTAATTCCCTCTGCTGTTTCCAATCGAGAGTGAAGAACCTACTTAGCTCTCTTTCCTCTGGAATACTCATCCGCTATGACCCTTGAGTCGAACGTGTCGATTGATGATCTGAGAAAGCCTTCGGTTCGGCCACACCGGTTCTCCTCGAGTACGCGACCACGAGAAGTGTCAGTCCCTGATCACACTTACGATGGATTTGGTGTCCTACATTCGTAGTGCTCGTGTTGCGCGAGAGATGATCCTTTTCCCACTCGTCCTTTTTGATAGCTACTCCTTTGACCGGCATTATTGGAAAGGACCTTGTCAAACGTTTATGGTGGTATACCGAAGTACAATCTATATGATATGGTCGAGTTCACCGACAGCTATTTGCCCTCTTCGGATGCCATTTTTGGGCATGAATACTGGCAGGGATACATCCCATGATTATCCTCCCTTTTTCGTGCGTTCATTTATCCTATGCTGGGCCTATAATATCGCTCTTGCCATGGCCATCTTTAAATGCCAACAATCCAAGTCCAGCCTATATAGCGATCACGTCTTCAGAACCGCCAGTCACTTTGGCTCTTGATAATAATACAACTCGTCAGCCACTCTTAGGTTCTGCTGATAAATTCCCTTCCCCAATTTTCGTCTCTGTAAATCATCCACAGACCATAATATGCAAATGCTGCTCAACTTGTGGATGAATGACGAAAAGGCTCCCACCATCATATCTGTCCGAATCTATTAATAAGTATAATCCCCTTCACGGTTCCTCGGGCCAGAGTACTGAGAGTCATAGTCCTCATAATTCCCCAATTGTCGTCGAATATCTCCGTAGCTCTGCCGGCCTTCGATAAGGTTGCCATAACCAGAGAGGCGATCCCGACTCGGGGGGCGGAAGTGTGCCGGAGCTTGAGGCTGGTAGTCCATGCTGCTGGCGTCATACATGCTTTCTCTTCCACCTCCGTACATGCTGGTTCGGTAATCTTCGCTCGGCTCGAGCAAGGCTTCTTGGACATCCCAGTGTCCCTGTTTGGTGCCAACGCTGAATTCGAGATCTTCTTTAGTTATGCTGTCCCAATACTGAAGATGTGTCAGTGTTTTGATCGACGGGGATGAGGAGATCAGCATCAACTCACCTTGTACACCATCATGACACCCAATAAATTGCAGACGGTGGCAAGGAATAATCCGTCAAGATAATGGTTCACCCCTTCGCAGATTTTCCTCCCGAAGAGGTACAGAATGACTTGGCCAATGATGAAGAAAAATGCTCCGAATGCAAGATCTCCCAACGGCCATCGGTCTTGTAGAGTGTTGACCACCAAAATGACTTGCATGACTAAGTAAACCGCCAGACAGATAGCGTTGATGACGTACAATACGATGAAAAGTCCCGTCGTGTTGGTTGGTGACAGACCTGCCCATCCTTTGAATGTAAGGAGACTGACCGCGAAACTGATGACGAACATGGCCAGGCTACCAAGTCGCAGAAGCCAGACCGAAAGTGTAGTTCCATCTTCATACAATTGAAACCCAACGAATCCATTGATCAGAAGACTCGTGCACAGTGCATTTGCAAAGCCATTTTGTACGGCGACGAACCATGGGTAGGCGCTTTGATTGGTTGCCTGTATCACCCCAGCATCCAGCACCAGGCTAACGATGGTTAACAGACTGTAGACGTAGAAGAATGTTAAGATTTCCTTTCGGCCGACGGCGGTGAATTTCGAGCGGACGTGGAAGATCATAATGGCAGTCATCCCCAAGGCGGCGATATGGGCGAAATCTGTTGCGGCCTGGAAGATGATGGTGTTTGCCAACTCGACGGATCGTGCACTGCATGCTGGCAATAAGACAGGGTTGTGTATCGATGTGAATTCGGTAGGAGAGCCTAGTAGATAACACAAAGGAAGGGCGGACTGCTCGCAGATGGAGTCGAAGGAACCGAAGCCCATCTTGGGCGATGTGCCCTGAAAAGGGAATGATCGGAGAGGATCAGGGGAGATTGATGCTGGTGAGGATGTAGTTGAGAACGTCGTCCACAGAAAATGCCCTTTGCAGGGCTTCACCCGAGGAGGTGAGAGCGAAAACTTTGCAAGGGAAAATTTGTAGGTGCGGTACAAAGGTTGTCGAACGATTGATGTTTCTTGCTGGGTAAAGAGAGACGGGTGGAGAGAGGAAGGGCGGAGAAAGGGTCTATCGTATGAGTTGTCGCAAAGTGAAGATGGAGGCGACGAAACGAGTGGTGGTGGTGTTGGAGGGCAACGAACGAGGCTTTCTGACTGTCGGGAAACAAACAGATGGAATCTGTCTGGGTTCGCTCCCATCTTCCCAAAGCAAGGCGCAGCCAAATATGGTCATTCCAAGTTGGGTTTAGTCTGGTCCTGGTTGCCCTGTGCCCCTGAAATAGAAACGATATCAGATCTCCGTAAATAATTGTCTATAGTACACATAGGCACACAGGAGACGGTTGATGCCTTTTTTTCAAACGATCCGCTCATTGACCTACATAACTCAGCTATACCAGCACATGAAATCATGCTACTCATTTGACCTTGGGGTATAATCCTTGCTCCATGTCAGCACATCGCCCATCCCGGTGTTGGTTGTCCTGGATTGACCCGTCTATCCAACGCCATATGCTGTGCTTCACCACTCCCTAATGCATATCAACATCACTGCCTTGAACTTATATGGCCAATCTTCGCAGCCTTCCGTGTCCCATCTGGTTTCACCGCACCCCATGGCGTGATCTTACTCTACCTGCCGCGTTGGCCACAATCTGTCGTGCCCGTACTTGTGCAGCCCCTAGCTTGTCAACAACCGCTTTGGTGTTTAGGCTTGGTTTCACGAGTGCAGACATATCAGTGGGAGTTGACATAGTCCGTATCGCTGATCGAGCCTTCGAGATGTTATCCAACACGTGAGCCAGAACTTTCCTCCCTTGCGTCGAGCCTTCGTTTGTCAACAGCACAACGTAAGAGTACAGAGCTTGTGCATTCCCCGAGACTCGTGACTGGAGGCTGGACGCAGTAGAGGAGCTTGACAGCTTCCATTCAAGACGCCAAGACAAGAGCTTCTGAACATCTTCTTTCAGTCCTTGTGTGAGCGCATGAATGACATCGGCGTGGTCTTGAGTGGCAGCGACAGCTTGTTTGTATGGCCAAACACCAGAAATCAACGCCGCCATCTCCTGGAGATGCTCCATTGCCGTATTTAAGGCTCCCTTTAACGGTGCGTAGTCAAAGATCGATTTATTTCCGAACGACACAGTCAGAGTCTCGCTTAGTTGAGGTTTGGTCATGGTTAGATTTACCTCGATGTCTCCATAAGTATCGCGATGGTGGAGTTGAACGCTGAAGACTCCGTCGAAGAGCTCCTGTATGGTTGCCGGAATGGTTTGGTTCGATCTCGTCAGCACGACTGATAATTGAGACCGCTTCTTGCGATTGAGAGCAAATTTGGGCAATTTCACCACCAACTGATTTTCACCTGCAATGCCAACTTGGAAATGGAGAGCGTCCTCTTCTAATGGTAATGTTACAGAGCTGACTGAAGCGATTTCAACAAGCTGTTGGCCAATCTGGCCCTCTTTCGCGGAAACATACTCAAGACCTTGCGACGATAGAATTGGTGGTTGTGCCTGAGACGACTTCGGTACGGCAGATGCCCGTCCTGACGTGGAATCCGATGGTTCTTGCGCCGTCGCTGTCGTTCCCTGCCCTGGTCGGCCAGGTCCACCTGATAGAGAGTCGGATACCACAGGCCAGAGATGAGCACCAAGGAAAATGTATATCCCCACAATCCAGAGAGTGATAAAGAAGGTTTTAAGGAGAGCACCGTTGAACGGAATTTGCATCCAAGGACTGGGCTCCTTTTTGTACGGAGGATCGGCACGATAAGCCAAATCAATCAGCTCGTGAGAAGTCGGCTTCTCTACGGTGGATATGACATAGGCGATATGTTTATTGAGTAAAGCAGAGTCAAGATTCAAAAATGCTGCCATATCCACCGGAAGCTTCGGGAATGGTTTGATATCTTGCGACAGCTCGAGTCGACTTTCAAGACTCTCATGAAGGGAGTCCAGATTGCCTGCAATACCATAGTCACCATGCCAACCTCGATCCATTCGGATAAGAATGTGGGGTATTCCATGTCTCTCGGCAAATGTGAGCATTCGCAGACTGTCATCGTCCATCTCGTATTCTTGATCAAGGTGAACGCAGATAACTGCAAGGTCGGGCGGGACCCAGCGAGTATTGGTCACCACGAACGTACTACCATCCCATTTCGAAACAATCTCGGATCGTGTTTGGCTGTTGCTCAATATCAATGGTACTCGATGACTGGCAGTGCCGGCAGGTTTAACCAGATCATAGCAGTCAAAATCGATCTGATTGTCAATAGCAACAAGGTCGGCGAATTCTGGTTCTGAGCCTGGTCCAAATGTATTTGGGACTAGGTGAAACCTCGAAATCGATCTCGGCGTGGTGGTGTGACTTACTCGCCGTGAGACCAAGGCATCTCCAAGTTTTCGCTGTATCTCAGGTCTGAACTGCTCCGCATGCTTTCCAAGCAGGACGACTTTGAAGTACTCAAGAGAATTTGGGTCCAAGCCGTCTTCTGAGAGCGTTATGCGAATAATACTAGAGTATCTTCTTGATCCGCCCTCGTCTTTAAATAGTGGAGGTAGTTTTCGAATCTCATTTTCGCTCAGGGTTCTGATCGTATTGTGAATCCGAACCAACTCAGGTCCTTGGCCAAGTCTCACCGGGCGTGCCGCTTGAGGGATTGGGATAGACGGATGAATCAGAGGGATATCTTGTTGAGCTAACTCTTCCGCCGAGACTCGTCGGCCTGGGTCTTCTGTAGAAGTGTCTCCAATACCCTCGTCGTCTATGGATTGGGTCTCGCCAACATGGACGTCATCAGTGACGCTTTGGATGTCGTCTGAACTATGAACATCGAGTAGAGATCCAACATCAGTGTGCTCGGATTGCAGATCGTCTTCGTTGGACGACTCGATATCTCCAAGAGAGGCCCAGCTGTCATCGAGAGAAGGAGGGTTCGATTCGGAGGCGGGCATGGCGGAGGACGACGAATGGGCGAGCAAAGATTCAAGTGAAAGATGCAGAGGAATTTCTGGATATTCGAGATCAAAGTTGCTTATGGTCGTAGTCGTGGGGCCGTCGTCACCTGCCTTCCCGCACGGTGGAGGACGTAGGTCAGTCATGTTCATCATGCAGGGGCCGTACGAGGCTCCGAGGATGTGGCGGAGCGGGAGGGTGGAAAAGAGGTTTTGAAGAACTTACCGAATTAGGCACCGCTCGCAGATGCCTTCCTCTGTGTGTTTGTGTATGTCCGTGTGCGTTAAACCAGTGTTGCAACTACCAGAGAGCTGGTACGGAATGACTGGTTCGGCCTATTAACACGGCGCAGAGTCGAATGAGCGCCACGGGCGATTAAAGAGGAAGCGGTGCGCCGCAAGTTAGACCAGGTTGCTCTTCACATAAACATCCATTAACTGAAACTCAGGGGGGTTGCCAGGAGGAACGTGATATAGAAAGGGATATGAGGCAGGCAGCAAACAGATAGTAAGTCGTAAGTTGGGTGTCCATGCAAGGCAGCAAGATCCCCGCAATCACGCGCAGCCCCTCGCGTGTCACGTTCTGTCTGGCTATCTCCCTGGCCTTATCAACACAAGGCTGCAATGTAGCCTCGTTTTCCTTTATCCAAGTAATTCTCTGCCGACAAAATGTATATGGTATCCACACAATTCAATTGTACACTGACTGCATGCGGTGTATACGGATGACTTGCTTCTCACCAAAAAAATCTCATTATAGAATGGCCTTTGACGCAGTTTTCACGTCTTCCGGCTTTTCATTGTTGATCTCATCAACCAAACTCCTCCAGGAGCTGCAAACAGTGCCCACTGCCCTCTCGTTGCAGGCCCCAAGCCCCTTCTCGACCCCCTTCTGCATTTGTGGCAACTCATTCTCCTTCAATCTTCCAAATCAATCAGATGGTACACCTTGGAATCCAAATATTGTTCTCCAGATCCTTTCTACGGACCCTCGAGCCGTGTTGATACCGCCAGGACGCCAAACTCTTGCCTGGTGATTCGGGGGAAGAACGCCCAACGCCGGAGTGCCATGCATAATCAAAACATCTTGTTCCACCATTACTTTTCGCTCTTGACCTCATGTTGCATTTTTTAAGGCGAAGCCCAACCACCAGCGACTTCTACCCATTCGGCAAGACAGCTCCCTTCTTTCCCTTCCACATCTCGAATATCGGTGTCGCATCGACAACGACATCCAACACCGTTCTCCTTAGGCGGATCGGGTGTTGCCCAATATTCGTCCTCTTCCTGTCGTTCTTTCTCGTCCTCAGTTGTCTTCTCCAGCCATGGGATTCGTGGAAGTTGTCTCGCCGGTGCATTTGCAGGACAATGTTGGATCGTGGTGTGACGGTAACCAAAATCACGGAAATAATGGATGTCACGAGGTGCTAGGAGAGCACCCGCGGCGAGAGAATGAATGGGGGCATCTCCCCACTACAGCAAGTCAGTAAAAACCTTTTGGCTGATGCGTGCGGTCTCCAGCGGGCTTACTCTTTCCATCCAAAATCCTCCACTCCGATCCATCATTTCGAAAAAGTCGTTGTACTCTTTGCTTCTGAACCAATCGAGCCTGGCAATCTCAAAGTTGCTCCAGAAATGGCACATGTTGTATTTCTCACCCTCCATGGATTCAGGGTCTATGTCCTCGATATTTTGGTGCCCAGGCTCCGTCTGCAAAATTTCGTCGGGTAATGTTTTGGCTCTTTTCTCATCTGGGGTGGTTTCCTTCTCCGGCTGGGGTTCGATAAACATTTCCCACAGCCCTTGAGACTTGAGGTTGTTCTTCCGCTTGTAGGCTGACGCGTAGCGGAAGATATTGGGGACAGTCTCCTTCAACTCTTTGACGGCAATGGTGAAACCATACGTCTTGTTGGCCTTGGCCATTTCGATAAATGGGTCGTAGGTGATGTCGCAGAAATATTTGATTTCCGGTTCGAGGCGCCAGTACCACTCATATTTGTGCAACAACTCATGTTTGTAAAAGAAGCCCGAATAAAAACGGCACATGTGATGGTAGCTTTCCATGCCGCCATACATGATTGCTGCATCTCCCTGTTTGCGAATCCCTTCTCTTGCTACCTCGTGATCGACCCAGTCCGGATATCCCCACATTGTTGCATCAATCTTGCCAAATTCGACCGGAGAGCTAGTGTAATTCGTAATAGTATCTTTGAAAACCTGTTCAAATTCCCCATCGTTCAGAAACACATAAGGGTAATGAAACCATCGATTGAAATGTCGTTCGATACTCTTGATTGATTGGATGACTCCGTCTAACTCCTTATTTCGGGCCAGGACAACGAAAGCGGCATTGGCACGCGGCTGTTTCGCGGCTTCTTCGGGATTCAGACACCCTGTTGCGAATACTCGGTCGTGTTTTTCGCTAATTTTCCTGCGATCGTGTCAGGAGAGACTCGAAGATACAAGAGTTGAGCAACGTACCGGATAGAAGGAGGGGTCCCAGCTGGGACTAATATGCGTCCCGGTGAACTTGGATGCTTTACCACGAGGATGAGAATCAATAACACCACCAGGCTGGGGAAAAGCAGCAAAAAGCCTAGTGGTATGGATATGGATGAGTTTCCTTTTAGCCTGATTCGCCTCCGAAAGAACGATAGTCGTGACAGTGCCTTAGGTTTTTCATCCTTCCAGTCTTCAAGAGAGGGCCCGGATGGAGCTGAGGGAAGGTTCTTGAGCAAACGCTGTACAAAGCCCATGATTATGAACTACGGCCCAAACTCTCCTGGCGAAGGAGGACTTTTTTCCGCGCTGCTTCTCAAGTTTTATGTGGCTAGCATGCAACCGTCATCGAAGATCGAATGGAATAATGGTGACCCGATGGTGCCTAATTATGATTTTATCAATGACAAACTCCTTTTGGTTGATTGAGAGATGGACAACGGCGAGGAGGTTTCCGACCAAAGATTGGGGTCGAAGGTGATAGGGATGAACGCCAGAGGTCGGAAGGAGCTTCGATATCGTCGAATGGACGCGATATAATTATCTTGACAGATATGTAAGAATCATAGCGAGCTCGCCGCAGTGAGTGCAAGAAACATGAGGACAGATGTCGACTTTCATCAATGTTCGAGGGAGGAAGGCTTCTATGGTGTTTGCAGGTCACATTGGCGATCCACAGCAAAATGGACGCAGGATGGGCGATTCAGTGCCAAGGCCAGCCTACGCAAACAGAACATTCGCGCCCCCCTTGCTACAAGCATCAAAATGAGGATGCCCTGAAGGACAGTATTTTCAAGAATCGCCTCCATTAGGATCTGGGCATCTCGTTTATTGTTCAGAATTTCCAGTCGTCATGTCCCCAGCCAATGTGAGCAAAGAACGTTGTCCCCAAACATCGACTCTGATCCTGCAATATGCATTCTACCAGGTAAGAGTTGTGGGGAGGCAATTGGCTTTTGCTACTGCTTCTTTGACGCCTAAAAGCGTTTAGTTAGGGCAGAGATTGTTGGGAATGGGCTGCTGACTGCATCGCCAACAGTGCTTGACATGACCGGCATCACGTGAGAATCTCCCGGAAAAGGTAGAACATTGTTCCGACAACACCGCAATGTTGCACCAAAGGTACCATTTTTAGCGCGGAGCAAATGACAAAGAAATGACAACGTCCTACGTATTCTTCTGACTTCGGGCATCATACCTAGACTGGCCACTAGAATGTCGCCTAAACAAAAATTCTATAGGCGTCTACCTCATCTCGCCTACAAGCGCAGAAATTATTTCCAGTGGTGTTGCTCATAGTGACCAATCGTAAATAGACTGTCTTTTGAAACACCTTGTCATTTTAACCCGCCTTTGAAACATTATTTTGCTGCACACCTCCGTACTCAGCATTCTTTGCGAAATTGTTTTCCTCTCTCTCGTCGTTGAAAGAATAGGGATAGAGGGATGTCAGATGATGAGGCCGACCCAGAACTGCTGACTCTTCTCCGTCAATCCCTCGGTCTCGGTCCCGACTCGTCCACTGCTCCTTCATCTACAGAAGTCCTAAAGTCGGCGGAATACGTGTATGACAATGCTATCGACGTTGCAATCTCGTCATCAGGCACCAAATCCGCTGCAGAGACAATATGGCGCCTTATGCAGAAGCAGGACTACTCTACGGAGACATGGTCGTCGCACGAGCTTCATCCGCAGACCAAAGATGAAGGCACTGTCAATTTCATCTTCACCATGAATCTGCTCAATTTTTCCTTCTGGTCGGAACTGTCGCCTGAAGAAAGATTTACAGTGGAGTACAAAGGTCGTCGTTGGACGGGATATTGGTCTCTCGTAGCCGCTCTGCGGAGGGCACTTGATGAAGGTCAGTCCGCCCATCGATTTTCGTTGCCAGGCTGAAAGAGTACAAAGGATTCACACCAAGTGTCTGGTCTAGGCTATCCGATCACCACTCCTGACTTCTGGCAAGACCTCGATGCCTGTCCCGACAGTGTACTCGAACATATCTTCCGGTCCGCCACATCGGAGCCGATTCCCCTGCAGCAGCAACGTATCTCTATCCTCCGTGAGGCCGGTACGATTCTCTACCACCATTTCGGCTGTAAGCCCTCCAACCTGGTCGCGCGAGCAAACCACTCAGCTGCAGCGCTCGTGAATCTTGTGGTCGAATACTTCCCTAATTTCCGGGATTCGACTGATTTCCACGGGCAGGAAATCCGGCTGTACAAACGCGCACAGATTCTCGTAGCAGACCTGTGGGCTTGCTTTAACGGCACATCCTATGGAGCGTTTGACGATATCGGCTCACTCACCATGTTCGCCGACTACCGCATCCCGCAGATGCTTCGCAGCCTAAATTGTCTCCTTTACTCGCCACGACTGGAATCGCGGATTGCACGCCTCGAGCAGCTTGAGTCTGGCGAAGACTTGGAGATCGAGATCCGTGGTTGCAGCATATGGTGTGTCGAATTGATCAGACGTGAAATAGAACGGAAGCACCCCGAAGCCACAGGAAAAGTCAACGCTGTACTGATTGATTACTTCCTCTACGATACATGCAAGGAGCTGGAGACTAGCGGTGAGGTCGAGGATATGCTGCCACATCATCGGACCAGATCCATTTTCTACTAGACTTGTGTACCTGTTGGAGGATATTTGAGCTTGGGATTTGGATAAATTTTCATGATAAATGGAATGGTATTAGGGACTTTGTGTTCCGCAGGTGACTCAAATCAACCTGATGTGAATTCCAAGGGTTGTTTTGTGGCACTTCTTTCCGTGCGTTTTTGCCCATTCTGTCCGATACTGATTCACCTTTTTGGGGGGGGGGGTGGTTTCAACTTTTGTGCCCGTCGAACCAAGAAAACTCCTTTTTTGCTGAATTACCCGACACGATGCACCTTTGACGACCCAAGATCAACTATCTCCTTCAATAGGTGTACTCGTACCTTTCGACCTCGACATACTAAACGGAGCCAGCACCTTCTTCGCCTCCCATATCCTCCAGGCTAAGTTCTCAACCTTGCCGTCTGCTTTCACAACCTCAGGTGAAAATTCAATCCCAAACATTTGATGGACAACATACACAATGCGCTTAGCGTACTTTCCATCTCGGTCGACCAAGCTTCCAAAGGGTTCCGTTACCGTGCTAGGCGCGATGTCAGGGTCGCGATCAAAGCAGTTCTGCACAATCGGCAGCAGGGTTTTCTCAATCGAGTGTCTTATCAGTGCATCGTTCTGTGGAGATGTCGGAGTCGAAAACGAAATGTTTGAGTCCAGAAGCCCGAGTTCGCCTTCAGTAAATCGCGGTATCCGGACCTCGAAAGGCAAAGAAATTGCCATGACATTGTGCTTTCCGTTATGGTGGTATCGGAACTCAAACACACCTTGAGTCCACCACAACTTGTCGCCTGAAAAGAGCATCTCGCCGGTGAAGCACTCTTTCTTTGTACCGTCTTCCGTAGTGATTACAGTTTTGACATCGCTCTCGATAATGCCGACTTCAGAATTCAATAAGTCATATCCATGGCGGTTGGTAGCGATCCATCTCCCCGACGAGGAGAGTTTGGTAATTTCCCGAGAAGCATTGTCCGATACCATGTACAACCCGACCCAGTCTTTCTTTCCGTGGTTGAGAGGTGCCGTCCACTTGACTTTGATCGGAGCTCCGTATTCGAAGAGAAGCGGCCTGAAGTCATTTGTGCGTTCGGCTGGTGTCCTAGCCTGTTCCGACTCCTTGTCACTTGAACGTTGTGAGTCTGCCAGAGCTGACGCTGGTGTTCCTTCAATTACCAACTTGTAGTCCTTCGGATCCAGTCCCTCCACCTCGGGCTCTACCTTTGTTATAGTGATGCGAGCCGTTTGTTTAGGCAAGAGCTTTTTGGTGTCCTGTACAATATTGGTAACTCCCGAGGCCAGTTTGGGTCTCGCGGCGTCAAAAAATTCCTCCAGAATGTCGAAAGTTTCGCCTAACATCTTGTCCATTCCATCTTGCCATTGCCGCAAAGGCGGGGGAAGTGATCGGCGTAAACTTCTTACCAGTCCGGCGTCTTGTCGAAGACTTCGGCCGTAAAGCTTTTGCATGTGTGGTCTCTCCACGAACTGGATAAAGGCTAGACTCAGGGTGTGACTCAAGATTGCCAGGCAGAATATAGCTTTGCTGCTCGTGATAAGAGCAACACCCCAGACTCCTGCTAGACCTAGTACCCTCTCTGGATTATTCAAGAATCTGTAGATTCCACCATATGTCAGCTTGGCCTGGTGGTCGAAGAAGAAATCTCCAAAGAACCACCCGAACTCCCCAAGTTGGTCATAAATGCTGAATGAGACCCATATCTGGAGTGCGATAAGTCCTAGGCCCATGACGTGCTTCAAGAGAACAAGGCCATAATTCCAATTCGACGGCATCGTATACATTTTCCAAGCGGCAGCAGCGAATCCAGTGTAGCAGAGGGTCATGCTGAGATGGTAGATCCCTTTCCATTGTCTCCAAGCCTCGCCAGTACTCTCGCCGTACTTCAAAAAGTGTCTAGTCCATTTCTTCTTCGACGATTGTTTGTTGAGTAAATAGCCGATACCAGCAGAATACCAAACTCGCCACACTGCGGCATTGATCACAAAAAGTGCTTGATACATGGTCGTGTTAGGTGTCAACATGGTCAACGCAAAGATGTAGAGCTGAAGAAGGAGAACGGCGGAGTCCGTGGTTCGGTAGAGATCGATATTCTTGATGCCCAAAAGGTTGTGCGTTTGGGATGGCTGCGTGCGGGCAGGATTGGGCCAGTTTTCGGTGGACGAACTTGCTTCGGTTGACGGATTGTCCATGTAGGCTGCTGCCGGCAATTCATTAATCGATCGTCGTGGAGGCGGAGAGCCGTAAGTACGCTCAATATGAGGGCTTTCGACCATCACCAAAAATGCGAACTGAGCGGCGTGAGCGATTATGGAGATAAACAGAACTTTGTAGCTGGCGGCCATCAAGGAGATGCCATAGTAACCAACATATCCTATCGAGTACATAGGGTGAGGTGCCATCTCGAAGACTCCATCAAAGGTCAATTCTTGATCAATGAGATAGAAGAAGTCGCCCCAGTACCAAGCGAAATCTTTGACCACGCGATGTGCATCTAATTTGACCCACAAATTGAAGACAAACAAGGAGATACCTATGATCCAGCGGGATCCTGTCATGAAAACCGACTCGCCGGCGGGTCTGTGACCGCATGCAATGGCAAAGAGCATGTAGGAGACGAAGTCACACATCAAGATGAGATCGACAATTCGGCGAAAGACCAACCATGTATTGTACTCAATCGGAGCTGTGTCAAATTCATAATCTCTAGGAATTTTGGTTTCTAGCTCTCTCTTGACAAAGGCGCGGAACTTCGGGTGCGGATTTTCACCATTGGAGGCAACTGGGAACAATTTAGATCTGCGCGCCCACCGCACAAGCATCTTGTGGTGAGATTGCATGTGAAGAAGGTAGCCGATACCAACATTATACCCAGCTCTCCAGAACAAGAACGTGGCCGCAAGGACAGGTTTCCGGAAGGTCGGTGGTAGGACCCATGCGAGGAGAACATGAAGGAATAAGATGAAGATGACCAAGGCATCCGATAAGTTCTTCGGTTCAGACGGGGACAGCAGCTGGGAGACCATGTCATGCGTATGAGGAACGGTGAAGACTGGTGACAGGGAGAGGCAATTAGTATTTGGATCCAAGTAGGCGCCCTGAGACGTACCAGTGCCATCGGAAGTGCGACCATATGTCTTTCGGTTTTTTTCGTCTTTGGAGGACTTCTCCTCGAAGGCATTCAGCTCAAGGACAGTCTTTCTGGCCTCCTCTTCAGTCTCTGCTTTGATGGGTGCATTTCTCTTCCGAAGACACTCTGCCGCAGCGTCGAGAGATGCTTCTGTGACCATTGTTTTGGGCGGAGATATACCCTATATACCATTGATGGAGGAGGAGGAAGTTGGCTGATGCAATTAGTGTGAGACCGAGGAAAAAAAGGCGGCTACGTGGCAATTATATATGTTCGCGACGACATCCACAACATGACACGTTCAAAATTGAGGCCCATGGAGTGGTTTAAATGGTAGTGAAAGTGGGCGAAGTTGAAGTGAAGAACCTGGAGGCCCTGGGGGCTTGGCCGGGACCTAGAAACAAGGGGCATTTTGCGGTGTCCCCCTCACGTGCCACCGTCGTGTACCAATCGCCATGGGAGAGGAATGCATCCCCAAGCAAATGACGCCATGGTTTGCTCAAACCTGTGGAAGCAATTGGACAATAAGAACGGACAAGACGCCCACGGGGGGAGGAGACTGAATATTAAAGTGCCGAGATGGATTGGACGAAGGAGAGTGAAAATATCGACAACTACGGCTCTCTTTCATACGCATGATGATATCAGGGTAGCTGCTGGGTTAAGGGAGGGGCTGACAAGGCTGAGGCCATCATCTGGCTGAGGTCTGTTGATTCTCCTCGGTCCATAGCCAGGCCAATCAGATTTGCCATCGCATTACCAATCCTTTTTTTATTTTTTCGAGCCGCTGCCGGAACCACCCAATTGACAACCTTTGTGTGTACTCATCTCTCGGCCATCTACAAATCTATCGCACAGGCTTTTCCTATCTTCAAACGGATTGACGGTGTGTTTGTCGTCGCGGATGGCGCCGGCTTTTGAAGAACCCCTCTCCGAAGCGTTGGAAGCGCCCCTCAAATCCAAGCCTGAACTGGTTGCCCCCGAACCGGGTTCGTTACGATGGCCTGCCCTCTTCTCCTAAATAACTGACGATCTGTACTAGAGCACTGCCCGGGGCCTGAGTCCGAACAAGCAGGCAAAGGCGATGCCTGCAATGGCTGTCCAAACCAAGCAATCTGCGCGTCTGTACCCAAAGGACCCGACCCAGATATTCCTATTATCACCCAAAGACTAGCTGGAATAAGACACAAGATTTTAGTTTTGTCGGGAAAAGGGGGAGTAGGGAAATCCACTTTCTCATCTCTTCTATCACACGCGTTTGCAGCAAACCCAGACTCGACGGTTGGCATAATGGATACCGATATCTGTGGCCCATCAATTCCAAAGATGATGGGCGTTGAAAGTGAAACAATACACGTGAGCAACGCTGGCTGGAGTCCAGTTTGGGTCACGGACAACCTTGGGGTGATGAGTGTACAGTTTATGCTTCCTAACAGGGACGACGCTGTAATCTGGCGAGGGCCGAAGAAAAATGGATTGATTAAACAATTTTTGAAAGACGTCGAGTGGGGTGAATTGGATTATTTGATCGTGGATACGCCACCAGGCACATCCGACGAACATCTATCTGTCAATTCCTTTCTCAAGGAATCCGGCGTGGATGGAGCGGTGGTGGTGACGACTCCTCAAGAAGTGTCATTGCTGGATGTTCGGAAGGAAATTGATTTCTGCCGCAAAGCAGGCATTCGTGTGCTGGGACTGGTTGAAAACATGTCCGGGTTTGTCTGCCCCAAATGTACCCACGAGTCTCAGATATTCCGAGCCACAACTGGAGGAGGTCAGAAACTATGTCAGGACATGGGAATTCCGTTCCTGGGTTCGGTCCCTCTGGATCCTCGCATAGGAATGGCCTGCGATTTCGGAGAGAGCTTTATGGACAGCTTCCCAGACAGCCCAGCTTGCAAAGCATTACGACACGTTGTGAGGTCGGTCGGGAAATTGATTGGTGAGGATCCCAATGAAGTTCTTCCCGACGGGCTGGTATAGCAATTTGGAGATGTGCAAGATTTTCTTTTTCTCCGTTCAGACTCAACACAGCACCGGTCACGTTGGAAGAACAGTCAAGGGACCCGCAGAAGAGAACCAGGCCACTCGGCCTAATCGTGTCATGGCACACCACATGTCTATGCTACTGGCCACACTGTTTGGTCAGTCGAAGCAACAACAGTCTGAGGAATTGCGGGGCAGCGGTTGAAGACCAAGAGAGGCTAGGGAACCGTGGGTCTTGCATGGACAGGACAGGGCCCGCGACCACCATATTCGTGTGTCACCTTCGGCTCGCAAGATGCAAAATTTCGTAGAGCACAGATCCAGTTGAGACGGACAGGCGAGGAGAAGAACCGAGCAGCGATGGCAGGGCAGCAGAGTGACAAGTTCCAGAGAGCTCAAACACTGCAATTGGGGGGACATCAAGCGACCTCAAGGATCGGGGCCCGAAAAAGTGCCAAGCTGAGAAGGAGGGTGGGGGGAGAAAAGTTGACCCGCATCCGGCTGTGCATCCGTCTTCGAAACTTTTTTGCATTTTGAAACTGTGCCCCTGCGTTTCACCTTCGCCCCCTTTCCCCCTCTTCCCCATCGTTTCCTCGCGAATTCGACCGGATGTGCCATCCACATGGCGTCTTTCAGAGCCTTGTCAAAGTCTGAGAAGCTTCCTCAGCCAATGGCCTCGCAGTCACGCCCATACCTCATGCACTCCTGATCTCGGCGTGGGCCGGCTTTCTCTTTGCAGAACCAGTCACACCTGAGCTCTCTGTGGAGTGCTCGATTTTTGAGACCGAGATTCATATTCTGCCCCAGACCTTCATCGACGACGATCTTTGACTTGCCGGCTTCGATCCTGAGACATGCAGATGGCACCGGATGGCGTGGCCCAAGACCTGTCTAGCACTATTCGAGACGAGGCCGCGTAGTGTGCAATACTTACCCAGTATCTCTCAATAACATACAACGTTCAAGATTTTTTCCTGTTAAATGTTTTGCTTTCAGCCAGTTATACACATTCTCTATCCCTGTTGACCGTCGAGCCTTGTCCAGTTCTTTCATTCACCGTTTTCTTCTCTCTTTGAATAACCGGGGGGCAGGTCCTTCAGCATCTTTCTGTTTCTACCAGCTTTGCAGTGCGAGGTACCATATTGCTCCTTTTATTGTTTTCGGTCGCCAGTCGATCTCTACCGTCAATATGCTTCGAAGCCAGATATTGCTCTTGGCAGTTCTGTTTGTTGTCACGGTGTTGGCAACACCTATCCAGCAAAAACAGAAACGGTCTTTCAAAGTCCCCCGTATACGACAGGCCAACTACAAAGCAAATGGCAAAGCTGCGTACCGAAGAGCACTCTTCAAATTCGGGTTCAATGATATCAGTTTTTTGCCCGAGGGAGAGATCGCCACAAAAATCAGAACAGCGACTGAAGCCTCAATTGAGGCCGCCGACAACGAAGATGGCGAGACTACCGCATCTCCGACCCAGAACGATGCTCAGTTCCTCTCTCCGGTGAATGTCGGTGGGCAAACCCTGATTATGAACTTCGACAGCGGTTCTTCTGATACGTAGGACAACTCCCCCAGTGACATTTCCACGGCATCAGGCTAATAAATCAACCCAGATGGGTCTTCAATACAAACCTGCCAGCTTCTTCGCAGCAAGGCCACACAATCTACGACCCGAACCAATCTCCAACCTTTCAAAACCTTGATGGCGAATTCAACATCACCTACGGTGACAGTTCCTTCGCTTCAGGCCCGGTGGGAGTCGACGAAGTCGACATCGGCGGCGCCACTGTCGCAGCCCAAGCCATCGGGCTTCCGGACGTCGTAGCGGACAGCTTTGTGACCGATTCCGCTGCCAACGGCCTTGTCGGTCTTGCATTCAGCTCCCTCAACACCATCAGACCTAATCCGCAAAAGACATTTTTCGACAACATCATGGCAGACTTAACCCAGCCCGTGTTCACGGCACAGCTCAAATCCGGCGAAGTTGGCGCCTATGAATTCGGCAACATTGACACTACTGCCTTCACTGGCCAACTGACTACCGCCGCCGTCGACTCCTCCCAGGGGTTTTGGGAAGTTGACTCTGCGTCTGCCGCTGTACAAGGCCAGACCGTCAACATCCCCAACGGTAAAGCCATCATCGACACGGGTACGTCGCTCATGTTGGTCTCCGATGAGATGCTTGTTGCGTACTGGACCACTGTGGATGGAGCACAATTAAGCACCGATGCGGGCGGTATTATTTTCCCTTGCAATACTGCCCTACCCGATCTCCAGGTCGCAATTGGCGATTCGTATCTCGCGACCATTAGTGGTGATGGCATGAACTTCGCCAATGTCGGAACTGACACGCAAACCGGTGAAGAATGTGAGTTTTTATCTCATTTCCTAGGTCCTTGGAAGCATGCTGACTGGTAACCAATAGTCTGCTTCGGCGGCCTTCAGTCGAATCAAGGCCTCTCGTTCTCCATCTATGGCGACGTCTTCTTCAAATCGCAATTCGTCGTCTTTGACGGCTCAGGCCCGTCCATCTCCATAGCGCCGCACTCTTAGCATAGTGTTGACCAGACTCGGTGCGCCTTGAACAACCTTTCATCCAGCAACGCTGTCGCATGGAAGGTGCCATTGGATTGCATAGCGGTGGAGTTCTGCTTGAGGGTACGCATTGTTGTTCTTCGAGATTTCGTGCTTCACATGGAATATCCCGCATTTTGCATGTGAAATAGCATTGGCATATGCATAAGTAAGCTCGATAAGTTGGTTTGATCGAACAGGCGAATGATTGAATGACGAAAAAAAGAAAAAGAAAGCTGACGTCCTCCAATGCAGGCAGGACTCAGCTTGTCTACAACGGTTAGCTAGAAACACCTATCTGAGCTCGAGATATCCCAAAAAGGTCACGACTATTCTACAAAGGAGCTTCAAGAGCATTCCATTCTCAAAGAAACTTTGAATCTCCTCTTCAATTTCGGTCCTAGGATTCGCGAACAGGGAAAGGTTGTTGAGCTGATGTAGCAGCCGGTGAATTCCATAATTGATGGTGCCACTCATGTTCAGTTTGTCGGGAGGAAGGATACTAGTAGGTTCTTTGAAGACACCGTTGAAGCACCGTTGAAGCTGAGAGCGCCAGACATTCAAAATCACGTGCCGTGAAATAGAAGACGGGCACAGATGGAGAGCCTATTACCGTGAGCCTCGGGAGAACCCAAGGGATGGCCGAGTGAGCAAGACAGAACTAAATAGGTAACGCTCCCTCACAGCCCAGAGCCTCTCCCCAGGCCGACGTGCCTGACCCCCATTCGGCCTCCGACTGTTGTTGCTGAACTGTACGGGAATAATGTGCTGAGGTGGTGGGTCTACCGCCAATGAGGCAAAACGTTGCCATGATTTGATTGGTCCTGCTAGGAGAATTTTCCCCCCCAGCCAGTTTCTATCTTAGGCTCGACTTGGCCGCTTGGCTGATCCCTCACTAGAATTGTAAGGCCTCGTTTAGCCGGACTGGTTTGGACGCCAGACAAACAGAATGAGCCAAAATACCAATACTATACCTTCTCCAATCCCCTTGTCGGAACATCGGTGTCAGCTTGGACGTGATACCGCCGGTAAGTTTATTGCTTTACATCCGAGATTATTTGTCGTGTTTTCTTCCCTTCATGTTTTGCGCATCCATGAGACGGATCTCGAGAACACATCATCATGGAATCCGGTGCAAAGCGGTAAGTGGCGCGAGGGCCCTCCCATGACAGAGGTTGAGACTAGAACTGTGTGACTGACTCTGTCCTGTCCGCCAGGAGACATATTCCCCCGTGGCCTCCGTTTAAACAATCATATCAACAACTAGGATCGACAGAAAACCTCCATCTCACTCCGCTTCCTCCCACAGGAGGCACCCCGCTGTCGAATCTACCAAGCGCGAATTTGCTCAGTCCAGATCTCAACAGTGTCACTACATATACCCCAGATCCTTTGGCTAGTACACCCACAGCCTTTCTAAGATCACCCAGTAAGCATGCCCCTGCGAAAAAAGGTTGGCGAAGACGGGGATGGCGGTCCGGTTCACGGATAGCTTTGGCCTGTGCCGTCTTGGTACTGGTGACAAACATCGCCCTCACGATCGGTATTGTGACGACTGGAAGTGACATGACGGATGGTATTTGGATGGTATATAGGGGCAGTTGCAGCGCGACTGAAACGAAGGACACCTGGGTCCATCTGGGGCTCAACGTGGTGGCAACAGTTTTGCTGGCCAGTTCCAACTTCTGTATGCAATTGCTGTCCAGCCCGAGTCGGAGTGAGGTTGATAAAGCCCATGTGAATCGAAAATGGCTGGATATTGGCATTCCCAGTCTTCGCAACTTGGGCTCTCTGAGGAGGAAGAAGGTCGCGCTCTGGTGGCTACTGGGAATATCATCCATCCCCCTTCACCTTGTGTCAGTCTTCCCGGAGGAATGGCTCGTTTGGATTGGCTGACGACCGCAGATACAACTCCATCTTCTACTCTGCTCTCGCAACCAACAATTACAGTGTCCTCTACGCCTCGCAAAGCTTTCTCCAGGGCGCTTCATACGACACTGTCAAATTCCCCGACACCGAGGCTTGCAACATCACCGACATCCGGTCGCGACTCAACGAATTTATCATCCTGAACAACGAAGACTGCATTCATGCTTATGCGAAGGATTTTGTCGAAGACCGCCGGAATGTCATCGTGGTGGTTCAAAATCCTCCAGCAAGCGAAGGTTCGCTATTCAAAACTACAGAAAATGAATTTCCAGCGGAAATCACAAACGCATATAATCCCTTTGCCTGGATATGTGACAATCCTAATGTTGTCAACCAAACCGACGCGTGCTGCGAGAATGAATACGGTTTCGTACCGTGTTCCAAAATCACTCCGAAACTGGTCGACATGGCTGACCAGTGGTCTACCGGCGGATTCGAAGTCGACCACTGCCTCTCCGAGCCCGTTGAGTCGGAATGCCATCTCCACTTTTCCCTCGTCTTGATGGGCGTGGTGTTGGGCTTCAACATCCTCAAAGTCATTGGCATAGCGTATGTCGTTTTTCGATTGGGTGAACCGCCGCTCGTCACGGTCGGTGACGCCATCCAATCCTTCCTCCGCAATCCAGACCGGACATCTGAGGGCATGTGCCTATCCAGCCACGCAAGCGTCGTCGCGTCTTCGAAACTTGGCTATGCAGCGACGACCATGCGTTACGAACCACAACAACACCGTTTCTATGAATCTGCGAGCTGGCGGCAGTGGAGTTTTCTCCTTGGGCTGTTCACCCTCCTGGGGATCGGGACTTCGGCCTGTTTGGCGCTTGGTATCGAAAACTTTAAAGGTGATAAGACGATCCAGAACGCGTGGTCCATTGGATTGGGCACGGTGCGGCCCCAGAACCTCATCATGGGTTGGAATCTCCCCGGGTATGGCAACACCTCGATCGCGATCTCAACGCTGATTGCCAACACCCCCCAAGCGTTGTTCTCTTTTCTCTACGTCTGCTACAACAGTCTGTTCACCGTCATGTTTGTCTCCCGCGAACTAGCCAACTTCAGCGTCACGGCGGGCCGCGGGCGGAAATATCTGCGTGTTAGCGACGCGCGAGGGGAGCAGAAGTCGACATACTTCCTCAATCTGCCGTACAAGTATGGAATTCCATTGCTGGTGGGTTCTGGTTTGATGCACTGGCTCGTGTCTCAAGCCATTTTCCTGGCAAACATAACTATCATTCCGCGCGACGGTCTGGTGCCCATGCAGGATGAGATCACTACAGTGGCGTACTCCCCGATCGCAATGCTGTTCATGCTGTTCTTGGGCTTCGCGATGCTCTTGTTCCTTCTCCTCACGGCACTACGGAAACTTCCCATCGGTATGCCTCTTATTGGCAGTAACTCGCTTGCCATCAGTGCGGCCTGCCACCCGCCCACTGGCCCTGATCAGAGCGAGCGTGAGGACATGGTACTTCATCCACTCAGCTGGGGTGCTGTCCCTGGCGGAGCCAAAGTCCTCGATCTCGGTATCCGTGATCACCATGCCCACGGCTTCGAAGAAGGACCGGATGAAAATGGTAGAGGAATTGGGCATTGTTGTTTCAGCGACCGTGTGCTTGAGCCGCCAGAGAGGGGAAAATTGTACGCTTGAAATCTCCCCTTTTTGGTTGCTTTCAATCTTTGCTTTTTGTGCGCTGCATTTCTTCGGTGTTTGGGATTTACGGCCTCAGATGATACAATCCTTGGGTGTTGATCAATGAAGGCCTTTGGCTATCGCGGATTGAGTTCATGGGAACGCGAAAATTCATTGGCGTTGGCAGTAGGATATTGACACGCTGCGGCCTGGAGTCGAATTAACGACATCATATGCTTTTCTTTTGCATGGCGCCGGTACGGGAGATGTCATTTGCTGGGCGTTATGCTGGGAGTTCGTTTTTAAACTACCGCAGCAACCTTGTTGTCATCGAGAAGAATACAAGAAGCCCAAGGCAAGTATCTTCCTTGCGGCTCTGCTGAGTGAACTACCTCACATCCATGTGGGCCCTGGAGGAAGAAAGATTGTCCTGTTTCCAATACATAAATGTGTCCAGCAGCTAACGAAGGGAAAACGTGACCTCGTGAGGGTTCTTCGCTGAAACAAGAGCAGATTCTGGGGTGAGAATATTGCTTATATGAGTATTGGGGGGTTCTGGTATTGCTTTCAGATAATAGTTCTTATCTAAGATATTTTCTGTTGAAGAATAATGGGTATTCCACGGGAGGTTTTCCAGTTGTTGAGGACGACTCTAGCTTTTTGACGAGTGCCTCTGGACAGGCTCCTCGCATCGACCCGCCAGGTATCGCGAGATAGAACAAAGGCCCCGGCTAAATGAATGTTTCATCCTTTGAAACTCTCCACATCATTCAGCAGCAATACCATCAGACTCAGGCGGACCCCTGTACACCTTTCGCGCGTACACAAAGTACCAGACAGCAGAGATGACACCGAACCCGACAAAAACAACACTGGCGTAGTTCATCGTGACAGCCGTGACAGGCAAGGCTGTGGGCATACTGAACAGCACCATTTCAAACGCAATCCAGCAGAGAGCTACCCCATTGATGATAGGACCAACGATAGGCCCACAAGTCCAGCGTGCGGTAGAAACTTCTTTCCGTCTGTGCGAAACACTGATAGCAATTGGAATTGCGTAAGACACAGCCAACCCGATCACACCCACCGACACAAACGCAGTGAAGGCCGAGGATGAGCCCAAATAAATCAATCCGAGCAACATTTGTACCACAGTGACAAGCAAAAGAGCGTATATCGGAACTCCAAGCCGACCGTTGACGTTGGACCAAACACGAGCCAAAGGGATGGCGTCATCTCGAGCAAAAGCCCAGGCACAGCGAGATGCTGCGACCGTAATGCTGATACTGCAGAAGAGGGTAATCATCATGATGAGGAACATCAGGCCAAGACCACCTCCAGGAGTGCCCATGACACGATAGAATATATATGGAAGCGCCTGGGCGTAAGGTGCAGCAATGATATCCTCTAGAGGGGGCAAGGTGAAGCAAATTGGGAGAATGAAGAACAGGCCAGCAAATCCACCGACAGGCACGCAGAGGCTGATGGCCGTGGGGACTTTGACAGTCGGATTTGCGCATTCTTCTGCCATTGCAGAGATCATTCCAATGGCTGAGAATGTGTATGCGGCTGGAAGGAGGCCAATGAAGAAGGTGAAGCCTCCCCAGCCTGAGAATGATTGGTCGTAGTGGCCTAGAGCATAGCCAGCGCTGTGTCTTCCGGCCTCTGCCTTGACCGAAAGCGCAATGAGGATAATCAAGATGCTGAGAGCGGTCCATGCAGCGCAAATTGTGTCAACCATCGGCAGAAATCGATTTCCAAAGGTGCAGATGACCAAGGTAACCAGGCAAATCGCGTAGAAGATTAGAAGTAGCTGCCAGTCTTTGGCAACCCAATCAGGATGATACATGGCGACAGTTCCGAGGATGAGCGAGGCAAACCCGAAGTTGACTGAAAGTGTGATGGTGATATTGCCGACCAGCCAAATCCAGCCAGTGATGAAGGACAAAACCACTTTCCCTTTACCCGCCAGTTGGAAGGACCAGTAGTAAGGGCCGGCCGAGGTCGGATATTTCGAGGCTAGCTCACTGAGAGAAAGAGCAATACATTCATTGAGGAAAAGGACAACGACCCAGCCGACGAAGATCGATAGTGGTCCGCCGCCATAAATGGCGCTGATCAATGGCGCACCCTCTCCGTAGGGTATGGCAGCGATAGCAAGTGATTGAAACAAGAGCGTTGTCATGGATCGATTGCGATTCAGTTCAGGCTTGTAGCCCAGCTTATCGAGCACATGGACGTCGTCGACACTACCAACTCGAAGGGAGCTTCGTCTCTCGTCGACCACGGAGGCCCCAGGAGCGAGCTTTTCGGTATCGACAGCCATTGTTTTGTGTCCACAAGCAAACCGGAGACTGGGAGGAAGATATCTCAAGGAAATGAGTGAGAGATGGACTAAACTATGGACCGCCGAGTGGGCCTGGGCTTTTTTAATGTTGGTCTCGAAGCTCGTGAAGCATGGCTCTCGGGTTGTCTTGTCGAAGCTTGGGCAGGCTTGCACTGAGCAGTGAATGACCAGATCAAGCACAGAGGTGGATCCGTGGTGAAGAGCCCTGGACGAAGTCGGAAGTGGAAATGGAAATGGGACATGGATGCGGTAGACATCGTGGCCATTCCCCATGCAGGTAGCCAGTTGCACAGCAGATGGCAGACTTGTAAGGAGACTTGCAGGATCCGCCGTTTGATATCGTCGACGATGATATTTTATCCTATTTCGGCCTAGACGAGTTTTTATCAGTCCCCAGTTCTTCTCAGCAACTACACCTCATTCGTCGTAGCGTGGGCTACTCTCCATTGGCACGTCCACTCAAGCATCGAGGTTTATCACCACCCAATCATCCTCGCTGTTGCTCTACCAGCCACAGCGACTTATCTCGAAATCAGTTTGGCTCTCCAGGGAGGTCAATCCTCGGTGCATCAACGGATTTCTCTTGCACAGGAAACTCATGGTCTGCTCGAAACACAGCCTGACTGATTGGCCATGTGGCTCTGTGAGCAAAATCCATGTGTCAGTCAACGCAGGTACCCAGAAGCCGCAGGAGCTAAAGCCAAGCACTTCGTGATAATAATCTTCCATATCCAAAGAGGTGGAGCGCCTTAGAGCAAACGCGTCTGAACTCTGACGAGAAACAAGACATGACGATCCAATAACACTGATGGGACACCGACCCAAACAGACTCGCCGAGACCAGAGCTCATTTGGCAGATTTTGGAGGTCGCGATAAGCACGGGATAAGAGTGCCCTCCGAAGCCTCGTTCTTTGTCTCTCCCAGCTCAACCTTTCCAGAATACGGAGTACCTGAGTCTCTCACGTGAATCCTCCAGTCACGCCATGATGTCGGACGCCCAGAAGGCCTGGGAGGCCTGTGACAGAACAGATGCTGCTTTTGTTCTGGTCTGTACCGTGTTCTGCTGGACCATCATACCTGCTGTTGGCCTGGGATATTCTGGGTATTCTACCAGACGAAGCGGACTTGCATCTTTCATTCCTTCAATATTGACCGTCTGCGTCTGTTCCATTCAATGGTTCATCGTCGGATATACCATTGCGTACGGTGAAGGTCCCGGAGGAATCGTTGGGGACCTTAGCTATGCATTTCATCGAGGTGTACTTGCTGAGCCGGTTGGTACTATCCCAGCTGTCCTTTTCAGTGAGTTCCAGCTCGTGTTTTTGGCCACGGTTTGTGCGATCAGCGTGGGAGGAGCCTGTGAACGTGGTCGGATTCTTCCATTGATTCCTTTCATCTTCGTATGTCTTCAAGATACCTGGGTTACAGAGGCTTTGACGTGCTGACAATGCTGATATAGCTCTGGTCAACCTTTATCTATTGCCCCCTCGCTCATATGGTTTGGGGTGATGGCTTTCTGGGTGAACTCGGTGTTCTTGACTTTGCTGGCGGGACTCCTGTCCACATTTGCAGTGGTGCCACGGCCAGTGCACTCAGTCTTTACCTTTCATACCCTATCTTCCGATCTCGAAAATCGCCAAACAGGACACCATCCCATTTGAAGCTGCATCGCCCTCATAACTCCATGTGTCAGTTATTGGCCATGATAATCATTTGGGGCTCGTGGCTGGCCTTTGACGCCGGTACCACGCTCACCCTAAGCTTTCAATCGGTCATGGCCTTGTGTGTTACCAATCTCTGTGCCTCTGCTGGCGCCTTGACCTGGGGTTTAATCACGTACACCGAAACCGGCCGGTGGTCATTGGACAGCATCTTCATGGGAGCCATTTCGGGGCTTGTCATGATCACTCCAGCTGCGGGCTTCATTGATCTTCCCACGTCCTTGTTTTTTGGCATTTTCGGAGCCGTTATTTGCCGTCAAGCCTTGCGAATCAAGTTCACGGAATTTGCTAGGAAATGGAAGTGGGTGGACAACGGCGACACATTTGCCACCCATTGCGTCGGCGGCGTCGTCGGTACTATCGCAACTGGACTCTTTGCACAAAAGACGGTCGCCGCTTACGGAGGTGTGGAAGTGGATGGGGGTGTCTTCTTCGATGGCAACATCCGCCAACTTGGTGTTCAGGTTGTCGAGGCACTGATTGGCTTTACATGGTCTTTCGTGGGCTCATTCGTGATCGTCGCATTGATCGATTGCGTTCCAGGCCTCGAGGTTCTGGCGGAGGACAAGTATGTGAAATTTCAGCATCTCTTTCGTACAGGTACTAACCGCTCGACAGGGACGTCAACATGGGCATGGATGCATCCCAAATGGATGAGAGTTTGTACGAGGCCCAGTGGGCTGGAGAAGAAGACTACAAGCCCCTTGCAAATGGCAGCATTGTCTTGGAATAGAGAGCGTGTGGGTCATATTATGGAACATTTTCAGCGACAGTCGCAATAGAATCGTGGGGATTGAAAGTAGGTGAACAGCCCCAAGGGGTGATGCATGAGATTAGAAGGGTTTTGATTGTTGGGAAAGATGCCAACATAATTTGTACATTGTACGAGAACGGAACAAAGATAGATAGAGCAATCATGTCCCGCTGCGCAAACTTTCAAGTTGAACTTGAACTCGAACAGGTTGCATCTCAACAAAAAGCCGCCTTGCATTTTTCTATCTTTTTCCAAAATCATCAAGTCTAAACCGGTATCTTTTGTAACGCCCCGAGTGATCAAAACCCATTTTGCCTAGCCTCCTTCTCCTTTTCCACCTCAGTAGTAATAGTCTGTCGAATCCCTGGAAGTCCTTCCGAGCTGGACACCTTCAGCACCTTCCTCTCCTTGTCCCCAAGCCCGACAAACTGTTCCGGCAACACAGTATTGAAGTCAAACCCTTTTTCATCCTTCAAGGCCAATTCTACAGCACCTGCAAACTTGGCCGGGTGTGCGGTGGCAAGAGACACGGTCGGCACGTCAGACGGCCCTGAGGCTGCGATCTCGCGCAAGCTGGCAGCCACCCCGATGGCTGAGTGCGGATCGAGTATATATCCCCTTTTTGAAATAGCTTCGCCGCGGTAGCAGTCCCGGATCGCTTCGAGAGTCTCTTCGTTACTGACTCGGTATGTGCCGAAGATCTCTTTCGCCTTCCCTAAGATGTCGTCGTCCACAGTGAAGGAACCGGCTGCTTTCAGCTCTTGAAACCATCCGTTGATCTTGCTTCCGGCCACTCGTAGCGATGTCTCACATTTGACATGCGGATTCAATTCCAATTCATGTTCCAGGCCCAAGTGCCAGAGAAGTCGTTCGAAATTCGAAGAGACCAGAATGTCCATGGCAGGGCTGTATGTTTCCTTGACAGCATCTTCGTGTGCTTGAGCTCCATCTGCTTTGATGCCTTCACGCTCTTCCTCTGCTGGCTTTGGCGTCTTTGAATAAGAGCCCGTCTGCCAAAAACGGTGCAAGATATCATTTTCATTTGTCGCAATCACGAGTTTCGCCACAGGAAGTCCCATTCTCTGGGCGTAATATCCTGCCAAAATATCACCAAAATTACCGGTTGGTACCACGAATTTGGCTTGTTTCAGGTTAGGTTTGCGCTTGAGGAGCTGGAAGTAAGCGTAGAAGTAATATGTGATCTGGGCCAGTATCCGCGCCCAGTTGATCGAGTTCACGGCGGCCAAACGGTGGATCTTGTTCGTCTCCGGGTCGGCAAACAACGCCTTGACATAGTCCTGGCAATCGTCAAACGTCCCTTGGACGCTCAGGCAGTGTACATTTGGATCCAGAACGGTGGTCATCTGAGCTTCTTGGACCGGTGACACTTTGCCGTCAGGGAACATGATGAATATGCTGACATCCTTCTTCCCCCGCAGCCCGTAGATAGCAGCAGAGCCAGTGTCGCCTGAAGTGGCTCCAATAACTGTGAGATGGTGTCTGGGTTGGCCTTGTTCAAGCTTCTCATTCTTACGCACTAAGAAGAACTCGAACAGGTTACCCAAGAACTGGAGAGCCACGTCTTTGAAAGCGAACGTCGGTCCATGGAAAAGTTCGAGCAAATGAAGGTCCTTCTTGTCATCTAACGTGACCAACGGCACCGTGTCTGGATGTCTGAACGTCGAGTAGCTGCGGTCGACTATTGATTTGAGTTCCTCGTTTGAGATTTCGTGCTCATCAATGTACAGCCTCATGACCCGGTAGGCCAGTTCAGGAAACGATAGGTCTTTCCATTCCACAAATTGGGCTCGGATATTGGGCACTTTATGTGGATGAAACAGGCCACCGTCAGAAGCCAGCCCTTTAAGGACCACCTCTTCGAAACTGAAGAATTCCCGTGATGAGGTGTCGTGATACCGAGTACTCGAGTATTTTGAATTGTTGGCTACCATGCTGGAGACCTGGAGCGGTCAGATTGACTCAAAGGGCAAAAAAAATTTTGGATTTTCTCCTCTAGAGACCGAGACCTTTGGAACTTCTCACACAGCCTCCTGACGAAGAAATCCGTGGCTCAAGGTCTAGAAAGGCAACTAATTGGGTGAGAGCCACCTAGCAGGATGGTCTACAGGTGACTCCATCCCCAGAAACTTTTTTCCCCTTTCACCCAAGCACGTGATTTCGATATCGCTAGCGGCTTGGCGCCCCCGACGCCTACAAATTTCGCAAAACGCAAAGCGAGATTTTTCTTTTTCCTTTTTACTATGCGACTTTGTACGTTATGTCTGCGCCTCTTTGTTTTGAGGCTCAAATCCCCCTTCTTTGGTGACGATTGTGCTAACATACTCTTCTGCAGACTTCATAGAATCATTTCTATAGTAAACGTCCTCTTCTGAGCTCTTCACACGAGCCACAGAATCCTCAACCTGGCTGACGACACAAAGTCCTCGGTACCCTAGAGTGAAGCCTTTTATGTTTACTCTCGCCCGTTTTTCTCTATGGTCCTCCTGGATCTTGAGAAGACAGAGAGTGGTGATGATCTTTGACCTGCGTCTGGAGGACTGGCTTCGTGCCGCTTTGCGTGGGAGGTATCGAGGGACTGATTCTGACAGGCCCCAAACCACCATACTTTTCATGAGCTTGGAACCCTTGTTGGTTGGAGTTTGAGAAGAGTACCGTTCTATTCACATTATTCCCTGATGATCGAGATTTTTTGAGACAAGAGGATGCTCTTGTCAGCAGGCCCCCTCCAGCTTGAGACTTGCTTCTCCGCAGGCTTGAGGCTCAGATGAACAAACTGCGACTCGTCCAATGTGTTGCTATCAAGGACAACCGGGGCGCAGACAAAGGCGGAAGCCTCAAGTCGCCCACCATCTGAAGCCGGTATAATCTGAAAATTTCAATACAAGCATTCCCGAGACCCTCAAAATCATGCGATTCACAGGAGCAATGTACGAGAGGCCAGCCGTTTCAAGACTTGAGCGCAAGATTATAAGAAGAGAAAAATACATCTACAAGCACTACTGCGACGGGCCGCTCTCCCGCTGCTTCCACACCAGGCGACAATACCTAGTCTTTTGGGGGGGGGGGGGTAGTGTTTCTCATTGAATTCATTTGTGGTATTGGGTTTTTGACTGCGTTGTCCTTGTTATGAGCCAAACTCGCAAGCTGGTTTCATGCCAGAGACTCAAAATCCCTGCTTCGCCTTCTCGTCGACCACAACAGCCTTCATATCTTTCTTCTCCTTCGGTCTACCTTTCCTGTCGACCCGGTCATCTCTTGGATCAAATCCACCATTTCCCCAGAGCGCCCATTCTGGTGTTTCCTTACAATAATCTTCGGGTGCAAACTCGACGCCGTTTTCTAGGAGATCAAAAAATCGATCATAGTCGATGATTGTTTGCCATTTTTCTTTGATGAAGAAGCGTTTGCTCGCCAACAGGACACAACAGCTGTGTGCATGCTCAGCGGCAATGCCGTATTCCAGCCGTCTCTTTGCGAGAGCCTGGTCCAAAGCTTCAACAAATGCCACAACTTCTCCATAAAAGGGTACGTTTTGCATGGTCAGACCCGCTCCGGCGGAAGAGCTTGTCCCGCAATATGTGACGCCTTTGATCTCGATGAAGCACGGTAACCCTTTGGCAACAAGATCAGCGTATCCCTCGACTTCGTCCTCAATATTGAAGCCTTTCACCAATGTCAAACGGAAGACCGTGCGCTGTATAAATCGTTTTTCACGGAGGATGTCGAGACACGACTGAAATCGTTCCCAGAAATCTCGGTGCAAGGGTCGGTCAATTTTCCGAAGACTGTCCTTGTTACTGGCATCAATGCTGACATATAATTGAGTGACTCGTCGTAAGCCACGCAGTTGCTGAGGGTGCTGTGCATTGCAGACAAGGAAGCTTGAGATTCTCTCGCCATGCAACAAACCAACAAACTCATTGATCCGAGGGTAGAATATAGGTTCACCCACCAGGCTCAAAGCACAGTGACGGATACGCATTGCTTCTTCAAACCGTTCACTTCGAACACCTGGCACGCCACGCATCATCTTAATTTTCTTGTAGTGTCCTTCTTTGGCCCCAGCAAAAATCATCTGCGGATCGTCGACTTGCCAGCGCCAGGTCGTGGAGACAGGGTTGGTCCCGTGACGCCAACAGAACACACATTTATTGCTACAGGAGAGGGACGGCGTGGTTTCCATGCATAGATGAGAAGCGATACCATAAAACGAGTTCTTGTAGCATGAACCGCGGCCACGAAGGGCAGATTTGGTCCAACGGCAGATTTTGACCCCGGAGTGAGTGCCAACAATTGTGTAGCCTTGTTTCGTCAATGCTGCGTAAGTGGGTGATTCGTTGGGTACCATCGCTTTCGGTGCCTCTCGTGGTACAGACGGAGGAGAAGAGTACGTTGTGAAATCGATTGCCATCGGAGCGATTAAAGATCCTTCGGTTCCGCCCACGTCTTCGAGGTCCGTTGTGGTAGCGATCTTGCGCCTCTTATGGCGTCTAGGATCAGGGAATTCGACTCCTGCCTCTCCAGTCTCTGATTCGTCTTCATCAACACTCTCAACTGCGTCACCACTTCCTGGTACTCCTTCACCCAGTGATCCAGTCATACTCAATTCTCTGAGGACGTCACAAACTCCACTTGTCCAGTCTTGTAGCGCCTGGTGTACATTGCTCTTCACATCTCCCAAGCCCAGAGGATATGCTCGTTTTCTGCCAGTTAACTTGGCCATCCATTTGTCCAGTTCGACTGCTTGTGAGCAGAACTCCCTTCCTTCGCTGGGCCAGCCTTCTTTATCTCCCACCCCAAACACGGTGTATCCTGCCAGGACAGACAATGGCGAGGTATCGATACGGAAATCATGGTGTGTCTCGTCGAGGTGTGCCAGGAAGGTATTCAAGATGGTATCGATATCATAGGACGGGATGAGAAGGAGGTAGAAGAATCGAATGTCTGAACGCGGACCGGATGTTTTGGGACCGGAGATGAAATAATCGTCAAGGTCAATATGCGAAATATCATATATCTGTGGGTTTAGAATGGTGGATTGTGAGGCCGTCAGGGTTTCGAGACTGGTAGCTACGTATTTCGAGAGGCGCTCAGTAGTCCCTGTCAAAGAGGAGAAGAAGATCAAAGGCTGTACACAAGATGGACCTGCTCGCGTGCGGACTGGCTTGCGTCCAGCGACAACTCGGGCTGCTGCCGGTCGAAGTTTTTGGTTCTGGGCAAAGGTAAGCTGGTTCACCTTACTGGAGATACTTCTCTCGTCATTTGTCGTCGAAGAAGAATCATTTCCGGTCTGGTTGAGCCAGTCTCCCTTCTCCGGCCTCGGCGACGAGTCTGATGGGCTGATTCTGTAGACTTGTCTGCGCCGCACCCAAACAATCAATAGGCATGCCACCAAGATTGTTGATACAGCAAGCCGACCATCATGCCACGAAGTCAATAATCGGTCGAGCCAGTCTGCCAGGATGACTGGCGTCGCTCCACCGTCGCCCAAGTCCATTATTGATAACAGACAAGCTCTTCCTATGACCGCAACCGCAAATATTTCGAGACTTTCATTTCCTGTGGAGGGTGGGGTGTGACTCCTCGGCAAAGCCGGGTTCCGAGCGGGCTTTCATCAAAGCGAAAATCTCTCCTCTGGTGGGTATATTTTCTTGACGAATATCTTGTTCGTGCTATTCATTTCTAGTTCGAATATCGTGTCTCACGCTAAACTTCAAATCAGCCACTCCTGGGGTATGATATAGCGAGAGAAAGTGCCGCCCCTAGAGCCCAAAACGCCCACCACAAAGCGCCAGACATCTCAAGAGAATACCTGATCCAGTTCTTCGCAAATGATTGTAATAGCCCTTTTTCCAGCCTCAAGAACAGCGTCCATCGCCAAAAAAGGATGTGGCATTCCCTCCATCACAGTCACTTTGGCTTCAACCCCATTCTTTCTCAGTTTTCTGGCATACTCTTCCCCATCATGTCTCAATACATCCAACTCGCCAACGATAATATTTGCGGGTGGCAGCCGTGCGAAAATTTCATCCGAGGCCAAAAGAGGTGAGGCTTCCCTGTGCGACCAGTCGGCCTGATTGGGTAGGTAATGGTTGCGATACCAAAGCATCTTCTTCGCCGGAAGACCAGCCGTAAACTCAAACGCTTTCCAAGTGGGGCTGGAACACGGAGAGGCCGTGTTGTCTGTCACAGGTACGACCAAGAATTGCGAACAAAGCGAGACACCCAACTGAGGTCGAAGCACCGCATTCTGGACGATCACGGCGGCGATATTTGCTCCAGCAGATGACCCCACCATGGCAGTTCTGGTAAGATCCAGGTTGAGAAGACTCCCTCCATATGACGTCGCCCAAAGGAATGCTTCCCATGAATCATGGATTGCTGCCGGCCATGGTTCCTCCGGGGCGAGCCTGTCTCATGAGGTGGAGTCAGACATTGGCAGAGCTACCAACAGAACCAAACAGCACGAGTTGCTGAGGGCGGCATTGCCGCAACGAGGCTGAAGACAGTCGTGAGGGGGGGGGGAAGGAAGGGGAATGCGAGGGTTGCTAACCTGTAGTCAGTTGTGATCACCACGGCCTTTGCTCGAACACATATATTGGTGCAGATGGTATTTTCGGTGTTGATATCCCCAAAAACCCACCCTCCACCGTGGAAATAAAGCACGAGCGGCCAACCCGAGCTGGGTGGGCATCCTTGCGGGGTGAAGCATCGGATGGATATGTTAGGACCGCAGGTATCCTGCCGGGATATGGAGATATCTTGAGTCATACCCACGGGCAGTGGCTCGGTGTTGGTAGGAATGACCTTCCCACTACATCTAGAGATAGCAATGGCTTGATAATGGACGGGCTGCTGGTTTAACAGGTACTTGTTGTAGAACGCCACATAGTCGGGATGGAGTCGATCCTTGACGCTTGGGTGAAGGGGGTATGGTGGATGTTGGATCTGGGCTACCATTTTCACTGGACTTCTCGAGTAGGGGGTTGCTGGCTCCGAGTCGGAAACTCGAAGGAGGAGTCGTTACAAACAAAAGGAGGGGGAGAGACTTGTCTGTCGTCGTACAAATACAGCGGCAGCTTGTGTGCCACAAAGTCAGTCCGCTGGCAGAAGCTGGTGAGACCAAAGGCCGAGCCAACCGCCTGTTGCGCCATCTATTGACCATCCCAGCATCGACCTCCTTAGTCCTGGGACCGTGGAACTCTGGAGTGGTGGAGTGGGAAATATCTATGCCGGCAGCATGCAGAGCGCAGTGTAGACTGTACTACTAATGCGTGTAGCTTTTCGTTGTCGGCAAACAGGGATTCAGGGTCTAGCTTCCCTAGAGCTAACTGAGGGGATCGAGTCGGGCATCTGTCAAATCAACTGTGGCTCTCCCTCGGCACGGTACCGATTATTGGTTCCCTGTGACTTCTCCGGGCTGCATTATCAAGGTCCAGGACCCCAGGTGGTGCGATTTTCGCCGGGTACCTGTACTACCTATGCTTGCCACCTGGGCTAATCGAAGCCATCTGAGTCGTCCGGTACAAGCTTGGTCCTAGGGTGTACAAGTTCGACTTGACCGTATAGGTACAATCCCCTCAGTTGGGCAGAACACCCTTTCTCCCAGTCCCTGTGATCGGTACCGCTTCTTCCACTATCTAACCACGACGAGCCTTTGACTAGCCTTTGCCGAACCAACTATCAAATCGAGCCCGGAGCTCTCTCCTGCGGTGTGTCTCAACTCGACCGTCGCATTGGTGGATCGGAGAATAACCATCGCAGTGGGATCAGACTACCGACCCAACAAAAGACCTGTGCGGATATCGGCTGATGACGTCCGAAACTTTAAGCGAGAGATCCCATATGGAATATACAGTGTGGGACTACAAGCAAGTGACGTGAAGCGTCAGCATCGGTATCGAGTCTTTCTCAAGCACCCTTCATGTGGATATGTTCTCGGCCTCAAAACAACTTCAACGAACCCCCCCCTCTGAGAAGTATAATCTCTCTCCCAAACCAGACAACGGACACACGTATTAGATTCTAGAGCTTGATCATACCTGTCTACGGCCGGCCTCAAAGGCTGTCGAGGCCCAAATGTGTGAACACTGAAGAGCACGGGGATCCCTGCCGTTTGCCGACCATGTATCAAGAAATCCGTAAATGTCTGTGGAACGGTGGAAACATCTTGTGTTGGGGAATGCCTATCCCTCAAAGCCCTGGCAGAATCGCAATTTCCCATCTTTCCATGCCCTCCCTCTGTGTCCTGGAAGTGTACCAAAGGACATTATCGCAACAGATCGACCATATGCTTAAACTTGCCAGAAAAGTCAAGGAGGAGCGGTCCGAAATCACAACCTCCTCGGTCGCAGGAGCTTCGGCTAGCATCGGCAAGCATTCGGCAAGGTGCAAATCATTGAACGATTTAGTGAAATGCGACTAAAGGGAGAGCAGCAAGGTCTGTCGACATTCAACCCTTCAGAGCCTTGCTTTGACGGTAGCCTCCACATCTTTAGCGTCTCTTTTCGCCCACTCTTTCATCAACTTCCTCACAATCTTACCACTCGCCAATTTGGGGACTTCGTCGATGAATTTGACACCGCCTGCCAGTCGTTTATGCTTGGCCACCCTGCCAGCCACGAAATCTTGAATGTCTTCTTCTCTGATTCTGCCCTTGGCTCGCTCTTGCAAGACCACATAGCCACGAGGGAGCTCTTCGCCGTGAAGAACGATGCCCACAACGGCAGCATCTACTACGTCTTGATGGTCGAGCAAGACTGCTTCTAGCTCCGCCGGAGCTACTTGAAGACCGTTCACTTTGATCAGTTCCTTTTTTCTGTCGACGATCCACCACTTTTGGTTCTGGCATACGGCGACATCGCCGGTCTTGAACCAGCCACCTTCTGTCTTGCTTTCTTTCGTGGCTTGCTCGTTTTTCCAGTATCCCAGTAACATCTGGGGTCCTCTTAGCCACAATTCACCTGGCTCACCCTCTCTGGTAACCTCGTTTCCGTCCTCATCAATTAACATGGCTTCTGTGTTGGGGAGGAGATACCCAACGCTCCCGGTTCGGTCCTCGGTCATGCCCGGCATCATGATGCCCGCACATGTCGTTTCCGTCATCCCCCAACCCTGGCAGATCACGACTTTGAATCGACTGCTGACTTCATTCTGCAAGTCTCCCGATAGAGGGGCGGCTCCACAAAGAATATGTTTGAGACTGCTAATATCATATTTTGCTGCTTCAGGTCGTTTACTCAACATGACAAGGACTGGTGGAACTGTCTGCAGCGCTGTGATCTTGAATGCTTGGATATACTGGAGGAAGTCCTCGAATACGAACTTTGCCATAATATACACTGGGACTTGGAGCCGGCAGGCGATATTGATGGTCCAAAGTTGAGAATAAGCATGGTACAGAGGGAGAAAAGCCAGCCAACTCTCTGGTCCCGGATTATCGGCTGAGTAAGGGGTTCCCTCGAATCTGCTGAAAATCGTCTGGGCAGCGTTGGAAATAAGGTTCCGATGGGTGATGCAGACGCCCTTGGGAAGGCCCGTGGTCCCACTAGAGAAGTTGATTGCCGCAACAGTCTGCAGCGAAGCTTCACCATCCAGGAGATCCCACTTCCAGAACTCGGATTCGGATTCAGAGGCCACCATTGATCGCCAATCTCGAATGCCTCGAGTGGTGGGACATTCTGAATCGGAGAATATGAATAGTCGATCAAGGGAAATGTTGGCTTGCTTTGCGGCCGCTACGCCGGTTTCAAGCAGCGAGGGATGGATAAGTACAATCGCGGCATCAATAGCCTTCATTTGATGTGCCACCTCGTTGGTGGTATATATGGGGTTCGCACCAGTGAAGTAGCGTTTAGATCCTGCGGCCGCAAGGTATACCATTGGGACATAGAGATGATTTGGGGTGAAGACCATGACTGCTTGTTGCTGTCCAATGCCGAGTTTATCTAAGCCCATGGCAAATCTTCTTACCCAAGACAGCATTTGAGCTGCGGAAAGGCTATGGGAGGGGTTGGCAGCGTCTATCCATAATGGTTTGGTGGACAGGGCCTTGCCGGGAGGGTAGAGGTATGACAGAATATTGCACTTGGGGATGTCGAGAGGAGGAAAGGGTGAGCTGTATGGCATGATGTCTGTGGAGAAGGGATGGCTTCAGACGATGCTACTGACCGTGATGTCGAGGATGGCAGATAAGCGAAAGGTATATAAATGGTGGGCGTATGTCAAAGATGTCGGCTTAGACGTTCTTGATATTGCCACGTAGGTGGGCGCTGATACGAGGACTTGTCAACGCCATGGCGAAGCTGGATATCGTTTGCCGGTTGACCTCGGTAGTTGTATGGTCCAAAAATTGAGCGTTGTCTGACAAAATTATTGACCACATTTGCGCGTGGAGCATAGAAGAAAGACCTTGTCAGACAGATCACTTGTGTAACCCCTCTGTCGAGGACAGAAAGTCACTCCTCTTCCGCTTCTGCTCTAACCAATTGCTCCCTAACGGGGCACGACGACGAGTTTATATCTGCCATCCCTTTCTCTATCTACTCTTCTTCATCTCGGATCCCTACTGCGTCAGTCTTTCCCACCGCCGCCTCAGTCATCTATTCGTCCACAGCATTCTCTTTGGGCTGACCCTTTCTCCCCCTTCTATCAACCACCTCTGTCGCCGCGCCCATCTCTCGGACGCTTGGATATGACTGCCTGAAACTGACATCCTGTCGGATCTCCTAGGTGCCCTCAAGCAATGGCTGCCGTCTAGGCATTGCTCTTGACTTACGGTTGCCTGCCGCTGATATGGGCTCTGGATATACGTGCGGCATGAAGTCAGGGCCCTCTTTGCACGTGGAGAGTCCCACGATGTAGGATCCGGCCTTGTGGCCAAAAATTGAATCGTTTGGAAGAGGCAGACGACAATGCGATATGCAGTGAGATGTTGCGGCTATGTGCAGAAACAACTTCTTTCGTGTTTGGCAGACAACAAAGACCAAAGGTAAAAGGAGGGAGAAGACCGGGGCCTTTGCTTTCAGATCTAGATGAATGGCTTAACATGGTACCTGAGAAACTCAGCGAACGCAAATTCTTCGAACCAAGAGCGCCATCGATGTGATATTGTTTTCCAAATACTGCTCTCAGTAACTATTGGGGGTTGATCTCTCTTTGAGTCATTGCTCATCCCCATCTAAGCTACGGCGCATGTCCTATTTCACGTTTCTAGACTTCTCCTACACCCAGAAGAGCATGGAGAACATCATCATCACAACCAAAGAACCCTCTGAGGAAGTCCAAGAAGCAACGCAATTGAAATCATCGACATTGCTTTCTCGGAACTTCCCGACATTGTTCTTGTGGTCATGATCCAACCCTCTACCGCGGCCAGTTAGCTAAAAATGCATCCTCTCTGTTGACGTGACATCGATTCATCTGATGTCTTGGTGTCCCGGCAGGCTCACCGTAGAATGACGCAGCAGCAAAATGAGTCGATGACATCAAAGAAAGAGAGGTAGCGATTTCTTCCCTGAACATTTTCGATCGGGATATAATACTGAAAGCTTCATTCAACAATTAAAGTCGATGTTCCTGGACTGATTTTTTGCAAGTCACCGGTGCACCGCATCTTCGTGTACATCCTTTCTTTCTTACTCTTCAGATTCTAAAAGCTGTAAGAGGAAGTATTACACTGGACGCAGGTGTCTCCATGAAGCATAGGTGAAAAGCGGGAAGAAATTAGGGCGAGTCTCTGGCCGACCTGCTTTTGAGTATTTGCCGACTACCAGCAAAATTGACACAAAAGTATGAGATCCATCAGCAATTTCTTCTCGACTGCTTCGCATCTGCAACCCTTACAGCTTCTCTGTGAAAGAACCCTCATCTTCTTCCTCTCTCAACACCCACCTAATCAACGCCTCCAGTTTTGCATCCAACGCTCTTGCTGCGTCCACCAATTCCGATTTGGCTCCTTCGTAGCCCGCAACCAACCCACTAGGCTGGTACCAGATGATTTTCACGCTTGTTTCAGGCTCTTCGACTAGGTACGCTTCGACGGGCACAGACAGCCCAGCGTCGATGTCGTGGCGCAGCATTGTAATCGCAATCAGTGGGTTGCCGAGAATGAAGCGTATACAACGCAGATTCTTCGTCTCGCCATCCGGTGTAGTGACGGCGGACGTTGGTGGCGCGTAAAAAGGCAGCCAACTCCCGTGGTTGTATTCGTTGAAATACATGAATCCATGCGGACCGATCTGCGAGTTGATGGAGGCCTCGAAGGACTCTCTGTCCATGGGGCGAGAGTTTGGGTTTGGGTTTTGGGACGTGTACCAACCGGAGGTAGAGGATTTTTGGATCGAGGATCGGATGCGGTTTTCGGCAGTGTCGAATGAGATGGAAGAGCGGTAGATGAGACGGTCGGTAGAGACGGGTTGTATTTGCGTCGTGACAGGCATGATTGATCAATGGTGGCGGCCGCCTGGTATGCAATGTCCAGATGGGTATTTTCGAAGATTTTACTCCGTCTTCAGGGCCCGAGCTTGGTTCACAAATGGGAAGATGCTGTGGATCAGATAGAAAAGAGAGGGAACAGGGACGGACAGCTATTCAAATGAACCACGCCGACAAAATCCTCCTCGAACGTTGATCCTTTGTGGTGCATAGGCGACAAATTAGACCCCGTAAGCCGGCCAGTGCTTGTGATGCCCAATTCGAGGACACCGGCAGTACTATATCGCAGGGATAGGACCATTTGGATAGAAATTCATTTCCCTCATTCGCTGTTCATGGCGCGCTGTACCAATGGCTGAGATACCTATCCTTCTGGGTGAGCCATCTGTTCAGTAATCTGCCCCGAAACACTACCATGCGGGCTGAAAAGAGGGGGAAAGTTGCATATACGGCTACTCACTGCGCTTGCAACCAAAATGCCGTTTTCCAAGCTTTCATTCGTGCCTGCCATGCAAAGTCTGGTCTCAGCGATAGCCTGGAAGAGATTCTGTCCTGAGGAATGAGGCCATAGTAACGCGGTCCTACCAGGGTCAGTCCGCTTCCATGTCCGGATTCGGTTAGAACTAAGTTGTCATCAGGCGTCAATTCCAAGGTCGCCTTTGAACCCAGATATGAATAATAAGAGCAAACAAACTCGGAGTAGACTTGGAAATCCTTGCTTCGGATTGGTGTACTGTTGTTTAAACATTTTTGATTTTCTCTGTCCGAACTTACTGTTTGTCATGGCCTTTGCCCGAGGATTTGGCAGAGTCACTCTCAACGTCACCGGGTAACGAGGCTCTTTCTCAAGGGACTGGTATATGCTGGCGAGAGGATGTTCATCTTGGATGATATCGATAATCTTTACCTCCTTGAGTACTAACCGACAGTTCTGGTGGGGACTGCATGCTAGGATTTCCATCGACAGAAATCTGAGTGAATCAGGTGTCCAGCTCGGATATACTGGGCGTATCAGACAGGAGCGCCTCTTCGTGTGAAGGACGCCTGGTAGGGGCTGAGAGTGCTGACTCCCTTGTCTCCGATAGTGCACGTTGCCGATCATCTGCTTCTGCCTTCGCTTGTTCCTGTCTGTGATCACGCAATGGAAAGACTGTATCTCTGGCACAATATCCTTCAATCTTAGAGAATGCTGCGTGTGTTTCACGAGAGGCGTGTCTGTGGATAGGGTCGTTTTTCAATTTCTCAATGAAGCCATCAAAATCGACTCGGGCAGAGTTTGCGCTCTGGGGTGTCGCAAGGGGCGTCGAATAGCTTGATTGAGTTGGTGACATATTCGACACGTCCAGAGGTCGCGGTTTGCTCAATGTTTCTTGCACATCACGCATCAACCTTTCAAATAAAGCGCTGTTTCGAAAGCTTTCATGAGATCTGACCAGGCGAGAAGCGGCCATCTCATTTTCAAGACTGAGATCAGTCTGGCCTTTCGAACTTGTCCAACTTCCCATAAGTGAACCCATATCGTCCCACATATCTTCCAGTTCCGTCATATCCTCTTGACGCTGTAGATGCCATCTTACTCGCTTTAGATTTTTGTACTTTTCGTCAAGTTCGATGGCCTTTCTAAAATAGTAAACAGCGTTGTCGTTGTCACGAGTAACATCGGCCAGAAACCCTCTAACATACCAGCATTTCGCCACCGACTCCGTGCTCACTGAATATTGTCCGGACATGCACAAAGTCTCGGCTTCTTCGAGAGCTCCTTTTCCTTCGTGGAAGAGGCTGGGCCCTCTGCTCCCGATATCACCGCGGATGGAGTTAAAGAAGAGAAAGTGTGCGCGACTGAGAAGGACTTCGGCGTATAGTTCGATGGCAGTGAGCTCAAATGTGGAAACGTCGTTTTTAGTGCGAGTGGTAATGACATCTGGAGGTTTGATCATGGGACAAGCATTCCTCAAGCCGACTGGAAGCCTCTCTGTTGAAGGGCCACCTGGTTTGTCCATTTTGGAGATTTGCCAGTCTCCCCTCTTAGCTAGGAATCCGCGTGGGAAGATGATTCAATCTTTGAGATATGAAGAGATCCGGAAAGTGACATAACTATTGATCATTGGGTATGGAGCGCAGTCTTTGTTCTTGGATCCGAATACAGAAACGAGGAACAAAGAGAACAAGGAACTCTCCCATTCCCATTCCATTTGCAAGATCGGGATTTCATGCAACAAGCGTCAGAGCAGAATCCATGGCAACTTACCAAATATCGTTTTCAATGCCCGGAGAGTTCCTGAAACTGGCGTTGTAAAGGGCAATCGCAAAGAGAAAATGCCAGACAAAACATTAGCTAAGCAGGGAAATTGATATCACGTGATATTTGGCCACATGACCAATCTCAACACTGACTTTGCACAGTACGACCACCAGAATGATGAAAAGAATTTGTCTTGGAAATAAATGCTTGCTGAAACTAATCTTGAGAAGGGTTTAGGACAGATCGTCATGCTCGGACCAAGTCTGTAACATGGCTGACCCAGTCGCTCTCCCGGGGCTCCGACCCCCTTGGGTCAGAGTATCTCGCTATTCCAGCTGACTGCATCCCGGTCACCACAGTGGCATGCTTTTGCGTGATGAAGAAGCAGAACTCACAGGCCGAAAAGCAGGAAAAACCGGGGGTATCTCCCATTCATACACCGCTTGCTTGCCCAGAAACAAAAAAAAAAAAAAAAGGCTCTCTAACTTTCAAATCTGACAGAAACCACACCTTGCTGTTTGTTATGAGCCCGAAAAAATATTGGATCTGGACACCTGGTTTCTCTCTTTTTCCTGTGAAGGAAGCCTGGTCTAAATCTTTGTGATGCCATTAAACCATGTGCGAGGCGCGCTCCGAAAAGTAATCAAGACACTTTGTCCCGATGTATTTGGAAGCCTCCATTATCGAAGGGGGTCCGATCGATCGTAACAAGAGAATGGAGAAATAGGTGCGTTGATGTGGGTTTACACCTTCGTAGTCTTTACTACTCGTGTATCGATCCCGTGACCCCAGCCATAGAACCGACAGTCCTCACCATACCAGCATCCGGGGTCGTCTGGTTTGTTCTGCGGACACCGATGTCCGTAAATGCAGTCGGGATCGGTACAATCCATTTTGTAATAGCAAGGAGTCATGCGTGCAACTTCACGCAAGACGTTGCGTTCTCCTTTCGACAAGGGATATGTGTGAGAATGAGAACAGTTGTTCGATGTACAAAACGAAGGCCCTTGAAGGTAGTAGATATTACAAAGCTTCAGCTTCTTGATGCGTTGAATTTCGTAGTTGGGAATGGAAGAATCAACTTTGTCAATTCGTTGGCCATGACGATTTCGATCAATGCTCTTGGTTACCGGCTTCGAAACCGCAGCCTCAGGGCTCTTCATAGACGTGGGAGTCGATGTTCGTGTAGTGCTAGCTTTGGATGCTGGAGCAGAAGGGGCGAAAGGTTGGGCGGTCATCGAGGCCCAAGTCATGGCTGGTGTACTCGAACTTGAGTTTGTCCCGGTCGTACCATTTGATTCCACTCGCGCGAGTGCGGGCAACGTTGCGGTGACTGCCTGTAAAGGACCCTTTGGCTGTACGGCCGAAGGGGCTAGCTTGGTGGTGCGGAAAACATTTTCAAATTTAGTACTTTTGAAATTATTCTTGATCGCGGCAATCTCTTTTTCGAATGGTATACCCTCAAGAAGGGTAATGTGATCCAGCACGGCCGGATCTTTAATCGTGTCCTGCAGCAAACTTGCATACTTGTCGTCGCTGGAGCAGCCCAGGATGATTTGATGACAGTGGCAGTCGTAGAGATTGATATTGAATTGTTCACAGACTTTTTCTTTTGTGCTCTCGGTTCGGGAACCGGCATCAACAAACTCAAAAAGTACCCGTGTGCTGTTGAGGCCTCGCACAAAGTCATCGAATATCGCAGGCCGCTCGATTATTTTCAATTTCGCCAGCATATCAGAGAGCGATTTGGTATTGGCATAAATCCGGGTCGCAACCTTGGGCGAATCCAAGTGATGTAGATGTTGAGCGACAAATGCACTGACGGCGTCGGAAATAGCGCTGACAGCCTCCTTGCCACCTTTTTCGCCCTTGCTCAAAAGTTCCTTTGTAAATATCATGTCTTCACCATCGATGAGGATGACGACAAAGGGATTTCGATCCTGCAATAGGGTTAGTTTATGTCATTTAGAACGTCTGACTCGAGAGTGAGGTTGCACACCATAATCTTTTGGGCTAGCATTAATTGCTCTTGCAGAGCACTTTCTCGAAATTGGCCCTCTCTGTTATATTGGGCTTCTCGCTTGTGATCGAGCTGCAGCCGTTCAAGTTGACTTTGGGTGTTTTCGAGCTGATACAAAAGATCCTGCGTTCCAGAGTTAGGACTCGGACACGAGTATTTGTCGGTGAAGAGGCCGTTATACCTCGATCAACTGATTCTTTTCATCTTCCAGGCTTCTGAGGCGTTTGTTACGCTCTCGAAAAGACATTTGAGAGTTGACAATGGAAATGTCGCCAATGGGACGATTTCTGAAGGAGCCATTTCGGGAGCCGTAGTCTGGACTCGAATTCAGTAGCGGATGGTCAAACGTAGGGGAAAAGGGATCGTAACGAGCCATGTCGGGCATTGAGATAGGTCGAGGACACGAGGACGAGGGATCGGGAGGGCGAAAAGAGAGAAGGTGTTGTTGGCGGTGAGGTTGGTTGCAGGTTGCAGACGAAGGCGCAGGTTCCGGGTACTTTTTTGCAAAAGTTGTAGGTCGCTGTGGCTCCCAAAAAAGATTCTGGGGAACGCGTAATTAGTGGATGGGATTGTTTGGTTGCCTTGTAGCGCGTCCTTGTGCCGGGCGCTGGTGAAGGGCGATTCGCCGCTCGAAAAGTCCAAGCACGAGCGTGGCGGCAACTGCGGTTAAACCCTCATCTGAGACATCCACAGCTTGACATCATTCTAACCGCAAAGGTGGTGGCCTGCTACCAGAACGCTCGTCCGGCCCACTGTCTTTCCTGCGCCAGCGACCTGCCACTGCAATATCAGGCCAAATTTTTTTTCTCCAATTCTCTAGAAATTCCATTGCGATACACACTGCGCATCTGCACAATGGGTCGATTCTTGGATCTTGCTCTTCTCCTCTTTGGTTTCCAGGCTGCAGGCATCTTCGCCCAGGCCGACCCGGTGCGTTCTAGTCACTGGCCATTTCAACGAGACTACACAGCTAATGCGTTAAATTTAGGAAGAAGTCGAAAACTCCTCGACGAGCCCTTCTCTCGCTGTCTCCGTCGAAGCATCTTTCCCTGATGCAGAGATCTTTGGAATCAAGCTCGTCAATGGTAAACCAACCGAGTCAACCCTTTCTTTCATGAACGAAGAGCCGGACCCAATTACTGTCCAATTTGTTGGTGGCAGTTTGTGGACGTTCGAGGGTGCGACTCCTCGTATCGTCCGAAACCTGACCTCGGCTCGATATGCGGTCGAGATTCCTCCTGGCGAGAAGCAAAGCCTGCCCTACCGCTTCCAGACAAACATGCATCCTCAGGACCTGAGACTCAACCTGGCGGCCGTGGTCAGTTCGCAGTCTACCTTCTACACCTTACAGGCCTTCAACGGCACTGTCTCTATTGTCGAACCAGATGCTAGCATCTTTGATCCTCAAATGTAAGCAACGAACATCATTGACTGCGTGCGCATACGACTAATTCCAATATAGCCTCTTCCTGTACTTCTTCCTCCTCGCCTGCGCTGTCGGTGTCGGTTACTTCTTCTATACTATCTGGATTGTGCCGTACTTTCCGCACAAACGCAGAAGTGGTGGCGGCAAGAAGTTTACCCCAAAGAAAACTGATTCTGGATCTGTTACATCAGACAACGAGGGCGCGGGCGTTTCAACCGGCTCCACGACATACAAAGAGGAATGGATCCCAAGCCACCATATCCAGCGTCCTGAGGCTCGTAGGGTAAAGAGTGGCGGAAGACCCAAAGGCCGTGGCAAGCCCGAGTAAAGTGACTCATCGATGGTTTACTATATTGTTTGAAGGGAAGCCCCCGAAATGTCAATAGACCTAGAGTGCTTCTTGGATTGGGGAAGGGGAAAAAAAAAAAAAAAGGGTAAAGAGAAGCAGAAGCATGTGGAGATCATCGGAACGGCCGGTTCACGACAATGGGCATGTGCCTGGCTTGCAAATACAAAATGAAACATTTGTGATGTCATTCAAGAGAAATTGATCCTTGATGAGTTTTGCAGGGCAAAAGTGTTTCGAAAATAGTTGGGATTGAAAAGTACAGAAGAACACACAGCCAGCCAGAGATTAGGCCGCAAGTGCAATAAGAAGGGGTTCGTGAATGAGAGAATCTCTAAAATATGTGGAGTTGAAGCAGCATAACACATGAAAACAAATATTCACAAAACGCCGTCAATTCCATCGACTCTCTCTGTGGACTACTGAAACTGGTATTGACATTGACACAGAACCCCGAAACTGTTTATGGTCCATCAGCAAGCAAGCTAGCTAGCCTGAAAATCCATTTTGAGCAAAAAGCCCCCTGACTGAGTGCACACATGTTATGTCTGCGAGGGAGGAATCCTGCACATTAGCCTTAGGGAAAGTTGGAAAAAAAATAAAATGAAGGCCTCCTCTTCATTACCGTCGTGGTCTAATCACCCATAATGTCATCGTCGGCCTCGTCGTGCGCTTCAAGCGCATTGTCATCCTGATCCGCGTCATCTTCCAGAATATCATCCTCCAGGTCGTGTTGTCTCTGCACCTCTTCCTCGTCATGATCTTCGTCATCCTCAATATCATCGTCCTCGAGCACGATTCCTGCCGAAACCATTTTCTTTGCCACTGCGGCTTTGGCTTTCCTACCCTTCTCATCGTCTCTTGCCGTCGCAGTCTTCGCCTTGCTTTTCGGCTTCTTCTCCTTCTTCTCGTCCAAATAGGCAATGAGTGTTGAATAGTTCTTGCCCAGTTTGGTCCGATTCAACATGAGTCGTTGCTTGACTTTGTCGTCCTTGATAGCACCTCCAACGATCGCAAAAATGATTTTGCTGGTCAGCTCACAAAGATTCTGCTCCGCGAGAAGAGCAGCTTGTTTTTTTGCACGGCGCCCTCCTGTGGCTTCCGCAATGTCACCATCATCATCACCTTCGTCGTCAGCGTCTGAATCTCCGGCTTCGTCTTCAGAATCTTGGGGGGGTTTCTCGATATCTTCCTCTGCCTCTTCACGCGCCGAGTCTTTCGTTTTGTTCTTGTCACTCTTCTGGATCTTGCGGCGTGTTATCTTGGCGAATGACTTCTCCAATTTTTCATATGTCGTCATAACTTCCTTAACAGTGTCGTCGGGCATGGTTGTGATGAGACTAGCTAGATTCTGCTCGATATCTTCGTCTAATTCGCTCTTGTCTGGGCGCATGTTCCGAATCGTGGTAAAAAGTGCAAAGAGCTCCAGCACATTGAGTATGGCATTGTAGCGAACCGGGTCGAGGGGGATGCGAAGCTGAATGACTGGTGCAAGATTTTCAACAAAAGTTGACCGTGTCATTGCGAAATTGGTCAGAGACGTTGTTGTCAACTGGGCTGTATCGTTGGCAGAGATGGCTTGTTTCAAGCCAAAGACCTTCCATCGGAAATAACGTGAGAAAAGTTCGATAAGGGCGGTACATAACTGATCTTCCAGTTCGGCGAAGGCTTCTGTCGTGTCCTCATCTGGTTCACCTCGCTTTAACAGCTGCAATAAGAGACCTAGGAGTGTTTGTTGGTTGCTTGATCTGCCTTTCTGTTTCCTTGAAGCCCCGGAGTCCAGTTTTCCTTCGATGACCTCTGTGCAGTCATGTACCCCTGCGAGCTCTGCAAGCCGCATCGTGGTGTTCACAAGCTCTCCAAGTATAGGTTTGTCAAGCGTTCCTCTTCTTTCGACATTCTTGCCTCGAACGAGGTTTGCAAGGGCGGTAACACAATCAGTCCAGATCTCCTGAACCTTGGAATCAGCTGCCTCCTTGCTCTGTTCGTAGCTTCTCGCATTTCTAAACGCCGCGCTTGCTGCCGCAAGGACTTTTTTGTCTGAATGAGATGTAAATTGTTTGCTGATGTCATCCAGAATGGCAGAGTAGGTGGCTTCGCCGCTCTGAAGTTCATTTATTAACCCAATATCTAATAGCTGTTCAATGCGAAGAATAGACGAAGTGGCTTGAGGCGTGCTGCCGAACTTGCCGAGGAGTTGAGGAATAATGACCGTGAGATTCTGGGCGGCAGATTCTTGCTTTTCGCGAATACGGTCTTTGGCTGCATTGGTCCTACGACCTGTAGGAGATTCAATTATCGATTGCAAGTATTGCTTGATTGAGGACTGAAGGACGTCCAACAAAATAATATCTTCATCTGCACTCAACTTGTAAGCCTGTCGAACTTGGAAGCTGATATCGTCTTCATCGCTTTGCGTGGGAATCGAAGAATGGTCATAGAGGAGAAAACCGGCAAGAGACTCCCATTGGTGAAGTTCATCCATATGAGGGAAGATTGATTGCGTGGCGAGCGTGTAGCGAGATTCGGTGGTAAGGTCCAGAGGTAGGGACTGAGCAGTCGCTCCGTCCAACGACTCTTCATCTTTGTCGAAGCCGGCAAGGATCGAACCTAGACACTTGAATTTGATCCAGGACCGAGTGGGAACCATAAAATCTTCAACGTCGTCTGGGTCGGGCAGGGCGCTAACAAGCTGCGCTTGGTCGAAATCCTCGACAGTTGCTCCGTAGAGATCTTCAATGTTGGAGACAAAGAATTTAGCAACCGCTGTCCTGACACGAGGTTCACTATCAAAGATCAATCGCCCGATGATATCAATGTCCTCAGGCTCCAATAATTCAGCTTCTCGCAGTTGGTCCAGCAGCTCAATGGTCTCGGCTCTGACCTTGAGATCTGCGTCTCTTGCTCCCATTTCTACTAATCTCTGCCGAAATCGGTCGGTGAAGGCTCTCAGAGCGGCAATATTCTTCTTATTCGCGAATAAGTTCTTCAATTGTGTGATATCCTCGAGTCTCGTAGAAGGGCTTGTATCACTGAGAACCCATCCCAGATACCGCAGGAACTGGCCTTCCAAGAACATTTTTCGGTAAAGCACGATCCAATTGCCTAGTGCAGCAACACATAGGGCACGGATTCGTTCCTCGACATCTCGATATCGATGGACGTAGACCGTGTCGAATGCGTCCTTTAGTTGGACATCAATAGCTTCGAGCTTTTTCTCGGCTACTTTCAGATTTTCCTCGATGGTCCCGACGCGACCTTTGTTGACACTCCTTTTCTTCTTTTCTGCATCAATCTGAGATTTGAGCGTCGCCATGGTCTCTTGCAATTCTCTAGCAAGCTCACACAAAGCAGTGCTCATTGATAGAGAGACAATCGTCGCCGTATGCCTGAATGACTTGTAACTAGCACCTGACATTGTTGCGATCCAGACATAAATGTTGTCGTAGACCTCAGGCTGGTCATAGAAGACGGAAGAAGCATGCAATGTTTTGATGATGGCCCCGAAGAATTCCTCCAACACTGATTGAAATCCGGAGTATTGCTTCTGCTTGGAAATGAGAGGATAATCAGGCGGTTTCTGCTGTTCGTATTCTTCAAGGACATCTCTGAGCCTGTCGGGGGCAGCGTCTATGTCTTCGATATCTTGAGACTCGATTTTAGAATCGCACCCGATGCATTGCAGGACAAAATTGATCAAATCTCGAATGGCGGCAACACTATCCCTCTGCATTGACCGGAACCAGAGAGAAGCAGAGTCCTCAGGTGTGCGTCCTCTCCCAAATACTTCGGCATAGAGTCCTTGTTCATGCATCTGACCTGGTCGAACACGCGCCTTTTGTGTCTTTGAGCCTTTCGTCCCGGATTTACTTTGGGATTTGGCTGATCGAATCGCCAGCGTGGTATTGGGCCCACTAGCCGTCTTTGTTCTTTTGGTAGCAGGTTTTGCAGCCGTTGCTCTCGCTCTTGGTGCTCTGCGCTCGGCCCTCAATTCCTCCTCGTCTGGTTCCTCGTCATCTTCATCATCATCCGCAGTGGTTGCATTGGTCACTCTTTTCCGCTTGGTCGAGCCGTTTGTGAGAACGCTACCCTCATGGTTCTCTTGGGAGAAAAGATCTGGTTTGCGCACTATTCTTCCTGATCTGCGACGTGATTCTGGAGTACCGTTTGGAACGCTTGAGTCCACCATGGTATCTTTGTGGGTAAACCACCCGATCGAAGAAGTCTTCGAACTGGGTAGGCTAGTTAGGGTTCGAGGGCGTGAGTGGGGATCCAAGGACACCGCGTAAGGATTTAATCGCGGGTTGAAGGTCGGATGGACTGCTTCTAAACACAGCGATGAAGATGCGCGGGGTTGTGATTAGAGCACAGAAAGAATGTTGAGGAAAACGCGTTGACGCGAAAGGAAGGGAGGTATACCGGGCGCCCAGGTTCTAAGTGCGGCAGACCGGGTTTACCCAGCAACCCACAGAAGGTATTACTAGCAGCTTGCAAGTCCGGTCTATAGGTAGAGTTGTTCTTACTTTTCCTACGTCGATTTCCTTTTTATTCCTTCGCTCGAGGGGAGCCATGGGATGGTATTCTGCCATAGAGATGGAAAGAGAATGCTAGTCACGCAGCCTGGATCGTACGGTGGGAGACAGCTTGCTGCTTGCAAAAGGCATGTCACTACCAAAATCCCCATTTGCGCCTTCGTCCTCCGTGCCAGGAACTGGAGAAATCGTCCTTTCACTGCTCCCTCCTGGAAAACAAGTTCTCCGGACATTTACATACCAATACCCTCTGAAACTCATTGCTCCAGACCCTCACCACTCCGACGACGGCCGGCACGTGACAGTCGCGTTCCTCCTGACTTATGGAGGAGGATTGGTTGGAGGAGACCAGATCAATCTCAAGGTCGAATTGGAAAAATCTACTCGACTTGTCCTCGTTACTCAAGGCAGCACCAAGATCTTCAAATCGCCAGAAAGGTCCGTGGTTAGTCGACAAATCCTAGACGTCAAGGTGGGATCCCAAGCAGCTCTCTGCTACTTGCCTGATCCCACTCAGCCGTTTGCGGAAAGTGTCTATGAGCAGAACCAAACATTTTATGTCGAACCAGACGTTAGTAGCAGCTTGTTAGTGCTCGACTGGGTGAGCGAAGGTCGACGCGCAAGAGGAGAGAGCTGGAAGCTGTGGAGTTGGAAGGGCAGAAACGAGGTCAGAGAATTTGACCCAAGGTCCAAAGGACGACTTCTTCTTCGCGATGCAGTCATGTTGTACGAGGACGATCTGGGTGGTACCGCCCTCATCGACAAGTCCAACAACATGGGCATCTTCGGCACGTTGATTGTGTATGGGCCTGTGTTCAATCGGCTGGGGGAGTTCCTGATTCGCGAATTCACGAACCAGCCTCGGATTGGAGCGAAGAACTGGGCAACGACTGGCGAAAGAGTAAAGCAGGCCGAGATGGCACCAGAACGTGAGCAGAGAGATGGTCTATTGTGGACGGTATCGAATACCCGAGGCTTTGTTTTGCTCAAATTTGGAGCGAAAGAGCTCGATGAGGCCAGACGATGGCTTGGAAGCTTGCTCAGGCAAGAAGGCACGGCCGAAATGGTATTTGGTCACCAAGCACTCATATGTCTTCGATGAGCCGCGTCACTCTTCCAACTCTTTGCATTTTCACTTTCCAATTGTTAGGAAGAGTCGGTCTCCAATGTCTCCCAGGCCAGGTTTGATCATCCCGTTTTCTGTCAATTCATTATCCACCCCTCCAACCCAGATCTGTGTCCCTTCGGGCCATTCTCCTGCGGCTTTGACTAGTCCCGATTCTGCAGCCAACACGCTGAGGAAGATAATTTTCTCCGCACCCCAATCTCTCAAGATTTGAATCGCGGATATGGCGGTGTTACCGGTGGCCAAAACGGGATCAACGACTATGGCCAATTTGGCGACAGCTTCGGACGATTGGGGCAAATTGTTATAGTATTCAACGGGCTGCAGTGTCATTTTCTCGCGGAACAGGCCGAGGTGGTGGACAGAGACATGTCCTGGGAGGAGGGTCTGGATGGCTGCCTCAATGTCAATCACAAGGAAATCAATTATATTTTTGTGTGGCATACCTTCCACCATTCCCAGGCCGGATCGCAAGATGGGCACCAGGGTCATCTTATTACACTTGATGGTTTCAAAGGGGTACTCATATCCAATGGGTGTTTCGTCCTACAAACCGATCAAGGGTCAGCCTGGTTCTTGATCAGCACGGATGCTTGCGAACACAACAAGAGACAGTACTCACGGATCCAGTGACCTCGATCTCGAGTTCGGCGAGCGCCTCTGAACCCAATAATAGGGCAATATCGTGGATGAGGGCTTTGGTTTCGCGGGCGTTGGTTGTTTTTGATCGCAATTGCGATAACTTTGCGCGCAGACAAGGGTGCCTGGAGACGTGAATGTTGGGCGCCAGACTGGGCGCCATGTTAGGAGAATAATGGTCTGATCTAAAAGATGGAAGTAAGAAATGGTCTAGAAATTGACAATGAGGCGAAGGAAGGGTGTTGAAGCAGCGCGTCCTTTTTCATCCCTGGGCCCGCGCAGGTACGTCTTTGGTGGAGGGGTGTAGCTTGTCTTCCCCCCTCCCTATTGTTACAATTCGCTGCAAGGGCCCCAAAGCCAAAGCGAGAGGGACCGGCCACTTCCGATCGCCTTCATCGCCTCTTGCTAGGGAGATGGCTTGGTACATTGATGATCGTGTCTCTGTGGTCAAACGCATCGCATATGTGCCTCCTTGAATCTCCCAAAAAAGCCATTGAGACAAAACCTGAGGATGGTAATCAGGTGCGGTACGGTAAATATATTCTCTCCTTCAAGCTGCTGAAACTATACGTCATTTACTGGTAGCTCCAAAGTCGCTGTGCACGATCCGGGCGGGTGAGATTTATTCTCTCCGGCAAAACAAATCGTCCTGCCATATCTCCTCAATACAATGATGCTTTCCACCCACGAAAACATTTTTCAGCTGCGCAACTACCATAGGTTTGCGATGAACCTCCGTTAGAGTGTGCCTGACACCCATTTCCCTCTCTCTTCCAATGATTTCTTTGACGCCTTCAAGAGCGATAGCCCTATCTCACTCGCATCATGTCGGATTCCATGGAGACCCCACGACATCGTCGTCGCGATCGCTGGACAAGAGAGAACTTCCTTGAATCGGTCGAGAACCCTGAAGAGCGACGGCGTGATTACAATGTCGAGGCAGAAGATGACAATACAGGATTAACCGAGGTAGTCATCCCGCCTCCTGCTCGGCCAGAAGATTTCAGGCGGCCTTCACTGGAAGACATAGAGCGGAGGGTGAGCAGACAAAGGCATCGCAGTGAAGGTGCCCTTGGGGAGCTTGCTGTTCCCCAGCCCATAAGTTCACGTGAGAAGCCATCCGATGAAGAGACGGCAGTCGAATCCCCTCGTCGACGAAGTCTAGAAGATCAGCAGAAGTTATCCGTCACGAGTCCTGTCGAATATCAGCCATCGCCTATTGCGACCGAGCTTTACACAGTCTCATCGCTGGTCTTCTTCTCGTTAATGGGCACACTGGCACGGTTGGGAGTTGAGGCGATCACCCTCTATCCCAGTTCTCCATTTCCTTCTCGAGTCCTCTGGGCAAATTTGGGAGGCTCGTTCTTCATGGGCTTTCTGGCCGAGGATCGACGGCTTTTCCGACAAGAATGGGGTGCACCGGATCCCAAAGCACCAGCATCAAATCATGCGAAGGTCAAGAAAACCATACCGCTCTACATTGGCCTGGCTACCGGATTTTGTGGTAGCTTCACGTCATTCTCTTCCTTCATTCGGGATTGCTTTCTAGCCTTGACGAACGCGCTCGAATCACCTTCGCCGACACGGCCATACCAAGTCGATCCAACAATCGCCACAAGGAGTGGTGGATTTTCATTTCTCGCACTTTTGGCCATCTTGATCATACACCCGGCCGTTTCAATGGCGGCTCTGCAGGTGGGAGCCCAGCTGGCCCTAGTGCTTCAGCCGGTAACACCCACGATACCGTTCAGATTTGCTCGCAAAGTGCTTGATCCGTTGATGGTCTTTGTTGGATTTGGGTGCTGGATTGGGGCCGTGTTCCTGGCAATATGGCCCCCTGGAAATGACACGCACTGGCGATTCCGCGCAGTGCTCCCACTGATTTTCGCGCCGCCAGGCTGTCTTCTTCGCTTCTACGCATCGAAACATCTGAACGCGGTGATCCCAGCATTCCCTTTGGGGACATTTGTAGTCAACATCTTCGGGACGGCAGTGCTGGGGATGGCGTTCGACCTGCAGCACGCAAGCGACATTGGCGCATCGAATCCGAACGCATGCTCGGTTTTACAAGGGATCATGGAAGGCTTTTGCGGTTGTCTGACAACGGTTAGCACCTGGGTGGCCGAGATGAACGGACTCCGGCGACGACATGGTTGGATCTACGGCTTGACGAGCGCAGGTGTAGCTCTGGGTTTTACCGTGGTTATCATGGGGAGTATGGGATGGACAGTGGGATTTCGGACCCCGGCGTGCAGTTGATCAGGTATACCCTCTAGCTACCTTTTATCCTAAGTCCGGTATGCGGTCTCGGCACCTTACCCCGGGCATCCGCCCAACAGGATGTCTCCGAGTTACCTCGTCAGAAACCAGCCAGCCTCAGCGGCCCCGTTCTCACCTTATCGCGTTAGTTGAAACGCTAGTGCTGAGGTTATTCAACACCAATTGCTGCATCGGTCGGCGGTTTTGGTAGACCCCAGTCGAGGCTCTCATCGGCGCCGCTTAAAGTCCGTTATTGACTGCGCTGGCCTGCGCACTGCAGATTGTTATTTTCTTCGCACCCCTCTCCCCCCTAATTTTTCTGCCTTTTGCGATACTTTCCGGTTGACTGTGGCTGGGCCCTACCAATTGGCTCCTGAACATACGTTTTCGCCCCATTCTCCAGCCTCTGTCAGTTCCATACCAGAACCATGTTTGAATGCATTTTTCCTTTTGTGGGCGGCCCCTAGATCTGGTATCCGTGCCTGGTGGAAGTAATTTTTTGGCTCGTGCCTGTTTCATGGATGAAGACATATTTCCAATTTCCCAGGATGCAGATAATATGTAATTAATCATGAGCCACCATCCATCGATCGTGTAAGACTGATCCTCAGCGTCCGAGTCTCACCTTCGGCCGTACCAAGACACAGCTGAAAAAAATAATCACTGTTCAGGCCAAATTGCACTCTCATAACCCCCTTTCACAGCCGATGTCTGACTTCTTGGTTGTTAACATCAGCACCATGAAACTCCCAGGAAGCTCCGTAGGCTAACCGCTAACCCTGGTTATCGTGGTTGTTTGCAGTTAAGCGATTTCTTCGTAGTCTCCTTGATAGGGGTCGCGAGCACCCAGAAAGTGGATCTTCGCGTTACGAGCAAATAGGTGGGTTGGCGTTACAGTAGGTTGTTCCAACTTCATCACAGCCCCATGTCCACCGCATTGGCGCTGCTCGGTCTTGGTGTAGTTTACCCTTTTATGGGGGGGGAGGGTACTCTCTTATTCGCGCCCTCGGAAAAAAAATAGATAAGTCAAGGCTTAGACCCTCGTGTTGTGGTATCCAAAGTGAACTGTCAATCGTCAGCAGCCAAGCCAGGGAGGTAGTGTTCAGTCAGAGCAGATCAACATCAACACATTTGCACTTCATAAACCCGCCTACCTCGAGCCCTCCAACAACATTCCCACATACCACAAGATGGGCCAAACAGCATCTCAACCGTCTCCCGACAAGTCCTTGAAAGTCATCGGAGCCGGTCTCTCGAGGACCGGAACGACATCCTTCGGCGCAGCCTGCTCACTCCTTCTCGATGGCCCGTGCTACCACGGAGGCACCCAAATGCTCAACTCCCCCGAGTCGCACATCAAGCGCTGGATTCAGATCATCAAACACACCCCGGCGAAGAATGAAGCCGACCGAAAGGCACTGGTGTCAGGAGTCAAAGAGATGCTCGATGGTTATGTTGCCTGCACCGATCTCCCATCCAATGCCTTTGTCGAGGAATTGATGGAGATCTACCCCGATGCCAAAGTCATCTGCACGGTGCGAGATCCCGATAAATGGTGGAACAGCTTGGCCCCCATCGTCGAAAAGGGTAACTTGACTGTTTTGTCGTGGATCCTGGCGCCTCTCCCAACCCTGCGCATGTTCCGAACCTACCACGATGCCTTGGACGATGGCCGCGTGGGCGAACTGTACTTCCGTGAAGGCGAACCCAAGAGACCGACCAGAGCTATGTGGGACCGACACATCGAACACCTCAAGAGAGTCGTGCCCAAGGAGAAGCTGTTCTTCTATGACGTCCGTGATGGTTGGGAGCCGCTTTGCGCCATCTTGGGTGTCCCCGTCCCCAAGGACGTCCCATTCCCCAAGTTGAACGATGCCCAATCCATGGAGAGCTTCATGAAAGCAAGTGTCCAGCGTGGATTGATGGCCTGGGCTGGTATCTTCGTAACCATTGGTGTTGCCGGATTCGCCGCCGCCAAATATGCCAATGTGATATAATCCTCAGGTTAACGGGATCGGTGGGATGTACTATATGAAACGATGTTGGGATTAGCACCCGGGCTGAGATGAAAGCATATGTGACTCAAGCAAACTGGCTGTCGGACAAATAAATTTTTGTGTTTTGGAAAACTAAAAGACCTCGTCGGCACGGGTGCGAAAGGTATCAGATTTTTCTTTCCAGGTCGAAAATGCGCCGAGGGAATCTGTATGCATGACCCGTTTGGTGATCGTCCAGGCGCGGAAGGAAGGTCGACAGCGGCGGACGCTGGTGCTGAGATGTTAATTGTCCATTTTCGGTTCTGTTTGGGCTTCTGGCCTGGTAGAGTTAGAAATCTTAGAATTCAAAGGATTGGACGAGCCATACTGAGATCATGTCCCATGCAATTGTTTGGAACATGGCCTTTTTGGTTTCTCTTATCCTTTTCACCCCTCTCGGTTTTGCAGAACAGCGTACATTTGGAGATGTGATACACGGAGTACCTCGTCAAAGGCAAGGCTGCGGGAATATGGGGTTTAGACCCCTTTTTTCAACCGAGGCCAGCACTCCAACGCATCAACTTACCTCAGTCTATCGAACATAAGAGAGACAGATGCCTCTGACGGGTAAGTAAAGCGTATGGACAAGTTGCAGATCCGAAGTACTTATGGATATATGTGGGATTGCGCGGCCCCCCTTGATAATGGCGCAATTCTGTGCCAAGATGGCATGAGGCTGTTGGTATGATTAGGATACCTCTGGTGGTGCAGATTTGTGGGTTTCCCAGGGCTTGAAATGTGATATATTTTACCTGCATGACCCATCCTGGTCGTATGAAGTCCGTGAAATTCAGGTCTAGAGATGTCGCTTGATAAGGATGCCAATCAGCACGGACGTGATTCTTGCCACAACCCTCGTGTTTGACGCCTGGATCGCCAGCCCAAACGGCATATCCACAAGGCCTGGAGTTCGTGATGATTGAGGAGAAGCAGTTTCACCATTCACACCATTACCTGCTAAAAGAGATTTTCAGAGCTCCTGTTCTGGCGGATTGGATAAACATGGCGAAGGAAATTGCAAAGAACTGACCCAATGGAGCATTATGATCAACGGCAAAGAAACAATAACACTACCAATGGAAAGAAGGAAACGGTTTTGAGGAGAGAATCGAGCACCAGGCACTGGGAAGACGGGATAGCCTCTTTTGTAGACTTTCATCATTAGGGGTTCGGGGCCTGAAGTGACAATGTGTGAGTGAGCCTTTGGGGCCTTAAAACAAAAAAACAGGGCATGGTTCAAAGTCCGAATGAGATACCCCTGGTAGAGGAAGTGAAGAACACGCCATTCATTATGGGTAGATAACACTATTGTGGTGGATGCTTCCATTCCAAACTTACACCACCACAGACATCCCTTTGTTTATTAGGCGAGGCTCGAGGCCCCCCAATTGGGGCTGGTAAACTCACTTCCCTAAAGATTAACGTGCTGAGACGCTTACTCTGCGCATTGAACTATACTTAATAGGTATGCTAGGCGGAGCTATTCCTAAAACGCAACTTTCGAGTCTTCTAGCGGCCTGGTCCCGCCCGCGCAGCGTATGTGGTGGCATTCAAAACAACATCCATCATCATTTATATGGATTCATCAACCTCAACGCCCGTTCCGAGCTTCTGATCATCTCTCAAGCATCATGGCTCGAGGAGATCAACCTCTTCTTGCCCGACCGGCATCCCCCAACTCCTCCACCAACGACATCGAGGAAGAAGACGCTCTATTGACCGGCCGACCCACGAATCGATCACCCAGCAGAGCCCAGAAATGGAAGGAACTTGGGCTTTTTGTCTGGGCTCTTCTTGCTACCGCGGCAGTCATCATTCTCGCCGTCGTATACCAACATGAGTCCTCGATCGCGCACCCCAGGCCCAGAACAGGAGGATGGGGACCAGACGGAAAACCCACGGGCAAGCGAAACGTCATCTTTATGGTGTCGGATGGAATGGGTCCAGCGTCTTTATCCTTAACAAGGAGTTGGAGACAATACATGAGTGGACTCCCCGTCGACGATGTTTTGGTCCTCGACAGACACCACATCGGGTCCTCGCGGACTCGCAGCACCAGCAGTCTGGTGACCGACTCGGCCGCTGGTGCCACAGCCTTCTCCTGTGGATTCAAGAGTTACAACGGGGCCATTTCGGTTCTGCCGGACCATACCCCATGCGGGACGGTTTTGGAAGCTGCCAAAAGAACAGGGTATATGACTGGTCTGGTGGTGACTACGAGAATCACCGATGCGACTCCAGCCTGCTTTGCAGCCCATGCCAATCGAAGGGAATATGAAGATCTCATTGCCGAACAAATGATCGGCCATTATCCTTTGGGTCGTGTGGTCGACTTGATGGTTGGCGGAGGAAGATGCCATTTCCTTCCCAATACAACCGAAGGTTCCTGTCGAGGCGATGATAAGGATGTCGTGGCAATGGCTAAAGACAAGTTTGGCTTCAGCTACGTCGACAATCGAAAAGACTTTGATCACCTCGACCCAACAGATGACAGCCTTCTCCCTCTCCTGGCTCTTATTGCCAACACCGACGTTCCCTATGAAATCGACAGAGTGCACGTCTCGGATATCTACCCCAGTCAAGCCGAGATGACCAAACTTGCTCTCCGGGCGTTATCCGCAGCAACCAAAGACTCTGACAAGGGCTTCTTCCTCATGGTTGAGGGCTCCAGGATCGATCACGCTGGACATGGCAATGACCCAGCTGCTCACGTACATGAAGTCATGGCCCACGATGCCGCTTTCCAGGCCGTGTTAGACTTCCTCGACGAGGACGAGACAGAAGGCGTCCTCGTTTCTACATCCGACCATGAAACAGGCGGTCTTGCTACTGCCCGTCAACTCCACCAGTCTTACCCCATGTATCGTTGGTTTCCCGAAGCCCTGGCCAACGCAACACACTCGGGCGAATATTTGTCACGTCAATGGCACGACTTCCTTGACGACTCATCCGCGGCCTCACGTCAAGAGAAAGAAGATAAGGTGGCCGAATTAGTCGCCTCGGGCCTCGGAATCCAAGACTATACCAGCAAAGAAGTTGACGCCGTCGTCGATGCGAAACCAATCTGGCCGGCCAGCTACCTCTTCGCCGACATGATTTCTCGTCGCGCCCAAGTCGGCTGGTCTACGCATGGCCACAGTGCCGTAGATGTTAACATCTACGCATCCAACCCGGCTCATGCACCTGGCTTGGTAGGAAACCATGAGAACACCGAAGTGGGCAAGTTCATAGCCGAGTACTTGGACCTCGACCTCGAATCGATCACCAAAGAGTTAAAGGAGAAGAAAGTCAAGACTTCAGGCGTTCCCGGACAAGAACAAGGCGAGGAATGGGGTGAATGGATGGGTCCACCCGGCCTGGCCAACAATGAGAATGGTGAGCTCGTGCATCTCGACGAGTATCACGGGGATTTCAAGCACAGAAAACGCGAGGCCGAGATGGATTGTGGATGTGGGATGAAGCACTGATTTTGAGATTTTATCATGATGTTTACAGTTCCGGATACAGATACAAGGGCGAGCCAGCGTGCATGGAACGGATTGGAACGGCGTGGCCTTGGGGTATTATACTGAAAGACTCCAGTCAGTTCAAGTCGAGGGTTGCTGGAATGGAATTGATCAGATCTCCTTCCAGGAGAAGAACTAGAGCTCTGCTGAAGAGTGAAAAAAAATATACCAACCTAACAGTCTTTACTTCTCTATGTGTTTGCCAGACACCCCTCTCACCCAGGCTATAGGGAGATGGGATAGAAGAAAAGATATTATATGGTACCCTTTTTAGTAAAGTCATTGACCGGAAATCCGCCTTCGGTTTAGGCGGCCCGGCCCTTTCGGGTATGGTCGCAAGCTGGGCGGGCCGCCGCTTTGAACATCTATAGGAACCCTCTTCCCGTTTCTTCCTCTGCTCCAACCTGTTTTCTTTCTTAGTACGTTGATGCACCCGTCGTGTGTCGCACGGCACCGCCTGAATCCTCCTCTGCCGCATCAGGGCCCCCCTCTCGATTCTCCACCGGCTCCTCCCAAATATGCCTCGCCTCTCACAGAGCACTCCGGTCACTCCCGATCCTCACGGCCTCTGCGCCCTCGATGCAACTCGTTTCGGCCGCCTTCATGTCTCCAGTTCCTCCATGGCGCATTTTGCTTCACCGGCCACGCACCGTGCAGGCTCAGCTAACCCCTCTATCATCCACGCCTCGACCAGGGCCCTAAGGGTGTCGGCGTCGGTGCGTCTCCTGTTTACCGCCCCTTGCGAAAATGAATTCGCGTGATGGGCTCCTCTGGCGATTGTTCCAGACTTGCGAAAGCCTTGGGAGATGGCCGTCAAAATCGAACATCGTCAGTCGCCGTGGTTGACACTCAGCTCGCCGTGCTGCACCGTCGGTGCGGGATTCTGCATGGAGAACGACATGGAAGACGGCGAAGCACAGCCGGCGCAAGCGAGCTAAGTGCCGCACCTGCTGTGTCCAATCACTGAAGGCATGAAGGTGATGGAAACCGCAATGAGGAATTTTGACATTTGCGTGTGTGCGCGCTAGTAAGCGCTAAAGCGCCGCTGCGCATGTACCAGGAAAAGACTTTTGAAAGGCACCTCGCCTTGTTTTTCCATCTTGGGCCCATGGTCCCTTATACTTTGCCTTCGTCCCTCCAGCCTTCTTATGTAATCTTCCCTAGCGCGGTGGTTGGGTGTCACATTTGGCTACCTATCTGGCTGCTCAATCGGTGACTCCGAAACGGTCGAGACGGCAACCGCGCTGATTGATATCCCTGCTACAGATATCGAAATTTTACTGGGATCAATGGAACGAAAAAGTAGGGTCTGCTGCTGGACCCGGCTATCACAGTTTCCCGACAACTCCTCCTGACTCAACCTTCAATTTATCCTACCCTCGACACTGACACACATAATCCTCTGGCATCGGCCTCTGCCCTATCCCATACCCGCCCCCATACACATTCTCTGCAACCATTCGCAGCGTCATCGGCATCATGTTATCCTGGTAGTATTCCTGGATATCCGGTTTCTCCACCGCAAATTGGATGTTAAAGTGTTCATCCTCCATCGCCATCCGCTCACACTCCTTCTCCTTCTCCTCATTCCACCACTGCGGCAACATCCTCGCAGCCTTGACGCGAGTCAGGAAATCCCGGAACACTGGGAGCGGGGGGTCGTTGCCGTAGATGCCGTGGTTGTGAGCGCCGTGAACATAGTCGTCCTCGCAGCGGAGGCGGAATGTGTCGATGAGCATCTCATAGGTCTTAGACTCGTTGGTCTGGAATTGGGTGAAGAAGTGGAGAAGGTGGGGGTAGGGAGGTGGGCGAGGCGTCGTGCTGGTGTTTGTTGCGGTCGGTCGTCGACACACGGCCTTATGTTGCGGCCAGTGAGTTGTCTAACATTCTATAGAGCGAATCGTGAGCGATTCATGGAGAGAGTAGCTACCGCTACTGCTGACGAACCTTTGGAGCAGTATTTCACCTTCTGGCAGCGGCCACATCTTTTCAAGCCAGGGCCAGTAGGCAGTTCGACCTCAGACTTGTTGCAGGCAACGCATACTCGTGGTTCAACCACCGCGTTTGCAGAGTCTGTCATTTGATATTTCCTCTGGATCTGGGCGAAGGTTTGTGCACAGGCTAGAAATGTCACCAGGTACTGCTGACGACGTGGATCGCTTCGTTACGGGTAGCGTGTCTCATTGTCTCAGCATCTCAGACAGCGGTTGCCAAGCGCCAAGGCGCCGATTGACGCGCTGAAGCGCCGGCCAATCAAAAAATTTGACAATTTTTTTTTGCCAAATGAGCCTAGGCTCTGATACGTTTACCCCCATTTCACCGATCCAACATCTTCGAAATGCATTGTGACTTGTATAGTAGCATCATCTCTCCTGAAAGTGCGATACGTTTCACACGTGGCCTCGCTCCCCAAGAGTCACCTGAGATTACCGACGAGGAGGACAAACAGGTTGGGAGCACGAAAATGGTACAATCACACACTGGTGATCACGAAGAGCTTCACGAGAATTCAGTCTCTGATCTCAGACACATGAGACATTAAATCACAGGGTCGAACATTCCGGAATTACTAGCCGCTGAAAAGCATTCAACAAAATTGCTGCAAACCAATAAAGAGATGTTATTGATTTCGACCCTGAAAACGACCCTGCAGCTTTTGGAAGCTGGGACGGCCTTTTGGGACCAGGATCCCTCGTGACCCACTACCTGTTTCCTCCACCATGCGCAGGCTGCTGTTCATTTCCTTGTATCGTATCCTGGTAAATGTCGGCGCCTGATTTCTGACACATGTGGGCAATCACGCCAGTAGCTCCAGTGGCTATTCGTTCCCGCTTCCCTCCCTCTCCCCTTTCTCAAAAACCATCTATGGAGAGGTTTAGTGTACCAAGGTCCAAAGTTATTTTGGATTGATTTGTGGCGCTGTGACCAAGACTGACACAGAAGTTCCATGTGCAGTGTCTGCATCTTGTCCCCTCTCTGACTTCTTGCCAGAGAGCCGAATTTTCCTCGCAAAACCGTTTCATCACCGTCGACTGAAAGGTGACTTCTTGAGAATTCAAATGGAATGCAAATATGTTTGCTTCCAATAACTTATCCCCGGCGTCGGCGCCCACCAGATCATAGAAGGTGTCCCGCGGGATGGATCCATCCTTTAAAATCTCACGTATAATCGCCGCTCCCTCCTTGTGATAACGACGTTCAGGAAAAACTTCAGGGTTGTCCTTTGGCGTCGTAGAGCATCATCTGGCGGATAGCTAAAAGGCAGTGAGAAATTAATCCCGTTTTCTGCATGCTGTATACATACCTTCAAACAAGCTGTTTCTCTTGAGCCTGTCTGCGATAAACTTGAGGTGTATCATGCGGCCACCAACGAGGTGATAAATTTGCGCTGCCTGTTCCCCATCGATGCTCCAGAGTTTCTACCCATTCCTGGGTGGGCCGTGGATTGGATCCGATGGGGTCAACCACATGATTACGTAATACTAGGATTATAGATTTTCCGGAGTGGGGAGGCTTGGCTAATCACGTGACACGAGGGCCCGAGGGTTGGCCCGTGGACTGGATCCGATGGCGCCAGAGTCGTCGGATTATAGATTTTCCGGATCCCGAGGGGTCGCAATCACGTAAATTGTCGTACGGCCGCATGTGTGCGCCGCCATGAGTTGCCAAGGCTAATGTGGCCGGCTCAATCACGTGATCTCTCGAGCGCACGAGCCTGGGGGTTTAGGGGCTTGCCCCCAAAAGACAAAGCTACGCTTTTCACCCCCCGCGGAATATCCTGTCCGCGACCCCTAGTTTCTCCAGTATGTGTAGTCCCCCCTCGGGGTGTCCATCACTCCTGAAGTAACATCCGAGGCAACTTGCACCCTCAACCTTTCCACTCATTCGTCAGTGCTCTGAGATAGACAATCAATCAATCTTCTCTCCCATGTTGTCTAACACGTCTTCCATACCGCTTCTGCTTTCGTTCCCAAAACTCCAACCAATGTTGCGCTTGTTGGCCAATCACGTGACACGTTGCTTAGCAACATCACGTGAGACAATTGGCTTGGCAATGTTGCAATTTGAACCCTTCCTCCTCTTCAGTCTTGCTCTCTTGTTAGATAGAACAATAACGCATTCCCTTCACTAAACTCCACAGTCTATTATTCAATACCGCTTCTGCTTTCGTTCCCAAAGCTCCAACCAATGTCAACGTGGTTGCGGATTTCTGCGTTAACTTCTAACAAATACTAATTCTAGGCGCCAAGCTTTCCCCTAAAGGCTGCATCTACGGGCACGCAATACCGCATTCACTTAGGACATGCAGGGGGGGGGCATCATCACGATTATCCGCTCTTACAACCTCGTCCACTTGCTGTCCAGTTCCCCAACGTGGCTTTTTGTCTGCAATCAAAAGGAGGCTTTGATACGCTATTCACACTTGTGCGCTATAAGTTTGCTCTCGTTCCGTGGCGATGAATTCGCCTGCCAGGTCCCCATCGCGTCCTCACCGGCGGGCGGCAGAGAAAGCTTTCAAAGAAGTCCACAACGCCTTTGGCGGCGGCACCAAAAGACTGAGGGCCACATTTACTCACGGGGCAAAAAAAGTGCTGAAGCGCACGCGTGATCGCACGCCAACTGGAACCCTTTCAAAAGGTGATAACACCCCCACGCAGTATAAACAGACACCGACTCACAAGCGTATGGTCAATTATTCTGGATTGATTGAAGAAGATGATGTCGTTTATGCCGATGACATAGGAATACGGATTTTGGCAGAAGCCCGTGAAATCACGAGAAAGAACATCCCCCATGATACGTTCCGCTCGACCTTTCTAGGCCCCTTCAAACACAAAGATGAACGACCGCAGCTCAACATCCAAGATATTAAGAAAATTGGTACCGATAATTGGGAACAGACGTCGTTCTTTCAGCGATTGCAAAAAGCACTCCCTAAGAAGGTTATATTTTGTTCGAAGTGTTTTTGGAGGCGTTCTGTTAATCTAGTCAATAGGTTCTTAGTGACCTCAGTTTATCCAGCTCTTTCTCGAAGACGTTACTCGGAGCCAAACGAGGTAAGGAGCCGCTTTCGCAACCAGATTTCTTTTTCCATCTCGAAACGGGTACTAGTTGGGCTCATGTGGAACTTGTTTTTGAGCATACGCAAAGCTCCTTGCAAAAGGCCCCTGAAAAATTCCTGCAGTGGTTGCGAAATGCCTGGAACATATTCTATCATCAGCCCTTCCGCCGCTACCTCTACGGGATTCTTTTCCTCCAACCGTATGCCTTAATTACTTACGTTGATCATGGCTGTGCCGGGTACTCTGAGCCACTTGATTTTGTGAAGAATTCTCAACACACTCAATTCCTCGCGGATTTTCTGGCGGATTTCATCGCGGAACCTGAACACCGTGGACGAGATCCCCATGTTACGGCTCATCAACAAGACGGCTCGATATTCATTGAGTATGCGGGAATAAAGTGGGCTGAAGCAACCGATAGCTTACTATGCTACCGTCCCTGCGTTTTTGGGAGACATCTCAGGGTCACGCGGGTGCATCCTGCGGACTCCCTCAACGATAAGTGGGTTATGAAGGATGCCTGGGAAGAGAAGCCTGAACACCAATCGCCACCGCCTGAAGAAGAGATTCTCCGCATTCTTGTCGAAGCAAACGTACGAGGCCTTCCACAGCTCCACGAATCGTGCCGTTCGATTACAGAAGGCAGCGACAATGTGGAGGCGTCAGGCGACAATACGGAGGTGTTGACCAGCGAGTTCCCTCCGAATTGTGAGAACGCACTCGCGGCAATAATGGATCGAACCATGAAGGTGGTTAAATCCAGCTTCGTATCTGGGCGCCCTTCAAAATTCGATCCCATCGGCGTATCTCCAGGCACTACAGGCAAGGATCTCCATTTCCGAGTCAACGGGCAGAAAAAGAATTTTAATGAATGTACCGACGTGCGCAGACGACGGGCCCGCCTTATCATCTCGTATTGCCAACCCTTGAAAGAGGCGATGCGCAATGCCCAGCCGAAAGAACTCATGCGAACAATCCGCGACGCTATGATCGTTTATTACGAGGCCTACAAACGTCCTGAGCATGGTTTTCTTCATGGTGGTAAGATTACGAATGTGCTGGACGATGAACAGCGCTAATGAATTCTTAGATATTTCGATTGAGAATATCATGGTTCCGGTGGAGGAGACTCAACTTACTGGCGGCCTTACTCACGAGACACTGCGCGGCACTCTCATTGACTGGAACCTATGCTTTACCGCCGACGGGAGAGCATCCAGCAGAAGCATTCGAAGTGGGACCCCCGCATTCATGGCGCCGAGTCTTCTTGAGGACAAACCAGTTACTCGAAGAACCTTGGGGCATGATATGGAGTCGTTCTTTGCTGTTATGCTTTGGGTCGCATCACTGAACTATGACGATGAAATCGCCTTTCAAGATAAGCCTCTGGTAAAAATTGTTATTGAAAAAAAGCCGACCACAGATGTTGCAAACGCTAAAGTGCGTTGGTTTCAGGTTGCAGTGGATTTCAAGGTGTCGATAATTGATCACTTTGAACAGCCATATCGCGAAGACGACGACTTTGTCAGATGCACATGGGACCTTCGGCGCGTCTTATACAAACGGGATTACGACGAAGATGCACTCATGCCTGGTGGAAAAGGGCTAAGGGATCTCGAGGATACGAATGACGATGATCCAATGAAGGAACGCTTGTTCAAAGAATGCATGGCGGTTTTCGATATGCACCTCGGCGACGAAGGGAAGCAAAGTGGTAGTTACCAGTTGGACAAGATCGATACTAGGGGAGACCTAGAAGAATCGGAAGAGGAGATTTGATGCGGATTATGCGGGAGTCTTTTACTGGAGAAAAGATTCTCTCATCGCTCACCCGGGCTTCAAAGAATTGTGTCACTTGCGTTGCTAGATGAACTTTGAAACCTTGTATCATTATGACGTCTTACATAGAAAAGCATTAATCGACTATCTATTGTATCGAGATCTGTCTCGCTTCTACCAATATTCGAAGGCCTCGTTAGCTACGACCAGCGATGTCAAGAGTCTCCTCCTCCTCCCCAACCCTCTAGAGGCGGAGCCGAGCCAATGCTTATGTAGTCGAGATCGAGGGCGACGAAGTCGAAGGCACTATTGAAGGTAAGGAGGGGACCATCGACGGCGTAGTCGACGAGGTCCTCTCAATGCTTGGAAAGATACTCCGCGACATTTTTGCATACCAAACACTAAGCAAAAAGTCTTGAACAGGTTTATACATCTCGACCACCCACTGCATCTATAGGCTCTATAGGACCAATCATATTCCGCAGAGCCCTTGCCGAGGCGGGTACGCCTCCCTCAGAGGGAGAGCACAAGGGGCAGAGCCCCACAAACCACTCCACACGAACTAACGAATGGTCAAAGAGTCTGGAATTTTCTCTGCCTGAGATAAAAGAATGAGTCTGGATCGCACGGGAGTATGAGTAATAATAGTTAGTCCTCTCTTCGTGCAGGCAAGTACCGATCTCATCGCCGATATCTGAGCCCAATGTATCGGTATTTAGTAAATATATATCGCCGATATTATAGCCGGCTTTCCTAATTGAGTATTCCGTCATTTCCAACTATGGTGTTGCTGACTAGGATTTGGTATCCGATTACGCTCCAGTATCTCAGAACACAGTGATCAACATTGTCTACACACGGTCCATGGACTGGATCTGATGGAGGATATCGTACGGCACAGGACACCGTGATCAACATCGTCCACACGCGATCCATAGACTGGATCCGATCAGGGCGGCCTGGCAGACAAAGGCGGCATTCTATCCATTCCTGGGTGGGCCTTGGATTGGATCCGATGGGGGTCAAGCCAATTAGAGCACGTGATTAGGAGTCGGATTATAGATTTTCCGGGATACGGTGGCGCTCTACCCATTCCTGAGTGGGCCGTGGATTGGATCCGATGGGTCAGCCAGTCAAAGCACAGGATCAGGTAATTTTCGGATTATAGATTTTCCGGGCTACGGCGGGCGCTCTACCCACTCCTGGACGGGCCGTGGATTGGATCCAATCGCAGGATTACGTACTTCTCGGATTATAGATTTTCCGGATTGTCGAGGGTTAGCTAATCACGTGATACAAGAGGCCCGAGGGTTGGCCCATGGACTGGATCCGATGGCGCCAGCCAAGGGATTTGGTAGTATCCGGATTATAGATTTTCCGGATCCCAAGGGGTTGGCAATCACGTGAATCGTGATAGGGCCGCATGTGTGCGCCGCCAAGAATTGCCAAGACCAATGTGGTCGGCTCAATCACGTGATGTCTCGAGCGCAGCGAGGCCTGGGGGTTTGGGGGCTTGCCCCCCAAAATACAAAAGCTACGCTTTTACCCCCGTGGAATATCCTGTCCGCGGCCCTAGTAGATTTCCCAGATTACGGGTGCTACGTTGTGGGGGGTTGTTGGCCAATCACGTGAGGCAGTTGGCTTAGCAAAAAGGCGTGGAAAGGTCGGTGCGAAAGGCTCTGTCAAAAGCGTTCAACGTCGTTGAAAGAGCACTAAAAAGCGCCAACTTTACAGAGGGAGGCAAAGTGGATGGAAAGGTACCTGAAAACCCCCCGTTTCTGTAGAGATTTGAGGTATCTCGCCATCTTGCGGATAACTCTCGCACAACTAGGCTCAACTGGTGTTTACATTCCCTTCGGCATCGAGGGAAGAACGCCGCCAAAAGCGGCGGCACAACCCCTCCACATTCGGCGGCAGATTTCCCTTCAACCCGTGTCGTGCTGCAATTTCTTTACTTCGGAGCGCCCGACATAAATCTCTATAAAGTCCATGACACTGACAGCAACTACCATCGAACGTTGCCTACCAGATAGCAACGTCAAAAGCCCCACATTTTAAAACACCACTTCCCTGTCTGCATACGTACACTCCACTTCTTATCTCTCCAAGTCCATGTCCATGACCAGGACCGGGACCAGGACCAGGCATGTATCTGTATGGAGATTGATTGGAGAGGTCAGCGACTCGGGACTCAATCAGTGGTCTCGTCATGCCCGGAAAGTGGACCATCTCGGCGATAAATATTCCATCACAACAAGGGCTATATCTATGACGCCGATTCCCTGCTTTTTTGGCCCTTCGCACCTTGCTCTTTAGCTGTTATTTGTTAACCGAAGCCCCCAACCATTGATCAAGAGGCTCAAGATCATTGGATTCGTTTGGTGTCCATAAGAAAGTCAAAGTCGACTTCAACTTCCAAGCGCCTGTGAATTGCATTTGCATTTGCATTTGCTTGCTCTTGCTCCTGGGGTTGGAGCCAGGTATATAACATATCCTTTACCATAGCGTCGTTCATTCGCTCGTGACTGTTACGACATACGAGGGAAGCAAAGAAAGAACAAGAAAGATTCCCATTTAACTGTCCAAGTGTCATCTCTGTACAGCGGGTTTATCATCATCGATTAAGTGGTGCATGATGCGCGTGTATTTCATTCAAATGACAGTAGAGGATATCAATAGCAATATTCATAGCAGTTATCAAACACCAATGGCAGTATGGTCAGATCTCAGCATGACTTGAGCGAGTATGTAGCAAGCCATCCTCAAACGCGAGTCCCAATATGTAAATGCAATGCTAATCAAAGCAACCCGTTGTTCGTTCCATTACCTAGTATCGCGACGACAACGACGTACTTTTTCCCTCTTGACGAAAACATCCTTCCCCCTCCCTCCTTTCCCCTTCTTTTCGGGGTCCTTCGTCCCCTCGACCACGGGTTTCTTTTGGTTTTTCTTGGGTCATGATTACTCCAAGATTAGGAATTTACACCTTGAACAAGCGGCTGGGAGCAGAGGGAGGAGTGCAGGTGCCACCGATATCCAAGGTCCAGACAGCGGAGTTGAATTCACTGTAGAGTTTTCCAAGTTGGTATCCGGTAGGACCAACAACATCGCAATCAGAGCCGGACTGCACTGCATACAAAACGGTGATACCCTTGACGGGGCCGACTTGTATTCCAACGTAAGCTTGCCATCTGAAAACAATGACACCATCACAAGTGACGGCGTCGATGTTGAGGATGTCGAGACCGATAGGAGGTTGAGTGCCTTGACCGGCAATGTATGCTGCGGGCGATGGGAAGGTGACAGATCCCAAAGGAATGCCGGCAAGGAAGTTGATGGAGTCAGAGGTATCCGTGAAGGATGGAGCAAGCAAATTGGTAGCGACATTGGTGTCGAAATTGGTCAGTGTTGAGACGAATTGATCAACGATCTCGACCGCAGTGTTGTATGGGATACACTTTCCCTCATCGCCACCACCACCACGTTTGGCGAGAGATGGAAGGGCTGAGGCCATGCCGATCAGGCTGATCGGGGCAAGGAGGCTGGAGAAACGCATCGTGACTGATCTGGAGTTTGAAAGAAAGACTTTTGGGGTTCTGGATTCCTGCTTCGAGGTAGACTAGATCTGTTTATTTTTTTTCCGACGACGGTAGGACCGATTATGTAGCAGACAACGAGAGGCTGGATGAAATAGCGACAGACTGTACCGACTAACGTGGAGAGCTCAACTGGTGATACTAAAAGAAAACTCGACAGACGAGAGGGGGATGAGGAGCTTGCTTTAATGGATTTATGGTGGCTGCAGACGGCCTTGCAGGCCTTTTTGCTTTGATCATGTGGAATAAACAGATCCGGCTCCGCCTACCTTGGTTTATCCCGATACTAAGTCAGGTTGCGGCTTGCAGCTTGCAGGGGGGATGGTAACGGAGTGCCCTCCTCGGCAGGTCAAAAAATTTTTAGCATCAAGGGATTGGGATGACGTGTGAGGAATGATGCAGGAACAGAGTTGGCACCGGTCTGATGTGAGCAGACAGAACCGTCAGCTTAGCGACGGAGAGGCCCAAAAGAGGAGAATAATGAGACCAAGGGCCTAAGGGAGAAGGGCAGTAGCCTTGAGGGAGGAGAGAAGAGGGAGGGTCGGATAGCAAGGGACGGTTACTATCCAAGGATACGAATCTGTCGATATGATTGGTTTCCGCCGCCCTCAACTGACCCATGGTAGCAGAGCAGAGATGGGGGGGTTTCCATACAAAGCATAAAGCCTGCCGTAGTCTAGTCTCGCGACCGAATAGAGAAGCGGTATTCTTTAGATAGATCAAAGGAAGGGATGGGAACTTCGTTCATTTGGTGCCTTGCTGACCAGGAGCTTGGAGGACAGAGGATTTGGTAAATAGGTATCTAGGTACCGAGGTGGCGATGATGATGAAGTCGAGAACGACGAGGACGTCCTCCCTACGTATGATTTGAATTGATTGCGGTTAGTATCACATCGATAAGATTTGTGTAGAATGAACGAGTCTGGGGGGAAACGCTCGTACTCCGCAGGTGCAGAATCCACCATTGCCCACCGCCCGCTGCATCCTACTATCTAAGACAAATCTGGAATAGCTTGAGGAGGGGTAATTCTAGTTGGTTCCTCATGGTTTTCCAATGTGAACCGGACTCTTCAGTTTTTCACCAGGAGCCAGACTCACCCGACTTTGATCCTCATCCTCCCTCGCTCTCTCTGCTAACTGCCACTGCATCAACTACGTACGTGCTTTGATACCTTGGTCCTGACTGAGCGTGTGGAATCTAGCCCGTCCCACAGCCCCAGACCTCGTGGCGATCTGTCAACCTGCTTGACTTCCAGGTCCCCAAAACCAAAACTAGCTTTCTCTCCGGATCCTGGGGCCAATCGCGAGGCCTCCAAGGTGTTACTGCCATACTGGATCTACGGACAAGGGAGCATCCAACCAGATCACATCACCAGAATCCACTCTCGTACACTTACGGCCGACGATTCGGTGAGCTGATTTTGCTTTGGAAAGGGCCTGAAAGGAAACTAAACTATGAGTCTAGTTTTGTTGGATAGGGTGATCAAAATATCTTGTGCCCCTCTTTGATCTTTTCATTTACTGGTTGTGAAATAGACACTTGCTCTCTAGCCTGACCGTTCAAGATCTCGGCTGAAACTGGTCGCCTTCCTCACCGGGCGTGATTAATCGAACACTTTTGCGTGAACTGCTAAAACTAGAAATTCCACCTCCTCGACTGCTCGCCCGCCGGCCGGTCATACTCCGTTCATCACCGCTCTGCGTAGCCCGCTCTCCAACGCCGTTGCGGAGGGCCACCCTCACTTTGTCCACCGCAGGACTCGGCGTAGCTCGGACAGGATCTCGCTTAGTAGAGCCGCTTCCCGTGTGGGTGCCGCGAATGAGTTTGGCTTCATCTTCTCGTATCACTTGTTGCTGAATTCGCTGTTGTCGGGTCAGACCGGGGCCGCAGTCACATCCACAGCCTTGACTTGGGCACGTCCCTTCGCTGAAAGGCCGAGAAAACCATTCCATCAGACATCGAACATGTCCCGAGTGCCCACATGCCTGGCAGAACAACCACGTGTTCCTGCTTTGACCCCAGCTCTGTGAATCGGCAGCCCCGATGTTTGAAAGGAACAGACCGTCACTTGGACCCCTCAGGGATTGACAGATCGGGCACACAGATCTGACTTTCTGACACCTGTCGCACACATCTTTTCCTGTGGGCATCGGGCCTTGACAGCCGCTGCAGACGATGAATACGTTCCTCGAATCTCCATGGGAGAGGCTGCCACCGGTCTGCGTGCTCTCCGACGACCCGGCGTGGCACAGCCGGGGGTAGTCAAGTTCCACACACATCTTTCGAATGAGGGCCGCCGACTCGAAAAGGCCGGTCCGTCTCAAAAACATCAGGTGATTCTCGAAAAGGCTCTCAATGATCCGGTGTCCAAGATGTGGAGTCATCAATCTATCGGCAAGACAATTTGCTTCACTCCCTGGTCGCTTCAGGTCCCGGAAACTCGGGTGGAAAAAGTAAGGATGAACATGCATGAGCAGATGGGTGGCGAATTGAGCGTGGCCGATCCCATTCTCCACATCGAAAGAGATGCTTTGACATATCAAGGGCAGCGATGACCAAGCAAAAGGCAACTTTGGTTCATACTTGGATAGGTCAATGGGACAGAAATCTTGATACAAGTAAGTCTCACAGTCAAGTTCGGCCATGGATATTGGGCCGTATTGCCCGTCGGCGTTGTGTCCTTCCACCGTCTTGTCAGGACGTCCTGCTCGTATCGGATTGGACGTATGTATCCGTGGCTTAGGTATGGGTGCACTTTCCTCGAAGTGAAAGATGTCCGGCGAGGAGGACACCGCTGTGCTCAAATACGACATGGGAGCGGAGCCATGATCATGCTCCGAGTCCCAGAGAGTTTTGTTCTTCTGGGCAGGAAGTGACCGGCCAGTATCATGGGAGTCACCAAGACCAAATCTCGTGTCTAATGGCGTGTCCGTGGCGGAAGCACCGCCTTCGCGCTCGTCGGAATTGGCCCCTGGTCCTGGGTTCAATCTTGAATGTTGGCCACTGAAATCTTCAGACGACGAGTCTTCGGATTCATCGTCGTGCTCGTAGTGGGCACTGTTACCCCGACGTCGACCCGATGTCCGGCCAGGACTGTTGGGAGACTCGAACGACCGTTCAAGTGATCGTGCCCTGTGCGAGCTGTCGGTTGATGCAGAAAACATCGGAAAGCTCCCCGCGGAATCATGTCGATTCTCAGAATTCGGCTTGTCGGTCGAACCTTCCAAGGTAAATACGGGGCGAGCTTGCACCCGATAATCCCGTAACGCTGCTCTCCGATCTTCTTGATTTTGTGGCGCGGGTACTGTCCGTCTGGGTTCGACGGGGTCAGAGTTGGGTTGTTTTGCTGAGTGAAAAGGAGACTCCGGCACCGTCAAGAGATTTCGGGTCGATTGACGAGTGCCGCCCTGGTCCTGTCTGCCCGTTTCCGGGGAGGAAGATGTTGATTTCGTGACTCTCTCTGGGCTCTCGATAAGTGCACGTGCCGCCGCGGCCGCGGTGGAGTGTGAGTTCAGGATCGACGGAGGAAGCGGTGCGATGGTGTCGATGCCTTCTTCGCTACTAGTATGAATCCATCTCTTGTAGTCTGAAGGTGAACTTGGCAGAGGTTTTGCCACAGGGGTGGTCATATTGGACGTGCTATCCATTCCAGACTCAGAATGTGCTCGCTCAGCGTCCACCATACCTCTGAAAAGGCTGCTCATGAGGTTCTGGGACTTTGCATCACTCTTCGGGGCCGTCCCACGGTTGGGTAGCCCCGCTAGAGGGGAGACGCTCGATTGATGTGCCTTGGCCCTGAAACTTTCCAAAGTCTCACGTCGTCGAGCGGCATCAGCGCGACGTCTAGCACGATTGGCGTCCGCCCAATCCTTGAGTTCGGGGACTATAACCGCACCCAGTATCCTCCAAGATTGTGCCATTCGATGCATGGAGACGGCGTCACATGCCGCGGCATTTTGGTGGAAGACATTTTGCAAACGTTGCAGAATCGTATCTGGATCATGCATCCTTTCCCCGACGGTGGCCGGCGCTGCATAGTGTGAGGCCAGAAATTCCACGACTTCTGGCTCAGCAGCCACACCGGGAATGTAGTCGGCAGCACCCACTTGTTTATTGCGGAATAGATCCTGACGTTCGAAAACGGCTTTGTCTAGTGGGAGAACAGATGGCTTTTCTTCCACCGAAGGCGGACTATTTGCCCGGGATTTGTTTGACCTCGAGGAGATTGGACCTCTTTCCTGCCGTCGAAAGCCCGTTGTCATGGTCGTGTCAAGAGCGCTATCGTCGTCGGTCAAGCTTCGACTTGCACCGCCATCGTCGCCACTGCTCAGTCTGTCGTGAGGAACACTTAAGAACCCCAACGCAGGATCGTCCTGGGCAGGACCCCACCGCAGTTCTCTGTCTTCGGAGAACATGTAGTACTGACCGTCCGGCGTAAAGGCCGAGGCGCAAGGAGAGAGTTGATTGTACAAAGGAGAAGCATGTTTGACATCCCACTGAGTAAAGATTCCTTCGTCTCCAACGGTCCAAAGCATATCCTTATTTGCCCACAAAAGATCATTGGCCGGAGTGTTGTATCGGTCAAGTTCCCGGAACGGGAGCAGCGGCCGTCGAAGATCCCATATATGAAGCCTGGGGTCGTCGTGATAGTAGGACACGGCGACTTGAGTACTTTGCCAATGGCCCGAATTAGCCGCCTCGTAAGCTCTGCACGGAGGTCTCCATCGAATGTTTCTAATCGCATGAGGCGCTCTAAGCTGAAAGACGGGTTTCTGGCGTCTATTGTCACTCTGAAAATCCCAGACCCTCACGTACTTGTCGAATCCACCGGATATCACGTGGCGGCCATCAGGATGGTAGTCCAGCGAGTAGCACGCTTTCTCGTGTCCACTGATGCTCAACTTCGGGCCCAATGGAGAACGCGCATCCCATTTCTGGATCACACCTCCATCAGCGCATACCGCAAAATCGAGTGGTTCTAACGGAGACCAGCGCACATCCCGAACGGCACTCCGCACCTCGAAGCGAATACGGGCCTTTTCGGGTTTGGGATCTCGCAAATCCCACAACCTAACCGACTTATCCTGGCTGGCAGATAGCAAAAGGTATCCCGCAAACGGATCGAAATCTAGCTTGTTAATCTGGCCCGTATGTTCATGAAGCCAAGCGAGCTCGGTTTTGGGGCTGGAACTGCTCAGGTCGTAGAGTGCAATGCGACCATTCGTGGCCGCTGTTGCTATGATATGATGCCACTGGCCTTTGGACCATCTCACGTCTCTTGCTGGTAAATATTCTCGGCGCTTGCTAGGTCCGTCCAATTGAGGCGATGCACGAGTGGACGCGTAGGAAATAATGGAGGCACGAAGGTTCAGGTCCTCGGTGACCTTGCCATCCTGCACTCGGACGGTCTTGAGAATGTCTTTGCCCGCGAGGATGGCGTGTGTTCCCGACTGGTTGATATCGAGAGCGGCGATGGGGATACCAGTACGATGGGTGGCCGTCTGGCATGGGAGCGAACTGGAGGTTTGTTGTTAGCCACCTCATGCGCGAGCATCAACCGAAATACCTCTCATGCCTGTACGTGTGTATGCCGGTGATTTGACGCAGAGCGTGATCACGGTCGCCTTGTGCTGGACCACCATGGGCCTTTGGGCCAGTATACTTTCCCCAGGGAACAATGATTCTCCCCAATTGGCCCAGTCGACCAGGCGGTAAAGGGGGCGCTGGGGGAGGAAGGGGATTCTGATTCTCCGCGAGGATGGGATCAGACATTGCTCTTTACTGTTCAGCATCAACGGGACCCGCTCAGATGCCGGATATCGATGATGGGGAGGCTAAGGCTGGTAGCGGGTGGGCTGCGGAAGGGGACGGACTCCAAAGGGCTCATGGTTGACACAGAGAGCCATCATTGGAGCGGATAGCGAGCGAAGCCACAGTGGATACGTGTATGCAGCCTGGATGCAGCGAGGAAATGCAGGAAGATAGCAGATGCTGCCGTAGAAAGTTGAAGGCTACCAGGGAGCCTTAGAGGGCGAAAAAAAAAAAAAGAGAGGGAACGCAGAGCTCGGAGGAAGTGGTCGCTTGCGGGACGGATGAAGAAGGCTTCAATTGGATGCCCGCGGGTGGGTCAGTCTGGTGGAAGCATCCGGCAATTTTGTAGGTACCCTGGGGTTTAAAGTACCTCCAGCACCTATGGGTACCTGGTTATGCTAATACATAGTGGGCAAGCCTCGATTCCGGGGATGCAGGTGTTCTGCAAGCCAATACTCCAGATGAGCTGTTCTAACCTCGGCACTAACAACTATTATTTTTCTTCCGGACGAGTCGTTGGTACTTGGGCACACAATTCCCACGGCATTTCTCTTGCTATTCGCAACTTGGGTTTTCGTCGTGGCTGACAGACAAGCACACAGTTCGGGATAGCTCGCTAGCACACGCAGTGACGGCGACATCGACAGATACTCGCTGAGGCGGCGGTGAGCAGCCTGCGCTTTTTCTTTGACTTCCTTCTCATTCCTTTCTCGATCCATTGATCCATTCATGTATTCCTGAACTCGACGTATTCCTCCGAACTTTCAGGTCCAGTCCACCCGTCAACCAGTCAAGCATCCATCCATCCAGCCTTCAATCACCGAATCAATCGTCTTCTTTGTCATCTCCTGGCCTTCTCAACTTGTGCCTGCGCGTTGCAAAATCTAACCCGTTTCTTACCCGTTATGGCCAAATTGAATATATTTCTCCAGCATCGTCTCCAGAATCCTCCTCCCTTTTCCTCCTCCCACTTCCGCCTTCATCTTTGTCGGGCATACACTGTGTCACTCTCGTGGCCGGCATCTGTTACTCTGTCAACCCAGGTTGACCATTCCCATCGGGTATCACGACCAATTCTACTCCCAGATCGATTTGACATCTCTTGTCCTCCATATTACACACTTCACCCGCTGAAATCGAACATCTCAAATCCGCCATCTGACATTGGTATTTCTGACTACGCGGTCTATACCCCTCCTAGTGACCGACTAGCCCTGTGATCCGCTGCCTCGTTCCGCGGCTCTTTGAGTCCCACCAAACAGCTGTGCCACCTCCCTCCAAAGACAGCCACACGGGTTTCGGCGAACGACTCCACCATCTACACTACTCGAGCCTACGGAGGACACCATTCACGAGTCTCTGGTGACCGAAACTCGCTCACTCGCCATATCCAGATTCGACTCAGCTCACCAGACGGTCACCACTGAACCAGACTGACCCATTGGCACTACCCATAGTCAAAGTTTCTTGTCACGCGACAAGCGCGATCGAGACCGACCGGTGCAGCACAGCGAAAACTTTACCCGACCTGCCTCCCGGCTTTCGCCTCCACCTCCATCCCTCCCCCCGGCTCGCCACCTCAAGGCCTCTTTTTGTACGTCGTCATTTTATCACGATCGACTCTAACTACAAACTTGAACCATCACTTGTTCACTTTAACCACAATCGCTACTTCATTCTTCCACACATCGGTTTGTTTCTCGTTTGTAATAGTTCCTTCTGTCGTTCGCTCAAATTCGGTATCCAACAACTGTTTCCCCTCTAATCAGCCACAATCTCAATCACGTCCAACCCTGATCGTCAGTCTTTTCTTCAGGGGAACCGAGGCAGCACAGACAATCGGCCTTGTCCCGCATTCACCCAGACGAGAAGGAAACCAGGGAAGCCACACCACTCCTGCACTATCATTGCGTCCTGATTTGAATAAGAGAGAACCTAATAACTCGAATCTTTTAATCCTTGGGCGGCTGTTTCCTTTTTGTTTTGCATACAATCCTGCTGGTGGCGAGGCTTTGAGGAATATGTATGGTGAACCAGATTTTGCTGCTATCCAAACCTGTCTCCGGGTTCTCAATGTCGCCAAATCAGCGTACCCCGCCGTCGTCTTACTTGTCTTTCTCATTGCGTTCGTCACGCATGGCATCAAAACCGCACCCGATGACGGGGACAAGGTCAAGATTCACTCCATGCGTGGGCCTGGAGGAAGACCTCTTCCGATCCGCCGGAAATCCGCCAATCAAGTCAAAGAAGCTGCGGCATTTAAGGACTTACCCAGTGGAACCCAAACAGTCGTCAAGATCGGTCAAATGGGTATCATCCTGACCTTCCTGGCAAATGCCGGCCTCCTCCTTTTTGAGACCCTGTTGAATCGAAAGGATGAATGGTGGCCTGGCCAAAATGCGGTGGTATGTGGATGACATCTCTTTCATCCGTGGCCCTTCTTTATATGGCTAATGTACACAACCTAGATCTACGTGATAGCTTCGACCTTCGTCTGGCTTGTGGTCTTCATCTCTATTCTTGATACGAAGCCTTCACCCAATACTGTCCATTTTGTCACTTGGCTCTCTGCTATCCCTCTGGAGGTGGTCATCATCGTTGCCTGCCTCCAGATTTACACCGTACCTCATCATGAGCCTCGAGTTGGGGATCAACAAGGCGGAAAGTACAGAAAATCGATTACTGGTGGGGAAACCATCGAGGTCATCGTCAACCTGGTCCGGCTGGTTTTGCTCCTTGGACTCTCGTTACTCTTCCTAACCGTCAAGATCAACGTGTTCAAACCCAAGGTTTCCGACTCCACAGAATCCGGCGAAAGGACGCCTTTACTTGATGCCACGGCTACGGAAACAGGTATTCGGCCTAATGGACATGCTCATGGCAATCACCAAGATGGCACAACTTCGGAACCTAAAGAGCACGTTGATGCTTGGGCCAAACCAACCGAAGTTCCCAATATAACGTGGTACGCGTATTTGCGAGGATTTCTCCTCCTCGTACCATATCTCTGGCCCAAGAAGTCACTGAAGTTGCAGCTTCTGGCGGGGACCTGCTTCCTCATCATGGTGGGACAACGGGTGATCAATGTCTTTGTTCCCGTGATGGTGGGCAAAATTACAGACGCATTATCTGGCGACGATGGCAAAGGCGTCCGAGCACCTTGGCTCGACATTGCCCTGTATATCCTGTTCAGGTGGCTTCAGGGATCTCAAGGCATTTTTTCGGCGGCCAGGTCAATTCTCTGGATCCCGGTTGAGCAGTATTCATACCGTGCCATCTCCACGGCCGCATTTGAACATGTCCACGGTCTCAGTGCGGAATTTCACACAGGTAAGCGAACGGGTGAATTGATTTCAGCGTTGAACAAGGGGAGTTCGATCAACTCATTCCTGGAAATGGCCACCTTTCAAGTCGGCCCCATGGTTTTTGATCTTGTTGTGGCCATGGTCTACTTGACGATCAAGTTCGACGCTTACCTCGGTCTGGTTGTGGCTATTGTCACGTTTCTCTACATCTACGTTACCATCCGCCTTGCCTCGTGGCGGGTGACTTTGCGCCGGAACTACGTCAACGCCGATCGAGAAATGGAAGCAGTCAAAAACGATTCTCTCCATTCCTGGGACACCGTCAAATACTTCAACGCCGAAGAGTACGAATTCAACCGCTACAAATCTGCCATCAAGACCATGCAGAGCTTCGAGTACTGGGTCGATGTCACTTTGGCGTACATGAACACCGTTCAGGGTGCGCTCTTCATGGTGGCATTGCTGGTTGCCAGCTTCATAGAAGCGTTTGAGGTCGCTCAGGGTGACCAGACCGTGGGTAATTTTGTGCTCCTCATTACCTACATGGCGCAATTACAGGGTCCTTTGAACTTTTTCGGAACATTCTACCGATCCATCCAGTCGAATCTGATTAACGCCGAGAGGATGTTGGAGTTATTCAAAGAGCAGCCCCATGTGGTTGATCGCGAGGGAGCAGAAACCGTAGATGATTGTTCTGGAGACATCATTTTCGACAATGTGACTTTCAGCTATGACAAGCGAAGACCTGCCCTCGACCGATTATCATTTCACTGTCCTCCGGGGACGACAACGGCTCTCGTGGGCGAATCAGGTGGCGGGAAGAGTACCGTGATGAGGTTGATCTTCCGCTACTACAATCCCGAATCTGGTCAAATCAAGGTTGATGGCAAAGATGTCCAGGATATCACAATCGACTCTCTGCGCAAGTTCATTGGAGTCGTCCCGCAAGACTGCAACATGTTCAATGAATCGATCATGTACAATCTACAATATGCCAATCAAGACGCCTCCCGGGAAGATATTTACAACGCTTGCAAAGCTGCCTCGATCCATGACCGGATAATGGAATTCCCCAATGGTTACGATACTAAAGTGGGTGAAAGAGGGGTGCGTTTGTCAGGCGGTGAGCGTCAACGAGTTGCGATTGCCCGAACCATTCTCAAAAATCCACGCATCACCATGCTTGATGAGGCAACCGCCGCTCTGGATACCGAGACGGAAGAGAAAATCCAGGAGTCATTCAGCACTCTCGCTGAAGGGCGAACGATGATCATCATCGCTCACCGCCTTAGCACGATTGTGAATGCTGATCAGATTCTTGTACTATCTCATGGCACCGTCGTTGAGAGTGGCACTCATGAAGAACTGATCGCTCTGGGGGGAAAGTATTCCAGCATGTGGCGAAAACAGTCTAGGGCACAGAAGGCCGCTGCAGAGGCTGCCGAGTTGAGGACTAGGGCTAAGAAGGCACTGGAAGAAGCCGAGGCCGACAGTGCCAGCGTCAGTGAAGAAGAACTCGAGCATGCTAAGAAGAGAGACAAGACATTCGTCAAAGGACATAAGAGGGTCAATTTCAGCGAGAGTAGTCATTTGCGGGCAAGCTGGCCAGTAGATGATCAAGACGGGGATACTGATGAGAGATCCGACAGCTCTCAAATTAGTCAAGACCATGGCCATCCTGGCAAGCCGCCAGGACATCCTTGAGCCAAAGGAATGAGAGCATAGTGGGATGAATATTGTGGGAAGCTGGATGTCTGTGTTATGTTTGCTTGGAGTGGCTTACATTGCACCTTTATTCAGATGCCGGGATGGGCATTGTCTATCCTATTTACAATTATTTTTCTTGCACATTACTTTCGAGGGTTCACATCACACTAATCATGGCGTTGAGCAATTGGGTAGAGTCACGGCACGAGCACAAAAGACGGTCACAAACCAAATCAAGTCGGATGACGGACCGAACAACATGACTGGCTGATGAATTGAGACGGGCGAAATACGTTACGAAATTAAAAAATTGACAAAGTTGATGAGCGGCCATGGTCGAGGTAAGGAAAAGCATTTGAAATTTTGGCTGTGTGATTTGAGCAGGTAAATTTTTTTTTTTTTTTCAATTTGGCCAGGAAGAATATGGGCCTCACGGCGATGGAGAAAACGGGGTGCCACATGAGGGCCGAGTTTAGTTCGGGGGATTTTTGCTGTTCTATCCATCCACGCCATATTATATCGACATCGTTTAATGGCGCTGCTTTCCGTTGTTGTCGTTTCCGTCCACGCCAAAAGAGGACCGGGAACTTGAGCAGGCTAGCGAGTTAGCAAAGATAGCCCATGGACTTCTTTCCCTCCTTCATTCTCGTGCCTCTTCTTCATTGTAGGAGCACAACTGAATATTTATTTGTCAGAGTCCAGGCGAATCTAAATATCTCTTTGTGCTTGCCAGTGAGTACAAAACTTAGGCCAAGCCGACATGGACTTCTCCCTTTTTTGGTCTTTTCTACGCCGCCACGTCACTGTGCAACGCTTCAAGTTGAAGCGGAGGGAAGGGGAAGGAAGGTGATGTCAGGTACAAAAGTCAACGTACGATTCGAAACTTTCAAAACCGCCGTTTCTTCTTGCCGCCAGCATTGGACGCGAGTGCACGTTTCAGCTCCATGCGTCGACGGTCAGCTTTTTGATCTTCCGTTTCTTCTTTAGGCTTTTGCTCTTTCTCCTCTGCTTTCTCTCCTTGCTGTGCGGGCTCTGGCTCCGCCGCAGCTGCTGACCTCGGGCCTGCATTGGATTCAGGATGATGTGCGAATTTTGCGTGTCGTTTCGATGTAGAAGGGGACGGAGACGGGGATGGAGAACCTGTTGCATCCGAGTCAATCGCTTCATCGTCGGCAGGGGTGTCTTTCATCTCGACGTCGACGCGAGCTTTTGTCCGGGATTTCTTCTCACTCGATTCCGGCGAAGGCCCAGTGGAAGAGCCTGTCTCTCGCCGTTTGCGACCGCCTAGTCTGCCGAGTCTCCGTTTCGGAGTCGAAACTGAGGCCGATGCTACTGTGGGGGATCTTTGATAGGATTCATCCTGTGGCTCTGGCGAGACGCTTGCGCTTTGCTCGTTGCTGGGCTTTGCTGTAGCGGGCTTCTGAGCAAGACGACCCAGGCGGTGCCGTGGTGATGACAAAGTATGAGGCCCGTCTAGACCCAAGTGTGCCTCGGATTCAGTGCCACGGCTCTGAGGACGAGATTGAATTTGTTCGGATTGTTCTCTTGCGCGGGCAACGGGTGAGATGCTGCGAGACGGTGAAGGCGTTGCATGTGATGGTGTTGGGAATTTTTTATTCCTCAGCGTGCCCAATCTAAATTTTTGACTGGATCGAGTTGTAGTGTCTTGATGCTTTGGCGGTGGTTGGGAATCTGAATCGGAGCGGTCATCTGAAGCAGTGGCAGTAGATGTGGCGGTTGATGCGTCTGACTGACGGCGAAGCGGCGAAGAGGATTGCCCTGCGGAAGAAGATGATTTAGGACCAGATTTAGACCCTCCAAACGCCTTGATAACTTTGCGTCGAGCTAGGCTGCCGATTTTGGAAGGTTTCGTTCGTCTGGAAGGGGGTACTTCCTCCTCGGTATTATCTTCTGCCTCTGCTTGCGCCGTCTTTCTGGTCTCCGGGCTCTTTGACTTCAAGAGCGGAGGCGTCGGTTGTCTCTGTGACGAATTAGACTCATGATGAGTACAGACGTAGGGGTATTGCGCCGTTTACCTCAAAATCGTCGTTGGAGTCCGTTGAATCATCACCAGGGTCTTGCTGTTGTTGGGAGGCTTTCCTTGCAGCCGCCCTTAACTGGGTGCCGTTGTCACCATTATTGTCCAAGGTACCTGACGACGAGAGACTTTTCACCCAACTTTCATGTTGAGACTTCGTATGCGCAAAGCACTTTTCACAGCCACGGACGAGATTGGCTAATCCGGTGCGGTCAGCGCCTTCGTACCCTTCGTCCTTGAAGAACCGCTCCGACCATGACGTCTCTTCAAAAGCAGCCATCCCTGGCACATACTTCTTGGCGTCTGCGACGGAGACATGGCCGTATTTGTGTGGAGTGAAGCCTGTGATACCGGGAAAGATTAAGCCCAGGTCAACGGCCGAATTGCCAATTCTATCAAGCAGCCGCGAAATTACGTGGTCCTTGTCTTTGATGATCTGGTGTAGTGACTCGATTTTGTCGTGAGATATGGATATTTCATGCAGACTGGGGCGAAGGATGTGTTCAGCCAATTCAGATGCATTCTGGGGTTCGAGCCTGAAGGTCCATTCCAAGGGTCTTAGTGGGCGTGGAAGTTCGACTGTTGTCCGGAGAAGTAGGATATCTGTGCCCCTTCCATCCTCTCTGACGAGAGCATTCTTGCCCTCCTTCAGGCTTTCGCGGATTCTGGACAGTAAGACCCCAAACTGGTCAGTTGAGGCAGATGGATCGATACTCGCATGCTGGCGGGCAGCTTCTGTGATAATATCGTCTCTGTCCAATGAGACGCTCCACAAAGATATCAGGTCAGTTAGAAGAAGTGTGAATGAGTCCTTCTGAGCAGTGAATGCGTAGAAGAGTTTAGGACATTGTCGTCGAGAAGGGAGCTGGAGTTGTTGCCAGCCTTCATTCGCAGTGCCTGGCCTCATGACTGAAGAAGCACCACTTACATGATCTCTTGACGCTGTATGATAAGCGATATTGACCGGCATGCATCCAAGTAGCCTATGACCTATGCCGGAGAGGCGCTCTGAATAAGGTGGTTGTTGGAAGAGGATGGAAAGGCATCAATTCCGGTGACCCACAGAACTGTGATGCGCAGATCCTGGCACTTGGCAGCCTTGCCTGTGCTGGGATGATATACAAGCGGCCCTCAATGCCAGAATATCCCAAGACTTTCAGAATCTTCGACAAGAGACTTCCGAAGCATGAGAAACTGACGCTTACACAGCAATAAAGGACCATTATTCGCAGATTAGCAAACCCGGCCTTCTCTGGCACAGAGGGGAGGATAAAACGCCAGGGTTATGCCCACACCTATGGCAACGAGACCCGATGACCGGTTAGTGAGTGCGCTTCCCATTTCCGATCGAGAAGATCTATCTCCATGGTAGCCATCCCTTGACGCCATCTAGACTATTGGTGAGACTGTAGGCAATGGCTCCATTGACGACACCGGCAAAGAGCATGGTACAGCATACAACTTTTTTTTTTTAAGTCCCGTCTCGCTTATACCATAGCATTAGGAACAACGGGTAAGCTTGGAATGATTGCATCATGGTTAGGGACGAGCACTTGACTAGAACACGCATGATTATGTCGTACCTGAGTCAAAGCCCGTTGGGGAGGGAGGGGAATGGATTTACGCTCAAGACACACGTCAAGGATGGCATCAAATATTGTATGGGACACGATAAGATGGTTGAAAAACCAACTTGGGCTTGATAAGATGCAGTTGTTGAGTGAACGGCTCGCTAATAGTGCAAACGGTACTGCTACCGCTGCTGGTACGGGTCAATCATCTCGGCCTTCTCACGACGACGTCAGGACCCAGGAGTTTACGGAGAATGCAATCTTCGACTCTCCAGGGGCCGATCTGATTGTTTGGGATTCTTTGCTCAATTTACTGGAAGACTTTGATGTTCCGCCACAGTTTTGGCCACTATGGGGTGCTATCCAAGGTAGAGTATATCCGTTTCTGCGTGAAAAGAGAGAGCGTGTCCTAAATTCAAGAGTTTGCTTTTTCAGAGCTCTTCATGGCATCAAGTCGATCCCTCATCGACCGGAAGAATACCTTCAACTCCTCTTCTGTCCGAGGAGACGCTGGGATCTTCTTCGCCCTCGCCACCGCAGGTCTAGCATCGATCTTCTGCACCCACTTCTCCACACTCGGCCACTCACTGAGGTCGAAGTCGAGGACTAGTGGACTTACTCGAATCCAGCAGTAACTTGCGATGTCCGCGATAGTGTATTTGTCTCCGGCTAGCCAGTCGGCTTGGGAGAGACGCGACTCCAGCACGCCATAGAGCCGATTCGTTTCATCCGTGTAGCGCTTGATCCCGTAGGAAGAATGAACCGGGGCCATGACGCGGAAGTGGTGACATTGTCCTACATGTATTGACGGTGTCAGTTCCTCTGCTCACAATGAGTCTGCACAATTGCAAAGCAGTGGTAGCGAAAAGGGAAGTCTAGGAACCTTGCATCGGCCCGATTCCTCCCATCTGGAACATCAGCCACGATACCATTTCGTAATACTCTGGCGTGCCATACTTGTACGAAATAGTATTGTCCAGATCGTACATATCGGTCAGATATAGCATGATAGCACCGGACTCAAAGACCTTCAGGTCTCCGTCCGTCAAGGCAGGGACTCTGCCATTCGGATTAATCTCGATGAACCAGGGCTCTTTCTGCGCGCTCTTCGTGATGTCGATGAGCTGATGGTCGTACGTGAGACTTAGTTCCTCTAGGACAATGGCGCCTTTCAAACCATTGGGCGTGGTGGTTGTGTAATACTTGAGGTTGTTGTAGGGAGGTCCCGACATTATGCAAGGAGGAATTTTTGAGGGCTACCTCGGTTGCTGGTCGAGGCGTAGAGTGAAATGACTGGGGTTTGAGATACTTATCTCCCAGGTCGAGGGCCTGCCGCCCGGGACTGTCGGAGGACCAGCAGGAGAGCTTATGCAAAGCTCCTGTCCCATTAATGCGCGATAAGGAGGAGGAATAAGGCCGAGTGGATCTCGATCGTGCTTTGGGGTAAACCCGATCCTAGTCATATGCAGGTGCGCTGAACTAATGCTCCCCGTACTTTTCAGAACAATCCAATGAGAGGAAATCTGAAGTTTCTTTTCTTTTCGTCCGAAAGCCCAAAGACCCTATGTGATGACACAGAGACTCGGGAATTTCCCCATCTGACAAATTCTTAGAAAGGTTATAAGGGTCCATTGATCACCAAGGATCTTGAAAAATGATTGTGATCGTGGATACCCCAGATATGTCGGCTGGGGCTATCTCCACAAATATTTGCTTGGTAAGGTTCTTTTGTCTCATGTGTTCCAGGAAATAGAACGGCATGGTCATCCCTTCGGACGGGCCCTAGGTCTGAGACAAATCTTCAGGCTTCATTGCATGTATTGGTTCGGTAGAAGAAAGGGACCGACCATATTCTCAGCCAGAAACAGTCGTGCTTCGTATTAGTAGTGAAACTCCAGCTCTACCACGGATATCGCAGACATCGGGCTAGAAGATACAGGATTCCTGTGTAATAATGTCCAGGGGGTTTCCCCGGGCTGGGAATGCCCAATCATAATAGTGAGCGATCCTTCCCTCTGCGCGGGCCATCATACTCCTGTCTCCCAATCCAACAACTTCTAGGGTACTTATCAAGTAGGTGGTAGACTCCCCGAATCATTGATCATCCTTCTGACCTTGCCTTTGGCCCTGTTTACGTCCGTGAAGTAGAACCTGGAGATGCCTTGGAGGTGGAAATTTTGGACCGACAAACAGCAGACTGGGGTTGGACCGCGATTGTACCAGGATTTGGACTGCTATCCGACGAATTCCCTGAAGCTAGGCTCAAGATATAACAACTCTCGAAGCTGGAAGATAAGCCATACGCCGAGTTCAAAGAGGGTATTCGCAACCCCGTAGGCCCTTTCTTCGGGTGATGGGTGTTCCGCCCCTGGTGAGGATGGAAATATCGACTGTCAACGCTTTAGAGCGGGCGCCCGTCTGACAGACATGCAGCCCAAGGAGACTGGGGGGTATGTGGGTCTGCCATTGGAACACCTATGAAAGCCAAGCTTACCATCTGAAAGAATCATGACTGGGTTGCCTTCTCCCTATTATTGCCGATGCCCTGTTCAAAACGCTTGTCAAAGGGTGCGAGGACCGCGGGTGCTATGCCACCCTCGACATTGATTCCGACCTGCTTCAGGCCTCAGTCACTACTTGGCACATACAAAGCCCCTATAGCGGGTTGAGGCCTATATTTTGGCTAGCGTTGCTGTGGACCTGAAATGGGCCGAAGCAGTTGATATGCTCAGCTTTGCTGTGGCAGCGAGTTCTGTCACTAAATATCTTCGTCGAAGAGGCAAAGATAGATTATATGGGTTCAAATTTCTGATACAGGTAGTCCTCCTAGGTTTCCGCTGCTCGATACCTACCTATTTGTGACATATCTACACCTTGTTTGCCTCTGAATTTGAGCGATTCAATTTCTCGCAGCCTTGCTTCACGTGATAGTAGATGATGGGGAGGCTGGGGATACTTTTGACCTACGCAGCCACAGATGAGGCGGGAGGCCACAAGCTGTGGCTGGCTGCATTAAGCGAAGCCGAGGTTTAGGCGACAGGCTCCGACAACTGCGATTTGACTCGAAGAAAATTTCTTTGGGAAAATATCTTCGAAATGAACGATCACACTAACCACCACCAGCGAAAGCGGTCTCGGTCCCCATCGCCATGGCGAAATCCCCAAAGTCAAAGACATTATCGAGAACGAGATGCGTTGTCAAGACGAGACGACGGGCGACAGCAGAGATGGTCCCATAAAGATCAAATGAGAATCAATCAGCTACAAGAAGACGAGCGTATGAGGCAATGGGTGGCCCAAGAAGATGACTTTGTCCTAAGGCAGGCCAAGAAAAAGGCAGAGATTCGAGTCAAAGAGGGCCGAGCAAAACCTATCGATTGGCTGGCTGTGACGCTTCGAGTCGTTGACCCTACGAGAACTGCCTTGGATGATGAAGTTGAAGAGAACGACCTTGAGTTTATGGACCCAAACAGCGTCTTTGATGGGCTCTCCGAACCACAGCTTTCTGATCTCCGCAAGGATATCGACACCTATATGAACTTGGAGACAAATAGGAAGAACAGAGATTACTGGCGTACGATGCAGATTATTTGCAAGGACAGACAGAAAAAACTGCGAGCATTAGGACCTGAGGGAAGGGCAGTGAGTTCTGTCGCGTCTGATATCGACAGACTTTTGGGCCCAAAGACGTATGAGCAGCTGGAAGTTTTGGAAGGCCAAATACGGACGAAACTGGAGTCAAATGAGCCAATTGACACAGATTATTGGCAGCAACTGCTTGACAGCTTATTGGTCTGGAAGGCCAAGGCAACGCTCAAGAAGCTCTATCAAGATGTTCTTGATTCGCGATTGAAGCAACTGAGGAAAGAGAATGAGCTGATAGCACATCAAGTTCAGCAGCAGCTGAGCAATGCCACTACGCAAGCACCGGAGCCCTTCAAATACTCCAAAGATCTGGACCCGGATCCGTTACTGGAAATTCCGTCGAAAGATAAGGGCTTGGAGGTTTTCGACGAAAACACATTTCTACAAAATGTTGCCGCAAGCAGACGGAAAGTCCTTCAGATGGGCTATGTGCCGGCGCCAAAGACAACAACTGCGACCGCTCCGAAGATATCATCTCAGCCTCGTCTGTCAGGACAATCTCAACCCCCCGATCCGACAAGCCGTTTTGACCACACTTCTTCCGCCGACGACTCTTCCACCACCAAAGCACTCTTCGACCGTGACGTCGCCAAAGGCGTCAATGAGGATGAGGAGATCTTCGCCGGTGAAGAAGAAGTGCCCACCACATCACCAGACTCCAAACCGCTCTGGAGCGGCAAATACCGGCCCCGGAAACCGAAATACTTCAACCGCGTACAAATGGGCTACGAATGGAACAAATACAATCAAACACATTACGACCACGACAAACCCCCTCCAAAAGTCGTCCAGGGCTATAAATTCCACATTTTCTACCCAGACCTGATCGACCCGACCAAGGCGCCTACCTACAAAATTATACGCGAGGGCGGGCGGAAAAAGGGCCAAACCATGGCTCCTGCGGGTGAAGAAGATACGTGTATCATTCGCTTCATGTCGGGTCCGCCATATGAAGATATCGCGTTTCGCATCGTCGATCGCGATTGGGATTACTCGGCCAAACACGACAGGGGGTTCAAGAGTACGTTTGAGCGAGGCATTTTGACACTGCATTTTAGTTTCAAGAGGATTGTTTACCGGAAATAAAGTAAAGAAGCAGGCATGGCATCGTCAGGATGGACATTTTCAGAGAGGGAGAGTTGGTGTCTGTGTCTGCTTGGGTCCCAATGATTACAGCCGAGATGCTACTGTAGACGCTAGTATCAGTACCGATCAGTGCTCACAGCCTCAGGAGTTGGGGGCTCAAATCACTGCATCTAAGCGAGCTTACTCTATAGCTGACGTCGAGCTGATGAGGCCTGATCCCCGAAGGACTTTCAGCTCTAGCTCGATGCGGTTGTCGTGCTCTGCTTTGTGCGCATTCAACATCATCTTGCCAATGGTTCCCAAAAACACGCCAGAAATCTTACGGTCCTCTGTTCTTTGCTCATTGCTAACTGAATCAGCCCTTTCCTGTTTCTGTTTCCCCTATCTTACTTTCCGTTTCTCTAAAGCTTCCCCCCCACCCGGCGCCCCTGGGGCAATCCAGCTCAAGGAAGGGTGAGGCCGCCGCGGAATCCTGCGGACGCAGCGCCGATATGTATTTCCTCTCATTTCCCATTCCCATTGCCCTTTGTGGTCGGTCCTCTACAGCTCCCCTCACTTCTTAAATGAGCTGATCTGATCTGACCTGCCCCGAATTGACGGGTTACCGGCTCGAACACCTAGCTTGTCCGTCAGGGCACCAATTCCCAGTCTCAGCCTCATGATCTGCAAGTGTTAGGGTGATACAAAGCGTCCGGCCTCAGCATCGTTACCAACCAGAGATGTCTGGCACGCGGTGGGATTGAATTGTCGGTGTAAGAGTGTATGAATGACGCATTTGAGCGAGCGAGCGGATTGCGTGTTGTTTGTGGGCCGTGTGCTGCGAGCCTCTGGTCAGAAATTTTCTTCGTGAAAGGTTTGTTTTACTCGTCGTTGAGACGAATGGCGTGCTGCATGTAGTGGAGCTGAACTCATACAAGAAACAAGACGAACAGATTTTGAAGAGCTCTTGGTCATTATTTCGGTCTCCGTTCGAAGTTGGTAAGTGGTATCTCTCTTTCTACGCCTGAAATCAAGAAGATTCCCCTATTCATCCGCCCATTATTCTCACATGCAAGAGGCTTAAATCCAACGCTAAAAACGATTCGAGGAACACGACGTCGCGACTTCCCCCCAGCGCCGGCTTTTGTTTCGTCTGAGGCAAAAACTCCCCCAATCTCTCAGCCAACACTAAAATCGACCTAGAATTGGGCCAGCGGTATTCGTCAAATGGTACCGAGCGTAATAGTACAACGAGGTCAGAGATGATGATCAAGGCTCAGGTTCTGGTTCCTTCGTGGCTTCGTGCTCCGAGTCATTCGGGTCGAGCTTCTTGTGCGCTTTCTTCTCTGATGGCACGATGCCGCAGTCCTCTTCCCAGGTTACGGTTTCCTTGTGCATTTCGCGTCGAATCCAAGGGATGGCGATCGCCGTCCAAACACCAGCCCAGAAGAAGGGGACACCCCAGCCTAGGTTCGGGTTAGCTGTTGTAAAATGAGTGCCAAGGGGGCATTCAAAAACTCACCAATGCCATATGCCACGTGCTTAGGAACTGGGTGAATAACAACAACGACTGTACATGCGATGGCGACGACCAGCGAAGGGATGGACCAAAATAGCGATTGTTGCTTGATCATCCTTCTGAATCGCGGGCTCGCGTTATATCTGGCAGCCAATGCTTCACGGTATGGTCTGCCCGCGTTTGCATTGACCGCAACAATGTCCTCAATGATATAGTAGACACCTGGGTAGACATCACCGCCTTTCGGTGTCGAGCTGATTCGGAATGGAGCTTTTCGACCGGAAAGACTCCACATGGTGATAATGAAGATACTGCCCCCCAAACAGAAGAGGATTGCCGGACCGGGCATGGAGAGAACGCGTAACCACACGATATGTGGCGCGCTGCCAACAATCAGGAGCGCTGTGACGGCTGTGATGGTCAAAACAAGGATCCAGTGTGTAATATCAAAAGCCCATCTATTCGACGTCCCCAATGGCCGGAAAAAGTTTTCGGGCTTTATCAGTCTCCAGGATCGAACGGCAAATTCGACGTAGGTTGGGCCTCCCCAGATGGTAGCAACGACAGCGAAAACTAGGTTCGCGTTAGTAATGCTTTGCGAATACGCCTGTTGTGGTGTTGATTTACCTATCCATCCCTCCACGTTGCCAGCAAAAGTCATGGTATAGTATAACACAATAGGGACAACACAAGCATCCACCACCATAATGAATATAGTGAAGAACAACTTCCATCTCCGCCAGCCATATCTCCAGGTAAAAGGAAGCTGTGGCAGAAGGGTCGGATTCTGAGCATAGTATTCTTGTAACGTGCTCGCTCGTCTTCGGAATTCTTTTTTGGTGGCAGCCCGACTGTCATAATATGCATCCCTCTCCGGTTCGTCTTGACTTCGCCGTCTCTTGTACTCTCTGCTCCTTTTTCGACCAGACGCAGTACTGAGGCCGGTGTCGACGGCACTCAGAGTTTGACTCGGGGAGGGTTCAAGGGCTGGATGGCTCTCAGGACTGAAATGGACATTTCGTGGCTCTCGGTTAGGAGTTGAGGGCGGATAAGCACCACGCTCTTGCTGGAGACTGACACGACTGCCTCGCACGACTTCGGGCATGGTGGGATGTTTGGCTGTGCACAGGAAGGGAGGTGAGAGGGAATAGATACAAGCATCCTCAGAAATGAGAGAATCCACGGAGGTATAGGAAGGTTCCGGAAAGGTTGATCTAGTCCCGCCAGGAGGGTACTGCTGGATTGGGCTTGAGGCGTAGACAACTAGACGACATTATGACGGCCACGGCCTTGAATTGGACATGGGTCACCACCGTAACAGTCAGCGTAGTCAGCATGCAACACTTTCGGCCCTCTGCATCCTATTGGCTGGGGTTCCCACAGGGTGATGGAGGGCGGAAGGCGTTTCCTTCCGGCTTGGCGCCGAGCCTGAAAAGCCGTCTTATCTAATCTCATCATGTGTCTTCTCCTGACCGACATACACCGCCTCACGCCTTTGTCTCGCCTTGCATTTATCATCTCATGTTATGAGAGCCAACGGGAGTATCATTTCCATGGGGCCAATCCAAAGGTACCTTTTGTCTTCCTCCCACTTCTCCTATTACCAAAGGACCCAAACCAGGCCGACGCTCAAGTGTACATGTTGCCGTTGAGCAGGCAATATTGACCCTGTACTTCCGGTTAGAGTCAATTTGCGTTGTCCTCAGTAAATTCTGAGGTCCCTTGCAAACCCGGGCACACTCATCCTGGGGTTGCAAGGACGTTTGAGGACTACGGCTCCATTTGATATGACCTGGCCCAGAGAAATCCAGGTCACTCAGGTATTTGAGAAGCCTTCCCACACACGGGGCACCACAACAGCTGTTCCCTCACCTCATAAACCACCGAGATCTCCTGTCTTCGACAGCCTGATCTCCTTATTTGATAGGGTGGCCGGTCACCTGAGGTATGCCCCCCTTTCAGAACACGGCGTGGCTTCACAGGCAGAGAAGAAGAAATGACAAGGCCAAATTTGACGGTGCGGGATCAGTGTGTGCGTTACTGCAGAATGGCGATGTGAACCCAACTAGCTGCGCTCATCTGCACTCGTCCGACCAAGACAGCCGTTGTGCTTGCCTCACGTTGTACAAAGCGCTCCGCATCTTGGTCGTGAATTGATTGGACAAGGCACACACTAGAATGACCGAAATGCTCTGGGTAGATGTGATACAGTACAGTATTGCGCTAGCATACAAGAGGTGAATCTAGGCTTTTTCTCCTGCTGAAGAACTGATATGATGTTTTGGTCAGGAACCCTTGTTTGCCGTTCCCGCCGCTCAGCTCCCAGCCTGTTTGCATGAATTTCCCATTCCCTTCATGTACCATCATCTGGGTGCAGTTCACGACCAGTTTTTAACTGTCCATCGTGCAATTCCGACCTTTTACCTTTCTTTATTTAGACTGACATCCCCTTAACTCTGGCCATTTTCCTGCGCTCTTGAATTCATTGTCTATCAATCCAATCCAGGATCATTCGTCCCCAGCTTGCCTCTTCTTGGGACTTTGACCATAAAAGGTCAATTACTCGCCGTCTTCACCCTGGCATGGTATACCAAAGAAGTGTCCCTGGTCAGTTATTAGACAATCCAGAATTGCCGACGCTGGCAACCTGTGGAAATTGGCCAAAATGGAGAATGAGAGTTTGCCTCACCATTGCCAGCCTTGCACCAACCGGGTGAATTCTGAGCTCTCCCGCATGACAAGTGTGTTAAGCCGGCAAAATTCCCATCCCTCCTCTTCTGGAGCTCCACAACCGCAAACATACTCAGGCGAGTACTATCAGGAAGTGCACCCTCTTCCCAAACTCGAAAGCCTCGACGAGTGGTGTGTCCTTCCGATTGCCCGCCATGATTCTCATCCGCAAACGACAACTCAACTTCAACTTTCCGACATAGAGTTAGGACCAACGTGGACCACCGAGCAGACTTATCCAGAAGCCATGAACGGCCGAGTTGAACCAACTTCTGTGCTGGAAGACTTTGCTCTCTCGCCATTTGCTGCTTCAAATCCAGTATCAGGCAATTGCTCTACGTACTACTATTTTGGGGAAGGTGGGACTAGGAGTCCATGGCCATTGCCGTCAGAGTTCGCTCACTGCAGACCTTTGATGTTGGTAGGGGAAGATGAAGAAGCATCCAATGACAAGCCATACGCAGTATTGATCTACGAGGCGTTGATGCAGGCTCCTGGCCATAGGATGCTGCTGAGAGATATCTACGAGTGGTTCCGCCTCAACACGTCAAAGCCTCACGAGTCTGGCTCGAATGGATGGCAAAATAGCATCCGGCACAATTTATCCATGAACAAGGTTTGTTGTAAGTGCCCTGGTATCAATCTGCCACTTACTAATGATAGTCTCAGGCGTTTGAAAACGACAGAGACCATTCCCACGGCCATTCGAGAAAAGCCAACAGTGCCTGGATATTGACCAAAGACGCCGTTAAGAACGGAGTTCAGTCCACGACGAGATACCGCAAAACTGGAGGGGCCAAAAGATCGTTGGCCAGTCAAGTACCTGCCATCCAACGTCAAAGATCTGGTGCCAAAGGTGGTCGAGCAGCACGTCGCGCTGCCCGCCAGAGGCGTCAAGAGCGGTCTTTCGTCTCTGATCGTCCTCCTTCCGGCAGCCCAGCCACCCCTTCGTATTCGGACGTTAGCAACTACCACAAATTTGAATACCACAACCTTCAACCAGCCATTCGAAGTTGGCCCATGACGCCCGTAGAAGGCAATCACAATCTGGGAGATGATGTGCTCCAGGACGCGTCTCTGTCACCACTAAGCCCACGGGATTACAAGGTTCAGCATCGCCGTTTTGGAGATGAGAGCTTGTATGTACAAAGTCTTCTATTGCGATCAACAGGGAGTTAGCATTTGAGCGAACAGGTCAGATATCACGCCGACTGAAAACTGAAATCTTCACAACGCAATGGTCTCGGATTGGGTGGCTTGCATGGATCTAAGGGAGAGCCCACCAAGATTTGGTATAGACTCGGGCAGAAGCAGTCCGATGCGGGTGTGCTACCATGCAAGACGGTTGGTTGCGTGGAGGGTTTTCTTTGGCAATTTTTATTTTGGCATATCTTGATGCCGTTTTGGAATTTGGATACGTGGACGATGATCGCGTCAATCGCTGGAATCAGAACACTTTGACGCGAGAGGAGTGTTTGAGGACTCGAGTCTTCGACTGACACTGGCGGGAAGCGGAATATATTCTAGGAGCCTTTGGACAGTAACATACATGATCCACTCGTAGCTATCCAACGGTAGACGTGATCGGTCGCCTCCGGAACCATGGGTCAAGAATGCCCATTCCATATTTGCGGTTCTAGAGTGGCTCTGCTTCGCCTATCTGATCGCAGCCTTATCATCAATTTTCTTCTCCTATCTCTACCAAAACCAGCTGAGACCAGAGTCGCGAGCTGGATCATCTTGAATATTGAGAAAGTATCGTACCTATCACCGTGTTCGCTACCATTCAGCTCTGTGCGTGAATTATTCGCTTTCTCTCTTATACGTTCATGATCCTGGTAAGATGGGACGATTATGCGCTGGCAGCTTCGTGCTCGCTTGCAGGTTCAGATTTCAAGATGGCTCTAGAGCCCTTCCCGATCACATCAAACAATGCCAGACAGATCTCCGACAATTGACAACCAACCCAAGAGGTCCCACAGCTGGGGTTGGCAACCAGACTTGCCAGGCAGACGGTGCCGTAAGTTACCTGGAGACAACCCGGGGATGACATCCGTCCAGGATTTGGCAAGCGAGGTCACATCATGCCCGAGATTCAAACAATTTTCTACGAACTAATGCACGAGCTCGTTTCATGATCAGTACCTCAGTTTTCTGCCTCATTGATCTGTCGACCGAAAACCCGTTGACAACCGTTGAGGCGGTACGGGCCCATGGGAGAAACTCTGAAGCTACTTGTTAGCTTTCTCAAGGAGTTCAGCATCTCACTTTCCAGGACAAAAATAAATTTACCATCAATGTTGATCTATCACTGCCGCCGAGTCCAGATTGCAGCTGAACTGGTCAAGCGAAACTCGTAAACTGCTAACAAAGGCACAGAATACATTCTACCGCCAGACGACAGATGGCCAGGGCGATATGCAGTCTTTGCGCTTTCCAACCTTGTTGAAGCCCGATGGGTACCCCTAGTCACTTTTCCTCAGAGATGTTCCAGGCAGCGTGTTGGCTGCTCTTACTGCTTTGGGCAAAGGATACGTCAAGACTTGAGCAAAGTCCAATGCAGCAGAGTGGGTTTCGAATATCAAAAATAGTTAGAATCTGATTAGAGTGTCCTTCCTGCATAATTTGAAATTTTGGTATGGATGCTAATCGAGAAACATGAGGACCCATGGTATTCTCAAAATCGAACATATTTCAGTCAATGAATGTTGCAAGTACGTGTGAACACAGCTGTATCAAGGCTGCAGAATTCCAGTGTAGATCGAGAGCCAGAGCTGTCGTTGGAAGCCTGAATATTCGTCGCCCAAAGAGGCGTCCTTCGAAAGCCACTTCGCCAACTTGCATGCTAGCTGCTGCGGGAGTTCAAAGGTACGTCCCTGGACAAAAATTTTCCCTCATATTCAAGAAGATGTCGGTGAGCAAAAACGGGACAAGTACTTGGGCTCTGGATTCGAATCTGAGTCTAGACATTTCACTTGGAACGCTCAACAAAATGTCGAGGGCGGCAAAATGCTTGGGTTCCCGAGACATCCGAATTCCAGACTACGGTCTCCTTTACACGGATAAAAGTCCAAGCGATAAATCACTTTCCTTTTGGCGAGCCTGTAGTCAGCTCAACCGGGCTGTCGAGGATGCGGCACAATTCTGCACGGCCTTCCCAGCGCCATCTACCTCCATACAGCGACTAAACTCCTTATCCTCATCCTAGCCTGAAGAGTGAACGTCATCTGTACTTTGCGCAAGACTACCGACTTGGGTGTCAACCTCTGATGCAATTCTCCGAAAATCCCTGTCCCTGTTAGCGGTAAGAATGTGCCCTGGCATATGCTAGGTAACGTATGACAGTAGTATTGGACCTGGAACTTCACAGCGTATGTCAACGTCAAGTTTCCTTGCACTTGTCTGACAACAACCTCGCGCACGAGGTGCTGCTCGAGGGTGCCCGGCATCGCTTCTTGCATTTCTTGCCGAGAGTAGTCTTCGACCAAATATCTTTCACAATCACTATGATGGCCAACAAGTTCCCTCCTACTCTCACAGGCCTGGGTTGTGATGACGTCTTTGTGTTGGGAGGGAAGTACGTTTCCCTAGCCCCAGCTCTAATCTTGTTGACCCGTTTCTATTGTAACCGGCTGAGTTCTGCCAACCACCTCAGAAGCTGAAGCGGCTTAGCGGAATAACTGCAGAGCATTTATGTCGTACCAATAGAAGAAAACTGACGTGTTCTAGAGGCGGTCCTTCTAGTGTTCCCCCACGAAGGTGTACCTGGCTCGGGCTGAGAGCAGCAACGAGATGATGCTCAAGAGTCTCCATGAGTTATCGGTATAGCACTGGAGTATTCGCTTCTGCTGACGCCGGAAGCCAGAGGAGACGGGACTGGTGTGTTGCATTAAGCCTGAGACCTCCCTGAAAGCGCCGAAGAGTTGTTAGCTAATGAACTGTGCAATAGGTGCCAACCTCTCCTTCCCTAGCAAATATCTACCGAGCAAGCCGGGGAACCTTCTTGCTTCGCGGAAGAATTTGGATCCCGATTCTCTCGCTCCACCAACTTCGAGCTCTTCGTCTTGAATCTGTCGACATGCCTATGAGATTGGCTGCCCTATTCCTTGCGGACTTTGACTTTCAGAAAACGTAAAATCAGTGGGCCATTCCTAGCATCGGGCGTGGCTTTCCGACCCTCCCACAGTAAATTCTATGTTACCTTTCACTTTGTTAAGGTAGAAAGATCCCTGGCCCACACGAGGGCTGTACAATGGTATCTTCAACTGACAGCAAAATCCCCCAATGGATCCTCAACGAGCTCATCTATCCGGCAACCAGCAGATATGACAGTTTTGGCTGCGGCATCTCTCACACCTCAAGGAGGGGGGGGGGGGGGGGGGGAGACCACCACCCCAAAGAGCTGCCTGGTGGTCTCCGGTAACTTGTATTGGTCTCTTAGCCCCAGGACAATGGCATCGACCGGGTCTTACCGCGAAATGGGTAGAGCTGTGGCCATTAGTCAATTCCTCCCGCAGAATTCAGCGGGGAGAGCCAGGTACAGATGGAAAAATGGCATGAAGCAAGGGGAACTTGCCTCAATTTCACCCTGATAAAGCGTTGTGAGCCCTGGTGAGGTGTGCCTATCGGGGCATGTCCAACAGAACTTCTTCCGTGCGTTCAGTACCGCTAACATAGTGGTGGACTTTTGTATCGAAACTGCGAAAGATCTCACTATACTTCTCATCGACTGAAGCCAGACATTGCCCTCTCAACTGTGAGCTCGTCCGCAAGACGCAGCAACGCCCTGAATGGGAAACGGAGACAATGGTCTTCCGTCACCGAAAGATCTAGTTGTCAAAGAAGAGGAAGGAATAAGTATTAGACCCTTGGTGCGATATCCCCCGATTTTGTGCACCGTTGCCTTACAGAATGGAACATTTGAGAAGCCACCTAGGGAAGGGGGTTATGGACAAATCAATCTCACCTCCAATTTCCCTATGAAGTTTATGTTGTCTGTGTGGGGATTCTGGCCTCACAAAGCATGCCGCAGGATGGGGATCTCGACGGAAAGCATATGGGCAGCGCCTCATAGGCTATAAATGAAGGTCGGAATGTGAGGCTTTTCCTTTTGGAGCCAGTGGAGTACGAAATACCCTGGGTGCTTAGGTTCCATCTGTCACATTTCCGAATATATCTAACTTGGCGGGCAAGAACAATTGAAGACGAACGAAGATTGAAGCATAAAGTCCATGGGACAGGTCGAGGTGACCTGTACCTATAACGACGGATTCCAAACGTAAGGTATTATTGATCTGAATACTGTTTGAACAGCCACTTTTGTCAATAATTCTTTTCACATTGGGAGGGACTTCTCGTAGACGCTGCAAAGCAATGCTCTAAATGAGTTTCGTGCCCTCTATGCAGCTTTCTTGTGGCGTTTCAAATTCCCCCCCTGCCTCCCTTTTCTCTCTCTCGGTTTTTCCAATAGCACAATAACGGGATACCCGGCACTAAATCTTGCATAGTGAAATCCCCATGCGCCTTCTCCATGGTCAACGAATTTTGGAATCCCCATTCCCAGTCATCGTGATCATGCCCATGTCACGCTTATTTCTTCCCTGTCTTCTTCTCCTGGGTCTCCTTCAGCACCTTCTTAACGATCTTCTGCTCTTCAATCAAGAAAGCTCGTACGATCCGGTCTCGCACGCAGTTGCTGCATCTGGATCCGCCATAGGCGCGCTGCACGGTCTTTTTAGGTCTTGACGTAGTAGCATATTTTCGGGGTCGGAGCGCTGGGATCTATTTTGACGCATTTACCGTTAGGTTTCGTCCTTTACCAGAGCCCTATTGAATATTTCCCACGCTCTCCTTCACGAATCCGACACATATTGAGTCCGTTTTGGGAAGGCACTTACACCCGGGAGTTTGATTCCACAATCACCACATTTGGGAGCAGTTCCTCGCTTTTTGACGTGTAGATATCGGAGTTTGCCACCAGGAGTCTTGATGACACGGACGTTGTTTGAGCTGGTGTTGTAACTGCAGTGCGATTTATGTCAGCCGTTGATTCTCGCCATTCCCGTGATTGAGAGAAATAGATTGAGGCCACGTACGGGTTTCGCCGGCGGTACTGGAGTCTGACGCCTGCCATTGCAACGGTATTGAAAGGAGAGTAGGAGGGCAAGAGAAATCAATAACCGTTATTTGACTGATGTCGTCGAATCTCTTGAACGAACTGCTAGTTCAAAAATTGCCGTGTGTGCGAATCTTGGCGGCCACTGCGCTAGTGGCGGGTTCAAAATCACGTGATCAAAAATCTCCGCAAATCTCGACTTTTGACTTGAAAAAGATCTTGTTCATGGAGTTATAGAGGCAACAGTCGCACCTTCAGATCACGGCAGCATCAAATCCATCATCTAGAAAATATTTGGCAGGTGGATGGCCGTCCTGAATCTGTACGAATGAATCGGCTTGCATTCTAAGCCGAAGTAAAGGGCGAGCAACGCTTCGTAAATGGTAAGAGACCTTGAAACACGTCTTCGAAGCAGAACAAGTCCGTTCATCCGTTCTATCACGACAGTCGCCTCCCGCCACCTAACGGCAGAATGGCCTCTATCCCACCTCCTCCACCTCCAGGATGGAATGCTGGGCCACCGCCACCTCCTGGCATGGCTCCCCCTCCGCCTGGCTATCGACCTCCTGTCGATCCCCAAGTCGCAAAATTTGCGCAGAAGAAGAAAGAGTGGCTTCGGACCCAGCGCAATCGATATGGCGAGAAGCGGAAGGGCGGCTTCGTTGAGACCCAGAAGGCAGACATGCCACCCGAGCACTTGCGAAAGATTGTCAAAGACATCGGAGATGTCAGTCAGAAAAAATTCAGCAGTGACAAGAGAAGTTATTTGGGCGCGTTGAAGTACATGCCACATGCGGTTTTGAAGCTCCTGGAGAATATGCCGATGCCCTGGGAGAGTGCCAGGGAGGTCAAAGTATTGTATCATGTCAACGGATGTCTGACACTGGTCAACGAGATCCCAAGAGTGATTGAACCAGTCTTTCACGCACAGTGGGCTACGATGTGGGTGTCGATGAGAAGAGAGAAGAGCGACAGGCGACACTTCAAGCGGATGCGATTTCCTCCTTTCGATGATGAAGAACCACCACTATCTTGGTCTGAGAACATCGAAGATGTTGAGCCACTTGAACCGATCCAAATGGAGCTGGATGAGAACGAAGATGGTCCAGTGTATGAATGGTTCTACGATCACCGACCCCTCTTGGATACGCCGCATGTGAACGGCCCTAGTTACAAGACGTGGAACTTGACATTGTCTCAGATGGCCACTCTATACAGATTATCACACCAACTCCTCAGCGATGTGGTCGACAAGAACTACTTTCACATGTTTGATCGAGAAAGTTTTTTCACGGCCAAGGCGCTCAACGTTGCGATTCCCGGCGGACCGCGTTTTGAGCCTCTCTACAAAGACATTGATCCAAACGACGAGGACTTTGGCGAGTTCAATGCGATTGACCGAATTATCTTCCGAGCACCGATCAGAACAGAATACAGAGTCGCATTTCCGTATTTGTACAACTCACTACCACGGAGTGTGAAGCTTTCATGGTATTCCCACCCTCAGGTTGTCTATGTGAGGTCGGAGGACCCGAACTTGCCTGCTTTCTACTTCGATCCTGTCATCAATCCTATCTCCTCCAGGTCAGTCGCACCGAAAAACGTCACCATGAGCCACGAAGACGAAATTTTCGGAATTGGCAATAATGAAGACGATGAGTTCGAGCTTCCGGGAAATGTCGAGCCGTTCCTTGCGGACGAAGAATTATACAACAACGAGACTGCCTCTGCTATAGCCTTATGGTGGGCTCCATTCCCATTCGATAGAAGATCTGGTGGGATGGTTCGGGCTCAAGACGTCCCACTGGTGAAGCAGTGGTATCTGGAACATTGCCCACCTGGCCAACCAGTCAAAGTCCGAGTTTCGTACCAGAAGTTGCTGAAGACGTATGTTCTAAACGAGCTGCATAAGAAGAAACCAAAGGCACAAAACAAACAGAATCTTCTCAGGGCTTTGAAATCCACCAAATTCTTCCAGCAAACCACCATTGACTGGGTTGAGGCTGGTTTGCAGGTGTGTCGCCAAGGGTTCAATATGCTAAATCTGTTGATTCATCGAAAGAATTTGACTTATCTGCACTTGGACTACAACTTCAATCTGAAGCCTGTCAAAACCCTGACCACCAAGGAACGAAAGAAGTCCAGATTCGGAAATGCTTTCCATCTGATGCGCGAGATTTTGAGGCTCACCAAGCTCATTGTCGATGCGCAAGTCCAGTATCGACTCGGCAACATCGATGCATTCCAATTGGCCGACGGTATTCTCTACGCTTTTAACCATGTCGGACAGCTCACTGGTATGTACCGGTACAAGTATAAGCTTATGCATCAAATTCGATCGTGCAAAGATTTGAAACATCTGATCTATTACCGTTTCAATTCTGGTCCCGTGGGCAAGGGTCCTGGATGTGGCTTCTGGGCCCCTGCCTGGCGAGTGTGGCTTTTCTTCATGAGAGGAATCATTCCCCTACTTGAGAGATGGCTTGGAAATCTATTGTCAAGACAATTTGAAGGTCGTCATAGCAAAGGCGTTGCAAAAACCGTTACAAAGCAACGAGTCGAGTCACATTTCGACCTCGAGCTTCGTGCCTCCGTCATGGCTGATTTGATGGACATGATGCCCGAGGGTATCAGACAAAACAAGGTCAACACCGTGCTTCAACATCTCTCAGAGGCATGGCGGTGCTGGAAGAGTAACATCCCATGGAAAGTTCCTGGCTTGCCAGCGCCAATCGAGAACATCATCCTGAGATATGTGAAGAGCAAAGCCGACTGGTGGATATCTGTCGCTCATTACAACCGGGAAAGGATCAGGAGAGGTGCCACCGTGGACAAGACCGTCGCTAAGAAAAACCTTGGACGCTTGACCAGACTCTGGTTGAAGGCGGAGCAAGAGAGACAGCACAACTACATGAAAGATGGGCCATATGTGTCTTCAGAGGAAGCCGTGGCTATCTACACCACCACGGTGCACTGGCTTGAGTCGCGGAAATTTTCACCCATTCCGTTCCCTAGTGTATCTTACAAGCATGACACAAAGATCCTCATTCTGGCTCTCGAAAGACTTAGGGAAGCATACTCAGTCAAGGGCCGCCTGAACCAGAGTCAGAGAGAAGAGCTTGCGCTGATTGAACAGGCGTACGATTCTCCAGGAACAACGTTGGCGAGAATTAAACGCTTTTTGCTCACTCAGCGTGCCTTCAAAGAGGTGGGAATTGACATGAACGATAACTACAGCTCAATCAACCCTGTATATGATGTTGAGCCCATCGAGAAAATCACCGATGCATATCTGGATCAATATCTCTGGTATCAAGCAGATACTCGACATCTCTTCCCCTCATGGGTCAAACCTTCAGACTCCGAAGTCCCCCCATTGTTGGTTTACAAATGGGCTCAAGGCATCAACAATTTGACTAATGTCTGGGAAACTGCAGACGGCGAATGCAATGTCATGATGGAGACCCAGCTCTCTAAAGTCTACGAGAAGATCGATCTGACTCTGCTCAACCGTCTTCTTCGACTTATCATGGACCACAATTTGGCGGATTACATTACTTCCAAGAACAACGTTCAACTCAACTATAAAGACATGAATCACACAAACAGCTATGGGATGATTCGAGGTCTACAGTTCTCTGGATTCGTCTTCCAATACTACGGATTAGTCATCGATCTGCTTTTACTTGGTCTGCAACGAGCCAGTGAGCTTGCCGGACCACCTCAGAGCCCAAATGACTTCCTCCAGTTCCGGGACCGAGGGACGGAGACCAGACATCCCATTCGACTGTACACCAGATACATTGACAAGATTTGGGTCTTCTTCCGATTCACTGCCGAGGAGTCAAAGGACCTTATCCAACGCTTCTTGACTGAGCAGCCAGATCCAAATTTTGAAAACGTGATCGGCTACCGAAACAAGAAATGCTGGCCTCGCGACTCGAGAATGAGGTTGATGAGACACGATGTCAACCTTGGGCGTGCTGTATTCTGGGATCTGAAGAACAGACTGCCTCGATCCATTACCACTATCGAATGGGATGACACTTTCGCGAGTGTCTACTCTCGCGACAACCCCAATTTACTATTTTCTATGTGTGGCTTCGAAGTCCGGATCTTGCCCAAGATTCGGAATCAGAACGATGAATTTCCGGTAAAGGACAGTGTCTGGGCTCTTGCCAATAACGAGACCAAGGAACGCACGGCTTTTGCCTTCTTGCAGGTAACAGAAGAGGACATACAAAAGTTCAACAACCGCATCAGACAGATCTTGATGTCCTCAGGCTCCACTACTTTCACGAAGATTGCAAACAAGTGGAACACGACGTTGATTGCGCTATTCACCTACTATCGGGAAGCCGCAGTCTCGACTGTAAATCTACTGGACACCATTGTGAAGTGCGAGACCAAGATCCAAACCCGTGTCAAAATCGGCCTCAATTCCAAGATGCCTTCTCGATTCCCGCCGGCAGTCTTCTACACTCCCAAAGAACTTGGCGGCTTAGGCATGATTTCCGGGTCGCACATTCTCATCCCTACTAGCGATAAACGATGGTCCAAGCAGACTGACACAGGCGTGACACATTACCGTGCCGGTATGTCTCATGATGAAGAAACTTTGATTCCCAACATTTTCCGGTACATCATTCCTTGGGAGGCTGAGTTTATTGACTCACAACGCGTGTGGACTGAGTACTCGCAGAAAAGAATGGAGGCCAATCAACAAAATCGCAGACTTACTCTTGAAGATCTTGAGGACAGCTGGGACAGAGGTTTACCGCGAATCAATACTCTGTTCCAGAAAGACAGGAGCACGCTGAGTTTCGACAAGGGTTTCAGAGCACGTACTGAGTTCAAACAGTACCAACTGATGAAGAGCAACCCCTTCTGGTGGACCAGTCAGCGACACGATGGAAAGTTGTGGAATCTGAACGCTTATCGAACCGATGTTATTCAAGCATTGGGTGGTGTCGAGACTATCCTCGAACACACGCTCTTCAAAGCTACAGCATTCCCATCCTGGGAGGGCCTTTTCTGGGAACGCGCCTGTCTCGCCAATGGGACTATGCTGCTGCGCTACGATGGCTCTAAGGTCGCCGTCGAAAACGTCGTGGAAGGAGATCTACTTCTGGGCCCCGACGGTGGTCCTCGTCGCGCATTCAATGTCGTGAAAGGAACAGATCGTCTGTATCGCATCAAGATTGGTTCTCGTAAAGAGGATCTCGTTGTTACACCGAACCACATCTTGGTTCTACACCGGGAGAAAAGGTACAGGAACCAATACACCGGGTTACACTTTCGGGGTCATCGTCGACGCTTTGAGGACCAGCTTGGCGACCTGCCCGAGCCCAGCTGTGATCTAGCGGATGCAGATCGACCTAAGAATCTCGTCAAAAAGCGACCAGACTTTTTGTCTGCTTTGAAGAGTGCCATCGCCTGGGTGCTTAGTGCCGAACGGGGCAAGAACGGAGCGGATCATGTCCGAAATAGGCGCAATGATACTACCGGTATTACTACTCGCCAGGAGTCTTATATCGTCAGTATCCCCGCTGGCCGAGGCAGCCGAGGAGAATACGCGACCTTCACATGGGGAAAACCTGAGCGAACGAATCTCAAGGGGCACGACAAACACCCGCCAGTCTTCTTCTCGACGAAAGAAGAAGCCTTCGCTGCTGCTGTCGCCAAGAGTCGCGAGATTCATGACCAAGGTGATGTGACTCTAGCGACCCTTATTCAACGTTTCTTGGCTAAATCTACCGATGGCAAGGGCGGAGAGATACGGATTGATACGGGCCTGTCGAACCTGTTTCTTCTCTGGAATAAGAACGGCTCAAACCTCAAGATACGAGTGTCCTGTTCTCGCAATTACGTGAAGTACGCACGCAGCTACACTTTCCCATTGCTGCCGGGCTCGGACGAGGAGCGCAATCTTGAGGAGAACGATCTAGAAGAAGATGAGGCCGTTCTCAAAGGTCCTTCGGCTGCGCCACAGGTCTCGACCGCTGAGCGCTACGATACGGTTGAGATGACTGCTGCCCAATTCGCATCTCTAGAGCCGGCAGAGAGGGCCAAATACAGGCTCTTCAGATGTCCCGGTTTTGAGCTGCCTGCGCAGAATGTGCCAGTCAACCCCTATTTTCTCGGGCTTTGGCTAGGAGATGGGAAGCGTAACAGCACTACCATCTACAGTAACCATGAAGCTGCGATTCGGGAGTTTCTTGCCTGTTACGCGGCTGAACTCGATCTTCATCTTGTTTGGCATGGGCAGCTCGGTTACGCTACTGTGAGCAAGACTTGCCACGGTGATCGATCCCTTCCTCCCGTTGTTGAAGACATAGGACCTCAGCGTCCAGCCAGGCGTCGAGCGCGGCAGACTATTATCAAGCAGCGGCTTGCTGCTGGATGGACAATCCAGCCAGAGCATATACCTGGCCAGGCCCGAGTTTGGAAATCGCCTCCTAGAGATATCAGTGACCCCATCGAATGTTCTGAGTCATCCGAACAGCGGCATGGAGCAAAGCATACCCTGAGCTCGAGCCTTGCAAGCTTCCCAGAGCGTCAGCAGCGCCTTCGGGCGATGTCTGATCGCGACTTCCCATCGTCTTTTCCTTCTGTTGGCAATGAAGAACCCAATTCGCAATCTGCCAAGCTGACTTCTGAAGAGGCTCTGACGCAGCTCAAGTCCGATGAAGAGCTTATGAAGCTCGTCGGTCTTTCCGAGGTGCCTGAACAGCCAACGCTTGCTGATGACCTGCCAGAGGAGGAAAATGAGGATGTCGACAACATGGACTTGGACATGATTGATGCTCTCAGTGAGGACGAAGATGAAGAAGGTGAAAAGGGTGAAATTGACGGCGTCAACGAGAGCAGCAACGATGGGAGCATCCAGATCGCCGTTGAAGGATATAATGGCCGGACATCACGCTTCAAACGGCGACATGTTACTCGTTTGCAAGCTGGTCGCCGAGCGTACGGTGATTTACAGCAGAACGAGGAGGAAGGACTTGCCGATAAGATCGTTGACCCTTCTGAAAACTCGTCTGGTGTTAATTCGCTTCTCCGCGCGCTCCGCGGACTCGGATTGCTCACGAACGGAGCTACAGGCCACGGGCTTGATAGAAAGCGTATCCCGGAGGTCTTTATGAAGAATACACGAGCTGTTCGCCTAGCCGTCCTTGCAGGACTGCTCGACACGGACGGCTGGCACGTTTATCCCGAGAACATGTTCGGCTTCAGCCAAAGCGAGCGCTGGCACTCTGATCTTTTTTGGGATACTGTTGCCCTAGCACGTTCACTGGGCTTCAGCGTACGGACTAAGCGGTGCATGATGTGGAATCCAACCTGTACGCAACAATTTCCTCAACTGTTCGCTCAGATATTTGGCAATCTGGCGGAGATTCCCTGCCTCCTCGCGCGCAAGAAACCAGTTGACCGTTTCATCCCACAAGTCCCACGAGCCCACAGCTTTATCATCAAGGACATCTTCCTCGAATCTGAGCCCACGAAATGGGCTGGTTTCCGGGTCGATAAGGACCAGCTATACTTGCGACATGATTATCTTGTGCTCCACAACAGTGGCTTCGAAGAGTCGATGAAATTCAAGAAACTGACAAACGCCCAGCGATCGGGTTTAAATCAAATTCCTAACCGTCGTTTCACACTCTGGTGGTCACCAACTATCAATCGTGCAAATGTCTACGTCGGCTTCCAGGTCCAGCTCGATCTGACTGGTATTTTCTTGCATGGCAAGATTCCAACGCTGAAGATCTCCTTGATTCAGATTTTCAGAGCCCATTTGTGGCAGAAGATCCATGAGTCGGTGGTTATGGATCTGTGCCAGGTGTTCGATCAAGAGTTAGAACAACTGGGCATTGAAACCGTTCAGAAAGAGACTATTCATCCTAGAAAATCGTACAAGATGAACAGTTCTTGCGCAGATATCCTCCTGTTTGCCAGCCATAAGTGGAACGTCACTCGACCATCCCTCCTGTTCGATACCAAGGACCAGATTGAGGCTACGACCACCAACAAATTCTGGATCGACGTTCAACTGAGATATGGCGACTACGATTCACACGATATTGAGCGCTATGTCCGAGCTAAATATCTCGATTACACAACAGACAGCATGAGTATTTACCCTTCTGCTACTGGTCTCATGATTGGTATCGATCTCGCTTACAACCTCTACTCTGCTTACGGACAATACTTCCCCGGGTTAAAGGCCCTCGTACAGCAGGCCATGGCCAAGATTATGAAAGCGAATCCCGCGCTTTATGTGCTGCGCGAGCGCATTAGGAAAGGCCTTCAGCTTTACGCCTCAGAGAGCTCCCAGGAGTTCTTGAATTCTCAGAATTATTCAGAATTGTTCAGTAACCAGACCCAGCTGTTTATCGATGACACGAATGTGTATCGTGTTACTATTCACAAGACCTTCGAAGGTAATTTGACAACCAAGCCAATCAACGGCGCCATTTTCATCTTCAATCCCAAGACTGGTCAGCTGTTCTTGAAGATCATTCACACAAGCGTTTGGGCGGGTCAAAAACGACTTGGACAACTAGCCAAGTGGAAGACTGCTGAAGAAGTTGCGGCGCTGATTAGATCTCTGCCCGTCGAAGAACAACCCAAGCAGCTGATTGTGACACGTAAAGGTCTCCTTGACCCGCTCGAAGTTCACCTTCTGGATTTCCCGAACATTTCTATCAGAGCTTCGGAATTGCAACTCCCATTCCAGGCTGCGATGAAGGTTGAAAAGCTGGCTGACATGATTCTTCAAGCCAAAGAGCCGCAGATGGTCCTGTTCAACTTGTATGACGAATGGCTGAAGACAATCTCGTCTTATACGGCATTTTCGAGATTGATTCTTATCCTTCGTGCACTGCATGTCAACACTGACAAAACCAAACTGCTGCTTCGGCCTGACAAGACTGTTATTACGCAAGCACATCATATCTGGCCAAGTTTGTCGGATGAAGATTGGATCAAGGTGGAAGTTCAACTGCGCGACCTCATCCTAAACGACTACGGAAAGAAGAACAACGTCAATGTTCAGTCACTCACTAGCAGCGAAGTGCGAGATATCATTCTAGGTATGGAAATCTCTGCTCCATCCATGCAACGACAACAAGCCGCGGAGATCGAAAAGCAGCAACAAGAACAACAACAATTGACTGCGGTGACCACTAAGACTCAAAACGTTCGAGGCGAGGAAATCATTGTGACGACCACTTCTCAATATGAGCAACAGTCTTTCGCATCCAAGACAGAATGGCGAACTCGAGCCATTGCCGCATCCAACCTCCGCACTCGATCAAACAACATCTACATCTCGAGCGACGATATCCACGAGTCCGATGATTCATACACATATATCCTTCCTAAGAACATCCTGAAGAAATTCATCACGGTTGCCGACCTTCGTGTCCAAGTCGCAGGATACCTCTACGGCTCCTCGCCACCCGACAATGACCAAGTCAAGGAAATCCGCACAATCGTCATGGTACCTCAAGTTGGCAGCACCCGCGAAGTCCAACTGCCCCAACAACTTCCGCAGCACGAGTACTTGAAAACCATGGAACCTCTCGGCATCATCCACACCGCCTCCGGCAACGAAACATCCTATATGACCGCCGCAGACGTCACCATGCACTCGCGTCTCATGGCCCAGCACCCGTCATGGGACAAGAAGACCATCACGCTCACCGTCTCTTTCACCCCTGGCTCAGTATCGCTGTCGTCCTGGGCCCTCACTCCCGCCGGCTACACCTGGGGCGCCAACAACAAGGACACACAATCTGACAACCCATCGGGCTTCTCTACCTCGTTTGGTGAGAAGACGCAGCTCTTGCTGTCTGACAAGATCCGGGGGTACTTCCTGGTCCCGGAGACGGAGACGTGGAATTACAGTTTCATGGGCGCCAGCTTTTCGACCGTCGAGAAGAGGCCTGTCTATGTCAAGATCGATACTCCCCGGCGTTTCTACGACGATAGACATCGCCCTGTGCATTTTAGCAGTTTCAATGAGTTGGAGGATATTTGGGCCGATCGCGAGGATGTCTTTGCTTGATCGATCATCAGGCAATCCAGTCATCAAGCTTTTGAGTGATGATGCTTTATTTTGGCTTGGATGTATGGAAGGGATTCGCTGACAATAAAAGGCTGAGACTTTAAGGGAAGGCGAAACAGTGTACAAAAAATGAAGGCAAAAAACAGGAATATCACAAACGAGCGGGACAATGCAATTCGGCGTTGGGTGGCCTTGGCCTTCCAAGATCATCATGACTTTTTGGAACGTATCTATCCATTTCAGCGTTTCGTAAAGGGGTATCACTAAACAGAACATCGCGTAGTCGACGGGATCGACGTTCAAAGCTCATCATTCTCATCATCGCTCTCTGTCTCAACATCGAGAAGGTCTTTGGCCTCCGCTCCAGCCTCATGCTTAATCTCCTGCTTGACATCCCTTTCCGTCTCGATATCCTTCTCCTCCAACTCGACGTCTTCACACTTGGTCTTCTCAGCTTTAACAAGGCCGTCAAGAACATCGCGTCTATAATGGTAGAAACGATCCAAACATTCTCTCCGCTCGGCTTGTGTCCAATTCTCCACGACAAGTGCGAATGAGACCACATCGTTGCCGTAGCCGGCCCAGCGTGCCATGCTACAGAACTGTCGCTTCTTGACGGCCTGGGGCGGACGGTATTTATGCCGCACTCCACTGTTTGGCGTGGTGATGCCGTCGCCTTGGTCGTCGTTCGCATTAACATGGTCATTGTAAGCCTGTGATTGCGATTCCTCTAGGAAGACCTTGGACTGTTGTTCCTGCGTGCCCCAATTTCTGTTGCTGCTCGCAGCTGCTTCGGCGCGCTTGGATAGGAGAGCCTCGACTTTCGAGGAGCCAATTACTTCGCTATTCTCGTGTGTGTAGGATACGCCAACGGAGGAGAGGATCGCTTGAACGGCGTCGTGTTTTCTGACAGCGTTGTCGGGCCGAAAGAGAGTCTTGGACCGCCCACGGGATCTGTCGGTGTCGCCGATGATTTCTGCTGCAAGTTGGGACATGGCCGCATCCTCAGAGTCAGGTTCAGTCTTGATGCGGGTGTCCTCCTCTTCTTTCACCGCGTGCTCCTCGTCTTCTTCCGAGCTTGGTTCATGTTCTTCGACCTCGAGATTGGTGACTCGTACACCTGCCTTTGATTCTGCAATATTCGTCTTGTTCACAATGTCTCTTAACACCTGGTTCTCGTTTTGATAGGCAAAGAGATTCTGAAGGCCAAAGATCTCTCCTTTCTGATCCTTTCGGTCTTGGACACCTTGGAAGTATCGTCGCTCAGAAGTCGCGTTGTATCCAATGTTCGCTTGCTGTTGCTTGTAGATCTGCCGGGCGTATACAATTTCTTCCAAGGTGCCTTGACTGATGAGTCGAAAAACCTCGACATCACGAGTCTGACCAATTCGGTAAGCTCGATCTTGCGCTTGTAAGTCATAGCTGGGATTCCAATTTGGATCCACGACGACGACTTTATTTGCCGACGTAATGTTCAAGCCGACACCTCCGGCCCGCGTGCTGATGAGAAAGACAAACTGGGTAGGGTCGGTGTTGAATTCTTTGACCGCAGCATACCGACCTTCATATGCCATACTTCCATCAAGGTAGTTGACATTAAATTTGGTGCTGATGAACAAGTTTTGAAGCATCCGAAGCAACCTGACGCTGTGTGAGAAAATAAGGACTTTGTTGTTCCCCTGATCGTGCCAGAAGTTGAGCAATTTCTTCAACACTCTCCACTTCCCACAATATTCAGGGTTGCCTGTGTGCATGATGCTGTCTCGAGTTCGGTATATTTCCTTCCACTTATCTGGCATAGCGATTTGGAGCATCTCGAGGTCCTTTGCTTGTTTTTCAGCAGTGTCTGTTCCCTGAGGAATCAAAACAGCTAGATGATTTGACAGATTCCGGAGGTTACTAATTGCAGGAAATACCCAACTTTGCCATCGGCTTCCATCATCTAGCTCCATATGACAACACCAGCCAGCCTTTTTGCGACTCCCACAATCGCAGAGCTCGCTGCTGCCTTTTATGTGTTCCACGATGTCACTGTCGAGGAAGTTCTGGTATGCCCTCGCTTGCGTTTCGGTGAGGGGGCAAAATACAACACGATCTGATTTCTTTGGTAGCTGATCTTTGATCAATGCTTTGGTTCGTCGCAGAAAGAATTGAGGCAGGAGGTTCTCTACGAGCATCTTTGCGGTTTTCCTAGCCCTTGCCAATTGATAATTCGAAGCGTTGTGACTTTGGCCCAATTTGAGCGGTTCGCAGATTGTTTTCTTCCAGGTAGATACTGGCCCGAATCGACCTGGATTTGTCCAGTTCAGAAGAGTCCAAAGTTCCTCATATTTATTCTGAATTGCGGTTCCTGTCAAACCAATACGGCACAGGGCATTAATCTCGTTGATTGCTTTCGTGGTATCCGAACGGCGCTCCTTAAATTGGTGACATTCGTCTGCGACGACACAATCCCATTGGACCATATTGATCTCCCCCTTGTTGGCACGATAGGTGTGGTAGGTAGTAATCATCACCTCTAGCATTCCTGCCTGGGCTTGCAAGAATACCTCATGTCTACGGGAGGCACCGCCATGATATAAGTCAACGTGCCACCAGCCCCAGCGTTGAAATTCATCTTTCCAGTTTTCCATAAGCGTGCCCGGGCAAATGATGAGGGTCCGTGGATACCATTTCTCGGCCCGCCGCATCTTTCTCATTCTTTTCCTGTCGCGCTCGTCACCAGTCTTACCGTAAGCTGCAGTCAAGAATGTAATGACTTGGACAGTTTTGCCCAAGCCCATATCATCACCCAGGATTCCTCCCTTTTGATAGACGAACAACTCATGCAAGAATGCCACGCCCTGAACCTGATATTCTCGCAGATACTGTGCAATTGGAGCTGGAATGAGGCCGAGAGAATATGGGAGCTCAATGTCTTTGTATTCTCGCATAGCCATCGACGGGGGGAAGTCCGGTCGTTCTTTTAAGTGTTGCAACCTCTCATTATCAGAAAAGTAGACGTCGTCGTAGTGGGGTGGCAATTGTAAACCTCCCTCTTTTAGCCGTTTGGTTCGCTCATCAAATTGTGCTCTTCGATTCTGAACATAGTCTGGCGTACTCCATTCCATCAAATCGGCATCGGAGTCGGAGTGATCATAGTTCCTGACTTTTCTGCGCCTCTTCCTATACACTTGTTTTCCTACACCCGTTGTGGTGGCAGCAGTAGTAGCAGTTCTAGACCGTGAAGGAGGTTTCGTTTCTTTGTGGGCAACTGTGGGTTCCTTAGAAAGCCCCGATGTTCTCCTTCCCGCCGCCCCCGAGTCACGGCTCTTGAATATTTCATCTTGTTCTTGGGCAAACTCATGGTCGGAATCTGACTGGCGTCGTTTAGAATTGGCAGCCGACAGGGCTTGTAGTGATTTCGGTTTCAAATCATTTTTGTACATAGTGGCATCAGAACTCTCCACTTCGGTTGCTGCGGCTAAACCGTTGTCTGGTGCCTGGGGCAGATACTTGTCAACTTTTCCATGGTCGCTCTTAGACTCTTCCTCCTTGATGCGCGGTCCGTCCGAATCATCATCTTCGCTGTCGCTGAACACCATGATGACTGGGGGAGCTGAGAAGACGTGGCATGGGTTGAGGAATCTCGGAATAGGTCTCCAAAGGGTAGAAAGCAGAGTGAACGGACCGGAAAGGTGTCGTTGAACGCGGGGCGTTCTGAGCACACACGAAACTTCCACCTGAGCACGAGACTTCCAACTCACGCTCCCCCATCTTTCGTTTTGCGCTGCTCTAGAATTCCAAGTCAAATAATGAAGTACCGTACAGAAGCAGCCCAAACACCTCTTTCGGTCGACCTGCGTTGGCCTTAAGTGGTACCTGCAAAATGCCTCTCGATACTCTCTCTACATACTCGCTGACGCTCCTCCGACAAGATGGGCGAAGATGGAACGAGCTTCGCAGAATCACGGCGTCAATCTCAACTCAACCATCCAGCGATGGCAGCAGTTTACTCACTATGGGAAATACAATGGTTGTCTGCACTGTAACTGGTCCAAGAGAAGGGTATGGCATCTGCAGGAAACTCTGGGAACCTTCGCGATAAGCTGATGGAACTAATCTTTCACGCAGCCGCAGTCAACGGGATAACAACAACGCCACGGTCGAGACAGAACTCAACATTGCACCTTTCGCACAGATGGACAGACGACGCCGCATCCGGAACGATAAGCGGATCATGGAACTCCAGACCACGATATCAAATACCTTTCAAAGCCACCTCTTCACACACATGTACCCCCGCTCCACTATCTCGATATCTCTCCATGTGCTGAGTCTAGATGGAGCCTTACTAGCCGCGTGTTTGAATGCAGCGAGCCTGGCTCTCGTGGACGCAGGTGTTCCCATGCCCTCGATCCTCGCGGCCATTTCGAGTGGAAGTATCACGCCGGCGGACGATTCCTCAGCGAAGCCAGAACCAATACTAGATCTCAACAATGCTGAAGAACAAGAACTACCATTTCTCTCGATTGCCACTGTGTCAGGCCAGCAAGGCTTGGAAGACAAGGTCTCTGCTCTAATGATGGAATCACGATGTCAAATCGGCGGAGCGAACAGCAAATTGGAAAGCATGCTAGCAACAGGCGTAGATGGATGCAAACAAATGAGACGGAAGATGGAGGAAGTCATAAGGAAACACGGTGCAAAAGTGATGCAAAGCAGGAAATAAGTTGTGTTCAGGCTTGGTTCCTTGATAAACAGGATGTGATGATTATTGCCCTTGATGGACCTCAGCTTCTTATGCTTCAAGAAAATGTTACATATGGTCGCCCTATCCTCTGCAGTTCAAGCTACTATTATCAGGAAAGGTGGGTGTCTACCAGCCACCTTCTTTGCTAGCAGGATGGCAGAATTCATCTGGCAGACTTCAGGGACACCACACCAATCATTTCCTTATTGTGCAGGCGGCCTACCCCTAAGCTATCGAATCGACAAAAGTGTGATGATGAGAAGGGAGAGCATACATGACGTCTGTTCTACTCATAAATCACATCTCGATCTATCGACGGCCCGCCCAATTTCATCAACACCCCCTACGCCGTCCATCCGGACGGCTCCTCCTGGTTCCTGTGGCAGCTCTCCCGATTGCCCTCCAAGTCATCAATGATATCGGCCAACAGGTCATTCACCTCATCGACAATCGCCTTTAGTTCGTCCAACGTTTCCCCCTTCTGCCATCATCCGTGTTTGGATTTGACTGCGTCAGGCAGTTCATGGTCTGTTGTCAGGCGCGAATATTGGAGTCATTCTGAAGCTATGGTGGAGACTGCAGCGATTGGGGCTAGTCCTCTGGAATTCTGGTGAGTAAGGGAATCATGAACAGGGCCATAGGATGCTCGCTAGTGAGTTATTATCTCTACCTGTCTTCCTCTGGCCGGATGGCGGGTTCTGCGGCCGAGCAAATTCTCCGTCAACATTGTCGCCGTCCTGATTTTTATCTTTAAGGAAAGCAATGATGGCTTTGATCGTCTTTGCTGTGGTATTGTATTTTTCATCCTCCTCCAACGCAGCATCGAAATGATTTGGCGGAATGAGAGGGCGTACCTCTTCTCTATCAGCCACCTCTTCATCTCGTCGCTTTCGTGCGTATGCTGCTGTTGAATTCTTTGGTGCCATGCCGAATGTCTTGGGCTGCTGCCGATGACTTTTGTTGCTGGCTCGAACTCCAGAAATGATGAAAGAGAGTCGTCAACCACTTGTTCTTGTGGACATGAGGGATAGGAGAAAGCCCGACAAGATCTATCTTTACGTACCTGAGAAGCAGTTAGCGGATCTGGAACAGACAATGCGACCAAGTGAATGTTTTGGGTCACAGGCACACTGTTGCTGAGGATATCCGCCTCTTACCTCCCTTTGCCAAAGAGGGCCTTTATTATACGAATTCTCACCTTTCTATTTCAGAATTTATCATCTGTTTGCTGTGATGCCACCAATCTTGCTGCCGGTATGTTCCATTCGTTGTCTTCAATCCGTCGCGCTTTTGAGTGGCTACTTTGCTTAGCGACATTCCTTTTCTGTTGTGAAGAAAGGGAAGGAATGATTGAAACAGCGCAGCCGACTGGGAGATAGCAAAGTGGAAGGGGTTTTGACATGCCGAAATGAGTTGCTGCGCCTTCCGAAAGAATCCTCCGGTCGCGCGTCTTGTCAGTTCCCACGAGGCTGGAATGTTGACCCCAAACGTAGTAGGAACTTGATGCACTCATTCTCGGAATTCATACCAACACAAAATAGCTACCCGATTAGATAACAGCCAAACTTTACGAATGAATGTCCTCCTTGTTTGGTCTCAATTATCCATGCCAAGGGATGGATTTTATGTTCAACATGTGTTGATCTGGATACTACAGGCTGGAATCATGCTGCTTCAAGTATGTGTATGCACTGACAAGCAATGAAACACTGCCTTTGATGGATTGTCATACCACCGACATATCGTCTTTGCGAGTATCCATCGTCGAATGAAATGGGAAGATAGAAACTGGAGGTAGACTTGGTTGAACCTTAGCCACCTAGGTGCTCCACGAATTCGCCATTCCGCTGAAGTATGAGTATGGCCACAAGCGACGGTACTTCCATATTCTTAAATAACTATGGATATCCGAATGTATACGGAGTCTGTTGTTTTGTCTCCGACCGAGATAGAAGAGGCCGACTCTCAAGCCTGTAAGACCCAGCCCATACTCAACACCTGGGATTGTCATAGACGGTCGACCTTTTGTAACCGTATTCAAACCTCAGAGCCACGGACTAGCTTTGTCCTTCGTGGACAATCAGCAGGTATGTATTGATGGCGGCCAACTCTCTTGCTCCAGGGGTCCCAATGAAGACGGCGGAAATGACAGCGAATTGGTTGAAGGAGGCCTGAAAGGAATGGAATGAGAAAGTGCCGAGACGATTTGATGCATCAACAGACACGCACAGGATTTCCGAAAGACAGCTTTCCTGGTCGTCAGACTAAAGCTTATAAGACAAGCAGTCAATTCCAAGCGGCTTGACGGCTGATGTACACGTGTTCATACGTTCCCAGAGGTCCATAAGTTGCGAAGGGCGTGATCGAGGACAGAGGGGTGCCGAGTGAACAATGCGGTGTCAGTAACACACTGCCGTAGCGATAAGACGACGGATCATCGAATTCATGAGGGTGATTGACCCTGCAGTAAGGATGCTGACGGACATTGGCTGTAGTGGAACAAGCTCATGCAGGTACAGATGCAATGACAGTGAGAAGCCGAATGGGCCCATGAGCTGGCCGCAGTTGATTGATCCATGCTACCAAACAAGTATCGGTACTTGCCTGTAACCGAGTACGTTAACACTTGAGCAAAGTTCAAACGGGAAATTTGGTACTTGGATCACAGCACTAGCAACCCAACCAGCTTTCTTTCTCCATATCGATTCTTGCTCCTACAATTCCATCTTACCAACTCTGTGTTGACTACTAGACCGCCTTGCCCGCCATTCGTGAAAACTGAGCTGCGTTGTCTGCCTCCCCAATAAATAATCATTGTCCAGCTCCACTGGTATGCGGCTCGCGTTCCCCCGTCTTGACCGCCACTTGAAATTCCGCGTTGTTCTCTGCAATATTTTCTTTGTCTACGTGACTGACGACTTTGACGATCAGGACCCGTCCGACTCGCTCCCAAGCATGGCAAGATACTAGACCCGCCAGTTTTATTTCCTCGTGCTACACTTCCCTCAGGTCCGACTTGCGCCTCAGTCGCCGTCAAAATGCGAGGCTCGTCTCTACTCCCTAAACAATTGCGCTCCCTAGGCAAAAGCGACAGCTGGTTGAACCGCACAGTCACATCCAACCTTCTTGCTGTTTCACACGTTGCTTGCCAGCATCCGATTCACACGATTGTGGCCATTGCCCTGTTCGCTAGCACGTCATATGTTGGTCTCCTCCAAGAGAGCTTGTTTGACAGCGGTATCAAATCTCTGCTACACAATGGCCGGGTAGATGTTGGAGCATTGCTGCAAGGGAGCAGAACCCTTGAACTGTCCAAGAATACTGCGTGGAAATGGCAGTTCTCTGACGAGTCTACAATTCCACACATCTCACAGGTGAGTTTAATTGGGAAGCCACAACCGAGACATTCTTCTTGACAGTTCTGTGACAGGGTCCCAACCACTATGCCCTCACTACGTTCGTGTTTCCCGATTCTTCCTCCTCTCGGCTGGCTCCTGAAGCCAGTGTGGTCCCAATACCGGCCAATGTCTCCGCAACGAATATCCCGACCACCTCGAACTTGCTCTCGCCGATATCGCATGACACCTCGCTCGCTTTCTATACTCCCTTCTCCGAGCTCGCTGACTTTCTGCGAGCCGTCCAGGAACTACCGGCACAAAATGCTCCCTTAGATGACGCGGGAAATTCACTCTGGATCATGAAAGCTGCCCGACTAAATGGAAACGGCCCTCGTGGTGCCTATCGAACGTGGCTGAGCGAAGGCTGGACTTCTTTTGTCGACCTGGTGAAACATGCGGAGACACTGGACATAATCATTATGTCCCTGGGCTATTTGTCAATGCATTTGACATTTATTTCTCTGTTCCTCTCCATGAAACGCCTTGGCTCTAACGCCTGGTTGGCCATCTCGGTCATGCTGTCCAGCCTCTTCGCATTCCTCTTTGGACTGGTGACGACCACCAAACTCGGAGTTCCAGTCAACATGGTTTTGCTGTCAGAAGGCCTCCCCTTCCTCGTTGTTACCATCGGGTTCGAAAAGTCCATCATTTTGACCAAAGCCGTTCTATCCGCTTCCTACGACACCAAACGTCGACCCGCCGAAAATGGCCCTGCCAATGGAAGTGCTCCTAGTCCACCAAATTCCATCCAAGACGCCATCCAGATTGCCGTCAAGGAAACAGGCTTCGAGATTGTCCGTGACTATGCCATTGAAATTGCAATCCTCATTCTTGGGGCAGCTTCCGGAATTCAAGGTGGTCTGCGACAATTCTGTTTCCTAGCGGCATGGATCCTTGTATTTGACTGCGCTTTACTCTTCACCTTCTACACAACCATTCTCTGCATCAAGCTGGAAATCAACCGAATCAAGCGACACGTTGCGCTTCGCAAAGCACTCGAAGAAGACGGCATCAACCAGCGCGTGGCTGAGGACGTGGCTACGAACAATGATTGGCCTATCGGGCAATCCGACCAGGCAGCAGGATTCAATATCTTTGGTCAGAAGATCAAGGCCAGCAGCGTGCCAAAATTCAAGATATGGATGGTGACTGGCTTCGTCGTCGTCAACCTGATCAATCTTTGCACCATTCCGTTCCGCACCGCCCGAAGTATCAAGTCTCCCGGCACCACGATGCCAAGTGTTTTGACCCCCTCGCCCATTGATCCATTCAAGGTGGCAGAAAACGGTCTAGATGCAATCTACGTTGATGCGAAGAGCAACAAGGTGGAGACGTACGTGACAGTGCTCCCACCGATCAAATACGAATTTGACTATCCCTCGCTTCATCATGCCGACTCCCAGGACCACCTCGGGTTTTTCGATCACGAGTATACCGATCAACTCCTCAACGTCGTGGGCGGTCGGGTGATTGAGGGAGTCCTCAAAAGTCTAGAAGATCCGGTTTTGAGCAAATGGGTACTCATTGCGCTGACCCTGAGTCTCATACTCAATGGATATTTGTTCAATGCTGCTCGATGGAGCTTGAGAGAGCCACAATCGACCACGAGCTCTCCAGCTGCATCCAAACCGCCACAGCTCGAGTTGCCTGTGACACCAAAACAACGACCGACCGAACTGGACCTCACAGGCGGCTCTACCAGATCACGAGCTGAATGCGAGCAAATGCTCAAAGACAAAAAAGCTGCCTACCTCACCGATGAGGAGCTGATTGACTTGTCCCTGCGAGGCAAGATTCCTGGATATGCTATCGAAAAAACGCTGGAGAATCCCGAAGTTATGACGCGGCTGGAATCCTTGGTTCGAGCAGTCAAGGTACGAAGAGCCGTGGTATCCCGGACTCCAGCCACCAAGCACGTCGCTGCAACGTTTGAATCTTCGAAGACACCATACAAAGACTACAACTACGAACTTGTCCATGGGGCCTGTTGCGAAAATGTCATCGGATATTTACCCCTTCCCTTGGGTATTGCCGGGCCGCTCCTCATTGACGGTCAGAGCTACTTTCTGCCGATGGCCACAACAGAAGGCGTTTTGGTGGCCAGCACGAGCCGTGGGTGCAAAGCCATCAATGCCGGCGGCGGGGCCGTAACCATCGTAACTGGCGATGGCATGACTCGAGGACCCTGCGTTGGTTTTCCGACTCTGGCCAGGGCTGGAGAGGCCAAGGTGTGGTTAGACTCGGAAGAAGGCCAGCAGAGAATGCGAGAAGCATTCAACTCTACGAGTCGATTCGCTCGATTACAATCGATGAGAACTGCTTTAGCAGGCACCTACCTGTACATCAGATTCAAAACAACCACCGGCGACGCCATGGGGATGAATATGATTTCTAAAGGAGTTGAAAAAGCTCTCTCCGTCATGGCTAACGAGTGTGGTTTTGACGACATGGCCACGATTTCTGTCTCGGGTAATTTCTGCACAGACAAGAAACCGGCGGCCGTGAATTGGATTGATGGTCGAGGAAAGGCGGTGGTTGCCGAAGCTATCATCCCAGGCGATGTCGTGCGCAGTGTTCTGAAGAGTGATGTGAATGCCCTCGTCGAGCTCAATGTATCCAAGAACTTGATTGGCAGCGCCATGGCGGCCAGCATTGGAGGATTCAATGCCCACGCTTCCAACATTGTGACGGCAATGTTCTTGGCCACCGGTCAAGATCCGGCCCAGGTTGTTGAGAGCGCGAACTGCATCACGATTATGAAGAAGTAAGTGCGACTCCTGTCCTTCGGCCGTTCGTTGAAGTTTCCTGACCGGACCTAGCAACAATGGAAACCTCCAAATTAGTGTATCCATGCCGTCAATCGAAGTCGGTACAATCGGTGGAGGAACCATTCTAGAGGCACAATCAGCGATGCTCGAGATCCTTGGTGTCCGAGGATCTCATCCAACCAATCCAGGCGACAATGCACGGAAACTCGCCAGGATCATTGCAGCCGCAGTGCTCGCTGGAGAGCTCAGTCTCTGCAGCGCTTTGGCCGCCGGTCATTTGGTCAAGGCGCACATGGCGCACAACCGAAGTGCAGTTCCGACTCGAGCAACGACACCAGTATCTGCTGCAGTAGAGCCTTTTCTTCGAGCTCAAAATGGGCCGACGATTCCACTGTCTCTCAAAATGACGAACGGGAAATGCGTCGGTGACAAGATTAACCCCTCACGTTGATGTACAACCAAACAGCATTGTATATATGGGATGTTGAGCGAATGGCGTTCAAGGATGGCCATGTGTTGATTGACACCAAATTCGTGTTTTGGAGCAGCATCGGATCACTGCTATCGACGATAAATGTCGAGGGTGTGCACTTGGACAGCGGGAGCGAAGTTGCATTTGCAGGTGAAAGAGCCATCCTCGAGGAAAGTAGTATTTGAAGCTTCTTGTCACAGGCAACGATTCCAGATGATATACAATATGCAGATACTGTAGTTCGGCCACAGGAATAATATCCACCTCTATGGTGTCGTCACCGTCTTCTGCTATGGAATGTCAAAGGAAAACAATCGGAGAAGTTGGTTCCGTAAGGGTTCAAGCTTTGACCAGCTGTCAAATCGGTAGAAATGGCAAAAGTCCCAGGTGCGTCTAGTGCTTTGAGCCATAGGGGTGGCACCTGTCACCCCTGAAGAAATGTGAGATGGGAGTGGAACAGGTTGGCCAGTGAAATAATGTTGTTGGCGCCCAAGGGGACCCCGGTATGGAAGCTAGCGAAGGTTCGTTTTTATCGAGAAGACGGTTCTGTTAGTAAGGGGGTAAGGGCCAGAAAGCCCATGACATGGACCAGTTGCGACACTCCCTTGAGGGGAGGGAGCAATGCATTGATGTTGTGCAGGACCGACAGCAGTAGTGAAGGCTTTTTAAGCACCAACGTACCGATGTGATCCGTTCCATAGCGTTCACATCTTGTTGGGGGCTGAATCGATAGAGATTCTGGAGAAAGACAGGCAAATTTGCTTAGAAGAGATAGAAATACAGTAGTAGGAAGAGGTGTGCTTTATCACAGTAGCTGGCTAATTAGCATGCAATGGCACCTGACTGACCGCCAGATGGCAGAGTGCCAGAGCCGCCAACATTTCGTAGGGCCTTAACTCAATTCTCACCATACTATCAAACATAACCGCCATCACCGTCTCTCTTCCCTTCTCTCATCCACCACGTCCCATCTACACTCGTTTCCACCCAACCCCCGTCTGCTGGACAGTCCGGATTGTATTGAATCCATATTCTCTTTTTTCATTGTTGCGTGGTCCAAAGAGTCCTCAATTCCATGCCACATCTGAGCATCGGCCATCCCTGGTCGTCCACTCCCTTGATCTGTCGCAGAACTTCCGACATTTTTTGCTTCACCCTCACACCACGCCTCTTGCTCCTCTCCCCTCGACTTCGGTTCACCTGGTTGGTGGAAAAGCCTTCTTCCGATTCAGCAATCTGAACTCCCACCTGTTCACCTTGCGTGCATCGAATGAACCATCTTGTCCAAGATGCAAGCCACCATGCCGCCTCCCTCTCGAGGCCCCGAATTGTCACCCGTGTCTACTGCGGGTAGCGAGTGGTCTGGGGTCAATAACTATAACCAGCTACCACGAAACGATGGACCGTCCACCCCGTTCAATGCCTCCGGAGACGATTATCTTTTTTCTAAACCACTACCCAGCCTTCGTCCTCCTCCTCCTCCTCCTAATGGAAATATGGGCTTTGGACCTGGCCAACTCGATCCGACGGGACCAGTTCGTCCCTCAGAATCCGGATCTCGAGGCTCCTCACGCGCCGGTTCCATCGCCAATTCGCGATCCAGTGATGGCACAATATCTGACGAGCAGAGCAGAAAATACAGGAGGATGGAGGCCGAGTTACTTCGACATTACACCGTTTTGAAGGGATATCTCAAAGGGGGAGCTCAGGCCCCACCTCGGCCTAACAAGGCACGGGATAAGTTATTGCGATTATCCCCCGTCCAATTCCACGAATTGAGTACCGATGTCTTTGACGAGTTACAACGGAGACAAGCAGCAACACCCCTGCCTGGACGCCCACCGCGGCAACAGAACGTGCCTCCGTTTTTGCAACCGCGTCCGGATTTCCATGAAAAGCGCAATCAAGCCAGACAGAAACTGTCATCCCTCCAGACTCCAAGATTTCGAGACTTATCAACGGATGTCTTTTGCGAACTAGAAAGAAGGTTCCCACAATTTTCGAGACCAGATGGAGGAAGAAGAGACAGCTCTCGCTCACAATCACGAGGTCCACGCGGCAGTGGCTCAAGAGATGGCCCTGCCGGTCCAAATAGCTTTGGGCCGCCACCACGATCCCAATCTTTTGGCGTTTCCGGTCCCGGACTTCCCCCCAAGCCGGACTCGGTGACGAACATCCCTCAATTTGACAATCCCCCGTCGAACGACTACGGCCGGCCCATGGCGAAGCAATTTCAAAGTAACACCATTACGCCGAACAAAAGTACGATGGTTGAAGATGAAGACGACACTCCGGGGACAGATTCCAAATATGATCGTTCCAGCGATGCATTCGGCCTAGAAAGCTCCCTCACCAGCCCTCGAAGCGATCGAGACACATCGGCTACTTCTCAGAGCGGAGTCAGCATGACCTTCAACTCCAAGTCTCATCCGCTCACTTTGACGGAGCTGCAAGATAAAGTGGCCGATTTAGAGTCCAATTTAGAAGCTAAGGATGACGAGCTTCGACAGTTGAGCTCCCAAAACGGCGAATGGACCTTGACGAAGCAAAATCTCGAGAAGAAGCTGGAAGAGGCCGAGAGGCTCAACGAATCGTTGAAAGAGGAAATTGAAAGGCTGATGGCCGACAAACCACATTTCAGCGGGGAGAATGTTCTCTGGAAAACAAAATACCTTCAACTCGATCACAAGCACGAAGTATTACAAGGCCAACTAGCGCAACAGCGAGAATTGACCGAGGAAGTGAGCCGGCAAGGTCAGGCATATCTCGAAGAGATGAGGACCATGGCCGAATCTGGCGGCGGGAATCTGGAGCGGGAAGAGAAACTCCAAGCAGAGGTTCGCAAACTCGAAGAAGAGGTCAAGGAATGGAAGGCCCGTTATGTCAAAGCAAGAACCCAACTCCGGAGTGCTCGAGCCAGTTCGTTAGGACTCAGCATCGCTCGAACCGACGCCAACCGCCACGCGCTTGCTCTCCAGGACCCGGATGGATTGGTCAGAGATGTCCACGTCACTAAATTCCAGATCTCGATTGATGAACTGCTCCGGATGGCTAGATCGGACACCCCCACAGCCGTGCTTGATCATATGAAAACGGTGGTGTTGGCGGTGCGAGGTATCACTTCAGACATTGATGCCGGAGCGTCTACCGCTAAGGATGATGAAGCATTGAAACGGCGGGCGAAACTTAAAAGCAAAGTGTCGGCAACCGCCAACAATCTGATCACGGCTTCCAAGAATTTTGCCTCGGCCAGCGGACTTTCTCCGGTCAGTCTCGTGGATGCTGCTGCGTCGCATCTCACCGCGGCGGTGGTTGATCTCTTACATGCCGTGAAGATTCGCCCCACTCCAGCAGGAGAGCTGGAAGATGATGACGATGGGACGTTGGAACCTCTCCAAAGTAATGGATACTTCAACATTGCTGAAACATTGAGAAGGCGAAGTGCGGTGGAAAGCGTGTACAGCGCTTTGAGCACCCCGTCCGAGACCAAAAATCCCCCCAATCAAACTGGGTCGGAGCTTCATCAGCGAAATGGATCGAACTACATGAACGGAGCCGGGCTTGGTATTAAGTCCACGCATGGCGCCAGCCAGGAGGAAGCCGACCTCGAGGATCTCAAGGTGAGTTGTGCGAGCTGTGCCAGCTGTGGCCAGAAGACTTTGCCACTAATCAGTTTGACAGATGTATCTCGAAGATCAGACGGATGGGTTGGTTCAATCGATTACCTCCCTGGTTGATGCTATCCGTGGTGACAAGCCGACGCCAACCATTCGTAATCATCTCACAACGATTGCTAGCGCGATTGAGAATATTGTAAATTCGGTGGAAAGAACGGGCAATGAGCCATCTTCTTATCAAACAGCATTGACAGAAAAGTCACGTCCGATGATGACGATTTTACAAGAGTGTCGAGGAAAGATTCTTCAGGCCAGCACAGACTCGGCAGCATATGACGGGAAACCCGAGGGTAAAGAGCTGACGCAGAAGTTGCCGCCGTTAGCATTCCAGATTGCGCGAGAAACCAAAGAATTGGTATCCAGAATCATGGCGATTGAAGTGGGAGTGGGACGGGGCGATGATGACTTCAGCTGAAAGCCAGCGCAGCTGAATGAAGACTGACAGGATGTGGCCGACAGTGACCGAAAACTAATCTCATATGAGGGGGCTCGGGCTGGTATAGACATGAGTATATATGTATCATCCCGAGTCGATGCCATAATGCTATGACGAGAAACTTGCCCCCTTTTGGAACCCTCCACTGCACGTGACTTGACTCGGGCGTTGGCATTCTGGAATGCAACAAAACTTTTTGCATGTCATTTTCCATCTCCAACTTTGGACCTGCAGCTTGTTTTTGGGACCGGACCACTTTTTGGCTACATTCTGTACAGTACCGTGTAAATTGTATCAATCCCACCTAATTTTCGGCATCCCGGCAAATTTTCTTCTTGTTGCGTACGACGTTTCTCCTACGCGGTGAGATATCTGTCTGAGGGAACTCTTCAAGAGACCTCCTACCTAATCTTTTTGTGTTGAGCTTCAGCATTTCTTGAGCTAAAGGCATTTTCTATTCTTGCATTGAAACCTGGTAAGATACTGCATCGGTCCAGCTTCAGAGATGTCTGGATGAAGGGAATTGTGATCGCGCTGATTGTTTCAGGTTCAGCTGTAGTCATCTCTCTATTGCGCCATCACCGAACAAGCACCCGTAGTGAGCCGTTCAAGGGGAACCGTCACTTCAGCCAGTCACGTGCAGCCAGCGCCACTCTCATCTCCATACCCTGACTCCCCGCCTGTGGCCTTAGAGAACCTCACTGCCACTGCCCCGCTCCTTCCCTACAATCCGACCGTCCAAAAATGCATCGCCCCGCTGTGAACTCCTTCAGATCATTCCTCACCCCTCCAACTTCTTTCATCCGACCATCTCTTCTTTCTTCTCATCGAATTCCGCCTGCTCCTTGGTCCGCGAGACATTTCTCCATCTCTCCTGCAAACATGACCATCAAAGCCTGGTTCGACGTCGAGTACACCGACGCTGCGCTTGACAAAGCCAGAAGTGATGCTCAGCGTTCTGGCGGTGCTGTCCCAGCTCGTACGTTTTCCCTGTCTTTCCTTACCGTCACCCCGCATTTTCAGCTCCTCAATGCCTTCAAGCGGCCATGAGACTGATTTCGGCCTCCTCTTGCACCCTCACCATGCACCAGGTTCCTGGTCAAATCCCTGCTGACCCATTGCGGACTTCAATAGCCAAGAAAGGACGTATCAACTTCAATCTCTACGACGACGTAGTCCCAAAGACTGCCGAGAACTTCCGTGCCCTTTGCACCGGCGAGAAGGGTTTCGGCTACAAGGGTAGCAAATTCCACCGAATCATTCCTCAATTCATGCTTCAAGGCGGTGACTTCACTCGGGGCAACGTCAGTCCACTCCATAAAAAGAGGGGGAGAACAAGAGAGACATCCATGCTGACGGGAATTGCTAGGGCACCGGCGGCAAATCGATCTATGGTGAGAAGTTCGCCGATGAAAACTTCAAGAAACAACACTCCCGACCGGGTCTGTTGTCCATGGCCAATGCGGGACCAAACACGTAAGTTCCAATGATTCTCCACCCATCCCATTGATGGGTGATCTCTCCCCCCATGAGCTAAAGGATATCGACAACTGACTCGATCTCGTCCAGCAACGGCTCTCAATTCTTCATTACCACCGTCGTGACCTCTTGGTTGGATGGCAAGCACGTCGTCTTCGGCGAAGTTGCCGATCAAGAGAGCATGAAAGTCGTCTCGGATCTCGAGAAGACTGGTTCGGGTACCGGTCAAGTCAAACTGGATTTCAAGCCCACCATCGTTGACTGCGGTGCCGAGTAAAGACAGAGATATTCACACGGGCATACGTTGATGGTCGGTAGAGGAACTGTTTGCGCCGAAACTGCAGCTGGCAGACAAAAAGTGTGAAAGAGTATTGCAATTGTGCACTCGCACCCACACTTGAGGAGAGCGAGATTGGCCAACATGGCTACTAGATACAAGTAGTGGGCAAATGAAAAGTTGATTCCATCAAAGATTTGCTTGTGTTTTTCGGAGTCGAAATAGCTAGCTGATGGTCCGCCAAATTGGATGCCCCGGCTCCTATTTTCAAATCATGTCTCGTTCATCAAGGCCGGTCATCGTGGGGGAAGGTGCTCTACTGCGTTGAACACTTGGTTCTACACATGCCGATATCGCCGCCAATGATTCCTTGCTAAGCGAGAAGAGGTAGGATTGACGGTCCCCATGCCACCGGTGAGATTAGAAACTTTGAGGTCCATCGTAAAGCAGTGCCTACGAGAGAGTGAACGAAAGACTTGAGGCTAAGCCGAAGAGAAAGCGCCGGTACATGGTTTTGTCCACATTGGAGTCAATAGCTCTGCTTCTATTCACTGTGCATATCTCGTTGAACAAGGTATATTCTATGCAAAGGACCCTGTGGCCAATAAAAAGCCGACGACGATATACAGCCATGCTCCCTCTTATTGGTGCTGTCGAATACCTTCAGCACGTGGGTGCATGTCGATTGGTACGGAGTATATCGTCGGCCCTCATTAGATTCCTGCCCTTGGACTTAACCAAGAACTGCCTTCCGGAGTCAAAGGGATTTAGACATTCTATGCTTTTCTGAGAAGCTCAATGTAACATATTTTCATTAGACCAAGCTTTATCCGATCATATCGGATGGGCACCATTCGGCACGTGTGCAAGTTTGCATTACGATGGTCAGCTTGTTAACCTGAATTGGGAAGGGAAACATACTGAGTGATCATCACTTTGATCTCCAAAAGATGGGACCCTGGGTACATTCCCGCGCGGGCGGAAATGCTATAAATTGAATGACATTTCATGTCTGAAGCTCATCTCACCTCTTACCTACGCCAACATTTGATTTGGGGAACGAAAAAGGGGGGAATGGTTGGAATTCGTGTGCAGACATTGATATCTTTGCTGTTGGTGCTGGGCATTCTCCCATTGACTGCTATTGGAGCACGCCAGCCTTATGATGTGAGGAAGGTCATCCAGGCATTCCGCCAGCCCCATGAGGATCTGGTGGTCCTTTGCGCCCACAGAGGTCTACGGTGAGAGACTTTCTCTTGCTTACCTCCCTCAGTGCTCTCGTTCTTCTCTTCTTCCTATGCAATTTAAATGACGACTCGACCAGATGGAACGGCACCACCGAAAACTCGCGCGATGCATATTTCCGTGCCTCAGAAGCCGGGGTCGAATGCATTGAAACAGACATCCACATATCTCTTGACGGGTACCTGCCCATGATCCACGACACAGGTCTGGGCCGTGAAACCGACGTCGGCGAAGCAACAGGCCGCGCCGCCTACAACCCATTCACAGGCAAAGGATATAATCCATCCGTCAACAACAGCACGTTCAAAGGCTTCATCGAGCACCTGCACCTGCGCGACGAAGGAGGCCGGGTCCACGACGAAACAGTCCCGACACTACCTCAGATTGTACAAAGCATCTACGACAGCGGCACGAATGTCGTGCTCCAACTCGACTTCAAGGACGAAGAAGCCGTCGAACCTGCCTACTGGCAACTCAAGAACTTGACCAACGCCGCCGGCGTGCCCGCGAACGAATGGTGCATCTACAAGCTCCAAGCAACATGGTACCGAACACCAGAAGAATTCGAGGCCTTACCCTGGGTCCAAGACGCATTCGTTTCCGGTATCCAACTGGCGTTCATCCCGGTATACAATCCCAATGACGAAGTTCATTTCGACACGCTCGCAAGTCTCCAGGGCTTCCTGAAGACAAACTACACCATCAGCGCCGAGATTGAGCTCTATTCGCCCAACGGGCCCCTGCAGGCCCTCCAAGACCACGTTGCCACCTTACAGCCGGGAGGAAACAGCATGTTCCGTACATCCGGCATCTTCTACGCGATCGGCGACTTCGTAACGCCCACAACCGCACGTCGCACCTTCTTCGACACAGCCAATTACACTCTACCCGCTGATGAGCGCGTGAATAATTCCGTGTTCGTGTTCCGGGAAAACAGAGCACCAGTGTTGCTTGATAGTATCGTCGGCAACATGTCGACGGATGGGCATGACTATAGGTCGAATTTTGACTGGATACTCAAGACAGGCTTTGATTGGGTCATTACCGATACGCCGGATGAATGGGATGTACGACTGAGGGGCCAGGGAAAGAGGAATATTAAGCATATGCTGGCAGACGGACAGAAAGAGGCCGATCAGGCATTGGTGAGTAGCTGGTATAAGAATAAAAAGAGGAATAGCGACAGAAGGCATGCGAGGGATTTTGAAGGTACGGCATGAAGAAAAGAAAAGACCCCAAACCCAAGAGTTGACCGATTGAGCTAGACACATGAGTCCTCGATGGTCCTCTCGGGTGGCACCTAAGTAAATATGCGGAGCGAGCTAAATGGGAGAGGAAAATGATTCCGCAACGAACGGTCTTATTTCTCCACGGCTCTATACGCATCCGAAGCCCATGGAAGGGATTAAAGCGATTTCAATTTGGAGACCTAATGAGCCTTCACGTCATGTCTATGAGGTACCACGATTCATAATAATGCACAAGCGGTCTACCCGTTTAACTGAAAGGGCTTGATTTCCGAATGTCCTTTCATAATTGCTGGCCAGCGGCATCACTGACACTGTGACACCGAAGAAACACCTGCAACTCCGAACGTAAACTGTCCCGACTCACCACGTGTAGACGATTAGTCAATCGCCCCGGAACCGATAGGTACCAGAGCCGTTCGGTGCTTGGCACAGCTGCCATTGCACCCATGACCGTGATCCATAGCATCAGAGATGATGCTTCGGCCCATCGGTTGTGGATGATCGGTGTGAAGAGGCGAGTTCAGATCTGGAGACTGAGTTGTGCGAATGATACAGTGCGGTGAGGGATCGGGAACACGGTGATCAAACTGTGCACAGCTGCTTGCAAGCCAGGTGGCTTGATGCAGGGGGGTTCTTTTCACGTTGTTATGGTGATTCCGTCTCGATCGGGCATATCGACGTCAAGCTATGCTGGGCAAAATTTCTTTGGTCGGCTAGAGTCTTCAAGCTTTGTGCTTGCGGTCTCCCCATCACAAAATCATCCACGACAAGAGTGTCATTGGGTAAATTGACCAAGACCGGGTATAGTTCATCAGCGTCTTCCGGTGGGAGCATACAGTGAAGGATATTGAAGCCTGTGGCAAGGCTAGAAAGGGGATGGTCTTTTCGACGGATGCCGGTGAATGAATTCTCTGGGTGTCGACCATTTGACACGCATGAGAGCGCTGGTCTTCGAAGAGGCTGGGAGGTTGATATCAGGCCTCCATGGCAATCCAAACATCAATTTTGGTTGAGACTTAGCCAGGAAGGAATGAGCCTCAGGTCAAGGTCGTCATTTTGAGAATAACACTCACTAAGATACCATGGCGGCCAGCCCAGGAAACATAAAGGTGTCCAGGCCGCCGCGAATTGATAACTTTTCTGCCAGGCCCTGGATGTGCATTGAAACAGTATCCAGTCGAACCTCCATCAATATCCACGCGCTGCATAGCATTCACGGGGCCCTGGACGGGCGAATTTGACGAGAAGCTGTCTTCACATTGCCATGAATGCTAGTACTAGGATGGCGAGGATGGTATCATCATCACGTCTCGTTGCCAAACTGCCAAAACTTTGTTGACTCCTCGACTGGCACGGCAAACGGGCACTTCCTGACTTGAAGAAATCTCGAGGGGATTTTTCGATGCTGAAATCCTCACGAGCGGACTATATAAATGTCCATAGAATAAGACTCTGCCTGTCGAGTACCTGGAGGTCTGATAATTGGTAGGTGAATTCTGGGGGTCGTCCTGATCAGACAGAAAGATGTGGTTGAGGAAGCGATTGACTAACCTCGCACCAATGAAATGTGATCAATACCGGCCGTAGAAGCTCTTTGAATTCCCCTTCGTGGCCACTGAAAGCATTTGCTGGTATTACGAAATCGCGACTAGCCTTGATCAATTGAGTGGACTGACAAGAGGGTTGAGATGCCTTGCTGACATAAAATGGAAACTAGCCGTGTTGAAGTGTTGGAGACCTAGGCCACCTTCGTTTTGATTCTCCTCTTCATCAAACTTCCCATTCGATTGTTGACGTCTGCACGGCAATTTGTTTGGAGGTCTCAGACGCTGGCGCGCATGTGTATTTGACCCGACGTGAGCAGTCTTTTCTTGGTCTTGCAATTTGTATCCCGTTTTTCTCACTTTTGCCCAGGAGAAGTGTGAGCCGTAGGCTCTGATCAACGCCCGTGATTCTTGCTTGTCCTTCTCCGGCCGAGGATTTGCAGTGATGAATCTGAAGGTGGCTGGGTCTTTCTGGTCGCTTCCGGGTTCCTTGTCGTCATCAGGGGCTTGCATTCTGATTATTCGAGACACCAAGCTTCCGGACGTATAGGGGGTAGTAATCGGTATCCACATCAACTTTCGACCGGTCATGCATCCAGCCGGAGGGCGAAAACCTTCCCACACCAAAAATCGTCTATCCTCATTAGGAAACTGGGATTTTGAATTAACCGGGAATGGTTGGTGCGTTGCTGGGACTTTTCCGATTCGACTGCTAGTATATGTATCCCACTGCATGTATATGTGTATAGCCATAGCAATGTACAATTCTGCGCAGCTGGATGCAGGGGTTCAACTCAGCAGAGTAGAAAGGCTTTGACTGAATCGGCCCATACTGCGGCACGCTTGTAAAAATGAATCTGGGGGACGCTCCTTTTCTGCAAGCCATCAATGGCGTTAGCCAGGACTGCACCCGACCCTTCATTTTTGATATCACGAATGGTAAAGGTAGGTCTTCGAGGAAAACACTACTGCTTTTGACTGGGGCAAACGATGAACAACCCGACGCTCGCAACGGACGTGGGTCTGGCTCTGGAGTTAGTATTTTAATATGAGCAGCGAAAGTAGGGAAGGTCAAGTCCAGACCATGTCGATGTCCACACTTTTGGCCTGAACAGAGTCGCCCTCGCGTGGACGATGATCTGCCGGTGCATACAATCTATCGTGCGTCGAGATGGCCTACTAATCCAGTTTTGTTAGCCGAGGCTGACGGGGCCTCACATTGGGTCGGCAACTCACATTACACCTCTTGACAACTCGTCCCACTTCCAGCCCGTCAAACCAACGCTCCATGCTCTTTTCTAGCTTGTCTTTGTACTTGGGAACGGACTCATGAATGCGCCGAAGCTTCATGTCGAGCTTTTCTCGCGGGTTGAATCCGTTGGGGAAGCATGCGACAAATGCTTTGAGCTTATACCCATCCCCGTCCTCGGTAGGTTGAAGAAACAGAATATCATCTTTCACAAGACCTCCAAGCCTTCGCAGTGTAGCATCAGCCGTTGGTTCAGGACATAATGGGGAGATTTCCGATATCACCTTGTTGAACAATGCCGCCTGACCCGTGGACCCATTCGTGGTTATCTGGAACATAGTTGGGAAGCGGATGGGAAGGTAAATCGTCGCCAGCCACGAGTACAGCTCGTCAATAGCCTGTTTAACACCATCGCAAACCGCAATGACTTTGTCCTCGTGATCCCGGATCAATTGCCTTCGCAACATTATTCTATCTAAATAATGTTTGTCCATCTCGATTAACTCCGACACATGAGGATTTTCGAGCGCTGGCGTGATCCACTGTGATTAGCGGACATTTCAGAACCATGGCTCACTTACACATTGACAGGTGGTAAACCGGCTTGAATGGTCGAAATTGGAGAGGCTCGGTAGTTCTCCAATCGAAATTGTGCAATGGTTCTATTTGGCCATATGGATCCTTTTGCTGGCTCTGGACACCTTGTTGCTGGTGTCTGCGGAGGCGTGCTGTTGTTTTCTGAGATTGATCAGTCTCATTTATCAGAATGTCATGGAACATATTAACGGGAAAATGATCTTGTCGGTCACTCACCCCGTTAAGATCATTGCCACTGCGAAATCTGTTCAACCCTGGCAGAAACCATCGCACGGCAATGAATAAGCCGGCCGCCAACAGAAAGGGTACCGAAATTGCCCACGCCAGAGCCAACATCGTTTTCAGGACTTCGATAGAGGTGACTTGATGTTTATCTCAGGGTCTTGGCCAGTTTTAGTGTCGGCTTCATCCTTGTCGCATTTGATTCAATGTAGCATAGAAAATTGATTGAATATGGACAGCCCAAACACTACGGTAGAGAAATTGAACGAAGTTCCCAAGAGTGATTCGGCGGTATTGTCCGCAAAATCATGAAAGCCTTGCGGCTCTCTTCCACTAGTGCTGCACCCTTATCACATTTCGACTATTATCAGCGCCCGCCCCCCCCCTTATCTATTAGCATATACATGTACTTGTATACAACACGGGCTGAACACATCAGGAGAGTCTCCCCAGCTTTTCGATATTGACATTCAAGTCCATCTCCATTCCCATCACACATGTGGTAGTCATATCAAAATAGAAGTCTATACAGGGCTGCGTCGCTTGTCGAGCTCGTAAAGTCCAAGTGTGACGAGTCTCGCCAAGCTGTATTACATGCCAAAGCGCAGATCTTCCGTACGAAGGCTTCGTGATCGAGCTGCGGTAAGCATCCTAGGTTCCAGAATTGGGTAGCTTCGATGGAGACTCATCCGGTCTAAACCATGATAATGGCGGTCGTGGAAGGACGTTACTCTACACAGGTAAGTGGCCTCGTTCCCTCATACATGCTACCCCTAATTGAAGATTCTCATGATTCGGAAAGGCTGGGCATGACTCGGACCACGGCCTTATAGCAGAGCAATGTGGTCGTAGGCTTTCCAAGATATTGACAGTGAATGCCTTGCCGACGCACACGCCATACATATCGCAGAAGGCCCACTGGTGCTTTTTGGCTGATCGATCTTGCACCACCGAACCAAAGTGCAGTACGAAAAACAAGAGTCGGGCCCTTCAGCACATGATGATGCCATTCAAACCCACACAGTCTCATTCCCTCACTTCTGTGGATGGCAATCTCCCTTCTTGTTCATTTCGGCAGGGCATCGGTGTCCGGTTTTTGCTCCCCAACGCAGCGACATTTGCTGACACATACAAGCCTCATGAATCTACTAGTGGTAATGGGCTGATGCACAACCCAAGGTTATCCCGCTTCGTTTCAGAATCTCATCAATACATCTATTCCCTCGAAGGATTATGGTCCTACTTCATTTCCTACGCACGCTCAGTTCGTAGTCAAACATTATCAAACAACATGGGTAGCTGGGGACCAAGAAAGGGCCTCTTCTTTGGTATGATTTATGCACTAGTATTCCTGTAGACAAGTCAAAATCGGTCAACACACACATGTGGAGGGATGAATACTTACCTCCGCACGTAAGATACCCTCACTAAATAAAGGTCTTTGCCTTGGACGGTTCTGGACGGCCGTCGAGTTCTTACCGCCAGCATGATAAGCCGAGCCCAGCTTACAATATGCTTCATCTTTGTCCACTGTTGCATATGCGAGGTTCTCTACCTTGGGCTATTGCTCCATCCCCCACAGGTGCGATCTGGGAAGAACCTTTTCATAAGGGGGTTTAGTTAGCAAAGTACAAGCAGTACCATGACGGTATTCTCCACACCAGGGATATCAAGGAATGCCAAGGAACGGAAGGGCAAGCGTGATTCAAATGGGAATTGATGGAATTGACAGTCCTATATGATATCAACTCGATCGCTTGAGGAGTCAAGCGATGATGGGGTGAGATGAGCAGGTTATAAGCCTGCGTCTCGCCTGGTATCTAGTGTCTTGGCAGGGGCCGCCCTGACAAGGGATCAAAAACGCCTTTCCAACCTCAGTACCTACTCGACACCCTCCCTATCTTGGTCTGGTCAACATGGTCGACATGAAAATTCTTTGTCGTCTCGATGCAGATGCCGGGTCGCACTACCGGGTCTGGTCTTGATGGTGAGAGACATCGACGATCAGGTGAGTGGTATATGTATGCTTCTGAGCGCCATAGTAGTTGCTGGTAGTTTTGGCCAGGAAAAACTCGTCCGCCAAGGGGCTGACGAGCCAGTCTTCTTTGATCGTCCTGCTACGGAACACGAGACGGGCACATCTTCTGGTCTCGGGATGGAATAGGGCTCCTTTCCTTCCACGGCTTATCGACGTCCAAGTAGGGCTGAGACTCAGCGTTAACTTGGCCCATGAACTCTGGGACGGTGAAGCGTCAAGCTTCTTGCGCAACTTGAATTGAAGGAGTGCTCTGGCTCTCTAAATGAGTGTAGGATAGAGTCTATCTATACATCTATCTCAGCAGTGTACGTCAGTGTTGTTGCCTGTCAATGGTGATACAGCCCAGTGGGCGAGTATTGCAGAACGAATCGGCCTGTCGCGAGCGATAGGTCATTCGCCTGTTCAACATGAGGTTTTCGGTCATTACGGCGCCATCTTCGATGATGGCACTTTTGAGTCCTTCGATATCAAAGGTGTCAACTCGTTGCAACGTAGCTGCAGTAGCTGGGGGCGTGGTTTCCATCTAGTAGAAAGTAAATTATGTGATTGTTCGGCTGAGAAAGGGTCGATATGTCGAAGGAATGGGGATACTCTTTGCGAAGTCCAAATGGGTAGTCTCATAGCGAATATAACTCATGGAGAGTTACATTTCAAGATACAAGTGGAGAGTGACGCTGAAGTCCACATGTTCTGGGGTGGCTAAGAATGAGATAGATGATAAGAGTGGATACATGGCCCGCTTTTGCCGAATCGTCGTGATATACACCAGATATTACCTTTCTTGGGATAACTTTCCTTTGTCCGTGGGTAACATGCGCTACAATCTACAGCAACTACGGAACTCGCCTTATCTCCAATTCTAGAACCATTATCAGTTTACCTGAGCTCCACGAAGGCAAGGATGGCTCTACTATCTACGTTTTTCTCGTCATGTCCGTCATGGGGCCTTCCAATATGAACCTTGCTTTCAAGCAGATTTGCTCCTCAATCTGTCTGCCTTCTCATCTTCTCATCCCTTTCAAGACACCAGTTCTTTCTTGAGACAGCCATGGAATCCAAGACCGTATATACCAGCGACAAAGCGATCGATCCCAGCGATCAAAACAACACCACCGACCAAGATGTTGGCACGGTCGAGACCAACAACCTAGCCCGAAAGCTCAGCTGGCGTCAGATGCAGTTGATGGTCATCGGCGGCTCTATCGGGACTGCTCTCTTCGTGACAATTGGAGCTGGTCTCATGGCTGCCGGTCCTGGAAGTTTGCTGATCGGCTTCCTCATCTACGGTTCTTTCACAGCCGCTTGCAATAACTGTATGGCAGAGATGTCTGTCTACATGCCGGTCTCTGGGGGCTGGATCCGTATGGCGAGTCACTGGGCCGACGATGCTCTTGGATTCACTCTGGGTTGGAATTTCTTCCTCTATGAAGCACTTCTCATACCATTTGAGATTAGTGCACTAAACCTGGTGTTGACCTTCTGGAGCGACCACATTCCGGCTGCTGCTATCTGTGTTGGATGCATTGTTCTCTATGGGTAAAGCCTTAGTCTCAGCAGTGGAATCGACAACAGAGCCGCTGATATGCTGAAAACAGTCTTATCAACGTGTTTGCCGTTCGAAAGTACGGCGAAAGCGAATTCTGGTTGGCCATCGGAAGTACGTGTTATCACATCTCCTCCCGTTTGAAGTACACTCTCCCTAACAATGCGAGTCTAGAGGTCATCTTGATTGGACTTTGTTTCGGCTTCACATTTGTCACCATGGTCGGTGGTAATCCTCAGCATGATGCATATGGTTTCCGATACTGGAACAATCCGGTAAGGCCCAGGCCCGGTCCCTTCTGTTGTTGTTTGAAATTGACGAATCTGAGGGTTCCTTTGCCGAATATCTCCACTCCGGTTCTCTGGGGAGATTTGAAGGCTTGCTTGCAGGTCTGTGGCGGGCTGCCTTCACCATCGTTGGCCCCGAATACGTTGCCATGTTAGCCGCAGAGACCAAATACCCTCGCAAGTCTCTCAAAAAAGCCTACAAGACCATTTATTGGCGATTTGGCGTCTTCTTTATTGGGGGCGCTCTCGCCGTTGGCATCGTCGTCCCATACAATGACCCTACGCTGGTAGCCGTCAACACTGGAGCTGCCAGCGGTGCAGGGACCGGAGGCGCCAGTCCCTATGTCATCGCGATGCAAAATATGGGCATTACAGTCCTGCCTTCCGTTACAAACGCCTTACTACTGACCAGCATCTTCTCCGCGGGCAACTCTTACGTCTACTGCGCCTCCCGAACTCTCTATTCCCTTTCCCTAGATGGCCATGCACCAAGGTTCCTTCGAAAATGTACCAAGTCTGGTGTGCCGATCTGGTGTTTTGTTGTCACGATGGCTTTCCCTTTTCTCTCGCTCTTGATCTTGGGCAGCAATGCCTCACAGGTAGTTCTATGGTGAGATCCCACCAACCTCAATAGATTCAGCATCCATCGAATACTAAACGTTGCTGTCTAGGCTCGCTAATCTCGTCACTGGTGCGCAAATTATCGAGTATGTTTTCCAATGCCCCTTATCCGAAGCATCATCTTCTAACATTTTGTGATTTACAGTTTCATCGGCATGGCGCTAGTTTATCTCTTCTTCTACCGTGCCATGAAGGCGCAGGGTTTTGATCGAGACCGGCTTCCGTATAAGGGCTGGTTCCAGCCCTTCTGCGCCTGGTATGGTCTGATCAGCATGACTTTCGTGGTCTTCTGCTATGGTTATGCCATCTTCCTACCTGGTGCATTCGATGTCGGTGATTTTTTCATCTATTATTGCATGATCATCGTCTGTGTAGTCCTGTATATCAGCTGGAAACTCTTCAAGCGCACTAAGGTTATACCGGCTCGTGAGGTCGACCTTGTCTGGGAAGCTCCTACCATCGACGCGTATGAAGCCAGCCTCGTTGATCAGGATATTGGCTTGTGGACGGAACTCAGGAAGATGTTGAGATTGAGGAAAAAGGAGGAAAGATTCGACGTTTACTAATATGAACGTAAGCATGGTTCCAGATTCGTGCGCAGTTGCATATGTTACATTTGAAACATGAGGACAGTCACAATTCATGCGAGAGTGGAGGCTTATCATTCTTCTTTTCAATACCACCGTTCCCTATGTTGTCCGGTCGACCCGCCCACTCGACTTATCGGAAACTGAATTAGGAGTGTCCTCTTCAAGCTGCTTCTTCGTAATGGAGTCCCACTCATTGAGCAAATGTGACCAGTTGCAGCGTACTTCGTCCTCTCCGGGAGTCATTTTAAACCACCCCTAGGCCATTCTGTAGCCGAGTTCTTTCCGCCGTAGTCGTTGGTGGAAGTTTCCCGAAAAGGCAACCTTCAAGGCAGCTGTTGAACGGTTGAACAAGTAGCCAGTGCCCCTTTTTGGGGATAGAGGGGCAGAAATAAGAGAAGAAAGGGGTCGTCCAACCAAACGTGTATAAATACCAACAACTTGGCAGGACCAGTTGCTAGATAGACGGAGCATTCAATACACATTCTCTGGCATACTCAGTTTGACAGCAGCTTTCGGCTCGCGGAGTGACGATTCAATCCTTCACACATTCTGCACGGCCTAAGCCGCCCTCTGTACTGATATATGACCTCGTCTCTCATTCCACCCGACTTCAATCACCCCATGTTTCCAGTTACCGGCGGAGCCAATAGCTTAGTAGACATGACATGACATTGCTGAAACGGGAGACTCCAGCTCATTGCCTGATAAACCCTCAGGTGGAACGTGAAAGGCTACCGGACGAGCTGATTCCTATACTGAATCGGTATAGTAGGCCCACGTTCCATTCCAACGATGACATGCTGATTGCTGAAGATGAATATTTGATATCATATTCCCAGATCAAGGGATGAAAGAGTACGCAGGAATGTCAAGTCACGACCGTAGAAAACTGGTTGTATAACCATCCCAGAGCCATCGTGGATGAGGAACAAGATTTCATTTACAGAGGGGGCAACGTAGTCGCACTTTGTACGACGGGTCAAGTCACCTTTTCGCCTGCTTTCTCAAAAAATTCTAGCCCTTAGCCATCAGCAGATTATTCGTGACGAATTCACGGACTGTTCATGTCCCGTCCGCTACGACGTCTTACCTCAATAATACGAAATTCGAGGCTTTTGTTACTGCCGTTCTCATCATCCTCGGCCTGCTGTTGCTCCTAGGACCAATGTGGATTCTTCAATTTGTAACGAACGATATCAAGCGTCTTGGGATAACCACAGGACTTGCCACAACACGGCTTGCAAGTGCGCTGCCCTTCGAAGTCCTGGCGGCTGTTGCTGCGTGGGTAGTATCTATCAATACCTTGTACAGCAAGCCGAAATCTAAGCAGACTAACCCCAAGAGCAGTTATTCTTACCTGTTGATGGGATTTCTACAAATTGGAATTCAGACTTCAGACTTGATTAAGAGGAGGTTCGCAACCAGGATATCAAACTAGGACTTTGGGAACACAGAATGAAGAGGGGATACAAATTGGCTAACTAACGAGATGCCATAGAACATAAGGTGACTCGTCATTGTTAAGAATTGACGTCCGTGAGACCGTGGGCTGGCTTCCCTACTACTGGAGACTGAGGACTCGTTTAAACATGCAAGCGATTCGTGAGCCCTGCTTTGGTTCCTCATCATGAAGCCTCAAGAACTTTTGAGCATCACTTGGCCGTCCGTCTTCAGGTCATCATTCCAATGGACTCGCTCGATCGCCTTTGCCTTGCTTTTCTCTCCCTCCGTGGTGGCGAGCTCTTGTATCTTCGGTTTCCCCTCTCCCCTAGAAGATGTCATCACATGTGCTCCATTCCCTTTCCATTCGTTTCTTCCAGTACAAGCCATTATATTCCCAATAACTCTCGCCTGTAATGGGATCAGTCTTCTTCTCGAACCACTTGGGCCGCCACTCTTCGCCCGCAGCTTCGCGTTTCCGTCGAGCTGCACGCTGCTTCTCTTCGACACGGTTCTTCTCTCTCGCAGCGAAATCATACTCGCCGTCCTCCATAGCCCGTTGGTCCGGTCGCAATCGAGTATCTGTAGGGGGAAGATGATGCCGCAAAGAGTCAGGGATGGCATTCAGTGTCACAACAAATGGGGTGAGATTGAATGGAATTCCTTGTGGGCGATGATGGGCCTCCCAGACCAAGAACGCTTGGTGACCGGATTGACTTCCGGGTTTCGCGTAGGAGAATTCGCCTTCTCCCACGGCCTCATCCTCAAACCCCTCGGTGACACGCGCGTAGATTTTGTCGTTCCATCGTCCTCCAATGCTCCATTTCGTGACACCATCAACACCCATGACCTTGCCAAAGACCTGATAGGCAGAACTGGCTTTCCATCCTCGCTGTTTGAAATCCAATACGCAGACTTCACCGGTCGTCCAATTCTTGATTTGCATCGGCCCGTAGTTGTCAACCGTAGGGTTTCCCGTAATGATACCCACGACGGAACTCGTGACTTTCTTCCATGTGTACAACTCTGGTGGACTCCCGTCAGAATGGCGGAGGCGCAAAAACCATGTCCCCAGTGGATTGATATCAAATGATTTGCCATAGAATTTGGACTTCACAGCCGATTCGCCCCAATAATCCCAGCGAGCAGATTCGGCGTAGGCCGCGCCAATCGGAGGATGATGGCTGACTTGCTCAATAAAGAAACGGTAGCCTTTATCCGGACGAACATATTCGTAAGTTTCACCCAGAAGTGGATTGAATGGTTTCGCAACTCGACCTATTGTGCTTGCATATTCAGAGGCCGCAAAGGCGGCGACATAGACAAGTCTTTCGGTTGAATCGAGACGGTCTGCGGCAATGTCTAAGAGATCTGCGTATTCCATGTCTTCGGCGACACGCTGGAGGAGAGAGGTTGGCTCATTGAACGACACCGGGAGCGTCATCCTCGTCATATCTTTCCCGATCATCGACTTGAGAATACCCCAAAGCGAGATCTTGGGGCGGTTATCAGCGTCCATTTTCAATTTCTCGCGAACGCCATCCTCATAGCCAGCGTATGACGGTTCGATCTCCATTTGTTTTTGGGCCCTTATCTCATCGTATGGAAAGAGGGTCTTTTCCACTTCTTCCTGTCCAACGAGGATTTGTACTGGCGGTGGGCTGATAAGTGGTGGTTCGACAACCTCGACTGTGCCGGCATCAATAGCGTCGAAGAATTCTTCATCGTCTCCAGACTCGGAATCTGACAGATTGGTGTACTGCGCGATGATGGATTTCCTTCTATTGCCTTCTCTGGTAAAAGATTTTCGTCGTGATCGGCCTCTTACCGAGCTTTGAGCTTCTGGACGGATAGCCAACTGGTCCTCCACGGCTTCTGTAAATTGGACACGGTCTCCTATATCCTGTTGCGCCATTGAGCTAGGTCGGCTGACAGGAAGTGATTGGCCCTCAAGTGCCTCCTTCAAAGCACGTTTGGTCCGTTTGCGCTTATCCTCCGACTCAGCGATAGATCTTTTCAGGTCTTCATGCTCATATGCGATCTTTGCCATGCTTTCTTCCCACATTCGTCGAGCATCTGCATCTCTGTCAAGTCGGTATTGCCAATAGGCATCGCGATCTCGAGAAATCTTCAGCAAGTCTGTCACCAACCCGTTCAAACTGCTGACCGCCGTCTGATAGGTGAGAAGCGCTTGAGATACGTCTAGATCAGACAAAGTTGTAGTGGGTTGAGAGGATGCTCGGGCAATAAGTGCCTCGGAGACTCGAGCAAGAAGGTCAAGTTGCAGCGTAGCCGACTGTGCCGTGATATTGAAAGCGTCTTTGCTTCCGGGGTGATGGACTTCACGACTGCTGGCATCGTCACCGTCTGCGTCCTCGTCTGCATCGATGGTGGCGGTCACAGGATTCGTTGGTATCCGTTGGAGCTCTTCGCCGACAACACTGGCATCGTTGGAATCATACATGGATCCAGCCTCTATGTCCGATCGGAAACTGACTTTGGAGGAACCTCCTGCGACTCCAAGCGAGGGTGCTGGATGTTTAGATCTGCTATTGGTCGCACTCACTGGATCTGATGATTCAACCCGGGCATGGCGGAGAGTGTCGGTATCGAGGGTACGCCGTTTCTCCTCTTCTTTCGCCTCGTCTTTTGTATATTGAATGGCGTTGTTGAGTGCCCAGAACCACCTTTTGGCTTCCACGACATGGTTGGCTTTCAAATGATACTTGACGGAAGATTTTCCGTGAATCTCAAATCTGGTTTTGTCTTGCGCGTCCATGTGCAGTCTAGCAATGCGCATGTTAATGGCTCCACGACAGGCAGAGCCTGCATCATCCTGGTGCTTATAGTAGCTGAGAACACCTTCTTCGAGCACAAACCATCGAAGTTTATATCCACTCGTATAGTTTGTCCACTTCTTGAGATATCCTTTGATTTCACGGGCGTCTTTAGTCGCGTCATTGGGGCCACCAGAACCAGATCTTGCCTGCGTAGGGTGATTCCCCAGAATAGCCTTCTCCTGAATTCCTCGCTGCGCAGCGGCTGCCGCAGGGGACTTCTTCAAGATCGCCCTAGTTCGATCATCTTTGGTCACATCCTGTGGCAGTCTGCCCTTTCGATCTCTCCGGAAAGGATCTGCACCGTGCAACAACAGAATCTGTGCCAATTTTAAATCGCGTTTGCGCGCAGCTTCGTGAAGGAGTGTGCCACCAGTTTGGACAGTCACGGGTTCGGTTGCTAATTCCAAGGCATTGACATCGAGAGTGCCTTCGACTCGGGGCTCCACCAAGATGGCTTCCACTTGTTTATACTCTCCATTGGCCAATGCGGTGTGGATCTCTTTGATCTTTTCGTCCAAAAAGATGGAACGCGCCAGTTGGAGTTGCTGAAATATCTCTGGGGTACGTGCAAGATCAATTGGCAGCTTCCCTTGCCGGTTGGAGATGGCATCGTTTATACTGGGCTGCTCCAACAAGTCTCTGACGACCGGTGCTCGCCCCAGCTGCGCGGCCAAATGTAACGGGGTATTTCCTTCTTTGTCCTGGGCATTCAGATCAAGACCTCGGCCTTCTCTTATAACTTGCTCTACCACATGTGGTTCGGCACACTGTATAGATAGGTGAAGAATCGTTGTTCCTGGGATTGGCTGCGGAGTGGCGGACGAAGGTATTGAGTCGGCGATGGCCTTTGATATTGCTGTTGTGTCTTTGCTTCGGAGAACCTCAAATACCCGAAAAGTTCGAACAGAATCCTCTATGGAGCCACTGTGGCCGGGAGAAACACCCGAAGAAACTTTATGAGAGGCATCTGTCCCGGCAGATAGTTCGCTCGGGTCCATTGTTATCTGAGAGGTCCGTGTAGTGGCCGGTGACAGGGGGGTCAGTCTCAGCCCGTCGAGAGGCGTCGATTGCGATGTAGGAGTCGTAGAAGAGAATGGACCCGTGGAGGAGGTGGTGGTGGTGGTGTAAACGGGCGACTCTGGATCTGAGCCAGTCTCTCGCGGAAGATTGTCGCTGCGCAACAGATTGAGGACTCGAGAGCTCTTGGAGCGTTTGTGGACGGTTCTGTTTGCCATATCAGGGTCGAACGGCGGTGAAGGAGATGATAGAGAGTTTGGAGGACCAAACGTAGAGGATGAGCGACCAGAGAATGAGACGACAGACAGTAGCAGAGGCTCTCTCACACAAAGGCAAGTTTTAGTTTGGTAAGGAGAGCAAGCAACCCAGGTGAATGGCGGTTGATTCGCTCGACGCTTCCCCCGCCATCAGACTGATCGGGACCTAATTGGCACAAGAAGGCAATGGCAAAACTATGAACAAACCGTCCCACATATGCACTATGACGAAGAGCGTAGCCAGACGAACGGGTGGGCATCAAGAAGTGCACTTCTCTGCAATGTGAGAGTTGACGATACGGTCTAGTCGGAGGCCGAACGCGAGCGGGAACGAGGGAGTAATATCTACTTCTACATCTGGATCGTGAGGTAAATAGTTTGACAGGCTCAATGGACAATACGTACGTCAGACAGTCAACCCACGGAACAACATAGCTGTCAAAGCCACAACAAATGGCAGCGCGCATGTGGAAACTAAAATTCTTTCTCGCTTGCTTGCCATCTTCCCTCCGCCCATTCTTCAGCACCTCTTGCCAACGCGTCTCCCGAATCCGCAGCCGGAAAATGGCCAGTCTGTGCTGCCCGTTGTCTCGGTATCCCTTGCCACAAATATCTCGTATCCGTCAGTTACTTGGGGTGGTACGTAACTGTCAGATGGCAGTGCAAAGCACGCGAGGCCCGGAAAGTCGGCCAGGTTATAGCAGTTTTCTCAGAATCATCAAGCCATATATTTCTTTATGTCCGCCTGGAATCTTCATGACTTTTTCATAATACTTGTGCACGCTGTCTATCCAAGGAGATCATCCAATCCATTGCCCAGTGGTGTACTGGGCTTCCCCTGACCTGACGCGGTATTCGGAGTCGGGGTTGTGGCACTAGGTCTTGGGGTTGAGCCCGCCGCGGAGGAGGCTGCTCCCCAAATTCCAGCCTGACTCTTTGCCTTTGCCATACTCGCCAAATCTGGCCCCTTTTGTGGCCCAGATGCGCTCTTGACTCCGGCCTTGCTGCTTGCCGTATTCCAAAGTGATCCGAAGGCATCGCCGCCGCCGCCGCTGCCGCCGCTCGATACGGGCTTGGGAGAGGGTTTGCCCAGGGAAGCTGCTGAGGTGGAGGATGTATATGACGGGGTAGCTCCACTCATGGGTGTTGATGCGGTTGACGTCGGAGTAGGCTGCGGGTTCACCGAGATGGGCACCGAAGTAAAATAGTTTGGTCCCGTAGGCTTGTACCCTCCGGCCGGCTGTAGGGGTTGAGGGGGTTTCTGTGTCGGTGGCGGTGGTGAGAAAGTTGACGTCGACGCCGCCGGAGACACTATGGAAGAAGATGTCGATGGAGCCGGCGATGCAGTAGAGAAGATATTGTTGAGATTCGCGGCTTGTCCGGGAGCCACAGGCTTGGGGGCGGCGAATTGAGTCGCTGACGTCGTCGTCGAAGTGGCAGGTGGAGGAGTAATGGCTGCCAAAGGATTGGCGGCAGGTTGCGCTGCTGCTGGACTGGTTGCTGATTGAAAGTCATCAAAGTCGTCGTCGTCGTCATTTGCAGAACTTCTCTGCATTCCCCCCAAATTGTCGAGGCCGCTGGAAGAAGTAGCTGAAGCTTTGCCATTAGATGTAGTCGTGGGTGGTTCATCGCCGAAATCAAAGAGATCCTGCTCTGGTTCTTTCGGTTGGGGCGGATCTCGTTTCGCGGCCGTCGTTGGTGCCGTCCGTGTAGCTGTCGGTTTTGTCGTTTCTATTTCGTCAGCCTCGTCATATTCTTCAAATTGGTCTCCTCGGCGCTGGGTGCCAGAGAAGTCCGTCTCACGCCCGCCGAAACCGCCGCCATCACCATAGACCTCTCCTTGATAGCCACCAAATCCGCCAGTGTCGCTTCCGAAGCCACCATATCGACTTCCGCTCGAGAAACCGCTGCCCATGCCCATTCCGCCTTCCACTCCGCCATATTTGTTCCTGTTGGCTCGCGCCTTTTTCCTCTCTGCTCGGATGGTGTCCACATCACTCAATAGCTTGACCAGCTCTGCAGATCTGTTTCGGACATTGACACCTTGATCTTTGCCGTTCTGATCGATATAGTGAAATTGTCGGAGCATCCGTAGGAGGGACAGGTGTGATCTGGCGTCATCAATGACCCGCTCCGAGCCGTTTTTGCAGAGGAATTCCAGCAACTGCAGTGCCTGTGGCCTTGTGAGTATGACTTAAATATACAGTTTGATCGGAGCCATACTTTGTATATCTGCCTCCACTCTTCCGCAGTCTTGTCCGTGAATCGTTTGTAGATCATGGGCATGATCTCATTCAGTTGTTGGCTAGGTCGGTCAGATGACGAGAGTTGGGCCGGAGAGGTTGATGGACGAACTAGTTGTGTGTGCCTTGAGCAATCTCCTGCATTAAAGTGGCCGACGCTCCCCAAGGATCCCCGTTTGTGGCTTCTCGAACCTGGAACCTGTGTGAGGAGTAGATGACCACAGGGGGCAATGGAGGAAAACAGACCTTTGCCTCCATCTCGGTCAGATTCATGACGGCTTGCAAAATTTGTCAGTCAAGTTCGTCACTTTCAATACCAGACATACCATTTTGCACTTTACGAACACCCGCCTTGATATCATAAAGGGTCAAGTTGCTGACCTGATTTTTGAGACTTTCGAAATCCATCCTGGCAAACGACGCGCTGGGATTAAATTAAAGGATCTAAAGGCGAGTTTGACTTCAGGGAAGTAGAACAAAAACAAACCGCCACAACGCAGGAGTGCTTGCGAGTATTGAGAGGAGATCTCAATATGTGTTATGGAAGAGCGATGTTCAATGGGCTATTAGATCTTCAACATTGGGCCGGCGGAGCGCAGGCACGTCTTCCACAAAAAAAAAAAAGGCCCCTTCGGCTGGATGGGGGCCGAACCGGCACCCGTGGAGGCAATGCTCGATGAAATCAACCTCTTGTGGACGTTGAGGGATTACCACACATACATATTTGGGAGATGGGACATACAATAACATAGCAGTCGTGATGATGCCACAAATTAGAAACAACTCTGCCGCTACTGTCGCTACACAGCTCAGCAATGACTTCGATTCCCCTTTGGCTTTGCTGGTAGGGAACGGGGGTGGCGTTCCTGGTCACAAAGATATCCGACCTGGTGATGTGGTTGTCAGTCAGCCCAAAGATAAATTTTGGCGGTGTTGTTCAAACATCCAACGCCCAATTGCTGGCGTACAGGAATCCTGAACAAATCTCCGCCTAGCATTGAGCGCTTGAAAGCCAAACATCAAAGGGAAGGCGACCGGCTCTGGCAAATCCATCTTAGATGTGCTTGACGCCAATCCCTCCACAAGAGAGAAAATGGTCGATTATGCTTATCCTGGCACAGAATGTGATCAACTCTTTGACTCTACACACGTTCATCAATATGGGCCAACTTGCCAACATTGCGATCGAACACGTATCGTTACGCTTCAGTTCAACAAGATACACGGCTACGAATTCACTATGGTACTATTGGCCCTGCAAATATGGTCGTGAAAGATGCCAAAATGCGTGATACCCTGAGAGGTGACCTGAACATTATTTATGAGAGCATGGAGGCTGCCGGGGTCTTGGATGCCTTCCCATATCTTGTTGTCAAGGGGCATATGCGGTTATAGCGACTCGTACAAAAATAACCATGGGCAGCCGTACGCGGCTGCGGTGGCCGCGCCGTACTTGAAGGGAACTGCTGTTGATCATCCCACCGAAGGAGGTAACGAGCACCTTACGAGTGGTAGCATCCACCTGATGAATGTCCTTAGGATGAAACAGGACATCGCTACTTGTGGAGGGAGTCCTCTGAAGCGGGGGGAATCCGGCAATGCGACGGCGGCTTAATAAAATACCCAACGACCTCAACAATCTCTTCCATGACATTTCGACAAGAGACGAACGGAAGATTGGCGAATTGATCTTATGCCTACAATGAATCTTATATTGTCAAGAGACCTCTCAAGTGTGAAGAAACTATACTACACGATCATGTCGAAGATAGAACCTCGAGACGCGAACCGAATGGAATCCAGACGAGATCAGCGTTGAGCTCATTCAAAGAGCTGGCAGATACAACAATTCAAGACATCAAAGGGTACAATTCATTCATGGACCAGTTCGCAACTTCCAATTAAAAGGTGATGGACTCCAAAGGATTCGACCCGGACTAATAGTTCGATAGTGAGAATCCGCTGTTAGGAATACATTGAGATCAACGATGAAAAGTTGCGATCAAAGCTTCGTGAACAGATGTCTGAGAGATACCCTTTTCTTGAGTACGCTATTTCGCATGTTCTTGGTCTAATGCTGCAGAGGGTTGTCGCATCTCTGGACAGTTGTCCGGATTTTTCTTTCCAGTCCTGGATGAGAATCAGCAATTTGTTTGAGAAGTTCGAATCACAGCTCAAGCAACCTCGTTCGCCGATAACAAGATCTCGGAAACCTTTGTTCGAAACCCCGACTGCCAAGCAAATTAGCGCCAGTGGCCTCCACCTCGAACCTTGAAAAATGCTTCTTCGGGCGCGACTCTCCTTGAAAAACTTTTGGCAAAGACTCCTTTGGCCCCAGCACACCGTGCCCGTGCCCGGACTGGTTCTGCTGTCACATCATCGATATCAGTTTCGAAATGCCTCTTACCAACGGAGATGTCGCCAGCAACGGCACTACTCTCAACCGCAAAATCGAGAAGTTGGACTACCGCAAAGCCCGAGAAGTTCTCGAGACTGAATATGAGTCTCGAGACGGCCTTGACGTGCAGACTCTCCTTGACTCGACCAAGAATGGCGCTCTGACATACAACGATTTCCTTATTCTGCCTGGATATATCGGTATATGGCCCAGATGTCGCTCCAGGTGCACTCCTGACTCCTTTGTGCAGGTTTTCCCGCCTCAGAAGTGACTCTCGATTCGCCTGTCACCAAGCGTATCTCCTTGAAAACTCCTCTCCTCTCCTCTCCTATGGACACTGTTACAGAAGATTCTATGGCCATTCACATGGCCCTGCTGGGTGGTCTGGGTGTTATCCATCACAACTGTTCTGCAGAGGACCAGGCAGATATGGTTCGAAAGGTCAAGAGATATGAAAACGGGTTCATTTCCGAGCCTGTCGTTCTCTCCCCAAAGACTACGGTGGGTGAAGCCAAAGAATTGAAAGAGAAATGGGGTTTTGGTGGATTCCCGGTGACCGGTATGCTCGCTCTCCAGATTTGCAAGGTTTTTTTGGTTCGATGATGTCCAAACCATTTACCCTTTGAAACTTTCGTTCATCCGCAGCAGGAGTTTGCTATGGGGAAATTATGGAGATTTCTGTCTGAGACTGCTCTTACTGTCAATTTGGCTCGTTCCTCCTGGCTTTTCATACGCTGACCAATCACGCACACACAGAAAATGGCCAACTCAAGTCCAAGTTGATTGGCATTGTTACAACACGAGACATCCAGTTTCATCCTCGCCTCGATGACTTGGTCACGGAAGTGATGTCTAAGGATTTGATCACAGCCCCGGCGGGGACGACCCTGGCCGAGGCCAATGCTGTGCTACGTGAATCAAGAAAGGGTAAATTGCCCATCGTTGACAACAACGGCAACCTGATTTCTCTTCTCTCACGGTCCGATCTCCTCAAAAACCTCAACTATCCGCTGGCCTCGAAGTTGCCTCATTCGAAGCAGCTGATTGCCGCCGCGGCGATTGGTACTCGACCAGATGACCAGATGAGACTTCAGAAACTGGTTGACGCCGGCCTTGATATTGTTGTTCTTGACAGCAGCCAAGGAAACAGCGTCTATCAAATCGAGATGGTCGAATATATCAAGAAGAAGTACCCGCAGCTTGACGTCATCGCCGGAAATGTGGTGACGCGTGAACAAGCCGCCAACCTCATAGCAGCCGGCGCCGATGGGCTAAGAATTGGCATGGGCAGCGGCAGTGCTTGCATTACTCAGGAAGTCATGGCGGTGGGCCGACCTCAAGCCGCAGCTGTTTTTGCCGTGTCGTCTTTTGCGGCTCGATTTGGAGTCCCCTGCATTGCTGATGGCGGCATCCAGAACGTTGGTCACATCGTGAAAGGTCTGGCCATGGGTGCTTCCACCGTCATGATGGGTGGACTTCTTGCCGGCACCACCGAATCTCCAGGCAACTACTTTGTTAGTCGCGAAGGCAAGCTTGTCAAGGCTTACCGAGGAATGGGCAGTATCGACGCCATGGAGGATAAAAAAGCTAGTGGAGGGGCTAAGAACTCCAAAGCTAGCAACGCCGGCACAGCAAGATATTTCTCAGAAGGCGACCGCCTCTTGGTTGCCCAAGGCGTGTCGGGGGCTGTACTCGATCGAGGCTCCGTCACCAAATTTGTCCCCTACCTCTTGGCCGGGCTTCAACATTCTCTTCAGGACATCGGATCTAAGAGCTTGATCGAGTTTCGTGAGGATGTAGTTAGCGGCAAAGTTCGATTTGAACTCCGAACTGTCAGCGCGCAAGCGGAAGGGAATGTCCATGGCCTCGACAGTTTCGACAAGAAGCTCTACTCGTAATCGACGGGAGGGGCAGTAGTAGCATCACGGTGGGGCGTTGAGGGCGGATTGCCCCACTGGATTTGGTATTGTAAATGATTTTACGGATTCGATGATGATGGAGTATATAAAACGAAAGTCTCACATCAGGAGCCAAAATTGCGGCGGACGGAAGTTATGGTAATAGCTTTGGTCAGGTCATCAGATGAACCTCGGTGCAGTCTCGGTTCCCCACGCCCAGATGGGCATTTGCTGCAAAGCACCGCGAATTGGAGCTACCGAGCAAAGCGGATTTCTGGCCACTCAAACAAGGATCTCCTCCATGCATACGAGACGTGCCTCGCTCTCAGTCTTTTCCCTGTCCATGCCATGCCTGCAGTTCCCTCGGTTTTTCGTTGTAGATCTTGGGGTATTTCTGATATACATTTGCAATTAACCGGCCTTTTTAGATTGCTTGATCAGAGATCTTCCACTCTGTCGACTCGACACTCTTTATGGATATGTAGAGCCTCCTCTTCTTATTCTCGGGACCGCCATCTCTCTCGTTGCAGAACTCCTCCAATCGGTGGACGCAAACCCAGCAGCCAGGGACTGCAGGTTATTTTTCTGGGTTCGGCCACCGCAGCAGGGTCTGCGATGATGGCGCCCTCCAAGTTCGAAGTGCGCGGGTACACCGACCACAAAAGCCCCCAGCCCGCATCGCCCAGTGCCAGCGTGATCCTGATATCACCCACCAACGAGATCCTTCTGCTCCATCGTGTACAGACATCCTCGGCTTTCCCCTCGGCACACGTCTTTCCCGGCGGCAATCTCGAGGCATCGGATGGCGAAGTGCCCTCGAACCCGACGGATGTGAAGCGCCATCTTGACAGCATTGCGTACCGAACGGGCGCGATCCGCGAGCTGTTCGAAGAGACGGGCATCCTTCTGGCGCGGGAGTCGAGAGATGCAGCAGCTCTACTCTCTGTGTCGCACCAAGCGCGAAAGAGCGGGCGCGACGCTGTCCACAAGGGCAAAATCCCATTTGCGTCCTGGCTAAGGACGATATCCCCCCAGGCTGTTCTGGATACAGATCGCCTCATCCCTTTCACGCACTGGGTTACTCCGCCAAATGTGCCCAAGCGCTTCACTACGCAGATGTACGTCTATTTCATCGGCCTTGAGGAGGCGGGGAACCCGTCATGGCGCGCGACGGGCGACGAGGTCGAGACCATGGCTCCTGAGTGGCGGAGGGCGAGTGACTGGTTAGCGCGTGGACGGAGCGGAGAGATCATCTTGTTCCCCCCCCAGTTCCTTCTACTATATTTGATCTCGGAAGTGTTAGATCGTGGGGTTGTCGGCGGGCAGGCCGAGGGTGGTGAGGAACTGCTGCGGAAAAGAGAAGAGCTGCGGCGCAAGATTGGGGAGCAAGGGTCGCCGCCGTGGAAAGACAAGTTTATCAGCCCAATTGGGTTGCAGTTTGGTCGGAAAGATGGACGATCGGTGTTGGCTTTGGATAAGCCGGGGCCGGAGTTGAAGGAGAGTGGATTGAAAGGGGATTCCGAGTATGTGGTGCTGGTCAAGTTTAGTCAAGAGGGGCCTAGACAGGTGGAAGTTGGCTTGAGGAGGGATGTCTTGAAGGGGAAGGGAACGAAGTTATAGTGACGGTTGTGAATAGAGTAGACATAGAACCCTCCCCCTCTGGCGGTTGTGCAAGATAGATGGTCGACCTCATGAAGTGTGACGAATCAATGCGGTCCGAATTTTTCAGTGTTTGTAAAATCTCCATTCGTTCAACCTCCCACCCGGCGCCTCGCTCAGAGCAAAGATATTTCGTGACCGAGTTTAGAACCATGACAATGTCCATAAAGCCGGCAGGTTGGGCCATTTCTCCTGCCAGGCAGCCAGAATATCAGGAACTCTCTCGTCAAAACTCGTACGTGCTGTTCCAGTTCCATTCTCCCAACCCGATGTTCCGTTTAACTTTCTTTCCTCGACAGCAGCCTCGTTGAGAGAGTCGGCAAGTTCCAGAATGGCCCCGCCTCCGACGAGCGCTTCTTCGTGATTGTCTTTGATGTCGATATTGAAAACGTGGACAGGTCGATTGAGAGGAGCGCCTCTGTCTAATAAATTGTCGACAACAGCATCCCAGCATCGCTCTTCGCATGTAAAGATGACATCGACGACACCGCCTTCTGCACCGACGGCGCCTTTGTCTCCTCGGTTCAGAGCGTCCATCCTTGCAGCTCCGACCATCCAGTCGTGGAATCGCTCCGGCCCCCATTTTATATTTCGATTTCTGTCCAGCATATTTAGAATGCCATTGTTTCGGTATAATCTCGCGTCCTGGGCATTCAGTTCTTCGTACATCTTCGTGTAGGATGTCGTATTGAAATTGTAGACTTGCGGTTGAGATATTGAGGGGCCGGGCAATCGCACGTAGGAGCCTGTACCAAAGGAGATGACAGGGTAGGCATTCTCTGAAGTAGACAATCGTAAATGTGCCTCCATACTTCGGTTATTATTTGAGGCGCATACCGTGCAAAATCTTAACTTGAAGGGGATATCCGTCGTATCAGCCGAAGCACTTGAAGCCGGCGCTGGTTTTGGAGAATCGCCATTGCCATCAACGCTCGCCGGAGCGGTTGCCGGAACTGTCTGTGGCGGTATCGTGTCTGAGGGCGAGGGTGCGGGAGCTGGAGAAACCGGTGGTGGCTGAGACTGTGGTTGTTGCTGTGAAGGTTGAGGCGTGATTGTTCGGGCTTGTAGGCGGGCTAGTCGAGGGTCCGTCGACATGATGAAGAAGGGATGTGAGATCGTTGCCGTGCAGTGATCATAACGCGAGACTAAGTTTCGAATTAGTAGTGATGACGGATAACAGTTGTTCCTACGGGAAAACCAAGCAGGTTATGGTTCACTCAGGTAAGTGGTATGCGTATTTGGTGAGAGAGTTTGTCCTCAGCCAGAGGATAGGACAGCTCCAATATTGTGATCATCATGGACGGATGGCAGATAAAAAAGAGGCGAGTGAACGGCGACTTACCAAGAGGGTAGCTCTCGCTCGTCGCTCTATCGAGTGCGCATCTCACACGATGGACGTCGGTGAGGAATGTGTATCCGCAGAAAAGTAGGTGAGTTGGCGAGCCTGAGATGCGGCTAAAGCGCTAAGCAGGCTGGACCTCTGACCTGAAACACTGGTGGTGTCTTTTGTGGAGTTCGATTTGCTTTGGAAGCATCCGAATCAGCAGAAGGCCCGAGTTTGTTGCTCCATTCCATCAGGCGCATGCCAATCCGATCTCTTACCAACTGAGAAAGTTCATTGTTGCAGGTATATTTGACTGGTGCACTACAAAAAAAAAAAGTACCTACCGCTCACAACACAATACCCCCCCACCCATTCATTTAGCATGGCATTTGGTCCTGCGTCTGCGCCCACTGGCCCTAGATTCTTTTACTCGGTTTCTGCCCGGCGGTTGTATTTCTTCTCCCTCCATTTCATTTCCAACCCTTGCTCCAATCCAACCCTGCAAACAACCTGATTGATTCCCGACCTCGATCGACCTCAACCTGGCAAAGACCCTGGAACGACCTCACTTCTGGTAGCTCCACGACAACATTATCTTCTCGTCTGGTATTCTATCTCGTACATTCACTCTCTTCCGCTGACAAGTCTCATAGTCCACCATGCGCCGTCGCATGACGGTGCTCTTCTAATCATTCATTTCCTTCTCTCCAACCTGGTGTTTCGGGCGTACTATATTTAGATCTTCGCATTCAAAACCTCGACCCTCGACCAAGTCTCCCATCAATTATTCCGTCTCAGCAAAGACGCAGCCGCCAGGGAGTGTTGACATCTCTCAGGAACTCACCTTGTCGTCCTTCTTTCCATCTAATCCTCATAAGCGCGCGCTGCTCTTCACCTCTGTCCCTTAGCTTCGCTTCTTGCGACCGACCAGGAAATCTACCGCCGTCTTTGGGACCGTTTAGCCGCCCGACCGGGTCTCGTGCCTGCATACGCGCATCGACATTGAAAACAGTCAATATCGTCTTCTTCTCTCTCGAAAACCCTCTTTGTTGGTGGGAGACTTCGGGGCGACTGACGCCTTCCTCTCAGTTCGGTGACAATGGCAACCATCACCGCCTCACCACCGGCCATGTCACCGCCTCTGGCGGCATCAACCAGCTCTCCTCCTACTCTTCCTCCTTTAATTACGACGACACCGACTCCGCGGCAGACGAGTTCTCAAAGGCCAACCTCATATGTCGAAAGGCGCATGTCCTCCTTCTCGACAAATTCAAAGTCGTCCCACCAGCCGCATTCGCGCCCTACCTCTCATGTCTTTCCTCTTTTTCATTCCAGTCTACCATATACCCTGGTACGAGATTTTGCATATTTATCGACACATCCTTTGCATTATGGACCGCCGCCCAACCAGTCAGGACTGTCCACACCCGCCAGTGAATCGAGACGATTGTCGGATCCTGCGGTCTCATCTTGGGAGGATTCTAGAGGACAATGGTCTGCCACGCCTCCGTGGATGTCGGAAGCCAGTTCTGGTTCGTGGGGACGGGATCGACTGCCCGCCATGACGTTCAAAGATGATGGGCCTCCTTACAGCGAGGATGAAGATATCCAATCACCTATTGTGACCACGAGTAGACATAAAAAGCACAAATCAAATGAAAGAGGGAGATCGCCTGGTGCGGCCGGACCTAATCGCGGAAACTTGATTGGAGCCAGTGGCTATCCAGGCGATGATGATGGACCGGGTGAGGCCGTGGACACCTATGATAATAATGTACTCCGGTTTCCGCATCAGCCTCAACATCGAGATTCCAACTTCGCAAAACCACTGCAAAGAAACCAATCACCCATTCCTACCGAAGAGCCCATGTCCGAAGACGAATTTTCCGAGGCCGACGATGACACGCGTTTCTCAAAAGACTACTCTTTCACCATCGCAAGTCCAGATGAAGAGATGCACGGAAAAGCTGTCGCATTATTTGATTTCGAAAGTGAGCATCAAAATGAATTGCCTTTGAAAGAAGGGCAGATAATTCTAGTGTCGTATCGACATGGACAAGGCTGGCTCGTGGCGGAAGATCCCCGGACTGGAGAGAGTGGACTTGTTCCAGAGGAATTTGTCAGGTTGGTTAGAGATATCGAGGGTGGTCTCCATGGCTTGAATTCCGTGACTTTGGATGATGGGAATCCCGACGGTGTTATCAGTCCCGTCTCGACGGATCCGGGCTCAATGAATACACCCGTTCCGAACAACCACGACTTCCCTCCTCACAACACTCTGAAGCCAAATAGCAACTCTGGCAATTCTGGAGAGAAGCATCCACCTGTCCAATCGAGTTTCAGCACAAGCAGTCGCGATTTTGGCCCCTATCCCCTTCCCGGGAAGACCGATGACGCCGCAGCAACGACTCCTGTGGTGGGACCTCAGGGAGCAAAGGACCGGGAGAAAGAGAGGGAGAAGGATAGTATGAGCTGACACCCTTTGCCCGCCGGCTGGAAAAAAGAACAGATTAAAATGGAAAAACCAACGGTGCTAGAATATTCATATTTTATGCACTCGAAGTATTCTCTAATGTGTTGTATGATCAAAATGTGTCAATGAGCTGAAAGAACGCAAAGATATCCCCATTACGCGCCGAGCTTTTTGGAAGATAGGAGACGGACAGGATTTCGACGAGGTCCATGTCAAGACAACATGAATGAAATAAACATTTTACCCATGACTTCTGGTTATGGGACATTCAAACCGACTTGATCCTCCTATTCTAAGTGCCTGCACTTACGATGGCAGGTTTTGGGCTTTCTATCTGTTCCCATATACTAGTTGCATCAATCCTAGGGAGCCTTCGACAACCTTCATTCTCTTCTTCAGGTCTTCTATACTCTAGAAGCCACATGATTGACATCATGACACATTTCTCCTGACATGCGGTCCAGTGCGCCTCTGGTAGTTGGAAGGTACAATTTCTGGGGAAGACACGTACATTTATCAAGCACTTGGCTGAGCACCAACAGAATCCGTTGACTGAGCGCAGCACAGTATAACCTCCTCCATCAATGACTATTCGCATCAAAATTTTGTTCGACGGATTTCTCGCTTCTTGGTATGAAGCTAAGTCATATAGCCAGAGGTTAGACACATTTGGCTCTTCGACCAAAAAACTTCCAGCGCTGGACGGCTACAAAACAGGTTCAATAACCCCAATATTCATTGTAATATCTCTCCCTCCTCGACCTCCCCCTCTCCTTCTTGTATCAGTCTTACTCATCTGCGGGTTGGTAGCATACTCTTTGCACCACCAGGCCAGTCCCCGATTCGACTTCTACTGCTCGTGCTCGTCCCCGTCACTCGTCGGCCGATTCTCCTACTGAATTTTCCTTCTTCCTTCTCCCGCATTGACCGCTCGAATTCTCTCCTATTCGCTCCGCCGTTGTTGACCTTTTCACCCCAGATCAGATGTCTCAGATGGCCGGGTAGATTCTGTTGAGGTCCTCGCGCTTGCGGTTGAAAGCCGTGAGTGTGTGAAGGGATCACGGCTAGGAGAAAGATGATGCAGTTGAAGAGGAGGTTTTCATTCGGTCCCCATACGAGCAGGACGCCCATGGAAGGAAAGAAAATGTTGAGGAAAGGAGTGTTATGACGATGCGTTTGAAGAGTGGGACGTGTATTTCGACCGGGGTTTCTTTCCGGCTGTGATTGTCCAAGCCCAAGTCTTCTGCCAATTGGTGACAATTGGATTGCTGAGCCCTTGCCGAAAGGGACAGCATAGAGAAGGGGAGCAAAGCTACAAAATAAGTGTGTCTCAGCTTGAAGCGAGGTGGAATTTTCAGGCTAGTGGCAGAGGCATGCCACGAGAAGGGTTGACGACAGAGAGAATCACCCCTCTTCGAGAGCAGCCTCAGCACCATTGTGTACTGTATACCTCCGTTGCTGCTTGTGGCGGTGCTCTTCCATCTTTCTCAAGCAAGGGCTTTTACAATTTTCCAGGCTTGGAATAATCCCGTGAGCTATATGCACATTCTGCAAGGAAAACATGGAAACTATGGGCTTGTCGAAGCTTGAAATTCAAACCTGAGACGTCACGGCGGAAAGCTCTCATGTGCCATAGATAGGACAACCGGGAATGCTTCATGGAGTCAAAAATTCTTGATTGGTGGATTGTTAAAGCCTAGTCACGTGACAAACCCACTTCCCTGTGGCTGTGCATATCACTTCATTTCATCAATTTTCTCGCCTTGTCGATCAGCCGACATTCGATATCCTGGTGAGGCTTGTAGCAGACATTATATCTCAGGCACAACAACGCAAAGGAGGCGTTATGTGATCGCTCCAGTTCTGGAGCTGTACAAGTGGACTCTGAAACAATCCAGCAAATGCCCGGAGCCGAGCCGCCACAAATTCTCCCCCCTAATTCTCAGCCTTGGCTCGGACAGTACCGCACCAGTTGTTCTCCTTTCCCGAGACTGCTGCGTTCACAGCTTAGCAATTCCCGACATAACTTCAGCAAACATTTCTCCCTCCAGTCCCAACTAACATTCATCACAAAAAGAGGAGGTGCAACTGCAAGTGGTCGTCGGGTGATGTTCAGGCTACTCGTGGTGCCGATAATGTCGTCTGACACGGCCTCAAGCGGTAATAAATGAACATTTCACAACACGTTCTATACGTTCAAGCAGAGATCAGAAGAGTGGGCTGAAAACCTTTTGGGTTTCTCGGAACTTTTTCGAGGTGTTTTCTCTCCAATTTCTGTTGTAATTGAGTCCAGGATGGATTGATGATGGGTTAGCGCTCCTTCTCGTCACCGCAACACTCGCAGCGCCATCTTCTCTCCGAAGCACAACCGCCGCATATACCGCGGACGCTTTGTCGAGTGACCCTCGGCTTACGAACACACCTTCAGCAGTGTCCACGGTATACCCAATCGAATGCAATGTGTCCGCAACGATGGTAGGTGGTTATCACTCGGGCTGATGCTGGCCTCGATGTGAAAGATGTTTGTCTTCGTTCCGGTTCTGGTGCTCCGTGGCCGTCGAATATTTGAATGGATTCTGGATCGCAGCAGTCGTTGTCGTTGTTATTCCTGTTCATTTGACATTTGCAAGATCCAGCAAACAAGAAGATGAGATGATGGGCATTTCATACCTTCTCGTCTCTCATCACCCTATGTTGTCATAGCATCTCCTCGTTATCACGGAGGTAGAGTAAGTGAGAGAGTATGTTGCCTCTCGAATTTCCTCCCGACAAGGCTGGAAGCAGGATTTCAGTCTCAACACAGGATCTGCGCTCAAACTGGGGGAAGAATCATTTCTTCTGTTCCCCCTTGTCTTCATGTCCCTCGTCATTCTTCTTGACAACATTGTCAGTGCAACCACATCCAGCACGAGTGTACTCAACATGAAGACACGGCTTGATCAGTCTCGTGTGTCCAGGTTCCCGGTACCATGTACAATCCACCTTGTAGCCTCTCTTGTGGCAGTCTTGCGAGGTATAGAAGTATTGTCGCGTATGTCTGTGTTGTTTGACCAGGAGATGACTGAGGCTGAAATTGAAAGATCGGGGCTTGGTGGATCAGGTGCATCGAATTAAGAGCTCCTTATGCTTCCGGATATCGACATAGTGGTCTTGAAACCAGAAAACAAATGACAACGGCTTTACACTTCTCGTCACCCAAGTCATCACAGATCTACTCACCATGACAAAGATATGACGAGGAGCTGTTTCTTTGCGGACTTCGGTTCGATAAGGTTGAAGGATAAACTTCCCAGTTACCGCTACTACCGGTATCGCAACAACCAAAATAAGGACGTGATGCGATCTCATTGAATTTGTTTGCTTGCTCCTCTGCTTTTCCTCTTCCGGCCCCCTCCCGCCTTTGTCTCTATCTCTCACCCCGGACACGACATCATTTTTGAAGTCTTTGGTGTGGATGTGTTTATGGCGCATCTCTGCGCTAGTTGGAAAGGATGACCGAGGAGAATAGAGTTGAGGGTTCGGAAATGGCGCTTCAGATGTATTGCCGTAAGGATTAATTGTGGCTGGCTTTGAACTGTTATACATTCTCGACCCGGCTGCTGTCGAGCGTTGTGCGAAATGTTGAGTGCTCTATTCTGTATGTCAATTTAATCCCCCTAAATCAAAAGAGAAGACGGGAGGTTATACTTTGCCGCCTCTCGACATCTGTCGTCATGCATCTCTTCGTGTCTGTCGTGGTGCCGGATATGGAAAGGTAGTCATAGCCAAACCGGCTTGGACAACAACCTGACTCTGCTTGAATGTGGAAACAGAAAGCAGTCGAGCGACGAGTTCAATCGGCCATTAGAAACACTGGCATCGGATATCTGAGAAGTAGGCTCGAAGCTTTCACGTTGGTCTCGTCTTCGCAACTTTCGGTATATACAACATGCATGATGCAGACAATGATTCCCAATGTGGACATGAATTTATACCCGCCCGCTAAGAAAGCTCATCGATTGCCGCTAACGAGCAGAATTGCGCTTCCCAGCTGTCGTCTAATATCCTCATTATCCACGTCGTGGGTGTCTTCAACTTCTCCCCACATTCCAGTTTGCCATCGGACTTCCAGACTAGAAGCTTCAGCTGCTTCCTCAATGCCAAATCGCTTCTCGCCACTTCGTTGCAGATCCCGAAACTCTTCACTCCACTCAATCAAAAGTCTCGTACCGACCAGAAGGCTCTTTCCAGCCAGTACTGCCCGTTCAAGGCCTGCTAACTCGTAGGCCGGGAGTCCCGAAATCCATCCCCTGATTACGCTTCTGGTGACTTTCGATTGCTGAGCGGGCATGATACTACCTTCATCGAGGACGGGCCTGATCTCAACACCAGGCCAAACGGACGTATTAAGGAAGCTGATGATTGGCTTGGCAGTCTTGATCTGAATGTCTCGTAATGATTCTGCACGGTCTGATTGCATTTCTAACTGCGCCGCATCGTGTGCCGTCTGTTCCGGGGCCCAGCACAATAACGTGTCCGTATCCAGATATCGCATCATGACAGCGGTGATCTCTTCTCGAATTTTCATTTCCCCCCTTGCTTCCGACTCCAATATGTCCTGTGCTCGTGCCACTATTGAGGTTATAGGGATATTGTGATTCTTCAATGCTTGCTGGGCTGATTCTAACATATCCCACTCAATCGCTATCGCATGTGCAAGATGAGGTTTGGATCGGGGGACCGTGAGGATAGATTTTGCCGGCGTCCGTACAGGCCTCGAGTCCAGGTGAACCTGATATCCTTCGGGGACTTCCTTGACATATACTTCCTTCCAGAATCTTTTCTTCAACGGGTTTGTTTGCGCCGACGGACTGACTCGAAGTTCTTTCCCGCGCTTGAGCATTTCAGCTTTCCTCCGCCGCTCCTCAACTCGATCGCCATATTGGGGTGAAGTCGGGACAGGGGCACTGGGAGGAGGTCCAGTGGCTGTGATGGGGAGAGGTGTTGCGGCGCGGACTGTTGTTGAGGATATGTGACGAAGAAGTGGCTCGGCCAGCCGTCCGACGGAAGAGTGACGCTGCCAGGCGCGAATTCCAGAAGTCGACGCATGTAGAACAGTGGTCCGCATGTTGGAATCGAAATGAATGTAAAGGAAAAGCTGGGGGACTGAATGGAACAACTGAAATCACCGATGTTTTCCACAGCCGGGATTTAATTTGCCAAGCGTGATTATCGCCGGGACATCGACCAAAAAAAAGTTCGGTCGCGGTTCGCAGAGAGAAACAGAACCACAGTTTTCAGACTCACAGAGACCGGGGACCATGGTGAAAGTACCTCGTGAGGTAGGCGGGTATGTGGTCCTTCCTTTGAAACTTCCAGCGACGGAAGCATTCCCCAAAGAAATCAACCATTATCTGTACCTGAGGCCTCACGAACCTATGTTGCCCGACGAAGATGCACCGAGATCACTCTTTCTCGTGAACATACCGATCTCTGCGACTACCCAGTCCTTGAAATACTTATTGACAACCCGTCTCGAAGGAGGACGTGTTGACAAGGTCCATTTTGCCGATCATGCGCCAGGAAAACCCGGGGCCGCGCCGAAAGCCAGTCGTAAGCGGAAGAGAATGACAGCGGAAGAACTTGAAGCTGGATTGGACAAATACTCTTTACCCGAAGTTTTCGATAGTCAGATACACCCAAGTGGGTCTACTGCAATCATTGTCTTTGTCGACAGGTCAAGTATGGAACTTACATTGAAAGCCGCGCGGCGAGCTGCAAAGTCGGCCACACCGATTACATGGAATGATGGAGCAGAGAGCCTTGTCCCTCGCCTTGGTCTGACGAGATATGAACATCACAAAGAGTTGCAATTTCCATCAAGGAAAGAATTACTTCGATCCGTCAACGGGTTCATGACCGCATATGCACAAATGGAAGAGTCACGGAGTCGAGAAAATGCCCGGAAACGACAAGAGCCTGACGAAGATGGCTTTATTACCGTGACAAGAGGTTCCAAGGGCGGTGCTCGAATGGACGAAGCAAAAGAACTTGCTGAAAAGCAAAAGGGGAAGAACAAGGGCGTGGAGGATTTCTACCGCTTCCAAATGCGTGAGAAGAGGAAGGAGCAACAGACTGAGATGCTCAAGAAATTCGAAGAGGACAAGCGAAAGGTCGAGGAGATGAGACAACGACGGGGAAAATTGACGGTCGGTGCGAAATTCTCCCACTGGTATCCGTCACTGCTAACGATGAAGAAGCCGGACTAATGTCTTGATGCGAACACGAGCGGGTGAAAGGTTGGTGGTCCACCATTACATTGTCCTTGATATGATGAGGCAGCTGGGGCCATAGAAGCATTCGTCGCTGGTGGTTGAAAGTTCATTTTCAACCCCGGACTCTCTTTGCAATGCCTACAAGAAACCAGCCGGAAATCTTCTCCACCGTCTGAATCGCGCCATCGAAATACAATGTGTACATGTCACCATTTGAGCACGTGCTGACATCAGTCAATAGGGCATATGAACAACTCCAAACACGTTTGTTTTCATTTCCAAACGCATGATAATATGCAACTATACCCGTCCTTCGCTGCTTCGGAAGCATAAGCCAGAAAAAGTCTCCTGCTAGAAAACAACCCCTCTTCCTCCCTTTTTTTTTCTCCTCCCACCAAGCAATACTTGGTCGCCACTTGTTATTCATTCCAAGACTGTTGACACGAGTTCACGATTCAATCTGTATGGATTGCCATGTATAATATCATGGACGTACGCTTCACCAACAAGACGATGTCGATTTCCCTTCCCGCTGCCCGTCGGTGGACGGCCGGCTGGGTGGAAAATATAGGGTACACGACCGCCAGCTAGAATCCAGACATCATCACCCACTCGAAGAGATCTCGCACCTGCCCCAAAAGCATCATATCTCCTGTCCGGAACAAACGCCGGACGCGGCCACTGCCATTTTCGATATCGTGGTGCATTTGAGCGAGGTCGAGTGGTGAGTCAGAGTCTTTGGACAACATGGTCTCAACCAACGCCCTCAGCCGATCTCGATATGTGGACAAATTATACGTCGAGACCACGAGTTCCGATGCTAGAAGGCTGCGCCAGTCAGGATTGGTCAAGGTAGAGGTGGGCGTTTGATGCGGTTGAAATTCCGTGTCGTGAGATGACCAGGGCGCAAGGCGGTGCCGGATTTGCAAGAGGCTCTGCGGCGGTACCTAGATTCTTCTACATGATCAAGCCACGGCTTCCGATCGTAAGACGCAAGCACACTGAACGTGGGATAGGCCATAAGCGCCAAACGAGTGTTGGGAGATGTCATACTATCGACTGCGATAGACGATAGGCGAATTCTCGAAGCTTCTACGCAGAATGAAGCGACGACGAGGTCTCTACACAGTAACAAGAGGAGGCTTCCTACCATACAAAATACCTACAAATCCAGCTCACCATCGGGACTAGCAGTGTGCAAACGGGGAGACTAAACGTCTATAGGGCACCTTCGGCGGTAGGTAGTAAGTCCAACAATGCAATTGCCACTCCGGCGGAGCGACGAAAGCGACGACGACATCGAAAACAACAACACCACCATACGAAGAAGAATTGGCGCTGGAATGAAATCCATTCACGGGATGCGTATGCCAACCTATTTCATTGCCGCTCTTACAAAATAGTATTGGTTTTCACTGCTTTGTACTGTATTACTGCAAAATCTCATCTTTGGGGTTTCCTGCTCTCTACAAGAAGATATCCTATTGGAGGATATTTTAGTGTACGCTATTGCATATCAGACTTAGCGTTGCCCACTCATTCGTTAGCTTTTTGCGGGAGAAGGTTTCAATGCCCATATTCGAATAGAAAGCTCCTGGTCCAAGGCCGAAAATTTGCGCTCTTTGGGGAACAGCTGACTATTTGGTGGAGAGGCGGGCAGGTGAATTGTGCGCGCCCAAGTTGTAGTGGAGCCTAGCATCCCCAAACATGTTAGGGATTTCAATGTGCATATGCCCAATCGGAGTCGGTCGGTGTTAATATTGCATTTGAGACATCTCGTTGTTTCTCAAGATAGAGTACTCCAAAGGGGAATGTCTCGAGAGAACGACCGCCCACTGCGATTCGCGTACCATAGCGACCTAACCAGACACCAATCGAGCCTAGTGGTGCGGGCGTTGTCCGCATGAAAGAAAGGTACCCAACCCTCCCTCAAAATCCCTTTGGCATTTGTGACTCTTTACCTCATTGTTGCTCAATTGTATAGACTTTCCTGGTGTTGTAGAGTCCTGTTTGACCCTTTTGAACCCCGTCTTGCTGCTGCAGCCTTAATGGCCACTTTCTTTGTCGGCGATCTCTGGCGAGCGCCCTCAAGGTTCGTTCCACACCTCCGTCGTATCTTGAGAGTCTTGTCAACGCTTTTCCTGTCTCCTAGCGTCAGATTCCTGTTGCTGGTGGAGTCCACTCATACGGACGACGTTCGCACCACTAGGCTCAATTGATGTCCGGTTAGGTCACTGTGGTACGCGAGTCACTGTGGATGGTTGCTCTCCCGAGACATTCTCCTCCAAAGACACAAAGATTTCTCAAGAGACGTTTTGGCGCGTGATAGAGGTGGCGTTGTCGATGGCTGCGTTTCGGGTTTTCGGGCCCTCGGAGATGGGAGACCAACAAGACGAGGGTTGATGAGGCCAGAAGACCTTTTAGAGTCTGAGCAAAAGGCCCAAGTGAGTAGTAATTGGCGAGGTGATGGCATCGGCGGGTTGTGTGGCTCCCACGACCCGGTGACGTGACGCCACAACTTGCCAAAAATATATATTGAACTAGTGGCCTTAGCTGAAACGCACGTGATTGATGACCAATAGATGCCTGTATATGACAACTAAACGCATCCTGCCGCTTTTGCCGCTTTCTAGATTTGGTGTGGAAGGGTCCGAGTGGATTGGTGGGCTCTCTCAAAGCAGCAGCAGTTGAGCGAGCCGTTCGGGACTAAACCCATTGCCTGCGCTCTTTTTCCTCCCTTCATCGCAACCTCGTAACTCACTGCAAGGCACAGCCTTCTCGAGCCTCTCCCTAGCCTTCTTCCACCTTTGCCATGCATCTGACCACTGAAAACGACATGGCCACTTGTCACCTTCCTCAAAGTTACCATTGAAGCTTGATCCTCGTGTCTGGTCAGCAATGTCTCGTCCTCAATGACAACGCCACTGCCAGGTATAAGTAAATCCTATCCGCTGTCACCATGGCATGTTCTCGCCTTTTCATCATCAAATATACCAAACGGAAACCCCCAACACTCGCTCATCATTCCCCAAGGACATTCGTTATTCCTTGATACACTCGCTTGACTCTACCTCGCTCTCTCGAGTTCTACACAGTCTTGTTTGATCTCTTGAGTAGCATATCCTTTTCTTTGTCTATCCAACATGCGTATTTCCATTTCTTTGATCCTCGCTGTCCTTGCTGGCTCCTCTCTGGCCTTCCCTTACGCTGAGGGATACCCGAGCAACAGCAGCAGCAGCAGCACCTCCACCACCTCCTGCTCCTCTGCCTCCACTACTTCTGTCTCGACCACCTCGACCTGGCCAACCTCTTCTTCCTCTACTACTTCTTCTGAGTGGACCTCTAGCTCCTGTTCAAGCTCGTCAACTAAGCATCCGACAACCACCAGCTCTTCGTCGAGTTCTACGAAGACCTCTACTTCGACGACTTCCCCATGGACTCACTCCACGAGCCCTGGCACGGATACCACCACTACTACCACCACGACGAAGAAGCCACATACCACGAGCTCCAGTACTTCTGCGCCCACGACCTCCACCACGTCTACCACGGAGATCTGGACCACATACACCACCACTGAATGGATTACCAAGACTAAATTCATTCCTTGCTCAACTCCTATTGCAACTCAAGGGGCCACAACGTACTACTCGACTTGGTTGACTTCTAAGATCTGGACCACCACATCTTGCTACCCTGTCAGCACTCACTGGCATCCGGCTCCCCCTCCGGCCAAACCAACAGTCACTCCCGCTCCCGTTCCCCCCGTCCCAAGCTGCCCTGCTGTGGTCACCAAGACTGTGACTGTTACCGTCACTGAACCGGCTTGGGGCTCCTACTACCCACCGGGTAAATGCCATAAATGCCAGACCATCACTTACACTGATGTTTGGGGCTACATTGTCACGATTGCCATCCCTAACCAACCCACTCCTCCTGCCCAGCCTTCCACTACCTCGTCTTCCACCACCCGGAAGCCTCATTCCACCACCACCTCTACATGGACATCGATGACCACATCTACTACCAAGCCCCATGACAACACTTCCACTTCCACCTCCTCCTCTACCAGCACTACATCCAAGAGCTCCAGTACCACGAGCGCTTCCACCTCCACTAGTACCACCAGCACTTCCACCTCCACCTCGGCCACAGAAACTAGTAGCTACACTCCTACCTCGTGGGCCAAGGCTAAAATGTTTTAAACGCTCATCTCCATCACAATGTTGGAAGCAACCAACCTAGCCTCTATTTCTTTACACTCCTTACGAGATCTGAAGTTACGACAAGGACTATTTACTGGACCCTATAGGACTGAATGGATACGATCCTTACCATCCCAATTTGGTATCAAAATGTATAGCATGCATGGGGTGGGGATTTTGAACTGCATAACGCCGCTTGATACGGGAATTTGCATAGCGTGGAATGGGAAGCCAGTTGCAGCATAGCATATAGTAATACCCACTTAATCAGAACAAACAGTGAATCCTGTGCGCGCAATTTAGTTCGAAAACATCCCCAGATAACAATAGCGCTTGTTAACGTTCCACTGTGCTCGCGTGACCGCCGAGTCTGAGACATGGACTCTAACCCAGGATAAAACAGCAAAGCTCAAGTCGTAAGGTGACATTTTGTATGCCACTTGCCACAATGATTATTTTTGGATTCTCGTCCCATGACTCTCTAATGGCGTCATGGAGAACATACCGCCAGTATACAGGCAAGATTCCCAGAAAGTAGATCACTATTTTCTAGGCTCAAACAGGAAAATGTCTCAAGATGTCATAAATAACAAGAGAATGGGGGTTGATTGTGGCGCAATGTTTGTATTGTAGTCATAAAAAATTGATCACATATTTTGCATCCTTCCCTAACAGATAGAGAGCTCGATCTATCACTGACACGTCAATGTTGCAAAACTTCATTTGCACGTACAAGGGACAGGGGAATCCTTCCGCATTCATCCTTGTCGTCCCACGCACCACTTTTCTTCACCCCTTCCCTTGTCCCTTCATCGATGGAAATACCGGTACTCGAAATACCTAAAAACAACATACGTGACGGCGGTGAAGCTGAAAGCCAGCTCGAAGCCAATATCACCACCGTACCCAATACCGATTAATTTGCCGATGGGACCAATGAACCAGACTTGCGCCATGCCCATGACGGCACCCAGGATACCGAAGCAGAACGCGCCGAGTGCCGCGATCGAGGGAGGCAGGTATTTAGGCTGATCGTAGTGTTCGGGCGAGTAGCCGGAGAAACCGCGCTTGAAGAGGAAATGCTCGGGTAGCGAGATACCCTCATAGATGGCGAGCCAGTAGCCGATGACTAACATGAAGTTCTCGAGCACGGATTCAAAGTGCGAGTAACCGGGGATGGCGATGGCGCAGTAGATGACGGTGCCGACGAGAGTCCAGAGAAATCGAGGGATCATCTGCGCGTAGTGCGTGAGAATTTGTAACGAGAATGTCAGCGAGTAGATATTGGGACAATTGTTGCCGACGATGGAGAGGGCGAGGATCACGAGGCAGAATTTGCCGAAGCCGCCTAGGGGGGGGACGAGGACTTGGTGCAAGAGGCCGCCAACCGCGTCTCTGGCGTAGGCGTCGGCGTAGGCGGGGGAGTTGACGGTCGCGGTGGCGATGGCCAGGCCGAGCATTTCAGTGAAGCACAGAGGGAAAAAAAGTCCTGCGAACACGTAGAAGAAGACCTTGGTGCGCGGGGTGTTGACGGGTTGGTAACAGGTGTAGTCGCTTGCATAGGAGGCCCAGCCAGTTGCGAAACCGAAGACAGAGGCGGCAAACGACAAGATCGAGCCGGCTTCTCCCTCACCGCTACCCATGGGCAGGTTTTCGAAGGAGCCGTGAGCAGCAAATTCGCCGAGCACGATCAGGAAGATGACAAAGCAGGGGACCCAGCTGATCATCTCGTACATGTGCACGACCTTGTAGCCGAAGAGCGTGATGAGGAAAGTGCCGGCTGCAATGATGATAATGCCTGCATAGCCTGGGACGTGAGGGTTGACAGCGTGTAGAAGTTGAGCGCCGACGATCACGTTCACGGAGGACCAGCCCAAGCAGGCGAGGCAGTTGAAGATGGCAACTGAGATATTAGTTAGGAGAACGCGTAAGAGAGGAGAAGAGAGGAGAGAAAACATACTGAGCTTGACACCGTAATATCCAAACCAGAAGCGGGACAAGATCATCTGTCGCATGCCAAATCGAGGCCCAAAGGTGGAGAAGAAGGCGACTGGAATGATACCAAGGATGTTGATGAACAAGATCGTGAGCAGAGAGTCGACAAAACCCAGCGCGAAGACGGGAACCGCAAGGACGCCGATGGCAAAGGAAGAGACAACCATGTTGGCCGCCAGCCACTGTTTTGACACATTAGTCTATGATTCGCATTTACTCGGTGGATGTCCTTTTTCTCATACCATCGTGCCGACTTTGAAAGTACTCTTATCTGTCCTTTCATCATCAGGAACTCGTTCGATGCCTCTCTGCTCTATTCTAAAACGTCCTGCCAAACGCTGGAGTTTAGCGTAGAGAGTATCGCCAGTCACGAACAACTCGCCGTGGACGGCGCCCGATTGATCAGGGACGATGCTGGAGCGGTGCTGGTCGTCCGCCCCATACTGATACTCAACATCGTAACCTTTCTTCTCGTAGGAAGCCATTTCTGCAGGCCTTCTGCCGTCGAGAATACCTAGAAGAACGAGGTAGCACGATGCTATAGCAAGCCAAGAATAGAAGGGCGCCAGCAAGACGAAGAAGAGTTCCAAGCAAACCTAGAGATGGACGTGAGAGGATTCCTCAGGTAAATATACCTTTTTTTTTTTTTTTTAAACGTATCGGCGGCCACCATCATAGAGTGCACCGTGTCTGGACACAATGGGGCCTCGATTTGCTGTTCGAACATCACAAATGCAAATCGAGGAGAGCGGTCGCGGCGTGGCGCGAGATAAGGAACCAACGATCGACAGGTATTGGAAGTCCGCCGCGACCCTCATGATTTGACCGACTCGGTTGGATGCGAATGTCCAAAGCCACTTCGAAAGCTTGAATTGATTCTTTCGATTCGAACAGCTCGAGGTGATTATTTTTTTTGGCGGGGCTCACTGATTCAGGGGCTTGCCGAATGGTCGGAGCTCGCCTCGGTGAAAGCGGTTTCCACAATTCCAGTGCGACCATCGGGCTCAACTGGGCATGGTGGAGATACCGGTGGTCATCACGGCCCACCATCTCCAGCCAGTTGGCCGGGGAAGAGCGAAAGAAGCCAGGGCTGAGCGAGCTTGGAGAAAGCTTGAAGCGAGGGCTGCAGGCGAAGACTGAGGTTCGGATCGTTTTTCTCGAACACAGGATGCTTCGAGACCTCCACTCCGATGCAAGTTCAAGATAAGCTGTTCAGGTGTGTCGAGTTCTATCCAGTCATTCGTGTTGGTCACAGTTGATTGGTTTCGCGGATGGCCGACATTATCAATCCCATGTCTAGCTCAATCCTACGTCTCGCTTTAGAACAGACGATTTATTATACTTCAAATTTGTGTAGAACCGCCGAGTGGCCTCGGATAGGATGTACTTGATGTAGTTCGGATCGTCTCGATTCAGAGCCAGCACATCGAGATCCGATCTGAGAAAGACCCTGTGTGAAAGATTGTAATGCGCAGGGTGTGTTGCAAGAGGCTGGAAACGCCATGTGGCAGCCGGAGATGGCCTCGGCGCAGTTCGCACAAAACCCCCCCTGTTGATAGGTCGTACACAGCCTAGTGCCCGCGTACAATGCTGGTCTCGACCTGAATAGTGGTCTTCATTAAGCTGAGTGCCAGAGCCACGCAACGTAACGGCTGGTGGAGAATTCCTCCTAACCCCAATATCTGTGCACCAGATGCAGTGTATCTAAAGATAAAGCTGTTGCAATTTCCACCCCTGACAGTATTACCGGTCGCCGATATGGAGAGAGAAATCACCACAGTGGAGATTGGGTAGCTTTTCAAGGAGCTTCACAGTCCTCCTCCAAGTGACTCCATGCCCGGCATGTCATTTGTTTGCACGTTGTTGAAGTTGTAGGGAAAGTCCACAATTCCGTCCAGCATCCAGTTCAAAGGATCGAACACATCATAACTCGCTTGGCCATGATCCATGCCAAATTCATCGGTCATCCCCGTCGCCATTCCAGCCACGCCCGGTACAATGGCAGAAGTGGACAGCATGGGATCATTCATGGCTGAGTTGGAGTCCATATTTGAACCCGGCAAGGCGACCTGGCTGTCTAGTTGTTGTAGTTTGGCATTGCGTTGCCGTACTATATTACCACGTCAGTAAATCGGTCCGCAATGACTCGAATACGTCTTCCTCACCATCAGATGGCTTTCCACCCCTGAAATGGAAATTCCGACGCCATCGCCATACCGAGTCAAATACCAGCGACATGGACATCCGGCATTTGACTTTCAACTGCAGACTGTCGTCGACGTCGCCTTCTCCAATACTATTGTTGTCGGGTTCGGCTCGCACTCTTCCACTCTTCCAAACTTGGGCCAACACTTCGGAGAGTCGCTCCGCAAGGTCATTCTCTACCACGCTCATACTTCGCAATGCCCACACTGTTCTGGAAAGGAGGTCAGATGCTCCTTTGAGGTCCAATTCATGCTCGCCCAGGAAATTGTGCATCAATTTGAGGAGCGAGAAGCCAGCTGCCAACATCATGTGGAAAATGTAGTTAGTCGCATGCGAGAGAGACAACCCATGAGAGTAATTGGATGGCAAATTGACGCCCATGGTGGATTCTAAGCTGAGACATATCTCGAGATAATCGGTGGTGGCCTGATAAAGCTTCAGCATATCCGCCCTATATGAGGGCAGTGACGGAGGAGAGAAGAATGCGCTCAGCATCATGTGGAGCCGTGCCGCCCTCAGATAGATTTTAGTGATTGGGGAGGTATCTTTTCGTAACTTATCTTCAAGCTCGTCTAGATCGTGCGCGAGAAGTGATACGTAGGTAGGCCTTTCTGCGTCCGTTGCTAGGCCCACGGGATCATGTGTATTCATGTACAAGGTCCGGGAAACTCGGTCGACGAACTTTTCCACGAGCAACCGATTGAAGATGGGCGCCGGTAACTGATAATTCGGATTCGTTTCAATTGGTTTGGGCCCGAGAGTCCAATCATAGATCGTGAGAGGAGGCTGCCCGTAGGCGGTGCATATTCTCTGAGCCACGATATTGCACACACTCCAGACCACGACCCTGTCTTGGAGTTCGACCTCTCGAAGCTCAACTCGGAACCGGGTGAAATCTTGCGCGTGGGTAGGACGATGTAAGCCAATTTGTAGAGCAATCTGCATCATCATGCCACAGAGCATGAACGTCGGGTCTGTGGAGGTGCTGCTAGTGGGCAGAGGCCAAGCACACAACAAAATGAGGGCCTTGACAACGTGATAGTTTTGCGGGACCTCGGAAATGGTCGACCAGACGAGTCTGGTCATGGGACCGGTAAGAGCATTTAAAAGATTAGGCTCAACTGGATAGTGGCGAGAGCCCACCATGATGATGGTCCAGAACAGTAGAGGCGACCGGGTAAAGTATTCTTCCGGTGTTCTCTCAGGATTGAGAAAGGGTAGGAAAGGGTGGTGATATGTGAAGAACCGTTGAAACAGCTCCTGAACCCGGTCGAGGGTCAAAGTGACATCTTCCAAGCGCTTGAATATGGGTCTTCCTGGACTCTTCTCAAACCCACCCCCTCTCAGGTCAAGAAGCCCTGCCGCAGCCGCATCTTGACTGAAGGTGCCGATCCCCGACTGCGATGATTGCGAGTTTATGTTGCCATTGGATATGCTGCCGGCCTGCTGCTGTGCCACCTGTTTCCGCAGCTCAATGATCTCGCGCTCCATTTCTGCATTTCGCGACCTCTTGCCAATGCGCTTGAAATTGTCCTCGATCTTGCATTCGAGTGAAAGGCGTTTGCAGCGGCTGCAAGTCTGGAAAGGTTCTTGTACGACATCGCAACGCAACTACACGGCTTTGTCAGCATGAACATGGTTGAGGATCAACACTGAGGATATCCTCCGATGACAGACGCGCGACAGCAACCTGACACAGTGTTGAGTGAGGGGTAGACCGTTCTCTGCGAAGATGGGAAAGGTTTTTCTCTTATGAGACTAAGAATTTTTCTTCATGGCTGCAATATCGCTGGTGAAGTGCCTCGCTCACCTTCTGCTGCCGGCATTCATTACAAGCTCTTTTTACCGGGCGCCGTCTGCCATCACGGGCGTGCCCGTCTCCATTCTGGTCTGGTGACTCGACGCTCGCTGGTGAGCTATCAAAACCTGCAACGGAGGCATTCCTTTTGTAGCCCTGGAGTGGACTGGTGAGTCCGGCACCAGGACCATCACCTTCACTTGTAGTTGATATGGAAGCCAGCTTGAATTCGTCACCAATGTCGAGGCCTTGGTCTGACCGTTTCCAGCATGCGCCGATATCGCAAGTCCGGGAGTCGAGGTTGTCAAGCATCAGAGAGTGCCAAGTCATCTGATAAGATAAATTTCCACGCGGAGAGCACTGCGATTGCGGGTGAGGAGGGGAACGTGCCGACAAATCCACATTTGCTCGACAGCACACAAGCCTGTACCAAACAGTGGAATCAAGCGAGGGATTCCAATGGCGAACCTTGTGCCACGGGAGAAGTTGAAAGGTCCATTGAAAAAGTCAACAGAGTCTTCTACTACCCTAGCACCGAGTCACGCTGCGAGCACCATACACTTCGCCCAGCAATCAAGTCAAGACCAGCGAGGTGAGCGTTATGACTCATGATTTCTCCCCAAAGACGTGCAAGACGCTAAACAGAAAGAGTGCAGTAACCGTTTTCGACTCAAGTATCGCTCCGGAACCCTTTCTCGACTCGGTTGGGCTCGAGAAGCTGAGAAAGAGACAGCAAACGGAAGCACAGGCACAAGCATCAGACTCAAAACCAAATCTGGATTGAAAATTCAACCTGGTGTCGGAAAACAACCGCTATTTCGGTCATCATTCCCTGGACGTGCTTCTATTTTGTACATATCGTCAATTCGTCCATATCATTAATCATCAAGACGTCAGGTCGTGCATAATCTTCACGCTCACATCCTCAAATGTTTGAACAAGTTCCCCAAAACACCAACACCAAAGGACATTTCTCAGCCGCCAGGGCATTGTCAAAAAGAAAATCATATCGTTACCTCCTTGGAGCGTCTCAGGCTCAAATATCCCTGAAAAGACTGGTATTGCTTGCTGGAAATCTGGAATCACCTTGTGAAATGACATTGGCACCAATACTCCGCCTGAGATCAGCCCTCCTCTTTTCTCGTTTCTCATCTTCCTTTCGTTGTTTGGCATGAACGAGTCGTTCCTGGATATTTCTGATTCCAATCAAATGAAATTGTAATCCCAAACCAGGTGACTTGTGCAATCGGCGAGACGCTCGAAGTTTCGCCAGACTCCCATGGCTCGATTGCTTGACTATTCCCCTCTTCTGCCGGCGTCGTTCAGATATACGCCTGACCAGTGATACCGGGCCCGTAACCACTGTTCGTTCTTGCGGGAGGCCCAGAGAATTGTTGACCATGCCTCGATCGAGAGAGCGCTCTGGTTCCATGTCAGGGCGAGAATTGTCGATATCGTCCCAAAATGCACGAGGGCGCCAGAACGGATGGAGCTTGCCATCAAGATCCTGATCGGCCTTGAGATTGCGAGCGTTTTTGAGGCTCAGATTCCGAGAGATGGAGCTAATGAAGGATTCTGATCGACGGCGATTCCCCATGGGACGTCTTAAAGACCCCGGGAATCGTCCATGCACCTGCGCCCCGTCAATCCCAAGTTGCTGGTCGAGCTCGTCTCCGGGCGTCGGGGGAATTACTCTGAATTGAGGTGGCTCAGGAGGACGTCGTGGGTTTCGTAAGGGGGACTCAACCTCATCTTGTGGTAATTGCTGCTTCTGGACCTCACGCACCGCCTTGGATTCCGGCACCGGAAACGGCTCAATCAATTGCAATGAATGGTTGTTGTGAGGAAAATAATTGATGGCCTTGGCTTCATTGATCTCGGGAGATGCGGATTGAAAAGATGGCTGTGAAAAGGGCGTCTCCAAGATGGACGGAGGCCGAAGGGCAGCCCATTCCTTCGTTCCCGGCACCACCAAACCAAGTGCATTGTTCGTGACCTCGCCCTTGTCTGCGGGATGGCTCAGAAAGGTCCCTGGAAGGGGAGAGGTTTGTGCACTCATTTGTCCCATCGATCCATAAGGCTGATTCACTTTTCTACCTCCGTTGACCATGGGGACGACCTGATCCTCTGCTCCCCAGTCACGCAGATTTTGAACCAGTCTTTCGGACCCCATTCGATCTAAAGTTTTGCGCAAGTCCTTCTCTGCTTGTTGTCTCTTGACACGCAGATGTTCGGAAGTGATCGAATTGGCTCGCGAAGTAGTTCCGGACGTTGGCGCAGAAAACGACGAACTTCGGGGAGGTACCGCTGGTGGTGCCTGTACCGGTTGTCTACCCCGATCAAGGGACTCGGAAAAAGGCCCTTTATGTTGCCAGGATGAAGGTGGATTATCCGACGTCTTGCGGGAGTGGCTTCGTCCCGACTCTGCGGAGAGACATTGTCTCTGGCTGCTGCTACTAGTAGATGATCCTAACGAGGAGCTTCTCTCCGGTATCACCGCGACGCGAATGACCTCCATTTTTGGCAAAACCGCGCTCGAGGCCAAACTATGTGACCGCGAAGCCTCTGAGCCGAAACTCCACCGATTTTGGTTGCTCAGTCTCGCCTTCTTGTGAACCAGGCGATGCGGAGAGTCTGAAGCGGAATGGAGGGAGTTCCGGTTGGAAGCCGGTAATGGTGAGCTGACAGACCGTAAAGATTCGTGCTTGCTCACATGCCGCAACGTTGTCTTTCTTTTAGGAAGTGGATTTGGATCAAATACAAATGCCTCAATAGTGGATCCTGTCGAGATACCCGACAGTCGACGGTGGTCCTCATGTCCTGCCTCGCGATGATCAATCGGATCATCTTCAATGGGGACAGAATTGTTCCAGCCGATAATATTTGCAAATTTCTCGGTCGATGCCGACGGGTCTTGACTCTGAGCCTCGAGAAGTCTGTCGCGAAGGCTCCGATCACGTCTCAGACCATTTTGACCAGCAGGCTTAGACAACGGGGCTGACAACTTCGCGTTCTCAGCTGGGTCATGGGGAACTGTTTCAAGATGTATTTGGACGATTTCCTCATTCAATTGATCATCCGGGGTAGATCGAGCACTCAAATCTTGGGGACTCGCGTCAAAGGTAGGTGACTTATCCTGATAAACCGATACACCATTCTCATGTGTCTTGTTAGCTCTAGCACTTTGATACAAAACTTGTTCGGGAGATTGACGCGGGATTGGCCGATTCTCGTCGCCATTCACCCAGGGCGATCGCGGCAACGCACCATGTCGTAATCGGTGTGCGACGGGAGCAAATTCATTTACCGACGACAATGGCCACTGAAACCCATTCTCATACTGCTGTGAATAAGCATCTGATTCGTTCTCGGAGACATTGTCTTCTCGAGCAGTCTTGAAGGACTCGGCGTGAGTGGAAGCTAGCGATGGCGCTGTACCCAAAATGGGACGTACATATGGGACATTTCTCTCGCGGGGAGGGGTATCATCTGGCGTAGGAGGGCTGTTCTGGTTGATCGGAGTTACCAACGCTGATCTGAACATGGCAGTATCTGAAGCGGCTTCGTCAACGGGAGGTGTCGTGTCTTCATTGCTTGCTCCAGGCGGCGTGGGCGGTAAATGCGGCGAAGTAGGAAGAGCCGTGGAAGGATGAGATGGTTGCTCCGGATGGCTGCCGTTAGAATCTTGGGCAGAGATGCGATAGAGCGTTCGTAAATTGGGCGAGGCCACTTGGGTATCCTTTCGATCCGGCAAAGACTTCACTACCGAAGGAAGGTAACGTCCGGGAGGTTCGGTGAGCGGACCAACGATGGTGTATTCAGTAGTCCTCCCCATCATAGACCGAATCACAGTATTCCCAAAAATTTAACAGTCCTTCTCTTCATTGCGCCCGATGGTCGCGAAAGGGGGGAGTGAAAGGACGAAACATTCGTGATGGACTTCGGTGTATTATGGTCGACCCTAGGCGTGTTACAGCGGAATAGGGGGAAGGTGTCAAGGCTAGTGGAGTCCGTGAGACGTGGAAAATAAAATGGAGGATGCGTGACGCAAAGTGTAACAGCGCCGAGGGCAGCGCACGGTGGTGGTGATGGTAGAGGTGGTGCGCAAAGCAGGGCTCGGGGAACGAATTGACCTTTTCTTTCGCACCGTCGTCAAGTGGATATATTGTCGATTCCGAGGCAACGGGAGCTAAAGCGACAAATTGGACGGAAGAGATGCTGTGGGAGGACAGCAACGGGAGGTGGCTGAGGGTAGATGACGGCTGCGAGTGATTCAAATCGGTGACGAGGATCGGATTGGTTAGACAGAGGCGATAGTGCTAGGGCAGGAGAACGGAGGGATAGACAGTAATAACAGGGAGTAGCAATTCGGGGTAGATGAGAAATTGAAGGATTGAAAGACAGACAGATGGTAAAGTCGTAAGTTGATGATCAGTATGGAGCGAAAAAGTGGGAAAAACCTGAGACGGACAGGGTGAGTGTCCAGCTTGTCTGATTGGTACGCCCATTTTCCTTCAACTCAATGTACTTTTCTTCTGCCGGCTGCCATGCAAGCCTATGGAGAACATCACAGACAACCAGCAATATCGATGGATCCTATCGATCAGTATCACAGAATCATTGTCACTCCATCATCGACCATTCAGCTCATCCCACCTCCTGAACTTGATAAGGCTGTGACAGCTAATTTCTCGATGCGCCCTACCCTCCGTTCTCTTAGCATCAGCCCCAAAGGGGCATAAAAAACAACAACACACTAGACCAGGTGAGTGGAAGATTTGAAAATGCAAGACATGTTTCAGATCTCCCTTCATCATTTTCCCTCCTGTTCTCGACCCCTCAATTGCCGTGAACTCAATAAATTGCTATGATCTGCTCGTCAGTTGCTGGCAATTCACAGAGATCTCATTCGGGTCCCTCTCGTTATTCTCTCACCCAAAATCTTCTCCCTTGAATTCGGGATTCTCTCATTCTCCGAACTCGTCCAACAAACCTGCCGTCGGAATCTTGAACTCGGCTTTCTGCTTGTGCTTGGTTGTCATGTCTTTCTACTCATCTGCACATTGCGCGGTGAGCAACCTTTCTATGTCGCAACGACACGAAACTTTGGGAGAGGAGTGAAGAGATTGGGTACGAGGGAGGAGCGGAAACCATGCTCCCCAATAAACGGTACGAGAAAGGCCACGAATTGGACACGCCATTTTGGCCCACAGACCGGAAATCTGATTCTCACAGCACATCTATCCCACCGCTCGTCACTAGTGACGAAGATCCATGTTCACGCTTCGTCTTCACCGCAAAGGACGACTATTCCGCAATGCTCGTCGAGTAAGAAATATATAGACGACCTCCCAATCTCGGTCTCTATCGACACTATTGCGGTCAGCGCCATCCAAATCCCTACCCGGCGCTTGGCCGGTTCTCGAGAGTTCAATCCCTTTCTTTGGTCCCACGCAGAGCAAGTCCTTCGATGAGTTCCGACATCTGTACGGTGGGCAGATGTGATCCAAGTCTCCGTGATTGCGATGGTAGGAATGGGTAGGCGGAGAGCCGACGTGGAACATGTTGGACCAAATTCGGAGATGAATATTGGTACAGGAAAAACTCGATGAAGCAGACTGTGATGAACGTCCTTGGAATTCTTTCTCTATCTCCAAATGCCCATGATGGACCTACGGTCCACGTGAGTGAGAAGGAGACATTAAAACTGGAAGAGGATACACTGTGACAAGCCTGGCCGACAAAGCCTAAGCGGAGCCCCCAGGATCCAGATGGCAACCGATATCGACCCTCCTGCCCGTCGATTTCGGACATCCGTTTCAGCCTTCTATTCATCTAGCTTACGCGGCATTTTCATGACGTGAGCAAAATTTCACCCGTGACCTCGTTGAGGTTTATCATGATATGATCTCCATTCACTTCCGATTTTCCACTCCAAGCGGATTGTATCACTATTTAATTTGAGGCATTTCAATCGCATCGAATCATTGATGCGACAATGTATGAGAGCATGGCAGATGGGCAGCTTCAATGGAGACGTGATCGGCGAGTTAGCTTATGTCCTCATCTGAATGCACGCTGGCTATCGGGGTCAGTCGATACCAGACGACAGACCGAATGTGTAATGCCTCCCGCTCTCAGATGGACAGCGTTTCTCAGAGTCTTAAACCGTGGAAAATGTTTCGTCCAATGACGCCAGCAGGAGGAAAATGCCCTCAAACGCCAATTGCGCAAATCATAAAGTTTGCCTACGTCTCTGTCAGATCTCGATCTCTTCGAAACTCGGTCCGCACTGTGGGCTTTGCTGGAATTTATGTTGTGAAGGTCCGACCCTATCTCTCTTTTTGACTCTCCATTCTGTTGAACAGAGCCACTAGGCGCTGAATCACCATAATCTCCTTGTGCAGGAGGTGGCTGCCTTCCACTGCTACTTGGACCGGCTACTTCACTCCGGAAGAGCTCCGAATAGATTCGAACATATTCTCTTGGGTTAGGAGGGTCGCCGTAAGGTGCAACGTTGTTTGCCGGCGAGACCACATACCGTGTGTAGCAGCGAAGCCACTCGCCAAAGAAGCTTGCGATGACGGATATTTCATATTTGGGTCGAAGAATATCATAGAGCTCCGGTACGGTCTGAGTAACCCGATAGCGTGACCCTCAATTTCTGGGTAATAGTCGAGATCAAACGGCACCATTGCACCTTGGCCGTATGTAGTGACCCTAACACCGCACGGCAAATGTGGTCAATTGACAGATCATTGGATAGCATTGCTTGAAGCGATGTCGTCGTGGGCTGCCCCTAGATGGGTAGAGCCTCAAATTTGATTTGATTTGACTTCGAAAAGGATCGATTTGATTTAATTTGAATCGATTTGGATAGGCCCACTTTTCTCCCAAGATGATGTCAAACTGGGTGCAACTTGAGATGTCTTGAATGCTCTCTTCTCTATCTACTTGTTGCGTTCCTGACGTCTCCTTTCTAGACGCGAGGATATCTCGTCGTCGCGCAGAGCAGCCCTCAGGAATACCGTTGTTTATGGAAACCTTTACCCTGTGTTTCAGCGGTGGAGCCTATGTAAGGTAACTCCCTTGTTCGACAGATGATATGCCGATAATGTCCGCTCGAAGTCGACTCCTCTGAGCCGTCACCATCTGTCCTGCGAAACTGAATGTCCGTTCTGGCTCGGAAGACATAGCGGGAATTGAAAAGAGATCTATCACCATCCGCGACAGACGTATCGAGTCTCATCCGTGAACGATCCATACGATCCATCTCGAGTTTGATCAGTAGGGCTTGTCTAGGTGGTCCACAGACTGGATCCGATCCGTGGATCGTCTCGATATCGAGGATATCGACTTCTATCAAGTAGGGTGCCCCGGTTACACGATCCACGGATTGGATCCGATGGGAGTGCCTCGGAAGAGCGAGTCTGCAGAGCGAGTTTCGAACTGCAGCGAGTGGGTCTGGAGCTATCTAAGCACTAGTTGTTGGATGGCGAGGTATCTGAAACCGCTCCCCCCCAAACCCGCGGGAAACCCTAGTAAAATCGCCCAAATCGGCACAGAGCGTCAGGGAGGTCCTGAAGTGATTCGGCAGCGAGGCCAAGAGGCAGCAGAGGGCAAACAGAGGCGACAGAAGTGACAACATGGTCAGAAGGTAAGAGGGAGGGCTACACGGGCGATAGAAAGGTTTCATAGACAACAGAGACCACGCAACAACGCCAAAATCGTGTGCAAAAGGCTCCGTCAAAAGGGACCAACAGGGCCAACCGTGCGAGGGAGGCAAAGCAGATGGAAAGGTACCTGAAAACCCCCCATTTTACTAGGAATTTGAGGTACCCCGCCATCCACCGACAACTAGTGCTTAGATAGCTCCAGGCCCACTCCCGAACATTCTAGCAGACGTCATTAAAAGCCTGTTCTGTTGATCGCAGCCTCGCACCGTGGGCAGATGGCAGACGTGGCTGGATGCAACAAACGTACTATCAAATCCATCCATACCTGCGCCCCGCAATGGCGGAGGACGCCCCGATCTCTGAAGCCCGATCAATATCTTGATGAGCCGGTAGTGTTCTTGTGGGACGAATTCAATGTTCTTGTCACAACATCCGCTATTAACAGAAACCACACTCTCAAGGACCATATCCTGGTCCCAACTTCGTTGCCGTCATCCTGTTCAGGACTCGCTGTTCTACTGAAACCCCATCCAGCAGCGTCACCCACCGCTAGAGGCGTTGTTAAGATTTACCAACTCGCCAAATCGTGCAATTGGGGAAGTTGCATATGGCTGAAGTGTTCCACGACATCTGCTGTCAAACTTCTTGTACAACTTGAGTTGAAGGAGTGCTCTGTTTTCTATCAAATTGAGGTCCTGCCTATAGAGAAAAATTATTGCCACGCTGAAAGTGTTGCCACATTCAACATCTGATGGCCTCATTGCATGGCCTACAGACGTAGTACTCCGCTACAATATCATCAGCACCAAATGAGCACATTGAAACCAAGTCCGGTTCTTTTAGTGGCTAAGTTGGTCGCGCAGGTGAAACATCCAATACCGTTCTTCCTCACCACGGCGTGTCTCCCAGACTGAGCACACCAAGCCCTAGCCAGAGCCTCCTCGCCCGGTTCGGTCGCGTCGATAATGGTCAGAACCTCGGTAGAGGGTATATTCGCTCCGTTATTCAGGTCCTTCGCCAGCACGACACCAGTAAACATCTTCTTGACAAGTCGCTCGTGGATGGGATGCGATGTTCCCGCACATTTGGGGACATGCACAAACACTGGGTTTGAATAAAGCGTGAAAGTCACTTGTTCGCCGTTACACATGAAATCTACTGCTGCTCGGTACTGTCGGGCCACGCTGACTGTGCTTTCAACTTCGTTCAGTCGAACGGCTGTTAATCGCACTGCTGATGTATCATTCGAGACCGCAGAAGTGCTGGCTCCCGCTCGTGCCGGCAGGCTGGTTGGTGGATTCCACTTGTTCATGTCCGATATTTCTCTTGTCAAGCCAATCGGATCTATGTCTGCCTCAGATTCTGAGAACCCGAGGAGCTCAAGATTTGTCTGTGTCATATCATCGACCACTGGTGTCACGAAATTGACACGGCGTGCATGTAATAGGATCCAGCTTGACTGACACCCAGTGGGACAAGGAACGGGACCGATCCACCCGCATGTCGACTTTGGATTTCTCAGACCTCCGAGCACTCGTCCAAGGACTGTCCGCTTCGGCCAATAGCTCTTGTTACCAACAATGAGACCGGCGTCATAGTGCGGCGCGTACCCCAAGTGCTTCGTTGTGGGACACGCTAGCACCAAACAACTCAAAATCCGATGTCTGAAGAATTTTCCAGGAAGTACCAACCCGTACAGCCAGTCCTTTAGGTAGTCCGCGACATTTGCAGGGTTGGATGTCAATTTCGTGTATAGGTCTTCGATGTTTTCTCGTGCTTCGTGCATGTAGGGCCAACCGAGAGCTTCTGCGAATCGCAAGAGACCATCCGACTGAGTGGCATGATTGGTGGCAACCAGAGCATATTTACTTGTAAGGCTCCGTCGAATTGTTACGTTCTGCATCCATTGTCTGGCGATAAAGACCAAGGCAGATGTTGTCGTCTTCATGATGTTCGGATACTTCTGGCCTGCCCCCATTTTGGTCAAACGAATGGCGAGTTCGGCGCCCAGAAGAATGTGAAACAGAAAGTTTGTGAGGCCAATGCCGGTAGTGCCAAAGAGGTGGACCGAGAATGATCCTGAGGTGAGGAAATCTATGAAGCGATTTGGCGCAGTGTACTGCGCACGATGAAATGACATGCAGATATCTGAGATCGCAGTTCTCGTCGTCGCATTGAAGGCCCTGTTTCCCGGTCAGGGGACATGTATTGTGGCCGGAGCCATACTTACGGCACCAATCCTAGAATTTGATCCAGCTTCACATTGTCTTCAAGAGTCGGGCTCCTTTGGAGAAGTTGGATTCTCTCAACAATCGCATCAAGTGCCATGGGGGGAGGAATGGTTTGTGCTTCTAAAGAGAGCTGCAATTGCAGTTTCAAGGTCAACTGATATTCTCTGTATTCTTCGGCATAGCCTAGCACGGATGTGGTCCCCAGATGATATCCATCGTAGCTGCTTGTGGATTCACAATCGTAATCCACGAAATTTGTTCCGGGATGTGAGATCGCGTCAACAAAGTAATTCTCTGTGATAAACGTAAGTCGCTGAATGCCTTTCAATGCCCGAACTTACTCCATGCAGGATGCACTGCCGTGTGTGGTGGGAGGTCAAGAAGGATTGATTGGATATAAGTCCTGCCGAAGAACAACAATTGAATCGTGTCGATCTGACCTTCTGTAGTCAAAGGTCTCAAATATAACGATCCCTGCCGCTTAGCTGTGATGGTTGTTTGAAAGTCCAGAGTTTGACTTGCTGTAGGACCGCCCATGGTTGATCCGGTCACAGGTCTTGATGCCGCACTGTACGAAGGAGGTGCTTCTGTCGGTATATCAAGCTGTTGAGCTAGCGCTTCACTCTGGGTAATCATGTTCGGAGTAGCAGGCCGAGGAGGTTGAGATGGGTATGGAGATAGAGCTAATAAATTCTCAGTGGCATTCAACCCGTCAAAGTGATTGATCACTTACAGGCCGTGCCTGCTGTCGGGGCTTGTGGCGTCAAAGGTGCAGGTGGCAGCGGTCTTGTCTCAGTCTCAGCGGCTGGAGGATTAGATTGTGAAGAATCTACATTAATAGTCGGACGGTTCGCCGCCAATTCAGGTTGTGGGGGGTGAACACTGACACTCTGTGTGGTGGTCCGGGGAATAGATGCTGCTGGAGGCTGAGTAGATGCTCTTGTGCGGGCATCTGCCAGAGAGTGTATTGCTTGCACCTTGTCATAGCCTTGCAGAATGTTCGTTGCTTGTTCGAGCACCTCTTCTGCTGCTCGATATTCCTGCTTTCGCAAATAGATGTCACCTTTGAGCTTCCAAGCATGACCATTCGAAGGACTGAGTTGAATGGCGGAATTGACATCGTGCAAGGCCTGGTCTAATTGGGGTGGGGAACACATCATCCGAGCAAGGGCGAGCTGCAAATATAGCGACGCGTTGTCTGTATCCTGCCTCAGAGCCTCGCCATACAAGAACACCGCATTGTTGTAGTCGCCTTGATTGAAGAGTTCATTGCCACGCTTCAAGAAAAGGTTGTCGACTGGCCTCGGCCGTGTTGGGATTGAGGTGCTAGGCAACTCATGTATCCTAGCCATAAGTTAGTCATGGGCTTTGTGGAGAGGGGAAAACAAACTGTTGAGAAGTCGGCTCTTGACCTGGCTGAGGCTTGGGTTTCCTTTTGAAGAACCCCATTTTGGACCGCAGCGACGTCCGTAGCAGCGGAAGGCGCAGTGGTAGTGACAGTGAACCCTTATAAATAGATACCTTCTCTCTGGCCTGGCCAACTCATCGACCCCTCTTTCTTTGGTAGAGCCGCAATGTGCTTTGCCAAGCATGGGCTGTGTCTCTCATCGAAGCACTAATTGAAAGAGGGCGGTTTGCGAAATGAACAACCCCTGCTTTACATACAGGTTGACCAGGGATTGGCTGAAATCAAGGGTGCCGTCATGTCTATCACCGGCAGCCCAGAAGTGCAGAAACGCCGCTGGAGGAGTCTGTAAATTTCCACTTTGGACGCATCGTGGGTGTCCCCTGGCCTTGCTCAATGACGTTTTATTGTCTCCTCATCCTACTTTGAAGATTTCCATAACCTTTCTGTCAGGTCCCCACTGAAACAGGCTCAGACAGGCGTCTGCGTTATGGTGAAGATTCAAAGAGGCCATTAGGATCGACCGACCCTCATTCCTGGAATCACGAATAATCCCTGCAATGTCCAAGGCTACTGTAGCAGGGATGCCTTTGGCAGCACGTACTCCGGCTGACTGCTCCGCAGCAGGAAGGAGTTTGGCACTTGTTGTAAGGGCGGAAACTGCCATCAAGGCTCTTGTGCCACGCCTACTGACATCGCAGTGCCAAGTGTTATATCTGCAGAAGAAGCAATGTTTAATTAGCCAAGCTTAGATGAACTTAGCTAGTGAGCATCTAGAGTTCCCTTTTTCAGGGTTCATCTGTGAAAATCCCCTTTCTTTTATTCTCCTTTTCGAGACTTGACGTTCGTTGTCATATCTGGGACAAGAGGGGGAAGAAAAGGGAGAAAGGGAATACCGTAATAGCAAAGGCTGACTGAAGTAGTCGTTGTTTATGGTGCAGGACGTGGAACCAATCAGCGCTCCCCGCTCCACCTTCCTCCTTTGTTGAATTTAGTCTGCTCTACGGACCTTCCGTATTAGGCAAGTTCCCAATCACACCCCGGTCTACGAGAGAATCCGTATGTATACGTCTCACCCTCTAGGCTCGCATTGGGAAAGCCGGCTTGGTATCGATGCTAACTAAAACTATCCCTGGGACGCGGGATGACAATTCTCCCCAAAAACCTGACGCCACAAAACGAAAGGACCGATCGGGTTTCGCAAATTGTGCACTACGTGAAACGAGAACAGTTTTTGCTCGGATCTCTCCGAAGAAATTCGGGCCCACAGGCGATCTTTCGCGAATGAGAGGCTAACCCAGGCTAGAGAGAAGCGCTTGGTGCTATCGCTCTATGCAAGTCAGCCAATTGCCCACGACGGAGATGTACAGTAGAAGGATGGGGCTTCGGCGGGGGGACCTTGGGTCTTGGGACCGTGTCTGGACGGGGTGGGGCCAATTGCCTCTGGAGGAGGGTTTTCTAAACATTTGTGGCTCCTGTTCTGGCGGCCATTGATTGGCTGGGACGATCTCTTGCCCTGGCAATCATATACATTTTCTTCACCCAAAAGTCGTGGGAGCATTCGATGCCCCATTCACTCTTGACACTCTAGGGACTCTCGGTCGCCATCGCTGCAGAAATATATCCAGGGCCCTTCCAGTCAGGCCAGTCATCGTTCATCCAACAAACTCCTGCTCTCACCTACTTCCCAACCCCAAACACATCTACTGCTGAGGGTGCACGTCCGCACCGACGCGTGCGGCTTCATTGCACAGTGGGGCGAACGCTGCAAAGCCAGGGGAACAGATGGCGACATCCTTGTGATCTATGTGGCCGAGACTTGTTATCTAGGCGACTATGGCTCCTACATCAACAGCGATGGCTCCGACTTCCTCACCACGTTCGCAGCGTACTCGCCGGGAAGGTGTGCCTTTCTGGCTAACCCGCCCGCAGTGTGGTGCACATGCGAGGGGTCTCGGCGCCGACCACAGGGCCAATATTCACGACGGTCAGCTGGGCTATTTGGAATATGCTATCAGAGGGCGAGACAGCGACAGGATGCTGTCCAAGGTAAGTTAGAGTGCTTCGTCGCAACTCAGAAGATGAATGGTGGCTTACTGTTGATCAGTGGCTACACCTGCACCGACGACCACATCAGGGGTTGCTCCTCGATCGGCGCGCCTGGCGAGGTTGTGATAGCCACCACGAACGATCAGAGTTGTGCGCGCTTAACGACAACAGTCACGGTTGCAAGCACCCAGGACGGGCCGTGGCGAGTGGCCAAAAGTTGCTCTTGATTGAGTCGAACGTGCGGATCCTTGCTTCTAGCGAGCCATCTCAGACGAGGTCAGATGGGGAACCTGTATCTGGAGGTGATTCCAACTCCAGCGGGTCCGTAGGAGGTGGCTATCCACGCGCACGAAGATTTCTATCGGCTTGTTGTCCCTCTCGCCGTTATCTTGATTTCTGTGGCAGTCTTTTTCATCTTCTGGAGACGAAGGAAATGATCAACGGGGATAATACCAGGTACTGCGGGTCGGATCCTACAATGAAATCGGAGCTAGAAGGAAGCTAAGGAATATGCCTCCCTTTCTCTACCTTCTTGGTTTTTACATAAGCACGGCGCCCCCCGCCGGTGACTACATACAGGTCAAGAAGACGCTCGACTTGGGTAAACGAAGGCATACTTTGGCCGAGGCTACTTTGCATAGCGGCATACTGTACAATCCATGAAGAAACACCTCTAGAGGGCGAATCCGCCAAGTGACACGTGTCGTCAACCTCGTTGCCACCACCGACCCTCTCGTCAGCCTGCCGATATGCCTTCGGTCAATGACACGGGATCAGAAGGACATGGCGTCGCCGTTGGAAATCTCCGGTGTGATGCCTGCAGCCTCCTCGGCAGAAACCCGTTCGCAGACTCTTTTCAAGGGATTGTCCACAATAGAAGTGTGGTCCGGAATGAGCCAACCACGGCCATCATCGATATTTTCATCGTCATCCAAGTCCAAACTTGGCCATCCCGCACCACCGCACATTCCCACGAGACGTTGAAGAAACCATTGCATCTCTAAGAGCTTCATGCTCGGTAACGGTAGATTTTTCGGATCCTTGGTGGTGAAAGTGAACATATCTCCAGAACGAATAAAGCGCGCTGGGCCGCCATCCACAACGCGAGGTAATACATGTCCGCCGGCGTTCTCCAAACCTTTCGATGATGCGGGTTCTGTAAGCAAATCAATCCGGCTTGAAATGTCGTAATTGCCAGGAACTTGCCAGAAGAATTGAACAGTAAGCTGCTTCTGATCGCCTGAAAGTTCCAGTGGCTTGAGTGCGAACAACCCGTTGGCCCACTTGACATGCGCGCTGGCGTCGAGGGAGATGAGGTTGAAGCATTTGTCGATATCAGTATTAGGATTCTGGGAACTCGGAAAGATCGTCTCTTTCCATTTGTTGACTCGATCCTTCTCCCAGAAAAGACGTAGAAGCTTCCAAAAATCCGGGATCATACTGGATGTTCGGCTCCCTTTAGCGGGCGAATCGAGCACACGGCAGGGGAATATATGGGCTGCCTCAGGCAACGGCTGCTTCGTCAGGACGCACTTGTCATCGTCGCGCTCTCTGCATGGTGCATTGTCAGACCGGAGTATTATGGAACAATATGGACTTCGGTTATTCGCCTCCTCCACCGATCGCTGCACCCATGATTGTCCGTCTGGATTCACTTTGTGCTTATTTGGACCCTCTGAACGCTGTGAGGCTACCTCTGATCCGGGGAGTCCAGAATCTCGGAATCGTTGAGTCCCTGTTAACAGTGAGCATGTCAACAGTCATATAACACCTTGATCGGGTCTTATACCCAGCAACTCACATCGCAATGACAGGAAAACCAACGGCTCATCATACCCAAGAATCATCTGCTCTGGCGAATTGGCGATATCTCGCAAGCAGTTCATATCGGCAAGGTGACAACAAGCCCAGAAAGCGGGGGAGACGGAAACATTGCCGATTACTTCTTTAATTTGGACCAAAAGCTTGGTGCGCGCCGGTGAACGAATGTTGTAATCCTCATTGCTGAACTCAGCTGAGTCGATTTGAGATGCTTGTTGTTTTGGCCATTCCATTTCGTGATTTCTTAGGCCGTTTGGAGGTCCCCCCTTCTTCTTCGACGAGGGCGCGGCATTTGAAACAATTTTGTAGGATAATCACACCTCGAATGGAGACCGACCGAGCAGAAGATATGGACAGTCACACGGTCAGTTGGGTGAAATTGAAGAGTCACGTCGCAGTGGGTGAAACATCATCACGGCTAAGAGAAGGTAAATCGACACCCAGCTCACCCCCCTTTGGGACGAGGGTGATGCCGCCCTTTGCTCACCCCCAGCTTACCCGATCCGGGTGAGCCTCCCCCTATGACTTCATCCATCATAGGGGCCAAATTCCCTGGCGCCCTGGCGTAGATGGTGCGAAGCTGGTCCTCTGTGATTGGCTTTTTGGGTCAAGGGTCACAGCGCCTGTGGTGGCTTTGGCTCGTCCATGTGGGGGCTGAAGAAGATCTCGGACCCAGTTTTTGACGCAACCTCACAAATGGACCTACATGGGTTAGTTTTGTTCGGTGGGCCGGTACGTTGTCTGAGAGCTCCGAGTCGATGACTCAGGCGGCGTGTACTGTGGTACATGTAACCTTGTTACTGTGGCTGTTATGGCTTGACTACCTTGTTGCTGTTGGCAGAGAAAAGGCAGCAACGCTCGCCAAACCCTGTTCTGGCGCCGTGCTAACAGAACTAACCCATGAGACTGTGCATGGCACAATCAAAATGGTTTGTGGGCGAGGTCAACGGTGCGAGCCTCTTGCAACGCAAGTGGGGGAAAGTAAAGGGGCCACACTTCAAGGGGCATGCATTGAGACCCCGTCTTGCCCGTCCCTATATAGTCTGCCGATCGCGCACCTGGATCCTTGCAAGCACCGTGGCTGAGATGCGCCACACTAGAAGACGACTTGTGGGAAATTCGCCAAGCAGATTTGACTAAGGGCGATATAGTCTCTGCCTTTCCGCTGGAAAGCATGTTTAAGGTAAACATCGTTCTCGAGGCGGGCAGTGGTGCCGCCGCATCGTTGGCGCCAGAATGGCCGTCACCACACGCCACCCAGCGCATACGAAGGTGATCTTTGCGACTGCAAATGAGTGGCATTTTCGAGAGCAAGCCCGCATTCCACAAGATCTGAGCCAGTACTGCAAGGCGAACGCCATCGTAGAATTCCAGAGGGCCGCCGTCGACGTCTCGTTTGCGGTCTTTGTTTCCGCGGGCTGCTCGCACATCGCGACGGTGGAGGCCAACGCCCAAGACAGGACGATCAAGGTCACCGTCTGGCACCTCGACCAAGAATTCGCAGAGAAGTGGTCCACCAGCCACGAAGCGCCTGAATCAGAGTTCACAGCGGATGCCTATGTCAGCTCCTACGATTACGGCGCGATCCACGGTGGTATCACGGAAGACGGCCAGTGTGTCTTGCTCGTCTACCGACCGAAGGGAAGCACAACGAGGGCGTACCTCGTCAATGCGCGCGGTTTCACTTCGAGGAAACCCCCGTCTGACACGAACTTGGGTTACTCTACTAGTATCGGCACGTTATCCGAAGATAGTGAGTACCTCTTTTATGTCCGCTCAGGCGAGAAATTCGGGAGGAATGGACAAGCCAAGGTTGTCGAGGCCTACTCGATCCGCCATCTGTCGTGCGCGAAAGCCGAATCGTTTGGCTTTGGCGATTGTTACCAGATGAGGAACGTCTGTCTTCTGCCCCATCTGCGGCTTCAAGGTCCGACCTACATGGCGATTGACACTTCGAGTTTCGGCGGCGACGACCTCCAGCGGAACAGCCCGCCGCTCATCGCGTCATCAGACCAGCAATTGCATTGGAACTTCGCAGGCATCGACTCCATCACGAGTCGCGGCGGCATGAGCTGCTTCGTGTCGCCAGACAATGCGCACCTCATTTACGTCGAGCCAGATGCGGCGATGCTGCACCACTGGGACCTGAACAAGTTGTCCTTTAGGCCCCTGGGCAGTGTCCGACTGCCTGGCGTCGAATACAGCACGTATCGGACCTGGTTGCTCTACGGCAAGGAGACAAAGATGAAGGACGCCATCGCGGATCAGATCCACGAGGTACGCTATTCGCCCAAGTGCAAGACCGTTACCGTGGTCACCGTCAACGATTCGATGGTCGTCGTCAACGTACTGTCGACGTTCAACCTCCAGCTGGTCCATCATGAGACGATCAAAGACGCAACGTGGACAGAATACGTCCCTTTGCGGATTGGATTCCATGAGACCACAGGGCTCAACGTCTTTGCGATGAGTCCAGCCGACATCACCCGCGACCACCAAGGCCTGTTGCGGTTGTTTGGGATGAAGGGAGTCCTGATCGCCATGCCAGAGGTGTTCGAGAAGATCAAGGCCATCGAAGTTTACTTTGACAACATCGGCGAGCGGATTGCCGCGCTGCCGGACCTAGTGTACAGCAAACAAGTGATGCCTCTGGCCAAGTTCGAGTGGAAGCCCGGTGTCATGGATCGCAACGACGAATTCTCCATCCCGCGCACGGCTGGACCGACCACAGTCACCAACAGCGAGGACGCCAGACGCCAGTTCGACTTCTACGTCAACGTCTACGCCCACCGATCGTCGTCGTGGAAGCAGGACAATAACCCAGAGCTACGTCGCTTCTTCGTGCCGCACCTTTTCAGCTTCACGTACCCCTGGGCCCCGGAGAAGCGGGTCAGCGTCTTTGGAGTAGTCATGAAGAACGAATACCACTTGATTTCGATCGGGCCAGCCGCCAGCTCGTCCGGTTCGGGGACGGACATTATTCGGGTGCTCTACGCCACAGACATCAAGATCTCCACAGATAAGATAGAACATATTGAAATCTACGAGCTCGAGGGCCGCTACGTTCTCCGCGTATATACAATGCACGAGGGCTTCTCGTCGTACTCTGGGGCCCCCATGCCCATCCCTCGGTGGACGCTGATGTCGCCTCACTTTCTCGAGGAGGATGCCTGGTATGACACTTTTGTCATCCACCGAAGCAACCATGTCACGATGCCTGGCGGGTGGTCTGCCACGCCTAACCAAGCCATTTCCTCGTCGACGAACGTGTATGCATACTTCCAGCCTAACACGCTGGTCGTGCAAGACGAGATCAACTACGGTCTTCGTACCCGCTCCGCCTACGTGCTCCCGAAGTATCTGCTGTGGAAGGAGTACGGCCTTCGTGGGCTCCGGAAAGGCAACCTCAATGACATATTCTTTGGTGGCGGCCGCTACGCCGACATATTGGGGCCTTATTTCCGCAGTGTCTACGACGACAGAGCGTACGACGATGCGAATCCGCTCTTCCCCAGTACCTTCGCCTTGGCTTGCAACTCCGACTATCGATCGCAGCGGACCATTCACATCGACGCCTTCTTCCGCCGCGTTCGACAGGATCAAAACAGGCTACTGGATAATTCTGCGACAGTTACCTGCGCTCTCCCGATAGCGTGTAGGGCACGCCCCGGCGCCACGCTCTCCTTCATGCGTTTCGTTGCGCTCTATCCGTGGGCTGTCATCGATATCGGTGCCGTGCAGGTCAAGAAGGGCGCGACCAAGGCAAAGACGGTGGATTATGACAATGAGTGGTACAAGTGGCGTCGACGAGCGAAAGTCATTTGGCAAGATATCCGTATGCTATTCCGCGTCAACGCCAAGGCTGTGGAGTCCGAACCGAACAAGCAGCTCTTGACACTGCCACTCCCTGGGTTTTGCTCATTTGACAACAAGCTATACAAGCCTCCTCCGGTTGAAGCATCCCGCGCCTCCGACCGCGATGACTCCTTTTGGTCGTTTGTACTCGCGACCACCCCGTACAGCAAGTTCCCCACGTGGGAGTCTTGGCTCCAGACGTCGGTGGCGGAGTCGGGCAAGGGCCCGGCCAGCCCTTTCACAAGGCTGATTGAGGAAATCTTGGAGATGAAGGATCGTGACCTCCAACTGACCTATCTCAAGGTCGTGTGGCTGGAGAAGCTGCTTACCTGGAAGATGCGCACTTTCGGCCGCAAAATTTACCTGACCCGGACCGCGTTGCCCATGCTGGTGCTGTTCGTGCTCCATCTGACACTAGGGATCCTCCTGACGGGAGGCGATGGGCTCACCGAGGACCGGATCGGCTGGTGGGTCATCCTGCTTGCGACAATTGAGGCTGCGGCCTCGTGCTTTATTCTCTCAGTCAAGCTGCGTCAGGCCTACCGTATCCTGCGACAGTTCTTCCGCTCCATCTTCACCTATGTCGACGGTACCGCTCTGTCACTGGGTCTTGCCATATTTTTCCAGATTGCCACCAGGCATGCGCCGCAGCGAGCGTTTCTGGGGTTTTCGACGCTTTTAATCTGGATCGCGGCAATCCTCATGCTGCGCATCTACAGGCCCGTGGGAATGCTGCTGCTGCTGTTGACCGAGACGATCCAGGAGATTTTCTCGTTCCTAGTGCTGCTCTTCTTTATCATTTTAGGTACGTATATCAACTATAGCCGACCATATAGCTGACGACGTGATAGGGTTCGCCTTTGTGCCGTTTCTCCTTTTAAGGAATACCGAAGGCATCGACTCGGCGCCCAACCCCTTTTCCAATTTTGCCATGTCCTTCGCGAATATCCTCAACTTTATCTCGTCCGACTACGGTGCGCTGGAAGCCTTTGAGGACTCGGCAGCGGTTCGCACACTCCGCGCGCTTTACATCATCATCATCACCGTCCTCTTCCTCAACATTCTCATAGCAATGCTCAATCTCAAAATCAAAAATGCCGATAAGAACGCGGCCAACCTGTATCACTTGCAGATGGCGTCGTTGCAAGTCGAGATCGAGCTGGGCCTGCTCTCTGCCTCCGAGCGTCGACGCAGAGACTGGTTTCCGCAGTGGTTTAACTACAGCATGACGGAGACGGAGACGCGCATGTGGGAAGACTACGTCGAGAAGAACAAACTCAAGTGGGACGAGGAGAATGACTTTGACGAGACGAAAGACGACGCGCCACGCGCCCTGCCGCTTCCACGATCAACGGCCGACGACGGGACCGCCCTCTCAACAGGCCAGCTTCCCCCCACGAGCACCACGGCCGACACGGATGACGTATGGGGCACAACCCCAAACGATGATGTCGCCGCGGAAGCTGAAACATCGCCTCTTCCCCAGAGCACCTCGCCCAGCCCGTCGGCAATGTGCCAACCCAGCAACGCAACCCCTGCACCGTCACAGTCCCAATCACAGCTTCAGTCGCAATCTCAACCACAACCTCCACTCCCGACCGCTAACCCGTTCCCCTCACCCCAACCCACGGCTTCAAACGCAAGCGCCAGCTCCAGCGCCACGACCGCAGACTCCTCCGCCCCTCCCGGAACCGAAGGGACGCTGATCTGCAACGTCTGCGGCGCGCCGGGCAAGCGCTGCACGGGCTGCGGAAAGGTGGCGTATTGCGGCAAGGAGCACCAGAGGGTGGACTGGAAGACGCATAAGGCTGCTTGCAAGAAGGGATAGGGAAGTGAAAGGGGAGGGAAAGTAGTAGATTCATGGCGGAAGACGAGGTTGTAAGATGAACAGGGTCGGCTGGGTACGAAAAGGGCGAACATTCGTGAAGGGGGCCCCCCAACCCCCGCATAGGGAGGAAGGCCCATTTTGTAGGCAGAGGGACGGGACACTCGAAAGGGTGGGAAAGAAAGTCGAAGGGACGGAAACGGCGAACCCGCTTCAAGGTCCCAAAATGGGGAACCTGTTAGCCTACCAACCCTGGCATCCTAGTCTGGCGCAGGAGCAGAAGTCTCATCATCGAGCAGGGAAGAGGGTGGTCGTAGGTGAGTTGAAGGTGAGTGAAGGAGGCGAGCAGTGATTAAAAAGGGCCCGGGTCGGGTGAGGGTCGAGGTACGCTCGGCGTCGATTTACCTCGTCTTTACCCGCCATGGCTCTCCTCGAGAAGCTCAAGCAGGAGAATACTCTGCTGAGCCAACTGACGGTGGTATTCGGCAAGAGAGCAAACCTCCCTCAAGCTATCATGACGGGGGGACAACGACAACAGCGTGTTCGGCCGGACGTACCTTAATCGCTGGTAGTACTATAGGGGGCCGAAGGATGCCTGGCTGCGCTCCCAGAGAGTCTGCTCGGAGTCGGGACAGATATTGGGGGAAGCATTTGTGTGCCTTCTATCTGCAATGTGATCTACGGCTCCAGACCGATAGTAAGCTTGAACCTGCATAGAGGAGCCCGCGATCTCACTGCATCAGGTACCAATGGAGTGCATTCCCCGGCTGGGCCCATGGCGACTTCGGTTCGAAATCGCGCTTTGTTTCTCAGGACGTTCATGCAGGCAGACGCCTGGCGGTATGGGAGCACGAACAAAGAAAGGAAGGGCTTGACTTTCGGCTTGAATCTCGATTATTCGTGACTCCAACATAGATTTCTGTTCGACCGTCTATGATTCAAGTCGTAGGTCTAAAAGTCAACACTATCTACGATCTCAGTCCTCGAGTGCCCTTAAAACGTGTATATCCTTTCGACGAAGGAATAGGAACAGCGAAAGGATCAATCCACCAACCTTCTTTTCAGGCAAACACATAGGCTTGCGCCCCTTGCTTTCCATGGTGTTATTTTTTTTCCCGTACAGATAGACCATTCGGATAGACCATTCATTGAGGGTTGATCATCTCATCGAACATCTCAACATTATGCTCATGGCTCATCAAGTTCCCACTCAGGATCCTCAGACCATCTCAGACAACAGTCCCAAGCGAGCAAAAGAGTTTAAAAAGAAAGGAAAGAAAAGAAAAAAGGGGTCACGATTCTCTCCCATTCAGGATTCTAACTCCACCGTTCATCCCCAGGGCCATGTCTTCTGGCTGTCGTTCTCCTCGCAACCGTGACTTCGACTTGTCCCCGTCCTAGGCCTTGGTCTTGACTCTGTCGCGAGCCTGGACGTAGAGCTTGCCTCATATTCCCCCCCATGATACCACCACTACTTTGACTGACACTGCCCGTATGTCCATGCCTCGTCTCCTTGCGGACCTTCCCTTCTGCCACAGGCGTCAATGTAATGGGCGTATTTCCTCCACTACTGTGACTATGCGTAGATTGATGTGTACGCACGGTCGAATCTCTCTCCGCGGCGCCAATCATGCTCTCGCGAGTGCTTTGCCTTGAGAGGCGATGATGACGCCCTGTTATTGAAGTCCCGGCTGTGGATTGTCGAGGAAGCCTGCTCTTATTGACGGCCATTTCAGTCACTGCACTGGCAGTATTGGCACGGGTGAGACTCGGCATGGCGAACGCAGGGGAATTTTCCCGCACATATGTTGACCCATCACGACTAGCAGGCCGCATCACGCTCGCGCCATTGACGTACACACCATTGCGTTGCCGTCGAGGTGTCTGTGCAACCGGCGCGTCGTACATATTTATGCTAGCTCGCTCCGAGCGTCCAAGTTGAGGGGAAGTAGGCATGCTCATTTGACGGTCAAGGAGATGTGGAGGCGTAGTGGAACTGGTACGACGTTGGAAGCCTGGGTGTTTTCTTCGAGCACCGTTGGGAGCTGTAGTTCCACCTTGTCCGCTCTTGATACTAACATTGTCAGTTTCTTCGCATGAGCGTATCAGTTCGCTGGCCATGCTGCGAACAAGGACTGCCGAGTCAGAGAAGGAAAGTTCGCGGATCACATCATGCAGCCCGTACTGGTCGAGAAGGTAACAGCCTTCTTCCGTCGAGTCGCAGATACTGCCAATAATACGCAGGAGGTTGAGACGGATAGCTGGTTTATTGTGACTCAATTTCTGGCCGAGGGTCTCGAATAATTGCGGACTTCTTGCCATGGACGCGGCGAGGGGAGGTGACAGTCTCAGGAGCTTTTGGAGCGGTTCCAAGAGGTTTTCGAAGGAGGTCGATTTGCTGCTTGTCAAGGCGGGAACAATTGCGGAAGTGAAGCTTTGGTTTTCTAGGAGATGGTCCTCCACTCGAGCCGTCTCTTCTTGGAGCCATGTAAAGATGGCATCCAGTGCTGTTACCTGCCAGTAAGGATCTGACAGCAATGACACATAGAACGCCAGACCCTTGTTCTGCCAAAGTTCTCGACGAGCGGCTCTGGTGGAATGCGCCATGTCGCACAGAATTGGCAAAGCGAATTCCTTGACCGGAGTCTTCTCTTGCTTGACGATCTTGATAAGAATAGGAATGATACCAACCAAAGCTGCATCTTCCTGTCGCCGTTTCGATAATCGGCACAGATTGTAAATCGTATTTAGGATCTGATTCGACATCTCCCTAAAATGCGGCTTGTTCATACTGTTACTGAGAAGTTCGGCCAGAACGTCGATGGCATTCGAGTTGTGAAGTGCATCCAAGGTGGTCGACAGCATGGATAGGTTCTTGATAAACTTCAACATTGTCACCTGATGTGCTGGAGTCATTCTCTTGAGATTCTTCAGGACGCGGTGTAAAACAGTCCTCTCCGCCACAAGTTCCTTGACATAGTTCTCGGCCTGCGAGAAAACAAAGAAAATACTGGCGATTCGACCTTCGCACAAATCTGCCAGCTCCTTCTGGTCGCCGGAATCGGCTGGTTCGAGCAAGACTCGATTGAGGACCAGTGACAAAGGTTCCAAGACTGAATTTCGAGACAAGATTCGGCAAAAGTCATTTTTGGGGGTTGATCCCTGCAACTCAAACACACTCCAGATCCCATTGACCCCAATAAGGACCAATTCACGGTCATCATCATAGTCGTCTTCCAGAAAATCCACCAAAACTGTCAGACCGCCGGCGCTGACAAACATTTGAAGGATGAGAGTGGACGTTTGATACATTTGGCGTACAAAGGCGGCAGCTTCGAGGCGAATTTCTCGAGGAAACTTCTTGGACGCAAACTTGTTGATTTTGGGGATGCCACCGACAAAACACAAATTCTCTTGCACCTCTTCATCATTGAAAATGATGGCGTTCACAATCTTCAGGAGGTTGAGAACGATATCAAGACGCATGCAGTCCTCCAGTATTTCAAGAATCGGGAGGACACCGTGTGCACTGATAATGACACCTTTGGTTTCGGAGAAGAGGTCGAAAAAGTTCATCAAGTCTTCGGAGATTTGTAGTAAAGCATCGTCGTCCTGCATAACTTTGAGCTGGTCCACCAAAACTTCCACGTCTGTCCGAAGCCGCGCATGCTTATCTCGAGCTATGTTGGACTCGAGATCGACTTCGGGGAGGCCTTCCTCGAGCTGTGCGAATGGATCATCTTCGTCTTCGGCATCCGGAAGCCAAGACAGGTTCGATATCTTTGAATTTAACATCAACTCCGAACCATCCTCACTGTCGGGTTTTTCCAATACGGCCGCGGTTTGGGCAAAGACATCGGAGAAATCTTCATCGTCCTCATTCTCCGCAAAACGCTGGATCTCGATAGAGGATCTTGTCCGTCGCATCGACAACTTGCTCCTTGGAACTGGAGGTTTCTTGAGGCTTTCGCCAGCCTTTGGAGGCCTCATGCTTAGCATCAAGTCGGTCACAGTGGGCGAGTCAAGGATTTTGGAAGGCGGCCCCTCGTTCTGCAGCTGCATCAGGCCCAGTTTAGTATCCAGAGTCAGCTCGTTCCCTTGAATGATATCAGAGAAGTCTTCCACGGAGCTTTCTCGATATCGCCGAGTTGGAGGCTCATCTAACGAGACTTTGGGCTGCGGAGGTTTGCTCTTGGAAAGGTTGGTAGATTGACGCGCAGAAGGTAACGATGCTTTTCTCGGCGCCGGTACGGGCTTGGTTTGGGATTTCGGCGGGACTTCAGATTTATGTCGAGCGTGACGAATTTCAGGCTTCTTGGTTGCTGTTGCCAGTCGCACAGTTTTAACGCTCTCCCCGTCCGTAGATGTAGAAGCCTTGAGCGTGGAATCCTTGTCTTCGGCCACCTCATTCTCCTTCCCTGTTGCGGTTTCCATGGCCGCCAATGCTTTTAACCTTTCGGATGACAGCATCCCACCGAAATTATCGTGAGGCCGTAAGTGTGGGAGTTGAAACGTGCTCGGAGAGATTGCCGTGGCAAAATCATCGTCCCAATTATCATCCGCCTCCTCCAAAGAACGAAATCTGGTGGCGCCACCATCTTTATTGAGGGGAGGAATAGGAGATTTCGTCTGTGATTTGGCCAGCCGAAGCAAATCCTTGGCTGGCGGGATTGGACTGGCTGTCGAGGCATTGGAATTCTTGCGTATGGAATTGCCATTCGGAGAATCCTTCAAAGCCTCGTTCCACTCCTGGACGCTTCTGACCGCTTCCGTATACTCGGTGGCATTCTTGGGTCTGTCCGAGTCTGTTCTTCGGGCATTGACGATCCAGGGATGTTTCAATAATTTCCTGGCTGATACTCGAAGGTTGGGGTCTTTCTGGAAGCATTGCATCAGAAAGTCCAAAACAGCGGGAGATGCCCCTTGTGGCAAAGGTGGATGATCGTCGTTCACAATTCGAAACAAGGCGGGCATCGGTTGGAGCGCATGATAAGGGGGTTTGCCGTCCAGCAATTCGATCACAGTACATCCTAAACTCCATATGTCCGAAGCGGTGGTGGCTCCTGTCAGTTCAATAACCTCGGGGGCCATCCAATATGGAGTTCCGACGACACTCGACTCGTGTAAGCCGGTGGTCCGACTGGCCACGCCAAAATCGGCTAGTTTGACCAGACCTTGCTTGGTGGTAAGAATGTTGGCTCCTTTGATGTCCCGATGAATGACCCCTTGCTCGTGGAGATAGACCAATCCTTGAAGGACTTGAGACATATAGAGGGCGACGAGATTCTCGGGGAAACGCCCAAAATTCTTGGAGATGGAATGTAAGGATCCATTTTCGCAATACTCCAGGATAATGTTGAGGGTTTCGGGAGTTTTGACGGATCCGTTATACTTGACAATGTTGGGATGGTCCAGGTTCTTCAGTAAGTCAATCTCCAGCATGATCACCCTCAGTTCACTCTTCGGGAGATCGGCTAGCTTGATCTGCTTGACTGCGACAGTCTCCCCCGTCCCCCAATTCAGAGCTCGATAAACGGAACCAAAGGCGCCTTTGCCCAGACAATCGCCCAATTGATAATCTTTCAACTCTGCGACATCCTGTGCTTTGGTTTTCTCTTCTTTCTTGGTCGGACTAGACGGAGGTTTGGGTCCTTTGGCCTTAAAGCCCAGGCCTTCGACCACCCTGGACGCGGGTATATCATCTGGAGATTCGGCAGTCCGAGCAGGCATTATTGAGGTCGGTAAAGGGAAGACGTTAAGGATTCGATAGGGCCTCGGAATGTTTCATCATCTGTGCACTCGACCGCGTGGTCTTTTCTGGCAATAACGAGCGGACGGCGGTTAGCAGAGAGACCCAACGCAAGACGCTGAGACTGTCTCCCGTGGCATCCAAGGAGGTACGGCGTGTGTTAGGGGCAAAGCGACTTCCGCAGACCGCCGACCGCCGACCGCCAGACCGTAGACGGAGGCGACAGCCAAATGGTAGGTTAGATGTCTTCAGATGAGCATATGGAGCAGTTTAATGGAGAGGGACATTGAACATGAAGCAAACGAAGAAGTGCATGCACAGTTGCTGCAGGTAGAGGCACGAGATTGGCTTGGCTGAGGTTTGTTTGCAGGTCAAGTCATAGTCAACCCGCCCAGGTGTAAATTTAGCGGAGGCGATACCGCACTTTGGGCTCGGCCCGCTCGACGCGTCGTAGCACGCGACCCTCTTTCCCCCAAGGTGTCCCACGACTTGCTGGGATAATTGCGGCCTCCTCTGACTGGTGGTCTCTATGCAGGTCAACGGAGTGTCTTGCTTGACCGCTTATCTGATCGTCAATGCCTGAGTGGATGTCTATTGCTACATAACGGGAAAATGATGGCTGAGAGGATTACAGAACCCAATTACAAGTCGCCCTATGGCCCGGTTGTAATGACCAAATACCCGCCACCACACACCGCAACAATTCTATCCAAAAACGCGGTCCATGATGCTGAATTTCTCTACGAAAGGATGTCGGGCACTGCCCAATCCAACATCCATAAACGACTTGATCGCAAATCGAAGAGTATAGCTCAGCACACACCATACCCAAGCATATCCAACTGCTCTAGTCTTCCCTGTGGGGGATATAATTTAATGAAAATGTCCCAAAGACGATGTTTTCCAGAAGTTGGGGTACTTACAACTCTCTTTCAAACCGGCCCTCTTGCCCAGATATATCGCAAAATCTTCTATGGTGATTGCCACGGGTTGCATCATGAAGAAAATAAATTGATCCCACACGGATGAAGAGTAAGGGATATTCAGGGCACCGACATGATGAATCAGAGCCGAAATGAAGAAAGCGTTGTAAAGCTGCAAATAACGCGACGCCAACGAACCTCTTTTGACCCCGAAAAGAGTGATGAGGCACGAGTTGTATGTCTCCAAAGTTCGGCGGAGGAATTGATGCCTCCGACAAATGGTTAGCGAAGGGGAACGCTCGATCTTAGACGTCTTTACCAGCAATAGCCCCAAATGTTTCGCATGGTATAGCCTTTCCTGATGAACGAGCCAAACATGGGCGGCCATGATTGAGGGCGGTACAGACCACAGCCAACGAGGATAGCCGCCAAAAGGTAGTAGCCAAAAACTAGGGTGAATCCACTGTGGCAGGCTCGAAACCAAGCCCAAAAGATTTGCTCGCCAATTGGGATGGAAAAGAGGTCAGGAGGACCACTACTGCCATCGCCGAATGGTGTCCGACGAATATACCATTCATGAATGTCGATGTACGCGAAGCAGTATCCGGCTCGGATGACCTGCTCCAGCACAAATCGACTATACCATTCAGCGACAGGCATCCAGGAGCAAGAATGGGTCTCACCTCCGCGAGATATCTGGGGGCACATCATCAACATTTTTGACCCTCCAATTCCATCCAATGCCACGCATGGTCGATTGGAGATCCAAGAGCCATCGAAGTTTCGACCAGACTGTCATATTTTGTATTTCCTCGGCCGTTTCTACACTTCCATCGGCTCGTACACGACGAAGAGACTGCTCGGGAACCCTCAAGACGGAGAAGTCAATCCATTTGAGACACCCCATGCAGACGTGGACGGCGGTCAGGTAGTCCTCACTTGTCTTGCCGGTGGTATGCTGCCGTAAATTGTAAGCAATCCACACCAGCGGCGGGACGACTATGACATGGCGGAAACGGCCCTGAGGAAGCAATAAAGCGGCCGTGCCAATGCCATGGGCAGCCAAGATGCTTCCTCCTCCGGATTGGAGAGCCCGATTTGGAGGTGGAAACCATTTGGGGTCCATTGAGCGTGGCCAAAGTAAACAGCGAAAAGCACAGAAGTCAACAAATCGGAGGAGAAATCATGTAAGAGGCGAAATATCTCGAGGGAAGGGAACAGTTTGTGTCACAACGGTAAGAAGCAGTTTTCGGCAGAGGTGAATAATGCGAATACGAGGTAGGGGTATTTCGGGGAGCGGACCAGTCGGACCGTTTGTGCTTGAGGCGATAGACGACCATTGAACAGGGCCCTGGAAGACTGTATTGAGGCCAGCTTGACACTGGACTTTTGTGTCCCATGTGACCACGGGACGAAGTGATTGTGAAAGAGTTCGTTATTGCATTGTGACTCTTTGAAGGTGCGTCGACGCCAAGCATTTGCCAAGATGGTCCTGACGGAGCCTAAAGCGGCAGCTGCACTTGCACAAATGCTCGACTGGCGGCGGCTAATGACTTCCAGCCACCCTTTTTTCCATACATTCTGCCCTGCAACATCCTTGCATCTGTTGTTGTCTCCTCCCACCTCCGCCAGGCTCCCCCCTTGGCCTTCGCCGCCCGCGCCAGCACCACAGAATCCCGCCTACGGGTATTTGCCCTTTTTCCCTCCCTATCAACCAACCAACAACAATCCATCTACAATTCTCCCATTTCATCCTCCACTCCACTCCTATCTCATTCTTTGTCGCGTCTCTCCCATCTTTGTCAATCTCCTACGCTCTCTCCTTCAATTGCATTCCTCATTTCTGCGCGCCTTGCGACCCACGACCGACGCCATGGGTTTGCCGTAAGTTTTCTCACCTTGTTTTCCCCCCTCCCCCCAACGCCCTCTTCCCATCTTTGGTGCCTGCGCGTGTCCGGTGTCAACATCAATATGATGGTGGATCCAAGCCCGACGGCTCATTCGCTAATTTCTTGCCTCGTTTAGTATGTTCCGAGAGCCTGAAGAGATTGCTGCAGATCAAGCAGCGGCAAAGCTCGATCAAATCGCAGCTACAAGACGATCCACCATTCGTCGCGAATCCACCGCGCGACCCGGCCGATATTCCTCATCGCGCTCACTAATAGATCGCATACGCGATAGTCGTCGAGAGATCGCACATGAGCAAAGAAATACTACTTTCCCTTCGCGCCAGCAACGTGAGGCTGAGCGCGAATTTTTTGATCTCGATGCCGAACTGGAGCGCCTTCGTTCCCTCCGCCAGAGACATCGCGCTCGTACCAATCAATTAGACCGCGAATTGGCGAGGAGGAACAACAATGACCACATCCCCCCGGAGCCGGAACCGCGGCATGATCTGGATCTCGAGCTCCTGAGCCGATTACGTGCCAATGTTGGTCATGTTTCATTGGACGACGTAAATTCCAACTTTGGCATCGAAGTTCTGTTGTCCGACTCTCATGATACCATCGCTCAACATCTCCCTCGCCCTTCTCGAGAATCGGGCCTTAGATTCGAGGTCGCGGCAACCCCACAATCGGAGTCAGAACCGCCTCGCCGCACACGATTCCACAGTGCTCGCGCCACGCGGGTCTCCAGTCCCGCTGGCGGTACACGAGTTGGCATCGCGGGATCGCCTTGGTCGCTCGCGGTCCAGCGAGCTGGGTTCGACGATGGAGACGATGACGACAATGAAAACGCCACACTGACCCCCGGCTTTGCCCCGGCGCATGGTGCTTTTCGTGCCGCATCCCAACCTTTGGATGACAGATCCCGAAGATCGGAAGCCAATCCCGGAGATGGATTAATGGATACACCACCGCCGGAAAGTTTGGAGGCGTCATACCCCCCTCTCCGACGTGTGAGCCACATGTCCCCGCGCCCACTTGGTGTATCAGGCTCACGAGTTGATGGACTTGGAGATCGACTTCGAAGTCCAAGCCCAACATCTGACACGCCCGAGGAAGAAAATTGGGCTACTTTGTTAAACACCATGGAACCTGGACGATCTAGTACAGCCACTTCCTTTTTGTCCTCACGGCCCGATTCGCGGTCGGGCTCCAATCGCTCATCCCAAGCGACCACGGTGGCCACGAGCTTCGGAGAGATTGGGGCCGACGATTCATGCGATTTGGACCTTCCTTCAGGTATTACCGAGGAGCAAGTGCGACAGATTCGTGAACGCCATGGCAGGTTACGGCGAGAGCCTGTTCCAAGACCCGATGAGTCGGTTCCTGAAGCAATTCAGAGAGATCTTGCGCGTGGAAATGAGAGAATGCTTGAATTGGAAGTTTTTGGAGTCATCCTGGAGAGGATGCAAAGAAGGGAAGAGATCCCAGATGAATGGTGGGCGGCGGTCGGCCTTTCACCCGATGTTGTTCGGGGAAGTGCTTAATCCACCTCTGCTAGACAATGGGGCCCCCGTGGAGGACGAATCGAGTTACGGTTGTCTACTGACTCAGAATGTGTGCCCAACATCAGTCAAAGGTCCCCTTTTACCTCCGACCATGGAATTGCAGATTGGTCGCAGTCTGCTGAACAGCATGGATTGACATGCAAGTCAATGGCTCTGGAAAATTTAATCTCACGATGAGTTTACGATATGCAGATTCCTGTACAATGGAATCTCCTGGAGAGGTCATAAAAGTTCATCTGTGTTTTGAATTACCACATGTACGAACGGAGTCTTTTCTGGATGGTCGCTTTTGTTTTGTTTTCCGTTTTTTTATTTCAAAATAAATGGAAGTGTTAAGCAGATCCAGCACCAAAGAGAGTTCTGAGTTGCTGAATTAATCTGGTCTGGTCACTCAGGTGTTTATGATTATTGGGCCATAGCAATGGCAGGGCTTATGGCTGGTCCGTTCTGTCTGCTGCTTAGATTTAGTTCACAGTTTTGGCCTCTATTTGGAGACAAAAATGGCATCGACTATTCAACCGGTGGTGATGTTCATGTTTGATTTATTCCATCCCTTTTTGGTTTGACCCTTTTTGCGGCCCTTCAGAATTACCCTGGACGTCAAGCGGCGTTGATGGCGGTATCAGATATCTGATCGCTACTCCCCCCTTTCTCTTTCTCAAGATTTGTGTCTGTATATGGAACATTGCTGATTCTAGCATCGACAATTACAGATACAAAGCCGTGTAGTTCCTCAGAGTCATATCACATCATTATCACATCACAGCCCGACACCATCCGCCGCCAACGCAGCAATACTATCCATGCGCATCATTCGTTCCCTTCTTAGTCTGACTTCGTCAACATCGTTATCCTCCTGTCGCTGTGCATTTTCCTCAAGCTCGCCCTCGACTTTCATGACCTGCTCGCCGCGCCAGCTCTCATCCTCCACGCTGGGCACGATCTCCTGGACGGGCAGGCGGTTGTCAAGGATGTCGCGAGCATTGCGCATATCGCTCTGCTGAGTGCGAGCCAAACACTCTTCAAAGGTCTTGGAGATACCAGCGGCGAAATTCCGTTTCGCGACGCGCTGCGTGGCCGTTTCGATGTCCACCTCGATGAACCAAGTCTCGTCCATCAAGGCGTGGGCGTCGCGCCACCCATCGGCGTCAAGCGCCGTATATAGGCCCTCAAACAGCACGATGCGGGTGGTTGGCGGGATCGCAATATCGTGCGCCACAGGGTCCTTGACCGCGTGGTCAAAACTCGGCGCGTGGATCGTAGGCGTCTCCGGGGATATCGGCTTACGGACGTTCGACACCAGATCAACGTAGCTTTTGGCGTCGAAGGTAAATGCCGCTCCGCGACGGAAGATGGCTTCTTCCGCGTTCGGCATCTCTGACAATTGCTTGCGGGTCAGATGGTATCCGTCCAGTGGGATCACCAAGGCGATGTCCGGTTGTGACGGGTCAGGACGTCGCGCGTCGCGCTCGGGGCTATTGGGAAAATTCTTGCGGCGGGATTCATGGTGTAGTTTGTTCAGGCCGGCGACGACGGAGGCCGCCAACGTGGTCTTCCCACTACCTGGGATGCCAGAGATGGCGATCAAGAGACGCTGTGAGAGGTCGCAAGTGGAGAATTTCTCTGCCAAAATGCAATGATGAGTGAGACGGACGATATCTGAATGGGGATTGGGGGGGTTTAGGAGCGGCAGTACCCCAGGTCCGGTCGACCAGACGTCGAACGTGAGATTCCATTGTTGGAGATATGGAAGTTTTCTTCTCGGCCCAGGCCTCGGCCTCATCGGGCACGCGTGCACACTGGAATGATCAGAGGATACTCTCAGGACAGGAGGAAAGAGTATTGTGATCAGATCTCGGAATAGCACAGGTAGACTATCTTCGTCATGTCGCTAGCGAGATGAGGTCCTAGGGTCCGAAAATGGTCATATAGTGAGTATTATCTTCTGGACCGACTCTCAATACAAGGAATGTGGTGCAAATCCGAATCCTCAAATGGACTTATATCGGTGATCGAAGGTCGGAGCGACTAAGGACATGTTGCAGAATCGGGGATACGTTTTTCCGTATCAGGTGCCCAGACTGCCATGCTCAGGTCCATCTTTCCATCTTCAACTTCCAGGGGCGCCTTTTGTTCTGACCAACAACCTCATTATCAATCCTCTAATTCATTCACTCACTCACCTCTCTCTCTCTCTCTCTTTGTACTTGACCCAACCCGCAGCTTCTGTGCAGCGTTCCTTTCTCAGTCATTCCTTCTTTGGCGCCTTCTTTCTTCCACTCCTTCAACATCGACTTCAGTTCCACGGGCAAACTCCAACCTCACGCGTCCATTAACAGACCTAATCTTCCCGACTAATACGAAATCCGCGTGTCACAATGAAGGCTTCCTTGATCTTACCCGTTTTCGCTTTCACCGTTCGAGTCCTCGCAGATGTACCTCCTGCCTGTCTGCTCAATGCTGTCAATACACAAGATGAACCTGGCGATCTTTCAGCTATCTGTGGTGACGATGCCATTGATGTCCAAGAGGCTATTGCCAGCATGTGCGGTGACAATCAATCGGTAGCACAATCGGCATTCCTTTCGACCTGTTCTGCCGCAGGGTCCTCCGTCGGTAGGTCGTACAATGTCCACCACATCTTGAACAGATAGCTGACCCAAATGCCTTGTCCAGCCCCTTACACAGCAACCTCCACCTCCGAGAGCCAAACCACCGGCGCCAGCTCCGGAACGTTCGTCTACACAACTGCTGTTTACAACTCCGACTGCGATTGTACTACCACGATCGTCACGTCAGCATCGAGTGGCGCGGCTGCTTCAACGGGTATTGTCACGGCAACAAGCGGTGGATCGGCTTCCGCTACCAACACCGCTGGCGGTAGTTCAGCAACCGACAATGCCGCCGTAGATGCCAAGCAAGTGGGAAGCTTTGCAGCGGCTGTCATTGCCATTGCTGGCGTTGTTGCTGTGCTGTAAAGGAGTTTTCATGAATGGACAAGTATGATCTCCGTTTTGCATGCAGGGTGGGAGCCACGGGTGCGACAAATCATTGTGTTTTCTTTCTATCGAGGTTCTACCAGGTGCATAACACCACAGTCGAAATGAGATCATGGACCGTGTCGGAGTCATCGAGTCAATCGGTATTGTGTCAGACGAGTCGAGGTGCATTGTATCCCCGGGATTCACGAATGGGATCTGGTCCCGAACCTCCTTCTTGTACGATGGAAATATTTCATCGAGATGGGGGAAACGTGGGACAGGAGGAATACTACATGGTCTAATGAACAGGTCGTGTCGGGCATGCAGGTCACGCCTGATATTGTTCGGTTTTGGGAAGGCTTTGTGGTTCTCTTTTCTAAACCAAGCCAATCATCCCCGAGAACATATGTACAAAGACAAAATTCAAAAAGCAGCTGTTCTCATAGCTGTTGATTCAAAACGAAATCCAGGTTTTGTCGGGGTAGGTCAGCTGTGTGACCGTCCAGGCTGGATATCTTTCCATCTTTTTCTATGCTTGTAGCATATTTTCAACACCTTGGACCAAGGTGTGCTGGATGAGTTGACATCTAGAGCACAGCGTCTGTGAGCTCCGAGTGCTCAAGCATGTTAGCAAACCCCCCCCCCCCCCCCCCCCCCCCAACCCCTCCTTTCCCAAAAAATACCCACCAGATGCCAACTCGTTTGACATCTCCATCCTTTCTCCCTCATCTTCATGATTCTATTCGAACAATCATATCCTCCCTCCTCGGCCCCGTGCCGATCCACTTCACAGGCACGCCAACCTCGCGCTCAATGTAATCAACATACTCCCTGGCCTGGGGCGGCAGGTCTTCAAAGGACTTACAACCCGTAGTCTTCGTTTGCCAACCTTTGAAGGTCTTATACTCGATTTCCAATTGCTCCATGGCGTCGAGGTCAGCAGGGAAACTCGGCAGGACCTGGCCGTCGACTTTGTAGCCCGTGGCGATGCGGATTTCCTCAAAGTCATCCAGCACGTCAAGCTTCGTCAGGTTCAGTTTGGTATAGCAGTTGATGTGGGCAGAGTACTTGACGAGCACGAGATCGAACCAGCCGCAGCGTCGCTTCCGGCCCGTCGTCACGCCGAATTCGCGCCCAACTCGCTGTAATCGTCCGCCGTACTCGGCGTCCACGGACGAGATGGCGGCGTCGAGTTCTGTCGGGAATGGTCCGGAGCCCACGCGCGTGGTGTACGCTTTGACGACGCCCACGATGTCGCTTCCTGGCGCGGAGAGGGATTGAGGCGAGAGTCCGGCAAGGCCGGTGAAGACGCCGCCGAGACCGGTGTTACTGGAAGTGACGTAGGGATAAGTCCCGTGGTCGATGTCCAGGAGCAAGGCGTTGGCGCCTTCGATCAAGATGTTCGGTGGGCCGGCTACTTGGCCATTGGAGCTCACGGTCGCCACGCCCTTGGTCCCGACGGCCTGTGCAAGGAGAGGCGTCTGGTCAACGACATACCGCTGCAGTTCGGAACGGAAAGCGCTCAGCTTCTTGATCTCCTCTTCGACGTTGTAGCCCCGCAGCGCCGCATCACCATAGAGCTTGCGGTAGTTGGCCTCGAGGTCTCGCAATCGCCGCTCCCATCTCTGCTTCTCATTGACGAGCATCCAAAACGTGACACCGCGGCGCGCTACTTTGTCGCTATAGCAAGGCCCGATACCCTTGCGAGTGGTGCCGATCATGCCCTTGCCGCCTTCGATGTTCTTGCTCTTGTCCTCTGCGATGCCGTCCACGACGCCATGCAGGTCGAAGCAGACATGCGCCCGGTCGCTAATCAAGATGCGCTCGCGTACACCTTGCAAACCTTTGTCTTCTAACGCCTTGAGTTCCTTGAAGAAGCTCGGGATATGCACGACACAGCCGGTTCCAATGAGATTGATTTTGCACGATGGGTTAATGAGGCCGGAAGGGAGGATGTGGAAGTCGTAGGTCACGTCGTTGACGACGATGGTGTGGCCGGCATTGTTCCCACCAGCGGCACGGCATACGAGGGAGGCGGAAGAAGCGAGAATATCGACGAGCTTGCCCTTGCCTTCGTCGCCCCATTGCGAGCCTAGAACCAGAGTGACTGGCATTCTCGGAGCTGGAGTCTATCCGACTGGGTCAATGTGTCCGTCCAGAGAGCGCGAGGAGCGATGTCGGAGTGGAGTTGAGGAAAAGTTAAAAGAGAGGGAGGAGTAAAAGGCAGGAATTTGTGAGGGAGACCAAATTTCAAACGGATGGAGTTTCTATCATGGTGAACCAAATTGTAAATAAGAGTTTCTATTCAGTCATAGGAGAGAGTAAAAAGAGAGAAAAGAAATGAACGCGCAGAATTGGATTTGAATCGCGTCGATGGCCATGGTGGGGGGAGCATCTCAAGTTTGCGAAAGAGAATTCTTGGAGAACTGGTGGGGCTGAAAATGACCGGAAACGGTACCGGAAATTTTCGTAACGAACTCGGCCAAGTAAGAGAGTTCCGCCAATCAACGTGTCCACGATTCTTGATGTCCCATGACCTATACAGGTCATTTCAAGTCGGTCATTTGTTTTTGTCTTTTCACCAAAAACCCGTCAATCCAAACCATCACTACGGCAGCAGAAGAAAGTCGACATCTCAGCAAGTCATTTTTGGCGACTCCTTGTTATTCAACATGAACAATGCCCCTGCTTAATTAGTTTCATTTACTAATTGCTGTTTCCTCACACGGAGTCTACAAAGGTTTCTGCGCTCTCGTGTTCAGCGAGTTTGCTTGTGTATACGCCCAGGATCCTCTTCAGATCAGTGATTCCGAACGCGAACTTTTGACCAACAAGATCTTCGGTCAACTTCCAGACTCGTTCCGCATTAGTTTTGTTCAGTGAGTATGAAGCAACTACCTTCGGATCCTCCGTCACTTGAGTGTTGGAGAGGAACATACTTCCTTCTGGGGGACTGAATCAGCCAGGCTATATCCTGATATTGTATGGGCGTCAACCAAATCCAAAGCAATGACCAAGTCTCAACCAGCGCAAACGCTTTCTTCCTTCCGATATACAACCAAACCCCCCAATACAATACCACAACCTGACCATCTCTCCCAAAACGAGTGTTGTCGTTGAAGAAGACCACTATGAACCAATCCCCAAACCGCAGTCACGCAGCAGAAGAAACTATGTGAATTCAGAGAGATGTTTGAGAAGGCGGAGAACGATGTTATAGTGACCGGGGAGGAGAGAGGTGTGTTAAGGAGAAAGGGGGACAAAAGGAAATTGCAATTGCAATTGCAATAGCATTATTGACTATTTCGTATATCTCATCGCATAAGACGTCCCAATAGTATTTTTATTCGTGCTCCCGAAGACTCAAGTGTTCGATCCCATCATATCCCGCCACCCAAAAAGGAAAGTCCATCCATGGTATCCTAGCAAATTAGATGTCTTGAGAGAAGAAACCAAAAAAAATTAACTGAAGGTTCTCATATCGACGCCCCGGTCTGATCTATATAGTCCAAGCATCCTGTTTACGTCCGACATGCAAATTTTCCCAAAAGACACCAGAGGAATTGCAAAGGGTGTAGTAGGAGAAACACCGTTTCATTGACTGGGCTGGCCGCCCATGTTGGAAAGGAGAATCATTCAAAATCAAACTCAAAATTTGTCGCCCATCATCGGCCTTGGGACCGCCGGTCGCGGGTCGTATTCGAAACCATCGGCATCTCTCCATGCCAAACCAGAGCCATAAGCATATCCGTACTCAGTTGGTCGATGGTCGTCTTTGTCTCTCCCAGACCGTGGTGGGGCCCAGTGATCCTGGTCACGATCGCACTGGTCATCCATGCTTTCCCAACTGGCACGGCCACGATAGACGGCTTCAGGTTCCGTGAGATGCAGTATCGGTAGCGGTGGAGAGGTCGGGGATTGGGCAGAATGAGACGTTAAATAAGACCGCGAGTTGCTTCGTGAATGGGGGTGCTGCGTGCTGTCATTACGTCTATGGCCATCGTGTTGGTGTGTGTCCTTTGATTTGGGACTTGATTTGGTAGAGCTAGAATGTGGATTGGAACTAGGGGAGGATGTGGAATTGGCGTGGTTGAAAATGCCTTCTGATCTCGTTCGTGGTGTGTTGAGAGTTGATGTCGATGTCGATGGCGGTGTTTCGAAGTTGAATGATTTGTAAAGTTCGATGTCTTTGGGTGTGATTGGTCCAGCACTATCGGGAACCATGGTTGTGGCTCGACTGGAAACAGTGGCGCTACGAGTTTTGCGTCCACCGGGTTCTTGAGGCGTCATTTGCACTGCTGCTCCTGGTCCAGGTGGTGCGCTGGGCGGTCCTTTGGGAAGTGGTGGAGGAGGATAGAAGATGGATTTGATGACGAAGGCAACACAGATGATGATGCCCAATCCACCAAGGCCGACGCCCATGAACCAGCCGCCGCGAATCCCAGCCAGAGGATCACGGCCATGGTCGTTGACGTGGACTTCGACCGATGATGCCAGACCCAGGCCAAGAGAAATGGAATAATTGACAACAGTGCTGATAAGGCTGCCGGCAACACCTTGTTGTTGAGGCGGGAAGAAGTTGGACATGATCAAGGTGGCGGCGGGAAATGACATGTCCATGCCAAATGGCATGACCACTAAGCTGACAAAGGTCCAGGACCAGTAGATGGTTTTATCGACATTGGAGTCGATCGCCAGAAGGAGTGGTCCAAAAGTAAATGCTACCAAAGCCCAGAAGAGAGTCCACGAAGGCTCACACTTTCTCATCATCCACGCCGTCAGGACGGAGGCAACCAATGCAACCGGGACGATAGGGAAGACATGGACAGCGGCTTCGAGTGGAGTATCTTGTTTCACCCCCAACAGGTACTTCCACAAAAACCAAGTCCAGATACCGAATGTGGCCCAACCACAAGCGACAGCTCCGAGAACGAAACCCACGTCCGCTTTCAGCATTCTGAAGGGGACGAGTGGTTGTTCCACGATCTTCAGCTCGACGATAACGAAGAATGTGATGAGGAGGACACCGATAATCAGAAGCATAAAGATATATTGAGTGCTCCAGCCGGAGGCCGGCGCGGAGACAAGGGATACTTGGACGCAGATCAAACCGGGCACGCCGGTGATGGCTCCCAGCCAATCCATATCCCGGAGTTTCTCTTTGACAGGCAGCATTTGCTTCGGCGTGGGAGGCGGGGAGATCAAGACGACATATGCGGCTGCAGCCAAAAAACAAGTGACAATGGCCAGGGTGTAAAAGCTCCACCACCAGAATGCGAATTTGGTGAATAGAGCACCGAAGATCATTCCAAGATAGGCACCGACCGGAGCGCAAAGGCCAAAGAGAGTGAACGAGAAGACTTTCTGTTTGGAACCTGGCGGATAGGTTCGTCCCAGAAGAGCCAATCCGTTGGGTACCAGGAGACTTGCTCCAAGACCTTGGAATCCTCTTGCCACGAAAAAGAGTGGATATCCAACGTAATGGCTCAGACCGGCAACAACACTCCAAAAGCTAAGCCAAGAATATCCCAGGACCACCATGGTCTTGTGTCCAAATATGTCGCCGAGTCTTCCCCCGATCAGAATGAACGTGCCAAATGACGAAGCGTAGGCGGCCACGAGCCACGGTAGAACAGATGGATTGGATATCGAAAAAGACCTCGCGATGTCGGCGCTCACGGGAAAGACCGTCGTCAATGTTGATTGAGGAATGAGCTGAAGAAATGCCACCATAATATTGAAGAGGATCTCCTGCTGTCGTGACATACGTTGACAAAGCCAACCACCAGGAGGACCAGGGGGGCCAGGAGGCATTTGTTCAACTCGTCTACCCTTCTCCATGTCGAGAACTCTGGGTACAGTCGGGAACAAGTTGTTCGACGAGGGGGGGATCGTCAATTTGAACCCATCCAGCTTTTGACAATCCATGAAGCAGAATGAAAGGTGAGGGCGACTACATAGAAGAGGATTGTATGGAATGGGGGAAATCCCAAGAAACCTAGGCAGGACATGAATTGAATGATTCCCTGGGAATACATGGACTAAAGGACAGAGGTCTATCGTGATATACCGGACGAACACAGGAGCATGCCACCCACGAGGAATTCACAAGCATTGGCTTCTGAGTCTCAGCATCGGCGCCGACTTACCGTTAATTGAGTTGAATTTGCGGAACATACCCTAGCATATCCGCCCATGGGAAGCCTGCAGGTTGCCCAGAAACTTGGTTAGTGGAGCCTTCCCAGGAAGAGAGCACCGTTCAAAACCACAAATGAAGCCACATTGGAGCCACATTGGAGCCATAAAACGAGATGCAGAAGTTTGGGATTGGATGCTGCAGCTCGAAAACCTGATCGAAATGACGGATATTTGGTTCGTGCCTGACTCTTGCAGAGGCTGCCCTATTTGGGGGGGGATGATCTCTCGTCCTATTGGGGGTTCTGACATCCACGGTCAACAAGCAGCCTTCCATCGTCATGGGGATCGTCAATTGCTTTTTGGGTCTCTATACATGACATTCGCGAATACGGTAGACAACACAGAACGAAATGAACGTGCAAGGATTCCGATATCAGCCCTGTTTTGTCGTGAACGATGCTGTCAGAGGCGTCAGGCAGGCGAAGCTGAGAAGGAGGGGGGGCATACCCTAGGAACCCAGGGGGGAGGCTTGCGATTGGGTTATATGACGTGATAGGAGGCTGAAACGAGGGAGCCGCAAAAACGTGATGAACGCATTGGACAGAAAGAGCGAGATGGTGCGAGTTTGAATGGCGATGAAGACAGAATTGCTGGGAACGAAGAAGTCGGGAGTGCAGGAGATTGAGGAAGGAGTCCCGGAGATTGCGTTGCTAAACTTCTTTAGGGTATAGTTGTCGGTCTAAGGCCATGCCAAGAAATGTTAAAATTAATTTCTTTCAACATTGGGATCCGTTATCATTGATGAATCATGTCTGTATATCCCTGATGGCCTATTCTAATAGCTTTGCAAAGTATAAGGGCGCCTATGAGCTTACACCCCGTCCGAACGCCGTTTGACTCTCGAAGGAGTGGACATCAACAAGTACAAAATAGTTTTGTGCGACCGTCCAAATACCACTTGTCTTCTAATTGCGTCGGGTCTTACAACGACCGATCTTCCAATCCTCCCGCTGACACATGCAAAACGCACGTTGATGACAAAAGTCTAGAAATCTGGCAATGCAGGCTTGACTTTTAGAGACCAGGATGCAACCTTGCCCTTGGTGGAGCACTCGTGCCGAACGACGAACTCTCCATTTCATGAATTTTTTTTTTTTTTTTTTTTTTTTGGCAAGGCTGTACTTGACCAATCCAAGACATACACAAACTTTGTTGAGAAGCAAACAGGATCTAGATGTCGGAACGCTTCGGTCTATCCGAATCCAGTGTCTGAAGGTGAAACCACCAACCTTGTGCCTGAAATGCTTAGCATCCTTGGAACATGCAATGCGGGAACAAGATTGTCGATAGTTATCTGCTCGCTATTTCTAGCCCGCTTAATGATTTCATTGTGGTTGTAGTGGGCGTGAAGAGAATGTATGAGGAAATCCTCTTCAGATTTTAGTGGGAGGCCCAAGATTAGCAACTCGCCGCTTTTGACCTGTCTATAAGAATCCTCGACCTTCCCTCAAATTTCTGCATCGCCATGTTAAGATTCCAAAGCCAGCAGGCATTCAAGGCTCTTCGCAGCCCTCTTCGCAATCCTCTACAGCTCTCCGCGTCACGCCACGTCCCGCCACGTCCATAACAATGCCATGCAAGTCCCGTTCTCTGGACGTCCAAGTTACGATACTCTCAGCCGACGCTTCTCTTCGCAACCAAATCTAGAAGCTACGCTTCAAAGATGCACAAAAGGCTAAAGAGCAGGGCGATTTCGTCGAAATTCATGATGTTACTGGCGCGAAACCGGAAGAGGACGATGTGCTGATCGCGGATGTTACCGATAAGAAAATGCGAACTGAAATTATGGGAATCGACTACCTTGCGAAGGCAACCGAGGCCAATGGCAGTAGGGTGTCTGATGTCGGCAAAGCTATTATATTCGGTTCTGCAAACCGTACAATGTAGATAAAGCTCGCTGGGTTTTCTTCCTTGTGGACGGTGGTTCCCTTTGGACCTTTCTCTCAGAACCGGTGAGTACGCTTACCTATAGAGAGAATATCTGGCAGCTAACCTAACTCTAGGTAGCCGAACTTCTCAACATTAGCAAGTCACGACAGACCTTGGTTAAGATTGCTGGACGTCCCCATATGGTCCAAATGTCGCCGACCAAATCGCAACTTTCACGATGTCAATCTCATTGGCATTGAGTTCGCCAATGCATACAACATGTCCCAAATAAATGACTATCGGAAGGGGACGGCGCGATGCTCTTTGGTAGGGGTTGGGAGGTGGTTAGAAAATCGGTGCTATAATTGCTGGGCCTACCATAGCCAATCAGCTCATTGTGTGCATCTCGAGGCAGGGAAGAGGCGAAATGTTAACACATACAAATCATCATGTCTCTCATATGCGACTTCTGGAGAATAAGGCGTAAAACGTGGATATGGTGGCCAGATTTGATACTTTAAGAATACAGATATTGCCAAATCCTCCGGTGAACATTTTACTCTGATTCTCCCGCTCGGTTCAAGAGTTTCTGCAGTACATGGAACGCCTGGTTTGCAAAAATGCCCATGTCATCTCCATACTTTTCAGGACCTCTACCGTCAAACACTTCCATTGACATCCAGCCTCGGAAATCTGTCTTCAACACAGCTCTTGTGAAGTTCTCAATAGGCAGATATCCACCATCATACGGGAGCGGACGGCAATCATGACTCCACTGACCTCGGGGCCTCAAACCATTTTCATCCGGTTCGTCTTTCAATGGCGGATCCATTTTATAAGCGTCGGAGATTTGCAGGAAGAATATTTTGTCCGAAGGAACGGTCTTGGAGAGTTCTTCACAACTGGCCCTCCACCTCCTCTCCAGCTCATCCTTATTTGCGCCCTCGTTCAGTCCGGATTCTGTCGTCGGATTTCCCCATTCTCCTCCTGCACTCTGAAAAGTATCCAGGCACAGACCTAGATTCGGCCTGTTGGCTCTCTTCACAATTTCCCAGACGTTTTTCCAAGTCGAGGCATGGGTGGCCCAACTCCAATTTTCGTACGCGATTTTAAAGCCCTTCTCTGCAAAAGTATCTGCAAGTTCGGCCAGGTCGGATGCTGAATCATCCAAACTTGACAGGATCCCTTCCGCGTCGGACGAGCCAATCTACATGGACAAGTCAACCAACAAGGCCCCGTGTTCATACCCAGTTTCATCTCTTCGTTCTGAGCCAATTGCAGGCGATTACCGCGTACCTGGAGCATATCCGTCCCTACGGCCTCCATGATACCCATCCACCCCATGGCTCGTTCAAAGGCATCCTCTCTCTGTGGAGTTCCTTTAGGCCACCCTTCGAAATTGGCAAAGGGTTGCAAAATCAAGATCTCCAGGCCTTGCTTTTGGCACAAATCTCCAATGTCTTTTCCAACCGATCGGAGGGTTGCATAGTCTTTGGGATCGATTTCCAACTTGCTCTCCGAGATCTGTTGTCCGTACCCCAGAATGTCTGACATGGACAGCTCAATGGCGTCGAAACCGGCATTTGCAATGGCAACAAGTTTGTCCGGAAGAGTGTATCTAGCGTGGTCGAAACCTATCGAACACGAAGCAAAGCATGTGGGAAAGTCTCCTCTTCTTGACTCGTCCATAATGAATAACATGTACTCAAGTCATTGACAGGTCTCCAGTTGGGGTGGGGGGAGTTGTCGTTTCTTTTCTTCCTTTTCTTCGCTGTCTTCTTAGCAGAGAGAACAAAATACTCCGACATATTGGTGAGTTTGGTATTCCATGCATACGTGACGTCAGATAGGCGTCAGGGCATGAATCACGGGTGAAGTGGTCGTTTCATTTGATCTAGTCACCCATACCCCAACACTCTAGTTCTAGGACATGTTACTTAGCGAGAGGTCAATGAAATGTGTTAGCGGGTATTTGAGCAAAAGCCGAACGACAATAGATCTGGACTCCGCCTACATAGCTTCTTTCCCGTATTTATGTTTGATGAGCTGTTTTGGGGTCACGGGGTTCATGTCAAGGACTAAGCATTTTTATAGATCTCTTCGTCTTGCCCTTGATGTGTCTATTTTTGACTGCCTTTTCCTTCCGTCTACCCCTTTCACTTTTGAAACGAACAAACAGAAAAATAAATCATACATTTCATATACTCACGGGTACTGCAGATCACCATTGTCACTATCATCCTCGAAAAATCTAAATCCCCCTTCCAAAAAGCCCAAGAATCCCTTGAATCACAGCATTTGTCAATTCAGGATAGACTATACGAAACCCGACTTGTCCCCCTATTCCTACTAATCTTCCTCACGCCCACCTTCCCACACAAATCCGTGCTCTCCACATGTGTCCCACCACAGGGATGCACCTCCGCTCCCACGATCTTGACGACGCGATACTTCTCTCCTGCCGGCAACCTTACACCGAAGCCGCCGTTTTCGGGGCTCGGAATAAGCCTTTCGAGCCCATTAGCCCGAAAATCATCTTCTGTCCACCAATCGATTTCGACTGGCATGGCCCGAGTCACGTAGGCGTCGACTTTTGCCTGGATGGATTCCTTGTGCTTGCCGTCAATGAGGCCACGAAACTCACAGGCCGCAGAGTCAGGGAAGTGCGAGGCCTTAAGCTCGTCAAAGCCCGGGATCTGGGCCTCGAGTAAATGTCGGACGGCGGCCCCGAGGACGTGCCCTGCCGTGTGCAGGCGGGAGTAGAGCAGGCGGGTGTTGACGTCCACGGCCTGCGTGACGGTTTCGCCCGGTGTGAACCTTTGAGCTGCATCTGCAAAACGGCCGAGATGGAGGACTTGGCCGTCGTTGACGGCGTCCATGCGTACGGCGGATACATTGAAGGCCGTGTCGCCGGGGCTGGGGTTGGAGGAGCACATGGTGCCGACGTCTGAAGGTTGGCCACCGCCTTGGGGGTGGAAGATGGTTTCTTTCGTCACGACGACCGAGTCATCGTCCGTGGCAGTCTTGAAGAGTTGGCGGTTTGCTTCGGCGAGGGAGGCGAAGGGCGCCACGGCCAGGACAGAGGTGGTGAACGTGTAGAGCTTCGCATTGTGTTGGAAGGTTAGGATGGTCCGGGATATGGGATTGGACATCTTGAAAGTAGTCGAGTATGGCGGGCAATTCCGTGAGGATTTTGTATTTTCCTTTCTTTTCCGTTCTTTTCAAACTGGTTGATGCTGGTATAGCATTATTCTTTCAGTGAGAGAATTCTGGGCCTTTTTTCTAGATTTTCGCGCCCACACAGATTTTGTTTTTGATTTACTATCTTAGCGACTCATGACCTTGAAATGCTCCTCTATGATCTATTCTGAAGGATACGTGACACTGTAAACAAGAGAAGCGAGAGGAAATCAGTGGAAGTGACGGATTAAATCAAAGGGCGTTCGGCGATATCACCCTTCCGGGAAAGGCAATGACAGTGGCCGGAACCCGACATAAGATGTCTATTGACGACTTCTTCACACAACTATGTAGCTAAACGAACCTCCGTTCCGGCAACCGGATTGATCCTATTCATTCTAAGTTGTGTCTTTGCTTCTTTCGCGGCGTCGTATCCGCACAGCCACATGAGGAAATCAGGATGCGGAAACGGTTTCGTGGCGTCGGGTTGTGGAATAGTCCACGGGATGTCCTCGGCCAGCTGTTCCTCCAATGCCTCTTTGCCATACTGAAGCATGCGATCCCTTGCTTGTTGTTCGGGTCCGTCGGGAATGGAGAAAGTATTCGCATTCTGACGAGACACTTCTTGGATCCGCTCACATCGTCCTTGGCGAAGGTCTTGATAAGACCTGGCAGCTCTGGCCAAGTCCCTCACATCTTTGCATTGGACCAGGAAATGACCGAGAATTTCGGCATCCTCAACCCCTGTAGCAGCCCCGGATGCTGCATGCGGCGCCATAGCATGACATGCGTCTCCAAGGAGGATGACACGTCCATTCGGGCTCGTCCAGGTAGGCAATGGGGGAAGGTCAGCTATCGTCCACTTCGCACAGCTGTCGATCATGTCCAGCATGGTCGTAACCGCTTCATTCCAGTCCTTGATATCATTTCGCATCTGCATAACATCGCCGGGCTCATCGTAGAGGCCGATTGGAGCGTCACTATCGTCCGAAATTACTATCGTAATGTTGTAGAGACTTCCGGCGGCAACAGGGTATGCGACAATGTGCTTGAAGGGGCCCATCCAAGTCAACTGATTCTCATTTGTCATCAAGGCGGCAGTTAGAGGGTTGGAGAGCATTCTCTCTCGCGGTATGAGGGCTCGATAGCAATAGCAGGATGCTCTGTGAGGAACGACATCCTTTACTGCAGAAAGGGAACGTCGAGTTCTTGAATGGATTCCATCTGCACCGATAATCAAATCGGCCGTCAGAATCTTGCCGTCCTCCAGTGTGGGACGACCTTCTTCCGCATCTATGGCCACAACCTTTTGCCCAAATTGTATCTTGACACCTTCTGCCGTAGCCGCATCGGCTAGAATCTTTCGGTAGTCAATTCGATGGACCAGCCAGTGCGGAAACCCCCAAACACGCTCGGCATGGCCTCTGATGTTTGACGGCACGAGACCGATGAGTCGGTCATCGCCGTACCTCCTGACGTCCATGTAGTCGGGAACCGTCGCAATGTCCTCGAACTTCTCTCGCAAGCCCCAGTTGCACAATAGACGGGAAGCACTGGAAGTGATGTGGATGCCCGCCCCAGTGGTGGTCAGTGTTGGGTTACTTTCGCAAATGAGGATGTCATGTTTGGCCTTTTGAGAAATGCTAATCGCAGCCGCCAGGCCAGCAATACCCGCTCCAACTATGACAATGTGAAGAGTGGACATATGTCAAATGCAAATGGCGAAATTAGTCAAACACAGAGTGATAGAAAACCTCATTAATTCCTACCTGATAAAGCATTGTCAAGTCAACATCTTGAATCCCCAAGCGAACAAGGATGAGCAAGTCGTCGTCTTCATTCGAAACCAATGTCCTACGCATGACAGTCCTCAGCATATCCAATCCGACATGGAGAATCAGATCGACGGACTCCTGGCAGGAAAAAAATCTCGTCCACATTTGGCACGACAAGGGAAGCCTGACAGACTCTGAACTCTGAGAAAGGGCTGGCCTTGGATAACTCTGCGCCAAATTTCTTAGCGTGTTGGATGATTCTGAATCCAGCAGGTCTGCCGAGCGGATCTTTGCAAACTCGTGCAAATTCATAATGGACACGGCCACCGCTTTGATGGACAACGGCTTTTCCGTGAAGAATGGTCCATCAATCCTTCACGCGGGTTGGGTCATCGTAATCAATTCACTCGCCATTTCTTTCCTTCTGTTTCCATCCCAGCAACATGGATCAAGACCCAGACACCCCAGCGTCAGGGTCACCCTTGTCCGATATTGACTCTGATGAATTTCATGAAGACGTCAAATTCAACCATAGGTCGCATTCACATTCTAGAGGTTCTACCATTTCTGCTTCAGAGGATGACACGGGGTCTCCCATGAGTACTGCCGTACAAAACCTCGAAATGCCGCCGAACAAACGCCGCAAGACCGGCGCATCAAGCTATGATGATGCCACTCCTCAATCCGCGTCCACCGTTGTCCCCGCTCGATCACCCACGGGTTCGATATCAAGCGACAGCTCAGGCTCGGTACCTACATCACCTTCATTTGCCCATCTGGGTCCCACGCATCCTTTGTCCACCGCCTATGCGGCCGCGCAGGCCAACCCTGAGAATCCTGATTCAGGAGATTATGTTCAAGTGACCAAATGTCTCTGGGAGGGCTGCGCCAATCAGGAACAAGGCAATATGGACAATCTTGTTGCACATATCAACGATGTCCACATTGTTCCCCGTCAAAAGAAATACTACTGCGAATGGGATGGGTGCATTCGAAAGGGCCAGCCTCACACCAGTGCCTATGCTTTGAAAGCTCACATGCGAAGTCATACCAAGGAGAAGCCTTTCATGTGTGCTTTACCAGAATGCGACCGGAGCTTCACGCGGTCGGATGCCTTGGCCAAGCATATGCGAACGGTCCATGAAACTGAGGCTCTACGACCCAGTGATCCCGTTCCTCGAGGTCACACGGGGGGGATCTCCAATGGAGGTGGAAGTGGGATCCCCATCAAACGGCTGAAGCTGACCATGGGCGGCAAAACCAATGGCGATAGGAAAGCCACCCTGGTGGGCGACCTCCCCTCGCTGCCGACCCGGTATTCGGTTTCTATGTTGGGAATGAACCCTGACGAGGTGGAAATGGCCGAGGATGATGGGTCAGAGGAACTGTTCGATGCCGTCGACGTGGATAGTGTGCCGCTCACCCTGCCACTCCCCTCAGACTATTATCCTGCTGACATTTGGGATGACATGGATGAGTACGAACGCAACCTGCCCCCTTCCCAATACTTCCGTCTCTTGCGCCGACAAATACACTGGGCCGAACAGGAAGGACGCGTGCTGCAACGCGAGCTGGAGGAGATACGAGCCGCGACGGAAGATTCTAGGGGTAATGTGATCAAAAAGGGGCTGGGAGATGAGAAAAGCGCCGACGAAAATCGCCGGGTCGAATGGCAGCGCACCGAGGAGATCTTGGACGCGGTTATGCGAGCTGAAGTCGGACGTGTCACAGAGATGTTCACCGGGGAAAGGCAGACCCTGGGGGATCAGAGTCCTTGGGAAATGCTGAAGGGATTACAACAGCTCACGACATCCTCCCCGGCATAATCAAAACAGCGACGGAATGCTCCCTCTGCGTTTGGATAGCCCCCATAAGAGTCCCCGGTATTTGGTGCTGATCGTGCGATCCTGGATCAATGCCGGAACCGATATTTCATTTCTGTGTTGACCATGGTCCCCTTTGGGATATGCGCTTCTTTTTATGTCTCGTGAGAAAAGGCCGGGAGGGGAAGGGGGGAAAGGAAGAGAAGGGGTCCGAGAACGGGAGGAAGCCAAGGGCGAGCCGTCATTTTGGAGACCACTTGTTGACCTCTCGCAACATGCAGCGATGAGATGTATCGGCGGAGATTTTTTGCCCCAACCATCTTAAAAAGGCATGAGCGAAGGCCATCGAAGACGTCGAATGGACGGCAATGCCCCTGGCAGCTGACATGAACACGAAAAGACACATGGCATACCGGTTTTGCCAATGCCGTTTAGGGCTGAAGAACAGACCAGGCATTGCGGTAGCTCTCCGGCTTTTGTTTCTTCCCGGTATGTCGTGTGGCCCGTACATCATATTCCAGCCAACGGGGCAGATGACCCATGGAGCCGAGGCATCAACCGAATTGGGTATGCCATTGCAAAAAAGTGGGCAAATCCAATGCACGATAAATGTCAGAACCCAAACGATGAATGAGGAAAAGGAGGGGTTTGATAGGAGGAGAAATGCGCGCAAATGGGACGTCACTACGTCGCAGTGCAGATGAGAATACGAGATCTTTGATTGGGAATCTCGAGTCCGAGGACTGAGAGGCCGGTTGGATATGGTTTCGCACGGAAGAACACGTAAAAACGTTGATGCGAGCCGCAGTGCATGCAGAAACACAGCCTCTTTTTGGACCGAAGATGGTCAATTGATTAGGCCGTTGTTTGGCCCCGCGAGGAGGATTGATCGGTATGGGATTGAATTACGATTGATCGACGTAATATAAGACAAACTTCGGAAGAGAAATGGAAATGTGGTGGTCATCTTAGGAGGAACGGTCAAGCAGAATAGGAAAGGTGCACGCAGATTGGAGCCTCAGGCTGTGAGTCACGATGGAGATGTGGGTGAGACTACACCAGCATGGTACGTCGCTACGGCTGGCTTGATGCCTTTCAGATCCAGTTCAGATGACCGATGGCGTGCCAAGGTGAAACAGGAGGTGCACTGTAGGACAGAGTTGTATTCCTCAAGCACCTCTAGATAGTATTTTTGGTATACCCATACAGAATTTGATCATCATGCCAAAGGGCGTATAACTCCCAAAGATGGAATTGCTTAGCACCCCCGTCCGCAAACCGGTAACGTATTATCCTGGTCGAGTTTCGGGTGGAAAAAAGCGTGCCAATTGAATGCCAATCTGCAACCCCAAATGCACTGCACTTTTGTGAGACACGCGATGAATGGCTCGTTTGATTTCCTGTCCCCGTTGACGCTTGAAGAATTCATTCATGTGAGTCAATTTGTTTCTTCGGCATGAACCATGAACCACGGTGGTGTATCCTCGATCTCTTGTAATGACGCCTTTTTTTTTTTTTTTAAACTTCACTGGTGCCCTCATCTCAGGCACAGGCCTATTTGGGAAGTAATTACAACCTTTGCTATTCTTTAGACGATGTACCCACCGTGCCGCCGTCTGCCTTGGGCTTGGCGGAGAACTGCGACTTGCGTTCCTCAGGTTCGAGTTGGTCAGCAACTCTCTGGTCTGGCTGGCGACACTCCCAACCACCGTGATCCAGAATGTGTCCGTCTCCGAGATTGAATTCATCCTGAGCAATCAAGGAGACTGTATCCATGCATATCCCACAGAGGCATCAATACGATTTGCTGAGCCGCCTGCACTGGCAGTCTGTACCGTAATTTCCGGGCTTTCGTGTCCAATCCGCCGAGGGCCCTCATTTATGACTCACAGTCCCAAATAGGCGTAGCGTCGCTATTAGCCCCGCCAAGGCTCACCACCGGCTCCCCAGCGCTGCCTGCGCCCACGTCTCCTTTCCACCCACTTATACTCGTCTATCCCATGTCTGTTGCCTGAAATTTTTTTTTTTTTCCTTCCTCTTCTTCCCTCTATCCGAACAACTTCATTTAGACATTAAGCATCACCAAGACTTCATCGGGACATGGAGTCATTCTGATCTTTTCGTCGCCACCCTTCTATCTCGCTCACCAGCAAGATAGACTCAGTCATCCCTCTCCACTTACAAACACCTCACTCTCAACTCACTCGTCGTCCACAGTCTCCTTCTGGAGTACCTGTGAACCAAGACTTCGTCGCATTTCGCGTTACGAGCTCTTCGTCTTCCACCGCCGACATTCACGCGTTGGATTTCACATCCTTCACCACGGATCATCAGCAACAATGGCGTTCCCCGACCTCAAGATCGTCAACTGCATCGTCGCAGAACCAACACAGCTTCAACCAGGACTTTCAGCTCTTCGCCGCCCCGGAGACCCCGCCCCGCGTCTCTGCTCAAGCCTCGCGTGCGCAGGCGATATCGAGTACAGCCCCTAATAGCCAACGTCTGCTCCAAGCTCGACATCTCTCTCTCAATAGCAGAGTGTCTCCTGTCCAGTCTTCTCAGTCTCCGTCGTTAGGGCCTTTCCACTCGTCAACCAACCACCGGTCTTTCTCAAGTCCAGCTTTGCACAGTCAACCACTGCCAAAACAGAATTTGCGTCAGCTTGCCCACTTACACCGTCTTCCACCTGTTCCTCCATTTGGTTCAAACACATCCGTTCCCCGTCGAAATCGCTCGGTTCCGAGCATTCCCCAAGGTACTGTTCACCGTCTTCCTCGTCGAGAACCCCCGCTAATTTCCAACTCAGGCGACATGGCTACCGCGTTTGACTCCATGTTCCTTCCGGGAGGTGACATGCTCACCTCCCATGATGACTTCATGGACATCGATACCAACTTCCAGTCCAACAACTTCACCGCTGTTACCTCCGGAACCACCGCAAACGATGGTACAATTTCCCCATCCGACCTGTTCAATGATGACGCGATCATGTCGGCACCGCCATCTACTGCATTCCCAAATCTGAGCACTCCGGAATCTGGTTATTTGGAATCCCCTGCAATGGCCAGCAGCGGCCTCAACACGTCTCCGCTGGAAGATGGCCTCCTCGATGGCCAATTGAACTTTGCTGAACTCGACAGTATGGCCCCTTTGTTTCCTCAAAATGGCTTTGATCAGTTTGCCAACCAGCCTACGTCTTCTGAGTCAATTTCCATGAAGTCCAACTTCAGTGCCGTAAACTCCCGGCCCTCGTCTAATACGTCTCCGATGGTTAGACAGAAATCGTCCCCAGGTCGGCCACCGTCCACACCTTTCAGCCACGGACGGAAACACTCGGAAAATTACGGTATCACCAAGGCGAAGCCGCGTAAGGCCTTGCCCGATATCATTATTGATAGTGATGACGACAAGGAAACCGCCAAGAGGAAGAAGAACACTGCTGCCGCTCGAAAGTCTCGACAAAGAAAGCAGGAACATGCCGAGGCAGCCGAAGCTGAGATCCAGCGTCTCAGAGGTATTATTTATCGTCTCGGAGCAGATCCTGATGCTGAAAGTTGAGGGGTTCGCCGAGGAAGTGGTTTTTTTTTTTTTGGAAATCCATTGGGTGATGGAAAATGGACGCATTCAACACTGGAATACTTGTTTTATTGGCAAAGCATCGGATGACAATAACGCTGTTTCTACCAGTCAAACTGGTAGTTGCCGACACAGCAGCATGACGTTTTGGGGTTGGGGATTCAAACAGGCTGAAGCCAGTAGGGCTGCCTCCCATCCGCCACGTCGCCTTTTCTTCTTGTTCTTGGTTTATTGTTCAAGCGATCATCGGGGTTGATGAGCTTTCCCGCAAGGGATCCTCAGGCTTCCCCTTGGACATCACATCGCTACGATTTCTTTTATTGTTCAGGTCCCACGACGTCAGCACTCTACTGCGTAACAGCGGTTTGGGGAGTTGGTCTGGACGGTGGGGCATTTCTTGTTATTTGGCGCGAATGTGGCCGGTTCTGACTGTCTCCCTCTTCTTGAAACACCTAAAAATTCATGTTCACCTTCTGGGGCATGCAGGAAATCTTTTCAGCTTTCTCGAAGGGGATCGACTCGTGGCCTTGTCAGATTTTGTTTCACCATTCACCATCGTCATGATCATCACGGATTCCGATCTCATCGGGTGAAAGGGATGTATCACTCCATTCGTTTAGCATGATCACAAAGACTTTGTGTCTTGCTCTCCACTCTCGATCAGAGTGGGAGTCATGAAATGCAACTCATTCATTACAATTTTGCTTTGGAATGATATTTGTACAATATATCTTTAGACTCACCGTGCTTAATTACGTTCGCACCAACATAGTGGTGCCTTGTGCTCTTGTGCAATCTTCCATTACACATGCTAGTGTTCATTTACCATGAAAGCAGTTCAGACTTCGTGTCCATGCTTGCCTTAAACTCGTGTTCATATGCATGTATGTATTCATAGGAGTGATTTGTACGTCTGCGGAACAAGCTTGGCGCCTATTGCATTCATGTGGTATAGTTGTATGCCGAAAACTACTCAGAATCAAGCCGTCAGGGACCGGCCCTCTCCCAATGCTCGATTTCTCAGATTCGTAGTGGCGGCTTGAATTTCGCGTTGGAAACCAAGATGATGTCCAATACTTTTTGGTAAGGGGAAGCCAAAACGTCCTACCTAGGCAAAATACGGTTTACGCAGAGAGAAAATTCACCTCAACCGAATTGATCAATTTTGATATTATTAGCTATTACTATCCTAATCTTGCACTGCTGAACTGACTTGCTGCTGCTCTGTTCCCGCATTGGCACATCTCCTTTTCCTCCACTTTGACCCCATACCCACTTCCACTGAAGTGAATAAGAATCAATCCGTCCATCATTTGCTTGAAATATCAACATTTCAAACAGTGCTCCATAAAAGTTCCAGGGATGTTCCACATTGGAAACGAACCAAAAGGACTAATAAGCCTCCTGTGTTTTCCATGTTTTGTTGCTTCCTTTCATCCAGTAGCACTTGCTTTGGGGGTATCTCTTCTCATAAGGACAAGACTTGCCTAAGTGGGGTATCTGTACTTGAACGCACAACCAAAGACGCAATTGACAATGAATGGCCACAAAAACACAAAAATAACAATCTCGATCTAGTAAGTGTGGGGTATCCTGAAAAGCAACAACATAACAAAATGAGTGATGTCCGAGTTTGTCGTCAATCAGAGGAGACGTGGAAAATCTCAAACCAAATCAAGCCAAAACGGGTTGACGTCGACCCAACCATGTCGTGCTACCTCAAACGACGAGGCCAGAGAGACGAGAAGGGCTGCGAGGGGGTAGCGACGGATTACTATACGTCTTCTCGTCCCACCATTTCTCGAACTCAACTGGACTAGCTGCTCGAGACAGTCGAGATGGATGTGACAGAGATGTGCGTGGAGTCTTGTCTCTGACCTCGTCGGACCTTCAAGCGGTGGCCTTGACCTCAGGAGCAGCAGGGGTCACAGGTTCAGCCTTGGGTGCATCTTCAGGTGCATCGGTAGTCTTGGTTTCTGGGGCCTCGGGAACCGTTTCAGGGGTCTCAGCGGTGGCGGCTGCCGTGGCGGCTGGTTCGGCCGCCGTCTTCTCCTTGGGACCTTCAGGCTTTTCAGGCTTTTCAGACTTGACGGCTTTACTAGCGCGACGTACAAGCTGACCGATGAATTTTCCTCCGGGAATAGGAGATTTTTCACGTTTGGATTCAGCGGCAGCACCGTCTTCACCTTCGCCGGTCTCGGGCTTCTTCTTGTTGAAAAACAGGGAAGTGCGGCGCTTGTTATCACGAGCAGGACGCTCCTCTGTAGTGGTGGTGGCAGATGTCTCAGCCGCAGGCTCAGCAGCGGCATTCTCAGCGGCCTCGGCACTGGTGGCGGCAGGTTCTTCAGCGGCGGGCTTTTCAGCAGAGTTGGCGGGCGCGGTGACTGCCGCAGCGTCAATGGGCTTGTTCTCGATTGGCTCCTCAATCTTGGGAGCATTCTCAGAGACAGGAGGGACATCAGCATCCTTCGTGGCAGTGGCTTCCTTTTCAGTCTTTTCAGCGGTTGGGCTTGTGACACCCTTCTTGAAGAGGTTTCCGAAGACAGAGCCACGCTTGTTCTTCTTTTCGGTTGGCGATGGAGCTTCTTTCTCCTCTTTCTTGTCAGACGCGGCGGCTGGGCCTACAAATTCGGTTAGATATTAATTGGTCAACGCGGACCAACGGCAACTTACCAGCAGCGGAAGTTTCAGCTGCTTCAGTAGCGGCGCCAGCTTCTTCGGTCGGCTTAGCTTCCTCTTTCTTTCCCTCGGCCTCAGCCTTGCTCTCTTCTTTCTTCTCGGCATGCTCCTCCTTCTTGACGCGCAGAGCACCGAAAATGCTGCCGCGCTTACGCGATTGAGAGCGTTCCTTCTTGGCCTTGGTAGCTTCATCAGCTTCGCCAGACTCAACGTCGCCATTCTCAGCAGCTGGAGTCGTAGCTTCGGCCGTGGCAGCGCTTGCATCGGTAGACTTCTTTGGTTCCTTGGGTTTGGGGTGGGGAGTCTTCACCGGAGCTGCAGCAGCGGCAAAAACGGGAGGTTTCGCTAGTGCCGCATTAGCTGGAACCAATAGCTCCCAAAGGGGACATAAACCTACCGTACTCCTCAACGTTCTTCTTGTAGCTCTCACGTCCAGTGATTTCGTCCTTCAGTTCCTTAGCCTCTTTGATGGCCTTCTCAATGGCAACAATCCAGCTGTCACGTTCCTCGGGCTTGCCAACCTCGAAGCGGTGTTGATGAGTACCGGCCTTGAAGGAGAATTGGTTGTGACCTTCCTTGGTGACGGCTGAAGCGTCGGCCTGTCAAGAACATTAATTCACCACCCCCATGGCGTTGGTTGACGGGCAGTACTTACAAGGCTGATGACACCGACGGGCGTGGCCTTGTCCTCAGCACGCTTGGCAAAGAAGAGCAAGCCCTTTCCGGTCTCACGAGCCCATGCAGCAGATGCGTGCACAGCCCGGTCAGAGCGCGCGTACGTTGTCAAAGACTCGGCTGTTGAAGGCTCCTCGGAGAACCAGAAGAAGTGTTTGGTGAAGAAGAATTTCCTGCAAATGACTCATGTCAGCCTCGTCCCCTCGGTCACTTTGATTTCCGAAAGGTAGCATTACTTGAAGAGAGTTGGCTCCTTGTATGCCAAGACACCTTCAGAGGCAGGGACAGCCTCAACAGCTTCATCCTTTTTTGAATCCTCAGCGGCCGCCGCAGCGGGCTCTTCAGCAGCAGCAGCAGTAGTAGTAGGGGCAGCATCTGTAGTCTCAGCTGGGGCGTCAGAGGTCTCGGCTGGGGCAGTGGAAGCCTCGGGCTGTTCTGGCGCAGCCTTGGTGGCATCGACGACCGGGGTCTCCTCGACGGGTTTAGGAGCTTCGACAGACATGATGTTGGATTTGTGATTGGAATGATGTGACGGTATGAAATGCAAGTAGTTTTTTTATTATTATTTTTCTTTTTAAGTTGTCAAGAGGCGGAGGGAGCGTCGACAAAGTGGCAGACCAAGTTCAGACAAAGAGGTGTGTCTGAAGAGGATTTGGGTTGAACTAAGGGAGAAGGTTGACAATGGTAAGGAGGACCACGAGGCTTTGTGTAGTACTGGTGGTCAGTGCAGGGAGTGAATTGAAAGGTGAAGGAAGTCAAAGAAGAAATGTGACTGAAGATTGAGAACAGCGAGCAGAAGGTCTAAAAAAAAGGCGCGTGGTGAGATGAGATGATGGCTGTCGTAGTTGGCAGGACTGGTTCAAGTTTTTGTCTTGCCTGGGATTGTTTTGGGCTAGGTAGGTGTTAGCCAGTCAAAGTCTACAGCGGGCAGAGCAGGACGTTTCACAGGGAAAGGAGATTTGGAGGCTGCACAAGAGGCGCGCTAGACAGCCCCCTAGTTAAACTAGTACCCAGAACCGCCTAAGCCCACCCGCTATGCACAGGGGACAAAAGGCTGCTAAGAGGCAACTAACTGGTCCACCAGCTTAACTAAAACTAGCTTTCAACATACCTTTCAGTAAACCAAATCCCACATCCCCACCGGCTGCAGCCTCTACAGCGCCATTAAGCCGCGCGCCCGAGTCTCCCTCCCCAGCAACATCTGAATCACAGGCATCTCGCTTGCCGCCCTTCCAATCCCCGTCACAGCATCGAATCGTGTTCGGAGTACGCCACACGAAGGAGACTTCGGGCCTTCCACGGTGTCCCGCCCAAGTCCAGGCAGTTCAACAAGTTCCCAGCGTATAAGAAACTGTTGGACCATTATGATCAACGTATGTGTCCCCAGGGCACCGTCATCTCACCAGTTCTACCGGCAACTTTCTGACGCCAAGGTCTCCTGCAGAGAAGTCCGGTCTATCTCGTGACAATGGCAAACCCGTGAGGCTGAGGCATCATGTCAGGAGCCTGTGACAATTCCCGTACATGGTTGCCACCTACACACCCGCTTCTGACGAAATTTTTGGACCGAGATCTCTTACCAATCTCGAGATCAACATCATTTTTCTTTGTCGAAGGGGCTAAAGTTCAATCTCCACGCCGAAAGTCCTTCCACCGGAGTACTCTATATCTGTCCAGGTTCCCCTCTCGCTTCTCCTCTTTTACGCTCGTCCGTGACCTGAATTGCGCACTGCAGCGACTTGGCTGCAAACCCGATAACATCACTCAAGACATCCCGGTTGCTGGCGCACAAGATATCACAGGAAGACGGTTTGCTGGTCATGCGACCATCAAATGGTTTCGCCTGCAAGGATGACGTGCAACGTGCATCCTCCGTACCCTGCCCGGGAAGGAGACCGTTAGAGTTGCGAATCAGATCAAAGCTGAGGAGGTAGTCTAGCAAAGAATCATTGATAACAGCTCGTTGTACAGTTCCCGTTATCGTAATCACGCAGTAAGCGACGACCAGGTGAGCAAGAAAGTATATTGTTCCTCAAAATCACGGCGGCCATAAACAACAAGAAGGATCAGCTAGTGCTCAAATCCGTCAGCTTTGCTATCTAGATTCTCGACCATCCTCTTTTATGGTGCCCTCTTGCGAATAGACTTTTTTATTGAGTGACCCTGCTTCCCATTTTTTTGGCCACCGTCGCAGAGAAACATGTCAATTTCTATAGCCACCACCCGGTCACCAGTCTATGCTGTACCTAACAAGTCGGTGGGTGCTCGCACATCCACCGTGCTGTCGATCCTCTTATGGAATATCCAGTTTATCTCCGATTCGCAACGGCCTGGATCGGGTCCATGATCGACTGGTGAACAAGATACGTTGAGTAGAAGCCGAAGCAAATTGACCCGGGAGTATTTGCCGTTGGCTTGGAACTAGGTTGAAACGCCTCTCAGTGTAGCTGGGTCGACTGGAGACTTTGGAGTCTAGTGAACAATCTCCTTTTTGCTGGAGGGATTTTGGCTTCTGGGCACGAGGATGAAACCCCGCCCCCGAGAAGTCAAGCGGCCAGTCCAAATGGCAAATGATTCAAATCAATTGTACTGGAAGCGGGCAGGCTGGTCCAAGCTGAGACCATGGCGTGGATCGCTTGCAGACGCTCGGACCTGCTCTGGGGCTTTTCTTTTCGCGGGGGTTTCGAATCTCTGGATGAGGATTGACCCCATGATTTCTAGTTAGACCCAAGTCCGTTGGCTGGCTGGTTAGATGAAGATGACTTGGAAGACGCAGACGTCCTAGGGCTTTTGTCGGTCCCTATATAGGAGGGAGACGTCCTGTTGAAGGAGCTTCAGAGATGGCTACAATCATCATTCAAAGAACAAGGAGGAATGAAATGGACCCGTGAATCTATCGCACCAATCCATCCATAGGGTGAGAAATTGTCCGCACGGAGAACTATCCCGCATGGCTCGAGGCACCTTGCAGTCTCTTGTAGTATGTACTCCGTAGCGGCCTTCCTCTTTGACAATTAGCGCTTTTCTGTCCTGTTGGATTTTCTTTTCGTACTGCAGCAGCCGCTTTCGTTCTTCCTACTGTCTCAAAGATAAAAGGGCGACGTCTGTACATGCTCGCCCACAGTTGTGGCTTCTTTTTTGCCGCCAGCGCCATGCCTACTCCCATACATATCAATAAAAAGTCACTTTTGGTTTTCCGTTGGCATTCATACATTGTCCTCTTCTTTTTAGAGGGATGACGGTTGAGACTGCCTCCCTTAACCCGCTGTCGTCAAAATGTATGAAGTAATTGCATCCATTCTCTCCTTGGTCAATTTCAAACTGATGATGAGTAATTCCTGGGCCACATCGGGATCCTGGGCTTGCATTTCGTGCCACCTCTTGCCATCCAATTTCCAGCAAACGCAGTCCTTCTCCGCCACCATTGTTGCGGTACGCGACGTCTGCGAGAAGAATGGCAATTCACCGCAAGGACGTCCCGCTACGATGAGTTCGGAATACTTGCCCTGGGGCAGGTCGTAGTCGGCGCGCAAGATTCCTTCCTCAAGCATGTAGAAGCCATTGGGTTGATCACCAACGTTGAATAAGATCGAGCCTTGGGGGAAAGTAACTCTTTCGAAATACCCCATCGCACGGTACCAGAAGTCTTCGTTCTTGTCCGATAGATCGGCAAATATCTGGAGGAGCAAAGGCAGTGGTTGCTTGAAAGACTGCCATTTACCCATGTTGGATGTATCTTCGTCCAGGGTGGTCTGGGCCACTTGATGCAGAAGATTTCGTCGGGGTGAGCTACCCATAAACTCGGCCTTGTACGACTGTGAAAGCTCTTGACCCTTGGTCCGGGGCACATCAAGATGCGCTGCCACCCGTTTCGACCGTCGATGTTCTTGTTGGCGGTAAAGAGCCGTCAGCAGCTTGTTTTCACAGTGCTCGAGGGCCACGTTGAGATCGGTGAAAATCTCGACTTCGGACCCCGCCGCGAACAGACCGACGTTCTGCAGGGCTTGACCAATCTCCCCGTTGACGTCCAAGCTGCTCACAATCAACTCCACTCCCCGTTTTTGCAAAAGACGGTTGATGCGTGCGAATGCCTCGGCAGCGGAGAAATCGATACCGTTGATATGCCCCATGTCCAATATAAGGAACCTCAGCGGTCTATTCCTGAAAGAGTCCTCGGCAAGGAGGGCTCGGATGCGATTCTCAACCCCGACGACGGTTCCAAAGAACAAGAACCCTGCCAGCTTGATCAAGAATATTTGCTGCCCGGTCTCCTTCAAGAACTTGAGCTGAACAGGTGGCCGCCTGACCAACGACTTGGCGACTTGCCCTGAGTACGTCGCCCTGATGGCGGTTCGGCGTGACGTTTGGACGACAAAACTCAACGCAGCCAGTAGAATGCCCACCAAGATGCCGATTACAAAATCCCACACGCCCATCGTAACAACAATAATGACGATGGTGGCATATTCAAGCTTGTGAACCTTGCCCCATGTTCCAACAAGGGCCTCTTCGAGGAGCTCAATACCGAGTAAGAATATCAAAGCTCCAACCACCATGATAGGGATGTAACCAATAATTACCGGCCCGGCCAGTAAAATACCAAAAGTGCCGGCCGCCAGGAGAAGTCCTGCAAGACGATCATTGCCGCCACTGTCCATGAAGAGAAGGCTATTGGTATATACAAGGTAGTTCTGGACGCTGCCCAAGAGTCCGCTCACGCAATTCGAAACCCCGTGGGCTATGAGTTCACGGTCGACGTTCAGATTGTCCTCGCCAGTCGAAATACCGAGAGCCGGAACATTGATAGGAACATGCAATACTCCGAAAAATGTCAGAGCGAACATCGCCGGAATCGTGTCGGCAAGGGCCCCCCAATGAACGGCCTTGAAATCGTAGAGCGTATAGAAGTGGTACCAAGGATTCCCGGCTGGAGGTGGATCGAAAACCCAGCCCCTCGAACGCAAAGTGTCCATGGGTATGTCCAAGGCCAATTTGAAGAGGTAGAAGATTGCAGCAACCGACAGAAAATAGCCGCCCACCAAGAGATTTGATTTTACAAACCGTTGTACGATGAGCAGAATGACAGCAAGGGAAAGCGGGATGATCCAGAGGAAAATGGTGTCCTCCCGTACGAGCTGCTTGAGAGTGTCCAGGTCATACTCCAGACTGCCAGAAAGTCGGGCCGAGACTTCGATGCCGGTTGCAACGAGGAACCAGCCGACACCCCCGATACAGCCAATCAAAATGTGTCGAGGGAAGAAACCAATCAGAGATCCCAACTTGCACGCTCCCATGAGGAAAAAGACCACCCCGGTCACAACGGCACTGGTCGCAAAAGACAATATGGTGGTGGCCAGAACGGATTTGGGATTCTCCTCGCCGACCTTTTGAAGAATTGTGAAGGCCATCTTGTGGAAGAATGGGACCACTTCGATCATCTCGGATCCAATACCACCGCGAAAGATCGAGCCTCCGGAAGAATAAACGACCTGGGACACGATCGTACTGACATAGAAGATCGCAATGCCATCCGAGCCCAGACTGTCAAAAATTTCACTGCCCAACGGAAACAGAATCATACCATAAGAGAGGGCGTCGAGGATGTTCAGGAGGAGCCCCAGGAAGACCGCGGGAAAGAGACTCACTGGGTGCACAATCACTTCGTGGTAGATCTTACGTGCATTCCAGGTCTTTGGATGTGCAAGAGCGTAGCAGCATGGCCGTACCCGCGCCGAAGCAGCTTTCCATTTCTGGCCGATGCCATCGTCGTCTGAATCCTGACGCTCAATGTCGCCAAGCTGACCATATTGCATTGAAGCCTTGCCATCGTCCAGTAAGCCCGTTCGCTCGTTTGGCTGCGTGGGCCTGGCCACGCCCGAGGAACTAGCACGATCAGTGATGATTTTATCAACGTCAGTTGTCTGTTGTTCCTCCTCTTCGTTTTGATTCTGAATCATCATGGTCAATTCAGACACCCTCGGGTCACCAGCAGGCTCATGTTCGGAGCCTTCCGGTGATACCGGTTCCGAGACTTCTTGAATGGCGTTGGGATAACCGCCATCAGAGAGTGGAGAAGAGCTTCGTGGGGAGCTTCCAATGTAGGAAGCGTTGTCAGAGAGGGCAAATGCAGCCAGTTCGGCAGTCTGGGCTCGTAATCCGGCGGAGGAAGAGTACTGAGCCGGATCTAGCTGGCCATGGAATGATCGATGGTAGAAGGACCTGGTGGGAGTCCTGGCTGCAGGCTGGCTGGAGGTTGAACTGGCCCGAGACCGGTGTTTGTGAGGACGGTCGGTAATGGCCAGAGGATTGCTTTCGTCTATACTTCTGTCACTCTTTCGAGAGGGAGAGGCAGGCATTGGAGCGGGACGGCCCTTTGATAAATTAGAGCTGTGGCGGGCATGTTGTTTGCCCGTGGTGGAAGTGGTTGTCATTATGCTGGCTCATGAGGTTATCATGCTGACCCGCAGGCACATGCAAGCTCTTCAAACGGGGCGGAAACGGGGCTTGCGAAAAGTTTTTCGTATTCTCCAGTCACTGGCCGTGTTCCCCGGTTGACGCGAGAAGAGCAGGGAATGAGGACTCAGCGAGAGGATTCGTCTCGAGCGTGAGGAGGACCAGAAGAGCCTGGCCCAGGTCAGCGAAAAAGTGACGAATCCCAAGGTGTGATGCTCGCGCCACAGACAAGCATAACGGTGGGTTCTTGTGGACTGATGTTTTCGGGAACGGACAATTCTCGTGGCTTGTTTCTAACTGTTGTCGAAAGGGTTTTTCCTTTCTGGTGAGCAGTCAACGGGCAATTGGTGGCATGAGCGGGAAACAGGACGAGGATCGGGTACAGGGATACTAGTACTGTACATAAGACAGGCCTCTACAAGAGATTTTGTTCCAGCTCAGCTGGATGCCAGCCACTCACGGAAGATGTCAGAAGAAATTTCAAAAGCGTCACTGACCTGCAGAGACTGCAATCGAACAAGCCAAAGGAGGACATTTGCTGTGATTGGGAAAACTTTTTGACGTGGATCAGCCATCTGCCATCAGCCTTTTCCATCTACATCCACCCGCCAACCATCAATGAGCTGCAAGGGCTTCATGTGCATCATCTACCCCGCTTCATATTTGCCTCGATGTACCCCCCCCCTTTCCACCTCCTTGAGCAGCTCCGTTCTAACGGCCTCGGCCTTTCGCACATGCCCCTCGAATCACACATCTACCTGTACGGTTTCACATAGAGACGCGATCGAGAAGACTTGGTGTTTGTTGGAATCAAGAGTACCGCGGGAAAATTTAAAAAAAAAAGTCTTAGAAGAGGGAATAAACAAATGGAAGTGCCATGCTTTGCTGTCAGTGTTTCAACCCTTCCAACCATACCACCAACCTCTTCTTGATGATCACTCCCACCAATTTTCCACTCCCTTCTTTAATCACACACAAGTGTCTCAACCCCAGCTTCCCGAACATCTCCACTGCGTATTCCATGGGTGCTTTATCACATATGGTCAGTGGCGTCCGGTCCACAAATTGGGACATGTCAAGCTCTCCCTCGTGCTCAAATGGTACGACTACAGCAGCCGGAGGCAGTAGTCGTACAAGACAGCTTTCTGGAAAGCTCCGACCGAGAGTTTCCAGGCCAAATTCTAATTCACCTTCGGCAAGGTAGCCTTGAAGCATACTCTTCTGAGTCAGAACCAGACCGGCGTCCATGAGGCCTCGACGGCGAAGCTGTTGTAGTTTCTCACTCAGCACCGCCCGAGGAACCAGGCCACTTTCTGGCACGTCGACAATGATCTCGCGCATCGTCTGAGGAGGAGGAATAAGTTCCTCGACGAGATGGGGTTCCTTCTGCACTAGATTCATACTGTGGTCAAGATCAAGGAAGGGGTGGCCGAGAACTGTCTGTGCCAGATCATAGACACCCTCGCGTTCCAAAGAATCTGCCACCCATTTAGCAACCATGATCCCAATCATGTTTGGCACAATGAATTCCAGCTCTCCGGTCAATTCGAACATGATCACCGCCAGAGATATGGTCATGCGGCTGACCCCGGCTAAGAAAGCACCGGCACCAACCATGGCGAAAATTCCGGGCGAGATAGACTGTGCCAGGAAAGGCAATTGGCCAACCAATCTTCCGAAAAGGGCTCCTCCGTCAAGAGCGGGAATGATGATTCCCGACGGAACTTTGATCCCAAACGTGATAATGGTCAAAATCAGCTTCACGAGCGTCCCATAGACCAGCCAGCCTAGATATTGGGGAGTGGGCGAAGCATGCCCTTCTTGCACGCAGACATACGCTGTCCGTGAAGCGTCAGCACAGTCAACCAGGAGGTTTTTGATGATGATATCGCCCGGCTCTCGCGTGAGAGGATTGGGATACTGAAGAATTGCTGTAGCGAGCACAACCCCCAAAACCTCAAACACCGGGTAATTCTTGATGATGCCATACTTGCGGAAGCTGCGTGACCAGAAGAAATTGGCCTTGCAGAAGGCGCCCCCGAAGACACCACCGGCAACTCCCAGAACGACAAACACGACGTAATGGTAAGGTTGATAGGTCGTGCCATAGTTGGTCTCAAAAAGAACCAGCTTGCCTGTTCCCGTAGGGTTCAGAGCCTTGAGGGTGATTGCCGCAAATAGAGAACATACGAATGCTCGCCAGAGGACTTTTCTGGGGAAATAGGTAGAAATTTCTTCGTATGCAAAGAGCACGCCTCCAATTGGCGCTCCGAAGGCGACGGAGAGACCGCTGGAGCATCCAGCGGCAAGAATTTCTCGGAATTTGCGGCCATTCTCTCGGTACTTGGGAAATCGCATGCCTACGAGATATGCAACACACGTGGAGATGTGGACGAAGGGCCCTTCTTTGCCCAGACACATGCCGGTAGACACGGCAAATATAGAGCCGACTGCCTTCACGACCAGCACGTCGAGGTCCAAGAAGTGTGGGATCACGAAGCCAGACAGAATCGTCTTGATTTCGGGAATGCCACTGCCTGCAGCCATGTATATCGACTTTCCAGATGGTGCTTGTTTTCCAACTTCTCCATAGGCATCCTGAGTGGACATTCGCATCGGTTCTCTATCTCCCGAGCCAGGGGCGGTTGCCGGTAAGGCTCTTCGCGTCGTCGACGTGACTGCACTGCTGATGACCCCGAAGAGCAATGCGAATCCCACGTATATACCGAACCCGTGCCAGTAATTATTTGTCCAGTATTGCCAATCAGAACATGTCTCTCCCGTGTCCGCAAGAAGGCCCAAGGGTGGTTTTGACAGGCAGCATGTTTCCTTGCTCGCAAGGTGATTTGTTTTGCAGTATCCTGTCTTCCAGTCGCTGACCGTGGCGACGGCGATGTCAACGAGGAAAGCCACGCAAGCTGTCAGAGTCCCTATAAGGGCGGCCGCGATCCAGCCTTCGCAGGAATCGAAAGCGGATCTCACCGAGTCTCGAATCCCTCTTCCGCTGTGAATGGGACGATAGCGATACGAGTCCTTGACCTGCCCATGGTCAGCATGCTTTTCCTGGGTGTTATCCACTTGAAAACTGACGAGGTCATGCAGCCAGTCAATTGTTGTATAATCGTTGTATGGAAGACGTTCTCCCACTGCGGTTTCCCCCAAGGCCTGCTCCTCCTTGCTGACATGGGAAGAAATGACGGATGAGGCGTCGGTCCCGTGGACGATGGAGCTTAGTCTCCTGTCCTGAGGCAGAAGATGTGTTCTCTCGTCGGCGTGCTCTTCATCAGCAGCCATGACGGGCGGTAGGGCAGTATTGAAGCCGGAATAAGAGGGGAATGGCCAGAAGAAGCCATTCTCATCGTCACCCAAGAGAAAATCTCTGATGGATATGGGCGCTGGAGTGCTTTAGCCAGCGGAAACAATTGAGATCTGCATCTCCGGGGAACCTTAAGATCTCAGAGAAGCCACTGGAAGAGTGTCATCGACAGCGGGGATAAGTTTTTGGCCAAATCACTGATAAGGGAGAGCACTGATAACAGTTTGATAACGGCGCTGGCATACTGGCGCACGTGAGACTGGCTCTGCGCGGGCATATTTTGCTATTTGTCCATGTGACTGTATTTCTCGAAGCCAGGAAATTTTCCATGCCGGCGGCTGAGGTGTCATCTCGGCAAAGTAAGGCCGTTGGTATTGACGACTTTGAATACACTGCCTTGGGTGGAACGTTGATTCTTTTCTATCTGAAGACGAGCTCTGATGGGAATTCCATCCGACATTTCGTGACCCCTAGCCCCGCGGTATGGATGTGTTTACATCTCGCAGGTAAATTACAATTGGCTCCAACGGGATCTCCATAAACGAGTTTGGGGCTTGAGGAGCCATTCCGCGATCTGACGCCTTGTGCTCGTATCCAGGACGATCTCGAACTAGCGATCCTGACCCATATTGAGAGTGCCAGGAATGAATGCCTCCGTGGCTTGCTGAATCCCCAGCTCCTCCTTTATATGTCGAAGGAAGGATCCTGCAACTCTTCTCTGGTCCTCGCGAACAGATCGCCAATAAGCCACGAGCCGCAGGGGCCACAACAGACGAAGCCCGTCGGTCCAATATCGTGGTCTTCCTGGCTGAAATTCAGCTGGAGCGTCCCTCGACTGGTAAAGAAATGGGACTCCTGCCAATATCTCATCCGCCAACATCTGGGTCTTCATAACGTGATGCTGACACTGGTTCTCTAGCATTTCTGTATCAATACCAGATATGTGAAGCCGAATCAGGTCCAGAAGTTCTATCACCGTGAGATGTGTTTTGAGCCTGAATGCACAATAGAATGTCCTGACGGTAATGTCTCGAACATTCAACCGGGTCTCGCCGAGTTCAGGTCCTAGGGCATTCGTGTCCAAAACCTGAGGGAGGGAAATCAACTGTTCATTTACCTCCCTTTCGAGGGTTTCGGCTTCGGCGAGGAGTTTTAGACTGGGATTGGGCGAGGAGATGATGCCTTGACTGATGACTGTCCGAATTTTGGCGCAAATGAACGATGCGTGATAACCGTAAACGCAGACGCGATGTAAGTGCATTTCCTCATCTCGCAGGTTCGTTTGCAGCGCTTGGAGCCATTCCAGAGACTCGGGTGGGCACTCCACACCTGCGATAAAACATCGAATTTGCTATGACGCTAGTCAGCAACGAAATTGGGCGAGTCCGGGTCTCAACAAACTCACCACTGTATTGTAAACCAACCAAAATAGATTGCGTTCAATCGGCGTGCTGAAGTGTGAAGTTCCCCGGAGTCGAAGCAAGCTCACTAGCCCTTGGGTGTGGACGTTCCAAGTGACCGGACCAACGTTCTGTGTGGGAGAAGATGAACCGACAATGAGCTATTCATTCTTGATTAGCTCGAGTTTGGCCGATATGAAGTATATTTGAGGGCCCTAATAAATGGTCCAGCCTGACTGGAGGGCTGTCATACCCAAACAACCATGTCGGGCAGGTCCTTCTCCCCCCGCGTGGGATCAATAACCTCACCAGTCAAGCTGGACCTATTGTTCCACGACGGTAAGGGTTTGGAATTTGTTAGGTGGTGTTCATACCTCGTACAAGCTCAACAGCCAAACGCAGGTAAGCGTCTCATCTTGCGTCTGTAGCGCAGGGTCTCGAAGAACGGCATTGGTCGAAGTCAAAGCCTTGCCATAGGCTATTCCCCGCTGAGATTGTGCTTCAGGCGTCCTAAGTTGGTTGGTGATGAAGGCTTGTGCAATTGCTCGACATGTTAGTGCGACGGATGATTCCTCTCCGGATCTCGCTATCATTTCGGGTAAGAATCCTAAGAAGCCAAAGACCATTCGATGTTGTACGGGAGCGCGGATGTTGCTTAAACATAGCGGCAGGGCTTGACTGTCCCAGCATTCCGCCGAATTTCGAGAGGGCGTCAAATACCAACCCGAGAAGATCACCGTGTCTTGTGAGTCTTTGTGTTAGCATTGGTGCCTCGTATGGCTGGGCAAGAATCACCTCTATCAAGACCACCTGCTCGAATCAACACACCTCCCGTATTCGTCGATCCTGCAGGCCCTCCCTCATTTTCAGAGGACTGTGCAGGGGCTGTCGAGTGCTGCCGGGCGTCTGGTGGTGCTTTGCCCCCGTGTTTCCGGCGGCGGTCTCGCGTGGTGCCATCGGCGAAAGAGGCTGGATTCTCAACACGAAACAAGAGGTCAGACTCATCTCGATACCCTGGGCATTTCTTCCCCAGACGTGTGCATCGGATGCACTCTGGTTGGGTCAAGTCGCACTAGCGTTGTCCTGTCAATGCTGGTGCTTGAAGGCCGCTATCTCGAATTGATTACTCACTTTCACACGACGTTGTCTGCAAAGGTGACAGTCACGACTTGGTCTACCAACGTTAGGCATATCGGGTAGCTGATCGGTTGAAAAATCGAATATTGACCTTGGTTGAAAATTACACCCTCTGACGCTCCTCTGATTTTATTCCTCTCCATCCTCGCGAAATAAACTGAATTGTGTTGGTACGTGTTCGCAACACTTGCACACTCCGCTGGGGCTGAGACAAATTATCATTGTCACCATCAGTGACCAGCGCGATAGTTACGAATGACGGCGAGAGATTTTTGGAACCCGAGAAGCCAAACCGGATCTGTTCAGCGACTGGTCTGACAGAACAAAGACCAGACTGAAGCCACCACTGGGGGGACCAAAAGGAGCTCAGCCAGACGAACCAACGAGACAGTTCCCGCCAACAAAGCTGGCCGTCCGACGGCAGGGTGGTGACTCAGCTACTGGAAGACCCTGGTATGGTGCCAGGGATATGCCGAAGCCCAAGCGATCTGAATTCAAGCTTCTGACACTAAGCCCTGTGTGGAAATCGATACGAAGCTATACCTCGTTCTTTAAGGCTTTCTCTCAAGCTAAGCCACCGCGAGGCTGCCGCGGGTCCCCCGTTACACGCCGGTACCCTCTCTCCCTCCCCATTCATTTGTTCAACCTCTTTAACCACAATAGGGTCAGGCGCTGCAAGTTTCGTATCCTGGCATACCTTATGCAACGCCATAACACGTCGTAGCATAACTCAGGAGCCGCCGCGATAGCACCTCAGCCCTGCTCGCGCTCAATGCCCGATCCAGTGGGTGGCCCTGAAAATCCCCCCTTGCATGCTCGCTATGATTTCACACGGTCGTCCTTGTCCAGATGTATAAGTGCAGCTTCAGTCGCTTTGCTTCTTGGGTTCTCCATTGTGAACTTGGCTTTCTTGGAGAAACAGCGGGTCTACCGTACCATCTCTACTTTGGTCTTTTGTTTCTGTTTTACTCGATTCAGTCAAACCCCAACCTCGTTCGAGCGGACTCGGTCACAAGACATAGTCCACAAGATGTCTTTCCTCAACAACGATGACCGGTCCGAGCCCACTTGTGATATGCCCTCCTCCTTTGTCGCCGGTAGGTTCCAACACGGAAATCAACACCTACAACCACAAACTGATCCAGAAATCTAGATGCCTCAGAACCCTTTATTGGTGATCTTTCATTTCACCAGTTCAACATGGCCGTCTCAGGTGGTTGCGCTGCCTTTGCCACTGTGTCCATTTTCATCCTGATGGCAAGGCATGCCACGCACTTCAGCAAACCCAACGAGCAGAGCAAGTAAGTTGCGTGCGGTATCCCTTGATCACAAGCTCAATTGCTGACCCCTTTTGGCTTATAGAATATTAAAAATCTGTGCCATCATTCCCCTCGAAGCCATCTTTTCGTGGATCGGAATCGCTGCCCCGAATTCACATATCTACGTGGAGGGCTTCGTCGACTTCTTCCAAGCCATTGGCCTCAGCAGCTTCTTCCTCCTGCTCTGTGAATTTGTATCGCCAAGCTCCGAATTTCGAGATGTCTTCTTTGCCGCCTTGGAGATCCCCAAGAGTCGCAGAAAGAAGGACGGCAAAAAGGTCGACGGCTTGTCATGGTATAGGGTAAGAGAACTTCGACCACAAAGGGATCAAGCCTCGAAGGCCAAGACGCTGACAGCGACGTTCTATTAGAAACGATGGGTTGCCGTGTTCCAATACCCATTTGTCTCACTCGTTATCGCTGTCGTCACCTGTATCACTCAAGCAATTGGTAGATATTGCTTGGAAAGCAGCAATGTGCACTTTGCTCATATTTGGGTAAGAACACGAATTTTAGCTCACTCCTTCGTTCCAATTCAGCTCTAAACTAATACTTGATCACAGTGCACAATCATAATCAACATCTCCATCTTCGTAGCGGTCATCTCCTGTGTCAAGTTCTACACCATCATGAAAAAGGATCTGGAGCACCACAAACCGCTAGCAAAATTCCTGGCATTCAAGCTTATCATTTTCCTCACCTTCGTTCAAAGAGTATGCCGTCAACCAACCAATCCATTCCTTACATGGAGTGGTAATACTGACGATGTGGTGTATTCAGATTATCTTCGAAATCCTCCGATCCGCCAATGCCCTGAAAGAGACGTCGAAACTGACGTATGCCGACGTGAACTGGGGCATCGAAACCATGCTCGTGTGCATCGAAATGGTGCCATTTTCTCTCTTCTTCCACTACGCCTACGACGTCGGTGCTTACAACCTATCCAGAGCACGGCCCTTGCCCCTTTCAGAGATGGGTGGCCGAATTAGCCCGAACGAAGCTGAAGCACAAGCGGGACATGAACAACAGGAGCGCGAGCGCTTGCGCTATGGACTCCCCGGTCAGTATGAGGGACAGTATTACGGCGGCCGCCTTGGCCTGAAGGCTTGGGCAACACTGCCTAATTTGAAGGATATCTTGCTGGCGATGAATTTTGCTTTCACGATGAGATCAGAGAGGAGGAGGATGAAGCGAGACCCAACGGTGACGGAGACAGCTCCCCCGATGTACATCAACTACTAGGGACAGAAGTGCCTTTTTCCGCGCAATTGGAGCAGGACCCAGGGTGTGAGGCGTGCACTACCGAACCTGTTTAGTCACCACTCTGTCAGGATTGGGACGGTTCGCCATTCACAAAGTCTAAAAATGGTTGGGTTGGATTTTGATGTATGTTTCAGAGGACACTGGGATTTGGTTTTTGAGCGACTGCCGCGGCGTTTTTCCAGGGACCAAATCTATGATACATTGCTACTCTGTCCTCATCTTCTAGACTGGATAATGATTTACTGGATGCTAGAAGACGGCATCTGGGAACCAATACATAAAGATGCAGCGAAGCCCCGCTCCAACACTCCGTCTCTGCTAATATATTTCTTGATCAGGGCTCGAATAACACGCTTAATCAAATGTGATAACGAGTCAGACAAGCTACAATTTTGGGGCCAAAAATACCCGGAGACGCCTCAGACCTCAAGGGCGCAGGGGCTCCCCGTTCCTGCTTCCAAGTCCGGCTCATGTTCGTTCGTCCTTGTGGAGATCATATCGTTGTTGGAACGTCTACCACCAATCGTGATATTTCCTGTAGTGGCAGCATCCAACTGGCCGTGTCGAGTTCGGAAGAAACTCCTTCGTCAATTGGCCATATTCTCGTGATCAATCTACTTTTCGACGGTGGTCTTAGGATCAGGCATCCTCGCTTCATTCCAATAGCATCTCGCTCCCGGCTTTACAATTTCATATTCCAGGGCTTTGATGATCATGAAGAATCCACTGGCTAGAATTGAGCCCGGGACTGGCCCGATCCCAGTATGTCCGATGGCAGTGATAGAAGGAGTGCAGGACAGCACCCGAGCCGAAGAAACGAGCTGGATTGAGGCTGCCGCGTCTGAGTGAGCAATATGTACCTCACTAAAGAGACCGTGCACTACGGAAGCGCGTCCACCAAGTGATGTGCGCACATTGAGTGGTCCAGGAAGGGGAGATGAAACGATCCCTGAGGCGTTGGTGCCACCAAGAATTTGAGAGACAATGACAAGGCAGCCGCGAAGATGGGTGACGGCGCCAACGAAGACCTCACCATGTTTTTGACTTGAATTGCAATGTCAAACCCGTGCGTGCAAGTCGCCATGACGGGAAAGGATGCTTGGGAGAAGAACTGATGGTCGGGGTCTCTGTGACTGCACGTTATGGTGGGTGAAGATATGGCTGACCTGATTGCCCTCAACCCGCCTATCGTCGAATATCTTCCACAGCATTTCCCTGCCAAGGTCAGTAGCAGATGGTCCGCAGAGAAAGTCATTCTGAAGTGTCCTAAAATCATATGTACATTCTCTTTTTATCAGCGGCAGCGATTTTTGTGCAGGATGAGAAGCAACAGCCGACGTCAAATAACAAGTGCCATCTTGCTTCTCAAGATCTCGTCCAACTCGACAGTTCTAGCATGTTCTTTCTTAGGACTTTGGAACTCGAGAGCGCATATGGAGACAGTCTAGAGACATGACCACTTGAGCTCGTCGACGAGGCTACTTCACGGGTGTGCTGAGCTAACTGACTGAGATTCCTCTGAAGAACATCGTTGCTTGTATACGAAGACCGTGTTGATGATTTTCTTGATGCATATGAGGAGTCAGCTCCGAAAGAGCCTAGCGCCACCGTGGAGGTAGGGAGGGGTAGGTGATAATATGAATTGGTCGGAAGTGTCGCATAACTTTTATCACCCCGACGAGAATGGTCGGCTTGATTTGTATACCCAGTGTGGTCTCTTTCAGGGTGCCACGACAATGAAGGTTCACACGGTATGGGCCCTGACTGAACGATACGCTGATAGAGGTCGTGAAGAACACTGCTCGTTTGCTTGCCGGTATTCTCAGATACCCGCAGAAGACGATCGAAGTTCGGCTTGGATTTTCCCTCCATGACCAAGCTGAGACAGTCTACCAGCGACCTGTTGAAATGGACCATAATATTAAGAAGGGCAGCTCTTGCGATATCTATGCTGTGTCAGCCCAGATTATTCGGGAGGCCATGTTGAAGTGCTAACCATCGCCATTTTTAAATCCCATCCCCAGTTGGGAACAGCCTTGATCGAATTGTGATTTGATGTCATGACGAACATGCTTCAAAGAGTGTTCGAGTGAACAGCAATGTCTGTCTGTGTGTAGCTTCGGCTGCTTCGACTTCCAAAATCGGAATCTCCCACCTGTTTGCTTATAGGCTGATACCAAGGCCGCAACAGCGCTGATAACTGTGCAGCTTTCCAAGATTCCAAACATGACGAACTACAGCACCTGCGCAGGGCACTTGGAAAGCGAAATGGACAGGGGAAGTAATTGAATTGACGCCCGCAGTCCACATGAAGCTCGTCGTTTTGCCGTATAGCTACCGATCACCCACATGAGAATATTGCTCTTCTGGGAGGTATTTGAGAGCACTTATGCAGAGTAAACGCAAACATCCGCTGTACCGCATCACCGCACCTGTCTCCCGAGACTCGGAGAATACTCATAAGGTTGTAATGGGTCGGGAACAGTGGTGATTTATCGAAGATAGGATAAGAGATTGCTGGCAGAGGAGCTGATGGTGGTCCCAGGCAGGGGGCGAATGCGTGGAAATAAACACTATGTCTGACAGGCAGTCAGCCTGTTTAGAACCCGGCTTGCGACGCAAAAACCTTTTGCCAGACGATAGGGTATTTTCCGTAAATGGAAGCTCCCTTGCATCGCCCCTCGCAGCGTCGGGATCCGTCTCGCTTCCACCTCTTTCGCCAATCCATTTCAACATCACAATCGATGTCACACTCTAACCTTATTCCTTATTTGCTCTCTACATGAATAAGGCGCTCCTGGGATACGCCCGATTTTCGTGTTGGAGGCGACGAGCAAACTCACGCCCGGGTTCCTCGGCTACAACATTCAGAAAACGATTTTGCCCGAACGGCTCGACCTACAAGGCTGACGCCCACAAGCATGGATCATCCACGTGTGCTCATATGATAGAGTGACACGTATTTGTTCCTGGCGCCCGCCTGCATTAGTGTTTAGCTCTTGGATGTTGGTCGTAGATTAAGCATCAAAGTGTTACGAACACCTTTGCTGGCCTTTTCAGCCTCGCCTGGAACTTTGGAGAGGTACCCATATCCACTTGAATGACTATTGTAATAATTTGAGTTGTCAGCTGGTTGTGATGCCATCTCCCTCGCTCGGCTTTCGGACCGGAGATGAACCTGCCATTTGTTCTGAAATCAATCACTGACGATGGTAGCAACAAATACGTACAACCTTGATAAACTGCGAGAACTGGAGCGGCGGGAATCCCTCCCTGACTTCACCCTGCCGCCAATACTGGCCAGACTATCCGAATCCGACGTACCAAACTATGCAAGCCTCAACGACGAACAAGAAGCGGATCATCTGCTTTCGCTTCGTAAAGGTTCTAAAAAGCCCCTGATTCGGACTAAGCGGCGACTCGAAAGTCATACCTACAAGAATGTCACGGAAATTCTACCCGGACTGGTCCAAAATGACGGACGACCGGGCCTCGTGCAGGCTCTCATGAGAAAAGCATCCAACAAAGTAGAGAACGCAGAAAGGAGACAAATCCAGATCGAGCAACGGGATGCACTATTGGGATCGGCGGTCCGAAGAGGCAACGTTGAACTCGTCGGGCTCTTAGCTCCTACATGTTCTCAAAATCAACGCAATCAAGCTCTCGGTTCGGCCATCCGTCGCAGAAATGAAGCCATCATCACGAAACTTCTCGAATACGGGGCCGACCCCAATAAATGCAAGGATCAATTTACAGAAGCATGCCAAAAGGGCGACGTCGCCGTTGTATCAATCCTGCTTCGCGCTCCTATTCCAACGCACACGGAAATCCTGGTAGATGCTTTGACTCAGGCAGTTAAGAGTGGATCTTTGCAAATATTGACCCTTCTCACCGGCGCTGTCGACCTCGCCAATACCCCAGACTTGGAGGCCGTCCATGAAGCTGTTCGCGTGGTAAGGGTGGACCTGCTTCTTAGACTTCTTCTTTGTGCGAAGTCCCTGAATGCTCAGAAACTGGACGGCCTGGTCAAGAGAGCATTTGAGATGTCAAATGCTGATGCTGGCCTGAGGCTTCGGATTATTGACGCTCTCTTCTACGCAGGCGCCTCTGGCAACAACTCGGCAGCGTCCTTCGCCGATGCAGTCGCTTCGGACCTAACGGATTTCATCGCCTTGTTTGCGAAGCACCATGTTAGCATCAACTGGGAAGAGGGTAAGGCCGTCGTCAGAGCTGCTCGTGCAGGACGCAGTGAACTCTTGAAGGCTGTTTTAGCCAGCGGCGGTCTAGCACCAGACAATGCATCCAGGGCAATGAAAGCACTTCCCAGACATGTTCCCGCAGAAGAAAGGAAACGCATCAATGAGATGCTGTTGGACACTGGAGCGCACGGGTCCGCGATCGATCATGAGCTCATTCTGGCCGTCAAAGACAGCGATGAGCGCGCCATAGGGATGCTCCTGCGGCGGGGTGCTTCGTTGACCCGCAACAAAGGGCACGCATTGATTGAGGCTATCGAACATGAACAGGTAGGAGTTTTGCGAACGCTTCTGACCTGGTCCGTGAACACGGAGTCCCTCCAGAAGGCATTTCCGCATCTTCGAAGTGCCGGGAAGGCTCCGCGGCTGGAAATGACCAGGCTCCTGCTCGACGCAAAGGCCTCGGGGGATTCTGTCAACGCAGCGCTGAGAGATGCGGTCTGTGACCAGAGTGCTGACAGAGACCCTCTGCTGATTGATGCGCTGATTAAAGCCGGCGCTGACCCATCGTTCAACGATGCAGAAAGCATTCGGCATGCGATCAACATGAATGATGTTAAACTGTTTATGGATCTTACGAAGAGTGCAACTCTAGTCTCAGAAGGCGTTTTCTCTTCGCTGACCGCTGAAATTGTGACGCTAGAAAATCTAGACGCCCGTTACTACATGATGCGACGAGCCATCGAACAAGGTGCCCGAGTCAAGAGTATCTCCAGAGCCCTCTGCTCGGAACTTTCCAAAGACAAAGCGGAGGTCAGAATGATTGATCTTCTGGTAAATCGTGGCAGCGCGGAGGTCGACGACGATGGCGGGCGCGCACTGAAACTTGCTGCCGTACAACAAGATGATGATATTTTGCAGCTCGTGGCGTCGTCTCACAACCTGTCAAGCCAGACCGTTTCAAAGGGTCTTTGCGACATGCTTCAGAGCGAAAACTTCAATGATGAGCAAAAGTCTTTCAGGGCAGAAATTCTACTTTCCAAGAAGAAGTCAGACTACATTTCGGTCAAGGCATTTTCTACCTACGTCAAATTTTGCACGACGGCATTTGTGAGCGGCCGCGTGTGGCCATTGCGGACTTTCGAAGCACTTCTCCAGGCGGGAGCTGACATCAACATGGCAAGTGGCGCAGTATTCACATCTGTCGTCGACAACGCCGCGATTCCTTTGGCGAAGGCCATGTTAGCATGTGGAGTGTTGAGACAAGAAATTGTGGACCAAGCTTTGCTGCATTGCGTGAGGCTTCCTACCGTTGACGACAGATCCGAGGCTATTGGTCTGCTCATTCAATACCGTCCATCGTTCCACGGCCTTTCCGACGCTCTGATCGAAGCGAGCCAGTTACAACTGACAGGAGCTGCGAGACAACTTCTTCAACACGGAGTCTCGATTAATTTTCAAGATCATGAGGCTGCGATACAAGTTGCCACTTCGACGGGCAATTCAATGCTCTTGGCGACATTTTTGTCATTCAAGCTATCACACAGCTCACTCTCGGCGGCGTTCCAAGAAGCAATCACACTCAAGGACTCAGCGTTAAGGTTCTCTTCGATGAAAGCTATTCTTCAGGCTGGCTTACGTGGTGATATTGTTGACCAGCATTTGATTGCCTTGGTACGGAATGACCTCACTCCCATCGACGAGATTGAACTTTTACTTGACCACGAGGCGTCGGTACATGCGCAAAATAGCTTCAGCATAATCTTCGCAGCAACATCAAGAAATCGAGATGTCTTGCGACTTCTTTTCACGAGAGCTGTCCTTCCAAACACTGCTGCTCGTTGTTTCCAGGCTTGTCTTGCTGCCGGACTGGTCGAACGCCATGAAATACGGGTTCTAAAGTTTCTTCTAGAACAAGGAGAACAAATGGGACAGGGGGTGGACCAGGCGTTACTCGACCAAGCACTTCTAAAATCGGTCGAAAATCTCGGAACTGATCCGTCCGGAGGCCTTCCTATGGTGCAGATGTTGGTTGAGAAAGGAGCGAGAGCTGATCTTGGAAATGGTGCGGTTTTATGTCGTGCCTGCGAGATCGGGAGAGTCGACATCGTTTCAACATTGCTGCTATCGAATCCGGGCACGTCCTCGAAATCTAGGGCCTTACATTACCTGGTGAAATCCAGTGTTCCGGGTATGGAGTTTTGCACGGCGCTCGACATGATCATGGCTTCTACCTCGCCAGGCAATCCGGGGGGAACAAGAAGTCTCTACGAGACCACCAAGCCCAACTTCGTCGATCATCAGCGTGATTTTGAGTCGCCCATCCGAGTTCTGCTCAAGGGCAGGCCCGGAGACACTCACAGCTTAATGAAAGTCATCGGATATGGCTATAATGTATGTATCGTCTCGACCACGCATTTAGGCGTTAAAGCAATCACTGATCCCTTCACAGGTGGCGACAAAATTCGAGAAAGACATTCTCTACTGGGCGATGTCGCAGCAGAATCCTCGAATCAAGACCGATTGTCTGCAGATCCTGATCCAAAACGGAGGTAGGCTATTCTTCCCAAGATTGCGCGTCACCACTAACCTTTTTGCCGAAGCAAATGTTCACTCTCGAGACCCGGCCACCGGGGACACTATGATTTTGATGGCGTTGAGGACGGGACGGTCGGCATTGGTCGACAATCTCATCCAAAACGGTGCGGATGTATCTGCCACGAACGATAAAGGCAATTCTCCCTTGTTGCTCGCCAGCGAATTAGGAAATACGGCTGCTGCCGAGAGGTTTATTGCCACAGGCGTGAATCTCAACGACGGAAGTCTACATCAGGCTGCACGCAATTTGCAGTTGAGCGTTGTCAAATCCTTACTGCAGAATGGCGCCGATCCAAATTATCGATCCCGCGTACACGGCGGAAGAAGCCCGCTGGGCGAGCTTTGTTTGACAGCCCAAGCATCGGGATCATCCTATCAAGTTATGGTGGACACTCTGAGAGAACTATGCCAAGGTGGCGCCGACTTCAAAGAACGGATTGGCCGAAAACCCTTGATCTGTCTTGCTCTGGACAATTCCGACCCTGCACCAATGGTCGAAGCGATCATGGCGGCATATCTTTCTAAACTCATCGACGAGGACTTCAATCTGTACGAAGAAAATGACGTGGTGTACTCGCCCACGTACTATGTTTTGAAAGGAATATTTCGTGGCCCTGCGGCGAAGTCACGGGAACTTGTAAGACTTTTGAGGACATACGGCGCCAACAGGGATGTCTATTACAGTCTCAGTGGGCCACAACCTCCCAAGCCTCAGGGCATGCCTCCTCATATTGCCGAAAAGGAAGCAATCAGGATAGCAAAGGAAGAGGAGATTGCGGCAGAAGAGGCCGATTATCGGCGGAAGGTCAATCGCCTCATTGAGGAGGAGCAACGTCAACAGAGCATCGAACAACAACGACACGAGCTCAAATTGAAACACCACGAGGAGCTCGGAATGCAAAGCATTGGACAAGCCCGTCAGCTGAGCCGTGTTGATCGCGAGCGACGAGAAGACGAATACAACCATCAACGACTTTTGAACGATCTCAGTCGTCAACGAGAACAGGACCAACTCCGAACTCGACAGAGTGAGAGGGATCAAGATGAGAGACACCGACGAAATCTGCTCAAAATTGAAACAGCGGCATACGGTGAACGGATGCAAATTGATCTAGACAATCGCAAACAGATTGACTACATTGAGCGAAAGGCAATTGATTACAAGGTCACAGCCGAGGAAGGGCTCGCAGAAAGGGAGCACCGGCGAAGAATCGAGCAGCTGACACTGGCAAAAGCGGTGCCAATCGGTCTGCCCATGCTGAACCCATCGCCCTCTGGAGGAGGATTTATCGAAGGTCCAAAGTAACGCATTGATGGGGTCGAAAACGGGATCACTGAAATGTATCCCTGGACACAATGTTGTAAGTCACATGATATCCAATGCATCCACGTGATCGCAAGTAAAACCCCGGAGAGCTGACAGAGCACCGAGGCATCTGTCGGCTAATTTCTGCGCTGGCCCCGAAAGTAACGAGGAAAATGAATGGCATTGTACCTCGACGCTGAAGGCATGAGAGTGAGATATATTTCACTCTCTCTCTCTCTTCGATGCTTTTCCCATTCTGGTCAGCTATAAATCGAACAGTGTTGTGAACAAGGTGACGCTTCTCGTCCTCCCCACTGTATTGATCCTGTCATCATGACTTCTCAGTCCTCCTTGAAGCAGATCCCTTTCTCTGAGCCTCCGTGGCTCGCGGGCCTTCCTTCCCCATATTACAAGGAGACGCATAAGAGATTTCAGAAAGCATGCCGGGCATTTATCGAAGAACACCTGCTTCCCTTCGCCATGGAATGGGAGCGTGAGGAGACAGTTCCGGATCACTTGTTCCAGACCTTCGCCAAACACAACATGCTCATTCCCAATCTGCCGGCGCCCTTACCTGTCGACTGGTTGAAGAGATTGGGCATTCATGATATTCTGGGAACACCGGTGCAAGAATGGGATTACTTACACACTGGCATCTACTTGGATGAGATGGCCCGGTCAGGTCTCGGTGGGCCCGGTGGTTCCATGACTGCCGGCCATGCGTTTGGTGAGTAATCCCCAAGTCCCAACGATTGATATCAATCAGACACCCTAATGGAGTCATCTCCCACTGATCCTGGCACGTAGGGATCCCCCCCATTATCAAATTCGGAAGCAAGGCCCTGCACGAGAAATTCCTCCCAGATCTCCTCCCCGGCAAGAGGCGGGCTTGCATCGCCATCACCGAGCCCACGGCCGGCAGTGACGTAGCTAACATTGCGACGACCGCCACGAAAACCCCCGACGGAAAATTCTACGTGATCAACGGACAAAAGAAATGGATTACCAACGCCTATTGGTCCGACTACGCCGCCATGGCGGTGCGGACAGGCGGTCCCGGCGCCCCCGGGCTGAGTATGATCGTGTGCCCGCTCAAAGGACACCCGGGCGTAACAATGCGACGGCTCAAAGTCGCCGGCCAAATCAGCGCGGGCACGACCTTCATCGAGCTCGACGAAGTCAAAGTGCCTGTCGAGAACCTCATCGGCGAAGAGGGCATGGGCATGCGCTACATCATGACCAACTTCAACCACGAACGGCTCACCATCGCTGTGAGCGTGGCGCGGCAGTCGCGCGTCGCGGTATCTTCGGCCTTCGAGTACGTGATGAAGCGCGAGGCATTCGGCAAAGCACTCATCGAACAACCCGTTGTGCGGCATCGATTGGCTAAAGCCGGCGCAGAGCTCGAAACCCTCCAGGCTTGGGTCGATCAGTTCCTGTACCAGATGACACAGCTGAGCAAGGCGGAGGCAGATCTGCGGCTGGGTGGTCTCACGGCCCTGGCGAAAGCGAAGGCCGGTATGGTTTTCAACGAGTGCGCACAAACCGCCGTGCTCTTGTTTGGAGGCAACGGGTACACGCGCACCGGCCAGGGCGAGATCGCCGAACGTCTGTATAGAGAAGTTCCGGGGACCCGAATCCCAGGTGGCAGCGAGGATGTTATGCTCGATCTGGCGATAAGGCAGCTGGTGAAGAACTATCGAAATGCGACGAAGGCGTTGGATGCGAAAGGGGGGAGTAAATTGTAGAAGAATGGGTGATGACTGGAGGATACGGGGATTATGTGTACGAAAGACATGCCAGTTCTGTTTCATACAGGAGACTTGTCCGTCAAGTTGAGCTCGGACTCGATCTAAAATACTATACGGTAACTCGAGTATGGTACCATACGAATGGCCTATTTCTCTTTGGATAGAGATATATGTCGGCCCAATCCCCGTCCCAATCGTTTCTGGGAGGGAAGTGGATAAGCAACCAGCCAGAGAATCGGAAGATCGCGATCACTGGTGAGAAGTAAGAGAGAAAGAGAAGATTAACCCTGTGTACTACTGTAGTGTTCTCTATTCCTGCTCCCTATCGACGTATTCCACGCTATGAGGACCCTAGAGAGTGTATTCGTTTGTGGGCGATGTCCTTCGCTTCCTTCGTCTTTGTTGATTCCGAGGCGTAATTTCTTCGGCACAACGCCCACCGAAGGCGCCCTCGCTCCTCGTCATCTCCAGGGCCGGCGGGTTCAAGCCTCGGGAACACATCCACCGCGCGTCTCTGCGCTTTTGAAAACGTACCCCGCGCCGGTCGCCGGTGATGGTGGGGGGACTTGAGAGAATAGCGTAGAGGAGTTGCGTGGGATTCAGCGTGTCGACCCCAAACATGGCACTGGCACATCGGCAACAACACGGACCACGGACGGGGGCAAAGGAAATGACGGCTTGAAGTACGCCCTGTGAGAACAGCGAGAAAAAGGTCCATGTCGAAAAGTAGAAAGTGGAACTGAACTTCTTTCGTCCTTTCTAAGGTTGTGAACTCTTTTCTTCCTTCCCCTTTCTTCGTTTTTCTTTCCGTCCGTCTTTCCTACGTCTCCCTGTACAGGTCGGTTTTAGTTCCCCTTCAAGAAAGCCACACAAGATGGCCTCCGTAATGAACAATGCAAATACACTGCGTAAAGCGCTGACTAAAGGCACTGGCCTCTCCTTCGGTGCCTGGCAGATGCTGCCAGGAACGCATCTGTCAAGAACGATCGCCAGAGCAGGCTTCGATTGGATCTGCATTGATTGTGAACACGGCAATATTGCAGGTGAGTAGGTTGAGACGCCCCGGGTCGTAATCTGGTTGGTTTTGGTTCAATCAAGCTGACCAGAGCGAAACAATAGATAGTGATATGCACGACTCCGTCCACGCCATCGCCTCCTGCAACGTCAGCCCCATTGTACGTATCCCCGCGAACGAGGGTTGGATGGTCAAAAGGGCCCTAGACGCCGGCGCTCACGGTATTATCGTGCCATTGCTATACAGCGTCGAGGATGCGAGGAGACTGGTGCAGACGGCCAAGTTCCCGCCGTACGGCAAGAGAGGGTTCGGTAGCCCGTTCTCCATGGGCGCGTTTGATGTCAAGGGGGATTTGTCCGGGTTCGAGTATATGAAGAATGCGAATGAGAATCTTTTGACGATTGTCCAGATTGAGACGAAGGACGCTTTGGATTGTGTGCGTAAAAACAATCCGGGACAGGACATTCCTCAGCTGATGATTCGACGTCTAGGTCGAGGAAATCGCCCAGGTCGACGGCATTGACGTCCTCTTCGTCGGTCCTTGGGATTTAGGCAACAATATCGGGCATCCCGTGATGGGTGATTTTGACCCCGAATTGAAAGAGGCGATCGCCCGAATCCTGAAAGCTGCTCAAGGCGCGGGCAAGAAGTCGGGCATATATTGTCCATCTGGAGAGTTTGCCAAGAGATATGCCGATATGGGATTCCAGATGGTCAGTTCTTTTGGCGCCTCTTGGAGAGACATGTCGTGTGCTGATCGAGTCCTCTAGATTTCCGTGGTCAACGACATGACGGCAATCCCGACGTTTATGGCGGATTCGTTGTCGAAAGCAAAAGGAACTTGGGGTCAGGCCGCTGCCCAAGCGATCAAGGGGGCTGCGTACGGTGCCGCAAACATGGTGACGAAAGACTAGGTTCATGGAGCTTTGGAGATAGTGACACAAATTAACGATCCAAGAACATCACGACGATGAGGTCTGTTCCACCTCGGCCGCGGCTCTCTCCACCTCCTCGACCGTGAAGCGATGCATGAGCTTCTTCGCCGCCTCGAGCGTGGGATGGGTATTGGTCCCATCTGCAACCCTGTCCACGTGTAGGACGGGGACATCGAATTCATAGACATCCCTCCATTTCTGCTGTGCGGAATCCATAATGTCGATTTCGGAGTAATTGATTGGGCGTGGACATTTCTTCTGGAACTCGTCGATGCGTGCTTTGGCCACGTTGCAGAGTCCGCAGTTGGCGCGGGTGAACAGAGTTAATCGTACGCCGGACACGCGGAGTGCGAGGCTTGAGCGCATCTTGTAGCTTGTGTCGTGAAGATTTGACAAATCGAAATCTCAAACACGAGGGACCGTCGTTAAAGTTGGAGCTGGTCAAGGGTCACCTGTTTCGAAGAAGCGAAGGCCAAGGAATATTTTGATACCAGAATTTTTCGTTGCCGCTTTGAAGGGCGGGTTGCGCTAAACTATTTCAGCGCATGCCAAGGTTCAAGCATTATGGACCCACAATCTAGCGATACCCTTGACGGCCACTTCAGTGAGTGTTCAGCTGGGTTATCCTTTTGCAAAGGCTTTTGATACCCCGGGTTTGGTTTGGTGCTTTTGTGGGCATCTAGCTAGTTGATCATGGTGGCATCCGTTGTTGAGCTAGTTTGCTGGTTATCCACGTTTTCGGGGATTGATCATGTCTTTGCTGGCGTCATTGGTTCTCAGCGTATCCGACGCATAAAAAACCGATCTACGCAGAATGAAGCCTTGCAGGGTTTTATACGGGGAGTCTTATCGGAGGAACGGACAGAAATGTTGGAGATTGAAGGAAAAAAAAAAAAAAAAAATTCATGATTCCTCCTGCAAAATGCAATGTTCCTCTGTAGTGGTGCCCAAGTCTCTTATGTCGAAGGTCCCCGGGCTGATGCCAAGGGTAATAGGGGGTTAGTCATCCCACACTCTGAAGTTCATCCGTACACGTAGACCGCTAGATCGAGAAGACCCAAAGTTGACGCCGGCAATCATGAAAAACTGTCCCCCGAATCATGAGTCGGGTAACAAGATTCGAGACCCAACACAGCCAGGAAGTCAGTCACTGAAAGACGGCTGTTCAAGCAGGGGGATCTGTGTGGTTGATGTATGGACATGCGTACTTGGAGCTTGTCTAGAGGGATCCTCTTGCGAAAAGCGTTGTTCGGATATCCCGGATTGCATGACTTTCTCTTCAAATTTTTTTTTCTCTATTTTTTCCCTCCCACGTAAACAGAGCGGTGATTAATTGTGCTTGGTAAACAGTCTCCATGGATCCGAGGCTGACACTGGAAGAATAAGAGGCAAGAGAATGCGTATTCGAGTCCAGCGTAACTTTTGAGGTTGAGCATTGTTGTGTCTTGAATCGACATGCATACAATCAGATTGAGGATGTACGATGAAGGATGTGTGGCAGTTGTTTAGCGACGATGATCGTCAGCAGCTAGACGCCTCCGGTCGCTGCAAATTCCCCAGCTCACTGCGAGCGGTCCTCCTTGAACTTCTCCAGACCGCCGCGGCCTCGATAACCGTCAAGGATATTTTCATTCCTAGTCCGGGGCTTGCGTGCCTCTTTTCTTTGGTCTGCGCCGAGCGGCTTCGCTTCGGATTCTTGTTTCACTTCAGCTCTTGCATCTCTGAATAATGCAATACCATCTGTGCCTTCGACGGGCTCCAGAAGACCGTGCCTGCGCAAGCTTTCACGCCGCATGTCCAATTGTCCGCCATCAGCTTCTCTGTGGAGTTTGGCATTTCGTTTCGCGGCTCGGATCGAGGTAACAGAGTATGTATAAAGAAGGCCAGCCATTATGACAGCGGCAATCGGGGCTGTGACAGTCTATTTGACAAGTGAGCTTTCACAGGTGGCATCTTGGTTCGACCGAAGACAGTACTTACTCGAGGCGTCCAGGCGGATCCTCTACCTTTGGCTGGGGCGCCCATTGTTGTCCAAGATCTAGGACACCAGTCGAAAGAGGTATTCTAACAACCGAATTTGGATATCGTCAAGATTCAGTAATCATGATGCCAAAAAATAAACACAGGTTTTGGGTGTTGCGTGATTCGTTTTCGTCCATGCTCTCTCCGCAATTCGAGTCACCCCGACCCCACGCTACCCCCGTTGCCTTGTCGGCATCATTATTACAGTATTGCATCAGCATGTCTGTCGTCTTTTCCTTCTCTACAGATTGGTCTTGAGGATCCTAGATCAAAAGCAACACTGCTGTACTATACAGAGATCAGGATGGTACGAACTGTCCTGATGAAGGCCACATCAATCGCCAACCGGTGCTTCGTCTCTCTCATTCGTTCTATGGTATTTCCTGTTCCAAGAGACACCAGCATCTTTCATTGAATGGCAAACAGACATCTCGGTCTTTAAGTGTTTATTCTAACGGATTTTCTCATCTTCCTGTCACCGAGCCTGTCGTTTCTCACTTATGCTGAAATCAATGCCGCGTCCCAGTTTCTCTTGTCAATTTGCATCCATCACCAATGCAATGCACGCTGCATTTCGGGTGGCAGGTCAACAATTCCAAGATCTCCCTTCCTCTCGCAGCGCTCTTCCAAATGTGTGACTTCAACGGGTGAATGTTGAAAGAGTCCGGAGATGAAGCTGCCGATGTCCCTTGGGTCACAATGCCTCCGTGGAGGTATTGGCCCCTTCAAATGTCACACAGCCCATCCATTCAGAGGCCTTTCGGTGCCGGGTTGAGGAGATATACCTCGCCAATCCGTGGTCGAACCGCTCTCTTCAGAAAGTCCACCGGTCGGCGTAGCTAGCCGAGGAGCGAATAAGGAAGGTCATTATGTTGGAAGCCTTTCGCTAAATTCTCCTACTCGTGCCTGTTGTTACCGTATATCTGACGTGGGAGGCTTGCTGACCTCATCGCCACGCATCTTTCTTCTGCGCTGCCACGGCAGAAAGCGGATCAACTAGGAGCCATCAAGGCAGACCCGTTGCTTCTGACGGCAAATCATGGGCATCTCAAGCTGACCAGGACCCAAATACAATGGCTTGCGGCGTACAAAACAAAACAGGAACGGTGCTTCTTCCTTTCTTGCCGTCGCGTGATCTGTCCCAATTGGCTTGGGAAGAGTCCACTCGTATCTGTCCAGTGGGAGAGCAATAATTTCCCTTCCCCTCTCTGGGGGAGCAGAAGGTCGTCGGTGAGCTTTGTGGCTGAGTTTTTCGTGTGGAAATTGTTCGGCAGCCGTCTTTATCACTCAACAATCGCCGCTTCCAGACATACCCGAGTGTTCTTGCTCTCCCAACTGTGTGTCCTTCGTGCCTATATTTCCCTCCTTCGGAACATACCATTTTTCTCTCTCCTCCTTCACAGTCATATCGTGCACGGTTAAGAATCCGCCAGATTTCCATACGGCCACGTTTCTTCGCCACTGAATCCCTCCGAATTGCGACCCTTGTCAACCTAACCAGAAAGCTGGTCCGCCCTGCGAAATCAGTGCACAAGAGCTATTAAGGCCACCGTCTCTACAAAAGACTCAGAAAACACCCAGGTTTTTCTTCCCTTCTATTCGCCCTTATCTAGGCGCCTCTTGTGGCTTGGTTTGGCGATTCAAGCATTTTCTTCCTGTCCCAGCCGAGCCCCGCCTTTTCCGATCCTCCGCCGAAAGCTCCAAGGGTCAGACAGGGAGGAAAATAGCAATTCGAGAGGGATACGGAGCAAGCCTGATACCATGACGTCCTTGATATTTGGTTCGATTTATCTGGGCCACAAGGGCATTGTCCACCATCGTCGCGAGAAACAACGTCAGAAAAACTACGAGCGCTGGGAAGGACTGCGCGACGAGTATGATGAGCAAAGAAAGATAAGCCGGGAATCTCGGTCTCTGGACATCCAACGAACAGGGCCAGATTACAACAGGGATGTTGAGATCGACAGACCAATCCTGACCCTGCGTGATCAACAAGAAGCAAACGATGCACGCACTAGCTGGCGACCACAAGAAAGCTGGGACCTTCCTGCAGACAATCGAAGGGCCAGCGTTGAAGTGACCGCGGGCACCGGTCTAAGACCAGTAATGAATCATAAAACTGGATCGACTTGGGACGAAGGCATGCCACAACCGCTGAGAGTAAGTCGACGAAATTGGGACGACTACCAGCCTGCAAATCTGAGTGGAAATGTCAGTCGAAGTGGGAGTCTCCGAAATCCTAGTGGAGCGAATACCCCTCGGGATCGGAGTGCCAGCAACACGCCATCACTGAACAAAAAGCCCTCTCCTCGCCCGGATGTGGCATCACCAACGAGCACTTCTCATCCTCATCCTTCTAGAAGCGTCAGTGTCCCTACTCCACTCGTACAACATGAGTACATCGAGCCTATTGAGTATGAGACACCGGGCGGACGTATGGCTGAACTTATCGAGATGGGAGATTCACAACGACCGACACCGTTTCCCCAACAAATGCCACCATCGTATGCGGGTTTCCAGCCAAGCCATTACGGTTCCTCGACTATTGCCACGCAACAGAAGTCCGATGGCATGGAAGAATGGTGGAATCGACCTTGACTCACCTAGATCCTGACTCGACCTAGGGGGAATTGACATTTTGAGGAGAACTATCCAGGCTAGGAAGCAGAAAGCCCATCAATATTTGCCGTTATTCCTGGCTTGTTCCATCCGGCGAAATCTATCCATCTCATGCCTTAATTTTTTTTTTATCACGATTCTCAGCAACGGCGTTCCTATCATGAATTAGCAATGATTTCACGACATGACGAGTGCAAATGGAGACGATTTTTCGAAGGAGGCCGTTGTCCACTGATTTCCATCCAAGCCAGCGGAGTATTTCATCTGTTGAGGGGGGGCATCTTGATTGCTCGAGATGATGAAATCGGAGAGGCAGTAAGGACATCGGGCGGCAAGATAAAAAGGGAAACCTACGTTTCTTATCGCAAAATACTGCATATATATGAGAGCTAGCGGATGGTGGATAAGCGCACCTGGAGTGGTAGTGAGCACGATGAACGTGATATAAAATCATACAGGAGCAACTGAACTCTGAAACCATATCCATCACATAATTCATTGACCTTCGCTGTATTTTTCTTCTCGTTTGCTTGGCCTGTGCCTACAGAGGGTCCTAGGTAGGAGACTCTGGCGCGGTCCTGTGATTGTATGACATGGTCGATATGCATAAAAGGCTCTGACATTATGCTGACTGATGCCGATATTGGATACTGATACCGATAACGCTTGACATCGACATTGACATTGATACGGCTATTGATCTTGTTGATATTGACGCCGCCGCTGACCATACCCTTGACCGGGACGGACCCTTAACCTGACTATTATCCCGAGAATAACGCCAAAGAGGTAAGAATAAACATGGACACAGACAGACAGCGACGCAAGACCGGGACTGAAACTGAGGGACCAGCAGCGGCATCAGTGCTTTGCCTGGACGTTGAAGACGTAAAGCGGAGCCCGAGTCGGATGGATGACTTGAGTCTGAGTCTCAAGGAAGACTTTGAAGACACACTAGGGCCGCCCCAGTCCCAAATTCAAGTCCCCAGTTCAGGCTCTCTCAATGTAAAGGCAAAGACCAACTACCCCCTTATCCCATATCTCTTCTTGATTCCTTGTTTCCTCGTTCCGAACTCCTCCAACACAGGAGGATACAAAAGGGTAACGTAAACCCGTCAAAAACGACACTTTTGGGGAGTCTTTGTGATTGGCATATTCTTCTTTCTACGCTGCATTGCCTGGTTTTTCTTCGGTGTCGATGTGCTATTGATTTCCCGAATGTCAGCTTTCAGAAGGCTACCATAAGGCAAAGTAGGGGGAATCACATACCCAAACGACATAATTTGGCAAGCCCACAACTTGATATCCGGCCCTCTTGGCCATTTTGGCAAATCCCTCGGTCTCGGCTTGGTTTTCAAAAGCGTAGCAGGGGAAATTGATGCCTGTCGATGAAATACCGGTCAGCAATGTTTCTGTTGTCAACGTCGGGGACCGGGACCGAGCGGAATACACTCACCAGACCTGTGCACGTCAGCCTTGACGAGAATGTTGACACCACCAATGGCGTCTAATTCTATTTCTTCGTCTTTGTTATTTCTCCAGTCGCCCATCCGAGCCAGATATGTGCGGCCGGTATCATATTCTTTGTATCCCTCTGCCAGGACGACGTCCTTGTCCAAGCTAGCTGCCAGTCTTCTACCCTTGTCAGATTCGATCCAAGAATTATAGTCGAAGCGGCCTTCAATGTCGCGACCGTTTTCGTAACGGTGGAACCAGATATCTGCAATGCCTTAGATTTGTCGTGTAGCGACAGAGGACGGGGAACTTACTCGGCACCAAGATGTCTCTATCATGGGCGACAAAATCTTCAATGATCTTCTTAGGACTGTCGACGATATCTACGTCGCGCCAGTACACCCACGAGTGTTCGGGTTTCAATGCCGCGTAGAGAAGATAATTTCTTGCTCTTCCCATGGCTTTTCTCCTGGGGCCCTGTGCAGCGAATCCATGCCTGGATTCGACGTCCATGTTGAGTGAGTTACCGAAATCCTTTTCAACTATCGTTACGCTGTGGAAGGGAATCTTGTCCGTCCTCTGCTGTATTCTGTTCAGCTCGGATGAGAGGACTGCGAGGGTATCGTCGATCGAGTCACCCACAAGAAAGGCGAGATCAATCAGCTCGTGGGGGTAGGTAAGCTCGGAAAGAAGATCGAAGTATTTGATCAGGTAAGGGGCAGCATCTCGTAGAGGGGTGAGGATGAGAACCCGCTCTTGGTTGCTGACTGCTCTTGAGGTCGAGACAATGGGATTGAGGTCAATTCGTTGAATTGTGCTCGCGTTGACCTCGTAGGGTTCATGATGGTTGAACAGGACTGGAGTTTGTAGATGCTGATTCCACGCCACCATTTCGTTATTGGTCATCTGAGTCGGCGGCTTTGAAGGTCCAAAGCAGTAAAAACTACCATATCAATTAGCCATCATTTTTGTGCCGGTCCTAGAGGCTGAGTCGTGTAAATACTTTGACATCTCTCGTGTTGATACTGTAATCCCCCTCCATAATAAGACAATCAGGCCAGTGAGTGCGACAGCCACCAACAATCGTGTGCGGGTCAAAAACATTAACACAGCTTTCCATGGAGGTAATCTTGCTTTGGCGGACTTCCAGGTCAGGCCGCCTTTAGGAAGAAGCATGGCGATGAGCAAATGTACAGGAGGAAAATTTCAGACGAGGAGAAGATTGAGGGTGCGAGAAAGGAATAGCCTCACTAGGAGGACGTCGTCAAGGTCGTGGCCAGGTTGAGCTGCTGTTGAGGAACGAATGGAATGGCCTGCGTGAGGCCAAAAGGGAGGAGAGGAGCGCAGTGGGGGGAGGTGAAATTAGGTCGATTAGACGCGATTCGATGAGGACGGTGGGAGTAACTGAGCCGAGGATGATGCTTGAAGGTGGCAATGGGATTGATGGCCAGGGAAATGCAGTTGAACTGCCCAGAGTGATGTTGGAGGTGGTTCGAGGATAAGGACTCTTTTCCCATACGAACTTCTGCTGAGGGCCTAAAGGGGAATAGCCCGTTCCCGGCCCAAGATATTAGACGTCGACGTCGCAAGACGCCTGCGTGGCCTTATTTCACTTTGAACTACCTCTGCTTAGCATATCCTGTATCTCTTCTTTTATCACCATGAACATCCCCATGCCTTCGCTCCTCCTTCATCATCACGACGGTCATATCCTACGGCAGGACATCAGTAACCAAACGTCTCAATCCTCCATGGCACGAAAAATAAGGTCCGAGAACCGGAAAAGAGATAATCCCGAGATCGTGGCATAGCATGCCTCTATTGTTTGCCGATCCGTGAAGTGTGGCGGTACGATTTTCACCCAAAGGAAGAGTATTCCCTTGCCGATAGGCTGAATTGAGCCATCAATGCTCTGTGTCGAGAATGACATTAGAGATGAAAGCTTTTGTCTCGTCCGGGCTAGCTGTCGGCGAGGGCGAAATGCTCTGCATCGTCATTGAGCGGCATTCGTCTTGAGGAAGTCCTCGTCGCCGCTTCCAGAGGCTACATGATGACGAGCTTCGACTATAGCCGCTTTCACTGTCCGTGCTGGCATTTTCTGCTGGGCCTCGCTGGGCCTCGCCGTCTGAGTCAATCTGGAATCTCCTCTTGCCCACACAGGTTGGGAGACGCAGTGAGGTTGAATGCATGAAGTCAAAACGATCTTGTTCCTCCTGAGCTCCGAGATTGGGGTTCATCTGCCGACGGATGAATTGGAGTAACACTCGAATGATCTTTTCGGCCCTTTTGCGTCTATCGTGTTCAGATTGAACCACTCTGGCTGCAAGCTCTTGAGCATAGATGGCTGCCCACAGTTGCTCATCTTTCCCCGGGCCCTTAGCGCTTTGACTTCTGGTTGAAGCCTTTTGTTCCCTTGCGTGTTCGTCACCGCATTCAGCTACAACGTCACCACAGCGAAGGTGACTTTGCTTTTGCAACTTTCGATGCTGGTCACGCCGCTTTTTTTCCACTTCTTTGTGATTTTCCGAGGATTCCTTGTTCCTCTTCCGTCTAGCCAGGGCCACTGGATCAGCTTCAATGATCAAGCTTGGGATCTCAGAGGCAGCTCTCTCATCGGTTAATCTCTTCGGAATAGTTACCCTTTCTCCATATGGTATGCGTTCTTCATTTCGGGAGAAGAAAGTCTGGACGAGGCTATCCCTGTCTAACCCCCGAATTTTGTCCTCTAGCTTGTGACTGACTTCATTGCCTGGTGAGTGTGGACGATACCAGCCTTGTTTATAGGCGGGCTTAACAGAGGTATCCAGCAACTCAGATATGCAATGATGGAGACTGAGGAAGTCGGGCTCTGCCGGTTTGAGCAAGTCTTCCAACGATCCTTCGAAATCATGTTCAACGTCAGCGGAAGTTGAACAAGCCGGAGTAGCTGCAGTGAACGTGAACGCTGGCGATGGAAGCTGATTTGGAGGTGATGGACAGGCCTTTTTGGGACTCCCTTCCAGAATTGGAGCCTCGACTTCCTTCACCAGCTCTGGAATCTGTGGGAGGACTCGATGGATGTTGGGAAGTATCGGGAGATCATTCGACCTGGATGCCCCGTGCCTTTGATCGAGACCAGTTGAAGGAAAAGACGACACTGGGGGTTGGCCGTTCAAAAGTTCAGCGACACTAGGCAATTTAATTTCTCGAGAGTGCCAGCCCTTAGGTGCGATCGTCGGCACGGTGCCCATTACGACCTGTCCACCAGGTCAGTCAATCTTGTGACTATGAGCCTGGATAGCAAATACTGAACGACGTCTATGTTTGTCCGCCGGAGGCAGCAATAGGAGATACAGATCACGCGAGCCTTGGCCAATGGCCTCCCAATCGGGCTAATACCTTGGAAAGGCCGGGAAATTCTCAGGCCACGGTCCTATACAGTCTGCTTTGCTGAACTGCGAACAAACTGGAAACAGGGGAGCGCGAAAAGAGATGGAATGAGCGAACGAGGCAAATGGCACTGGACGGCCAGGTCGACAGATATATACTCGAGCAGCGTGGCCTCCTTGACCCTTTTTGTTTTGCAGGAAGGCTGTCCTGGAGAGAGAGAGAGAGAGAGAGATAATGCATGAATTGACTCCACTTCTTTGTCCCCATCTTCGAGTTTACGAGGTTTCCTCTGCGCATCAGAAGGGGATCTCAACATGAACGAGGGTTCGAGGCATGATGCTGCAAGCCATTCACGACGTCATCTGATTCCGAGGCACTGCATCCACGATGAGCGTAGATGTGAACGGAGAAATGCAGACGCAGGTCCCTAGGACAGGAGTGGTGTTGGGTTTGGGATGATTGGAGGGGGAATTTAAAAAATAGAAAAAAAGAAAAAAAAGATCCAACCCGAAGATAGTATACTCGATGGAGGCCAGGATACGACCAGGAAGGACGTAGGACGAGACACCCCCCCTGATTCTCTTGTTGCCGAGCGACCATGTCAGAAGGCATAGACCTCTCTTACCAGGATGGCAATGTCAATAGAGATCGATCCTTCGTGTTGCTCCACATTTGCTTGGATTGCTTCCAGCCTCGCAGCGCCGATCACCTGTCTGATATGTTTCTGTGTGGGAAATCGATTCCCTGGGACCAACCTCTGGAATCGTTGTGTCGCTGGATCTGTCTGTGCTTTTCCTGCTCTAGGAACACTGACACTTTGGAGTTGAAGGCATCGGAGTGTGTGGAGCAAAGGGAGTTTGGACAATAACCTGTGCCGCGGTCAGGGGCCAAGAAATATGAGCTCAGCTTTCCCAGAATACGAGGGCAGAGCAGGGCAGAGCAGGGCTTGCGTCCGATGACAGCTCACTATGCCAGGATCATGGAGCACCGTCAGCCCAATCATTCTTGCATCCATGCAATGGAGAGCAATAGCCGCCCATCTGCGTCGGCTTTCACGTAGGGCTCCTGCTTGTACGTCTTTGGTGCTGAACAGGCACGAGCACAAATCCAACCGCACGATCATAGTAGAATGGTCGATACATTATAAGAGAGTATATATCTTCAAGGCCATAAAGACGTAGGGGGTATGTGTGGACAATATAGAAAACTGACCAGGTTTTGTGCCTTAACACCATTCTGCAGGATCAGCATTAGCTCCATAATGGGAGCGGCCCCTGGTTCGTAGGCCGTGCCACAATATGTCAAACGCTCCCATCCTGGTGCCTGACACCCAGGACATACAGTTGCATTCAGAGTATCCGGAAACACCTTCCTTACTCGTCTTCTGGTTCCTCCAATAGTTTCCTGGATTCGTCGAGCCTTCTCCTCATTACCTTTGCCGTCCGTACTTCCTGTTTTCTCTCGGCTTTCAGGATCTCATTGCAGACACCCCCTACGGCTCGTAAGAGATCGAGGACGAGATCCTTGTCAACTTCCGAAAATATCGTTGATCCTTGGCTTTCGGGGGCTTTGAAATTTGGATCTGCCAGTTTGATCAGACTCTCCATGAGGATCTCGGTATTGGCAGGATAGTCGGCCGGCCCCTCGGTCTGTCGAGGACTTTGCTGCTTGATCAGTCCGTCTGCTGTTGCAAGAGTGGTACGTGGCGACGGAACAGGAGGAGTGGGTATGCCGTTGGACACAACAGATGCCTGAATCTGAATATTTCGGGGTGATCTAACGGGACCCTGCCGAGCGCGTCCGTTCAAGGTCGGTGTTGGCCACAACGGAGAAGCGATTTCTCCTCTGGGGCTCGTTGGCGGCTGGGGAAATCCAATGTCATTTCCCCAATGCAAGATTTCACTCGGCATCCCATCCTCGCCCTCCTCCTCCTCCTCATCCTCATCGCCACCGTCTCCTTCAGTGGCCGTGGCAAAGGTGGCTTCTGTCGAAATGGAATCCACACTATTGCTCCTGGATGCCTTCATCCATGGTTTGGGAGGCGCCCTCAGATATGCGGCAGGGTTTGGCAGCACATCTGACTTCGGAAATTCTTTTTGAACTGGTGTGTCCGCTCCTTCGTCATTGCTCGACTGTGGATCCGACACTCTCTCTTCATCATCTTCGTCTGCCGTGGGGGTATTTTGATCCATTCGAGTGGTTGTGACGCTGCTGCCGTCACTCTCACTGGGGGTTTCGGTTCTCGTTCCTGTCCCGGTGTAATTTCCCAAGGCACTATGCAGAAACATGTTCTCGTAGTCAAAGGCATCCAGTCTGTCTTCGTGGCGTTCCGCTGCGCTATCACCTGGGAGAAAATGTTCGGGAAGATCCGGGACTTCGGGCTCAACCTCTTGCAAGCTCTCCTCGAGAACTTCATTCAAGTAGATCTGCTCTTCTTCCGAGGCTGCAACTGGTTCTTCGTCATCAAACTCTTGAGCCGCGTCTTCATAGTTTGATTCATGGATGATTGAATTTGACTCGTCGAGCATCGGGGAATTCAGGTGGACAGACTTGTGTAGGCTCGGCGTGTTCTTGTCCGTCCTGACCTCACTCAAAAGCATAGAATCGTTTGTTGTAGGCTGCTCGACGCTGAGAAAGGTTTGTGCTTGCGGCGTGACAGGGGTGACCTTGATTTCCACTGCTTTCTTCTGTTGAGAAGGGCTCCAGCCCTGGCCAGCGTTCGTATTGATTGGACTTCCCGCCTCTCTATACTCCGGAGCACTTGTATACCATAGCTCCGGCGTTTGTGCGTTGGCAAAAGGACTAGGCGTTCTCGTATGCTGCACACTCCGTCTTCTGACACTATCGGCCTGAGCCTTATCTTTCAAGTCCGAAATTCGGGCTCGAAGGTCCGACATTTGTTCGCGAATCTCTTTGGTAGAATGGCTTGACATTGCGGAGGAAGAGCGAGCAACGGCCGTGGTGGGACTGCTGGTGACGACGGAAACGTCTTCTTTCGATACAGAGGCCAAAGTATTGATCCCTAAGCCTCGTGGGGTCGCGGACTCGGGTAAAGTCTTGCTCGAGCCGGGAGGACTTTCTTCCTCCTGCAATACTCTTAAAGGTGAATCGAAGCTGCGATTACTGGCAGGAGAAAGCCCTCCAGTGCGGGTCGGCGGTGAAATCTGGGACTGAGATGGAGATTCTTGTCGGCGTCCGTACTCAAGAGCACTCGCAGACCTGATTTCCGGAATCATGGAAAGGCGTTTCAGTCCCGAAGCGGTGGTGATGTCACTGCCACCTCGGGTATGTGCGGCGGGATTTGTTCTGACGATGGGATACAATGATCGTGACTTGCGTTGGCTGGCCCCCGCCAGAGAGATGGAACGATACAGCCCGCCAGCAGGCTGATGTAGATCGGACATATTGGGCGACGAACGCGAGGAAAGAAGGATGCTGTGGCGCGCTTTGCTGAGATTGTCTTCCATGTGGGTTAATCTCTTCCTGGCGTGCTCAAGAATTCTTTCCGCTCGTTCGTTCAGTGCGGCCATCTCGTCTTCGGTGTTCACCGCCACCGTGCTGTTTCTCTTACTATCGGGATCCTCGATCTCATCATCCGGAACCTTGGCCACATCTGCAGCGAGTCTCTCGTTCATGATCTTGGAGGTGTCAAAATCCTCCCAATTGCCCAGGTCGGAGCCATTGCTGGAGGAAGAACGATGGCTCAGCCTCCGTAACTGACGTGATGAAGGCCCCGCTGGTGTGGGGGAAGGAGGGTCTGATGCTGTTGGACTGTCAGTCCTCCGGCTTTTTCTCGATTTAGGCGTCTCTTCTTCCCCAATGTCGCTCAGAGGCGCTCCATGTTCGTAACCATTATAACTGGTGTTGATAGGAGGAACCCCTCGCATTGGCATTCGAATCGTGGTCGCCATCCCCAATTCGACAGGAGGGCCAGGATCCGGCGGAGATGAGCTCAATGAGACAGCCGAATCAGGGCGCATAGGGAGAGAGGAGGACTGTAAGATGGGTGATGAGGCCAACGGTGTTGGACTTGAATCGTCCAGTGGGTTCACTGGGAGGATCATGTCGGGATTTGTCAACGTCGGCGACGGAGGCACTTCTTGAGTAAAGAGGTCGTGAGGAATCGGGTGAGCATGCGTATTGACCATCATCGTGACTCTTCGGCGGTTCTGATCGGGTTGAATTTAATATGCGACGAGTTTTCCAAAAATGCGACCGCAGCTCGAGGACGCCCCGTTTCATGGGATGGGCCACAGGCCAGAACCCAACAATCTCGGTGATTATTGTATGTAGGGCAACTTTGGAGCATTGACGGGTCAGCTGGGCGAGAACAGAATCATATGCAATATTGAAATGAGTAGAAGCCAGAAAGAGTGTCAAAGTTTGATCGTGCAGAACGAGAAGTGATTCAATCAAAAGGGACTGGACCCGCAAGGCGAGCAAGGCGAAGAAAGCATCAAACCAGCGAAAAATCCCGGTGAGCCAGATTGCTGGAGCAGGGATCTGTGAGAGGAAGGCCCAGGCACCCCAGGGGCACAGGCAAGGTACCCTGTAGCGAGTGGACTCGGCTCTTTTCGATGGACCAAGCATCGGCATTGCCTGTGAAAGGATTGACAGTGGCTTGCTGAGACCGGGGGGGATAAGGAGCGATGAGGATTGACCCAGGCAGACTGCAGAAATGGGATGAAATGACAGTGGACGTTTCTGCCAGAGCACCAAAATTTAGCCTCCGTCTTGTGTAATATTGGGGTCAAGACAGAGACAAAGGGCCAAAAGCTTATCCCGCCCACAAACTCGGGGGTGGGCCGAGTCAGCAGCAAGACGAGATCGCGTGCTCGTACCGTTGCTTTGAACGCCACAAAGGCCGTGGGAAAGACTTTGCTGAAATCCACCCATCCTTCTCATACCTGGCGGTAATGAAGAAGGATTGCTGAACTCAGATCGTGCTGACCTCTTCTTTATAGCAACAAGTCCCCGTGGTCACTCCTACCTCGCCGTCCTTATCGCCCATGTACCATTTGGTGCCTGCGCTTCCGATCATGAATTCCCAATTGTCTTTCCTCATGGCGCTACAACAGCTTCGATCACCCCATTTCGTGAACTCGTATGAAAGGACAGAGAAAATGACCCTACATGCCACATCATGATTATGAAGGACGCCCTTTCCGGCGAGGCTGCTGGTTCTGCTATTTGGCATTCCTATCTTCCGAAAAGCCAGGATGAAATTGATCGAGAAATGCGGCCTACAGAATTCCAACTTCCTGCTGACGCCAACAAGGAAGTGGGAAATAAGTTGATTCATAACAGCATCAGAAGACGGCATAAAGTTCTGGCGCCCACCATTGGTGCCCAAAAGCCCTACGCTTGTAGGTCACCATTTTTCCTTCTCCCGCCATCTTGTTCACCAAATGGACCTTGCCGGAACGTTCGGGCAGCGATAGACACGAGTCCGAAGTATCAGAAACCTGGAGCTGCTTCACAACTGCTCGACTGGAGATTGAAGCGAGCTGATGGTCGAGGGCCCCCTACCTATGTCGAAAGAACTCCCGTAGGTCTTCAAGCAAGTTGGACAGCTTCAGCTTGGGCTGTCACCTTGGAAAGGGGGCAAGTATTTCAACATCGGTATGGTTCGAGGTGCCAATGCAGACGGTCTGCGCCAACCGCTGTTCTAGGATCAATATCGAGCTCATCCTGGAATTCCCGTTTTTCGAGAAGCCTGGTAATTAAAAATATCAAGCGTTTGCTGGTGCACGTCTTGCTCCCTTTTCCCTTCTTCTATCAACAGCAGCTCTGAGCCAGGTGCGCTACCTTCTAGCCCTTGTTTAACCTGTGTCATCAATCACACAACTTTGCCTTGGCCGTCAACAGTCCCTTCTCTTCGCCGAACCCCACACTCTCCACTACCAGCTGCTCATCTGAACCAAGCGCTTCAAGCTCATACCGTCTCTAAACAGTGGTCAAGGCCTTGACGATACTCATTGTGGCGATGTTCCTACCGACGCACGCTCGATGTCCTGCGCCGAAATGAGGCGAGATGATTTGGAAAAGTGAGTTAGACAGGTCAGCCATCTCTCAGGCTGGAATGAGTTGTAGTTGTCACACTAAACGGAGGTGTTGTAATGGGCCACCTGGTTGACCATTGAGATATTGACCTGTGACAAAGAGTTAGCATGGGACAGACGGTTGAACTGACACCTTGCGGTCCAAGGTAACCATCGATAATCATGCCGTGGGGATCGATGTACTGTGCGCGGCAACGGCATTGTGAAGACTCGGAAGCTCTCATAGACACCCATCGTGGTATAAGTTGTCCAATAAGTGATAGAATAGTCGAGTCCGTGAGCTCGAGGTTATGTGCGAACTCGCTACCAGCAACTCAGATGCTTCGGAGCTGATCTCAGGATTTCTTGCATGAATCAATCGGTTCAAGATATGGTATCGTTCTGTTGTCTTGTCTCTCGACATCTCCACAGCAACCTGTCCCGAAGGTTTTGTCCCGCAATATTTTCCTACTCTTCAGAAGACCCTAAAGCCAAGGCAAGGAAATATAGCTGGCAATGCGGGTACTATATGACAATTGCAAGAAGATGTGACCATTGATCGGAGGCAATTGCTCTCGTTGCCTGGCCTTCCGAGATCCCAAATTCCGTATCACGCCATTTGTGAGAGTGACGGCCGGGAGAAGCTGTAAGTCATTCGTCGGGGAAGCCGGTTTTCCTCAGCATCTTGGACTCCAGGCAACATCGCAAGGCATTCTGACCTCTTCACCTCAGATCCGGAAGAGACTCGGATGAAATGGCGTGATGCCATCATCGAAGATGCTCTTGATCGCTTTCGGACCCGATGATGGCGAACAGGATACAAAGAAGCAAAATGCAGAACGACAACACGGTCTCGCTGAGCGTGCCTTAGGGTGCGATGTCCAAAAAGCCAAGGTTGTTGAAATCACTTACAACTGGACTGTATTCGTTCTAATATAACCAAGGCGCGGAATAGGAAATCCTCTGGATCTGCGGTGAACATGGCGATCAAAGTCATTTTCATCGACGCTTTTTGGCCGAGTAAACAGTCAAATTCTCATTTCTTTACTCCCATTGCTGGCATGAGTTGGGCAGCGAATCAAGCGCCTTAATACATTTTGTGAATGCTTACATTACCGATCATGGCCAACGCTCCCAACGAGAAACAAATGGGAAATACCCAGAAAAAAAAAAAAAAAAAATAGAGTTTTTCGCCTTTCTTGACGGCAGAGGTCGAGACGAAAGCCTCGTCGACACGGGCCAGCACAAGGATTTGGCCCAATGACGTCCGAGACGGATCAATCATGATGCCATCCAACAGTTGGGTACTATTGAACTCTAAGTCGCTGTGGATACTACCAACTTGCATCAACCATGACATCTGGTGCCACCTGCACCAAACCCGAATAACCTTGCCTTGTTCGTTGCTATACAAACATCCCTCTTCCCATGCCGACCTCTTGTCCCAACCATTCCTCGTTCCCAATTCGAACAGGTTAAAATCTGTCATGGTTATCAAAGACATGTTGCCGAAGAAACCCTACGTCTCCGGGGGGGTGACTTTGTGCGATCTCAAACAGGAGACACCGCTGACATTGAGGTGGAAAAAGGCCCCTTTGATGGTGACTCTAAGGTTCCTATTCTCGCCGTGAAGGACGTTCTTCATAGCCATGCTTATTTCCTTCAGAGTCTTTGCTTTAGTTATAATACGGGTCAAGTTTCCTTAGGATGGACAACTTTCTTGAAACTTTGCCGATCAGAGAACCCCACTTGAATTTTCCAATGTCCGGTCTGGGAGTTGCCCAGTTCGTGTGGCATTGTCGATGTCAAGTCTAATACATCTGTCAGCTTTCCATCGGCACTCTTGTCGGAGCATTGATGGCGGGTCCCGTTGCAAACAATGCCGCCATTGGCCGTAAATACTCCATCTGTATATGGTCGGTCATCTTCTGCGTTGGCGTCACCGTGCAGATTGGTGCTCGTGGTCCCCGTTGGTATGAAGTGATGATTGGAAGAATCATTGCGGGACTTGCGATAGGTGGTCTTTCCGTCATGGTTCCCTGCGTACCAGGGAGAATCCAGCCCTCGACATGTCCGGGGAGCCATTGTCTGCTGCTACCGGGTACGCCGTCGAAATCTGGTCTTGGTGTACATCCTCGAAGGCTTGTGCCTTCAGCTAAGCCAGCTCGCGAAACCACCAGTTTGGAGAATGTACGACCGAACCGACAGTGAACGCAAAGCTCTTCATCGCCATTGGTATCTTGATTGCCAACTTAGTCAACTTTGGAACCGAAAACATCCAAAGCACAGCCTCATGGCGAGTGCCGATGGGAGTCGGCTTCTTGTTTGCGTTGGTTCTCGGTTTTGGTATTCTTGCTTGTCCGGAAACCCCTCGCCACGAATACCGGCACGGCAAAATTGACAGTGCGACCACCTCCATCGCCAAATTTCATGGTGTCTCCGAGCGACACACCGTGGTCAGGAACCAATTAATGGAAATGCGAAAAAAGCTTCAAATCGAGATTGAAGGAGGAAGCCACCCCTGGTACGAGGCCCTTCAGCAACTTGCCGGGGCCAACTACTTTTTCTATTATAGCACCACGGTATTCGCGTCGGTCGGACTGTCTAATTCTTATGTTACCCAAATAATTCTGGGTAGGTGAAGGGCCGAAACAGCGTGCTCCAAGAGCATTCTCCAGCTAAACTAATCTAGGTGCTGTCAACGTTGGGACAACCTTTCCGGGCCTTTACTTTGTCGAGAAGTTCGGTCGTCGCAAATGCCGTATGACTGGAGCGGCCTGGATGTTCATGTGCTTCACGATCTTCGCCTCTCTGGGGCATTTGCCTTGCAAAATGATGACGGTAGCAACAACCAGACAATCGGTTATGTCATGATTGTGTTTTCCTGTTGATTCATCGCCGCTTTTGCCTCCACCTGGGGACCGATGGCTTGGGCTGTCAGCGCCGAGATCGATCCTTCGCGATATAGATCACAGTGTATTGCTCGAGTCCACATCCACATTTATGGAATCCTGTGCTGATGCTTTTGGCAGCCTGATTGCCTTTTTCACGCCGTTTATTACCGGCGAAATTAATTTTGCTTATGGGTACGTCTTTGCCGGGTGCAATCTTTTCGCTGTCTTCTTTGTATACTTCCAGAGACATCTGGACGGTCGTTGGAGGAGACCGACACCATGTTCCTACTTGAAGTAAAGCCTTGGAAGAGTAGCAAGTGGATTCCTCCTAATGACGAGGATCTCATTACCGCAGACAACCTGAGGTTGAATTCTGGTACAACATGTATTAGAGAAAAGCGCAAAGTCCGCGTACCAGAAACGAAGTAACAGGAGAGCATCGCAGAACCTCATCAATCACGAGATCATTCGGGTGCAGGAGCCCGAGGAGACTCGATTGTTGGATCGAAATAGATCAGGATTCATCTAGGAAGGCCATGGAGAGGAGCATTCGATACCAGTTTTTAGCGTTCAATTAGATAGCTCTTTTTGGGGGGGGGGGGGTTTGTTATGGGAGAAGGGAATGGAGCCAACGGGATCAATGAATGGCATTTGCCTCCTCTTTAGTCGCTGAGCCAAGACGACCTGATCTCAGATGCGGCAGATAATCCGTGAATCCCATGTGTCCTATGATCGCCTAAGTATGAGTTTCTCCGGGGGCGTGGGAAAAGGGAGAAAGCTAACTGCGCCACAGACCTTGGACAGCCAAAGAGACGAGTTTGCGAGAGTGATGAGTTCGTAAGAACCATGGTGGCGAGGGCAAAAATTTACGCTTTGGTGACTGCAATTGCGAAATGGACTCTCCGCCTTTTTGACTCAAACTCAACGAACATTTCTGACCATCCATCCCTCCAATCAATCCTCTTTCTTCTTCTTCTCACCCCAGATCGGAGTCTTGGGGCTCAACCGAACCAGATCCTTCGACTCACCCTCCGCTCAAATCTACCTCCAATCCGGGCATCTTGTGAAAGCTTGCAGTAACCGGGTGCCGGTCCAATCCCACCATCTCGGGTCTATTTTCCTGTGGATGGGGGACAGAAGGACACCAAGGTGCCCAATAACATGAACATCTCGAACTCAGTTTTGCAGACCTAGGTAGGTCTGTGCCTCCCAACCGTCAGGTGGCATGCTGGGAACAACTAATCCTGATGCGTTTCTCCGATGCCTTTGACGATCTCAACTTCTGTTTTTTTTTTTTTTTTTTTTTTTCCTTGTGTTCCGAGTCCTGACGGCCAGCACCTTCTCCAATTTATCCCTACGTATTTGGCAATGAGCAGCATTGTCCAAGGAGTGGACACCTACTCACGTTTCCTCGGCGGCTATGACGTTCCTCTATCCAAGATCGAAGACCGAGACCCATCGTAGCAAACGGTCGCCATTGACCATTGACCACATCGCAAGCGGTTGAAACATCTCATACAAATGGTACCGGACAGAGGACCGGCCACCTCGGCCGTCACCATTGTCATAACAGTTTTGGCCACTGTTTTCGTGGCTGCAAGGTTTTTCACTCGGGTCTGGCTGGTCAGATCGATCAAGAAGGATGACTGGTGGATTCTTGCAGCGTGGATATTCGCGGTGGGATTCTCGATATCGATATGCGTGGCAGTCAAATATGGCTTGGGAAAACACAAAGCCGACATACCTGAGAGATCCTTCAGCTCTCTACGGAAGGCCGAATACGCCTTTTCCATCTTATACAACCCATCTCTCATGCTGACCAAAACGTCCATCATCGTGTTTTTCCTGTCGGTCATGAGCAAAGATGTCGACCCTGTCTTTCAACGGTGCAACTGGTTGACTCTTGCACTGGTCAATATTGTCGGAACCGCGCTGACCTTCTTCAACATCTTTCAATGCCGGCCCGTCGCGGCTGGCTACCTCTACCCCCGGCCAGAGAATGCCAAATGCACCGATATCGTCACGCTGTATCTTTCATCGGCTCCGATCAATATCATCACGGACATCGCGCTCTTGTTCTTGCCGATGCCAATTTTAACGGGAATGCGATTACCTCGCAAGCAGAAAATTATCCTGGTAGTGACCTTCAGTTTCGGCGCCTTTGTTGCGGTGGTCGATGTTATCCGGATCGCGTATCTGCAGAGCGCCGCCATGAATCGATTGAAAATGGTCAAAACCAACAGTGGGAACAGCAGCAAGATTGTTGAAGAGAACGACTTTTCCTGGTACGCCAGTCTGAGCTTTATGTGGTCAGCGGTTGAGATCTGCATTGGAATCGTCTGTGCGTGTGTCCCAAGTTTGAGGCCGCTTTTCCTGCGGTTTATGCCACGCTTGGTCAAGGACGCTGGAGATCAGCTCAACTCTCATGGCAGCCTGGATCATCGGACCGCGAACGGCGCTCCTGCCACCAACGTCTCCATGCTCAACAACCCGGCTGCGTTTCGCAGACCTACAGTCAAGGAGTATTCCGGAGAGGATGACGGAGATCAAATGGGATTTTTGAACATGCTGGCTCGGCCACCAGACGAGGACGCGCCGAATCTGTCGAGGACGGCGACCAAGCTCTCTCGGCGAGAAACGAACCCAAGCCCGGCGTCCGATTTCGGTTTTGTCAAGATGTCGGGGAGGAGAAACATGCTCACATTGTCGAACCGGCAGAGTATTTGGCCAATCGCGGTGGTGACGGTAGTATTTTTCTTATGGGGGTTTGCGTACGGTCTCCTGGACACCCTCAACTCCCGATTTCAGATGGTCGTCGGACTTTCCAGCGGAGGAGCACTGGGGCTCCATGCGGCCTATTTTGGAGGGTATCTCGTGGGTCCATTGACCTTGGGGCGCTTCATTCTGAAGCGATACGGGTTCAAGGCGGTGATGATTTCGGGACTCTGCGTCTACGGCTGTGGAACCCTGGTCTTTTGGCCCTCCGCCGTGTTGACTTCGTATGGGGCGTTTATCGTCTCGAACTTCATTGTCGCTTTCGGACTGTCGTGCCTGGAAATTGCAGCCAACCCCTATATCGCCTTGTGTGGGCCGCTGGAGTATGCGGAGGTTCGACTCAACTTTTCACAGGGATTTCAAGCCATCGGTACCATCTGTTCTCCCCTGCTGGCAACCAAGGTATTGTTCAAGAACGTCCTCAACGCTCCTTCGTTGGTGGACGTGCAATGGACATACCTTGGCATCGCCATGTTCGTCTTCGCCCTGGCCGTCGTTTTCTACTACATCCCGCTTCCGGAGGCCACAGATGAACAATTGGAAGAGCTGGCCGATCGTCGAAGTGCGGCATACGGTGCTACTGTTGGCCCGTGGAAGGTTGTCTACGTGACACTTGGTCTAGGTGTTTTCAGCCAATGGTGCTATGTGGGGTTACAGGAATCCGTCGGCAACAACCTCCAGTCGCTGGTTCGATTGGTTCAACCGGGTTCGAGCCTCCAGCCATTTGATTTTCAAACGCTGGCACACGCGGTTTTTGCAGCTGGTCGATTTCTGTCGGCGCTGCTCAATTATCTGCTGAAGCCGAGATGGATCTTATTGGCGCTCTATGCTGGTCTCATGGTATGCCTCGCTCTTAATATGCGCCTGGGCGGAAACACGGGGGCCGCCCTTGGCGTACTGACCTTCTTCTTCGAAGCGGGTATTTTCTCCATCATTTTTGCGATTGCCATGCGTGGATTAGGCGCGCACACCAAGACTGGCTCTGCTCTGATGACAGCGGCGATATCGGGAGGGGCGGTGTTTCCTCCCCTGCAATGGGCGGCGGCAAACGATCATGGGTTGAGATACTCATATTGTGTCCCTCTGGCTGGAGCCGTTGGTGGAATGTTGTTCCCTCTCTACCTGAATCTGGTCCCCGCCGCAAGAATTCAGGTGGATCCGGTCCACGAGAAACGCGCACACAGAAGAGTTCAAAGGGCCGACAGTGCTAACGCGAGTCAAGACGACCCTTTGCCACGGTTTGGACTGCCGGGCATTGTTGCTCGGCGAAAGAAGAATAAACATATGGAAATGCCGTCAGTGGAGCACGTGGAACGACAAAGCAGCAGCCTGAGCGGAGTTCCCACATCAGCCATTTGGTCGATAGATTTTGCAAATGAGAAGGGTGAGCTTGAAGAACCAAAACCCATTCGACTGAGGCCGTCCAGAGGTCACGTTGCTGAGCTCGCTCTTTGGCCTCTGGAGAAGATATCGGAAGCCAGTGCCTGCAGCTCTAGCACCGAAAACGATGGTCGAGGGCACCCTAACGTTCCAGGAATGGACGAGAAGGTTAAATCAAACGTGTCCAGCGGTGAACATCGGCCACTTTGGGAAGAAAAGGACCAACATGACAACGGTCTTGATGATTATCATGCCATGATGAGAAAGATCTGAATCGACTCAAAAGCGGGCGTGGACGTTTGGCTCAAGCGACATTCTGGCGGGATCCGGCGGGAGTCTCCTATTCGTTGGTAAACACATATATACTGTATATACGTATCGTAACGATATGGTCTGTCCCCCGTCCTTTTAATGGTCCCCAGTTCACGGCCTCGCAGAATATGCCGAGCGCTTTCGCTTGTGTCTCTTGGGGAAAGAGAACACAATGGCGATATGATTCACATGAACATTTTTGACCTGGAGTCAAGAACAAAATGGGTTTTTGTTGGGGACTGCGTAGGATACAGAACAAGCAACTTCGAGCCCTGTTGACCAAGCGCCGACACGTGTATTCTCCATGTCACGCACGCGGCCGAACCACCATTGAACAGTCTGGAAGGAACAGACTTGCGCATGATGGAGTTGCATCGAGAAGGCCGATGTAGCTATGTACCCATGCTGAGGAAAACGGTCTGCCTGAGACGATGATGCTTCATTGGTTCGGTCTAGGCCCAAGGTTCTTTGTCAACTCGGAATCAGACCAACTAGCCAGAACCATTGCATGACCCATTTCATCCATTGTGGCAAAAGGGCTATAGCAACCGGTCCCATGTGCAAGTTAGTTAGCTGAAACTTGAGCTCGAATTTTCACATGAGCGCGCAACAAGTGATCAGAAATGCCGTTGAATTTCCAACTGCACCGAGAGGTGGTGGGGTTGTTCCCACAGACGTCTGAGGGTTTTTTACTTCGCCATGGTCCTTTTTACATTCTGCATTGCAGCAGCTAGGAATCGTTCCTGCAGGGAGGTTGGTGCGCGATTCGACAGTATGGTTTGCCATGCAGTTTTTTCCCGTCTTGCACTGGCTGTCATTCCGGCGCAGCTATGGCACGGCGACGGGGTGGCAGACTGCATGACAACGTGGACAGTCTTTTACCAGCAGGTACCTTGCACTACGCATGCAGGTTGGTATTGAAAAAATGCGTTGAACGGGTCGCAACAATCGAGTCGCCTTGCCAGGAACAAGCACACCAAAAGCCGACACCGAGGAACCACCTCACTGGCTTGTGGTAGGACAAGCGAGGATTTCACAGTGCCAGGCACAAAAAACAATCCTAGTTCATGACTTGAACAACTCAAGTTTAGACCCGGCTGTACCTGAAGACACTTTTTTTCCCTCGACGAATGGGGACGGAATCCTTTTCAGACGGCCCCCAACCCCCTGTCCGTCAGTGTTTCGGCAGCCATCCCCAAAGTCATCCGGCTGTTCCTGACGGGTCCAACTCTGTGGGTTTCTGGTCCGTGCATGGTGGTGACTGGGGCAGGCTTTGATCCTCTGTTTCTCCCGAATTTCCACAGCTCGCCCGGTTGGGTCAGTGATGCCCCCTTGGGTCGCAACGAAAAAAAAAGATTGACAGCGACAATGGCAAGGGGATGGGGGAATGGGCCAAAAACAAAAACTGGGGACAGGCGAGCCAATGGGGAATTCCATCAGAACCACATATCCCTTCTAGACCTCAAAAGGGTCCTCCTTTCAGTCTCTCTTGGGATTCTCGATCCGATGTGAGGTGACGAGTGCCATCTCGACTTTCATTCTTCCAAGTCGTTCATTGTTTTCTTGTTTCCTCCAGGCAGAGAGTGCGCAAGAGAAAACTCTTTCTGTTCTTTTCCCTTCGCTCGTCCCTGCCTTTACCTAGTCATTCTTTATCCCTCGTTGGGCCTGAATATCCCCCCTCTCTCTTTTTTTCCACTACACTCCTTGGTGTATTCATCCGTGGACTTGACGTCCCTTTATCATCACTTCTTCCTGGCATAGACTTGTCATCGCGACAACAACGGTCTAAAATTCCTTCAGTGACCGGTTCACTTCGAGTCTGTCGAGCCGGATCTCCAGTCCTTCCAATCCAACTATAAGAAAATCAAATCTTGAGAATCTTCAACGAGAAACTCATCTCCCGCAATGGCCGTTCTCAGGAATATTGTCCTTGCGGCCTCGCTGATCGCTCCTTTTGCGCTGGCTGCTCCCAAACTCGATGAACGCGCCATTTATACTCACACTTACACCGAAATCGCCTGGGTGACTGTGGAAGAAACCACCACGGTCTGGGTTGACCCATCTGATCCCACTCCCGCTCCTGTCGCCACACCCGAGACCACCAGCTCGGCGCCACCAGCGGTCTTTGCTCAACCAACTTCCACTCCTTCGACCTTCGCAACGGTCGTTGCTGTTCCATCGGCTGCCACTTCTTCATCTCTCGTTGATTCGTCACCGTCGTCTTCTCCATCGGCACCGGCACCGGCATCGCCCTCCACGGACGCTACGCCAGATCCTGCTTCTGTAAATGTTCAATCAAAGGACATTGTTGCTTCGCCATCAGGTACTTGCGAAGGGGAAGGGAATGCTTGCGTCGGCGATGTGACCCATTGGGATGGTGGTACGTGGATTAACCGCTCTCACGCTTCTTTGACAGTCATTAACGTGATTCGCAGGCCTCGGTGCATGCGGCTGGAATGTTGACTCCAATAGCCAAATGTCGATTGCTCTGCCGTATGCCTTCATGGGAACTCAATCCAACGGCAACCCCTACTGTGGTCGTTCGGTCACCTTGTACAATCCCGACTCCGGGACCACCGTCCAAGCCACCGTTGGTGACAAATGCATGGGGTGTGTCGATCGGGCGATTGACTGCACCAATGTTCTGTTCAGTGCTATCACCGACGGACAAGGTGATGGCCGTATGAGCGGAATTGAATGGTGGTTGAATTAGATTTCGACTCGATGTCGAGTGACCCGTGCACGTGAGACATGCTCTTTCGAACAAGCCTCCAACCCCGGACAAAAGAGCTTCTGGGAAACTTGTTCGAATCTTTTTCTTCGGGCCCTTCTGAAGTCTTTCTAAAGAGACAGCTGGTCGAAATTTCTCGTCTTTCCCCCGCCTGGTGCCATGAAAGAGCAAAAATCGCAGTTACATAGTATAGCAGGCAAAGCCATGGAGCAGAAAGGAAAATCCGGAAAATTCTTTTACTTTCTTGATGGGCTATTTTGATGTCTTTTCATCGAGTAGCCCCTTTTTTGGTGCATGGATTTTTGATGGCCGTGAGTAACAATGGGTACATAGAACCTTGACTCGAGAGAAGCAAAAACAGAACACATTCACAGGATATACAAACCACCATCATGATCTTGGCTGATTGTTGTGGGACTCTGTTGGCGACCCTCTGGCTTACTGATAGTATCTCATCCTAGACCTCTTCGTGTGCCGACGCTCTTTTCCCTACTTCACTGAGGAAAATGGAACACTACGTTGCTTCATTTACGGGCATGATATGCCTCGTGTTCAATTTCAGAATAGCTATCCATCATCTATCAGAGCCTGGGTCAACGTGAGTCACCACGCATATAGACCATGAGTAACTATTACAAAAGATTGAAGAGAATTTTCCAGTTGCCTCATCTGAAACATCTTGTTCTTTGGTCCCTTCGCTGGCCTTTCGAGCACAATGTTGGCATGGCCGGATTCATGCGGCGGAGGAAAAGAAAAGAAAAAAAAAGAAATCTCATAGGGACAGACTAATGCAGGTGGCAGGTCTCTTAGCAAAATTTTGATCATGCCGTATGTATCGATGAACGACGCCGGTTGCATTCTCATCCCACGTTTCCTGGTCCGTTTCGGAGTCTGCAGAGCTTTAACAGGCAAGTGGTACGTGAAGTTCACTCTATTCAGTGGAAAGTGCCTTTTGCTTCGAATGGGAAACGAGTATGGCTTCAAGGCCTGGCCAGCGGTGCCGCTCGAGAGCAAGCTATATAAATAGCGACGCGGTGCCCTACCGAGCTCGTTCTCAAAGAGGACAAAATTCGATTCTCTCCGAACGGTCCTTTCAGCAAGTACGACACATTCTCATCCGGGCCAAAAATGCATCTCGTCCTCTCTCGTATCGAGCCGAGAGACCTCGACGCTATTGTCCCGATGATGTTTGACTCCTTCAGCAAAGTCGACCTGGCCAACGTCTTCTTCGGTCGCAAGTCCCCAGCATCCTACGCCTACTCCAAGAAAGTGTTGCTGACAGGATTACACACCGATCCGGCCGACGTGTTTCTCAAGATTGAGGATCTCGATGCCGAAGTGGATGTCAACATCCTGGACAACAAGGGGAACCCGATCGGCACCGAGCGAAGGAAAAGGATCGTTTGTGCCAGTAACTGGAAGATCTTCCCTACCTACGTGGCCCCCCAGGAACAGCAGGAGGCGAGCAAGTCATCCGCTCAAACCAACGGGAGCGCCGACTCGACTGCCAAAGACGCGACCGACGAACCGGCATTCGCCTATCTAGAGACAGAACAAGAACGGATCGATGCAGCAATGCTGATGGAAGACTTTCTCACTCGGCGACGTCGTGCATGTCAAGAAGGACACGTCTTGTGTTTCTTATTGTTCACGGACCCGGCTTATCAGGGGAAAGGCTGTGGTCGAATGATGATGCAGTGGGGGAATGATGTGGCCGATGCCATGATGCTGCCTTGCTGGATCGAGGCTAGCCCCCAGGGAGAATTGCTTTATGTGCAGATGGGTTACGTCGGACAGGAGAGAGTCAAGATTCACACCCAAAGTTTTCTCAGTGAGTATTTGCATATGAGACGACCTGTGATGGTGACGAGGGTGAGGCTAGAGGGGAGAACCCTGGTGAGAGAGCCGCCAGCGCACACGTGAAGACGTGATGGCCAATACTCCTGGATTATGAGTACGATCTGGATGTGATATCGGCAATGCTATTGTTCTATCTCGAGAAGGACAATCTGTCATTTGAGTGCTGGTTGGTTGGATGCTGTTCATCGACGTCATCATCATGTGAGAAACGTGTTTAGGTATCGAGGCACTTTGTGGCTCGCAAAAATACCAACCTAGGCAAGGCACTTGGCCAATTCCCCGGGGAGCTTCCCGCCCAGAGGGAAAAATGCAACAATATCCACGAATCTGGGCTTTGCGTTGGAGACTGACATTCCCACATCTTCGATCTTGATAGTTGTCTACCATTCCATCCCTTCGCTCAACATCTCAGTGCATCTGCTGTATATCCTCACCGAAACCTGCGAATCCCCCCCGCTCCATGCCGGCCCAATAGCCTCCCATCTCGCTCATGCGACTCAACTCCGGCGCTCTCTTCCGAAGCCGCGCCACGCGGACGTGTGCTCGGTGCAAAGGCACGCAATCAGCACGGCGTGGGTATAGCGTGTCTAGACGGTCGGTGAGGGTAATTCGACCTCGGAAAGCCGTGTATTGGGCTGCGGCTGGCGGGTCCGTGGGCGGGACTCTGCTCTTTTTCGGCGATGATATACGGCATGGTTGGCAGGCTGCGGAACGGACTGGAAGAGTGGTCTCGACATTGGCCGTGTGTATAAATGAGTATGAACCCCCTTGTATTGACACTGGGTGAGTCGAGTTACTGATCTGATCAGCTACCGGGTTACGCTCAAGCAACTCGAAGACGCCGAAGAAGAATCTGCGATCCTCAAGGCATGCCACAAACGCTGCGCCGAGCGAACGTTGAAGGTGCTGGAGAAAAATGGTTCAATATTTATTAAATTAGGCCAGCACCTGTCGTCGATGGGATACCTTCTGCCCACCGAATGGACCGAGACTTTTATTCCTCTGCAGGACAAGTGTCCTGTCTCATCCTATGAATCCATACAAGAGATGTTCCTTCACGACACGGGACATCAGATAGAAGATGATTTCGTCGAGTTTTCAAGAGAACCGATCGGCGCGGCCTCGTTGGCGCAAGTTCACACGGCGATATTGAAAGATACCGACCGAAGGGTGGCGGTCAAGGTGCAACATCCCAGTTTAGAAGAGTGGGTTCCGCTGGACCTGGCTTTGACGAGGTTCACGTTCAGGACGTTGAAGAGAGCATTTCCTGACTACGACATGGAGTGGTTGAGTAATGAGATGGACTTTTCATTACCGCAAGAGTTGGATTTTACTCTGGAAGGAGCCAATGCTACCAGGGCAAGGGATTATTTCGAACGACACACCACGTTCCCCCTCATCATCCCGAAGGTGATTTCAGCGAGCAGACGGATTTTAGTCATGGATTACGTGACAGGGGCGAGAGTGGACAATGTGTCCTATTTCGACGAACACCAGATCTCGCGGGATGAAGTATCGGCCACGCTGGCGCGGATCTTCAACGTCATGATTTTCCAGAGCGGCGCGCCTTTACATTGTGACCCGCATGGAGGGAACATCGCCATTCGACATAATCCCCAGAGAAGATACCCTTACAATTTCGACGTCATTCTTTACGACCACGGCCTCTATCGAATGCCTGATGACAAACTGAGGAGGGACTATGCGAGGTGGTGGCTGGCAGTTATCGACGCGGACGAAGCTCGAATGCGAAAATACGCCTACGAAGTCGCCGGGGTCACGGACGAGCAATTCCCACTCTTCGCTTCGGCCATCACCGGGCGTGATTATCGGGTGTTGACCCGCAGACAGGTCGCCACTTCGATGCGCGACGCGGAAGAAAAGGAGGCCATCAACGAAGTCTTTGGTGAAGATCTCCTCCAACAACTCGTGCAGCTTCTCGGTCATGTTCCTCGAATCATCCTCCTGATCCTGAAGACCAACGATCTCACTCGTAGTCTAGACGAGTCCCTGGGGTCGAAGGAGCCGATGAGGCCGATGATGATTCTGGCGCGATACGCCAGCCTGACGGTCTGGGAAGAGGAGAAGGACAAGATTCGCCGACGGGGCAGTCTGCTGCACCCCCGGAATATCTGGTGTTTGATCAAGGCCTGGCTCCGTTTTGTCCGCGTCGAGTTGAAGTTGTTTGGCTATGAACGATATTTATCCCTGCGCCGACATTTGAGGCTTGACCGGTAAAAAGCATGGGAAAAAATGAGAAAGGCGGATATGTCTGCCACTTCAATAATACTCGGTCCAGATCTCCTTTGAGATGTCTAATTGATATTTTAGCGTGGCGCTTTGCGATTCGAGGAATGGCCGGCGGCTCATGCCTATGTAGATAACTGTATGCACAACCAAGTGTAAATGTCTTCCCAGGCAGCTTCTGGTAAGCGGATCATGTGGAAAGACGAACAAACGTTCAGATAAATAATGCTGTGCGTCCGATCTCTCTGTTCGTCAAGGATAAGCCGAATCCTCACTCTCAGCCTCGTCCAAATACATTCGTGGCTCTTATTGGCCTGTCTTTTGTGAGCCAAGGGGTTTGACGTCGACATCATGTCTCTCTTTTCTTCTCATTTTCTACCAAACCCGAGCCAATTCCCTCGATATCTGGAAATCGGGACTCAAGAAATGAGCGAGATACGTCTCCAGCATGTCCGAGCTATCTCATTCGCAACTTGACCGGGCCGCACTGTGATTACCAGCATGTTCAAGCAAACTCCACGTGGCACACCAGAATGATCAATCTCGGCCTCCAACGTATTTCCCAACTCCTCAACCCCCTCTTTACACACCACCCTACCCTACCTTGGAAAGCAGTTCACATAGCCGGCACCAACGGCAAAGGCAGCGTCGCCTCACTAATCTCCACGTTTCTTGCCAACTCAGGCTATAAAATCGGCCGCTTCACATCGCCTCCCCTCATCGACAGATGGGACTGTATTGCGCTGAACCAGCACCCCGTCGACCGCGATAGGTTCCTCTCTATCGAGAACAACGTCAAGAATCGCAGCGTCTCACAGGGGTTGAATGCATCGGAGTTCGAGATCCTCACAGCTATGGCATTCCAACTGTTCACGGACGAGGAAGTGGATGTCGCCGTCGTGGAATGTGGGTTGGGGGGCCGACTCGATGCCACAAACGTTCTAAGGCCTCAGGATGTCCTGATCAGTGTGCTGACGAAAGTTGGCCTCGACCACACAGAGTTCCTGGGCGATACGGTCGAGGCGGTGGCGGCGGAGAAGGCGGGGATATTTAAACCGGGCGTGCCCGTCGTCGTGGATGAGAGTAATCAAATGAGCGTATTGACGGTGGTTCGGGATCGACTAAAGGAGCTGGGCTGGGGAAGTGAAGGTGACGAAGGGCGTTACCTTCTGTCGCCGGAACGAACAGCCGCGTTGGACAACGCGCTCGATCGTATCAACCTGGCGAAACATCAAGAACAAAACGTTCGGACTGCATATACAGCTTACGAGCTGGCTGAACTGCGCCTGCCGCCGTCAAATTCCAGCGTCAAGTCAACGTTAGAAACCCGCTCGATCACCGTTCCCTCGGTTGACGAACGCCTTGCGAACACTACGCACAATCTTCCTTTCCTCATTTCCACAGCCCAGTCCTCCCTTCGCGGACGTCTCGAGAGGCTTACTCTACCAGCTCACCTCCTTCCATCCAATCGAGGCAATGAATCTGTCCCAGTTCTCCTCGACGGCATGCATAATCCCCAATCCGCACAGGCGCTGGCAGACTACATCGGCACACACATCCGACCTCGCTCAACTGCTCCTTTCACTTGGGTTCTATCCGTGAAAAATGACAAGGATGTCCGAAATATCCTTTCCATCCTGCTCAAGCGGTCCGATAACGTTGTGACATGCACGTTTGGACCCGTGGACCGAATGCCGTGGGTCAAGAGCATGGATGCCACAGCGCTGGCGGGGATTGCCAGAGAATTCACGGATGGAAGAGTTGAGGTCGCTCCGGACGGACGAGTGGACGAGGCGATTCGAAGTGCCGTGAAGGTCGCGGGTAGAGGAAAGGATGGGGAGGGGGGGAGGGACGGCCAGATCTGTATTGCTGGAAGTCTTTATTTGGTGAGTGATGTGTTGCGATGCGTTAGGGACGGAGAAACAGGATCATCAAGGGCAGAACAGGACGATTTTATGTCGGAGCCTTGCTGAAGGACCATGTCGCGCTGTCGGAACGGAGTGCACGCCCGATGTCTCCGATCTTCCCAAGACTACACGACAGCCGCCTCTTCCCTGCCAACTTCAGCCTCGTCTACAGCGATCGTCGTCCCACCTGCTACGGTCGCAGGCCGAACCATGACGACTTGGGCATACCAGCCATCCCCTCTCCCTCCGTCCTCTTCCAGCCTCTTCTGGGAAAACTCTTTGCCCTTATCCCCGCCATTCTCCCACCGCTTCAAATCAACCCATATCTGATCTACATCCTCAGCAATGACCCTCCTAAATCCAACACGTTCATACACGCCCAGCCCTGCCGGACTCGCTTCCAACATGCTCGGCCACCCTTTGGCGTCCGCCTCGGCACAGGCGTGTTGCATTAACATTCCGCCGGCCCCTCGTCGATGGTGCACAGGGTCCGTATACAAATTATCCACCAGGACATGCGGGCCAAGCAGCGCAGTCAGTCGTGTCCGAACATGGACGAGACAGGACCAGAAATGTGACGCCAATGCACCATTAGAGTACGGCGGCCAGGTGCGCACAGCGGTCGACGAGGGCGCCGAGGCAGTTTCTGAAGTGGGAGCATTGGGATTGACGAGGTAGTACTTGATCGCGGCGATGACTTCGCCTTTTGGCCTTTCGTCCTCGTCACCTCCGCCTTTCCCAGACTCCTCTTCCGGATCCGGTCGCCACGCGTCATCAATAACGACTGCAAACCGACACGCATTCCTTTCATCGTCATACTCCTCCACGAATGCCTTGGAGTGGCGCTGTAGATTGCTCGCAATGAATTCAGGATGTGAACTGGCCGGGCCATAGAAGACAGTTCGCATCATCGGGTTAGTCAGCCATGCTGCAAGATGGATTCGCGCTATGGCTGGGAGATAGGCGTGGTCGGATTTCCTGTGAGGAGATAGGGGATAGAGGTGCAGCATGTTGAGAGCGGACGATCCAAGGCACGAGCAATACCGAATGGTCACACCTGTTCTGTGCCGGGTAGAGAATATTGACCGGGAGTGGGAGTGAGGGACTAAGTGCGCGCAAAGTTCGAGAAATGCCGATTGCTCCGAACTCACGCATGATCCTGCATGCTCGCAGATCAAGACCAACATTCAGCAATGGTGCATGTGCTATTTCTGGGTTGTCCCGATCCTATTTTGCCCTTCGTTTCCCTTATGCATCTGTTTGGCTCACAAGATATCCGGTCAAATGGTTGGGGGGGGTAACTTGAGATGTACTCAATGCTCCATCTTTTACCAACAGAGGGCTCTCTCTTCGGAGTAGTGCCAATGGAAGCCCCAAACTCTGATCCTGAGCTGTAAGATCGTCGGGATCGTTACCAATGAGAATATTAGCAGAACTTTTTGAGCCCAGAGGGTTAGAGAAGTATATTATTTGATGTGGGCTTGGCCGCCGGATAAAAACCTCTATATTCTTCGAGAAGGGCTCCCCTTCCAAGCAGAAATTACTTATGTGCTTCCTCCCCGACTACCAAGACGACTTTCCTCGCCTCTTGCCTTTCGAATATCTCGTATCCCTTTGCTGCTCCTGAAATTGGTAGTTTATGCGTGACAAATTCCCGAACCTTGTCGGAGTTTGCAACCAAGACGTCCAATGCATCATTGAAGACTCGTCTCGCTGGTGCTCTCCCCATATTGATGCTAGACGGAGTCCATATTTAGATTCTTCTCCACCAATGAATAGGGGTTTGTCACTCACTTCAAATTCTTTGAATACGCCTCCCACGCTGTGAAAGGCACTTCACCCTGATGAAACCCAATTGAAGATATACAGCCCGCGGGCCTTACCAGGTCGAATGCGGATTTCAAAGCGAGCGCATTGCCCACGAGCTCGATGACGGCGTCTGCGCCTCGACCGTCTGTCGCCTCGAGGATTCTGGCTTTGATATCATCTTTGCCTAGCTTCAGCGGAATCGCACCCCATTTCTCGGCTTCACGCAGTCGGTCGTCCACCGCATCGACCGCAAAGACTTTACCGACCTTCTTGGTCAGACAAGTCAATATCGAGCACAGACCGACGGGCCCGCACCCGAGACATACGAAGACAGTGTCCTGCAGTGACTGGATTTGGAACATCGGACGGGTTTGGTTTATCGATTCCAGTTCACGTGTGTGGGATTCGAAGTATTGGATCGCACGGACGGCGCCGTAGTAGCCCGTCGGGAAGATGTCGCACATCATGATCAGTAATTCGTCGTCCACCGCCGTGGGCGCGGGTTGCAGGGTGCCATCGGCAAAAGGGACGCGCACGTATTCAGCTTGGCCGCCATCAAAGCCCAACGAGCCGAACGATTTGCCCCGTATGCAACGGTTCGTGTAGCCGTGCTGGCAAAACCAGCATTCCATACTGGGGAGAAAGCGTGAGTAGGACAGAAGTATGAATACGGGAACCTGGTGTGCAAAGGTATGCTAGGTCATCTAGGGAAGGGAACAAGAAATTTACCATGTGACGGTGAAAGTGCACACGATTTTCTGGCCGGACTTGAAGTTCTTGATACTAGATCCGACTTCGTGAACGTGGCCGACGAATTCGTGTCCCTGCCCAATTTAGCCAAGATCAGTATGGAGATTTAAAAGCCTGGATCTTTTCTTGCAGGGGCAGTGGATGGCAGAGGGCGCCATCCAGGCCAGATAGTCTGATAGAACCAGGAGCCAGGACGGAAATTTCTGCCACGATTGACCTTTTGGCGCTGTTCTCTGGATGTTGCTATCTGGCAAGAAAGAACGAATGACCGATTCAAGCGCAGGTAAAAAGACTTACACAGATACAACCTGGCTCCATTTTTTGATGACCTCGATAAAAGTGTAAATCACTACCACATATCCCAGCCACCGAAACTTTCACAATCGCATCTGTTGGGTCGATGATTTGGGGTATGGGGCGTTTTTCAGTCGCCATCTGGAAGGGGCCCTTGAATATCACAGCATCCATCATGGTTGTTGCGCTCATGGTGTGCTTCGGACAGTTGAGAGATAGTCGAGAGAAAGACCTCGGGTGGGATTCTCTGTCTGTCTCTGATAATAGTGATGTTCTCCTTCTCCTGACGTTGGGTAGAACCGAGCCGGTCTTTGAGACTCGGCACAGCGTCGTTAGGTGCTTGCTTTCTTTTCGCGTCCCGTCTAAAAGGAGGATTGATTTAGATTTGCTTGAGCGGTTCCGTTACCGTAGCCGGAGTTGGAATGACCATGCACACTGAAGATAATCAGCCTTCCGCGAACAACTATATTGGATTCATTCAGTCAACAAGTCAGAAAGGTCAGTTCCAGCAAGAACAAATTTTTAGGCGTGACCTTGATTGGGAGCCCGGAAACGGGAGGTCAAAACTTGAACTGCCCGAATGGGACCAAGGCTGCGGGGAGGTCACCAATGCATGTCCAATAGAATTTGACCTGCACACATAATTGCTTGATTTCCAGACGGCTGCCGTGCCGAAGAACTTTTCGCATATGTGGAGACTTCTATTTGCCCGGTACTAGTGACCGATATACCCACAGCGCGGGCACAGCGCTGTCCTCGGTTCGGCATGACGAGGTACTTGGGAAAGCCAGTCCGAAGGGATCAGGGAGTTTATTTCTCGGGTGCTCACTCCGAAAGCGATAAAGCGAGCTCAAGTGCATGATTCAGAGTAGAGAATCAGAGAATGTCGAGACTGAATATCAAATTTTCCACGCGCAAGAGGCCTGGGGAGATCTGTGCGCCCCTTCGTAACGACACGTCCCACAGAGACGCTGAACCGAAATACCGGGTATGGAAGTGACAAAGCCTCGCATTATCATTTCCTTGAAGCCATTCCAAGGAGCCGTCCGTTGGTGGACCTATGCACTCGCTGAGATGCAGGAAGAATGGGTACTTAGTTAGAACGGGATTGATATACCCGTGGTCATGACTCTTCGTTCTACCTATCAGGGCCCCGGACATCATCAGTACACTAGCCATCGTCTCGGATCTGCCAGAGACAGTCTTCCTCTGGATAAGATCGCGCTATCCTTGCTGTAAGGCTGCTCGTTATGAGCCAGACTGAGGAATCGTGGACCAAGGCTCAATGATCGAGTCTCGAAAGATCGTGATTGTGCCACAGGTCAAGCGTGCGTAGTTCATTAGACGGGGCCTTCCCAATGGCTGGAGGATTGTCAAACCACTTACTTGACCATCCCAGTTTTGGGCTCAGTAAAAGTGCACACAAAGCCTGTTGAACAAGAAGTCGTCAGCGAGTGATCAACACTTCCATAAAGAGGAGTCTAGAATGGGGATATACATACTCGCCAAATTCTCGGTCCAGGTTGGAAGCTTCATTCCACCAAAAGGAGTCTGCATATTCATCTAGAAGTGTGTTAGTTGCATAAGTGGGAACCAAATTCGTAAAACAACTCACGTCACTCACAATCGACATCCACAACGCTAACATCAAGTTTGCCCGAAACTCGCATGGCTCCCGAAACATCTCTCGTAGAGACAAAAACAGCCCCTCGTCTCCAACCTTTGCTCCTCCCATGGTCTATTCAGCGTCTTGCTTCGCTCGATCAATCATCATGCTTTGGGCCGTTCCCAGAGCGAGATGGTCCACCAAGGGCCCGAGAATGGTGTTGGGATCCTGCAGGTCTCAGAAACGGCCTGCAGCTTCCTTCATCTTCTGTTCCTAACTGTTGATGAAGTCCTTGGCGATGGAACGGTGGACGTATACTCGGATTGCAGCAACATAAACTTGCTCAGATCTCGCCAGCAGAACGTTGATTCTTTCCACCAAGTTCCAACGTAACTCGCATGAGATTACTCTGAGCTGCGGCAATTTGGATCTTTTTGCTTGTCGGTCCACTTCCAGTAAAACTGGTTTTCCGAGAGCTTAGCTATGAGTACATTACCTGTGGCCAAGATAGGTTGCAGTTTGAAAATGAAAGTCGCAATCGGCGCGTTGGACTGGTTGATCGCAGCACACACACCAAAGGGGCTTGTGTCGAACCAGTTTCATCGGCTGGACGGTAATGGCCTTTCTGCTGGTCGGTCCATCCGGCGTAATATTGACGAGTCGTGATTATGTAGTTCTTTTCTCGGGTTGGAATTATACAGAGTCCAACGTCAATATATATAGGCAAGCTGGTCTTCCATGATCGCAGCAAGCTTGTTCAAAACGTGCTGCACACTGTTGTCCGTTGAATTGGCTCCGAGGTCCATAAAAGGCTGCTGAAGCAGCTATTACCACTGTTTCAACATCATCGTCGCCAGCGATGGCCATATGATCGGACGGAACTGATCTATCTTTGGGATTCTGGACGGTGTACGTTTCTTTGCAGATCGAATCGACATACTCGCCGTTGGTGAAGCGTTTGTTGCCGTAGAATGATGCTGAGAGCGCTGGACTTATTGTCGCTGTATGTTGTTTCAAGATTCACTCACTGATCTGACTTCTATTGGGCCGCTACAGTTTCTCCCAAGTCACGCATGTCAGAAGCACCAAGCGTAGAGGCGGCGCCCGGGACCGATTCTGAAGATCTCGGGCTGGGCTCCGAAGGCTATTCCGTATCAGTTGAAACCATTCCCATCGTCTTACTGCAGAGTCTTTCCAAGGTTGCAGGATCCTCGGTTTCCCTCGAAGATCGTTTACATTTGAAAAGCCGGTCCTCCCCCCTTTTTTTTAACCCAGGTCCACTTCATCAGCCGACGGCGGCTGTCAAATTCATTCCTCCTGTATCCCGGCGCGCAATTGGGAGGTAACCACAGGAGAAGGGCACATCAACTTCTATCAGCCTTCATTAGCATCTAGAGACTTCGGTCCAGGATGATTGTCCCGAACCCATTAGGGCTCTATTCCGTTCCTGAAGAGGCGGGAAAGGTGTTTATTGAAGGCATTGCCAACAATCCTAAACTAACAAGCCTTGTAAGTCCCAATTGCCTGGACGATTGGACCGGGTAATTGTTTCCGGGCATTCCCATTCTGCAGGTCTCCCAAATGCTGTCGGGGACAAAGAGAATATGTACATCCAAAGACTCTAGAATTCCCAATTCTGACTGTTCATAATCTGCAGCTTCCAGAAGATGTTTTCGCATTCGCTAGCAGGATCAAACTGGTCGGCAATGATTCTCCCAGCATTCCGATCAACTGGCGCTTCGCTGAATCGGCAACGGCCCTGAAAATGTTGGAAGCATGCATGATCGCGAAGCTAGTCGAAAAGAAATATGGCACCAAATTGTCCGGCGCCACCATCAACACAGATCACGCCAGCCTTTTTCTCATGTCCACCTTACTCTACACTGTCTACCCCGATACCGAGGATGCGATTCCAGGTACTCTAGCAGGGCCGGAGCTCGCGAGACTGGATGCGAAAATACCCAATTATGACTTTCGACAGATGCAATCGTCGCGGCACCGAATTTGCGCCACGAGCATCTACAAGACGAAGGACCACCGGTATTTCCATATTCATGGGAGCATGGATCCCAACCCCACACTCGAAAGCATTGGCCTTCCCATGGATTCTAAAGCAACAACATGGGAGGAAGCTCGCGCGCCCTTTATCGAGAAGTTATCACAGATTGATAGTCAGGAGATGCAACGGCTTGCGACAGACGTCTACGGACAGGCAGGCGTGATTTGCGAATCCATCTCATCCTTCCGAGATTCAGAACACGGTAAAGCAAACGCACACGTCGCCCTCTTTGAGATCCACGATGCTCCTAACCCGGCACATCCGCCTTCCTGGTGGCCCGACAGCCCACAGACGTCGAGCAAACGGCCCCTTGCAGGTCTCAAGGTGGTAGATCTAACACGGGTTATTGCGGCTCCGGCGGTCACACGAGGATTGGCGGAACTAGGGGCATCTGTCATGCGGGTAACATCGCCGAATCTCGTCGATTACTCTTACCTTCACATTGACTTGAATTGGGGCAAATGGAACTCCAGTGTGGATCTCAAGACCGAGGAAGGGAAAAAGTTGCTCCGCGATCTTATCCTTGATGCCGATGTGGTTATCCAAGGCTATCGACCCGGCGTGCTCGATAAATATGGCTTCAGTCAACAGGCCATCATCGATCTTGTCGCCTCTTCGGGACGAGAACGAGGAATCATATCAGCGCGCGAGAACTGCTACGGATGGAACGGACCATGGAGCCAGCGCAGTGGCTGGCAGCAAATCTCCGATGCCTGCACTGGAGTTTCTTGGGCCTTTGGCAAGGCCATGGGCCTAGAGAATGGAGAACCGGTCACTCCAGTGTTCCCAAATAGCGACTATATGACCGGCATCGCCGGTGTGGTCGCGATTCTGACCGCACTGCTCCGTCGAGCAGACAAGGGAGGAAGTTATAAAGTGGACTTGGCCTTGAATTACTACAATCAATGGCTCGTGGAGAGTGTCGGGGAGTACCCCGCTCACGTATGGGAAGACGTGTGGTCGCGACATGGTAAAAAAATATTCAGGTATGTGACTACGACCTTTGTCCAGCCTCTCCTGCGTTCCCTTGGGTCAGCGCTGTGTCTGTCATCTTCCTCGGTTAATCCGATATGTTTCAGGTGTTACCACAACATGCCATTTCTGGTTCCCGCGTACATCGAGATGCTCCGGTGCAATTCCTCTGCCGAACTTTTCGACCCAAAATTCTTTGAAGACAGATACAGCGGTGCAATTGATGCAGTGATCCGGACCGTGAGACCCATCATACAATTCGACAAGGATGAGGTGGAGTTGAAGTACAATGTCGGCACTCGAGGGAATGGGAAGGATACACCTAGATGGCCTCAAGATCTGGGGGTAGAAGTTGTATCGTAAGGTATTCACTGTTGCCCGTTCACCCTTCAATTGTGTTTGGTTCTAGCCCGGCCATCTTTGCCATGCCGATTCGGTATTTTCAAGAATTTGACGTTTAACGAAGGGATGCCTCAAAACTTCGATCGAGGTCAAGAAAAAAGTCCGGTGAGGTCCAATTATACTAGGGAAGGGGGGCTAACCATAGTCAAAAGGGCTTTGGCGAAGTCGGTGTGATGTGTAATGACACTTTTTCTCACAATAACTCTCGCCCTTGGAGAGTGTTTGTGACTACGTCACACCCAGGTAGGGGAAATCTGCATCGAGCATGGATGTTTGCGGCCCTTCCTAGCGCTGGTTGCGTGGCTACTGCCCCCAATGGGACCTCTATTAGTCAGCAAATAGAGAGAAAAGACCCTGGCCAGTGCGGTTTTGTGAGTTTGTTGACTGAGGTGATCCTGGGAGCTTCTCACTGAACGGCTCAATGGAGACGGCCATTGGGTTCGCCACTGTAGCTTCAAGCTCGTGGCCCTCTCTCTCTCTCATGTCGTCAAGTCAACAGGAAAAAAAGACATCTCCGGGTCCTCTTCTAACATTGCCCTGATCAGGGTCGCGAACCAAGTGTCTGCCAATAACCTGTTGAGTAGAAGCAGTGTTACATGATCAGAATGTTGTAAGCCGGATGGGACTGCCTAGACAAATACGGAGGATTGAATCTATGCTGGCGAATCAGAGTAGTCAAGAAACACTGGCCAGGGCAATATCGGATGGCCCTCCGGCTCGAAGAACATAATGAGTATCTCTAGTATACAATTGTTTCAAAACATGGTTCTGTAGCCTCACCTTAGTTCCCTCAAAGCTTCTTGATCTCCATACTCCGTGCTTGAGGGATGTTCTCGCAGACGGAGCCACTCTTCAGCGGGTGGGGCTTGTCGAGGCAATAAGTGGATTTCTCAATTCGCTTCCCCCCACATTGTCAAGTTGGGGTATATCATAACGCCACATTAGGCAGGTAGACTGAAGAGCCCATCATACTCTCCTCCTCTCAATCATACGTTCACGAAGTCTTGCACGAGGGGCTGGACCAGTTTGCACATTTGTCACCACGTTACAACTGAACAACATGCCTCAGGGACAATTCCCCTCCACAATGAAAGCCCACGTGCTTGAGGCGTTCAACACACCCTATGTCCTTCGCGACGTCCCATTTCCTGTCATCGAAGATCCCAATGATATCATTATCCGAGTTGATGCAGCATCCTACTGCCACACGGATGCTGTTTTGGCCGGGGGCAAAATGCACCCTCCGCCTCTCCCCCACATTGGCTGCCACGAGTTTGCCGGCACGGTGGTGGCTCTTTCTGGGCCATCGTCCAGCCGGAACTTGAAAGTGGGTGATCGTGTCGCCGTTCCAGGTCGTGGTCACCACGTGTGCGGGAAATGCCTGGAGTGTCGTAATCCTTCGGGCCCTGTGCCCGACGAACCGGGATACTCTGTTTACTGTCCCAAGGCCGGTGGTGGACTGGGGGTAGGTGACAAGCCAGGCGGGTTTCGAGAATATGCACTCGTCGACTCACGACAGGTGGCATTGATCCCCGACAGTCTGTCAGCCATCGAGGTGGCGCCGCTGATGTGTGCGGGACTCACGATCTACGCGGCATTGAGGAAGTGTGAGCTTCAGCGGGGACAACGAGTCGGGATTATGGGGTGTGGCGGTGGTTTGGGACACTTGGGGCTGCAGTTTGCGACGAAGATGGGATTGAAGACTACGGGGGTCGATGTGGCGCCACGGGCGCTGGGGCTCGCGAAAGGATTGCAGACTGGCGCGACGATCGTCGATGCGTCGAAAGAGAGCGCGGAAACCGTCAGACGCAGAATGGGTGAAGAGGACAGACGGGAGAATCTGTCAGAGATGGGATTAGACGCCGTGTTGATCCTGCCAGAGAGCCAGCAGTCTTTCGACTACGGAATGGCCTTGTTGAAGAGTGGCGGCCTCCTCGTCCTGGTGTCCTTTCCGCCTCAAGGATTCCACGTCTCAGCAGACGACCTCGTCTTCCGTCGCATTCGGGTCGTCGGTAGTTTGATCGGTTCCAATCAGGCGATGAGAGATATGTTTGACTTTTGTGTCCAGAACGATGTCAAGGCGAGGATTAGGACTTATCCATTTTCGAAGCTGAATGATTTGGTCAAGGACTATCATTCCGGCGTGGTGGGTAAACTGGTGCTTGATATGTCCATGAAAGAGGAAGGATGATGTGAATTTAGGTTGTCCTCTGCAACTGGTCCCGCCAGATTGCTAGCATTTGCACGTGCTTGGTTGACCTCCGATTCCTCCCCTATATCCTGCATAGGGTTGATAACCCTTTTCCAATGAAGAGGTACTGTGTATTGTTCAACATTTGCATTGCCAAACGAGATTCCGCCGACCTTACACTGCTTGGAAGACATCGATTTGCGTTTGGGCATCATTCCTCAGCTTGTTATGTAAGAATCTTCTTGTTTGAGTCCTTGTCGACGGCCAAAGATCAAGGAATCGTGTCGGCGCGGCCTCGACCCACCCGTCATCGGATTTCTGGCAATGCGAGAATCGATCCAAGGGCCCTTCAACATTGGGCTCCTTTCAGGAATTTAAGCCCCTTCATACCTTGACAGCGGCAGATTTCCCACTTCGCCTAACGGAGGGAATGGAGAACCATTGATGGAGGATCGCCTGAAGGCCATGGCACGAGCCATAGTGAAGGGATCAAATTCTTCTCCTCAAATCTGGTAGGCGTGTTGAAAGACTGCTCCTGTTCGATAACGTTGGATTCTTGGACACGTTCAGTATGTTGTTGCTGATAAATTCGGCGTCATCCTAGATGCCAACATCAACCGAGAGTAACTTACTGGATGAGATTCAGTACAGTAAAACAATCCGAGATAAGTACATTGTCAGCTTCTGTCACCTTTGTCGGCTCCGACTTATTACGTGAGTATGAAGCAACGCAGTAATCGACAAATTTCATTGGAAAGTCCCCGGGCGTGATTTTACTTTCCAATGTCAAATTCATTCTACCTTACGAACCATCCGGGCTCATAGTTACTGGGAATATCCCAGGCAATCCTTAAATCCACTGTCGATTATTCAGCACAGGTCGCAGCGAGATCTACAATGGAAGTCTTTATTTCCTCACTTCGTCATTGAAGTCGAAATGTTATCTTCCCATATTAGCTGTCGTTACCATAATCTACCGACTTCAGAGAATGGAATGGTTTGAGGAGAACAGCAATGTGTTCTTACGCCTACGAGGATTAGCAGATATTAGAGGAAGCTATCGAAAACCATCGAATTTTGGCAGAAACGTTTGCGAAATGGAACGTAGACTTCGCGCCAAGCACGCATTATGCATTGCCAATTCGGTCCGAACATCATGCCTTCACAATCCCTATGAAGGCCACGACGCAGCCAGCCCGTATATAAGTTTCGTTCCCTCTTCCCCCCTCCTCTCTTCACTCCTCTAATGAACACAGACGAGGGTCAATGAAGCTTTGTGAAACAGGCACCGAAAAGCTCAATTTCAAGGAGCCGATTCTCCTTCAAGACATCGCCAATACCATCCGAAGCAAAAACTCTGGTCCATTCGAACTCACATTCGACATCTTGTTTGGAAGCCAGGACGCTTACAATCGTGTCTGTAAGGCAAACTTGTTGACAGCCGAAACAGTCAAAAAGTTGTTCCAGATCGATGACAAAGACATCCTCGCCCAACAGTTTTTCGAGCGTGCGCTTGGGTGGAAATGCACCACTGTGCGACCATGGGCGCAGGAGTTTTTTGGCGCGAAAGACGTACTGGAACGCAGCAGCATGCACCGTTAACTCGGCCTCGTGATCCCAGCGGTGTAGAGAGCTCAATATATGTAGCGTTCTTGATGATAATTCAAAATACTTTCTTGAACCTTTAAATATAACAGGTATCTTGAGGACGAAGATGTTGAGGATAGTGATGATGATAATGGTAATGGGATCGAGTAGTTGACCTTGGCATCCGGTTGATCGTGGGAGTTGAAAATGTAGATCAAGAGCACAAGAATGAGACTATGCTATAAGGACTTCGAATCTAGTTCATCAGTAATGTGTAGGACTCGACTCATTTCATTGGGGGCTTGATCGATGATAGGCTGAGGAGTTAGGTTATCGTCGTTATTGTCAGCGCCGCATGCTTCTCCTGTTCGCATGAATCGTGGTTCTTTGAAGATTTGTTTGAAAATGCGCTGAAGAATCTCCACCGCTTGAGTGGTGATGGGGCCCTTGCTGGCGATGACTGAGGACAACCCCTGGCATCTACCGGCCTGGGAGGTCTTGATAGGGGCGTTCTCCTTGAAACGCACTAGGATGTGGTCGTCTTTGGTGACTTCGCAGACAAACTTACCGTATAACGACAATGGGAGAAAGAATTTGCTCCTGGCCAGGTATTGCAGGTCAGCCACAACCAAAAAAAAAAACCATCAAGAAGTGCATACGCACTTCAGCAACTCGTCATGCAAGTCAGGGTTGAGCTTCCTGATCCCGCCCCGTATCAAGACCATTCTCTCTTTCGCTTTCTTATGCATGGCATAAGCCTGTAGGTCGCCATTTGCAGCTTGTTGGGCAAGAAGATTGGATGTCCCGTTAGCCGAAAGAGAAAGATGGCCATCGGCAATAGAAGAAAAAGAACAAGATCGCATGGCAGGGTACCCGAGCTTACATCGACATCCATCAACCAAAGAGCAGTCAGAATTGCAGCGTCATCATTGGCGCTTCGAGCGGTTTCGATTTTCAACCTCAAATGCTTTAATGCCTCACCCCGGTGATACATGGCTACCTTGAATCAGATGAGATAGCAGCTTGTTTCAACGCCCAGTGCCGAGCTGAATCGCGGGTGGAGGAATCATATAACTGCTAGTTGAATTTAGGAGAACACCCATGGTTAGCCTCCAACCGTCAAGCTGGGGCCTGCACCGCAAGATGATGCCCCCTAAAGGAGCAGAGGATCGCGGCAAAGGGAAAGTGACATTGTTGATTGGCTGGGACAGGGGTATCCGAGTGTCAGGGACGAGATCGAAACAATACCAAACGTACGACAGTACGGAGCATTCAACTTACAGTTGTCCGCCAGAATGGGACATAAGCCTTGTAGCTAATCGGGTAGGCGGTGAAAAGGTCGGCCAGGAGGGGCCCAAGGAGGGAGGGGCGAGAGAAGCGGGAGAAGTTGGAGCTGGAGCTGGAGTTGGGCCGTCTTCAGAACTGGTCGGAGGAATCTCCTTCTTATCTGGCTTCATCGCCTTCTTGGTTTTGGCGTTGGTGACCGTTGGGTGATGGTGATTCTCCAGCTTGACGTTTGACAAAAGGTCGATAATGAGAGCGATCAAGGACGATGCTCTTGGAGGTCGGACGATAACCTTTGGATGCAAATGATGAAACTGTTCGCCGATTCTTTCTGCTCTTCAGCTCGGTTGGATTGTTATATGTTATGAAAAATGTTGTTTGGATGACTCGCTGACATTTGGAAGCCTTGTTCTTTGGTCCTTAACTCTTGATGCCGATGTTGTCAATGCTTTGATATTGCGTGTTTGACCATGGAAGTATTCGATGAAAGCTTCGTAGATCCAGGACTTCTGATGTTGATATATTTGGCCCGGTATAGTGAGGTCAGGTCTGGCCAGCCCTCAGCCCGGTCTTCAAGTCATCCGATTTCCTAGGTGCCCGGTTCGGCTCAATTCCGAATGATTGAGGCCAAAGTGGATTCGTAGTTCCCTGGTAAAATACAGATCGAACATGAGGGTGGGGACTCGTTTGGGGTATGGGTATGAAAGAAGGAAAGATTCCCCTTTATGTCGGCACTGCGTCGTGGGTGGCATGGTCATCGCAGGACTCTTGGGTGGTGGATCGAGATGGGATGACGCTCAGGATTTAGCGAGATTCGAGATGAGAGAACCTTCGGTTTCATCAATCAGTCAACCTCGGAAGCTCATGGGGAGGGGAGATAGTAAGACGAAGATTTATCAAATTGGTCACCAGACAAAAGGATAAGTATGAGAGACGTTGTCGCTATCATCACATAAGCACCATGCGTCAAGTAACACTTTGGCCTAGGAAAACTCAAAAAGTACTGAGACAAATCCGGCAAAAGGTTCCAAGATCGGATTGATAAATATTGATAGAGAAGATCCTATGGAGGGGGAAAAAAAAAAAAAAAAAAAATTAAAATAAAACTTTTGTGGTTCAGAACTGCCCACTTCCATCCTTTATCAAACAATATAGCTTGCCTCCAATATCATGAACGTGGTATGTTGAATCCCTGGACCAAGCCCGTACCGCTTCATACGCTCATTAATTGTAGTTTGTCTAAGATTCCGCCCATCTCCTTTCGCGAAGGGGCATCTCTGCGTTCTCGTTGGCTTGACTTCCGTTCTCTTCTGCCCTCCATGCAAAATATTCTCCTAGACGAACCTCTGCATATGAAGCATAATCAAAGTCAATTTGTGAAATGGTGGCTTGGATCAAAGCCCAAATGCCCCAGTACAATCCAGGCATACCACGGTATCGATCCACTTCGGCAAGTAATACGTCGAGCATATCGTCAGATACGGGCTTGTCGCTGTGGGCTTTGTACGATTCGAGATAGTCTTGGAGAAATTGACGACGAACGGATTTGGTGGGTAACATGTTGTAGTCACAATCATAGCCACCCCATTCGGCGAAATGATTGGCAATGTCGAATGCTGCTGGGCATGGTATTGCATATTCATAGTCGATAAATGAGACCTTGATATCGTCTTCCATCTTACTACTGACGGAGGAGTTCTCCGGAGGAAGGATAATAATGTTGGCACTTAACAGGTCGCAATGTCCCAAAACAAACCCGCCTGATCCAGGGCCTCGTTGTTTGTCAAGGTCACTGAATGATCGATCTAATTCCTTCTGGAGAAGCTCCTGTCGAGCTTTCTGCTTGGGAGTGTCGCATGGAAGAGCACTGGTCCACTTTTGCATTACTGACCAGATATTGGGGACCGGTCTTCTGGACGCAAGCTCTGGGGTTGCGTCCGGCGGAGTCTCATTCTTCACGTTATGACCATTGACACCATCGGAGACATCACTCTCCTCAGCAGCGTCGTCAATGGGTAATCGCGCATGCCACTCACCCAGCCTTTTGGCCACAGCTCGCCATACAGGCTCTCGGATGAGGTCCTGGGGAGTGCAGACCTGACCAATGATGTATCTGTACAGGAGCCCGTTCTTGAATCTTGCCAGCAGAGGAGGAGCCAATCCACGTTCTGCGCATAAAGCATGTGATCTCGCCTCTCGATCCCGGTCGATTAGGATTTCCGTATTGTTCCCGTAGGCACGTAGGAGTATGGATTCTTGATCAACTTCTGCTTGAGATAGGCCTGGGACATGTTTGGCCACTTTGAGCAGCTAGATACAAAAATGAGTAGGAGCACGTGCCTGGAAGATGGAGGACAACTCACCGTGTTTGTGATGCCGTCGGTGAACTTGACAATGTCAATTTTCCCAGGGACTTCTCGCCATTTGGGCTGGATTCTATAGACCAAAGCACAAGCCGAGTCGTCAACTGTGTTGTTGTCAAAGGAGAGGTCAATGTGCTCTAAAGGTGGCGTATGTCCGTTGGCGAGTTCAGAAATGTGTGTACCCATGACAGAACATGACCTGGGGACGGAGCGTGAAGGTCAGAAGGGCGGGATTGAAAAAGCAGAGATGGAAGAGTCGAGACAAAGGGAAATAAAGCAGGAAAGGCTCGAGAAGAACGCTGCAAAAGTGGATGTTGGTTAACTATATGAAGGGTGCCAGTGTGCGATTTGGAGAATGGAACTGGAGACTGCCGAACACCTGACAGCTTGCCGGTGAGTGATGGATCATTTGGTGGCCCGGGATTGATATTTTAAGCAGTATGAGTGGCGGGCGCAGGGAGGGCCTTTGCCCATCGTTATTAGCCGTTTATTCATCTCCTCCCACACTTTGTTGGTTCAAACTCTTATGACTTGATTCATTCTCAAACCGGGTACACGCATCCTCAACAATTGCCCGTATTGTTCTCTCCCTGCCGCAAACGGCGCATCGAAGCTCTCGAACCCACCCAGAATCTTTCAGGAACCCGCTTCACACTTCCACGTCATCGTTCGCTTGGCCCTACAGGAACACCTGCCAATTTCTACCATCGACTCGTTACTCAAACCTTGTTCCTTCCATTCCTCCATCCACTTTTCCCTTGTTCCTGTTTGTTTCGTTCCAGCTCCTGTCTCAACGGATTCTACTGCCATCGGGTATCGCGGCATGCGACCGCAAACAACTGATGTAAAAAGATGAGTAATGGTGGCGGATCAATAAATAGCAACATTTTGCAGACACCAAGGCTTTTGCGACAGTATGTCATGTAAACTGTCACATTAATAAGTGCGCGTGCTGGCTGGATCTCAAAGTCCTTTCTTTTTCGAGGTTGACTCGAATGCACGTCATCTATCGACCGCCTAGACGACATGTTTGTGCCTACGTTGTCAACTTCTCCTTTCCTTTCTTCCCCGTTTTCTCTTCCTGTGCCTCGGCCTCATACTTCGGTTCCAATCTTCTCCAATATGATTTTCGCACCAGGGACATTGACATCCAACGATGTAGCCTTCCGCATGAGTTGCTGGATAAGATCATCCCGATGACTGAAATCTTCGGCCTCGAGCATCGCCACCACAACAAACGAGTTTGGTCCGTTTGCCCAAGCGACGATCGCCTCATCTCCGTCGCCCTGGCCCTGGATCTGCATGTACAGCAAGTCATGAAACTTCAACGGCGGCTCCACCCGTTCGATACTGTTTGTGGATCGGACAAAACGTCCACCTTGTACCAGGGCCTTGAGCAGGCGTCCAAACCCTCGCGAGGCAAGAATGTGGGAATTTTGAGTTTCGGCTTCCTCAATCTCGGGGCTTTCAGTCGCAAGATGCGCGATTGCAGCGAGTGCAGGCTCCCGCTCCCCAATCGCGCCGAGAAGAGTCTCTGTCATGAATTGACAACCGAAACTCGACTGTGCAAGAAATTTCGCCTTCGAGGCAATCAGATCCAGTAACGGCTGGGAGATGGCTTTCAGCAGCTCCGTCCGCCGAGTCTCCGGGTCTTTCTTCGAGGTTTTTGTTCGTATCTCACGGATTTCCTTGATGATGGCCGTGCTCTCGTCGGTCGTGAGCCATTTCGGAGGTTCGGTCGACATAAGATACAATAGTGGAATCCGTGCCGTGAGGTGCCCGGTTTGTGCCATCAATTCTTGTTCGCGGCCCTCCTTGTCGAGATCCTTGCTGAGAAGTTCGGAGAAGATGGCCTTGGAAGTCATCACGGTATCGTCGATAACTTCATAGGCGGTGAGAAGGACGCTGTGCCCGTAGACGTCTGAGGCCAGGAGTTTGATGTGCGTCTTGAAGAACCTCAGAATGCCTCGTCTGTCCTTCGAGTTGCCGTGTGCGAGAGCAAGGCATACAAGCCGGGAGCCAGATTTCGTGAAAGCCAGGTTTTTGTAGCAATCACCTTCCTCGTCATCGCGAAGCATTGACAAGAACTCTGTCACTTCCGGACTGTCTGGCTTGCAGTTGAGGAAGTACTGCAATAGGGCGTCGTGAAGGATCGTAAAACCCGTCGTCTTCTTCTGCACCAGCTGGTTCGTCATTTCTCTCAGATGTTGCATGATTGGACTTCTCTTTTCAGGATTCCGCGCCAGAATCTCCGACAACTCTGCCGTCACTTTTTCAGACGTTCCACCGTGTTTGTGACCAAACACGACAAACTCCGGCCCGTACCATTCTCTCAACATAATGGCCTTTTGCTGCTTCGTCGCAATGGCCCGGTATATATCGTCGACGATCCAACTCGCCTCGGGATGGCGAATGAGCCTTTTAACATGGCCATAGAACTCCTCGACAACAGCGTCTCGACTCTCATCGTCGCCCATGACCATTTTTGCGATCAGAAACTTGGCATATCTGGACTCCGCTAGTTCTCTGTAACTGCCCTTCAACTCCTGCGTGATCTGCCTCCTCTGCGCCGGCGTAGCGTATTTCAACGCACACTGTATGACTCGTACCGAATCGTGCTTAAAGACAAAGTCCTTCACTCTGTCCGATATTATCTCAAACAGTTCTTTGACCAGTTCGTCCCGCTCGGATTTCTCAACATGCGATTTCCGCCGTAGACGCTCCCAGATCTTCTTCGAGCGGGCGATCGAGTCGGCGTGCGGCTTTGCGGCTTTTCGGTCTTGGGTTAGCGCTTTTTGCTTCGCATGCACTTCGCGCGATGTGCTGCCTGCATTTGTCCATGCGTTAGCGAGGATGTGCTTCACAATTGGTGTACATGTTGACCCTGCAGTAACGCACCGTTCAGATATGGCTCAGGCCTCCGGGGGGAAGTATATTTCTGAGATGTGTAATTTTCCCTTTGTTTCGTCGACTTGACTTCCTCTCCTGCGGCCAGAGTACTTTCATCTTTGACATCGTTGAAGCCAATGAAGTCCTGTCCGGCAAAGGGTTTGCTCTTCTCAGAATTGCCTTTGGCGACTTTGGCTTTTTTGGAGGCCTTGACCTCGACCTCCTTATTTGCTCGTTTCATCTTGGACATATTTATCAATCAAGAGAAGGAGAGTATTCCTCAGTAGTCTGTTTCCAATAAAGGCGGTCGAAACCACAATATTTTTTGGGGGAGGGGAAAATCCGGCAAACATTGCATACAAAGGCTTGGCATGTTTGATACCATTGAATCTACTTTCCGAACTCCTCCATTCTCAACCCTCGTCCCTAGGCATCTTCCACTCCTTATACAATACATATCGTGTATCCACCTTCAAGGCTATATTTCTCAGCAGATGGCCATTCGGTCGGAGGCGTGAAGGCCACTTCCGGTGCCACTCGAGAGACCTTCTCGAGATAATCCTTCCCACAGCAAAAGTAACCAACTCGTCGATACTGTCCAATAGCCCCACCAGTGAATTGGACGATCAACCCAGCGACAGTACCCCTTTTATACCAATTCGCCATACCGCGTGTGCTAATGATGGCAATTGGCACACAACACATCTGAGTTAATCTTGGACTGTGGTGCGCAAGCCTTTTCTTGTGAATCAGGAGGAAGCGTTGCGGGCTGCCGTACCTCATGATATTTTCTTCCTCCGGGTTTTCTGATTCTAAATGTGAGTCCTGTTCATATTTCCAAATTTCCTTCTTAAGAACTCACCGGGTTTGAAAGCATCTTTCATGATTGGATCATAATCAGCCACTTCTGGGTCGTCCCGATCATCCCAATACCATCTCACCGGCTGCACCTGTTCAAATGCATCCGGCGCTTCGGTTTCTAGTCGGCACCCGAATGCTGCACTTCGATAGATGGGGTACATCTGGCAGCGACCCAAACGGATACTTCCACCGTTGACCGGACCGGTTGAATCTTCCCCGCGAAGTGAGACGTTGACATCGAGGACATCAACTAGTGAGGAGTTGCTCAGGTTAATGGGCTCTTCCATTCGGCGATCCTCCTTGGTATCAAAATTCGGGTCGTGCGATGCATCGTAATAATAAGGCAGTTTCACTCGGCAGTCGAGCGAAGCCCAGGACCATGAAGGGCCGTTTCGAGACCGCATGCTATGTTTCTCCCCAAGATGCACGCCACAGAATGTGTGATGAGACCATAGTAGCTGGCTGGGCAGATATGCTTTCCATAAACCGGCAACATAGTCACCGAGGAGTGGTTGAAATTCTTTTGCAATGGCAGAACAAGCGACAAGTTTGTCGTCGAAACGCGTAAGCTTTGCACTTGAGTATGTGGCGACAAGCTCGCTCCATCGTTGGAGAAATGCTTTTCGCTCTTTGAGATGCTGTTCCTTGGACAACGGATCCCTGAGCGACTCTGGAGCGCGCAAAAGATGCTTCCACGCATCTTTGGCAACACTTCCTCCGTTGGTCAACAGAGGGTGGCTCTCAGACAGCATGCCTCGACAGCATTCCCAAATAAACTCATCGGAGGTGCAGTGGATGATCCGGGGGGCGAGCATCCTTTCTTGAAACACCCATGCGCGTTGATTCAACGGGGCTCGATCGACTCCCCACTCGATGAGGGTACGTATTCTGTCACACCACGTTATTTGCCGCATGTTGAAATTGTCGTTGCTCATGGCGACGTCCTCCTGAACAACTAGGTCGTGGTAGATGAAGGGCCGCTTGTGAGTTAAGTCGCGCTTCTCCAGGAAGCCACTGGCGTTGTCTTTGCTGATGGTCGCGGCAATGCAGAGGTGTGAATTTCGATAGATTGCACCCATCGCCGACGACTCATGCAACCAGTCCTCGGTTGAATCTTGTCGAATGCACAAGGAATCAATCCACAAGTAAGGAATCTCAAGTCTCCGGGCCATGGTGACGGCATCTTTGAATGTTTGCGGTAGAGCCGAGACGGGGTAGCCCTCTATGAACGAATCCAATGTTTCTTTATCGAGATGAGGCTCATGAGTCGTGCCCCAAGAGTGTGACAAAGCAGCGTAGACAGGAACATTCGATGTTGGTAGGGATTTGGATTCGACCAGGCGAATCTCACCTGGGTCTTGGAGGTCTAACAATCGAGTGGGAAGAACGGTGGCAGTATCTGGGAAAGTTTGTCGCTTGCATTCTGGATGATCGGATACACAATTCTCTATCCAATACTTAAACAGTGACCATGTCGAAGCACCCGGCGTATAGTCGTCTAGTTTTGCCGTCGCATTAATGGGGTTCAAAAGCCTTTTCGATAAGCCGTTGAGAGAATCAATGATAAGTGAAGCCCTCTCGTCGCCCACATATTCCTGGTAAGCGTGTCGATGTTGATCGATGCCTGCCCTTTGTACACTCACAGGCCAATCTCGAGGGTCAGGCGCACACCTGATTGAGAAATAATAGTGGCCCGCGCATCTCAGTCCCAATGGGCTCTTCATAGGGTCTTTGCGCAGGATCCCAGGCCGTCTTCGATATCGTGTTTGCGTATGTGAATATGACTCTTTGGCACGAGAGTCTAGAGAATTAAGTAGCCAGCGGCAGAGATGGCACCCTGAATTGGCGGATTCCAATAAGTCCGCACGGCTTGACTTGTGATCGAGCGAATCATCTTCTGGCAAGATATGTTTATAGTAGTCGGACTCTCGAAACTCCTTCTCGCTCTTATAGCATTCGTAAGATTTGGAGGGAGTAGGATCGGGTCGTGATTCAGATCGGATCACAGAGGGACTTTTTCCCGATTCCAATTCCTCCACCTTTGTCAGAACATTTAGGCAATCGTCACAGAGCTTGAGAGAGTGTGTTTCACTTGGGCCCATGTCAGCTTCGCTCTGAGCTGTGCACCCCCCAGCGATTTTGTAGAGATAAAGAGCCGGGTAGAGATCTGGACACTGGGCGAATATCAAGGCTATTCGATGCTTTTGCGTACAACTTACTCTAAGTCATACTCGTCGTGGTGGGAACGCTTTGGGAGTGGTGGAATCGAGATAGAAATGAAAAGCAGCTGCCTGGAGTTTGGAGACCGGCTGAGCCTTCTGTTGCAGACAGCCTTGCCCCCACTTTTCTAGACCCTAGGCGTTCCAGTCGACGCCTGCGTGGAAAAGAAAGACAGACGTCAGTCTTCGTTTGCAATATATTGCCATTGAAATAGCTGAGAGTAAGACTAAGCTTGTGGTCCTATTCTCTCTCCCTCACTCAGCGCGTCGTAACTGAGGGACGGCAAATCCAAGCCAAAAGTCATAAATCATATCCAGATAAATCCGGTCTGTGGACCACCTAGACAAGCCCTACTGATTAAACTCGAGATGGATCGCATGGAGCGTTCACAGATGAGCCTCGATATCGAGATGGTTCATAGATTGGATCCGATGAAATACCACGAGCCATCGGATCCGATCGATGGACCACGTCCCCGGGAGGAGGAGCGGTCTACGACAATATCCACGTCTCGTCGCGGATGGTGATAGATCTCTTTTCAATTCCCGCTATGTCTTCCGAGCCAGATCATAAAGTCCGTTCAAGAAGGGGTATTGCTTGACACTCAAAATGGAGAACAATATTGTACATGTCGTTCGCACCATCATAACATCGCAATCATGGATCATTAATCAGCCACTGTTAACTGTTACCGACCGTCTTAAGAAGCGGGAGCCAGCACAACGTCCTCCTTCGTCCTCTGACTCTTCTCAAAGCTTTGGAGCTCCTTCTTATGAAGCTGTTTCAAATTCCCGAGCAATCCCTGGTGCTTTTCCTTGAGGCAAGTCATCAGGTCAGCCGTGAGCTTGATTTTACAGCCACATGGTCTGCCGCTTAGATTGTGTCGGGACTCAGTGTTCGAGAAAGTCAGCGTTAGACGACGAAGCTTTTGAAGGGGCCGGGGCTGCGCCCGAATAGATGAGGGCGATAACGACTGATTTTCCCTTCTTGGGGTTCTGAAGCTCATAAGATCCCAGCTGTTCAAATCACTGGCTTCAGTGATGTTAGCCACTAGGTCTTCCGTTCCTTTACTGCGCTCTAGAGCAGTGATTTTGCAATGACCCGGATGACTTTGACATTTGCAACGCTCGAAATTCGGGGCAGTCTTTTCATCGAGCTGGACGGTGACCACAGTGAACGGCGCGGGGCTCAGTTGCGAATCCAGCTGGGAGTTGCCAGATTTCAGGAGGAGGACAAGCATCGGAGGTGTTGGTTTGTGGTGCACGTAACCACGGCCTGAGCCATGATCGACGGTTGTTACTCTCGAGCTTGTGCCGCTCGAATTGATTTCAGCAGAAGACATTCCTGAGACCGAGTCACGAGTCATTGAGATCGAAGAAGTAGTTTGCGTTGATGATATGGAGGTCGCACGACTGACCCTCGGGTCTGGGATGGATTGATTCCGAGGCGATCGTGAAAATACCGACTCGCGTATAGTGCTATTCGAGGATGGTGGAGACCTTGCTGGTTGAGCGTTGTTGACATTCAAGTAGGCAAGGCGTGAGATCAGAGGATCAGAGAGTCGAGGGTCGTTTGTGGCACCGAAGTCTCCGCCAGAATACAATGAGATTGGAGATGCAATGTCTGACAAAGCAGAATTCTGTCGTGAGAGAGGGCCGGGCTCCACAACGGATTCGGACGTACGACTGGCACGGCCTTCGAGTTCCTTTGAAATCCAGAGCTGTATATGGGCTGTGTCAACCCGCGATGTGTTCCGATCAGACGTAATGAACTCGACGGAGACTTCCGGTCTGCATAAGTATTAGCGAGCATAGGATCACCTTGTCTGATCGAATAACCTTACTGGGAGTACTCTTCATAAACTTTGAACCCAGTCAATGCCCGCTGAAATCGCAACATTTCGTCCAATCGCTTAAAAGTGAATTCTGCCATGCATGAATCGGTTCTCAGGATGACACCTAGAGGTCCCTGGTTGAATGACACGGCATATAACGGGATGAGACTAGCAGATTGAATGTAGAAATCCAAAGTGCGACCTCCAAGGTTCTGAGTTAGTTCGTGCACGCTAGTGTAGATGCGGGTTGATCTATACCGTCTCTCCTTTCTTCATCACCACTAAGATCAATTGCTGAAACAATAGCACTCATTTTGCCATCGACACCACGCAGCAGGCGTAGGTTCTGAACAACGGTTGGTTTGGACGTTTCGAGAGACCTGTGAATCAGTGTCGGTTGCAAAACAATTTTTACTAGTGCAGTGTGATTGACTTACACATTAAGAAGTTCATCCATCATGGCAGCCGGTAACTGAACAATGGGCGGCAGGATATTTTCGGGTTCACGTTTAGCCCAGATTGAAAAGTCGATGCCGCTGAGGGATGACAGATCCGGTGGAAGGATTTGATCCGGACAAGATGGATTGAACCTCCAGCATTCTCTGGACAGTTCCTGTGGATCAACTGTCAGCCTCCTGGAACCATCATGCATAATACTCGACACACCGTTTTCAATCCCTTGATAAATGATGGCCAATGAGAATCGTTTTCTTCCGGGGAGGGAGTAAGGTGTTGCTCAATTCGCTCCATCAGCCATACGCATTTCAAAAGGTTGATATACTCCTCGATAGGTGCCGTTTGCTGTTGGAAGGAACGGCGTGGTTGAAAATCTATTGTCGATTGTCTCAAGTGAAGGAGAAAGGCTTCGGTGAGTTCTGGTAAGGAACGATTCGCTGCATGGCATTGGTTTGTAACATTGGGCTCTGCGGCTTGGCCGAACCGGGCTTCAAGTGCTGGGGGTATATGGAGAGTATGGGAGATCTGCTGCTGTCGGATGGCTTGCGGCACATTGGAAGTGAGAAGGCCAATTACGTTCTCGACCTGGCCATGAACGGCGTCGATCCTGGTGATGATGTGGTTCAAAAGGTCAATCTCCAAAGGCTTAAGGATAATCAGAATCTTCGAGTTGTGGAGAAGAATTCTTTCCTTTAGAGCATTTGCCTCTGGTTGAATCAAGATATTCCATTCAATATTTCGGAGGGGACCGACACGTTGGCCATACCGGCGATTAGCCACCAGCAATCTGCGGCACTCGTTGATGGTGGCTTGGTAGTCGCCAATGATCTCGTTTAAAGATGACAAGTTCCATCGTGGAAGGCCCTGAGGGTTAATCCCAGACTGAACCTGACTCCGCGCGCTCTCAAGAACACGAACGAGGCTATCGAGGCTCTCGGCCAGTCCTCGGAATGCGATTCCGAATTGGGCATACTGTGTCGCTGCAGTGGTGTTAATAGGAACCTCAAAGACGAAGAAAGGGCCCTTGGTGCCCGAGAAGAACAAATTCCTCAAAAGAAATTGATCCACGGGAGGCTCATACCTGCACCTTGCGATTCCGCCCAGCCGAAGTAGTAGAGGTCCCATACAGCCTTGCTCACTTGGATAATGTCGCCTAACTGGATCCCAGCCATAAGATCAAATAACTGCAAAGAGTTTGGAAATCCAACAGGAAATCCGACTCAGTTTAAAGCTATCTCCCAGACAGGCCGAGATCAACGATTGTGTCGAGGATGGTTCAGTAAGGCTAGTGGGGAAAGATTCGCTTAGATAGGGGAGGACGATGACTTGTGGCCATGCGCCCCCCTGTCCGTGATTGCACCATTGCGTGGCTTAGCATTGAGATATCCCCTCTCCAGATAGGTTCGGCAACCTCATATCAAGAACTCCAAGAATCTTGAGCGCTCTTGGGTGCTTCTCTTGAGGGCGTCAAGCTTACCAGAAACAGTTGGTAGGGTTGCCTTCCGGCCAGTGAGAGGGGACTGTGAACACGAGGCAAAACAGCCTGTTCGATTCCAAAGTTCCGTCTCGAAAAGTTGGACCACCCGTCGAATCAGCCTCACGGCACGAAAGATGGTGCTCGGCTCTTTGGCCATCCCATTCATATAGCGGTATAGTCGCCTCGTCGCTGTCTTGTCAAGCTACCACCGCCTCTTTCATTCAAACTGTGTCCCTCAAGCCACAGTCGTCATGAACGGTGGTCTTGCTCGACGTCGGTCTCAGGACAGCACACGCAGTGCTGGAGAGAGCCTCTTTTCTGAAAATGAAGACCCAAATCGAATTGTCACGCGATCTCCCGAGGATCGTTTCAAGCTTGGCTATATAGCAGTCATGGGCCTGGTTATAAACAGAATGATTGGTATGTGATTCATCCCCAGATAGCATCCCGGGCCTTTGATTAATTCTTCTGTAAGGTACGGGAATCTTTATGACTCCCGCTCGAGTCATTCAGGGAACAGAGAGCACTGGCACAACTTTGCTATTCTGGTTCGCTGGTGCGGTTTATGCATTGGCAGGAATGCATGTATACATCGAGTATGGATTGAATATACCACGGCGAGTCGTTGGAGGGATGGATCGAGGCGTGCCCAGGTCTGGAGGTGATGTGAACTACGTATTTTGGCCCTCTGTTCTCGTTTCCCACTGCGCCAACGCTGACCCTCCACAGTTGCAATATGTCTTCCGGAAGCCAGCATATCGAAAAGACACGCTCCTCTTCATCACATCTTTCTTTGGCATCTCGTTTATTGCCCTCGGCAACATGGCAGGTAACGCCATCAGCTTCGGAATTCGAATTCTTGAAGCGTCAAACGCTGAAGTGACGAATGGAGCAGTCCGTGGTATAGCCATCGCTGTCTCTGTTGTCGCTTGTTTCATTCACACCTTCTCCCGTAGAGGTGGTATCCTCCTGAGCACGATTTTCGCTGCCCTGAAGATATGCATGATGCTGTTCATCATTGTCACGGCAATCTGTTATGGAACTGGAGCCTTCCCAGATAATCCTGGCAACAATATTGACCGAGATGAGACGCTGTCTGAGAATCTGTCACCGTCGACTGCTTTCAGCGACTCATCACAGAGTGCCAATGGCTATGCTCAAGCCTTTCTTGCCATCATTTTTGCCTATGGAGGATTCGAGCAACCCAACTATGTCTTGGGGGAAATCGAAAAGCCACAACGGACATATCCCATCTCTATGGTGGCGTCATTGACCACCGTCTGTGTGCTCTATATGGCCGTCAACGTGAGCTATGTGAGTACCCTGGTCCTTCTAGCCCCGCCTCCCAAACCTGTTTCTTGACTAACCGGACAAAGATGGTGGTTGTCCCCAAATCAGTACAAATCAGTGGCACGAGTGTTTCCCAGTCCTTCTTCCAGTTGACTTACGGCGCCCTTGCACCAGGCGACAACACTGGGGCGCGGATTTTCAGTGCATTCCTTGCCATTTGTAGCTTGGGAAACATCATTGTCATGACGTATACGGCAGCTCGTGTTAAGCAAGAGGTTGCAAAGGAAGGTGTTCTGCCATGGCCGAAATTCTTTGGACAAAACAAGGATCTCTCTTTTGGGCGCATGCTCCGCTGGGCGCAGCGGTCCACTTTCATTAATCGACCGTTCGGTCGTCTCTTGCAAATGCGTTGGTTGGCCCCCGAAGTTCATTCGGAAAAGACACCCGTTGGTGCTCTCTTATTGCACTTGATTACATGCATCGTTCTCATTTTCGCAACTTATGGCGAGACACCGCAGAATGCATATGTAATTCTCACTGGCATCGCGGCATACGTCGTCAACGCATGCTTTGGAAGTCTTCTGGCCCTGGGGATCCTCTATCTCCGATTCTCCAAAAAGGAGAATTGGCGTGAGAAGACCAGGAACACCCGGCCATGGCTGAGTGTTCTCTGCGCGACTGTCTATCTCATTGGGAACTTGTTCCCAGTCATCACATCTTGGGTCAAGCCGGAAGCCGCTTTGAGCCAGGTTGAGGACTCATCGTCATTGTCAGACTTGGAGGAAGTTCTAGACCCATCAGCCCAGCCGTCTCAGACTGTGACATGGTTCATCGTCCCCACAGTCGGCTGGTCGGTGTTGGGCTTCGCTGCTCTCTGGTGGCTGGTTGCTATCCTCGTTGTGAGAAGAATCGAACGGCGTAGCCATACAGAATTCACGATCCAGAAGGAAGTCGATTTTGACGAAGATCCCCCCAACAGCGACAATTATGTCCAGGTCCATGAAACTGTGTATCTGAGCTGGAAGGGGAAGGAAATCTTGAGAGAGATGTCTCAGCAAGATGGATATTTCGGGGCATACCCTTGACGACGCTGGATGATAATTATCGAGATATTAGGTATACCCATGAGGATGACATAATGAATAAACCCCTTCAAATACATGAACGCCGTTTACCTTCAAGGGAAAAAAAAAGAATTGAGACTTAGTCGTCTTAGAAAGAAAAGTATTATCAGAAGACAAATACTTTCTTATAGTAGGTATCGAGATCCAGTCATAAAAGGAAGGTAGAAGTATTACTACATAGTACGGTTAGAATTAACTGACACTTGCAAAGGTGTAATCTGGCTGTGACTGACCAACCATCACTATCATGTTTCTCAGATTCGTAAAGCCGAAGACGAATTGCTGGATGGAGATATAGTCTCCACGCTTCAATCATGAAAGCCCTGAAGGGAGGGTTTTCTATCGGCAACGTTTGCCACCGTCCGTGGATTCTGCCAGCGTAATGCCTTTTGAGGTTTTGGCTGGGGCGCCGTTGGAGTGGGTGTTGCTTGGTTTGCCGCACTGTCTGCTGGATTCGGTATGAAACCGTATGCTGGAGCAGGCGTTTGTGCTGGCGCTTGGTTTGGCCCTGTCTTTGGAGGCTGAGAGGCATCGGAAGCTGGTCCAGAGACTGAGGCAGGAACAGGGCCGGGATATCTGGCGGCTGTAGGCGCCGCGTGAGGATTAGGAGGGGCAGCGGGAGGAGGAGGGTTTTGCCACTGTGGCGGTCGATATGGATAATACGGTGCAGGATAGTGCGGATGAGCAAACCCTGGGCTCGATGCCGGAGGTTGTGGTGGCGGCCCATTCCAAACTATGGGTGCTACTGCTCTATTTTTCTCCGCCTCAAGGTCTCGGATCTTCTGCTCCGCCTCTTGCAATCTGGCCTTTAGAGCCTCGAGTTCTGTGAGAGGGTTGGGCGCTGTCTGCTGAGTGTTGGCCTCAGGGACTTGGGCGTCTGTGGAAGTATTTTCGGCAGTAGAGACCGGAACTGTTATTTCGCTTCGCTTGGACCGTTGAGCCCTGCGAACAGCTGTCTTGCGGCCCCAAGTTATCTCCTCGCCTGCCATGAATCCTGACATCATGCCAGGGAAGGGCATCTTTTTCGGTGGCCTACGACTTGATACTTCTGAGGTGCTTTCGTCACGAGATTGGTTGATTCCACCACCTCCAGTGAGGGGTGGCTCCGACTCTGCATTACGGGTAGTTATATCTCCTGTCGTTTCTGATGCTGCGGTTGTAGGTCGATCCTCATCCAGCCTCCCCGCAGATCCCAAGAAGTCGAACAAAGGCTGCAAGCTATTTTCCCGGGCAGTCTCCGGCCTTGATCCACTCTCTGGTTGAGGCAATGGTTCCGTTGCCCGTCTTTTGCGCGCCGGCGACTGTCTGGATGGCGGTGCAGCTTTCCTCTTTTTCTCCTTCGGCTTTGGTAGCTTATCCGGATGGAAAATCTCCAGGATCTTCCTTCGTTTACTATCCTTGCGTGGAGGCGGAGCTCGCTCCTCATAGGTCTGGTGGAGCGGAACATGTTTATAATGAAGCTCCAGGCTCATCTTTGTCGATGAAAACTTGACGGAAAGCAGGCCATGACAATCGAAAACAGGCTTTCTGATCTTCACTCCGAGTCTGACCTTGGATGCTCCTTCATTAGCAGCTCTACCTTTATTAAGAGTCGAGTCATTGCAATAATAGGAAAACCTGCTGGCTTGATCTTCTCTGCTGATCCAGTGATTATGGAAGCTGTAGCGAAAGCCATCTGCTTGTTGAACCGCTTCGACAAGAGCTCGGGATATTCCCTTCTGCATGAGCATCTGTTCTTTAGGGTCCTTAATTGTATGAAGAGCATCAATGACACTGATGGCGGTTTTGTTGAAGGGGCTGTAGAGGTAAGGGACCTTCCTATTCGGGCCCTTGGTTGGGATTGCCTCTCGGGCTGCCACCATGAATGCTGCAGTGACAGGGAACGAGAACTCCAATGTCGTATGTTCAGGATCTCCTGTTGGGTTGGCTAAATAATCGCGGAGTTTTGTTTCCAGGTCCTCCACTCTCTGGCATTGGAAGAGCACGGATTGTCCGAGCGGATCTTTGGCGTGTCGGCCTCGATGACGCGCCTGCGTTGGTTTCGCTCTATCTACATCATCGGCTCTGTCATCTCCGTCGGCATTGGTTTGGGATGGTGATGATGGTCCAGAGGCGCCATCCGACTCCGCCAGGGGATCTGGAGAATCCATTGTGAGATGGTACAGTGATAGAAATAGATGTCTTTCGCAGATGGCAATAGAGAGAAGATTGAGGCGCCTAGGAGGATCCGACCCCTGCCAAGACATCCCCCCGCCGCACCCCCGGCGAGCTTTGCTATTGGCGCGCTGCCTTACCGCCCAGTTCAATTCATTCAATTGTTCCGCAAGGGTTTCCCTTATGAGCACCAGATTGTCTCTGCGGCTTGTGGAGTCTTATCCCAGCCAGAGACTGAAGCTCACACATTACCACCGAGTTCTCTATCGCAAATTCGGCATGGCACCGGCAGCTCCATCAACCGATAAACTTCGACCGATTGTATTTTCTGGTCCTTCGGGCACTGGGAAGTCGACGCTCATTACCCGCCTTTTTGCGAAGCATCCTGATCTCTTCGGCTTCAGCGTGTCTCATACTACCCGGAAACCCCGTCCCGGCGAGCAAGATGGCGTGCACTACCATTTTACTACGCCCGAAGTGTTCGAGAAAATGATCGCGGAGGACGCATTTGAGGAGCACGCCAAGTTCGGAGGGAACTACTATGGCTCGTCCAAAAAGGCAGTCCAAGACGTCGCGGAAGGCAAAGGGAAGAGCATTGATGGGACCACTGCTGAGGGCAAAAGAATCTGCATATTCGATATTGAGATGGAAGGGGTGAAACAATTGAAGAAAAGCAGTCTGAATCCAAGGATATGCTTCATCCAGCCACCCAGCATCGAGATTCTTGAGAAGAGGCTGCGTGGCCGAGGCGACACGAGTGAAGATGCCATTCAAAAGAGACTTGCTCAAGCCAAAAACGAGATGGAATATTGCAAGACTGAGGGCAAGAATGACAAAGTCATTATAAATGATGACCTTGACGCTACATTCAAGGAGCTAGATGAGTGGGTCATGAGAGACATTTCTTCAGCAAATTAGAATTGGAACAACCAAACAAGAGGAGTATGATCTGTCAGGGCGTTTAGAGAAAGACAAAAAATGGATGGGATTACAGAATCAACTAGAGCGATGAAATGTTAGAGGATTACTTAATACTCTCCGGGGTTGAAAGACGAAAGACCCGCTCTCCATTAGACAAAGTTCAAGGTGACAAGAAGGATATGGCAATCGCTCAAGCTCAACCATCGCTCCATGAAATCGATTCCTCGAAACCCTTGAAAACGTGCTTGGTGGCCTTCTCTTCAATATCCGTTCATGGTCATACGCTGCGAACTTCTACTCAATTCTCGATCCGCAGCAGGGCTGATGGGCCGGCTTCCAGCCATACCACTTGCAGCGCTGCTCTCCTTGAGGGCCAGCAGTTGCTTGGCTCTGAATGTCTCGTAGTGAATCTGGCTGGTGGTTTCAATGAGATCTTGGAGGTGGGTGCGGGTGAGGAAGTTCCTGAGGTAGACAAATTCGCAATGGTTCTCATCCTCAACGTTGATCACTCCCCATTTGTTCTGTCGGCCACGGACTTGCTTGCCATTAACAATGATGGACTTCTCGCTGCCGACGACTGCGAACGGAATGATGTCCTTGATGGTCGCATTGGTGGCTCGCTCCTCGTCATCTAGTTCTTCATTGTCATATGGATACATCTTGAGATTGTGGAAGGCAAACTCCTCCTTGATGCGCTCTTTGAACGCCCTGCGCTCCTCAAGTGTGAGTGAGTCGGCCTTTGCAATGACCGGAACGACATTGACAACATCAGAGAGCTTCTTCAAGACCACAATGTCGATAGGCTTGAGGGCGTGGCCGGAGGGCTGGATGAAGAAGAGGCAGCAGTGAATGCGAGTATCTTGGATGTAGCGCTCGCGCTGGGCAGTGAGTTCTTTTCGGAGGTAGGCAGAATGCTGGTCTTTGATGTATTTCACAATAGGATCCCAACTGCATCTTAGTCAGCCCATTCCATCTTAGTCCATGGAAGTGTCCCAAAAAGAAAACTTGCCATCTATCGTTGTTGACCAAATCTCCGTAACCAGGAGTATCGACAATGTTCAATCGTAGTCGCACTCCATTTTCCTCAATGACTGGCAAAATGGTCAGTGGTACTTTTCCATCCCCTTTGATAAATTCACGACTCACTGTGTGAGACGGTCTGGATCTCGGTGGTGGAACGGATCTGCTCATCTGGTCGCAGACGACCCTTGGAGTCGATGAGGTGAGATGCGAAGATGGTGTTGATCAAAGTAGATTTTCCGAGACCGGTTTGACCTGATGGGAGTAAGCCTTCAAGAGCAGTGAGTGGTAGAAATATACGCACCGACGCAGATGACATTGAATTGGAAACCTCTCTTCAACAGCTTCTTTTCAATTTGTTGGGTGATGCTGTCAAAGCCGACGTGGCTTCGCGGGAAGACCGCGTTTCCTTGCGGCATTGCCATAGTCATGATGATCTGCGGATGGAGGATGGACCGGAGAGGTTGAAGTGATGAAAGACCGATGACAATATGGGAGTCGTGATGCGCAAGAGAAGTGGGAATTGAGGATGCACGAGGAAGTAAATTGCGACCCGCGACAAAATTTCCCCAGACAAGTTGAGATGTCAGTCAAATGTCCCCTTTTTTGATCTCTCCGATGCCAAGGACAGGGGTAGATTTGCCAGGCTTGAACCTGGGAAGACGGGAACCCCCCTAAACCGCACTTAACGAAGGATGAGGCTAGCGTGTATGCGCGCGGTTTGAGAAATCTCGACACTCCTGCAAATAGTACGGCCATCACGACCAGTTGAGCCTGTGAGTTTTCCTATTCTTCACGCCCCTCTCCCTTTCTCAGGTGATGCAGTGTAGTCAAGTAGCATGGCGTTGGCAAATGCTGCAGCCGCTTCCCGGATCCCCTCTTTGTTCCTAGGACGAAGCGCAACCACATCTTCAACAACGATCCGAGCTTGGTCGTTTCGGAACCTGATATCGGCATCCGTTGCAATCCCAACCATCGCGATAAACATCCCTGGTATCATTGCAGATATATGGGAGGGAGTGCTTAACGCCGTTCCCAAGAAAAAAACGTCACATATGAAAAAGAGACATCGACAGCTCGCTGGAAAGGCATTGAAGGATGTAAGAGCAATCAATCAATGTCCAGGTTGCGGCAGGCCGAAAAAAGCTCATACATTATGCCCATATTGTGTTGCAGGTCAGGCTCACAGTCATTCCAAAACACTCTTGGTACTAATACGACTCAGAGATATATGAAGGCTGGAAGGCCAGAGATGCGCAGGAACGAGAAGCGGCGAAGGAAGAGAAGAGTCCGGTATGAAGAAGATGGGTCACGGAATTGGGCAAGACAAGGGATGAACGATTTCGACTAGTTTAAGAATACCGGCTTCTAGATCCTCCTTTCCATCAGCGACTACATCGAAATGCCTATACTGAAACTTCATGACGGATTTGCAACTGTCCTAGTCTTGAAGGAAACAAGCCGCCAGAACCGCAGGTGAACAATTGAGCAGCATGACCAAATTGTACGGAATGGTCAGAGACCCCCGATTCCACAGAGTTCAAGTGGTTTCCAAAGTGCTAGAGGGGAGGATTCTCCAACAAGTTGATCTTTGTGGGATTCGCAATCATACACGAGAGCGTACCAGGCATGTTCTCAGTCGGATGATATCAAATCTACAGTTGCTAGGTGGAAAAAGTGAAGATGGACGGAGCAGTCATTTGTGTCCAATCCGCAGACAAGTTTCTCTGCAGGCATTATATTACCTTGTAAATTACGTCACATGTACAGTAATTTTCAAAACATCAATTCAGTCGTTTACATCGAAATGTGGACTGCCACACCCGCTCCCCCTTAATGTTAACCCTTCACCTGACAATTTTGCTACAAGATTGCCTATCCAGGACTCTCTGTATAATGCCGCGCGGAAATCAACATGGTCGGCTTTAGTCCTTCCTGACGAACATTCGAACAAATTTACTGACAAGAGCCACAGTCGAAGCAGTATCTCGCCCAGCATACAATAGATGAGGGTACGTCCCGACATCTCAGAATCCAGAGGTCACTTCGTTGATACAAATCTAGCTCATGCCACCGATGTCTTCGCTCTAGCTGCGACACAGGCCCAGATTCTCAGCGGTTCTGGTGAGCCCTCGATTAAAATCTACTCAACAACTGAGGACGACTTTCCGATTGCCCAAGTCCTCAGAGACGCACATAAGCTCGGCTGTCACCATATCGTCACGAACCAACCTGGCACAAAGGCCGTCAGTGCGGGTTTCGCTGGAGAGGCCAAGGTCTGGAAGTATGAGGAGGGCATTTGGAAAGATGATGGGGATGTGACAGGCATCGATGCTCCCAGGAAAGCCGGCGAGACCTGGGCTGTAACTTTGTCGCTGGATGGACAGTACCTGGCCGGAACTACACATGATGGGCGTGTGAATGTCTGGGATTTGACGAACGGGGGAGAAAAAGTCAAGGAGTTTGAGACGAAAGGCAGTTTCGGCATGTGTATTGATCTGGTACGTGTGCTGATGCTACTCTGCCCCACGACTTTGCCAAACAGATACTGATGCAGCCTATCAGTCACCGGATGGACGCTTCATCGCCAGCGGCCACGAATCTGGGAATATCTACCTTTTCTCCACGGCCACGTCTCGTCTTCTACATTCCCTTCCCGGCCTCATCAAACCTGTCCGGGCCGTTAAATTCTCCCCTGGCTCCAAATTGGTTGCGGCAGCAGGTGATGCACGCATTATTTCCTTATACGATCCCAATTCCGGCGAACAGGTAGCAAACCTCAGTGGCCACGCTGCATGGATCACGAGCCTTGACTGGAGTTACACCGGTCAATATCTGCTGAGCGGGAGTCTGGATGGGAAGGTGAAAGTTTGGGATATTGACCGAAGAACTTGCGTTGCGACGCATAGTGAGAGCGAAAGGGGGATATGGTGTGTCAAATGGTTACCGAAGGGCGAAACCTCTGTAGAGAGGCAGAAGGCGGAAAGATTTGTAACGGCAGGGAGTAACCGGGCTATTACGATCTACAGAGAGGCTACAGGTGGATGAAAGATCCCGTTTGAAGGGCTTCGATGAGATCCAAACCAAACGACTCTCTTGGGTCATGGGTCATGCGCCGAGTGGTGGCTTCCAAGTGCTGAGATGAGGAGCCGGAAGCTCGAAGATCACGGCTTCGAAAAGGACTAGCTAGACCCAGACCGGGGAAAGCCACAGCTCAGCCCAAAAGCATCACAAGGTGTTGCAGACTCCATCCACCTAATTTGAGCTAGGAAAAAACTCTCGGAAAGGAGTGACTAAGGACGACTGCTGGTCCAGAGGAAATATCAGCTAGAAGAAAGCTTGAACTCGATATGGATTCGGTCCGCAAAAGACATTATATGGCTTCCTCAGGACAAGAAAATTGATCAAATATGCCGCCATTCAAAATCTCACTCCACCGCCATGGCTATCTGATCTTCTGAAAGTCGCAGCTATCTTACTTCTCCGCACTAAGCACCAGGTTGTGTGATGTTTCTCCCCAGAGAGACCCTCATCCACAACGCCTATGTGGGAGGCCGGAAGTGGGTGAAACAAAGGCAGAGAATGGCCCTTGGGACCTTTTTCAATTTGATTCAATCTTGGCATGATTTTGACTACATCGACCATGGAACTTGGTGGATGAAGCTTCGAAAGTGCCTTCGTACGTACCTAATCTGCCGAGACCCAGTGACCAAAACAGACGTGGCTTGGGTTGGACGTCCTTGACGTGTGTTTCGAACAGAAGAGCCCTCGTCCCCATACTTTCCATGCCCAGGTTCTTTCTTTCTCTCCTGAGCGGTGGATTCTTTGTCGCATTTGGGCTGTTGTCGCGTTCAGGTTTGGGGAAAGGGGAGAGGAGAGAGAGATGGGCTATATTTTGTATATAATATATATCTTTGAATGGGATGTCCGCCAATAGCGAACCATCACCACCATGATTTTCACACAAGCAACCGAAATCACCTGGCGAATTCAAGTGGATCGGATTAGGATCGGCTTTGGGGTTAATCTCGGCGACTCGGAAATGTGTAGACACAATCGGATGTGTGCGTTCGACAAGGGTATAATAGAGCGCCTTACATTAAAATATGGCGAAGAGAAGAAGAGAAGGGGAAAATCTGTATATCATGCTGAGGCTTGGCGTGTTTGTGTCATTTGAACTCGGCCTTGTTTCTTCTTTTGACTGAAATAGGCGAAGTCAGGAAGAATAATATCACAACCCGGCAATACACCAATTCAAGGGAGTTCGTTTGCAGAGTTCAGTGACATGCTGCTTCCCGTCCATCCACCGTTATGCTGATGCCGTTTCCACTTTTGCCAAACTTTTTTCCACCGCGTTGGAGGCTTTGCTGTCCTTTTGCTATTGTCACAAATGTGAGGCGAGATTCTCTCTCATGCTCATACATCCAAGGCAACTGGCCACCGAATCTTGTGTGGAGCCACCTCACAAGTGTGGACCATGACGGCTGCCGAATTTAGCTTGCCGACCATTTCCTCGCCGCTTCAGCACGTCTGGGCTCATCGTGGAGAATGTAAAGACCGTGAGACAGAAGGAGTAACCTCCAAGACAAACTCCTCCAAGCGTTGTCGTCCAGAGTACCGCAGTCACTCCACTCTCAGCAGAATTTCCCAGACCCTTTCAGCGAAACGGACCGTTCATGATCTACTAGGGTAGCCACTTAAGATCCTCTCTCTTCTTCCTCCTTCGCCCTGTCCCCGAGGCTGTATGCAAGACCGCCGCCGACAACATTCATCAGACACAAGCCCATCGTCAACCCTCTGACAATTCCTCGTGCACCAAACTTTTTCATGAAGTGAAATTTTCTCCTTCCTGCTAGAACCCAATATGTTCCACTTAAAGCAGCAGTCGTTCCGGCGCTGTCAATTTTGTAGCCCAGGACACTGAGATAGGAAGAGAAGAGTAGCAACGGCGGGAAGAGCAGTGGAAGCGGTTGAAATGGCCTATAGTGTTGTGCGAAGGTGAGACTTGCAAGAAGAGTTGCAGGAGCAGGATTCTCTGTTACAGTGTAAATATGTCGACTCGAGATTAGTCAACGGATGGGAAATGTGCATTGCTGCACAATCACGAACCTCCCCATTGTTTGGCGTACTCAATCATGGACTTTCTAACTTCCTCTTCCTTCTCCTTCTGAGGACCAGCCATCCTGAATTGCGAACACTCCCGTCGAGCAGTATCAGCTGTAATTCATACTGGTGCGAGAGAGGAAGAGAAACAGAATTTCGTAGCTCAGGGTTACCGCTTCGGTTCGGGAAAAGTAAAAAAAAGCCCAGACCGAGCCTGCGGCAGTGGCCTCAAACCCACCATTGGCAATTAGCGCGGCATGCGATTTCACTTCTTATGACCACCTTACCAACTCCAAGGTCGCATCCCTGCGGGAGGCTTATATGAACCATTTGCCTGATTGAATTTGAGACTCCCTTCACGCTCCCCCCAAGAATTTCCTGTTCGACCCTCGGGCTCTCTTTTGAATTTCAAAGCACCATCCCGACCGCGCGGCATGTCCGCAACGGCTTCTGGCTCTGATGCCAGGGCAAATGGCTCGGCGACTTCACGAGACCACAATCAGGGCAATCAAGACAGAAAGTATACCCCCCAGCAGAAGGCCGAAGTAATACGGATACGGAAATGCAACCCCACGGCATTCTATGAGATTCTTGCGATCGAGAAAACGGCGAGCGATGGAGAGATCAAGAAGGCCTACCGAAAAATAAGTTTGTTGACGCACCCCGATAAAAATGGATATGAAGGCGCCGATGAGGCATTCAAGAGTCAGTACGGTTGCCAGGGTTTCATGGATTGAATATTGACACCATTAGTGGTCTCGCGCGCATTTCAAATACTGTCGGACGCCGACAAGAAAGCAAGATACGATCAATTTGGAGGTGACCCTGATAATCGCTTTTCCAGTAGCGGTGCTGCCGGCGCTGGTGCCAGCCCCTTCAGCGGCTTCGCGCGATCTCCTGGAAGAGGGCCTATGTACGAAGATGAGATCTCACCGGAAGAACTATTCAACCGGTTCTTTGGTGGAGGCATGGGTCCAGGTTTCCAGTTTGGTAAGATTTCTATTCGATCTGGGCCGTGAGCACAAAGTTGCTGACTCTATGGCAAGGCGGTGGAATTGGAGGACCACAATTTGTCTTTAATATGGGAGGCGGTCCGGGATTTACAGTACATCGTATGGGAGGCCCAACACCGAGGCGAAGGCCACGAGAAGCTAACGCAGAATCCACGCCGAGTGGATTGTCCGCGCTAACCCAACTGCTTCCATTGTTACTCCTGTTTATTCTACCTTTGCTGTCTTCACTTTTCTCCGGCACGACCCCCTCCGGCCCTCAAGTCCGATTTGATTCACCGGTTCCGCCACATACGATGCATCGGGTCACCCCCAGATATAAAATTGATTATTTTATCAATCCTGCGGAGGTGGACGGATGGAAAGCCAGGCAGTTTTCTTCGTTGGATCAGCGGGCGGAAGTGGACTATGTATCAACGCTCAGATATCAGTGTGAGACGGAGGTACAGCGAAAGCGTCAAGAAATCAACGACGCCACCGGGTTCTTCTACACGGACGAGAAGAGATTGAAGAGAGCAAGGAATATGCCGATGCCTGGCTGTCAGCGGTTGGATGAATTGAAAGTCAGTCGACAGTTCTGAGGACTCTTTGAGGTGCTGTATGTGCGACTGCATCAGTGTTTGGTGTTGGTGGCGTCGTCAAGCCGATTGTTGGCGGCCTTGTAGAACAGGCCAAAAGAGGGGCCTTTGTGAGATGACTACATTCCTCCTATGAACTTTGTTCTGTTCAAATAACGCATTGTGTCTGGCGGTTCTCTCCGTTGCCTGAAATGAGAACGTTAGCAGGCATCCACAAGGTGACATAGCTGGTAATCAGCCAGTCAGGGGAGGGCAGGCTGGGTGTGGGCTTGCCATATCTCCGATCAACCCCCAAAAGGTGTCGAAGGTTCAGACCTCAACCGTACTTTCGTTCCGCCACATTTGTCATCTCTACAATCTACGACAATGTCAGACCCATCTCTAGACTCAGATAAGGTGCGTCGAGTGTATAGGCATCGAGAATCTCTAACATAGATCAGATTCGCAATAAGAGACTAGCGAAATTGCAGCAGTCACAAATAGCGCAGTCGCAAGATTCCGAGTCAATATCATCCTCACAAGCGGCAACTCCTCAAGAGAGTGCGCCCGAGACTCCTGCACCGACCGAGTCGCCAAAGCCGTCTATCAACATCTCCAAAGCCCCCTCACCTCCACCACCGTCCACTCGAATAAAATCAACTTCCGCCAATGTGACGCCGCTGAAGCGAGAGATGAACGGTGCAGAGCGACCGAGTTCCCGGCAAAGCGAGAGCTTCGAACAATGGGAAGACCGTACACTGAGAAGCATTTTCCGGATCAGTCTCGATCCTAGTCAAACGAAAGACGTTCAAGGTCACAGTTTATTTGTGACCCCGCAACTTAAAGAAGAGCTGGAGTCTGAGGAGAAGCCCGTCCTGTTAAGCAAGGAATTGCTCGAACAAGCCATTATGGAGGCTGGGACCGATCTAGGGAAACTAAGCCCGCATGACTGGCTCTTTGGTTGCTGGAAGAGAATTACCAGACTCAACAAGGCCGTCAAGGATCGAGCAGGCGACAGCAAGAAAATGGAGGTTATTTTGGAGGCCAAGAGATTATGTATGAGCTGGTGTATATTATCCGTCACCACTCCTGATGTCTTTGGGGCCGACTATGAGGGCGTTTCCGCTCTGGCAGATCATCTCCTCGCGGACCCTGATGAAGACGGTGGAGTCTGTCATGATTTCTTAACAGAGGTCGTGACGAGGTTTGATGAAGATGAGACGATCAAGGATGCCTTTGTCGGTGCTGTGGAAAATCTCAGTCGACGACTGGCCAAAATGACCATGGACAGCGACTATCGACGATACACGGCAATGTTGCGCCACTTGATCCGATACAAGCCCATGGCTATCGCTATTACCGAATCCTCCATGTTCGTGGACAAGTCAGTTCCGGCAGCGCAACTAGAGACCAGCACCTTGCTCGGCCCCTATTTCCAAATATCACCCCTGCAGGCTGATGTGACCAGGCAATATTTTTCGGGACCCAAGACGATGGATCCCGGGAGGATCAGAAATGCTCAGCAATCTCTCCAGATGTCTCTGAGGTCCCATCAAACCGAACTTTTTGACATTATCAACACCCTGGTACGATCGTCCTCGGATGCTCGAGAACGAGTTCTCGATTGGTTTGCCTTGGCAGTAAACTCCAACCATAAGCGCAGAGCTATGCGTGTCGACAGGGCGGCGGTATCAAGTGATGGATTCATGATCAACGTCAACACATGCTTGGATCAACTGTGTGAACCTTTTCTAGACGCTCAATTTTCCAAAATGGATCGTGTCGACATTGACTATCTGAGAAGACATCCTCGAGTGGATATCAAGGACGAAACCAAGATCAACGCCGACCAAGATCAATCCGATAATTTCTACACGAACCAGCTCGAAGGGACTAATAACTTCATTTCCGAGTTGTTCTTTTTGACTGTCGCTGCTCATCACTACGGCAGTGAGGCCGCCCGCAATATGCTGAAGGAGATGGATCGGGAATTGAAGCATATGGCCAAGCAGATTGAACAGTTCGAGACGGAAAGACACAAATACGTCAACAACCCGGTACAGCTACAGATTTTTGAAAATGCACTGAAGAGGTACAAAGATGCACACGATAAGAGTTTGTCCTACAAATACGCCGTCCAAGGAGTGTTACTTGACGACCTTGCTCAGACTCGCTCAATGCAGTTTATGCGATTTGTGACCGTCTGGCTCCTCCGTCAAGTTTCTCCCCGTCGCCAATTCCCCAAAGAAAAGTTGACTCTTCCTCTACCTTCTGAACAACCCGAAGCGTTCAAGAATCTTCCGGAATATTTCTTGGATGTTATCAGCGGAAACTTCGGATTCATCATGTACAACATGCCACAAGTCATTTCATCAACCCAATCTGATGAGTTGATCATGCTTTGCATCACTTTCCTACGAAATTCTGAATACATCAAAAATCCCTACTTGAAGGCCTCTTTGGTAACGATTCTCTTCCGAGGAACATGGTCATGGCGTCAAGGTGGCAGGGGAATCCTAGCGGATCAATATAATAGCATGCCTTTTGCGACGGATCACTTATTACATTCTTTGATGAAGTTTTTCATCGAGGCGGAGTTCATGGGTGGTCACGGACAATTCTTCGACAAGTTCAACGTCCGTTTCGAGATTTTTCAGATCATCAAGTGCATCTGGTCCAATACGGTCTACAGGGATCATCTCCTCAGGGAGGCAAAAGTCAACATGGAGTTCTTTGTCAGGTTTGTGAACTTGTTGTTGAACGACGTCACCTTCGTTCTGGACGAGTCATTCACGGCATTCCACAAGATACACGATATTTCCAAGGAACTCTCTCTGGCAGGTACAACCTTGAATGAGCAGCAACGACAAGAGAAAGAAGAGGCATTAGAGGAGGCGAAAGGCCGAGCCAAATCCTACATGCAATTGACGAATGAGACAGTTGGTATGTTGAAGCTGTTCACCGAGGCTTTAGCAGACGCTTTCACAATGCCTGAAATTGTTCAGCGATTGGCAGACATGCTGGACTACAATCTCGATGCTATGGTCCCCCCCAAGAGCACTTCCCTCAAAGTTGATAATCTTCAAGAGTACAACTTCAACCCGAGGGCGTTGCTGAGCGAGATTGTCGACGTATACCTCAATCTCAGCGAGAAAGAAAACTTCATCCTCGCCGTGGCCCGAGACGGCAGGTCTTACAAGCCGGAAAACTTCGCAGCCGCAGGCAACATTCTGCGAAAATTTGTCTTGAAAGCACCCGAAGAGTTGAAGAAATGGGATCGACTCATCGAGAAGTTTGCCAAGGCGAAGCAAGAGGACGAGGCCGCAGATGCAGATCTTGGCGAAATTCCCGACGAATTCCTGGATCCTTTGATGTTCACGCTCATGGAAGACCCAGTGAGATTGCCTGTGAGTCGGATTGTACTTGATCGCAGCACTATCAGAAGTCACTTATTGAGTGATCCACACGATCCCTTCAATCGAGTTCCTCTGAAGATCGAAGACGTGATTCCTGGTAAGTCTTTTGCTATTTGAATCCGTACGCCCAGTGTGCTCACGCGATTGTGTCATTATAGCAACCGACATCAAGGAACAGATCGAAAAGTTCAAAGAGGAAAAGATTGGAAGCCGCCGAAAGGATTTTGTGGAGACCGTCAAGACGGAAAAGGGTGGCAATGCCGACGGCGAGGCCATGGATGTTGATCAGTAAAACTTTTCCGAGTGTCAACGGGACTTCACGGCGACGTAGCTGCTGGATATATTCTGGATGATCGACCCATTATGACTCTAGTGAAGTGGATTGGTCTGGGTTGGGAGAAATACCCTGGCTTTGAATTGCACAAAGAATACCAGAAAGGTTAGGCGAAGAATGACTGAGAAAAGATTGCAGGACATCCATTCTCGCGGATTCCTGCCATGATGTACGAATGGGCTTCACGACAAAGCCGGGGAGTGTGTTGTGATTCTCCAAGTCCGTGGAATATGTATTGCATCCTATGGCGAAGGGTTATTCCTCGCGGGAATGGCGCAAGGAAAGGGAAGTGGCATGAGGTAGATAAGATTGTAAATTGCAGTACAGAAGAGAAGAGCATGCGAACGAAGTGTCCATATCACATTTGTCACTCTGGTGCTCTTTGCTTTGGTACCAAGGCTTTTTTCAGCCCAATCTTACAGCTCTCCTCTTGTCGTCGCCGTTCAGTCGTTCGATGATGGATTCCACCAATGACAGATTTTAGGGGTTTTTGTGATAGATGGCGCCACCAAGGTTGTACACGCTTCGAACACAAGTCCTCCGTAAAAGAAGTGCCAACATCCTACCTCTTCGGCAGGAAAGGAATCAAAACATTGCGGGCTTCGAGTGCCTGTGTCTGGGATTCAAGGCAGACGAAGCTGTACACCGTTGACACAAAAAGAAATGCGAATCACTCTTACATTCATCCGATGCTTCAATGATGATAGAGAGCTTCCATAGTTCAGCTCCTGACATATGATTGACGGCGTTGCTAACAGTTCCTTCATTCTTCGACGAGCAGACACGGTGCCTATGTAGGCTATCAGGCCAACAGTGTTGATGCACTGCGAACGCCCGTAGGATCTGGATATGACACAGATGATTCTTCTAGTCAATATACGTAGGGGTTATGTCGTCTTCCCCCCAAGGGGTGGCATCACACAGTGCGAGTATATATCGTGTCCTTTTAGTCACAAAATTACTCCAACGCTTACATCTGTACAATAGTTAAACTGCATGCACTACCCATCAACGCCATAGGCTCGGGCCATATCCATGTCCATGTCCATTTCCAAGATAAATAAGTGTCGGGATGATCCGGAATACCCGTTTTTGTCATGCACCGATCCCCAAAAGTGTAATGCCGTATTCGGATTCCAATATGATTTCTCTTCCTAACCCCATCCATCCCATAATATCGTGAAGATCAGTCATAGTCCACGCCCCATTTACCGTATGCGAGAATTGTAGCTGTACTGCACTTGGCCGTCTGGATCGAGCCAGCTGCAAAGTGTTCCCGGAAGTCTCCGGGTTTCGTGAAAAGTGTGCCGAGTCTCGTTTCCATGTGAGGAGCGAAGAGGTTCTTTGCTTTTCACACCGAGTTATTAGGAAGCAGGTAATGTTCCGCGTCTTTCCGAGAGTGATACCGCACACTTGATCTTTTTTTGATGTCGCGAAACAAGGTAGTGGGGTCGAGAAGTCTGTGGCTCCACTCCGATTGGGCTCAAATTCTTCCATCGCCATGATGAAATATCACCTGGTCTCTCGACCTTCTTTCCAAAGTCACTCGCTCGGCGGTCAAAATACTCTTGTCGACTTCGTCTCGCATCCGGGCAGTGTGAGACTTGGGACCATAGGTGTCGAGGTGGTTGTAGTACAGCCAGAGAATAATACAGCTAGGTCAAGTCAGCAAAACGTACTGGAAATGATCACACGTTTCGCTCACCTGGCCACAGTGGCAGCCATCCCAATCCACAAGAACACCACACTAGCAATAGCCCGACCATTGTCTCGGTATCGTAGAGGAGGGTTGATTTTCTCCTCCGCAATTTCTTCGGCGTCCTGACTGTCAGCAGAGATCCAGGCATTACCTGTCGCCACGATCACGGTCAAGGCTAAGGTATCGGCGATACAGCATAAAGTGACGAACAAGGCGGCAAGTCTCCATGACCATCGAATGTTGCGAGGTTCCCAACGCTCCGGGAAGAAGAGATCAAAGAAGAATCCGGCACCGAAGACTGTAGCAACGGCGATGCCCACAAAGATGTTGTAGGAAGCAATACCGACGAAGTCATCGTTGTGAACACTAGCTGACGAATGTAATCGTTCAATTGTCGATTGCTGTTTCACGTAGTCTGCGATAATAGATTAATGACATGGTCCATCATAGTTCGGGGTTGACGTACTCACCTGTTAAAGCGGCGGTTCCGACAGACTCAGAAACAACGCAGCATATCATGGCAATCTGATAGACCACAAACTTCGTCCGTCGTAGATGGTAATCTTTGTTACCAAACATGTATGAGCTCTTGAACTTCCACCATTGAATATCCTTCAAATTGAGACCCCATATCACAGCCATGGTCCCTTTCCGATACTCTAATCGATGAGGAGGGATCCAAAGCTGAGCACGTGCTTGATTGTCGAATTGTGTCTCCTTCCTGATCGGATTGGTTGATGATAGTCTCGCGAATCGCGATATTTCTGTTGTAAGTTACAAGAGATCAGGAGAGACAAGACGTGAAAGATGGGGGGGCACATTAAAAAGAGACGGACTGACAAGTCACGAATTCGCATAAGCATCAGTAAGTCCAGGTGACGATGAGCCAAACATGTAATACCTGTGCCATTAGCACCCCTGCCCGGTGCCCACGCCGCGGAATCGTACGAAAGGAGATAACCAACGAGCCATTATCCTTTGGTTTGGTCTTTTTATGACTCGCTCACGTAGTCGAGAGTGCTTATTTTTTTTTTTTTTTTGGGATTCCTCCACTCCGCGACCGTACTCCCGTACCAGGAAGGAAAGGGGGGGGGATCAGGTTCGTTCACCTGTGTTCGAAGAGCTCCGGCTGATCCGCTCAAGCCAAACAGGCCAACAGGCTAACAAGCCCATAGGTAGGAGTGGGTTAGGCCATGAACGGAGAAATCAAGGCCTGGGATAAGGTAGCCTGACGATCGTTTGTCAGCTGGGTGAGTTAGGTCCATAGACGTGAGGATTTGCAATCCACTCTTCCACCGAGATCTGTGGGCAGGACACTAGGCGAGAGAGTATTGAAGGTGACAGAGTGAGAAGGCTAGACCGGCAAGGGGTTTCGGGGCAGGATGACGCAGGTGGCGCGGGATTCTTCGGTTTGACTCGTGGGGCGATAAAGCGCGATGGGCCGAGAACCATGCATCACCTTTTCTGACAACGGCTCTGCTTTCGGGTCCGTACAGATGGAGATTATGGTAGGCGGAGGCTGAGGACGAGATTTAGCTACAGATTGTCTATTCTGGGATTTGGTTGCCATCATCCGAGGTCTTGTAGACGAGAGTAGAAATGTGATCGTTGTTGACTGTTTGCCTGGAGATGGATATTGATCTTCTCGTGGAAAAGCACCACCGAGCTCGGTCACCGAGTCGTGGTCAACTTCCATCTCATTATGGTGTCCGCTGCAGGCTATTCATTCTCCATATAAAAACGAATCCATGCACCTGGTCGGATGATTTTCTTCATCTGTTGTCTTTGCTTGCAATTCGCTCGTTTGTGGCTGCCTTAACTCGTAAGGTAAAGTAATACGGCGCTCCATCGCCCGAGGGCGGACAAAGCTTGTAAGAGCTTATGACGCTGTCAAGAGGCTTATGGAAGAATCTTGCCCGCACAACCGTGGTCTCCAGCTGACTGAGAATGCGACGTATATGGGGTGGCTCGGAAATCTCATTGGACATATTTCGGACCCATTGTGCTCTACAGAGTTATGGTGGCCCATGAATGGTGGTTTGAGGCATTTTGCTCTTGTATTGAGCAACCACTTGACCACTGGAGACACGGTTAGCATGCACTTCAAGAGGGCGAGAGAGCGTCTGCAAGCTGAGGGCATTGACTGTTTGTAGGGAGCGCACCACTTCTAACAACGAGGCAGTTTCCCACGTCTGTCTACTATGTCATGCAGAACCGCTCTCGGTGTTACAGTAGAAAGGTTGTGGCACTCCATGTGCAGGTGAAATAGATAGGGTTGTCTGTAGGTACCCCAGGTAAACTCCTAGCTGAACACGGGTAAGTTTGCCTTGGCGAAGTTGGAGAAAGTTTTTGGATCGATTCAATTCACCACGACATGTACCTAACTTACCCAACACACTGTCACGACAATGGGTGATAAGAGACGTAAAGGTAAGTATAAATCATATCCATGCTACCGCGAGGTCTTTATGAGACTGACAATGCACAGAGTCGTCTGGCGCCGCAGACCCGCCGCTCAAGAAGAGCAAAAAATCAAAGCACACCGAAAACAATAGTGCAGCAGTCCCACCTGTCCCATCCCTCTCCTCAGACAATGTTTCCACTATCACATCAAAGAGATCTCGCAAGCGGGCTGCAGATTTCATGAATGATAACGAAGACGCACCCACCAAACCCGAAACTCATGCGAAAGTCACGGAGAACAAGACCGCCATTTCTGTCCCTCCTGATGATGCTGATGAACCGGCTCCGAAGAAGTCGAAGAAAAACAAGAATAAGGATAGAAAGGGCAGTCATGACGAAGTGCTCTCTGCCGACGGTATCAATGGGGTGGTAGAACATGACGGAGATGGAAATCTTGACACTGTTACCACACACAAACCGGTCTCTACCTCGATGCAAGCGGAAGCAGAACGCACCGTCGATCAGGAACTCGAAGTTGGATTTGGAGGCTTTGCAAGTGATGACGACTACGACCGCGCTGAAGAGGTGGAAACTGAGGATAATGCTGCTGCCCTTTTGGCCGGCTTTGACAGTGACTCGGAAGACAAGCAAGAGGATGAAGGAGGCCTTGATCTCACCACCACACTTGCGCTCCCCAAATCTAAGAAAGTTCGCAAGAAGTTGGACAAGGTCAAAGCCAAAGGTGATGATGAAGGTCCCGGTACTGTCTATGTCGGTCGTATTCCCCATGGATTCTACGAGAAGCAGATGAACGAGTACTTTTCTCAATTTGGTGATATCACCCGCTTGAGACTTTCTCGAAACAAGCGTACTGGACAATCCAAACATTTTGCTTTCATCGAATTTAGCTCAAAGGAGGTCGCCAAGATCGTGGCCAATACCATGGACAACTATCTACTGTTCGGCCACATCCTCAAGTGCAAGTACGCCGAGCCTGATTCGCTGCATCCGGATGTATGGAAAGGGGCAAACAAGAAGTTCAGAAAGATTCCACATGAAAAGCTTGAACGAGCGGCTCTGGCCGCACCCAAGAGTGAAGAACACTGGCAAAAGAAAGTTGACAAGGAGAAGCGTAAGCGTGGCAAGAAGGCCGAACAGATGAAGGCTATTGGATACGACATGCCGACATCGACCTTGGCCAATCCTTCGGAAGCTGTAAAACAAAAACCCGCCGGAAAAGATGAAGCGAGGAAAATTGAGAGTGAAGAGGCCGGTCCCGCCGGGTCGATGGAGCCAACCAAGGTTCCGCCCCAAGGCGAGGCCGCAGCCAAAGAGTCAAAAAGGTCCAAGAACAAGGAAGAAAAGAAGGATAAGAAGAGGATCGCTGTGGCCATTTCTGCTGTTGAACCTCCCGTTGCTGAACCGGTGAATGCTGTTGAAGAGAAGGCCAAAGACGACGGCGAAAAGGAGTCCAAGTCGAAACTCACCAAGGTAGAGAGAAAAGCACAGAAGAAAACAGCGAAGAAATTGGCAAAAGAGTCAGACGCCGTCATTGCCCCAGGGACTAAGTCAGACCCTGTCCAGGAGACCAAAACAGTTGAAGCCCCAGAGACGGATTCCAAGCGGAACCCGGAAAACGAAGCTGATTTCATCTCTTTTGGAGATATCAATTTTGAGAAAGAGTCTCGATCTTCTAACTCACCCAAAGCCAGTCGTGGTCCCCCTGGTAAGAAACTCAAGAAAGAGAAAAAGAAGAAGGAACGCAAGAATCTCGTCAAGGCCAGAGGTCCAAAGTCGAATCTTATTGCGAGCAAGCCGAAATCGGATCCAAACGCAACCGGCAAAATCCCTGGTCTCCCACTTATGGGCAAGGACAAATACAACAAGGCCAAGCGTCAAGCTCATAAGGAGTTGAAGAATAAGATATTGGCCAGAAGAGCTACCGGGGCTAGTAGAGGATCATCTGCTGGCTCTCGCAGTTAAGGATTCTGGAGTACCACGAATCCTCAGGGTGGCACATACCAGGGGCCCTAGGACTGTCTTTGACGACTACGACATCTTCGAGGAATGACGAGGAATTTGTTCCTTTGCCAGCAAAGGGAATTCAAATTGTCTGCCAGCGTTCGAGAAGAAGCATTCCCGACTTAAGCCAATGATGACCTGGGTTCATGTGAGGGAGTCTCGACTTTCTCCGGCGACTTATCCAATCCACTTCCCGTTCCTCATCCCCTTCCTTTGCCTTCGCAGCCGCCCACCCCATCAAACACCGTGCCCAACATTTCCTCACAAACCCACCTGACTGTCCGGGTATGAAGGCTTCCCCCATCAACTTTCCCCTCTCCACGAGAACTTCCGACATCGACGCTGGACTTCCCTTTCCCCAACGCCTGAAACACCACTATCTGATCCTCCGCGAACTCGTCGACACAACGCCCACCCTTGACCCTTTCGCACTCCCGTTCGAACTCCCTCACCACATACCCCACGACCTCGGTCACGATCTTCCGTCTATCTGCCTCGGTTACAAGCTTCCTTCCGGATCCCAGGTGGTCGCGGCCGATCTTATATCCATTCGCAGTATGCGCGACGAGCAGTACGTAAAGACGCCGTTCGTCGCCTGAAAGACCCGACGAGGCGTGTATGGTTATCGGGATGGGGTCCGGAAGCGAGGGGGATGAGGATGAGGAGAAGATGGGGCGCGCACGTAAACCGCTGATGAGCTCGGATTGGAGGAGGTGCTGTGTCGTGGGACTCCCCGACAGGATGGTCATTGTTATATGTGTTATGGGCCCGGGGTCGTGGGTGTTGAAGGGTGGAAGGCAGAAAGGAATATGTGTTTTAGTTTCTGGGTCTGTTTTTGCCGCAAGATTGGCTGTGATCGTTGCTTTTTCTTTCCCAGTTTCGTTTTCACTTCCATGTCCACCACCACCATCCTGGTGACCGGAAGTGCTTTCGTCTGCTCTCGCCCGGGATTCCGATCTAGCTTCGTGTTTGGATTCAGGTGTCACTCTGGGTGTCTCTCTTGGCTTGAACACACACACTTCGATCTCCCCGATCTCAGGCGCGCTGCCTGCCCACCCGCGCCTGCGGACGTGGATGTCGACTCTAGGTAGTCCGATCTTCCAGCAAAATGGGAGGAAGACTTGTTGCATGTACTCGGTCGACGGGGATTTAGGAACATTAGTGCCGCCTTTGAGAATGATTTTGAATAATGGCTCGCCCCGCTCGTCCCGCTGGTAATTATCATCTTCGTGCTCCGGATGGGTGCAGTCGAGGTTGGTGGAGTCGGAGTCGGAGTGCTGATCTTGTGGTTGAAATTGGCACTGAGGCTCATGTTCGGTTTCGACTCGATCGACCGGTAGCGATGCTCCATCACTATTATCAGGGATTCTGAGCATCGAGAACACAATATAAGGAAATATCGCCTGCCAGACGAGCCAGACACTTCCTGGATTTTCCAACGTGATCATTTCTGTTTCCGCTTTGTCTTCAGCCCTGTCGGCAACCTCAACCTCACCACCATCAGTTTTCTTCTCGCAAATTCCAAAGCTAGTGGGAACTTTTCGACGTCCAGGCCGAAACATCACCTCCGTACAACCGACTTGATCCCCTTCTACGTCCGCGTGGCATTTATCCGCCAGCCAATTCAACGCCGCCAGATGACTTTCTTTTAAACCTCCACCTCTACCTTCGCCGCCCTCGCCACGCGCCTCTCTCCTTCCACGAGTACCACGACCTCTGTCTGTAGTCCGTGAAGATTTTGCCGCACGATTCGCGCGGATCTTGGTGATGCGCACGGGAATACTGCAGATGGCGGAAATAGATAAGGCGACGCGCACAAGCTGTCCGCCGCCTTCTAGCGTTGAGCCGTCGAGGGTGAGCATTCGTCCGCTTTTTGTTGGGGGGTTTTCCTCTACCTCTAGATACAAGATGGGAAGGATGTTTGAAGAAGTGACAACAGGATCCTAAAGCGAGTGATAATATGGCGCGCGGATATGGGCTCTTTGTTGGCTGGTTTATTTTTTGTTCTTTTGGGATTTATCTCTCTTTGCCTGTGCCGACGCACTCAATCTCCATGAAGAACGGCAGTTGTACTTAAGAATGACTCGAAGAAATGATGAACACCGTAGGAACTAAACCAAAGCAAGTCGTAGTCTTGTGTCACTGCCACATTGACACGGTTCAAGCCGCGCCAACAATTTGCTGGGGAGTCATTGGAGGGATTCCGATGGTTCTTTTCGGGCTTACTATATCGCGGGAGCTTACCTTCTCGCATTGAGTCTCACTTATTTGGGACAAGGAGCGAAAGAAGACAGGAAGAGTTCATTGAGTCACCGTCGCCAAGCCCGTTCTTAACGAGGCTGACGGTAGGACGCAGTCTTTGGTTAGAGAGCTTGGACCAACGACCACAAGATCTCTGTTTCACGCACAGAAAGTCATTGACCGTTATTTATTTCGTATTGGGGGGCTGTCATCCATCGTTCTATTCTTATGACGTCTTTACATCGGATGATGTCTTATGTAGTCCCATTTATGCATTCCTTCTTTGCATCATTTGCCTCATTTCCACCAAAACAGGCCATCTGGTCCGTATCTCACACATCTCGGTCGAAATAACTCTGCACCATTCCCTCAACGGTCGGCTCATACTCGACCAACCGGACCTCACCACTCTCATCCAACACCGTATTCGCCTGCACGAACACCTTTCGAGGAGTCTTCTTCTTTAGAACCAACGGCCTAGCTGTCTGGGCCCACCATTCGTTCACATTGGTGATCTCATCATACATGGCCTTCCCTGCGTCATAGTCTGCGGTGGACTTATAGATGTGGAGTTTCTGAAGATACGCTGCCACTGCAGGTCGACCGTGGGATAAGATCTTGCTTCGGTCCAGGTAGATGGCGAGGTCATCAGGATTTTCGATGTCGCCATTAGCAGCCTTGATTTCACAGAAATTATCGCCAGCTTCCAGGAACATACGAAGAATGGCGAACCGCGCCTGCATATGGATTTGTCCCCACTTTCGCGACTTTGGGTCCCAGAATTCAAGAGCAGCCACCCCAGCTCGAGCCATTTGTAAGTAAGCCACGTAGAGGACGTCGCCGGCTTCATTAGTGATATCTTCTTTGCCGTCACCAAATCCAAAGATCTGGAGAATTTCAAAGTCACACGACAGGACCATGGCAACGCACTCAGCACGACACTCTTCGTATGATGAAGCAGTTGCACCGAATACGCTCGACCACGTTTGACCAGGCTTGTACCACGACGTGATCGGCTGGTTGGAGATGGGGCTGATTGGAGGATTCTTGATGTCGAAGTTATACTCGCCAGGGGCCGTTTCTTGCATTAACTTGCCGCAGCCATGGCCTAGGAGCTCGTGGATGCCAACCTGCACCTCAAATGCAGGGTCACGGCAGTTGCGGTACACTTGATCGTCCTCCTTGCGAATGAAAGGGATAGGCTCGTCCGGTGCTTTGGCGCTCAGTACGTTTCCAAGGCTGACATTCTTGAAACCTTCATTCTGTCGGATAAAGTCGTAGTTGGGGATATTGATGCCGGCAGGTATGCCACTTCCCGCGAAACTCAGGACTTCTAACGATGTGAAATCGGGACTCAAAAACTTGTCCTTTTCGAATTCTTTGCCCCACGGCAATTTGGGAATCATGCTCGGAGCCGCCTCGACCAGTTTGCCGAAAGCTCGAGTTCGTTCTTGATTGACCATGGCAACGAATCCTTCCCACTCACCACGCACCCCATGAGGATCTCGATAGGTTTCAACAAAGCCGATGTCGGTCTCGATCAGGGGCTTCTTGTCTTTAATCCAACATCGTTGAGATTCCACGAAACCTTGGATACTACCAGATCCAAAAGACCGAGCATATTCGTCCAGCATCTTTTCTTCAATTTCGTTTGCCGCCACTTTTCTCGCTTTCTTGATCTCCACAGCAATTTTGGCCATGGAATCCTGATAATCACCGAAAACAAGGTTCAGCTTCTTTCCCGAGAGCTTCCCTGTGAGATCAATGGACGAGACATCACCCAAGTCTCGCTCCGACACGGGAGGATTTGAGATGCCCGACGCGATAAGCAATTCAAAATCTCCCGAATCCAATTTTCGAAGTCTAGTGTTCTCTATCAGCAGTTTCTTCTCTTCCAATACATCCCCGACGATGGAAATTTCCTCCTTCGTGATTGTGGGCGAGTCTGGATAGTACGCCGACAGATGTCCCGCTTCCGGATATCCCAAATGCATGAGTGCCGCGTCCTTCGTCTCATATATCCCGCCTCCTGTCTTTGTAGCCTTTTCATGAAGCCTCCTGCATTCGTCGTTGACATCGCAAAGTGTCGTCAACGTCTCGGGCGAGATTCGTGGAATGAATTTGGAGTCACCGAATCCCTTGTAATTGCCACAATTCCCCAGAAACTGCGCCGAGTATTCGAGCCATAGTGTAATATCGGTAGAAGGGATCGAGGTGGCTTCAGACAGCTTTTTGTAGTTGCCGCCGCAAGCACGATGAAGAGCAAGAATGAGATCGTAAATGACGGGAGCCTCAGGCGAGACTTGAGCCAAGGTCACGCGAGAACCGAGAAACGACGCACGACTGAGATGATGGGCATAACGCTTTTGCTTAGGCGAAAGGGCGGCAAAGTGAGGTGCAATCTCCAATCGAACAACAGTGGGAGGGTGGTCTGCAAGATAATGGGATCGAAGGGATGGGTCCATTGTAGGAGAGGGAGGTAGTTGTGAGGCCAGTTGAGAAAGTCTATGAATAAGCCTTTGAAAAGATGATGCTGGTCTCAGAGAACCTGTCATATAGAAGAAGTGTGAAGCAGCCGGTCACCCTTTTCCACGAGTCTTGAGACAACTTTGTTTCTCGCGGTTCTAGTAAACTCGGTTAGGGACAAGGCTGCCGCGGGAGGGCTCGCCGATACAATATCTAGGGTGGACTTCTATGAGTATCGCGCAGTTTATGTTCTCCAGTATGCCCTAAGAAACCACGGATTGATGATGTGTGAGCCGCACTCGGTGTAATTAGTCTCCACGGCGTCATGTCCCATTCTTGTCGATGTGATAACTGGTTAACCCAAAATCATGTTTCCACATTCAAGCCTTCCATTTAGCCTCGTCGAACACATTGCCTTCGAATGGGCTGGATTTGCGCCCTCGCGATCGAATTGGTCGCAGTTTGCGATCTGCTCGACGAGGAGTACATTGTAGATGCGAACACAACGCGTTTGGACGTATTGGACAGCACAACGTTGTAATTTCTTGCCTTCCCAAAGACAGATATCGTCTGGGTGTATTACTGTTTGACCGTATTCACACGTGACCTGGAACGTGTCCCTGGTCTTGGCAGGAGCCTTTCCGCTGTCGGGCGGACATTTTGACTTTCCTCTCCATCACCTCAATGCCCAAAAAATCACTCGACGATTTTTTTTTAAATAAAAGAAAGGGAAAAATAACCCCCCTTTCCCCCTTTTTACGCTTTCCGATGTTTTCCTGCTAGACAACTTCGATAACAGGCGGCCATGTTTTCATCTGCCTTCAAGTCCTTCTCTTCCAACATCACGTCCAACTATGAGATTTCCAAACAATCATCTGCCACTGTAGGCGCATGGACTGTCTTCGACGCAAAGAAAAAGGGTACCGGTACCCAAGCCTCGGTCTTCATCTTTGACCGCAAGTCCTTGGATATCACCAGCAGTGGTTTGGGGGGCCGTGCTACCAGTGCCACCTCGGTACGCAAAATTCAAGATGAAGTTGTCGAGCGCCTGAAGAAGGAAGCCAGCAGCTTGGCCCGTCTCCGACACCCCTCCATTCTCCAGCTGGTCGAACCCGTGGAAGAAACTCGTAGTGGCGGGTTAATGTTTGCGACTGAGCCGGTCTTGTGCTCCTTGTCGGCCGCGTTGGCACAAAAAGACCGGACCGATGGTAGGAATGGCCGAGGTCCCTCCACGTGTGCGTCCGATGATGGCACCACATCTCGATCCCTGCAGGACGTGGAAATCGATGAAGTGGAGATCCAGAAGGGCCTGCTTCAGGTTGCCAAAGGGCTCGAGTTTTTGCACGACTCGGCCAAACTGGTCCATGGAAATTTGACTCCTGATGCAATCATGATCAATGCAAAGTCGGATTGGAAGATCGCGGGACTTGGTTTTGCTGGACCGCCCGACGGGGCAGAAGGGCACCAGCCCGTCCCTCAAATTTCCCTCTCCGAAGTACTGTATCATGACCCTCGCATACCACGGATGGTCCAACTGGATCTCGACTACACCTCTCCGGACTTCGTGCTTGACTCGAACATCAACTTCTTGGCCGATATGTTCTCATTAGGTCTCGTCATCCTCGCGTGCTACAGAAAACCACACCGGTCGCCGATTGAGACCCATGGCAATCAATCAACGTACAAGAAAATCTTCAGCAATGCCCGGACGGTGCCGACCGGTGCCAACAACTATCTCTCCGAGGGCGCTCTCCCTCGTGAATTAAACGTCACCTTACCAAGGATGCTGACCAGAAGACCGGCTCAACGGTTGACAGCAAGCGAATTCCAGCAATCTGATTATTTTGACAACATCTTGGTCAATACGATGAGATTTTTGGATGCATTTCCCGCAAAGACCCCGGCAGAGAAGTCGCAATTCATGAAAGGACTCGGCCGAGTCATGCCTCAGTTTCCCCCGTCCGTGCTCGGCAAAAAGATCCTCAGTGTTCTCCTTGACGAGATGAAGGATCGGGAGCTCCTGCCTCTGATTATGCAAAACATCTTTCGGATAGTCCAAATCATCCCTTCCAGCAGAGAAGCCGTTTCAGACCAGGTGCTACCACGAACGAGGGAGATCTTTCTCTCCAAATCCAAGTCAGAGGAACGAGACAGCAGTAAGGAAGCGGCGTTGCTTGCCGTGCTCAACAACGTCCAACTCATTGCCGACCACTGTTCCGCCAAACAGTTTAAAGACGATGTCTTGCCAATCATCCATCTTGCCATGGAGTCTTCTACCCACTCTCTCACCGATGCGGCTTTACAGAGCTTGCCGGTGGTTCTACCCTTGCTTGATTTTTCCACCGTCAAGCATGATCTCTTCCCGGTGGTTGCCCACGTGTTTAGCAAAACAAGCAGCTTGAGTATCAAGATCCGTGGCCTCGAAGCGCTCGGAGTACTCTGTGGCGTTTCCACCCAGACCGATTCTCGTGCCGACGACTTTTCGGGCGCCGCGCAACAAGAAAGACAAGACAAGAACGTTTCCAGCTTGGATAAGTTCACCATGCAAGAGAAAGTGGTGCCTCTCTTGAAGGCCATCAAGACCAAAGAGCCAGCGGTGATGATGGCAGCTTTGAAAGTATTTCGACAAATTGGGACCGTTGTCGACAGTGATTTCGCCGCCCTCGAAGTGATGCCCATTCTCTGGAATTTTTCTCTGGGTCCTCTGCTGGACCTTCCGCAGTTCCAGGCATTCATGGACGTCATTAAGTCGCTGTCGGCCAAGATTGAACAAGAACAGAGACGAAAACTTCAAGAGCTGTCCTCCACTCGGCCCGCGGAAGCGCGGCTCACATCTCCCTCACCGAAGGCGGCCAGCAATGGGATACATCAAGGCGGCGAGGCCACTGGCACCGAAGATGACTTTGAGAAGCTCGTCCTGGGGAACAAGAATGCGGAGAAGAACGACGTCTTTGCCGGTGCCCTTTCAGATGGACAAAGGTTGACCGCAAACCCGCCATCCTTCTCGTGGTCGCCTGTGTCTGCATCCAACAAACCTCCGTCCTCGAATCAGACTCTGTCATCTCTGCCTGCTCTTCAACCGCAACTTGCGTCTCGTTCCATTACTCCAGATATTAGCGTCTCGGCATTCCCGAGTTTACAACCGGCCCAACCATCGTCTGCGTCAATCTGGGGAGCATCTTCACCTCCTCCGATGACGATGCAGAATCACCACCAAGTGCTGCAGCCATCCAACCTCCTCTCTAGCCCGGCGAACGCTCCGTCTCCGGCGCCGGCATCATCGAATGCTTGGCAGCTCCCACCTCCTCCGGGTTCACGAAGCATTTCGAATACAGCATTTACACCTAGCATAGCTCCACCTCCTCAACGTAACATGCAGAGAGACGCCTGGCAACAACCAAATTATGGTCTCGGGATGACTTCACCTCCTGGGTTTGGAGGGTCGATGAATGTTCTACAACCGCAGAACAGTCCGCAACAGCCGTCCCAACAAAAGAAAACGGGCCTAGACAAATACGAATCGTTGCTCTAAGACAACATGCCCATGGAGATTGGAGTGGATTGCCGTGGCGGAACAAGTCCTTCGGATGAATGCTTGATTGAAGTGGTAGCACTGGGAGGCGAGTTTTGAGGACCCTCTGCGTGTGGCGGATTGATTGGACAGACGGCCGAAGGCTGACGATACTGCAACAAAAGGTCATGATGAAAGGATTGCGGGTTCGGAGAGTCGGTTAAACGGCAGATTGTTCCTGGATCCCTGGGATCCCTGGTGCCTCCTTTCGATCTAATAAGCACCCTTGGCCCAAAGTTTCATCCAAGCCAATCATTCCCCCCACGGTATTCGCAGTCCTCACTTTTCTTTACCGAAACCTTCCTTCTTCGGGGGCGGTGGATTTACCATCGCGATGCTCAATGCCACCATCCAATCTGTCATGATGAACTATGCCTCCATTCTACCACGATGTTCCGTGTATTATTACCACTTATCACCACTTGGCGCTGGCTGCCAGTTTATGGCCCAGGCGTGGTCCCTGCTGATCGCAAAGCTTGCAGATCGACTAACCAGGACGAAGCTTTCCATCTATTAAAGCTTCGTCACATTTTCCAGGCTTGAATTTTGCTCTCCCTTCAGCCCTGCGACGCCTTCCTCCATTACCACCGCACTCATCCCCAGCCTTCAACAGTCAGTCCGACCATGAAGTTCTCGATGCTATCTGCCGCTGTCGCGGTTTCAGCTTTCATTGGAAGCTCTGCCGCCCTTAACATCCTGATGGGAAATGACGATGGCTTCGCCAGTGCCCAGCTCCGAGAATTCTATCGCCTGTTGAAGGGAGAAGGCCACAACATTGTCGTCGTCGCTCCCGTCGACAATGAAAGTGGTCAAGGCGGTCGATCTGTCTTCACCAACTCGAAGACCTTGTACTACCCCTCCGAATTCGACATCATTCCTGCCGGTGCTCCCTCACTCGGTCGTTCTCCTGATGAGCCAGACGTTTGGTACTACAACGGTACTCCAGCGGCATGCACCTTCGTCGCCCTCGACTATGTCATTCCAAACTACTACGACAACATGACCATCGATCTGTATGTTGGAGGTCCCAACTTTGGCTCGAACCTGGGATCATTCCTTTATACCTTGTCCGGGACGGAAGGTGAGTGCCGATTTTGGATATCTCTCAAGCCTCCAAACGGATCAACGCATGAGCAAATCACTAACCTCCCCCAAACGTAGGCGGCACCTATGCGGCTGTGGGAAGAAATATTCCCGCCATTGCCTTCTCCGGAGCCAACAGCGAACAACGCTCGTACACCTGGATCAACCAGACCACCCCTTCGGGTTATCCTGATCCAGCAACTATCCAAGCTCAATTGGCTGTCGACCTCGTCAACCAACTCGTCAACAACCCCCATGGGTCAAAGCCTCTGATGCCCTTAGGCTATGGAATCAAGTGAGCCTCTTTTCCCATAGTCTTCCAAAGACCTTGAACAAGGCTAACTCAACTTTCCTTATCTTCCAGCGTCAACACTCCCTACATCACCTCTCTGACCAACGATTCTTGCGTCGCACCACCATTCATCCAGACCCGAATCGGCGGCGGCGGCTTCACAGACAAGGCAGTGTACAACGAGACATCTGGTACATTTACCTACGGCAACCTTCTCACTGCGGCTATCAACCGCTGCATCAACGGCAACTGCGCACTACCAGGTGAAACTTCCGTGGTCGACGGCGGCTGCTACACCTCCGTGTCGGTATTCACCATTGACTACGATGCTCCTCTGGGCCGCGACCAAGGCAAACTCCGCGGCATGTTGACGCCTCTCGTTAAATTTGAGAACCCCGACGCGAAAATGAAGATCAAGGCCCGCGAAGCATGGACGGGTCAGTTCCCCCCTTATCCCCTCTTTCATAACCTTTTGGGATGGGATATCGTCATTCTAGCCTTAGCTCCTTCTTTTCCCCTTCCCAGTAAGAATTTTGCGCTGACAGAAATGTGCTTAGCCGAGCAACTGGAAGCTCGACACCCCCTTCGCCACGAGTGATTCAGCCCGCTAACAGGGCGCGAATCTTTCACCCGATGCTATTTCATGACGTCGCGAGGCGACAGCAGAACTCGAGTACTAGTAATGTGAAGAGTTGATAACAGCGAAGAATGTCGATAATGAACCTCCCCCTTCTCCCATCACAAAAAGTCAAAAGAGAAAAGAAAAGAAAGAAATCCCTTGGTCTTCATGCGACAGATACCCAGATTTCGGCCTTTCTGGTCCCACAATGCAGGGGATTAACCGTACATACGCATACCTCAAACAAAAGCGAAGTCCAAGCAGAGGATAGTATATGCTGGGGGAAAGATCTTAATGGTATAATATAATCAAATTGATCAATCAGTCAATCACTTAGTCGAGTAAGCACGTTAAGCATCGAGACGGACTTTCTCCGCAGATAGGGAGAAGTTTGTACTATTCCTCGTGCTCAACGTGCGAATGGTACAGTAGGAGATCCGCGATCAGTCAAAAACCACGTTTCTTTCGCGATTCCATGATCTTCCGTCATCCTGGATCCCCACCCAGGTTAGCTAAGCCAGTACCTACCTATTGAAAATCTGGATGCGCAGCGTGCAAGCTGCATAGAGAGCGCCATGCGAGGCCGCAGGGGGAAAAGAAGGGGGTCCAGTCAAGGCTAACCGGCTTATCTCGTGGTTGTAGGTGGAGAGAGTAGTAGTGGATATATATATATATATATGTGTGTGCGGGAGGAACGCGTAAGCTGGAAGGTCGACTGGCACGCAACTGGCAACATTCTCCCAGAGTAATTGCAAGATGTGCAAAGTGCAACTGCAAACTTGGAAAAGTTGATTGTATTCCTGCAGAGAAATGATCTCTTCTGACGGAGGAATGTTTGCACTCAGGAAAGGGCCTCGTCTGAACCGAGGTATGCATCTCGTGAATAAGGCATCCGTGATATCGACATTCAACTCTAAGAGGTGCCTCATTAAGCCCCAGCGCCCTACAATCTCACAGTCACTGGCACATCGCCGCAAATCTGAGGCTACCAAATAGAAGATCTTGGTAGCCTTGGTAGTTATGAAAGTTTCGGTGAAAGAAGCACATAATAACTCAAAACCACGTTTTCTTTCATCAAATCAACCAAGACATCCCAACCTCGTAGTTGATACAGAAGTGACAGCCTCTCATACTTCAGTTGCCCCCAACTACGGTATCAGAGAAGGCCTAGGCTTGAACGACAGCGTGCGGACTGGGCGATCTGGACAAATAGGGATCAGCCGGCAAGAGCATGAGTGACGACGAAGGTGCGGGCATCCAGCAGAGCCATGTGAGAATCGAAAGTTATTGGTACGAGGTGATGACCAGTCTTTTATCATGTTGAAGGAGATTTTCTTCTCAATCGGGACATTTTGCCCATTCCGGTGCTAGCGTGCCTGGTTGGACAACTCCACATCAGGTGTGTATAGGATATCAGGGTAGGATATGCTAATCGTCGAGGTCGGGACTGAGGATATGTAATAGATGGTGTCCATACTGAATGCTTCATTGTCCGGAAATCCAGAGAAAGCGGTCTTTCGGCAGAGAAAAGCAAGACGTGGGTCAGAACCCGATATTAACAATGCCGCCATCATTGGACTTCGTAAGTCATGGACCAACAGATGTGGATCCCAAGGCTTAGTGTTAGAAGGCCATGATTGATTCCATGACGGGAACCGCATTCCAAGGCAATCCGACTCCAGTCTTCGTCCTTGATCATCTGAAAGAATGGCCAACAGAGCGAACCATGCAAATCATCTCCAGGTATTCACACACACTCTCTCTCTCCAACACATTGACGAGGCCCAGGACTGATTGGCACAGAGAAATGAATCAATCCGAGACAATCTTCGTGAAAAGGGCGGTGGGTGGCAAAGACCCGTCGTATTTCACCCGCTCCTTTACTCCGTACGCAGAAGAACCGTTCTGTGGCCATGGTCTTCTGGCGGCAGCTATCCTATTGATTCGGCCAGAATCCGCTGAAAAGATGACCTTTCGAACCGTCGACGGGATCATCGTCAAAACACAAGTCGTGGCTGCTGATCATTCGGCTTCCCATAAAGATGACCTTGGAGAGAAATGCAGCATAAAGCTGGAGATTCCTGCGTTTCCAGTCAATGAGTGGTTCAATTCGGACACGATGCTTCGGTCCCAGATGGCAGAATGCCTTGGTCTCCAACCCTCGCAGATTCTGGCACTGGGAAGGAATTCATTGCATGATCTAGTCATCGAACTGGACCCGACAATAGATTTCTCCGCGGCCGGGATGGAAATCGACGCGGTTGAGCTGATGAACGCTTCTCCTCCCGGAACACGAAGTCAGATCATTACGAGCAGAGGCGGTGGGCAAAGCGCTGATTTTCTCAAGCGAGTATTCGCGTATGGAAGCGAGGGTATGTCTTTTTTCTTTCGTCTCGAGAGGAAACTCATGTTGATATTGCTACAGATCAAGCGACAGGCTCGACATATTGTGTTTTGATTCCATATTGGTCTTCCAAATTGAGTCAGTCATCCTCGTGTATGAAGGCTAAACAGGTCTCGAAGCGAACTGGCGAGGCAGAAATAGAGACCGTCACGAGCGACCCGGGGTATGTGGCGGTGATAGGATCGGGAGTGAAGGTGATGGAGGGCAAGATACTGGTTCCCGGGAGCAGTACTAGTCGTCGGCGGTGTGAATGGAAGCTATGAACTTAGGCGCCTTAGCCCCTATCTGGGGACCAGTAGGCTATGGCAAGGAGTCAGAACAGTCAAAAGACAGTTACAAATAGTCATCATCGTATCCATTTTACTGGGCCAGGCGGTTATCTGCGGTTGGCTTGAACGGCTGAACTGCTGCCGAGCTCCGAGCTCCGATTTCGCGGGTAGAATTTCAACAGTATCAATCAATGCCTATATAGTACCATTCCCATACGACAACGCCCTTTGACATCTCTCCCTCCGTCTCTCTCTCTCTTTTTCCTGGCTCCAAGATTCCTTTAAGCAGGGAGCAACTCAGTCAGCGACTCCCCTTTCTCTTACTTCTCCTCTCTTCTCCCATGCCTCATTCATAGACAGAAAAACAATGTCGCTCCCTCGGCTCGTACCCTGCGCACGCGGACTCACAAGATTAACGTCGACATGGACATGGACATTCAAATCGGATTCTGTACGACTACTACCTTCAAGACGAACCTTTTCCACGACCTGGGGGAGGTCCGACGCCTTAACCATCGAAGATGGCACATACTCCAAGCTCCCGGGCATCGACCCATCACAACTTGAGGTGACCAAAACAATCACTCCCAAGGCCTTGGTTGCGAACAAAGATCTTGTTTTTGGGAGAACATTTACCGGTATGGACATTGCCCACCATCACTATCCCTTCCCCTCCCTCTGGCTCTCTCTTTCACGCAGTACCAACAATTGTACTCACATAGACCTTACTCTTGTCATTGTATAGACCACATGCTCTCCATCGAATGGACAGCTTCGCAAGGCTGGCTCGTCCCGCGAATAACACCGTACCAGAATTTCTCGCTCGACCCCGCGACCTGTGTCTTCCACTACGCCTTCGAATGCTTCGAGGGCATGAAAGCCTATAAATGCCCGCACGACGACTCTCTCCGCCTATTCCGTCCAGAGAAAAACATGGCGCGATTAAATAAATCGGCGGCGCGCATCGCTCTTCCGACCTTCGACGGCGACAAACTGATCGAATTAATGGGCAAACTGTGCAGGATGGACGAGCGCTTCATCGCCTCGGAAAAGGGGTATTCATTATACATACGGCCCACATTGATCGGGACACAGAGAACATTGGGCGTAGGCCCACCAGGGTCGGCATTACTCTATGTCATCGCCTCGCCCGTGGGCCCGTACTATCCAACAGGGTTCAAAGCGATCTCACTAGAAGCGACCGACTACGCGGTGCGCGCCTGGCCAGGAGGAGTCGGGGACAAGAAACTCGGCGCTAACTATGCACCGTGCGTTGTGCCGCAATTGAAAGCCGCACAACGCGGCCTCCATCAGAACCTTTGGCTCTTCGGACCGGAAGAGTACATCACAGAAGTGGGCACGATGAACCTGTTCGTGTGTATGAAGAACAAAGAGACCGGTCACAAGGAACTGGTGACGGCGCCGTTGGACGGGACGATCCTCGAGGGCGTGACGCGCGACTCTGTCCTGACCCTGGCGCGCGAGCGCCTCGAACCTGAAGGCTGGACTGTCCACGAACGCTACATGACCATGGGCGAGCTCGCCGAGGCCGAGAGCGAGGGCAGACTGCTCGAGGTATTTGGGACCGGAACCGCCGCCATCGTGGCGCCCGTCCGGAAGATCGCCTGGAAAGACCGCATGCTGGACTGTGGCTTGAAAGAGACGGAAGAAGCGGGCGAAATCGCGCTGAGAATGAAAGGCTGGATCGAAGGTATTCAGTACGGAGATGAGGAACATCCTTGGAGTGTGAAGATTCCGTGACATAGAGGGAGGTGTCGGCTGTCAGGATTTCGTTGGACAAAGACAGAAGAGAGGGAGGTTCCTTGCAAGAACCAGATCTCATATTAGCGGGAGCACGAAATGAAGAGACTGTTTCTTCCTTGAGGTTCCCGAGTCCCCATTCGTCCACATCGTCAATCTGCTGAGGCTCTAACCAACCAAGCCACAGTTCCTTGGATTTTATGACCGACGTTATCGCCGCTGAATATCGCTGTGGCACAAACGCCATCGAGACGGAACCGCTACACAGATTCATGAACTCTGCAACACGTCGGTTCAAGCTGATCCACAGATTGCCCCTCATGGGTCGTCGCACCAGCTGACTGATTTTGAGCATTTGTCATATGCTGGAGTTAGCTTTGTGCGTAAGTAACGTCAACTGGGCGTCTTGGATTTTGCTCTAGCACAATAGGATAGAATGGTGTCATTCTCATTTAGTGGCAAAGCAATGGTCCTGTCAACTTGATTGGAATTTCTGGGGGAAAGTTTCCTTCTGCTTGTTGATACGCCATCATGCCTGAATCATTGACTCCGAGTTTGTTTCCCACGCCCAGAAACCTCGACTCAGGCAATCTTATCGCACACTGCGCGACTCTCTGCTTGACCGGCGAAACTCTCTTCGTTTCAAACCGACCTAGATCTACTGATGTTAGAAAGAGACCGGAAATGTGAACATCGCCCCATAGAAATCGGTTCATCGGACAACAATGAGATCTGGACTTACGAAAGTAGGTCTTGAACCAGCCGTAAGAGCCGATGGTCTTGCCCTTGGTGGAGATGTTACTTTAAAGGAAAGAGATTTGGCAAAGCCTCGACTCGATCCGACCCATTCTCCTCCTTTTCCATTCATCAATCACGACAGACGGAAGAGAAGAGTTAAACCATATGGATGGAAGGCTAAAGACAAGCGGTTCCTTCGGCTTGGCCAGCAAGCTCGCTATCGTTCTGGGGCCGCCTTGGATGATGGATTCAAGACTTGCTTACCTTCCGATTGTCGTCGAACATGCTGGTACCGAGATGGAACAACCGCCTGGAAGCCGGATTGATGGTCTACAAGTCATTCCAAGCTAGCAATGCCAGCTGCTGAAGATATACCTAGTCTGAGAGTTCTCAAAACCTGTTTTTACCCAGAGAGGGCATCCTTTTGTGGCACCGCACGACGTGAGTGAATCTTGTCTCATCCCATACTTTCCTTGAAGGCTCTTCACAAACATCATCCTACCACAGATGAGGCCTCATCAGCCTTGGTAACGCGATCAGATTGGCTCGCCTTTTTCTTGCCAGCCTCAAAAATCATGTCAAGGCTACGAGCTTGTCCGTAAAGCGATGGGCGAACCCGGGTGGCTTTTGAGGAGGAGCTTCTTCCACGCTATGGATAGTCAGCATTCGCAGTTAAAATATTATTTGGTCCCAAGATAATTACCTTTTCGCCAAAAACTGGTGCGCTCTTTCCGCAGAGATATTCGACTCTTCTACCTTGCCCTCTTGTCGAAGCTTCCAAACAGACTTAGCTTCCTCAAGAGCTTTTCTAGCCGAGACTGTTGCGTTATACCACTTTGGAGTCGAATCTCGTGACGAACCCTTACTCCTTTCCACGCTATGGTTCCAGTAAGCCTGGAGATCGGATTGATACCCATTCAAAAACACGTAGTAAAGGCTCTCACAAAGAAGGCGAGTTTGGAGTAAGAAAGTTGTGGGGTCATCGGCAAGGTCAATCTCAGCAATAGGTTGTCGCCCGCGGCCTTCTGGGGAAGATGCCCAAGTAGACTGTGGTCCTCCATCTGCTTGTCGTCGGTCCGGAAACTTGAAGAAATAAAAGGATGTCCCATCGCATAGCACGGCTAAGATGGGCACATTGAATCCATTCTGAAGGTTCATCCAAGCACAGGCTGTTAACCAGGTGTTGAAGTCGGTCTCATCCTAAACTTACCATCGCACTCCGCTATAAGTCTTGAATTGATAATCGATACGGCTTTTGGTTGTGATTTGGCCTTCGAGGATTGCTTCCGGTGTGTTGAACAGAAGGCCAGAAAACAGAGCCGCAAATTTGTTGAAATAGCCTGTTAGAAAACGGGTCCGAGCCTCTTCATTGACGTGCCTGTTCAATGGTCCGTATTGCCACGAAAAGCTCTCAAGATCAGCAATGATTTGAGGAAAGACAGAATTAGGCAGCCGAGCGCGAAATATTTCAAAGGGAGGTATGTCGTCTCCTCACTGGATCCAGGCCGACCTTTGGAGCGATGTCAACATACTTGACATTGGAAAAGCTGACATGAAGGTTACTTTCTGGAAGTCAATCAGTCGTTGATCGAGACTGAACGAATACTTGTCCATCAACTCGAGAACCATAAGCTCTGCAGTGTCCGCATTATTCACAATTTTCTAAAACCGCTTCAACCAACTCGGGGCCTTGAGAATACTGCTGCCACTATGAGAACTGCCCGCATCCGACCCATATTGAGAACTGTCGTCACGATGGGGTCTGGACGCATTTATCGATGGAGTCTCGGTTGGAGGAGGAATGATTAAAGATTTTTCCCGGGTTGAAGAGGGTATTTCCCGTCGACTTGAGGTTCGCACTCCCTGACGACTAGGCCCGTCTTGGAGATGGTTCTTGCTCTCCTGGATCATAATCGGCCGTTCGCGTTTTGTTTGCGGCTGCCCGTATTCTAGGATTTTAGGGTGATCGATCACAGTGACCCTCGAGAGTTGTGGGAGATGGGGTTGATGCAGTGAAAGTGGACGATGGCACCAAGGTTGATCTTAGGTCACGTGTAGAGGCTTGGCTCGCGAGGTGTCAGACAACGAACCGGCATTTTGGCTCAGTTGTGTGGCGCGCGCGACTCAGAGACCTCTCCCAAGAGACATAATCCTAAGAAAGCTTCGAGGATGAAATGAGTCCTCAGAGACTCCTCCCAGAAAATGCCAATTCAACCGTTATGGTGGGGGGGAGAGGTTCAGACTTGGTTCCATAAAACATCTGGCCGGGGGTTTGCCCACACCGAGGCGAGAATAGGAGGGGATTACCTTTGACAGAAAGAGTAAATCGAGGTATCACAGGCTCTGTGAGCTGTCTGCTACAAAATACTACCATTCAGCATCACTGAATGATGGATAAGAACAAGGTCACATACCTACGGTGCGAATGGCATGGCAGGCTTCCTTGTCAGTATGGGTGGCCTTCTGGTGCACGGCAGCAAGTCGTTGATCGCCGACATACTGACGAGGCTGGCACTTCCTGTCGGGAACCCAATATAGCCTTTCAGCGCACTCACCTCTTTTACTATCTCCTGTTCCCATTGTGCGTGTGGCTAGACAACCACCAACTCCGTGTGAAGTAAGGGACACCTATGGAAACTGGCGGAGTCGAGGTCTCTCTGTTGGAACACTTCATTCTCGAGATCTAAGCCTCAACGGTTTTTTGTCTCGAAGGGTAGATTTTCGGCCTCGGAAAAGCAACCCTCCCTCACAAGGATTGAGGCTGAGTGCACACCTCGACCAAATATGACGGGCAGGAGGAGAAAAGGGGGGTTATCACCAAGTCTGGCTCGTCGCCCAGTCGACTTACCACGAGGAATACTGTTGGGGCTTTTGGGGTCGCATGGCTGTGGACGTATGAGCTAGCCCTGCAGCCTTTTCAACACCGATGGCAAACAGGGGACTATGAAACGAAGAAAATGATACCGACACACCCTTCAATTCAGCTTCCATTTTGACAGCCAAGGCTGTCTGAAAAAAATGTAGCCCACGGTGAGTTTCAGTTTGTACCTACATTTACGAAGACAATTGCGTCTTTGAATATTTGATCTCCGTATTTCGAATACTCGAATTCAGCTTCAAGCCGAGTATATCTCGGCCCTTCATACCTTTCGGATGTCGGAATACTCTCATCTCCTCACAAGGCTTGAAGATTGGTATTCAGCCAAGGTTTGCCTTGAACAGATGATGCTGTTCGTTCTCGGTCTTCTCGAATCCAAAACAACGTTTGCGTATTCATGTGTACTCATAAATGTCCACACCGAGAGGCGAGACGTAACGTCACTCGGAACGAGCACACGGGCAGGCCATCGCCTCCATCCTAACCGTAAAAGCCAGGGCATGCATACCCTAGGCAATGGGGCACACCGAACTTTTGCATCAAAATTGTTATCACGACTAGTGAATGACCTCATTGGGTAGTTGTATCCCGCTGCTGAAGAAGTCTTTTTCTGTTAAGGAGTAGTACAACAATCGAAGAACTAGAGTTTGGGTAGAATGAGGAAAGCATAGCACCGGGCAATGGTAGTGACAATTGCAGCACAGAAAGAGTAGCAAGAGTGGCGGAGCTGCCGGTTTTCTCCTGCGCAAGAACTACCTTTCCAGAAGTTAGAATATGGGCGCGGGCATTCTTCCCTTTCTTACCTTCCAGCTGGGTGGACGAACAAGTAGAGCAATGTGAAGGCCAGCGTATCGAATACCAGCACCGTAGGGCGTACCATGAATAGTCCACTCCGTCGTACCCCTATCCCACTTCTTCATTCCTTAGGTACGCAGGTTCAAATACAAATGCAAGTCGAAAACTCGTTTTGGGTATGGATCCTGCCTAATGACAAGAGCAGAAGTTATGATATCATATCCCTTAAATAGTATGTCTCGCAACAAAAGCCATCATAATTTTCCAAGGTCCAAAAAGAAGGCAGATAGACAAAGCGTGCTAACGGCGCTAACACATTTCATTCTTCGATTGAAGGTAGGGCCTTGAATCTGTCTCAAATTCAGAGTCTTGTCCAGGACTCTCACGGCAAGCCGGAGAGGGGAGACGTAGTCGTGGCGTGTCGTGTTATCTCGGCTTTCAAAACTTCGGGCTTCGATCTCAACTACTCTTTAGTGCCGCCAAGATGCGATGGCATCAGGTCCCAGGGTGGCCCTTGCAGGGATGTTCGAACTTCGAACGCGGGTTTCAAGCGTGCCTAAATGCTACGTTGGGTAACCTAAGGCCAGCCAAACTGCGGTGGATGTCATAGGAAATGCATTCGAGGGATGCTTGGTATAGATTGTATTTGCAAGTAGAGCTAGCGCAACCCTGCCCATGAGCATCCTGGAGCATCTTTTGGGAGGCCAAATTATCCCTCGGACGGATCGTTTGGTGGCATGCCTCTGAGACCTTCCACGAGCCACCATACCAAACAGACGAAGCAAGGAACCTAAAAGCTGAAAGCTGAAAAACTCTCAAGCGTGTGATTGTAACGCACTGCGTAGATATACTTGATCGGGAAATCAAGGGCGCACACCATAAAGGCATAAAATGCGATGGCAGCTTTCGACTGCGACAAAGTCAACGAGAATCTGCCCAGTAAAAGGGCACGGAGACATTTTTCAACAGGACGACATGAAGAAAATCCCCGGGCCTTGGCGCCGTGTTCTGTGCCAGTCGTCCACTACGGTCTCCAGTGATGGTGATGCCTAAGTCCTCGGTAACTTGAACCCTAGAGCAGACGACCCGCGGAGCCCCGAGCGCGCGAAGACCGATGGCTCTTCTTCCCCACCTGATGAGGTCAGTGATCGTTCAGCTCTTTCGTCGGCGGGTCGCTCTCGTGATAAATCGGAAGCCGACAAGAAGAAACTGAAGAGGCACACAGCAGTGTGGACCGGCATTCGTCATTTCGAGGGGGGCAACGGCGTATATCCCAGAGCATGGAGTGAGTGCGGAGGGACCGAACAGGGGCTAAATGGGTGGTCATAGGCATAGCCTTTAAACATTCAAGATCATGTCGCATGTCGCAAGTCGCAAGCCGGGGGGGTGCTAGAGTGCTGGCAGCGTTCGGGTCTCCGGGTTTGCAGAGACTAGAATGGCCTAGTAACAAGCTGCCGGCACTTACCGGAATGGAAGTTATTCCACTTCTGTTGCGAGCTGCCGCTGTTTTAATCCCGGCAGAGCCAACCACATGGAGGGCCAAGGCCAACATCAATTCGGACCTCGACAATCCGAAGGACAAGTTGAATTTAAAACTGCGAATACGCAAGTACGGGGTACGTCGAGTACGTCGTGAAGGAGGCACAAGAGGCAAAGGCATAAGAAGCACAAAACCTTGATTCTCATGACGTGTCCCTCCCGCTCCTCGTCGGTCGGCGACGAATGCATCTTCACCCGGAGTAGGTAGCAGGCTTGTCCACGACTCCACGTCGCTTGATTGGGTGTCACCAGAAACAAGTGGCACGCCTCACCACCTTCTCGTTTACGAAGCCAGCGTGAACAGGAAATCCTGTTGGCCTTGCCTTTGCTCTGCCCAGCGGCGAACCTTTATTTTGGGAGACAAAACAATCCGTGATGCTCCGGACTGGGGCTATGATTGAGGCATTTTTGTTTTTCACAGGGAATAGGTTCCTGCGAAGGTTCATACGGCTCTCCATTTGGGGCATAAGTTCACTGCGTTAGGGGGAAAGAGTTCTGCTTTGCGAGGCTCGATGTGATAGAAATGACGTTGCCCAAGCACCCACGGCCGAGGTCACCAGAGAAGGCACCAGGTTTTCTTTTTTTGCTTGTACAGTGTGTTCCCCCGGACAAGGCGCGTCAATGACGTCCATTCACAGTGCACACGTCAGATGCTTGAGACGAGCGCCAAGCAGGTTTGACCACGAGTGGTAATGTCGGGAAAGCTGATAGACAATTGGCCGGATGAGCCCAAGGGGCTTTTTTTTTTTTTTTTTTCTCTCGAAAGGATCCAGCCTCCGATCCTTCGCGCCTGCGAGAATGGCGACACTCACGGTGCATAAGGCCATGCCTTCCGTCCCCGTTTGTTTCATTGTGGTGGCTTACTTAGCTTGCTCCTCACTTCGGTGCCCCGGCTTGACCATTCCATCCAGGCCCCGGAGCAGGTTTTGGCACGTATGTATGGGCCGTTGTGGTATGGATAGGTGGACTGATGTATTCGTGAATTGCATGATTGCCAACAAAGCAGCGTTTGTCATAGCTGCTTCTTGGGACCAGCAGCTGGAACGGGCAATTATTCAGAGGGAGGCACTTTTGTGCGCACTCGTTTAGTAATACAACCCGAGTCGACAAACTGCAGCACGGGCTGTCGTCCGTACAAGGCGCAATTTTAACAAAGGGTGGACTAGAATGAATCAAGAGCCCTGGTCAGCCCATAATCCATATTGGCATAATACTTTTTCAGATCCACGTCGAGCTTTTGCAGGTCTCAGCTAATGCTAAGCTTGATAGACACTTCACGCGAGGCATAGCATATTGAAAAGGGAAGGTAGTAGTAATAAGGACTCCTGGCTAAGAGCTGCTAGGACAAAATCCCCCTTGTCCCCTATGTGCACACCCTCACTACTCAGAAGTACTACTCCTTAGGTGGGCCCGGAAAACCAACACCCAAGACTCAAGGCCCTAGCCGAGGCCCGCAAAATAACCCCTTCGATCCCCCTGATCTCCCTTTGATGCCACCGCCGCCTAGAAGCTCTTCCCGTCAACTCTCCTGGTGCTGATGCAAGCGATTGCTCTTGTTTCTATCGAAATTCTTGGAGACCGAAAGCTCCTCTAGCCCCCACGCATAGTACCAAATGCTGCTTGTGCTTGGACGACCGAACGACGTCGTACCCTGTTACAGATCAAGAGAGAAAATCTCGTTTATTTCAGATCTTCCTTGTCGTTGCTTAAAGGCCTTCCATTCAGGCGTCAAGGCCTCAGTCAGTGATATCCATCCCCCTTTGCGGCCTCCCGCCATGACCTACTAGGACGGCATTGGTGTTTGTTCCATGGCACTAAGCATAGAACTTTCCCAATTCGACAGTGACCTTTCATCTTGGAAGGGCATATGATTAACACACCAAAAATCAGGCCTCTTGAGTCTTTTCAAATTGGGAATCTTGGGCTAGCCGGGAAGGCCTTAAATGGTGACATGGACTTGGAAAATGTATCAAGCGCCAAACTTTCTCAAGGGCAATAATCGCCCACGATGTGGGAATTCCCAAATTCAGGAAAATGGATACGAGCTTTGACGCGTATTTGAGCGCAATGTGTAATCAATTAGACTTAGGATTGTGCATCTGACCTCCACGTGGGACGTGGAAATGTTCAGCCACCGCATAGGGCTCTTGGACCCAGCTACCAGTACTGCGACAGAACTCTACTATGTCCATACCCGCGGGCCCTCGTTAAATCCGGATCGTGTCAATGATGCACGGTGGCTAGCATCCCCTCCTGCTCGAATCGTCCTAGTTGCTGTATCCTTGCATCCTGACATCCCAGAAATAGCCCCCGACCATTCAAGATCGAGACAGGGGGGGAATCCCTCAACGCAGCCAACCGTAGCACTTCGACACTCCGGTTGCATCGTTTGGGTTTCGTATTGTAAAAGTACTAGCTTGGTATGATTACACACTTACTTTCCTACAGGCTGGGGTTTCGGCCGAAAGATGTGCTGTTCTCTATTCCTCGACATACACGTCTATCCTGCTCTTGTGCACCGGATCTCTCGAAACAACCCAGCGACCAATACGATAGCATTATTAACAATTCTCTCGTTGACGTGCCGCCAACCTACTAACCGTAGCATCCGTCAATGTCTGCGCTTCCACCCTGAACCTCGAATGCGGTCACAAGGTTTCCCACTGTTGGATCTTGGGTGCATCGCCAGGTCAAAGTCTCATGCAAGGGCGCCAGCTGCCTATTCCTATCGATCCTTTTTCCAGCGGACGATGTGCGACTCAAAGCCTTGTGAGGCATTTACCGTACACGCGTCTGTCGTAGGCGGTCGGGCTCAAAGATCTCAAGCCTCGCTGCCAAATTACCTTTTTGGACCAGGCCTGACGCCAAAGTGACGTTTTATAATTGTTAATACACGAGGCCATTGCGTACTTCGTACTGGGCACCGTGGGTAAGTCCGCCCGTTCGGCGTATCCAAACACGAGCCTATGAGCATCTGCTGGGGATTGCCTTTCTGGGCAATACGCACCGAGCAGGCATAGTGCTTCGTGAAAGGCTGAACGTCGCATGTAACTCAAGGCCATTATCCCTCATTCTATCCGAGAGTCCCAAGTTCGTAGCATTGCACGCGCACTACATTGCCACGGTTCTCAAAGGTTTTCAGAAAACCTTTTGCCGCAGATATATCCTTTTTGCTTGACTGCCCTGAGGGGAGGTGGAGATGATGACCTTACTCAGCCATGAGCCGTATTCGATAATATTGAGATGGACGACTTCAACGGCTCTATTGGTGAGAGGACTCCTGCTACGGGCTCCAAGGCAGAATGACAAATCGCAAAGGCTGCGGGTGGGTGACGATGGCCGGTGAACACCGCCATCGACATTACCATTGTCATTGTTGCTTATCGTGTGCGTTGTTTGCAACCGAAGGACAGGCCGATGACAAAATGAACCCCCAGGCGGTACCTTTCTTAGGCATAGGCTCGAAGTGTCACCCGTGGAAGAACAAGTCACCGCCTCTTCTCTCACAATTTGCCCCCAGAACCACCTCCAGATTGCCACCGGCCCATTTGAATTGCCTTCTCCTCTCTCATCTTCTGGTGGAACAGCGCTCGTGGCAACCGGAGGAGGTTCACGTCGATTCGTTCTCGTCAGCTCTGGACGATGCTGCTTGATTGGGCGAGGAACAGATGACGATAGATATGCAAACGATAATCTCCATGCTGCGAACCGAAGAAACTGGCCATCTGTTAGCTCTTACGAATATGGACGCGGGCCAACCAGCGAACCTCTGATCATGATGCTGCTCAGGTCCAGAATCGGTATCGTTGCTCGGTTTGCCACGGTAATTGGGCTTAGAGCGGTCTCACGGAATGGAGAAGAGAGACGAAGGAAGAAGCAGCAGCATCAGAGGTTGGATGACATTTTGCCTTGGAGAAGTCGTATTCACAGGAGATTGTTCACTTGCCCACTGTCTGGATGGGATTGCGAGGAAGTAGTTGGTCTTTGAGGGTCAACATGTACACCTTGTTGTCACATCGTGAGGGGTCGATCGAGGCCCTCGGCACCGGCATAGGAGGAAAAAATTCTGTTGTCGATCACCGCCAACACCCCGTTGGGAGCGAAGACTGCCCCCGCCGAGAGTTTCAATATTGAGGAGTCCACGGAAAGAGACCCCCCCCTTTTCCCCCCTCCCCTTTACCGGTACAACCAGAGTAGGACTGCCAGAGATTGTCTTGCGACAAGATCGTCGAGAGACAAGATATTCCTCGAGCTTTAGAAACGAGACGCGAAGGCAGTAGCCAGCAGTATGTACCAATGATTCCCCTCTTTGCACCCTGTCGTCGCTTGATCCAGCACCTCCCAATTAGTGGGTCCGGTGGCTCGAGGTCGAAAATAACAACTGCTTACATATTCATCCCCAAACAGCACTCGGCACTGGCTGAGGCAATCCATTGTTGACTTTTGGAATTCGCCATTCGACATTCGACGCTTGGGACGGTGGGCCAATTCGTTTCCCTTGCAACAGTCCTGGATTCTAGACTCCTTTTCCCCAAGACCCTTGCGTTTCGTTGATGCGTGAAATCCTCCCAGACTTCAGGGGGGTTCTTTGACTGTAATCAAACTTTCTCCTTCGCATCAAGACATGCAGCAAATGTGTCCGAACGAGGCCAGAAGGATAGGCTGACCAGCTCAGGAAGCCGGATACTCCGTGATGATTCCTGGACGGGCCACCACTTGTACAGTTTCTCGTCGGCAGTATTTTCATTGCGACTAGCGCATAAGTTTCAAATCCAGCAGACCAATCCTAATGCAGCAAGGGGGAACAGGAGGGAAGATGTGGCTGGCTGTCCACCAACTTCCCCCCAAGGGAGCTGCCTTTGTTCACCTTCTCTATTTCAGCCCTGCCAGCTGAATGCAGGTCTAGGTAGCATCCAGCATTCCATTGGGACGTTATATCACACAGATGGCACTTTGGCCCATAGACCTCAGTCACATCAGAGAAGCCCGTCATTTTCGGCGCTGCAAAATGCATTCATTGTATTGGCCTTTCGGCCATTCTCTGGCTTCCACCATGGACTGCTGAGTCCATAATACCTATGGCAGTGACTTCGGTATAAACAATAACCAATCAGACACTCTCCGTCCCCCCGTCTCTGTATCGCTAAGCAATAGGCCCCCCCAAAAAAAAATAAAAATAAAAATAAAAAATCAGTCACCGAGAACGCTCCAGAGCGGCTTTTTGCAGCTCTAATGGCACCCTAGTCCTATCCGTATTTCGCCCATTGAAGGGCCGCCCTGTGATCTAAATCCTTTTCAATAAGATGGCGTGGAACATGTCGAGTCGTCATAACGCAATCCGGAGCAATGCAATCCTATCCTCGCTTCCCGCAGCCGTACTCCGTACAATCGGCTTCCCAGCTGTACTGGAAGATTGCCTTGTGCCTTATCAGGCCCCCGGCTGGAGCGGCGTAGCGCCCGTCAAGTCGGTCTGGTAGCGGCTGATTGAGCCTCCTTCTGGCTGAGTGCTCAACTGCAGCTGATGTCGAATAGGTGGATGTTGGGGCTCGCCGTTCGGGACACCGGCGTCAGCGGCACATCAAAGTAGTTGGGCGAGTTGTGTGCCGAGTCCACTGAGTATGGATCTGTGAGCGGTGGTGTCTAGCCAGAGGATGTCAGCATTTGAGCTGCGAATTTGAAGTCGAGGTTGGGGGAAATTTTGTCGGAGCACTGAGCTGGCTCAGAATTGAGGGCTGGAACATGAACGAGAGAAGAGAGTGGTGGGATTTACATGAGAATTAGCCCCCGTGTATGCTTGATTGGAGGGCATTTCAAGGCCAGCCAGAGAGGCGTAGTTCATGCTGAAAGGGCTCAACAGGTCGTCATCCCCAAAGAGATGGTCTTGTTTCCCGTAGGTGGAAGGGAGCATGGCTGGGAGTGTTGGAGGCAGACTTGAAGATGCGACATCCACAGGGTATGGGTAGCTTGAGTAGTAGCTAGGCGTGCTGTCGTAAGCCGCCTGCTGTTGGTGTTCGTACTGGAGATATGCTGTCGTAGGTGGATATGTCGAGAATGTGAATGCTGGGGGTGAGTTGATGGAGAGATGTCGTGTAGCTGGGGCATCAAACAGCGAGGAATGGTCGTCTAAAGGCAAGATCTCAGGCGATGCTCGCTGAACGTCGCGGGAAATGCTGGATCTTGAAGGTTGACGGGCCATGTTCTGAGGCTGCTTTGGGGAGGTTTCCTTGGTCACAGGGGTGGCCAGTTCTGAGTGAGACTGTTCTGGAGAAGCAGAGGAAGATCCGGCGCGACGTTCCAAATCTTCAAGTCTTCTCTTGAGCTTCTTACGGTAGTTTCGCTGTCCATCTTGTTAGTATACGACGGAAGGTTAGTTCAGGCGACCGCGTACCTGAGCGATCCGGTTCTGTATTCTCCTTCTCTCTGCTAGATCGGAGATCTTGGTCCAGTCCTCGTTGGGGTTTGCAGACGCGCTGAAGGCAGAGCTGCTGGCGTGTGTGGAAGCATATCTGGAGTGTCCGGCCATGGCCTGAGGGTAGGAGTAACTTTGACTCCGTTGCATAGTGATGTTGGGTTTTGGGGGAGGGGGAGGGGTGTCTCTCAGAGACTGTGATGAAGTGAGTGGTGTAGGCGGATATCTCGAGATGAAGAGATCAAGGTGCCAGTGCGGCAGGTGGTTCGAGACGAGAAAGAGGGACTTAATAGTCCTCTGGTCGGAAAGCTAGTTCAATCGTAGATGAACAGATTAACGGGACGCCCAAACGAAGTTCCCTGATATATAATAGCCAGCGGAAATACAAATACCGCTTGGCCCAAAGCGTGCTAGCAGCGGCAGCAGTAACTGTGGATCGGGAATATGACAGTATCCGTACACAAAAGTCCAACCGGGGTTGTGCAAGCACTTCGCTCTGCCTACTTGGGTCATGAGCGTTGTTGGGCGGCCACATGTCCCAGGCAAGAGTGAATTCCATCTAGGAGTCCACAGTTCGTGTCCAGGGTCATAGCCCTGCCCTGCGGGATTGCAGGGATCATAGGAGAATTGAGACCACCGAGCATGGGAGGGTTGACCGCCCCAAGAGGGTGCAGGGGGCCGTTGCGGCGACCCTGGCTGGTGGTAGTAGCGTTGTCCCACGTCGGAGGACGGACGAACGGCCAACTGAGGCTGGGACGCTGCTGGCAGTGAACAGGAGCCGGCATGGTACGGAAATAGTGCTGGAGGGTGCAGTTTTGGAAGGAGATTCGCCTTATTCGATCAATTGCTGGCAATGAGCCTTTCCACTGCAACGTCGTAAGGCGCTGCGCCCCTGCCGCGGATCTAACCCGATGCATGTTAGCGCCTTGCTGCTCTGAACAGAAGGGCGGTCTGCACAGACAGCGACCACCATCTTTCCCTCCAGGCCCCCTCCGCCCTTGACTGTGGGTTTGGCCTTGCCTACGCCTACAGCATACGCTCTGTGCCTACGCCTTCTCTCTATTAAACATCCCCATCAACTGTCTTGTCCGCTCATACTCCGCCATTCATCTGGCAGCTCTCCTTCAGTTCTCGTTGCATCATCTTGTTTCGTCCTCGCGCGGCTCCCTCGAGACCCCATCCCACCATCTGCTTCGGTCGCTCCCCAACTCTCCAAAAGCGAATCTGCATCCTTGCAACCCTTACCACTTTCGTCCCCTGACTCGTCGAGATGCCCACGAGGCAACGCTAAAGAACGAGCTTGGCAAGCTTCTCACCCATTTCCATCCATACGGCCAGAGTCTACCTTATTCCATAATCACTCTACTCTCGACAAGTCTGTCAACTCCCCCCCTACAGAAAACCCTGAGTGCCTGCATCAGTGCCTGGCCCCCACGAGAACGCCCACAGACGACTGACACCTCCACATTTGAAGAAAGGGCTGAACGAGATACACCACACCTAACAGTTCGGAATGGGAAGGTAATCTGTCTCCACCAAGCTCATGGCTCGATGTTGAATCAAAACAACTTTGCTAACGGGAACAAGTCGCCCTCGAAGATCTGGCCGAAACCGCAGTATTGGTGTCGCAATGGCAAATGCCTCATGATTTGTCCGCCCAGAATCCGCGTCGACTCCGGTAAAACCCGCCGCCCGGAGAACCGTTATGGCCGTCTCCCTCCCAACAAACGCTCTCTGTCGGTGATTACATTCTTGATTTTCAATCACCTATTCTGTGTCTAGCACGGTGATCTGGATCTTTGAGCACTACTTAAATTCTCTCGGATATAAATCGTGGGCGAAATCTAGTTCTTGGCTATGACATCGTTTGCCGAAACGTTTTCCGAGGTCTGCCTGAGCCGATGAGTAATGGGTCGTGTCACCGACTGGTACGGGGGTTAGAGCCAGACGATGGACCACCCTTTTTGATCATTTTCCGCACTGCACAATGCGTCGAGCTAGGTCATCACTCTGCAGAGTTTCCTTGGGCCTCCCAATCTCCAGGTTGATCGCAACTTAATTTCCCTAGCTCTCCATTGGCCAAGCCCGCCACATCTCTATGCTGCGACTAACCTCTAACCTCCCTTTCAGGCTGTCCATAGTATGCTTGTTCGTTTCGCCATGACCTCAAAACATGCTTTCTGGTGGCTACTGAACGAATACGATGTAAACTCTACATGGTTTTCCCCCCAATTTCTTCGGGGGTTCATACCATACCGAATTGTCACGGCCATTCCGGGGTTGGTCTATAATTGACTACAGTATTGGCTGAGCCGCAATTTGGGCGAACTGCCTCAATTCATCCTGAGGCCGCTAATCGCCAGCCACCACAGTTTCATGTTCAGAATCCGCTGGTTCCATAATTGTCCGAGACATGAGTCGAAGAGAATGGGCTCCAGACATTCACCTGTGGCTGGCACTCATAGGGCTGCCGTGTCGCGATCCCAGAATATCCCTGCGCCATGGTGAGAGGGTGGCATTCAAATTGCCCTTCTTCCACGAGATAGTCTTGTCTCTCGCCCCTCCTGCGTGTCCAGGTTAGTTTTACGGGGACTGTGAGCTGTCGCAATAACGGTCATGGGCCTCGTCAACAGGCAAGCCTAAATTTCACCCAATCACCATCTCCGACCGACTTTACAGTCTTGCCTCAAACAAAAGTCACAGCGACAAGCAGATGGCCAGAGTGTGATCCAACCAGGGAAAGTGATCCAATCCGGTAGTCAGCTGTTTATCCCTCTTCCTCATCCAGAGTCGCCCTGTATGAGCAAGGCTGGTCATTGGTTCCCAGTCAGCCGGAACCATGCTGGGACTGCATGGATGTGGGTACAGTCATAGGCCTCATCAAAAGGACATTCTCTACCCCGTGACCCTTGCTGTTCGAGGTTACACGAGTCGACGCTTCGAAGGGATTCATCACGATCCGTTGAGATGGTCAGGGATGTAGAGCTTTGCGCACTTGCTCTGTCATCCTGCCCTACGCGGTGGACTACTTCTCTAGGGGGTCCAGATGCGCCAAAATGAAGCCTTACACGCTGTTCTACGTGTCATCTCGAAGCGGCGCCAGAACCAACGAGAGAGGATCTGTCGAAACGAAGCCCACAAATTAATGCTCAACGGTCAGTCGCCTCTTCAATACAGTCTCAGGCTTTCACTAGTCATTAATCATTTCTAGTATCGTGCCCAGGCCGTCAGTGAGACTAATGTCTTGCGAAAATAGGTCGTGCCAGATATCCATCGACGAATCAAATCTTGTAACGCCATTGGCCGGAGAGAACGCATAATTAATTAAGCTGGACGATGAATACGGCCCCACTGGTCACGGATTCTCATTTTCCTGATTGAGCAAAGCATTCCTCCGACGTTTTCCGCCAATAATCACACGAGAATTCCGTTCAGCCCTAGGGGCAGGCCAACTCCCAAATTGGACGGGAGGATCATTAAAGTCTACCCCTTGGTCCCCTAGCATGATTCTCGCAGCGAGCCTAGCAGCTACCGCCGGCCATCCAGCGGACCAGCGCCACGGGGCCCCCCCTCGCAGCCCTTAGCATCTAGCTTGGCTGGCGCCAATGCAACGATCGCCTGGCCTGCACTACCCTTTCAACGGCTGACAAAGGGAATCCTAAAAATATGCGGACAGCTGTTTCGTCGATCCACGACCAATTTCGAGTGCCACACTGCCAATTGGTACCAAGCAATTGGGCCCAACTGCTGTGCTACGCAGCAAGTCCCTTTAGCATACCACGCCGCTGTCATATTCGTTCCTCGGCACATTCCAGAAGAAGAAGCTTGGTGAGTACATCCGCTACGCCAGGCATTTCTTCAGAACCCTACCCCTTTCCTGGCAGAGCATATCTCACCATGGGACCCTCATCATCCTGTCCTCGTTTCAATCCTGTTTTGGTAGCAGGCAAAATGCTTCCCATTTGTTCGTTCATTAGCGTGTTTCCACACCCTCTCCATCGCCTTCCCTGTCGACAACGATCTCCCAACGTAAGTGCCGAACTCCATGGTAGGGCTCTGAACTTTTGCAACATATCACCCATGCTGATCAGGAATCACAGTTTGGTCGCAAGTGTCCTGCGCCCTCATTGGTTCGAGCTGCATTCCTCACCCTCGCTATGACTTACGGCCTTAGAGGGCGGGGGGGAATTGTTCCTCCCATCAAATGGTCTACCGAATCTCGGTTCCGCATAGTGCTCACCCACCAGTCATGTTTGTCATTTTCCCCCTTCTCTCTAGGCCCACCCCCTAGGCATCTTCTCCCAGTTTCCCCCCGAGCTGCAAGCTCCTGCGGGCATGGGAAATCCCAGGTATCATTCAACGAACCCCTTAATACCAGGCTGAGAATTTCAGGGGACCGCTTTCAAACAGTATGATTCTCTTCCACATGCATCTGGAAATTGAAGAGCCTGATATTTTGGTGCTACATGTTGTCGCCCTGTCCCTGCTTCGAAGATTTTGTGGGCATCAAAGTGGTTGCTGATCGACCAAAAGGATCACCCGAGGACAGGTCCCCCTTTCTATCATACCATTGCCTAAGAGCTTCATCACCGCATTTGCGACGGGAGGAGTGAGAAGCGACGGTGACTGCAACACGAGAAAATATGAAAGACTTCACCCTTCCTCATACTCCTTCTATTCAGGACCGTTGAGATCAAGCAGCCTAGAGAGGGCTTGAATCGAGGTGTCCTGCCTCTCCAGTCTGCTAGAGAATTATTCGGATGAAGACGCGAATGTCTGCCTCTGGGACGTCCCATTGAATCAACTCCGGTCGTGCCCAAAGGAATGTACGCAAAGCACTCCCATCTCGTGTTGGCCGATCGGCCACAGGATGCTGGCCCTTTGAACAGCGGGCGAGAACGTTAGCAGGATTCTGCCCCTCCCGTGATTGGGAGGTTGTCTGACAAAATACGGCCGGCGACGCGGTGAAATGACCACGAGTACTTCTTTGTGAGTATTTCTCTGACGAACCCCAAGAGACTGTTGTTCTGTAGAGAGTGATCCTCCATTTAGGGAGGAGGAACAGCTGTTCGTACGGCTATGATGTGGACAGGGGTGGCGCTGGTGGAGGTCCCCATTTTCCCATGTCATATCTGAAATGATCCTTCGAAGAGTAATGCACGGTTAATCGTTCCCATCTCACGCCTACCTCCCAAGGGCCCTCGATTGAGATGATCAAAAGTCCTTTCCCGGTTCTCGTTCCGGCCTTACCTCAGCTTGGCCATGTGCCGTCTCCAACAGTTTGGGTGCGGCGACGCAGAGATCCGTCTCTATACCCTTCAATGCACATGTCCGTGATCCGTAGACAACTCTAGACCAAGGCGAGCTTCGAGATCCGCAGGAGAAGAGCCTTGAACGGAGAAACGCATCGTCGATGGACAGAGTAAGGGGTTCGAGCATCTTGATGATCCTTCTCAACCCAGACTCTCTGGTTCTGGTGCGGAGCTGAGCCTCGGAAGGCTCTTGATACGCCACCACTGGAAAAGACGGTTCCGAATCCTGAGAAAGGATGGCTGGAATCAGGAATCCGACTCCCGTGGTCGTGACTCTAACATGTCACTTTCCAGAACGCTTTGTTTTGAAGAGCTGGTTGCACCTGTACGATAAGAACTTGTTTCACCGAGTGCGCATATTCGTATACCCACGGCGGCACGCTAGACTAGGAGATGAAAGGAGTTCCTCTCTCTCTACACCTTGAAGAATGATCGACAGAAAAGCTTCCAAGGCCATGCACCAGTCAGAGGTTTCGCATAGTTGATTCTCGCATCGGCGATACGCTCGCTGGATTCCACTCTCTTTTCATAGGAGCGAGTCGGCCAAACCGTGTAAGTTTTCAACGCCGGGGGAGCATCCTCATTGCAATCTTGAAATCAGTTTCTGCAAGACCCTTGGCTCGGGTAACAGGAGAACCAATTCGGCACAAAGAGGCTATCAACATTTTTGATCCTTCGACAATCCTTGCAGAAAACCCACCTCGCCCATGCACGCTAAGTGTCCTTGCAAGACATGTCTGGCCCTAGGAGATGCTGGGACACAGGAACAGTAAAAGTTTTCTATAATGGAAGTTAAAGATAGCGGACCATGATGTTCCGGGTCCGGAATGAGCTGGACACGTCCAGCGCGGGCATATTTTGAAACTCTGGTTGCATTCTCCGTCAACCGGAGGGGGAACTTTGAAATCGAAACTTAAGGCTTCGAGAAGCCATGCACGTACATTGTTCAAGGATCATAGCAAGCAGTACATGCCATCAATTTCTGGAGGGGGGAGAAGGCGTCATGAAATAGATGGGAAGTCGGGCGGACTGTTGCTTTGGATTTGGAGCGTTGGCGAGCCGAGATGGAATGCCCCCAGCACTGGCCCCCCCCTTCTCTTTCAGTCATTCATTCTCCCTTTGAGGACAAGAATTCGAATGTGGGAGGTGGTGGATCGGGGCCATAAAGGCAACTTCTCTCTTCCCTCAACGCCGAGGACACCGAATCCGTCTCTTCAATTTAGGCCCCCCTTTGGCTGGAGATCACGTTACACGTGGCATTCATCCGCATGATGGGATCTCTCGTCGACATGTTCCACACTTTTGGTGGCCTGACTGTCGAGATCGGGGCCTATGGAGGTTTAGGGGAGCAAAAAGTGAGCTGGGGACAAAAAAACAACGACAATGCTAAAAGCAAGAGATGGTGGGCTGTTTCCACATCTTGCATGGAAAGTGAGGGACAGGTATGAGAAGGAGATTCCAGAGTGTACGTACCAACAGCAGCAGGACCTAGCAATATATGTGGCACAAGAGACGGTGGACAAGATTTCCGCCCCAGCCAGGCAAAGTTGAGGATGCCTCCAGTCAAATCTGCCTCTCTCTCTGTTTGAGCATGGGGAAGCCTCCAAGAATTACCGAGTTAGGAAAAATAAATGCAATGCGGCGACGATGATTGGAATGGGAAAAAGGAATTGGTTGAGATCACGGGCTGGCTCTGTTTTGTTCCCCTGAGGGTACCCCCCCGCCTTCTCCGCAACCCGCCGAACTTGTCCACGTCTCTTCCGACTTCGCCTGCGCGCTCTCCACACACTGAGTAACTCTGAGGCTGCGGACAGCGTGTCGGCGGAAATCATTCCTAAATCCCTTCATCACTCCACCCCTTCGCGTTTGGCCTCATTTCTTCGATTAGACCAACATGGTGTCCAGTGTCGCGGCCTCAGATGTCTCACCTCAGTCCAATGGCCATGGCGAAAAGCGTAAAGCCGAAGGTGACCCAACAGCTGAGAAGCAACCTCACAGCAGGTCCAAAAGAAACAGATATATTTCCATCGCATGGTGAGAGACTGATCAACTGCGCCGTATACAAGAGAATCGGGCCTGGTTAATATAATATAATCTGCTATTAGTAATGAATGCAAGCGTCGCAAGATCAAATGCAATGGCCAGACACCCTGTCAGCGATGCGGAAACCTCTCCCTCGAGTGTATCTATGCTCCCAACTGCTGCACAAACTCTCTCAAGGACTCGGCGTAAGTGGTGTCAATCGTCGTGAGAACTCTCTAACCAGGAACCAGGGAGTTCAAACAGATGCGCGACCATATTGCCGCCCTCCAAGAGCAAGTCAACGACCTTTGCGCCAGTCTGAATGACCTCCGAAGCAGATCGGACTCTCTCTACTCTGCGCCCATCGATCCTCATTTCTCCCAAGATGGCTCGAATCGCTCTCTGTCCATGTCTGTTTCCCGAACACTCCCTCCGCTGATCTCGCCCCGGAGACCGCCACCAAAAGCCCTACCGCAATTCCACGGTCCAACAAGTACATTATACGGATTGGATGTTGCCAAATCCTCCCTTCAGACGATGGGAATTACACATAATGCTCCAGATGATGATCTGATGTCGCGCGAACGATCCCGAGCCGCCTCGCCGGTCCTTTCGCTTCCTCCGCATCCAAGCAAAGATCCGCTGTGGTTGATCGAACATTCCGAGGTGGTCCGTTTGTGTCGAGTCTATGAAGAGGAAATCGGCATCATGTACCCCGTGGTAGATATTGACAAGGTGCTGAAACATGCCCACTCGCTGTACAAGTTCATTGGTGCATCTCTTCGGACTGGGTTTGGCCAGCCAGGTCTTCCGGGTGCCGATACGTTTGACGACGAAGAGACCACTGTCCTGAAAATGATCCTCGCCATCACCATGACTGTAGAAGGCCACGGTCGTAGTGACTTGGGCCAAAGATTCTTTGATGCCGCGAAGCCAGCTACGGATCTAAAGCTCGTCACGGCCTTGGACGTCAAATCGGTGGTCTTGACGGTCCTGACGGTAAGTGACCGCATGCATACCCTCGGGGTAATATCACTAACCGGTAATAACTGCAGGCCACTTTCTATTTCCAGAAGGATGAAGAAGCACAGGCGTGGCGGTTCATTGGCATTGCGGCTCGGATGTGCATAGAGATGGGTCTTCACAGAAAGGATTCCCTGCTCAAATCCTTCATCAACGAAGCCGAGTATCAACAAGCCATTCGAATCTTCTGGACAGTATATGCTCTTGATCGACGCTGGAGTTTTGGAACCGGAATGCCTTTCGCATTGCAAGATGCTGACATTGATCCAAGTTTGCCGGAACCTGTATGTGACAATTCCTGCCCCGGGTCCATTTTCAACCCCCCCTCCCCCCGGGCTGACTTTGCATCAGGACGAGAGCCATCCATACTTGAGACACATTACCAAATACAACCAGATTGCAACCAAACTTTGGTACCATAACCTCGCCTACGAAGCAGGACGGAATACCAAAAAGGACGAAATTGGCTTTTTGGACTACCAGATCCTCCAATGGTACCAGCAGCTTCCTGAATCAATGCAGTTCAACAACCGAGATCTTGTTCGAGAGAGCGAGATTCCGGGACGGGGTGTCCGGCGTCTTCGCTTGTTGATGTATCTGCGGAGGAATCAAGCACGCATTTCCATTTATCGACCCATTCTTCATTCGGCCACCAGCATCATGGAAAATCGCCATTACGCTCAAAACGTCATTGACGTCGCCAAAGACACAATCAACACCCTCACGGGGATCAACCAGATATCCGATATTTACAAGACGCAGCAAGTCCTTTACAACTATTTCCTGGTCCAAGCCTTGGCTGTGCTTTTCCTCTCTGTGGCACACGCTCCAGCAATCTTTTGCTCACAAACGAGGCAAGAGTTCTATGCTGCCATCGAGATTGTCAAAGGTTTCAGTACGAAATCTCATGTGTCGAAGCGTCTCTGGAGGACAATCCGCGGTCTGAAAGATATGGGCGATAAGATCGGCCTCCTAGCACGCGGAGGCAATTCTCTGAACGATTCTGAGCAAGATACTGCTCATTCAGATGCCGCGGTTGCCATGGCTGGTCTGGCTGGACACAAGGTCGACTACTCATCTTTTGAGAATCCGCCTCAGAAAAATGGACATGAAGAGCTTGGAGTCAGTCCTGACGATGCACTTCAGATCACCAATGAATTATCGAGTTTGTTTGAGCTGGCCGGAGGATACGGAGCTACCACTCCCGGACCAGACGCCTTCAATTTTGTCGGTGCGAACGGGGACACAAATTTGGGAGAAGGCTTCACTGCGTTTGGAAACGAACCGGAACTGACGAGAATCATGAATGAATTGTTTTGAGAGTGGAATGGGAATTGTTCCTAGGGTCAAAAGAAGAAAGGGAATCTTCTAAGTTTAGCAGGCATAAGTTGATTTGGGGGGGGCTCTCTAGCACCTCTCCGTTGAATCGTCTAGAATTCCAGCTAGCATCCGATATGATAATGTCACATATGGCCCAAACGCTTAGAGTATATCAGTGATCGGTGTCAGGGATGTCTGAGGAATCCCTACTCTCTGACCTTGATGCTGAAGCCTTGTCGACCTCCTCGGTTCGCCCACATGACAATGTGCCAAGGCCGGAGCACGTTGTGCCACTGGCGGCCGAACTCTCAACTTTGGGCCCATTACAATTGGGCATCGATGTGTTCTGAAGTTCAATGCACGGCCAAATAACTCGACATCCTGCCCTTCAATTCTACTCCTTCTGGAAGGCAATATTCCAAGTACCTCTTCGTGATCCTGTGCGAATTTCCCATCTGGCCCACCCACTCCTGACTGCTCCTTAATCTGCGCTGCCCACACAGTGTCATTGCATCTTCGATAGCTCCTGTCCGAGTCTTTCCCGGGTGCGCGTTGATTTTGGTATTTAAACAGGAGACCACATACGTCGCTACGGGAGTACAGCATCCAGAAAACCTCTCCATGTGGCCGTCGCAGTAACGATTTCCAACCTCCGCCCACCCCTCTCTCCTTTTACGAACTACGGCGGAAGCTCAACTGGAAAATCACGAAGACGGCCTTGTGTTAGGCACCATCAAGACCAATCTGTCTGCGGAACAGGCCTCCGTTCTGGCCACTGGCCTGGACAGGCTCGAGATCACATCCGAATATTCTGAATCACTGTACTGCCAACAGTTCACCAGCTCCTCGGCTACGATATCCGAAATGTCGCAATCCTCGTCTCAAAGTCCCGACAGCTGGATAGGTACATTCTGCAGCCTGGTCGGCCACGAATATTTTGCGGAAGTCAGTGAGGACTTTATCGAAGATGATTTCAACCTGACGGGGTTACAAGCCCAAGTACCGATGTACAAGGATGCTTTGGAAATGATTCTCGATGTTGAGCCGTCAGATACGAATTCCTCGGCTTTGTCGGAAGAAGAGGAGGAAGAGGAGGAAGAGGAAGATGACGGCATCTTGGGAGATGAGTTGGACGACCCTCCCGCCAACCAAAATGGGGCCACGAGACGACAATCCGGTGTTTCTGCGGGGGGGAGACGGCACGGCCGTACTTCCTCTGATGCCTCTGTCATCGAGTCGTCTGCCGAACTCCTTTACGGACTGATTCATGCTCGATATATCACTTCCCGACCCGGGATTCAGCAAATGATGGAAAAGTATGAATTGTCCCACTTTGGTTTCTGTCCGAGGGTGTATTGCGCCGGAGCCAAGGTCTTGCCAGTGGGGCTGACGGATACTCCTGGTCAGCAAACCGTCAAACTCTTCTGTCCCAGCTGTCTGGATGTTTACACACCTCCCAATTCTCGATTTCAGGCCGTCGACGGCGCATTTTTCGGCACGACATTTCCATGTTTGTTCTTTATGTCCTATCCCGACCTCGACATTGCTCCATTGAAGAGGCGAGCTCCCCGGGACTCAACCAACCAAGGAATCGATGATGTCGAAAGCACCCTGAGCCCCAATGAGGCGAACACTTCGCGTGGTGGTATGACTGTGAGCAGGAGCTCCAGCCTCACATTACCGCAAGCTCCTGTTGTTCCGGGCGTAACACAAACCAAGGATGAGAAGGCATCTGGAACCGCCACGTCCCTTACTACATTACCGCCGCAGCCGGCGACGATCAATGGAATCGCAACGCACAACCTCGCACCAGGCCTGGGCAAAGGTAAAATCTACGAACCCAAAATCTACGGCTTCAGAGTTTCAGAGCGAGCCAAAAGTGGGCCGAGAATGAAGTGGCTTCGATCCAAGCCCCTTGACATCAACGAACTCGATGAGGCCAGGATATATCATGAAAGATATGGTGGGACCGTCGACGGTGACGAAGACCCCTCGATCAGACCTGAGGAGAATGAAGACGTGGAAGAAGGCGTAGACCCTGACGGTGATGCTCTCATGGCTAGTCAGAGTCAAGGTCAGAATAACAACAGGGGCAAATCGAAACGAGAGCCTGATGCCGATGGAGAAGCATTGATGGTAAGTCAGAGCCAGGCTCCAAATCGAGGTAAATCGAGACGAAAGTCCGCAACAGCCCGGAATCAAGGCGTGGAGATTCCAGGACAGCAGCATGAAGGTGGAAATTGGATATGATGCGACACGATTGAGACGAGACGATGAGGTAGAATGAGAAATCTGATGAAGAATTTCAGGACAAACCGGGTGAGATGAACCCTCTGAGAAACTCCTTATTAGTCAATTGCTCTCATCCAAAGAAGGGAGCCAATATGAAGGCACACCGGCCTGTCAAACGGAACGTTTAGGTCCCTTCGCCCAAATCTCAGATGGCATGGTATATGCGGACAACAGTCTGAGGACCTTTTGGAAGTACATATGCACCGGAACAGGCACACAAACAGTCAGCCATGAAGAAACAAAACGGCGATCTCCTCGGAGGATGGTGGTATGAAGTACGCCTTGGGCAGAATCGCAAAGCAGTTTGTGAACACGAGGCCAGTCATTTTAACAGCACCAAACAGAAAAGATCCCGCACGTTTACAGGTACAGCTTTGCATCCTTTCATCGACGAAATTGCGAGCCTCCAGACGTGTTGTGTTCTACTCTTTTTCTTTTTCCCTCTCCCTTTTTCCCCCGTCTCAATAGCAGAGGGGTGGATTGATTTGAATCCGAATTCTGGATATGGCATGGCATGGCGTCTTGGAGTTCATCAGACATCTTTGGCATTCCAATGCATTTGTCATTTTTGAGTCAAACTGGATTTGATTGGAAAGGGAGGATCAAAAGAAAGGAGGATTCACAGTCCGCGCCATGGGATTGAATGCACGGCCCAAGTTATAGGTGATGGGTGAGATACCAGTGAGCAAGGAGCATGGAGTGAAAGGAAATGAAGGAATTTTCAGGTGTGATGATCAATTGATTGGTATTGGGATCCCTTTTCAGAGGCGGATGTGTTCCAGGGGCCAAGGCCCTTGAGTAGATGCGTTAAGATACGGAGTCTTTGGCCGTGGCTCTGGAGAAATCAATCCGATTTTTTGATTCGGTGAAACTCTTCTTCGTCCATTTCTGCTCCCTTTTTAATCGTATGCTAAGGACCCTTGTTGGAATTATCCATCACCACCGGGGATGAATGGGTGCCGTTCTTTACCCGGCCTGCCGCTTCTCCATCAGACCCTTTGCAGTGCATATAAACACATACCTTCCGAGGGCGCTGACTAGGAGTGTTCAATTCAAGTCGTCGTTTAGCGAAACCACCAATTCACACTCGCCGTCACACCGTCGCCGACGCCCTTGACACTATGCCACCACCCGCGCGGGACGAACAATGCATCACCCAGCCCTAGCACCGTTTCAGCGCCGTATGTGTCGAGCATCTCCGCGTACTGCGTGCCGGTGCCCCAAACTGCATCATCCAGAGCTTCGCGCTGCGGACCGACCATCATCTCCTCGCCTCGTAGCGTCGGGCTGTCGCTTGCGCCCAACTGGCGCTGCACGTCTGCGAACACGGCGTCGCCCACTGCCGGCGGGAGGAGGCGTATCCGTTTCCGCCCCGCGAGTTGCATGAAGAAATTTGGGTTCGGGTCACGGTGTAAGGGCGTATATGTCGGCGCGCGGCCCAGCCAGAGCGAGGACGCGTATATGTCGCCTTTTATTACGCCGGAGGTCGAGGTCGGGTCCAGGAGCGAAGGTAGTGGTATGTCGCGTTGGAGCGAGGCTGGGAGCGTGGACAGATCGCACTGGGCCAGGTAGATTGATACGGGTGGCGAAGGAGATTTGGAAGAGAGGTATGCTAAAAGAAGGCTGAGGGGAGCTTCGGCACGATGGAATTCTTCCCCATGTTTGTCCTTAGTAGCATTGACGGCGTCGGCAGAAGACTTCGAGGTCGTCAGTTCCAATGGCACGATGGTGGACCCGTGCTCGGTCCAGAATGAAGACCTCAGCTCGGATGACTCGGGGATATGGACTTTGTCGTGGTCATCGATGCCTTCGTCAAGGATGACGAAGCCGGCGTCGTTGTCGTGGGTGAACCATTTGTCGCATGCGGGTGGGATATGGGCTTTAGATCGGGGGAGTCGATAGGGTAGGCCTGGATTGCATGCTTTTTCTGCAAATATGTTCGCGTCCCATGATGGGAGGAAAGGGATTGGTTTGAGGGATTTGTTGGTGTACGAGACGCTGAAGTGTCGAGCTTGATATCTTGAAAGAAGGGAGATGATGCTAGTATTGAAGACCTTGTGCAGAGCTGTTGTGCTCTTTGCTCTTTGGGCAAGACATTGCATTGGTCTCTAAATGAAATTCTTCAAGGCCGTAACGGTGTACCTAGCGACGGAGGGAGAAGAGCCTTTGCATATCTCGTATCCCCACTTGCGACTTGTCGTCGAGATTGTGTTCAATCCTCTGACCCCTCGGGTATGAGGATTTGTCGATTCTACAGGTGGTAGCTTGGGAACCTGGGTCGCTGCAAGGCAGCAGTGATGGAGGTTTCATATCACCCGAACGGGAAAGTCAGGCGGGCGAAGTACACACGACTTCGGCTCCGGCTGCGCCCTCGGCCCTGCTGTCTCTTACCGAAAGGTTGCTAATTGCTCGACTCTGGACTGAGGCTGTCCGTGCTTCGGTTGGCAGTATTGCAACGAGTATAGAGATGGCGGGGAGATGTGCAAGCTACTTGAGGAGGAGTGGCCTGAACGCGATCCATGCTGGGGATCCTAATGCCTGAGACCTATTACTGATGCGCCTCCCTTAACATCGTCATTCATGTTGAAGAGTCAGTCCTTCTTGTCGGCTCACGTTCTCTCTTTCTCTTTCACTGTCTTATTGTCCACCCCTCCCTGGCTCTCCTCTCACCCAATCGACGGGACCCGACACGTCGGAGGATCCGAGAAGTCCACCTATACCTACTACCCAGTCCTGATTATCGGAACCGGTGAATCGGATATCGGATATCGCTATGGGATGTAGATTACGATGAGCCCTGGGTTTCGATCAGTTCCGCGTCTTCGTAAGGAGGTCTAGGTTGGGAGGTACTTGATATGCTAACCAGGACCCAGGCATTACTTGCGACGTGTACGAGATCTCCCGTTGATCCTATTGTATGGACTCTTTGCTGACCACTGACGGAATAGACCCACAATTCTATATTCATTCTCCTTTGCTCAGAACCCGTACTGGAGATCTCTCTTCGCTCGGGCAAAGAACCGTTCGCTACCTTACCACGTGTGCGAGAAATTCCAGATCCTCGATAGGATCCAATTACATACCTCGGTCAAAAGCGTGCGCCGGCTCGATGACGAAGAAGAATGGGAGGTTGCGCTCGAGCATTTTGCCCTCTGGGTTCGGCGATCTGGCGACCTACGGGCGTGTTGCGTTGGAGAAAGAAAAGGGGCGGAATTCCCCAACTCTAGGGACCGAGAGTGTTCGAGCGAAAGCTGCGGTGAGCGCTGTCGGTGGCCTGGTTGAACCCAAGCCTCAGCTTGAAATTTTGGGAATTGAAACCTATGAAGGCGAGATCGTGCATGCCGCCCGTTGGAAGCCAGACTTCATCTTGCAGGGCAAAGAGGCCACCGTCATCGGCACAGGATGTAATGCTAGGCAGGTCATGCCTTGACTCGTCAAGCCCGAAATATGACGCAAAGCATGTAACCTAATTAATGTGCTCTCCGCCCTGGACTGTGTCCTTCCTTCCACCTACCGCTGCCGAGTCCTACAGGACATACACCCCCAAAACTCTGCCAGTCCATGCCGGGTTTCCGAAACGGCCTACGTAAACTCCTCTTCGCGGGGCCTTGAGGCCGAACCCATGGGAATCTTCACCCCAATGAAGCTGCACGGGAATGACCAAAAAAAAGAAAGCCAGGCAGCTCCTGGCATACCTCCACAAGACGGTACCAGAAGGATGCCATGAAATTATGACACCGGATTATGAGGTATTGTGCAACGGCCGTGTCATGGATGAAGGCTGGTTCGCCAGCTTGCAGAAACCAAATGTGGGAATCACCACTCTGCCTATCACCTCCATTCAGCCTAGATCAGTGACATTGGGACCGGGACGACATTACCCACCTATGTCAAAATCTTCTTCAACGGCGCCCACCGAAGCAAGGATAATCCCGGCGGATGTGATCATTATGGCCGGTGGCTACGACACAAACCAGTGGCGTCACCCACTGGACATTACAGGTCGCAATGGGCGAAGTCCGTATAAAAACATGGGAGGAGCGGGGTGGGAGCCACAGCATATCTTGGAACTGTGATGGACGGCTTCCCAAACTTTAGCCTCATCGTCGGCCCCAAACACGGCTACAGACCGTAACAGCGTGATTCTCGCAAGGGAGAGCATGGTCAACTATAACCTGAGCTTCACTGGGCCAATCTTGAGAGGTGATGTGGACATGTACGAGGTTAAAGAGTCCATGGAGCTCAAGCGGACCTCTGATTTGCAAAAGGTGCTAAAGAATTCCCTCTTCCCCTCGAGTGGCTGCAAGTCCTGGGACGTTGGCGCAGACGGCTGGAACTCGACCGTCTATCCCACACACCTAGGTTGATTTCACTCTCCGCTGCCGGTTCCCTCGTTAGGACCACTGGAATGCCAAATACACAACTCAAGGACTTGTCCAGTTGAGTCTCGGCAGGATCTTAGAATTGTGCAGTTTGCTTCTTGCAATTTGAGTCGTGGTTTTTACAGTACGAAAGGGGCATGCGCGCATGAAGGAGGTGATTCAGAACATTCTGAGGCCAGATGTTAGGGTGTTCTTGCTCAAAGTCGGTAAAGGTCCTTCACCCCGATCGATAACTGATAGTTGTTTCGGGTTGTCACGATATCATAGACAGAGATACCAATATCACCAATCATAATCAAGCCCAGGCTGGCATTGTCATCGACCGAAAACGCATCTGTTGGTGGAGGAGTCCCCCAGTCACCCCCTATGTAGTCCTGCTGGCGCCAAGTTGAGAAAGCACGTGCCAGCCGTGACAAGGCTCGGAATTCAGGAGAACGGTTAGATAATGTGCGGGAAGACTTTATGCCCTCGGATTGATCACGAGCCTTCCCTGTACCAGCTTCCAGACGCCAGATCGACCACCATTGTTGATGAAATGGCGTGACTGGCTTAGATGACCTGCGAATGCGGAATGGTACTTTGGAATGGTACTCCTTGCTTGTAGCTGCAGATTACCCAATAGCTCTTGATGGTCCTCACGTAAAGTCAATTTTGTGTAACAGGAGCCTGGCCAGCCTCAATTACGACCTCAACTGTTCAGCCTGGCCACTTCATCCGGATAGCGGCGTTGGATTACGATGTTTCCGTTGAGGACATGTTCTGTCGATTTGATTCTGAGTATCTGGGGTATCGAGCGTTGGGCGACGCATTGCCTGCCTCTCAGAAAATCCTCCGGGTATACTGGAAGTAGATATATGGAGATTCTATCTACCAATAGGAGCTGGCTTCAACCTCGGGAGATCAGTCAGACGGGCCCAGGAACCATGGAGACATCGCAATCCCAAGCTCCTGTAGTTCCAAGCGCAGGAAGCTGGTGCATGAAGAGACAGAACAAGCAGCTGATAGCGTCTGTCGGAGGATGCTGGAGACTGAAGACTACACCGTTGGCTGGATATGTGCGATCACGACAGAATATGTTGCCGCGCAAGCGTTCCTCGATGAAAAGCACAAAGGTCTTGACTGCGCACAATGACTTTGGAAAACCCATATAGGAACAATGCTTTCAACAAATGGGGTTCTTGAATGCGCCGCCAACGAACCTTGGTGCAGCCGTGAACAGATTCCAAGTCCGATATGAGCTCGACGGTTACGAAGTTCAAGAAACTATCCAAACCATTTTTGAGCTGAAGCCGAGGCTCCAGCGGTCTGCGCTGATGAAGCATCTTGCATGGCGGCCCGACACAACGGCCTGGGGACGTGGACAATCCCAAAATCCACAATGATTTGATTACTTCGGCAAATGAGGTAGTGAAGAACGCTTTGGTCCGTGATAAACTTGCAAGGAGATGGATGTTTGGTTTGAAATGGAAGCGGCATGTCACAAATTGGGTTATGACAAGTATATAAGCTAGGAGGTCCAAATTTCTATCATGAAATGACCGGATTCTTAGTCTTTGGGGCGATCCCCAAAGGACTGCAGACCTCTTCCTGACACAGCAGGTCTTGTGAATCCACTTTCCTTGTTAGATTATTCGCGGCATATGCAATTATTCGGACGCCCATAAGAACAAGCAGTGGCATGGCTATGCGGCGATGACGGGGCCTGCGTACGCAAAGGATCTCCTGGATCGAATCTTTCCAAGCAAGATTGAAACCCAGGAAGAAATTGTCGATACCCTCTCTCGTCAGTTTGACTGAATATGATCCTCGCTTGCCATGAAGGTTACTCATTTCATGTGTGCAGGAGTCCAAGAGGATATGAGTGAGATGTCAAGAGGAGTCGACAAACTTCTCTGTTCGATATCGTGGCGAAGAACGTGATATCATTTTTGACTGGCTCACACCCATCCTAATCAAATAGACTACGTCAAGCGGGGGCAAGAAGGGACCGGTCAATGGATCAGAGACCATATACGATCCAGATGTAGTTCAACACCAGTCAGCAAGTACTGTTCTGTCCCGGCAATTCTGACATCTCTTGCTGTCGACAACTTCTTATCTGGGGTTGCAAGAGATTCTTCCCTCAGCATCGCATATATATACTTCAATCTCCGACAGCATCAGGATCAGAAGCTCGATCACTTGCTGATGAGTCTTCTAAAGCAGCTTGTTCAAGAGGAATTTCCGCTACCGGAGAGTGTGACAACCCTCTACCAGCAGCACAAGAACAGGCGTACGAGACCGACAAATGACGAGGTTATTTCCAATCACTCAAAGGTATTCATTGTTGTTGACGCGCTGGACGAACGCCAAACCGCCGACGGGTGTCGAACAGCGTCTTCTTGGAGGATATTCAGCCTGCAAGAGGAAACCACAGCCAACACTTTTTGCCGCTTCTCGATTCAACGATGAGATTGCCAACTCACTCAATGATGAGATTTCTCTTCGAAATTCGTGCGACCGGAGAGATGCTGCAAAGTTCTTTGAAGGGCGAATGCGACATCTACCATCTGACATCTTCCCTGGTAGAATCCAAGAGATGATTAAGAGCAAACTGACAAGCGACGTTGATGGAGTGTAAATTACATTGCATGCTGCGAAACCTATATTGATGACACATATTTCAGGTTTCTCCTTACGGGGTTAAACAAACAGAAAAACGGACTGAATGCAACTTCTAAACGATCATTGCAAAGAATTGGAGACCAAGGGCATGGCAAGCGGGATCTCGCAAAACCGACTCTCTCGTGGATTCTTCATGCTACTAGGCCACTTGTTACTACTCGCTGCGGATGGGACCGACATCAACGCAAAAAATGACTACTCTGAGACGCTGCTCCTCGTGGCTGCTAGGGATGGCTATAAGGGGGTGGTCAAGCTACTCCTGGCTGCGGAGGGTGTCGACATAAATTCCCGTGACTGGTTGGACGCCACCGCCTTAACGAGGGTGGCGGAAGAGCACGAAGAGATGGTCAAGTTGCTCCTGACAGCAGATAGGATCGACGTGAATTCAGAGGACAAAATATTCTGAGATGGCATTGGTGAAGAAGGACACATAGAGGTGGTCAAATTGCTACTGACAACTGGACGGTGTCAACGCGGAAACGCAAATGACTCTGAACTCAAAGACCGAGGGAGCCTGGTCAATGTTGGAGAAGGACACAAGTAGTGAAGACTGCTCGTAGCTATCAGAATGCAGACACGACGTGGCACAACGCCTACCTTGATATCTTGCGCATATCAATAGCATGTCAGCCTTGCGAGGACTTATGATACACATCATCATCACAGTTGGCTGTAAAGAAAGGTACCTAGGTATTCAGGTGGTAGATACATTGTCGACGGAGATATGCTCGAATTATCTGAGTTTCGTTCTTAAGATATTCTTCATCGAAGTACTAGCAGCTTGTCTATGCGTGGATATAGACGTTGACGATGTTGTTTCCTGATCTTGAGAGAGAATTGGTAGATAGGTTGGTAGATAAGTAGATAGGGAATTCAATATGATCTCACATTCATGACCTTCCTCCCTCCTCCTTCTCCTGCATGTAATTTTGAACTTCTTTTGTTGGGGTCTTGATGAGCATCTTTCTTTCCCTCCTTTTAGGGGGTTCTGTCATAACCTCAAGTGCCAATGCTAAAAGTACTGGCTCATCCGAATCCTTTCTTGGAAGGATCGAAGAGGACGCCAATAAGTTCGTCCAGAATAGTAAAAAGGAGATGCTGATTGAGTCGGGCATTGTTCATGGTGGCCGAAATTCTTCTAGCGGCCGCTTGGGCATTAGCTCTTCCTACCACATTAGCAGCCAAATCAGGCACGAGCGTCGCCAACATCATGGACGCTTCCGATTTGGATTTCTTCTTTTCGGCAGCCGTCCGTGGTTGTACTTCCCTCATCTTCCCGCCTCCAGGCCACATGGTTTCTTTGATCAAGTCAATGTATTTCAAGAGCGCGTCCTCTTGCGTGAAAGATTTGACGATCTCTCGAACCTTGCGTTCTATGGTGCCGCCGAGTAATTGATGAAGAACGACAATCACGGCACGACCACGGAGCCAATTGTTTCCTCGGTTGAGCTCGAAAGTCTCAAGGAAAATATCGCAAATGGGCTTGACGAATGGTTCCAATTCTTTGTCCTCAAAGGCCGACAATTCGGCCTCGGCTTCCGCAATTGGGCCAGGGTCCATGGGAACTATATCACCTTGGTGAATTCCAAGTTGATTCGTCGCCGCGGAGATCAGATTCTGCCCGGCAACCGATAGTTGATCGAGCACTGAAACATTCCCGAGGAATTCATCCATGCCGTCAGTGACTGAATTATAGATTCGGGTGACGATGTCTTGTGCGTCGGAGGCGCTGTTTGCGCGTTGGTGTGACGTGATGCTTTGCTGTGAGAGAAATGACCTCAACTCCCAACTTCGACACACGTCGGGCATTCGAAGGAGTTGTTGTAAGTAGTGCTCTAAAGCCTGTCGTCGATTTTGAAGGAATTGCTTTTGAAGCTTCATCACAACTCTCCGCCGAGGAAACTCCAGACTCCTGGTGGAGGGATATCTGCGGCGTAATTTTTGATGTAAATCGTGGAATTCCGAGTATCGACGCGGCACTGCCCACAGCGCGGCCGGCATCTGGTCCCCGGCTTGTCTTTGGACCTCAATGACATACAAAGCGAATTCTCGCCCATCATCCTCTTTGCCTACCACGACAGACTTGATTGAAATGCTAGATCGGCCATATAAAGAATTGTCACTTTCTTGGACGATGTACTGTTGACGTTGCAGTTCCTTTCGTCGAATCTCTCTTTGGAGACTTGACTTGGATTTGCTGAGAATCCTGAGCTCAGCCACGTTGTTGGTCAATTCAGCTTTGCGGGTGAGGGCGTCGACCACAGATTCTTGAGACACCAGGCGTTCAATATCATTGTTGAGTGCCGTGATAGCTTCCGCAAGTCCCAGATCTCCGGGGGCTGCTTCGTGAATTGCATCTTCATCGACATCGTTTTCCTTCGTCTCATCGTTATCCACATATTCATCTTCAATAAATTTTTCTTCATCGGGGAAAAGGTCATTGTCGGAAAACACGCCAATTCGGGACGAGGTGTTGACCAGTCCGAGGGTGGCTAAGCTCGGTTTCGGTTTGTTTGCGGTATCCATACTTTGAAAATCGAGAGAACTTCGCGGCGACTCCATCGTCTTGGTCGATCTCGAACCTGACGTGGGAGATCCAAAAAGCGCATCGTCGTCATAGCTCATGCTATCTTCCATTGGACTGTCGGTCATGATATTATTCATGGCTGCTTCCATGCTTTCGATAACCTGGCGCTGCTCCACCGAATCACCATTCAACGATTCATGGCCGAGGCTGTGGGTGGAATGTGCCAATGGATCAGTGTCGTACCCGTCGTCGAAGAGTGGTGCGGAAGGGCCACGTTTGGCGAAATCGCCATCATCAAACAGTTTGGAAGAAGCCAAACTGCGCACATCTGACGAGGACACCGCGGCTCGCTTCAGATCTTTGGCTCGAGCACCAGTTTGAGAGTTGGTCCTCGTCATCGCGGGGGCTTGTGTTGGCGCTTTTGGGGCGGTTGCCAAAGCCGAGTCATTCATCTCGAGAATACTATCTGCACTCTGGAGCCGAGGACGCATGGCCGATGCTTCTCCAGACGCGAGAAACTTGTAATAGAGATCTGATTTCCGAAAATTGGGGAGATGTCGAGTTTCCAATTCCTCCAAGACGGCAGACTGTGCAGATAGAATTGCCGTCCTGGCTGCTCGATATTGTTGTGGAGTGGCTTTGCGGCCAGCAGCCAAAAAGGATTTGATGGCGTCCTTAGATTCCTGTGGGATGTTTAATTCCGCCTTCAACATGTAGGTTTCGCTGATTTGAGCAATGTCCATCCGGTCCGCGTCTGTCCAGCTCTGTTGCAAGGCGGGGTTCAATTCATCCCCGAAGTCGTCCTCCAGAGGATTGCGAAATCCGTCCACCACCACCCAAAACTGTACCAACGACATACGGTGCAACCGGTCCATATACTCCATGAAATATGACAACCCTGAAGCGGTATGCATGATTTCGACCATCGTCCACTCGTGAGGTTTGGCGGTCGGACCTGGCCGTGAGTCGGGCTGAGGGGCTTGCGGGACCGCTCGTGTTCGACTCAGTTTGGTGATTTTCTGATCGAGCACCCGTTTGGCCATTTCTAGCCTGCGCAAATAGACAGGATCTTGACCTTCAACCATGCTCTCGCGTTGGATCTGACTGGCAATCGAGTTTCGAAACCGCCGAGCATCGGACAGATTCTTGGTTTTGCGAATGGCTCTAACAAAACGCTCAAAGGCGCGTTCACTGTCATTTGGTGCCAGGCGTGGTGATTCCTGGTCGGGCTTGATTCTCGGAACCGGAGACGCGTGCTGATCCAGGGCGGCCCTCATTCTACGCACCGTCTTCCGATCTTGTAAAGCGGTTCGTCCATAAGCTTCGACGATTTGATTCCATGTGTCAGGGTCTGCAAGAAGTTGCATGGTGGGAAGCAACACAGCGCCGGAAACGATTTCCTTAACCAGGACCAAGCTTGCGCGGCTACCTATCGTGTTCGGTGACAGCACATCTGGTAAAATTCGCACCAATACTTTCCGGAGATGGTCTTGCTGAATGATCTTGGTGTCGGAGTAGGCGAGCGAAGCGGCGGGATGTAACTTTCCATCTTTGTATTTAGCCGCTATGGCCAGCTCCAGCTCTTCCGACTCGGTGACACTGCGATTCAAGCTGCGACCTCGGACTGCCCGCTCTGCTTGATCAAAGTCCCGCAAATGTGTGGTGATGATGGGGACAATCTTGGATACGACAACATTGACCATGTCTTCGTTGAGTATTCGATCTCTGATCTCGGCCAAGGCGGCCCGGATGTTCTTGTCCACCTCATTGACAAATACCGGGCTCTTGGTGATCGTTCCGTACCAAGATGACACAAAATCTCTCAAAGCAAGACCAAGCAGAGTGTCTAGTGCCTCAGAAACGACAAATGATTGGTCATATAGTTGGATGGGTTTGTACTGACGGGAGGCTTGCAGGATTGACAGTTCGGAACGCCATTTGGGGGGGAGCAGGAAAGCGGGAGAAGCTGCAGGGAGCGCGTGGGCGTGGTGGTATCTTGCTCGCGATCGAGTGACGGTCAAGATGGCTGCCAGAAGAGCGACCAGAGTGATCAGGCAGCCGCCAGTGAAGGCATATCCCAGAAAGCGCAAGACCGGCAGCCAGCGCACCGCAAAACCCCAGGCGACGAAAGCGGCGAAGGCGGCGAAGAGGACATGTTTCTGAGCAAGGTTCATTCTTGACACATATTTGGACCGATCGGTACCGCTGAGATGGCCGAGAAGCCAGCCCAATGGGGAGAGAGGCTAGACATCTACACCATAGTTGTGCTCTGACAGGGATGGGAGCGGAAGAGTCGATCTGTCGTGTTTGCGGTAATTGAGGACTGCTCCTTGAGTGGTGACTCTTTTGCGGGGGGGGGACGCGTATTGTCGGGAGGAGAGTTCAGTGCGTTGTAGGTCACAAATGAGATGGGCTGCGACCTGATGTGGTCGTTGGAATAGTCCGATGGTCGACAGTGGTGGACTGGAGAATGTATTCTGAGATGTGGATGCCGTTTGACAGCGTTGTCGACGGCGGCGGCAGGAAGTCAAAGTGTGTCGCCAGACCTTCCTGCGCAAGTGTAGCGCAGAACGTTACGTTACAGTCCATGGTACACATTGAGCATGCATGTAATGGTACTCCGAATTCGGTACACACACAAGTTCGGAGTGAGGTACCGGGTACCAGGAAGTCTATACAGAGTGCTACATGCGGCCCTGTTCGCGACTTACTGCTCAAGTTCACGCCTGCTGCTTTGAATGTTGCCCCCATGAGACTGCTAACGAATTGGTCATGTCCTTTTTGCCCGTGCCGTTGACACCGTGGATGGATGCCATTGGCTTGTGTAACAGTGATGGTTCAATGCCCAATGCCCAAAGACCTCCCCCCCCTCCCAAAAAAAAACCCAAAAAAAATATCAAACAAACACAAAGTCGGATGCCACACCGCATACTGATGACGGTCTCAATGGATTGCCTCTTGCAACACTGACACCAACAGATTTGCGCAAGTATTGAGTCTTTTGTTCAACTTCCCACCCCCACCCCCCAACGACGTATTGATCCTTGCTGGGATGGGAGAAACCATGCAAACAGGGAGACGCCCCGCCAGAGCCACAGCCTTGGACTTTCCTCGTGCCTGTCAGATCCCGACGTCCGCGCAAGAAGAAAACTCTATTAAGGCACCTTGCGGAGCGCAAGAAGCCATGCAAGCCATCAAATTTCAAAAACAAAGTTCAGCAATATCCTATCCGGGTAGACACACTCGACATCCCACGATGAAGTCCACTTTTCCGCAGAAGGCTATGAATGAGTCAGGTCGCAAGACCTTTACCCGCCACCTTTCTCACAGGGCTGATCTTACCTTTAATCCAACGGAAGTCGACGGAGGACTTGACCAGGGCGGATACCCACTGACGTGATGGGGACAGACAGTAACAGCGTGTCTGTGAACATGGCTTGTGCCATCCCCAGGGCAGAAAGAGGGAAAAATCGCCAAGTCGCCGAACAACACACACACACACACACACTCGCTTCATTCAACCAGAGCGGGGATCGACTCTCCAGGCTTTCTACATCCCCTTACCAGTCGCATTTGGTGCGCGTTGGGCATTCGGATGACAAGGGACCAACCGGGATCAAGTCGCACAGGCAAAAGACTCTGCTGCCTACCCTGGTCGTGGTTGCCTTGCAGATACCAGAGACCTGCTTGAGAGACCCAATGTCATCTCCCCTGATCCCGAATGAGTCTGTTTGGACAGGTCGGCTGACTGCGCAAGCTTGACATCGATACATGATATGGTATGTAGAAGCCAGAACAAAAGACTAGGTCGGGCATGAGGGCGATGTTTCGTCTGACTCCCTGATGGATGAACAATGACAAACTGTATGCCCAATCCTTGATGCGCCGGAAAAAGAAGTCAGCACGACAAACTCGATCACGTTACAGATCTCAGATTGTCATACAATAAATCCCAACCTTCGAGAAAAAGCCCCAGAAGGTGGAGCGTGGAGAGCCAACGGATTGGCCATTGATGGGCGACGACGCGCTTAAACCCTTCAATCGGCAGGTCGCCTGGTGAGCCACCGAATGCAGCCCATTTTAGGTGCCCTCGTCCCTCAATACCATACCCTTCGGATCTCAGCACACCTACTTTCCCAAACTCGAGGATACTTCTGGGTCCCAGGCATTCGCTTTCAGGCTTCGCTCCGGGCGGATACGCGGAGGGATGTCTTCCTCCCTTGAAGCTTAATGTTGGCTCAACCTCATTTTGCTTCCACAATTCAGATTCGTCTTTGGTGCGTGTGATTCCTCGCCATGTTCTGGTATCAAAAAGAATGAGAGCCTGCAATGCTTTTGTGGCTGCGCCATGGATTTTGATGTTTCATTTCAAGACGCATGGGTCGCATAATTCTTGGGGCATTGCTAGCTGCGCTTCCGGACTTTCAGAACCCTGGTCCGATGTCTCTTGTCAACAATTACCGTTAGCGAACACCGGCTGATCAAGAGTTGGGCGCCTTTCCATGCTCAGCATGAGAGACATGGCAGTTCAAAAATATACAATGTTGCAAATTGCAACGTCCTTTCTGGCGGTGAACAGAAGTGGCAATTTATGAGGAACGAGCGCTGGTCACCTCAGGGGGTCATCCAGAATCAAACTTACGCACCTCCGCCAGAAAAATCCCTTCGGCTCCAAATCCAATCATATGAAGTCCACGGAGAGCTGAAATGTTTCGCGCAGCTACACTTTGTTCAAATTTGGCGAGGTCAGCGATAGGACTCGGTATAGAAAATATACAGCACAGCACAGCATAGCATCCACTAACTACACCAAGGGCCGTGAAAAGCCTCCGCGATGAAAGCGGAACAACGGTTTCTTGTTATACTACCGTCTGGGAAGTTGATGACGAAGCAGAATGCTCGTTGTTGCTTCCGGTTGACATTACCGGCAGGAATGAAGGGCTTGAGCGGAAGGCACTGGACAGAGATACGAGTTGACATCTGCACCATCACTCAAACTGGGTCCTGCTGATGAGGTTGTGACAGCTATGGGGATGATCCGGCGCGTTGGACGGGGTTAGAGAGATGATCCTAAAGCCCTTGACGTTGTGCATGACGAGCACCAGTCAGGATGGTGGAGGAGGATTTTGCGGGATGCTCCACCCGCACTCTCATACCTGTCACTCCGTTGACTGTGTTTGGTTTTTTTTTTTTTTATTTGATATTTCTTCCAACTTCCAGGTTCGATTTAGGAGGGGGGAAATTGGTCGCAACATCTCCAATTCTCCAGAGTAAAAGAGACGACGTCCGAGGATGATTTACTAGGGCACCTTCTTGAATGACCGTCGGAAGTGGCCAGACCAAACCCGACTTTCCAAGGCCCGGGCCCAAGCCAACGGAGAGAAGCTAAAGGCTAAAGAGGGTGCCTGGAGATTGTGGGTTCGCCTTGACAGTAGCCTCCACCCAAAGGATGTCCACAGGCTCAAGAAGCCCCTTGTCAAAGTCTAAGGGACACTTGAACTGCGCGGAACCAAGGCATCCTTCCGGGGAATGCCACTTCCCCGTCGACCGGCGCGAACAGGAGCAAGCCCTTTGATGCCACAATGCGATCCACGGGTCAAGGGTCCCTTGAACATGCCCTGGTGCAACAACTGTTTGACTTTTTCTCTTGAAAATGACAGCTTTCCTGTTCAGTGGTCATGATTCTTGAGACTCAGGAAAAAGGGCGTCGGCGCTGGTCCTCGTGTTCTCAATAATGCTGCTAGGCTCGTCTAGGCAGTGAGATCCCCTTCTTGTCGAATTTGGGGTGTTCCCCGGGGGGGAGAAACCAGGGGGGCCGAGCTCTCCGAGCCTTTTTTGTACGCCTTTTGTTCGAACTCGAATTTCTGGAACCTTGCGGCTGAGGAGGCTTGTTTCGAAAGATTTTAATCAGAAGTGGCACCAAGGCACTCAACCCTCGCCCAGGGTTCCGACGTTATCACTCCATCACTCGTGACGCCCGGGAAAATCCTCACATGAGGCGAGATATGGAGCCCGAAACTAACGAGGGCTGGCACATTCAACGGACTGAGAAATCTATCTGAAATCAAAAGACTGGTCAATCATCACCGTGCCCATGCCCCCGGCTGTGACTATTCCACTTTGTGACAATCTTTGTCCTTTATCCCACTTATCTCGTCACTTCCTCCCACACCACACCTCTCTTCATCATGCATGCTGCGGTAGCGCACGATGTCAAGCAGGACGGGGCTCGCTTGACTTCTCCTCCCTTCCCCCTTCGATGACGGCTCACACAATCGACGTGCCTTCTCTGTGCCTGCACCAGCACCGCAAGCCATCTGCACGCCGGACCTCCACCGCTTTGTCGCTCAGCTGACCCAAAATTATACTGTGTCGACCCGTACCCTCACCTTTCCCCCCCGCTCTCCCCCCTGCTTGTTACCGCTCCTGGACGACTTGGTAACGCCCTTGCCAGCCCACTCGCCGCATTCGCCGCACCAGCACCCCTCAAAACCATGTCGACTTTGTCCGTGGACCCTGTGGGCTCATCGAATGCTAGTCCAACAAGATGCTCTGAAGCGAGGCTGACTGCCTCGGGTCGGCAGAGTGGCGAGGTGACACAGCGCACGCTGTGTTCGCCGCTCTTCTTTCGCTCATCCCTCCCAAGTCGCTCGCCTTGCAGAGCTCCTAGCCCGCAGCCCGCGATAGAGATATCGAGATCCAAATGGTCCGGCTTGGCCGTGGTTCTACATATCCCCTACCCTAAGAATTCCCACTTTTCCACCATCACGAGCTCACACGTCACGCACCTCTCTGGAATGGGCAGCGCTAAGTAATAATAGCCAGCCACATGGGTCTTGCTACACAGAGGCAAAGGGGCACGTACAGTACTGTAATAATCGACATCTTCAAAACCCATTGAGATCAAACGTATTCTCGCATACGCGGCGGAAAGGCAACCAGTTCTTCACCCTTCATCTACGACCGGCGACCCTCAGTTTGTCCCCAGGTCTTCTAGGTTATCTTTCGTCTATTTAGTTACCTCTATCCTGCTCTTCTGTCCGGCTGGGTTATTCAATTGCAGTGTGGCTTTCGAACGAACCCATCTTTGCCTTGTTCAAGTTGTGGGGTCTTCTCATATTGGACGAGCAAGCAGCCTGCTGACATCTGATTGGATTGCCCTTCACACTGACCGACTCAACCCGTTTTTTGGGCGTCTATATATTCAAAAGCAGTATACCACAATAGAACGCTTCCCTCAACTTCATCTTGTCCCAGTTGGTGGTGACTGAAACGCACTCTCCTTTCCACCGGCGTTGGTGAGTGTCACCACGTGAAGCAACAAAAAGATATCACGGCCTCAAGATCTGTGCCGGTGACGACTAGGCAGTGACACCGCTCAGACGCCATATATGACCCATTCTCCAGCCATGCTGGTGTTCCATCGCAATGCTCATGCACCATTCTGGCCAAATTCTATAGATCAACAGAGCAACTGGTCGCCTGAAATTGATCTTGACTCTCCCAATTGTTCTGGACTTGGTAAACACCATCCTCAAGAGCCTGTTCGCCAATGACTGATCCTGCCAAAGAACAAAATATCGTTGGAAGCGACCCAATGTCTGCCTTGTCGAGCGAGTCTGTTTCATCAGTCAGTCCCAGCAGCCCACCGCATTCGATAATATCGTCGAATCCCTCCGAGGATCAGGATGATCAAACGCGAATTCAACCAGTTCAACATAACGGATTTGTCGTTGACTCCGGGCCAAACGCTCTGCATCTCGACGCCGAAGTCGATGGAGATGTCGGACGACATGGCCCGGGCGGCCCAGAACACATCATTCACATATCAAGCATTGAACGTTGTATGCCTCGATCGTACATTCGCATTTGCTTGGCATATCGCTTGCCAGACCCAGATATGCTCCCCGAGGTGGAGAAGAAACTGAACAGCTTTATTAGGAGAACGATTGATGCGAAGCCGTACCTGTGCGGCTACGTGGTGGCGGTCCGAGAGCCGGGGAACCGGGTTGGTGCAATCGAAGTACGCTTCTCCGACAGAGACTTTGTGGAATTTCCCCGAGTCAACTTCCGCCGCCTCACACATGCAGAGGTCCCATATAGTTACGATGATCTCGACCGGATGGGCTTACCTCCGAGCATCATCAAGCCCGAACTCATTTCCGCATTGGCCGAATCTGCTGACGAAGATCGAGCTCCCGTGTTTCGTGTCCAAGCAAATCTGGTGGAAGGAGGTCTCATTGTCTCCGTCTACTTACACCATTGCATCTCCGATGGCACCGGAATTGGCATGTTGATATCAGGCAGTGTGCTGAAGGACGAATTCACTTTTGACCGTCCCGTCGATGCCGACGGCCATGACATGCCAGGTCTTTCGTCGAGACTGCACGCATATGCCAACCGCAAGAGTGTCGTCAGAGAGGCGCTCTCGTACATTCCCGAAAATCTGGTCTATGATCGACAGCTGAAGTGCAAGAGCACCAGTGCGGCATCTCCGGTGAATCATCCCACCAGGCCTCGTGGACGTGGCTGCGTCGTCGCCTTCTCCTTGGAAAAGCTGGCGGAGGTCAAGAGATCGTTGGAATGTCATGCTGATGGTAATTTCATGACACCGAATGACGTTCTCCTGGCATTGCTCTGGCACCACATGACCAGGGCCCGGGCGCCGTCGCTGTTGCAAAGCAGCCAGATCACTCACTCCAAGCTGCTCATCCCCATCAACATCCGAAACAAGCTTGGAGAACCGCTTCCGGAGTCCTATTTCGGTGCTGCCATTGATTTTGCCGCCTGTGAGCAGCCAATCCCGCCTCTGGCGAACGCGAGTACTCCTCAAATCGTGCAAACGGCCATGGCGATACGTAAAGCCATCAACAGTGTCGACGAGCCGTATATTCGGCAAGCCATCGCTCTGGCAAAATACGCAGGACCCGACCGTGATGTTCGAGACTTGCAAGCGAGCAACATGGATCGAGCCAACGGAGCCGACATGTACGTAACAAGCTGGGAGAAGTTGAAGTGCTATGAGACCACATTCGACATGGATCTGGGGCCACCCGACTGGGTGCGTAAACCATGGTCGAAAGACCCTGGTTCGTGCATCGTGCTTCCGTACGACGACCGAAAGGAATTCATCGAAGTCGTCATTCAAATGACAGAAATCGATATGGAACGATTACTGGACGATTGCGAATTCATGCAATATGTTGTCAGAGTCATAGACTAAACGATTGGGTTAGCCGGTTCGGGACATGGAAAGGAAAGAGATTGGAGCATCCTGGGCTGATGGTGCCAGTTTACCGGGTTGGACAAGGAAAAGCGTATCATGAATTATCAAGTTTGCAATGGGTCGTTGAAGGGCAGGAATGGAGTTCAAAATATCAAAGAATACCCCCTCCTTCCACCGATCTGAGGTCGAGGACTGACGATGGGGCTGTGTACCATTACTGTAGTGCATGGGCATTCAAAAGTTGAGAGGTAGTTCAAATTGCAGGCTGATATAATAAATTCCCCGTGAACGACTTGGAGGTATGGAAAAGGGGGGGGCCGGTTTCCATGTAATCACGTGAAAGCGTGTTTTTGGCTAAACCCGAAATGGTTGCTTCGTCGCGTTTTCTTTTGTCGCGTCGACGGAACGACCCATCCTCTTGTTGTACCACCACCTTTCTTACTCGGAACTGCCTGTCTTCGACCGATTTGAACTCCCAGTCCGCTCATCGCTTTTCAGACCATTGTTTCCGTCCCCAGATCCCTCACTTGTAGATCATCATGACCCAAATGGAGAGTGTCGACACCCAGCAAGATGACTACGACGACATGCCGGGTGGCCCTGGAGCTCCCATTCCCGTCTCCCAGCTCGTGGTGAGTAAAGGAGCACACTCTTGCGCGTGGGGTGTATTGATGTCTCTAGGGTGTCGCAGGTCTGACCGACCGAGATATCAAACTGGTGATCGAAGGTGGCTTCCATACTGTTGAATCCATCGCATACACGTGAGTGAATGAGCCGGTGGCCATGTCAACCAATTGAACTAACTGGCATAGACCACGTCGTCAACTGGAACAAATCAAAGGAATCTCAGAAGCAAAAGCATCGAAACTGTTGAACGAAGGTATGCTTCACGTGGCGCGGCGCACTCTCTCTCCCAACTGACCACCCCGTCTAGCGATGAAACTTGTCCCGATGGGCTTCACCACCGCTACGGAAATGCACGCCCGCCGAAGTGACCTCATCTCAATCACCACCGGCTCCAAAAATCTCGACCGGTTACTCGGTGGCGGGATCGAAACGGGGTCCATTACCGAAATTTTCGGAGAGTTTCGAACTGGAAAGAGTCAGATCTGTCACACAATGGCGGTTACATGTCAATTGCCATTTGACATGGGCGGTGGTGAAGGCAAATGCTTATACATCGACACCGAAGGCACCTTTCGACCAGTGCGACTGCTGTCGGTGGCCAACCGATATGGTCTTGAAGGCGAAGAGGTCCTTGACAATGTCGCCTACGCTCGAGCGTACAACTCGGAACATCAGCTGCAACTCCTCCAACAAGCATCCCAGATGATGTGCGAGACACGATTCTCATTGCTCATTGTTGATTCGGCCACCTCACTCTACCGAACCGACTATAACGGAAGAGGAGAGCTGTCATCACGACAGTCACACATGGCGAAATTCCTGCGCACATTGCAGAGACTAGCGGACGAGTTTGGCATCGCGGTTGTCATCACGAATCAAGTGGTTGCTCAAGTGGACGGTGGACCCAGCGCTATGTTCAATCCCGACCCGAAGAAACCTATTGGCGGCAATATCATCGCACATGCCAGCACGACCCGTCTAAGCTTGAAGAAGGGCCGAGGGGAGACTCGGATTTGCAAGATCTATGACAGTCCCTGTCTGCCAGAAAGCGACACCTTGTTTGCCATCTATGAACATGGAATCGGTGATCCTCAGCCCAAGGATGACAAGGAGTAAAAATGGAATGGGAAAGAGGATCAATGACGAGGGACTGAATATGGCTTTGATGGAACAATGACGTTTCTGGCGTGAGGCGTGGGCGCACGGGGCTAATTATCGATGCCAAGCAACAAAGTATATCGGTTAGAGTCACCACAGACCACCGTGTATGAGCTATGTTTGTGCTGGGTGATGATCTTTGTCTGGGCTTTATCTATTAGTTAGTATCAGGCCACGCAGGAAATTGACCGGACAATGGATCACCGAACACACGGCAACAAAAGTCGATGAGGTCAAGCATCGTGGCTGATGCACATCAAAGTGGCTGGAGCGAATAGGAGACTCAGTAAGAAACACTTCGCCAGCTGAAACCCAGTTATTTTTAATAGGGTTTCCGTCGAACCGACAGGTACTGTAGGTAGTCGGTACTTAGCCACACGTATTCGGGAGGAAGGGAGCTTTGGTACCCTGTACGGAGACTGCTCCTCCAATCCCCCCAAGTCCATGGTCCACGCGCAGAGTTGGAGCTTGGCGTCATCGTCATCCTCACGCAATGGGCTGAATTGACAGGACCATGCTCATCATCGCTGGCTATTGGCACCGTTCTCATGATCCCAGCCTCTCTCTCCCTCGCAACCATACTCCGTAATCTAGACGGATTAGAATTCAGGATCAGGAATAGGATCACTTGCTGGTCTTCTTTCTCTCTTTTTTCCTTTTTTTTTTTTTTTTCACCTTTTTGGCCCCAACCGTTGGTTCCCCCCCCCGGACCTTTCCAAAGCAACGCGCTCCTTTCTTCATTTTCGCCTGCACCTGAGCCTATTGTCACTGATATTTGTCTAAACAAAGGCACCAACAGTAAATCTCACTGTCGGGAAAAGCCCTGCGGACTGAAATATCTTTAAATGGAAGGTAGTGTTTGGCCATGGCGCAGTCTATCCATCCTGGGCCCTAACACGGAAACCAGGTCAACGAGATGGTACGGCTGCGTCAACGGAGAACCAGCGAGTCTCCGAAACTCGAGATGGCTACGGCACCGGTCCCGACGTTAGCAACTCCCACAGCTCCGAGTTTGAAATCCTCTGCGGTCCTCTTCTCAACTATCAGCGCATGAGCGAGGAGGGTTCAGAAGTCTTCTGGCATGGTTCCGTTCTCATTGTTACAAAACTGGGTCAAAAGGTTCCGAGCCTTGAGTTGAAGTCATTGGGAGCGTTGAATCCAAGCGCCAATGTCAAGTTCCCTCAGGCACAGCTCGTTGGAGGCCTGAAGCTATTCTCAGATCCGGACAAAACCTTTTGGCGATTTAGTCTGCGGGTCCCCTTGGTTGAGGCGGAGGCAAAATGGCAATACTCCATAGCCAACATGCGGTTCCTCTCGGATGTCAGCAAGGCAGCGTCAAGACAATTTGTCGTTCCCTCCTCCACTGAATCAATGCGGATAATGTTTCATTCTTGCAATGGGTTCTCTGTGGGAACGGACGAGGACTTTTGGTCAGGTCGGTGCTATTTCCGTGGCATTGAACGGGCCGAACCAGCTAACATGTGATGCTAGGTCCGGCATTGTGGAACGACGTGTTGAGGACTCACCAACAACGTCCATTCCATGTCATGATTGGCGGAGGTGACCAAATCTACAATGATAGCGTCCGGGTCAAGGGGCCATTGAAAGAATGGACGACGATTTCCAATCCCAGAAAGAGAAGAGAATACCCCTTCGGCGAGGACCTCCGCGGTCGATGCGACAAGTATTACTTTGAGAACTACGTTCGATGGTACAGCACCGAGCCTTTCGCGACGGCCAACTCTCAAATTCCTCAGATCAATATTTGGGATGATCACGACATCATCGATGGATTTGGCTCCTACACTGACCATTTCATGAGATGTGCAGTGTTCCGTGGTCTTGGTGGGGTCAGCTTCAAGTACTATTGTTTATTCCAGCACCATACAGCTCCGCCGGTGTCCACGTTTACGACAGACACACCGCGGACGATGGAGGCCGGTGCAGATGGGACTGCGGGTCCCGACCCTCGCCAGCTCAAGGACACCTATGTATACAAGAGACCGGCAGATGATCCCAGCTGGATTGTCGGTAAGCGACCAGGTCCGTACGTAGAGGAAAAGTCGAGGAACCTTTACATGCGCCTGGGCAAACGTATTGCCTTTTGCGGGATTGATGCACGAACGGAACGAACGAGAAAACAGGTCAATTACCCGGATACGTATGACTTGATTTTCGAGAGGCTAGAAAAAGAGTTCAAGGCAGCACGTGGACAAATCAGGCATCTCATCCTCCTTTTGGGTGTCCCCATTGCCTACCCGCGATTGGCATGGCTGGAAAACATTCTGACTTCGCCCCTAATTGCCCCCGTGCGTTTGCTCAACAAGCGGTTTGGCTTCGCAGGAGGTTTCTTCAACTCGTTTGATGGTTCGGTCGATTTGTTGGATGATCTTGATGACCACTACACGGCACGTCATCACAAGACCGAGCGCAGAGAACTTATCATCCGTCTCCAAAAATTCGCCGCTGCATATTCAGTCCGGGTGACTATCCTTGGTGGCGACGTGCATCTCGCCGCATTAGGCCGTTTCTACTCCAATCCGGCCAACAACGTGGATCCACTGGAGGACCCACGCTACATGGCCAACGTTGTTTCCTCGGCCATTACGAACAAACCCCCTCCAAAGGCTGTGGCGAATTTGTTGGCAAGACGCAACAAGATTCATCATCTGAAAGACGGAAACACTGACGAGACTCTATTGGACATGTTCGATAAACAGCCCGGCGGTCAAATGAAGAGTGCGGATTGGAATCACTGCACCATGCCTAGTCGAAACTATGCCTGCATTACGGAGATTTCAGACATTGAGGTTGGAGCAAATGCGGAGCAGCCTACGAATGGGATCAATGGCACCGCGCATATGAACACGACGGGGAAGGCCGGTAAATCTCGTCCTGACACAAGTACCGATGGGCATAGTCCACTTCATGTCGGTGAAGAAGGTGCTGGTACCCAGCATCCCGCCGCAAATGGTATCAGTAGTGAAGGAGCTCTCAAAGGTGGCTTGAATGTCGCTATCAGAGTCGAGATTAACAATCGCGATCGTGAGGGGCACACGGAAGGTTATGGAATGAGCAGTAAGTATCTAAATCATTTTCTACGTCTTGCAGAGATTCCGCTTTGTGGTCGGAAGACCGCTAACAATCTTGATGCAAAGTCCCCAAACTTACAGTTGCTGCACCCAAGGCAGCGCCAACTGCTCCCGTTGCGGCCTAATTGATTTCCTCTCGGATTTGATAGTGGATGGTCATCAGACTTGTACGGTGTCTCTCTTCTCCCAGGGGATGGCATGCAGTCCTCGATTCATACGACATTTTTGACTCGAGTGATGTCGATCTTGAACGATCTTGATCAAGCGCAGGAGCAAGAGTTGCTACACCCACCTGCGAAAAAGGGCAGGGGGAAACAAAGGATATGATATGTATCCCGCAAAAAGCGGTTCTAGTAATGGTTCTCGGTCTGTGTTTTTTTTTTTATCGTTGTTTGACGTTCTTCAATTCGACATGGTGCTGGGGTCCCTTTACCTTTCGTGCTGAAGGGGTCAGAGTCCTGTGCTGTATTGTCTGTCCTAATTAGTTTTACCCGTTGAAATCCAACCCAACCTGGCCCTCTCTACCTTTCCAGGCCGGTGGGCTAGTTAGTGGCTGAAGACCAAAGGTCAAGAAGATAATTCATGATTTATAATCCATAGTACCTAGACCTGAATATGCTCGAGTCCTGAATATTTCGTCTTGTCTCCGTTTCCGTCCCAATGTAATACTTGACCTGCGAAAAAGTTACGATTCACCCTGTCGTACTGGTATCCAAATCCACTGATGGTTATAATTATGTCACTGAGAAAGGGATGTAAACATGCGGAAGCGGTGTGTCTCTCTCAATGTCGTGATCAATTCGGTCCCTGCGTGCTCGTTGAATCTGCTCCCTACCTTGATACGTGGAGAAATTGGTGATTGGAAATGAGAGCCATACATCACATTGGTATACCAGCATACATTTGTTCGCATACACACACGCATACATATATATGACATTGTACCAGTAGCACATAGGCGAGACTAGTAGATGAGTGCCAGTCTATTTATTTATGCTCTCTATCTAGCACTCAATGTTCCGTCCTTTCTGACTGCTAGCATGATCCATCTCTCCACATCCAAGTCAAGTTCATTTCCATCTCCTAGCATCTTCCGGGGTTTCTCATCTCGCTCTCTCCGCCTCTTATCCCTCTCCAATACTGTCTCTATACACTTACACTGTTCACGACGCAAGTGTTTCAGCTAACGAAACGATCGTAAATGCGAGGCCACGAAAAATGCAGCATTCATCTAGGATTCAACTCAGCTCTCAATAAGTCGGAGGAAGATGGGGTTTGCCCAACGCTCAACATGAAAACTTCGAGAAGCTCAACTGTTCCTTTTGTTTCTGTGCCATTCCTCCAAAGAAGGGGGAGGACGTCCCTTATCGTAGTCATCATATGCCATACACCACCACCACACCACCTGCTTAACTCCAGTGACATTCAATCAGGGACTCTGCCATATCGAGTGACTCGACGTAGGGGAAAAAAAAAGAGTAAGGTGCCGAAATGTGACAGGAAAAGGACAGTGACTGAGACTGACGACAGATGCATTGGGTAAGTGTCATACTCTCGACTCGTACATATAATTTAAGGTGTTGCTCCTCTTCAGTCCCATGCCATTGCCATAGTAATTGTCACGATTACCGGGTACACCGGGGCCGACGGGCCCAGGAGGTAGTCGTGGGCCGGTGTCAGGCGCCCCCTTATTCTCCTCCTCGTTCATCCTCTGTCCACCTTGCGCCTGCTTGTTCGCGAATTCCTCCTCGGGCCTGAACAGTCGGGGTCCACTGATATTCAAGTTGTTCAGCTCGATGACCGTACCATTTGTGAAACCGGGCATTTTGAAATCTCCGCCTCTGCTGGGTCCACCGAAATCAATGCCTGCACCGGCTTGTCGGAATGCCTCCCGTTGTACTCGGTTTGCGCGCATGTACTCGCGGCGTGCGCACTCGATGAGCAAAATTGCCATCGCTACCATCACCCATTGCATGAAGTCTTTGACTGTTGCCAGTGTGCCGAGCATGTCGGCAAGCCCGGGCTTGCCGGTGTCTTTGAAGCGGGACTGGGGGCACCAGCGTGGAACTCGGCCTTGAGTCCCGGCGAGGATGGGGGCAAGTTCGCACGATGTGCATAATATTGCTTGGATGAGCCAGGCGAGGAGATGCACCACTCCCACGGCTAGGATGAAGAATGTTGTGCTCACCGTACGTTCTGGATCGTAGGGTTTCTCGCGTGACTTGGCCGATGTAGGTATTGAGTCCCGAGCGTTGGGATACGGTGGAACAGGGAGCCCTTTGAATTGTAAAGCAGCCAAGTGAGAAGTTGTGTAGAGGAGCGAGAGCAATGGAATGGTGCCGATATAGAAGACTAATGGACTGTGTATTTCCTTGTCAGTATTTCGCTTGGAACAGCTCTCTTCGAGAGGCCAAAGAGCAATTATAGTTCATATAGGGGATCTTACAGCCAACTTCCCGATGCTACCGTCATTACCTTTGACCATGCTGCATATTTGGATGCGGCTATGAGGAGAAAGATCGCTAGAACAAGTGAAAGAATGAGCAGGATCACTTGTGCTGCTCGGGTCTGCATTTTCCGGTACCGGAAAGGACGAGGTTCAACTGCTTTGACTTTTGAGATGTTGATCTTCTGGATGTCACTGTTGAATTGTTGACCGGATCTGGGATCGGGACTGGATCCAATCTGATAATTGACCAAAAACTGGGGCGGATGTTTGTTCACTCTCGATGCAACTGGTCTTGATTTTAATGCTCGGACCCAAGATTGATGAACGAGCGGCGGTGTCTGTTTACACTGCAAAAGGAGAAAGACCAACCAAGGTCCATCCAAATAAGGTACGTGAATGAGTCAAAGAAGGTTGACCCGACTAGATTCTACCAAAAGAATAGAAAGGCAAGGTAAGGTAAAATAGCGTCCAGCGCTCAGCGCCAGCGCCGCGGTCTCAAAGAAAGAGAGAGAGGAAAACCAAGAAAAAGGCAAGAAAAGAGAATGGATCTGGTCAGTCCAGCTTGGTATATGAAAGATCAACCCGAGTACAAGGGAAAAGAGAAGACCCGCCTTGAGGGGGGAAAAGGGAAGGAAAAGAAAGAAGTTAGATTTGAGAGATTGGCGAAGAGTTTACCAAAAACAGGGCCTTAGGGTCTAGGGTTGGATCGCGACAGTGAGATGAGAGAACCAAACGGGATAGTACGAACGCGGGTGGCAAGATTTCCGGAGTATTCTTTTCCTAGTCAGTCTAGATCAAAGTTACAAAAACCCTCCTTACGGTCCTTGTCGGGCGGCAGACCAGGCACGCTCGTATCGTGTGGTGATTCCGGAGAAACGGCCATGTCTCTCTAACCGTTTATGACGTGAGGGCAAGACAGGCGCTAACCACTGGTCTCAAGGGGATGGCATGATTGCGGCGTAGCCCAGGAGACAAGACCACGATGTATTTGTTTAGGGCGAGAGGTTGAGCCCCGTTGTCTCCTGTAGCAGGTTATGGCACGCGAGGTGGATGAATTGGGTGTGAAGGACGAGGCGCCAGATCTGGGGCCGGTCGATCGATGGGTCAAGACAGTTCATGTGGCAGATGGAGCGGAGGAGCTTTATCGCTTCGGAGCAGGTTCGCGATCTTGGGAAATGGTGTGAGCCTGAGGCGCCGGACTGGTCAGTTTGCACGATGGGACAGTCGTTGTGAGACTGTAGTTGCGGCAGAAGTTGAATTTGAGACGGTAATATTTTTGCTGGTTCTCCTGTGGTGACCGGGGAGCCAACGAGGAGGTTTGAATCTGTTGCAGACGTGAGACACAAGGCTAGTCCGTTTAGGGGGGAAGACGCGGTCACGTGAAATAAAATATCTCACGTGATAATACGTCGCACGTGATCAGGCCGAAGCCCAATCAAGGCATTTGCTCAAAGCAACACAGGATCGGATGCCCAGATATCCGAATAACCTTGTTCTTTGCTCCATCTAGAGAGAAGGGAGCCCCTTATCTAGGGCTCATGATCAACAGACTTGGGCATGCGGAGGTAAGAAGAAAAGTTTCGTCTCTCAAGCGGGCTGTTTCCTGGTCTCTCCTTGTCAAACACAGCTAGGATATTGACGAGGGCCGACCTAATGTCTGGGATTGTCTGTCGTAAATTCAACTCTGCTGTCTGTTTAAATTCGATGATGTAGTAAGACATATGGCAGCCCAAGATTCTCCTTTCGATGATTGTTACTTCGGGTTTAACTGGGGCATGCCAAGTGGCATCTATAACTTATATGGTTAAGCGCCTAAATCTAAGCATTGTCGATCCCCTTTAGGCGCAGTCTCTCTGTATAGCTTACTTACAGTAAAGTCTTGCTATTTTCTTACCGCCACCACACCTTACCCACAAGGGAAATCCCACAAAAAACAATCGACAGCCAGGATTCCCAAATGGTCACCCACTTTGGTACTAACTGACCGGCATCTGGCTTAAGTACGGCTGAGCGGACGGGAAGCCCTGGTTTCCAGATCCTTTGGCCGATTGCGGAAGAAGTATTGGCAAAAGTTGTATATATGTCATATCCAAGGTGCGAATACTGGTTGATTAGATCAAATCATGGACTTCCAAATCATATACACAGAGAAAGAGATGGCGGGGTTATCCTCCGCCCGCCTTGAGCAACATCTGGGTAACACCGACGTGAACGTCGAACTAGGATTGGAAAGATTTGAAGTAGTACTCCCTCCTCCGGGGTGGTGTATAAATTACTAGACAGCGAGTAGCTGGCGACGAGGATACTGGACTGGGGTATGAGGATATAGAAGTAGCTCCGGCCACAATGTGCATCGAAAGTTTGAAGAAGACATTTTGTGATGCTTGTCATCTCCATGCACTTCTCCTTGGATTTCTTCCTGATTTCTTCCAAACCTTTCGGGATCCGGAGCTGATGGGGTTGGTTTTGATCCGTCTTCATCGCTGGCTTCGGATTCAGTAGCGACGGGCTGAGACGGAGCAGTAGGTGGCAGGATTGTCCAATTCCACATCGCCAAGCGGAAATGGTCCCCAACCGACAGAGCAAGACCATGCTCAGGGGAAAAGGCTTACGCCAAAATCCATCGTAGTCGGATCAGGAATATACTTCGGATCGTCAACCTGAAACTGATTAGGCAACGAGCTATACCGCGCCACATATCGTTCATCCATCCTTTGAAATGCGTCCAAGTTTTCAACCGCATCCAGGGTCGCGAAATCTGCAAACACACCAGGGCTTGAATGTCGCGCGTGATTGCTCGCACATGTCGTTGTAGAGGACTTGCGGAGGGGAGGTCGATTGGGTCTTGGGGGAGCGGGAAAGGAGCCCAGGACGTCATATGTCCTGGCCAGACATGAGACGCATAAGGTGCTTCAAAGAGAGGGCTTCGCACTCGGGGAGGCCTACCACATGTCAGCAGAATCGTTAGAAATAGTAGCTTGGAATAGTATGTTGTGTACATATATGTAGCCCATTCCGTGATCTTTCGTGATCGTCGAAAATCCTCAGAAATGACTTGATTGTGTGATTGTCTCATGTATTGACGAAGACGGAGGGGGTGCCATGACATCGAGTTGCTTTAGGGACGTCGTTCTCACCCTGTCTTCCCGATGAATGTCGCACTGCATTCAGTTAGTGTCGGCAGAGTCGATGGCTCCAACGGGCTGACTTGGAGCGTGATCATGATGGTGAAACCTTGTACGTTTGTAAGTGTTGGTGGGGCAGCTTCCAAAATCCAGAGCCGACATGCTTCGTGTAGAAGTGTAGCGCTCGAATAGTCGAATCACCTGGGGATGCCAAAGATGGCCGGATGATCCGTAAGAACCTTAAACAAGGAAGTCAGGAACCCTCAAGTCTGAGACCACCATTGATCGAGACGAAACTCACGCTTCTCATTTTGAGAACCGCATTGACGAGGAATGGAGAACAGTATGTCGATTTGACGTCTCCAGATTTCGTTTCATCAAAATTGTGAGAGTACCAGTGATACCGGGTCAAGTGCACAGAGACGAGATGCGAAACAAACGTATTATCATTGGTGACCATGGTCCACGGCGTAGCCGGTACTTCAAAAGGCGGGCGGTCAACGAACTCACTGATGGCAAGCATGCGAACGGATTTCCACCCTCCAGGCGAAAGGGGGTTGGCAGAAAGAGCAGCACAAGTTTCATTGGCGGCAACCCCAGGATGTTCATCCCGGAACCGAATGAATTCCTCTAATGGAACGTCCCGCTTGATCAGCTCAGTCAGTTGCTGCGAATTCAGATTTGGAGGACTTCCTGAGAGTGGCGAGGAGCTTTTCGAGGGTCCAACTGCGAAGCTTGAGTTCCTCGAGCCGCCGCTTGCGAACCTCTTGTCGCCCTCCCATCTGATAACGGGTCATAGATGCACGTTGTGTTGCTCGCATGACAGTTGGGACAGGGTTGGTTCCGGTCGTTCAGATTCTGAAGAGCAGTGGACGAACAACAACAAATCGAAGCATCATCACCCCACAAGCCAATTTAGGTGATGAGATGGCCATTGTAGATAACATTGAGTCTGAGATGGAGCGAACATCCGTAGCATACTTTTCTCTTAGAGACTTCCCCCCTCCGCCGCCTGCTCCGGTAGCGGGAGCGAGGGGCTGCGATGATGACGATGACGGCGATGATAGTTTTCTGCTGAGATTGAGACATGGAGAATGAAGAAACGTCATGGCAGGTGTAGCTGTTCAGAAAAATCGTCAAACAACTGCCTTTTTTCCAACCAACCAGACAACCTGTGGCAGGAGAACAAGAGAGTCGAAGAGCAAGCCAGCCAGCCGCGAGCCTTCAATCACTCAATTGGCAAAATTTAGGAGTACCGAGTCGCGCGTAGAGAGAAGTAGCAACATTACTCTCCCTGTCGTTATCGCTAGCAATGATGGCTGTGTCGCCGTGACTTGTCAACCCCCTTCCTTTTCCTTCCTTGGGTCTCTGGGCAAAGTTGAACTTGACCGGCATATCCCCTGCTTTTCACTTTAGGACTGGCAAGCATGCAGCGGCCAGTATGCAGCTTGCAGGCTTACAGACGTTAAAAACAGGACGGTCACTGTAACCGTGGAAAAACAACACCGGCTTCCTGTTTAATGTCAGTCGAGGACTAGGAGACCAGCCGAGACCAGTGGCTTGGCCAGGAGTCCCCGCAGACAGTGGAGGTGCGAGGGCGTCAGGCCACGTCCTTCACACGACCCCCACTCTCAATGGCGTGCCAACTGACAAGCACGGTATAGACCAATATAGGCACGTATGGAGCCCTCAGACATTGTCCTTCCGTCTAGGGATTTTTTGTCATTGTGTATTCATGGGTTTTCGTGCCGGCTACAAGGTTGTAGCTACTAGGATGGGACGTGGTACTCTACTCGTTATACAAAAAGACTGGGATTTGTCGTCTCGGCCCTCGAGAGGGACTCTACCATACAATGCGGTATCTCCCTCCTTTCCCGGCCTCCTTTCACATACTCAACCTGATCAGCCCCTCCACCCATTTCCTCGCATCTACTCCCACCCCTTCGCTGACGTCCTTTGCATTTGTCGTCCCTGAACTTGCGCCATTGCCATACCCTGTGCCGCTAACTTCTCGGTTACGTGGTTGTTCACGAAGGAGCCATCTTCCTGCAGAACCGGCCCTCCTAGAGTCAGACCGCGAGCGGGATGTCTCCCTGCCACTTGAAGCGTGGTGTTGTGGCGATCGCCGGACCAGGATTGCTTCTGTTGCAACCATTCCGTTTGTCTGGCAATCGCTTTTATCACAGTCGGAATGGTACGTACTCCAGTTTTGTGACGTTTGCTTCTCCCCAGTCTCATTGTTGGCTCCTCCATGCTTTCCTCTCGGGGAGAGTGCCCTCATCCATACTATCCACCATCCTCTGGCTGTTTTCACGGTTCTCTCCAGCTCCGCATTTCCCTGTCGGGATCGGCCAGTGCCAACTCTTTGTTCACGAGTTGTCGCCCAGATATTCAGGATATGCGCGTGGACATTCAAGGCCTCGATACGGGTCCACTCACTTTTCACCAGTGTCGACCCACCAGATGGGCTGGTGGATGATGATGACGATCCGATCGGTATCCCAAGAGTGTACCAAGACCCCGAAACTGTGATCGGACGCAGTTGTTGTTGTGCCCGATGAAGACCTTCGGCTGCAAGACTTCCTGGAAGGGGGATGTTGGGGATTGAGGTTCGTATTGTTCCTTTGCTTGGATCGTAGACGAGATCGTATATTTCTAAAAGGCTTTTTGAGCCGAGGACAGCGGCTGGACTCGGCTCTCGGTTGGGAAATGAATTAGACCCTGGCTGCAATGTCTCTTTGACTCGTTCCCTCCATCGCTCTGGATCTGTGCTTCGTAAGAGACTCTTTTGTAAGGGGCCTAGAGTGTGGTGAATCGCACGATAAAAGCCGGGGACGGTGAGATTCGGTGTCTGTAACTGGAACAAAAAAACGAAGATGAACGGTTGATGGACATATACTGCGACTTGGACTTTTTCGTTGGTGACCGCTGGCCGAGAACCATCTGCTGTTGCTGCTGCACTGGTATTTCCTTTGCTCGACGGGGTCTCGGAATTGAAGACACTAGGCTGCGGCAAAGTATTGTCGACAGTTGACAGTTTGGAAAATCTCGATGGGGACATCTCCATCACCAGTGTCCGGAGGAAAATCCGGTTTGATATCTTTGTAGACGCCGAAGACGCTGCTTCTTCATTTTCATTCACCTCCGAGCCCCTGTCGGTTGTTTCATCATTGGCCTCGTCCTCAAATTCGGCGTTTTCAAGGTCTCCGGACAGACCGATCAAGAATCTCCCAATAGATTGTTCAAGTCGCTGAACGAATGGCTGTTCTTCTTCGTCACTTACTTCCGGAGTGGGATCAAGTTCCGGCAGCTGTTCCTCTGCTGCCGGCGTGCCCTCAACGTGATCTTCGTCCTTATATGGTTCGAACTCCTTCGGGGTTTCCTGCGATATTTTGTCTGTGCTGAAGCCTTTTGGGTTCAATGTCCAGCTCGTTCCGTATCCAAGGCTGAGATACTTCATCATCTTTTCGGCACCAAACGTCGAGGACTGCTCCTGGTCCTTTTGACTTTGAGCCGATGTTGACTCGCCGGCATCTTCGTCCTTTTGAGTCGGGCCTTTGCCATTCGCTTTGGCTGTTACATCATTCAAAGATCGTTCCACCGCACTAACAAGAGGCGCCGGGATCCCTCGGGGAGTGGCGTTGTTCTCGATCGCTTTGCGTCGAAGATATGGTGTCGTTCCTCTAGGCGATCCAGTTCTTAGTTGGACTTCGTCACGCTGCTGTTGTCGCGTTCGATCTAAACGCGGCCGTGAAGAGCCATCTTTACCTGGCTTCCTCTTCCTTCTGTGTTTCCTGGGTGGAGACGCAGGGTTTTCGCTGACACCATAAGCAGCCTCCCCTTGAACATAGATGGCATCCATCCACTGCGATATAGCAGCAAGAGATCGGCGCGAGATGCCACCCACACCCGAAAAGATTATTCCATCTTGAGCCCTAGAATCCTCTCCGTTCCCTAACCAAGGCTCTGGATCTTGGGAAACCTCCGACACTTTCGCTTCCGTACCTTGCTTGCCATCAACTTGGGCCATGGGAGCATCTCCATATCTTCCCACGACCAAGTCGAGAAGACCTTCAGTTCGGCTTACAAACTCTTCCAGTACTTCTCTTTCACCACTTCCCCACTCTTCCTCACCAACGCCTATGCCGAGCTCGCCGCCACCGGCTAGCTTGACGGCGTCGTATAGCTCTACGGCAGGATTTCCATGCAAGAGAACGTCCCAGTTCCAGATGAAACGTGTCCAATATCGGCTCAACATACTACAGAATAGTTCTTTGTTGTTTTCATGTTTCTTCCAAAGTTCCGCTAGGCACGATGCATGATGCAGCAAGAAGCCGCGGTGCGCTTGTGTGAGCTGCGCGAGAAGCAGCGGTGCCGGGGCCACTTCCCGCGACGAGAATTCGACATTTTCAGTACTGGCTGATCCGGTATCTTTTGTGGAGCTAGTTGATTTCTTGGTGGTCGAGGCACCGGAATTGGTAGATGGCAGTTTTGTCAGGTCAATGGCGGCGAGAATCCACCATTGGGGTTCAACTTCTTTCAGGACAACACGGGATTTTTCCGTTTCGATCGACTCGAGGGGAGCACCGTTTGAGAAATTACTGTAGAATACATATCAAGTCAGAGCGCCTTATCGATAATCAAGTACTGCCTCCTCAAGTCTGGAGAAAGTAGCGGGGACCAAAAGTGCATGAAAGGTTGGCTGCCTACCTACTTTACAAAGTCCACCATACCCTGCGCAAGCCCAACTTGCCGCAGTCTTTCATGTTCCTCTGATTCCCCCTCCTCTTTGGTATCTGAGTCTCGCTGCTGGTCATGTTTGGATAGCTCATTTCGTTTCCCGCTTCCTGAGGCTCTTTGTTTCCTGCGTCGCTCCCTCTCGTCTTCTAGCTTCTTTGAATAATAAAATACAATCTGATCGCGTACAGTCTCATCGGTCGGGCCAAGCGAGGGATTGTATATGGCAAGATAGGACAGGTGAGCTGGTACGACGCGCAGATGGCTGCTCCCAGAAGACATCGCTACTCAGAGCGCAGTCTCTGTTTGCTTGATATGAAAACCATGTCGACAACTTTGGTTAATACGTCCTTGACTTAGCGATTTTCATCCAAATGCTCCTCTGAAAAGTTAGGATACGCTGTGCGACAACTGAACAACGGAGCAATCAAGGAAGTGAAAAGGCGAAGCCCGTGGTCGAAATGTCCGGCCTATCACAAAGGACTGCGTCACCGACAAGGCTGTACTAATCACGTGATATGCCTTGGCCGGACCCGAAGAGGGCACGTGCTAACATGTTGAGACATCTAGTGCCAAACAGGCTCTCAATTGTGCATCTTTACAAAGGTGGCAGGTCGGGGATGTGGTTTCCGTTGTCTTAGGCATGTTCGTTTGCAAAAGATTGGTGCGAGGAAAGGGGGTTTTCGGATTGTGGTTGAGAAATGGCCTGAGATAACGTTAGGATGTGGAGGTCGCGAGAGTTCGTGTATTGAAAATTATCAGTGCAAGCTAACTTCCAAAAAGACTGAAGTCTGAATGCAACGTGATTCCGTAGAGATTGTATCCTCAACAGGACATATAGCACAGATCTGGATTAGATGGTATAAATGGATATCCTTTCATTGCTTGGGTCGAGAATTGTCTACCACAAAGCAGAGATGGAAAGAGAGATGAATGCTATCAAGAGCCCGAAGCCTGAGGACAAACGCCGTGAATGGATTTCCTATTTGGATGATGATCTCGACATCTCTCGACTGTAGAACGCCATCATGCTTTGTAGTACCATCCAAGTTTGCCCATCCATGGCCTCCGCAATTCTTGTATTGCCTCAACCATCAACCCATCCTTCGCTCGATAAGGAAACAAAACTAATGTATCAGTGCCGAAGCGTAGCACGATCAAAGCCACCGAACCGGACCTGTGTCGAAGCAAGAGCAAGAAAACATTGCAATTCTTGATTGATATCTGGACCCCGTCTGATGATATCCTGATATAATGCCGGGAGCATACTTGGTCCACATGTTTGCTACAAGAAAGACTGGTTTACTTGATTTACAAAATCAAGCATTTCTTGCTCTTTCCACTCTTGCGAGTCAACAAGGCAGCACGGGTGGCGGATTCGAAGACTTCACGAACACCTTGGTTGGTCTTGGCCGAGCATTCAAGGTATTTGTAGGCACCGATCTTCTTGCGGACTTCCTCACCCTAGGGTAGCCAAAATCAGTTCCTATCGCCTTATAATTTCTTTGCTGGAGAGAATAAACGCACCTGCTCCGGGGTAACGGGCTTCTGAGAGGTCTTTGCCAACTCTTCAATGGTCTTTGGATCATGTCGCAGATCGCATTTGCATCCAACAAGGATGATAGGAAGACCTTGGCAGAAATGTAGGACTTCGGAAATCCACTGTGGAAAATTGGTCAGTTCCATCTTGACAAAACTGTGGAGCTCTTGCTGTGTACCTTCTCTTGGACGTTGTCAAGTGAATCGGGAGAGTCAATGGCGAAGCAGATAAGGATGACATGGGAGTCGGGGTATGATAGGGGTCGGAGGCGATCGTAATCTTCCTGGCCCGCCGTATCCCATAGAGCTAGTTCAACATGTTTCCCATCGACCTCAACATCGGCGACATAGTTTTCAAAGACAGTTGGGACATAGACCTGGCGTGATTTACTCGTCAGTTACCCTGTCCGCACCGTGCCAGCTCTTTTGCCAGTATAACTCCTAGAACAGGAGGTCCATCCACGCGAGGGTAGATCAGGTCGAGGTATCAGGATAGGAGTAGATTGCGCACCTCAGGGAATGTGCCTTTGGAGAAGACACTACAAGGCGAGATTGTCAGTAAATGATAGAGGGATGGAGATGTCGATGGGGGATTGATACTTACATCAACAAACAAGTCTTACCACAGGCACCATCGCCAACGATGACAAGCTTGCGACGAATCTCAGCCATGATGGCTGCTGCGGATTTGGTCAGATAGGGGGACTAAGCAAAAGCCGGAAAGACGTCGACCAGAGAGGATGATCGGTTCAGCAGGGAGAATGGAGATAGAAAAGGAGTGAGATGGCAGGCGAAAGGATGAGGGTAGGACGAGATGGTGGTATAATGAAAGAGGTTGAGAGGTGATTGTCAGGAAAGCACCTTTTTCGGGGTAGGTTAATTAGTGTGGACTGTGGCTAAGACACTGACACACTTTGTGTCCTGCCACCGATTGTGGGCGAGAGAAAGACGGGGTTCGGTCTACTGGCCTGCGGACAAGATGCGGTGGAAGAGAAAGGAGAGCAAAGGTTCGGGAGACGGGACGGATGGAGATTTAGGAGCTTTGACTGAGATTTTGATGGAGCGTTGTTGTGAGTCGGTCAAGAAAAGGTAGAGGTAAAGGATGGAGACGCAGATGACTTACAGGCGGGAACAGCGGGGCGGGAGTACGAGTTGGTGGTTTGGGATCCAGCGAGTCCGTCCCAGTGCACAGATGTTGGGTGGAAGCGGGAAGAAGAAAGGGAATTAAAGTGAGTTTCGTACGCCAGACACCCGACAAGCTCCCAGAGAAACAGATCGGTAACTTGCGGCGACTGCCTCCGTGTGCCTGCGTTACCGTGTACTTCTCTGCATCATCATCATCAGCACGTCAGTGTAGTCCATATCCATCGGCTTTCGTCAATCCAGCTCTTCCTTTGCAATACCTATTTCTTCTGGATCACTACCTAGGACGTCGAAATGTCTCCCCTAGGCCACCAGAACCCTTGCCCTCTCACCGGTGACCGTCCTCTCAACCTCGACCCGAGTTTACAGTGTCCTACACTTCCACAAATATATCCCATACATGTTTGTCGAGGATGCCCCTACAAGATGCCTTCACAAGATGTTATCCCCGGGTACCATGCCTGCGGCCCATTTCTGCCTGCGTCGTGCCATTCTGCCCATGCTCGGGCAGCGCAGTCCGGGCAGTGCAGGCCAAGCAGCTCCAAAACCTCCAAAGCCCACTGATAAAGCGAACGACGTGCTGCAGACAACCCTTCAATTTGCTTTGCTTTCTTGTCCCGAATGCTTCGATCGTGCCCTTCCCGGCTTCTGGTCCTCAGGGCTGGGTTGCCAGTAGCTGGGATCCCATCCGAAAGGCCCTCCGCCCCAAAAGAACGCGTGTTTCTTGCTTTCGCTCTATTTCACACCATATCTTGCCATTCCTCAAGAAGCTAAGCCATGTCACCGATATCCGATATCATGCAAATGTTCTTGTCCAACTGCTTTCTTCAGCTCTCTAGTGCGCCCTTCTGCTCAATTGACCCGTATCATGCTCACAAGACTAAGAAATAATTCAGCTGAGCAGGCCCTCGCACCCAGCTGACCGCAAATCCTTCAGATCGGGAGCGGCTACAGGACATCTTTCCCTGAACCAGCCCGGTTTGTGGCCCCTGCAGCTGAACAAAAATCTGGCCTTTTCTGTTCCCGGCGCAAGGATTGGAAGAATGTATTGTAACCTCTAGTTTGAGCCTCTCTCGATGTTCCGAGCATTCTATTCCACTCCCCAGCCACACCTCTGTGCAATGAGCGCCCTGATGCCACCCAGTCCACGTGCACCGAAACATTGTGACGCAACCATTGTTGCAAATAGGACGTATGGGCGCATTGCTTTCCTGCAGACTGAAGCGAGTTGCTCCTAACTACAATAATGAACGATGGAGGTTCTGACAACGTTTACAGTACACAGTATTGCAACGGCGCCTTCCAAACGGATCCTAATCAAGTGCTTACCCGTGCTTAGATTGTCGCGAAGTAGATGCGTCACCATCGTGGCTTCAGAAAGGACTGTTTTGACCGCACATGACTACACCGGTCACGCTGCGACATCAAGACCGTACCTTTGATGGCACTGAGGATTACAAACGACGAATCTAAAAAAACCAATGGCTTAAGACACCGCAGGATTCATCCTGACTCCCTCATTTCCTTAACTGTGAATCTGCAAACAATGCTGGACAATATTTGAAGGCAGCTTCGCGTCTCGCGGATGGTGCCACGTGATTTTGATATCAATGATGCGCGCAAGGTGGCACAGCCATTCCATGCAAGCCTCAGATCAATATGAACATGGTTTTCATGCCTTGGAGTTGATCTTCCAGGATATGTCAAAAGATCCATTCCTAATATATATCTCTGGGTCATCTTCCCGCTACTTGATGCCTAGTGCTCTCTTACGTACGACCACCCACATGTCCTTCTGCAGATGTGTCCCACAACACCTAGTATCCCACAGGTTCAGGGGGTCTCTAACCTCGAATTCAAACCTCCTCAGCAGTTCCACGAATACTTTGTTCAACTCCATGAACGCCACTGGTTTGCCTAGACATTGATACTTACCGTAGCCGAACACGAGATCGTTATTGCGTTCCATTTCTTTGAGCTTCTCAGCTGATGATTCGTGACCGTGGGGCTCAGAAGCAAGAATCCAGCGCTCGGGCCGGAAGGAGTTGGGATCTGGTGAGAAGAGCTTGGGATTGCGGTGGACTGCCTTGACGGAGGACCTGTTGGATCGTTAGCGAGCAGAAGGGAAGGCTCCGGGGATAAGGACTTACCCAACTTTGACACCACCGGGTACGTAGTAGCCACATATCGTGTCACCTTGAGGAGGAGTCTGGGGCGGTTATTATAATGAAAGCGAATCACGGGTAAGTACTGGATACTGGCCTTCTTGGAGAGCTCACCAGTTACGGGAGGGTACCAACGGAGCCCCTATAGGATGTCAGCTGTTAACAGTCGCGCTGGAAGAAGAAACCAAAGACCGACCTCCTTGATGCATGCCTGAAGATAAGGTAGCTGTTTCCCTTGCGCCTCTGTGATGACCTCTGTTGGCCCGGCAGGAATCTTTCCTTGTGCTAAAGCTTCGTCAATCTCGGCCATGAGTGTCCGATAGACCCTCGGATTGGTCATGATGCACAAAAGCGTTGCTCGTATTGCTGTTGCAGTGGTATCAGAACCAGCCGTCCTATCATGAGTTAGCACCCTTGATGCGGTGTCAAGGTGAGACCGACAAGTTGAGAACACTCTCCTGCTTCGCCTCCTCCTGCGTGAGCCCATGCCGAATGAAGCTTCCCAGCATGTCCGGTTTGTCTTGGTTGGGCTTTCCATCGGGACCAAACCGTTTGCCTACCTGCTCAAAAGCAATTGCCTTGACCTTGGCCACGCCCATGTTGCCGTCTGCAGCTGCCGCCAGCTTTTGCAAAAGGCCGAGGTTCGTCATGACCTTCAGGAATCCCGGGACAGTGGCTGTCCAAGTTATGTTCGGAAAAAGCGCCTCGAGCTCCTCAATGTAGCCGAAATTGTCCCTATCGTCGCGCAGGTCGTGGAATTCGGCATCGAACGCGACCTTACTCATGATATCACTGGTGAGGAACGCGACTTTGCGGGCCAAGTCCATAGGTTTGATGGTGCCACCCACGCTGATGTACTTCCGGTCGATAAGGTGGATCAATTCAAGGAGGCAGTGGTCCACATCCTGTTCAAGAGACGTGTTCTCCTTGCCAGAGTATCCTGCCGCCATCTTGCGACGGAGCTCTTCATGCCGAGTCTCGTCGAGGGTCGAAAAAATATTGTCTTCACCTGGGTTCAGGCGCATCGCATAGTACCAGTCTGCACGTACATAGGGCGATCGCGGTGCGGAGAGACGTCGCAGAACATCTGGGTCGGAGCAGACGAGGGTTTTGGGCCCGACACGCACGAGCGGTCCGTACTGGTCAGTCAGATAACAGAACTGATCGAGAAGATCGGTTCGAGTGTGAAGCTTCAGCCACGGGAAAATGCTCCATCCCCAGCCTCGAGGCCCCGGGATATGGCTGAGTTGGTACCACGATCTAAGCCAGGAGGTGACGTAGGCGATAACAAGAAGTAGAAGAACACCATCAGCGACTTTGGAACCTGTAAGAGTCGGACTGGTAGACATGTTGAGCTGGTGGTATTACGTAGTGCCGCAGAGACAGTTCAGCTCAGGCAGTGAAAGGCTGCCCGATAATTATCGTAGCTGAAAGATGGTGCTGGTTACCGCCATTGTCAGATATTCAGAGATTCAGAGCTAGGGGTGGAGAAGGACACTAAAAGTATCAGTAGGCCCATGCCTTTATCAATTCCATGCCCCCTGCCGAAGGGGATGGCGGATCGAACCCAAGCTAATGCAACATTTATTCACACCAGGTTGTTCTTGGGTCTACCTACGTTGGGCAAGGACGAGACGAGGAGACAAGCACACGCACGATGGCAAAGATAAAAAATGTTTCTTATTCATCGATTACTCTGTATATTCGTTCGTGGGGGGGTCATGAATTGTCTGACTGAACAGTCGAGAATAACTAAAGAATTTACACGAGCCTTCAGCTCTAAATTGCAGGCGGTTTGTTGGGTTTCCGTCCATACACCGAATACCTGTTAAACATGTCAGCGCAGACTATCCCAACGAGCGAACGAAGTCTTACACTGGCCAGTATGAGTGAATCCTATGGCTCTGAACGTCTTTTCTCACATCCACGAGAAAAACTTGCACTCCTCCGAGAGTCATCCCGAGCACCCCCGTCCAAACTGTAGCATATGTCAGTATATCCCACTACGAATAACGCAAGGCCAGCGAGGACAGACGTCGCAGTGTAAAGCCCTCCAGACCGGTGAGGAAGTTGATCATGCACAGTTTTCCCAAGTCTTTGAAGAACTTGTCCTTCGGCCAAGTGCCAACCGGCCATTTGAACTTGTGTTCTTGCACATCTTCAAATCCGGCATCGATCATCATCTGCTTATACTTCGAAGGTGCCCTGGTATCAATGCCAAGTTTACCACACGCTTCAACCTGTCTGTTGCTCCAGGTCTCCAAAGCAGTCCCCTCCATGGTACCATCATCCGACAAAAATGGCATTTGCACATCCGTCATCTCCAGATAGCCATCGGGCGTCAAGCCGTCGTACGCTTGCTTGATCAGACGGGGAAAGTCGTTACTTGAGCCCACTAGCGCCCGAGCATGAATGAAATCGAACTTTTGCGCGTAGGTCCAGTCCTTGTTGAAGTCGTCGATTTCAAATTTAAGGTTCGGCGGAACGTATAATGGTTGAATCGGGCTCAAGTCTATCCCAAGAACTCTCGCTTGGGGATTCGCGTCGGCCATCTCGATTGCCCAGATGCCCGTTCCAGTTCCCAGGTCCAATACCTCGTGGATCTCTTTCTGGATGGGTGATAAGTACAGCTTTCCTGCAAAAGTCCGGTTGATCATTTCATGCTGGAGATCCAGCCTGGCCTGCTCCACTTCATCCTCGGGCAGGGGATATTGCGGCCCAGCCGTGGAGCTGTACCTGTGATACCCTCGGCCGTGCTCCCTCACGCTCTCCAGTAAACTCGACCTCAACGTCTCCGTCAGAACAGACTGGTCATCGTTGCCCAACGCCGAATCGAGGTCTGTCGCATCATCGGGACGGATAGCTCCTGTGTCCTGCGTGTCCTGCGTTGAGCTCATCATCGTGGCACGAAATTGATGGTCGCAAGTTATACGACCCTGCGTGTGTTGGGTTCTGTCCCATCGACGAGGCAATAGAAGTTGATGCGCTGAGCTAGTTAAGGACGGTAAATCGCGTCGATGCGTTGGCAAGGGCCTCGCAGTGCCAAGACACGCCGTTGTCTTGCTCCTATGTCGCCTCTTTTGTGAGCACTAATTCTGGTTCCAACAATCGCCGGCTCCAAGTGCTAGAACTTTCGAGGAGAGGGATTCTGCAAGGTGGGTAGCTTCACGCAAGACGCTATTAGAAGACAGAACCTGCGAAACAGGACTAGCCATATGGCTAAGTTCGCTCGCTCTTCGAATTCCAGCGGATGGATCCGAAGCCCGACTAGTCTCGGTGGACATCAAGCTCAGGCCGGAAGATGATGGACCTGAGCCCCATGGCCGGGGATGCCTTTAAACGGCTTCGCTTAACTGCTTCATCCCAAGGATATTCCGCGCCTTATACCCGCAACGCCGTCAGTGGAAGTTAAACAGCTAGGCTTATATACCACTTACGGCCTCGTTGCATTGCACGCTCGAACTTCTCATCATCCTCTACTATACCTTCCAGCGCTCGGCGCTGGTATGCACTTCTTACAATGTCCTCGGTCAATAAGAGTGTTCGTCCAATGGCGGCCCACGCGTGTGACTCTCGAATGTTGTTGGCTGATTTATCGTATCTTGAGAAGAATTTGACCGGCTTGGGTGAAGTTGATATTTCTATACTTATTTGGAATATCAAGGCAAACCATTCATAGATGGACAATTTCTGATTAGCAGCTAGGTTTGCTGGGTGTGGCGGTACTCCTTTTCAGCTCCCCAACATTTCTATCGGATATCGATAAATTTGCCTGGAGACACTTATCAACGAGCATGGAATGATCTCTCCAAGCATACACAGATCGATCTGCGACTTTTGGCGAATCGCCATCATCTCCGCATATGGGTGAGATGTGATGCTCAGATCAGCGGCACCGGTTGTCAGCGCAATTCATGCTATTCGAACAGGGACACTTGAAGTCTCGCGGGTATGTCTTACCGAGATATTGCAAGTGGATATTCAATCTCAGTACATGTACTCTTGGATGATAGGTCCACACAGGTCGGGACCTCATTTCACTCCTCCCACACCAGTGGGAAGCTCTGACAACCTCACACACCGAAACCGTCTTCTCCCGAACCACGCCAGACCAGAAGTTGCGCATCGTCAAGGAATTCCGGTCGGAATCATACATCGTGACCGTACGGGCCACAGTGTCGACGATGTACCCAGCCTAAATCATGCAGACACGGGCATCGCACTGAGCTCTGGGTCAGATATCGCGATTAAAGCAGTAGACATAGTTCTCCTAGCATCCATTTCCGCGATCCCTAAGGCGGTGCTGTACGCGCCCGTCGTGTTCAAGAAGACGATCGCTTGCGGGCGAGTTCGCCGAGTTTGCTCTACCAGACAAACTGCGTGAGAACACTTTTGGTCTGAAGTTCTAGGGGGCCTCCAACCCCACATCTCCCCCCCTTTTTTTTTCCCACAGCCTGTCAATGCGAGACTCCTCCCCTACTCCTCTACATCTCGCATCCTTCAGTAACCACTACCTTCCTCAAATCATCATCGTCAGGTCGATCTCAACCCTTGGATTCATCACCGACATGAAACTTCTCCGTCAATCAATAGCACAGCGGGCTCCTCAAATCCTTACTCCGGCCGACATCTTCCGAGCAGTCACACCTCTAATCTCCGGGCTCGCACCATGACCTCCACCCATCTCGAAAATTCGTTAGCGTCTCGGAAAACGAGAGCGATGAAGGGTGATGCTGTAGCTAGTGCATCTCGAGAAGTGGATCAACTTCTCAACATCGACGTCTCCGACCTCGGGAACTTTCTGCCCACTTTTCTTCTCCCATCAGTTATCGTGCCGAACACCCATCATACTCCTCTTACTCGAAACCTTGTCTTTGTATATGTTTCCCCTCATCCCATATCATATACTCTCGCTCTCATGTCTTGAGTCCTAGAATCTCCCCCGAGTTCGTCATTCTCACTTTTCGCTTTTGTCTCGTGTTGCGACCCTTGTCTCCCCAATTTATACTCTGCCACATACTAGTAATGGCGAGAATCATTTTACCGGGAGTTTTCAGGGCTCAGACAGCCTCACAAGCCGCTTTACAGAAGCATGGTACGTGTGGAAATGTAGCTGTATTCTTCTCGACTTCCGCTCGGCGGAGGTCCTATGCCGACACAATCCAGAATCTCAAGATAGGCAGGCATACTCGTGTACTTTACCAAGGACTTACTGGACGCCAAGCTACCATGAACGCCAAAGAGTCCCTGGAGTACGGCACCAACATTGTTGGAGGAGTCAAACCTGGAGTGGAAGGTGAGCATCTGGGGTTGCCTGTCTTACCCACAGTCAGAGCCGCCGTGCAGCAGCTCAAGCCAGACGCCAGTGCCATTTACGTTCCGGGCAATGACACCGTTACTGCAATGGAAGAGGCAATTGAAAACGAGATCCCACTCATTGTCGCCGTCGCAGAACATATTCCCATTCACGACCTTTTAAGAATCCATGAGATGCTACGAACCCAGTCGAAAACAAGATTGGTGGGCGCCAATTGTCCTGGCATTATTAACACTCACGGCCGTTGTCGATTGGGATTTCAGCCTCTACCCTTCTTCACAGAAGGCAAAATCGGAATTGTCGCCAAATCGGGGACATTGAGCTACGAGGCTGTAGCGTCCACAACCCGTGCTGGGCTCGGTCAAACCTATGCTATCAGTATAGGGGGTGATGTCCTTGCTGGTACCAATTTTGTCGAAGCCTTCCAGGTCCTGGTCGAAGACGAAAACACTGAAGGCATCATCATGATTGGCGAGATTGGCGGCAGCGCCGAATTGAGAGCGGCTGACTGGATCAAAGACTACAATCGGCGAACAACAAGCCCCAAGCCGTTCATGTCGGTCATTGGCGGTGTCGAAGCTCCTCCTGGCCGCGTCATGGGCCACGCCGGAGCGTGGGCTGCGCCGGGAGAGGCTAATGCCGCACAAAAGATCAAGGTTTTGGAAGATGCTGGAGTCACTGTGGTTGACCATCCCGAAAAACTGGGAGAGGGCATGAAGATTTTACTAGGCGAGGGATCCCGGGCGGGGGGCCGGCATGTTTCCGGTCCTGACGTCTCACAGAAGAGAGGATACCATACAATGCGACAACGGCCTCGGGCCCATGTTGCAAAGAGAACGACTTTCGAGCAGCGCCGGACCCTCTACATCAAGCAATCGCAGGCATTCGATATGCTCAAGGAGCGGAGTATTCCCACCGTGGACATCCCGACGATAGAGGAGGAAAAGTTCGTTGCTATTTCCATTGATCGAGAAGCGCGACAACCTTGTATCATTGCATCACCTACTACGGACCCTTCCCGAGCGTTTCAATACTCGAGGAAATTTCCCTTTGCCTATGGAACAGATGATGCGACGTCCAATGAGATGCTGGAGAAGGTACGGACACATTTGGGCATTTCTGGAAAGGGTCAACACGGGCTGGGTAAACTTATTGCCGAGCTAGTAGACATCTTCATGTCCAAAGAGGCATTTGTGCTTCAGACGAAAATCGCCATTGACCGCAACGGAGGTCTACAAGTACAAGGAGCCAAATTTGGATTCGATGATGCCGCTTTCCGAAGTTCCGGTCGACAAGCCGATGTTCATGCGTTGAGAGACCTTCACAACGAGGTCCGCGAAGACGTCGAGGCCGAGAAGGAGGGCATGACATATGTGAAGCTGACCGGCAAAGGCACCCTCGGAACAATCGTAAATGGAGCTGGGCTGGCGATGAATACGGTGGACGCCTTGGTTGCTCGCGGCGGTCATCCAGCAAACTTCATGGACACGGGAGGCAAAGCAACATCTGAGACGATCAAAGCTGGTTTCAGAATTGTGGCATCTGATCCTCGAGTCAAGTGCATCTTTGTTAATATCTTTGGTGGACTGACTCTGGGAGATATGATCGCCAACGGCATTTTACTAGCCTTCAAAGACTTGGACCTCAAAGTTCCTGCGGTGGTTAGGATTAGGGGTACACGTGAGGCCGAGGGTCAGAAGCTGATCCAAGAGAGCGGCCTCAAACTTGATGCTTTTGGTAAGAGACGGGAAATGGACAAATCAGAACATTTGCTGACGCAATGATGACGATAGATTCTTTTGAAGAGGCGGCCGCCCGAGCCATTGCTTTAGCCAACGGTACCGCAAAGAGGAAGTAGACTTGATGACAACTTCCCACGAATATAGGGACCATGGATATGGGACGAGATTAGGCATGACACTTTGCATAAGAGTTGATAGAGAAATGAGTTGTGCAAGTTATGCATTATCTATCAGATGTACATTTGTATGTTATGGATCCGTGTACAAGAAAGCTGCAAGATACGAATGGTCGAGGGGTAATACCTATACCAAAGTAAAATAAGCATATCCTTCCCCATACACTACCGCCCCATGGCATCGCTTGCTTCACCCGAACTGGAGTACTTTGGTTTCTGAATTTGCGGCGGGGTGGGTTTGTAAAGATTTCAGAAACGGGGGACAGAGGAAACGGTCGATATGCGAATATGGTTTTCATTCAAAGTGTTTTGCTCTTGCAGTTCCTGAGCAAGGTCGCATGCAGTCAGATATTGGTGTCGACGTCGATACGCTGTCTCAGTCCCTATCGCTTGGGAGATGACTGAGCATCTGCTTCTAGGTAGATCGTGATCTGTTGTTTCTAAGGCCTGGGAATAGCCAACTCATATGCGATGGGTTCCATTCGAGCTCATTCACTGGTATTCCCATTCCAGTTTTGACAAGCCAAACGTTTTGACTTCTGTGCCTAGGCATTTGACAGTCGGATTGCAGGCTGTAGGAATACCAAGGCAGGAAGCTGCCTAATTGACTTTAGGCCAACCTCGTTCCGATAAATAATGCCGGCAGCTAGCCAGCCTCATGGATCCAACAGGGTCTCCCAAATCGAAGAAGGATGCGACCGAGGCTTGGGACGTGAGAAAACGACCTAGAGATCAAAAGGTTTCATACGCTCGGCCATCAGGAAATGCTGACTTTTGTCACTCCTAGTTGCACTCCCTTCATCCACTGTCCTTCCACGGGTCATCTTTGCCTGTCATACATACATTGCTGATTTTCCCATCTTTGTTTGTTTCTTGATTCTTTCTAGCACACGCGCGCCGGAGAGAGCACGTGGGTATACTCAGGGCAACTGTCCCTCCCACTTTGAACCGCCTTGTCATCGTTGTCTTCGCCGGGAACATCATCCAGCATGGCGAACCTCTCTACACAGTCCTTCTCCAAGCTTGCTTCAGCTTCTTCGCAACAACTTTCTGGTCTATCATGGCTCTGGTCATACTACCTTCTACCTGCCATCGTCGCTTATCCTTTCCTATGCTCGGTTCTTCGCTTTCGGCGACTCAAGAGTCTGCAAGCCAAATACAAGTACGGTACACCTGAACACCCATCCTACGAAGGCATGACAGTCAAGGAGGCCCATGATATCGTCCAAGCACTGAGCGACCTCGAATTTCCAGCGTTGTTCGAAAAGGGTCTCCAATTTGCCCTCTTCCGGACTTATGGAATTCCTACCATCAGCAAATTGCTTGTCAAGACCACTCAATTGTCCACGGCCAAGAATGTCCCCAAGAGATACGCAGATACGGGGGTGCTTTTGACTGATATGTATTCCGCTGAGCCTGAAAGTGAGAAATGCTTCGAAGCCTATGCGAGGCTGAACTACTTGCATGGTCACTACATCAAGCAAGGGCAGATCAGCAATAACGACATGCTTTACACGCTCTCTTTGTTTCTAAATCAGCCAGTGGAGTGGATCAACAAGTACGAATGGAGGCCACTCACAGATCTAGAAATTTGTGCCATGGGAGTCTTTCACAAAGCCATGGGCGATGGCATGGAGATCTCTTTTGAACCATTGCCATCGTACTCCACCGGGTGGAAGGATGGGCTCCACTTCTATCGTGAACTCGATACCTGGGCTAAAGAGTATGAGAAGCAATACATGGTCCCCAACCAAAAGAACTACGACACCGCTGTCCAGACTCGACAACTTTTTCAGAGTATGTACCCTAACTTCATGAAAGGCGTGCTCACAAAGGTCATCAGTGCTCCTCTGGATGATCGTTTGAGAGAAGCCATCATGTTTGACAGGACACCCGCATCGTATACCTTTTTCTTCAATGGGTTTATGGAATTGAGGAGGCTCTACTTGAGATATCTCGCCCTTCCGAGAGCGCATTTCATGATGATTACTCTCCTCACCAAAGAGCCCGATGCGAACGGTCGACGATATTATGTCAAGTGGGACACCACGCCAGTGTATGTCAAACCAACTCTATGGAATCGATGGGGCCCCAGTGCGATCATGAACGTGATTATGGGAGTGCCTCGTCCCGGTGATAAGGGCACATATCCAGAAGGATTTGAGATCAAGAATGCTGGTCCATCTGCATTTGTCGGCAAAGGTGTCAAGGAGATGGAGGCCACCAAGGAGAAGCTGAGAAAGGAGAGAACCGCCGGATGTCCTTTTGCGGTGCGTCGAACCTGACCTAATGATGTTACGGAGATGGATGAAGTACCATGGTTGCATGGCATTTACGCTGATTAAAATTTTTTTTTTTACATGCTTATGATTTTGACAGCTGCAAGGCTACCACGCCCTGGTTACTGATAATGATCACCAAACTTTTGTCCCTCGCAAAAGCCCGCGTGCCCGTTAGCCTCTCCTGCCAGTATGAAACGCCCCATCAAGAAGCTTCTGGGCGGCCTTCTCCATGCCCGAGAGAAACCGAGAATAGCCACCACCGCTGCGGACACCGGGATCAGAGAATACAAAGTCTGCCAAATGGCGACGTGGGGTAGGCAGTTTTCTGTGAGGAGGTCTCCAATCTGATTTCGTCAGTAGGTTCGTGACTTCGAGTAAAAATGTCTATTTCGTGTAGAAATCTGGTCTCTCTACCTCGACATTCTCTTTCTTCGTCCTCGTCTTCCCCCGCTCAGTTTGTACGCGGGTTTCATTCTTCTCCATCCGCCATGTCCACCTTCGGTGCTTTCAAGATTCCCATCATCTCCAACGAACCAAATAAACACTATGGCAAGGGCTCTCCAGACAGAGAAGGTCTGGCGTCTGCAGTAGCAGCATTGCAGAAGAAGGCTCCCCTCGATATTCCTCTGGTGGTCTCTGGCCAACCCATCAAGACCTCTTCCATCCTCGCCCAGAACAATCCTTCCTTCCACGCAACCTCCATTGCCCGATATTCGAATGCCTCCGCCAAGGATGTCAACCAAGCTATCGAGGGAGCCCTCGCCGCGAAGCCTGCGTGGGAATCCCTTCCCTTCGCCGACCGTGCCGCCGTCTTTCTCAAGGCAGCCGATTTGATTAGCACAAAATACAGATATGAACTGATGGCTGCTACAATGCTGGGACAAGGCAAAAATGCATGGCAAGCCGAGATTGATGCAGCTGCGGAGTTGATCGACTTCTTGAGGTTTAATGTCAAATACGCAGAAGAGCTGTATGCTCAGCAGCCACCATACAACTCTCCTGGTGTCTGGAATAGAGTGGAATATCGACCATTGGAAGGCTTTGTCTACGCGATCTCTCCATTCAACTTCACAGCCATTGGGGGAAACTTGCCAGGCGCTCCCGCTCTGATGGGCAATGTGGTTATCTGGAAGCCCAGCCCGTCTGCTGTTGCGTCCAACTATCTGGTCCACCAAATCCTGATGGAAGCCGGCCTCCCGGCGGGTGTTATCCAATTTGTGCCCGGGGACGCTGAGGAAGTGACTGAGGCTGTTCTCAGCCACAAGCAATTTGCTGCTCTACACTATACCGGCTCCACCGCTGTCTTCAGAAAACTGTACGGTCTAATCGGTCAAGGTATTGCTGAAGGAAGATACAAGGGATACCCCAGAATAGTGGGGGAGACGGGAGGAAAGAACTTCCATCTCGTTCACAAGAGCGCCGACATCGATAATGCCGTGGTGCAAACCATCCGAGGAGCATTCGAGTATCAAGGTCAAAAATGCAGTGCATGCTCGAGGTTGTATGTACCTTCCTCGATATGGCCCGCCTTCAAATCCAAACTTGTGACCGAAACAGAGAAGTTGAAAGTGGGCCCTCCCGAAGAATTTGGCAACTTCATTGGACCTGTCATTCACGAGACGAGCTTTAAGAAGCTCTCGGGCGTGATCGATGCTGCCCGAGACGACAAAGGCCTGGAGCTCATCACCGGTGGGAAATACGATAGCTCTAGGGGATATTTCGTGCATCCCACCGTCTATGTCGCCAAGGACCCTGCTCACAAAAATATGAACGCCGAATTCTTCGGTCCGATATTGACCGTCTATGTTTATGATGATTCCCAAGCCGATGGATTTGAGGAGATCTGCAAGGTGGTGGACCGTACTTCTGAATATGGTCTGACTGGTGCCGTCTTTGCTTCAGATCGTGCAGCAATCAGGTATGCTGAGGAGGCTTTGAGAAATGCCGCTGGAAACTACTACATCAACTGCAAGAGCACAGGTGAGTGTCAATGATTTCATGCTGTCCGAAGAATACACCGTTAATACTGAACAAGGTGCTGTGGTCGGTCAACAGCCATTTGGAGGAGCACGTGCTTCAGGTACCAACGACAAGGCTGGATCCGCTGCCATCTTGTCGCGATTTGTGAGTATGAGGTCGATAAAGGAGGAGACTCTTCCCACCACCAAGGTTGAGTATCCTTCGAATGACGTGTAGGATGGGGGATATTTGGGACTCCGTATACCCCTGCGTTATACATCTGGCAAGATTGCATGAATTATGAGAATGGGATTCGGCAGGTAGAGAAAAGCATTTCAACTGCAGGAATATTGTGCCTGGGTGGCAGAATAGGTTCCTTGGTGGTTAATACAATCGTTGCCTTTATCGGGCCTTGGTTTCCCACGCCGTCCTAAGTAGTAGAGGCATTTTAGCCTGATTTGCTCTAGTGCAAGGAAATAGCATCTTTCTTCACCGCCCTTCACGCTTTTTAAACCAAAGTGGCTATCGCGGACGAAGCTTGGCGTTCACCTTCCGGTTTTTGTTGATGGAGCCCCATTCCCTCGACTTTGCCCACAATCACTCACCCAACAACATCTCTACATCTCTCCGACTCCCTTTGGTGTAGCTCTCCGATCTTCAATCATCATCCTCCCATTTATTCAGCTACCTTCTCAAGCCTCTTTCATCCGTCAACATGCGTGAAATTGTGAGTTTTGGCAGCCTGCGCTACGCGTCTTTTGACCCTGTCTACCCCCTTTGCCTCGACCCCACCATCACGGCTCTTTGACAGGTTCGACAACTGACATAACTTCTCCAACAGGTTCACTTGCAGACTGGCCAATGTGTACGTATTCTCATTCTCGGTCTTCTTCGGAAATTTTGACTGACTGATCGGTAGGGCAACCAAATTGGAGCTGCCTTCTGGTGCGCAATTCTTTTTGGGACGCGAGAGAGCCCCTATCAACAGCTCTAACTGGATCACAGGCAAGTCATCTCTGGCGAACATGGCCTCGATGGTTCTGGCGTGTATGGAGACTCACCTCTTCCACCGCACCCTTTGAACTGACGCTTTCAGCTACAATGGCACTTCGGACCTCCAACTCGAGCGTCTGAATGTCTACTTCAATGAGGTATCCCTCCACCAAAACACCACCTCGCATCTCCCCCCTGTTAACTTCATATCTAGGCTTCCGGAAACAAATATGTTCCCCGTGCGGTCCTTGTCGATCTCGAGCCTGGCACCATGGATGCTGTCCGAGCTGGTCCTTTCGGTCAACTCTTCCGTCCCGACAACTTCGTCTTCGGCCAGAGTGGTGCCGGTAAGATATAAAAGTGGAAAACATGCTGGGACAAACAATAACATATATCCAGGAAACAACTGGGCCAAAGGTCATTACACTGAAGGCGCTGAACTTGTCGATCAAGTTCTCGATGTCGTTCGACGAGAGGCCGAGAGCTGCGATTGCCTTCAAGGCTTCCAGATCACCCACTCCCTTGGTGGTGGCACCGGCGCTGGCATGGGTACCTTGTTGATCTCCAAGATCCGTGAAGAGTTCCCTGACCGCATGATGGCAACCTTTTCCGTCGTTCCATCTCCTAAAGTCTCCGATACCGTTGTTGAGCCATACAACGCGACGCTCTCTGTCCACCAATTAGTGGAAAACTCTGATGAGACCTTCTGCATCGACAATGAGGTATGGGATATTGGTCACCATCATGTCTGTTCTGGCTAACCATTGCAGGCTCTCTATGACATTTGCATACGTACCCTCAAGCTGTCCAACCCATCCTACGGGGACTTGAACTACCTTGTCTCGGCAGTCATGTCGGGTGTCACCACTTGCTTGCGCTTCCCCGGTCAACTCAACTCTGATCTTCGAAAACTCGCCGTCAACATGGTCCCATTCCCTCGGCTGCACTTCTTCATGGTCGGATTCGCTCCACTTACCAGCCGTGGTGCTTATTCTTTCCGTGCCGTGACGGTCCCAGAACTGACCCAACAGATGTTCGATCCCAAGAACATGATGGCTGCTTCCGATTTCCGAAATGGTCGTTACTTGACTTGCTCTGCAATCTTCCGTGGCAAGGTCAGCATGAAAGAAGTCGAGGATCAGATGCGCAATGTCCAGAGCAAAAACAACAGCTACTTCGTTGAATGGATTCCCAACAATGTTCAAACTGCTCTTTGCTCGATCCCGCCACGTGGTTTGAAGATGTCATCTACCTTTGTCGGCAACTCTACCTCCATTCAAGAACTCTTCAAGCGTGTTGGTGATCAATTCACTGCCATGTTCCGACGAAAGGCTTTCTTGCATTGGTACACTGGCGAAGGTATGGATGAGATGGAATTCACCGAGGCCGAGTCCAATATGAACGATCTCGTCTCTGAATATCAACAATACCAAGATGCCAGCATCTCTGAAGGCGAGGAAGAGTATGGTGAGGAGGAAGCCCCATTGGAGGAAGAAGTGTAAATGTGGAAAGAATCGGTACAAGAGTTGACTTGGGTCATGTTGTGTGCTCTGGACATGACTATTGATTGCTGATGTTTGGCCACAAACACATCTTTTACTTTGTGCAAAGTGAAACCGAGTATAATCATGTATGGAAAGACGGGCAGGCACAGAGCCAATTCGTACCAAAGCCAGGCGAATTTTCATTCTCGGTCAGTGTAGGAGTTGAATTCAAGAAACTATGGTGAAGGCAAGCAAAGTTTCGCACCCACATTCAAATTCCGTCCTTCTAGCATTTCTCATCTTGGGCTTGTACAAGCTGGACCTGGATTTTGGGATCGAGTCTCTCGATTCATGCGTCTTGCTCGACCGGTTGATGGCGTCTGTCTTCGGTTCTCTGTTCTCGTTTCTTTCAAGTCGTGCCCCCCAAACGCAAACCAAAATTCCAAGTAGTCACAGCTTCATGCTTACGCATACGTAGTGAAAGGCCTAGTTCGTTTGCTTCGCTCTGAGCTCCCACATATCCAGTCTCGGATTCAAGAACCTTTCTCACGGATTCACCCTTGGAACTTTGAATATTTCTTTCTCTGCATCCTGCAGTGGATGAAATCGAGAGAGATTCAGATTCAGGTCGAGGAAGATAAGTGAACGGAGGAACGGAATTTGGAAGGCTTGGTTGGGGGAATCGGTACAAGGCTGAAATTAAGCAGTAAATATTTCCCTTTTTACAAACTTTATTCCACACGATATGGTGCGATGCGATACACCTGCTATCTGACATCCGTGATGTCACCACGCTCATTCATACGCACACTTGCAGTACGCTCAAACTTCGTCCCTCTCCGACTGAAACGGGTTCCATTCTCATTGCTTTGAACAAAACGTTGGCGGGCTCTGCTCTGCCCTAGGAGATGAAGATGGGGGCATTTTGGTTTTACAAACTTGAATGTGAATGTCAGTCAATCTTTAGTATAGCTGTGCTGTTCGGGTCGAATCTCGATGCCCTAGATGGTTGAGAGCTGGGGACGGATCTCATACAAATTCATAGAGTAGGGGAAGCGGGGAGCGGAAGGGAAGGGAATAGAAAAGAAAATGGAGAGCTGTGGATCAGCAGCACAGTCGTTACCCCTTGCTTTATGCATCGAGCGAGGAATCCAAACATCGCAAGCTGGAAACAGCGACGTAGAGGTAGAGCGAAGGAATAACAATTATCGCAGTTCAAAGTGGGCGGGGTGCGATATTTTACAATGATTGTTTGCACCAGGAGGTCGCACTCGAACGGATGGATTCCACAATGATGGCAGCATCCTGCGACGATTTGTTGAGGAACCTCGGACTGAATACTCGTTATTCTTACCTGTAAATAGGTAGAGTAGCGAGGGGAACATGGTAGAGTATTCCCATGATTTAGGCTCAAATTTGAGATGTTTGGCGCCTTCAACTTTGTAAGCTTTTTGAAATCAACTAAACAAATCTACCGAGGCATTGCTTTGAACGTTCATGGATGCATAAGTGTGACCGATTGTGGAATTTCTGCCATGAGGTCAGGTAACAGGGGGCCAAGGTTAGCAAAAAGGAAGCAGATGATTCTCAACTGTAGTGGTTTTCTCGCCTGCGCGGTCACCTTTCCGTGTCAAACCATGTTCTTTTCCATCCTGCTTTGCATGTCTCTTTCATTCTTGCAAATATAAACCGTCAAGAGACCACAAATGCCACAGTGGACCAGGGATCTCTCTTTTGCAGCACTTCTTGTAGCTCGCATGTAGTGACTGCAGGCCCTCCATACCCAATGTTGACTTCGTGTTCTTAAGCCCGACCACCAATCTGTTCTTGATGTACCTCGATGGAATCGCCATCTGCCATTTCGAGCTAGAGTCAATCTTGTCAGCCTGTGCGATCCCATTCATTGTGCTCTGAAGTGTTCACCATGATGGTGGGGGTGTATCTGAGAGAACCACTCACTTGCTCTGGAGTGTCTGTTGCCTGCACTCGACTACCCTCGAACAGAAACCTGGCTGTGCGTGGGTCTTTGCCTTGCCTTTCGCAGAAGGCTTTCATGAGTTTCTCCAATTTGGTGCTCCGCTTGATTTTGAAAAACACTTCATTATTTCCATCTGTAACTTTGATGTTGAGGTGTTCATTATTCGCTGGCGTTGCAGGTATATCGCCGGCCCCATTGGGTGATTGTTGACCTGCGTCAGACATTGTATCGGGGTGGAGGATGAGAGGGAAAAGGAACGTCTGTCGAAGAGAGGGGTAATTTCACAGTCGCGCAAACTATTGAAAATGCGCTTCGGTGTTAGAATTGAGTCATCTTAAGAGCGGAAGGGGGAAATATAGATCGAGTGCTAGTGGTATCCTACCCGACTGACGCAGAGAGGGTGAACAAGTCTTGAGAGTGATTGAGACGGAGATGTCGAGGGGAGATAGAAAGGTGGAGAGACTGATGGAAGAGTTGATGTAAGTAAGAGAGAAGAGGAAGACAAGAGAGAGTCAAGTAGGGGGAGCCTTGCGGACTTAAATAATTGAATTTCCAGAAGGCGCGTGAGGTCGCAATCACAACGCTGGCGGCACTGCATCCCAAAGGCAAATAGCAATGGAATCCCAGTCGCAGCCTGAGGCGGCGAGCAACGAAGTGACGTTTGCAAGGTCGCCCAGCATTCAAGGCCAAATGTCTGGTCATCGTCCTGTCATTACCGCTCGTGCTTCACTGTTTTGTAGAACAATCGGCGGGAGCCTAGCAGATTGACCCTGCGGATTTACAAATGCAATACATGTCAAGACAACAAATCAGCCTTATGGCACGGCGAAAGAAATGAGAGAGCATGGTAGGATGGATTGATTCACTCTGGTGAGCAGCGTCCCTGCTCAAACACGTCTATCCTCCGATGACTTTGAATTCTGGCATCTCTAACATTCTCGTCAGTCTCTTGTGCTTGCTCCTGAGCCTCACTCACTTTAATCGGTGACTTTCACAGTCTTCTCTCCTGGAATACTCTTCGACCTGCCAAAGCCGGCATCGTCCCTCCTTCAATTGTATACGAAATTGCCGTCTCCAAGACTCCCGATCCTCCGGGTCTCGATTTCCTCCTTCTCGCTTCTTCGTGGTTTCCGATCAGGCAGCTTTGCTTCCGGGGCCTGCTTGAGAGAGGGCTATTCCACCGAATACTTAAGATGTTTCATAATCCCCGTCCTGATTTCGAAACGGCTTCTGGATCTGCATCATCTTCAGAGTGAGCGTGATACACTGATGTTGTGAGGAGAACGACTCCTCCATCAGTGTTGTCTTTGTCGTCAAAATGAATGGAAGACTCTGCTCAAGGGGCTGACTATCATGTTTATTAAATTGGAGGTTTTGTCCTGAAGGCCGTGCTGTTCCAACAATTACTCCAATCCATGTCGTGCGCAGAGATGGAATCATGAGATACCAGGTAGCCATTTCCCACCCCATTGCACGACAACCCCATTGTTAAATTCATGCAAGGGGGTGTCAGCTCGGAGGAATGATGTAAATGTTTGGGGAATTTATATATTTTCAATTCTGTGGCCAGAATCGTGAGGTAGAATACAGGGCCAGCATGGTTCTAATTCAAGTCAAATCTACAGCCACGTCGTCGGCTGCTGCAGGAGCGCAGCCTGTCGAACCCCTTCACCAGCGCCACTGACCCTCTCCCTGCTCTGGGCCTGTTGCTGACTCCCTGAACTTCCACCCCCTCCTAGACCTCTCTTCATCATTCTTCCCAATATCCCCACCATCTCTGCTGCATCCTCAAATGAATCATCATCCATGCCCTCTTGCGCTTCATACACATGCCGAATGCTCAATCTTGCCATACGGCGGGACTGTTCAGCCTCGTGCAAGCAGTCATAGACGTATGCGACATATTCAACTTTAACCGACAGACGAACGGGGTGTGAACCAGGCAGAAGGCGTTCGGCGAGTTCGTTGGCTTCTCGGAACGCTTGTGTCGCATAAGGTCGATAGTCTTGGAGGGGGAGGAGGAAGGTCGCGGTACCATTGCCATTGGCCGAGCCATTGGTATATGGGTGGGTGGGGGGGACAGGGAGGCCGGGGGGAGTGCGTGTCGTCGTAGTTCCTCCCCCAACAGGGCCGCCGAGGCTGATTGCTGGTGAACGCTGGCGACCGCCAGTGGGTGAACGAAGAGTAGGTTCTCTCGAAGGGGGCTTGGAAGATAGTCGGGGTGATAAAGGGTCCGGGAAAAGTGAGAACGATCCTGATCTCGACCGGTTGATTCGATCGTTGACGGGAGGTTCGTTGTGAAAGAGGACGAAGATATGATAGAAGGAGGCTTTTAATTTATGAGACAGAACACGAAGTTCGACGTAATTTCCTACCATGGGGAGCACATACTGCTCCACCATCACAAGTCCTTCTCGCGCCAGCCACAGGATATGGTGAATGAGATGTCTGGCCCTCGGATCTCGAACAGGATCCAATCGTTTGGCTTTCCGAGCGCGAAGAAGCTTTTCGGCAAGAATGACTGAGAGGCCCAGGACACGGAATAAAAAACTACAACACCATGACCAATTAGTGTCTGATCACATGTCTCGGCCAGGACATTGGCTCTCTCACCTCGACAGATAATTATTCTCTGTGGTGGTCACTTTTGCAAAATAACCGAGAAACTTTTGATCCACTTCCGAGGAGGCCATCCAAAATGAATATAAGGGAGGGCCCTCCGACGGCTGCCACTGTCGAGACAGATACGTCAGTTCAATGAATGTCCGCTTCCATGGTTTTCGTGTGGGAGGTGATGATTCGGAGAATTCGGGGTTAACTGTATCCATTTTTCTGCACCAGGAGCCTCGTTGGGACATGGAAACAACCGCCCAGAGTCGCTGGAAACAATTCTGGACGCTTTTATGGTAAAAAGCTGGGGGTGATTGATTTCTTCAGCATCAATGGCAGGAGAGATTCGATTCGATCCGGTCGAAAAGACCCTGGTGATCGTCCATCGACTGAAGGAATAGAACAATGGGAGGAAACACAAAGTGATGGTGGTGAATTGAACTGAACTGGACTGAAGGGTGGTTTGTGGAACGCGAAAAATGGCAAAAGTGCAATTTACCTCTAGCCGCCCGGCGTCAGATTAGGCGCTTGCAACCAGCTGTCTCAGAACAAATTTTTTGTAATTCAAGTTGGACAGGGCTTCCGAGCCTCGTGCCTTTTTGGAATCCGTTCGGACTCTTCGGAGAATTTTTGGTGAGTGGGAAAAAAAGGATTCAGACAGCCGGCCGTTGAATGGAGTTCGATCGACTCTTTTTGGATTTCGACGTTGTTGGATGAGGATAGAAAAGCAAGATCAAAAGTGAGTGTGTGACCCAAGCGAGTGACTCTTCCTCCTTCTTTAATAAAGCGAACGGATATTGGTTGGATATCGAGTGTTGGTACAAAGAGAAAGTATAGGTTGTAAAATTTTGGAGGAGCCCGGACAATTAGTATTAAATTTTTGGATGTGCTGTTGTTACAAAAATGTACAGATGAAAAATGGTTCGCAGCAGGATTGGACAGGACAGCTGCCCAAAATAAGACCGGGGGTTGTTCAGGTGTCGGGTATCTGGGACAGTTGTCAGCCTGTCGAGTCTGCATAGAGGATTTTTTGCATGACGTCCTTGTTGCTGGAAGATTTTTGAAGCCACCGTACCTTGGGATTGGACCGCTAGGTCGAGAAATTGACGCAAAATTGCCTATTCGCCCGGCACGGTATTTTTCTAGCCAATGATTGTGGGACAGGTTGATCAAGGTTGGAATTGCGGTCGCAGGAGGTCTGGAAATGAGGCTGTAGGGTAACGCTTGTTCTCGTCTGACGCATATTGCTGTCGTCAGGTGAAGAATGGACCTTTAGGGAACGACGTCCAATGGGGAACTGAATTGCTGCCCGATTTTTTGGTCCCTGAAATGAAGTTTGGAGCTCCGCGGTGGTCCTGATCGAGAGAATTTCAGGGTAGGGAAAAGACAGGATCGACGAGAGACCGTAGTGGGCATAGATGGCGATCAAGCTCGAAATTGCCGATGGAAAGCAGGTAGAAACAAAACGAAGGTGAAATTCTAGGTCGGATTGGGAACCAAAACGAACGAATGTAGGTGAGTGAGTGTGTGCGTTTGCCAGTTAAGGTGCTGGCAAGGGCCGCGGGAGGCTGCAGGTGCAGACAGGATGCATCATACCATGACGACGATGCGGTGGGCAGCGACTGAAGGGGAGCAGAAAAGGTAATTCGTCTGCTTAGAGCTCGCAAAAGAATCAATGATCGAAGAGGAGAGGACCAGTTGTAAGTGGTAAGCTCGGAGAAGTAGACGAGAGGCTGAGAGCCAGCGATCTGGGAGAGCTGCAACGTGCCAGCGCACCAAGCGCGTCTCCCCTGGTCGACATTTTACCAGATTGGGAGATAGCGCGTTGTACCGGTTCGACCGGGGTTCGAATTAGGTTTCTGGAAGCTAGCTAGGAGAGGATAAGCGGGAGGAAGAGAGCAAGATGAGGGTAGGATAGAGATCCAGATATGATCGGCAGAGAAAGATTCTTTCCGCGGAAGACTGGTATCGGAAGATGAGGAGAAGGAAACAGGACGAGAATTAACAAAGACAAGATTCATGCAAGAGAGAGCAAGATAAAAACGAAGGCGCCAAAGAAAAGAGTGTTGCCAGTACATGTCACAGAGAATCCGATTTTGGCTAGGAGGGAGGGACACGTGGCACGCTGAGCGGAAAGGAACAAGAAAGATGAGAAAATAGCCAGGGAGAAGAAGTCTGAAGGAGGGAGGAACGAAACACCCTCCAAATGCCCGCCTCCTCAGAACTCAGAACTTTCACACCGCAGCGCCTACTGTAGGTATATAGAGTAGTTCGACGCAATTCGTAGCCATATGCAGAGAGTCACCAAAAAAGTCCGTGTCTTTTCATCACGCCAAGCCTAGTGTAATTACACCTGCGCATTTGGCTTCCACGTGACGTCTCCCCTTCCCCAGCCAGTAGAGGCGGAGCCTTTGCAGTCGCCCAATGATAAACGTTTCCTTTTTCTCCGCGCACAAAGCTCGGTCGCATGTCACCGTCATTGCTCAGAACGACCTGAAAATTTTTTTTTTTTTTATTTTTTATTTTTTTTTTCTGTGCTCGGTTGGCCTGCTACTTATCTGTGTCTTCTCGCCCGCACTCTCGCACGCTGTACTGACACTTCTTATGGGACTACTACTAGTCCGGCCACCACAAGTTCGACCCCTATGACAACCGCCGCCATCATGCCTAAGAATCAAAAGGTCTGTTTGGCCTATAGCGGAGGCTTAGACACGAGTGTCATAGCCTCATGGCTTATTGAACAAGGATTTGAGGTGATCTGTTTCGTCGCAGACGTGGGCCAGGAAGAGGACTTCGAAGCAGTCAAGGAAAAGGCCATGAAGACAGGAGCAACAAAGTGTTATGTTGAGGACGTCAGAGACGAGTTCGTCAAAGAGCTCTGCTTCCCAGCCATTCAATGCAATGCGTCGTACGAGAATGTCTATCTGCTGGGAACATCACTTGCTCGGCCGGTCATCGCTCGAGCTCAAATCGCCGTGGCTGAAAAAGAAGGATGTCAGTTTGTAGGGCACGGCGCAACTGGGAAAGGGAATGACCAACAGAGGCTAGAAGGGGGATTCTACGCTCTCAAGCCTAATATTCGTGTCCTGGCTCCGTGGAGAATGCCCGAGTTTTATGAGACCTTTAAAGGACGCAGCGACCTCCTCGACTATGCTGCCAAGAAAGGCATTCCTGTTACATCAACCAAAGCTAAACCCTGGTCGATGGATGAGAACTTAGCTCACTGCAGCTATGAGGCCGGCATGCTTGAGGATCCAGACACCACACCGCTTAGCGATATGTGGAAGCTAACCGCTGATCCGATCCTTTCTGCCGCCGACGAACCCGAAGACGTCACCATTGACTTCGAGAAAGGCATTCCGGTGAAAATAACTGCACAGTCGATCGGCACAGAGACGGAACCACTTAAGCTCTTCCTTGCCGCGAACAGTCTCGGCCGCAAACACGGTGTTGGACGGATTGATATCGTCGAGAATCGCTTCATCGGCTTGAAATCTCGAGGATGTTATGAGACTCCGGGTCTCACTATCCTCCGCACTGCTCACATCGACTTGGAAGGCTTGACGCTGGACCGTGAGGTCCGTGCTCTCCGGGACCAATTCGTTACCTTCAATTGGAGTAGGATCTTGTACAACGGCCTCTACTTCTCCCCCGAACGAGAGTTCCTCCAGGCTAGCATTGTCGAGTCTCAAAAGACTGTTAACGGTCAAGTCCGTCTCAGACTTTATAAGGGAAACTGTATAGTGATTGGAAGGAGCAGCGTAAGTTTTATCCCTGTCTCCTTCTCGAACGGGGTAGCATTCGCCTATGATGGACACCGTGAACCGAAGGCATATGGCGGGCTTTTCCATTGGAACCCTCTCATTCCGCTCCAGGGGTCCCTTTTGGGCCCTTTAAGAATTGTCTTTTGCAAAGACGGGCCCAACCTCGTTGTTTCCTGACCTCCGTCTATCACCCTCTTGTTTCCCCGTTGTTATGGATCTCTGCTGACGAACTTGGAATAATTACAGCAGACGGAGCGTCTATATGATGCCTCGGAGTCGAGCATGGACGAGATCGGCGACTTCGAGCCGACTGATGCGGGTGGCTTTATTAAGGTGCAGGCTATTCGGTTGAAGAAATATGGAAAATCCAAGGCAGAAAAGGGTGAGCGCTTGTAATGCATGGGTGATATGTACTTGGGAATTCTGGATTCGGCAGGTCTTTGGACACGAACTCTGGACAAGGATCATTGGATGCAGCTTGGGATGCGAAGATTGCGCCAGCTGGATAGACATGGAGGGCGTGGTTTTCTTTTTCACAGCGGATCTTACGGAAAATTGCGTGGCGTCTTTCCTTCTTCCCGTTTGCCTTTCAATAGCTCTCAGTGAAAAGGCTAGGATCATTAGCGGGAATATCTAGTGCTCATTGACAGTCCATGACAGATAGAACCAGCAAAGACGTAGTCAGCCGCCGATCAGTGGCTTTTCCAGCTGGCCATGACAACAATTGCTTCCTAACAGACATTGGCATCCCTTGTTACTCGTCTACCCTCAAGTCTTTCCATCATCCAATACGCTTGAGTCGCTTGCCCGGTCTAGTTGACTGTACGTGCAACATAAAATTTTGCTTTGAATTCGGCCGAGTCGTCCATCCCTGTCAGCTCAGACGCGCAACAATCCAATCCTCTTGTTCTTTGGTCCACCTGGTCCTATCACTAGGATCTTTGGGAGTGCTCGAGAAATACTTCCAGGCGCCGAGCGTCGGCACATCGCATACTTATCCACCACGTCCTCCATCAAGGTCAAATTGATGCCTTGAAGCTCGTCGCCATTGCAATCGGGACTCGTGCGTTCAAAAACCATCTTCAACGTCCTCGTCGTCTTCAAAAATGAAAGTGTCACTGGCGTCCGCACAATCTTGGTTGGTGATGCTCGGGGGAATCTCTTCGTCGTCACTGTTTTCGGTCTCAAAGCGATCGTACCGAAACGTACGCCTCATAGAGCCATAGAACGAATCAAGGCCCGTACAAATTTTTCGCATTGCAGATCTGATTCTCTGAGACTGTCCTTCAGAAAGTTGGCGGGTCTGCTGGTGTTGATGGGAGTAGACTTTCATCTTGAAGTCCTTGAAGTCCTGGCCCCATCCTCTCGGCTGGCTCGGAGAAACCAATTTCCTCTTGTCGAGGGCCAAGGGGAGAAGGATAATAAGCAAGAGATGAAGAACTAAAGGACAAGAACATGAAGTGGTTGGGGAAGAGGAACTGCGCCAAAGGTTGAAACAATTAACCAGGAACAATCGTTGCTGGTACCTGAGTGTGTTCTGCCTGATCAAAAAGAAAGAAGAAAGAAACAAGAAACAAACACGCTATTTGTGCCTGCGGCCTAGCCACTGGCATCCACTATGCCAGTGACACAACACACCTGCCACAGAGCAATGCAGTGACAAAACAAACGCGGTCCGCAATTCACCGCCCAGAGAGCGAAGTGAGTTGGAGCTGAATACCAAAGACACAACATGCAGTTACCAAATTGGTGTACCGAACCAGTTTGGTGCTTTTGGACAGACCAGCCCCGGGGCGCGGCAGCTTTAATTTTCTCTGCATCTCTCTCGCAGTTTCAATACTTGCTGCTTCTTGGTCGTGACGTGTTGCACTATCTTTGTTAGCATCAAGCACGAGCTAAATGAGTTTCTTGCACACCTGGGCATATTGCGACCACTTTGAGTCGAGATCTCTCCACTTTTGGAAATACCAGCCTAGACCTTATCTGGGGTCATATTGGGACTTTGTTCCGTGGATTTAGTCAGTATGGCCGAAGGAGCGTGAAAACCTGTTGTTGATGGGGGGCTTTCCTCCCCCTTCAAACATAGCCGGCAACGTTTTCACTTGCCATCATCTTGCACTCCTTCCATCTGACCATACGTTGGCCCTTGAGGTGGTCCATTCATGGGATTTACGTGGTTCGGCTGTACTTGAGGATGCATTTTTGGGGGCATTTGTCCATATCCGCTGCTCATTGTTCGATGTTGCATGGCATATCCCTGATGAGGTGTCGATCCATACTGATGGCCACCTCCATAGCCGCCTCGAGGCATTCCCATCTGTTGTTGCGGATATACCATTGGAGCCCCTTGATTCGAAATACTAAACATCATATTCGGTGCTGCCGGATGACCTGGTTGTGACCCTTGCTGCATCATCATGGGGGCCATCCGTCCTGGACTCGAGTATCCGGCGTTCTGTTGAGGATATACTTGACTGGGGTTCGGTGAATACATTTGCATTTGGTGATTGAATTGTTGAGGAACTGCCATGTACGGTCCATTAGAAGGCTGCTGAACCATTACCGGTGCACTCATCTGTCCAACCTGAGCATGCATCATCCCGGGAGTGCCTGGGTAAGGTCGCATTTGCATCGGCATTTGTCCACCAGGCGTGCCAAAATAGGGTTGTTGCTGATATGAGAGTTGAGCGGGATGTGCCATTGGCGAGGCATAAGCAGATGCCTGACGAGCTGGCATACTAGGAGACGGGAAAACTCCAGAAGTGGCAGCCCCAAACTGTATCCGATGGTTTCCTTCATCGTATTGATGCGGGTATTGGTGTGGTCCGGTATGTGGTGCATGCTGAGGCGTCGAGATGTGTGGGATATTAGCAGGACCATTCGGGATTGGCACCCCCTGTCCAGGAAATGGAATGTGATGACTGGATCCTGATCGGCTTTGAATTGGCGAAGCAACCGGACCACTGGGTTGCTCGAATGCTTCCTCATATGTTTTTTGATCATTGTCTGGCTTGACCGTCCACCTTGGTCCTGTCTGGAATGCATTCGGGATGCCTCCATTGCCACTGTAGTCCTTCTGCACCTCTTCAGGCTTTGTGCCGCTCTCTACTTTCTTGGGAGCATGTTCCTCCTTCATGCGTACTATCGGGTTGAAATCTTTGGCAATCGATGGCCGTTCTGAGGAGGGCTTGGGTTTTCGGTGGCCAAAAAATACCGATGGACTGGCCGTTCGGGAAATGGATCCTCCTCTGTGCGTCGAGCTGGGACTAGACGGAGTTTGGGAGGGAGCGCCGGGATTGAAGGTTGCGGCAGTAGGGCGGAATTCTGAAGCTTTCACGTTCAGATTGAATTTGCCCGAGATCGCCGAAGTTGGAGTGTGCATGTTCGATCGTTGTGGGCTGGTCATTCCATTTTGCTCGGCCATCGGTCCCGTGGGAGGTATTCGGCCGTCAATAATGGGAATTGGAGCCGGGACGGGATGTGGTTGAGTGGCTTTGCGATCTTGTTGGTGGGAACCGAATCTGGGTTGATATGGAGTATTGTTGTTTCGACCGGGGAAAAGTGGTGGTTGTTGCTGGCTGACCGGGCGGTCAGATCGTCCAGGTTGAGGGAATCCCCCACGACCGCGGTTGAATGTCTGTCGGTCGGGCACAGAAGGGGGAGGTTGTGGAACATCGGCTTTGCGGGGGGTGGCGTTGGCCACTGGTGCCGGTGAAGGGCTGGCACCGGTTGAAGTTGATTCGTCATGTTCTTTTTGGGCCTTTTCAACAATAGCCTCTTGTTTGGCCGGATCTTTAGCAAGAATACCAATGAGATCGTTCGGGACTGGCGTCTTCAGTTTGAAGTTTCTGGAGAAACGAAGAAACTCATTCAACTTGGCGGTCCGATCCTGGCTTTGTTGTGCCTTCCTTCTTTCTATCACTCTTTGCTTCTCGAAGTCAGCGAACTGACGGAAGTGGTGTAGGACTTTGGCTTCTACGTTCTCCGTAGGGCCCTGTTGCGAAGCCATGCTACTAGTAGACTGTGGTCCTGTTTTTGCATTTTCAGCCTTGCTCGCGGCTTCCGGAGCCACGACGGGAGTCCCAGCGGCCGATGGCTCCAGAGCCGCTGTAGATGCCGCGCCATTTGGTTCTGGTTCGGTCTTCTCGGTCGAGGCGACGGAAGGTTTCTCCGGAGCTGCCACGGTTTCTTTCTCTTGCTTCGGTTTCTGAACATTGGTTCGGGGGGCTTCAGATCGAGATAGTTGCGCTGAGATAATGGCGGGATCAACAGGAGCACCAGGGATTGTCGCTTGCCCTGTTGGTGCACGTCTTGCCGGCGGAGTATATTTGTTCGGTCCACCAACTGGCAAAGGTGGAAAAGCACGATCATCACGACGAACACCGCTATATTTTTCTTCTTCGTCTTCGCCATCGTTCTCTAGAGCCTGACCACGCTCCTCACGAACATGCGGATTTGTAGATGCCGTGCCCTCTATCTCCCTGGCAATTCTCTCAGCCTCAGCCTCTCTGCGTTTGTATGAGGGGGAGTTTCGGTCGATAGTCGTGGTATAAAGGTTTTCGTCATACGTGCTCTTGGCGCCGAAAAGTTGTGAGTTTGCTGTGAATTGATCCCAGCTAGAAGCATTGCCAGACTCCAGAGCGAAGTCTGTTGTGTCCGGCCCGTCTGGAACCCATCTTTTCAGGGTCCGTTCTCCACGAAGCGAGTTGCCCGAGATGTCGCTGTCAGTTTGAAATCCAGAAGGGGTACCTGCAGGGAAAATGTTAGTCCATGTCGAGGAACTGGAGCTGTCAATCCAACCATTGGCGAGTTTAGAGTTCTCGGGAAGAGAGAACTCGGAAATGATCATGTCGGCCATGTCTTTCACGTCGAAGTTCATTGCGTACTCGGGACTCGAGCCAGTCAAGGCCGCTTCCCGAGGTGCAGCACCATTAACTTGTCCCACCGCGGCAGGTTGTATTTTTCGGACCATCTTCATGGTGATCTTGGAGTGGGTGGGATTGAGGGTTGATCCGGACAATATACCCTCGAATCTTTCTCCAGACTTGACGGTTATGATGATGTTTAAGCCCTGCCACCCGAGGTCAGTCACTTGCAGCCCGTCTTGGTCGGGTAAGGATAGATTTTACAATAGCCGCCCCAAAGAGAAACATCAACCTCTCGTGCGCCTGTTTATCTGTGATGCCCGTCTCTTTCTGGTTTGCCGACCTCATATTGGCTGAATTTCTGGGTTGAGAGGTGCTACCATTCTGATGGACAGCCATGGGGCCGCGCTGCGAACTGGAATTGGAGGTCGAGCCCCAAGCTTTCTGAGCACTCGGTCGGCTAGGATGGAGTAATCAGCAGACGTCTTTTGTGCAAGCTAGCCATGATGGAAGGAAGACAATTTTTGTGAAGCACGTTGCCAGAAAGAAATAATTAGGGTATCACAAGAGAAAGGTTAGGGGGTTGTAGATGAAGACAAGTGAGGCGAGACATACCGTGCAAGTCCGTCAACAGGACTCTGCTTGCGCCCTGCATCCACAACCTTTGCGTTGCTGCTTGACCTCATAGTGCTCCTTGCCAAACCATTATTTTGTGGGGGGTGGGAGTTCAGTAAGGCGCCAGATGAGTTCGTAGGATTGGAAGTCACGCTAGCGGCAGACGCCATTAGCTGCAGTTTCCTGCTGGCAGAGTCGCACAAGAGGCTCAGAGGAGCTGAATCGACGGGGGCCAGCCAGTCAGACTGCGCTCGGATGCGAATTATAAAATTTCGGGGGTGAGAAAGGGTTGACAGTGGTGAGTAGTGGAAGTCTCGGTGGAGGGTCGATGGCTGAGGGCACGAGCCTCAGGAAAGTCTTGAGGTGGCCGAGCGAGCTGGGAGAAATCCGAAGCGCAGTTTGCGGGATTCTGGAAAACACGCCAAAAATAAAAAAGGACGTGACAGACGAGGCGACTGACAAGCTAGACTTTGAGGCGTCTAAGAATCAAGCAGCAGCAATAACAGAGACTGCAAGGAAGGAGTTGAGAGGATAAGATGGAGAGGAGGAGAAAGAAGAAGAGGCGTTCGAAGGAGGAGGTTTGTTGGTTTGTGGATGAGGTTGAGGTTGTGTTTGAAGTGGAAACCGAAAGCTGGGGGAGTTTTAGATTCCTGTACGGATGTCGGGACGTACGGTCAATGTGACAACGATCTTTTTTTTTTGTTTTTTTTTTTTTTTAAAAAAAAACAATGGACTTGGGGTTTTCTGCGACCGAGTCAGGCCCGTCCTGATGCTTGCCTGTCTATCTGCCCGTCAGTCAAACAGATAACAAGTTCAGCTAAAGAAGCTGAACAAAACCGAAAAGCAGTCGTTAGGCTGGTCTGTAATAAGTTACCGGGGTTGTCAGGCAGTTTAGCAGTTTGCAGTAGCTCGTTAGTAGTTGCGGTGCGCGGGTGCAGGCGCAGTCCTCATCCTTCGCTGGTATTCTCCTCCGCTTATGACGCTGCCCGCGACAACTGCGCAGGTGTATCACAGGCTCACTGCCAGAGCTCTCAGCATCCCAAACCACAGAGTGGGACTAGTCGACACGGTACTTTTATTCGTGTTCCTCTTTTCAGAGTGTTTCATAATTCAATGGAATGAGAGCCAGTGGTCTCAGACAAGTTTTCATGTCAATACTGGCCACATACTATCCAGATGCCGATGACAACATCGCCTGTATTCCCTCATCCCACCAAACTGCCAAAATTTGGGTCATTTGAACCATTGATTTCCCTTGTGCTGGCAGTTGGTTCTATCCCCGACAAGCCCCACGGACCGCGGATCACGCATTCCCCGTCGCACCAACCACATCTCATTTTTTGAACACCAAAAAATAATCTTTGCCATATCTTTTAAAGCTACCATATTATACACACTACAAAGGGATTTCGTGGCAAGAGTGGGGAAGCACTTGAAATCGCTGCCCAACTACTGCATTCATTCATGTTTTGATTACGTTGTTCAGAAACATCCCAACCTAGCCACACATACTCTGACCCAGCTTGTCCTCTTCGCGATTGTGTCCACTTTGCTTTCACCTCGCTCCCTGTAGAAAAAGCCCATCCACTGCGTTTCCATCACAATCTCAAAGAATTGAGAATCGCCGAAGTCATCGAACGATATTGGTTCATACCACCTTGCACCTTTTTGAACTGAATGCCGTGGAGCGAAAGAAGAGGGATTTTTACAATGGCAATCTCGAATTTGAGCACCAAGCGTTCACCGGTGTCATCTTGCACCCGAGTCCTTGTCGCGGCCATGTCGTTAGGTAGATCACCGGTGTGTCGCGTTTGTTGCAGGTATTCATCCGAACCCTCGGAATTTGTGACAAAACTCTGATCGGGCTGTCTTCTCCTCGTATGATGTCGGCTTACTCTTTCGTCCTTGAGATCTTCTCGTTCCCTCCCCCGGAATGCTCCTCCAAATGAAATCCGTCGTTGATGACCCGATGTCACACGCCCACTCCTCTCCTCTTCAAGACCTGCCGCAGGTTCTTTGACCCCTTCGAGATTTATGCTAGGAGCATGTCTGCACGAAAAACCTCCCTTGATGACCGTGTATTGCACACCAAGCTGATTCAAGACTCGAATGATATCATGCCTGATGAATTCTGGAGGCTTGCTACTTGTCGTGGAAGTGGAAAATAAGCCTTTGAGACCTGCGGGCTTGGAAATCTCGGTTCCAGGAGTATCGGGAAGGGTAGAAGTGTCTAGGGCATCCATATCGTCTCGCATATCAGCGTCGGTCTCCTCTGGAACGTTTGCCTCTCGATCCCGTCTCTCTTCATGCCGTCTTCGTCGAGCCTGAATACTTTCTTGCCGTGCGTGACCCAGAGACTTCGTACGAGTAGCGGCTGGAGTACGTGGTGTAGCCATCGGACTAGCGTTGGGCGCGGATCGGTCAGTAAGTTCCACGCCCTTACTAGCCTTGCCGGCATTCACACTCGACTGATCAGATCCACTGGTTGGTGGTGGCTCAGCTGCAAGTAAGGGCGAATCATTCCCTGAGACACCCCGGTGCAAGAGACGCCGTGGCCGATAATCAGCGGAATTGACACTAGTTGATCTTCCCAAGAACTTGCCGGCTTTCGATAGTCCGCCACTGGCACTGAGAAGACCTTCATGCTGAGGCTGACTTCCTCCGGCATGATGAGTCGTCGGGCTTGGATCTCTTCTGCGGGAGCGGCGAACGGAGAAAGATTTTCGTGGGGGGGCCGCCGAATCTTGCGGAGGCTGGATATTGAGAACCGGCGGAGGCTGAGGCCGTTCCGGGTCTCGATCACGGTAACGTCTGGTACTGAATCTTCTGAGCAGACCCATGGCCGTTCCCTCTCTTTTCGCGGGCTGGTCAACAGGCGGCGCTGTAGCGGGCGAGGTTGCGCTTGGGCCAGGTTTTCGTTCAGGAATATCCAGGGCTTTCACGTCGTGTACCACATCATCTTCACCATTTGTCCGGGCGCGAGGTCTCGCCCTGCCACCTGTGGCTTTTTCGCCTGGCATTTCTGGCGCAAATGTGTTGGTATGTGCGGCCTCGGGTGTAGGCAATCCCGGGAGTTTCAGTGGTGTCTCTCCTGGGGCTATGGGCAAGGCCAAAACACCCGGATTCTGTTCTCTGCGTTCTCGATCACGCTTCTCTCGCGCCAGATAATAGATGGAAATCAAGGGACTGTAGGCATTGAGCGGGTCGAACCCACGAATTGCCTCCGAGGACGGGATTGACAGGCCCTCACGACTGATGGAATTTCGTCGTTTATAGAAGTCAAACACACCTCGTTTCTTCTCACTGCTGCTGGAAGTGTGACTATAATCTTCCTTATTGGTTCTTCGTATGGTATTCTGGTAATCCTCTGACTCGACGATTCGAGTGAGTTGCTCAGTAATGTAGGCCGAAGACCCAAAGTCGAATCCTTGCATTTTCTCGATAACCTCGGGGTCGAGAGGCAACTGAAGCGGCTCTCTATGGGGAAGACAATTATCAGGCGGAGCATTGAATCCTTTTGTCATCCATGGATGATTCATGATTTCCTGCAGGTTGGCTCGATCACGAGGGTCAACGACGAGCATGCGAGATATGATATTCTTGCATTCTAGACACGATTAGTAATGAAGCATGGGACATGGAGGAGACAATCATACCGGCCGTCAACCACTGGGGATAGTCCACCACACCTCTTTTGATCTTTGCATGTAATTGAGGCATGCTTTGATCGTCGAAAGGAACTTTACCGCAAACGAGAACGTAGAGGACGATGCCAAAACTCCACACATCAACCTCGGGGCCGGTGTATTGGCGAGCCTGCAATAACTCCGGAGCGGCAAAATATAAGCTTCCGCAAAATGTTTTGAGGAGCGAACGCGGTGAATAAAGGTTGCTGAGGCCGAAGTCGATGATCTTGATATCACCGGTCTTACTGATCAAAATGTTTTCGATTTTCAGATCTCGATGAACAATGCTGTTTCGGTGGCAATAATCCAGGGCACTTGCAATTTGACGGGCAAACTTTCGAGCCTGTTTTTCTTTGAGCCGTCCATGGGCGATGATGTAGTCCAGCATTTGACCTCCGTTGACATACTCAAAAAGCATATACCAGTGGTAGTTTGTTCTCTGCACATCGATCATTCCACAGATATATGGATGTGAAAGCAGGGATACCATGGCCGCCTCTCTGGCTGTTCGAATTTCTTTCGACCGATCGGCCCGCTCGTCTTTGGGGTTACCGTGTTCGTCAGCTGTTTGTCTAGGGATAATCTTGACAGCTGCCTGCTCTCCAGTTTCGACATTTCTTGCCAGCTTGACCTTTCCCATACTACCTTGGCCAATGGTTTTCCCAAGAGCCCAGGTACCGGTTTGGGCGGTAATCGATGTCCGTCTACGACCCACAGTAGGATATGTTTGCGAAGAGTGTCTCTCACTTTGTGATGTCGCGCTAGGTGGTGGATGAGCCGATGCTCCGTTGGCCATCACCGTTGTTGGAGCAGGAAAGTCTTGACTACCGCGTCTTGATCCAGGACGCGAAGATGTGCGTCCATGTGCTGACGAATCTGTGTTGTAATCTCCTCGTCCATCTCGAGAGCTCCTCCGTGAAGAGGACGTCCGAGCTAGATTACTCTGTTCAAAGTCTCGGCGGGCGACATTTGCAAGAACCGCGGGGTTGGATTGAGGAGGATTTTCGTGGGAGCGAGACCCAGAACGGCCATGGCCTGAGGACACGGCTGGTCTTTGGTTTGTCGAACGCGTCCGGGTAGGTTGCGCAGGCGAGGTGGGTGCGTATGAGGAGGGAGGATTGCGCGAGGAGGAATGGCTGCGTACCATAGATGGTGATTGCTGTGAAGCTGCGCTAGCCATTTCAACGGTGCCGCCGCGTCAAAAGGATGTCGTGTCGTGGTGGGAAAGGCTGGACACAATATCCGATGTTAACGTTACGTTTGCAGGAATGTGTTGCCTTGCAAGACGCAAGGACAAGAAACAACGCAAGCCTTTCAGCCGTGGGCCTTGCAGCCACAAGGCTTTGTGTTTGCGCGATGTTCAGTGTCAGAGCGTCGGTCAAGGCAGCTGCCCAAGGATACCAGGAGCCGTAATGGTGCTAGAAAGTGATGCACATGAAGGCGGTCTTGAGGATAGGATGCTTCGATTGTTATCATCGGGTTCGGGTTCACATGAGGTAGGAGTAAGATGACAGCTGGGTGATGGGGCGGGCTGCCGTGAATCGGCGTGTCAGGTCAAACGAGATTGATGATCAGAGCAAGATATGGATGGTACAGATGCTCTGTCTGTGTCAAGCAAATACTTGGTTCCAAGTTGCAGGGCCACCGCATCTTACGAACGAATTTGTCGATGATGATGGAGCGTGGACACACTGGCACTGGGGGCGAGAAGATGTACAAGCGTAGTGGCCCGGCACTGGACCGGGCACCTCGCTAAGCTGCACAGATGTCCTACTTTAGGTACACATTGAGAGTGCAACGAATGTGCTCTGTCTTCCATGCCAAGGAGGTTGCTATATCGTTTTACGTGTTGCTGTCATTTCTGCACCCTGGTTTGCTCTTGAGAGTCAAACAAATGAACGATGCTTGTCGGAGAGTGTGTCTCTACCAACCCGGCAACAAAATTCTGGCGACCGTTTATCCGCACCTGAAGGACCATAAGAACTCAGTTAAATGCCGCCCCCATTCACAGCCACAGCAAGCCAGCCCCGATTATACTCCACTTTGTGGCGCTCAACAGAGCTCCCAACTCCGTTGCATGTTCATGATCTTTCCACTCCATGATCAGGAATTCGCAGCCCTGACGACCGGACCTGATGTCGCAACATCATGGCTTACAAACGCTCTCGAAACATCTTCGAAGCTGATCTCCAGAAGCAGACGTCACCTTATGTTCTTTACGGTACTCCCCTGCCACCTTGGGACGGACACATTCGAGATGATGGCTCGTTTGTACCGGTTTGGAAGCAAGAAGTCACGGACGAGAGAGGAAGAAAACGCTTACACGGCGCCTTCACCGGGGGCTTCAGCGCCGGGTGAGCTTGCGGATCATGATCTTCAAGAACATGATGGCTAAAATGGTGGAAACAGATATTTTAACACAGTGGGCTCCAAGGAAGGATGGACCCCTTCTTCGTTCGTCTCCTCAAGGCAGAATCGAAGGAAAGATAGCCAGAAATCTGCTCAGCAGAGGCCTGAGGATTTCATGGATGAGGAAGACTTGCGAGAAGCCGAGGAATCGCGCACCTTGCATATGTCAAATGAGCTCGCCGGATTTGGCACAGACGAAGATTTAATACGCAAGAGTGCTGCCATTGACATCTTTCGACCACTCGATGAAACGATTGGCTCGAGATTATTGAAGAGAATGGGATGGAGAGAAGGTCAAGGCATTGGACCCCGTGTCAAACGAGTCGCAAATTTAGGCAACTACGATGACGAGCTCGACGAAACTGAGGAAACTCACCTGTTTGCTCCCGAAGATGTCCCAATAGTCTCTTTTCCACGCAAAATGGATTGCAAAGGACTAGGGTACGAAAGCGAGCTGGAGTGCGGTACAGACACGACAATGAAGGCTCATAGGAGACATGAAAAGCCTCTGGCGTCGACTGAGTCTTCTGATGACGATGACATTGGACCTCGGCTTGCCACCACGCGGAAGCCACTGCGACGGGACAGGAAGACAGGTATCGGTGTTGGCATTCTCAATGATGAAGGGTCTGATGACGATGACCCCTATTCCATGGGTCCGAAGATTTCGTACAACAAGGTCATAGGAGGGGATAAAAGATCGAAGGCCAAGTCGAAGAATCCTCTCAGTTCTACAAATCCGCTACTCAAAAATAAACCCACTTTTGTGTCCAAGAGGCTGGCAAACTTGAAGGGTGCGCTAAGGAAATGTCGCGATGGTCGGTTACCCCCCGACGGATTTGTATTGGCTGATCAGTTGGATTCTTTCGGCATGATGGCCATACGAGACGACCAGTACAAACCTCTCGAAGTGCCAGCAGGATGGAAATCATCTCTGTCCAAGGAAACGACAGCTGAACCTGCGTCCACTGTTGTCTCGATGGCTGAAGCCGCTAAATCCTCGAACCTAACTGCGAAAGCTCGTGCTTCTCTTTTGGGCGAGTCACAGCTTCCGGGGAAATCGGTCTTCGATTTCTTAACGCCTGCAGCTCGTGATCGGCTCGCTGTTGCATCTGGCCGTGAGAACCTCCCAGCGGCTAAGAGTGAACCACCTCCAGAAAGCTACGAGGCTTCGAAGTCCACACCAGAGTCTCTCCGAAGACTTGTCCCTTCATTAGATCGCGATGTGGCGCTTCATGCTCTCAACCGTGGAATTGGTGGTTGGATGCCCTATGCAGAAGATGAGAACAAGAGATCCAGGTACCGCGCTTATCTCGAGATACAGGCGGGTTTGAGGCAGAATGCAGGAGGCGATGATCTTCCTCCCCGTGCGGATGGTATGAGACAAGAGGATTGGGTGCTGGAAATGCATGAGTTCGCACGAGCAGCCCAGGTCTTCCAACCAATCAGCAGCTTGATGGCCAGCCGCTTTACTTCGTCTTCATCCTTGCCACAGAGTCAAAATGGCGAGTCAAGCACGGCATCTGCGGACTCGCTGCTGACCAGACCAAGTGCAAGGCCAGAAGATCCTGCAGAGTCGGCTGCCAAATTGGGCATGTTTGGACCGATGACACGATCAGTGTCCAATTTTTATCCATCCAGACTACTCTGTAAGAGATTCAACGTCCCTGTGCCCAATCCATCCAATTTTCCGGCTTCTGGGATGGGAGGCGATGTAACTTTGTCCGCCCAAGAGCAAAGCTCGGCAGCAACACCATTCAGGTCTTTCATGTCGGCAGGTCTTCAGCATGATGGCGCAGCTGAGACTAGTGACTCTAAGAGAGGCGGAGATTGGAGCGAAAAGCCCAAGTCTGAAGAACCAGACACAGAGCGAGATATGTCGGTAGCCTCAGCGGTGATGGACTCAGAGAGAAATGAAGCTCTTGAGCAAGAGAGGCCCGGACAGGCTGTTTTCAAAGCGATCTTTGGAAGCGATGACGAAGATGAATAGGAAGATGGGACCAGGTCGAATGTAACTTGCCCTCTTTTTTTTCTGAGCAATGAATTCTCCGTTCGAATTCAAATGATCGTAAACAGCTCAGGCCTGATGATTCATGACAAAGCTCAGTGCATGGGTCAAATTGTGGCTGTGACAATAGCTGGCAAGGCTGGCAAGGCTGAAGGCTAAAATGCGGCTCCCGACAGCCTCTCCCTTGGGACATTTTTTTGTCAGCGGCATCTAATTTTGTCTCAGACTTTGAAACATGAGGCCACATATGACATAGAACTGAGTTGATCTTCGCGTCCTTCTATCTCTTCCTTCTGAACCACTCACTCCAGTCATTCATTACTATTACATTCGTCAGCCACAACCCTTCACACGGAGTCCACCAGCAATCATGGCACGTCGAAAACAAGTCGCTCCCGTGCAACGAATCAATTCCGGCGAGATCATGCAGATGCCCTCGGACGAACCAGAAAAACGTGCAATCTACACCAATGGAGACATATCGAAAACTTCAAAGTCTACATCAAATCCACCTTCCTCCTCCTTTCCTAGATCGACGTCCCACGCGCAGCCTGCACAGGCTGGCATCCTGACCCTCATCATCTGCGTCAGTGGAATCTATACATCGTTTCTGACCTGGGGTCTTCTCCAAGAGCGCATAACAACCACACCGTACCCGATCGACGACTCCGCGCAGGCGCAATCAGAATATTTTCGTTTCCCCGTCGTCTTGAACACCCTTCAGGCCTTTTTCGCATTTACAAGCGGTAGCCTGTACCTGCTGTACAAGACAAAGTCCTTCAACATCCTCCCGTCGAAGGCTTCCCTCGTCCCTCTCCTCCTTGTCACATTAACGACGACCCTTGCGTCGCCATTTGGCTATGCCTCCCTCGCCCACGTCGATTACCTTACCTTCGTCCTCGCGAAGTCCTGCAAACTCCTCCCGGTCATGGCTTTGCATGTAACGCTCTTCCGTAAACGCTATCCGCTGTCAAAATACATGATCGTGCTCGCCGTCACCAGTGGCGTCGCTATTTTTACACTCTATCACCCGCCGAAACCGGGCAGGGAGCAAAAGCCGCAGTCCTCGAGCATCTATGGCTTAACTCTGTTGGGAATAAACCTGCTGTTCGACGGCCTGACGAACACCGTGCAAGATCATATATTCCAATCCCCAAGTCGCTATGGCAAGACCTCCGGGCCTCAGATGATGGTCATTTTGAATCTGCTCGGCACAGTGCTCATGAGCGTATATCTGCTCGCGACACCGTATATACCTGAGCCGTTCGTCCCGTCATTCGCCAAAATGAGTCAAACTCATGAACTGGCCACGGCCTTGTCTTTCCTCATCCGTCATCCAGCAGCCTTCTACGACGTCCTCGGCTTCGCGGCATGTGGCGCCATAGGCCAGCTCTTCATCTACGCGACTCTGGAGCGGTTCTCGAGCCTCTTGCTCGTCACGGTGACAGTGACCCGTAAAATGCTCACCATGGTGCTGAGCGTGGTGTGGTTCGGCAAAAGTCTCAGTCAGGGCCAGTGGATGGGCGTGGTGCTCGTGTTCGGAGGCATCGCCACTGAAGCGTATATTCAGCATAGCGAGAAAAAGGGAAAGAAAGGCGGAAACGAGGAGGTAGAAGGTAATAAACAAAAGCGGACATGAAAAGTTATAAAATGGAAATTGAGCAATCTGAATTGTAGCATAGAGATACCCACAAGAACAAAATTATATCTTGATGCTATATGCTCTCAATGGTATGATATGTTGCGTAAATGCCACTTGTCAAGTGCCTGCTGAGATGACAACAATGAACATGTACCTATATGAGATAGTGATGCTGGAAGCTAATGTCAAATCATGCATGTTTTGCTTCTATTGCCGTTTCAGGCCCAGTTTATCGCCGCCTTCGCTATGCTCAAAGTGCTCGACTAGTTGACAGCTGTTACATCAATACCGCCTTACTCCTCGAGACCGATGCTCGCTGCGTTTGCATTTGCGTGAGCAGCCATCTTGCTTGCGGCGTCGAGGTCCGCGAGTGCGAGTAGTACCGCGGGCGCCGCAGGTCCCAACTCGTTGATTCCCACTTGCACCGCTTGCGTGTAGTGCTGTAGGGCGATCGTGTAGTTGTTACGCATCACGAATAGCCGAGCCAGTGTGCGGAGGCAGCCCATGCGACTGTGCACAATGCCCGCGCTCAACGGCCGTACCTTAGTGCTGTCCTCGAGTGTCAGAGTCCGTTGCAGTGCATCGTTCACTAGGCACTCGGCTTGCACGTCCGGGTTATTTTGTGCGAGGCGCACTTTCGTCATCTCTAGCAGCGCCGTCACCGACATCAGGCTGTTCATCCCGTAGTTGACTTCCCAAATGGTCATAATCGAGGACAGAATCCGTGCCGCCTCGTCGGTTTGCCCGAGTTGCGCTAGCACACGTGCGAGATAGTAATACTGTCCGGTGGTTTGGTATGATGTTTGGCTGAAGAACTGCTCGTGTAGTTCGTGGACTTTGCGCTGGATCAGTTCACGCAGGCGAAGGGTTTGATCAAGGGGAAGGTCAAGACGCAGAAGTCGTGTGATGGGATGTTGTGCTCCAAGAATGGTCTGGGATATGCCTGCTGAAAATCGCTTGACCTGCCCACGGAGCCGTCCCAATTCATTGTCCGATGTATCAAGACTTAGATCCGCCAATACATAGTATAATTGCGGATGTTGCGATACCAAAAGGTGTTGAAGCGTAGGGAGCACTCGACCCAAGATCAATGATGCCGTGTCGATTCTGTCAACAGCCAGAAGGCCCCCTGCTGTAGTGATCGACCCGCTGAAATTCTCCATTTCGCTCATGATGTCGAATGCGGTGCTGCTCTCTTGTAACCGTCGAGACCAGGAAGTTTCAAACATGCCGCAGTAGAAGGCACTAGTTTGTGAGAGAATCTGCTCGATTTGCGATTCTTCTTTGGACAAGGTCATCACGGTGGAGGGGGCCATGCCAATACGCCATGATACATGCGAAGAGCCCGAACCTGGCGCTCGCCGTTTGGAAATGTTGGCTCGAAGTGCTGGCGTTGTGTGCGGGGATGAATGTCGGGGCTGGTCACGCACGAATTGCCCTCGCGCTGTATTCATGGCCTGTTTCAACACTGGGGGATCTATCTCGTCTTGATGAGGCTCTTGGGAGTCGTCCTCCACCAGCGGCAGATCCCTCCTCCGTGTGGGCATGGGAGAAACAGGAAAGTGCTCTTCATCTTCATTATCCGGAACATTAACCAACTCGCGAATGGTCAGCTTTCGTGTAGGATTTGCTTTTGCACTCGCTACCGGTGCTGTCGTTTCTCCTAGTCGGAAAGAAGGGTAGAATACACGTTGATTCCCGAGTGAAGGAACTTCAGTATCCGTAGAATGACCGCCCGCTGAACCCGCAGAATTAACGAGAAGGACCCTTGTAGGAGGGTGTATTGAATTGTCCGGATGGAGATGCCGTGAATCATGGTTTGTCCAAGGCCTAGATGGAGCTTCAGGCCTGACTACGGAACTCTGCCCCGCGTGTCGATGAATTTGTGTGATATTTTTTTTGCTCCGTGGATTTCCGGTGATCCAGGTGAATGATTTTGGTGTCCCGTCCTCCCTCGGAGGCATTTGTCGGTAACACCGCTAGAAAGCTAGGCAAAACCATTCGATCAGATCGGGATCGTGGAAATTGTATCTTTCGATCAGAGGGAGGGGGGGTTTTATGTCGGGTCTGCTCCAGGGCAGAAGTCGCTGAGAGAGAGAACCCACGGAAGTTGAATATTTCGGTCTCAAATAGATGGCATTCGAAGGGGCTTGAGCATCCAGATATCTTTACCTAGCATTGATCGTTCGGAGACTTCGTTATCCCAAATAGAAAGGTAGAAAAGCGCCCTCACTTTCTGGTTGGATAGTCTGTTGATTCCTGGCCTCGAGCTTAACTTGTAGCATGGCGCTGATTAATTTGTTACTAACAAGCCCACTTGACTTGGCTATTTGATATCCGACAGTCACCCAGCAGCGGACGGGCTTCTGGAAAGTATCGTTACGTACAGCGTTCTTATATGGGGAGGAAATCTGACTCGACCATGATGATTAGTCTGGATTTTGTAGTCTCTGTGTGGGCATCTCAATCTTGGCGAACGGGGGGAGAGTGTGGCAAGGCTGAAGCTCAAGGAATGAGGAGAACAACCTGGATCCATGTCCTCGGACGGAATGTCTGCCAGGGGATTTCAGATCAAAAAGAGCCAATATACGTTTCAGGGCTAGATTATCGCTTTTTGGTAGTCAAGTACACTTTAGTCCACCTTCCCATTCCGGTAATTCGGAAGAGTTTCCATGTGGCCTTGTGGGATATAAGTTGGATCGAGTTGATCATGACCAGATTGCGTCGTGGACAAATGGGTGATGCGTTTCTGAGTAATTGGGGACTTTGGCTCGCCACATTGGCAGACGAGCAGGAACGATCCCGGTGGGTACCGTCGGACCGCCTCGGGTTTTGGGCGGAATATCCTCCTTGGTTCCTTGGGTAGCAGTTGCTCTGCGGACATTGGTACAGCAATATTGGAACTCACCCATAGGTTGTGATGGTATTGGGGCAATGTGCAGACGCTCCAGAAGACTCTACCAAGATATCAGAGTGGGAGCGCAGGTAGAAAATCTGCAGAATTTCCTCTTAAGGAATGTGCACCAAAGCCATCCTTTTGGTTCGTACAAGGCAATTAACCTCGAAACATTTTTATTTCCCTTCTGAGACTGCCGAATCAGTGTCAGCCAGCCAATATTTTCCTCAGCAGGGCGAGCCGCTCCGTGCGCGGATTGGTAAGCCGGCAGACGTGAAATGAGGGTTATACTGGTTGCAGTCATGAGAACGCCAATCGCGGCTTTGAAGCGACGCGAATCGTGATTCTTTCCGAGACGGTAATCATGATGCTGTATTGAGAATGACGTCGTTCCCACTGAAAGCTTGTTCATCTTATGTTCGAGTATGAGCATTTGCTTCGTGCGTTTGCAGAAGTAGAGGCAGAAGCTCTCTGTGCCTTGTATCGAAGCATGACAAACATAGTGGGGCTGTCAGCTGGCCCTTGCATACCTGTGGCAAAGTGGTCCGAGCATTGTTATAGGGTTGATGTTTCCTTGCCCTCAACAAAACTGGAGCATTCGAACTTTAGTCAGTAGGATCTTACTAGTCAGCAATTAAGGCACCTCTGCATCTTGAGCAGAGGCTTGAACTCGATGCATCGATTAGATACGCCGGAGGAGGGCTATAATGATGAGATCCATGGCTCGAACCGATCAATGCATTCTGAAGAATGGTCGCACTGGAGAAGGGTTTGTCAGAGAACATCTGGTATTCCAAAATGCAAGAACTGTCAGGTTATTGAATCGAGAGCATCCAAGTCGCTGTCTCGAGGAAAGAGGCTGTACTAAATAATAGGCTCGACTACCCGAAATGGTGCTCTCAATTGGGCGGAAATGGACGTGGGGTCGAAACTATTTGTCTGGAGCCCTACCAGAACCGAGTTTACCGACTGGAGATCGACACAGGCCCCTCGAAGACGTTCGGATACTTGACACAAACTGGCACATATGAGATGACCCGCAGATAGACGGACCACCGAGGGGCATCGAGAAAGACGATGAGGAAGTCAAATTTGAGATGGAAGCGCACATCGTCCGATGAGGAAAGTGCGCCGAGGCCACTTCAAAGTCGCCTCATTCGGGTGATTTCACTTCCATGATTCACCTCATCTCGACTTGATGAGTGCGAGATCCCTCCATCAACTTAGTCCAACCCACCTTCCAGCTATTTCTCAGACATTATGCAGGTACTGACCTCTTTAGAAGCCGCATCGACGCTCCTGTGACCTCGCCAGGTCCCTCTCAGTCGCAGGATGCCCGATCATCATGAACCGATTCCCTGTTGATTATGCCACTCATAACCTGCCGTTGTTGTTTCTGTCCGGATTGGACACAGGGAACCAGACAGAACAAGATCTTTCCGGTCGGACACATAACTTCTTGCATGAGGGTGGGTTCAGAATCAAGGTAGACCTTCCAGTGGTCCAGGGCCCGCTGGCGAGGCGGCTGCTCCAAGCCTTTCGCGACCAAGATGGCTCTAATATCCCATGGCACTCGCACGCTCTGCTCTCCAAGAATGGCCGCGTGTTCAAGATATTGACCGTTGGACGGGTAGGTCAGAGCTCTCCCAAATTATCCTGTGGAGGGAAATGTGGCGTCGCTGCCCAATTCTCCATGCTGACATCGGAGATAGGTGTACACCCTTCCCCCCCGTAAAGCGCCTCCGCCTCCTCACTCCCCTCGTTTGTCAGCCACCGTTGCAAATGGAAGTCCTCCATCACCACTCGTGCTCCATTCTCCTTTGTCACCTTTGACCCCTAGCTCACCATTGTATCCTGACGGCATCATATCCTCGTTGTGGATAACGAAACATCAGTCTCGACTACCATGCGCCTTTTTTGCCTGCTTCTCGTTCACATCTGATCCCAACACGAGCTCTCTCCGGGACAATAAGTTGAAAGCCGAGATCAACCATATTCGCAGTGTTTTCTCATCGACCCATTATAAGACTAGGCTTGTGGTTTTGTTACTGGGTGATGGTAACATTAGCCCTTCGGATGCCGAAGATCGCTTCAACAACATTCGACGTGCCACCGCACTCGATGGGAGAAGCATTCACTTTCTGCCTTATGATTCCTCATCCCTCCAGGTCGTGGATTTTGTCAATTCGGTCTTATCCATTCTCCATCCTTTCTGTGTAGACTATTATCGAGACCTTTCAAAGCATGCTCGTCGAAAGCGTAATAGAAATTCTGTCCCCCCGCCCACTGTACAACCAGGGACCTCGCGTGTATTGTCACTACGAGGTTGGAATGTCCGGTACGAATTCAAACTCGGCGTTTTGGCCGAGTTTCGACAAGAGATGGATGCGGCTTGTCGAAACTATGAGACCGCTTATGAGAGTCTCTTTGGCCCGGAGATCATAGATGCCATTGCCATTTGGAGCCCGCGGTTCAACGAAGCAAGATTGCTGGCTGACATTATTGCTCTTCGCACCATCAGGTGTCTCCTGTGGACAGATCAAGGAACGACAGCGGTGAGGTCCTGGATCATGCACAGGAACCGAGTCAGGGACTTGGTCAATCGCCGAGGCAAAGGGACCGAAAGCTATGGATGGGAGGCCTGGCAGACCGCGTGGGCAATGGTCATGGCGGATTTGTTGTCCAGATCGGAATATCCATTGCTCAATATCAAGATTCCCGGAGTTCCTGACATCCTTCCCATTTTTGCTGGTGTCGACAAGTCTCTTCCTGCTGGTGAGCGTTCGACTCCATGGGAACAACTCCCTCATGAAGGGTATTGGCTCGATATGGCCCGGAGAAGCACCGTTGCCCGTCGCAAGTGGGCTCTACAAATTCCTGAGGAAGACAGACAGCCTCCAGGCCGGTCACCTGCATCGATGGTTGCGAGCAAGGCCCACCTCTATGATACGTATTTAGCACTCGAGCCATACCGTGAAGTTCCCACTGATGGAACCACTGGATACAAGTACGAGGAAGAGATCATGGCTACATTGGACACAGCTATCCAGCACTTTGCAAAGCGAGGCCAGGTACGGAAGATTGAGGTCTTGGGACTTCAAAAAGCACTTGAACAGATCGAAATGGGGTCCTGGGCGGATGCCATTTCGACACTGCGGCCTCTCTGGTCGAGTCAGAACTGGAGGACTGCTGGGTGGTGGAAGTTGTTACAACTACTCGGCTGGACTCTTCTCGACTGCCTTGCTAAAGTGAAAGAGCCCGAGCTGGTGATCCAACTCCTATGGGAACTTTCGAACAACGTTTTCGACAGAAAGCCGGGAATTGATTATGATTTGCGCCACGCCATCACGGCACTTGGCGTTGATGGCGCTCATCCTTCTGTCGCAATTGACATGGACCGAGCCTTGTCACCGCTTGTCCCAAGCTTTGCATTCTCCACCCACAATGTGTTCGTGGGAGAGCCGCTGGAGTGTCAACTGTGCATTCAATCGCGAGCGCAGACAGGACTTCGCCCGATTCAGTTGACCGAGGTCAAAATTGTGTTCGAGGGTGGTCTGAAGCCTGTTTACCTGGTCGCCGGAGAAAGTCAAGATGCCGAGGCTACGTCCTCAGGTGCTGAATTTGTTGATGTTTGTCTCCAGGAGTCAACCTCAAGCACGTTGTCGAGAAATAAAAGGTCCTCCGCGGGAAGTATTGCATCCCAGACGGGTAGGACTAATTTGACAATACCCTCAAATCATACCACAATCTTCCGGTTTCGTGTTGTGCCACGGGAAGCAGGTGAGATATCGATTGCTTCCATCACACTCTTGTTAGATGAGGACGATTTCTCACTCGCCGTTACCACGTCAGATTTCGAGCACGCCGTTGCTCAGTGGTGGGAGACAAAGGGTGGCAACCCCATTGCTCGCCCGCTTGGGCAAGAATCTAATGCATACAACAGAATCAATGTTCAGCCCAAACCGCCAAATTTGCAAATTGAAGCATTGGGTCTCAGAAGAACATATTACACCAGCGAGTCCATAAGCATCGACTTGGACATTGTCAACCACGAGGAGGACGACGCAATTGTATCCATCGAGTCACGGATGATCAGTCCGGTTGCAGGTGCTGCGCAAGTACGGTGGAGCGATTCAGGAGCGGACCATGCTCCAGGTACAGCTTCGGCATCCAGCATCACGGCACTGCCTCCTAGAGAGCTTGGAACGATCCCATCCTCGGGGAAAAAGGCTATTTCGCTGCGAATTACTGACACAGTGATCGCTGTGGATCATGAAGTTGAAGTTATCGCGACCTATAGGCTTACCTCGGAGCCCGAAACAATCCTAACTAAAAGTGTGACGATCGATGTGGGAATCATACGTCCTTTTGAAGCCAACTATGAGTTCACACCGCGGCTAGACGATGATCCATGGCCAAGCTTCTTTGAGGCTCCCCCTTCCGATGCTGACTCTTCTAGCGCCCTTGGGTTAAGACATAAGTATTCCGTCGCAGCAAATCTTTATTCATTTGCCACGGAACCTCTTGTCATCGAAGCCATCTTGCTTACTGCACACAAAATTGCTGGGGGGGCGATTTGCTCATCAAGCAACGGCATCGTGAGAGCGAAAACCAACTCACCAGAAACTGGAAACCAGATTGCGATCCCATCGTTGATACGGCCCGATCAAACGGAATGCTTCGACTTGGAGTTGTCTGTTCAAAAACTGACTCTCGGTGACCGGCACACGGTGGGAGTAGATCTCGCACTCGAGATTGGATGGCATCGGCAAGATTCACAGGAGATCACCACCACGGTCCTCGAAGTGCCGAGATTGGTGGCCCCAATGGCGGAACCTCGTGTCATGCTTAAGACGTCGGAAACATCTCTAAGTTCTTCGAATGTCCCTGCGCATCGTCTGACTTTCATGATCGAGAATCCAAGCATGCACTTTCTTACATTCAACGTGGCGATGGAGGCGAGTGAAGACTTTGCCTTCAGTGGACCAAAGGCGTGCGCCCTCAGTCTGGTCCCCATAAGCAGGCAGACCTTGACATATCGAATACTACCGAATAAGAAAGATGAATGGATCGAGGTCCATTTGAATGTGGTCGACGCTTATTTTGGACAGACGTTGCGAGTTCTGCCTGGCGGAGATGGCGTCAAGATGGATAAAAAGGGCAATGTATTGATCAAGGTTTAAGACGACCAGTGCTGGTGCTGATGCCCCTATCAACGACGAAACTTTTCGGTTGTAAGATTCCTTTAGTGGACTTTTATCGTTTGCTGCTGTACTCGTAAACGGATGAACAGGGGGCGGCCAATGCCCTTCCGTGCAGCCTCGTTAGCGAAAATCCAAAATGCTAAACCCGCGTCACGTCATGCCAAGCCCCTCTTTACCTCCAAGGTCAGGCGAATTTTCAAGTTTGAGTTCCCAACCTGATGTCCTTTCTATGAGGCCAGGCTATCAATTTCACCAATGGAGAAAATACAGAATTATATCGCCAGCTTGACCGGCCAGGAGAAGATTGGCTTCATTGACACGTCGCAGCCTTCGCTCTATGGTAACTTTTGAACCTTGGAATCATTGGTTCTGCAACAGGGCACTGACAAACCTGAAGTCGCCGCGGCAGCCATAGCATTCAATCCCATCTTCTGGAAGTAAGTACTTCTGCTCAGCAACACGACTCTACTGACGATAGCAGTATTGTCGCACGACAAGGCAAAGATGTTTACCCCCGAGCAAGCCTCTCACTGACGTGGTCAGAGTACAAAACCCACTTCTTGACCAAGATATTCCGCTCTCCTTACCATGGCTGTTATGCATTGGCCGTGGTAATCTTCACGATCGGCATTGTCCGGGATTCTCTGTACAAGAATGCGCTGGATGACCAACCACTTTATCCAGCCTTGTACCACCCGGCAGTGGGCGTGGTCCTGTTTCTGATCGGCAATGTCCTCGTGCTCTCCAGCATGTGGGCGTTGGGGATCACCGGAACGTACTTGGGCGACTACTTCGGTATCTTGATGGACCAGAAAGTCGAAGGATTCCCATTCAACATCGCGGGCGCGCCGATGTACTGGGGAAGCACGTTGTCGTTCTTAGGAACAGCACTGTACAAGGGTCGTACGGCGGGGGTGTTGCTCACTCTGGAGGTGTTTATCATGTATCTCATTGCCTTGCAGTTCGAAGAGTAAGTTCGGTTGCAAATCTGTGTGCTTATTGATAGGACTTTGCTGACCTTTTTCCCAGTCCCTTCACGGCCGAGATATACGCGAACAAGGAGGCTAGGCCGGTGACTCGATCCATGACGAGACAGAAAGAACGCAAGAAGGCATGATGGAGAGGACAGTCGATATGGACAGGGAGAGTTACAGGGTGACCGAGAGATTCGCCGTTCGGCCCTGTGGAGTTATGATACGACTGCATAGCGCGGGATTCATCACCAACGGAAAGATGAATTAGATCAAATTGCATAGAAACGAGAGTGATAGAAGAGGCACGTCTGTGGAGGTGTTCAACACAGCCTCAAAAATACCTAGTATCAAGCGAAAGACCAGTCGCCCACCTTCGCCTCATGACTAAGCTGGCTAAGTCGCTTGTCGCTTTGCTCGCCCTCCGCCAACCTTCTGCTTCCCGAGCGATTCCCCAAGTGCTCGTAGAGGTCTCCCTGAGCCTAGCCGTCCCTCTTCATTCCAAATACCAGCATTTGTCATCTGTCGACGATAGAATCCACTTTGAATGCTGGGTATCCCAATCCGGCTCCCTCAAATCTGCCTAGACTACTCTCCGTAGGGTCTAATAAGCCGTAAATTCATGAGAAGAGAGCCTCTATTAAGCGGCAATCGCTTTTATTTGGGCGCGGCCTGCCTCTGTCTCTTGGCCTGGACTTGAAGTCGTGCCAGGATCCTCTCATAACCTCGTTCGCTTGCCACCATTAGTGGCGTCTTCTGCGTGAAGTCCAGGATTAATACATGGGCATCGGCATTTAAAAGCAACTCAACCACCTCCTCCTTGCCTCCTTGACATGCTAGACGGAGTGGTGTCCTCCCAAGATCATCAATCTCATTAACGAACGCTAGACCGAGCAAAGTCTTCACGATTTCGGTGTGACCTTTCTCGGCGGCTAGATGCAGGGGCGTCCTTCCAAGGTCATCAATCACATTAAAAAAGGCCAAACGAATCAAGGACTTCACGGTTTCGGTGTGGCCTTTCTCGGCGGCCAGATGCAGTGGAGTATATCCGTCACGAAGAGATGCCAGGTCAGGATTCGCACCTTCCTCCAGGAGCAAGTCGACAACATCTGCATGGCGGTTCTCTGCAGCCTCATGTAAGCAGGTCACCTGGCTGTCAGCGATAGCATTGACTTCCGACCCAGCAGCTATTAGGAGAGTGGCAACGTCTCTTCTCCCTTTGGATGCGGCAAGCGATAGCACATTGGGTTCATGGTAGGTAGGCGTGTCTAGGGGCATTCCAGGGACTTCCTTGAGCAGGAATTTAACAATGTCGACGTGACCACCCCTCACGGCCCTCATCAACGCGGTGCTGGGAATGCTGTATCTCTCTTTGTCCCATGTCTGCAAGCCTGTAACGATCTTGGACTTTAGGGCTTGCCTCCTGAATGAGAGCCACTAATTCGGTGCGGCTCCCCATTCTGCGGAGTTCGGAACTCGGACTAACGCGTTTATATTGACAAGCACTTCCAAAAATGCTCGGTTGACTCCATCCTCCTCGCTTGGCCACTGCGGAAGACACCTGTCCCACTCTTTAAGGCAGCGCTCGACCTGGGCTGGAATGGCAGCGAGGAGCTCCTCGACGATTTCAAGATACCCGGACTCCGCGGCAAAATGCACTGCCATATCTCGGTTTCTGTTCGTTCGATATACAAATGACCCAGCCTGGATAAGGCTCTGCACGATGTGGAGATGGCCTCTCTTGGATGCCAAATGAAGAGCGGTCACGCTCAGATGGTCCTGGATGTCAATTGCGGCCGATTGCTCCACAAAGTCTAGTATTTGTGTGGTGACGCTAGATCTTCCCCGCTCAGATGCAAAATGCAAGGCTGTCCTGCCTTCGTCGTCCTGTTGGAAAACTTCTTGATCTCCTATGCCACTATGTAGCAGGGTATGCACCGTCTCATCGTGCCCCTCCTGGGCTGCAAGATGTAAGGCAGTTTTCTGCTCACCGTTGACTTGAAATCGAACCCCAGCAGCGACAAGTTTCTGGGCCACGGCCGAATTGCCCTTCTGCGCGGCAAGATGTAAGGGTGAATTTCGCCATTTGTCCACGGCGTCAAGATTTGCCCTCGCCGCTATAAGAGCTTCCAGGATGTCCAGGTCGGCGTGTTCAGCCGCATAATGTAGAGGTGTCTGGTTCTGTTCATCAGTAAGCTCCGTATTCGCTCCTGCTGAGAGGAGTTGCTGAACAGTGTTCAGACATCCTGACAATATTGCCAAATGGAGAGGCGTTCTCCGAGTATCGTCCTTAGAATTCAAATCTGACGTATTCAGGATATATTTCGTCATATCTTTCCCATCTCCGGCTGTCCAGTGAAACACATTATATTTCGGACTGGCACCAACTTGGAGAAGCAATTCAACAGCTTCGAGATTTTTAGTCTGCACAGCAAGGTGAAGGGCAGTTCTCCCGTAGTTGTCTCGAGTGTCCAGCGGAACACCATGCTGTATAAGCTTCTCCACGAGAACTTTGGTCGGAAGTGGCTGACTTTTTTCCCGAAATATGGCAGCATGAAGGGCGCTACCACCTTGAAATCCGCGATGCCCTGGCCGTGCTCCATGTTTGAAGAGTAGATCGACCACTTCCTCCTGACCGTGGCGCAGATACGCTGCTGCGACATGAAGGACGGGTCGACCCATCCAGTCTGGTAAGTTTTGATCGATCTTTGTCCTTTCAAGCAACATCCGGACGACGACCCTTCATAGCCGCGAAGCGCATGGGAGTGCGTTTCCACATGTCCAGTTTCATGGCATCTATGCCAGCAGCGAGTAACATTTGCACCACTTTAGTATGCCCATTACCTGCAGGTTTGAATAAGGCTGTCTCCCACCGCCGATCTAGGCTATTTAAATTCGCACGATGAGCAATGAGCAGCTCCACGATGTCAAGATATCCTTTCTCGGCCGCAAAATAGGGCGGTGTTCTCTGTGATCTATCAATTGGATCGACGTCGACTTTGGGGTTGTTGAGCAAGTATCCAACCAGATCCTTGTTTCCAGAAATGCAGGCTCTGTGTAAGGCGGTCTGGCCGAGGAAGTCTGAGTGAGACATGTCGGCTCCAGCTTCGCAGAGAAACTTCACCATCTCATTCCTCCTTCTACGAGCGGCCTGTACCAATGGCTTGCCACAATGTGCGATTAAAGACCGGTCTCGGGACAACAGAGCCTGAACGACATCAGAGTGCCCATTTGCAATTGCAAGTCCGAGAAGTGTCTCGATTGCGTTAGTCTCAATCTGGATTGTGGCATGGTGTTCTAGCAGAACCTCGACACATCCTATCCATCCAAGCTGGCAGGCAATGTGCAGTGGCGTGAACCCATACTTGTCTTGAACATCAATGTCGCCTTGACCGCGGCCGAGGAGTTCTCTGAGAGCAGCAGTGCGGCCTCGTTGCACTGCTTTGTGGATTGGATATGAGCCATGCGTATCAGGTATATCCGTGCGGGCTCCTTTGCTCAACAACTCTTGGACAATGCGTGGGCTGTCCTGTCCGGCTGCAATGTGCAGTGGAGTGCAGCCTGCTGCGTCACGCGCATTAATGGCGATCAAAAACCGGAGCCCGACATGCCACAAATTGAAGTGGACCGCAATGTGTAAAGGGGTAGGATAGCAGACCACTGCACTCTCAAGCGAGAACTGGACCCCAAAACGGCTGTCCACGCTCGCACGAGCCTCGAGCCAGAGCTGGAATGCCTGCTCCTCGCAGAACGAGATGATGACCTTTCTCTCCTTCTCCTTGCGCATGATCTGTTCCTCAGATTCCGCAGTGTGCGCCGGCCACTCTCGCACCGCATAATCGTACAAATCATCGCTGCTCAAAGATTCAGAGTCCCTGTCGTCATTGCGTCCCAAAGAGACACGAAGGTACGTCAGGCACGTCAGCGCGACTTCCGCATGGCTTTCAACGAGTTGAACACGGAAGGGGAGGGGGCACTCTACACTCGAGTCGTCTTCAGAGTGTTGGCCTAATAAAAACTGTGTAACTGTGGTGTGAACGAGACGCACGGTGTCATCCTGGAGAATCTCTATCAATGGGAGGCCCCCTTTGAGCAGAAATCGTCGGAAGCGAGACCGGTCCGTTCCAGGTTGAATATCGCGAGGTTGCAACTCGAAACTTTGCTTCCGCTGAATTGCATTACGAAGCGTGTGAACTTCCCAAAGTCCATCGACTGTCAGTGGTCGCCTGCACGTAACCAACCATTGGAAGATCCTCTGAGCAAATTTCCTATCGTCGATCTTATTCAACACGACTTCATATACCTTTCCAGGCTTTGTGGGCAAGAAGTCTAGCTCTCTGACTATGTCCACATCGTCGGCAGCTTTGTTTTCAAGAATATCGAGCATCAACCTTGCATAGAGTATCATTCCCTGGGGAAATTATCAGATCAGTGAACATTTCGGCGCTGAACTTACCGCATACATTAGATTTCGCCATCAGTTCCTCCTCTATCCGTGCCTTCACTTTCTCCCAAGCGGACCCGGAACCTTGCAGGTCTTTGGAGTTTTGAAGTCGAGTTCGAATGAACAGTCTGATGTCCTCATTCGATTTGTGAACAAGAGAGTTGAGCTCAAGATTGATATGGAGTCCAATTTCGGCCGCGTCTCTGATCCTCTGTTCAGGACGACTTGTTATGACAGTCCTGAGGTGTGGGAGCCCGTTTAGCTCTCCCAACCAGTCTCGTAATACATCAGGATCGCTGTCTGGGCATTCATCAAGAGCATCGACGACAAGGAATGTCGGTCCAACCTTAGCCAGGATTTGCCGCATGGCAACTTTAGACCTCGCACCCTTCAAATCCCCCAGGCGCGTCTCTTCATACCGTACAATCTCAAGGCATTCAGCTTTGAGCTTCTCACTGGTGTCTCGATTCCTGTCGATCAATTGGAGGAGCAATTGGTGAAGAATGGTCTGATAGAACACCCTAAGGGACCATAGCCCCTTTACCTCCGCGCTCTTCGAGTCAAAAAAGAAATGCATCAAGAAGTCATTTTTACGTTTCAAGTGTTCGCGAATGTACTGATAAATTTTCAGTGATCGAATTTCCATCCTTAATCGTTGTTCCTACTTACATGTGCAGTGAAACTTTTGCCCGACCCGAAAATCCACAGTAAATTCTTCTCCGCTCCCCATTCCTGAAACTCACGCTCTTGCTCAATCCATTGACATGTGCCCGGGGTGAATTTCAGTCGGTATTCGTTATTGATTGATTCGAAGTCACAGGGTTCCAGCCTACGTAGCATGTCCAGATTTTCACGCCCTTCAGGTCAGAAGTGTTATCGGACGGATACCTTCTCGTATTTTTGATAAAGTGAACTGGTAAATTACCTTCTTGATCGCGTTTCACTATTTCCTCAATCATCATATCGATTTTACCTTCCACTATTGTGTTGTGTTAGAACTCGGATGGGGACGCCGCAAAAAGCCCAGACCTCTGGAATGATCCTACGTACACTGTTTCGCCCATGACGGCATGAAAAACACCCTTTGCGGTTTGAGGACGGTTCAGCAGCTCTCTCGCGTAGGCTGTAGCTGCAAGAGCAGCATATTTATGCCAATCATCATTCTTGTGAGAGTCCGAGTAATCACATATTCCCCGTATCACTAGGCAGGGAAGCTTATTCACCAGACCAGCAGCCTCCATTTCAAAACACAGAACACGAAGTTCCCGGTCTTTGGCGTATCGATCCCTCATCTTCGCATCCCTGACGACAGCGTTTCCAGACGCGATGGTTCCGTAATGGACCGTGACGTTACGGAGACTTTTGCGTGCTGGGCGCTGGACCAATCCATCACTACCACAATTCTTGCAGCTTTCTTCCTCCTCCTGATCGCTCTCCTCATCGTTAAGCGGGCCTCTATGTTCGTAGTCGGCACGATACAACCGATCCTGTCCCGGACATTGATAGTCTGGCATGTCGTCCATCCGCTTCATGTGCTCGGATATTCTATCGGGCTTTCGGGGGTCGTCATAGGGCCGTCTCACTTCTTGAATGACACCCAGCAAAACACTCGGAGGAGCGTTCAAATGGCCGGTTCGTTCGAAATTACCGTTCGGTAACCTTTTCCCGAAGTCGTACTGCACTACCCCAGGCTGCTGCCCATCAGGCACGCCCACCACCACGTCACCGAGGCGGATATCTCTCTTCTTCGTCGGAGCCGCTCCTCCAATGCCTACCAGCAAAGCACACTTCAGGCTGGGAAATGATCGGACCATGTCGTTGGCGACACCGGCAGCATTGCTGTTGCCTATACAACCAGTCGGCAGGCATCCAATCACTACATTGTGTCCACCGATCCTACCAAAGACGTATATCGTATTGTCGTTGGCACCAAGCTCATCAGGACCAACGAACTCTTTATCCAGCATTCGACATGCAGCCTGATACTCTTCCTGCAATGCACAGATCCAGCCAATCGTGTATGCCTCAGCAGGAGGTGATCCATGACTCGGGGTTTGCATGTGGTCACCAAGAGGGTGATTGGTCGGTACAGAGGAGACGGTTGCTTTCTGGATTTCAGACATCGAGAAGCTGGGTGGTTTGTGCAGTAAGCTCTGAACGTCCCGGTGGTAATGTAATGATGTGGAGGGTTTAGAGCCGTCGAGAAGCTCTACAACCCGCCCTCTTGACAACGAAGGGTTCTCAACCATCTTCATGTGGATGACGAGAAAGATTAGCTTCTCATGGGAGGTGAAATCGATTGGTATGGAGTTAGATGAAGAGTATTTGGGCGATGCTGCTGTGCGAAACCCCGTATCGGTTAGGGTCACCAATGTTGCGGCGCTTGAGGCCTTCGACGGTACATGGAGACCGTGTTTCCAGCTACAAACCTGCACCCAGGTAAGAGATGATTTTCGTCGTCAGTCTATGAGAGAGGGTTTCAAGTTTAGAATCAAGAACGTTGGTTGTTCTGAAGTGGTGCACCAAGCTATGTCCTCAGCTGAGGAGAGTGGGCATGCAGGGCGGCTATCAATCCCACAAGAGTTGATCCCATGGCGATGGCGAACAACGCTGTCGACTGTCGGATGCAAAATCGATTCGGTCTGCTCCTGCCTGTACACCGGTTGGGCCCTGGTTCGCTGTCAGGGATTGGTTGATTTTCGCCCCCCCCTCAACCTATACGATCTTGGTCCCTTGGATTCCAGTAAGTGCACGATAGCGGCAACAGAGGTATAGGGGTTCCCAACACGTGAGCCAATGGGATAATGTCACAATCGTTCTTTGCAGCTGTCAGCGTCTTCATTTGTGATCATCGTTGGAAGGCCTACAGTAAGAGGACACAGTCGGAGCAGATCGAGCCTGAGTTGTCCTCAGCCTGAGCATCCGATCCCTAGGTCACGAACCATCCTCCCTGGAATGCGCCACCCTCGTCCATTTGCACTTCGTCTACCTGAAGGCCCCTCCAAGTCATGAGTCCTTCGCTCGTAACTTGCCTGCCAGAGATTTCATAAGGCACACCCTTCCTCGATTGTCCCTTTGCCGCGTTTTGTGGTTGGGGAATCGCCTTCATGGCTTGAATTGCCGTTCTGAGCAGTAACATGACCGATAATGCGCTTGGGTGTAGAAATGAATTTGAAACTTGAGGTTCCTTTTCCACGGCGAACCCGAGCTAGCGGAAATGACAGCAGTGCTGGGTTACGCTACTGTGAGTCTTTGAGAGATAGATTTTACTGCGGCTGCGGACAGCATGTGGCGGGATGTGCCGATCCTTGCCAATCCTGTACCTTTGGCGTCGCCCTAGTTTAATGGGGCCTTCTAGGCACCTCTTGGGCATCTGACCACGATTTCTCTCAATAGCTTTTTGGCTCTACGATGCGCTCTACTAGAGTGCGATGCATAAGGAATTTTAGGTAGTAGTATAGCGGCAGGGTTTGCCGGATTCACTCAGGCTGATCTGAATAGTTGATTGGTATGTGTAGCCGTCCGCTCCCCACGGGAAGGCGGGGGGCTCAGCATGCTACTTGAGGGAGGGGAGCTCGGTGAGGCTCTGCTAAAGCCCAGGCTAAGGCTTTCGCTCACTCTCTAGGATCAAACCGTACATGGCGAATAAGGTTTTTATTCGCGAGTAATCCAGGTGTCCTTTGCTCACCCCCGCGCCCCTTGAGGTGAGCGCTATCGATGGAGTTATGCTCCGCCATACCAAAATTAGGCTTTTGTAGGGTGAACCTGAATGATGCAAAATGCACTTGCGGTTTGGCGCGCGCCCCAGTCGGCCGTTGGATGAGGAGTAGAGAAGCAGCGAGATCGACTGACCGTCCTTTCGTTCTTCGCCCACCCGACGATATCATGTTTTCGCAGGCGGACTACTGTTCGCATCTGGGATTTGATCAATCTACATGAATTTGACCCACTGCCATCCCTCCATTTCCCGCTCACTGCACCCTGGTATACTGCTCTCTTACCGACGGTCGAGTGCCCTACCACTTCCTCCTATCTTCAGCCAACACAATGCCTCCGCAACACGTTGAAATTGCAGAGACAATCGCTGCTCTCAGAAGGACTCTGCGACGCGAGAGAGAAGGTACTTTGCTGCCTCTTTTGCTGTGTTAGGCGTGACTGTTGAACTTTTGTGCTAATCCATTCTCCGCATCCAGCTCCTACAGACCAACCTATCTCTTCGGCAACGAACAGAGGAAACAAGTTGAAACGTGGAGCAAACTACGTACACGCGGGTGCTCTCCCTTATCTCCATGGTCCAGACGGTTACAAGCAGGTGTGTGCAAGCAACATGCGCAAAGCAGACTCAAAGGATCTGAGGCTCACGGGGCCTGCAGAAAATTGAACACGCTGGATATTCGCGATACATCTTGGACTATAATCCAAAACGATACAATGAATATGGCGACGAACTGGAAGATAGCGAAAGCGACGCTGAAGCAGATGCCGACGCCGAAGACGAGAACCCGTATAGCAATGTTCGCATCGAGGGTAATGTCTTCACCCCCCCACCAAAACAACAACCAAAAAAACACGCACCCGTTCACCTGGTCTAATAACCTCTACTGACTGGACTCATGTAGAGCTTTTGTGTCCCCTGAAACATCCATCCGATCTTGCAAGGCACCCGACCTTGTCCCTCCCGTTCCTCGATAGTGCCCTTCCTGACATGGTGAAGTCGACAGAGGACAAGCTGCGGCAAGAGAGGGTTAATCTTTGGCGCGCCAAAAACCTAAGCAGACAGTTCATGGGTGATGAGTCGTGGATGCCTTGCGGTAGAATGGAGGTTAATGACGACTGGGACATGTTCGAACCAAAGCCAAGGTCGACTACGCCGTGCGCAAGCAAGAAGCGGAAACGAAATACTGAAAATGAAGCCGCCCCAAACGGTATAAATGGACATGACTACAGTGACGTGGGTGAGAATGGTTTGGCTATGCAAGATGCCGTCGACGCCCAGTTATCAAATCCTGAAGAACAGGCGGAATCACATTCCAAGAAGACAGGCAAGTCTGAACGAGAATTAGAGACGGAAACCGAACTGGGTGCGACCGATGGAGTAGACGTGACTGAAAGAGGCCCGGCCACCACAAACGGGGTTCATACCAACGAAGATGCTCACACATCCCAAGGTGAACCGGGGGAGAAAAAGGCCAAAGAGAATAATGCGCTGGAATCGAAAAGCGGAGCACCAGAGAGTATGGAAGTAGACACAGAGGGTCACGGCAATGATGGCGCATCCGAAGACGACACAGAACAACCACAACCAACGCGGAGGATTACTCGATCACTTGCAGCCGAGCACAATAGCTCAAACGCCCCCACTCCTCTATCACGGCGCTCGACCAACTCCTCCATCGACTCCTCGCTGCTGCAAGCTGATCCGTTGTTCCTCCTCCCTCCGTCACTAGCAGCCAACCATCGAGCGCCTCGCAATCTATCCCGACTTGGACTCCCTGTCGAAGAGTTTATCGAAACACGGCGCCTCCTGATGATGTTCATTCAAAAACAAGAAGAGAGTGTTCGGGGGTATGAAGCCGTGCTGGCCAAATTAATCAAAGCGAAGAGAATGCGGGATAATGTCTGGGACTGGTGCAAAACTGAGGGACATGTAGGGGAGTGGTCTGACGGAGAAGACTGGATTGACGCCGAAGCTTGGGGCCTCGCACCTGATGAACTCAAAAAAGGCAAAGATGAGGAGGAGGTTGAGGGAGCGGAAGAAACGGGGAGAAAAGGGAAGAGGAGGAGGCGAGATTAGAAGTCTACCACCACCACTCCTGGAGTAGGGAGACCTACCAGGGCTAGCAGGCGGCTTGGGAGGATACAATAAATGTACAATGATAAAGATACACTCGAATCTGAAGTCCAAAACCACCATTTTTCCATTTCTTCCGGACTCGGATTCGCGCTCCCTTGCTCTGAAAAAGTCACTGAATTGATTCTCGTGCATATACAACATCGTCAAACGCCGTTGACCTGGCACGCCGTGGAGGAAACAATAGACTCCCCTCAACCCCGTCCCAGCCCCGAATTGGTCTAGCCCCGTCCGCATTGCCTTATCTCTCCCAGTGCGTGGCTTAGCCTAGCCAGCAGTAGGAGCCCTATTCAGGCCGACGCCGTCGTCCCCAGGCCTAGCCATCCTCATGCTCCTATCTCCATTATTCTCAACCTCGACGACATCATCATCGTCCTCCTCAACGCCGTCCTCGCCATCACTGCTCTCTGCATCCTCGATGAACAACTGTGCCCCTTCACCTACCACGCCGGCCTCCTTCAACCGCGCGCGCATCTTCCTCCGTTCGGAGTCCTGCCATCTAGACAGTGCCGCCGCCGCGTGCACTCGGAACCCAAACACCTTCGGCTCGTACCGCCGCCGCGACTTGACCGGGACCAAGGCTGGATACACCTGGAATAGGATATTGTGGAAGCTGCTGCCGAAATAGGCGCCGTCGATGGACGCATGCCGGCTTGATTTCGGGTTGTAAATGTCCTCGCACTTGGCGCAGAAGAGCTTGACGGTCTTCAAGCCTGGGTTGTCGCTCGGTCCGAAGGGGAGTAGGGGGTGGCTGTCGCATAGCACGCGTGGACACCGGCCGAAGTCGGATTTCTTGAACTTGTCGACCATCTTGGCCAGGCCGCGGGTGGTCACGATGTAGCGCGCGTGCACGAGGCCATACAGGTGACGGGCGGATTTTTCGATCGTCTCGCGCATGTCATCTTCGCAGTCGAGGTCGAATACGTCGGTGATCAGATCCAGAGCATGTTGGTAGTAGTGCACTTCGGTGTTGAGGCCAGTCAGGTTGAAGCGGTCGGTGATGTATTCTTCGTCAATTTCACAGAAATATTCGTTGCCGCGGGAGGAAATGAACTGTAAAGTAAGGCTGTTAGTCGTTTTCTTGGTGGGGAGGAGGAGAAAAAGGAATTCGAAGGTATTGAATGGTTGAGCAAATCTCATGTTTGTGTGATAATGGCTTTGGGAGCCGCGGTAAACTTAGTAGCCTTGGGGGATGGCGAAGAGATCAAGATTCTGCAGCCATTCGATTCCGTTTTCGCCTCGGGTTTGCTTTACAATTCTTGGAGAAGCTGGTGCAAGGCTGTGGGTAGACGGCGAGGGACGGTGGTAACAAAACACGGTAAACGATGAAGTCATATTCTTTCTTCCTCTCACGTGCAGACTGACTTCATTTCCGGGTGCGAAGAGAGCCCGAGGCGATAGAAAGGGGGATATCAACATACCCAATCCCGCCAGTAGCTGGTGTAGTCGCTGTCGGTTTCCGATTGAAACTCTTCCATCATCATGGCAACATAGGTCGATCAGGTCTGGTAGAGTCGGAAGGGAGATCGATGGGCTCTTAGTTGAAGGATGAGAGGGTATTGAAACAACAAAAGAGTGTTGAGGGTCGGAAGTGGTGGATAAAGTGGTCAAGAATCGGGATGACTTGAAGTTTGCCTGTCAAGACCAGGTTCATCACGTGAGCATACGGTTAGGTTGCTATGGGTTTAACGCAATTTTGTTACGGCGGAGTATATTGGTGATTAAGTCACTTCCAATTCCTCTTCCACTCCTTTCAGAATTCACAGAGCGGGTAAAAGAACCTGCCATCGCTATCCCCGATTCCGCGTCCACGTCAAGTATCCCCAATTACCTCGCTCTCGTGCGTTGCCAAAGATGATGCGGTGTGAAAACGCAGCTCAGCCTCGACCCAATTCGTGTTGCCCACTTTGGCCATCGCAAGTCGACAATAATGGGCCCAATCACGCATGTCTGGATCTAACCACGTCTTTGCAATCCATCGACACCCGTTCAGTGTACCGCCTACCAAACCTATTCTTTCACCAAGCATAGCTGAACAAAGGAACTTCATGCTGTTGCATTTTCTGATATGGCTAGGCTGAGCCCCAGCCCCAGCTCTCCTTTCCACTATCACATCGGGTAGGGGCCCACCGGACAAGACCTTCGATCTCACTTGGCTAGAGGATTACTTTTTTTCCTTTTCGCATACTATTTGACATTCTAAAGATACCTGTCATCAGCTAAGCAGGACCAAGAAGGTCTCGCCGATACTGTTAGATCCTAGTACCGCCCCATTGACAGACAGGAGAGCAGCGACGCAAGATGTATATCATCAGCTTCATCCCTGGATTTCGTATGAGACACTCCGAAAATGAATTGACTTATCTCCATGATTGTTTGAAAAGATGTCCGACAGCAGCAAATCACACCCACCGGTGACGTTCCTCAAGATCCACCACCCCGATGATCTCCGCATCAAAGAAACTCGATTTACAGTAGCTTCCTATACGCACAAGAAACGAGGAAGACGACCACTGGGCATCTCGCTTGACAAAAACCTGGCAGTGTCACGGACAAGATCCACCACACCCGTGATCACCGACGAGGATCCCAATGTTTCAGGTGGTCAATCAGAACAAGGAGGATCCGAGGACCTTCAAGTAAGACGGCAAATTCTTCGGTATGATGAGAATGACCGCAGATTACCATCGCCAATGACAGTTGAATTCAATGGAGCCCGGCGGGACCCTTTCCCATGTTTTTCCCGTTCCTGTGGAGGGCTGCGTAGAATCAGCCGTGGATTTCTGGCTCAAGGGCTGGGTGCCGTCGCAGATTCCTGGCAAGTCTTCCTCTCCGAATAGTAATTCAGGACTGGAAGCTAATCCGTGGTGCTGTACTGCAGAATTTTTGCACAACAAAGACGTCGTAACCGATGCAGTTTTGCATGCTGGCCAACAGTTATGAGGAAGAATGGTTTCGTTGCTACCCTAGCAGAGCTAGCCCAGGGAAATTAACAGGTCATCACCGTTAAGTACTCTTGCCCCTTACCAGGACCAAATTTCCCCGATACGTAAAGAGCCAATGTTCCTGTTTTCGGACAGATATGCCTGCGCTTGCCTAGAGCATTTTCATTTCCCAAACCCAAACGTCGAAATGCCGGTCTTCGCGAAGTATTTGTTCCTTTTCGTCTGTGTCTACACTCTTCATGGAGTATTGGCATTAGCAGCTGAGTTACCTACTGTTGACTTAGGCTATGAAGTTCATCAGGCATCAAGTTACAACGTAAGTCGAAACCAAAATCTACCAATTCACCCGTCTAATACGTTCTAGGCTTCTGGTACATATTATAACTTCTCAAATATTCGCTATGGACAGGCTCCCATAGGAAACCTTCGTTGGAGAGCACCTTTAGAGCCCCTGGAAAACTGATCTCACATTCAAAATGGGGAGGTGGGAAGAATATGTCCACAAGCATTTCCGGCTTGGTATGCCGCCATTCTACGGTCCCAGAGAGCATCTGGAAAAGAAGTGGAAAGGCTGGCTACCAGGGTGCTCCTATCATGGCCTGGGTTTATGGGGGAGGCTTTACATTGATTCTCATCTCAACTTCATGCCCATCGACTAATGACGCTCAGGGCGGAGCATTTGGCTTCTTGTCTGGACCAGATATTCGAACCAATGGCGATGCCAATGTTGGTCTCCTAGATCAGAGACTTACATTGGACTAGGTTCAATCGAAAATACATCTTTTTGGTGGAAACCCAAACCGGGTGACAGTGTTTGGTCAATCTGCTGGAGCTGGTTCAATCCTTCACCAAATTACAGCATACGGCGGGATGAACGGATCGGTGCCATTTCAGCAAGCCATCCTTCATTCTCCAGGTTTTCAGCCTGTGCCCAGCAATTTCCAGCAAGACACTCTGTTCATTCGATACCTAGATGCCCTGAATGTCACCAGTTTAGATGCAGCCCGAAAACTTCCATACCAGGGCCCTCCAGAAAGCCAATCGTGATCTCGTGGCACGTGCAGACATAGGGCTCTTTACGTTTGCTCCAACAGTCGACGGAAAATTTATACCAGCTCTACCTGGTCAACTGCTCGCCAGTGGCAGATTCGACAAATCTGTCCGGGTCTTAAATAGCCATACCTCCAATGAGACGCTTTTCTTCACCGACGAAGTGCCAGCAGCGACGACGACTTTCGCCGGAGACTTCAAACCACCTTTGATACAATTCAGCCACCGATTGTGAATTTGGTTGTCGAAGATTTATATCCCTCGGTTAGGAGGACCTGGAGCACGGTCAGGAATCTCAAATACGGCTATTCGTCCAATGAAGCTCGAACTTATCTGTCTTCTGCAGAGGCATCGTTCACCTGTAACGCACACTGGACGGCACACGCTGTCTCTGAGACCTTCCCCAAGCAGACTTATTCGTACATCTTTGCTTTGACTCCGGGTTACCATGGTCAAGATGTCCCATTCATCTATTACAATGGCTCCAAATATATTTGACAGAGTTTGCTATTGCGGGAAATCCAAATCCAGCTATCAAAAACACTTTGTGATCGAGGAGTCGAATTCCATAGCCCGCATGAGTCAAGATATAAAGCTGTCTTGAGTCTAGTGAGGAGAACTCCCTCGGCTCCTAAGGTCTGTTCGTGGAAGCTTGCTTGCTGTGCTTGAAGCCGAACCAACTATGCTAACCATGTCGAGAGACTGCCCTTTCTGGTCACTGCACGCAGAGAACTTTTAAAGTTTTATCCGATGCCACCCAGAGCACCAAGTTTCAAGATTAGTTTTCACGGAACCCTCTACACCCGAATTCCTAGAATCAGTCCACTTGGGAACCCCCCTCCCCTGGGCCTGAGCCGTGAATCCAATTTTGTCTTTTTCTGACATGTGATTCACGGTATGCCACCTGAATTGGTAGTGGACTAGTCAAAGAGGGAGCCTTGTTCCCACTCGAGTGGGATGCTACTTTAGGCATTGGTGGGCCCGCGCCATGGCTCGGGGCTATTAGTTCTCCCGTTATCAATTTGACAATGGCATGTGAAAGAGGAATGATCCGAGACATTGAAAAACATTCCCGATTCCAAGGATGTTCATTCTTCCCAAGTGTTGCAACACTGCAGCTGTAGCACCAATATTTTCTCCTCGCAAAAGTACGACAGAATTGGCAATCTCGTTCTTTCAATGCAACTGAACCATGGCTGAGATCGAGAAATTACCGGTATGCCGTCCCTCGTTTATTTCTGTCCTGGTCAAATAATATGCGCCAAAGTATGACACGAGAACTAATCCGAGAGCAATAAAAACAGCTTCTTCAAAACTTCTATTTCACTCAGGGTCAATCTCCAACATCTACGACCACGGTCTTCACTGCACCACAACCAGATTCGGACCCCGGCTGGACTACTAAATATACTCATGCGTACCCCTGGCTCGGCCCGGAGTACAGCAACGGTATCCTCAGCTTCGAGACGCATTTCCAGGACTATGAGATTGAAAACCCTGCTGTCATCCTACAGGAAGCATTAGGCGAACTGTGGAAACGAATTCTCGATGGCATCAAAGTCGAATTGGAATCGGCAAGGGTAGCTGTATCGCCCATGAGGGAGGAGAGATGTGGATGTCAAGTTTAGATCAAATCGCCGGATATGAAATATACGTAAAAATCGAAATCTAATCTTCTATTCATTCTTTCTTATTCTAGTGAGCAGGAAGATTGTGGCACGCCGTAGCGTAATGGGTATCCCAAAATTACTGTTCTGTCCTATCCTTCCTGTCCTCTTCTCCCCTTCCCGAGCGCCGTTGATAATGGTGGAGAAAAATGTTGTATTTGGAAACCATGTCAACAATTTCTGGAGAAATCATCTCGTCATCACCGATCTGCGGAGCTTCTTGTCCTGGCCCTACTGAGATCGAGCCCCGACAATGACGTCGTCGTGTTCACACGATCAATGTCATATGGACTGGCGTTGTACTTTGCTGCTTCGCTGATACTTCCAGTTTTCGACTGGACGCGTGTCAACGACTGCGATCGAACTGCCTTTTCAGACGCCGACAATTTGGTGGTCTTCAGAAGTTCCAATCGAGGTCCAGCGCTCAATTCTCCGTGTTTCTCAGGATCAGTGACTTCAACAACCGAGGGCCCAGAAGAACTGGGACCTGGCTCTGGGCCGGATGTAACGATAGCTTGATGACTAGCTGCTCGTGCGGATTTGGCACGAAGTTCGGCCATGACGACTTCGGCTTGCGCGGAATACACGCAGCGGGCGCGGATTCGGGCCCCGTATTTGTAAAAGATGAATGGGAATGGGACACAGGCTAGAGCCAGGAATGCCGGAATCGAGGATGCCCAATGGATCCCGAGGGCGTCGAACATGTCAGGCGTAAAGAGTGGAAAGGCAGCACCGAACAGTGATCTCAGCACCGTATTGGCGGCCAGCACCGACGCCGCGAAGATGGTGTACGAATCAATAAGATAGTTCGTGACGCCCAGGAAGACAATGGTGAATCCGAATCCGAATGGAGCCCCTGCGAGGACAGGCGAGATCCAGTGTATGGAAACGTAGTTTGTCCATGCAAACCAAAACAATCCGACTGGGATCGCGATGGCGCCGTACATTGAAGGAGGTAGCCGGGCTTCCGCTGGCGCAATTCCCCCCTTTTCGGCAGCTTCGTTGGTGTACCATTTGTTCGTGTAGCCACAAAATCCAATTCCCATAACCATCCCAAACGCCACACCGAGAAAGGGGAGGCCGCCGATACCTTCGGACCAGCCGCGTTTCTCCTGGAATACAATCGGGTAGGCACCGAAGAGAAGATATAGAGTTCCTATTTAATCAAATTAATATTGACAGTCGGTGAGACGTTGAGATTGTTGCTTACCATAGATGATGGCGATGTAAAGCGACAACAGCAGAACAATCGGTTCTCGGAACAGCAAGATCCACGGACGAATCAGTGCAGTTGACAGCAGGGTCTTGGGTGAAGGAGGACCTTTCTCCTTGTCTGCCTCCAATATATAGACTTTTCCGGTCATATTCGAGAGCACACGTATCCGTCGTCGTAGCAGGACTGGAGCATAAGTCTCGGGCACAAAGAGAGTTCCAATAATCCAGAGGACGCCGGAGAAGATTGCGAGTAAGCCCATGACCCATCTCCAGCCTTGATTTTCACCTAAGAAACCCGCGCAGAATGGGCCCAAGGTAGGGCCCATACAAGGTGCCAGTGCAAAGATCCCTAGTGCCAGCCCTCTATCCTGAGCATTGAAGATATCGGCAATGACACCTCCAGCATTGGTGAATGGAGAAGAGCCGAACGCACCAGCAAAGAATCGCAACACGAGAAGAGATCCGATGCTGTTAGCCCCGGCGCAACCAGCACAAAATGCCGTGAATCCGCAGAAGCTGATGAAGAAGATAACCTGGCGGCCGTAGATCTCTGACAATGGGGCCCAAAGCAGCGGTCCAAGAGCAAAACCCAGGACGAAAAGTGATATTCCCGCCGTAATTAATTCGGTGCTGGCGTGCAGGTCGATGATGAGCTCGCGAAGAGTTCCTAAAGGGCATCAGCGAAGTTCAAACGACCAGAAAGATCATATCAGCGCACTTACCACTGAAAGCACTCGAAGCAAAAGCCGTAGCTAACATTTCAAATGCTACGATCCAACTGATGGTCCACCGGGAGCGGTTCCCCCAGTTGTAGGGATTGCCGGTATCGTGAGGGATGTAGCTGACAATATAGGGATCATCATCCGTTCCCGACCCTGGATAGGGGAATTTGAGGACTTCCTGAGTCACTCGAGCTTGATCAAGGACGAGCCGAAGCAAAGGCCAAGGTCGAGGGCGAGAGTCTTCGAAATCAGTCTTTTCAGTCATTTCTTTCCGTGCGGCGAGGCAACTTGAGATATTGGAGAAAGAGAGTCTGAAGTCAAATAAAACATGAGCGCAACCGTACTGTTAAAGGAAGGAACACGTGTATTGCATCACGAAGCACAAAAATGAGGAAAGGCATAGATAAGTGGTGGGTCTGCTTGTAATGCTACTCATTCGAGATTAAACCGGGCTGGATGTTTGACAGAATCTGGAATTGATTTTGACATGGCATGGACACCGAACGGCGGACAGGTCCCAGAGTACGAGAAAGGTAGCAGGTTTGGACGGCCATTAACGTTGCCTGATATCGGGTGGCCGTTGGGTGTGCCTTGCTTGGTCTCGGGGCCTGGCGACTTGGGAGTTAGAACAACTTTCGGCCGGAAGCTGGACAAATAGAATTTCTACATAATCCACAAAGTGGCACGTCGGTGATCTGTGGTGATCTGCTATCGCTGCTTATCACAGACCACCGCTGTGGAATGTATGGGATCTGTGGATGGTTGCTCTGCTGTTGAGCCAATTCCGACTGCCCGCGATTCATAGAGCACCAACGCACAAAAATGTAATTGTACCTGTTCATTTGTTGGATCGTGTGGCCCTGAATCTGAATGGCAAACACGAAATACGAGACAAAGTTTTTTTTTTTTTTCCCAGGAGCGGCCGTAAATAGGGGTGGTGCCCACATATATAGCCCCAGCGGAGTCGAGGCATTTACCCGACTGGACAGCAGCAGCCTCGTGAGCCTCGGCTCGATCCTGATACGGAATTCACCTCCGTGATCCACAGAGCCTTGCTCAAATCTTACCTAGCCTTGAGATCATAATGAGCCACCCAAGGCTATGCTGCGTCGATTTTGCCGAGGCATCGATCGGGCTTCTCTGATTTCTAATCCTTTCGCCCCGTACCAAAGTGAAACCTCAAAGAATCCTCGTGGAAGCATGGAAAGCTCGGAAGCTTACTTTTGGCAGTTCCGGCCGTGGCTTGATATATAACGGCATGTGAAGAGAGCGAGGATGAAGCACAGCAAACCAGAGACTGGATATCGCTTCGACTTGATTGCATCGCAACTGGTCGGTATTCCAAAGGCCAATAATCGAGCATAACTCGAGCATAAATCCCCCCTCCTTCTCCCTTGACGTGTGCAAGGCCACTGCCTCCCTGGTTCCACATTATCCATCAGCACTTCCCACTCATAGCATGGCCCTCCTTTGCTGCTTCACCTGCTCTACGTCTGCCAAAAACTTCTCTGGCACATCCACTACTTTGTCTCGGATATAATCCGCGAAGCCTTTGCCAAGGGAGTCAAGCAACCGGCAGCTACTCACGCCTCTTCCAAGAGGCCCATAAATCACAAAGTGGACAGCCCAGATGTTAGGAAATTCCATTCGTTCAATGAAGAAATCGTCTTGCCAATCCTTACCCATGAGTTCTTGCAGCTTTGAACGTGTCATGAATGTCTGCAGCCATGGATAATGTTCTCCTCGTCGTACAAAAAGCCCGAAGTTGATGTTGGCTCCCTTGTCGCCCGATCGTGCCAGACAGATATCACCGAGCCGAGCTGGTCGTGATGGTCCAAATGAAGTCATGTCCACGGGATGGGCTGTTTCATAATTCTCTCTGGGGGCCAGCTTTTGATACTGAGAAGGATGGCCTGAATCTGCACTTTGTGCGTCTTCTCCATTGGTCGACAGAATGGCAACCCTTTCCTTTAGATTATCCTGCGGGTACAAAGCCGGATAGAAGGCTAAATATGATTTTGGGAGTGCCGTTCTCAAATCCAGAGAAAGATGAAAGCCAGAGAAATGCTGCATGCCAATCTCACTCCAGGATTTCAGCAACCCGTATATAGGAGCTTCTGCATCGGCCTGCACAAAAACTCGGCAGTATGTGGTGCTGGCGAACTGAGATCCTGGATTTGCCTCCGGGGTCCCCAATACTTGGAAATCCAGCATTTGGAACTTGTCCGCCAGATCCTTTTGCTCAAGAGCATATCGCAGTTGAGCCTCAAATAGACGCCATTTCTCGGCCGTGGCATATCCGGTGGCATTGACAAGAAATTGTGCCTCGTACCCTCCATGATAGAAGATAGCCAACTTGGTTGTGGGAGGAGGTGGGTATCCTTTGATGTTTGATAACTTGACTCGGTTCTTGCCCACTTGCTCGATCTCGACGCCGGTTGTGTCTGCAGAGACGTCGGAATTCAAGTAAATGCCACCCTGAAGCTCGTACAGGAATTGACACTTGACGTTGTCCTCATTCACCAAGCCGTTGGTCTCGTCATGCTTGGTAACGACCGAAGTCCCGTCATCGGCGATCTCAGCAATACCATACGACAAGTCGACAAAAGTGTTCAACGGATACTCATCAAAGCCCGAGAAATTCGACCCCGTGACATAAGCAGAGCACTCGATCAAGTGTCCGGCAATCAGAGCTCCAGCTAACCTGTCATAATCCGTGTCGGTCCATTTATGCCAGTACCAGGCAGCTCCTATGACAGGACTTGCGTCTGCCACTCTTCCACAGATAATCACGTCGGCACCAAGTTCCAGTCCTTTGACAATAGCTCTTGCTCCCAAGTAGGCATGGGCACTGACAATAGGTTTCCCTTTGGTGTCTAACAAAGCAGCCGCGTTCTCCGCCAATGTGACTTGGTCATTCTCTCCATCCAAATGCTGGGGCAGCTTTCCCGTCTTCTCAAGATTGCTCTTCACCTCCTCCTTCAGATCATCGCCGGAGACGTACGCGACTTTCAAATCGAGCCCTTTCTCGTTCACAAACCTTTGGGTCTTCTGCGCAAGTCCCCTGGGATTCAACGCCCCACCGTTGATGATAATCTTGATACCTTTGTCCTTGATCACATCGAGAGTCTGTTCAAGGCCATCCCATGCCGTGGGTTCCCAGCCGTCATGTTGTCCCAGTGCCATCTTCTCCGTGTTTTCAGCCAAGTTCATCTCAGCGAGGTAGTCACCGGTAATGAAATCGACTGGACCCAACGTCGCCTGGCGCCGCATCTGATATCCTGGATCACCCCGGGCACCCGAACAGTTGGCTATCCTGCAAGGCCGCGTTGTTGGAATGGTATTTGGACCCGGATCACCCATTCTGAATCTATATGGCTGACTGGAATGGTGATTTGCGTCCAGTAATGGTGTCGGAAGCAGAATCCTTCGGATGGTTTCTCGGATCAGTCGATGTCCTGATATTGCACCACCCGTTGGTTCTTCGCTGGGAATCAGAAATTCCGTTTCAACTCTTGCAAGTTAACAAAGGTCTCCTGCCAAAGTTTGACTTCGTTTCGCCTACGCCGCGAAAACTGTTGTAACATGCGACTGCGTTCCCAAGTCAATCAAAACTGAAAGGCCACTTTGCATAAATTCACAACGTCCACTATTTTACCTCCTCAAAGACACCGACGGCAATTTCATGCCGGTTTCCGTCGTGGCCACATTGAGTCACGGTCCTCTGAGTCCATTGGTCTTTGAGTTTTCCCACTCCAAACTTTCCCCGAGGTATTTGTCGCGAACCTGGACTGCTCTTTGCCGCGACTCGTGAACGTTGACTCGCGGGCATCGACCAATCACGGTCTCAATAGGTTCTAATTGCTTTCTTCTCCTCACGGATGGATGTCCCTTCAGCAGTGAATATCCGAAAGCCCCACGGTGCGTCCAGCTTCCCGTGCTTTAGCGATTTGACGCCTGGGCCGAGGTCGGGAATATCGAATGAGATTCTTGGGATCTTTTGTCCGCATTCACGAACGCATCTTGTCACATAACATTGTTCACGTTAGAAATTCCTGACGTGGGCTTGTTAGACCCTTTTTTCTTGCGCAGCTTTATATCTCACGTCTGGGAAAATTGCAAGACACTTGACTTCTCAAGACATCGAACAAGTGACCGATCTGTCTCTGGCGTAGCCAAAATGGGCAGTATCGACACACCCGGCATTGATGCTCTCTCATCCTATTCTATCCCTTCGGAATCCAAACGACTCCTGACCGAAGCATTACTCAATAATCCCCAAATCGCCAAAGACGTACCCAAAGAAGCCGCTGACTTCGCTTCTCGCATCATCTTCAAAGGTACAGATCTGCCCTCGATCCCTATCAACTGGCGCTTCGCCGAGTCAGCCGCATGCCTGAAAGCGTTTGAAGCATGCATTATCTCCGCCCTGTTGAAGCGGAAATACAGCGTCGACCTCACCGGTGCGGAGATTAACACCGACCATGCCCAGCTGTTCTTTATGTCGACGCTGATCTGGCAAATCAATCCGGGCACTGACGACGCCATCTCACTGGGTAAGAACGTGGACAAACTCTACGAGTTGATTCCCAACTACGACTTCCACAAGATGACCTCCAGCTTGTTCCGGCACTGTGCGACGAATATCTATCGCACCAAAGACGGGCGGTACTTCCACTTGCACGGCAGTATGAACCCAAACCCGACACTCGAGAGCATCGGATTCCCTATGGACAGACCTGAGCTAAAGACCTGGGACGAAGCTCTGACGCCGTTCATCGAGAGACTTGCAACAATCGAGTCAGCGGAGATGCAACGCCTCGCGTCCGACGTGTACCGACAGGCTGGCGTCATTGCAGAGACGGTCGACTCCTTCCGCGCCTCGGAGCACGGCAAAGCCAACGCGCACGTTGGACTGTTCGAAATCTACCCCGTCCCGAACCCGGCTCATAAGCCTTCTTGGTGGCCGTCGACGCCGCAGACAAGCGCAGCCAGACCGCTTGCGGGCCTCAAAGTCGTCGATTTGACGCGCGTCATCGCCGCACCGGCCGTGACGAGGGGCCTCGCCGAGCTCGGCGCCAGCGTCATGCGCGTTACTAGCCCTCACATCGTGGACTTCAGCAGCCTCCTCATCGATCTCAGCTGGGGGAAGTGGCAATGTAGTGTGGACCTCAGGACCGAGGAGGGCAAGGAGAAACTAAAAGCCCTGATCCGCGACGCCGACGTCGTCGTTCAAGGCTACAGGCCAGGTGTCCTGGATAAACACGGCTTCAGCCAGGAGGCGATCATCAACCTGATCCAGGACCGTGAGCGGGGCATCATCTCCGTCCGCGAGAACTGCTACGGCTGGCATGGCCCTTGGAGCCATCGGTCTGGATGGCAGCAGATCAGCGATGCGTGCGTGGGTATTTCCGCCGCGTTCGGCAAAGCGATGGGTCTCAAGGATAATGAGGCCGTGACACCTGTGTTTCCTAATAGTGACTATATGACGGGGATTGCTGGTGTGACGGCGATTCTAGCCGCACTGATGCGACGGGCTGAGGAAGGTGGCAGTTACCAGGTCGACGTGGCGCTAAATTACTATAATCAGTGGCTGGCGAATTCGGTCGGCGAGTACCCCGAGGATGTCTGGCAGGATGTCTGGCAGAGAAATGGAAAGCAGGTGTTCAGGTGAGCTTCTTGCATGACCATGCAAACTTCATTGAAACGAGGAGCAGAAAGAGGTTGAGCAGCTAACGGTTCATTGTGTTTTGGATTGCAGGTGCTACCATAACATGAACTACACAATCCCTCAATATATGGGAATGATCATGAAAAACAGCAAGCTTTTCGATCCGTCGTTCTTCGAGTATCGCGAAAGCAAAGCTCTCGGCGTGGTCGTGCGGACTATCAAACCAGTCATCAAGTTTGTCAACGATCAGGTCGTGCTCAGGTATAATGTGGGCACGAGGGGGAATGGAAAGGATGCACCGAGGTGGCCGGAGGATTTGATGACGGAGGTTGTACAGTAGGATAAGGCTCATCAAGAGGAACTTTACGGCTGTAAGCAAATGAGATATAGTTGCTCCATAAACGAGCACTTTGGAAATTGAAAGGTTTCCCCCCCTCCCCAAAAAAAGGAGGGGACCTGTGAGGGACTTCCGGGGGTTTACCATTCTATCAACACAGGGGAACAACCTTGGAGTCAGGGTTTGTGGGAAACCGAAAGCCCTCATCTGGGGGAAAAGGGGGGCCCTGGTTGGAGTGCGTATCCGTGTAATCAATGAGAAAGTGTTCTCTAGGGCGTTGCATGTGGAGGAGCCCACACGGCCTGTTCAAAGCCACTGTTCAGGTGGCTCCATCGCTATGATTGGCTTGCAAAATCGTTTGCATCGCTTTCCGATAGAAAACGAAAGTTGAAGTATCCATTTAACTTCCAAAAGAGCTCGAGAATTAGAACCGTCTTCGTCTCAAACCCTAGATGCCGTGGGAAGGCCAATGCAATTGTAGAGCGATTAAGGTCTCAATCAAAGAAACGGGGGCGGAAGAAAATTTGCCAATATTTTATCGTTGTTTGAATCGTCGTCGACAGTGTGGCGCGGGTAAGGGTTCCCAGTTTTTGGATTCACCCGGTAACAAAGATATTCCAGCTGGAAGCATGTCATGAGCATACATACCGAACACAGATGTCACAATAAGTGGCGTTCTGCAGGACTATAAAGGTAGATCGACAGAATTGTGCATCGTTGGTTTGTGGGAAACGTGGATGGTAAGTTTGGCCTTGGTTTTTCATTCCGTAATGGATTCATAAGAGTATTGATTATCATCGCTGACGTTGCTCCGCAGTCCAGTGATGTCGACCATGGAAAAGGAGCCTCCAAGAAAGGCTAGTGAACTGACGCCAGTAGACTTTGCGGAATTGCTATTCCTTGACACCACTCAACAATATTCAAACTGGGACTCCTTGGCTGACTGTTGTTACCGGGGTTATATCAGGTGCTGGTTTCACAGGCGAGCAAATGAACCGACGCGTTCTTTTCTCAAACTGCGCTCCGGATGTCCATTCAATTTCGGTGATATTCGTACGTGTGAAGGAAATAACGCATTATTCAGGCCATTGGTTCCTTTTTGGGTAGGAGCCAACCTGGCACTGACGTCGGACGATCGGATTCATCGGGAGTTTGTGATTATATATGATGGCTGGCTTCTCTTTCTCCAGAAATTTGGCACGCGACAGTCGCTTCTCGAATTAATGAGATGCCTGCGACTCAACACAATGCATATTGATTCATTTTCTCGCGTTATGACTTCAATTCGTAGGGGGTACGACCTCGAGATGCCAGGGATGTGCGTCTTGCCTGCCATTACTTGCCGACCTGTTTCCCGTCCATCTCCCTCTCTTCGAAAATGAATTGCGCAGATGGCGCTGGTGAATACGAATGCCAAGGCGAACGCCTGATCGATGGAAGATCTGAAGAAGCCGAAAGTGAGATGATGGAACCTTGGGGGTCACACCATCACTCCACCGCGGCGAAGAAAAATCTTAGAGCAGTCATGAGGCTGCGCGACATTTGCCGAGTCTTGTGCGTCATTTGAACTCGGGAAACTTTCCTCGGAATTTTCGAGAAGAGAGAAGAAAATGTGAGGGTTTTAGTGGCCTGGTCATGAACTGTCCATTCCCCTTTCTCTATCACGCGCGGGCATAGCTGTACCGATAGAAATAAAGTCATTCACTCAAAAAAGGCTTGTCCGAAGCGCCTTACACCCGGAGATCTTGATCGCGAACGATATGCTCGATACTTCTCCACGATGCTGGGGAGCGTGATTTCGGCTCTAACCGCCCGATGGATTGACAAGCAGTGGCGTGACCTTTGGCACTGAACTGGACGCTCATGGTGCACACAAGATGTATCGAGTATTGTCGTCACTAATCCCTTTTCTTACCGAAACTCCACCACTCCCGTCAGAGCTTTCGGGCACGATCCAGACTTGAACATGATTCTCAGCGTACTGCTGACCCTCACACAGGATATCTATCAATGTGAAGATTGTACCCTGTGACAAGTATAAAAGTCACCAAGGATTCCAGCCTTCCCATTGCCCCATCTTCTTCTCGGCACAAACTAAACGAGACTCCAACAAAGCTTATAACAACATCGGACTTGACATTGAAACATGACCAGACGCAATTCAAACACACTTACGGACTACCCGGAGCAACCCGAAAACACAGACACCTCGCCTTCTGCGAGCAGGAGAAGCACAGACCCCAACCTCCATGAACGACGCAACTCAAGACTGGGCCAGGTAATGGACTCGATTCGACACGCTCTTGCTCAGGAACAAGAAAAACTGTTCGGTGAGAGGAAAGCGGCCCATCACGATCACCAATACAACCCCGCTGCAGGCGAACGTCTGGCGAAGTTGCGCGACCAAGACCAAGCCCAACGCAAACGAGTCGAGGAAGAAATGCTTTGGGAGTCCGAAGCAAAAGACTCGACAAGCCCCGCGGTCGAAGCCCGTCAGGAGTCTGAGCTCAATGAGAATGGCATGGGCGCTGAATCACATCAAGGGAGGAGAGACAGCTGGGGATGGCCGGGTCTCGGAACTTATGCCGAGCCCCCGAAAGATCCGGCCCAAACTCGACGTAAGAGTTCGACCAAATCCGGCAGTGGAAGAGTCGCTGCAATGGAACCAAAGATGGAAGCCGCTGCGTTCGAGGCCATAGACAATGCGGCCGAATCTGAAACATACGGCTGGCCAGGTCTGGGGGATCTCCCTGCTCCAAGGAAATGACTCTGAAGCAAGTGATAGCGACGGGAAATGAGACTTTCACAGTGGTCTGCAGCGGGCCTGGGTTGTTGTGGCATGGGTGGAAACAGTTGAGCATCGAGGTAGTGCTCGAAAAAGAGGCGCAGGATTGTCTGTCTAGGTTTGGACTTAATGGAGGAAAAAGGATCCCAGTTACGGCCTTGCTTTGATTCCAATGCTCCTGTACGATATCCTGTTTCTTCGTCTTCTGAAAATTGTAATGACATGTGAACAATCCTCTCAGAGAGAGCTTGCAGGGTATGCCCGGTTTTGGTTGCAGTGGCCGCCTACGAGCCCCTAGGCCCGCCGAACTTTCTAGCAAAATCGAGATCCCTCAATGAATCATACGATGTCCGAATACCCTTTCCAGTTGTAATGACGCAATCTCTGTATCTTCCTTTCTTTGCGCCTGGACAGGGAGACATTGCGGAGGGAGAATCCCGTCTGTTCCGGAGTGAAATTCTTCGGGACAATGTTAAATTAGCTCAGATACAGGTACCGCGTTCTGTCGCGTCCACCAGCCGAAATGAGCAGGGCGGCGGCGGAAATCCCCCCAGCTCACAAGTCGCAGCCCCACTGACCATTGGCTTAACAAGCTCACCAAATCTTCGTATTTTACCTTTGTGGAGTGGTCTACCAATACCGTGCGACGCGCACTACCACTCTCTCGTTCCCGCTCGCTTCAAGGAATTCTAACGCCGCCCACGGTAGACCGAAACAAGCCGCCAAGAGAGCTCCGTACTTGGGAAAATTTGCACCTCTGAATTGATTGCGGTCCAAGAGGTGGACTCGTTCTTAGGGCCTCCGAGGAGCACTGCGCCAAATTTTTGGTTAGCACGCAAGGAAATAAGACAGTGAATCAGGGATAAGACTTACCAACGAGAGCGACAAATGCAAACGAAGCCGTGGCGACCCAGACATAGCTGAATGCAAGTTTGTATGCTTCCTGTACGGCCCAGCCTGCTGCTGCGGTGATTTCAGGAGTCAATCCCTGGTACGTCCGACAAGGCAGTTCAGCAGTATTGGCCGTGTTATCCGACATCGAGGTCCCAATCAAAGGTTCTGACGATAGCTCTGGGATACCCCATGGTAGTGTTGTCGCAGCTATCTTCAGAACCAGGTTCTTCGAAATTCCATGACCGAAGACGGCTTGATAGATCACCCAGTCAGAGGAACCTCCCAGACTCCGAACCGAGAGCATCAGACCAGACATAAATGCAGTAAGCTGTGGTGCAGTTTGGAAACTGTACTGCGACAACCAGAGCAGTTAAAAGACACCAAGGCCTGCTCCTAGAAATACCATATAGCCCCAGAAGTCAGCCTTAGGGGTGATTGTCTTCGCAGCGGCTGCGAAGATGAAAACCAGTAAGAATACCGGGAATCCAGCCATCGTTGGTGGTTGAACTGGTCTTGATTATCCAGATAAGGTCTGACGAATAGCGCGAAGACGATGAACGAGTTATTACATAAAAATGGTTATGGCAAAGCCTAACTCGGAAAGAGCCCATCGTTGGGTACAATACACTGAGTTCGAACGGCACGAAGTAGCTCGCTGAAAAGTTTCATTTCCTTCGATATAGATGCAGGGCAAGCGTAATTGTGAAATTTGCGAAATTCCGGTTACGGAACAGGCCATGATGAAAAGTTCCATCCTTCTTGAATTTCCACTCACAGACCAAAAGGATATGCAGAATAACAATTCCGACCAAAAACGGAACCAAGACATGAGAATGGCCCACGGAGATGAATTTGGAGTCCAGGAGAGACCGATGCAGAGTAAAACTACTCTCGGGCCCACCATAGCGTATCCGATCCAGTCAAGACATTGAAGTTTGTTTCGAGTACTCGTGATTTGCGTTTCCCATTGAGCTTGCTCTCGAAATGATGATGCCACCGACGCATCCGAAAGCCGTGAGGATGACAAGAAATCATTTTCCACCCCAGTAGTCTGCGGCCTGTGACACAGGAGAACTGAGGGCTGCGGTCAATATTCCAAGCACGGCGGTCGGTTATGTTGCAAGCGGGGCTCCACCGACGACCGCAGCAATGTCACGAATGAGAAATCCGCCGGCAGCTCGCATGATGAGATAGCCAAGGCAGATGCTGTTAACAGCCTGGTTATTCGGAATCAGCCAGCAATGACCTTGCAAGAAGATGTTGAGTGGGAGGATGTTTGCAATACCAAAATCAAACTAGTGTCTTGACATGGTTCCAATAAACTAAGGGAGTTGTTGATCAGCAGCCGCCTCAACATATGAGGCAAATATTTCCCCCATTTTGAGCAGCGAGAAGGTGTTATGAGTGAGAGGATTGTGTCTGACGAGACATTTCCCGAGTCTTAAATCAAAGATTGCGCGAAATCTTCATCGGCTGAGCTGTGCTCCTTCTCTTGTAACCGCTCGGTATATGTGTTGTCAAAATGGGTCAAATTGAGTATCCTCGGATGTTTACCTGGAGTATCTATGACAACCCCCTTGCTTTGGCACCAGTTTTCTAGACATTCAGGGCCTGAGACATTGTCCTACCTTGAGCACATTGAATCGAGGTGGTAAATGCAATGTTAACATCGCGAAAGAGGTAGACGCATCACAAATTTCCAACCAATCAGAGCCAGCCATCTGCGGAGTCACGTGGTCTGTGTCGCCGTGCCGACTATTGCCAACGGCAACACCATCATGATCTCTTGCGATGATGAGGACATAACGTAGATACTTGATTTTCAACATCCAGCTGCAAACAGCATTGTTTTGACGTGTACTACAGACTCCTCACCAACGATCACGGTCCCCGGTCACCTCATCGTCATGACAGCAAATAATCGGCCACAGAAAGCCCTGCATACGGAAGCTACGGGGGTCATGCCCAGCTCGGGTGGAGTGATCGCCGGGGACCCGCCGAACTTTCTAGCTATATCGAGAGTTCTCCAGGCGTCACAAGACATTTGGGGGTTCTTTTGCGGTTGCAATGACGCACGCAAGCCCTGGTACTCCCCGTCAAGGGGACATTGCAAGCTTCAGAGATGAACCACTTGTGCTGTTATCTTACAGCCGCCAGGGAACAAGATACAGTTATCTCATAAGGGATATATGTTCTGCTTGCAATGATAATAGTGCCACAAGACTCCAGATGATGTGTTCCCGGTTGCGTACCTGCTAGACAGGGTGGTGAGCCTCATCGGAGTCAGTATGTTCGTGATGCCAAAATAGGAAATGACGCGGGTCTCTAGAAGCTTCACGCCACCCCTCCTTACCCCACTTTACCTCATCCTTTCGTCACGCAGGATACATTTCCAGAACTTTCATCTACCACTCCCACGCCCTATAAATCTCCCTCGAGTTATCTCAGAAGTGACTTTTTTTGATCGACAGACTACAGCAAAGCATTCAAAACCCATTTCATGTCTAGCAGTCTTCGAAGGCTACCACACCGTATCTCTCCAAAGCTTACATCAATTATTCGATCCAGAAACATGGCGCTCTTCCCACGACTTTCCTCTTCCTTCGGACCCTCTCGCCATGAGCTAGGTCCTTTCTTTAACCTCTTTAACGACACCTTTTCTGAACTCCAGAAGCTGTCCGAAACGGCATCACGCACCTTTGCTCCCAGGTTCGACGTCAAAGAAGCACAAGACAGATACATTCTTGAGGGCGAATTGCCAGGAATCGACCAGAAGAACGTCACCATTGAGTTTGCAGACGAACAGACCCTCACCATCAAGGGTCGTACCGAACGGTACAAAGAAGAAGGCCAGAGACCAACTGAAGCCACGGAGGTTAGGGAAGGTGAAGGCCATGTCGAGTCGTCCAGCAAAGAAGTGACCACCACGGGCCCCAAGGAAGTCGGCAAGCACGAGCCTCAACACACTTACTGGGTCTCGGAACGCAGCGTGGGTGAATTCGCTCGGAGCTTCTCCTTCCCCAATCCCGTTGATCAAGAACATGTCAAGGCAAGCTTAAAGAATGGTATCTTGAGCGTCATCGTGCCAAAGTTAGAAAGGGCCAAATCATCCAAGAGAATCCAGATCAGCTCTGAGTAAGAAAGTTGGCTTCGACGTCAAGTTCAGTGGACTCAACCTCGAAACGTCTCGTCTTACTCTATCAGTCACTCATTGCCTCCAATTCATTTCTCCGTTTGCTCCGCATACGACTTAAACGATAACGTATACGATAATCACATTCATTAGTGACTGGTGTTTAGGTGTGGGAAGTGTCTGGTTTCTTTGAAACAATTGCTGTACATTATCTTCAGGCATGAGAAACCAAACGGCATTGGCAACAAAAGTCTACAAATCATGGGGCCTTCTTTCTAGCTTAGCGCTTCAGATAGTTGACCTATATTTGTGATAACATTCCTTTCCAAACATGTCACAAAGATCTCTTTTCCCAATTGAATGCTATAGATGAGAACCAATCAAGCTGACTCAATAGTGCGGACGGTGTGTGTACCATACAACGCTATTTCCGTCGTTGTTCCTCAAAGCATACGTTCCTTGAAGATCCACGAACTAGTCAAGCATTCTGTTCAAAGATGCTGGACACCAACTTAGGCGAAGTTGCCAAGTTATAGGGTAGCCCCGGCACGCAGCTCGGTTGACATCACTACTCAAGGACGAATGGTATGCAAATACAAGGACGGGGATACGGCCAAGGAAATCGCGTAATTGTGTGAAGGATAGTATGTGCAACTACTCTACGTCTCGAGGTACTGCATTAGTGATGACGACCAGTGTCTCAGCCTCGTTCCACCAGAGCTATCATATGCGCGGGCAGTTCTCGTGTGAGTTCGAAAATCTTTGATGCTTCATTGTGGTACTCCCTTCTTCCGCATTTATAAGAGGGAGAAAAGGCATCCTCTCTGGAGGCATCCACAACAACGACAAAAAATGGCTTCAAAGGCTGCAGAAGCGGAAGCCCATCAAACAGTCTCTGATCATGACGCAAATCCACCTCCATCACCCAGTACGGAGGTGGCCTCGTCCTTGACGTTTTCTTCTGAATTCTTGTTCGCAACTGACCGACCAATCCCCTCAACGAGAGAGTTATGCGTGTCGTTGATGCCGACCCTGACCAGTCGTCCAACAACAGCCACCATCTCATATGTCAGATGACTGTTACATCCTTCAGTTCCTGAACATCAAGTCCATGTACATCCACCGTGGAAATGACAATTCCGGCACTATTGTGGCCGTCCGCACCGAGGTCCAATTGGTACGAAAATTGTGTTTCCCTTTCGCGGCGATAGCGACTCGAACGAGAATCAAGTCAATTTCAACCTGGACGGTCTGGTCAGGGGACTCGAAACACCTGAATATATCAGAATCGAGATCTACGTTGTTGAGAATGACGAGCCAAATGCAGGTCTCGTTACGAATCCCCGCCTCTCTGGCACCCCAACTCAATCTCTGGACCTTAGGTTTGTCAATTCTCAAGATAAGGGGCTCCTCAGGTCAGGTGGGCGGTTGCCTTACCATATGCAGTCTAGAGCGTCAATTCCAACGCACCAATCACGCAAGAGGCTTTGGTTTCCGAAGTACACGTATCATTTCACTAGACCCTAGCCTAAAGAATTTGATTCTGGCTGCAAGACAAGCGTCTGCGACAAGCTGGCGCCTTCTTCCTTGCGAGGTTTGTTAGAAGGCCCGAACGGACTGAGCGTGAGAGCATTTGCCGGACCGCTGGACTGGACGGCGGAAGAAATGGGAAATTTTGTTGGTGGATGTGAGGAAGGTATGGATGCAGAAGTCGACACATAAGCTATCTGCCAATGTGAATGCCATATTCCAGCTAATCAAATCCTTCAAGTACCTGACCATGTCCCTGGCTACGTGATCTATGGCCAGAAGCCGAGAGCAGAGGACTCCCACGCGGGCCGAATCCATAGAGTGACTAGGTGATTTGCTACTCGCTACCCTCGTTGTCCACCGTTCATTCCATGTCCGACTAACCATTCCGTACAATGTTACAATGCTGTTTCCCTTTTCGAGCATAACCAGGTCATCAAGAGCGCTTTGCTGAGTGTTACTAGTTCTTCAACGGGTGCAGCGAATTCCCAGTCCTGTACCAGATAAGGTAGTCACGGCCACATTTTCGTGCAACGACCAACCGCGCCCACTCCCGAATTCGCGTGGTGCTCGATGTATATTGTAGTGTGTTCAGGGCCGACGTTTGTTACGGGACAAGTGCGGCTGGAACACTGCATCCGCAATCCACTGTAGCTTGTCTGCCAGCCAGGCCGCTGGACAATTAGGCGATCAAGGACTGATGACCTCAACCTGTGGTTCAAGAACCGGAGTCACCTTTCGCCTAGGATCCTCCCGTCCAGTGCATAACAGCTTGTAGCATACCCACATAAGTGCTATGACTTAAGTTTGGCCAAGATCATGTCTGTAAGTGTTTCGTTGGGCCAGAGGAATTGTGCTGCCGCTTTTATACTGGACAGAAGGCCCTAGACTCCTATGGTAAAGCAGCCGAACCCTTGCAGTAGAGGTGGGCGGAGAGTAATTCCGGTTGCATTTGGGGTGTGAAGCCGGTTCTGCAAAGAGACTGTAAATGGAGCAAATGGTACAATCAATCGAGAAGCCCTCAAGGCAGTCCTCGAATTCGCGGAAGCATCTCAACGATTCAAGTCACGGGCTCCGGCAGCCAAGCCGAGGGAACAACACAGGCCCTTGACGAGGCGAAAAGTCCGCTCATACAATTTAGTTACGATTGAATGGTGGTGGAGAGATAGCCCAAGTCCCAAACGGGAGGGGTCAGGGTAAATGAAATCAGTCCAGTCCAGTCCTGACTGTAAATGAGGTCAAAGGGGAAGAAACACAAATCTGGATTGATGCTGGGATTCATCACAGGGTCAGCTTTGGGCTGTTGTGTAATGTGAGCACAACAATTTTGGCGTTGGAGTTTGGAAAAGGATGGCTCAAGGTCTTCCCTAAGAAAATCCTGAAAAACTTACTAATGATGGATTGATTTACAGCGCTAGGCAAATGTCCTCATCCCCTTTCTTGCTCGTTATCAGGCGCAACATGTTGATGACATCAAGAAGCCCATGTTGAATTTTCATAGATTCCGTTGATCATACCACACCCTTTGTCAAGCACCGCTTCACCAGTGAACCCGTATTCTTGTAAACTTGGAAAGTGTACAACAATCTAGGATCGATTTTCCGGAAGATCGACTTTAGCATTCAACTCTTCCCATCCTGAATAAGCGGCTTTCTTTTGAAAACTGTCCCTATCCTTGATGAGCGATCTTCAAGAGTGGTGTGAGTATATCCGGAGAAAAACAAAGTCTTCACAAGTTCGCCTCGAAACCACGCCAGGTGACATTGCGCGAGCATGTGAGAATTGCTTGGATCAGGTGTTCCCTCTTGTGCGCACGACATCCTCGGACTAGATGGGTACCGCAGCACGTCTGAGCCCAAGCCGCGAACCTCGAGAAAAATTCTGCCGAAGATCTTACCGATTCTGTAAACCACGCTGTAACATGTTCGTTGACAATTCTTGCTCTCCGTACAGACAAAGGCCTTCCCTCTCGCGAGGCAAGACCCGCTAGTTGATACCCCCCGATGCTCTGCAGGTCCCGGGTTGAGACGCAATCTCAAGCCTAGAACGCCCCTGGACAATGTCGTGTGACGGCTTCAGAGATCCCGTATGCAAAACGAAAGGAAACACACCAAAAAGATTTCCGACCATGGTTTTGCACCCGAGACTGATTGATCATGGGTTTTTCGAACTCCATCATGTGCAACCACTCCTACCTGAATAGAACCTGCACCAGAGAGAAGTGATCTAGTTGCGGAGTGATCTCGACAACAGGTATCACGATCCATCGTGCCGCATCGTGGAAAGCCAACAATGTCGATTCCTGGTCAGCAAGCCACCCGGGAAATCTGTATGTCCAGTGGGATACACCTCGCTTAGAAAAGGCGGCCCCAGACTGATTTTCTCGCACGTGCAGCTAGTATCATTACCTTACGAGACCTGAGTCTCTGACGATTGACCGCATGCTTCGCTTCGCATTCCGCTGGCCATCTCTCAAGCCTGTTTGTCCACGGTCAACGGGCTTGAAATGTTCATCGTCTCAGCAGGAGACTCTTTCGGACCGACAATGAAACTTCCCCAGAGCCCCCCTAATTGATGGTTATGGGGCACGAAGACGAGGGGTTTTGTCTCGCCGCAAGCCTGACATGCTTGCACTCCCCTTGACAGGTTGTAAATTCCAATAAGTCTCTGAGGGACGGCGTCAAAAATACTGTTCGCGGCCATACAGTATTTTACAACTTGATATGAGAATTTATTGAATCAAAGACACGGAATTTCCATACGTGGTCGTCCAACAACATCGCCTGATTGGTAGGAATAAGAAGGGAAGTCAGAATACGCCTATAGTGACACAGACCCCTAAGGAGTCGCGGCGCATCATTGCTCGTGTCAAGCTGCGGTATTTTGTCGGCGCGGTGGAGTGACCAGACTCGGTGTCTGTGCCATTGTGATGGCGAGGCTGGCGTGATTTTGGGCCCGAGGGACCCTGTCAAAACTGTATCGGCGGCCGCCGAGGAGCTAAATAGATCATCAGGCTTTTGCTTAATCAAGGTTTTCAGTGTTGCGTCCAAGCACCACCACTGAACAACTGAGCGGTCATCGTGGTTTGATCCAGTCATCTCCACTAACACCTTTCTGCGACATTTGGTCATCACCAGACGGCTCGAGAAACTTCACTCAACCTCTCATCGTCGGAGAGGGTAGGGGATGTGACAGCGGAGCGGAATCTCAGAGTCCATCCCCATTCGTCATGGCTGACTGTGACTTGTCGGTACCGCCTCCGCTTCCCACCTCGACCATGGCAGCCTCGAAATCCATAAATGCTGTGACAAGAACATGGAGAGGACTGGAATCAATCATCCTACCAATCCAAACAACCAATTCACAAACAATCATCCACCAATCAAACCACCTCAACACATCTATCAATGGTCCAATACGACCCATTTGCACCGATGTTTAATGCCTCGACTCTTCCCACACGTGAGAAGGGCACGCAGGAATCAACCCACTCCAACGATGGAGCAAGCCCGGTCAATCATCCGGGAGTACTTCATCCACGATTGCGACGACTCTCCTCCAGTCACGGCTCTCCTCCAAATTATTGTCCCAAATGTCACATGAGGCGGCCATCCCAAGAATTCCTGTTCCGCCGCAGCCGTGACCACAGTTCCGACGAGGAATCCTGGGATGGATTCTGTCCGGATATCTCCATGCCAACGGAAAACTCCCCTCGACCTTCTTCAATCCATCATGTTCGACGACATTCAGGCCTATGCCCCGAGAATATGGTCAGTCAAGAGCATGTTGATCGGCGTTCCTCGCCGACACAAATCACTCTGAAGACTCGGGTCGACCGTCACAATAACTCCGGGTATCATCATGACTGCCACTGTGAGAACGTGACTCCGATTGAGAACCTGAGTGAGCGGTACGGTCTGGTCGAGGAACCTGGAGAAATCGAGCAAAAGAGAAGGAGCATAGAGAGGCAAGTCGCAGAAGAAGTGGCTGAGATTATGCATCAAGAACTGATTGCTGATATGGAGGCCCGGCAATCAAGGCTTTGAATGATGGCACGGGCGAATGGATTTCGGCGTTCAAAGGACTCATGTATACTACAAAGCAACAACAGTTTGCTCTCGGATGATCAGGGTTGGGAACTGGATGGTGGTCTAAATTGGATTTTGCCATGTATGTTCCCCCCAACGAGAAGATCTCACACCAAGATCCTCTGGGATATGTTTTTGATTGGGTGATCACAATCTTATGGTCCTGTTTAATGGTTATTTGGCTCGCATTTCCCTTTCGCGCTTCCCCTTCGACATGTTCGATCTCATACGGCGACCAGCTTGATCAACTTTTCTTTCATTCATATTCGAATGTCGACCACAGTGGGGCCCGAAACCGCCCTACCCTTTACGGATACAAAGCAAAGCTCTCCTAGCCTAGACAGAAATGGGTCATTCATAGCCTATTTAATTATAGCGGCAACGACGTCTGTCACGGACCGCGCTGCCCGCTGCCCGCTGCCAGCATTCTCGACTGCGGAGCAGAGGGGGAGATGACAGCAGGAATCAAGTTAAGTTACCTTGTTCCTCCCCGGGTGATTTCCACGTGTCTTTCAAGCTCCGTGGGTGTCTTTCCAGCGTAATTATTGACAAATTTTCGGCGTGAATGCCATTGAAGGGCTGCGTGGGTTCGGAAATGCCAAGACCGAGACCAATTACTGCTCTCTCTCATTGCTGGCCCACCTTTGGCGATTAGGTTAGACACAACGTTCCCTCTTCGCCTCGCTGAACGGAGCTGGCCATCATGCGCAAGTTCAAGGAGAGCCTCTTCAAGACAGTTGTAGCTCAGGCGCCACGTGAGGCTGAAAGCTCGAGGTTGTCGTCGCCAAATCGTCCACCCACCATCTCTTTTCCGGACGGTATTCAGGTGCTACATGACTGTACTGACGCGATAGTCGACGTCTGCTTCATTCATGGGCTGACCGGAAACAGAGAAAGCACTTGGACGGCTGAAGGACAATCCCAACCGTGGCCGCGGGCCTTGGACCTAAGCTCAACAGAGCACGAATCCTAACATACGGCTACGATGCATACGTGGTACGAAAATCTGTCGCCTCGTCGAATCGACTGATCGATCACTCGACAAACCTCCTGAACGATCTGACGACGTACCGAGCTAGCAGCAACAATGCGTCCGATCGTCCCATCATTTTCGTCGCTCATAGTCTTGGTGGCCTAGTGTGCAAGGAGGCGATCTTGCTTTCTCGCAACAACCCAGAGATGCGTTTGAAGAAAATTTTCGACCGCATCAAAGGGGTCATATTCATGGGCACTCCTCACACCGGAAACTGGATGGCTGACTGGGCGAAACTCCCTGCTTCGGCTCTGGGTATCCTCAAATCCACCAATACGACGTTGCTCAAGATTTTAGAGACGGACGATCAGCTTATTGAATCTATTCAGGTTGGATTCCTGGCCATGATTCGAGACCTGAGAGAAAACAATCGGCGGCTTGAGGTAACCTGTTTCTTTGAAGAACTACCATTACCGGTGGTGGGGAAAGGGGTTTCCAAGGAGTCAGCCACATTTGCAGGATATAATCCCATCAGTATCCACGCCAATCATCGTGACATGGTTAGGTTTGCATCCGCCGAAGAAACAGGCTTTCAAAGGGTACTTGGGGAGCTTATTCGGTGGGAAGAGGAATTGCAGTCCTCGGTCACGAATAAGCCGACCCCTTCAATTGAGCCGAGTAGGTGAATTCTGCGCCCGCCCCCCATGAAAAAAAGGTTGGTTCGGCCAGAGATGGGATCTGTGACGATCCGGGAATGGAATGAGGTCGGTAGGATTGCCAGGAACTGACAGGACGACAGTACGTCCCTCGGCTCCAAAGGCGATATTCGACGTTCCCTTCGAGCCTGATCCCCATTACATATCCCGAGATACGCTCTCCTCGTCGATCGAAGAACAGCTCGATGATCATCAGCGGGCCATTCTGTACGGCATGGGAGGGACAGGGTGAGGCTACAAGCTTCGACCCCGGAAAAAATCTTCAGCAAACTAACCGGAAAAACCAGAAAATCGCAGATTGCAATCGCTTATGCTCATCAATACCACAAACAGCATCCACGGAGCCACGTGTTCTGGATATATGCGGCCACATCGAGTCGGTTTGTGCAGGCGTGCCAGCGCATGGCACAGCGACTGCGCTTGCCTGGATGTGACGATCCCAAAACGGACGCGTGCGAGCTAGTAGCGAGGTGGTTGGATGATGAGGAAGAATGGGCCATGGCTACTCATCGTGGACAATGCCGACGATGCGAATCTCATGCTAGGTCTGATCCCGTCAGGCGAAGTGAGCACCGACAGGGAAACCCCGACGAAGCCGCTGATGGACTATCTCCCCCGGGTTGTCGATCGATCAAGGCGGCTCCTGATCACGACGCGGAATAAGGATGTATTGAATTGCAGGATCATCGTCGCGAGCCGGGATTCCCTAACTCGATTTTTCGGACATGGAGACTGTCTTTCGATCAGATGCGACAGCGTGATCCCGCGGCGGCCACACTCCTCGCGTTCCTGGCCTTTTTAGATGGGCAGTCGATCCCGTCGATGCTAGTGCGGCACACGCAGGCAGCGGAGGCAGATTGGCGCCATGCGTTGGGGACGGTGGCGGGTTACTCTTTGGTGGTGGTGGCGGCCGCGGATGAGACGGGTTTCCATGCACCCTCTCGTGCAGGAGTCGGTGCGGTATTGGTTGGACCAGCACAAGGAGAAAGAGTCGTACGTCGACCAAGTGGTCCAGCTATTGGCGGAGAGCTTCCCCAGTGGAGACCATAGCAATTGGGCCGTGTGCCAGACTTTGCTCCCTCACGTGCTGGCTGCATTACGACACCAAGAGGGAGTCGGTCTCACTAGTAAAAGTCGAGGGGACCTCCAGTACAATGTTTCGTGGTTCTGTTGGGCGTCCGGGCAGTATGAGGCGGCATTTGGACACATCCGGGAGTCGTACGACATACGGGTGGCGATGCTCGGGGACGGGAACGACATATCGCTCAACAGTCTGTCACTGATGGCGACAGTACTACATGAGGCGGAGTCAATGAACCGACGGGCACTGGCGGGGGGGGGAGAAGGTATTGGGGGTGGACCACCCCGACACGTTGACGAGTGTGGGCAATCTGGCGTCGGTGCTGCAAGATCAAGGGAAGTATGATGAGGCGGAGTCAATGGACCGACGGGCGCTGGCAGGAAGCTTTGGAACTTTATCAACGAGCAATTGCTGGCTACCAGAAGGTCCTTGGGATACACCATCCCACTGCGATGGCTTGTGATTCTTGCCGCTCTTGTGCCCTTGCTTGCCTCCACAGACGTTGGTCAAACGAGCATTGGAGGCCAACCCCGAGTTTCCAGTTCCCGTCCATCGAGCAAACGCCGCCAGCAAACCTCATAATGCCATCGAACTCCAAGTCCATGCGCGCCAATTCGCTCCTGTAGTACTCTCTCTGTTCTGTCTACCTACCAATCAACTTGGGCATACGGACCCCAAAGGATAAATAGAAACAAGCCCGACCAAGCTGCGAAGGATGTCAATAGGACAAGGAAAACTGCTGTTGTTCTTCGTTGCCAATTCCCACGGAATCTCACCTAATGGATACCTCCTATAGATGAGGATCCAATTACCTCGCTTGAGCTGTATGGAGGCGGCGCGGGGGCTTTCCCATGCTTTGTAGTCCCATCATATTGTCAGGCCGACTCCTTGGAAAGCGTTTCATACCTTCGATATCTCCACGATTGATTCCTGTCAAGCTGGCAAGGTCATGGCTCAGCAGGTGCAGACAAAATCACAGTTGGGGACACGGTGACCGGACGATCATGCTGCCTGACAGAACGATCCGAGTTTTCTGCTCATTCAAGAACGCAAATGTTTCGTCGGCGGCTCAAAAAAGGGGAGTTTGTCAGGACAAGGCACGGATTCGGTGAGATGCAGCCCGAAGGAGGATGGATGATCAAGTCTGACGGCACTTGTTCAATATCACACCACGCCCATCTTTCCTCCATACAGCTTCCGTATGGTGACCGAGGACTATTGCAACCGAAGATCCTATTCGCGGAAACTTACGATCTAGTTTTGTTGGGCAACCACGAAAGCCCTTTTTGGCCGAGTCATTTCTTTGCCTCCCAATCTGATAGACAGCAGATCTCGTCCTGTTCTCGCCGAAGCTCCCAACCATTCTACCACTGCAGCAACTACGTATTCCGGCCTCATAAGGACCGACAACCAACCGTATAATCATGAGGTGATTTTCCTTGAGTCATTACTCTGAATCGAATAGGATCTTCCATAGACAGTCATCCGCGACTACACGACGAATCACCTTACATCCCTTTGCCCGGTGCCTCTCTCCGGTGCCTCTCCTCTCTCTTTTCCCTGCACTCCGCTCCGCTGCACCCCCGGAATCTCGTCTCGTTACTCTGCCGATCTGTTGGCTCTCATGATCCTCGCATCCCATAGCCAAGCGAGGCGGGCTCTGGACCTATCGGGCAATTTCCCACGCTGCGAAACTGGTCATTGTTGTCTTGTGTGATCCTCTTTCCGTATAGCCCGCACATCACATCACCATGAGATTCACGGGCCTCTAAGCAATCCATACAGTAAACACGGTGGCAGTTGTGCGGAGTTTGTTTGAGAAATCCTTTTTTTTTTTTTTTTTTCTCCGTTTCCTTGTTGCTCCTGAGTAATGAACGCAGCTTACGTTGCATTCGATGGTCTGTTCTTCGGGTATATAAATTCAACTCGGTCGCACCTATTTCGTGTATGACCTTTGACCTGACTCAAGGTTAACTAGCCTTAAACACGCGTTTCCCGATCGACCTAACGACAATATCCCTCCAAAGACCCTTTGGTACCCATATTCCCCTTTCGACTCTCAATCCACTTCAGAAATCACCCTCACCATGGCAGGACTCCCTTACGCCGTACCATCAAACTACGTGATCCGCCTTGTCGAAGAAGGCTCTCTTGCCCATTCTGCAGCTCAACAAGCAGCTGCCGCTGGCCCCAGGACTCATGAACCAGTGCAACCTCACCCATCACACCCATCACATTTCCAGTTCCCACGCACATCGCTGCACGAAATGACATTGAGAACACACTTCCGCGGACCTCACGCGCCCGGCAGCGTATCGGCACCCAAGTCCGGAACCTCTTGGGCGCCGGCAACGGATATCCGCGAGACGATGCGCGCGTATCACATCGAGGTCGAAACACCTGGTGTTACGGAGAAAGATAGCATCTTGATCCAGTGGATGAGTCCCCATACATTGATGGTGCAGGGGGAGAGTAAGAGGCCTGCCAATATCGGACTGTTGGACAGTGAGGAGGGGAAACGAATCTGGGAGGGTGAAGGTGATGGGTGGCCGAAGGAGGCTGGACATGGAAAGGTACGATTCAAAAATTCTCTATCAAAACAATGGCGTTGATCAACACCTTTCTACATGCTGCATAAAACAAACCCCCAAGCTGACAAGATGGAACAGAAGGAACCCACTGACGGTGGCCCATTGATGCGCACCCCCTCTCGAGAAACAATGGAGGCTGAACTCATGACCGACGCCATCCCGACCGTGCTGTTGACCGAACGAAAAATCGGGCCTTGGAGACGGACTTTCACGTTACCTGACGACGTGGAGATGAAGGAGCTCAAAGCCAGACTTGAAGGTGGCCTGTTGAGAATCGACTTACCGAAAAAGAGTGTCGAAGACGTGAAGGGTGGCGGAATCAGGATCGAAATCGAATAAATGGGACACGGCTCGAGTTCGTGGAGCATGTCCATGTTCATGAAGAAAGGACAACAAATGCAGGTGAGCAAAGACGGGACGAAGGTCGAAATACATTTCCAGAGTGCTTTCTAATGCTGGGCTGAGATGGATGAGGATTGTTGGGGATGATTTTTGTTTTTTTTGCGCATAAACTAGGTGGCGATGAACTACTGTCTGAGTTTATAATTCCAAGGGGCTGAGAAACGGAAAAAAATTCCCCCGACCCATAGCGGCATGACCAGTAGTTCTTCAGTTTCTCCTGCACGTGCCCAGAGATATCACATGTCTTCACAAGATATGGTGGCATCTTGATCAACGGTTTCTGTGTGTGGAGATACAGTACAACATCATGTACTTATTTACTGATTCGTGCTATCAATCTTGGGGGCATGGGCTGTCAGCCAGCTTGACAAGTTGATGAATCTGCTTTTGAGGAGCTGATGCTTCATGACTTGATTCCTAGGTATCCACATCCACCACCACTCTCCTCAATTTGGTGAGAGGAATTCTGAAAGCCCAGGGGGCCATAGAATTGTCCTTCAACGTCCTTTCCCCCTTCCCCCAAAAAGTGAATGCCGGATCTTTGCCGGATCTTAGGTCCCTTGCTCTTCGTATTCCCGAGACGCCTTAGATGAACGCGGTAGAATGTACCAACTCCTGAACTCCAGGCCAAACATCCTGCTCGGTGCCGCGAGTCATCGTACAGAACAAGCCATTTAAAAAGCTATCAGATGAACGATCCAAGGAAAAATGTAGTATCACGTGAAATATGAACCATCCCACATCTTTGATTCCGATTCGCATTTCCATCGTATTCCAATTCATGTTTCATGTTTCATGTGTCAATTCAGTCCACCAAGCGGCCTCAAACAGCTTGAACTTGTAAATTGACCATTTGTTTGAGTAAACTGCAGTCTTCACAGCGGACAAGTTTCTCAAGCACCCTCACTCTTTCACTGAGGCGGTGGATTTCATTTTCCATATGTCGCATTTCCACCTCGGTTTGGTTGACGTAGTTCATGGCCTCGGTGAGAACGTCGCTCTTGCGTACTTTGCCCGTGGGGATGGCGTTGGCTGCAGCCGGGGCATCGCTGTCGGCGTCATCCCCGATTTTGGGTCCATAATGTGACGACTGGAGAGTGTTGTGCAATTGGGCGATCTTGGCGTTGAGGTTCTCGCGGTACTTGCGCTCGACGAGGGAATGGGCTTGTTTGGCCCTTTGTTTCGCGTCGGCTTTGGATGGCGCTATGGGCTTCGCGGTCGCCGGTTCCTCCTCGTCGTCCGAAGCTATGGTGTTCGTTGATGTTGTCGTCGTACTTGTTCGAGTTCGGCGTCGCGCCGCGGCGGCGGCGGCGGCGGCGGCGGCGGAGCGTCGTGGCGGTAGAGGTACCGACTGAACCGGGTTGTCATTTGATGAGCCTGAAGAGCGACGGAGGGGAGAGGAATGGGAGGAGGTGTTTCCGCTGCTGGTTCTGGCGCTGATGCTGGGTCGCGAGTGTAAGGAGACCGATACGCTGTCACTGGTGATCATGGTCTCATTGGGATTGGTGGATTGTGTAATGCACGGAACAGATGTGCACTCTTCAATGGGAGGAAGGGTGGTGAAATTCATGCAGGGAGCGTCCGGGCCACACCGTTGAGGTTGACAGGTGTCGACTTGTCCAGCAATTAGAGGGCAGAGTTTCTCTGAAGGATCGGTTTTGGATGAGATGGAGATGGGATCGAGTGTGGAAACAGGCGGCGAGGTGTTGAGTGAGTCTGATACAGATAAGGAAGTCGGAAGAGTGTTGTCGTCGTTGAGCATATTGGAATCGCCATCAGCGCGTGAGCTACAAAGACTCGACTGATCCATGGGTGAGATGTCTGAATCCATGTTGAGAAGCTGAGAGTAAGAGAAAGGTCCGGTGGTGTAGAGATCTCCTGAGAGGGCGTTGGCCTCGGGAGACTGCTGATGAGATCGAGATTGACAAGAGGGATTGACAGTCGAACCGGTGGAATTTTGTCGATGATTGGAGGATCGTAGATAGGCCAGCGAATCGACGCCGGTCTCCATGTTGGACGCGTATTTTTGGTGGTGAGGAGCAGAGTTGGTCAACGGAGAGTTGAGAAGGGAAGTTGTGAAGTCCATCTCATGCCACCCGCTGTAATCGACCGTGTCAGGATTGACGATGGCTATCTGGGGATGATGACGCTGGAAACCGTGCTGGTTATGAAAGTCATGAGAGCCCTCTTCTTGCCGGTAGACGGTGGGGAAAGGCATTGTTTCACCGGCGTTTTTTTTTTTTCTTTTTTAGGTCGCTGAACCCCTTTGTTTCCTCGAGAAACGGGGATGCCTGGTGCTGGATGGGAAATGGTGCCGCACGAACAGGCTCAATGGCCCCTTCGGAGAGGGTTCTTCGGAGGTTCGCTGCCACCAAACAGTCCTAATCGGTGCTGATTATCGTGCTTGCGGTGGGCGAAAACGTGAGCTGGTTGGGCGCCTGGTACCCTTGAGAGGCTAGGGAGGCCGTAGATTTCGTTTTTGGTGGTATTGAAGAAGAGAGTGTGTCAGGCCACGATGATGGAAGTGAGAGGAATTTTGTGGAGTTGAAAGAACCGTAGTTGCATGGTGACGAAGGAGGCTCGGCAAAAAATCGTTGAGTTTGGGAGAGGTGGTCGAAGGCGGGCGAGAACGGCCAACCGAAGGTACACCCGGCAAAGAGTTGAGGACGGACAAGGGTGGGTGAATAGAACTTTCCCTCCCGTCACACCACGATGTCGGGCCGCAGTATTGCCAAGGAGGAGCTGGTAATGTATTCTCCAATGAGAGCCTACAAAGGACTCCAGACGGTCACGTGCGGTAATACAGTGACAGAGCGTGAGACGGGCTGGACGGGTCGGGCCCCACAAGTCGCCCTGAATCGAGACCGTACAGGAGAGCAGGAGACTTTCTCCTCATGACGGTAATGACCGTCTGTGCACACCAAAGTAAGTGGTTTGGGACCGGTAAATGACGTACCACTCAAAATCATCACCTGACACAAGTCCGGATTCTACCGTTGGCGTACGATTGGTTCGCTTAGTGCTCAGCCTTGCAAGCTCCGGTCAATCATCCACCCCCGGGCGTTCGTTATATTTCTCGGAGGCCACCGCGGACGCTCATTTTTCACTCCCTCTTTTTCGCAGGGCTGGTGATCTGATCATGCAACACCTGATATCGCCCATGTTTCTTGCTGAGTCCTGCTCTCGGTGTGCTGATGAAGTCGACGCATACCGTGGCCCTACCTATCAGGGCTGCCCGGGAGATACAGGGTGCACGTAACAGGTAGGATTCATCTTCAAGAGTGGTTTAAAAGACTTCTCAAAGAATGTGCAACAACGAGGTAGGTTCCTCCAAGCTCTCCATTCAATATAGAAGCACACGATAAAACAATCCCTCAATCCTAATATCTCCCCCCACTCCCACCTGTCACCAACATCACTTCTCTGGTCTATCACCGATCAACTTACCCCCAATGAATGCTACTCGCCAACTGATGACTCGCCGTTTGGTCACGGGCTTCGGCCAACGATTGACCACCCCAGCTCGATATGCTTCGACTTCATCAGGACATATGTCACCTAAGGATCGGTCATTAATGCGCGGCGTTTTCACTGCAGCGACCGTGGCTACTTTGGGAGGCGTAACATATGCAGTAAGTCTACTCGACCTCGTGTTGGAGATGCTTCCTATCGGCTTTGCTGCCCCGCGCGTCAAGTCGGAAGTTAGCCACAAACCCATCCCAACACGGCAGTGCTGATGCCAAGGACTGCGGCTGATGTTTCTAGGCCGCAAGATCAGGGCACAGAATGAACAACCGATTCACCAAGCGGAATGCCAATCTCGACTCGTCCAAGTGGTTCTTGGAGGGCGCCGATGTCAGTAAATACGTGGACAGCAAGCATTAGGGTACCCCGTCGCCGATACAATGTGCGGGGTGGGGGGAGTTTCAGGAGTTCCATGATGTGACGGTGTCTCTGCCGGAGGACCACTGGAGTTTCGGTGGCACATGGTCAGATCGATCAATATCGACAACAGCATTGCCGAGACGGAGTTTTCAAGGAATTTCGACGAAAAAGACAAGAGGATCATGCCAGTACCTTGCCATGGTTTCATTTTTATTGCCGGTCACGAGGGTGGACCGCAAGACTTTGTTTCGACAGTACATAGTTACAAAATTGGGGTATACCTTTGTGTTCAGACACCATGCTTTTGTTCTAATTCTTCCTGCTGAAATGCTTCATCATCCAATAGAGTTTCGCAACTCATTCCAAGATCCACCAACGTCTTGGGGGAAGGAAAAAAAGGAATGTTACCACTGCCAAGGTCTGACACGAGATTGAAATGGTAGCCAAGCGTATCCATCGGTTCAGCCCTAGCCGACATCAACCTGCCGGTTATTCATGAAGGGAGTCAATGGCCGTATGGCCCACAGGTCTCCCTCTTCACCTCCTTTATCGTCTGGACACGATGTTGGGCTACTGCATTGTGACCGTTGGCCTTCCACACTGTCATAGTCGGTGAAGCTGTCATCGCTTTCAGCCGCCGTATCTTCATCACTCCATTCACCATCGTTGCTGTCACAGTCGTCATCATCCTCTTCTTCGTCACTGCTATACTCTTCAACATTGAGTTGGGCCGCAGCGGCTGAGATGTGTGCTATTGTGGCGAGCTGAACTTCAATGGCAGCCTGGAATTCCCTGAAGGAAGGAACCGGGTGTTGGAGATATGTTGACAACTCGTTGGGTCTTGGGGTCTCCTCTGAAGATTGTATTTGTTGCGTTTGAGGGAATTCTCGGACCTGGTCGTACACTGAGAGGTGCCCCAGAAGTTTCCGTAAATTTGGTTCCTCGCACGTCGATAGGGTGCCGAGCTTCCAGTTTGAAATATAAAACAGTCTCGAAGCAGCTGGTCGAGTCATCTCTGATCGGACTTCAGGTTTGGCTGCGAAGCAGAGGGGGTCGTGTGAGCATAAGGCTGCTGACACCTTCTCGGTGACGGGTGAGAAAATTGATGGGGACATGTTGATGGATATGTGTAATTTGCAATATCACCGTGTACTGAGGACCGTGGATCGTACCACGCCGGGCACAAGAAGCAAAATGGTGAAGTCGAGAGGGATGAAAAAGCAAGGGAAAAGCCTACATAAAGGTCTTTTTACAGAAGATAGTCGAACACGAGCCTGTGCGTCGGGCGCGACAATCAACATCTGTGTAGTCGGGTTGCACTCATAGATCATTGATCAACCCCAGTCAGCCACGTCCACGTCCGAGTGGAGCCGCATGGACCGGGGGGGATTAAGGTTGTAGAGTAACAAAAGACAGCCATGGAGAGGGCGCGGCTGAAAAAAAACATTCTGGGAGAGGAAGAAGTTGTTTGTGCGGTACTGAAAGGATGCACCAAAGTGCACAAGCGCCAGGGCCACGAAGCAGATGGATCAAGAGGACCATCCAGCAAGCGACACGCCATCGTTCGTCATTTTCGCCCGATGGGGGCTAACCTCGCTGTGTTCGGGCAGCCTGATCAGCGCAAAAATGGGCCAGTCGCCGCGAGCGATGGTAGGCTAGTACAGAAGCAGGAAAATGGAGGGAGAGAAACCTGTCAAAACTTCAAGTGGTCCAGACCCCCATGGCCATGAACTCAAGATTCCACTAAGCCTTTTTAGGGTAAAAGTTTAACATACTATTCCCCTTTGGGACCGGCAAGCCAGCCAGCTCCATGGTCCAACCAGCTCCAACTCTGCTGGTGCCAATCTACCCTCAATCTAACCGCCTTTCAAACGGCGCTTTGCAGAAGAAAACAGCTGGCTCAAGCCATCAATCGTAAAAGAACCGTAACTTCCCTAGTACCGCAGATTACCGAAGCAGCCTCACCTCGTGGCAAGCAGTCCAATCCTAAAGCTGATTCGCTCTTTTTTACGTGAAATCCCATTCCAGTAGGTATTAGCGACAGCCACAGATCAGATCTATCGATTGATTAAAAAAGGGACATGGACACCTCTCACAAATTGTGCTGTTAAGGCATTAGGGTCTAGCCCACACAAAAGCTTATTCGATGCACTGACTCCGATCTGCTCAGTTCGTCTTATGTTGTACAGTTTCGATTTAGTTCGACCGGGTGAGGGCTGTTATCAAAACCCGAAGCTCAGATGCCCACTCGACGCACGTTTGCTCTCCTTGACGTGTCGCACCTTGTGACCCTCACCAAGCCTGCTCCTGAACGACAGGTTCTTTTGGCGTAGGCAGTCAGTGGCGCGACGTGTCAAATGCGTGTCTGCCAATACAGATGTAGCAGAGATGAGTGCGGGTATCTTGGTGAAAACAACTCCTCTTTCGACAACAGAACAGACACTGCAAGGGAAACGAGACGACGGACTCAATTTCATATCACTGGATTCCTGCTGTAGACTGTGCGTTCAGCACAGTTGAAAACTTCCCCGTGAGAGAAATGTCTGATACACGGTACTGACTCTGTTCTTTAGGCCCTAAGGATATGGTCTGTTCCACGACATATCAATGATCAGGCATGTGCAGAAAATTATACTCATTGGATGCTTCTGTGCCATTCAATCGCTTTCTTCTCTCTTGACGCCAGAAAAGGAGCTACTCAACCTCAGCACGGCCGGCGAACATTCTCCTAAGCTTCCGAACCACCAGACCGTCATTATGACCAGTACTGGCAGCTACTTCCTCCAGATGCTTAAGAGTTTATCCCCTAATGGTCTTTGATCCTCGGGCCACCACAGACTACCTGGAACAAAGAATCGGCGATACCTTAAAGTTTTCGGACAGTTTCCAGCCTTCCACAAGTTTGCAAGGCGTCCAGATATCTATACTTTCTCTCTCTTGGTGGCTCGCTGCCCACCAAAACCGCTAAATGACAGCTTTGACATCTATCAACAAAAGCAAAGGGGGACAGATGACACTCGCCCACGTTCGCGGAATAATCAACCAGCCACATTCCTGTACCAATAGCTCGAGTTGATTGCAGGGACATATCGGGACGGAAGTGCCGGAGCTCATCAAGGAACACATCTATCCTCGTATCTCCTTTTCAAAGCGCCTCTCAATTCTATACAGTTTGGGTCACGTTCTTACTAGTTTCAAGCTTTCAGCCAAGCCCGGCAATACAATCAAAGACCAAGGCAATAGCTCCCATTGACTACAAGACCTCCGAATTGAAAGTAAGCTGTCAACGACTCAGCTGCTGAAACTTTCCCAAATTCTGTCAAAAGGACCATTCTGTCACACACTACACGTGCTTATCAATCAGCGCAATGACAAGGACCAAGCGCTCTTGCCATGCTTTGATCGACGATCTGGTGTTTCTTTTCGCGTAAATTGCCTCGTGCGCAAACCTTCGCGAAGCATTGACATAAGCGAGACGCTCATTGACAGCTCCAAACGAAAGTATGAATAGTACGAGCAGACCGTTGCAACCGAGGAAATCATGCCACAACCTCTATCCTCCCATAGACTCCAATAACCTCACTCTCAGGTATCCTGTGTCCACTCCATGACCCCTAACCCCAACTTCCTTGGCGTGTGATCCCCAGTCTTTGTCTTCGACAGAGTAATCGCATCCGGTACAAACATTAAGAAGTGAAAGCCACACTTTTCAAAAACTCGCCGACTAGCAGAGTTGTACTCGAAGTATGTCGCCCGGATAGTCTTGGCATTCATATACGGAACGAATAATCTGTGCATCAGCGTCTGGAGGACGGCCGGCATGATACCGCGGCCATGATATTCGGGGATGAGATAGACTATCACTCGATTAATTGACTGAGTGTTTATGCAATCTTCCCGGCAAGCCATGGAAATGGATGGGCATGGGGGATGTGTCGTCACTTTACTTACAGCCAATCTCCCAGATAATTCGTGGATCTCCAGGTTCGAGGCTGTCATTCTGCTCTTTTCGTTTCTCCCTCTCATCTTCCTCTACAATGTAGAGAAAACTGCCTCTCTGGATCGAGATCTCACCGATCCATCTCTGTTCTTCTCCGCCTGAATTATTTGGCTGGGTAACCTGCCTGATCGAAAACGGCCACATAGTCCTGCCCACCCCTTTCGTTGCCGACCCGTATCGAGTCCTCTCTTCTTGAGCGACTTTAAAATCCTCCAGCGCGCTCGCTGAAGCGTTCGAGATTGTGGGATACCATTCTTCCCAGTCCTTCTCCTGGTACGGGTATGGAGGACCGTTGAGTTTCGTGTAGACGCGAGGATCATTGAGAGCGAGCAGAACGGCAGGCCCATCGGAATGTTGGGGCGGCGTCAGGATAATTTTCGATGCATGGCGAACTTGAATGGTCAAGGTTGAGGGCTCAAGGTTAGATTCCATGCCCGAATAACCCCCACCAAAAAAAAAAAAAAAAGGACGGGGGATATGGCCCAAGGTCAGGTCACGAGGCCGATGCAGCGATCAATCCATGAACAGCGCCTCCACATGATAATGAAAAACATGAGAGGTGCTCACACTTGAAATGGCATCCAACACGCGGTGCCTTGATGAAAAAGGGTTGTGGGTGAGTCAGAAACTCCCAGGACAAGGGTTTGGGTCACATTCGGAGTCGAATTCTCCGAACTGCCCGATCATGCATCTCGTACACTGAATTATGGCTGGGATTCTGGGGATGACCCCAGTGGGATTCAAAAGAATATAGCCTATACAGTACTATACGAGGAGCTAGACATAACGAATAGTTCATCGTCAGTTCAAAGACCATTATCCAGAAGCAGCATCAGGGGGGAAGGGATACTGGTTCGGCTGGAACGCTGTTACTCAAGCCCGAGGCCGGGCATGGCAGAGGAATGTTCCATAATTTCGAGTTGTAAGCACCATGTTTCATATTTTCGAGGATTTTTCTCAGGAGGTACCGTCAGCGTCTTGATGTAGGAAATGGTGAGGGAAAACAAGCATTGGTGAGAATGCGGGTAGGAGTCCGAGAAAATTAGGCCTACGAGGCTGAGTAGGCCGTGCCGCGGAGTAGGATGGCAGAGCTTGGTATGGACGTATTGAGTGAGGTCTAGACTATTTCAGGAGTAGAAACCCCGTTGGCGGCAGTGAACCATGTCGAAGGCAATAGTCTGGACTCTTCAACCCCCTGGATCCTGAAGGAGTCAGGGCGCTTCTGTGGGTGATGATTTTTGTGTTGACATTAGGATGACATCATCAGAACAACCTCTGTCACCATCATATTCAGGCTTGATTTTATGTTTTACTTGGTTGTTGAATTATACCAAATATTACCATATCTACATGATCCATCACTGTCTGGCTCCATTTTGTGAGTACGTAACTCAAAACGCGTTTTCTTCGTCTCCTGTTTTCCCGTGTCTCACTACCACTGTTTCTCTTGGCATTGGAGCTTTTAATCTCCCCATTTTTCTTGCCAACGACTCCACGGCGCTTTTTCTTCTCTCGACAAGCGAACAAGTGGACTTGGCCGTCTCAAAATGGACATCTTCATGCTTGGCTCCTCCTTTTTTTGTGGCTTATTCCAATCTCCTGAACAACAGCATGGCGTTGAGTCTCAACTTTCGACAAATCCCATCGGGCTCCACAGATCCACAACCCCCTGTCGGCCATGGTAGGACCTCGCTGGCGCCATGTGAGCTGTTGGCCCCTCCTGCCTCGCCAACTCACACTCACGGTGGAGAGATTTCTGTTTCCAGTGGTGCATTCCTCTAAGACCGCTGCAGGCCGGCGTGCCATAATAGGATCATAACCATGGTTTTGCGTTAGGCGACGCTTCCCGAAATGACCAGACCGAACGAGAGGCAGCCTTATTTTCCCCGTGCCGAGAGTACAAAGTGCTGAGAACGTCCATTTTCCTGATTCTACTCTCTTCGTCATACCTATTGCCTTCACGTTCATTTCAACTCGCACTGTGATTTTGGAAGGTATTTTTTGCCTTCGTCCTTTCGTTCATTATTTTGTCGCTCTTTTCTTGATTTTTCGTGATGAGGTCGCTCAAGTATTTGACGGCCTTGTTGCCCCTGTTCGTCACCAATGGCCTCGCAGCAAAATGGGCCGATTGGAACAAAGAAAAAGATGTCCTCGTGGTGGTAACGACGACCAGAACAGTGACCATCTGCCCCCTGACGGAACTCTTTACTTGCGATATCGATCTTCCGACCAACACCGCCTCCTACCCCGACACTACTCCGGTCGAGCCGACACACACTGGACGTCCAGGGGGCCATGGGCCGGGCGGTCATCATCCCGGGGGTCCTGATGAAAGCACTGCCACTCCGGGTGAAACTGATAGCACTACGACTCCGAGTGGACCGGAGAGCACGACCACAAACCCAAGTGGACCTGAAAGCACCACCACTCCAGGTGGCCACGACGGTGGTCATCATCCCGGTGGCCCTGGTGAAAGCACTACAACTTCCGGAAGCTATGTCGAAAGCAGCACCACGCCCAGCGGTCCTGAAACTACCACAACCTCGAAAGGAAGTGAGGGAAGTAGCACCACCAGCCCTACAGATACGACCACCAAGATACCTGGTCACGATACAACCAGCAAAAGTGAAACTACTTCACCCACCGGAACCACCTCAAAGACCACTACTGCCTCAGTCTCCGGAACCACCTCAGAGACTACGTCTTCCTCGGTTTCTGGAACGGCGTCGAAGACTACTTCGGCCTCAGTTTCTGGAACCACAGAGACTACCTCTTCGGTTTCTGGAACCACAAAGACTACTTCGGGAACGACTTCGAAGACTACTTCGGCCTCCGGAACCAAGACAACCTCTGGCAGCGTCACGTCCACCTCAAAGACAACATCTGGGAGCACCACGACAAGCAAGACTACTTCTACCACTTCCACCTGTGCTGCCTCAACCGTCTCGGCATCCGGTATTCCTACTCCGACATGCAATACCCCAGAAGACCGTAGCAAATGGTGCTTGGGCAAATCGGTCGATGATGATACTCACGATACCTTCTACACCGGAACAACCAGGGAATACACTTTGACAATCACCGCTCAAGACATCGACTTTGATGGCACTGCCAAGCCTGCCTTTGCTGTCAACGGCAAGTCTCCTGGTGAACCTATCGTTGCCAATTGGGGTGATATGGTTGAGGTCACAGTCATCAACGCAATGACCGACAATGCCACCACTATTCATTGGCATGGTATTCGGCAAGTGGGCACCAATGATCAAGATGGTGTTCCTGGTGTGACTGAATGTGCCATCCCCCCCTTGGGTTCTCGAGTTTATAAATGGCATGCTTCGACCTATGGAACGGGTTGGTACCACTCTCATGCTTTGGCTCAGTACGGGGGTGGTATCCGAGGCCCTGTCATCATTCATGGGCCAGCTACCGCAGATTATGACCTCGACATGGGCACAGTTATGATTGATGAAACCTTCAGTCAAACAATCTTCCAAATGGCCTATAACATTGCCAGAGTCCGAGGAGCCCTGCCACCATCCACTAACTACCTGCTCAACGGTAAGAACAAGTCTCCAGATGGCACCACGGGTGAAGCTACGAAATGGACCGTCAAGAAGGGCAAGAAGCATCTCTTCCGCATCATCAATAGGTATGAAGTCTCAGCCGAGTCCCATGCCTCCTCGATTGCTAATATGTAAATTAGCTCTGCTCAAACCGCATACGCTGTCCACTTCGACAACCACAAGATGACCGTCATCGGCGCCGACTATACCCCCATTGTGCCGTACGAGACCGATATTTTGTGGATCCAGAGTGGCCAGCGATACAATGTCATTGTCGAGATGAATCAGGTAAGCGCAGCTATCATGAGCTTTGTCAATCTAGACTCACACATAAACAGCCTGCCGGAGCATACTTCCTGCGTGCCGTTACCCAAACCGGGTGCGGTGTCACCTGTGGCAACACTGGTCTTGGAACATCTAATGGTATCTTCACATACGAAGGCGCTTGCGGCACGCCAGTCTCGGACAACTTCACCATCACCACCGCCGGCGACTGCAAGGATGAACCACTTGCCAGCCTTGTTCCTCACGTGTCCAAGAATGCCGGCTCGACCAGCGACTTTACCTCCACTGTCAAACTCCTCCCGGGGGGGAATGCTGGCAGCCAGAACTTTGACGGTTACGGGTCTATTATCCGATGGTTCCTGGGGGGTCTCAAAGAACTTTCCGAGAACAGCGCTACTCCTGCGGCTAATAAGGCCGTCAATGTGACTTACAGTGAACCCACACTCAAGACACTTGCGACCTTGCCAACCTTACCACTCAACAGCTCCTTGTACAGCAACTCGGCTGTCCTGGATGGTCCTGCCGGGGAATGGGTCTACTTCGTTATCCAGAACAACTTCCAGACCTCACACCCCATGCATCTTCACGGGCACGATTTCTCCGTCCTTGGTCAAGGTCGTGGTGTCTTCACGTCCGACATGGTGGGACAACTCAACTTCGACAACCCTATTCGACGAGATACTGCCCTTCTCTTCGGTATCGGCAGCCCAACAGCATTCACTTCCGGTTGGACCGTCATTGGTTTCCAGACCGACAACCCCGGTGCCTGGGTCATGCACTGCCACATCATCTGGCACGCGGACGGCGGTATGGGCCTTCAATTCCTTGAACAACCAGATGCCATTGACGCCGAACAATATTGGGAAACTCCCTCCTTCCAGGATGAGTGCGCTGCCTACGAATCATACGAAGCTGCTGGTGGCGAAGGCAAGGCTCCATATGAATCAGGCCTCAAGAGACGACACCTGGGCGGGTACCATTATAGACCCCATGGACGCCACATGCACTAAAATGGCTGTGGTTCGGCATTCCTAGAAGACAACAACGACGCCGAGCATTGCACACAGAGTTGAACACGTAAATTAATGGAATGGCACGCCTGGAAACAGTTGCTTTTTGGATTTTATAATTCTTGACGTCGACCGCAGAATGCCGTGGAATGCCAGAGTCGGAAACCCTGTATGCAGTACATAATATGACATCCTCGTGTTCCGCGCTTTCTTGCCACTGGCTTCGACTAGATCTTTTCTGAATAATTTTTCTCCCAGAGCTGAAACTTGGAGACACAATCTGTGTTTGCTGCCCCATAAGAGGATGCCTTTTCATGCATATCGAAAAGGGAAATGCAACAGCGAAGGTCGCGAGTGGGCGAACCTGCCAGAAGCTGAGTCCCTATCTCGTTGAAGCTTGGTCCTGCCCAGGGAGCGACTTCGTTATGAAGTGGAAGTCGCTCTGACTACGTCGCGCTGCCTGTGCCGGCCACGGCTCAGGAAATCATTCAACGAGAAACTGGGGTACCAAAACAATCTATTTTGCCGAAAGCTTTTCCCCGTGTCCGTGCCTTTTCGACACGTTATCACGCCATCTCCTTCCAGCGGCCGTCAAGGAGAATACTGGTCCGTGCTCGTAGGCTTGGGCGCACGTGGAAACATCAAGACCGAACTAGCCGGGTCAAGATGGGGAGCTCCTCTAAGCTGTAAACGAACATACGCATGGATGTTATCACAACTCAATTACGGGTTGCCTTCTAGAGCACGGGCCTTCTCGTCTCCAGCCTGGTTGTGGCGAGACAGACAAGGTGGATTTAGCATTAGGTTGTACGGAGAATACGAGAGGCGAATCTGCTGCATGTAAAAAAAGGGGTTCTGAAGACCAACAGTGTGAGGCAGCAAATCAGACCAAACGGGGCTGACAGAAGATCAGTGGCCAGATGGGTCCCCACCCACGAATCACGACTGATCTTTGCCCATAGCAGACTCATCTCTTGCAACAAGCCACAATGCTATGGGTTTGGCTTTTGGACTCCACGACTTCAAACTTGATTGCACCGGAAAGAATTGGGTATATGTCTTTAACATATGGTGAAATTTTTCAGCTGATATTTTCTTCCTGTAGCTATTGCGGGCTGCGGAGTGACATTCAGATTTCGGGATTGCCCATTGGCGGTCTCGTATTTGACTCTCACACAAGCGTTGATTGCAGGGGGCCATGGCGCTCGCAAGCCCCTTGTAAATTGTAAATAGTTCATACTGCTGGAACCCCTTACGATCCGAAATGTCAGCGCAGGGAGAGAGCCCTCTCGAAAATTCCTATGGATGGACTACCTCGACGGTGCCGTTTGCTCAGGCCGGGAACTATTAATACACCACTTTTTCAATATTCCAAGACACATTGCCGATTTTGCTAGTCCAACCATGGAGCCGAATTATGGTGCAGATGTGACAATATTGAAAAGCTGACGGTTTTCATGCAATCGGCGCTGTTTTGAGACTACTAACAGCCTTGACTTTGTTGGCGGCGAATCTGTGGGTATAAACACGAACCATGCTCATTCATATTTTCAAGCATGACGAAAAGCCGTCTCGTGGCTGTCTCTCTCGGCGCAGAAGCAGTCGTCCGCCGCCCAATCCTCACCCTTCAGCCTTTCCTTGCCCGATTTATTGGTGGTCTGGCGACGCTGCTCGTGTTGGCCATAACCCTCTACGTCTGGGGCTCTCTTCTCATCTCGATCCGTGACGCTTTCCGCATTTCTGCGTTCCCAGCGCCTATTGGAGCAGTGGGCGTCTACATCTTTGGACCTCTCTTTGCTATGTTCGTATATGATCTTATCCGTCAGCAGGTCGCGGTTTTTCAGTATTTACGATGGCTGAGGGGTTCCGAGAACGAGGCGGACAGACGGTGGAAAATAGCAGACCGTCTTCTCTCGTTCGACGAGTACAACAGTTCTTGAGGAGAATTAGAGCGGGAGGTTGGCGTGGTGGTCTTCCGCGTGAAGTCACGCAAGCGAATGTCCGATTAAGATTAAGGCAATGGGATGGCGAGGCGAATAACAGGGACGAGGAATTCCCTGGGGAGATTCATTTGGAATGGATAGGGAAGAAAATTGAAATGTGTAATGTACGAAATGCAGTGTCGTTCCAACACATGGAATGACTTCTCTGAGTTGGGAAACGGGGCCGAAAGAAATGCCTGATGCGGTTCCAAATACCTCAGTGGGCAGAACTGGATCAAGAGCCAACTTCATGAGTGAGGAGTCAGAATATCCGATTCGACATTCGTGCTATTTACCGCCATGGTTGTCGATGTCAGCATTTGTGCTCTGGCAGATTCATTGGTCCCTGACTCTGATGCATTTATTCAGCGTTCCCTGTCTGCACTCTTGCAGTCATACATGTTTTACAGGTTGCGGATCTGTCACATTAAGACGCCAGCCCCAAGAGGATACCCGAGCTTTTCTCCTATTTCTGCTGCGTTATGTCGGTGATCCTCCATCCAATGTAGTTCTAGCGTTGGAGTGTGGGAATGCCGTCACGCCACAGTATTCGGGTTAGACCGTGGGCGTGGATCAATGGATTATTCTCTTTTCCGCAGGCACATCATAGAGACATGCGGTGTTTTCATGGCCAACTGCTCTGCGCTAGTCCTTAACGCTGGCCAATGGAGCCGCTGTGGTCAATACATTGCTGGAGGCATCCACATTCCCTGAACAAGTTGAACCAGGAGAGTCGGCAATTCTGTCGCCGGTCACCATTTGCGAGCTCCTGCTAGAGACAAACTTCAACACGAACCCTTATGGAGTAGACGGCCCGGCCATGCATCGAATGCTTCAAGAATTGCAGATAGCCTTCGATTGTTCATACTTCAGAGGATTTTGTCCCTCTGAGGGCGTTCGAGAATATCCCATAGAAAACAATGGAAGCAGAACGTTTACCATGTGGGAGAAGAAAGTTAAAGGGAAAATCACTATGCCCCTTGCTTGAAGGCTAATTTCGCGGACCGAGAGGTGATGATGATGTTGCCCTGAGCGCGTGTTAGAAAGAATGATTGAATGTCATAACCCGTCGGACCTCGTCGACCTTGACCTTCTCTTCATCTGCACTCTGTGCTGGGGGCCCAGCAGACTCGTGGAGAATCACCGCACTCAAACCAGTTATATCTCGTCTTCAACGTTTCATCCTTGGTATTTATCCAAAAGGTTGTGAAAAGTGTGTTAAAGACTAGCCTAATCTATGAACAAATCGTGGCCGTTTTATAAGCGTCGTCCTTGGCGTCTTGGCCAGAATCACAAGGCTAACGAATAGTCATCACGGCACTCAATCGTGTCTTGCCTATAAACTCCCAGGAAGGCATCAGGTTCTGTCTAAGGTGCTTGACCCGGCCATACGCCAAGTGACTTCGACGATCCTGATGGTGCTATGCTCAATTTCGACAACTCCAGTAAGATGCTGTCTTCTGTGTTGATATGCCTGGCTATTTGGTGCGGCCTGTGACTGGTTGCTCCTCCATTGAGTGAGTATGGACAACAGATTCAACCGGCGATGTACTTCCTGGCGTATAGGCGCGATGTTCGGCGCACTTAGATTAAGCACTGTGACTCAGGCCTGCACTACGATGTCTCAGTTGTTGATTCCTTAGACCACAGGTTCGTACTTTCGAAGGGCAACGAATATCCTTACAACTCGCGGAGTACATCAGGCCATATATGCTACCCCATAGAATTCTGTTGCCGCTCTTAGGCTCCCCTTCAGAATCGGGCTAGAAGAGGTGAATGTTAGGAGTCTGGAACCATAACGGAGAAACTTCGTCAAAGATAGCCTCGTACGTGATTGATGATCTCATGGCCGATTTTACAAGAGACCGCATCACCAAAATGGGAGGGGTCAGGGTAAATGAATACACACACTCTCACACAGACTGTATCATCACTACGAGCTCTGATGGCCGGCGAGTCGGAGTTCTTTCTTCGAAGACCGAGGAGATACTTTCTCCCAAGCTCTCTGCACAGCCTCACTAATCACATAAGAGATCTCGTTGGATGAACCATTCATCTACAGTATCGCACGAAAGAAATTGATTTTATAACGACCGGGGGACGGGTTCAAGCACTGGACCGGACCAGCTTTTCGAACCCCATGGAACAGCGGGCTCTTCTGGTGGGGGTTGTACGGTGAACGCGCCCATCAGCATCGGCATGCCTATGATCATGGTGAGCGTCAGCCGGAGAGGACGGCTTTGCGCGAAAAAGATGACACGTGTACATCCGGAATTGAGACTCAGAAATCGTGACCATGTTCCCTCTAGCGGGATACTAGATACTAGTCAACAACTCCCCCTTGCCGTCGTCACGAGAGTCCTCCCCTTACGGCGCCGACCTATGCCTCAACGGAGACCAAGGACTCATGGGAGACTTGCTCAATCTCAATGCGAATGCTAGGATGGCGTTTGGCTGCAGTGGGAAGGTGGTAAAATGGATTTTGAATTTTGAGTTGCTCGTCATAATGCTCCACATTAGATTTTCTGCCCGCAAGCGTTCCCTTCATAAAGATCTGCAAGAAAGGATCATTCTCCTCAAAATCTGGGCCCTTGATCGTACTCGCTCATTGACCATGCATTTATATAAGCTTATCAGGCCTCCAGGATTGCCTTTCCACGGGACGCCTTTCTCAGCAACACGGCCCCTAAATGCTCAGGCGCTATCAGCTGCTCTCAGCTTGGTTACGACGCCTTAAGGCTCATCAAACACGAATTGACTCGTGACACCTTCATGGCAACTCTAGAATGTAACGGCTCTGCCCCTGCTTTTGGCTCAACCATAGCTTGCACAAGGAGACGGTAAACCTTTCCTTTGCTTACTCAGAGATAAAACGCTCATCCTGACTGTCTCTTTGCGGGGAGGCTCTACGTCACAATTCTGACACAAAGTGCGGCGCTCGTACAGGAGCTAGAGTATACATATACGCTTCTCCCCTTTGGACAGCGAGCCCTTCTGCCTTGTGGAACGACTGAGTTGATCGGGATTACCACAAGTCCCATCGAAAAGCATTGATTATCATGGCGGTCCGAGTATGCGTAATTGGTGCTGGCCTCACGGGATTGATGGCTTTGAAGAATTTGAAAGAAGACGGGTTTGAAGTCACGGCATTTGAGAAGAAACCGTATGTTGGAGGTATTTGGAAGCCAACACAAGATTCATCCCTCTCCGTTACACCTAGTACAGTCCTCAACACCAGTCGGTTTCGCAGTTCGATCTCTGATTTTCCATTCCCGGAGGAGGTGGACGATTTTCCCACTAGCGAACAGATCCATCGATACCTAGAAAGCTATGCTGACCACTTTGAACTTCGACCCCACATTCAGCTCGACGCTGAAGTCAAGGATCTGAGAAGGGCTGATGACAAATGGGAAGTCGAGGTCCTCGTCAACGGCACCCAAACGATCGTCCAGCGATTTGATAAGATCCTGTCTGCGACTGGACTTTTTGCGGGCCCCAAATACCCCAAACAGAGTCTGGCCGGAGCCGAAAATTTCAAAGGCTCCGTGATCCATGCCATTGACTTTTCAGACGGGTCTCGATACCAAAATCAGAATGTCTTGTTGGTCGGATTGCACGCAACCGCAACGGACATGGTGAAGGAACTAGCAGGAAACGCCAGAAAGGTGTATATTGCTCATAGGAGCGGTGTGATCCTGGTAAGTCTGTCAAGGTTTGTCCCATCTTTGGGCTAAACTCGATTTCTAGGCTCCCCGGTACACGCCGGATGGCCGTACTTTTGACTATGACATGAACCTACGGTTTGTGGCCTTCCAAGTCTTTGCAGACAAATGGTTTCCCAACCTGCTCAACGCTTTCCTGGATCGTGTCTTAAAATCGATGTCCAAGAAAGCATTTCCCCACCAGCCCAAGGAATGGAGCCTCTCACCTGCGCAGTCTGTTGCTGTCTCTCTTCCACTTGTAGCAGATGAGCTCTATGCCTTCTTGAACACCGGCTTTGCCACTCCGGTGCCAAACACCCGGAAGGTTGTTGGTCCAAAGTCAATCGAACTGACCGATGGACGTGTGTTGGAAGATATTGATGCAATCGTGTATTGTACGGGATACGAATTCGCGGTACCCCTCATGCCACCGGAGTATAACCCGTATCCGATCGTGGGTGAAGCTCCCATGCTGTACCAAAATATCTTCCCGCTCCATCCCGACCCAGCCGTCCGCAATTCCTTGGCGTTCGTGGGCCAAGGAGTTACCTCGTTCATAGGTCTTGTTCAATATGAGTTGGAAGTAATGGCTATCTCACAGATTTGGCAAGGCAGATCTGTACTCCCATCACTCTCGGAAATGAAAAAGTGGCGTGAAGACAATGTCAAGGCGATGAAGAGGCTCCTCGCGTATCACAGACATGAGGGGACGTTCTATGTCGTCATTCTTCCTATCCATTCCTTTCTGACATGGCTGGATAGAACCGCCGGGACCGGAATCTTCGACCATTTCGGCTGGTTCAAATGGCGAGGATGGAAGCTCTGGTGGAACGAGCCAAAACTTTACCAGATGTGCCTGGGAGGTGTATTCTCGCCCACGATATGGCGACTATTCGACATGGGTCGCCGAAAGCCGTGGGGTGGCGCTAGGAAACAGCTGCTCGAGGATAACAGGATTGCGGATGAAAGATGCGAGAAACGGTTGAGAGCAATGAAGGAGGAGAGCCGCAAGAATATATAACGATACCAGATCAACCAGCGCTTTAGTTACACGGGTCTGATGGCCAAAGAAGCCAGCTCGCTCAGCTTCGACGCATTAGAAGGCGGTTTGATGTGTGCTGTGGGAATTTTCGGGCGTTAGTTGTTTCTCATTAGCCAAGCGTCGACGTTGGGGTGGTTGAGCGATGCTGATGGAAAGGACAATCTTGGAACTGAGTGCTGACAGCACAAGTCGGCCTTTTAATACTCTGCACCTTTGGAGGTGAGGTAGCAAAAGTTCGCGTCCACCCTCGGATACTCAATACAAATCCCGTAATATTCATTCCCGAGTCTTGACCTCACCAAAGTCCATTTTCGTTTCTAGACCTGAGCACCTGCTGTTTTGCTTCAGCCATGGCCGTGCGATCCTGAAGTTGGCTTTGCTAGCCCTGAGCGTGTCCTGAGCACCTAGGGCAGCCCTGAGGGCTATTCCACCACCGTCTATATGGGCCCTTTTCTGGGCTATGGGTTCCCAGCTTTGGAATTTCATTTACTCGGAACGTCCAGTTCCAGGATGACTTCGCTCAACTTATGCCGCCAGAAGTTTTACAAAGCCATGGTCGACCAAAGGCTCATGCCTTGATCCAGCCTTACTGTAATATGAACCGTGTTAAACTGGATCTTCCACCTGGGAGAGGAGCCACTGGGCTTGGCTAGTGCTTAAACTGCTTGTGTCAAAAACCTTGGGGTGCCCAAGGAGATAACTAGTTAAGAACGGCGTGTTGTGAGGCAGCTCACCTTACTAGCCAGCGTAATGCTTGGACAGCCCAGCCCACACAAGTACATAGAGAGAGCTATTGGCATGCGTGGAGTCTAATCAGCAAGGCTGGATGGGCGCAGGTTGGGGATTTTGGATCTGGTAAGTCAACGAGCCGGAAGCGGCCATCTCACTCCCTTATAGGGCATCAACTCTCTGTCGAGAAACAGAACCGAACTGTCAAGGAATTCGAGTCAAGGAATTCGAGACTGACCAGCAGACGAAGGTTTTGCCTTTCTACACAATGCTTGCATAATACCCATCACGTCCTCTTCGCGCTCAAAGCAGGTGTTTAGATGGCAATGTACTGGAAATACACTTTTGCTCTCCACGCTCCGTACCTCTCAACATCTGTATGGTGGTCCATCCCACGACTAGGAAATCCCAGCTTGTGAGCTTGCTTCTTGCAACACGCTTGTATGACGATCCCTCCCGCTACCGCGCCATTCCCCCTCCCGTTTGCCGGCATGATGCTGGCTGGTGGCACCTAAGAATCGAGGAAAAGAGAGCATATCATCGGACACAGGATATACCGTTGATTGACTTGGGTCCAGGGTACAGACATGAATATCCTTAAAATTCTGCTTGAACGTGGGGTGTCCTGTTATGCAATTCTGCTCTGAGGCGGGCAGTGGAACATCAGGATCACTCTATGCTCGAAATGTTTTTGAAGCATGTAGGAAGCTTGAATGATAATTCTCGAAAAGCAAGAAGGTATTTGAAACTAGCTGTGTACGCTAGAAGACACGACGTAATCTGTCTTCGAGTTGACCACGGTGCAAATGTTAACTCGGATCCTATTTCGTGCCATACTGTGACCTCAATATAGCATCGTGCCGCCGAGATCCGCATTGCAATTGATCATCGAATTAGGTGACGAGGAAACTATTCGCATCTTGCCACATACCAATGGTAATGTGAATGCGTCTGCCGCAAAAAGGTTGGGCGAGCTGCGCTTGAAAATGCTGCCGAACACGGATGGATCGATGTGAGCACAGACAGATGGACTATAAGTTACCGAAGACAGTATTACCAAGCCGTTAAGTTTGGGCGCGGAGTCGAGGTCACTATGTCACAGCCAAACTTTTCGAGAATCACAGAGAGTGGACTTTAGAAGACGAGGAATTACTCGAGCGTGAAACTTTATTCTAATCAAGAATCACCTAAAAATCGGCGGGGAGATGAGGACTTGTATCGCGTGGGGTCCTAATATTTGGAAGTACCTGCATGTAATCCATTACAATGAGGAAGGGGGAGAGTGTGGAAGAGCCACAAGGCGAGGGGGAGGAAGAGTACCCGCCTATGGTTCGTTCGGCCTTTGCTTGCTAGACTGCTGATTTACACTTTCGGCAACCCCAAAGCTTCCCTACGCCCTGTAGATGCTGGGTCGAGATACGGGCGCTCACCAACACCAGAAGCACGTACGCCAACTCTGATTCCATCGACAAGATGCGTGTCCGGCTAAAGAAGAACATCCATGTTAGCCTCCGACACCGAAAAGATCAAATTCAATGTCCGACTGAAAAATTAAGCTCTAGTGTGGGCGATGGTGAATAGTGACCGACAAGGCTGAGCGCAAAAAGGGGTCTTTTCCGCCTCAACCTCCATCTCCACCACCGAGCCAATACAATCCCAACCGGACTTTCACCGCAATACAACATTCCAACGAAGGAAAGCGGAAAGAAAATATGAGAAGTGGGCAAGAGAAAAGGTGAAATATTAGAGAGAGTTTCAGGTAAACATACCGTGGCGGCATGCAACGTGCACGCATTACTCCAAATCGCACATGCCTGCCTGGTCCAATGCATCCTTGCCACACAGTCATGATTCCTCGTAATCAACCTGAGAACATAGTCCCTAATCATCTGATCCTCGTATGCATAGACATCATTGATCCTGCTCACGTGCAGCCCTACGCCCGCAAATAGACTCTTCCACCCCGTCACGGGATGTGTGCGGATCACTGGGTGGACAGGGGCGAATTTATCGCCGATGTTCAATGGTGAACCGCGCGGAGACATCAGCTCGTATCCGCCGGTTTCGCAGGCGGATTTGAAGACGGGTTGAGCGCAGGTGGCGGTGAGCGTCTCAAGGAAGCGAGCGAACGGGGGAGAGAGGCGGTCGTACAGTTCGTATCCAGAGACCCATAATGTGTCGCCGCCCGAAGGGGGCGTGTCTTGCATGCGAAGAAAGGAGAAGTCGGCGGGACATTCTTCGAAGAGGCCTAAGATTATTTCAGAAAAGAGAAAACGGATCGGCAATGAACGATGATTATGCTCAAAAATTTATTGCAGAGGTAGGGGAAAAGTCCAATTGAAAGGGAGAGATAGGGATAAGAGGGGGAAGGGGAGGGGGGAGGGACGAACAATCACTATGCCATTCTCTGCTGAGGTCCTTGGGTTCGCCGGTGCTGTTCGGTCGATCTTTCATCGTCTTGTACAGCTTTTTCATGGCTTCGGAATTGATCACGTAACTAGACGTATATTTCGGATTTGTTAGCATAACGGTCATATATATACCTACAGGACGAGACAAGATAGCAGTAGCAAACCAAGCTGGCAGGTCGCTCAGAAGCTATATCTATCGACCAAGTGAATCAACATTGATAGAAAGATAGAAAGGGCCTACTCACATATTCTTATCTGTCGTCCCATCCGCCATAGGAATATTATTCGGATCATTATACAGCGGGTGAACATGCAGACCATGCTCCTTGGGGCGTCCCGTCAACTTCCCAAGCAAATCCGTAATAGTCTTCTGTTCCGCGACGGTCAAGTCATCTTGAGGAGCGCGGAAGAAGACCACGCCTCGTTCGCAGATGGTGATGGCCAGGTCGCGGATTTGGTCTTCGAAGTTGGGTGCATGGAGGATATCTTTCAGTTTGGCGGTTGGATATTCGCGACCGATGATGGGTGTGACGTCGATGTATTCGAGGTGGTCGATGGAGCCGGAGTTTTTGAGCGGTGTGCGCTTGAGTTTCATGTGTGAGATGGAACCCATTTTCAATTGATTGGTTGATGCAAGGGAGATGAATTGGGTATTGTGGCCGTAGGGAGGTATGTTATGTTCGTGTGATCCTATATACCTGTATTTGAATTCTTGCCTTAAACTAAGACGATTTACGACACAACAATAACAAAATGGAACGATAAATGTTGTATATCGTACATCGTGGCTTGTATGTCAACTCATTCCGAAGATATGTAACAGTCAGCCATCCGCCATCCGCCATCTCCATCGTGGGGCTGTATAAGTACAGTATATCAATCTTTCCAGGCAACCCCTCTGGTGTGGGCATGACTGCGGAGAGTCTTGCTCCCACCATCCCGTTGTCTCTATGTGGGGAAGTTGTTTCACGTCTGTCGGATTGGAGTTCGCCATTGCAATTTTACCCCATGGGGCTTGTTCGTTTAAAAGACCGGAATGGTCTGGTAGTAAATAAACATCTGCCGAAGACGATATGTCGTAGGTTATGGACAGCAAGAATGGTTGTCCGACGTTCGCGGTCAGGTTTCGAATCGATGCTCTTCGTGTTCATCTCAATGGCTCCCCAGTGTTTGAATTGGGCGAACCTTGGCCTAGATGTAATGATTATGTTCAGGCTCAGAACGTCCGTGCCATCTGCAGTCCAGGTGATCGACCACTGGTGAGAAGACCGATCGGGTATGACGGCTCTTGGGTTGTCGCTGAAACAACTGCCGTGCTTTGACGACGGATATATGTTTCTCTACCAAGTAGTAGTATAGGCCACTGTCCCGAGCACATTGGATCTCGTATTCTGTAAGCTAAACGGGGATCATTTGGAGAGTTGGGGGGGAAGTGGGTTCGTGCCTTTGTAAGCGGCCCATTGCACTGCAGCCTTGTCTATATTCCTGAACTCAAATCTTGAGAAATTGGGAACAAGTTGGATGGTACAATAGTTTCTAGTGTCCTGAAGAGTGGTCTTCGGGTTGACAGGAATTTGATGTAAATTACCCAGTCACATTTGCAGCAGGACACCACCCCGGACCCCCGATCAACCCCTCTCTACGCCCATTACCAACAGGGAGGAGCCCTCTCAATCATGCTTGACTCTTATTCTCCGCCTCGCTGAGTTCTTCCACGTGGGTGGACTGACCCATGTTCTTTCGCTCGCTAAGATCCTTGCCCATCGCTTCGGCAGCATATCCTTCCACTCCTGTACAAACATAGTGTTTAAATTTCCTTGCCGGAAGTCTCGCCTCGAACATCTCGTGAATTTCCTCCAAAGTGCGGTCTCGTGTTTCTGGTAGGAAGAACCAGGTAAATATCGCACAAATCATGTTACTTCCGAACCATATATACCCGTACTTTGGTCCCCAGGCGAGTTTTGCCGGGTTGATGAAATAAGGGGCCGTAAATGTACCTAGCCAATTACCAAGGAAGTTCATGGCTGTTGCCAGGCCAAATGTAAACGCACGAAGTTGATTGTTCACATATTCGCCGCCGAGAAGCCAGGCATAAGGTGCTAACAGATGTTAACCCTGTTTCGGGAAGGGCCGTGCTCGGGAAATGAAAGGGCGGACCTACCGTAGGCAACATAGAAGAAAGTGAAGAGAGCAATGAATGCAACGACAACCTTGCCGGTTGATTCGGTACCGGGGTTTGCACTCCATGCAATTGCGGGTATCAGTTGGCATATCCCACAGGCCGTGATTCCAATAAGCATGACCATGCGTCGGTCTATCAGTCGCACGAAGAAGAAGCTGACGAGGACACCGATAAGGCCAGTGCAAGTCACTAGAATCGAGTAGGCGAAAGGATTGTGCACTCCGGCAATCTCCAAAAAGTATGTCGTGTAGATGTTGACCCAGCTTGATCTATTAACAGAAAAGTCAGTGGATTGGTCCTGAACATTTTGAAAAAGACGCACCCGTTGGCGGAATGGAAACACACAACCGCAATCGAAAGAAGGGTGCGACGCAAGTTTGTCCCTCGCCACATTTCCAGGAAAAGGAGCTTCTTGTTCTGTTCCAGTTGCTCCCTAGTTGACTGACGGATTTCATTCAGTTCGGCTTGGAATTCCAGTTCATCTATACTTGAGTTTCGTAGCCGTCGCAGACTTCTCTCTGCGTGATCTTCCTTTCGCTGAACCATGAGCCATCTTGGAGACTCTGGAGCGACGACAAAAAGTAAAACTGCTTGGAGCGCTGGAGCAACAAAGAATATTGCAAGTGGAATCTGGTACGCTTGCCTGCCATCCATTGTGTGGGTCCCAAAGTCAATACTGGCCCCAACAATGGACCCAATTGACAGCATGCTTTGATAGACGGCAAAGACAATGCCGCGAAGATGGGCCGGCGCGGCTTCATGAATGTACAGCTGAGCAAACGTCAAAAACCAGCCAACGGATATGCCTGAGATTGTCAGCACAATGAAGCTTGCAACATTCGAATACGCAACTTGCCTAGAATGAGTCGAGCAACATAGAGAGCGGCCTTAGTCGTGGTGCCTAGTTGAATACTTGTGGCGATGAAGTTGAGAATGGTTGCAGCCCACAGGCCATGTCGTCTCCCGAACCTCGCGCTGAAAGGACCAACCAGCAATGAAGATACAAACGTGCCAATTGTCATGAGGGAGGAGATAAGTTGCTGGACAGTAGCCTGACGGTCATGGTCAATAAAGTGAGTGAACATGGCCAGCAGAAACTGACGTCGATGTTCCATTTTTGCAAATCTTCACTGTAATAACCAAAAACTTCGAGGAAGCCCGGCATCGACAAAAATCCGCCCACCAGCGCGTAGTCCAGTCCGTATTGGAAAGTCGACAATGTCGCGACAACACAGATGGCTAGACATTTGAGATGACTTCGTACGTCTAGTTTCAGAGGGTTTGCAGAAATAGGAGCCGCGACCATGGTGGCGGAGGTATGTTTGAAGATGATAGCAATCGAGCTTGACAGTGATGTAGACCGGAAAAGCTGACCGTCAGAGCTCTCGTCATTGACGCCAAAGGCAATTCTTCGCAGCGAAACAAGATGAAATATAACGAATAACCGATCATAGCCTACCTAGGAATGGTGCTTCTGTAGAGCTAGCACCAACCTCTTGATCCCTGCAAATGTGGAATTGGAGTATGGGGAAGGAACAAATGCGGAGAGGGAGAGAGGGGGCTGCAAATAGTGGCCCGGTGCCTGTCGTATAATTCTGGTGACGGTCACCCGAGCGGCGTTTGACCGGAGTAGTCCCTTGGTATTGATTGAGGAGATGTATGATGGACATCTAAGTCGAGAAAAGATTCAACTGCCGAAAAGTGTGGCGTGTTGGTTCTGTTGAATCCCACATCTGATAGTGACATGTCCAGTGCTTCAAGCTTCAAGCAAGCAATTCTCCACGATATCTTGGGCCGAGTCTTCTGGCTATGTTGCGGTCTTAGTCCGAGGTAGGAAGACTTCTTTTTTCCGGATGGGGGGTGGGGGACTGTTCCTGTGATACAGTCAGTTCAGGAAGTCATATTCTAATCAGTTATACGGCCAAGTGTGGGTTCATGATGAGATTTCAGACATCAGAAAAGAAAAGTTTGTGGAAACCTGGTTAATAGTGTAAATCCATTGTTTAGCTTCGTATGGGCTAACCGGAGGGGAGCTTTTAAGATGCAAGGTACAATGAACAAGTCATGAGCAAGTCGTTTGCTTCTCGGCCGTGAAAACATGCAAATCATAAAAGAGGACATGGTACGGGCATACGCAAGTCGTTGTGGGGGAAACCCATGATGAAGCTCGAAGCCACGGAATTCAAAGGTCATTGATCAGCCGCTGGCGATGCGATGGTCAGACAGCGAAGCCTGGAGGACCTCAAAGTGGCCAGCCGCCCTGTTCGAAACCAAAGTTCATCGCCAGAAACTCGTCGCCAAATCCATATGCTATGAGTTCATCCGAAGTCACGTCCATGTGTCCCAGATCGGGTCCAGGCATGCCATATGGCATCATTCCTTGTTGCATTCCCATCTCTGTAACGCCAGGGAGCATTTGAGCTTGACTTATTGGCTGCATCCATTGTTGCGGGATGACGGTTGGTGGAGGGGGCCCAGGTCCCATTGCGGCTTCGGAGAGCATTTGGAGACCACTTCTTGGTTGCTGCTGGACTTGAGCATTCTGATCCATAGCTGCTCGATTTTGTGAATTCCATGCCAACTTTCCAGGGTCTTGCTGAGGGGCCATGGCCTTGTATATTTGTTGTGCATTACCTCTGCCTGCAGGAGTTCGTTGTCTCGACACCGGATTACTGCCATTGTGGGATGGCTCAGTGCGTTTCATATGCCAGCTCTTCAACATATTGAAGATCAGGCTGAATTTGTGTGCTACCCTGCTCATACCATCCTCAGCCGTTTTGGTCATGGCTTCGATAAGTCGGTCAAGATAATATTCCACTTTGAGATCCTTCGTCTTGAATATTGAAGCAAACTTGGAGCCTTTGGCAGACACCGCGGAGTACATTTTGATTAACGCAACAGCGGCGTATGAGTTCCTCACGAAGAAAAGTGTGGGGAGCGCCCGAAGCATTTTGATGTCCATGTTCAGGAAAGCATCAAATGCAGCATGGGCAGAATGGATACAAATGGTTAAAGCTTCAATGTGAGCCGGGGTCACGTTGTCAGGATCTGGAGGACCTTCAATGGGGGTGGCATTGAATGGCGGTCGAAAATCATCGATGTTGTGATTGTGGTGCATGGCGATTTCGTGCATGTACAGATTGATGATTCCTTCGGAGTGTTGGACGAATGGCTTCTTGAGCATTTCTTTGGTGGCTGCATCGTGCCATTCCTTCAATTGCCGCTCAAACGCTTTCAGATGATATTGCGTTTTCGGGTCCGCTAGGGTCAAGAGAGAGGCGGGATCATCCATGGAAAACTCCAATCCAACATCTTCGGCAATGTGTTGTCCACGAACGAGATGGCAGAGCCATTTATCTGAGGGCAGGGCATCCGGTGAAGAATTCAAAATGTCGATGCATTCTTCCGCATAAGGGCTCCAGCGAACAAGTAATGGTCGCCTCAGAGACATGGATGAACTGATACCTATTAGTCGATGAAGGGACTATTCATCATCGTCGTCGTCGTCACATTACTCACTTGCAGCACATATAATAGCAACCCAACCAACATCGCCTGGTCTCTGCGCTGTTAGGATCCGTCAACGGTCTTTTATTTTCGTGGTATGGCCGCCATAAGCCTCCACCTCCTCGTTTAGCTCGTTTCCCCATACCAAGATCCAGGGCCATGACAGCAGCGATATGGATAAGTTGATTGAAGTTCAACTCTTCGTATTTTTCCGGAGGCTGATAGAAGCACGTGGTCACCTGAATTGTCTGCACCAGCTCGAGTGACTTCTCTCCTCGAAAGATGACTCGATCCGCAAGGGTCCGAGTTATTTCGCTGATGAGCCTGGGCTGTAGATCTGGTCGGATTGTGCCTGATGCTACTGCAAGAACAGCAAGGAACAGAACGGGTTTGCTTTTGCGAACTTCATCAGCATTGGTACCGGGTGGAAAGACCACGAGTGGGAGATGCTCGCACATCTCCGCCATATACCGTTCGAAGCATACCCGGGCAGTGTTGGCATCCACAATACCGCGTTCGACAGCATCGACAGAAACAGCCTCATCAGGGTCTGCTTTGGCCTTGACAGGGTCCGGGTACATGTGCTGATATTGAGGAACAGGCGCAGCAGGTTTGAAGGCGGATGAAGAGGAGGAATTGTGTAGCTCACCCCCAAAGTAATCATAGTCATTTGCAATCTTCCTCTTGACGCCCTGCTGAAGAGACTGTGGAGACTGGGTGCCCATTGGTGGCGGGCCATGCCATTGATCTCCATATGCTGGAGGACGAACAGGCTGAGAGGCATGGGCTTGAGAAATGGCGGGATCTACCGCCAGATCTGAATCAGCTCTTCCTCGGGCAGCCAGCGTGGCGGTCAGAGCATCGATCTTCTTTTCCAACTCGGCCACTCGACTGTCCGTCTTCTTCTGCCTCTTCCTGCTCGGGGCGGTGACAATACACTGTCTGTTTGCTTTGGCGCATCTCTTACATGAACCCGTGGGGCTGTTGTCATCTGGTTCACATTTGACCTTCAGCTGTCGACACGCCTCACAGGCGCGAGGTCTTTTCAAATCATTGGGATCGGCCGGATTGCCCGAAGGACTCTGGTCATCCGGGCTTTCCTGAGTCTGCGGATTGTTGGGATAATAGTTTGGCGTCTGTATGCTTTGGTAGGAATTGTTCGGTGATGCCTGTAAGGACGAGTAGGCAGCAGCGGCGCCGTTCTGGCAGGACTGGGAATCGCGTGGTTTTGGAGGGGAGGTCAAAGAAGAGCCTCGCAAGGCTGGATCGATGGGATTAAAGGATTCGATGCTCGCCATGATTTCGGTAAAGTCGACCGCGGAAGTGTGGACTCGTGGTCAGTATGTCGGGAATGCGGTGGTAGTTCTCGCCGTCTGGGATGCCGCGCGCCGACGGCGAAGGGGTTCAACGTTGCTCGTCAAGAGTGGATGTGAGCATGGTGTCGCGTCCGAGTACTTATGACTTGCATCACCGCTTCCACTCAACGATGACTCTTCAGGAACAGGCGGTCGCTCTCAGTTGAACAACAGTCGGTAGCAGACAAGTCGTGGTGGATGACGAGTTGTCTTGGCGTATTTGCAATTGACCTTGAACGACACCCTCGGCATCAAAAGGCCACCACCGCACCAAGGGCTGTGCGCTCTTCTTTAACTTTGGCGAGCTCAGCCACTCAGACAAAAGACGGCTCGCTAGCGAACTTGGATCATTTCATTTAATAATAGATCGCGTCTCTCCCCCCCCATCATCGACGCGATCATTGATGATTCATGAAGTGGACAAGTGTAACTAGTCGCACCGTGGGATGGAGATCTATTACATGTACCTTGGTAGAGTGATACGGGACTCGTTCCTGTAGAAATATCAAAATTCAAACCACTCCCATCGCCCCTTTTTGACCCATTCGGCGTGTCCAGTGGCTCTATTGTACCATAGTGCTAGTATTGCCTTGCAGATAAAAGATCCCATCAAACCAAAAAATCAATAAGATGTCGTTCCCGGTCGTCCAATAATCATTCATAGCGTCGTGAGTTCATGCAATCAGTTTATGCACCGGGCATTCTGCTTTATGACCAAGCCATTCCACGATGCATTCCTTATGAAACTTGCAGAGACATTCTAGCCGTGCTAGTTCATCGCCAACATCGTACTCCACCATGCATATAGAACATTCCTGTGCGTTGCCGTCCTGCGCGACGCAATCCTTTTCTGTGGCAATAAACGGCAGCATATGAATCCGTGGTTGAGATGATCCTCCAGGACCACCCTCGACGTGGTATGAAGGATCTCGCGCCCTTATGCAGTCTATAATGTGCATCTCCCGGGCTGTTTCATCGCCATCGGCACCTCTAGGAGGTAATATTCGACGGCAGACTGGACAGATGTCTCTCTCGTGCAGCCGGGGTCGAGAAGGAGGCTCAACCACGTGAGATAGAGGGCGAGGATGTCGATCGGTTCTGGTGTTAGAAAAATCATGTGACAACCTGACAGAATTATACTCTCGAAAGTTGTTGGCAGACTCATCTCGAGGCTGGCGACTTCCGGGATAGGAGGCGCGTGACATACCAAAGGTTCCCCGGCCTTCCTGTGGGATGTAATCCTGACCTGATTAATATGAGGGTGTCCTTTAGTAGGTGTTCTACTTACTCTTGATGGGCTAGGGAATTGTCCAAAGTCAGGCGAGGTAGGTAACTCTTGTCGACGGTGGCGGGCTGGTGACATTTGCCCGCGATACGATCCAAACCAAGACATACCATTGTCTCGAGTATCGCTATAGCTGGGTTGAAGAGACCCACTCGAGCGATGATGGTGGCGATGAGCGGAATTTCCCTAAACACCCAAGGGTAGAACGTCAATAGGAGAATGGTCTATGACACTAAGATTTGATTAAAAAAAAAAAAAAAGGGAACTCACGCTCATTACTGATATCTCCCCTATATCAGCTCGATATCTTCCCAGCCCTTGATAAGGCTCTCCTGTGTGAACCCCGCCGGGACGCTGAGCAGTTGCGGTGCTCCATGGTCCTTCATGGGTTGGAAAATCATCGTTGGGAGGAGGGTAGTTCGGTAGGGGGTCAGGCTGTGGATCTGGGACACAGGGATTACACAACCGCACTTTCTCACCACCTTCTAGGTGAGAATCAGCTATGTAAGGATAAGAAGTGGATGGATCTTGAAACGGGTTGTTTTCATCATCATCTTCCGTCAGATCAGCTGCATCGTAGCATCGTGCGGTTGTGTCACTGGGCGAGGCTGTAATATCCAGGCCTGGAGGGCGTACTATAAATGGTCGAGGAATTGTAATGCGGTGGGGAGAGCAGTCATTGCAAACCACCCTACCACACTTTCGGCAATGGTGCCGTCTAAACATCCAGGTAAATGGGCGCTTGCAGATAGGACACTCGCTGACCTCCGAGTCTGGTTGCCATCGAGGTACCACATATCGTCTGGAGCCGTTGGAGGATGTCCTACTTAGCCTGTTGTCCCGCGGTGTTTGTGGTAGAGGAGGAGAGGAGTCTGTCAGGTCTACGATCTCCGGCAGGGGTCTGTTTGGATCTGAGGAGGCATGACCGCGAGCCGGAGGAGACGAAGGGCCATCCCGTCGGTAGGCATCGTGGGTGTATCTCCGCTCCTGAAAGCCATCGTTGATTGTTCTTCTCCTGGCTTCATCATATGTAGTAGGGTTGGTCAGCCTTCTCTTGCGGTCCAGGGCGAGGATGCTTTGCCTGCGTTCTTCAGTCGTCTGATCAGCGGTCGGAAGAGGTAATGGACGGTCACGCAGGATGGCTGCCAGCATCTGCCCGCTGTGGCTTGAGCCCGCGCGTCGTGGAGGAGGAGGAGGGAGTGGGCGCTGGGTTGACGTGCGACCGGACGTTGTAGCGGCATCGGACTCGAAACTGCTGCGGGAACTGATTGAATCAGATGAAGACATGTCCTTGTAGGCCGATCCCCAAGTCAGGTAGAGAGCAAAGCGATGTGAACATTTGGTGATTCAAAGGAGGATGAGGTTGAGAAGGCAGGCACGTGGCAACGACAGAAGGGGGCCGAACATACAATGTCATAGAGACCAGCAAAGACGGGCGCAGGTGGGTTTGTGATTGGGAATATCGAGACGATTCCGCATGCACAGGAGAGATGCCTACATAATATCCGACGCGATGGGTTAGGTGTAAGGCTTCGTGGTAGGAACAGGTCATCAGATAAAGTGACTGATTGATGTCGGATACCGCGATGGTTCAAGTTGCAGTGGCCGTCGCCGAAGCCTTTCTCCAAATATGCCCGTCCAACTGACGCAGTCGAGTCCGGCGTCTCACTATCGCCTCCACTGGTACTAGTCCGAAGTTGAATCTCTTACGGAGGTATAGAGTATGGACATCTTGTTCCATAATCCTTGGGCTATCACTTATGCGCCCTTCCTCCCTCGCGCTCCCTCGTTCAAATATCAGGGCGTCAAGAAATGGACAGTTCCGTGCGGAGCAAGTTGTGCCACGTCTACACTCAACCAAGCCTGATTCCAGCCGCATATACAGATGAAGGAAGATGGATTCGATATGAAATGGCAACTCTGACCCAAAATATCGCATTGACATAGCAAACCGTCAACCAGATCCCCGATCATCTATTTTCCATCTTCAGAGATCATTCAGAAGAGAGAAATTCCGGCTGGTCCCAGCGTCCCGTCACCTTCAAGCGCTCCTTCAGATGACCTCAGAAGAACCAAATGTGTTGAGGACAACTCTTCGTTGCAAACCCTCTCGCTGATGCACGGGGTAAATGGCAATCAACCGCTACCAGTGTGGGATAATGTACTCGAGAACGACCTAATTGCCATTTACGGTTTGATCCTCGTGGGTGAGCGAAGGCCGCTTTGACCTGGGCTTAAACTGAGCCTTTGGCTGAGCATCGCTGAGCGCTCCCTGGCAGATTCCCTGCCCTTACGCTGCTGCCTAAATTTCCGTGAAACCTTGGGCCTGGCCCAGCAGTCCCCAAGTCGTATCGGACTCATCTCAGGAAGGTCGTCATACGGCCTTGTTGCCTGCCAAAATATTGGGAAACAGACATTGTACAACCTCGCCCGTCTTCTCCCACGCCGGAATGACATGTGAGATTAGCTGGGGCTAGTAAGTGAACAATTGATGGAGGAGCGCGCAAAGAGCCGTGGCCAGGTTACCCTGCTCTTCGTAGTCCTGAAAAAAAGGGGGTAGCATACAGTGTGCTGATCAGCATTTCGAAGCCCGTCGTCAACGAGCGCTTTGGCGAGGACTGACTTGCCGCACCCCAAGTCTGCCGAGATCCAGAGGAGGTCATCATGGGTCGTTGTGTGCCACTGCCGACATTGAGGGTTGGACAGCACCCACTGACATGTAGCGTCCACGCAATCAGGATTGACGTTCGTGAATTACTCGTATGTGTCTGTTTTGAATACTCGATGGCATTGAAGATACTGATGATTTTGATACCGCTGGTCTTGTTTCCTGCTTTCTCGTTTGACCTCCATAAGATGTTCTTTCAACAAGCTAGATTGCTTGTCTAGAGAATCTCCCGAGGAATGCCTCAGAGGAAGCTGATCAATATACCTGATACGGAGGCCCTACTCAATCTTCGGGGAAGGAGAAGAGAGTCAAATGGAACTTTATAACGAAAGCCTATTCCCTTAGTTAGTAGTTTGATATCCAAAAATTGCTCGAGGCCCTCCTAGCGAATAGTCCAACTCATCCGATTTTACAGCCCTTCAGAATAACCTTGGGCGCGACATCCCTGCGCGAGTTCCCCTACAAATAGAAAAATTCGCCCTGCCGAGTGTCTCTTTTAGACTGATGATCTTTACACACCCCGGCATTCTCCTGCAGCGCTCTGCTCCGCTACTAGAGCCTCTGAAAGATTGACAGCCGGACTGACCTCAGAACAAACGTCCATATTTTTCATACAGGTCCAGAAATCTTCAACAGCATGCTCGACGGATAACCCTGAGTCAGACGTGAGAGGAGCCTGTGAATCCATGGCTTGATTGCCTGTTCTCTTGGACTGTTTAGCAACGTCACTCAGAGCAGCCTGACAGAGATCAGAGACACAACAAAGCTCATCTGCTTTCACCACATGAGTCACGCCAGATTGCGCCTCCCATGTAGCTGGTTCAAGGCAGTTGCCTCTGACCTCGAACCACCATTGCGGGATATAGGCCACGCGCTAAGTACGTTGTTCAGAGTTGCCAAAGCAATTGTGATAGCCGAGGCCTCAGTTAAGCCAGGTCGCTGTTGAAGTAGCTCGAGGGCCGAGTCAAGTAGACCAATACTCCTGTAATCGACTCGAATTGCCAAGATACCGAGTGCCTGCTGCACATTGCCATATCCAAATGAGAGAACGTTTATCTCCGCTGGGACTGAGTGCAGGAATTTCTTGAGTGATCTCGGCGTGTGCGAAAACAACATTTCGCGGTCTTTGAGAAAGAATATCCATTCCAAACGAGGGTTACCCTGCTGCTGTAGTTGGAATTCGACGTAGTTGCGAAGCTGCCGAATGAATGACATCTGTTGATGGCTTTTCAATACGTCGGCGACACGGGGGCAGACCAACAGCAGATTCGTCGTCATCAAGGCAAGCCAATCCTTCTGGAGATCTACCGCGCACAGTAAAGTCTGTTCAACTTGTGCAGGTGCCTTGGTGTCACGTATGACAGCGGATGAGAATGGGACTGCGATGTCGATTCCAGCATATCCGAGGCCGACATAGACCACCCAGCGAGGCAACCAAAGCCACGCAGAATGAGAGCAGGACCCCAAGTAACGATCTCGAAAGCATCACGAACTCAAGAGGGCGCTATGATCGGAACTCGTGTGTGAATAGGACGTACTGAGGTTTCGAACGCGCGTCTGGATAGGCCGCTGGTAGACTTGATGACAATAGAAGTCGAGTTCCTACTGCACCAGGATCACCAAGGATGGGAGGTTCGAGGTGAAAAGTAGGTTGGGCGACCATTCTTGGCGGCACAGAAAATAGCTAGTCGGAAGCCCCACGCCCCTCATTTCATTGCCTCAGCTCGCACTTTAAAGCACCAAAGGGAATGATCACGTGATCCACTATTTTTCCTACTTAACTTGTGTGAGACTAGCGTGAGTGATGTTTTGTTGCTCGCAGACAGCAGTGTGATTTCCAGGCCACCACCCCGGCGAGGAATTCCACTAGCTTGATGGCCCACCCATGTTTCTGCAAACATTATTGGTAGGGCGATGCCCCTGGGTCACCTGGAGGTCACGCAATACTCCGTACTAGATTCCTTAGGCGCCATTCGTAAGTATTCTATTTGATACCAAGCTCAATATTTGGGTTGCCGCGAGCATGGTGGCGGTGTCTAGGACCAGATGCTGGGTAGTAGATGTTAGATTATGCTTAGCGGCCCGTCGCGAGGGTCGTCAAGCTCGAAAGCAAAGCATGAATAGCTAGAGTCTATTTTGTCTGGGTTGTTGACTAAACATGCTCTCTTTTGCTTCCCCTGGATTTCTTCCAGTCCAAGTACTTCCTGGCGCGCTCTTGAATGCAGGGGAAAGAGCCGCCGACTGCGGCGCCATCCTGTAAATGCCAAGACGTTTGACTTGTTCACCATGCGTTTGAAAATTGTGTCAACCATCGGGTCGGCGGCTTTATGCTGGGCCGTTATTTCTAGCACAGATTGCCGGACCATTGCAGTTCGTTTCCCCCATCCTTCCGCTCTTCCCTTCGGTATCACCAAGAACTACTTATCAGTATGATGCACAATGAGAATGAGCAGCCAGGGCTAGAAGTTGACAGGGCGAAAGATACTCTAGAGGCTGACCGGACGAAAGGAGCTTTATACGCAACCTTTTCAGCCAACAAGGACAATAACCGCCTCGAAGACCTGAGTTACAAGGATGTGCCGAATACTGGTGGCAAACGCAAGTTGTGGAATAATCCCTTCGGCCTCCGACCATTTTGGTTCGGTGTGCTTACTGCTATCGTTACGATGATTGTTGTTGGCGCCGCCATTGGCGGTGGCGTAGGTGCAGCATTGGCCGATTCATCATCTAAATGCCCGTCCGGGTATGTCTTTCTACGATTCGAACCTCTTTTCTGGACTGCAATTGGAGCATCTAACAGTACGAATTATGCTAACAGCGATGACAGATCGCAGAGCGCCTCGCCCTCAGAGCCAGATGGTGTTAGAATGACCGGAGCCACATCAGCTTCTTCCATCTCAGCGACGATAGACGTAACACCAACGACAGCGACGGCGACAACGACGACCGGAGACTATATACCACTAGCACCCTCGGAGGTCAAGCTCCTGCAACATCCTTGCCCCACAGAAAACTACCTCTACCAGATAAATGACGACCCGTTTCCTGTCCAAACGTTCAAGTGGCAGTGTGAAACTGCTTTCCTCGGTAATGACAGGGGGGATGTGGGAATAACTATAATGCAGCTCTCGGCTTACACCGCAGAGCAGTGCGTCGAAGCCTGCGGCGGACTAAATGTTTGGCGCAATGAGCAGATCTGTTCTGCTGTTACCTTTCAAGCATCAATGTCCTCCGAATACAACGTGGGTAGAGGCAACTGCTGGCTGTTCAATGGGACGGACGCTACATGGGATGACCCGGGTGCAAAGACTTGCATAAGTGCGTACATGTAAGGGTCTGAAAACAAGATGTTTGGAGGCGACGACTGCAGCGATCAAAGTATACTGGGAGGGCGAGATGACTGCGTTCGAACCCGATGCGGGAGGTCTCTGGCAGACCCTAACGCATAAATAGGGGTACCGTCGGCCTACTACGAGCACGCAGCGCGCTGGTCCTTCCGGATCAGTAGGACAATGGACTCAATTATGCGACATCGGCTCAGTCGCTTTCTGTTTTCATATGGCAGTGTAGATTTGCTGGTCAAGGGAGAACCGGTATGTCTTCATCTCTTCTTGCTTTGCCGCTTGAGGGTTGCCATACCTCTTCCCAAACAGCTGCTCGCACCGCCGTCGTACCTCACCGCCTGCGAGATTCTCCATGGTAATCATGGATGGCTGCCGAGTGACGAGACACTGGGTGGAGCCATCCTGCGCAGATAGACATCTCAATGTTTGCCACCTTGCCAACACGACCCGCACCACGATAAATGCAAGGAGCCCTGTTCTTTCAAGATCGACCTGATAATGTCTGAGACTGCTTGCTTTCCACCGTCTCGCCTCCCTTGCCTCCCTTGCCTTGCGTGTCTCCTTCGCGGCACAGCGAGGTCGCTTTAGAGGAGCGCCCGTGTCGACACTTAGTAGATGACCAAGATCATTTTCGTGGTCATGTTCCTTAGGTGACAGCACTAGCATCAGATCCGATCGCCTGTTCGGGAGTCGTGGGAGACGACGGAAATGGATGTTGTAGAAAGGGACTGGCGTTTTCTGTGATTGCATATGGCAGAATTTGGGGATGAGGTTCGACGGCGCGAGAATAGATCTTACCTGAGCGGTAGTTGCCAGCTAACGTGGGAATATTGTTGGCAGTGATGAGGAATTGCTTTTGGTTCATGATCATCTAAGAGACAGGAGGACTCGCAGGTCGGAATAGCCCTCTCTGGCTGGCGCGCCTTGGCGCGGCCTCGCACCGAAGGCAGGTGCGTGTGTGTAACAAAATATCCTGGTGCTTAGCTTCCAGAGTCTTTGTCTCTTGTATATCACCTTCCATCCTGGATCGAAAGGTGGTTCCGTTCTCAATATCCCTTTTCAAAAAGGCGGGTAGTATCATGTCCTAGTCCATCTCTGACGAACTTATAGATGTGGCGCCGCAGCCAGTGAAAGTTTCAGCCACACAAGTTCAACTGCAGAAGGGTTTGAATCAGTGATCTCCCAACGGTATAAACAAGAGGATATCATCAACTTTTCTGGCGGAATAAAATGTAAACTTGGATTTTTTTTCTTTCTTTTTTTTTTTTTTTTTCATTTTGGAATCGCCTGGTTAGGGCTTGGCGTTGTGCGGCGACGCCAAGATGGATGTGCTGGCCAATCATATAAGCCCATGTCTTGGCGTTATCACGTGGGCACGTGTACACTCCCGTGTGATTTTACGGAGGACTTGTCCTATTTCGAAGGGTCCGGGGGACCGTCAGACTATATACTTTCGAAGCGTGTACGAAGCGTACAACGCTTCCGAAGGTCTTTACAAGCCTTGGCGTCGCCACATATCACACCCGCCCGTCATCGGATCCAATCCATGGATCATGTGAAGCTCTATCGATCACCATCGACATGGTTCATGGATCAGATCCGACGAAGGACCACCGCCATCGGATCCAATCCGTGGATCATTTGGCCGGGGGGCACCCTACTCGATAGATGTCAATATCCTCCATAGATTTGCGCTTGCGCGACCCGCCGGCGGTGATCCGAGATGATGACATGGACGATAAATCACCTAGATAAGTGTACCACGAAGTGGTATATGCTTGTCACGGTGGGGATCGAGAGGAATCACAGAAGATGCAAGTGTACAAGGTAGGGTGTAGGATGGCAATGTACCGAAACCTACCTCTTCGACCCGTTCTTATACCTTGTCTCCCAGCCTTCATAGATTCTCCCTGAGTCCTGGTGGTGGGGTATTACACTTGTTGCGAACAATTATCATGATTCAGGGAAAATCTACAGTGGAAGAGCATTATGCGCAAAGCCATTCCGGCAAAACGAGGAAGGCGGAGCGGAGCGCGTAGTTTTGGTGGGTATCAATCTTGATATCCATTTAAGAGACAGAGAGTTATATCGATATCGATATATCCAGATAGCAGAGTTGATATCAACACATCGCAGCAAAATAAGCAGGTCTGTGTGGGATAGAGTCTGCTATGGTGCCACTCTCTGGGTAATTATGGAGAGTCCAACGCGATGCTTTTCGCCTTGACTTGGACTGGCCGAACGTCTCCTCATACTCGGCAAAGAGGTCGTGGATTTGCCCAGCAGATGCCGGTGGTCTTGATCTATACCACTGCCACTGCACCCGTTAACACCACTACCTCCAGCGAGAGTACGAGTGTGGAAAGCTTCGTCATTATGTGATTCATTGCCCCATTCTTGCTCGTGACTTGCACGGCTGTCAGTGTTATGCTTGGCTGAGTACTCCGAAGTCTTCTTTCTGTCATCCGTGAGAGGCTCGGTACATCTTCCAGAAGAACCTGGGGACAGATCGCTGGTTGCTCGATCAGCGGCTTCGCAGGTAAGCTTTTGATCGTCAGGAACAGTGCCGCTGTGTTGCGTGTCAACTAGTTGTCGATCTTCCAGCACAATTGAGTTGTCTAAAATGATACGTCAGAATATCGGATCCCGCCTGCTAGTATACAGTAGCGTTGTTATAGGGGCTAAGGGTTCCAGCATCCGAGGATGCCAAAATGCTTGATGGAAAGATCATGCTTGGTGCCTCAATTGTGTAGGGGTGGAATAATAGTAGTTGCTTAACTCTCATGTTACGGACGCGACCACCTTAGAGGCCGCCCAGGGAATAAGGAATGTGGGCGGAGAGGGAGCGCCTAAAATATACAGCCTCGTCGGTAAGGCTGGGAGGATACGTAGCGTACTCTATCGCTCTAGTGTTATAAGTAGGCCTATGAAGGGACCATAAGGGAAGGTACGCCGGGAAGCACGTGACACCCGGAATGGGAAATATGAGGATAATTAATATGCTGCGGTATCCTGGCATATCATTCATTACCACATTTGGCAATACCTTTGTCTATAGAGTCGTGGCCTCACCCCTCGATACTCTACGTAGTCAACTTCGTTCATTATCACACCCCTACCATTAGATACATCGATACGCTCTGTATCTACTGCTCCTTAGCCTTATACTCATGGTCCCTGACCCCCGACCCACGTGACGCCCTCGCGGTGTGACAACTGTCAGGAACACATCGAGGGTCGGATACATGGTTCTCACGTGCGAGCGATAGGCTTATTGCACGCCTTTCCGAGAAGGGGAGTTCGCCATCTCAGGAGCAGATTGTGAATTAGCTTCGCACGAGGAGAACAGGGTAAGAGCACCTCAAACGCATGGGAGTCTTCTACAACTCCCATAACGATTGAGTCGATGTTGTTAGCTACGGTTAACGGGACTACTTAGTGATACTCTTAAGAACCTATTCGTTACAGGGGTCTAGCGTTGGCTACTCTCTATCTACAGCTAGGCAGTCTCATAACACAAGGATATCTATTTAAGAGCCTAGATATTCGCTACGGAATAGCGAATTCTCTGTCTTTTTGGTTATACAAGGGACGAAGGCTCTTATCCTGACAATAGAGTAGTATAGTAGGCGCCTAACTAAGTAGTTTAAGTAAGAGTAAGAGGAGGAGTATATTAGGAGGGGGGTGGGGGGGGGGGGGGGGGGGGGGGGGGGGGGGGGGGGGGGGGGGGGGGGGGGGGGGGGGGGGGGGGGGGGGGGGGGGGGGGGGGGGGTTAGAATCCCCTAGTATCCTAAACGGGTCTCACCGTCTAAAGTTGATAAAAGTTGGTTAAAGACTAAAGGGCTCAGGTAAAGCTTAGGGAGCGCTCAGGAAGCAGTAGGTGAGCCGAGGGTGAGTAAAGCGACAGGCTCCAGTGCGTGACCTCAACACTGCGCTGTTGATCTTTTCATTGGCCGCAACCCATGCTTTGGTTCTTTACTTACCGGGTTCGAATTCTGGAGCCGTGGATTCGGAAAATGGTGAGGTCATAGCTTCGTGTAATATGCTTGAGAGGTTGAGTGTCACAAATTGGAAGGTATGGAAGTCTAGAAACGCTCTCAAACTCGGGACAGCGCGCATTGCTGTTCTTCCCTCTGCACCGGACTGATGGCTGAAGCAGAATTAAATTCTTGTCTGCAGAATATGGTGTCAGATGAGGGTGTTCCATGAGAGGGCAATTCTGCCATTCTGTGACCAAAACGGTTGCATCCTGAAGGTGAGGAGGAAAAAAGGAGCCAGAAATAGCAGCGCACCAGTGTTACTTTAGCGACTGGGACTCGCCACCTTAACGATGGTCTTAGAGCGATGGTGCGTATCCGTACCGTAATTCCCGCCACGGAGACGGTTAAGAGATTACCGTCTGGTTTTTCGGGCTGGCGCCATGCCACTCAAGTCAGCCACTAAAACTGTTGGCGGCCCGGAGCCTGCTCGAGCAGCCTAACACAGACGGGGGATGATGCTTTCGCCAGCCCGGACCCTCTGGTGAACTGTTTCCATGTCTCTCCCTGCGCCTCAGGCTCCATCCATCGCTTTTATTCTCGTTGCTGAGAACTCTACCGAAATACTCCTCTTCATCACACGGTGAACCCCATCAATCAAATCCCCTTTACGTCTTTCTTCATCCTTGCAAATATTTTTCCCTTCCATCAATTCCCACTTTCTAATTACATTGCTCTTTGCCATTCGTTATTCTGCATAATTCTGGGATCACTATTCCCGAATCTATCGAATCAATTCACGCCGCGACCACTTGCTTTGCACCACGCCTTTTTGGCAGGCTTCAGGCCAAACGAAATTCAATCACTGCTGCCTTCTAATCCTCAAACCTCTCGAATAATATTTGCTTGACACTCGAAATCCCCTTCCCAAGCTGGATAATTTGATCCCATTAGGCCTTCGGAATCGCGACCCCCCCCGGCCTCACGCCGAAGACCTAGATCCTCATTCCCCTCAGGTCACACCGCTATTTACTTTGGAGAAATGTCGGATATCTAGAAGATTGACGTGGGAAGAGAAGGAGAGGGAAGTGTACACAACGTGCTTCAATGGCGGTGATCTGTGAAAATGCAGACCTTGTCTTTCCGAAACAGCACAGATGCCATTCTTGTCGCAAACTGCAAGTACCGACATTGAATCACTCGCTCACCATCATCCTTCTCTCATTATTCGTCTTGTCCTCGTCAACCCGAGCCGCCTATGTCGAGTTTCGCAATTGTTTGGACGCGAGTATCGTGGACTCGAATCCGAAACTCCTCCAGTTCGATCCCGTCAACGTTTCTGCCGTCTTTCATAACTCGTCCGGCAACCACAATCTGAACATTACGATCTATGGAAATGTAACAGGCCAAGCTACCGCTCAGCCATATCCTCCTCCCGATGATCCGTCATGGAGTGATCCCAACGATACGTTTGGCAAAATCCCTGATCTGAGCGAGGCCAACAACAAGTATACTACGCTCTTTGCGCGATACAATTTCTTGAGCTATACCGCGTGGAATGCCGACCCTTCCAGGTTTTGTAACTCGGTTGTTCAAGGAGGTTGCCCATTGGCCCCGGCTTTCTATGTCAACTCGAGTGAACTCGATCAACTACCCGCATTTTCCGTCGCACATGACCTGTTCTCAAGCTATGCGTTTGCAGCGCTTCAAGCAACCGTTCGGGTTCAATCTGGTGACGCCAACGGCCAATATTACAGCTGTGTCACGGCGACCATTACACCCGATCTAGGGGGCTACCTACAAGGAATCTTGAGATATTTGCCTCTCGCTGTCCTCATCGTCGTTGGTATTGCCACTATTGCGGCTGCTATATTCAGTCCCTGGGGGTCGACCGACATTTTCAACTGGAGCAGCAATTTTGGTCGTGATGAGGATCTCCTCCGTTTGGTCACCCCGGGTTTCGGAGACTGCTTGCAATATATCCAATTTGTTGTCCTCACCGGCAGTCTGACCCTCAATTATCCGGGCTTCTACCAACCGGCTGTGAGCCGCGTTGGTTGGTCGTCTCTCATGTTCAATGAAAGCTTGGTAACCGGAGGAAATGGCACCCAGAGCTTGGTCGACGGGGTCTACGAGATTCGACGCAATACCAAATATGGACTTGACCGAATGAGTCAACTGGTGGGCATGACATCTGACAAAGACATGTGGGCCGACATGATCGTCTGGCTGGTGGTCATTGTCGCGGCCGCATCAATTTTGACTCAAGTGGGATTCGCCGCGCGATGGGTACACCGACAGATCGCCAATGAGCCAGCGGAGGATCTGCGCTCCAAGAACGGTCCCTTTACATTCGGAAACATGGTGCGGATTGTCCTGAACTTCTTCTTATTACCCTTAGCCTCGCTGTCGTTTTACCAGCTCTTGATTGCCGGCCGCGGTCCGGCTTACTCCGTGGCACTGGCAGCGGTATGCTTGGTCGCCGTGGTTGCGTTCTCGGTTCGACTCATACTTTTGTTCGCTCGGACACGACCACGTTCGTTCCTTTTCGACGACCTCCTCACGGTCCTTGCGTATGGACCTCTTTACAACACCTACTGCGACGATGTCGCCACCTTTGCACTCATCCCGCTTCTTGTCAATTTTCTACGTGGCATTGCCATTGGAGCCGTTCAATCCTCGGGAGTGGCACAAGTGGTTCTGCTCGCCATTTGCGAAATCGTCCTCATCCTCACAATCATCGCCTTCCGACCGTTTCCATCCGCCACTTCGATGAACATCTACCATACATGTTTCTCCGTCATTCGACTGATCACCATTCTCCTGTCAATAGCCTTTGTACCGTCGCTGGGCGTTCAAGATTCATCGAGAGGTTGGATTGGATACGCGATCCTCGTCGTCCATGCCTGTACCCTGGTTTTCGGATTTTTCCTCAATGCGGTACAAACATTGATCGAAGTGATCGCCCGACTGGCGGGTGCCGGCGGACGGGATCAGAACACATCCGGTCCAACGAGAGGTGGCTTGAACAAAGTGTTTGGGATGCGACAATTATCGCGAAGAATGCCTCGACGCGATCACCACCCCCGTCACAGCATGTCTTCGAACGTGGCGATGCTTGCGGCGACGGAAAATGAGCAGAAGCAACTGCAAATGGCCAAGACGAGGTCTCGCAGCGTGTCAGCCACATCAGCTGTCTTGCTGGACAGCGGGAGAAATTCGAGCAGAATCAGTCGAAACCTTGATGGCCGGGTGTTGGGTGTGACTACTCCGGATGGATCATCTACCCGAGGATCCCGGCGCCTTACCGACCGATTGAGCGGCACTGGCTCATTAGGAGGAATTGTTGGCCTTCCACGGCAGGTCGAATCGAAGGATCCGTACTATCGTCCACCACGCCGAAATACCATGGAGCCACTTTCTTCCACTGACCGGCGCCCGGCCATGTCAGTCGCTAATAATGGCTCAAAGGCCGTGGTGTCCACCGAGGGAGCTGTAGACGATGATGCAGGTGAAGGAACGTCCACTCCTCTGCGGGTGGAGAATGATGAGTTCGAAGATCCTGCCAATGATGGTGCCAGAGCGAAGATCGATTACGCCGTAAGAGAAGTCGACTTCTATTATGGCGTTCGTGGCGCCGCATTGTCCAGCGGAACCAGGAAACTCAAGACTGGTCCGGCCGATCCCACTGGGCCGGTTTCCACGGCAAGGGGCTGGTTTAAGGGCCTCCTTGGTGGCAAAACGAAGGAGAAAAACAAGGGTTTCGAAGTTGTCCGAAGTGCTCGGGCACCACCGCCCGGTCTATTTCCGCCAACACCTGTCCCAGAGAGTCGATGTCCCGAGCCATACCATGATGACGCTGAGGAGACGACACAAGAACGGAGCAGCGTGCAAAACAGTGCTCGGCTGGCTTCTCCACAACGACGGAGCATCTCCGATGAGGTGTCTGTCATGGAATCCGACGATGAGGAACAACCGGTCAGCAACATTCCGGCAAGACCGCCTTCCTTACCACTGATAGACTCCGTGGGGGCTATTGAACTGCCAAGTCGAATCGGGTCTGAAGCATCTCGAAAGGCTCGCGCAAAACCTCCGACAGGAGAGGTCCCAGAGGTCCCGGCAGTTCCTGCCATACCGCGAAAAAGTTCCCGAAGACAATCTGGAGGCGATTCGGGAAATAGAGCTGGTGCCGGATTAAGATCATCGGACATAGGACAGTCAAAACCCACTTCCAACAAAGGCCACTCGCAGAACCTAAGCGCGAACCGTATCCCTTTCTCGAATACTCAAGCGTCCACGCCTCGAAATAAGAGATATTCCACTGGCGCAGACTCGACGACATCAAGTGTACTGCGAGATGGAGATGAGAATGTTCTTGTTCACTCTTCGTATACAAATCATCTCCGGGATTCCGCATCGGCTTTAGGGTCACATCGAGCAGATCTCCGCAATGATCGACCCTCAAATATGGGATTTGTACAGCAGCACCGAGCTAGTGATAATATTCACTACAGTCCTGATTCGCCCGAGTTTGAAGGCAGCACGGCGGAGGTCCATGGAAGACCAGGTTGGTAGAATGTGACGAATGTGGTGAGCACTGTCCTTTACGAATATTACGAAATTTTGCTTTTCAACTGCCGAAGGGGTCGGATAATCGAATGATCGGCTTAGTTGGGAGGGAAGTAGGAAAAGAGATTCATGAACGGCTTTATTATGAAACGTGAGAAACCGGGAGATAAAGGGAATCAGCTCCGAACTTTTGTTCAAAGTGGGACATACATATAGCACGGCGTCCAGGATTGAACTGCTTTCAAAGGGACGTTCCGAAATTTCCTGAGTGGGGATCAATCATGGTTGTCGGATTTGGTATTGATATTGACGTTGAAGATATTGAGAAATGTTTTGAACGCCAGCATGCGGATATGCATCATTACGTCGGCCTCGTCACCTTTGTCACGAATTTTGTCGCGTGGCCTAATTTCTCTTCGAGACGATCTTACTTATTCGATGGAATGTCTTTTGATGTGGTTTGGTCTGGGGATGAAGAAAGGATCGGTTCCGCCAGCCAGTCCAATACATGTCCCCCGGTAACTTCTCCAGTTAATACTTTGTCAATCAATCAAATACATGGCATGATTATGGACACGAATATGAGATCCCGTAATTGCCTGCCTCGTCGCCTTAGGCTTCAATACAGATAGTGATATTGATAACGATGTAGATATAGAATAAACCAAAGACTCAACTATATACTATGCAATCCCCACCCAATGCCATATCACCCGGCAAATACGGAAGAGCAACCCCCCCCCTACCTCATCCTCAACCTCCTTCAGGATTTCCCTTCCATCCAGATGCTTGGATGATCATCATGGGCGGCCAGACGACTGACATGTTCAGCTCAGGGGCTCAGACCATCCCACTACTACCAAATCTTCTTCGGATCAACAGGGACTTTACTCGACTGTGCCTCAATGTCATGAATCTCCGGAAGGGCCTCGATGTTCAGGTGCTCGTAGACGGTGCCCGCAGCGGCAAGAGAATCGGTCACGATCTTCATGTATGCGAGGACTTTTTCCTCCGTGAGCCTGCGTCCCACGACCTGCACAGCACAAGGCAAGCCCGCCATCTTGTCGCTGTCGTAATGCTTATAGGCGCCCTTCTCGATGCCGTTGGCCGGCTTGAAATTCTTTGACAGCTTATCCTTCTCCGCGTCGACTTTAGCCACTGGGACGATGCCCGCCGTGTAGTCCAAGAGGTTCCAGAGGAAAGTGTATCCGCAGCTAGAGACAGCGTCGTGCATTGCGCGGTGTGGGAGTGCCGGTGTGGCGTTTCCAGGGCAGAGAATGAAGTCGAAATTCTGCGCAGGCTTGTCCCACCAGTCAAACCAGGTCCCACGGAAGGCTTCACGCTTCGCAACCCATTTCCACTGGTCCGCGGCGGATAGCGGGTGGAAATACCGCAGGATAGAAGCCCAGAGTCGATCTCGCTTGACGTAGCGCGTCCAAAGATACCAGAGATATTTGATGGGGCGGGGGAGGGACATGTAGAAATTGATCTGAGCGGCGCCGGGGTCATTTCTCTCGAGGGTGCGGAAGAAAGAGTGATATGTCTTGCCGCCATCGGCACACAGTAACACCGATGCAATCTGCAACCCTTGTGCGGGAGTGGCTGAGGCCGGAAATGATGAAATGGGAATCTCAATCACCTCGTGGCCAGCAGATCGTAGTGCTTCTGCTGTGAGTTCTAGACCACGTGCAATAGCTGGGGCAGGTGTACAGACACCGTCGGTGGTCATCAAGCCAACTCGCACACGCTTCGACTCAGCAGTGGCGTCATACAGCTCTTGCCGCCAGGGGATAGGGTGCACCGTGTAATCCACCTCCCAAGGCTTCATCTGGATGAAGGCTTTGGTGAAATAAGTCAAATCGTCCAGCGTTCGAGCCATCGGAGAGAAAACCGAGGGAACACCCTCTTGTCCGGGCATTGAGGTGTTCATGCCCATCTTGGGCCATCGGCCGGTGCTGCACCGAAGGGAATGAATTCCTGACCAAGCGGCTGGCGCACGCACTGATCCCGCAACATCTGATCCTATCCCAATCCGGGAGCCATTCAAAGCTAGTAGAGCGCCCTCACCGCCCGTGCTCCCACCGGGGGAGTACTTGGGGTTATGAGGATTTTTGGCGACACCCCACAGGTCATTGGCCGACTCGAAGGATAGCAGTGTAATCGGAAGTGCGGTTTTGACGTGAGGGATCGCACCGGCTCTCTTGAGAAGTTTGACCATGATTCCATCCTCCTGATAAGGCTTGAAGACGTTTCTTGAATATCCTACGGACACATCAAAGCCTCCCACCGCAATGCTGTCCTTCAGTGACACTGGTATGCCCGCCAGGGGACCCCTGAGATTCACATCGTTTTTAGCCCAGGACTCCGCTTCCGGGAGGAGAAGCTCAGTGACACAGTTGGTCCGTTGTTGAGCGATAGCAGCGGTCTTTCCGTAGGTACGGAGAACGTCAATGGGTGACAGGATCGAGTTTTGTACGTCGTTGACTAGCGAGGCAATGGGGGCATTGAGGATAGATCGTTGTTGGGAGGTCAATGGGCCTTTGTAGGGGTCTGGGAGAGATTCAAACCGGGCATCGCGCTGGCGCTGCTTGATCACGCTGAGGAAGAGAGTATCAGCATGAGGACAGAGGACAGCATCGGGATGAAGACTTGATAGCTGAACACTTACCAGGCCCGGCGGTGCTCGAAGTAATCAAATGGCGGATACATTTTGACGGTTTACATCATTTCAAATCGTTCAGAAACGGGTCGAGGAGAGCTAATTATCACAGTCACGAATGGTAGAAGAGTAGTTTAGCGATAGCGCGGCCGCTTGAAGTGTGTTGCTATACGAATTGCGGACATCTCGCAAAGACCTGCCAGATTAGGTCAGTTTCACGTGATCTCGCGCAAGGCTACAGGTTCAAGACTGCAAACTGTCGTTCGTCGAGTAGATGAAATAGTGGATCACATATGGAATGGATGGTTAATTTGTTCACTGTGTGGGGCTCATCAGACATGACTTCCTTAGTCATGCCCATTCGCATCGCGTCGTGACACCAAAAGTCATGCGTGATGCCGCCAAGTCGGTAATTTTCATATATACTGTACAACGTCTTTGGAGAGCTAAGAGAACGCTTTCCTCGGTAATGACCGTTGGTTCTGCTCATCTGGACCACCAATGATGCCCTTCTCCAGTAAACGGTCCTGTTGTGACGACCTTCGTGGAGGGAAGATGCCGATGAAAGTCCTGATCATATCCCATCCCCTGAGTTGTCATCTCCATATCGTAAGGCATTGGCACTGGTCCAGTCGTGTCAAAGGCACTTTGAGATTGGGGTTGGTCTCGCCAACCGTGCTGTCCAGCGTGGTCTCTTGCATGCTCCACCCTCGCCTCTCCTCGCGGCGTGGTATCCGCCATCCCGACCTCAGGAGTATGTACCACTGAGTGTTTTCGGAGAGGGGTGTAGTTCTCCTCGTCTATGCTACGTAGAGACATGTGCTGCTGTTCCTGCGTGGGCACATCAGAACGCGTCTCTAGCGATGCCGGTAGAGCTGGCCTCGCAATCTGCCTAGGCGTCGACGAATGGCGGCGTGATTTAGACTCGTCTTCGCTGACAGGAGAGAGTAAGCTTCCATGTGGAGGCGTCTGAGGTGTATAGATTCCGTCCTTGTGTTTGCCCTTGCCCATCTTGTTAGTAAAAATTGGTGGCGTGTCCATCGGCCATCCACTGCCCTTTCGCTGATATTCATCAACGGCGCTTCGACGACGAGTAGCGGCCGCGGGGCGGCCGAAAATGCCCTCTTTATGCGAGAAATCCCCTCCAAGAGAGGGAGAACTGGCCGGATGATCCTGGCTTGAATAACATTCCCCAGTATCATCGTAGAAGTGGCCATCTTGCCGTTCGCGAGGACGTTCCACGCCTACTTGCATGCTGCCCGCTGCTTGAACAGCTTTGGGATCGCTCAGAGGTACAGGCTCACCCCGAGATGGAGGAGGGCCGATGTCACTCAGGCCAATATGTTGACCATCATGTATGTTGGGATCGAGTGGATGTGGTTCCCTTACCGGTACGGTTGAGGTCTCAGAGTAGAACGTATGTTGAGCGGCATCGGCATTCATCATGGTAAAAGTCAGGTCCTGGCCTTGCCATCCATCATGGTACATAGGCGGATGAAACATCATTGGTGGATGTACCCACCAGGGAACCGAGAAAATCTCCGAGGAGTTATCCGGATGAGACGAGGGGAAGCCTACATTGGTGTATTCCAGTTGCTCGCTTGCATTGAACGACGTTGACGCACCGGGAGGAAACGCCAGCTGTTGCTGCGACGGCGGCGGCGGCGCAAAGCTGTCTTGGCTAGATGACTCGTGGAATGGAGCCGGGGGCATCTCACGAAACGCAGATATGTGCTGGGTGTATTGCTGCTCGTGACTCGTCTGCCACGGTGAAGCATTCTCGGGCAAGGAAGTGTCGTAGCCTGACTGAATTTCGCTATATCTCTGGCGCTTTGGCGCTCCGATGTCTTCCTCATATGTCGATGTCTTCGGACGTTTGAGGAGGACTCGAGGACCAGGGTCTGTCGTTTCGACCTTGTCCTTCGGTCTTGGCCGAGTCACTGAAGAGGTCTCGCCAACAGCTGAAGTTATGCAGAAGTCCGTTCTGGACCCCGGAAGACCATCAAGGACCTTGATTCCCTCGAGAATGTCACCGAGTATCTTGACCGCCATTTGAGGCATTCGGGACCCTGGTGATCTCTTGGAAAGTTTTTGGAAAATTTGGAGCATTCGCTCAATGCGTGTGGAGTCTGTTTCCAAATCGACCTTGCGACCCAGTCGACCCATGCCCAAGATCACGGCGGCGCAGAATACGCCGAAGCAGCGCGGCCAGGAAGAGGTAGACTTAGAAGGGTCGAGGGAATGGATATAGTCAAAGGTGTCTATAATACTTCGGCCTGACTGAAGTGTCTCATTGAGATAATTTTTGCAGGACGGCTTGGGCAAATTACCAGGAGTTCCCAATTCTGGAGCGGAAGGGGTGTACCTCTCAATAATGGGTTGAGCTGGTTCTGGCGGTGTCCATCGAGATAATTGGCAATTGAGGACCATCGAGAAGAGCTGGACCTCGAGTTGGTGTTCGGCTATGTCTATCCATAGTGATATTTCGGCCATTCCGTTTCGTGGAAGGTGGGGGAGCTTCGACTGCAGTCGCTGGAGCCGCGACAGGTATGTCTCGAGTGTAGACCTTTTCGCAGGCTGATCGGAATTTATCTGGCCTGGGATTGTCTCTAGCGGAGGCCTTTCCCCTTCGGTTCCTATTTCAGACCGATCAGAAGTCATCTCGCCCAGGGCTTCTACCAAATATTGCGAGAAATCCATGATATTGTGGTGCAATTCTTTCACCTCGCGCCGCGACGCATCAACGGCCGGCTTCGGGACGGTTGAGGCAGGGGATATGAGAGGTTGTCGACCGAGAAGGAAACTGAGCTGAGCATCGAGATCCATAAGAAGCCACCAGATGCGCCGGCGAGGCTCTGTGTCATCCCCATCCGCAGCAGAGTCCCTCAAGCCTTTGTCTCGGTCCACTAGACTCATTAGCAAGAGGTCGTTCTTGCAGACGTGGACAAGCTTACAGCCCATCAGTTGAGCATCGCGGACGATACTGGGAAAGTTGGCCCAGGCCCGCGCCACCTTTCCCGAATCGAGGAGCCGCCGTATCGACAGGTATTTCAGATAGAGGCGACGCAGAGATGGTGTCAGTTCACTAGTGGCATCCGTAACCACGAACGTGCGTAGGCCGATTCCGCGAAGCAATTGGCCCAGGTTTCCCCAACCTTTCGACATTGGAGTTTCTTCATCATCGAATCCAGTCCTGAAGACAGGTACGGTTTGGATTGACGCAACAAGATCCTGAATCGATCCTTCAAAGGGCAAAAGTAGCTTGAACTGCGCAATGGGTCAGCGCAATCGCAAGTGGTGGCATGTGAGATGGTACCTCGTCTACAATGCGTGAGAGGGAAAAGCACCCGTAGAAGGCATCATTCGGACAGGAAGAGTGACCTTCATCATCGGCTTGGTCGAGCCTCTTTGCGAGATCCTGCAGAGCGGTCGATGAAAACCCCTCCTTTTGGAGTTGCTCCGAGTAACTACGTCCAAAAAGCTGTCATGATAGTTAGTCATGCACCGTTGATTGATCGGAGCCATACATTGCTGACCTCGCCGTCTTCACCCGTTCTCGTTATTATGGTGCGATAGAAGCATCGAGGTTTCTGGCGCTTCCTTTGACAGGTCGAACAGGGAATACCTCCAGAGCACTATGATTCTCATCAGCAGGAGTCGTTGCCGGTGTGTTTTCAAGGGCGATGCGAGCTCATACCCGTGACTTGCTTTCACGACATGGTACGCAGGAATTAGCTCGTCTCTTCGGAACTTTGGCGGCATAGTCGATTCGGGGCGACCGGGGAGGTGGTGTTGACATTTTCACAGTCAACTGTCAACCTCATAGTTCGTGCAACCATCTCCTGCCACCGGGTCTCCGATACGGCCACGGTGCAACGCGACTGCTTTTAAATCCAAGGCAAACGGGAATAGCAAACAAATGGCACACAGCACAATCTCCGTATAATTCAGGGCAAAATCCAGGGAAGTATATCAAGAAGTTGGCAGACAGCAATACACTTCAATCCGCCGTTGTTGGGGGAAAAAAGGAAATGTGAGAGCTTGGGCACAGGTGCGACTGTACCTGTCCGATTTTGGAGGCGGAGGGTTTGATAATGAGGCTCGAGGCGAAGACGCAGACAATAAAAGTAGGCGAGGCGTCGCGATTCCAATAAACGTATGCCTGGGTCAGGAAAGGTCGAAGAGGGTAAGGATATACGTTGCATGAGAATTGGGATCAGATCCAGCTGCAAGAGAACAGTGCTATTTCGATTTTTCCGACTTCCCAAAATGCCCAACTGGTAGGAAACATTGTCCATGTTTGATGGCATGATTTGGTTTAGTGTGGCATTGGCGACCAGGATGTACCCTCCTAGGTGCTTAGCGGGGAGTGCCAATCAGGAGCAGTCGCCCATGATACCACGAAGGCAAACTGGATAGTCGAGGGAGTCGAAAGAGGGTTTCGACACTAAACTCGTGTTAAGCGATGGAGGGGGTCAAGTCACAGCAGACTGGTAGATATTGCCCCCCCACACTGCTGCAGCCATCCGCCACGCAATCGAGTTCATCAAGTCAATTCAGGTTAAACAAGACTCCACGGCATCGGGGACTCGCGGGATGGGAATCGACCACAAAAGCAGGAAAAGGCAGCCTTAGCCAGCGACGGGCTTATTGGTCGAGAAGCTTCGAAAGACGTCTGTGCTTTTTGGGACTCGTTAGTCGATGGTTGACGGTTGACTAGGACCAGCAAGCGAGCAGGGTTGTCTTTGGGCCTCATGGACCAGGCCAGCTGGGATTAGAGGTGTGATTCAATTCAGTTAATTTGACCAAGTTGTGGCTCAGGAGCCGTGGCATTTCGTCCACGAGTTCACGTCTGCCCTTTTCCCCGGGCCATGAGTCGGGTCAATGCAAATCTTCCATGATGCATCAAGGGCAGGAAAATCTCCCTTCTCTAGGTTGCGGTTGATCCTGGGCGACCGAGATCTGAGTGGTGTCGGTTGCGACCCTTCCATGGGATGCTGGCGATGGGCTGCTACGGCCTAAGGCTTCGTCGTAGCGGTGGGATTCGCCGTGTGCTGAGAGGTTGTTGGCACTCAGGTCGGGGAATGTTTAGCGACAAGGGGCGATAGACGAGAGATCTGGGAAAAACCCAGATCTTGTTGTGCTCTTGAGCCGGAGCCAGAGCTGTGGGTTGGGACTCTGAATCGGCTAGTGCCATCATCACTCTGAATCACTCCGGCAGACTGCCTGATTGGCCCACCCATGCGGCTTGTCACTCTTGTTCAGCTCCCCTCAAAATTTTCACACTGGCCGATACATGTGAATTATTGCATCTGACTCCCGGACAGAGAGCCCCGCGTTCACTGACAGCCACGCCGGTGTTCTGGCTTGCATTCGCAGGTTTGGGCCATTGCGATCCTGAGGATCCTGGTCTGCCTTGGTGGATTCGATCTTGGAACTTGAAGGTTGAACATCACGTCTGCTTCAGGAGGGCGGAGAAAGGCACGTTCCTGGCCTGTCTAGTTCCTCTGGAGCCTCGAGAAGCCAGCTGAGTTGTTAAATCCCTTAACCCGGCATGCCACAAGGTCTGGGAATCTGTGACAGAAAGGGGACCGGGGAGTGCCCTGGGTTCAAGGGAGCAGCCCGTAGACCGCTTTTGGCCGCCTCGCCCTGACTTCCGGGCTAGTTACTGTAAAGAGCTGTCTCCCCTCGCTTCAGACTCCCTGGGGAGGTGGCTTCGGGGCTCTGCCTCTTGAATAAGTCCGGTGATGGCATCCTTTTCGCAAGCACGGCTCGCCGTCCACTCACCGTTCGCCTCACTCCTAGAACGCCGGCAAATCCCTAACGCGCCACCTGTTTTGAGGCGACCCCCAAAACCCGCCCGTCCCAGGAGCTTGGTAGAAATGTACGTAAAGCCCGAGAAACTCACGCTTGCCACCTCGCACATGTCGCAATGTTTGATAGAGGACAAGGCTAGCTATCGGCGTTTGGGTCAGAAAAGACAAGGGGACACTCCTTTGAGCCTTGGGGGATATCCAGCTCTGTCCTCAGTCTCGACTGGAGGCTTCAAGCGACAGGAATGATATTGCGCGGTGAGTCATGATCAGTGAGCAACTCCATGTGGCCCTGCCTTATTCGCCCTGCGAATGGGACACCCTGGTCGTTTTCATATCTCTGGTCATGAAAAGTAGCCAAGGGAGCTTCACAAAACGACGCTCCCTTGTTTCGACATCCTGCGCATTGTTGTCGCCAACCAGTGTGCTCCATGACTGCTGCTAGTGGTAGAGTAGTGTGTACTGGTGATACCAAACTATGCGTGGTCGTAGACTCGCACTGAGTTGCAATTTTGGATCTTGTCCACCCAGGACTGAGTCCACTGTTCTAACACGATACAGAACCTGTTTCCGTCTGCGACGATCTTTCTGATTCAGGAGACGGCGAAGCTTGGTTTTATGGATCCTCTCGCTTCTCGCCTCTCGCCTCTCGCCTCTCGCCTCTCGCCTCTCGCCTCCTGCAGAAATCCTTTTCCTTTTGCAGAAGCACTCCCGCGTCACCCACGCAGCTGAAAAAAATACGTCGCAGAAATGTCAAAAACGTCAAGTGCGCGCAAGGAGCGGCGGCAAAAATCCGTGTCTTCAAGCAGGCTCACCAATTTTGGTCACCGGAGGCTCAACCCCCTCCCCCCCCCCCTTCCTGGGGGTACTAGAACGGCGTTGGCATGCCCAGTTCCCCGGGTCACACCTGGTCATGGAGAGGAACTCAGAGCTCAAGAGATCCAACAAACCGTCGTCGGCTGGTAGGTAAGACTTTTGGGGCCCCTTTACGCCATTGCCTCCTTTAGAGAAAAGATTCCTCCGCGGGCCCGCATACCGAAATCTGAAATCCGCTGTTTTAACGCAATTTCGGGATGGCCAGATAACATAGCTAGATATTTAGATCTCGGACATCGAAGTATTTTCCTAAGAAAACGATCCCTCGGGAAGTTCGTCAGCATTCTGAATGATGTCAGATTAATGCACGCTATCTGGGAATATTGTCGCGAATGTTGGTTAGGCGAAGTCTTAAGGGACAAGCTTGAGACCCCAACTCCTTTTTTCCTTCCCGCCCGGGTTCCCTTCCCCCCCCCCCGGGGGGCTATCCTGTCCATCGTTCCCGGCGTAACGTCTTCAGTTCTTTTGTGATGGTTTTACAGGTCTCGGGGCGATCCTGATAGGATCCGTGAAGTTGAACGTGTTGCGGGGCGGTCCGATGGCACAACATGAGACACACATCGTGTCCAGGTCGACAAGTTCAATCTTTACCGGTAGATAAGCACCAAGCCATGAGTCTGTCTCCCATCCCTCCTTCGAGGTCAACACTTTCGCGAAGAAACCGAAAGGCAAGAGAAACCCCCGCAGCCTACTGTCGTCCGGGGTAGTCATTTTCATCGAGGTAGTCGACACTCTCAGATCCCACTTTTCCGGTAATTCTGCTTCTTTGAAGTGAAAGGCGCGGAAGAGCGCTCGCATAGACCAATCTTTGGGGGGGACCTTGGATATCACACGTGGTGTCTCCCGTAGCCTTGCGGTGTCGACTGAGATATATTCGTCCACCATTTCTTTCGTGAAAGGGAGCTCAATGGTGCTGGCATCAGCTTTTTGCGTGACTAATCCAGCGGCTTCCGCTCGCAAATACGCGTCCACTTGCCAGTGTGATAGGAGATCGGAAAATCGCCGGAGTGGGCTGCTGATACGTGAGTACGCGGTGGCACAGAGAAACACATTGGGAACAGGGGACGACGAGAAGGTCGAAAGGGGAAGAAATTTCGGGTCATAACGACCCATACTGTTGAGCTTGGAGATTGGGAAACCTGGATGCGTGAGAGCCCCTGAGAAGATGGCCGGGATGTTCCGATCTCCCAACCATTTCGCCGCAGATTCGCCGGCGAGGTTCATGGCCATGTTAGTCAGAGAATATTCGTCGGTGCTTTCTGCTAGTCGAGTGTGCTTCGGAAAGCGGTCGGCAAAGCACTTGATGGCCGGGTCGCCGTAGTAGTGGTAGCTCTGAAAGAGACGGTCGGGGTCGTAATCTTCAACGTAGGAAACCAGGCTTTGACAGCTTGGTTGGCCGATCCACCAATTGGCATATTCAGGAACGTCCCGACGACGGGCTTCATTCCGAGCGAGCAACAAACTGTAGAGTTTTTCAAGGACGGGGCGATGTCTCTGGGCCTTCTCTATGGCCTCTGCCGATACCTCGATACCAGAGGGCACGATGTGCCCTTCGTCATTGCCCACGATCAAGTAAGCTTTCTCCTCCAAGGGTGCTCCGAGAGTCACATCCACCCCTTCTGGCTCCAGGACGACAACGTTCTGGAGCCTGGTGGGCCAAATTTTGATGTCTTTAACATCGCCATCCTCCGTAAGTAAGGTACTAATAGTGAGCGCCGGGCCATTATCCTTGATGCTCAAGGCTTCAGCAAGTCCCCAAGGAAACATCGGGTGAGTAAAGTTGACATGATATAAGCTTTGACAAAGAGCACGGGCTCTCTTGGAGAAGGCATGCTCCGGATCAAAAAAAGCTGAGGGATGCGAAATGTGAACGTGTATCCAGTAGGTGCCTGGGACGTCGTCGTTAGGTTCAAGAGAGTATGCATCATCCCTGACGGCGGTTGAAGTTTTGTCCACGCAAAATGCGGGGATTTCACCAAAGTCTTGTCGTAATGAAGCCATGGAATCGTGGAGCAGCCTGTCATTGGGTGCTTCATTCAACCCGATTTCTTCGCACAGTTTGTCGGATTCGCGACAGAGCGCATCCAATTCGTGGCATCCCCTCCGCCCGGGTATTTGAAGGGTCACGTTCTGATCAATGGTTTCTGCCCATGGAGAGAGCACTCCGAGTTCCTGCAATAAAAGGCTGCCAATTTTTCGTTCAAGACGAAGCTTGGGGTACGCGCCAATAGCTCGGAGAATCAGCGAGCCGATGGAATGATGGCGAGTACGAATCTTGGAGTCTGGTTGACGGATATAAGTGTCCCAGAGAAATTCCAGAAACATTTTGTCGTGCTCAGAGAAGGTTTCTCCCGTGGGCATGGTGGCGACCTTGGAATCCACGATGGACTGGACGGAGCTCGGCCCAAGACTGCCTGTGGTTGTTGGAGAGCGGAGAGCGCGGCTTTTGAGGATGAGACGCCTTGCCTTGTCAATGAACGCGAGAAGCGGGTTGCGTTCCAGGATCTTGGTAACGTCCTTCCCCTGGGCTGCCTGAGCTGCGGATTCTTGATATTGTCGAGCCCAACCGCAAACTTGTGTAAACGTCGCGGCAAGTCGTTTGGGAGTAATGATGAATTTGCCCGAATCTATAATCCTGGCGCCGACTGGTTGGATGAAGGCCGGTTCTTTTTTCACCGAAAGATATACCATCATCCGGGCTGCCTGGGAGATTTCCTTTGACTCTCCTGCACCCAACAACTTGGCGAGGAGCCCGTCAAACGAGAGGCTAGTGTAGTGCTCATCATCGGCAATCCGCTCATACAGAGAATCAAGAAGTTGAATGTGTTCTCGGCGGAAAGACAACATCTCCTCCGTAAAATCTGCAAGGCGTTGCACTAGAGGGGCCGCATCCACATACGGGACATCGTCGGCAAAAGGTTCACTGGCCTTAATGTCTAGATTTTCTACCTTCCTCTCCACAGGCTTTATCGGGAGGTGCTTCTGGATCGGTTGAACCTCTTCGGCGGAGGCGAATTGCGGTAAGATCGGGCTGGTCAGGTTTGACGGTTTCTCGACCAGCCATCTGCCATCGGCAAGGAAAAATTGAGCCTGAGAGCCGCTGATACCCAAAAAAACGGCCAGTTGTGCACGAAACCTGACGTTCCTCGGCTCCAAATATAACAAATCACCGACATTGAAATTGTATATCGCTGCGCCCTCGAGCTCATCTTCATATTGTGAGAGCTCTGGGTCCAGATCTCGATGGTCATCGTCAAATCTTGTTTCTTCGATGAAGAGTGAATCGGGAAGTGCGGTCAGTCTTCCTGGGCCTTGGAAGCCAGCTTCGGCTCTCTTTAGCTTGTCCTTCTCGTTCTGAATGCTCCATGCTCTTAAATGATCGCGGATAATGGAGTTCCCGAGCCCTATCCCTTTCGCATTCGGCTTCGGTGCACTCGACGTGCCTGAGGGAAGCGGCAGGTCAGTGTGGTGAGTCACCTGTTCCAACGACCGAAGTTCGCCGTTTGTGCTGAAATATCGTCTTTGGGCAGATTGTTTGTGTTGATCGCCGGTAAAATCAGGAGACTGTCTAGAGGCGGCAAGGATAGAGGGACGCTGTGCAGCAAGTCGTCTTCGGAGGCGGATGCGACATTCTGGACATATGTATCCTAGTTGCTGGCTTATTGTTATTCTTGCATTGCTTTTCGACGCCAACATAGTCACACAGATCTAGTGGGAAAGGTTTGAGAAGCGTGAGCCATGAATTCCACAGACGCGGCGGATGTCTTTCAAATTTTCTCCGCGTTTCCCTCCTCAAATGCCGAGTTTCCTTCACTGGCTTAGGCGACCCCCGTATTGACTAACGGAGAGGCGCACAAAGGCTACCCATCACCGGCAAGAGAATTTTACAATAACCGTCAGGAAAAACATTTTGCTGTTGAGCATACTGCTGACGATTTCCTTTCGACCGTCAACATGCCGACGATACAGCAGCCCGCGAATCAGATCAAATTGACCAACGTGTCGCTTGTGAGATACAAGAAGGGCAAGAAGCGGTTTGAACTCGCCTGTTACAAGAACAAATTGCTAGAATATCGATCAGGCACAGAAACCGACCTCGACAATGTTCTACAAGTCCCAACCATCTTCCTCAATGCCTCTAAAGGCGAGACCGCTCCGAACGCGGAATTGATCAAGGCCTGGCCGATTTCTTCGCAGCCTCAAGAATCCTCGCACGGAAAGTCGGGCGGAAAAGGAGGAAAGAAGGGCAGAGGCAAGGCTGCTGCCACCGACGAAGGTGACGATGAAAAGTCCTGGAAAGATGCCATTATAGAAGAAATCCTGAAGAAAGGCGAGATTCAAGTGAATGCCAGCGAGAGAAAAGAATTATTGGAGAGAATGGAGAAAGAGATCGTGGAAGAGGTGGTACAGAGACTTGTCGATCCGCAAACAAAACGGGTGTATACTACCGGCATGATCAAGAAGGGACTCGACGTTCTCTCAAAACAGGGCGGGCATGCTCCAGTGCAGGACTCTCTGGGACATAAACTAGGCAAACTAAATCTCGAAGAGGGAGTTAAGAGAAGCTCAGGAGGACCAAAAGGTTCCAGCGACACCAGCGGCCAAGCGACACCGATGACTGATGACGACAACGAATCAACGGGCAACGGAAAGGCTAAGAAGAGCGACATGCCGATGTGGACTGGCGTTGTGACGACCAAGTCAGTCAAACAACAGGCCCTGGAGGCAATTCGGGCATTGATAGCCTGGCAGCCGATTCCAGTCATGCGAGCAAGGATGAGGTTACGAATTACTTGTCCCACCAGCATTGCGAAGCAAATACCAAAATCCAAGATGGCGAGCGCGGATGACAGCACCGATGGGGAGCATGGTAAAGGAACCATCAAGGACAGAATCCTGTCGTTCGTCGAACAGGTTGAGAGCCAGGAGGTTCTGGGTGAAGAGTGGGAAGTCATTGGCTTTGTTGAACCAGGTGCTTTCAAGGCCCTGGGCGAATTCTGTTCTGCCGAAACCAAAGGCAGAGGAAGACTCGAGGTTCTGGATATGGCCGTTACGCATACCGATGATTGAAAGGGATACATCCCATCGATTTTCCGAGATCCGCAAAGATTATTGCTGTTACCGCAACGGGTGCCTCAGAATGTCGAGGGTCTTGCGCCTGATCGGTCAAAGAGGAAACACTATTCTCTCGTCCACTTTGCGGATCCTGTCTCCACGAAAGGAGGTAAGCGACTCGGCACATCATCACTTTCTCCCCAAGCCTAAACCTATGTGAGCCACCCAGCTTTTGATTTCTGGAAACGTTCCGGCTGATCGCCCTTATCTGGATCACTTGATCACGAGCCCTTATGGAATACTGAGCTCGAATCCATCCGCCAAAACAATAATCCAAAGCTTCCCCCTTTCTATTCCGGACTGTCCATACGACAAGACGAGCATGACGTGAGTGAGAGCCAGTAAAGCTGAGAACTGAAATGAGGGAGTGGCGTATCGCAGAATCACCATGCACCTTGGAGCTAGCGGGCGAAGAGGGCGGTTGGGAAATTACAACACGTGAACGCGATGACACGACTTGTCAAATACATCCTGCATTTCTGGACCAAAACCCTTGTCTTCTGTGATGCAAAAAGACGAGATCAGCTCTAGCATACAGTCCAGAGGAATTAAACCCGGAACCCGAGAGGAAGCCTTGTGCCGCCATGAATAAACGAGAAACGAGGGATCGTCGACCATAGACGGCACACCTCATGACCTCTTATATTCCCTCATTCAGCAATGCCAGTAAAAGAGTCTGATAGGAGAGTGATTCATTCCCTTGGAACCGATCCGACAACTCTACCGCCTCCATAACCCCCCCCCCCCCAGTCTTTAGAATACCATTGATTTGACCGAAGATATTCCTGGTGCGTCGGAAAGAAAACCTGAACCTTTTGCCATCTCTTGGGCCCTGCGGCCATTTGAAAGAACATATGCCATTTTCTAAGTTTCATACCCGTCACAACAGCGACGAGACAATCCTGGACCCATTTATCCATATCATGAGGAGCCTAATGCCACCGAGGAGGAAAATGCCAGACTTCAACTCCCAACACGTCCGCTTACACTAGAAGAATGTTTTTGTTGTTCAGGTCATTCCAGTCATGTCCATGTCCACGTTGCTTTCTTTTCATCATTCCATGCCTCATTTGTGTATTTCACAACAATTTTTCACCCGAATCCCCCGGCAGCTCGGGCATTATCACGAAGCAACACCGATGCCCTTGCCCTCGGCACCCAAGCCTCTTGGCTTCAAAGTTGCTCGCGACATTGCTTGCTCTAGCTCTTCGGCAGTGAAGGGCGTGTCGGGAGCCGTGACTTGCTTCAAGAGACCGTTACCCATATCAATGCCGCTGTCATGTTGGGTGAGTTTCGCGGTGAGTTCGGCAGGGGCGAAAGGGGCCGCAGTTGGCTGATCAGAGAGGGACGCTAAGGATGTTAATGACTGGAATCTAAGTTCAAGACGATTGGGATCGAAAGACATACTGCTCGCAGTGTCAGGGCCCGGCGCTGTACTGGCAGCTACACTCTTCTCCCTGCTGGTGCTGGTTGAGTCATCACTTCCATCTGACTCCCCGGCGCTCTCCATCCTCCGTCTCGATCCCGGCTGATCCTGACATGACGATCTTCTGCTTGGAGCTTGGCTTGGGTCCCGACTTGCTGCTCTGCTCTGGGCCTTGGTGCCACCTGGGGAAAAGCTGCCGGATAGGGCAAGTGACGTCCGTCTCCGGGCTGTTGAAAAGGCATCGGCTAGTGAGAAGGCTGCCAGGTTGGCTTGATGCTCTGGATCGACTCTGCCTTTGTATTTGGACTTGGGGATCTCGTGAGGCTTGTAGTACTCGATGTCTGTACGGTCGGTGTAGTATTGCTCGTTGCGAGGTGTTGAATCGTCGGGACTGGCTTTCTTGGAAGTGAATGCCCGTCGTAGTTTTACTCGAAGGCCCATGATGGTTCTAGCGCCTCGACTTCGTAATGTTTGCTATCAACGTGAGTTTGATCCACCCACAAATGTACATCGATGGTGCCGTCCAGCTTTCGATAAGGCCCCTTGATCGAGGGGTTTTCGATTGCTGTGGTCAATATGAAAGGTCTTGTCTCAGGTTGAGGAATAAATGATGGATAGGATAGACTGAGAAGAACAAATCTCAAAGGAACGGTGAATGTACTAATCTACTCAGGTGAGATGAGAATTGGGGCGGTGGCCCGTGACACACCAGGCTCAATCGAAACCATGGGCCGGGGAGTGACGAGACAGCAGTGGGGCCTGGGAGTTGGAGACAAAGAGATGGGATGAGATGTGCTCTCTGGGTGCAACACAAGTTGTATGTGGCGGGAGTATCCACCTTGACTTATCATTCCGTTTTCATCGCAGTTTTGAGTACGTATGGCCCGGAGGAGGCGAGTTTGGCCGGCCAAGGTTAAGGATCCCGACTATTCCGCATGTATGTCGCCTATGGGGTGGAACGCCAACAAGTCGGGTGGGCTCCCTTTCCAATCCTACCTCACTAGCTACCCTTTGTTCGGAGCGCTGTTCAAGTCCTAGGTCATGGTGGACGTGTGCCCATGCAATGCAACCTGCTGTAAAAATTGGCGGGGGGAGATGGCAAAACATCGCAATAAGCAAGATCGGCTGTGGACATCTCGCGGTTGGATGATGTCGTGTTCACAAAATTGTCATATGCGAATCTCGTGTCGATCGAAGAAGCCGTATCGCCTTCTAGAAAAACTCAACGCCGGGACTTGTACTGGCTTGTTTTTGGGCTTGTCTGGCTTGGACGCTTTTGGTTGGGTGGCGAGTCCGCGTTCCTTGCATTGGTCGCCTAGCTTCACCTCTCGTATCACTTGATTGCAGAGCGTGCTCACGCTTATTTTCCAGCCACCCGTCTCGCACAACACCGGCCGACACTTATAGGTTGAGGTTTATCGTTTGAGATAGGCAAAGATACCGGCTTTTTCTTCTGATAAGGGGCCTGTTGGCATTCTGACCAGTCTGCTCGCTTGGCTGAGGGCCTGCGGGTAGATAAGATAAAGAGGTCCATCACTCCACGGCTAAAGGTATCGTCCAACTGGGCTGAATATTTTATCGTGACGCTTTGTGAGGCAACTGATGGGTGAAACTGCTCTGGTAATGGTGAAGTATGGCTGGCTGTCAAATAAACTCCCCGATGGCAGGCTCGACCGCTTCAGTCAGTCACGTGAGTATTACATAATCTCCATTGCGCTCGTCCCCCGACGTCAAGCCTATGATTGAAATTGAAACATCGTCCGTCATGCCCAACCACAAGGTGACGACGCACGGTACAGATTTGGAAGTAAAGTTTTCAAAGCGTTCCCCACCGTCTCGATCTAGCCGTCTGATAAGGATCAAATGGGATGATGACATGCAGATGTCAATCCTTTCAAACCTCAGCAAGCAACGAAGTCTGACGATCTCATCTGTCCATTTACCGCGGCCGATGACTTCATTGACGTCCAACCACCTGTCCAGCCCGTTAGCGAACCCTCTCGACCATCACAGTTTCGCTCCTCATCGCCGATCACGCCAGGAAACCCTTCTGCGTACCCTCCATACATCCTCCATGGCTGATTTTGCGGTCGCCCAATCAGCAAACTCCACCTTCATTACTGGTGGCTTGAAGCCCTAGAGCACAGTTGCGAATATATTGTGTGCCTCCACACATCATTGTTATGACGTAACTTGAAACGATGCCTCGAAGATGCTTTACAGTATAAGCTCGTCTTCGCCGTGCTTGCTGGTCTGGTTCTTGTTTGTTTGGTTTTAAAATTCATCGTCGAAATTCCTCTCATCAAAAGGGGCTGCCTTCTACCAAACTAACCGGCAGATGGCGAAAGAACCAGAAATCTCATGCAAGATGGATAAACTCAAAACTATGCTGTAGGTATTCATCTGAACAGCAGCAGGCATCGGACTAACACATTCCAAGACCTAGCAGGGAGGTAGAAACCCCCCAAGTCTTTGATACCAGCGGTCCAACTGGAAGAATGACAGGCCAGGGCTCACATTTTCCTAAAAGAGATGAACCCGCTGCAAATACTACCACCTCTCCCCAGAACACTACTTCCGGCTACGTTCCAGGTACGCTCAAGGCTGTCACAGTTATATTTTGATATGACGAATCATCTTGAAACGGCGTTGTCATCTATGGACAGGGCTATATTAATATAGTTTCCGCTGCAGATGCAAAGCGAGCGACCGAAACATCATCCACAAGTGGTATATCCGGCGAAAGGACTAGCATAGCCACTATGGGCGAAACATCAACGTATAGCTCCCATACCTTGCCTGAGGGTGATGCTGTCGCAAGCGTCGTAGATCCAACATCAATAGATCTCGCCACCTACCAAATGCCCGAACATTCTTATGGATCGAGCACCGGTGTCCCTGCGGGAGCAGCAGGAGGAGCGGCGTCGACCACATCCAATAAAGACAGGAATCACAGCAGTATGTTATAAGTCATTACCTCGCCTTTACTATGATTTGACACCTCCTAGCCTCTCATATTCCAGGAGCTCTCCCCAAACACGAACCTTCGACAACCGATTCAGCACGGACCGCTTCTGCTGCGGCCGGTACCTCCAGTACGGCGCCAGCGCAGGATTCTACAACAGTTCCCCCTTCGGCCTTGACGACAATCGCATCCCCTGCCGATCGACCAGCCGAAAACAGCCGAGCAGAAAAGCCCAAAGTATCTGATGTAAATATTTCGAATCAAACACCTACCGCCACTCCAGATACCACCACTGCGCGAGACTCCGCCGAGCCACCGAAATCTGGAGTCATGGCGTGGATATTGGAAGCTATGGGTCTCGGAGCGGTCGCCGGGAGTGCTGGCATCGTTGCCTCCCAGGCAAGCGAGGATGATAAAACTCAAGCGATGGCGGATACCCCAGAGCCGCCAACAACCACCACAGGGATAGATTCGTACACTGTTCCAACACGTTCGGGACCTCCACCACCACATCATAAAAAGAAGAGCATTCCCACAACGGCGTATCCTGCAGGTCTGAATTCACCAGCCCCTGTCAATGCCCCACGTGGGGGCACATCAGCCGCTCAAGAGGAAACAGAATTCAAAGATCATATTGCTCGTAATCCAGGCCTCGCCACTGCTGGTGTTGGTGCAGGTCCGGCTGGTGTTTATGCATTGAATCAAAAGAAGGAAGCTGAGACAGGGAACCAGTTGGCTGATCATTCATATTCAACCACCCAAGCCCCAAGAGACGCTGAAGCCTCCAAAGCCCGAATACCCACTTTTGAGAAGACTGCTTCCACTCAGGAAGGATTAGGCACATCTACGAAGGAAACTACGGGTGCGGCACCAGCTGCTACTGCAATTCCTGCCTCGGAAGAAGCTCCTAATGCTGAACCCGCTACCGAGCCGCTAGAAATGAATGAAAGCCATATAGCTCGCAATGCCGCTCTGGCCAGAGCCGCTGGAGCTGGTGCCGGAGCCTGTGGAGTTCACGAGGACGACAAGCATCAAGCTGAACAGGAAGATGCTCGACAAAAACAATTTGGAAAAGACCAGAAGGCTGCAGAGGAGCAAGCTGCCCAAGAGAAGAAGCAGTACCAGAAAGAGCTAGAGAAGGAAGAGAAAGCGAGGGAGAAGGCTGCTGCCAAAGAAGAAAAGGAGCGTCTCGAGGCTGGAGAAGCTGCTGCCGCCAGCGCCGTTGGAACCGGTGCTACTGCCGGCACGGGCGCCTATGCTATGCATGACAACGAACAGCCGACTGAAGAGATTCCAACAAGAACTACGGGTTCTCAGGAATCGGATCGTCACAGACTGTACAAAGATCCGCCGGAGGAGAAGAAACCGAATATCTTCAAACGGATCTTCAAGAGACGCAAGAACAAGGAGACCGGCCAAGAAGAAGAATACAGCACCGATGAAGAGGACGAAACACACCGGCACTATCGCACCGCCGAAGCAGCAACTGTTGGGGATGCAGGAGCCGCCGTGCCGACAGGAACGGCAGCAGCTTACCATGAATCTGAAAAGCCACATACGAGTACCTATCGGCGGCCTTCAGAAACCGTCATATAACCCCCTTCAAGATCGAACCAAAAACAAGTGATGCGCCCATAGCGGACAGTCTTAGGCAAGAGCGACAAGGACATGCTGCTACCACAGGTTGTTAGACCCAGGACCAGCAAAGCTGAAAAGGCAACCACACCCAACAGGAACAACAGGCATCACTTCTGATACTACAGGCGTCACAGGAACAGAAGCAAGCACCACTAGTACCCAGATCGCACGACATTACGACAGGTCTTCCGTACGATCCCGCTAAAGACCCCCGAGGCAGCGAAGTATCCTGAGGAATAGTCAAGGCTAGAAATGGCCGAGCAACGCGGGCTTTTTCATTATCATGGACACAGGCACGAGGGTGGTCTGGCATACGGAATCATCGGTGCATTGAAGCCATTACCTGACCTTGACGAGCTTCAGTCAGGGGAACTAGGCAATGGAACATGACACTTCTCTCCCGGCCCTTTTACCACGGCGAACGAACAATGACTGTCCAACATCTATTCCCTCCCAAATCGATGAAATTTTCATTTTGTCCAAACGTCCCAATTCCGCTAAACTCCTTCCCAAAAGCCGCACCAATTCAGGCGTTCGGTTAGCAACTGACAAATTCTCGAGTTAGAGGATAACGGGACGCTCGGGGCGCTTAATTCGCTAGCAAGCGACAGTAAATAGCTGCTCTTAGCCAGACACGCCGATCTCATCGGTGATCATGGAATCGATATAATTTGTTTACTCGTCCCCCTTTTTCCTTATAATGGGTCAGCAAGAACCAATGAAACGAAAACAGAGTTTTTGTGAATATCATTGCCATTCTCCGATCGCTGATCCCCCAGCCCTTCTCGTTAGGCCGGGGTGTTCTTTTTCTATGGTACACTTGATGTTTTTGGTGAAAATCAGACAAGCTCTCGCCACCAGGAATCTCCCATCCTGGGAAACTGGGTACGAAGATAAACAAATACCACGCTCAAAAAGTTGTACACAATTCTGTTGTTGGATCAAGTCGCTTTCATTTCTGTGAGAGCGTCACTCATCTTTGTGAATTTACTCCTTTTGAACCTGAAGAAAACACAATGCCCCGAGCCAAGTTCACCACGCCGAGCCCGCCAACTGATTCTATTCGTCGTCTTTTCCCCTTTCCACTTCCTGACTGGTTCCAAGCTGCCTGCCAAGAATCATTCATTCCTAACGACTTCTCTTGGTGTACAATCTGGCCGCGATATTCATACTCCAGAGTTCCTGGAACAGCAACTTGGCCGCATACGGCAAGTAGATCTGGCTGATCTTGTTCTTGTTATTACAGTTCTTGCACTCAAACGTGTTCTTTTTGAGCTTGGCAATCACCGTCATGAGACCGCAGATATCGCAGATATGAACTCGGAAGGGGTCTGAGACGTCGAAGAGGCGCTCCTTCAGGAACGAACTGGCGCCGTGGGCGATCATACAGTCGCGTTCCATTTCTCCGAATCGCAGACCACCGTCACGGGCACGACCTTCGACAGGTTGACGAGTGAGGATCTGGGTAGGACCACGGGCACGAGAGTGGATTTTGTCATCGACCATGTGTCGGAGTCGTTGATAATAGGTTGGACCCAGGAAGACTTGGGCCACTAGTTTTCTACCGGTGTGTCCATTGTACATGACTTCGAAGCCGCGTGACTGGTATCCCATTCTGCGCAGGAGCTCCGAGATCTGTGTGACCGTGACTTTGGTGAATGGAGTAGCGTCGCCTTCATCGCCACGGAGGGTGGCAACCTTGGACAGCTGACATTCGATCAAGTGAGCAATAGTCATGCGAGAGGGAATGGCGTGTGGATTGATGATGAGATCAGGGACAATCCCCTCTCTGGTGAAAGGCATATCCTCCTGGCGGTAGGTGATACCAATGGTACCCTTTTGGCCATGACGCGACGCAAACTTGTCACCAATCTGGGGAACCTTGATGGTCCTCACGCGTACCTTGGCAAATCGGTGACCTTCAGCCGTGGTGGTAAGCATGACTTGATCAACCATTCCAGATTCGGTAGATCTCAGGGGCGTTGAGACGTCACGCTTGATGTGTTGCTTTTGTCTCTGACCCAATTCTTCGGCGTCTGGAGCCATCGGAGCCGTCTTGCCGATGATAATATCTTCACCACTCACACGCACACCTGGAGCCACAATACCATCTTCATCAAGCTTGTCGTAGGTACCATGTTTGAGACGGAGGGTGTCGGCCCTCGTGGGCTTTTCAAACTGCTCCACCACAGAGTGTCCCACACTCTTTTCGGCGTCTTGGTAAGCTCGATAGAACAGAGATCGGAAAAGGCCGCGATCGATGGAGCTTTGATTCATGATCACGGAATCTTCCTGGTTGTAGCCTGAGTAGCATGCAATGGCAACAATGGCATTTTGACCGGCTGGGAGTTCTCGGAATTTCAAGTAATCCATAGCCATCGTCCTCGCCAAAGGCTTCTGAGGATAGTAGAGGATATTGGCCATGGTCTCCATGCGCTGGTCAAAATTCGTGAGGAAAACGCCCATGGCTTGTTTACCCATGGCCGATTGGTAGGTATTACGAGGCGATTGGTTATGATCGGGGAAGGGAATGATACTCGCGCAGACGCCCAAGATCATACTCGGATGGATTTCGCAGTGGGTGAAGGTATGTGCGTGAGGGTTCAGGAGCGGATCGTTCCTCCTCAACGGATCATCTTCGTTCTCAATCTCCATGCCCAGCCATTTGGCTTTCGAATCGGCCAGAGCTTCGGGTGTCATGATGATCATTGCCGTCTCCTCCTCTTCGGCATCCAGGTACTCGACGACACCATTTTCCAACAGATCGGTCCATCCATAAGGTCGAACTTCGTCGGTGAACTGGAAGCCGCTTTCCTTGAGGTATGCGGTTTGATCGAGCTTGTTGATATGTTCCTTGTTCAGAACAAGATTTCCGAGATTTTCGGAAGACCGATCCGTTTCGACGACGAACAAGGGGCGAACGATTCGGCCTGAGTCACCCGATATTCTGAATTCCTTGTCCCGAATATCCCACACCAAACTGACTTGGGCATCGAACACCCCCTTTCTCCGAAGCTTTCGGAGATCATCAACTAGGCGTTTCGGATCCCGCAAGACCACTGCAAACCAGACGCCATCGACAAAGACCTTGGTAGCTTGAGGATTGAGACGAGGTTCCCAGTCTTCAAGTGCCTCCACATGCTTTGTCATAACGTAGTTGACGAGAGGTCCAGTTTCATAAGAGTTGGTGACCATTGACATGAGAGACAGATTCTTGACCAGACCACAAGCTTGCCCTTCGGGAGTTTCGGCCGGACACACATAGCCCCAATGGGTGTTGTGCAATTGACGAGGCTTGGCAATTTTACCTTCTCGTCCGATGGGAGCATTGGTCCGGCGAAGATGGGACAAAGTGGAGGCAAAAGTGTAGCGACTGAGAACCTGGGAAACGCCGGCTTTCGCCTTGTCCAGTTTCTTTTGATCGCCCCAATTGCCCGTGGCCAAAGAGTATTTCAAGCCACTGGTAATAATTGGATGCTTGAAGCCGGCCATAATATTGATCGGCTGGCCCGCCTCCACACGCTTCTGCATGTAGCGATAGAAGTCTTTGGTGGCCTTATCAAATTGCAAGCGAAAGAGATTGGTCATGAGCGGGCCCGCCAAATCCAGTCGTTTCTTTCCGAGATGATCTCGATCGTCGGGTTCCGCTCGTCCAAGAGCGCATTTCAGAAGTCGATTGACCATGTACCCCAGAAAGAATGCTTTTCGTGCCGTAGCATCGGGGCCTTGTCCGATATGAGGCAGGAATTCCTTCTGCAAGATGTCCGTTGCGTGCTTTTGTCGCTCATGACTCTTCAGAGTCGGAACATTTCCCCGACGAGCGATGAAATCTCTCGCCAGGTCGGCACCTTGTATAGGTTGACCTTCTTGGAGAGAGCCCATTAGCATATCCATCATTTCCTGGTCGCTTTGGTCGAAGCAGATCTTTTCCAAAATGTCGGCGTCGGAAACAATGTCCAAGGCGCGGAAGACAATGACCAGCGGGATATCCTGCTTGACGTATGGAAGTTGAACTCGGATCGGGTTATCGATTTTGGTTCCATCAGGACCATCAACTCTCCGGAATAGTTTGACCGTGCACTGAGACATCATCCGGGCGCCCCGGTCGATGACCGATCTGATCTCGGCAAGATGGGTGAATGGGGAGGGAGCGGCCTTCTGAAAGACCTGAACAATGTTTCCAGCACTTCGTTCCTGGGCAATCAGGACTTTCTCGCTCCCGTTGATGATGAAATAGCCACCTTGGTCATAAGGGCATTCTCCCCAGGCGAACAAATCCTTCTCGCTTTGAAATCTGTCGCTCATCAGGTGACATGTCATACTTCTGACCATGATGGGGATTTTGCCAATGTAGACCTCTCGCTCCGTGTCGTAATCATCCTCGTCTGTGCCTTCTCGCCAGAACAGCTCGGTCCCATCCTCCTTCATGACGCCTTGATCCGCGCTGTCGTCATCCCAGGGCTTCTCTTTCGCGTAGTATGTTTTTCTCGTCATTTTCACAAACGCAGGGCTCGCGTACGTTAGGCTTCGTAATCGCGCTTCGTGTGGCATACAATCCGTCGTGACACCATCTCCTTCCACCATGTTGGGCTTGCTGAGTGTGACCTTGCCGAATTTGACTTCATGTCTCTTGATAACAACCGGATTGGGATCATCTTCATCAATGTTTTGCGCGTGGTCCAGTGTCACTCCTCCCTTCTCGTTGACCAGATCCTGCAACCCCGATCTCATGAAGTGGTTGAACGAGTCGATCTGCATAGAGGCCAGTTTCTTGACATCGAAGAATGAACTGATGACCTTCCAGCAATCTTCCGAAGTAATGTCCTGATCAACCCCTTCCCCGTCATCATATCCGACATCTTCTCCGTAATAACCGTTCACATCGTACTTTTGATCCCCGTAATCGGTCATCCTGCGCGTTCGTGGGTCAACAATTGAAATGGAGGGGTGAAAATCAGTGCGAACGAAAGAGAACGGAGCGGTCTCCTCGTCAGGCGGTTTTCAGGTTCCTCTCGTCGCGCCCTGACCCAAGGCACTGGGTTGTCAGCCAAGGCTTTAGAATGCCTCCAAGGAGAACCCACAATATCTGAGACAGTCATGGAATGCAGTCGCGAGCCACAGGCACGAGGAACTTGACAAGACACGGTCACGACGATGTTGTCGGGATTCCTAAAATCTGGCTGGGGACCTTTTGGGGAGGCGAAATCCGCAAGGCGCAGTCTTGGCATTCACATCCGCCGCTAGCCCTGATTCGGCCTGATGTAAAACCTGGCCGTTGGAATTTCCCGTTGTCCAGTGGTGGCGAAGAAACGGTCAGCACGGAGGAAAGGGTGTCTCGATTTGGATATCCCAAAACTATTTCTAACTCAAATCACCATGCCTCGCCGTCCCAGGATAAGCGGCCTGCAATCATCATTATTCAAGACAGAGAAGCAACGCTTCCAGCATCTCTTCTGTAGACTTTGATTCGTCGCTTTGGTCTGGGTCCATCCCATCCAGTTGATCTCTCAGGCTCCGTTCAAGAATCTTGAGCCCGTCTTCCCCGAGCAGCACGGTAATCGTTTGTCTCGCACCGTTGTCCTCCGCCACCATCCAACTGAGAATCAGTTCAAGGGCCTGGAGAGAAAACAACCCGGCATCAAGGCGTCGAGACAGCCATTCGTCGGCCAGTTCTTCTGCCGCGGCATCACCCATCTCTTGTCGCTCCTTTCGTATCTGGGCATCAACTTTACTGAGCCTTGTCTTGTATTCTCGCCGCAATTCCACCAGTTTCGTGATCTTTTCGTAGTCCTTTTCCACAAACTTGGCTAGGGTGCGGATCCGGGCCGCAGATCCTCCTGGAAGATATCTCAATAGGCTCGCCAGAATTCCAATGAGATGTTCAACCAGACTGCGCTCCATTTTATGGCTTTTCATAAGCATTCCAAAAATGGTCTTCAGGCCGGCGGCGTCAACCAATCTCTCCGAAATTGCTGTCGCATTGCCCCCGCTCATGGCATGATCGAGGACTCGCAAAGCTCTCGCCTTGGCGAGCCTCCCTTCTCGAAGCATGATGAGACACAATTCGACTCCTTCACCCTCCAAGAACTTTTCTGCAGGAAACCTCTCCTCGACGACACAGGCCAGGCAATCGAAAAGGTTCTCGGCAAACTCTTCTTCATCGGAATCTTTCTCGGGATCCCTCTTGCGGTATACACTTAACAGCTCCAGGAGAGCGTCGACGCCTTCTTTCTGTGCCAGGCGATCTCGGTTGTTTCTGTTGTTTTGGAGAAGGATGGCAAGGATCTCCGCGGCGTATTGACGGTTCTGTCCGACTTTTCCTCGAGCATTGGGATCAATTTTGCTGATTCTCGAAAGAAGCCAGTCCATCATCTCAGCACGGGCCCCGACAACCTCCGAATATTCTGTCTCGGACAGCACATTCTCAAGAACGTTCAAGACATGATAGACCCCCGCTCGATCATTGAGGTGGTTCTCTTCATCCAGTCGACCAAGATTGCTCGTCAGAAGATCGATGACATCACTTTCGATCATAGCCTGCACAAGCGTCTTCCACTGCTCTTCAGTGGTGGCAGAGTCTTCGTCCGTGAGTTCGACAAACAGTTCGCAGACTCCAATGGCGATGTCCGTATTGTCATGCGCAAGCAGACCCACCAAGCTGCCCACACAGCCCATTTTAACAAATTCGCCGTATAACTCGCCATGCTCACTCAACAAGCTCAAGCCTTTAATCTCGGCATCCAGATCTGCCTCACTTCCCACAAATTTCATGGGATCACTCTCGTACTTGGCGCGTAGTTCTGCGTTCTTGTTGATTTTTCGTTCAAAGTTAATGGCTGTCCGACGCAGCCATGTCGAGTCAATCTTCTCTTCGGCCTCTCCCCCTTCATTCTTCTCGATGTATTCAATCACTTCACGTTCCTGCTTTGTCACTCCACCGCCAAAAAAGCGTCCTTCTTCGTCGTCACCGACTTCATCCTCCAGATCTTCGCGAGGCAAGGCCGGTCCGGCGTCGACGTCATCTTGGTCATCCGGAACTTCGTCTGGCACGAAAGCAGCCTTGCTATCGGAACCATCAGGGGTGGATGGTTCATGAAAGCCATTGTTTGAGCTGCGTGGGGAGGAGCCGTTGTTCAATTTGGTCGACTTGTTGGAAAGGGCATTGGTCAAGGCAGTTGTAGGATCTTCGAGTTTCCGCTTCGGAGCAGCATTCGGCCTGCGGAAAAGGTCGTCAATTGAGGTCATTATGTGAAAGAGGGAGAGATCTGGCCATCTACAGCCATTCGATCAAGAATACAAATCTAAGTGGCGTAAGCGGTGTCGAGAAGAGGCAGAACAGTGATCGGAAGAGTTCGGTTTATCCGCCAAAAATTGTCGCAGATGGCAAGTCTCCCCGACGCCTGCAAAAGGACAAGTGGTTGCGGCCAAGAGAGGCATCTGTCAGACTTGGCCCAACTAATCACATGAAACTTGATGGCCTTCATTACAACCCCCTCCCTCCGTCTTTTGGCGATCAGATATCTCTTCAATCTCGCATTACTTGTTCGACAAGCGCCGGGTGAACCTGGTAGAAGTAGTGAGTACATTTTCAAATCCAATTTGGGCCCTCCCACGGAACGCCATCATACGAGCCGGAACGGCAGATGGAAGCCCGTTATATTTTGACTTTCCAGAAAAGCTGCGATTCGTCAACTGAACGAGATCGGCGACAAGGGTCGTTGGCACCCGCGGACCTACCTGCCGTTGGAGCTGAAAGAACCCCTGACAAGTCGCAGGCCACGAAGGTTCTAATCTGCCCTACCATTCATTGTCCTGTCATGCTACCAGGCGTCTGACCCTTCCGCCAATCCTACCACGATGCCATCCTATGGACTCTCAGAGAAATTTGAAGCTGATCCGACCGCCGTTAAAGGAGGTTGTCTATCAGCCGCTGCAGGCACAGCTTCTACACAGAGGCGTCTTCAAGGTCTATGGAATGGGGGTTCCACAATCTCGGTGTCAAGGCTGGCGCATGGCGCAGGCCTAGGGGGGCTCTCTCCACCTCAATGTAAGGCCACCACTCTTGAAACAGGAGCTTGAATGTCACGGAGATGAGTGAATTGCGCGGAAGTCCTCGGTAGATGCAACCATCGAAGAAAATTTGCCGTGGGTTTATATTGACCATTCATCGCATAATTTTTTTCATTTTCTTCGTCTATTTGTTTCCCCTCTTTCGCTCCGGTCAATTAAACCAAAGATGCTGCTCAGTCTCGCAGCCGGTGTCCTTGTGACGGCGCTGTCGACAGCCGTCTTCGCTGCCACAGACATCTGCTACAACCCGGATGGCACTCAGACAACATCGACAACACACACACCGTGTTTCCCGTCAGCGAACGTGACCCACTGTTGCAACGAGGGCACGACCTGTTTGAAGAATGGACTCTGTCTCAATAAGGTACGCAATACGCGAGGCCAAGCATACCCAGACTCACAGCACTGACATAAAAGCCAGTCCACGTTTCTCAACACGGGCTTATGCACCGACAGCACGTGGCAAGATGAAGCGTGTTTCCCCCGCTGTCTAACTCCACGACGGCTCGGCAAACCAAGCACGGTCTACCGATGCGATGACGACAAATGGTGCTGTTCCAACGGCGGTGGCAACTCGACATCATGTTGCAATGACCAGGGAATCGAATTGTTCAAGATCATTGAGAACGCAGTCGTCGAGAATGGCTCTGCCTTCCTCAGCGGCTACAGCATCGCGCCCATCCAAAACATCCTCACCGACAGTGAACCAAACCCATCGACGACATTGTTGCAAACATACACGTTCACGACCGACGTCTCAGGCTCCCAAGTTACCTTGACGGCCACAGCAACAATCGACTCGAATACAATTCCAGTATCGTCTGACGACTCAGACTCGGCTCTAATAGCCGGCCTCGGCGCCGGGCTCGGTGTGGGCCTTCCACTGCTCGCTGTCATCGGCCTGCTCTCATGGCTTCTCTTCCGTGAGAAGAGACGCAACAGGGCTCAATTGGCCCCCCACGAACTTCACGGCCACCCTTTCTCGGACGTCCCTCCAGCATCTCACTACCAAACTACTCCAGCAGATCCATTCCAAGACGGCTACTCCGTGCCGGCCGCCGGCCAGTCTCCTTACTCCACGGGCACTACAAACGATGTAATCTCAGCGACCCTCTCCGCGCACCGTCTCGAGGCAGATTCTCAGGAGAAAAAGCCGGCGCGGGCACGTCCAGAGCTACCGGGCTAATTTGCCCTCAGAGGTCCAGGAGATGTCCAAAACACGGCCCTCCAGGAACCGGCCGTGGCGACGGCTTATTGCCATATAGTCCTACAAAGCACCACTCGATTCTCACGAGGTCTGCCCTCGACCTCATCTCCCAAGCATTGAACGGATGTCACCGTGGCCGGGAAACAGAACGACACGGGGCGTCCAAAAGACAAACATCGGCAAGCTCCTCTACAAGGGAATCGGAAAGCAAGATGGATACAGGTACCGCCGCGGGCATCGTCCACAATACGACATTGCCAAACTTACCGTCTTCCAGTCACACTTCGAGAGGAAAAATTATACCCAATCTAAATAGCACTTCTTTTGAGCGAAGAAAGAGGACAACGAGCTGGATATCGTGTCTTGTCCCAGAGGCGTAGGGGGAGGGGTAAGCATCCCCGTGTCGATGTCATGAAGTACAAAGCCAAAATGGGGTATTCACGGGCCGGGAGAGATGGTAGACTTGCAAGGGAGCACCTGTGTTGGAGCCACATGCGCGGTTCAGCGACGGAGACCTGAGTGACGAGATGGCCTGATAGCCTTCCACCGGATGGAGCTATGTAATGTAGAACAGAGATGAAGAGACAGGACAACGAAGTTTAACAAGATTGAGGATTCTCCTGCAAATATATGGTCCCCAACCCATAACGAAAACACCCAGCAGCGTGATGTAACAAGCAAGGGTATCACGGCCGTCAATATCCTCAAAGCAAAAACGCTCCCCATTCCTAGGTCGGTCAAGCTTGGACGGTATACACTGGCAGCGGCTCCGCGAAGATCGCATCGGACGGAACTCCACAGGTGTCGGCGTCGGCGATGTTGTCAGCATTGGGCGCCTCTGGCGGCGGGACCACCCAGGATTCTTCCCCTTGACCCTGCCTTAGGCTCTGAATTCCACTGTTGACGCGTCCTTGTCCACTGCGCTGTTCGCAACCATACTCATCATCTAAAGCGAGGGATTGGCTCAATCGCCTCTCGAGATCCGAGCCACTCCTCGGCAGTATTCGGATCGGTACAGTTCTGAGGATGAATTTGAACCGCTTGCGCTCATACTCCACGTTCAACGCGAGGTCTAGCGTGTGAGACCGTGCGATGTTATATGTGGAGAAGTCGGGCACGAGAGATGCAATGGGCACCGAGAGATCAGCTGAGTCGCCGAGATTGACGAAGGTTGCTTCTGTTGTCCTTGCCTCTGGATTGCTGGGTTCGGTACTGCTTGTTGTCGAAGGTGATTGGGAGACAGGCACCGAGCAGGATCCCTTTCGGGTGAAGATTTGTCGCTCCGATGAGGGACTGTGGCAGCCCGCTCGGACTTGGGTGCGTTGGACCAGAGACAGCTTGAAGGACGTGATTGTCAGCTTCGCATGGGAATTCAGTATATTCCCTCCGCGATCTTGTCTTGGGGTCTCCGGAATGCAGCGCTGGGCCGTCGCAGAGACAAGAATCGACAACGCCGCTTGTGCTTTTATCTCGATTTTCTTGGGCAGTAAGACACAGAGCCAAAGTTCGACCTCAGGCACGTTGCCTTTGCCACGGTAGAATTTAGAGAAAATTCGACTTGTCACTGTCTGTGAAGCGCTAGCAAGCGGGCACTTCACGACGTGGCGGTGATTTATATAGGGCCAATCATCCTCGGAGCTCAGGGTTGGCGAGATCGCAAGGGTGTGAACGGGAATCGTCTTCAAGGCGATTAGGTTCTTGTTCAGCGCCATCGGGCTGGCTGAAGGTTGTGCGAGAATCGCCTGAAGCACGTATTCGACGGAGCTGGTGAATCTTCCCCTGTAAAACATGCTAGGTGGGAGAGGATGAGGCTCCGGTCCCCGATCACCCTTCCATGGGGGCCTTCGCTCAAATAACTCCTTGGATCCCGGGGCAATTGCTCTGGGCGCCGCAAACAGTGGAATCCGAAATGCAAACGGCCATGCATATGTCCCCTTGTGGTGGGTATATTTACCCTGGTACAGGCTGAGGTGCCGGCTGAAGAGATAGCCACAGGAGTAGTAGTCTGTTCTTGACACGGTCAAGTCGCCGTAGTTTTGGTTCAACAGAACCTTGGTCTGGCCGCTAAAGGTGATGGTCAGGGAGCCGATTGTTTGGTCTTCAAATGTGTCCAGCCTGACTACTCCTAGAACCATCGAACCAGGGGTATATGGCCTTCCATCGTCATTGGAGAGACTTATGGAAAGGGCCATTTTGTCGCCAGAGAAGGAGCAAAACTTGTGGTTCAATTTCAACAAGTTGCATCAGAAGGGATTAAGTGAGATATGCCCTTCTGAGGCCGAGCGTCTTGCTTTTTATCTATATCTGTCGGCCAACAGCATCTTGTGTCGCACATCCTGCGGCGTGAGTGAAGAGTACAACATTGACGAATCAAGCCGTGTACAAGTTCAAAATGCCGCCAACATTGGCCATGTATAGAGCCCCTCACATGATGCTCAACCAGGTCGTGAGACGCCTTCCGTTCGGGGCGGCGTAGCCTGTCGGAGGGGAAAGTAATGAATACCGCGCAAGCGACCCACCGAAGAACAAGCATTGCACAAGCTCAACTTACCCATGGGGAATCGGGTCAAATACCGGAGGCGAGTCTAGAGGGTATTCATCAAATGGTTGGAGAACGGCGCGAAAGGTCCAACCTCATTGAAAATCCCTCAGCCTATCCCGTCTGCTCGAATCTGGGAGTCGCAGGGAGGCATCCTGTAAACGGAATTGGTCTGCGTGGTGACGGCTGTTGTACCCGTGATCACTACTGGAGAGGAATACCGTATGCGAATGCGAAAGACTCTGGCCGTATTAACTGCCCCATTCAGGGCCAACTTCGGAAAGATAGAGCCATTTCAGGATAGGGGAGGATAAAATCAGTAAGGAAAAGCGATGATTCAACCGGACCGGACGGATAAGGCGGAAGCTTGCTCCGTTCTTTTCTCTCCACGGCGGGTTGCTTCTCGCCCATCTTGTCGCTCATCTTGAGTGGGCATTCCCTGATGTTGCTCCATCCACTGGATGATAAAGTCCCGAAGCGTGTATAGGTGATCGGGTCATAGAGACTATTACCTACGCCGCGTTGCGCTGCTTATATCTGACGAATATGCCCGGTGAACCCCCTCTTAAGCGGCGCCGTGTTGCCATTGCCTGTGACAGTTGCAGGGCGTTGAAGGCAAAGGTGAGTTATTGTGTCAATGGCAACTTGTTGATATGAGAAGCAGCATAGGCTGCTAAGATCATGGTTGAACCTGGATGAACCGGAGTGATATCCGCCTGGAGCCTGCCCGTGGTAAACTCTGTGTGCTTTTTTTCTTCTAGCGGCCGACCAGTTCCACCGTCACTGACCATCTCTTGTCGCCAGTGTGACGGAAAGCGTCCGACGTGCGATCGGTGTGCTGGATATGGGTATGCCTGTCAGTGGAATGATGCTGGTCAGAGGACAAGTGCTGTTGAAAACAAACGAACTCGGTTGAACCTTTTGTCAGCTTGTGATGAAGCCCAGAAGTTGAGGCACGCAGTTGGCATATATGACAGACTCCTCAAGGGTCTTCGTAACAAGCTCTCCGAAAGTGACCGTAAAGCTGTCGATTTGGGACTTTCATCTATCCGGCTTCCTCCTTCTGCTTTGGGGGCGACGGACGGCGCCCTTGCAAGTCCTTCATCTCCAGACAACGAGTTCACGGCACGGCTTCCATCATCCCCTTCTCAGCGATATTTGGGAGAAGCAAGCGACATCCGCTTTTTCCGTGCGATCGAGCAGGCTTTCTGTCAGCCCTCCGAACTTGAAAAAGGAGGAGAAACCAACAGCGAAGTGCGAATCGACAGCTATGAGCAAGATGGAGTCCCACTGCAAGAGTGTCTCGACGAAAATGAAGCATTCCTGCCGCGCAAAACCACTGCCAATGCTTTCGTCGAGGTATATTTCTCAACCATTCATATTGCTTACCCTTTTATCTGGCAGCCAGCTTTCCAGAAAACATACGAATCCTTCTGGCGATCCGGGTCCTTGGAGAATTTTCGAGGCCCTTGGCTATCCCTCCTTTGTGAGTGCCTCGTGCCCCGTGCCCCGTGGTGGACGGGTTTGACTGACGTGGAAGTGACCATCTTCGCCATCGGTGCTTGCTATGAGAAAATGGCAGACCAAGAAAATGCCAGTTCCTCCAAAAGATTATCCCATCAGCACCAACGATACTTTGACCAGGCGGTTGCTCTATCGCAGAAATACGACTCGAAACACACCGTGGGCCACGTTCAAGCTCTCCTCGCTCAGTGCTTTTACCTCCTGGCAACGTGCCACACCGATCGGTATGTCCCACCAAAGGCCTAAATCTCCACCCTTGAGACTTATCCTCCGGCAGATGCTGGACGACTTTGGGAATGGCAGTCAGAATTGCCCAGAGCATTGGTCTTCATGTTGATGAAGGACATAGAAAGCTGCCGGAGAATGAACGATCTAGCGAAACGCGCCGACGTGTTTGGTTCTCTTTATACGTTCTTGACCGCCTTCTTGCCTTGCAATTGGGGAGACCACCTGCGATACATGACGATGGCTTTAATCTTCGACTTCCGTCCCGAATGTCGGACTTTGCCATATCGGACGACAGCCATGCCACGGTCGATCAATATCCTGCCCACGGTGATGCCCTGGTGGGACACTATTTCATCGCAATGATCCAATTCTCTGGCATTATCGGAAGAGTATTCAATGGTCTCTACGGGCCCAATAAGGCCGTCAATGCCGGCATGACGTTGTCTACAATCGAACGCTTAGATCGTGAGTTATCGCAATGGAAAGCCAGCTTGCCGCGAACTTTGAGATTTGATCTCTCGCACACGTTCGAAAATTCGATGACCTTCAAAAGACAGGTAGGTACTTCTCGCACGGCCAGAGCCACATTTCGGTCTCCCCTCTTCTGACTGGGCCGTTAGCGAAATATGCTGGCCATCAAGTTCTACAATCTTCAGGCTCTTATTCATCGACCGTTGCTTGCCCCGGCCAGATTGTTTGAGTCATGCGCCGACCCAATGGCTTTCTATCAATCTGAACGAGCACAGATCCTCTTGTCCAAGAGGAGATGCGTTTTGGCTGCCCAATGTACGGCTCGACTGCTTCACAATGTCGAAGACAAGAAAAGTCTTGTGTACGGATTTCCCTGGTGGCAAATGATCTCCTGCCTCATTTGTGCAAGTTCGATCCTCTTGGTGGCAAGTATTTGCATGGACCTGGATGGAGAAGACACTCAGGACATTGACTGGGCTGGCGTGGATGAAGACGCCGATGTCTGTCTTACTGTTTTCCAAGCGCTGAGTTCGAATTCGAATGCTGCACGTCTGGCAAGAGATATGATGCAAAGGCTGAAAGAAACTCGGATTCGTTCTCAAGGTTCGTCCTCGGTCTGGGCCTCTTGTGATCGTCCCGATACTGACCATCTCACTCACACCTAGCGAGGGCTCCAAATAATGCTCAGAGTGGTGAGCTTCTTCGAATTGAAGGCGGGCACGACAATCCCTCTGATGCGACTTCATCTAGGGCGCCTTTGTCAACTACGATGCCGTCGACTTTCGATTCCATGGGTGCGGATCAGGATGTATTTGATATGATGTTTCAGACGATGCCATACGAGGTTTCTGAACCAGTCATGTGGTCTGCGCAGTTTGTCAATGCTGCGTACAATCCTTTCGTCTCTCGATCGTGCACGGAATTTGACGATTGAGCGGCATTGGGGGACCGGTGATCCATAGACAATGCGGAGATTGGCAAAGATCCTAACGTCTCTGTACCCAAGGAACCCACCATTGGACATTGGTCTCATCGACTTCGCCCATTCTCGTAAGACATAGCAATTGAGCATGCAATTTTTGTGCCAGCCGTCGTGGTAACTTTATTTCCTCTTCAACCAATGTTTCTAGACTGGAGCGAAAACACTACTTCCGCTTCCTGGCCGTCTTCGCAACCTCCTCCGGATCATTCTCATACTCTTTGCCCTCGTTGATCTCCTTCTTCCGCATGGTGCCTACTCCCATCCTCACCAGCTCCTGGTCGTCCCCGTCACTGTCCTCGATATTATACAGCATAGGCAGAACGAAACTCTCTTCCTCCCCCATCTTCCTCTCGACCGTCAACACGTCGACAACCTCGTCTTCGCGACCCAGCCGTCGTTTCTGGTGTTCTTCCTGCGGGTATTCATCAAACTCGTCCTCGCGCTCGATGTACTCGACGTTCTCGGTGAGTTCGGTGAAGTCGGGCGCCAGCGCCGACCACTTCTGCTGCGGCTCGATCCCCCAGATCTGGATACTGCCGGTTTCGATGCTCGTACAGGCCAGGAGAGGTCGGGACGGATGCCATTCGATGATCGCCGGTTCTTCGCGGTTCTCGAGGATGCGTAGCAGTGAGTTCGTTCGTAACTCCCAGATGTAGATGTCCTTCTTCATGTATGTCGAGGCGGTCACGTAGTCGGCGATGCCCGTCGAGGACGAGTGACTGAATGCGCAGTGGTTCCAGCGCAGACGGTTCACTAGATCCTGGAACTTGTGTTCGGTCGTTAGCACGATGTTTTCGGCCAGGGTGGCGGGGTCGGGCTGGTCGTCTTCGCTGGTCGGCTCGAAGGGCGGGGCCGTCGAGGGCGTGATCAGTGAGAGGTCAGGCAGGTTGATGGTGCGGATGATGCGGTCGGTGCTATTGGCGAGGAGCTGGCGGCCGTTGGATGTCAGACGGAGCAAGGAGATCAGACCCGTCGAGATCTTGGTCGAGTGGATGATTTTGCGCGATTCCGTCTCCAGGATGTTGATGTACCCTTTCGAGGTGCCGGCGATGATGTGGTTACCCAGCACGGAGAAGATGGCAGAGGTCGTGGCTTGTTTGTTCTCGGACCGAGGAATGCTGTCGCTTAGCGGAGTGGTGGGGAGGATGCGTTTGACGGGCTCGGGGTTCGTGATGTCGACTAGATATGGTCGGTCTTCGAAAAGGGATGCGACGAATAAATTGTGGTTGTAGGGGTGTAGTTCGGCGGTGTAGATGGGAGCTTCGAATTTGACGGTCCGGATCCGTTGTTGTGTTTGCAGGTCCCATAGGCAAGCTCGACAGTCCTGCGATGCTGTGAGGAGGTGTCGGCCGTCTCTTGACCAGCTGATCAGGCACGAGATGAGAATTTGGCAAGACAATAAAAGGCGGGCGCTTGGAATGGAGATTACCTTAGACTTTGGATCTGTTTCCAGTGACCATGCAATTTCATCGCCACGCCGTATGTTTCCATATCCCTTGAAGAGCGGTGTTAATTGACATTTTTGGGGATCCACTTTGATATCTTCCCCGAGAGCCCATTTCTCTGACCACCGTATCTGGGTTTGACTTACCAAATGACGACCTTGCCATCCACTCTACCCGATGCAAGGTAGTCGCCCTTGCGACTGAACCGGAGGGTGGTGGCATGGCCAGATCCTGTTCGGGGTTAGTTTTGTGGGTGAGAACCAAGCGATGTCGCCCTGTCCGCAGATGGCAGTTATGGGAAGGGGTTTTGACATACTGAGATCATTCGTGAGAGCGTCTGGCGAGTCCTGGGCTAGTTGGAAAGGGTCAATCAGTGCCAAATTCATGATGTGGTTGAACAGGAGGCGCAGAGGATGGAATGGATGCCGTAGCGGTTTACAGTAACTACGAGACTTTCGCGCCACTCGCCGATTGGTTGGCGCCAGACCCCGCTTCCACCATCAGGGGTAGCACACGGGAGTCGGGGCCGGATACACCTATGAAGATGCCACAAACGAGAATAGGAGTAAGAAGAAGTGTAGATGTGTCTTTTGCTGCTTCATGGATTGTTCTGATTAAACCGCACACAGCATTGTGTGAAGAGAAAATGAAGGGAATGCAGCCGGGTCAATATCATGGCCACTGTATCTTCACTGTTGACGCTAAGAACTTCTATGGGCACCTGTGTAATTCACAAGCCGTTCTCTACAACTTAATACGATGAGGTTGTAGAAGCGCATCTATCCCCAGTGAGGCGAGGCAGACGCCCGAAAAAGTCGCTCTGCGCCTTTCAAGTTTGATATCGCGCTAATCCCTTTCTGTCTTGGCGCTCGCTGCCTGCGCCAGCCCCGTGTAAATTTTGCCATCGCTCTCATCAGCCCTTCAACCTCTTCCTCCATCACCATCCCACTTCAACCATCTCGACTCGATTGCGCCCACGAATTTCGACGCCCTAATTGACGAGTTGATCGCTTTCCAGGAAGTTTCAGATCCCAAAACAAGAGAGTTGGTGAAGCGCGCAGCTGGTGAAAGGTTGCATTGTTTTGGGTGGCCCGACAGGGCGAAGGTCGTTCCTGACCGCATCGCGCAGCCCGTTGCGCAAGACTGCGATCATCCCAGATCGTGTTGAACAGTAAAGATCGTCTCCCAAGGATACACGAGCCATCATGTCGAACCTCAATTTCCCTTACTCGAGCGCTCCTCTGCGCACCGTGGAGGAGATTCAGTTTGGCCTCTTCTCGGCCAAAGAAACTGAACGCCTCGCGGTCATCGACATCGAATATCCTGAGACGATGTATGTAGATAATAGAAAGAAACAGGACTTGTGAGATGTGCTTCTAACCTTCTTCACCAGGGATGAGCAGCGCCTCAGACCTCGCGAGAAAGGTCCCAACGATCCTGCTCTTGGTACGATCGACCGTAACTTCAAATGCAGTACTTGTGAAGAAAACATGGCTGAATGCCCTGGTCACTTTGGCGTCATCAAGCTTGCAACTCCGGTCTTCCACTACGGGTTCATGACCAAGGTCAAGAAGATTCTGGAGACGGTCTGTCACAACTGTGGCAAGATCAAGGCACTTGATGTTAGTTGCCCCCAACGGGTCCTTGACCGCTCGATTTGCTAACCTCATCGCCCAACAGTCCGAAGAATTTCGTCACGCCGTTTCTCTCCGAGACCGAAAACGACGCTTCGACGCCGTGTGGCGGTTGAGCAAGCCTCGGCTGGTCTGCGAAGCGGATCCTCCTGAAGATCCTGACCAACCTCTCAAGGGGCCTTCTCAGCCTAAGCATGGCGGCTGTGGCAATGCGCAACCAGAGATACGAAGAACGGGTCTACAATTGTGGGCGACATGGAAACCAAGAAAGGGTGAAGAGGACGAAGACATCACTCCAGACAAGAAGAGAATCTTTCCCCAGGATGCGTTGAATACTTTCCGCACCCTGACCGATGAAACCTTGGAAATGATGGGCCTCAGTCTCGATTATGCGCGACCGGAATGGATGATCTTGTCGGCGCTTCCGGTTCCTCCTCCGCCCGTCCGTCCTAGCATCAGCGTGGACGGCAGCGGTCAAGGACAACGTGGTGAAGACGACCTTACATTCAAACTCGGCGATATTATTCGAGCCAACCAGGCGGTACTCCGTACTGAAGTCGATGGGACACCTGATCACATCAAGGTTGATCTTTGCGACCTTCTTCAATATCACATTGCCACGTACATGGATAACGAGATTGCCGGCTTGGACAAAGCGCAGCATAAGAGTGGTCGACCCATCAAATCAATCCGCGCTCGACTGAAAGGAAAAGAAGGCAGACTGCGCCAGAATCTCATGGGAAAACGTGTCGACTTTTCGGCTCGTACCGTCATCACCGGTGATCCCAACCTCTCCCTGGACGAAGTCGGTGTTCCGCGAAGCATCGCCCGCACGTTGACCTACCCGGAGACCGTCACCCGTTTCAACGCGGACAAGCTCAAGCGTCTCGTCGCCAACGGTCCGAATCTGCATCCTGGTGCCAGATATGTCATTCGAGACACCGGCGAGCGTATCGATCTGCGGCATCACAAGCGTACCGGAGATATGATCTTGCAAGCCGGCTGGAAAGTCGAACGACATATTCAAGATGGGGATGTCATTCTCTTCAACCGTCAGCCATCTCTCCACAAGGAATCCATGATGGGACATCGAGTCCGCGTCATGCCTTACTCCACCTTCCGCCTCAACCTCTCCGTCACCACTCCCTACAACGCTGATTTCGATGGGGATGAAATGAACTTGCACGTTCCGCAGGGCGAAGAGTCTCGAGCCGAGCTCGCCAATCTTTGCATGGTCCCTCGTAACATTGTGTCTCCGCAACGAAACGGCCCGTTGATGGGTATTGTGCAGGATACTCTGTGCGGTATCTACAAGATCTGTCGTCGTGATGTCTTCTTGAGTCGAGAGCAAGTCATGAACATTATGCTCTGGGTTCCCGATTGGGATGGGGTGATTCCTCAACCCGCTATCATCAAGCCCAGACCTCGCTGGACGGGGAAGCAGATGATCAGTATGGTGCTCCCAGCGGCCCTGAACCTTGAAAGACTCGACGCCAAGGGTGAAGACCCATATGTGCCTACGAACGACACGGGGCTGATGGTCCTCGAAGGAAACTTAATGTTCGGCTTGTTCAGCAAGAAGTTCGTCGGCACCAGTGCTGGTGGGATCGTCCACACCATTTTCAATGAATTTGGTCATGATGCCGCCATGCAATTCTTCAACGGTGCACAAACCGTGGTTAATTATTGGCTGCTGCATAACGGCTTCAGCATCGGCATTGGTGACACAGTGCCTGACCCCGAAACGGTTCTCAAGGTCCAAGCAGCCGTCGACGCCAAGAAGGCCGAAGTGGACGAAATCACGATCCGGGCTTACAAGGAAGACCTGGAACCATCACCGGGTATGAACATCCGCCAAACCTTCGAGAGCAAGGTCATGAACTCTCTCAATCAAGCTCGTGACCAGGCAGGCGCTGCAACCGAAGACAGCTTGAAAGATCTCAACAATGCCATCACCATGGCTCGCGCCGGTTCCAAAGGTTCGACCATCAACATTGCACAAATGACCGCCATTGTCGGTCAACAGGCTGTGGAAGGCAAGCGTATTCCGTTCGGCTTCAAGTATCGCACTCTACCCCATTTCGCCAAGGACGATTACTCCGCCCCGTCTCGAGGCTTTGTCGAGAATTCCTATCTCCGAGGCTTGACCCCCACGGAATTCTTTTTCCACGCCATGGCCGGTCGTGAAGGTCTTATTGATACCGCTGTCAAGACTGCCGAGACTGGTTACATTCAACGCCGACTTGTCAAGGCTCTTGAAGAAGTGACCGTCAAATACGACTCGACGGTCCGTGACTCGCGTGGAAATGTCATTCAATTCATCTACGGCGAAGATGGTCTTGATGGTGCGCATATTGAAAACCAAAAAGTCGACATCATCACCATGTCCGACAAGGCATTCAACAATCGCTATGCTGTTGACATCATGAGCGGCGACATCTCTATGTGGAGAGGCAAATTGCTCCAAGCTCGAGAACTTCAAGGTGACACCGAATTGCAGGAGATGTTCGATGAGGAGCTTGAGGCTCTTCGAGAATCTCGAGACTTCTTACGAAAGATGGGCAAAGGCACCGAGGATTCGATGCAATTGCCACTCAATATTGGCCGAATCATCGACCAAGCGCAAAAGAACTTCAAGATCCGTCGTGGCGACAAGACCGACCTCGATCCTCGTCATGTTCTTCCATCGGTCAAGTCACTGCTGGACCGCCTCATTGTTGTTCGTGGGGAAGATGCGATTTCGAAAGAAGCTCAGAACAATGCCACTCTTCTCTTGAAGGCACAGCTACGTTCTCGACTCGCATACAAGCGACTTGTTCTCGAACATGGGATCAACCGACTGGCATTTGACAACATCATCGGTGGTGTGGAAAGTCGATTCATTGCGGCCGCCGCGGCGCCCGGTGAAATGGTGGGTGTTTTAGCTGCCCAATCTATCGGCGAACCTGCCACCCAGATGACTCTGAACACGTTCCACTTTACTGGTGTGTCGGCTAAAAACGTGACCTTGGGTGTCCCTCGTCTCAAGGAAATTTTGAACGTGTCTCAAAACATCCGAACCCCATCCATGACGGTCTACCAACTTCCTGAGAATGCGGGCGACAAAGAGTCAGCTAAACTCCTTCGAAGTCGCGTCCAACATACCAATCTGCGATCCGTGGCCGAGGCTTGCGAACTGTGGTACGATCCCGATATCCAGAGCACCATCATTCCCGAGGATCTGGACATGGTCGAATCTTACTTCATCATCCCCGAGGACAGTGATCAGGATTTGGCTGCTCACTCTAAATGGCTGTTGCGTATCACACTCAGCCGTGCCAAACTTCTCGATAAGGGCCTCAACATTCAAGATGTCGCTTCGAAGATCAAGTCAACGTACGGAAAGGATCTCTCGGTCATTTTTAGCGATATCAATGCCGACGAGCAAATCATCCGGATTCGACTGGTCCAGAACTATGGTAAAGATGAGGACGAAGATCGAAAGGAAGATGATGAGGTTCTTCGTCGTTTCTTGAACGAAATGCTCGACCATCTGACTTTCCACGGTGTTCCTGGCGTGACTCGAGCCTTCATTGATCAGAAGAGCCGTGCCATCATCAATGACGATAATTCGGTCTTCATGGCCAAGAGTGATCCCCGTTGTAACGAGTATGTTCTCGAGACCAGTGGCAGTTCTTTTGCAAAGGTTCTCGCAATCGAAGGTGTTGACACCGCTCGTACCTACACCAACCGCTTCACCGAAGTGTTTGAGGTCCTTGGGATTGAGGCTACTCGCGCGGCCATTCTTCGCGAACTGACTCAAGTGTTGTCATTCGATGGCTCTTATGTCAACGCTCGCCACTTGGGCATCCTGTGCGATGTGATGACTTCACGTGGCTACGTCATGGCTGTCACTCGTCATGGCATCAACAAGTCCGATACTGGGGCCCTCATGAGATGTTCTTTCGAACAGACTGTGGAGATTCTGCTTGAAGCGGCAGCTGCTGGCGAACTAGACGATTGTCGAGGTGTGTCCGAGAACTTGATCCTGGGTCAACCTGCTCCTGTCGGCACGGGAACGATGGAGATCCTCCTCGACCAGAACATGCTTTCGACCGTCGTCGACAATGGCAGTTACGGCCTTGGCGCCGCCATTGGCGTTAAAAGCTCTCAACAACTCCTCGATGGCGCTGCCACTCCCTATGATTCAGGTTCGCCGATGCCAGATAACAACTACCTGGGCTCTCCTGACTACGGTGCTTCCTTCTCACCCATTGCCGCTTCTGGTTCCGAGACTCCAGGAGGGTTTACCGACTATCAACCGGGTTTTGGTGGTGCTGGAGGATTCAGTCCATACGGTTCGAGAAGTCCTGGAGGTTATTCGCCTGCCAGTCCGTTTGGTACCAGTCCCAGTTCACCTGGCTTCTCGCCTACCGCAGGATATTCTCCCACTTCGCCGATGTTTGGCGCCACCAGTCCTGGATTTGGTCCGACATCACCATCCTTCTCTCCAGCGAGTCCAGCGTTTACCCCGACTTCGCCCGCATACTCGCCGACTTCCCCTGGATACCAAGCATCGCCTACGTCGCCCAGCTATTCTCCAACGTCGCCAAACTACTCACCAACATCTCCTGCTTATGGTTCACCGACGTCGCCAAGCTACTCTCCTACTTCTCCGGCTTTCAGTCCCACTTCACCTACATCGCCTACCTCACCTGTATATAGTCCAACGTCACCTATGTACAGCCCAACTAGCCCTATGTATGGTGGTAGTGGTAATAAGCAGTCTCCAACGTCACCCAGCTATTCGCCGACATCACCAACTTACAGCCCGACTTCACCGACTTCACCGACCAGTCCATCGTACTCACCGACGAGTCCGATGTACAATGCTTCTCCAAGAAGTCCCCAGGCTAGATCGTCATCTGTCACCAGCCCCCAATATTCTCCGAACAGTCCACAATATTCACCAACTTCTCCAAAAGAGGATTGAAACATCTTTGTACCATCACATGACTTGGATGTCAACCCGATGCAAATTTCAGAGACAGGACGAATGACGGATCCATTAATTTGGCACTCTGTCTTCAACCTGTGTCTAATGGGGTGGCCTTGTGTTTGTCATGCATTGTTTTACGGCTCGGTAACACCAAATTGCTATGGGCGGAAAATCAAGCGCTGAACTTGGCGTTTGGATCCAGCCTTATTTTATCCGGCCACATATGTCTTTTCACAAAAACAAACTCGATCATTAGCGACGGCGTTGGATTGGTTTTACACTGTTTTTCCCTCACGCATTCGATCGACTTGTTATTTTGCTTGCATGGAACGGAATGGAAAGATATACTTTCTCCATGAGTAAGAAAATCAGAATGGGTTTGTTCTTTAGTCGGGGAAGAGGAAATGGAATCACCCAAATAGGGAGTACGATTCAATACTCATATCTGGCAATGAGATGCAGCGGGCATTCAGGGATTGGGTGCGGGAAAAGAGCGCCTTCGTGACGGCGAACTTGAAAATGGGATGGAAGAGAGAGCACGAGAACGAGACCCTTGCAGTGTACTTTAAGATAAACATAGATTGTTATCGACCGAAAGAAACGTGGATTGATCGAAAACAAGCAAGTGGACATGGAAAGAGGCGCATCCAAAGGAATGGAAGACCGGTGGCATGGTCGGGAGACTGAAATGGATGCAAAAATGACAGAAAAAAAGCGACTTTACAATCCATCCATTACAAGAACCTGGGGATGGCTTTAGGTACGGATTGGTTTGCTTGCTTGCAGCTTGTGCTTGCTTTCTAATGTCAGGTGGACACTGAATCAGTCAGCTTTATGGAATCTGAAATAAAAAGTGAACAGATGAACCTCAGATGTCTCCCGTCTTGGTTGTTTGTTGCACTTCGTGGAAAATTCTCGAGTGTTCTTGTTCTGTTTCACTTCCCGTTTGTCCCCCCGGAATAGATCAATCCATTCCACATGCTGACGGTTGAATCGAGCGGATCCGATCTACATTGCCAACCCATGGTGTATCATCGCTTGGTGTCTTCTAGCCCCGGTTTGTTTGAAGAAGGCACACGTACGGTCGACAGACTTCTTCATCGTTCCGGTAGGGCTGAGAAGAGCAGGACAGAGAGACCAGATATTCGATATGATATTGGTTGGCGTCGATCGGAGTATGTTTCATACTAGATCTGCAGGGACATGCGCTTGACGATGCATCCGCACTTTCCGCAAGACAGCAATCACCTCCATAGGTCGGCAGGCTGAAATGGCAGGTCTCCGACCGTATCAGAGATGCCGTGGCTGCCACATCGGCAAGATTCTTCGAATCGTGGCAGCTCTGCAGGGCTGAATGGACGCGGCACTCGTGACAACGAGTGACTATGAGGCCTTGTCCAAAAATACTCTTACCGTACGGAACTTGGCTGATTTCAAGTCGCATTCCCGGGGAGATGACTCAGAGTACTTGTCCAAGAAACCGGCGTAGCAGCGTAACTTGAAGTCAATTTCAAGTCGCGCCTCTGAGAGCCATGAGTCCGAGGATCTGAACTTCAAGATTCCTGATCCTCGTCTGCTCGTCATCAACGTCCTTGCCACTCCCTCCCCTCATCGTGCCATCAACAATATTAGCCTGCTTGTCTGCCGAGTTGGTGGCCGAGCCGAGTTTATATGCCTTCCTAATCCGCTCGAGATCCGAAACTTTACGAATCGTCGCGTCTTCAAACACGCACTCCGTGCCTTGAATGCGCGTTGATAAATGTGAGGAGACACTCTCGTGCGTCACGTCGGGTGTAGTGGCGACCTTGAGCACGAGGAGATTCTTGGTGGTCTCGGTGATGCCGAAGCGTCGGAATGCTTCGGCTATCTTTACACCTTTCAGTTCGTGTATTTGAAGGTGGACGATGAGTATTGAGAAAAAGGATAAGAGGAGAGTAGATGAGTATAGACATGGAGAAGTGTGGAAAGATTGACGGAATATATATGTAAGGGACTTACATTATTACTCGGACTTAATGAGAAGACGATCTCAGAATGAATGTTGCGCGACTTGAGCCTGTCGTTCAAGTAGTCGTTCATGGCGCGAAAGGATGCTGCGAGAACGTGTTTGGTTGACAGAATCTGTCAACATGCGTCAGCCAGCCACCAATCGAGTGACCATGTTGGGGACGCCAGGTTATAGTATTCCGATGTTTGTGAAAACCAAGAGAGAGGGAGAGGAGGAGAAAGGAGTCAGATTCTCTCTTTCTTACCATGCTCGCGTCTATGAATGCGTATTCGAATTCGGCGTTGCCAGCTAAGAGCTGATCTTTGAGGAAAGCCGCGTTCGACACATCGACGTAGAGTGCCACATAGAGGAGGAGATCGGGGGGCATGTGTGCTAGATGGATTGTTGAGACCATTTTGGCGGTTTTTCGCTGAGGAGGTGTGATTAACAGAGAGACGGACAGGAAGAGGTTTTGCTTCTGATGTATTCGAGGACAGGATAGAATGGGAGTGGTGGATAGAAAAGAACCTGAAGCGATAGGATCAGGTTTGAAGTTTGGGCGTCAACGAATTCTCGCTTGTCCCAAGACGGTGAAAACCAGTGCCGCTTTACATCACCCAATTACTCTCTTCTTCACCATTTGTATCTAATATGCTCACCAAGCTTCAGCCACTCAGTCCGCATTTAAAGGCTCTGTGTTTCATGATCCGGAGCCCTGTGCTGTTTATCGCCCTCCCTACCTCAGAAGGGCCATTCATCTGGTCATACAATCGAGATATTCGAAACATTAGCTGATTCAAACCCCCCACGGAATTGCTCTTACGCCAGAATATGCCTTTCCCCGTGAGTTTCTTAGATAGGCTCGTCTCAAGTCTGTTTCTTCCAAGGCGGCCGCGTGTCTAGGTGAATGAGTCCACGTAAGCTCGGTTCCATGAGGTCATGTACTATGCCGAGCCTTGGTCAAGTCCTTTTTGGCCTGATCAATGACCACCTCTAACAATCCATCTTGCCAATGAGTAAGGAAAATGACAGAATCCTGTGCAAGCCGATGCTCGGCCTCATTCATTTCCTGTGGTCTCCCTGACAGAACTGCCGGATGAAAGACACTTACTAGCCTCGCGATGGGCATATCGTTCTTCTCCCATCTCGAGGCGCCGTAGGAGAACAAGTCCAAGATGTAGAGCAGAAATTGCCTATTGAGGGTAGGAAGGCCAAATATTTCCTCTCTGCAATGCTGGATCAGCGTCACTTGTTGAGGATTTCTGGAAAATGACTCGACATCTGGCCAATAATCGTATGGCAGCTTCCAGTCTGAGTGCTGCCGAAAAGGAGCGGTGAACTGGTAATAGCGGTCAAACGGTATAATGGGCTCAGGAAGCGCTTTAAGATACCGGAGGAGAAGGGCGGCACAGTCGTGTATGGTAAAGCCAGTCCAATCAACCCCCCTCCCATATCTTCGTCTTGGATTATCAAATATTTGTTCCAAAGCAAGAACTCGGGAAGGGCGTCCGTTGGTGGCGAAAATGCCCTTCATATTGGGCCCTAAGAAGCACCGGAGTCAGGAAGAGTGATTCCATGGCGCTTTGCCACGCAGGCTTACCGGGATCCTTTAGATAATTGCAACATTTGGCCACCACAATTGGGAGGTAGCAGAAAATGAATTCCTGGCCTTCTTCATCTTCGATGCTGATGGCGACATTGGCATATCGAATACTTTCGTGAACCGGCACCCCCATCACTCTCGGAGCATCGGTGGTGGACGTGTCTTCTTGAGCCGGGGTAGTAGTTCCAGCTCCAGCACTGGCCTTCTTTCGCCTGCTAAAGATTTGAGATATTTTGGGTCTGGACGATGTGTCGGTCTTCTTTGGTAAGGCCACCAGGGTCTCTTGCGAATCGGGGAGTATGGGGATGGTCGGTTCTTCTGTGATAGAACTGAAGTCATAGCGTTCTTTATTCTCGAGATCAGTTGCATAAACTGGAAGAGCGAGAATTGCAATATTGGACATCTCTGACAAGCTGAGTCCGGAGAGCAGAGACCAGGTGCCAGTTCTACCAGCCGAGCTAAGAACTGAGAAGGTGTCGCTGTTATCCCACGCCATCTTCCGATAGACTCTCGATTTCATCAGCAGTTCTTCGAAGACGAATGCCCGAGGATGACCTTGAGCACCAGGTTGCGATGGATCCGGAGAAACAGATTTTTCGCTGTTGTCGTCTTCAGCTGGCTGGCTTCTCTGCTTCTTGCTTCTGTTCTTCGGGAGGCCTGGATGTATCTTCTGAAAGTCGTTGTGCCGTTTCATCTGGTGCCACGCAAGCCTCTCTGCAAGGAGGGTGTTCTGCTTCAGTGTTTGTTCGACCAGGTCACATAACTTGTCCACCTTATCTTCAGCCTCAACGGTGCTCTGGCTGCACCGATTATTCATCGATTCGAACAAGGGTCCTCAATCTGCAAACCTACCATGTTAATATAGCTAGCATTAGACTCATAGAGCTCTTGTGTAGCTGTAATTTTTGTGTGATCTCTCCGAGTGACTTCGCTTTCGAACCCCAGCGGAATCTATCCAACAATCCCATTTTCTCATCCGAGTCAAGAACCTCCACAAACACATCCAACTCCGAGAACGTCGTAACTGCCGCGGCGAGAGTAGTAACGACCTGATCGACTAGGATCAAGGATGTTCTGGTCCGTGAAGCTGTCGCTATACCGAACACAAAGAGCTGCAGCTGTTCTAGGATCCTCCGCATGTCATCAACTTCTGCTCGAGCATCCTGGCACTCTTTTGGAGCCTTCTTCGCTCGTTTAATGATAGCTGTGAGGGTCTGGGAGATCTGAGCGGCAGCGGTGACCAGCCATAATTCTAAGCGCGTCGAAAAGATCGTGTCAGCATTGTGGATTTCATTCCGATCTCAAATCAACCCGGATCAACGTTGATCTTTTCATGGAGAATGACAGCGTCGCTTCAGACCACCTGTGGGAGAGGAAGCCCTCAGCTCTCACGAATTTAGCCTCCGAAGAAAGCTGGTGGGGGCCGGGCAAAGACGAGGCAAATGCATGAACCCTGTTTGTTAGAGCCGGATTAGTCCGTCCTGGGTTATCATGTTGATCAAGCTGAGGCTCTTTGATACTGCAGGGTAACAGGCAGAGCTCTTCGATAACTATGGGCTCAGAGCAAAGAGTACTTGGGTATCTGTGGTGCACCACTCATCGACATATTAGCCATGATGTTACCATGTTTTCTAGGGTTTTTCCTGTGCTGTCTTCCCAGACGGGGTACTAATCGTTGTAGAAAGTTCTGTTTCATCCTCCACAGATAGTATGTGCAGTGCCATTCATGCTTGGTAGACACACTTCTACCATCATCACCAAATTAGTTGTTTGGTTGACCATAAGCCCTATGGCCAAGGAAATCGTTCGGATACGCCTCAATTCTTGATTCTCGCTCCTTGTAAACGCCATGCATGCATTCCCCCCCCAAGCAATTAGGTCTCGCATTCAGCTGTCGGTCCGTCATCAACGTTGTTGCCCCCGCCGCCGGGGGCCTCCCTCCTGTCGTCATTCATATTTTATAGGATGCAATACCATCATCGGCAAACACATCCGTCCCCCACCATATCCCCCTTCTGATTCCCAGGCAATTTCATCATTGTCATTCTCTTTCCCGAGCCATCGTCGCCACAGGTATCCAGCAAAGGCGGCATTGGAATAATAGGTTGCCCCTCGGAACACATGCTCACCAGGCCCGAATACACTACCACCCTCACCGTGGAAGTAGCCGTCTCCGTGATCCATTCCCTCTCTTTGGCTCTTGGCGCTGAGCGGTTCGTTATTGAAGACTTCATTGGCATGTTCACTTGGCCAGTTACGGTCAAAATATACTGGAAGAGGAGCGTAGATTGCTTTGAAGCCGTAGTGGAGGGCAATCGAGGCAGGAAACATTTCGGGGAACATCGTGTGCTTGTTGCGGTAGGTCTCTTCGTGCATTAGGAGGAGTAGACGACGGGACATTCGGGAGGCGGTGATGAGTGCTGCTCGTGTGGGAGGTCGACCATCCACATCGACATTGTAGCCGGTGATGTCGTCGTGGAATGCCCAATGAGTGTGGGTGGGGTCGAACAAGGGGTTCAAGGTGATCAGATCTGTAATTTCGTCGGCATGTTGCGGGATTGATTGTTCAGGAATGTCAAGAAGACGTTCTTGGGGTATTTGTGGTCCCGTGATGGGTGTCTTGTTGGACGCTGTGGTCTCGTCCATAATGGATCGGGCATAGTTGTCGTAAGAGTCGTCGTGGAGGGAAGGAATAAAGAATTTGGAAGAACGTTCCCAGGCATATTCCCGAGGCTGGCGTTCAGCCCACGTCGTGATCCGGTGGAATAATTCATGATAGTGTCCGGTAACTCTGACATCCATTTCCCACTGCCAAAAGTAATCGTATTCAGGATGACGAGAGGCGAAATATTGCAAGGGGAAATGCAAAGAGCGATAAGCTTCATAGATGTCGCCTCCTGAGAAATTGACAATACTTTCCGGGAATGGTGGAGGATAGATCAACTTCATCTGCGCCACCGACCAGAGGCTCCCCATTCCCCAAAATTCTTCCGGGAGACTGTCTCGAAGAACCTGATTGTACAAGTCCTGAGAAGCCCAGATGGGAATCGTGTCGTCTTGGACATGAATGAGGAAATGCACCGAATATTGTCCTCCCGATGCCAGGGCCAGTTCGCTGATCATGGCCCGAAGCATCATGATGTGATATTCGGAATATTGAAAGGTGTTCCATGTGCGAATAACCAATGCCGTGCGAGATTTCACCCGGTCGGCGTTCTTTTTGAGGCACTGCTTTTGCGCGTTGCGCCAATTGACGTGCCTCCAGTCAGTCGCAACTACATGGTTCAAGCCTTGATTGTCGCCGTCCAGGTTCAAACCCAGTCCGCCTTCATCCTGGCCAAAACCCAGCCCGTATGGCGCAAATCGGTTGATTCGGTCATAGCATACTCGATCATTGATACCGAGTTCTTTCTGAGAGCCAAACAGAGGCGCCGACATTCCCTGAGGTAATCCCTGGTATGCAGATATGGTCGGCGGCAGAATATTCCTTTCTTCATCGATATAGCACTGCTCCATGTCCGATTGAAGCGGCGACGGCAGAGCGACCAAGTCGGGATCATTTTGTGGGCCGGGATCGAAAGGGTTGAAGGAATTTGTCTGCTGCTCCGGAGCATATTCCAAGAAGGGAACGATATTCTTGCGACCACGGTAGAGACCATGGAGCCTGGAGACGACAAAGGTTAACCCCAACGTCGCGTTGCCACGAATCTGGAAGACTCACCGGGGGAATTGTTCCCACCAGAACACCTCTCTTCCGTCGCGACTTTCTGATTGACCCATTGGTATGAGTCCGTGGTCTCCTTCGATGTCCGGTTCCTGCATCGGCACCCGGCCGACCGGTCTGAACGACCACCAAAGACCGACGACGGTCAACAGGGCTATCGCGGCGGCCGTGCATATGGCTTTGCCGGGTTGGATGTAGAATCTCGTCAAACTCAGTTGGCGCCGATGGCCCCGTCGCCATTTTGGTGAGCCGACCGGACTAAGCAGACCGCTACTGGAGGTATCAGTGCTCCAGTCGCGAATGTGGACTGAATGTGAAGTTTTGAGCTTGCCCGTGATGGACTTGGACAGCAAGTCAATCATTCCACACAAGAGGCCGCCGTGACGAGGTGTGGGTGCGGGGTGTGGGCTCTTCTGTCTTGCTGGGTCTGGAGTAAGCCGTGGTGCGGAGTAGCGTCAGCAATTGGCTTGGAAGAGCTTTCATAACTCGGCGACAAGACACCTCGATGTTGATTTGATGACGCGTAATTCGCGAATATCTGTACAAAGTACAAGGTCAATGCGACAACGACGATGAGATGGAAAATGAAGAGCAAGCAGCCCTCTGATAAGGCCTGGCAGGGACGGCAGCGTCGCAAGTGCTTTCGCAAGCGTCTCCAGCCTCATTTGGACCTAAGGACTCTATGGCCCACGCCCCCACGTTGAGAGCCCGCCGTGATTGCCCATCCGGAGCGACGTTAGCGATACCAAGACCTACTAAAAGGCTTGACCTGCCTAACTTATGGGCCGTTATCCGGGCACGCTGGTTAAAGGACCACATAAAGGCAGATTGAGATTGCGTCCGCTTTGTCGCCGTAGCGATGCAATTCCGCTTCAGGGTCGCTTGGGAGAAAAGGCCGTCAGGCCTAAGAATGGGTGGCGTCTGGGCGTCTTGGGGATGAGATTAAGCGGCGCCCTTGGGATTGGATAGGGGATTTGAGTTCGGGAAACGTGGGCTTTGCCCACTACGTCCCCCCAAGTACCGTGGAATCACGTCATCCCCGTACAGGATTGTGGCACCCTGTCGTTCCTCGGTCATCTCACCCAAAAAGGGACTTTGTGTAACTCTAATCCATCCTACGAAATAATCCTTTTTCGGTCGTGAAACAGACTTGACTCTCAAGAAGAAGCAGAAACGAACAAGATGCCGACCGCAATTGTGACCGGCGCAAACAGCGGCATTGGCCATGCGTTTGCCAAATTACTCTGTGATGAGGTCAGCACTTCTCATGACTTAGCCGACAAACGGTGACTCTGCAGGTAGGGATACACAGTATATGCAGTCGATCGGGATCAGGGCGTGGGTTTGGAGGCTCTCCAGGCCAAAGCCCGTACCGCCCAGGTCGATGTGACTTCTCCTGAATCGATTCAAGCGTTCGAGGAATCGCTTGGTGGTACGACCGTTGACCTTTTACTCAACATCGCAGGTCAGATATTCTTCCAGTCTACGAGCAGAAGATGTGAGAATAACCAAGTCCCGCACCAGGTGTCGCGTCTGCGTCTGAAAAGGATAGTCTGACGACGACCAATCTTCAAATTCTCCAGCGCACATTCGCCGTCAACACCTTTGGGCCATTGCTTCTGACACAGGCCCTTCTACCCGATATTCTGAAGTCTTCCCACCCCAAAATCGGTATCGTTTCTAGCCGCGTGGGATCTGTGGGCGACAATAGCACGGGAGGTCACTATGCATACCGCTCGTCCAAAGCCGCTGTTAATTCCATCGGCAAGAGCATGGCCATAGATCTGAAAGACAAGGGCGTCACGGTGATGCTATTGCACCCTGGGTATGTGAGGACCAATTTGTTGCCCACAGCCAAGATGCCTCCTGAGACTGTCGAGCCCGAGGAGGCGGCGACGAAATTGTGGCAGAACATTGTCAGCAAGAAACAGATAGAGGATACAGGCAAATTTTGGCATCGCGAGGGATTTGAACTACCCTGGTGATTAAAACGTGCATCCCATCCTGTGTGCCGACTCAGATATGAGACAGCAACGCAATCGCAATTGTTGTCTTCCGCCAATCTCTATTATCTCCTGACCAGGAAGCTTAGAGACTGGTTGTCCTACACTCTGCTCGTTACCCTCCGAAGTCGGCAACTCTTCCAAACTGGGAATATAAATTGGCTTTTTGACCATTCAGTGTTCAGAGTTCAAGCCTCGGCAATGGAACGAACAGCCGTTCGGCTCTATTGGCCGGCTTCGAGTCAACCTTGATTCCCCATGGAAAATGTCTTATAAATCAATAATAAGAGAGCTCCCGATGAGGTGCCGGTATACGTCCTCAATTGAGTCTGGCATCATTAATTATCTTTGATATTTCCAATTTAGATCTGCGATAGACACACATATATATATTCGATTGCACTCATTCCACCTTCGCCATCCTCCAGTATATCAAGAGTCCCGATGTACCCTACAAATTTACAGCGCCCAAACCCAACGATGTCCTCCCCATCGAATCCCAAGGGACTCAATCCAGGAGCTCCTAATATCTCCTACTACACGCCCTCTCATGCTTCCAACCCGGGTACCCCATTCATCCCTTCACCCGATACGCCGACACTCTTCACCCCCCTGAAAGTCCGCTCGAAAACTCTGAGGAATCGCATCATCGTCGCCCCTATGTGTCAATACTCAACGGCCTCTTCAGGCCCTGATATTGGGAAACTGACAGACTACCACATCGCAACGCTCGGTCATTACGCCTTGAAGGGTGCTGCGTTAGTGTTCATCGAAGCGACAGGCGTCCAGCCCAACGGACGTATTAGTCCTCATTGTCCTGGGCTCTGGAGTGACGCCCAGACGGAAGGTGTCAAGCGTGTTGCGGAATTCATCAAATCTCAAGGCTCACTGGCCGGCATTCAACTCGCACACGCGGGACGGAAATCAAGTACTGTTCCTCCCTGGATCGCTGCGACATTCAAGAGATCCTCGATGCGTGCGGATGAAGATGTAGGTGGATGGCCTGACGATGTGGTTGGGCCGATGGGAGGTCTCGAGGAGACCTGGGATGGCAAAGGTCTGGCGGACGACGGAGGATTCTGGCCCCCAAGACAGCTGACCGTCGCCGAGATCCAGGAGACAGTCAAGGCGTTCGCTGAGAGTGCCCGAAGAGCAGTCGAGGCTGGAATTGACGTGATTGAAATTCACGCCGCGCATGGCTATCTGATTCACCAATTCCTCAGCCCGGTCTCCAACAGACGCACCGATCAATATGGCGGCAGCTTCGAGAACCGTACGCGTCTGCTAACCGAAGTCATTGAGGCGGTGCGCGCACAGATCCCATCAGACATGCCTTTATTCCTCCGCGTCAGCTCGACGGAATGGCTGGAGGAGACGGAGCTCGCCAAGAAGCTGGGAAGCTGGGACGTGGAGAGCACAATTAACCTCGCTCGTCTTCTCCCAGGCCTGGGAGTGGATCTTCTCGATGTCAGCAGTGGGGGAAACCATCCTCTTCAAAGAATCAATATGTTTGCGTCCAAGGATTACCAGACCAAGATCGCGAATCAGATTCGACAGACAATGAAAGCCGCCAAACTCAAACTTCTCATTGGGGCCGTCGGACTCATCACCGAGGCGGAACAGGCGAGGGATATCGTTGAAGACGGACCGGATAGAGGCATCGACGACGAGGCTGCGGCAGCTAAAGAAATGACGGATGCGAAGCGCGGTGGTGGGGAGCCGATGGCAGATGTGATTTTGGTGGCGAGGCAGTTTATGAGGGAGCCCGAGTGGGTGTTGAAGGTGGCGTGGAAGTTGGGTGTGGACGTGGCCTGGCCGAGTCAGTTCTTGAGGGTGAGATTTCCTAAGCTGTGATGAAATTGTCGGGAGGAATGTTACCGAGTGAAATAGAATAGACTCACTAGAATTGGTGGTCAAATATTTGAAAAGCGCAGGACGACGCGCGGTGCTTTGGGGACGCGTCCGCCATTTGATTCCAACATCCGCCCATCAACCTCATATTATTTAGCTTCATCACGTCAGTCTCCCACTCCGCATATATCAACAATTTTACGGACAAAATTCATTATCCTTTTCTATGTAAAGCGGGACATTCCAACGCGGACATCGGACGACATTCATCACTTGTTTCTCCGTCGGACAATTTCCACTCCCTCTACACCTTGACCTCGATCTCGCACGATGATTGTCTCTCAGGTGTCACAAGATATTTCTATGAATTTGTCGTTATAGCTCATCTTTGGGCACACTCTGAACACCTGTCGGCTACTCGGATCATGTTGACCTTTCAAGCATGGGACCGAAAAGAAACGCGTCTCCCTCCCCCCCTCCTTTCAGACCCAATTACTACGAAAATATCTCGGTCCACGGCATGAGGAGAGTGGTCATATCTGGTCCGGCGTAAGTGGCCAAGCAGCTATCTGAAGATCCAGGTAACCCGTTTCTCTGCCTCCAATGTAGCAGGCAGTTCACAAAGCTTCGCCGGGTATTGGAGATGATTACGTGGTTGAGGCCGTACACTCATCGTCTTTAAAGTACCTCTTTATACGGGGATTGAGGAACTCGAGTCCCATGGACAGCATTGAGATTCTCTCATTTCAGGATCCGTGTGGAGGGATAGGAGGTGCGATAATGTACGGATCATTTCGTTCACCATTCGTTATCTTCTCTCTCTTCGTGGCTTTCATTTCTACTACTACGGGAGCCAGACTCGTCAAGCACGACGCAGATTTTATTCCAGACATAGTCCTTCGAGCGAGCGTCGAAACCATCCAATTGAACTGTCATTCTCGTCTCTCGACACTGCTCAATGGTTCATACCCTGCGCCTCCAATTTACCTCGGACCCGATCAAACAACATGGATTCGAGTCTACAACGACGCAGATGTGAATACCACAATGGGTGATTAAGCAATCCTAGGAACTTGACTGGATCGTTTTGCCTAACGGAGATATGTCTTTGGAAATAGCACTGGTACAGACTCTCCATGGCCCTGGCTCTTTATGCTGATAGATCACAAGCCTCCGATGGCCCATCCCACCGGGCCATTTTTTCGGCTACGAAGTTCATCCTAGTTTCTATGAGGTTGGTACTTCCTTTTATCATTCCCATGTCGGAATTCAAGCCATTACTGTCTCGAGACCATTAATTGTGGACGACACAATGTCTCTTCCCTATGTTTATGACGACGAAATCGCCCTCAAGATTGGCGACTTTTCCCCGAAGACGATCACACCGTCGAGTCAATGTTGACGGACATTCCCTGGATTTGGACTGAAGATCCCACGCCACTGTTAATCAACGGCCAAAGCGGCACTGCTCCAAGTTCGCAGAACCCGGGCACATCAGATTCTTCATGTCTACTTTGGGTCATGAACGGGGAGTCGGACAAGACTTATCAAGTGCGGCTGATAGGTGCTATCGCAATATCTCTCGTAATTTTCGATATTGAAGACCATGACGACCTGACCATCATTGAAACGGATAATTCATATGTCTTCCCTGTCGAAACAACGCACATGCGAGACGACACAGGGCAGAGATTTCAGTTTCTTGCTCAAAACGAAAAAAGTATTGATGTACTAGCGTCATCTGGTGGAAAGACTAACTGCTGGATTCAGTTTGAGACTCGAGAAGGATCCAATGTTGTGTTTACATGGGCAAGTCAAAACGACGTCGATACCAATATTGATAGGGCGTCTTGCTCGGCAAACAGCTTACGCCCCTATCCTGAGTGGGCGGGATGTCAAGAATTGAAGTACTCACCACATCACTCACTTGTTTCCGTTACCATATCCTGCCGGAGAGTGTTACAAACCTGGAAGAGGCGCATTTATCGATGTCTATGCTGGAGGCCGTTGGCACGGTAAGGCTCTTTATTCGACGGATTACGGCGGATCCTCTGGCGTTGTACTTGTGCTCTTATGTTCTGCCGTAATTTATATCTGCCGTGTTTTGTGGCGCTCAACCAAGCTGTAACCCTGCCTGCGTCAGCCAAAGAAGAAACAGCAAAAGTGGCCTTCTTGTAGTGGCTGTTTGAAGCCCCATGAGGCTCCAAGTCGTCGCGTTCTCTTCAAAGTCGAACCAAATGGAAACTCATCTGCCGTGATTCAAAGGCCAAAATCTGCTGGAGGAACATGCATACACCTTCCTGTCCGGGAAGTCACTCCGCACTCAAAGAAGATGTTAGGCTCCTGTGACGATGCGTCTGTGAAACCATCTCAGCTGGCGAAGATGAGGTAGATCTGGTGCGTGGAATGAGTATAACCAATCCTACGGGAATTCTCCTTTTCACGGGCTGTTCCAGAAGAAAAGGGCCTAGGACATCCCGCCGCCTTCTGCCTCGTGATGAGAAGTAAGTCAATCCACACGCGAAGACAACTCGAGCAGAATCGCCCCGAGCCAAGAATGAGAACTTTCCCTGACCCCAGATCTGTCCCATTTATTTCGCTTCCACCCTCCAGCCTTCTCCTCCCCATGGTTTCCAAGCCTGCCTTATTCCTTGGCTTCCTTACAAACCTCACGGCGATCCTATCAGCTCGAACAGAATGCTGCCCTGCCGCCTTGGCCGTCCCTATGCCCCAGTAATTCCTGAAGTCTTCATTCCACCATGACTTTGTCCAGTTTTCCCGGTGTAACCAGGAAACAGGGTGCTTCATCCGGCGGGGGGGAGGGGAGGAAAGCCCTTTGCACCGAGCTGTGGCAATTTTGAGCCTGGTCGGTGGTAAACATCCACATGTTTCTTGTTTAAGATGTGGGGCAGGGTTGCACAGCGTGGTACTCTCTCGAGTCTGGCTATGTAGCTATAATACGCTCCTGACGTTCGCCTCGCCGGACGATGAGAACCCTCCACTCATACCTACTTATTCGTAACGTGAAACTCCAACCACGATGGCGACAGCGACATTGAAAGCTGAAGCTTTTGATCATGTTGAATTAGACCCCAACCGGAGCGAGTCATCGAATGACGAGATCACCTGGACCGAACGGGAAGAAACGACCATCAGGAGAAAGATTGACTGGCGAATTGTGCCCCTGGTGACTCTCTTGTACCTGCTTTGCTTCCTCGACCGCGCCAACATTGGAAATGCTCGAATTCAAGGAATGGCAAAAGACCTTGAACTGGTCGGCTACCGGTTCAATTGGGCTCTCAGCGTCTTCTACATCATCTACCTCCTGGTCGAAGTGCCTAGCAATATTCTTCTGAAGCATATTGGGCCCCGATTCTACATTCCGGCACTTGTGGCAGGCTTTGGCATTGTATCTCTGTGTACGGCCTTTGTCAAGAATTTCGCCGAGCTTTGTGTCGCCCGGGCATTTTTGGGCGTATTTGAAGGAGGTACCATGCCTGGAATTGCATTCTTTTTGAGCACCTTTTACAAACGACGGGAACTCTACTTCCGAATTGGGATTTTCATCTCTGCCGCTTCAATTGCAGGTGCCTTTGGCGGTCTGTTCGCGACAGCTCTAGCGTGAGAGGACCCTGGTGAATACAATTGAGAAGTTTGGCTGACCAGGATCGAGGCGCATTCCCCGCTGGGGTACCGATTCCACGCCCATCCACACGTAAGTCTTATGTCTACACGATTTGAGATCCCCGGAGGTCTGATCATCTTGTGTGTAGCTGGAGGAACATTTTCTTTTTCGAAGGCTTGGTAAGCCTGTTGTGAGCCGATATCCCCTGAAGATGGACTTACCCTCAGGAGCTTACTACCCTTGTCGCTGCCGCGGCACCGATTTTCATGCCATCGAACCCACAAACTTGCACATTTCTCAGCGAACGAGAACGACATATTGCCCATGAAAGATTGGTTCGAGAGCACAGAGCTGTGAGTATCGACGAGAGAGTGTGTGTCCATGAATGCATTCCCCCCACTGACCAGGTTAGGATCCGCATGAACGAGTCCAATGGCATCACATTAAGGCTGCGGTTCTGAATGTGAATAACAACCTCTGCGCTGCAGGCTTCTTTCTGATCAACATCACCGTGCAAGGTCTCTCTATCTTCATGCCGACCATTCTGGCCGATCTAGGTTGGACGGCGACCAAAGCACAGCTATATTCAGTCCCACCGTATGTGGCTGCTTGTCTGGTGGCTATCTTGATCGCCTTCATCAGCGACAAGACTCGCAGACGTGGAATCTACCTGGCCTTGGCAACGTTCCCGCCCATTGTTGGATTTTCTATCCTCAGATGGAATTCAAATGCATCAGTTCGGTATATGGCAGTGTATTTCATTACTACTGGTGCATTCCCCGGGGGCCCTGGATTTTTGTCTTGGGGCATCAACAGTATGTTTGAGATGCTGCGGATGATTTGTCGGTGGCTAATGGGGATAGATTCCGCCGGTCCGGCGGTCCGAGCAGTCGCGACAGCCTACATTGTCTCAGTCGGCACACTAGGAGGTGTACTGGCGACGTAAGTAATCAAGCTCCTGCGTGTCCGGGATTCAGCGGGAACTGACCGTGGCAGATGGACATATCTCGTCCGGGATGCTCCTCGATATCCAATCGGCCATACCATCAACCTCACGGCCCAAATCATTGTACTGTGCGTGGCCAGCTTTGGAATTGCATACAATATGCGTGAGAACAGGGTGCGGGATCAGGGAAGACGGAACCATCGTCTCGACGGGCTGAGGACGGATGAGAAGAGGGATCTAGGACACAAGCACCCTGACTTTAGGTATATTCCATAGGACTGGTCGGGGTGTCGGCAAAGTCATTTGTGCTTAAGACTGATGGGAGCGCCGAATGGACGGGGTTCGTAGTTGCAAATATGCATTTTATCGAAAGATATCGAAACTCAACATTATATGGACCGGACGCCGGAGAATTATCTCCGAGTCCACGTGATGGCCGACGTTTTCCCTTGGGCCAATCAGCAGTCATCGAATTGCACACTAAACCCCATCGACTCGAAACGTCATTTCTCGAAGTCTCGCAGGTGGGCACGGGCATCCATCCCTACACGAAAGCTATAACTGCCTGCAACTTCTTTCTCTTGTGTCTTCTTCCCTTCACCACATCATCGATACAATCCCGTGCATCGAGTTACAATGTCCTTCACTCTCAGGAGGCCGTTTGCGGTCTCCTCCAACACTTTCAAACCATTTAGCAAACCTTCCAGCTTCATCCGAACCTTTCACTCCTCGGGTCCCAAATCAAGCCCCTTCTTCAACCCTCGACCGACAAGATCGAACGCGCAATCCCTCCTGAAATCCACGGCTCTTCGTGATGCCTTCAAACGTGGTTACCAGACTCCCTCTTACCAGTCCGCCAGCCCGGCGGCCACTGGAAACCTGACACAACGACTGCTTTATGGTGCTGCTTTGGTGGGGGGAACTATTGTCGCCACGAACATGATCTTCAACCGAGAGACACGGGAAGATGGTGGTATGCCCCAATATGAGCGCGAGTATCTCAACCAGACCTTCATGCACACGGGCTTGGGAGTTGGTATCATTGCTCTGGCCGCTCGAACATTGCATACGAGCGGATGGAGTTATCGTCTCATGGCCACAAACCCGTGGTTGGTCATCGGGGTATCACTTGCCGCGAGTATTGGAACTATGTACGGCACCTTCTATACCCACCCCGACAAGTAAGTTGATGGAAACCACCCCCCCCCCCTCCTCTTCAAAATGTCAACAAATGCTAAATTCATGTCCACAGCTATGTTCAGAAGTACGCCCTGTGGACCGCCTTCAACGTAACCCAAGCCGCGATTCTCTCGCCTTTGATGTTCTTGTCCCCTGCTCTTTTGGCCCGAGCGGGTCTTTACACCGTTGGTATGATGGGCAGTATCGCTTTCGTCGGTGCCACTGCCAAGCAAGAGAAATATCTATACCTCGGGGGCCCATTGTTAGCCGGTGTTGCCATCGTGGCCATTTCTGGGTTCGCTCCTCTCGTTCTTCCCGCCACCGCCGTCCGAACCCTGGCCTGGACTGAGAATATCTGGTTGTACGGTGGTCTGGCCGTCTTTGGTGGATTCACCCTGTATGATGTCCAGAAGATTCTTCACCATGCCCGCATGAGTGAGCGTGGCTTGGTTAGAAAAGATGTGGTGAATGAGAGTGTCAGCCTTGAATTGGACTTTTTGAACATTTTCATTCGCTTCGTCCAGATCTTGGGCATGCGATCCAACAACAACAGGAGATGATCGATTGAAACCGGGTGTGATGGAAAGATTTGGACCAGAAGTTTGAGACGAATCTCGACCAACCAATGAAAACAAGGGCACATCGTGCCGCTTCAGCAGAATATGAGTTACTTTGGAGGGAGCGTTGGGATGGAACGTCGGGGATGTGAATCACCGAGGGGGACGACTCCCTAGCATACGCGTCGATGGCCTGCATTTGTTCTTGATCGTGTGAATTTGCACTGGGGGTTGTTGGGGATCTGTATATTAGAAATGCCATAAAAAGTTGAAAATACATTTCCGCTCTCAAAGGAAAGATTCAAACGCAAATGCCAATCTGTGTACTTGCGATCCACATTACCTTACCCCTTGAGAAAAGAAGCTGGGCCTTGGTCAAATTTCGACCAGCACGACTCGAAAGAATAAAGCCTCGAAATCAAACTACTCCGGATCAGTATAGGTCCTGTGGTACAGTTGGAGAAAAAAAGGGGAAGAATAGGCAACCAGACAGTCCCATAGAGGTATGTAACAACTTATCCAGGTGCTATCATTGATCTTGTAAACTTTGGGCTCGATTCAATTCTTGTGTATGAGCCATAGCAAGCTGGTTGTAAGAAAATGGACATAGAAAAGTTCGAAAGATTGCGCCCTCTTGGTACGACCCCTGGGCTGGGTTGACCATTCCGCGGTTACTACACCCATCCGTTATTCTGTACCCCCTTCTTTTTGCCTGGCTGGATCTGATTCTTATGGAACAGGTAGACTCGAGCAATACTCCACAGCACGACATGACTTGAGATTCTACCTTCACGTCGCCATCACGGCGTCGTATATGCTGACTCTGCCAACCACGACTAGCACGCCGACCGATCCTCAACCTGGCGTGCTGAGAACGTACATCTACCAAGCCTGTGCAAGGGCCATTGGCAAACATCCCATCCTCTCTGCCATCCCTGTCGGAGAGAACACGCAGTCCCCACAATTCGCGAGACTACCGGAGATCGATCTGGAGAAATGCGTGCTGTTTCAAGAGCGTCAACCGAGCACTCCGGCACCAGATCGAGACCGGGACGTTGAATTAGACGAACTCCTCACGATTCAACATAATACGCCGTTCGAACCACCCGACCCTTTCTGGCGACTATGTATATTGACGAACTTGAACCCCACATCCAACGATCGGTATCGATTCACAGCAGCATTTGTCTTCCATCATGCCCTCGGCGACGGGACTTCCGGGATGGTGTTTCATAGGACTTTCCACGAGGCGTTGTCCCAAGTCCTGACGACCTCGTCTTCGTCGGCTGCATACAAAGACCTGAGCACGACTCTAAAAGTACAGTCACCTACCACACCCCTCCTCCCCAACGTGGAATCCATCCACGCCATGCCCGTCACCATCTTCCATCTGCTCTCCATCCTCTTCCGGGAGAAAATCTGGTCCCCACCCCGCGACCCGGGTTTATGGACAGGCTCCAAAATCCTAACGCCTCTGGTCAACAACGTACGGCATTTTGCATTCTCACGCTCCGAGACCACCGCATTTAAAGACCTTTGTCGCGCCAACGGCACCACGATCACAGCAGCCCTCCAGACGCTCGTTGCTGGCGCGCTGTTCAGCAGTCTCCCCGATAATTGGACGAAGCTTGAGTGTCGAGGCGCGCTATCTGCGCGCCGGTGGCTTGCAGACGCACACATCGATGACGATAGCATGGGCGTCTGGATCCAGGATCTCAACGAGCGGTATTTGCGCGATGAGTTCCAGACTGATCAGATTGCCAAGACCTTATGCTTGCTACCGTGGAACGAAGCCCGACGGTCCCGACGGACGATGGAACAAACACTAGCTTTGAAAGGCCAGAATGCTGGACCGAATTTGTTGAAGTATGTGGATGATTTCCAAAAAGAACTCTTCTTGTCGAAGGTTGGGAAGGAACGGGGGTCGAGTTATGAAGTTTCGAATCTAGGGGTGTTCAAGAGCAAGAGTTCCCCAAAAGGGGAAGAAGTGCAGAGGACAGATAAAGGGGAGGGTAGAGCGGAAGCGGAGGTGGGCAGGATGATCTTCACACAGAGTGCGAATGTTACGGGGAGTGCGTTCGAGGTCTCCGTCGTCACGGGGCAAGATGGTTGTTTGGTCCTAGGGGTTTCGTGGCAGAAGGACGTTGTTGAGGACACGCTCATTGAGAAGGTGATCGATGCTGTCAAAATGGAGGTCAGGCGTTTGGAAACAGCGGCAGCAAGCAGGTCGACCGATTGAAGATTGAATCTTCCTCTGGCTGTAAGTCCTAATGATGCGGTTTGTTATATGGCTTTGGAAGATCCGATAATGGTAATAGGAATTTGTGAGAGGAGTAAATAGCATGATGATGAGAAGAACTACTTAGCAGAAATAATATTGATACTTAGAGGGAGCCTCTCGGGAGAGAGACTCTTGGCAGAGAGTTTCGGACAACAGAGAGTGGGTCTGGAACTGTCTGCGCACCCAATTGGCCCTTGTTGTGCGAGCGTTGTCCGGAGGTGCTCAGCGCACCCAATGGGGGGCTCGCCAGAAGTCGTCAACGAAGGAAGTGGCCATGAGGGCGACGGCAACAAGAGGGGTTCAAAGTCAAAATAGGCACTATAACGCCAGGAAAGTCCGAATCGAGCGACAACGAGGTAAAGAGCCCGCAAATGACCAAGGTATGTGAGCGCCTCAATTTTGACGTTTTGATTGTGTGGCTGTACTCTCCGACCAGCTAAGACCTATGCCAAGGCGCTAGTAACTGGGATATACAAGCTTGTCACACCGTGGTCGGTGGGGAAGCAAGAAGGAACAAGAAAAGACGAATATTTGATATGATGGCTCTGAGAACTTCATCCTTGGGAAATATATCACGGGGAAAAAAGAAAGGTCAAAGCAAGGGTTTCTCTTTTTGCTGACCATGACAGGCTATAAATTTGCACAAATCTCCCGAATCTCCTTACCATCTCCATCTGCGTTCGGTAAGTCGCGTGAACACGAGCAATACCAAAGCCCACCAGACCTCTGCTTCAGTAAGCATCCGTCCTCGGCCTCGCCGCCAACAAAGCCAATCAAATATCAAAGATGCCGACCCATATTCCCCGCATCTCACCAGAACTGCTGAGCAACATTCTCTTTGGTCTTGCCATGTTCTTCGTCGGTATATATGCTCTTTGGCAAACTCACCGAGCAAACCGTCAGATGCCAGGTACATAGCCTTATGAGACTTATTCTAGAGCTGAACTGACACAAGGAACAGATGCCACCATCGAACTGCGCCGTCGAAACACCGATGCGTCCGACCATGGTCTTCCTACAATCACGGTGACTGGCGTAGGAAAACACAAGTGGGCCTGTGGTCTCCTCCTTTGCTCCTGGGGAGATCAGGTACAGCTGGACTGGTTCACGGATACACCATACAACATGGAAGGACAAGGAAAGGACAACGGGAAGGGCAGGAGTCTCGGACAACTCAACCAGAATTCCACCCCTTGAGGAATGACAACACATTTTCCCCCAAATGTTCAATCACATAACCACCCTCGAGGAGTATGAGAACAGGCATTTCCCTTAGCCCTTGTCTCGTCGCCCTCGCTATTGTTTCATAGTCTTCGGTGTGAATTTGAAAGCCCCCCAACGGATCCGAATGGAAGGTGTCAAAGCCAAGACTGACAATCAAGAACTCGGTCCTGTACTCGGCCAGCCGTTTCACGCCGTACTCGAGTTTCTCCAAGTATTCCCCAATGGGACTGCCGACTTTGAGAGGCATGTTGATGTTCAACTCCTCTCCTCCTCCTGTGCCTCGCTCGTCTTCCGCCCCAGTGTAGTAGGGATATTCGTCTTCTCCGTGAATGCTGACGTACAGGACCTTGGGATCGGCGTAGAAGATCTCTTGTGTGCCGTTGCCGTGGTGGAAGTCGATATCAAGGATGCCAATCCGTGCATCGGGATTCGACGCTCGCCATGAGCTCACGGCCAGAGCGGAATTGTTGATGTAGCAATATCCACCCGCACGTTGACCGTCACAATGGTGTCCGGGAGGTCGACAGAGAGCAAAGACCGTGTCGACATCATGGCCGGGAAATCTTGACAGCATGTCGGCGCCTTCGCAGGCGAGATTGGCGGACGCAATGATCGCTCGGTAGCTCTCTGACATGATACTGGTGCTCATGTCAAAAGCGTAATATCCCGCTCGCGCAAAAGGATCCTTTGGTGGTTGTATCGGTTTCCCGACGGATGTGGGGAACCAAAAACATTCCGATAGGACATGTCCGTCTTTTTCAATCAAGCCGGCCGATGTCCATTCTTCGTAGACATCTCGTAGATGCTGAAGATACCCGTCATTGTGGGTTTCCAAGCTGAGCCGAGTCACCCGAGACGTTCGCTCATCCTGCCCCAAAGAGCGGAGCTGGATGGTGCGGACATCATACTCTGAGATGCGCAACGCCTTCACGATCACCTCCAGTCGTTCTGGTGATTCCAATGCCGGAATGAGTTTGGAGCCCAACAATTCCACGGTGTTGTGGAGGAGAGTATCAAGGTCGAAGAGGATCACCAACATCTTCAACGATGTCTGCTGTCATCGGTTCTCTGATCGCGAGCATGGCAGAAAAATCACAGACTGGAGTTTATAGGCGCTTCACGCCGTTATCTTCACTCCCCGTCACCAACCCGGAACGGGGTGGGTGGTCAAGATAGACTGGAAGTGAAAGAAAAACTTGTGTGCGGCTGATATGGATCCTTCCGTCCCTAGCCTGGTCCCCCCTGGTCGCGGGTCGCCTGTTGCCTCGGGAAAAGCGAAGGGTACTTTTCTGCCGAGCCTCCAGCACGTGATGGCGAAGGTCAATCTTAAGGGGGGAGGTGGCATCGAGTAACCCAAACCTTCCTCCCGCCTCGCTTCTCAGAAGTTCGACGAGAACATGCCATCGTAGACGGGGGGTTGCACCGGAAGCGACGATCGATGAGGCGGCGGATCTGATGTTGGGTCGGGAGGAATTCGACTGCCTACCACACATTAGACCCAACGCCCCAGGCAAGCCGCTTTCCCACTTACTGTTATTGATAATATTTTCCAGCATGGCATTCTTCTGGCGAAGTTTGCTGCAAGTGTCCTTCATGCTCTGAACAGCCCTTTGCTGTGATTTGGTAAAGTTATCCAAGACCACCGCCATTTTGGCCATGAAGACTTGTCCTGGACGGACATCAGTCAGCCTTGAGCCGAGAGGAGTTCCCAAGTTGTGTAGTTCTTACCAGGCGGGTCGAGATCTGCCGCGAGTTTGTCCCCCAGTCCATCGCCATAATGATGATTGCTCAAGCACCATAGCGCCGCATCGTGAACGGCTCTGGTATACTCCTCCACTAACGGCGCCACATCATTCTGTAACGGGCCCTCATTACCGATCAACGGGTCGGGAACTGTTTCGGGCACGTTGCCCAGATCGTGAAAAGTCGGTTCCTCAGGTGGTGGAAGAGCCGGTGCTGAATCATTGTCGATCAAATCAAATCGAAAGATCGGGTGATTGTCAAAATGGGGCTGATTCAGCGCATTTGGGCCTTGTGGCATTGGCGAGGTATTGTCGAACATCTGTTGTTCACCGATCATATTTTCGTTCAACATGCTGGGGTCAATCCCCATGCCGTCCCCGGAAACGGCGTACTGGGGGAACCCTGCCGGTGCGTGCATCGACTGGTCGGTCATCGTAAATCCGAGGGACGGGTTGTTCGCATCGAGTGAATATTGTATTGGAGGACGGTGTGGCCCTCTGCCCGTGGGTGCGTGCGTCGGCGTCAGATCGTCCGGGAAGCTGGGGAACTGTTCTTGTTCGCCCGGCATATCGAATTGTTTTGACACGTCCCCGAGGGCCGCCTGAGACCATTCCTTGTGATCGACAGACAGAAGAAGGCTGCGGTCGTCAGGCTCACCCAGGCCGGGGGGTTTTTGCGCGGGGATATAATTTAATGGAACTCCTGACTCTGGCCCTTCGTCTGCTGGCGTCGCGGCCACAATGAAACCACCATGGCCCGGTGGGTGCAGCAGTCCTGGGCTCGGAATGTTGAGGTTGAAGGTTGGATCCGTGACGGCAAGGGAAGACTCGTCCTGAAACTCGTCCTTGAGATGAGGCCGTTGTTGACGGCTGAAGGAGTCAGATCTCGACCGGGATCTCGACCGGCTGACTTCCCGACGAGCAAAGCGACGTAGGTTTCGGTCTTCATGGGGATGGAGATTGCCATGCTCGGCTCCATGAGGCCGGGGTCTTCGACCGGGACGACTGAAATCGTAGACGGATTTGCCCGAAGCCGCAATTTGCTGCAGTCGTTCGTCTCGGCTCGAATACTTTGCAAATCCCCATTGCTTGATTTTGCGCTCCCATTGGCGCGGAGTCGCATCGAAATTAAAGTGTTCTTTCATGTACTGTGCGGCGCCCTTTCTCGTCATGTTGTGGTCAATGTAACAGATCCGGAAGTTCTCCTTTTGCGCCTCCCAATCCTTTTCGTCATGGTGATTATCGAGAGCCTGCGACTCGTCCTCAGACGCCATCATGACCACAACCGATTTCGCCGTTGCCGCAAATCCGACGTCGACAATGAGGTGTGTCTTCAGCCTGATCTGGAATCAGTCGCCACGTGAGCTGTCAGTCAGCTTGGCTTTCCGCAGACAGCCAATGTGTCTCCAGATGAGGCTTTATGATACGGATGTCAAGAGAGGAGCTTCATACATATGGAATGACATGAAGACCACCTTATCACCGATGTTCAGTCAGGGCAGGGGGCGCCAGCAGGAGCTGTGCAGGTCGCGAAGGGTCCAAGTTGTTTCGCATGTTCCGTCTCCTTGCTATTTGGCCCCAATCATCGATGACAGAGGAGCGCTGCGGCTGAAATGTCGCAGGTGACAGGTGGCGCGCCGAAGTAGTAGGAAATGCCCGGCTCAATACCTACCCCGGCCGCCGCTGGGACCGTAAAGACCAGTAATATCGAAGGGTGGCTGGTGCCCGTCTAGGAACTTGGGAGTTGGCAGTTTGCCTGAACCCCTCATACTTGGTGAGCGAGTTTGCTTAACCGTATTTCCGGGAGCATTGGCTACGGTATAGCATAGCGATATCCTCAGGGCGCCTTTTCAACCGAGCCCAAATCCACATCCCGATGATCCCATTTCCTTTCCACGGACCAACCATCATGGACAAAACCTCACGTCAAGCCAGCTTCTGCCTGAATACATTTCGAACTCATGAGTAGTGCTGGCCCACCACCGACCATGATGGCACCCCCGATCCTGATTGATATCCGTGGACTGCCCAAATCCCTCCTTACTCGATCGCACACCTGGGCATACTATGAGTTCAGTTCTTTCTACCATGGGTGATTTTATGTGTGGTGATTTGGTCGAGTGTGTCTGCTGGCATCGACTCGATGTTTGCCCTGCCTTTTGCACGTTGCTATATCATTCTCGCCCACCCCGACGCAGCAAATGGCTTTGACTCATTAACGAAGCCACACCTCTCTTTCACGATAGATAATCTAGCTGATCTAGCCGAAATCTGAGTCATGCAACCGTTCCAAGCCATCAGTTCATTCTTCGGGAACTCCTGGAGCTATACCGTTTCCGCAATCTTGTCACTTGTCTATGCCACCCTCAACGCGTGTCAGGCTTGTGTTCGTCCTCTCTGCAAATGTGAGTATTCAACCAATGGCTTCATTTGGATTCCATTGAGCCTGGAGCTGACGGTCTCAGGGTTTGGACATGGCAAAGACCAGCATTCTCTGCCGGCGGACGACAGTGACAGTCCTCCGTCCTCCGAACCTTCCGCGACGAGTGTCACGGCCAATCCATCGGGCCGAACTTCGCCAGTATTGTCACCGCCCGGCTCACCACCTCTTGTATTAAGCACAAATGATCCGAGAGACTTTAGCGGAATTGGAGCAAGTTTCCCTGAGCAGGCCTTTTCCGGATGATAAGAGGAATACGGATTGGATCAGCACACTGGGGTAGATACCTTGTTTTGGGTCGGGGGTGTTCGGTGTTTGGCAACAAGGAGGCATAACGAGGGACGCGGGTGTTGGCGCAAAGTTTGCATTTGGCTAGGGAAAAGTCTTTTCATTGGTTGCTTTGGCCACGTTTTGCTATGTACCATCGAGTATGAAACCTTAAAGTGTCGTAAAGGGTGAACGGGCACTTGAAAATTCGATGTCATGTGATTTCGCGATTTCGGAGCGTTGAAAGACCGCGTTCCTGAAAGCCAAGCCTGATCATGCCTCTGGGTTGAACGACAACACCATGAGAGGTGTACTCACACTTGCTAACCATCTGACATTTTCACCAACTCGGCCCCCCCCAAAGCTGATGCATTTGCTACTGTGTCCATGACCATTTGGTGTCGCATTGGCCCTAACTCGTTTGCCCCAATGGGCACTCTGTGGCCTTCCCGCCATGTCGACGATTGTTATTCTCTCTTCGTCGCCACCTCGAGCCTTTGCCCGGTCACCCACCCCCTCTGAGCTTCCACCCCCATTACCCTCACCCGGCTCAATCTTGAGCGATGTTACGGAAGGTTTGAAGCGGTTCAAATCTGTAAACAAGACAAGAGATGGATTTTCCGATGGTTTCAGCGGCGTCCGTTCGTTGCTTACAACCAAAGCCGGCGTGGAGAACATCCCCCTGCACTCTCCAGGCCAAGACAGCTTCCAATCGACAGGCTCAGCGTCTGTGCCAGAGAGCAGCGCGGACGTTGCCACTGGAGCAAAGTTCCTTACCACGACACTGAGCTCGCAGAATGAGCAGCATTCTGAGCATGTCAAAAACCCCGAGTCTGGAGGACAAATGTGTTATGAAAGCCCTGAAGCCTCCCGTCAGGCTAAAAATTTTGATTTTCCCAATGACGGCACTCATATACCACAATCTAATTCCCAGGCAGAGTCAAGTTCATTGCAATTGGAAAAGGCTTTACCAAGGCGATTGGACTGGACTCCTGCTAAACCACATGCTAATGCTTCGGCCAACATTTCGGACTTGGAAGAGCCGTCTGTCGGATTTTCCAAAGATCTTCTGAATTATTTCACGTTTGCTAAAACCCTTGCCGGAGAATCGGCGGACAAGATAACAACGAAAATCGATACGCGTGGGGAACCAACAAAGAGAAGGCGCATTGATTTTGCTATGACAGCCGAATCACATAACAAGGCGTCGTTGCTCTCAGACATCTCAAGCAATCGCGAGGAATCAAAAAAGGATGGAGGCAAGAAAAGAAATAAATCGCCTTCCAAGAAGGCGCTTACAATAACTGGTTTAGCAACCTCAAATTATGGTGATGAGCAGCAAAAGGGCAGAAAGACTGCACCAATGCTGGAACGTCTGACTGCAACCCAGCTTGGTGCGGGATGCGAGTTGGAATCCTCCATGGAGAAAGCCAGGAAAAAGCCTGCCAAACCAAGAGCATCCAGCAAGAAGGCTCCCACGAAGAGTCGATTGGTATCTCCAACATCGGCGCTGAAGGCATTTGATGATCAAGAAATGCTCTTTGGATCAGCAAGTCAACTGGCCCGTGACGAATCGCCGACCTTGATGAGAGATACTCCAGAGGTCCTCAAGCGGTCAGAGTGCTTCCTGTCGTCTGATCCCATTTCGTCCCAGCAGACGCCGCCATTCTCCATCGAATCAATGTCGGCCAAAAATTCTTGGGGCACCAATAGATTCGTGAAAAGAAGAAATCTATGGGGAGCTGCTGGTCGAGATGAAGACAATGCACTTCTGCAGGTTGACACAATTGATCTGATAGATTCTCCTGCCGTACGTCTAGCTCTTACCGGGAAAGATGCCCTTGTTCAGCCCGCTGTGCCTGGTCATCAGAAAAATGGAACTGTTCGGAAAGAAAGGACGATATTGTATCATGATGAGACCCCGTTAACTAAAAAAGGTGAATCAATGGTAGACATTGACGACATTGTCACGCCTGCGTTTCAAGCTACAATCAACTCACCAACACGATTGCACGTGAGATCGTACCATACAGCCAGACCTCTGGAGGCACCGCAGATACGACCTGGTAAAGGGGCTCAAGACGTTGACGAGAATTCAAGAGAGAAGAGCGCTCCACAAAAATCTGCAACCTCACCCGTTAGACCATCTTATGCAGGCTTCTCAACTCATGACTTACAGAAGCAATTATCCGCGTACGGGTTCAAGCCTATCAAAAAACGGGAGAAAATGATTGAAATCCTTGATAGATGTTGGGATGACAAGCATGGCGTGACCCCCGATGAAGAAGAAGAAGAGCCCGCCGATACAACGAAGCACGGTGATTTCCTAAGTAAGGTCCACGATATTTCTGCTCGGCAAGTCCCGAAAGCGAAGAAGGCACGAGCGAAGCGCAAATCAGAGGCTTCTGACCCGACTCCAATGGAACCCGAGGAGAGGGAAAGGACCGAAACAATGTCAAAGGATCCCGTGAGCGAAGCAGAGAAGACTCCCCGAAAGCGGGCGACGAAAAAGAAACTTTCGGACGAGACCATCATGGATGTGAATGATATTGACTCCCTTTCCCTCAATGTTGAAGATGAAGGAGGACCGGCGGAAAAGATAATCATGAAGCGGAAGAAGAAGACCTCGAACGCCAGAGCCCCTTCACGACCTAAGAAACCAGCAACACCTCCTCCTACACTACCCTCGATCAGCTTTTCGCCATCTCCTGCCTTTGAACCTCTGCCTGCAGGCCCATCGGTGCAGGACCCTTCGACATCAATTCTACCCCCGACTTCGAGGAATCGCGAGATCACGACCCCCGGTGCATTGACACCCGCGCAAACCCCAGCCTTGCCAGACATCCAAACACAAATCCGCGCCGCAATCTATTTCACTCCTTCAAACCCTGACAGGGTAAGGAACCACACTCTTTCCCCGACCTGGCGCGAAAAGATCCTCATGTACGACCCGATCGTGCTTGAAGATCTGACCGTCTGGTTGAACACGGAGGGCTTCAGGCTTATCGGGGAGGATCGAGAAGTGAATCCACTTGAAGTGCGGGCCTGGTGCGAGCAGAATGGGATTTGTTGTCTTTGGAAGGGAGGATGGAGAGGACGTGGAAGATGAGGCGAGGGCGATTGAGGCTTCTGAGACCAGGAATAGAGTAAGAGTATGTGGTAGAGAATAATGCAAAATTGAGCCTTCGGTGTACCTATTACAGTCAGACAGCCTATTTGCCCAGGAACATGACGAGAGAAGTAACCAAAAGATTGAATGAAAGAAGGAATGAGTATATGTATATGACGTATGTTAACGAATGACTGTGATCAGATTAGATCAGTCCAAATAAGCCCGTCCATCCTTCACCCATAAGTAGTCTCGTCGTATTTGCACCCCGATCGCGGCGTGTGTCTCGAGGAAAGACAACAAGCACTAGTAGTTCCTAGATGAAAGAAAAGGATTGTCGGAAATCATGGTGGATCCGGGCAAACTTTGTATTGTGGTCTGGCTTGCCTCTGAACAGGACTGAATGCTGATGTGGATGATTGATGTCGCTTGTCGATACCTGGTGGAAATTATTACGGTGCTGGGAACCATGATCTGGTTGGATGCGTCTGCTGTCGTTTCTTCCCTCTTCCTTACCCTCTTCCGCCCCCGATTGAATTATACCTGTGGCTCGAACCAAGATGCTCTGTGTTCCAAGGAACATTTTTGAGAGAGAAACTCCGAAATTCTTTTCCCTTCCGATCACCCGTCGCAAATAATACCGCTTTTCCCCTGGTATCAAATTTGGATCGCTTCCTTCTCTTCCTTTTTCATAGCCACAGGTACCTCGCTCTCAGAAGAACTTGCCCTTAATCTTGACCTCGCTTCTCTCTACGCCGTCGGTGTCAGTATAGATCTCTCTTTCACCGTCGCTGACACCCGAGCTGATTCCGCCGGTGTAGAAGCTTGCGGTCGGAGCGGCAGGTTTTTCGAACGCCTCGAACGGGGTACCCTTGAACTTCGCCAGACACCATTGCACAGCAAGCCGGGATCCGAAGGCCGCAAGAGCCCAGAGCAGACCTCCCACAGGGGCGGCAACAAATGCGCCGAACGCGGACCAATCGTTGGCGTAGAGTCCTTGCTCGAGAAGCATGAGATTTCCTGCCAATCTGGCGTCGCCGTCGTAGAAGACCAGCCCAAACAAGAACACGGTAAACATGCCTCCGAGTCCGCCGACCACGACCTCAAAGCCGCGCCAGGCGTAGGCTCGCTCGTTCAATCCAATCACCAAGCATGGGATGCTTGATGCAGAAATCAAATCCGAGATCAGGTAGATCTGCAAGATCGAAGGTGATTTCAGCGCCACAACGACAACGGGGATGATCACCAGGACAACAGCGGCGCGGATGAACCAGAAATTCAACCGGTTCCGGAAGATGTCGTTGGACCCTGTGCTCACCATGGCGGATTGGAAGGAGTCAAAGGCGGCGGTGGACAAGCAAATTGTCATGACGAGAACGATTCCAATGACCCAGGCTGGGAGCTGCTCTAGGAGCAAGAAGAATGCAATGGATGACTCCTCCGGAGGGTCTCCCAGTGCGCCGGACCAGCCGGCCAACAGGCCGGAGACACCGACCACTGCGAGGATGATTGCGACTGCCACCGTCGCCACTCCCACGCCGATGTACAGGTCCTTGTCTGTTTTTGCAGCAAATGTGCGCATCCAGAAGCCTGAGATGAAGAAGTCGTTCGTCAAAATTGCCACGGGAAGAATATAAATTAGCTGCCAGCCCAACAAGCTTGCGTCGAGGTATCCACTGCGGTCAATCAGGTCGTGTTGAATGTCTGTCTCGACACCGACTGTGATGCAGCCGACGATGATGAGTCCAACAACCATGGCACCTTGGACGTTATCGGTGATGAAGGAGACTTTGAACCCGCCAAGTGATGTGTAAATTGTGGTTACTGCACACTCGACGATGACCGCGGGGAGACCATTCAGGCCTGTCAAAGCTGTGACAATTTGTTGAAGGGCTGAGAGCTCGGCAACCATGTAGAGGAAGAGTGTTATTAAACTGCAAAGAGTTAGAACAAACTGCGCATTGGTGACGGGATCCTAATCATCCTCATACGTCAAAGCGGATAGGTAAAGACTCGTGATTACGCCATATCGCTGGCGAGTCCATTCGGTGAGCACGAACCCCTCAGGGCACTTCCTTCTGATAATAGGGCCGAGCCCAGCGAAAACCAGTAGTGGCAGAGCGGAGGATAGACTGTAGACCACGAGTCCCTGCACACCAGCGATGGTGGAGATCTGTGGATACGAGAATAGGATACCCGAACCTAGAGCTAGACATCACCAAATTAAAGTGCCGTTAGTACGTTCGATCAGGATGTCGGGGAAGAAGGGGGGTTCTTGGGAGCAGGGGAGAAGCGGCAGCACGTTTCCCACGCAAGCATTAACTTGATCGAGTCATAACGGTACAATCTCAGCATTGTGTCCGACATTGAAACTCGTTCATCTCTGGTCTCTTTGGAGAAGGATCAGGTGGATGAATGCGAGGAATGTCCACACAAGCGCCCGTAGTGCTGCACACTGGCCTTGCGCCTTTGGCTTCAAAAATTCACACAACATTCCTATCCTGTATCTCCGCGGGTGATTTCAGGTTGATAGTCAAATGCATGCTTTTTATCGGCCGAGAGCACAAGACCAATGCCGTTGATGCAAGCGTACGAACCTCAGATAGCCCTTGTTCAAATGACACCCAGCAGAATTGTATCGGTCATTGTGGTCTTGAATCCATGAAATCCTTTTGTCTGTGTGTCGTCTCGAGTGTAATGCCCTCCTTTACTGCCGCTTCAGGCCAATGCTGCCTTCCAAGCGCACTCACCCGAGGCGATGAAGTTGAGGGCCAATGGTATGCCTGGAGCGCGTTAGTAGGGGGGCATTTTGCCGTGGAAGAGAGTGGGAAGGATGTCATGAGGCTCGACTTCTAACCCTTCTGCGTTCGTAATGTGGCGAGGTATTCGCCTTTGGTTTGATGGCGGAGAGTCCATGCGACGAAGAGGCCGAAGACGCTGAACAAGAAAGAATTAGTTATGAATCAGTCGTTGGGTAGGAGAGAGTAACGCACAGGAATAGGCTATATGTGGTGTAGATGATGGCGTTGGACGCCGGTTGAGATGGTTGACCCATGGTGATGTTTCGCGAGCAAGCTAGTAAATTGGAGAGTGTGGATTCCTAGGTTCGAGAATGAAAAAGGCACCGAGGAGAGGTATTAGAACTTTTATCTCTCTTTGTGCCGTCTTAATGGTGGGACCAGATGATTGAAGAAAAAAAAGGAAAAAAGTCACAGCTGTGGGGCATACCAAACAGGGCATTTACTCAAATCTTGGGCTACCCCTCTGCACGTATCACGCCATTCTCCAAATGGAGATTCGAAGGTTCAAAAGTCGGGACATATTTGTCTCTGTCTCAACTCTCCGCGGCAACTTTGATACTATGATCCGTTTCATGCCAATGTCCATGTCGGTATCTTATCCTTGATCTTCCTTGCGATCTTCGACTCGCTCTTGTACCACACCTAGAACGGCCCGGAGCATACCGAATTTGGAGCAAGCCGCTCATTCGACATGAACACGAGTTGCCCTCTCGCATGGGTCTTGCGTGAAATCAATCGAGCATCCCTCTCAGTTAGCTTCTCCACCGAGATAGCTTTTGAATTTGACGGCGTCGATGATATTAGCAAAGCGAAAATAAGTGGAGCGAACCGAGAATGACAGTGAGAACACAGGAACCTAGGAGCATCAGCAAAGGCCTGGTGCACGGGAAATAAGGACACTTACTAGGCTCATTGTGCGTTGCAGCTGCACCCAATGAATCGAAACGAGTAATATGGTCGCCCTCTTTACTGTCTCCATCCTCGCTTGCCTCGGTCTCAGTGCTAGCCGTAACGACGATGGTGGGAGAATGAGTGCCTTGAAAGAGCACAGTGCTGCTGTCGGTCTCCCGCGTAGTTCCAATCTTGTCGTCGTCATTATCCTCTGGCTTGGACTCTGGGCTGACTGATGTGGAAGATTCCCTTGGAAAGAGAGCTTTAACCGTAGTGGAGAGGAGTGTGTGATGGCTTGACTTTTTCATCCGGTGTGGTGGTTGTGGTATCCTCAAAAGGGCTCAGTGTCGGGCGTTCCAGTCTGGCAGTCATCAGGTTGTGTTCCTATAACGAGGTTAGTCGAAGAATTCGAGGTAATAAGTAGCTCTTACCAGAACTGCCACGTTCAATGTTGGAGCTGCGTCCGTGAGTAAACATTGGTTCCCTCGACATGCGGAAATTTTCCATGTCCTTGTCCCATGTATCCATTGGATTCCTTCTCCATCTCGGCCGTGGGCGCCATCTTAGCCTTCTATTCCAATTCGACCTTCTTTCCAAGAGCGAGTTCTGCGTGGGAGTCGTCTTGGGGGAGGAAGAGGCCGCTGAATCAGCACGAATATGGGTATTCTTCAGTGTGAGCTTAGTTTGAGATGGAGAAGAAGTTTTCTTTGCATCGTCCTCTTCCTGAGGAAGTGGTGACTGGTTGTTGTCTCTCGGAGACGAATCTTTTGGCAACCCACTCATTGTGTCACCCTCGGTCTCTTCGATAGAGCCAAGCTGACCCATTTTGTCGTTCGTAGACAATGTCTGAGAATTAGGGAGCCGTTGGAGGAGCACGATGGCCTGTAGAAGGACTCGCTGCAGCAGAAGTAGTGGTGCTGGGCACTGCTAGAGTGGTGTAACTAGAGTCAGGTTCTTTGTATGAGGCAGTGGCAGTCACACCTGGAGAGGATTCCTCGTTCAAGTTAGCAACAGTTCCTGGGTCACGATAGGTTATTGTGTGACATGCATACCTGACTGTTTTCCGTAGTTTGATGACGGCCGAGCGTTTGGGCTCGTAGATAACGGGGTTCCGTTGATGATTCGCTGGAAGGCGTTGGTGTGGTCAAGGTTGTCAAATGGCGCCACCATGTTGACAAATGTTCCTCTGTAATGAACCTGGCGATGATGAAAAATATGTTTGGTGTAAGTTGTTCTTGTTGCTGTTGTTGCACGATCTGGAAAAATGAGGATGGAAGTCTCGAGGGTGAGAAGTAAATAAAAGATGGCGTGACGCGGCGGGTGAGGCACATGAGAGAACGTGCGACAACAGTGCAGGAAAGGCGACGGGCAAGTCGTATGTAACCGTATCGCAAGAACTTGTGAAGAGAGGGCAACCGAGGGGGATTGTGATATTTAATGGCTTCACATTGAGGGAGGGCAGCACGAGGGGAAAAGGGGTCAGATACAAGAGCGGCAAATGCTCGGTTCCAGGGGGGATAAGGAAAACAAAAATCATTGTTGCTCACTCTTTTATTTCGTACAAAGAAGCTCAATCCCAACCGTTGCTATGCAAATCATGATGGTACTGGCAAGAATTCCCAGTTTCTTTCCCCCTCAGTGATATTCTCTTTCATCACTTGGAGGCTTTGGCGTCCACAAAAGCCAGAGTGGGTAGCGATCCTTGTCACTTGTTGAAAAGAACCGCCGTCCTCTGATTTCTCATCGGGAATCCAAATCGTTTCCTCCACTTCTTGCCACGGTACCTCGTACCTCCTTGGGTTGTATCCCGGTGCACCGGTGAGAATATCCAGCAAGAAGTGGACTGGCGTATAGAGGCGCTCAAACCGTCGAGTGAAACCCAATAATGACAACGTTTTGGAGTCATACGCCACCCGTACAAAGGGGTTCGAATATATCCCCGAATGTCCTGGTTCTGGGCTCTGGATATCTGCCTGAATGAGACAACATTCTGAGGCGTCCCAATAAAGATCCTTCTCCGCACGGAACCTGTAAGGAACGGTGAGATTGCCGGGGCTTTGATTTCCTGCCGTTACTGGTTCAACGTCTTGACCCGGTCGTTTCTGGAAAAATCGGGCATCAAATGCGACCATGCCGCCCCAGCAACTTCTGACTCGGACAGCATCTTTGCCGTCGAGGATGTCCTGGTGGGTTCGCTCGTCACCGTTGGCCGAAAACCATGGAAAGAAGGGCAATCCCATGCTGTAGCCATCCATATCTCTCGTGGCAAAAGTATCGTAAAATTTGAACGCGTTGATGAAATCTACCGCACATGCGGCTCGATAATCGGTGGTCCCTTCTGCCACGGTGTGCGTTGAGAATAGCAATTGCGCCGCGTCGATCGGGTGAAAAACCACATCATTTAGATATAGAAGCTTGTCAAAGGTCGTGTTGGAAATTTCAAGAGGCCTCAAGGCTCGGTTTCGCACCTCGGCCAAGTATTCGATGCGTTTAACTCGTTGTGACCCATCGGGAGTGGTGATGTGAGGTAGTTCATCCAACTCCAGATGATCCTCAAAGACCAGCTCGTGGTCACAAGGTACTCGCTGCCGGAGGTTCTCCAGCGCTTTCTTCGCCTCCGGGCCCGAGTCATTCACATATATCGACAGAAATGCATTCTTCGGTCCCAACAATTGTATCAAATCCAGTACGTTCTGTGCCCAATCCCCGCTACAAAGCTTTCCACCCTTGTCGTAGATGCTCGCTGCTATGAATACTTTTTGGTTTTGCAAATTGACACGGCCCGGACTATCAGAAGCCAGTGCCTGTTCTCGCAGAGCTTGATAATGGGCGGGCAGGTGAGTGTATCCCGGGAAGAAAATCGCTCCAACTGCGAGGAGAATGAAGATAGTCGTGAAGAGGAGGTAGATGAACAGGGCAAATTTTCGTAGGAGGAATCTCGGAGAACATGAGCAACAGCGCTCTCGACGCTTTGCCCGGACCCATACACGCCTCTGGCGGTGTGGTTTGCGCAGCCATGCTGGTGCCAAAGATGCAAAGCGGGCAGTCACCGCAGGATTGACAACACTGGACACATTCTGGCCAGGAAAGAGATGGGACTGCGGATCATCATAGTGGTAGTCGTGGTCATAGGAGAGAAGATTTGATTCTTGGTCTTCCGAGGTATGTGTACTGGTTCCCGATAGCTCATATTCATCATCCTGATAATTCATGGCGTGCGGGGAACCGGGGGAACGAGTGGATATGGCTAGGGTCGTAACCAGGGAGATCGAGTCGCCATAAGATGAAAGGAGGAGGAATCCAACAAAGACTGAGAGCCAACAGCCTGTAGATATAAAGTAGAGGCTGTGAGAAGTGGGAAACGTGGAAGAGGGCGCATGCCTGGGGTAAGGGGGAAAACAAGGCGACCTTTAAAGAATGTATGGTGGTATTAGTTTATTGATGAAGCAAGAAACAGCAAGCACGTTTGTGCCACAATCCTGTTTGTCATTGCGATAAACTAGGCGCAGAGGATCATTTGCACAGCCTCCCAAGATTGGTTTAAATTATAATTGCGGAATTCTCGACCCTCGTATTCATTTTTTTTTCCCCAACTACGTAAGTCCTGTCCACTAACCAACCCTTGGTGTTCTCGACAGCCCCTTGAGCCATTGGGCTGTTAGGTGCCGCAGACCAATCAAAGGTCGCCGCCCTGTCAGCAGCACGTCAGCAGTCCCCTGCCCTTGGGAGCTTTTTGTGTTTTGCCCTGACAGGCTACAGCCGTGGATCTCATTTCTCTTTTCCGAGGCCTTGTCCGCTGAAACAAATCACTCGCCTACGAGATTTGCACCTGAATCAGGAATTTAACTCCAAGGCGAACTGCGCGAGAAACCCCTGTTTTCGTCGAATTCGATAGCCGAGTCTTCTGCTTTGGTCGATTTAAATTTCGTCCCTGTGAGAAACACCTCGCAGGGAACACCTCAATTAGGCCGTTCGGCCCCCCTTTATCGAATATTCCCCAAGGCGTCGTTAACAAGAGAAGGAGCCCGAGTACAATCTCGAACCCAGGATTGCACACGTATGGCGGACGCAGGAATCATCCCACCGCACATCCCTACCCACGTAGAGTGGGAGGAATCCTCACTGCAGCGATGACGACTTGTCCTATAGTACATCGTCTCAAATGACCATGATCAGGTAGGAATTAGTTCAGGCATGGACGACGGAAGAGCTTCGGATGACAGGGCTTGCAGCCCCCAATGGGTGTCAATCATTCTCTTCCAGATTCTTGGAGCAACCGAATTTCCAATCGAGCGGACCGCTCCTAATTCGGTATGCAGAAAGCGGCCGGGCTGCCATATCAAGCTCTCCCCCGCTACCAATACCCCCCAGACTTGGTTATGAGCAACCAAAATGAGGGATTCTCGTCTTCTATATCAAGCACCATCAAGGACGTTTTAGCCTGGCAAATTCACGTAGAACAGCTGACGAACTTGTTTGTAAATTCCCCTGCCACCGTCAACACACTGTCGACTCTTGGTCGGAAATGGCTTGGGTCTTCAAGGCAGAACACCTGAATCACGCAATTCCTGACCTCTCGGGGTCCTTCCAAATTACTTGCCCTCCTGGCACTGACATCTGGGATAAACCTCCTTTAACCCACTCATTCAATGCGCCAATAATATATCAAATCACAACCAAAAAATCTTTCAAGACCGCCCAGGTCTCAGTCTCGGCGCATTGGAAGGACAAGTACGATCAGGGCGGGTTATGCCTCGTTATCAAATCGGCCGATGTCACTCGCTGGGTGAAAACTGGCGTTGAGTTCCTGGATGGACAAGCCAACGTGAGCACCGTCGCAAAGGACCAATGGTCGGATTGGAGTCTCAGGCCACTGCTGGCGGAGTCAAGCAATCATGCCATTATCGAGATGGAAAGTGCAGGCGATGGCAGCCTTTGGGTGTGGCTTCTGGCCTCGGACGGGAAGAAATCTCCGTTGAGAGAAGTGACTTGGTGGGGAGATCTTGACAAGGACACTGAATGCTGGATTGGGGTGTACGCAGCGAAGCCCGCGCCTCATGGTGAGAAGGATGATCTGGTCGTATATTTCGAGGAGCTTTCTATTCAGTTAGAATGAAAGAGATGGGAGCCAGGCATGGACGCGCATTGCTGTTGCTCGATCATGACTATATCACTCGGTTCACCTAAAAGTGCCCTAAAGTATGATCTTTGCAGCTAAGGCTTGCGGGATTGGACGCGTTTTCCGGACGCGTTTGGCAATCATCTCCAATTTTCTCCTCCACTAAATTCGATTCACCTGCCAGCGCTTTGGCGCCACCCTCACCACACCTGCAACTTCTGGAATTTGACGCAAGCATACCTCCTGTCGCCCTCGCGCCATTCGAAAATGATTATCAGCTCGTGAATCTTTACACAATGCCTATTCGGCGTCGAACTACTACTACCGCGGCCGAAGCTGCGTCAAAAGAACGAGCTTATGATATTCCCGGCCTCGAATTCGGCGAGACTCTTTCATGGCGCGCTGGCAAGGCGATTCCTGTTGCAGAACTCCTGGCACGATTACAAAAGCTCGCAGCGGAACTACGCCACTTTGACCTTGACCAGGTCGATTCGCGCTCCTTTACGACACTTGCGCATGACCTCGCAAATGCGAATCTTCTAGGACACAAGGATAAGGGCGTGAGAGCGTGGACTGTATCATGTATAGTGGATGTTCTGAAGATTTGCGCACCGGATGCACCATTCGTTGACAGTCAGCTCAAAGTGAGTATACCCGAACATTACACGGCGTCTCGCACACGACTAATACCCCTCCCAGGACATCTTCACTGTTACCATCAACTCCATTCTTCCTGCTCTTGCTGAACCGACCAACGCCTACAATGTCCAGCACATGTACATATTGAGCTCCTTGGCCGAGTCGCAGAGTATTTTACTGGTGACTGACATTCCGAATCACGAGAATTTGATCGTCTCCCTTTTCACTACAGCATTTGATATTGTTTCTGGGTCAGGCAACAACACCTCCGGAGTGGAGGTCTCAAAGAGCGTGGAATATCATTTGAAGAACCTCCTCGCTGCAGTTGTGGATGAAGTAACCTTACCCCAAGAAGTCACCGATATCATTATATCCCAATTCATGCGCGTGGATGCTCGAAATGTCCGGGAACAAAGTGCAAAAAGCAAGAAGCGGGATGCGTTGGATAACAAACAAGGGACTCTGCTCCTCAAGGACTATCCTCCAGCCTATAATATGGCCAAGTCACTCTGTACCACCTGTCCTGAGAAAATGACCGCACATATCACGCAGTACTTCGGTACGGTCATTGTGGATGCAACTGCTACTACATCTGCCAATAGCTTCTCCAAACCATCACATAGAAGGATTTCTGACCTGGATGACTCGGACGACGACGAGCAAGAAGGAATTGCAGATTTGCGGAAAGCTCATCGTCTCCTGAGGGAGCTATGGCGGGCATGTCCCGATGTCCTTCTCAATGTCATCCCCCAAATCGAAGCAGAATTCTCTGCTGATTCGCCATCCCTTCGCCAGCTTGCCACCGAAACTATAGGAGACATCATGGCTGGCATCGGAATCGCACGACTTCCTCCTTCAGCGCCCCTTGACCCCGCTGCCTACCCCCTGCCGTCGATAGAGCAGTCAGAGGCCCCTCAGCAGACGACCAATTCCTTAGTGACACCGGCTTCCCCCAAGCCGTTTGCTACAGTACATGCTGCAGCGTATCAGACTTTCTTGGGCCGCCGGAATGATAGATCACCAGCTGTCCGTGAGGCATGGGCCGTTGCGGCTTCTCGGATACTTTTGACGGCGGCGGGAGGTATTGGACTCAACGATCAAGAGCTTCAGGAACTACTCTCCGGATTCGCGCAAATGCTCCGCGATCCCGAGGAACATGTCCGCTTAACTGCCGTCCACTCCATCAATAACTTCAGCTATCTGGCTATCATCAATACTCTCGGCGCAGACGGAGGGCTAGCCAAGCCCGGCACTGTTCTGTCCACGTTGATGGATCGTGTCACTGACCGAAAGCACAGCGTCAGAGAGGAAGCGATTGAATTACTGGCTCGAATTTGGGGTGTTGCCTCCAGAGATATCGAAGAAGGCGTTGAGATTGTGAAAGAGGTGGTGGGGGACATTCCGAATCGTTTATTCCGTGCTTTTTATACCAATGACGCGCACGTTCATGCTGCACTCGACAAGGCTCTTTATGAAAGCTTGTTGCCGCTCGCATTTCCACCCCTCAAAGTACAAATTTCTCGGACAGACAGCCAGAAGCAGCGAGCGAAAGATAAAGATGAAAACTCACCAGAAGGCCCCGTTTCCGATCCGGATGCCATCAGAGCCCGCCGGATTTTGACTTTGGTGCAAAGTCTGGATCCCAAATCTCGTCCCGTATTTTTCAATCTTCAAAATCGACAGGTTCAACTAAGCAAAGCCATGACAATTTTTTTACGGACATGCGAAGATTTCAATGGTGGTGTTGTTGATGACAGCGCCTCTGAAACAACGATCAAAGACCGCCTCACCCGCTTCATCGATACCATCTCTAAGCCTTTCCCAGACCCGACCGGTGTCGCGGCAGAGCTTTGGAAATTCGCCAAACAGCACAATCGTCGTTGGTATCAACTGATAAGGTTTGCCATGGGCGCCGAGCACGATTATCGCACGGTAACCAAGGCCATCAAAGAGCTCACCAAGCGAATTCGTGAGGGTCCAGCTAATTTGCAATCCCTTCTGGATACCATCCTGTCTATCCTGTATCGTTGTGCATTGATTACCTACAATCGTAGCCATGTCCCAACTATCATGGAGATATCGAGAACCGACGAAGGCGGGTTGGGAGACGTTGCCCATGAAGTCCTCAAAGAAATATCAGCTCGCAATCCGGAGATCCTCAAATCCCACATCCAAGCGTTGTGTTCGGAAATCGAAGAAAGCGCACCTTCAGGTTTGAGGGGGGAAGAAGTCGGCGCGGCTGAGTCACTCAAAGCATGTGCAGGGTTCACTCGAAAATATCCCTCTGAAGTGCCAAAGGACCGTAAATTTCTCAACGCGTTGACTCAATTTGCGCTGTTCTCGAGATCTCCTCGGGCTGCAAAGCACGCTGTCTCGATCGTGATGATGGCGGCCGAAAAGAAGGAGATGTATGCCAAAGATGTACTATCGAAGGCGCTGAAGCATTGTCAACCGGACTCTCCGAATTTCCTAGCTCGACTATCAGCCATTTCCCAGGTGTGTTTGCTCGCTCCTACTGTTGCTAGTATGGAGGCAGGTGCCATTCAACAGCTGGCGGTCGCAGACATTCTGCAAAAGAATCGCACGCCCGGTTCGAAGGCCGACCCAAATGCCTGGAGCGACATACCTGATGACGAAACAATATCCAAAGAATTGGCGTTGAAGATCCTTGTCAACCGTTGTCGGTCGCAAGATGAGAAACTCGATGCCGCCGATTTTGAGCAGTCGGCCAAAGATGCTATTGGCCATCTCTCGTCTTTGATCGAGAATGATGGTGAGATAACTCCTTCGAAGGACACCCCTGCTGCACAGAAGAACCGCTTACGACTCACCGCTGTCCATTTCGTCCTCAAGCTTTGCTGTCACAAGCGGAAGTGCGAGGACGCAATCACTCCATCCGTATTTACATCAATTGCCATGATCATGATCAATCCTCCAAATCCAGTGCGGAGCGGCTTCGTCAACTACCTCAAGAAATACCTCGGCCAAAATCGCCTTGCTCATCGATGGTTCACCGCGTTATTCCTCCTTGCTTATGAACCCGACATCGAGCTTCGAACGTCGACGATAACCTGGATCCGAGCTCGAGCACAGTTCTATGCGAGGCAACAACTCCAAGCCAAATCGGCAGACAAGAGATTGCATCAGAATGTCCTGGAGTCAATATTTGCGCGCCTCCTTAGCCTGCTCGCGCACCACCCAGACTATCCAAGTCCAGAGAGCCATGACTTTGATGGAGAGTTGCTGGATTTCTCGAAATATGTTGTTTTCTACCTTTTCACGGTTGCTACAGACGACAACCTGTCGTTGATTTTTCATATTGCCCAACGTGTCAAGGGCGCGAGGGACGGCATTTCCAATTCGGATGATGCTAGCAAGCGACTGTACGTTTTGAGTGATCTCTCTCAAGCCGTCATTCGAAACTATGCGGACCTCATGCCGGCACACGCGAAAGGTGTCAACCTTCTCCAGACTTGGCCTGGCCACGTAACTCTTCCCCGGTCTTTGTTCAAAGCCTTACCAAGTCACGAAGCCGCACAGGAAATCGCCGAGAAAAATTATCTGCCCGAGGATGTCGCCAGTGGACTTGAGAAATTAGTCCGAACCTACGTGAGATCCTTGAAGAATGCTGGCCAGCCTGCCAAGAAGTCGACCGTGGGCGACAAGAAGAGAAAGAGTGACGCTGTTGGTCGAGATGATGACGGCGATGGCGAGGAGAGGAAGAAATCGATCAAGAAACCCCGGAAGGCCTCTCTCGCAATCAGAAAGACACCCAAGCCAAAGCGAAAAAGCTCCGAACCTTCAAGCCCGACAATGCCATCAAGAAAGAGTGCCCGTGTCTCAAACGCTGTGTCTTATGCCGAGGCAGATAGTGACGCGGATGACGCTGAAATGGAGGAGGTGGATCGACTTGCAAGCACGCCGCCCTCTTATCGGAAGAAGAAAGCCCAGGTCAAAGACGGAGAGGCACAACGAGAAGACGAGGACGAGACAGTCCATGATCCGGATGAGGAAGTCGAGGGGAGAACCCAAGAGAATGGCGGCGAAGAAGAAGAAGAAGAAGTTCATGTGCATGAAGACGAAGATGCAGCTGATGAGGGTGAAGATATAAATATGACAGAAGAAGAGAAGTCGTCACCACCGTTGCGGGAGAAGAGAAACGCTAGAGGCGAGAGTAAGGGACGGGAAAAAGGAAAAAAGGCGACTCCGACCAAGAAGACAACGCCAGAGAAGAAGCCAGAACAGTCAACACGAACTACGAGACGGACTCGTAGTACGAAGAGATGAGTCGGCTGGGCTGCGATGGAATTGATTAATAGTTGCTGTGTTTATCCAACATCAATAGGCATCATGTCATTGTTATTGGGAGACTATCAAAAGGTTTTTCGCTGCCCAAGTCACAGGTCGGGGAAATGTAGTATGATATGAATGTGCTGCGTATGTTGGTTATGATGGGAGCTAAGACGAGTCAGGTGCATGATGACCGTGTAAAGATAGTATGAGTTGCTCAGAATCACCACGCGTAGGCTCATGAAGAGGCAGTTTTTTCCCCCTGAGGTGCTCAGCCTTGAGGACTGAGCAGGTCGATTGCACGGATGAATATCGGACGGACGACGCGGTGGCTTGGCACAGTAAAGTGCTTATGTCGGCCTCACTTCCAGGTTTTCACTTTGTCTTCCACCAGCTTGAAATCGCTTCATTCGCCTCGACAAGGGTGCCCGGTTCAGCAATGGCTTTGTTTCTCATATGCAGGACCCTGCAGCTGACAGACTAAAACATCTGAGGGGGACCAAATGGCCCTCCTATATAATAACACGTGCAATCTCGTGAGTTGATGACAGTTGCTCTACTACCTTCTTCACAATTTTGAGAGCACGTTGAGACGGCCTATCTGCGTCACAATGCCCGCCCTATCCTCAATAGTCATCGATGCACCGTCCGACCAGGTCTGGGATGTCCTCATCGACTTCGATCACTGGAAAGATTGGAATACCTGGTTCTCATCGATTCATAGCCATGACCCCAATCCGGCAGTGGGAACTAAAATCACTTTTACAAACAAAACGTCCGAGACCGCCAAACCGGGTACCTACAATGCTCACATGGTCACGTGGGAACCAAAGAAGGAATTCGCCTGGAAAGGAGGGCCCATGCCCACCAGCTTGTCATGGGTTCTTAGAGGTCACCACTGGTTTATTCTCGTGCCCCAAGAGGGAGGGAAGACGAGATTTGACCATGGGGAGCGCATTGAAGGCATGTTGAAATTCCTGGTGCCAAATTCAATGGTCCAGGATTTGATCAAGATGATCAACAAGTTCAATGGCGAGTTGAAGCGAAGAGTCGAGCAGGGGAAGAGGTAGGGACAAAAGGCACAGCGAAGAGTGCGAAGCTCAGAAGGGATCTAGTTGGTTCGTTCGTTCCTTCTCCGTCCAAGAATCTCCCCATGGCCATTTCGAGGCTGACGAGTCCAGGGGTCATCTATCCTTCCCCATGTTGATACCATGATTTCTAGTTCTATCCTTTGTTCCGACCGCGTCTGCATAAACATCTTTGCTGTGCGCCAACATGCTTCAGGCATTGACTCTGCAAGTGTTACTCTGCATCTCAACAAGCAAGCTTGTTTATCATACTGTCCATTCTTTCCCTACCCATTTCTCTGGTTTACATCAGCACGTGAACCGGATGCAAAGCTATTTCCATTGTTCCTACTCTGCTTCCCATCATGGCAAACCGCTCCAATATTTGTTGCCTTGCTAGCCAATCCAAACAGGCCCTTTGATCTGCGTCAAGCGAACTATGGATGTTTCGCTACTTCAAACAAATTGTTGGCTCGTGGCACGAACAGTTCGGCAACCAGACTTCTCATATTTAGTCCGTACTCTTCTCAGCGGCAAGTGGTGGTCTTCTTTCTCGGTATCCTCATCACAGTCAACTTCGTGGTCTCTAACATGGCTTTCAACAGGCGATTGGGAGCAGCCGAGAGGAAACAAAGAAAGAAATTTCACACAGCATGGCCTTTTGATCGCAGAGACAAGGAGGCAAACCGTCCTAGCAAAAACAGGCAGGCCGAAACTCGCGACATTGAGAAAGGTATGAAAAATCTCAATCTCGATTCGCAACAGAATTATCTTTGGGCAAAACATTTTTCTATCAAATTGGGCCAGCTTCAGCAAGTATCTCACACACTCTTAGAATGAAACTGGTAAATCCAAAGGCAAAGCAGCAGCAAACACCGAAATCAATACTGTTCATCAGCAAAATGAAGATTTTAAAGTTCTCAAACCAAAGACACGACGAATAATCTATCTTCGCGAAGGAGTAGCCGAATGCCACTGATTATGCCACGTGGCTCATCACCGCATGGGAACTTGACATAGCCATAATGTCAACTCCACATGTCATCGAACACCACGATGGAGTGCTCCGGGCTCCTTGCCAATAATGCCCAACAAATGCCAGGGACCCAAGGATCGTATCATTGGCCAAGCTCTGCGCACATGCTCAACGCCTCATTTGAGCAAGGCTGGACATTCAGGGGCTTCCTCTATCCCATATCAATGGACTTCTCTCTCGGTTCATTATTCATCTCATCATTTCCCCAATTCTCCATCCCGTATGAACTCAGCCACACTTTCCTATCCTATCCCTTCCGACATTTACACCTCAAAAACATCCTCCCCTACCATTTCTCTAACAATATTCACCCACCTTCGCACCTCGGACTCAACCTCCTCCTCATCATCCTCCAGACTCTCATTAACATACACCATGGTCTCACCACTACCACCTACTCCAACACCTCCGCCACCTTCCGTGTTGGTGCTCGTCGTGCCCACGACGACATTGTTTACCCACTCTTCACCGACGTCCTCGGCCTGCGTAAGCGCCAGCTGCGTTCGGATCGCGGCTAGTCGCACAGCACTAGAGCCGTGGTGGCGTAGTTGACATAACTCGTGGTTTAGCGCATGGTGGTGCGCGGGCGTATCTTGCGTCGCGGTCGCCAGCGAGACGAGGGCCGGAATCACCATTGTCGACACCGTATTGCGCAAGGCCTTGAGCTTCGCGGATGATAGCTTTAGGGCTGCTACGAGTAAATTGAAAAGAGGTGAGAAATGGGCTGGGAATGCGAAGAAGCCGTCGGCGTCGTGTGTCATGGCTGCCGTGAGGAGGTGCAATGTTGATTCATACAGCGCAAGCGAGGCTTCTGAGACCGAGGCACCTTTATCGCCCGTGGCGTATTCTTGGGTCACGGAGCGGAGAATCTCGTTGGCCGCGTCGAGTATGTAGCTTGCATACGAAGTCACGATACTCTTGAGTGTGGCAAAGAAGTGGCCGATGAAGTTGAATAGGCTCGTTAGTCGTGCTGTCTTTGCTTGATCAGAGTAAGCGACGGAGAGATCGGAACCCTGCATCGCCCAGTCAATCCAGCTTTCGAAGACGGGGCGGAAAGTCGTGTCGTTGAGCTTGTAGATGAATGTGATGCCCAAAGCCTGAAGCTTGGATTCGATTTGCTCGATGACTTCTGCATGGAGGTTGTTCTTGTCCTCTTCACCACCACTCGACGCACGTGGACGTCGGAGGTCCAAGACTTGTAGGACGAATGTAGAGACTGCATCTGCGGAGTGCGCGACTGTGGATTTGGAGTTCCGCTCAATGGCCTGTGAGAGTAGGTCGAGGTACTCCATTACCGCTTCAGCTTCGATCTTATCTGAAAGAGCTTTCCACACTTGATTTAGACCTGTCGCAATGCTGACCAGATCGATCTTGTGCGCGAGAAGATTCAACGTCTCTGTCCTAGATTCTTTACAGGATGCTTCCAATTTGGCTGTCGATGACTGGTAGGATGTGTGTAGTATCTCCGCCACATTTCCATCCGAAATCATGAATGGAACGTGAGAGATGAAGGACGAAATTAGCGCGAACGCGGCATTGTGCAGTTCCGCATTCCAGATGTCGTCTTTCAGGCTCGCTTTCAAGAGATCCAAGACGTTGGTCATTGCTGGCGGCACAATAGGAACTGCTGCTTCTTTGAGAACTTCCATCACTGAAGCCAGGCAGAGAAGAGACATGATTTGGGTCCTTGAATCTGGGGATTTGAGACCATATTCCCTGTCGATGAGCAAGGAGACAGTGGACAGGATCGCCTCAGGACTCTTGCGACCATAGATTTCGACAACTCGATCCAAACAAGTGATTGCGGCGTGTCGGAACTGCTCATCCTTGGTGGTTGTGATGACCTTCTCGATCGTGAGAAGGATAGAGATTGCCTCAGATTGGGTCTTGGTATCTTTCGGTGCGTTATGTTGAAGTTGTGTGGCCAGAACTCTCAGTACAAGAGGTTGGAGCTCTTGATCTCCGACTTGTTCCATTTCCTGCAAAAGGTCTGGCGTGATATGCAATAATTCTGCCAGAGAAGGTAGTTCAAGCAGTGCACTCAGACACGTCTTGGTCGAGGAGGTCAAAGATGGATGGCTGGCCTTTTGGTCCTTCATCATAGCCAATAATTTGGGAATGCAGAGTTTGAACTCGGTCCACAATAGTCGTGTTTCAGCTTCGTCCGTCTTGCACATTTCCTTGACTTGAGACTTCAATCTTTTCGGCTCAAGGAGCTTCGAAGCAGTTCTCAAGAGGACTAATGCTTCACGCTCTCTCTTGTCATTCTTACTAGACCTGGTGATGTCTAGTAATGGTTCGGCGTTGTGAGGATTTTGGGAAAAGATGTCCGTGACTAACTCGATGATCTTTCTGAATGTCAAGAGTTGGGTTGCAGCGGATGAAACACCCATCAAGCTGGACAGGAATGTCGACATATCTTGATGATGTCGTCTGGAGGAAAGTAATGCAATTATTGCAAATGAGAAGTCATCTGCGCCCAGTCGGTTCAACAACCTCTGGTAAAATGCCACTCGGCGGTGTTGAGGAACATGATCGTAAGCGGCAACGAAGCTTGAGAGGAGACTTGAAGTAGAGTGGACTAGGTTGCTTGCATCCTGCCTCTTCAGAGTGCAGACCAAAGGTGGAATTATCTGATCTATTGCTTGGTTGGTAACATAAATTGATCGTTCATCGTCTTTTGACAAGATGTTGTGACCCATAAATGTAAAAATTGGCATGATGGTGTGCAAAATTCTATCGGGGACCAAAGACGCTAGAGATGCTGAGAGGAGTAGAGCCGTGGCTTGAACCTGAGGATTTTCGGATGATCGAACACAATCGATGACTAAGTCGGCACGAATGCTGGACATATCAATATTTGGTTTCCTTGAATCCCGTGCCTTGTCAATGATAGCCAGGATACTGCCCAGGCACAGCGTGAACAAGTATGGAGATTCTGACGCGCTCTTGTCTTTAAGTCGCCTCAAAGTGATGAGGACTTCGAACAAATTTCCTAACAGCTGAGGATGGGACTCAGGCTGGGAATTTTCGACAATCTCAAGCGCAAATGTCAGCCTCGAGCCTGCGACGTGCAATTCAAGCATCATTTCTTTCGGTATGCTTTCGCGGCCATGGCTTATTCTGCGTCTTTTTTTGGGCGGCACCTCCATCTGCATTTGAGCCAGACCAGAACAAGCGTGATCAAGTAGGGTGGCAAGTACATCGGTGGAATGCGTGACAGAATGCAGGACATGACGACTTCCTCTCGCGTGAGACGGCGTGTCCGAAAATGACATATCGAAAAGGCGTACCGCTGATGAGATTTGAGACTCATGGCGCATTTCCTTCCAAATCGCAGCGATTCGACCAAAAAACGCCTCGATTAAGTCCAATCTAGGCTGAAGCTTTTCTTCCTCAAGCATGGCAAGGGCGTGTTCGACCGCTTCCTTGTCGCGTGCATTGATGAGCTGGACCATCACCGTATCGATTTGAGGTAGCGACAGGCCTTCCACCATGGCAATGGATGTAGCATCGGTGTCGCTCAAAGATGCCCAATCTCTCAGGATTGGCGTCAGGGCCTTGCTGGTGGTTGTGGTGCCTACCTTGTGAACGTCGATGAGTAGTTCAACGACACCAATTTTGACCCTTGTAAGGGGACAGTTGACTGCACAGCTTGTCAATAGGTCGTACAAATTCTGCTTCAACGACTTCTTCAACTCGATATTCCATGTCTTTGTTCCAGCCGAAAAAGGACGAGACGGGCCATCGAGAGCTATCTGTAATACCTTCCGAATGTGGGAGCCATCTAGAATGCATTCCTCGAGGGTCGGCAAATAGACTTGACTTAAAAGTTTGACTACTTGCAAGGGAGGAATTCGCTTGACATGTGCCATTGTCACACCGTCATACATTGTTTCCGGATCTTTCTGGGTGCTGCTCTCTGCTTCAGAATTCTCTGACATGCACTTTTGGATAGTCGTTAAGCAAGTCACGGTAGCTCGCCTTATCGGTCGTGCGGGATCAGCGAGGAGAACTGTCAAATAGGGCAGCAGCAATTGACAGTCTAATCGAGGCTCTCTCTCGAGCATTCTTGAGAGCATCCGAAGGGCTGAGGCCCGCTCGGAAACTGGAAGAGCAAGGTTCGCAACTCTCAAAAGGAAACTCGTTTGCAGGTCCGAAGGTTTTCTTGTTTGCTGACGCCACAATGCCAGGTCCTGAAATTTAGCCAGATTAGCTTCAGTCTTGTGGCAGAGTTCGAAAACCTGAACAAGTTGATCGAATAGCGTTGAATGATTTGGCTTCAGAAATGATAGTTCGGTAGACTGTGAGGGTAGCACGGCCAACATTTGCTCCGCCTTATCAGGATCTGACTCCGTTTCAGCATGCAACCCATCCACATCCACGAGGTCTGGTTTAATGAGAACAGACGTGGCCGGCTCAATAGTTCCCTCAATTATTGCTTCAACCTCGGGTAAGGATTGGTCTGTCAATTCCACGGCTTGGTAGAATGTAGACGACAACGATGCAGACTCGTTCAGCTTCTGTAGCAGCCGAATTACATGGGCTCGGATGGCTGACTCGAGAGCATTCGTGGAAGATGTATTCTGGAGTTTCCGAAGCAAGACGGCAACAAGACCGCTCGACGATGAGGGTTCAAACAGCTCAAGGCTTATATCAAAAACCTTCTCGACGAATCCAAATCTTGAATTAAGATTCGAGATTTTCAGTCCCGTGAGCGACGAACGAATTAGCGATTCGCACAATGCATCCACAGGAACCTGTGCTCTCAACTCGAGAAGTCGGCCTTGCAAATTGCTGATCTTCATGAAACGCTCAAGAACATCTTTCGAAACCTTCTTCTCCGTCTTTCTTGCCACGAGAATGCACAAACAAGCTAAGGTGGATTTCGGATCAACTTCGCCATCGGTAATGAACGGTGAAATAGCCTTGACTAACGAATCAATCACACGGTCTTCGAGCTCGGAGTTGCTCGACAAAACCAGAGATATCGTAAAGCAGCTGAATGTCAATTCGGCGCAATCTTTGATTCCCAGTCCTTCGCTGAGCGCAGGAAGGATCTTTAATAATGCATCTTCCAACCGTTGTTTCTGAACTTCCTTTCTGCCGCTCTTGACTTGATTCAGCCTGCCTCTAACCGATTCAACGACGATACTGCCCCAGAAGCGTAGAAGTTGTGGGTAACTTGCGCCTTCCTGACAGACACGGAGAGTGTGATGGTTGAAGACCGAAAAGAAGGCGTCATCGTGTGTAGCGGTGTACACCAGTGCGTGGCGGGGAATGTTGGCGGCGACTTTGTGATAGGGTCCAAGGAACTTCCATTCGCCCGTGATCTTGTTGGCCGGAATAATGCTCAACACGTTTCGAAAAACGGGTGCCTCGTGATGGGGAAGGAATGTCAGAAGAAACGCCCTGGTATTGTAAACGTGCACGCGGAACCTTCTCACAAGCCATTCCACTGCTCTAACGCCAGGGCGGAGCATGACTTTCCCCCCCAGAAGTGCAAGACATCGTTCAATGACGACTCCGAGAGCCTCATTTTGCGTCTTGTTCAATTGCTCTCTGTCCTGGTTCTTGGCTTGTGGGCTGTAGAGATTCTGATCGAACTCTCGAAGTCTTGAGTCTAACCGACACAGCTCCTGGAAACCATCGACGCATATTTGATATACAGTCTCCCAATCCTGTTGGACGGCTAGATTTCGTTCGAAAATGAGGGATTCGCCATGGGCGTCTCGACGAGCACGGAGGTCTAACTCGTTTGTCGAGTTTGCGGCGATGGTGCGTAACTGCGCCGCGAATGTCGTGGTCATTGCCGGCAGATTGCCACTAGCAGGATTGCACTACTAACAAATCGTGAGAAAACTGCATCTGAAATGCCAATGGCAATACTTGAAAGACCGTTCACAATTTAGTTCTGCGTCGCAAAATTGAGGCCGCAATAATCACTTTTCACGCTGCCATGAGAAAATATAGTTGGGGGAACCGTGAAGGTGGCGGAGTTTAGTTCGGGTTTAAACCATGCCAAGACTGAATCACAGCCTTGCGGAGTGCTTTCCCTTGTCGGGTTGGCAGCCTTGCGGATTATCAAACGACCGAGGCGGGTGGTGCTGCTCAGCCTTCGGAGTTCAAGGACTCCTGCCAGCGATTCATGGTTAATTCTATTTACTTGGAATCCGGAAGGCTATCTGAGATATCAATATGCAGTCTCAGACCCCTTTCCACCATGCTTTGATACACTTGCTTTAAACCATCATCTCCAATCACGTCTCTTAGAACGCGCTGCCCAAAGGCAAGCATATATAGTTCTTTAGCCCAAGGGCATGCCCGAAGAGAGGCGTAGAAAGATTCAGCAGCCGATTTTTTCCTCTCGCGTTCTCTCTTTTGATCCTTGGATTCGGTGCTATGTCTTATTCGATCGTCGTCAACCGTATTGGATAATTCCCACGAGACATACGCCTTCCAAATCTCAACACTGTGATGCCCCGGGGACCCTTGCTCAGTGGTGCGTTTGAAAGCCGAGCGAATGCTGTGATTTGTGCTTCCAGAATAGGAAGGTCTCTTGAGTTCGACCAGAAGATCAAGTATGCATGGAATGATACTGCCTCTTGCATCCTTAGTCCAATCGTGCACTCGTGCTTTGGATTCAACTTGGCGCAATCTGTCAATGAGTCCAGACTTCTGGGTATAGTAATGACAGAGCAACTGAAGATAGAAGTTTTCGGGAAATCTGGCAACTGATTCCATCAATATGGCACATATCTCCCTAGGCCTGAAATCTCTCCCAAATGTGGTTGAATGTGCATGAAGGAGACTGGCTCGTTGTACGTGCACTCTTTCCACAGCAGGAGACACCGTCGCTGGCGGACCGGTAAGAAGCTTGAGGAAATTGTCATAAGTCTGTAAGGTACTCTCCAGACGTAAGTTATCATTCAGGTATTTGTGGATGGCGAGAACGTCAATCAACTCTGGTAAAACGTCAAATCGACCTCTGGACACAAGATTATCAAATTGGGATTGGATGTACTGTTCTACCCTGATCTGGGTGGCAACCGACGGCTTTGAGCTCTCTGCGTCTTCTTTCTGGAGCTTATTCAAATCAATTTGGGTGTCCGTGACCATGGTCAACAAGACTTTTGCCTGGCGGTATTTCTTCCGGAACATGTAAGAGTATGCCCAATCGCGAAACAGTGAAAAGGTCCTGCTCTCGGCATCTTGGTTGAGCGAGCTGCGCATCGATAGTGCTGTAGACCATACCCTTTCTGCCGCTTCGAAATTGCCCAGTTGACACTCAAGCTTGGCATACGCATTGTAGAGTCTCAGGCTATCGGACTTGCACTTGAGAAATGATTTGGCCAGCTTTCGGGCGGATTTTGGGTCGATATCAGCTTCGAAAGCTACCACATATTCCATCATTAATTCGTCGGGTTGATTTTGAAGTTTGATTGCTGCTAACTGGGAAAATACGCGGCGAGCAAAGTGGGAATGGAACCCTGCAGGCTTTCTCGAGGGAGACAGAACACCAGGCGGCAAAAACCTCACTTCCTGGAAAACAGGAATGTCATGTCGAAAGTCCTCTGATAGACCACCGCCGTCTTTTGGAGTACCCAGAAATAGAGCGGGTTCTGCTGTGGCAGGAGAGTGGCTGTAAACAAAGGGATCGCGCGTCCAATGCTCTGTTTCGGGGAGATGAGAGACTCTTGGGAGCCCCAAGAAGAGTAAGAAGGCGTCTTGAAGCATTCTCAAGCCGTGGTCTGTGAGTGGGGTGAAGAGAAAATCTTTGATGTCTGAAAAGAGAACAATTCGGTAAGGGTCGTCTTCGTTCACATCGTCCAGAGATCTTGCCGGCATCCCTGCATGTTTTTCGAGATTAGACTCGGCAGATGCCCAGGTGTCAAAATCCAAACCGTGGATCGGAGACCGAACCTCGTCAGCTTTGGGCTCAAGGTCGGGACTCATTTCAGAACCCCACCCGGTTGCACCCTCCTCGCCTATCCGAGAAACTTCACTTCCCCAGAACTGACCAAAAGATGATAGAAGCTCTTCGCTTGTTAAGTTGGCCGGCCGAAAAAAGTTGTATTCGAGAAGCGCTTGCCAAATTCCGATGGAATGCTCAGTGAATCCACACTGCCACAAAAACAATGTTGCACGCAGCAGAAGATAGACACACTGTGCGTCACGAGAACGAGCAGGTGAATCCCGGAAAATTCGAAGACAGCGTTTGTAGACATTCAAACATTCTTCAAAGCTAAACTTGACAGCATGACTTTGCGCGAAGTTTAGGTAGAGAATCCACAGGTCAAAGGAAGAGTCATTGTCGAGGAAAGATTGCCACCGTGAAGCCTGTTCTTCCGCGTTCCAGATTTTGTTACCTTCTTGCATCATTCCCAGGATCAGGGTTTGTCTTCCCTCGCGATCGTTTATGTGTGAGAGTGCCTGCTCGTAGAGAGATATTTTGAGTTCTGCTAGACTCCGGACCGAAGAAGGCCGGAAATCATGAGAGTCATGGTGGAAAGAAGTTTGTTGGTAGTCGATGAGAGCCTGCCATATTTGTACGTCATGAGGTCGTTCCGAAGTGGCATTTGCGAGTTTCAGGTGGTGCTGATGCACAGGATCCTTCTTGAAAGCATCAAATGCATTCTCAGCTAGACGCTCATTTTCGGCCCCTGAGCTCGACCCATAACTGTCGTCTTCTTGGGAATCGTGGCGATCAGCGTCTGCATCTATCCGTCTCCTCTTATTTGGATGGCGGTGTTCAAACCTCAGGAAATCTTTGTGCGGGTCCTCTTCGTCTCCTTCTTCGCGGGAAAGGAGCTTCTTGGACTTCATATCATCATTGAATACATTCGAAAGTAGAGATTGTTTGCGTGATCTTCGAACCGAGTCAAGGTCCACATTTTCGACTTCACGACGAGTTTCCGATCGAGACGTGATGCGATACCTTGAAGGCAGGCCGATCAATGCACCATTACCCGCAGTATGATAGCGTGGAATGGAGCGTCGATCTAGAGATCCGTATGCTAGATTTTGGCGGTCTCCTCTGCGGTCTTCCACAAAATGGGGGGATGGTTCACTCCGTTGGTCCGGTGAGCGAGACTTGAAGACGTCTTCTTGTCTTCTAGGTGGAAATGCAAACGGAGAAGTCGGGTGAGGTGGTTTCGGGCCAGGTCGAGGGGAATCATATTTGGACGAGCGCATGTTCTATGGAGAATTGGCCTACTCAAGCTCTGTCCTCTGTCAAGGATTCGAGAAGTGGTGATGCTAGAAAAGGAAACGATGAGATGTGTGATTGTTTTGACTGCTTAGGCTACCACTCAGTGCGATAACTGATTCTGCCATGGCCGATGAGATGGAAGGCTGGAGGCGGATTGGTGACTTTGAGAGCCTGAGGCAAACCATTTTCAAGTTGAAAATATGATGCCAAGACAATATGTGTCACGTGAGAAAGCTGAATGCCGGTGGAAAAGGGCTGTCTGACGCTCAATTGCATCAGAATCTCTCTGATATGGTCATAGATGTCTTTGTCAGACGGTAGGGCCTTTCAGACCGCACAGTTCTGCGCCCTTTTGTCTTGTGAAGAGCTGAAGCTTTTCCACAGAAAATGAGCAAGATATCAAATTCTCCAGGCTGAAACTGGGGACCTAACGGCATTCATCTGCTGACCGAAACGCTACCGGGTCGTTAAGTAGCACCGACTTGCAGGGCATCAAACCGGCCTGCCCTTGAGATCGCGGACTTCGGTTATCGGCAGGCCCAGAGACAAACCCGCCACCCTCTATTGTCTACGAGCAAATCCATTGGCGAACATCCCCTTCGCTTGCTCTCGAGTACGTCAGGGAGACCCATTTGGCTTTTGCCCCCGAGACAACAGGCGGCTTCCCCGAAATTTGGGATCCCAAACAATCCTGGCCTATGGGTTCGTTTATCCTGCATCTCCAATCCTGGGGTAAGCCCTTTGTGTTTCACGGTACTTGCCATTAGCTCTGGCCACCACTCACTCGAACACTCATCAAATCACTCTTCCTGTTCCATGGACACGCCTTCGAAACGACCTTCGCCTCCCACTGATGACCTTAGTCCGTCTGCGAAAAGAATCAAGCCCCTCTCCGAAGTGCCTACCCAGTACAGCGATGCCGTGCGAAAGAAACTCGCAGCCACGTCTCGGACGGGTCAGGCCTGCGATCGATGCAAAGAGAGGAAGATGAAGTGCGACACAGATCCAGTTGCCTGTCAACCGTGTCGCGTGAAGGGTCTGCGATGCTACACCACCGATCGTGTTACAGGGCAAGCTAGGGAAAGAGGAGAGTCAGATCGTGCAGAAAACGAGCTCATATTCCTGAGAAAACAACTGGCGGCTTACCAGCACAGGTACGGTCCTCTGCAGCGGGTAGAGACCGTCGCTCCCGTGTCTGCGACGCCAAAAGAGTCTCTTCCTGTTGCAATAAGATGTCCTGCAACCTCTGTGCCAGATGCACGCTACATTGGGTGGCCTGCTCCTGATCACTCGGAACCACTTTGTTCGGGCCCTGTCAAAGGTACCCTCGTCGACACTCTCGATGGCACAATCGATATTGCGGATTGGGATTGTGAAATGATGAGAGAATACCCAAAGGATACAAGGAACGTATTCAATTTGTCGAGAACATCCATCACCAACACGATCACAGGATATCAGCGAGTCGAAGATCCCAGGCTCCCTTCCAAAGATGAAGCTTTACGAGATGCCCATCATTTTCTGGTCGTAATGTCACAATATGTCCCCGTGGTCCACAGACCGAGCTTCATGGAACTCGTCCACAGATTCTATGACGACCGGAGTTCGGTGTCAGCGGCGGAGCGGGTCCAAGTGGTGATGGTGTTTGTCATTATCTCCCATCAAATGGCAGTTAGAAACCACCTTCATTCCGCCGAGAAGTTCGAGGATTCACAGCGTTACTTACATTACGCCCTGGGATTCTACCGCGACCTGTTCCATGACCGGTCAATCGCTTCCATGCAAGCTATGGCGTTGATCATTGTCCATTTTCGGACCCTCCCCAAACCGGGGGTGTCTTGGACTTACAGTCACAAAGTCCTTGTGCGTGCAATCGAGTTAGAATATCATCGAGATCCCGATAAGATTGAACTCCCAGAAGGTGAAAACGACCCACTCTCCAAGGAGCTTCGAAAAAGGATCTTCCATTCTATGTTGGCCGTGTGTGTGACGACGGGATGTCGGGTTGGTTTGCCTGCTCCATGGCAATTCCAGCATATTGATTTGCCTCTTCCCAAAGCTCTGAAAGACTCTGAAATATCCAAGCACGGCATTTCTTCTGACCTTTCGGGCCATTGTGATTTCTGGCCCTGTTTACACGTGGCTAAACTACTCCCTCTGTTAACAGAACTTCATAACAACATCATTGCTGTAAGAAAACCCGCTGCGGAATATCTTCGAACTGTGGAAGCATTGAATACCAAGATCATCGCCTGGCGACAAGACTGGGAGGAATCGACCAAATCGGAGCCCAAGCATGTCAATCTCGTGGTGGCGACCCTACTCATTGAAACGTGGGCAGCTGAATATCAGTTGAATCTTCATCATCCCGTATGTTGTACAAGCGATGATCCCGACGTGATGGATCGACGTCTAGATATGTGCCACAAGGCGTCAAAACGTCTCTTGCAAAATTTTCATATCCTATCGAGCAAGTACAAAGGTGTCGACTTTACGTGGCACTCAACCTTGGCTTACGCCACGGGGTTTGGTATCACGCTGTACATCTATAGGAGAAGAATAGCACCAGTAACGATGGAACAATTTGAGGCCATGACGAACGAGTTGAAAGGCTGGATATCACTAATGGCGTATGCAGATCTAGTTATGAGTAAGTGCTCCAGATGCACGACGTTCTCATATTGACACCTTCATAGGAACCGGTAACCATTTGCAACGACAGTTTCAGCCTCGTGTCCAGGCTCTCGAAGAAGAATATCGGAAAGTTTTGGTCGACAATTCCTCGAGACAAACTACTGTTCAAACACCATTTATGCCTGTCAACGGCTCCAACACTCCATCTACCCATAAATTCGAGCTACCTAACTCGCTTCCATATCAGGAAAATCAGAATCCATCAAATCAGATGAATCACCTCCCTCAACCTCTGTACATGCAAAACCAAGTGAGGAATCACAACCAGCCCCAGTCTCCATCGAATCGTCATCCGCCGCAACAGCAATGGCAGCCCCCATTCACCCTCTTACCCCAATCCCAAGGTCAAGGCCAACAACCAGGCCCTACCTCTCCCATATATCCCGCCTTCTCCCAATCTCCCGCGACCGGCCCTTCTAGAACGACACCAACCCAGACAATTCCCACATCGCTAGCCTCTTTGCTCAACGACTCCAACAGTATGTATGTCAGCTACCCGACGTCTCCGCAGACACAAAACGGCCTAGGTGGTGGCGACCCCATGATGAACTTCTCGCCCAGCCATTACTTTGACGGACTTGGGCCCCTGGGTTGGCCGCTTATTACTATGCCGCCAGGACAGCAGTCGTAAGAGGCAGGGATTATGGGAGACATTTTTGATCCTTTATTGGGCTGAATTGTTTCAGATCTATGAATTTTAACAGACGAGCGATAGGAAGACAAGGACCTCTTCCGAATGCAATACCGGGACGAAACATTGTATATTTATGTAGTAGGCGAAGATTGTTACCATGACTTGACTACACTAGACACTGTTTAGCGTGCTAGGGGCTCGCAGCCTCATCCCATGTCACACATATTAGTAGCTGCAAGGAAAGGATTTCTTTATCAGACAGGAAGTCATGAGCTACCATTTTTCACTCTCCTGTCCAGAGTAGATCACTATGATCCTTCCAAATTACGGCATAACCTACCTGACGAACCTCTACGAACATCATATTCATACCACTTACGTCAACAGGCTGTCCCACTGGTTTTCCTGATATACACTGTCCTAGGACATTACGCCCGCAAGATTCGGGAGAGACAGAGCCTTGGCTTGCTCCAGAACAGTCCTGTGGCCCGACACGTCAACGTAGAGGGAACGTGCGTGCACGAAGGCCGAGGTGACGATCAGTAGGCGTGGGGCAATGATGTCGTTGTTGATGCTGTGGAACTTCGACGAGGGGGGAACGGAGGAGGAAGTTTATCGTTGCTAAATCTTGCGGCCCGGTGGGAACTTTTTGCTCTTCTCCGCCCGGAGATGCCCCTGGGCAGGAGGTTGTTGGGCCACGCTTGTAGAGATCGAGGAAGCCGTCGCCGGCGTCCAGGTTGCGCGACAAGCTGTTGTATAACTGCACGCTGAAGACGTCGATATCCTTAAGCAATTCGGAGACAGGGGTGGAGGCGTCGGCCGTGGGCATTGAGGCGCTGTGGTGACGTAGTACGACTTTGACGAGTCGGTTACTAGGAGCTAGTGCAGCACTGATACTAAGGTCGGGATATAGACTGCGTCGGTGGTGACTTCGTTGCCTGGAAGATATTAGTGGGTTTCACTCTACGCTCAAAAGGAAAGGCCATAAGGCTGTATCGCCGTCAAGTTTGGATCCGATCCACCCGAAAATAAACTTCACACTGTATGTGCCACCTTAACAACTTTCTCTCCGCGGGACATTGAGAGATCTCCAAAGTTCCCCCACGGCTGAGCAGAACTTATTCCCTCTGTTCTGGTAGGTAGAAATCTTGCTCTCGAAATCATCTCTCATGCAATCCAGAAGGCTGGTCACCCCCGCTGCTGATTGTGCTGAGTTTGGTGCCCAGCAATTGGATGCCATGTTCAATTCGGGGAGGCCCTCCAACGCAAAAGAGCTTGATGACGAATGCAATGATGACCATATCCGATGGAATTGTCATCGCAGACTTGAGTGAGAGGGATGGCCGGAGTTAGGTCAGTCTGAGAGTAATACACGACATTGAAGTTGTCGGCTTGCGGATTAAATGTAGACGCCTCTGTCGGCGGAAGACTTGTTGTGGTTGTAGTAGGATTCCTTGGAGGCGGTGTTGGATATATGTGGGGCGTTGTGGTGAGATTTGTAATGGGCAAGATAGCAAGCGACGAGGGCCTAGAAGCAGGGAACAGAGGCACAAGTTCTCCTGTGAAGAGAGAAGCTGAATCAACAGTTCTACCGAGCTTCTTAAACTGGCCATGAGGTGAGATAATTGATCTGAGAAATCCGCGGAGGAAGCGATCGTACGATTGGGGCTAGCGGCCTTGAGGATGTTGGTCACCCAGGACGTCCGAAGGCAGCATCTGGGCGAGCGAGACTGGAGTCGTGTTCGGCGAGGTAATCTTCGTGCGAGCGCTGGATGGCCTCAAATGTATCGCGAAGAGAGGCCGCGCATTCTTCCCAGTCTTGCTCGGTGGCGAGGGTTGAAGTGAGAGATATTGTGAAAGAAGACAATAACAACCGTTGTAACCAACGGGTAAATTATAAGAGTGGACAATAAACAATCACTGATAACGAGAGACTTCGACTTACACCCCAAGCATATACATGGCTGGCCATTCCAGGATATTGCCATATATTGCAGCCTTGGATCAAAAACGGAGGGCAGCTGAGGTAATTTTGTAGGGGCTGGAGAGAGCACGCCACTCCTGCGAAGGTTGTGGTGGTCAATGTGTCATTGCACAATGATTCCTGAGAGGGGGTTTGTCGTTGGGCAAATGCCCCCAGGTCGGTTATGATGGTGTGAAAGCCATCTCTTTCCTCGACGTCTCGTCGACTATGATGTTAACGCTGCTTGAACAAGGCATTGACTTGGATTGAATGCTCCCAAGCTGAGACGGCACGGGAAAGGATTGAAGTCAAGGCCGGAGAAATGGATTTTTCCGAATCCCCTAGAAGGGATAAAAAAAAACAGTCTGACAAGTCGTCAGTTTTCTTACAATTTGGTTCCTCGCATATTTGTGGAAATTCTTAGACTGTCAGACAGAATGATTTTCCCCTCTCACAGTATTTCTTTTTTTCTTCCTCCTATCGTCAAATGTCCTTGATTTCGGACCATTTATGACCATGTAGCAGACAGTCTCTCTGGAAAGAGCAACTATCTGTTCAAGTTCAAGAAATGAAAGGGAAATGTCTCTACGGCGCCTAAGCTGGAAGCAGAAGTCGCGGGCCTAGTGCTTCCGCCTTTTCATTCTCTCTGACTTCAACTCGTGGCTTGGATACTGACACTGACCTTGCGGGTTTGAAATTTCCGCAGTTGTTCGTTAAGGTGGCACTGCTCGCAAGCTGGCGGGGGCCGCAACCAAAATCCCATGTATCTACGCGGACCCCCCTCGGAAACCTTGATATCAATGGCCTTATCCGTTGATTGTCCGACTTGTCCCGCTCTGATGCCCGACCCATCGTTGTGTGCATATGCAGGATGCCTAAGTCTGACTCGACCCTGCATACTCTCCGCCTTTAACCGCTCTACGACGTTCGGGGCAGTTAAAGAGAAAGGTCCTGTGGAGATACACACGACTCAAAGCTCAAGTTATTCCTGAACTCGGCATTCATCTGCGAGGAAAAATTCTCACAATCATCAGGATCAATGCGTCAACCCACCTTCCTCACACTATACCGAATTAACTCGGCGTCCATCCTATAAGCTGGCCCAACAGGGACTTTGGAGAAGAATGTCGGCCGATCATAAGCGGAGAAAAGGTGACTGTTTGGCTGTGTCCAGGAGAGACGATATTCAAAGGTGGGCGCTAGGTTTGGGGGAACAGGTCAATCCAACCACTGCAAGGTGGACCTGAGGTTCTTGCAGCCTTTCTAATGCAGGTGCAATGAAAAACTAAGCCAGGACACCAAACCTCTTACATTGTGCTTGATTACTTTGGCTGCATGCCGCGCGAGTTCAACGGTGCCTGATCAACAAGGTGAAGCACGAGACCATCATGTGTAGGTCCGTCTGCATCGAGAGTTTCTCAGGTGACTCTGCATGAAGATCGATATTCGATCTTCATATTCTGGGACTGCTTGGTACTTTTCAGCGCCCAGGTCAGGAGCACGAAGGAGGCGAGTGGCAGAATCCAGCCTTGCACGTGATTTTCAATTGTGAACCTTGGACAAGTCTCTGGAACTTTTGGCCTATAGACTACACCAGACCAGGTGGAGAGTGGGGTTATCAATCCTTCAAAGCTCACCGACACTACATTTCCCTTGACTTGTCGACCAGGTTGAGTACCGACATCGGCAAAGCTAGACCTGGAGGACTCCAAAGAGCACCCTCAAGGGCATACAGCCTGAGGCGCCAAATTCTCCCCTCATCAAAATCTCTTAACTGCCGAGCTCTCTGTCTTTCCGGGATGGTAACACAAAACATGGATCTTAGTCTTAACCTGAAGCCATGGTTCTGGACCAGGGGATAAGGAGGGAAACGGCCCCGAGCCGTGCCGCATGATAGCGCTTTTCGGGGGGAAGGGTTACACAGCTTCCAATCGAGCTTGGCAAGTAAATCTCTTCATCAACTATGTTGACCACGGAAAGCTAGAGATGTCGCACAGCAGTAGTGGACACCACTTCAACTCAGCTTTCACGCCTAACTCAGCTAAGATCGAACATTGGCCCAGTCACCGCTCATCCAAATGCTGAACGATGACGCAGAACAGTAAGTCGCTGAGCATGAAAAGAACATGTCCTGAATCTTGTGACGTCCCATTTCCAGTGCCTTGCGTTTGAGAATTAGAGCACAGCGCTAACATGATTCCATGTAGACCAAAAGGGATGATGTAGAGCCTTTCCATGGCTGGGCTATATTGGGCCGTCTCGAGCGTCGTACGACATGGGAGTTTTCCCACGTCCTCTCCAATCATGCACACCCTTTTGAGCGACTCGCAGGTGATTTTCACCCTCCCAAAGAAACTTCTGGATAACCGTCCATCCAAGGACATACAATGTTCAGCCACCATTTACGAGTTGGATCCCAGCCTTTCAGGGAAGCTTTCTACTCGTTCGGCACCAATTGTCTGTGTTTCAGCCGACTTAGTCAATTATGCAAGATGCGTTCCCTCACCCTCACCGCAACTAAGGCTTACCAACTACCCTGATACTTCAGCAGCCGGCGAGTCCTTGGTCCAGAGAAACTTTGCAGGAAGTATCCTCCCGGACCCCACTGGATAAACAACCCCCCCCCCCTTCTCTACTCATCACCTGCAATGCAAGCCACATCACATTCCGGCCCTTCTGAGGTATCATCCCCTCCGGCCATAGCTCTCTTTACCCAACAATCCCGGCAGAACAAAAGGAATTCCTCCGAGAATTAAAATAACGGTGTTTATCCATGATGTAATACGAGCATAATTTCCAACAAATCCCTTGAAAGAAAAATGCCTGGGTGAATCGCTACAAGATGGTGACAAGTCGCAACGAAGCTGGCTTGAGTCACAGACCACCACCAACCACCCCTGCTCGCCGCTAACACGAATCCAGACGGCTTCACGCATTTAGCCATTGCGCAGTGCATGAGCTGGTCTACTCTGCTGCATCCCATCGTTCTCGCCTAAGTACGTTTAGGCTTGGGAGGCATTGAGATTTTCGGAGCGGCGTGCATGAACGCCGCTGTCAGTTGCTCACTGAAAACGAGACCGGATCGAAACGAGAAGGAAAGGAAAGCAAAAGACTAACAAAAGCAGTTTCATCGAATCGAGTCCAGACACTCCCATTGGCAACAAACAACCACGTACGAGCAAAATACGGAATCGTATCCCTACCTCCTGTCATGCTGTGCAACCCTGCTGGCATGCATGGTAACCACTATCCTATTGTTTCCCGTTACACGAACACGATCTGAGCGTGGGATGACTTCTCCGGCAGATGCAGAAAAGGGAGGGAAAGGGGGGAAAAAAAAGGAAAAGAAAAGGGAAAAAAAGAGAGAACACATATACATAAAGTACCATGTGGAGAATGACAGGAATGAGTACGTATCCCAGCCGACGCTTACACCACTGGTGGTTACACCGAAGCGAGCTAAGCTGCTACCAACTCGAACCTCCCCAAAAGGCGACGAGGCTGAGAATCGAAGATGAACGAAAAGTTTTAACGATCAAGACTAAGGGTTTTGGATGCGCACAGTTAGGCCTACAAAGCAAATTACAGGACACTGCTTCCCATGCAGCTACACATACTTACTACTCATGAGACACACAACATGTAGTTCTCAGTCAAATCTGCGGTCGTGAGATGGGGGATTCGATCGGTTGAATTCGTGTCGTACTAGAGTGAACAGCAGTGAACACGGGGGCCAAGCACACAGGAACAATGGCGCCCGATTCGTTTGCTGCTGATTTTGCAAGCCTGGGGAAAAGATAGATCGTGAACGAACAGAAATTATTAAATTGCAATATTCCACCCATATCAACAACTCGAGAGATCTGTCCGAGAAAGAAAGGTCTTTTGGCTTGCTTGCTTCAAAAAGGAACAACTTGTCCGCCCTCTCACAAAGCCAGTAGTTAAGCATCATTTTGATAATGAACGCGTAAAGAAAAGAGAGAGAGAGAAAAGAAATAGTCTTATTCAAGCTCCGTCTGATCCTTTCTGGTTCTTCCTTCTCTCGCGTGTTCATGATCGTCAAGTCATATTTGACAATTATGCAAATGAAGAGTGTCATACCACATGATCCCATACCAAGTCGTGTCCCATGAGAAGTTCCACCCACCCACCCATCCAGTCCATGCTCATCCCGTCAAGTCAATCATTCCTTCGTAAGCGAAAGCAGGCAACAATCATCAAGAATGTAAGCACTATGTACAGTCATGAAAACCCAAGCTCTCCTCTGCTATGCATGTGTAACAAGAACCAGAGTTTTCGAAGATTCGAATTCCTGGTGCTGAATCGAACGCGGAAACGAGATGTTTTTGGTTCATGCAGACGAAAGAGTCTTCTTCTCTAAAGCAAAGGCAATGTGGTCGACCCCTGTTTGGGTAACTAAAGGGGAAATAAAAATTCAGGTGAGCTTTTTGAACCCTCAAGCCAATCGGCCGGGGTGAATCGAAGAGAGAGCCTCCCACTGTTCCACTCCCCGTCCAGTTCATTCCGATATTTTTGATTTTGATTTTGATTTTGATTTGTTGTTTTTTGCTTTTTTTTTTTTTTTTTTTTTTTTTTTTT